GAACCGATCAGGGATTGATCCAATCCAAGCTCCGGAAATCATCGCCCCTTCCATTTCTGAGGAGCAAATCTTGCCAGCAGAATCTGACCAACTTCCACCAGTTGATCGAGACATTCCGCAGTACGAGCCCCAGGTTCAGGACGACTGGGAGCCAAGTCACGTCGCAACCACAGCGGAGGAGCCTCAGCCAATTCTGCCTACCTCGAATGACTCAGTGTCTCCCGAGAAGTCCATTCCGCGTGGAGACGAATTAGTTGAAGACAGTCTTCCCGCTTCAAGGGACGAAACGCTGGATGACTTGTTTCCTGAAGTCGTCTCAAGCAAGAAGTCAAAAAAGGACAAAAAGGAGAAGCAGGGGAGTCTGTTTGACTTGGAGCCAGAGACGGTCGTTGCGACCCAGCCGGAGGAAGTCATCTCAGCTCAACTAACATCAACTGGGGAAATTCTAACAGCAGAGCCCCTACTTTTGCAAGCTGGACCGATTGGGCGACCTGTAATCGAAGAATCCATTCCATTGGAAAGCCAACCGACCGGGAATGTTCTTACTGAAGAATCTCTCTCACTGGACAGCAAACTGGCAGGGGAAGCTTCGGTTGAAGAATCTCTTCCAATGAAAAGCGAGCTGATTGCCGGTCCTACTGCCACCCCGAAGGATGGAGACGTGGATGATGCATTACCTGAATTTGTGTCCAGAAAAAAGTCCAAGAAGGATAGGAAGAAGAAGCGCGCAAGTCAAGCTCCTGAGGACTGGGAACCCGAGTCTGTTGCGACTTCGGTGGAGGAGCTACAACCACCCGAACAATCGGCAACGGATGTGGTCCTTCCATCCGAGTACCGACTAAGTGTAGCCGAGCAGGCGCAAGAAGATATGCCTGCACTGAACGAAGGCGAAAAGTCGGTTGGAATGTTCACCGACTTTGTCTCGAGCAAGAAATCAAAGAAAGCCCAACGCAAGGCAAAGAAGGCAAATTTGGCCAAGCCAGAGCCCGAGGTCTTGATTGACCAACAGAAGGAGCTCAGCTTGCCGCTTTCTGTGCAGCCAGAAGAATCAGCTGGTGCTTCTTCAAGTCAAGTGTCTGAGACACTTGCCGCCGAGACTATTGTTCCAGAGGCCTGCGAGCTTGACATCGGAGAGCAGATCCCAGATAAGGATGGCGGAGGAGAGCTATTGCCAACGCCACTCCATGACGAAGCCGGCGTGGTGCCGATAATACCACATGAATCCACATCTCAGACCACGCAGAGTCAAGGGCTTGAGTTGACCAGTTCTGAGGATGCAAAAGCTAGTGACATCATCGACCTTCCTCAAGATATTCTACCCAGCACGCTGGTAGAGAACGACTTGCCCCAAGCAGAGGCTCTAGCCCAAGTTGAACCCCTGGAACGGAGTGCAAATGTGCCTGTTGACGCTCCACAGGAGGACTCTACTGTGTTTCCAGATTTCCCTCTCAAGAAATCTAAGAAGGATGAGAAGGCACAAGCTCTCGAATCTATCGATGTGATCCACGATCAGATTGCCCCAAGCCGGGGTCAGTCTGAGGATCAGTCACTGTCTGGGGTTCCGAAGGAGATCGAGCCTGTCACCGAAGAAACCCATATGCCCAACTTACTTGTGGAGGAATCTCCCTCGTTGCCCACGCAGTCGACTGAAACCCCGAGTCAGCTGGCTGAAGTCCCCACAGGTCATACAGGACCCGTGATTTCAAGTGAACAGCACACCGTTTTATCGAGCGAACAACCCATTGAAAATAAACCTTCAGTCTCTAAAGAGGTTGAGGAAGGTATCTTCCCAGTTACTCAGAAGAAGCCAAAGCAAGACAAGAAAAAGCGCAATTCGTGGTTCAGTTCGTGGTTTCAATTCGACTCAGAGACTGCGTCAGGAACTCAAACGCCGCTGGTCGAAGAGCCTACCTCACGTGATATGGGTGAAGCCTTGCCAATGTCTGAGCCGCCTCTACAACTTGAAATTGGCGGCACTGTAGTCAAGGAAGAGCGGGAACCCAGCGCACCTGTTCAAGATGACTGGCCGGGTGTCTCGCCCAAGCAGTCAAAGGAGGACAAGAAAAGGAAGTCCGCTGTCCAGTTCAACTCGGAGCCGCCTTCTAGGATCCAAACTCCTAACATTGAAGATGCACCCCTGGCCGAGGCCCGTGGTGATATCGCCATTGAGACAAGCAGACCGATGATCATTGATCCTCCCGTCACTGAGGAGCTGATGCCTTCTGTGCCTGCCACCGCTATTGAAACGTCGAGCCCAATGATTGTGGAGCACCCTGCCATTGAGGAAGCAACGCCTACTACACCGGCTAATGACGACTGGCCTGATTTCACGACGCCAAAGTCCAAAAAGGATCAGAAAAAGAAGAAAGCCGCTGCCTTGGCCGATTCCGACCCGGCCTCGGGAACTCAGACGCCAGTTGAACAAGACGTAAATCTACAGGGAAGTCGAGGCGACAATATTGAGACTTCTGAAGACCAGGCTCCAGTCTCTGAGTCAATTCTGCACGAAGAGCTCGAGACCAGCATTCATGTCGTCGACAATGGCCTCCTCGCGTCTAAACAGACCGTCAAAGAGTCAGGTTCACCGGCACCTTTGACCTCCGAAGAAAGTGTCGAGCCAGTGAGACGAAACGCGCCACCTCCTGGCCTCCTTCCAACTGTCAATGTCGATCTGTCACCTGCAAAATTGAGCAGTCACATAGAGCATGAACAGCCTTTCGATCAATCAGCGCAGCCAGGAAAGAGGGCAAGGGTCGAGTCATTCTTGGACGACGCTGTCATTCCCAAGCCCATATCGGCTACACGTGAATTTGCTGCTTCATATCTGGAAGACACAAGTCAAAGCGAAGCAATCACTTTTTCCAGTCCTAAAATAATCCTAGACAACCAGGTCCAAGCTGCCGACGCTCCTTTGATTGCTCGAGAGATTGCAGCTTCGTATTTGGAGCAGCCCATGCATCCAGGGACCGAGCAGGCTGAAGATCAAGGATACATCGTGGAGAAAAGTGATCACCCAGTCATGACACCTCGTCTAGAGATGGCTTTGTCATATTTTGAGACCCAACCTGCAAAGCAAGAAGTTACTCAACCGGAGATTGCTGAAGCCACTGTGGTGGACAATGCCGGACTCAGGGACGTTTCGCCCACCCGAGAACTTGCAGCATCTCTTATGGAAGCTCGACCTAGTAAGTCTAAGGAGATCGCCAAAGCCAACGAGGACACCGTGAAAGAGCAGGATCATACTGAAAGAGATGCTGCAGTTATAGCTACTGCCAATGACCTGTCCGGAGGAGTTACGGTTCTCGCAGATCGGTGGGATGGTTCTACGGCCAATGGTAAGGGAAAAACGAAGAACCAAAAGTATGTCGACAAAAGAACGACACAAGGGGATGCTTTGTTTGGCGGCCCATTACTGTGGGAGGGACATGACCGCAAGGCTCTCGATGAGGCTGTAAGTGATGGTGAAAGATTAGACAGAGACACTGGCGACTTGTGGGATGTGCCGAATGCCGAAAAGGAGGACAAGCTAGAGGTCACACCGGCAAACGCTGCCGAGGAAACTGTCCCGGACGATCAGCATGCCAGGGAAGCTATAGAAACCAGGTCAGACTCTCCGGAGAGTCCCATTTTTGGTCGAGAACTGAAGCCTGAGGAAGCACAATCTAGGACCGTTACAGAACCTGTCACTTCTGGCCTCGATACCCAGGTACAGGGAATCCCAGCTACCTCGGAGCTGATGAAAGATATAGATGCGCTGGATACTTCGGAGCTTGCACAGGAACGCACGCAAGGGCCTCGCTCGAATTTTTACGAGCCAGCTGAAGAGCGAGAGCGAGAGACTTTGAGGGACCTGGACCGTCGAGGATCAAGCTCACCCTTGGCCGACTTCCTCCGCCGCCGTGCCTCGACACGAAGCCTACCTCGAGTTGAGGAAGAGACGGAAGAGGAAGAGGAAGAGGAAGAAGAAGAAGAAAAAGAGGAACAGAAACCCGGCCCTGAGGCCAAAGACTTGACGCAGACTCCGGAAATCAATAGAGACAGCGGGGTTATAACGGGCTCGCCGCAACCAACGCGCCGCAGCCTGTTCGGTGAAGACGGTCAACGAGACAGTGGTGTCCACATGCGCGATTGGCTAGAGAGCACTCCCAAGAAACGCGAAGGGCTGTCCAATTCAGACGAAGCAGGGGCACGACTGTCGTGGGGGTCTACGGATGATAAATCCAGCGAGCGACACACGCCCACACCAGACGATAAAACGGCGAAAAGATCGCCTGTTGGCAACGAGAAATTGAACACGCCGATTCTGCGCTCAGCTAAAACTCCTCAAGACCGAACGCCAGAGCCTGGTCGAATAGACGAGTTGCACAACACAGATCCCCAAAACCCGGTTTCCAAGTATGGAAACTTGACAGCAGCCGGCGCAGGTGCAGCTCTGGCATCGGCGCTGCGACGTGAACAAAGAAGTATTTCCGAGAATGCCAGCAGCAGCAGAGAAGGCAGTCCACAGACGGAAAGCCCACACGAACATCTCAGACGAGCAGCATCCAACACGGGTAGTTCGCGATTGAGAACGCCGGAGACTTTCAGGTTGCGGCCTGACAGTCCCCGGTCATCCCTGTCGGGCGGCAAAGACACCCCGCCACTTAGGCGGGCAGATAGGCGAATGAGCGGCGACCTTCGGTCCCTCAGTCAGCACAGCGGCAGCCACACCAGCCTCCTCTTCTCAAAAGAAGTGCCCTCCAATCCTGAAGATGCTGCAAACCAAAGTGCCGACAAAAAAGAAGCTCAGCGTCAGGCTGCCCAAAGCACTACGCCTGTGGCCAACGAAGGCCGTGTCCGAGTCAAGGACATGACCGACGTCTACGTAAGTTTTCATTTTGTTGTCGATACTAGATTCAATAGATCAACCCACAAAGCCAATTGATGCTAACCAGTGCGCACAGGATGGCATCGGCGAGGGCCGCATGGGCTCCCCGCGGTCGCCCTCCAGACCGCACAGCATGCGTCGCCGACAAAGCATGCAAGTGCTAGAACTCGAGTCCAAAGTCGAACAACTAATCTCCGAGAATCGCATGCTGGCCGATGCGAAAGCGCAAGCCGAAAACAATTCGCACCATCGCGCCGCTGCCACTATTGCGGAGCGCGATGCCGTCATTGAATCATTGCGGGCCGACCTGAACTGGATGAAAAAAGAAATCCAACGCCTGACCGAAGTGAACGAGGGTCTCAACAGCGCCAATGCGCATCTCGCACACCAACACAATGAAAGATACGGGCGCTTGGAAATTGAACATGCCTCCGCCTCACAAGAGCTAGAACGATATCGGGGCACCCGTGGCCAATACACAAAGGCGCTCCAAGAAAAGGACGCCGAAATCGAAGATTTACGTCGACAGTTGGAGGCCACCAAGGAGCAGGTCAGAGAGATGCAACGACAGATCCTCGCCAACAAGCCTCCAGATGCGGGCTTCCTCCGACTCAAGGATGAGGATCACTTCGATCATCGCTGCCAGCAGCTGTGTGCCCATGTCCAGCAATGGGTGCTTCGTTTCTCCAAGTTCTCTGACATGCGCGCTTGTCGCTTGACCAACGAGATCAATGACGAGAAGATCATCGACCGTCTCGACAACTCCGTGCTGGATGGATCCGATGTCGATGACTACCTCGGCGACCGAGTGAAGCGTCGCGATGTTTTCATGTCTATGACTATGAACATGATATGGGAGTTCGTCTTCACCCGCTACCTCTTCGGTATGGATCGTGAGCAACGACAGAAACTCAAGTCGTTGGAGAAACTGCTCTCCGATGTTGGCCCGCCTCACGCCGTCCGCCAATGGCGTGCCGTGACATTGACTCTACTCTCCAAGCGGCCTTCTTTCGGTGACCAACGCAATGAAGACACGGAAGCTGTGACGCAAGCCATCATCCAGACACTCTCCGTCATCCTGCCGCCTCCTTCCAATATGGAGGCACAGATTATATCACAACTCCGCCGTGTCATGCGTGAGGCCGTGGACTTGTCCATCGAAATGCGCACGCAGCGCGCCGAGTACCTGATGCTGCCTCCGCTGCAGCCCGAATATGACGCCAACGGCGATCTGGCTCAGACAGTTGCCTTCAACGCATCACTTATGAATGAAAGATCTGGAGGTTCAAGAACCAACGAAGAACTCGAAAGTCAGGGCGCCATTGTGCGTTCGGTCCTGTTCCCGCTCGTTGTCAAGAAAGGTGATGACAACGGAGTCGGGGATGATGAGATTGTCGTCTGCCCGGCTCAAGTTCTGATTGCCAGGGTGCAACGACCCACGATTCGGATGGTCACCCCATCATCGGACCATGGCGGTGTGCCATTGTCGCGAGACGGTACGCCGTCCGTAGCGTCCAAGACCAGTAGCATGCCCCTGTCGCCTCCCCATACTTAATCAAGCCTCAGTGTGTATACGCATGCATGAAGGCAGCATTTAAAAGGAAGTGGTCGGCCTTGCATTTAGAACCGGTTTTGCAGAGTTGATTTGTGGTTTAAGGAATGCCCGAGAGGAATGACATTTTTTTTCTAACATCAAACAAACACTCATAATGAGGGAGTTTTTCCTCCCTTGCGGTCACGTTATTGAACGAAAAGAGTTTTACGATATCCCGATAGGAGTTGGTTCTTTTCCGGTTTGGTGGTCTCTGATAATGACGTTTTCCTTTTGGCTCAAGTTTTTGGAAATGTGTAAAACTTCACGAATTATGTCTATTTCCTACCGATAGTGCATCGAATGAGAGGAACTCTGACCAATATATCCCTGTTGAAATGTGACGAGCAGCTCCTCAAGAATTGTCAATGGGTGCGTCCTTTCTTATCCGTCGGATGGTTTGGGTCTGAACTGCCCTCGGCGCTCATGTCCCAAAGTAATCAAATGAGGATAGTCTAGGTTACGTGAATGAAATTATTCCAGTACCTGCACTACATTTGCCCCTGATACAAGATCCCTTCAAACGGTATGTGACGGCTGCATGAATATTGTGGCATGGCTTCTAACAGCATTGTTCGCATTGGGTAGCTCTTGTGTTCCAATATAACTATTACACTACGTACAGTACACTCCGCAAGAACATTTACAACTTCGTCCTTGAAGAACTGGCAGAAATTATCAGGGACAGGCTGTACTAAATTACAGGCTTAGGTAGGTTGTTTAGGATCAAACTAATCTACTAACAGGTAGTCTATTCTTGTTATCAGTGCCTGGGTATACTACACCTCGAACCATCTTTACTCGGCTTGAGTTCAATGTGGAAGCTACGGTCAGGTAACTTTGGCAAGAACGACGTCGCAAGGGGGATGGAGAGCTTGCTGTTTTGACACGCTTTGCAGCAACGACCCTACTGCTTAACTGCAGGTAGCTTTTGATGCTCTGGCCTTGCTTCGTTATCTTCATATACAACACACTGAGGATTCAACATACGCGACATCGCTCACCGCCCAGACACTGACGCCACCTGACTTAAACAGTCAATAACACCCTCCCATCCTCCATCGAGACGAGAACTTTCTCCCCAAACCAGCCACAACAGTTGGCATCATGACAAGCTACCAAGTCGCCACCCCGGCGCCGAGCACCGCAGTACCTCCCATGGCCAAGGAAGAACAAAGAGAGGACGAAGACTTCAACTACTGGTTCTGCGTCGCGGTCGTCTGGCTCGCGATCCACGCCACCGCACTCTACGTCGTGCATCAAGCTGTCAGCGCCGCCAGTGCCGACGACCAGCTCGTGAAGATCGTCGTGCTTGCCTTCTTCGTGATGTTGGGCTCGTTCTTCTTCTTGCTCGCGAGCGTGAGCTGGCTTATTTTGAAGTATGGACTAGGTGCTGAGGGGGCAGAACCGTGGTGAGTGAGAGCGAACTTCCCAGATAGTAGGCTCCGAGTGAGTAATATTTGGCTGATGCGAGAGTTTTCGCGTAGGTACGCGGGCATTTTGGCGCTCAGCGTTTTTCTTCTGAGGGCAATTGGCCAGCATGCCGAGCCTGAGAGCGGGCTTGCGTGGTTGTGGAAGATGGTGGCGTGGTTCTGGGTTGGGTTTGCTGTGGAGGTGTATTGGGGTTTTTACGGGCGACTCATGACTCGAGTGAAGGAGAAGATGAAGATGGATGGCAAAGCGAGGGAGTGGTAGACTTGAGGAGATGATGGAGAAGGAGGAGCTCTGTTCAGTATTGTAATGACCCGTGGGATGGCAACAGTCGCACAGGCATCTCAGGGAAAGTCGATGATTTCGGGCAGGCTAGGGCTTGGTTTGAGAAGTCCAGCGCGAATTATCGTACTCAATGTCATTGATGACGGCCGTTCTACTTCGTATATTAGCCATGGGTACCCCACGATAGTCACGAGGGGGGTATGTCATACTTCCTTGATGTTCCCATCCGCTTGTCGGTCCGAAGAATGGTTTCGTCAGCAAACCCTCATCATTGCTATGCCCAACATGGTGGCTTATCCCTGGCCCTGCTCCCCCCCTCTTCAGCATCCTCCATGTCTGTTTCCTCTTCTAACAACTGGATAATGCGTTGGACACCCTGCTCGATCCTATCCACCTTGACCTCCAGCCGCTCCAGCCTCTCCCGTCTCTCCTCGTTCATCCGCTCCAGCACTCGAAGCCGATCCTCCACCTTTCTTGCTCGCCGCTCACCAATAACTCTAGTATTCGGCCGTCCGAACAGGGGTGTGGACACGTCCTCCTCCTCGTCTGTATCCATCAGGTCCGCCATCATTGCTGAAGCCGGAGCAGGAGCCGGTGCTGACATGCTCATGTTCATGCTGTTACTGTTCGGCTGCACCGAAGCCCTCAACAAGTCCATACTGAACTGGCCACTCTCGTCGCGGTGATTCCTCTTGATAGATTGCACCGCATTGTCCACATCATAATACCTAGTTATCGTCCCCGGGTAGCTCTGCACAATAGTCTCGTGGATCACCCTCACCGAATCCCCCTTGATAATCCCATTGACAATGATATTATTCTGCGCCTTGAGCTCGTCCTGCCGATGCACCACGTGGGCGGCCGGCGAGGTGCTCGGTGGGTGGTTGTGGAAGCCGTTGTTCACCTTGAAGTCCCAGGGGTCGCCCGCCCCGCCGTACAAGATGGCCGAGCACGAGAAGGGGCAGTCCGTCTTCTTGCTATGGCGCGGCTTGCGCACCCGCTCCCGCGCCTGCGACTTATACACACCCGACTTGTCGCACCGGATCTCGTAGCGCGCCCATTGGCCGTTGACGTTCTTGCGTTTCGGGTGCGCGACCACGGCGTAGCCTTCGCGCTTGGCGAGGGCTTGCACGTCGGCGAAGCAGGCTTCGAAGGTGGTGTAGGTGTTTTCAATGGGCGGTGCGAGAGGCATCCTGGCCGGCTCGCTGGCGTGTGCGCGTGTACGTGGTTTCGGGTGGAGATGACAGAAAAGATGGAGGGCAGCTCTAGGAAGCCGGACTCGGGCGGTTATATGGCAGATCTATGAGATGAGATCTGTGACCATATTCCCTAGACAGATAGGTCTATAGAGATGAGAACTGATCTGGTGGTTGTAGGTCGAACTGATGGCGGATGTATGGGCTAGCGAGTCGAGGTGCAGGTTCTGCTCGTCGGCGGCGCGTGAAGGTGAACGCGTCGGGGATGTTCGTTCCAGTCAGTTCCCTGCCCATCAGATAGATCGGCATGTCAGTGCAGCAAGCAGGTGGCTGCTTCTGGGTTGAGTGGGTCTAGCAGGGAAGACGGAATAGGCTAAGCGGGCCAATTTCGCAATTCGGAAGAACCACCGAGTACTGATTGATCTTGGTTTCAAGGATGCCGGCGTAAGGGACAATTTGCGGCTCCTTTGGTTGTACATATCGCCATCTTGACTATCCGTAAGCCGACGCCACCAAACGCGATTTATGAATGCGTTTACGTTGTAAGACAGAACCGCTGTCTGTTGCAGCGGGTACGACCTGTGGACTTCCATAGCATGGCTCCAATCGCGTATCATTGGACGCTGCAAATTACGGAAAGCTGGCCTGACATGAGCTCTTGGCTGAATTGGGATTCTTCATTTACGTGAGCAATCTACGGATCACATCATCTACATATTTTGCAGAGCTGCCCACCCCCGCGGCGATTTTGGATAACATAGTTCTTCTCTTCCCTTTCCTTGATCTTTCATCCCATCTCATATTCGCTCTTGGAACTTTTGGACTCTTGGTGATGCTAGCACGAATCGGTCGGAGGAATGTGAAATACGGGATTATGCCGCATCTGGTATCAGTCGGTCCCTGATAGGACCAGAAACTCTAATCGTGCAAATACGAGGGTGTCGCTGTCGCGTAAGAGGCTCTAGACCTCTCAAGGGTCCTCCTGTCGTCCAAACACTTCCCAGGCTGATCTTTTAGTACCGACCCGTCCCCACGTCCTCCACAGAACCGCAGAACCACAGAACCACAGCAGCACCGAGCGACCCTGCTGTGGACCACCGTTTTATATTAGTGTAGAGCATCGCACTGTCCCTACCCATTGACCTGCCATCGACTAGTGTTAGACGGGCTCAATTGTGACGACAGTCCCTCAAGCAGCAATAGTCTCCGGCTTGGAAGCTTCCAAGCCACCCTGGTCTTTGTCTCTCTCGAGCCACATTTTGGCATTATTTTTTCCTCTCGAGACTCGGCTGCAACGCTTGGGTCCCGGTGCGAGTTTCGACGTCGAACGTGGCTGCCCTTGCCGGACCTCGTTCCGACCGCCTCCAACACGAGCCTGAACCATCCCTTTAATTACCAACGCTACAGCTAATGAGCGACTCCTCGTCCTCAACGTCCTTCACGAAGGCGCCTCCGCAATCGCACCACCGAAGACGATCCTCAGCCTCGGCCTCCGGTGCTCCCTCGCTGGGCCACCACCGTCCCTCCCCTCTCCATTTGGGGGCGGCGCAGGGCTCGCACTCCCCATCCTCTCTCAGCCCAATACCTGGTATGTCTGCCTTGGTGCGAGCAAGCGCAATACGCTTTGTCACAGTCTGCTGATGCGCCCTATCGTACCGTGTAGCCACGCCCCAATATCGAATGTCCCTAAGTCGAAGTCCCTCCCCCGGCCCGGGAGGCGGTTGGTCCTCTCCAGGTCTGAATACCAACACAAGCGGTCGGTCGAGCCCAGCGCCCAAGACCACCTTTACTGGTCCCAATGGTGGAAATGTGACGTGGGAGTCTGCGCGACTCAAGAGTCGGGGAGTCGGCGGCTACCCTTCCTTCTCAACACAGAATCAGGGCTTCTTCACCCGCCACATGCGGCGCATATCCAGCAGCTTGCCCACGTTCCAGGACACGCCCGAACCAGGCGCTGAAAAAGAGAAAGTTGGACGAGGCCGGTGGAACATGCCGTTGGTGGGGCGCATACGCAGAATCATGGCGCGCGTGAGCAGGAAGGCCAAGGTTCGGTCGTTGATTGTTAGCATGCTCCTGTTGTGCTATGTGCTGTTCTGTGTAACTCGTAAGTGGTTCCAATGTGTCCATGTAGCAACCTGTGGCTCATGATTTGACAGCTCTCCGCTACCACTGGAGGCGAACCTCCTGGCTGGGTGGCGGCCAGAAGTATGTCATATTACTCGCGGCGAATGTCGGTGGTGGTGTGATGGAGTGGAAGGGTGCACGAGAGTGGGCCATAGAGAGAGACAGTGTCCGAAACAAACGAAAGTACGTGGCTCGGTGGGGATACGAGCTCGAAATTGTCGACATGAGCACCAAGAAGCGGTATGCCCACGAATGGCGAGAAAGCTGGGAGAAGGTGGACAGCATACGGAGCAGCTTCAGGAAATATCCCAAGGCTGAATGGTAAGTAGTGTCTCCCCCCCCCTCTCCCTGCTCCGCTTTTATCTGCATCGCTAAATCCGTCATCCTCAGGATATGGTGGCTGGACCTCAATACCTTCATCATGGAGCCCTCATACTCCCTGCAGAGTCATATCTTTAACAACTTGGGCAACAATATCTACCGTGACATCAATGAGTTCAACCCCCTCAATATTTCACACCCGATCAAGGCGAACTATCTCGACCCTGATTCACAGAACCCAGAGGGCGACGGTGATATTAATTCGGTCAACTTGGTCTTGCCGCAGGATTGCTCAGGCTTTAATCTGGGCTCCTTCTTGATTAAGCGCAGTGATTGGACTGATCGGCTGCTTGACATCTGGTGGGATCCCGTGGCTTATGAGCAGAAGCACATGGACTGGGCACACAAAGAGCAGGATGCCCTGGAGCAGTTATACAGGTCGCAGCCGTGGATCCGCAGCCACACAGCTTTCATTCCCCAGAGAAAGATCAACAGCTTCCCCACGGGCGCCTGCAGTGACAACGGAAACGACACCCGCATTCACTACAATGAGCACGACCGGGATTTTGTCGTCAATATGGCAGGGTGCGAATGGGGCCGTGATTGCTGGGGGGAGATGTACAACTTCCGAGAGCTGAGCTACTACCTGAACCGAAACCCCTGGGAGCGTTTCAAGGAGGATCTGATTGCGGTGATATGGTTTAAGATGACGGGTCAAAAGGTGAAGCTATAATGCTTCATTGGGCGGAGAACTTCTTGAAATAGACAGCACCTACGGCTGCTGACCTGGAAGCAACAATAATAATGACAACCGAAAGAGTGCAGGTTGCGTTGGTGTCCACGGTGACACTGATCGGTCATCGCTCTTTTCACAACCTTACATAGACACACTTTATATATGCCCTTGTGGATAACGGCCTCTTAACCATATTTTGCCGTTCTGTTTTCTACCACAGGATCCTGCAATTTCTTGCAACTGGGGTGTTTGAAAGGATTAGGATTGAATAAGGCAGGGATATGTGGTGTAAGGGGTTCGATACATTCTCGGAGCATGGCTAGAGACTATTGTACTGTGATATACTCTCCCAAAATAGCTGCAGTAGTTGTTTGCTGGGATCCATCCCTCGTGTTGTCGGTAACTGATCGCCTATGTAAGTACATTGAAATTTTTGCCTGTCGAGGGACACTGAAGTGATTGCGTGCATCATTTTGCAGTTGCGCCTATAGTTCCTTGTGCCTGGATCACACATGGACGTCACCTGACGCTAGCAAACAAAGACGGTTGCAAGTTCCAAACATGAAGGCATTGCTCTTGCCTCCGGGAAGTCATGGCCGGCCAGTGTGCCAAAAAGACAAGGAAAAAAAGACAATGCCGGTGCTATTCCGACCCTCATTTTGGCAACGATGTACACACGGGCTGCACTGGGCGTCGTTCCTCTGTAACAACTGTGACGTTGTCTACACCCGACATCGTTTCTTCCGAACCCACAATCACTGGCGCTGCCCGCACCTCACGTCTTGTAGCATCGTTACTTCCCGGATTCTACAATCGCTGAACCGTGCAAAGATGGGTATCTGGGGTTTTGGATTCCTCGAATCGGATGACGACTTGGACATGGCCGCTGAGCTGGGCGAGATGCTTGGCTGCGAGCTACTTGTCCCCCCGGAAAAGGAGAAGGCCGCCATCATTTCTAAACTGAGCAATGGCGTCCTGTCTAAGTGTTTTGACCGGATGCTCGACGCCGCCTTCCGCCCCAAGACTGAGTACTACGCCCGAAGCCGATTGATCATGCTTCTCGGTATCTTAGCCATGCGGCTCGGTGCCACCATCGAAGAACATCACATCCGAGCCATGAAAGTCCTCCGACCGCAACTGCCTACCCTCTACCTGCAGATTCAGCTCGCGACCGCTCTTGCCCAATACAAGAATAACGGCACGCCCTGGGTTCTTGGAAGCGCTCTATTTGATGATTTCAAAAACAGCGACTGGAAGTTCCAGGGCTATGGGTAAGTTGAGCGTCAATTCCTTGCAGCACGTAGACCCTGCTTCCTAACGTAACCGTTATTCATCCTTAGTCACTCCGAAGATGAGAAGCCGTTCGCCGAGGAATACATCAAGCGATGCCTGACTTGCGAGAACGATGAAGGCGCGCTTTTGCGCTGCAGCCGATGCAATGTTGCTCGTTACTGCAACAAGGAGTGCCAACGTCAGGACTGGCGCCTGCATCAGGGCGTCTGTAAGCCCGGCTTCGAGCTCTCTGATGTAAGTAATAGTCTTCATGATCTCTCTCACAATTGCTGACGATATGTGCCAGCGATTCGCTGAGCCAGAGGCTAAAGAGCTCACCAGTTCTGACAAGGTCGCCGCTAATGAGTGATGCTGACCACGTGGGCACTGGCAAGGGCCCGGCAGCGTAGATGTCACTCGGCCTTGTACTGGCAAACACATCGGTCCCGAATACATGAACTCTGAACTGGCAGCAGACTTTGACAAGCATTGTCAGTTAGTATTCGCGAGACTTACGAATCTGGCATGGGTGGATAGTATTTGGTACCGGTTTGGCAACTTTGGGCTTTTGAGCCGAATTGTGCACCATGGTACGGCCTGATGCATTCTCATCATGAGGTCTGGGGTCAGCTTCACTTGATAGATGCCAAGACAACTTGAATAAAGCTGCCTGCCGATGTAACAAGATCTTGCACTTTGGTTAAGCTTAAATATGTGGAGGCTGAATGATCTCTCAGATGGGGCAATGAACGTTACATTCTACTTTTGGCCGTCAGGAAGTAGAGGAGGTGAGGCTCACCAACAACGGGCTTTTCGAACAGGTGAGATAGAAAAATTGGAAAATTGGGGAAATTCCTCCCGCAATCCTGCCTAACCGTCCTTACCGTTTTTAAAAATTTGGCAGGAGCTATCAGCAAAAGTGAGAATTGGGGATCCTCCGTGCTAACTCGCCACTGTTGAACAAGCACTAGACGGTGTGCAAACTTGGGCGCTTCAGAAGAACGACATGGGAAGGAATTGGTGGCCACTATTTGTCCGGCAAGGGTCAATAAGTGGACCTCAAACAAAGGAGTCACCATTTCGAAGCAATAACCCGTCGTAAAGTCTATGAACTCTGGCTCCGGCCCCGTCGGTCGCTCTCTTGCGTGTGCAATAACTGGAGTCTTTTGTGGCCGTCCCTCTTCGGTCTTGGCCTGATGAGAACCATACCATTACACAAGAGTTGCCGATTCATTTCGACGGATGCAAGCCAGCCCTTCGTGATATATTCGACAAAAATCCACGGCGCTTTGACATGTGTCCCGGCCAAAGTCCGACGGCACTTCTTGCCTCTTATGTCTGGACTTTCCACATAGTGTTTCCCCCGGAAGTTATCCTAATTAAAGGTCTCGGCGAAACATTCGACGTTGTTCCGAAGGAAAAAGATTGCACTAAAAAGTTTTGTTTGATGTTTCAACGCAGGGCGCAGAGCTGCCAATGAGCCGCACCAAGGCGAAGGCTTATAGGCCAGTGGACGGGATGCTAGTTTGTGGCGTGTCGCCCCAAGCGTCCGGCCGAGCAATCCAAAAAAAATCCCTGGGCCCACTACCCCGGCTCGTTTAGATTTTGGGAAGGAGCATGCCAGCAATTGGCTGTGGTCAACTGCAGTTCCTGTCGATCCTACACTTCGTCGTCAACCTCCTCATGGAAACCACGGCCGACGCTTTGCTCTTGCCGAATGGGACAGATGGCCCAGATGGCATCTTCGGGCGGTACAGTCTCATCTCTTCTCCAATTTCAATGCCCATGGCCAACCTTGAAGTCACCTGAGGTGCTGTCTCTCCAACGCTCGTTGCTTTGATTTCGGCTTGCAGACACGGCCCATCCATGCTCAACGGTGATTGCTTATCGACTGAACGCCTTCTCTGCCGTCTTACTGGTGCCTTCGTCTGACCCTATCACTATTAAACAAATGTTCCGAGCCAGGATGTTTGCCCGTTGTTTGTCGGGCCGCGTACCTTGTGGGGGTTCTGGAATCCTGGTATACACCTTCTCAACACTTTTTTCTTCTTGGTCAACCTGCTCTTGGAATTTCGTGTATTAATGAGCTGGGTGCCACGTATTTCACGACATGTTCACAGCCCCAGGCTCGAGTTATCCCCAAGCTTATTAGCCATCACTGCCGGACAACTTGTCTCACGCAACACTCAGCCGTCACTCCTTACGCGGCTGTGAGTTTACTTTCTCGACCTTCATCTTTTAGCGTTAGCTATCACTTTTTCCTTTTCTGGATACCCATTTTTCTATTTTGGACCATCTTGCAAGAAGAATTAGCCCTGCTCTGTCATTGTCCGGCACAATAAGCAGCTTGGTGGCCAGAACATCAAAACCCTTTGTCTGATATCCCGCCTTCAAGGTCAACTCAGTATTGTTAGCTTCTCGAAGTCGTCAATAGCTGGTTCCCAAGGATTGTTGTTATCATTAACTTCAACCTCGACACCACAAGTTATTGCCAGGCGCGAGTACTTGGAAGCAGGAAGCTTCGCTTTAATCTGTTGGACCAACCTGCCACAGTACACACGACTTACACGACAAAACTTTTACCTTCACTTCTCTTCAATTCACCACATCCACAATGGGTGTTTCGAGAGCTGTTATGCGGCTTGGCGCCCTCTTGTCTCTCGGTATGGCCGCTCAAGCTGCCTACACCATTCAAGACACCTATGATGCAACGAACTTTTTCGACACTTTCGACTTCTTCTCGGGCCAGGATCCGACAAACGGTTTCGTGGAATACAATGACAAGGTCTCCGCCAACGAATCGTCCTTGGCTGGCTACGCCAATGATGGTATCTACCTCGGGGTTGATCATACAACGCAAAACCCAACACCGGGTAGGGGCTCCGTACGCCTGACTTCGAAGAAGGCATACACAAAGGGACTCATTGTTGCGGACATCGCCCACATGCCACACAGCTCCAAGAATGGATGTGGCGTCTGGCCAGCACTGTGGACATTCGGGCCTAACTGGCCAAGCAGCGGCGAGATCGATATTCTCGAGGGAGTCAACTCGCAAACCAGCAACATCATGACGCTGCACACCTCGGAGGGATGCAGCTTTAGCCAAGGAGACTGCCAAGGCAATCAGGGCTGTTCGTCAAAGACTAACGACTCAACGAGCTACGGTGCTGGTATGAATAAAATCGGCGGTGGTGTGTATGCGATTGAGTGGACAAGTCAGGCGATCTCCATCTGGTGGTTCCCGAGGACAAAATCGACACCGGCCGACATCGACGCTGGAACCCCCTCCCCAGCATCGTGGGGCGCCCCTGCCGCGAAGTTCGCCGGTTCTGGCTGCAACATCGACGACCATTTCATAAATCACAACATCGTATTCAATATCGACTTCTGCGGCGATTGGGCGGGAAAGGTTTTCAGCACCGACTCAACTTGCAGCAGCCTAGCGTCGACTTGCGAAGACTACGTCGCCAAGAACCCAGCCGACTTCAAGGAAGCGTACTTCTTGATCAACTCGGTCAAGGTGTTCTCGAAATCAGGCAGCGCACCTAAGCGAGATGGGCTTACGACTCCCAAGGCTTTCAGGGCCTAAGGGGTGCAACACGATGCGACGGGATGCGAACACATTTGATATGAAATTCCACGCGACGACGATACATGGCAATGGCATATATAGGGCCCGGGGGGCACTTGAATATTCCGTAAATAGGATTAAGGCGTTATCAAAGATTTTGGGCATATTCAGATGACAGTATTGCATTTGGACAGAGGTTTGGGTACTTGGCACGAGAGTATATATCAGGGCTGTATTAGTTGTGCTGTACATATCACGTTTTTTATTTCCACTCACCTCGGGGCCGTACGCATCAGTTGGTCGCATGTGAATACGGTTACAATACGTATATTGATGACATATCCATCCTGAACTTCGCGGTTTTTGTGTGATGCGCCGCGCCGCGTTCGTCGTAGGAATTGAGTTCCTTGATGTCCAACGGTCATTGGTCAATCTTGGGCACATTGTCAAGAAGCTTTCTCTTCGTCCGATTGAAGGCAGGGACATAGGGTTATAAGTCCGAATTCTATAGCGAAGCTGCGATGAAAGCATACGAACCATGGGGCATATGCTTTCGGTGACCGAGGATCAGTTAGGATGAATACCGAAATTCTTCGGTGGTCATTACTCAGCTCATTCTCATCCAGTTCACTTCGCCGGAATATGATGAGCCTTTATATTTGATTTCCCTGATGGCCGCCTCTTTACAGGCCGTTCATGAGATCATGCCCACGACGTTGAGCTGTTCGGTAGCAAAGCTTATGTTATCAAACTCCTTTATCAAGCAGCCTGAGATTATCGACTCAGGACTGTGCTTACCATCAGAGAGGTGTTCTTATCGCTAAGCGTCTTGATCATCAGTTTGAATGCACCCCTACTCTTATAAGTTCTCAATAAGTGACGCTATATCTTTATTCTCAATTTTAATAAGGGAAAGATGCTTAATTAAGGTGCCGGCTATTTCACTAGTCTTGTATAAGCTGTGACGGTCAACCCTCGCAGACTCCCTACAACCAGGTGACTTACAGCTGGAACACCTGCCGTGGCAGTGTGAGATGGGAAGCCAATCATAACCCTTGTAGGAGCCCCGCCAAGCGTGGATGACTTAGTCGCGCTCCCTCAAACCTAAGTTGTCATCTTCTTTCCTTCGCTCCTTAGAGTAGAATCTTCGTCGATAGCACCTAATCGAGGTCTATACCAATGCGATGCAACCCAGGTCGTGACATAAGCTCTCTTTTTATAAGACGGCTTACTTTTAAGAAAAGTGTTGATTTCTAGCTATTCCTCGGATAGTATTAACCTTATTCGCATCTTCCGCTTATATTATACCTCTCTAATTGCCACTAAGTTGGTAAATACCGGTTTGAATCAGGCTTGACGGCCTAGCACACCGTCTAGGTTGCGAATTGTTATATTAGGAAAGGTTCGGCAGGTCAGTTATTCTAGCCTTGTAGCTTTTATAGTTCGTATCTTATCTTATCCATCTTATCTCTAGCTACAGGGTAACCCCTATGGGGTCACGTATCATCCTTCCTTAGATCCCGGATTTCAATGTTTTATTAGGCTTTTTTAGAGTATGTCAGAGACACTGAACGCAGGACACCGGTGGGGTGCCGGTGGGGTGTTTCGGACAAGAGCCTCCCGAGTCATGATTACAATCTATGTGAAGTTTCGGGATGCCGAGAGTCAGGATTCCCGGCATCGCCAAACCTGCGGCTACGCCGGGTCCAAGCGGCGGCCTAGCTATTGTAACGGGGTAAGGCCGGACATCAGGGAAATAGGTTACGGGGCTAGGAGAAAGTTTATTTTCTCTTCTTTAAGGGCACAGAGGCAGAGTAGGACACGAGTCCTCCATCTTCACGCATCATCATCTTTTTTTCATCATCTTATTCAATCAACTTGACTTTTGTTTTCGATTCTAGTTAGCGAGATCTTCAATCATGCGGTTCTTTTCTATATGCATTTAGACACTACTTTCGAAATCCTATTATTCTGCCCTCATCCTAGCCTTGATAATGACAGAGGATTGTATCTTGCTCTGATCAGAGCAATCTAATGCCAGCGAGAGCTTCAATTCGACTTCCAGAGCCAGACGTCTTGTTCTGAGAATCATTCCGACGAGAGTCTCAGAGGCACATCCGACCAACTCGCGCACCAGACGTGTAAGAGCTTCGCTCTTACAACCAGTACCACGATCTTCGTCTGATCAGACCAACAGATGGGATATGTTGGTACTGGAGCCGTCTGTTCAGTGTGTTAGGTGGTAGGTATATCCTACTGACCGTCTGACCCCGTTTCACTATCTATATAAGGACCATCTCGAAGTAGGATAGGGAAGGTGTAGAGATCAATGCATCATCGTGGGCACCCCTACCTGAGACTGCCAGTGACCACCCGGTGCTACGTAGGAGGGACACCCGTTACTCCCCATCACTCTGTACTATTGCCTTCGGCCTAGCTGTACCCTGACAGAGTAAAAATAGCATTCAAGGGGAGACTTCTAAGGTAGTAAATTACACTTGATTAGACTCGTTAACTTTAGGGTTATCTGTAGGCTCTATGGAAACTTGGAAAGGGGAAGGGCAAGTTTCCTTCTTTGTATTAGTACTAGCGTTAGGAATTGACGATTGTGCCTGGCCTCCCCTTATACAGTATCTACTGTTACATAGAACCCCGGAACCACCTATTCACAGAGAATATCTCGAGGCGCTCCCACCTAGCTTAGATTCCTCAAGAATCAGTCTTGCAATATACGCACTCATAACCCTGGCGTATCATAGTGTCACAAGAGGAGGACCAAGCCCCTAGGCCAATAGACCAAAAGATCTATGAATGTCAGTGTTACTGACATTTGGTCTCACTAACTGCTATATACAGCACTCTGTGGCTCTGTAATCGCCAGCGCTGTGACACGTAGCTATCGACAACAAAGAGCTTCTAAGCGTTGCCCTTGAGCTTTAGTTCTATGGGATTATAGCGCCATAGTTATGCCCTAGGCCGAAAGCGGTGTAATTGCTAGCGTATATAGTGGATCTGATCCTTCCTTCTACATACAGAGCAAGAGTACCTTCCTTACATGTCCTGTTAACACCAACCTCTGCAGCAAAATGCGTAATTCCAACGTGTCAGATATTCACGCATCTTGTTGTGTGACCTCTTCTGTGAAATGGCTGTGACCTTGAGGTGATCGGTTCAATTGATTGTGGTTGTTGTGGTGTGCTCTATGGAAGGCTCTTGGGCTAAGTCCAAGTAGCGGTGATATTAGCCCCACACTACTGGTCAATCACGTGAACCCTTGTATTTGATGTAGCGGAGTTCCGTTCCAAGAAGTGATGTGTTCAGGAGATTTCTATCTGCCGAGCTAATTCTGAGCGTCGAACCCCTTTTGAGCAGATCAATCTCCGATAATCGTTCGACTGCTCGGCTACTTCTTGGCACACAGCTCCACTGTGCCTTGTCCTCACAACTACATTAAAACGTCCGTCTTAGCTACGCATATGCGGCGTAAAGAGAACGTTCTAATTATCGTACCTTACTCGTCTTCGCCCTCCTATACGCAAACCTCGTCTGTATTATTATTATTATTATTATTATTATTAAATACGCCGTAGGCTCGAAGCCCCCGGTACCTCTACTAGTACTCCCGTATGTCAAACCGTGCCCTAATGGCTGGACTAAATACATACGCTGCGTCGTCGGTTCGCCCTATTGGCGACTGCGTTGCGTTCACTACCATACTACGTTGGTTCTCAACCTACCAACAAAGTCCCCCCTGAGAAGATCGATGCTATCTGGGCCTTGAAGCTGTCCGACCCGTCCCTAGCAGCCATCTTACAATAGTCCCACTAACTACTGGTTCTCCTGTTGCCGTTGCGAGGTCTCTGCGAGAGTATAGTGGCCGTGGTGCGATGGCGGCCCGTAATCGTTCCCTCGGTCCTTCCAACAGCCCGCAAAAGAGGATTACGTGCTCTGCCGTCTCAGGGGCATCGCCACAGCGGCATAGCGGCGAGTACACGCCAAAAGCCCCTGTCTTGAATAAGAAGGCTGCTAGTCCTATTTTTTCCGTCCTGATCTGGCACTCTGTATTATATTCACTATGTAGTATAATATTATGCCTAGATCGTAGTGCTTAAACGACAAATGTTAGGCAACCTTGGTGGGCTTTGCCAAGACCACCAAGGTTACCACGTGACTTAGCCCTTTGGGACTAAGTCCAACCTTCGTGCTCCATAGTACTAGATGTGACGGCCGGTGTCACAATGCAACGAAACCCACTAGCTGTGGACCCGTAGGAGCACTGGCCATCTGAAGGCGGGATTGAAGATCCTCAGATGTGAGCCAGCCTGTTTTAGTTTCTCTTTCTTTCCTTGTCGAGAATCGTTAAGTCAATACAGTGCATTAGAGTGTTTGACTCTTCAATTGTGCTCACCGTGACACTAGATAGAATGTCATGCTCTTACAACTCTCAAATATTCGACCACCTTTGCGTGTAACAACAAAGTAGAAGCCCGATATCTTCTTTGAATCGCGTGCTCGAATTCGCGGTCAGCCTATTTACTAGCTGATTTTGATATATACGTCTAGATAACACTTAAGGAGGTAGTTGATCTCGTATAGGTCTCTTAGCGAATAGTCCCTCTTAACCTTAAATATTCCTAGGTAAAACCGGTAACGAAAACCTTACTAGGTACCTTCCTACAGAACTCTTCGAACAGAATCTAGTCTATAATAGTCCTGTCTTACTCTCTAGTACGCTTTACTAGTCGACGGTAGCGTTGCGATACGATTTAGTCCTTTTAAGTCGATACGAGAGGGTTCAAGGGTTCAGGGTTGCGTTCCGCAGCGCGTGGCCGTTGAACTCCAGGTTTTCCCGCCACGGACCAGAAAGATGGCTCGTTCGAATACGTTACTTGAAATTCTTTGGATTGTATTCCGGTAGGTTAGATATTTTACATGTAGTTATGGAATTATCACGTGTCAAAGAGGAGTCGCGTCTCAATGTTTTCTCGAGATATCTTCTGAAAATGCCGGTGTATTCAAAATTGTGGTTAATGCGGTTACCCAGGTAAATATGAAATCACTTCAAGACAGGTGTAAAACAGCAGTACGACATATCAACGATGATTTGCAAAGCTGGCCAAGACGAATTAATAGGGGCAGCACGAAGTCACGTCTGGTAGCAGGCCAACAAAGTGTATACTTCACAAAGAGACCAGTCTTTGGTATCTTCGCTACGTTAGGCCATACCATGGCAAACCCGTGGTGCGAGGTGACTGATGATCTCCCAGGAGGCTCATAAATTTCGCGTACTGCGGCTTGTGGATCGCGCGTGAGAGTGTGTCAGGAAAACCACCCCGAGCAGGGCTTAAGTGGCAAGAGTTTCTTGTCACTATGACAGGTTCCTGGCACTCAATGGACGACGAGTAGAGTATCAGCTGGCAGGCGGTATTTGGCGCACATGCCCAACATACGTTTTCCCTCACTGTAAACATCCGGACGTCTCAGCGGATCGTCAAACACCCGATGCCAAGAGTATATCATCATGGGGTTGCCAAGTAGGTGACCAAATAACCGGGCGCAATACAGTGGAATGATGCATGGGGATAGGTCAGTATCCAGTGTAGTAGATCCTGTATAACTTAGTTATTCCACCGGGGTGCGCCATTTGTTTTGTGAACCGCTTGGTTGCGTAATGAGATGCCTCGGCGAGCAGCACTCCCGCTGCCAAGGATGGGTCGAGGACTACCTAGTGGTCGGTAATTGCTCGGTGAGCGCAGCTGGATGATCGCCTATAATGGGGCAGACATGAAGGAAAAGTTCAGACGATAGCGCGCCTATTCTTCAGGCTCGTAGCGCTCGGACCTGCCAGTACTTCGTAAGTCATGTCAGAGGGACGAGGTAAATGCCAAGAAGTCCGGCATGTTCACCCGCTGCCAATGCTCAGACTCGACCTGTCTCGATTCGGGGATAAACCCCCGGGGGGGTGGTAGGGGGGTTCCTTGACAGGGACAGATGCTCAATGCCTGCCTCGAGCTGAATTGATCTTGGGTCTCTCAATGGCAGAATGAAAGCTTGACGAAAAGTGTTCAGACAGGACCCAATTTCTGTATCGGCATGCTACAGCTTCGCCAGAGAAGTTGCCAAAACATGACGACCCAGCAAATTGGAGTGCGGTGCTCGTCAACGAAAACGGCTATAACCGCTGATCGTAATGGTTGCAATGGTCCCAACATTGAAATGAGGTGATGCACGATGGAAAATGAGCGGAATGATGCGCCAAACTGCCCGTGCTGACTATCGATTGACAAGCGCTCCCCAAACCCGGATCCCATCACCGTACTCGCCATGGCACGTCCCCTTCCGACAACTCTCGAAAGTGATACAATGCGTCGAGGCTCAACGGAAGAAGGCGAAACCTCGCTTGGCCAATGCAGGCAAATGCTGTTTGGCGGATCGACAGGGCGAACAAGCATATCAACATGCATAGGCCCCAACGCGGAAAAGTGTGATGGAGAAATCGTTCGTGTAGCCAGGGTCTGAGGCAGCCTTGGCAGTCTCGCACCTCTATGATGTGACAATTCGAGACAAGTCGTCTTTACGCTGCTCCGTCTCATGACTCCAAAAGTTCAGACCATTTTTTCGAGTGGACTGCCAGGATGTCCTGTTTCGATCTGCAGTTCTTCATTGGATCGTTTACCAAGAGGTGACAAGCTTTTGCCCAGCGCGCCATTTGCTTGGCTGGGCAATCCAAGCTTTCGCCAATGCCCATCCCCACAGACTAGAGAACAACGGCTTCGGTGTCCAAGGGCTACCCATGGTTGGCTACCATCTCCGAGCATGTCGGCTCTTATTCAGACGGCCCTTCAGCTGGTATCCACCAATCTCGTACACGCCTCCTTCGACCCTTCAACCAAACCCGTGTTCCAAAATGGGCAATCATGGAGGACGAGGAGGCGACAGAGGAGGTTAGGACCGTTGCAACCGTTGGCAGCACGACCGTAGCAGGTAATGAGGACGGCAGACCCTGTCTCGTCTGATATCCCGCGCTTCGGGAACGAGTATAAGATCTACGACACATCCGCTCCAATATCCAATTTTGATCTTCATCTCTACCATCATTCAATTTTCTGTGGACTACTTGTTTCCTCTACCAGTCTTTCTTCTTCATACAGCTGCGCTGTCTTGTTTTCAATTCACATCCAATCGTTTTATCAAACAAACAATTCAACCCCTTTTCCAACCAAACGAAAGAAGCCCATTCCCTCAACAGCCTTCAATATGTACTTCACCAAGATCGCCGTCGTTCTCTCCATGGCCGCTTCGACCCTCGCCCTGCCCACCGGCGCAGTGACCCCCATGCAGAAGCGTGCCCTCACCTTCCGCCCCTACTCCGAGTTCCAAGTCTCGGACGGTGTTGCCGGCAACGCTCTTGAGGAAGTCCAGGCCAAATTCCCCATCGACACCAGTGACCTCGCCAACGTCTCTGACGCCGACCTGGCCATCATCCAGGCCGCCCGTGAGACCGCTGAGAGTGCCGAGACGGACGCCTTCAACTCGGCGGTCGAGTCTGCCAGCGGCGACGCCGCCGACGCCCTCCAGAACGGAAAAATCAAGAACAAGGTCCTGAAGCTGTTCCTCGAGACCACCGCTTTGCAGATCAAGCAGGCCCAGGGTGAGGACAACCAGGACAAGATCGACGAGGAGCAGAAGAAGCTCGACACCAACATCGCCACTGACAAGAAGAACGCTGGTGCCACCAGCCAGAGCGTCGACTTCACTGACGACGTTCAGCCCGACGCGTAGAGAGTGAAAAAGGAAATAATAATTTGATGTGTTGTGAGGTGTGAGGATCAGGTCTTCGTTCACAGACGAATTTGAGGATGGCAGTGATCGAAGGGAGAGCACTTTGGCGATTCGCTACAGAATTGGCCAACGGGGATGTTCGAGCCGCTGGTAGCTAATGAACAATTGTAATGTCAACCACTATTGCGACCCAATCTGGTCGATCCTGCCAAATGTGACCCATCTCGCCTTTTCCTGATATTTCTCCAGTTCCTCATGACATAGAATCGTGGACAGCACCAGTTACACCCAAGGCCTGTCTGGGACGAGAGAACGACATTCACCGAGCGTAGATGGGATAATCATAAACTCTTATTACGTGACGCAATGAAAAACCATGGTCTTTCCAACTTCCAGTCGAGGTGTGTTTCTTCTTTCTCAGTAGTGAATGTGCATGCTTGTTTTTTTACACTCCAACTGCCAAGAACATCGTATTGCCTCTTGTGCCACTTGGTTTTATTCATGAGCTACATGGTCCCAGACGTTTGTATGAAGTGTAGTAGCCTCTTCTGCACCAAAACACGCATCCTAGAAGGGTAGCACCGTATATACTGATAAATGGTGACATCTACTACATGGCTCGTATATCTAGGATGAGAAAAATAGAAGTCTCGTGAGATCTACGATATTCATGATCAAAAAGGGAATCAAGTCCAACGCACGGCGAGTCTCCTCTGGTAATTATATTCCACCAAGCAGTCATCACTGTGTGTTTCAAGTCGGACTTTATGTCATTTGGCATATTCTTAAGTTTCTATTCTTCACGGAAATATCAAAGTATTTTTTTTCATTGAAAAATCCAGGTGTTCAAACGGGTGAACATCCAGGACATAACTAATTTCCCTTGTTTTATTTTCAAAACTGAAGCAATTCAGTTTTTCAAATCACATATTGAAATAGGCACGAGTAAACATGGTTTTCTCATTAACCTATGATATCTGGACAACGGCTGCAGTAACTCTCCCTCAAACGTCTTTTACCGTATCTAGGCGACAGATACTCAGTGATGAGTATTTCCATATCTTGCAATCTGAATTTAATTGTTTGCTGTGGTATTTCCGTCTTCGATGCGGACTGTAGGGGCCGATTCAATGTTCTCACTCGTCCTCATAACCGTGAACGAGCACCCCAGTTTTATACTTACTTAGATAGTATATATATTAAATACGGAGGCCATGTCACTCAAAGCGTGTGGTTACTGGCTAATTTGTGGTAGAGTTCAATTCAACGGTGCTGTTCCCCAGTATATATATACACATATATAGGAAAGAGCTGCCAACTGAGGAAGAGGATTCAATATCGGAATATAGCTTCCGTTCATCGTCGTCACCGAGCATCGCCATTATCATTCTCCGTACGATAGAAAATATAGCGGCTATGCCTAAAGTAACCATGTTCTCATCACGGTTCTCCACGATGGAGTCCGGCAGATACCAGTGTCCCATGGCGAACAGTTTTGAACCTTCCAATAGATCTACCGCAGGTTAAGGGCATTAATATCACGAGCGCACATGAATTTCTTAGTTACATAAACGCCACGACAGCTCTGAGAGTAAAAATGTGCTGTGAAACTGGCAATATGCAAGCCAAGCACTTTTGCAATGCCGGTCTTAGGGATATTTGTCAGTGACTGAATATCGTCATTTTCAAAACATACGCACTTAGTGCCATAACCATTACGTTTATTGGTTCGCAAAAAGCCCTATGAGAAGTGCTGCATGAAAGAGTACCACTGAGTCCGTATAATCAAGCTGCATCGTTCCTCTTCACTCTCACAAATTTGCTCATACTTCGTTTTGTGAGAATGTCGAAGGCGGACTTGACCATCGCCAGCGCGCGATCCATCAGACCTTTGACTGAAGCTCACCCGGAAATTACCTCGAGTATCGACTCCACGGATGTGCTTGCCATTCGCGACTGGCCTTCAAGCGTCCGACACAAAAGAACATCCGTCAGCAACCCCAGACCTTCAAATCCCAACCACTGTGACTATTCTCCCCAGCGGTGACCACGTTTTCGCACAGTCCGAGCACGCACATCTTCCATTAGAAACAAGACAACCCAAGCTGTGGAGGCCTGGGATGGCAATTAGCCGGAGTTATAAGCTGGGGAGACAGTCAGGCCAAAGAAAATTCACCGCAAGATGCGTTGCTTCTCCACATGTCTCAGCCAGCACGCAGAATCCTGACAATAAAGGCCTGGGACGAAATGATGTTATTGATGGAGCGAGATACCGGAACGAGCAAACGCGGCTCTGTTGGGGAGAGGGGGGGATCTTATTCGTTGGTCGGCACCGGATAACAAACCAGACACAATCATGTCGGTGACCGTTGCAGAAAGACATGAACCACTTTCTTTGAGGAAGTCTGAGATTACGGCATAATGTCATTTCGAGCCGGGGTCACCACTAGGGAAACCCCTCCTTTTTCGGGTCCGAATGGCTTCTAGTTTGCAGATACAGCAATATGGCTTTGCACGGCGCAGACTTCGAGATATAAACAGACATGATGCACGTCACGTTGCGACATTTGCGCCTCTCGGGTCCCAGCATATCATGCGATACCCTCTCCTAAAGATCCTGAATATTTCTACCCCAAAGACCCAGAGACCATGCTGTGCTTTATCTATGCCAAGGCCAAGTTGACCCGTAACGGTAGCCGCAATAACACCAAGAAACCATCTGACTCTGGCGAAAAGAAGCCCGATAACCCAGAGTGCACCATTCCCATCGCCATGGTCACAGAGGCTGAATATCAGGCTTACTTGGCCAGCCACGAACTGCGTCCCCACCTAGTCCTATACCATGACGCGAAGGCAGATTTGTGATGCGCGACTTGCCGCTCGCAGGACCTTTGTGGGATGATCCCAACAATCACTCAACCAAAGACGCATGAAACGTACACAAGGTAACACTGAACGACGCGCTCGACAAGATCAAGAAGGACGGAGAGAGAATCGAAGCAGTCAACGGCACCGTTGGCAAGATCGACAAAACGCTTGGCCACGTGGAGGCTTCCGTCGGCGACTTCCGAGACGTCTACGATGCCCACGCCACAAGCAACTCGAAGAGGAAGCCAAGAGGCGGGAGGGGGGAAGCGAGCCCGATACTGGCGACATGCGCTGGGTGAAAATTATGAGGCGGGAAGACGGGAAGAACAACCGAGACGGGTGAAAAGACGAGAGAAGCTTGAGAGACAGCAGACCAAGGCAGCGGTTCAGTGCTCTTCAGGCCGCGACGACCAGCGCGACATAGTTAATCCTCCGACGTGAGCAGGCCCAGGAGAAGATCCAAAAGATTTTCGACCATAGGCTGAACGGAGGACATCGCCCTGGAGAGAGACCGTCGACCTTACTATACTACCTACATCATCGCAGATTGGCCATCTCCCCCTCCCCCCTTCACCCTCGCCCAATGATTTCGGAGCCTGCTCAACTCCACGATTACTTGGACTTTGACGACAGCGGTCGGCCATGGGTTGAAGAGACGTTCGAAGGTCTTCCCCTCTACGTACGGGCAATGCGTAACGAGCGGCAGCGTCACTGTCGCACTACTCACAAACCTCCCTACTTCTACGGCGTTTGATAAGCACAAGGGTGCGATTTTTACGTCGCCATGCCCGAGACCTTCTCAACGCCAATTTACATAAGCAGTGGTGGGGAACATGATGCTGACGAGAACGAAGATAGTGTGTGTGACACGTACGGGTGGTGAAAAGTCGTCAACACGCGATTTGATGCGGTGAGCCGATACGAACGGGCGGTTTGGTACTTTGTTTGCTTGATTTGCCCTTGGCCGGGGCCAGTGACGATAATGAATTGGAGTTCTGGTTCAGACTTTTGTCTTCATGGGGGTTTGCGGTAGTGGTTCGTTTGTCGCACGTAGTCAGGCACATACTTGGCTTCAGGGATGCAATGGTATGATCAGAGGGCACTTGTACAACAAATACATTCTGTGTTTTTCCTTGATGCTCGTCACTGGCTGGTTGACGGACCCGTGAGCTAGAGACGATGCACCGCAGATGCAAATTTCGTATTGGGTTGCTCAAACTTTTCTGTCGGTGCCCTTCCCAGGGACGAGCTTTGGTCGCTCGTGCGACGTGATAGCCCCTGGCCAGATGCCCTCTCCCCTTCGTCTCCCCTTCTTCCCCCCTCCACAACCCCTTCCCCCTTCAATTCGCCCGAAACATCAAGGGACGCTCTGAGGGCTGTCGAGTTAGGCTACGTATGCGACATATAGCAAAGGAAGGGAATTTCTCAAATTTACCAATTCAAACTGATGGGTATTTTGAAGTGGTGTACTTTGAGGACAAGCTACGTGGATAACAAGACTTGGCGTAATTTGGTCTCTGAATCACGTCTTGACACGGTCTGCGTTGGCTGAGAATGAAGGATGGCCGCGGGATCGTGGCACCGTTGGGGGGGCTTGTTGGTAGAAGATTTTTCCCCATTTGTCGACGCGATATCGCAAGGGGCTAAAATGCGACCGTCTTGTGACTGGATGCCGGGCCGTGTTCAAGCCCCGCCTGGATTACTTTCCAGAGGACGGTTTAACCAATTGAAGCTTGGGCTCAACTGTTTCGCCACTTTTTTTCCAATGCAGGTACGGCCAAGGATTACTATGTAGAGCAGGGAACACGTCAGGAACGAATGCAGGGCAGTCGTGGGAGTGACAACTTGGGGGGCCGTTTCTGCTCTGTTCAGTGGTCACCTCAGGTACCGTCCAATCATGGCCCATCCTGACTCCGAACTCGCCAAGTCTCTCATTTGTGCTATCGCCCACACCCCAGCGGGACGAAATTGGTGGCCACGCACGTTCAATGGGTTTCCCACCGTTGAACGTTGTATCTTCCTGGAGGGCTTCTGCTCCTAGCGACCGTGACATCGATGGAGCCCAGCACAGCTCTAGACGAAAAATACTGAAGCGGAACGCAACTTGCAGTCAATTCGAAGTAAGAAACAGTTTAGTGTAAATACTCTAAAGTATTGCCCGCGGGCTGAAGGCCCAAGTCCCTCTTGACCTCTGTGCTGTTTGGGCAACCACCCTGGTCTGTTCTAGACGATGTTGATCCGCATGAACCTTGGGCCCTGCTACCCTGCTTGTTGCGAGAGATCTGATGTCCACTCGCAATGTCTCGCAATGTAAAAGGACCTGTGGTGCCAGCCAACAGTGCTCATGCTCTGGCCTTCTCTCCCATCCGCTACATCTTGTGCATCCGTTCCGCTTCACGTTCATTCTCCTGCTACGAATCTACGACTTTGCGCTTTCGCAGCTCACTCTCATTTTGAGCACTGACACTCCCTTCAGTCTTTGAAGCCCCAACAATAACAATACCCGCCGAACAATACTGCTCAGCTTGATTACCAAGGACTTCGTTCTCTTCTCAAGCGACCCCCCTGTCGTCATATCATTCTTCGGAGCCTGAAAAGCTGTAGCTTGCTTCGCTTGGAATTAATTTAAAACTTTTTTGGAGACTTTTTGGATATCAAACCCATCAAGATGCTCGCCTCTGTCTTCGTCATGGCCGTCGGCGTCACGTCCGCCGTGGCTTCTTACACCACTGCTCAGACCAGCACTAGCACCTCGACTCTTACCGCAACTGTGACCATTACTCAGTGCAACCCCACAAACACGGCCTGCCCTCTGTACACCCCGTCGTCCACCAGCTCTTCCGTCTACGTCACCCCATCCTCGGCACCGCCCACCTCATCCTCGGCGCCGCCTGAGACGTCATCTTCAACCGTCGCCCCGTCCACTTGGTATCCCACTTACAACACCTCTTCGTCTGCTTTCCCAACGGCATACTACAACACTTCAACTACCGCCTCTGCTACTTTGAGCACCTCCTTCGAGACAACAGCAACCTCTGCTGCTGCTACCACCGCTAGCGCCACCACCGTGGTCACCGGCGCAGCTGGTATTGTTGGTTACTCTTCGGGTCTCCTGATGGGTGTTCTGGGTGCAGCCGTCGCTATGTTGGCATAGGCGCGCTGAATAATCTGGCAATGCGCATGGAGCAAACGGGTTGGACACATCGCGACAAAGTCTGGACTCAAATGGGAAACGACGAGTCTAGCAAATGATACCCAAGTTCGTCGACCTCGGTGGCTTCGTGTCCTCGTTGATATCAAATGGGGGAAGATGGCACTGTCGATCCACTTCAGGTTTAATTTATATTTATTTTTTGTACTTCGCTTCTCATCGGCGTAGTTCGTCGGGGAAGGATGTTTGGGGGTTTTACTCATGGCCTGGATACCTTTTGCACTTTTTCTTGTCCATAATGATAGAGCGGTGGCTGCCACCCGGTATCCGAGGTGGTAGGTAGGAGTTTAGCGATTTTGTCGCATATTCTAGAAGTGGATCGTGTCGACAATCAAAGGTACAACCTACGACTATCTTGTCAAAATGCTGGCATCTTGAATACGTGATCTCATGAAGTATGAATATTTGGACTTAGACTAGTAGAGCACTGTAGGTTGCCCTGCGGTAAACTTATATGAGCCTAGCTTGTATGCATCGTCCACTGCAGATTCATAGGGCCTTGCATGTGGGTATTCCATGAGAATCGCTGCATATATGAGCTGGCGACTAAATGAGAGTAGTCTAGACCGCAGCGTCCTGATCTAGAAGCTCAAGGTTGTCGTAGCATACTTGCACCGTGATTGGATGAGTCTATTTCCGAAGCTGCCAACCTAGTGCAGAAGCGCGATGGTTCCCCTAAAACCCAATTGCCCAATCGCACTTCACTCCAAACTCCAACTTCCAGTGTTCGCATTGACTTCTACCAATCTCGCCAACTGGGAAGAAACGGGAAACCGGAGCTGAGCGACAAGGATTCTGTCTTGTTTGTGGCCGTCTGCCACGGCTCTCTTCTTTCCAACATGAACATGACATGAGAGCAACGTCGCGGTTGGTCCGCACTCTACTCCCGTGCTCTCTCTCCACTGCAAACATCCCAGTCGTTCCAGAGAGTAACATATCTGTATGAACTGAAACCCGGTGTCTCTCGCGTCACACTTTGAGACTGGCGCACGGTGGAGATGTTCGTCGGTTGTCGTACTCGTTTTCTATTTTGGTGACCGGGTTATATCATTACTGTCCTCCACTAATAAATACAACCAACAGCCCAGATCGAGATACCAAGGCTACATCCGTCCCATCCATCACAAAGCACCATCGCATACCTCACCGTTTTCCTTTGCAGATCCCGCAATGGATCTCCGAGGTTCACCATTGCGCTGCGTCCTATGACACCCGTCATAAAGCACCTTTGCCTGTCTTGCTACTGTCGACCGCATCCCGCAATGCGCTTCAACTTTGATCCTAACACCCCCTTTGCCTGCATGTCGCACACACGGCTTGTCCTGGCTCCGTGACAAATAAGGGACAGTTGCAACCCGGTTTATTATGGTGTTCGCATTGCCGGACGGAGAGTGAATGGATCGCCATTTCGGGCAGTTGCTCACTCGGTTCGTTGGATATCAGCGTTCGGCTGACCATGCTGGAAACACAGCCGTAGGATGGAGTCGAGTATGGCTGTGGGCTGCTCTCCAAAGTTCAGGATGCGAATCCTTGTACTCTCCGACGAGACACTACTGGCGTGTCAGACTGAGCTTTGGCGAGAAATCGTGGGTTTCTTCCGGCTGATTTGTGATGAGGGGTGCTTGTGTGTCCCCCCCGCTTCTGGCGTGTTCCTTTTCAACAGCTCGGGATCGTAAGCTATTCGGAGAGAAGTGCTGCGATCGGGATTGAGCTGTCATATTCTGACCAGCGTATTGCAGAAAACAAAACACTAACGACTGAGGGCAGGGTCTTGCAAATTCAAAAATGAGGACGAGAAAATTCTGCACCACAGAGGCAGCATGCGACTCTTTATAATGCGGTGCCACCAACTTGGAACCAAGGGTCACTTCCATCGCCGTTCCTCTCCACGCTCGATCCATGTCGGGAAGCTCAGACACAAGTGTCCATGGCATGTCCAACCCTGTCATGAAAACACCACCTCGCGCCGCCAGAGTACAGTGGCTGTATAGGCTGTGCTGTCTGATTTCCACGCTGCGATGCGATTGCCTGCCTCATGCTAGTCTCGCTCAGCCCAATTGTTTTTGTTCGCGTTACAGCACTGGTGATGTCTCAAGCTGGACCGCGTCGCGAGGCTACTGAGAGACACATTCGAGGCAGAAGGACCTCGGACTCTGAACCCTCGCATATAACATCCTAAGCTCTCACTCCTCCAGGAAGATAAGCATGTCGACCAGCGACAGTCCCGGCCGAGTTCGCTCGTATCCTGTCAATCCGAAAATATCGGTGCTGCTGCTATTACTACTGCACGGCATAAGAAAAACTTCGGTCACTACCCGCCGGATATTCCGCATCCACTCGGAAGGGAGCCTTGGATGATTACGCTATTACACTTGCAAGGATCCGAGGCACTAAAATGGCATGGCTTGCCGATTATGCCTGCAAAACATGCAAGCCACGTTGTGACCAGAACATGCGAAACCCCCACGAGAACCGGTGGCACTGACTCAACGCGCCGGGGGGGGGGGGGGGGGGGGGGTCCGTCATCGTAGAAAAAACCCGGTATGGAGTAGATTATTTTGTTTTTGTGTCTGGAGATACTCAAGCTATTTCCACTCTTCATCGAGATTCGGGTTCGTGTTGATTTCTAGCGAAGTTAATAGCCGTTGTTAGGGAGGCGACTCTACTTTGAAGAAAGGTCGCTCGAGTTTTCGCGTTCATCTCGAGCAATCAGATTATGCTACAGATATTCTCATGATTTCTCCGTTTAGCTACTGGCAGGTATAATAGTCTATTCATGAGACATATGCTTTTTTCCCTGCTGAACCTTCGCTCGTCCCTCGTCAATCTCCGAGCGTCTGGGTCCCTCCGCCGGGTAACTATTCCGCCTGATGTATGTAGAGGTTGGTGCGGACAAAGATTAGAGATGTTTTTGGTATACGCCGACTAAAATGACGTTGCGAGCAAGCAACCCGGCGTTCTGGGAAAATGGGACGTGGCAGAATTGGTATGATTCATGGCATGACTTTGGGAATTATCATTTGAAATAGTTTACGTGGTACTGGCATAGAACAGGCCATCCGTGATACTGCGAAGTGTATATCGAGACTGGGTGGTGAAATATGACGGAATGTGGATTGTGCCAATTTTACTTGTAAGCCATACTAGTTGGTACATCTACCACGCGCTATGTAAAGTTGCTCTTGTATATAGGTATTGAGTAGATAGTCGCCGTTGCACGAGACCAGAATTGTGAAATCGGTCAAGGACTTCAAGTGGTCATCGGGCTATCACCACCAGCCAGACTAAGCTGGAGTCAGCACAGGGCAAAATACCCATGAAGGGAATCAGTATGATATGTGTCGCGGCGGAACCAAACTTCATAATTCCAGCATGACCCCAAGGACTTCGCAAAGCTGGAAGGCATACGCCGAGATGATTACCGCTGCTTGTTTGGGAAAACGTCAGGTCATTAGCAAGTATGATACGAACTACTAAACCTGGCCCGAGTATAAGTTATTGAGACTCGGTTATGTAAGATCACTCTCTCCTACTTGTTGAACCGAATTTTGCTCCGTTGTACAATCCTGACGAGTAACTACCGCTCAGCATGCTGCGTCCGCATCAACCAGCAACGGAAAATCCAAACCTGGCGTCGAGCCGATAAATAAATATCAGAATAGTGATGCAAATTATCAACAAATCCTCTCATCCTACGTTTCTATAGCTTATCTGAATCCTATACTGCTACCAGACGATATCCCACCAATCAACGAGCCGCGAAAAATGCGTTACGGTGGATTGGGATGGGCTGATAAGGTCGATCTCGCCGGGAACAGGGATGACCCTTTCTCGCGTCACAAAGACGACAGGCCTAGGCGGGCAACGAGCGTCGCAAACTCTGGAACACTGCAATACTCTGCTCGAGGATGAGCAAAGGAGAGTATTGAGACAAGACGATGAGATCGAGGTCTAGGTTGCGACGCGGCTTTGTCATCATGATGCTCTGGGGGTTCGCGTGGATGGCGAAACTCTTGTTTTGGACTAGATGTACGGGGCCAATTGCTTGAAATCACGTCATTGAGCTTCGCGGTAGTTGGCATAGTGTAATACGTGCTTGAATATCTACTGCCAGGTGTGAGGAACGCTGGGCTCAAGGGGAACGCTCCTTCGTGCCCAGGCAGCTTCGACCCGAAAACCAATATGGTCAAGTTAGCTTTCTGCTCTGATAAGACATCGCATGTGTAGTAATCAAAGGTCAAAAGTAATATTTTCGTTATCGAATTGGCACAAGTACGTACTGACTTGTTGTATTTACCCCAGGTTATACGCCTTCTCTCGGTAATTTCTGGACTTTTCCTTTCTAGCTGCCGCCCTAGTATCTGAGAAGGAGGCGTGGACGCTTCACCCGATTACACAATCTGAGAAATACTCAAGCCTAGAAGGGACTCATCACCTGCTTGGTACGAAACACATCGACTGACTCGAACTTGAATGCCGGCTTGCAGCTAAATAGCCGCGAGCCAGGAATTGTGCCATCGCAACTTATACTCCTCAAAGCCCGATCCTCGGCTAACAATGCTTTTCTACCAACCACTTTTTCCCCTATGAACCTAAGTACTCCTTGAATTCCGAACTTGGCTACCCGAGTCCATCACCAGAATCACTGGTATCGTCATCACCGGAAGCCTAGCCCATACTGCATGACTGCGGATCATCCGTTTCTAAACACAGCCGTAGAACGTACCTGCGCAGATTGAGATCAACCGCATATGTTCTCGCTCCTGATCAACTCAGGAGTTGCTACATGTTTTCTTTTCCCCCATCCACTCAGGCGTGGGACGGAGACCGGAGGCACGGAGGCAACACACTTCAGCTCTCCCATGCATCCCTAAAATCATTCCTACTCTTCTTCCACATAGTCTAGCCAACAGTGGCAAGCCTAAGAATCACATAGGCATCTATGAGCAGATCATCACACCCGCCACACTCCGGAAACCTGAAATAAAGCTGACGGAACCTAGATCAAGCATCACAAGTGCATCTGCAAGTAGATCTTCATACCTGTGACAACCCTAGAAGTCTCACACTTCTCTGCACATAACAATATGGCTGATGTTCCCTCAGAGAAATTTATTGCAGCAAACACTGCCGAAGACTCGAGCATCGTGACTAACAACGCCGCCGAAGGCCCCGAGGCGATCGCGTGGCTTTTCTAGTGCAAATTCGAGGGGGAACCCCTCTACCTCTCCTGAATAAAATCAGAGCACGTTGCCGAGTTTCTGAAGGTACATCCTAGTTTTGCTCAATCCAACTTTAACCGTAATGGCTGCTTCGTCAATGGTAGGCCTCTGATTGGCATGTCCCACACAATCAAGACATGCGGTGGAAACAACCGACCGAAGACGCTCTTCCGAAACACTGCTGCTCTGGGATCCGAGCCAGAAAGATTGGGGCTGCAGGAGGAAAAATAACAGAAACAGGTTCAATCTCAAGCTAATAGCAGTGACGATGAAGGTGGCCAATCTCAAGGTGCCGAAGAACAACCAGGAATCATGAGGAGCAACGGGTGTCGCAAAGGCTCGTCAACACGGCAGAAACGCTGGAGTTCAGCTCAGTTACTTGAGCTGTGACATCAGCCTGTTGTGCCCCTGACGCATACCTACACCATCTTCTTCGCCTTTTGCATCTTTCACAAGTTGCAACAGAGTATCTACATAGCACCCATTGACATGCCACTCTGCGCATGACATATTCATCACACTTGATTTTTCAATTCGCACTAGACTGCATATCAATTCATTTAATAGCACATGGACGAGCTGATACCGGATATACTAGCGTGCGGATCTTCACCAACGGTTCCCACGGCTAGCGAGCGTAGTTAGACGACATGGATTAGTTTCACATACAGATTTGCTTTACAGAATATCTTCCCCCGCGCATGATTACAGCGTATGTTGTCATAGTACTAGGCTCGAGTGCAGAATAGAAGGTAGAAAGGTGGTTCTCCAACACCCCCTATACTTCCTCATTTCCACAACCTTATCTAGTCTGTTATTATACACCAGCGGTGTCACAAAATCTGAAGTTTGGAAAGCGTGTCGAAGCCCAACCAACATCCCGGACGAAGCCATGTGATATTTGATCTTGCCGTGATTGCATAGCACATATATGTTGACCGTGTCAGTGGTAACACGCTGTTGGGCCGAGGGCAGTGTACCGGTACCAAACTAGCGTAAGGGTATATGTCATGGTTACGAGCTTCCAACATTACTTGAGTCTTGTTTACTACCACAAGCAGGAGAAATTGACGAATCCAAGGACTGATCATACGCATTGTCAGTGTCTCTTGAACCTTCAGTCGCTCCGGTGCATCCTTCTGGAATTGAATCAGGGCTTCAGGAGTGCTTTCCGGGGAGCATCGCAGGACGAATCGGTCGGCGTCAAATTACGCTATACATCATGAAGTGTCAAATCTGGCCGTAATCCAACGTCCGAATCATGGTCCTTTGCTTGACCTGCCACGACCAAATTCCAGTTCTGAAAGAGGCCGGCCTGCTTCGTGTACAGTAGTAGATATTATGTTGGCCCAATTCCAGGATCGGATTCGTCGTCTGGACTTTCCAAATCCTCCCAATGTAAGTCACCATCGATGCATTTTGGGAGAATGCGAAGCTTGAAGTAATCGAGATTGATACGCTACATATATTTGTTAAATGTGTTTCAAAGCGCGTAGAGCTGTCTGAGCTGGCTTACACGAACAGGCCCCTGTAAGTGATGAGAGCGGGGTTACAACTGTAGGTTCCTCAGCCCCTCCCTCCATCTGAGTAACCAACCACTGCGTTTTGTCGATCAGGATGAAGCCATGTTGTCTCACGTACTTTACAGGCTAGTGACGATCGAGAATGAGAATCGGGAGCAAGTTGGGTTGAAGAAGCGTACACAGATACCTAAGCACGCTAAAGTGCGCTAACAACGGGGCCACTCCCAGCACAAAGCGCTTGAAACATCCGGCTGTCAATCTGTCACTCGAGGGGGTCAGTCAACACAGCGTCACCTAACGGAGCTCGTCACAATTCCACAATCTAAGACGTCGATCTCACACAATCGAGAAGCTTAATGCCAACCTTGTTCCGAATAACCTCACAATTTCTCAAACCCTAAAACACTCATTTAAACATTCGAAACGCAAATAACATGGCGGAACCAGCCAAAACGTCCTACTCAACGGACCCGGCGCTGTACATCTACACGTCTCTCACAGCGGGGTCGAGCCACATCGTCACAGCCACCTCACGCCTCGAGACGATCCTACGAGCGAATCGCGTGCCATTCAAGGCCATCGATGTGGCGACCGACGAGAAGGCGCGCATGCTCTGGGGGCGTCGGGCAGGCAAAGATGAGTCGGGCCGCCTGAGGAAGCTGCCGGGGCTGGTGCAGATGGGCATGGTTCTCGGGGTGCGTAGCGCGCAAGCCTCTCTTCTGCCCCTACTCTCAATCTACGAGCTTGGGTTTATGCTGACATGTTCTGGTCTGGTATCTAGGACCTCGTCGAAATTGAAGACTGGAATGAATACGGCGAGCTGAAGCAACACGTGCAAATCTACTATGACGACTTCACAACGCCCTCCAAGAACGCCGCGCCGCCTTTGAACCTGCTGAAGAAGCCTGGCCCCCTGAAGCCCAACGCGGGCGGTTCGCAGTCTGCGTCTTCGCTGTCTGCGTCCTCGTCAGCGCCGGGATCGGGAGTGAAGCCCGTGCCCGAGGCGCCGCCCTTGCCTGAGCCGAAAGCAAAGACGATAGGCACTGAACAACCTAAGAAGCCAGCGGGTGGTGTTGCCCCATCGGTCGCGGCGGCGGTCACGACGCCTCTTAGGAGCATAGCCGAGGAGGCTGCGGCGAAGGGGAAGCAAGTCAGGCTGGAGAGCTTGAGGGAGAAGGTGTATGGGAAGAAAGACAAGGATAAGGAGGCTGCGGCTAAGGGCGCAAGTGGGGAGTCGGGATCTAAGGATGCCGCAGTTGACGAGAAGAAGACGGTGGCGGAGGGTGACAAGACAGAGGTTCCAGCCCCTCTGACTAAGGAACCCTCTACCGACTCAGCCATCGCGGCGATCACGGGCAGCATCAGCACCCTGTCCATAGCGTCGCCTCCTGGGGAGAAGTCCGCAGGCGCGGCGGGCCTGCAGTCGCCGACGACTGGGGCTTGGAAGTCGTCTTCGATGGACGACCATCTGAGGCAAGTGTTGCAGAGCCCGACGTCTGGGACGTGGAAGGCGGGTGAGGGGCCAGGGGCGCCGGCGGTTAGCGAGCACCGGGGGGGTATTGTGGCTAGTGTGCCCGAGGAGCAGATTGCTGCTGTTGAGCAGGTTCTGACGATTCCTGAAGTGCCGCATGAGGACGAGGACGAGGAAGAGGATGAGGAGGAAGACGACGACGATGAAGAAGAGGAAGAGAGCAGTAGTGAGGAGGAAGAGGAGGACGAAGAGGAAAAGAAACTAGATGACACGAAGAAATGAGAGATGATGCTGGATTCTGGCAATTATAAATGGCTCCCACATCGTGAGACCGTGACTGCAAACAGGGACGGCCAATACTGAACTTGTGGCCTAGTTGATTGGACCGCTGCAAACTGGATGGATTACAGAAGATGGGCGTGTCGGAGCCAACGTATTACAGGCTTGTTGAACGAATTGAACACCAGGATTTAGCACAATCAAGTTTCAGGAATCATCAGTTGATCGATCGATCAATCAAGGTACCCATCAGTGGATTTGTGCATGCATGCGTGCAGTGCCATATTGTATTTTACTTAGTACAGACCCTCATCATCACTAGCCGTCCCCTCCTGAAACATAGCAACAGCTTTTCCCTTTCCTTTGGATGACTTGCCGTTGGTACCATGGCTACTATACGCACCTTTCTCCGCATCGTCATCCTCATCCTCCTCGTTGCTAGCACCCGCAACTGCCTTCCCCTTGCCCTTCCCCACGACAGCCTTCTGCTTCCCCTTACCCTTCGACCGCACGCTATTCGAATCACTCATCATAGCAGCGATGTCCTGCTGTTGCGGGCCGCCGTTTTTCTTCTCGCCCCGCCCGCCCTCAAACGTAGCCCGGACCTGCTCGTAGTGCCGCGATTCCCCGGCGCTGACGCTGGGGATCAACTCGTGATTGGCGTCCAAAAAGTCCTGCTCCGTAACCATGACGGCGATATCCTCGGGCGTCGCGTGGTGGTCGAAGAAATTGGCCGTCGAGATGGGGTGGTGAGTTTCTGGGTCCGCGTTGATGGCGCGGATCTTGGCGTCGACTGCGGTCGCTTGCCGCGTCACCGCTTTGAGCATGGCGTCGCTGCAGAGGGCGTAAAAGTCGGCTCCTGTGTAGGTGAAAGGGAGATGCTCTGCGACTTTGGGAAGAGAGACGGAGGGGTGGAGGGTGAACCTGGATGTTCGTTAGTATGATATCTTGACTTGAAAGAAAGGCTGGAAATAGGGGTAACGGACTTTCGGGTAAGCGCTTCCATGATGGTGATCTGCTTGTCATGCGTATCGGAAACGCCCAGGTAGAGCATCTTGTCAAAACGGCCGGGACGCAACAAAGCCTGATCAAGCAGATCAGGACGGTTGGTGGCGCCGATGACGAAGACACCGCCTCCGCCATCGTCACCGCCTGACATTCCGTCGAGCTCGGCGAGCAACTGCGAAACGATCCGGTCCATAACTCCACCGCTGTCTCCCTGGTTACCACGCTTGGGTGCGACTGAGTCCAATTCGTCAAAGAAGACAACGCAGGGTCGCGCATCCCTGGCTCTTTGGAAGACGCGACGGACGTTGGCCTCGGACTCTCCAATGTACATATTGAGCAGCTCGGGACCCTTCACGCTGAAAAAGTTCAGGCTGTACTCCGTCGCGATGGCTTTGGCCAACAGCGTCTTGCCCGTGCCTGGTGGGCCGTAGAATAAGATGCCCGATCGCTTCTTCATGCCCTTGGCAAACAGTTCTGGCCTCTCTAGAGGCAACTGAATCGTCTCCATGACCGCCTCCTTGACGTTGTTCAGACCGCCCACATCATCCCATGTCACGTTGGGAATCTTGGGTGCCCCGATGGCATCGGCGAAGTTCTTGCGCGCCGCGTCTACAGCAATGTCAAAGTCCGCCTTCGTCAAGCACCGGGCGGCTGATCCACCCGCAACTTGAATGTCACGCAAAGTGATGCGAGAGTCGGTTGTCGAAGCCTTCGCTGAGAGCGCCTCGAGCCGGGATTGGCGGGCTACCAAGGCCCGCTCGACTACGTCGACCAAATCACCTGCTACGAGGGCCGCAGTCTTGATGGCAACACCACTTAAGTCCACTTCAGGGGCTAAGCCAACCCCTTGGCCTTCGATGATAGACCTCAGAATAGCTTCTCGTTCGCCCTCATCTGGAGCACTCATCTCAAGCTCATGGGTGAAAAGGCCCCTGATGCCGTCTGGAACCTTGTCCACCTCGGTAGTAGTCGCAATGAGAATTCGAGCATCGTCGAGAATCTCTCTCATTGCCGTTACCATCCTGTCCGCGGTAAGGGCCTCAATGTGCCGAATCAGCAAGGCGCAGCACTCGGCGCCGCAGTTCAGGGCACGTTCCGTGCGTGCTTTCAAGGAAATCTCTGTCTTCGAATCACTGCCGCCGGCGCCACTCTCGTTGACGATATCGTAAGCATTGATGGTGAAGGTGTGGAGGCCAATATCAGAGCACGCCTTCGTCGCCACAGTAGCTTTGCCGATGCCTCGCTGTGTCGAGACTATCAGGACTGCCACTGGTGGCATTTTGAGATGAATTGCTCGTTTGCTCGTGGCAGCGGCCATAAGCTCACGCAATCGCCGCTGCAGAGGGGACACAAATCTTCTGATCTGTTCCGGGTTGTACGGGCAAAATGTCTTTGATGAGGTCTCCTCCAAGCCTAGGTAGAAAGGCCAATTGCTGTCCTTCGTGCCCGGAAGGAGGCTCACAACGGCTCCCGACTGAGCTATCTGCGTTACCGAGTGATCGACACAGGCGACCCCTCCCCATATGTCCTCTTCATCGTCGTCATCCACGCTATCCGACTTTTGTCGTTGTACGTGGCCGATCTTGAACCAAACGCTGTCGTCAGGCTTCGAGGCAGGAGTGTCGGCTTTCTTGGAAGCTGTCAAGCCCAGTATATCATCAACTGCTGACCCATCCCCTGCTGCAGAAGACTCTTGGAGAGCTTTGCCCAGCTGGGTGTCTATCGGGATACCAATGATGTCGCCCATCTTGACCACACGGGTGCACTTGGAGAAATAGTTCTTCAATCCACTTAGTATTGCTGTTTGAAGGGTCCTTTCAGAAGAGGTTGGGGTTCGTATTTGTTGGACTATAACATCGCGAGCAGTAGGCGGATGGGATGAGCCTGTGATTTTGGCTTGTCCAAGTTTTGGAGGATATGCGTGTCTTTTCAGGGGTGACAGCCGTAGATATGGCGGGTTGTCCATGTTTGTCAGTAAAAGCGGCGACAGGTATGTTCCGGGGGTTGAAAACTTCTGCATTTGGGATTCGAAGAATGATGGCCTGGGATTGCCCATATCGTGCCTCCCACTTGGTATTCTAGTTACGGGCCGATGAGAGTAACCTTCTGGCAGCCCAAACACCTTTGCGGGCCTCCAGACAGGCTCCATAGCATCGGAATGTCCAAAGCTTCCCAGACCAAAGAGCCCAGATCCATTAGAGGGGGGCTCTTCCGAAGCTTCGACACGAACCCAGTCTCCAGAGAAGCATCCGATCCCAGCTAGAGAGGCTATGTCGACGTAAATGCGAGCTTCCTCGTCATCTTCTGCGGTAGGCTTTGGGTGAAGCAAGTCTGCTGGTATAGAATTCATCAGGCCATGTGCCTTGAACAATCGTCCCTTTGGCCGATCTGGACGTGCTGTAGCAGCAGTGAAGGCTGAGAAAACAGACCCAGGCGTAGTCATGCCATTGGTCTTCCTTCCACGGCCGATTGTTCGCGGTGTTCCGGGCTGCATGGTTGACACGCCACTGGCAGCCGTAGTTGGTAATGTGGGTGCCTGAAGGGATATAATATCATCCAATGAATCATCAGACAAGTCGTCTTCATTCTCAGGCTCCGAGAGATCAGTTTCAGTCTCTGTGGCAGCGTCTGTCTTATTCCGCTCCTCGGCAGCCGAGAAGAACTGGTCATTGCCAGTGTCGTCGGCGTCATCTTGCGTAGCTCCATTGAGGGCTTGAGATGAGGGCACTGCTTTTCGGTCATGTTTTGAGGCACTGTTGCCTCTACTTAAAACGATCTTGGTGCTGGGGCCTAATATCCCTTGTGCCACGGGTTCGCATAGCAATACCTTTCCGGGAGTCGGCGGTACATGCGTAATTTGGTGTGGAGGCAACGGTAGAGGAAAGAGGTCTCCATCATGGACAACCTTGAGCGACCCCAACGCGACACGCAATGCGTCCGCCAATCGCGAGGCAGAGGAATCAGGGGCGGCAACTCCTTTCCCCTTGGCCGACGGATGGTCTCTGAAGAAGGTGCCTTCCCCGTTCTCCAGTCTCTTAGCAAGATCTCCTTCTAGGCTAACAAAAACGGTGTCCAGCTCCAATGCAGCTACATCGAGAATGTAGACCTCGATGCCACTTCTGCTGTGATTTGATAGTTTGGACGGCGCAATCTGTTGCAGGGTTGTCGCGAAGCTTTGTAATGCCAGAGACGATGGCGAAAACTGAATAGTCGAGTGCGCAAGAGCCGACGACTTCGATATAGGGACAACGGTCCAACTTGTTCTTGTAGGCGCGGAATTGGGGGCCCATGGGGCAATGGCAACATGGTAGAGTTCGGGGGACTGTTTGGATTCCTCATCGGCACTTCTTTCTGTACCACACAACGCTCAGTCAGATACATGTTCGATAACGTGGCCCGCAGCTTCCCGTGGGTTGTAAGACAGACCATTACTCAGATGAGGGAATAGGTCAGCGAAGAGGTCGTCGGAGAGGATCCCAGTATCGCCTCTGACATGGTCGTCGAGGACTAATCTTGCTGTGATCGAGGGCTTGTCCTGCCTCCTCCTCCGCCTTCGTTTGGTGTTTGTCGTCGTCATGGTACAAACTGCCACAATTTTCGCGTGCTGGTCGTCGATCGTGTTTCGAGCTTCACGCTTTGAGCTTTGAGCTCCAAGTGAAGGTGTAGATTTGCTATGACAACCAAGCCGATGCCACCCTGGAGAGTTTCGCTAGCGGTTGCACATTCGATACAATGTCGCAGAATCACAGGTAGTATCACGAAAGAGGGGGGAATACAACGACCAAATTGCCATCTAGCATCTTCATTACGGGCTGGTTCATACGTCGGCGCGGCCTACAAGTCCAGTTCAGCGCGCCGTCGCGACTGAGATTCCTAGATGCATTTGGTCGGCTTGCGTGTGCCCGCTTGGGCCGTTGTGGCCGAGGCATTGGCATCTGCAGCAGACCGGGGCCCGGGGTGTTTTAGCCCCCACTAGCAACCTCGACCTGTTGGCTCGGGTGGCTACATGGTATCAAAATGCTTTCCAAGTCATCTTTCCGAGTTAGATCACGATAACTTTTTGGCAGCTGACAATCACTTGGCCCATTGAAGCCATTTGCGTTCTCATACTAACGGTTTACATTATGGAGTATGGCATTTACAAGCTGGGCGTAACCTCAACATTAGAATTTACCAAATAACCCCCTGGCCCCCCTAAGACAGACACGATGACGCTTAGAATTTAAGCCTCTTAAGCGTCTCTCAATAGTATTAGGCAATAGCAGTGTATATCGAGCTAGCAACGCCCTCAATTACTGGGACGCATCAGACCTTCACCAAGGCTATCTGAATCTGGTTTACGCACCTGACCTCTGTTATGAAAGCAAAAGTGCTTGCTATTGAAGAACCATGACCTCGGTTACTTGGCGACTCCTTCACAGATCGCAGCATGATTTCACCGCTTGTCAATATCCATGCGAACTCCAACCTGGCGTCTCTCAATTGCCACCATAAGATATCTTCTGATGGGCACCGCTCACTGGCCCCATGACACATGCAACTCAACGCTTGAGGTTTTATTGGACAACGCTCTATTACCACGCAAACAGACCAATTACAGTTGCTTGTAGACTACCGTGAAGCCCAAAAGTCCTTCAAGATATTTTGAGACATCTTCACATGTCCAAGTCAGTAAGATGCCCTCAGGCCCCCTCCAACATGTATAATGACGTAAGGCGTCTAGGGGCCCCAGCATTCAGCTGGACCCAATTTGCCGCGCAGGGGGTGCCAACCTGTCAATTTGCACGGCACCAGGCCTTTCATCTGAAGATCGCCCTTGATCGGTCGAGGTACCGAGTCAATGTACACAGAACTAACGACGTTGAAGCGTCTCAAGTACTATGCACGCCTATTCTGTTTTGCTTGTGGGCGCTGATGAGCATCCACAGTAATGCGCTTGCATTGCCAGCCATTCAAGGCGCTACAGGTCAGTCGGGCATGGTCTGTCATGGTATGTTCATGGGGCGATTTCCCTAGTAATCAGTCTTAACAGTCGGTCATCCGCCATTCCACCCGATAATCGATTGACTTTTCCCCTGGCTTGGAGCCTTCTTATTTCTTTTTTCCTCCTGTTCTACATTTCAGTTTATGCTCTCTTGGGATAGACGCTGTTCGGAGCTGTCACCTGCCAATCATGGGCGACGCGGTGGAAGAGAGACAAGTCGACACGCCGCCGTTGGCCAAATCTGGTTCTCAAAAATCGCAAAAGGCCGTCGAATTTGCTCAGCAGGCCGAGAAGTTGTCGCATCAAACAAGTCAGGAGACAAACACCTCGGGGAGTGTTGCAGTCGAGGCGCAATTCGTTACTCCCCATGATCCTGTCATCGTCACGGCCGACGGCAATCGACTGCCCACGGTACCGCTCCCCGAAGCCCAGAAACTCAACTTCCTTAAGGAGGAATTGCACGGCCAGAGCCCCAAGAACGCGACTGAAAAAAATAAAGATGCCCAACACCACGGTGCGACACAGGAGACGAACGGGGATCCAACGGTAAATGCGATGCCTCGTGCAAATGGCAAGGCGGTACAGAAATCCGCCGAGGCGCCCCTTCAGAGGTCGACGCCTCCATCGCATACCAACCCCTTGTTTCCCCCTCTTCCTCTGTACGGCCCGGCTTCCCTTCTGCGAGACTTGCAGTGTACGACGTTCCGGGTGTCCTCTTTCTTCCTCAGCGCTGGGTTTCTCGGCGTTATCGTCCTTGGCGCCTTATTTACCAACATACCGATTGTGTGTCGGCGCGTATGGAGTCGAATCACATTGCGCGACCCCGACGCAAGTAGACCGTTTTACAAAGAAGAGATACGGAGAAAGAAGGCGCGACAAGAAATGGACAAGGCCTGGAAACGCAGGAGGTCCCAGGATAAAGTCAGCATGGGTGAAGAGAACCCCCAGGAGAACGATGGATTCGAACCGAGAGAGGGCGGGCCCGATCCTGTCGTTTGCGATGTCGGATACTACGCCCGGAGAGTTGGTCTCGATGTAGAGGAAATAGAAGTACAGACCGAAGACGGCTTCATTATTGACTTGTGGCACGTATACAACCCGAAAGAATACACGAAACTTGATGATAAGGAGCGGTCATCCCGAGGGCCAACCCTGTTTACTGGAGACAACAGAAAGAGACTCGAGAATCCGAAGCAGAAACCCAAATTCCCTGTACTGCTGATGCATGGCTTGCTACAAAGTTCTGGGGCGTACTGTGTCAACGATGAGGATTCACTTGCTTTTTACCTTTGCAAGTCTGGGTACGACGTTTGGCTTGGGAACAACAGGTGCGGATTCAAGCCCAAACATGCGCTTCTGGACTACTCGGACCCCCGCATGTGGTGTTGGAACATTCGACAGATGGGGGTCTTCGACCTGCCGGCATTGACCTCGCGAGTCCTCTATGAGACTGGGTTTGAGAAGATCGGCCTGGTCTGCCACTCGCAAGGCACTACCCAGACTTTCGTCGTACTTGCCAAAGAGCAACGCCCTGAACTAGGAGAGAAGCTCACCGTCTTCTGTGCGCTAGCACCTGCGGCTTATGCTGGGCCACTCATCGGGAAGATGTACTTCAAGTTCATGCGCATCATAACTCCGGCAATGTTCCGACTCATGTTCGGAATCCACGCATTTATCCCCATTATGATGATGATGCATGGCATTATTCCCGCGAGCTTCTACGGCTGGCTGGGATACAAGGTGTTCTCCTTTCTTTTCGACTGGTCTGATACGCGTTGGGATCGAGGACTGAAGAATCGCATGTTCCAATTTGCCCCGGTCTATGTCAGCGCCGAGTCAATGCGATGGTGGCTGGGCCGGGAGTGCTTCGCCAAACATAAGTGCATCCTCTTGACAAAGGAAGAAGCGCGAGCAGAAGATCGGGAAGACGCAGAAACCGATGGACCTTTGGCAGCCCCTAACGACGATCGGAAACACTCTTTGGCCTCGATGTTTAAGTCGGCAACCGATGAAGACCACCACAAGAAGCGGCCCAAGGGGTCGACGGCATGGTACAATTCCCAAGTGCCGCCTTTCGCTCTGTGGGTTGCCGGCAAAGATGACCTCGTGGACGGCAGAAAACTTTTGAAGCGGTTTGAGCGAGGGCGCGAGCCCCACGTCAAAGTCGTCCATAGCAAGGTGCTGGCCGACTACGAACACCTCGATGTGATCTGGGCAATGGACGCCGTGGATGAGATCTTTTGCGAGGTTCGGGAGGTGTTGTGGAAGACGTGCAATGTCAGGGACCAGTGCCGAGTGCCCCGGGGCTGTGAGGATATTCCCGAATGGATACCTCCGGTGGTCGCTGAGGTCGACCCTGATGAAGTTGACCAGTCGAGCAGTGATTCGTCCCCAGAACGCTGAGTGGGCGTGCTGGAGATTTTTTTGGTTGGAATTAATCCTGAATAATGATTATTTACGTATACTTGCATGAAATTAATGAGGGCAATGCGAGCCACGAGTTGGTTGGATTGGGTTGGGTACGAGTACATAGAAGGGTTAGACGGGAGAACATAAAAGGAGGAAGGAGGGTCCCACAGGTAGGGTTATATACGTGGACTACTAGATACACCCAGTAATACACACAAGTTTTCAACGATCTTTGGACTTCAAATCCGACACCTTCAAGCGACCTCGCTATTTCATGCTACACAAACAGACCGAGAGTATCCGCCCCGTGGATGCGTGCCGATATTGCCATGTCTTACGTATCACTTGCACGTGATTTATATCTACAAGATATGCAATTCCTCGACTGTATCCCTCTATCGAGTAAGTCCAGTGTAGGTTGTGAGATTCGATGTCGGCGGAGGGCGAGACTCGATGTGACACCGCATGAGAACACTTGGCTGTCGTTGGATTACACATCTGCACATTACGCAATGTGCAGAAATCCAGGAAATGAATGAAAGGGAAAAAAAACCAAAAAAACCAATGTCTGCTCGAGTACACACATCCAAATGCACGATACGAAGCCGGCCTGGAGTTTGAAGATTGGACTTCGAAGACTGCCTACATTGTGGGTATCTTGCAACCCTCGCAGAGGCCAAGAATCCACTGAATGGCGTCTGGCTGGGCAGTTCTCCAAGACTCTTTTAGTTTCTCCAAACAGCGAGACCACCAGCTCCTATCCCCAAACTCCTTAATATCAATCTTCGACTTGTGGAGACGTCATTCCCAGCGCCGCGGCCTCTGATGGGGGGTGTGGGATATATGCGGACCAAGCGGGTAGCTGTGGGGACTCCGCATAAGTGACTCCTGGTGAACAGATGACACCAAAAAGAGCACTGCAGGTTAGTTCATGCTAGCTTGCACTAGATCCTCGGTGTGAGATACGACTGGATTCCCGTAAGCCAACATCAATCGTTGTGATACCTGCAGTAGCTGCAAGTCTATGATGGCTTACTCGTATTTAAGTGGTACTGGAAGGATCCCTGTCCAGTGATGAGACATGCAGGACGACAAGCTTGGATTGCCAACAGCTTCCACAGGACGTTCGATGGTAACCGGTCAGATGGGACGCTTCGGTGCGGCACAACTTTCAAACATGGCGGGGGGTAGGCTCCTTCCCGGGGGCCGCTATTATGAGTGTCAGATTAGGTAGTCGTAATCACTATGTACAAGCGTGGCCTGCAGCGTTGTTTCCTCCGTGATTATTCACGGGAAGTTTGGATCTCTCTCTTCCAGTATTGACTAGATAGACACACTGCGTCACAGCGCCTCGGACCTCAAGTCATCTCGAGGTTTACCCGAATCTCTCTCTCTGCTTCCGATTCCTCTAATTTTCTGTGCCTATTGAATCATCTCCTGCGACTTTGAACCTCGACGCTCGAGTGAAGTTTCATTTTTAAGGATGGTTATCAAATCCCCCCACCCAGACTTGACGATAACACCGGTTGACCTGTTCACTCTCCTGTTCGAGAGGGATGACAGGCCGTACCCCGAAGATAAAGGCAGGCATGTTTTGAATTAACCCGACGTCCCTGAGACTAACACGTAAAACCCAGAACTCTTCATCGACGGAGATACCGGCCGTTCGTACAATTTCACTCAACTCAAAAACACCAGCATCGAGTTCGGCAAAGGACTCAAGTCGCAATGGGGGTTCAGGAAGGGAGACATCCTCGGCATCTTCTCGCCCAACTCCGTTGACTATCCTCCCGTGGTCTGGGGCGCCATTTGGGCAGGAGGCATCTGCTCGACGGCTAATCCGACTTACACAGTCAAGGAGCTTGCCTTCCAAATGTTAGACTCCAAAGCCAAGGGCATAGTGACGCAGCTGCCGATGCTACCTGTCGTTCTCGAGGCGGCCAAAGAGATTGGTATGCCAGAGGATCGCATCATCTTGATGGGCCATGAGCGAGACCCAAAAGGAAAGTTTAAACACTTCAGCGATATCCGTAGTACCAGTTTTCTGAGTCTGTCTTCCAAAGCCAGCATTGAGCCTAGCAAGGACCTCGCGTTCTTGGTATACAGCTCTGGAACCACTGGTCAGTAATTGTTCTAGAAGTATGTCACAACTCTCACGAGTCCATCGCTGAGAGTCTTTCAGGCCTCCCGAAAGGCGTCATGCTCACCCACACCAATATCGTCTCGAACATCCTCCAAACAGTGGCAGTCGAAGCCCGAAGCGGCTTGCACTGGTCTGGTGGCCCAGACGGAAAAGGCGACAAGCAACTCGGCATTCTCCCCTTTTTCCACATCTACGGCCTGACCGCCATGGTGCACTGCACCGTTCTCGAAGGATTTCAAGTCATCGTCATGCCGAAGTTTGAACTAGAACGAGCGTGCCAACTGATCCAAAAGTACGGAATCACGTTTGCCTACATCCCGCCGCCAATCATCCTGGGCTTAGCCAAACATCCCGTCGTCGACAAGTACGATCTAACGAGCCTCAAATGGCTCAATTCGGGCGCGGCGCCCCTGACCCAGGAGCTTCAGGATTCGGTGTGGGAGCGGTTGACTATACCGACCAAGCAAGGCTACGGCTTATCAGAAACTTCCCCGACGACACATCTGCAGACGGTGCTGGAATGGGCGAAGCACAAGGCCAGTGTAGGCAAATTGGTGCCGAACATGGAGGCCAAGATTGTTGATCTCGAAGGAAACGAGCTTCCTGTCGGCCAGGTGAGTACATAGTCTTCTCACATTGTGTATGTTGTGTACGCACATGCTCATTTTTCCGTTTTAGGAGGGGGAGCTTTGGGTCAAAGGGCCTAACGTCTTCCAGGGCTACTATAACAGACCCGAGCTAGCCGACGAGACGTTCAGCAAATGCGGCTTCTTCAAGACGGGTGACATCGGCTATGTAGACGATAAGGGCAACTTCTACATCACGGACCGGCTGAAGGAGCTCATCAAGTACAGTAAGTCGATTCAGTCTGTCGATTCAGTCTGACTAGTCCGTGAGCCCATCCCCTCATATATGCTGACCTGCCGCAGAGGGCTTCCAAGTGGCACCAGCAGAACTCGAAGGCATTCTCCTCGGCCACGGCGACATCATAGACGCCTGCGTAATTCCAATCTTCGACAACGAACGCTCGACTGAGGTGCCTCGCGCGTGTGTTGTTTTAAAACCAGGCACGGCGCGGACAGAAGAGAAGGCGAAGGAGATTGTGGATTGGTTGGCGACCAAAGTCGCCCCTCACAAGCAATTGCGCGGAGGGGTGTGCTTCGTCGATGAGGTCCCCAAGAATGCGAGTGGTAAAATTTTGAGGAGAGTGCTCAGGGAACAGGCCAAAGTTGAGGATCGAGCCAAGGGGCCGAAATTATAGATAGCAAGGGCGTCTCCTAGCATGCTGGAGCTACGTAAAGTAGTGCATCCTCGTCATGATAATGCACCTACTATGCTCCGAGCATACTTCTGTAATTGTACCTTTCCGATGGTACAATTGAGTACCGATGCATTTGTCCCCTGCGTATGAACTCCATGCAGCGCAAAACGTTTATAGACGCCATAGATGCGTTTCCTCCCCAATGCTTACTTTCTCCTTTATACACTTTAGGGGTTACTATCAGCAGCAAGTCCTTCAACCCAACTTCTCACTCTCCTCCAACAACCTCTCAACACTAAAACTGCCATCCCCCCTCGAAAACTCCTCCAACAATCTCCCCTTCTCCCCCGTCCCCTGCGTCCCCTCTGGCCCATAAAACCGCTGCATAAGCATAACTAACCACCTCGCATCCTCAACCGTGGCGCCCCGTCCCTCCACTACACTGCCCGCCATCAAAACGGCCTGCGCCGGCCCCTCCGCCAGTCCAGAGTCCCAGTAGTGCGTCACGCTCGTGTGCGGCTGCGCCCATTCCCCCCGGGCTTTGTACTCGGCCAGCTGCGTGAAGAGCACCGTCGCCGTGCTGCTCTCGCGGTCGAACACCCACTGCAGGAAATGGATCTCGGCGCCGGCGCCGGGGCGCGGCACGGGAAGCACAAAGGTTGGGTGGCGCAAGGCGGTGGTGGAGATGGAGGTGTAGGTTGAGGTTGGGATGGCGGCGCAGAGGGTTAGCGAGGAGGAGGCGTGCCGGAGCCGCCAGATGGTGGTTAGTTCTTTCAGCGGGAGGGCGCGAACTTTGGGGAGGTCGAGGAGGGAAGAGAGGGGTTTTATGGAGGCTTTGCCTGCTGAGGGGGAGGACGGGGACGGTGGGTGTGGTGACGTTGCTGTTGTGCCTGTCGTCGTCGTCGTCGAGTCCTGTGATTGTGTTTGCGGCGGTGGTTCGTCCGACAGCAGGGCATCTAGACCAGGCACTGACACGCCGTCCTTCTTGCGCACTTCTTGTATCTTGTCTGCGTAGGCTGCCTTCAATTGGTTGATGTCTTGTAAATGCTCCTCGCGCGCCTTGCGTTCGAGCTTCTCTCGGTACTTTTCGATGACGCTGCGCCGCGGTTGCGTGGTAGCTACGAAGCGCACATCCTGAACTTGGGCCCAGCGCCGTTGCTGGATGGGGGCTCGGAGGGTGCGCAGTTGGCGGCCGAGGAGGCTGCTGAGGGCGGGTAGGCGAGATGTTGCCATGGCAGGCCGAGGTTTCGGGATGGGGGCCTCTCAATTTGTAGGAGATGCGGATGGCGCAGTGCAGAATGTGCGGTTTGACAGGGTAGACTGGACCGGTCTAACTGCTATTTCACTCGGTATTGTTTTGCTTAGGTCGCACTGACCCGGTTGTGCAGAGACAGAAGTTCTTGAAGTGAAGGTCGAAATATTTCGGGATGCGATCCGGCTTAATGGAATTAGAGCGCGGTACGTGCGAGCAAGCGGGTCTATACTGTACTCCCTGATGCGCCTTCAGTGGTTTCAAGGTTGGAAAGGACGTCGATCGTCTTACACTCGTACGTATCGTTTTACTTGAGTATTTAACAAATAACAATAAAAATACAAAACAACAAAAAGTCGAGTTGCATGAACAGCCTGCAAACCGAGGAAATCATTTCGAGTTACTTTGATGGGGTCTTCTGCTTTTAACGTTTCTTGCTAGGCTTCTCGACGCCTAGGCTCTCGGACAACTCGTCAACTCAAGCTCCCATTCGCTGCATCGCGACTTATACGTCTGTTTTCGGCAGTATAAAACGCAACTGATCCCGTGGACAATTTCTTCCCCCGCATTCCCATCTCACCACTTCAACGACCTTCTCAACCGGTCAAAATGAGTCTGTTCATGGACTTCGATGGGACCATCACAGTGGAAGATACGATTAATGAAGTGGCGAGTTATGCACTACAAGTTCAGGCCGAACAGGGCGATGACTTGAGGGAGGAATGGGGTACTGTCGTCAGGGAGTATATGAAGGATTACGGCAAGCACGTTGCCGAATACTGCCCGGAAGAGAAGGCGCGAAAGTCACCAACGCATGAAGTCGGCTTTCTGCGAGAACTCAAGACTCTTGAATTGCGGTCACTGGAGCGGATTTATAAATGTCAGGTTTTCAAAGGCATCACTCGGGACATGTTTCGGAAAGCAGGACAGGACGCCGTGAGACGGGGCGTGGTCCAAATACGGCCTGGGTTCAAGGAATTCGTGGAAACCAAGATGAGTGAAGGCTGGAAGGTATGGATCGTATCTGTCAACTGGTCATCGGCATATATTGAAGGCGTCTGCGATGTCCCTGGCATCACTGTCATCGCAAACGAGGTCCAAGACGACGGATCCATTGTTGGCCCCGACATGCTGAACCAAAAAGGAATCGGGTCTCGCAACTTGACGAATTCTCGCGATAAGCTGGACGTTATGCAGGCTATCATCCAGGATGAGTCGAAGCCAACTGTCTACTTTGGGGACTCTGTTACCGATCTTGAGTGTCTCCTCGCCGCGTCAACTGGAATTGTGATTTCGGATGACGAGGACTCGAAACTCCTGAGGACTCTGGGGAGAATCGGAAAGCGCGTCCCTCGTGCGACGCGGCAAGAACCCTACCCAGCGCTTTTCTGGGCTTCGGATTATCAAGAGGTCATGAATATGTGACCAAAGCCGTCACAGCTGATAATGGTTATCTGTGTCGCCTAACCGCCGTGTTGTCACAGCTGAAAAACTCAGGGTGACTACCAGTTAGCAACAAAGGATCAATGATGAATTCTCTTTGAACCGACCCAACCTCGCCACCTCCACCCGACTCTCCCACTAAGGGAGTCAGTGCATTGATGACACAAAGCGCCAACAACTCGACGACAATGAAAAGTTGTAGAACGAATATAGTAGCTAACAAGCCGGACTTCGCAGGATTAACGACAGATTCTAGCAATATATGAGCCAAACGCACATCCTCGTTCATGTTTCTATTATGTTTCCCGCAGACTTCGCGCCAACTCCATACTGCATCCAGCTTCTGAGAGTGGAATCTATTGCACCTATCTACCCTCCATGTACAAATAGACTCCCTGCGACAGAACTTCCAAGACCAGCTACCATGTGTGTATGCAGCCGCCTCATCTTCACCCACTGCAGCCACATCGTCACCGACTCATTCCCCTTCCGCCTCTGCCAAGCTCAGAAAGAATACCTAGCCGGCTTCGGGGCCGAGCCATGCAAAACCAAAAGCCAACACGGATGGGTCTCGCGCAGGTGGCACAGTAAGTGTCCCAAGTGCGTCGCTCTGGACGAGGCGCTGGGACAGGCCAAGGATATAATTAATAAAGCCAAGAGAGCCCTCGGGGAGAATAATGCGACTTATCGCGCTGTTCTGATTGAGGTTGGCATTAAGCTACCGGATGAGGGCCCTTTGGATGGCAATGGTGACAATGGTGACAAGGGTAAGGAGTGTGGGGGGGAAGGTGTTAAAAATATCGAGAATGAGGAGAAGAAGCGTAAGGAAGAGGAAAAGAAGCAGCGTAAAGAGAAAGAAGCTGCTGGTATTGCAGAGTTCTTGAGGAAGAGGAAGGAGGACCCAAATGCTGCCTTGTATATGTAGGTCAGTTGGCAGATAGAAACGCTTGACTGCCTAGAGAGCCTACCCACTCGGGAAACCAAAACATTCGAGTGCCTACTTCAGGTACTACCTGCTTCATACTACGTTATCAGACTAATTCAAGGATTAACTTCGCTGATCTACAGAAATGCTATATCTGTCACGGTCCACCACAATGCGTACACCGGGAGAATACCTTTTGAGTAATCGAAAAGTGATGCAAATACGTTTGTTCATATCCACCGAGGGTAAAATGTCGCCCATGACTATTATGGTTTACGAGCACATGGAAAACTGTACGATAAAACGAACACCCTAAACAGATAAGGTAATCAAGAACTGAAGATGGAAATTCTAGATGTTGAGCATCCTCAGGCCATGCCTGACCATTCCAATCATCTCTCCGTCATATAGAGATCGGCGCGTTTCTAGACGAAAAGAGGGTAAATCTATAACTTTGGCCTCCGCGAACAACTCCTAATCATGCTGGTAACTCAATGCGTTCGGTATACTCTGAGGTTATGCGTGAGCATACTGGAAAAGTAGGCAGCTATAGACGTTGATATCCACAAGAAACCCCTTACCCCACACTGATCTGATGAATTATTTTGCTCGCCCGGGACGATCCGTGTCATTGGTTCAAAAATGAAAAACACACAAGCGACACTGCATAGTTTCAAGCCAGCTGGGCGTTGCATTAGCTGAAAATACGCTCATAACTATTTCTCATATCCACGTTTCTGTTGCAAGGGAGGCCCTGGCAGAGTATTCCAGCCGTATGGTCGATGGGCTTGGCGTATGACACAACTTGCTTGCTCAATGGAGGTTGCAATACGCTTAAAGAAGCTTGTCCACCAACACGTGTTTATACTTGTCGTCGTGATGTAACCTTCAGAACTACTTGACTGACACTTTTGGGTCATGATGATGACGAGGGTGCGCAGGGAAAATGCGGAGAAGGCGGATAAGGGTGAGTGGAAGGGGAGGAAGAAGATGATTATGAGGAAGTTTGCTCCTCTCTGGCTCTCAACCAGTCCATATCTCACGTTTGTAGTTCTGTGTTGTTGAATTCATGCACTATTTCTCGTTAAAATGTGAAATTGGTTTGAGAGAGGGGGGGTTCTGGAAGCAGATAGGTTCAGCCAGTGTGCAGAGATGATGAACATAAATAGTGCTGCTAAGGGGTTGCACTGACCCGAGATGACAGGACAGAGGCTGTCGGGTCTCCATATGATACAGAGAACCAGGCGCCAGCTATCACTCGAGCTTGCGCAATACTAAGAAATATGAGAAGATCTGCTTCACCATGGACGTTGAACATGTTCCAATGCAAATTTTTTATCATCATGGGCCTTGCAAAGCTAGGGATGCCTCTCAGTATAGCCAAACATTCACAAATCAAACTGGCTCATCCCCCAGGCCCATCCTGTGGCAATGCGGAGGGTATCATCTATCGTATAACTAACTATACATTCCAAACACCGAACTCCTATTTGTGGCCTTGACTCCTGAGAAGCACGCGTGTCCCACTCTACTACATTACATCCTCCATTTCCTCATCGCCATCAAATTCGGAATCATCATCGTCTTGGTCGGGTGCCGCTTCTGCGGCCTGCGCATCTAGGCTGTCATCCTGACCGTACTCTGGTCTAAGCTCCCAGTGGTTGGCAAAGGGACCGCTCTTGTGCAAGACGGCCACCACATCCAAGTTCTCGCGCAGCCAGGCCTCGGGCTGATTCAAATTTTGCTTGAACGCCTTCAGTGTCCAGTACTTGTACTTCTTGAAGGCTGCAAAAATCTTGTCGCGGATGACAGCCTGGTCCAGACGGGCGGCTCTTTCTTGGTTCGCCTTTTTGGGCTTGGCCTTGGGATCGGCAGTACGCTGTGAGTGTTTAGTAGCTATTCGCATCAGAAACACACAACATATACTTACAACAAAGCCGCTAAACTTTTCGTTGCCTGCCGCAGTACCAGCATGGATGAGACCATTTGTCAGTACTCTAGCTCCTGCTAAGATGCTCGTCGTAGCTTTGGGTTTCAGTGCGTCACTTGCTCTCATGGCCAGGATATGCTTTGTTTCCGGCGTCATGACAGGCTGGCAGTTCAGCTCATGTCGGAATCTGCCGGCTAGCGCTGTCTTCTTGGGAATGGCTTTCCTGTAGTAAGGCTGGTATCGGGCCTTGCGACCAGGCTCGGTCTTTACATTGTTGTCTTGCGGTCGCTGCGGCGGCTTAGGTCGAAGATGTGCAGGAATATTACTGTTAGCACCTTGAGCCTTGGACTTGTAGCCAGGTAGGTCTTGCTCGGTAAACATGAAGGTGTTGAGCAGATTCATATCCCTGACCTCAAGATTGTACTCCTTAGGAACAGTTTGGTGCGTGGAATTGCCCGCATCGAGGAGCATGGCCAAGCGCGTATGTGTCTGGCCCTTCTTATCTGTTTCATCCCATTGTCGAATTGTACCAATCTGAATCTCGTCGTCGTCCTTCAGCTGGGCCCATTGCTCGTAGAGATACTTGGGTATGTGTGTTAAATACACACTCCCGTAGGGATCGTGGGGTATGTTCGGATCGTAGAACTCAAGGTCGCCAGCATCTTCGTAGATGTCGTCATCGATAGAGGCGACAGGCGAAGCCGTACCCATTCGAACATCCTCAGGGTCGGGTTTGATGGCGGGTTCTGCCTTGACTCGACCCGCAGACGCCATGATCGGTGAGTGCTTCAGGTTGCAGCAGTTGAGAATTGGTGTGTTTATTTGCCCTTACGTCGCTTCCTGATATGATGCACAGTGACAAGATGTGCAGCAGCTAAGCAGCATCACCAAAAGCAGAATGTGCAGGATGGACAAAGGCTTGAAAGAAGCTCATCAGCCTTTCGCAGGGGAAAGAATGCGCATGCATTTGCATTGGAGACCCACATTGAATTACATAATCTTAGATTGTCAGACACTGCCGTGGGGAGGAGCCGCATTCACCATTTCGTGTCTGGACAAGATCACAGTCAATACGAGTCTTTTCTTTGTTATGAATGATTTGAATTAAGGACGGGAGAAGGAGTTGTGAACAATTTCTGATATTCATTTTGGACATCCCTTGATCTGCATTCTGTACGAAATTCCCTTGGAGCTGCTGCTACTTCCAGCTTCATAGCATGGTTTGTAGTTGCCATTATTGCAAGAGTCGTGGCACGTGCAGAACCGCGCCTACCATTGCCACAACAATTGTACCTTTGAATATCCCGTTGGCAAACTGAGGAACAACCCCTCGCTGAACAAGAAATATTATTCCTACCAGATAAAAAGGACAAACAGGAGTCAAGTAGGGTATCCTGATCAGCTTTTTTTCTTCTCTTTTTTTCTCCTGGCTTTACGTGAACAGCTTCCTGATCAGGAATTGCCACTCTTTACACCTAAAAAAAGGTTGCGCAATTTTAGGTGGCGCCAGGTACTTATTTAGCCACCCCTCTGAAGTTCATAAGCCTAGCCGAGTTTTTCACCTTCATCTGAATCTTTATTTGGCAATTTCTGTTACTCACCACAGCCTCCAGCAAGCATGTCGACACAAGAGGAGCTCGATCTGATGAACCGAATCAGCAGCCTAGCTGGTACGTAGAACTTGGTTCGGTATTCTCTAATTGCATTCACGAACAATTTCAGGTCGAATCAATCGTCACAAGGCTCAGCAGAATGACCCATCAAGTGGTTTTGTGAACCATCCTCCCCCGAGCTCGAATTACCGTGGATCCTTCCGCTCAGCCCCATATCCTCGTGGAGGCTACCGCGGCAGTGGTCGTGGCCGCGCGCCGGTTTACCGAAACAAGACGCTGGTCTTGAACGGTCAATCGCAAACCAGTCCTACCGACACGAGCGAAGCGAACAGTCCATCTTGGGTCTCGAAGACGGATCGCCATCTTCAACTGATCAACAGCGCAGTCTTCGAGAAAGAGTCGCAGAATCGCACTCAAGCGATCGAGCAATCTCTTCGTCAGAAGCGGCTCCAGAAGGACCGGACGGAGAAAACTCACTTTGCAAATTATCTGCGCCACAACGCAAACACCGCATCATCATCAAGCTCTTCTAACACAAACTACGAAGTCACAGTAGATGGCATTCGTTTCCAGGTCACCAAGCAAGGCAGTAAGCTCATTCGAGCACCCAACAATCCCGCTTCAACCACTCCGCGAGTCGCCACAATTGGAGGTGTTAAGTTCCATCGCACCAAGAATGGAAATCTTGTGAGACACGGAATCGCGAGAGCCCAACGGTACGTAATTCTCGTTGGCGAGAAACGTCCACTGACCAGAAACAGGCTGGCTGGTGGAATCAAGAAGGTCGATGTGCCGTGCAAGACCTTCTCGTGGACTGGTATTGTCTTCTCCAAAACTTGAGATCGCCAACCTTGCGACGACACTGCTGGATGCGGTGTGGTAAGCCCCCTGAGCCGCGTACTAACTGCCCTTTTGTCCCCATTTAGGTTCTTGCCCCAAGGGTCCCCTATGCCGATATACCCACGACCCCACGAAAGTAGCCATCTGTCGAGATTGGCTCGTGAAGGATGCGTGTCAGAACGGCGAAGCTTGTGATCTCGCCCATAACGCTGCGGAAGAACGAACACCGCTTTGCTTGCACTTCGCGAAGGGGCGGTGCAACAACGCTTCATGTCCCTACGTTCATGCCGAGCACTTGCAGACGGATCTCGTCTGCGGGGCGTTCGGAGCGTATGGATACTGTGAGAAGGGATCGCAGTGTCCTGATCGCCACGTGTTCGAATGCCCTGATTTTTCCAACACCGGTGTGTGCACGACGAAAGGATGTAAGCTTCTTCACAGAGAAAGGGCAAGCGTCCTTCGGAAGGCTGCAGATCACGCAATGGACGACGTGTCGAGCGACGACGACGACACTGGTGGTAGTGAGGACATAGATTCCGATGAAGTAGAGGAGTTCATCGGCACTGATGACGTGGAGGATATGGACTTCTCGACGCAGATGGACTACATCGGCTTTTAATAGCCATAGCGCAAGGCGAAGCGAGCTATTACGGTGGTGCAATCCCTCGAGGAAGCGCCTGTGATAACTGGACGCACTAACATTTTAGGTCTCTGTAGCATTCATTGCCTGGAGGTCGCACAGCCGTTGCAGCCACGCTCTGATTCATCTACATATTGATGACTTGACAAATGCTTGGAATTTGAGGAGAACTGCATGGCTGCATTTGGTTGGCGTATGAAGCACCGCCTTGTTCGTACTTCCACTTCAGTGATACCCTGCAACGACATTGTTCGTCCCAAACTTGTATGGATACGATACCCCAGTGGTAGTCGTACAGACGAGAAGAAGCATAGGAAGATAGACAATTGAAAAATGCACGAAATTTAGTTAGCCCATTTCGCTTGCAGTGAGGCCCATTGCGGGGCGTGCCAAGTCAAGTGATATTATTTGTACGACGGGCCTTATTTGACTGGGCGACCTTGCACAACTCTCCGCCCCCCCCCCCCTCCTCCCCTCCCCCCTGAGCCTATGACGGAAGACAAGACGAAGACTAGTCCTATATTCCCATGTCGTTTACTGCACCTTATTCTCACTACATGTGGGCCAGTCATTTTGGCACCGGGTTTGAGTGGTTTCAGATTGCAGCTGCAAGCCCCAACGTTGATTAAAGCGACCAGCATCTAGGCTCGAGCTGCTACGTAATTTGCATTGTTAGGTATTGCCAGTGGACAAGGTCATTCGCTGGCTGGCCACTGCAATCTTCAGGAACGGATACTAGTTGCTAAGCGCTGACTGCCCATTGTGGAAAGACAAGTCCAACCAAGACCGGTTACGGTGCGGTCGCGCTGCAAGAACTGCTTGCATTGCCCAGTCTCGCTCAGCCACAAAATGGGTGCCCGCTTGCACCCGCTGTTGGACGGCGTGGCCGCGGAGCTGAAATGACTTCAAGGGCCAAAGCACGGCGGTCGACTGACGAACTTGGCAAACTCATTGAACTCGTTGGTCTATTCGGTATTTCCTGGTATTGTACTTTTACTACCTCATTCTACGGCAGTCAGTCCGCTTGCGATCTCACAGTTTGATCCAAGTCTTGTTGGGCAAAGCGACAGCCACAATCAACAAGTCAACCTTGCGTTTATTTCCACGCTGCAACCATGGGTCTCCGTGAGATGCTCAAGAAGAAAGATCGGCTGGATGATGGTTACTCTACCGATCCCGAAACGGTGGGCAGACTTGCCGCGCCCGAGTTCACTTTCATCCGATCAGACACGCACACGCAGGAGGTCATCTACCCGCCGACGGGCCCGGAATCAAACACGAGCGACGACGACAACAATGCTTACCTGACGGCGCGGGACTCGGACAGCGGCCGGCCACCGCGCCGCAGCCTTGACGTCTTCAAGTCCAAGCCGCGGGCGCGTGGCAGCAGTGTTTCCTCGGTCAAGAGCGAGTCGGGTCTGGGGTTCAAAAAAGAGAAAGACAAGGATAACGACGACAAGAACGACGCCGGCGCGGGTAACGGTGGCAGGATGATGAGGCCGGCGTCGACGACGAGACGGCTGTCGCAGCGGCTGCGTCTGTCGCGCCAGCCCAGCACCTCTGAGTACGTGCCCGAGGACCTGCCGCAGATCCGCCTGCCGCTTGACGGGTCGGGGCTTGACAAGGAAGTCGCCGAGCTGCAGTGGGAGAACCGCGCCACTATGCTTGCCCAGCAGAGCGAGAAGAAGACGCGCAGTCGTTCGGCCTCGCACTCGCCGGCGCCTCAGATAGCCAAGCTGAACTTGGGAGACGATGCTGAGAACGGTAGTAATGACCGCGCGGCGCACGGCGGAACAAACAGCGGCATCGTATCGTCGCAGCAGACAGACGAGGATATACAGGAGGCGATCCGGCTGCACGAGGAAGGGTCGCTCGAACAATCTACCCAGTTGTTTGGCCGGCTTGCTGACCCCAACGGGGCTAATAATCCCCTGAGTCAGGTGTTGTATGGTCTTGCCTTAAGGTGAGTCTTAATCTGCCCTTCCATCACTGTTTGCTGTGCCACTCGGCCAGCTCTACGCAGAACGCCGCCTCCGGCACAAGATTCCCCGTGATGTTGGGAGAAGGCAAGCATCGTCGAAATCTGAATGGCAACGATCATATGCACATGTACGGGGCTGACTCTCGACAACTATCAGACACGGATGGGGCTGCATACCAGATCCGGAGAATGCTGTGACGTTCCTCTCAGCAGCGGCGTCCAACGCGGCCGTGGTCGAGAACATGGCGCTGCAAGCCGGACTGAGGAAGGGAGGCGCCGCCAAGGGAGAACTCGTCCTGGCCATTTTCGAATTGGCCAATTGCTTCCGGCACGGCTGGGGAATCAATAAGGACCCCGTAGCAGCAAAGCAGGTGCGTCTACATCGTGATAGGGACATGAACGAGAGGGAGAAAAGAGAGTCATAGACACTGCGGCATGAATCGATCGTTGGGAGGACATATGGCTGACAAATTACCTGCGCGTAGTACTACGAGACCGCTGCCAACCTGGGAGACACAGGTAAGTGGATGATAGCTAAGACTGGGACGCTTCCTCCCCTACAACGGCAAAATTCGCAATAGGCTGACAAGCTTGTTTTCCGGTTCCAGATGCCATGAACGAGGTCGCTTGGTGCTATCTTGAAGGGTACGGCTGCAAGAAAGACAAGGTAGGTCACGTCAGGCACGAAAGCGTTTTACCATCTTCCCAGCACCTTCCACGCGTCACCTGCCCTGTTTCCGCCAGAAGCTGAATGACCACCTCGTTTCGTTCGTCATGATCCCATGGGAACAATGAGCCTCATTGCTTTGGGTCGTACGGCTTGCTGGGCCTCCTGGCTTTTCGACCCTCGGGGCTTCAGTCTTGTCCTGTAGGAAGAGCCGGAAAAGTCCCGTGGGATGGACTGGGCAGGGTGGCATGTTTATCATGATCTCGGTCGTTGGGCATCAATGAGGTTAATGTACCAGTTGCCTAAATCGAGATTGGGCGATCGATCCGGGAACTTGGTTTCTTTTGTTTCTCCCTCCCCCTAACCAACCCCACGCCTGCGGCACACCCAACCAAGATCACATGAGGCTGACTCCATGTCCTTCCCCCAGTTCGCTGCGGCTAGGTACTACCGGTTGGCTGAAAAGAACGGAAACAAGACGTTGGGTAATTCCTGGTACGTTGTCATCTTTTTCCGTTTCACGACGCTTTTGTCCGTTTTACTTTCAACCGTTTCGTTTCCCCTGTTGTGTATTGTGGCGCCGGCAATTCGAGCTGCAGGTCGTCGCAGATGACTGGTGCGAGGCGCGCTTGATAGGTCCTCGCTTGCCCTCCGGACTTTCGCCTTACCCTTGGGTCTGGATTTATGGCCGCCTCTCCTTACTACCTACCTATTTACCTACCTGCTCTCCCAACCAATGGGTTCTGTCCGCGATCGGTCCTCCTGATTGGAGGCCAGACAAACCACGAGCACTTCTCGTGTTCGACCCGGGGCAGCGAGTCTCCTTTCCCCATGGTGATGCCTGTCCTATGAAGTCGCTGGACATCTGACGCCATTTCTATTTGGCTTTAATGCCTCATGTTCTATTTCTGTATTTTTCGTCAACTCAAAGCCGAGTCTTGCGTTTAAGCTGTTGCAGTTTGGCATTGGCTCACGAAGAAATTGCGCATATAGGATTTACAAGGACAAGTACGTGCAGAATCCGGACGGAAAAAAGAAGTAGCCCATGGGCGACTAGCATTATGGCGATTAGCAACGCTTCTGTTAGCTGGCCGGCCGGTCGGTCGGTGTTGCAATCAACAAAGATCAGGCGGCACTCACATTGGCTCTCTCCGTCTCACTCGACAGGGATGGGCACAAAGGGGGGAAATAGTGAGCGAGCACTCATTAGCCGTAGGCGAAATAGCCTGCTTCGTCCCAGGTTGGTTGGTAGCCCCAGGATGGGATGGATGGAATTCCAAGTACATAGACAGACGCTGTGCAGCGTTTTTCTGCATACGATGGATTGTGCAGGGGAGGAGGTAAGAAGAAGGAAAGGTATCAAATGACTAGAATATGAGGGGGCACACACTGCATCATAGGCATTTGGTGGTACTTTGGATTGCATTATCGGAGGTTCGGGATCAGGTTAGGGCAGGTCGGGCTCGCTTTTCTAATTGTGTACCGGGATTGAGATTGGATGGGGAAAAAGGGAAAGGCCAAGGGCGTTCTGTCTCTGGGTTGGTAATCATCGTTCGATTGAATAGTCTTCGATAAAAATGCGACGGCCACGGGGGCTCCAAGGCTCTAGCTCTCGCTCTGTGCATCGCCACTCGAACGACGTGAGGTGGAACGAAGATAGCCTGCTAGTCTGGGAGCGTCTGCTGCCGTGGCTGCTGCTATTGAGCAGAGCGCTGACCTGACCCAAAATAGACCGGCCGAACAACCGGCGTTGGAGCAGCAGCAGCAGCTCGCCAGACTTCCTTACATGCAGGGCCAATGCGGCAACTTATTTCCTCCATTTACTGCTCGTAGTTCGAACAAGCAGGGCCAAGAGAGAGAGAGTGGTTGAGTGACAAATACCCCCCCAAGACCGAGACGGGAGCACAATTATATTTATCTGCAACAAGTATAGTCACTCAAACGTTGCACCGAATATCCACGTCTTTACCACCACCAGGGGGCAGCAGGTTCGAAGGAAATCTGCAACTGTCACTCGCGCTTATACGCGTTCCAGGGGCGGGGCAGTGGTGTGTAACGTGTAACGGCCGCCGGTGCTGCTGGTGCTGATCATGATCATACGTAGGGCTCGTTGTGGCTTGTTCAGCTGTCGGGAATTTTCTTTTACCTGGCGTCCTTTCTCAGATCATGGCTTCCATGTGCTAACCAGGAAGGATTGGTGGTGCGACCTGGCAACCGCCTGGTTGCCTTATAGAGTAACCCGCCACATGTCAAGTTCGACTGTTATCTTATTTCCTTGTCTTTCCCGTCTTCTGCCTCTTTTTTTTCGTGTGCGGGCAGAAAATAGAAAGGTTTCGACCGGAGCCGCGGAGGCGCACAGGTGAGACGTACGGGCTGTACTCGGCGACGACGCCCGTATGCAGTGAGCGTGAGCATGGAGCAATGAGCATAACCAGGATGCCAGTTTGTGTTTGGGTATGCAAGCAGATAAGTGGACGGAGAACAGACGACGAGGGCAGGGCCAGGAGGCCACAGGGCTGGCTGGCTGATCACAGATTACAGATCTATGCTGTACCTTGCCGTACAGTATTATGTTTTGCGAGCGAGCGAGTTTTATGACTACCGCGCAGAAACAGAAAGGGGCCGACCATCGGAGGGAGTGCAGCGAAGTGAAGTGAGTGACCCAGTGAGACATCGAAGAGATCGAAAGAATGCAAGTAAGCGAATCAGAACCGAAAGTGTATAAACAAGCGAGCACCATCTATCTACAGGTTACGCAGCGAAGCGAAATTCTCGGAGGAATTTGTAAATGCAGACGGGGAATGTGGATGCGAAGTCCAGTGACCTTAACCGTCTGTAAGTACGTGCGAGGCGCGGATGTCTTCTGCCTTTCTTCTGCAAGGTTGGGCGTTCCTGGGGAAGATAAGTACTTTTAGTTGAGATCGGGAAGTGGAGTTGAGGAGTGCGAAGGAGAAAATCTACCAACCATTCATCGAAGAAGGTGTAAGTCGCAGGAAATGCACCCTTGTTCTATCGTGTCTTCCGGTATCTTCCCCCCGACGTTCTGCAGGCTATCGGCATAGACGTATCTGACTTACACGATGATCATGACGAATGATTCCCGGTCTTTTGATACAAGCCCAAGGACCTAATCGCCGATTCTGGGATGATCTTCGTAGGGCATCATTTTGGGATCATGCGAACTCTTTTGGTAAGCCCAAAGCAGGACAGGTGCCTGCTACATAGGGATGTATGTATATGTGTTTACATGCATGTCTGTGATCTGTGATTGAATTTTAGGTCAGGAGAGTATCTCTAATATTGCATCACCACCACCACCACCACCACTGCGCAGACAATTAGACCATAGCTGCCCTGAGTAGAACCCGTAGACCCGTCACCACACCACTAAAGCCCTCTCTGAAACATACCTAGAGAGCAGAAGAGGTGGTGGCATGTCACCCCGAAAATAATTGCTTGGTTGCCTACTCTACCTACCGGCTGAAGGAGACACGTTGTTATTTGGGCATCGGCCTGACTACAATAGCACCTGAATCATACCCCGCAACCTGACCTCGCCAGCTGCCCGCCACGAGATCGTATCACGCAGAAGAGCCAGGGCCAGTACGCTTCGAGTGCTCTTCGCCCCTCGCGTGGTGGGCAAGATTGCTGCGTATCTCTGAGAGAATGCCTCAGTTATCCCCCAACCCAGTGGAAAAGCTGCGCCAATGCAGGTGCTCTGCTTCATGCTTCTGCAGCTGTCTTACATCCCTTCCGGGCAGTCGCATCACCCACCCATTTCACCTTATCTTCAAGCATAGAATGTGCGTGGCTTTGTCTCGCACATGCATTTACAATCGACCTACCGACAGCGAATTCAAGGTCGGGCACACCAGCTGACGGCTCCTCCACCCCGCTAAGATCTGCCTGTGACGCAGCTGCAGAATTGGAGATGAAGGAGGGATGGGGACGTTACGATGGGAGAGCGAAAGAGAGAGAAGGATAAAGGTGCGTGCGTGTGGGTGTGTGGGTGGGTAATCTATCTAATCAACGCTATCCATACATGTAGTACTGCGGGGAGAGGACTGGCCGTCCGTAAGTCCGTGGGTTCATGTAAGTCAGATTCTTGACTAGCAGTGAGAGCCAGAATTGGCAGGTGTTTCAAGGTCCCAATCGGACATCACTTTTTTGAAGCAAGTATCGCGAAGATATGGAAGCATTTTTGGGGGAGTTGAGAATAGAGATGTTTTGTCTCTTACTTCATTGACAGTTTGGTTTGCTAGCTACAAGATTTTGTGGAAAGTTGGGTCACTGGAGCCATGCCTCCCCATCTTTGGCCGCTGTTGCGCTGTTGCGCTGTTTACTATTGTTGCCCTGCTGTCGTTTCTGTCGATTGGCCGATCTTCTCGTTCTCGTGATTCTCATATCCAAACAAAAAAAAAATTTGTGATGATCAAGCTCGAGCCTCTCCATATCGTTCCATTCGTTCGTGGTCGTTAGGAAAAACGTCAGCCAATGCCTCCAGTGTTTGTCCTCCCTGAGGACTGTCTGTGCCTGTCGTGAGACATTATCCATCATGCTCCTTCCTCCTCCGGAAAACCCCCCTGCCTTCGTGCATTGCCCTGTTCATAGATCTCTCTCTCTCTCCGATTTGTGGTGCGAGACGTAGGTAAGACGAAATCAGGTCTCCCGAGCTGCGGTGAGACTCCCAAATTACAAGCCTAAGTCCTGATCCCATAATCGTTATACAAGAAGCTGCTGGCTCAGCCAGTGTGTTTCCCCAACCTCCAGGTTCCCAATGCACCACCCCCTAAAAGTACGAGTATATTGCCCATGTTTGTGATACATGGGCTAACCCAAAGAATAAGAGTAAATCAGAGTAAAAATCAAATGCTGGCTCGCTTGCTAAATTCTTGACATAAATAGGAAAAAAAATAAATGAAATGGCGGAACAAAGTAGATAAGGTGTTGTCGGCGTGCGTGAGCAGCTTTTTGGTCTGGTAGCGCTGTGGGGCGGGTTGAAGTGTATGAATAGGAACCGAAACAATGAAGTAAATTTCAAATGACATCATATTCTCGTATCTTCATCAGGAATTCGAATCGGCGCCGTGGTGCGAGTTGGCATCGGCCACCATCTTGGCGAAGTTCCTGACAACGTCGCCCGGGATCTGATCCCAGAGTAGTGATCTGGTGTATACTTCGGCCGCGGATTGTTTGTCGTTATTGCGCATAGAGGCGAGGGCGTCGGCGAGATTCCGACGGCCCTGGCTTGTTGAACGCGTGGGCGGGTTCTGAAGGAACTCCTGCGAATTGACTCCGTTGTATTGCGCGGCGGTGAGAGAGAAGAGTTGCTCATTGGACTGCTCTTGCGTCGGCTGGGTCAGAGAGTCGCTGAGATGGCCTAGCATGGACGGAGCGACGCCGTGCATGTTGACCGACGATGCCGAGGCCCAGTTGGCTCCAGAGGGTTGAGGAGCGGCAGGGCCCATGACATTCTCGGGGTTTTGGGCAACACCGGCATCCTTGAAGATGTTCTCGAGGAGGGTAGCTGAGGCCTCTCGCACATCCTCAGACACGCGCGGGATACTCGGGGTCGATGGCGACCGGTTCGAAAGGACGAAGGCGCCGACGAGGAACAGCATAAAGAGAAGCCCACCCTGAGTGGACGGTTTGTCGACTTCGGAAGGCAGATTGACCTCTTGCTTCTTGGTCGGGACGATCTGCACCTCCTGCTTGTCGTCTTGTTCCATCTGGAAGTCACCCATGAAACCCATGTTATCCCACGGCGCGTCCATGGTCATGCCCTCCATCTCATTGAACGAGTTGGAGAAGCCGTTGTTGTTGGCCATGGGCGCACTCTCGAGTCTCTGGACATGGTCGGTGAGCACGCTGACTTTCTTGCGCAACTCGCCCGTCTCGATGGTGTGATTTGCGATCAGGTCTTCCTTCTCCATTCTCAGATTCTCCACCTGGTTTTGGTAGAACTCCTTCTCACGGAACATTTGCTCGAGCTTCAAGTTGAGGTCGGCAATTTCTTCCTCCATGCCGCTGATGACGACCGTGTAATGCTTCTTCTCATCCTCGAGGCGTTCCGTGTGCATCTTCTTCCTTTGCCTTGAGTCAAGAGCGGCCTGTCGATTGCGCAGAAGACGTTTCTGCTGCTTGAGCTCCTTGATCTCCTGCTCATCCGTCGATTGGGCAATCAGGTGGTCAATGTTGCTGAGATTCCGTTCGGCCGGAATATCGAACCTGGCGTTCTTTTTCCTGATGCCGTCGCCGCGCCGGAGCTCATTATGAGACCGAATCGTGGGGCTCCCAGGACGCATCCGCTTGGCCATGGACTGGTTCTTCATGTCTTGACCCATCCAGTCCTTCTGCGGCGATGTGGGTATCGAGTGGTTTTGGGATCCAACGGCTGGGAAGAGTGCCACCTGGTTTCCGGGGTTGCTGAAGGGGGTTTGCATGGGCAGAGGGCGCTGGAAGAGAGAGGCGTTGTCGTACTCAGCAGAGAGGGCGTCGTACTGTTGCAGGGGAGTGCATGTGCCGGAAGCCTGACCCAGAGACCATTGTCCTTGCGCGCCGTATGCTTGTGACTGATCAACACGTGTGAATGGGTTGTTGTTGCTGTTGTTGTTGTGGTGGTGCTGGTGGTGAGGTTCCAGAAAGGGGTTGTTTGAGGGTACGGATTGCATGTCGACCGACTGCCAGTCTTCCGTCTTGGGCGAGAATAACGAGGATGAGACAGCAAACGAATCCCTGCGGCTGTTGGCCATGGGCGGTGACATTTCCAGTCCTGAGTCTATGGTGCTGTGATCCAAAATGTTGTCGTCAAGGATGCCGTTGTCTTCTTCTTCGAAATATTTTTGCGCATGAGAGGTGTCAACGGTGAGCGGGCTAGACCTATAGTAAGCCGGCATCTGGTATTGCGCCACCATTGCTGGTCTTTCTGTGGGATGTTGATAGAGAGTGGGACTGGAACTGGCGGGTGTCTTCGAAGAGATCAGGATTGATCTATATTGTCGTGTTAGTGGGCTCTAGCGGTGTGTGGGAGAACCGACAGTGGGTTCGCGAGTTGGATGAGTGAGTATGCGAGGGGTTGTGTGAAAAATAAAACCAACAGCAAAGACGCAGTGTTGGGCTATTCAAATTGAGCTCGTCAGAGTGTTTGCGAAATTCTGGCAGTCACGCAATACGTCGACTTTGCTCTGAACGGGTTCAAGTTGTCTGCGAAAAGAGACACAATGGGATGGGCAAGTCTCAGAAGACGGGATAAGGTTCCGTGATAAGAGGCTGGTAACTCTGGCGGGGAGAGCGGGAAGTCGGAAGATTTAAAAGAGAAGGTGGGAAAAAGCGGGTTCAGACTCACTCTCTTCGGTTCGTGCTTCTTGTATGTAGATCAGGGTATAGTACTCTGAGCTCTGGCCGGGTTCTGTTAAAAAACCAACGCGGGCAGAGGAAAATGATGGTTATGTGAAATTGAAGTTCGCGCTGAATGTTCGACAATCACAACAATGGTGATGCTAAGTTGTTGCCCTCTTTATGATGGGGGCGGATGCTGCTTGTTGCTGCTCTGGTGGGTTGGTGGGCTGGAGGAACAGACTCGTACTTAAACAGAGCGATATGATCAGGTCAGAGCAAGGTCAGGTTTTCTGACTCCCAGATTCGATCTAGAGGTTACGGAATCGGGGTACAAAGTACGAGAATACTGCCATGGCTCTCTAGTGGGGAAGCAGAGTCCGCAAGACCAGAAACCGACGAACGGAAGTGCTTGTACTTGGCATGGCGGGTGGGTAGATGGTGTGGGAGGAAGACGTGGGTATGACCATATCTGGTGTGGCAGGTCGACTATGCTACCAAAATGCCAAAAACAGGCTCCCCGGTTTGCATACTGGACTCTAGACGAGCCAAGAGAGAAGGACACTGGTGCGCTCTCCGCGGTCAAACGTAAACGGGTCCTTGCCAACCCAACCCGTTGGGAGAAACGGCAGAGGCATGGACCGTGAGAAACGTAGGAGCTCTACTTGGTAACTTGCACCGCCATACCCTACGAGAGGAGGTACAATTGTACTTAAAAGAAACCCCGGAGGTTGAAGCGAGCGGGAAGTGCACAAGTCGAGCTCAGGCCAGGGATTGGATACCTGTTGGCCAAGTGCAGCCGGACCGGCCCTGCGACAGTAGGGCAGACAGTAAAACCACCCCTTTGGCAGTGCACGCCCTAGCCATGAACCACCTTGAGGGCACGCGACTGGACGGAGCCAAACACGAGCACCGCTACACGGACGGTCTGGGGTAGCAGGAAAGTACCGAGCTGCCAAAAGAGTGCAAGGCCAATAGGCCAAGCAACGAAAAAGCAACGGTTGGGGGGAAGGAGCGAGTACATAGCTTCGTACATAATAGTCGCGACAGCCCTGCCGAGGTTGGGCATCAACGAGCAATTGATACCTAAGTTCCTTTGGGAGCGCGCCTAAGGACCATCACTCCCAAAAGCGCCCACGAGCACTATTTCCCACCCACTAACAGCCACTAGAAGGCATCTCAGGATTCCTATTGCTCAGCACCTGGTGGGGTGCACTTGACAATTGCTAGGCACTGGTCATCAACAATTCGCACTGCAAAGACAGAACACCAGGCCGGACGGAGCAGGGGCGCGAAGCGCAATCGATCGATACGGACAGACAATCTGTCTATCTCTTCGACGCCATCAGGCTGTGCCGGCATCATTCTGGATATAACACCTTTGGGTCGAAATGTGATTGGGGTGACTGTCACCGGTGCGAATTAACGCGATGATCGTGTTTGGTTCCGAACGTGACGTTGGAAAGGGAGATTGTATTCTCCCGGTTCTTAGAAATGGGGCCAAAGTTTGAAATCTTCCGGAAGCTTTCCCGGTTCGGTCTGGCAACAGCTAATTCTACCACTCAGCGCCGTAACGCCCTGACTCGCGTGTGCAAGTGTACACCGCAAAGGGTGTCACATGACATGGCTTTTGGACTTCAAGTCTTCTTTTTGTATACTCCGTACCTAGGTATGATATGATTTTCACTGAGTTGGGAAATTGGGCCGACGTGATCAGTCTTCTGATATCATAGCCACCTTGTCGCGGATATGATTCCCAATGGCTCGGAGCATCACCTCAGCATTATCTATGGTTCTGAACTACACCGACGGGAGCCCTGGATGTTTCGAGGCTGTTCCGCCGTCCGTGGTGTCGGTGTTGTCGGTGTTCATTATCCCAAGGTGACGATGACCGAGTAAGCACCTTGTTTCGCATTCGCTGCATCTGCCTGCTTAACGCATCAACGCTATTTGATATCATTTTGGGTAGTGCATGAAACGCACAGTACTATCAATCAATGTGCAGCATGCTTCGTTCTTCAACTCCACACTTGGGCGATCTGGTGTGAATCTCGTTCGGGACACGGAAATGTCACTTGTCAGATATGTAACAACCGAGACCGGGAGACTGGAGTAGGATCTTCCAAACCCTGCTAGGCCCAAAGATTCATGGCTCGTCTCCATCAACTCCATCAACTCCATCGCCCCGCTGGTCCGTGGCTTCATCATTCGTCTCATAAAAGACGGTGAGGTCTTGTGTTTGTCGAGTCGTCGAGATATTTAAAGTCAAAATCCTCTTACTTAACGTCTAGTTCCTCTCACACCGTCGACATGCGTTGGGGAGGAAGGCAATATCCACCTCCCAAGCTTGGCGACTGGCGCGAGGTTGACGTGCAAACATGGAGCCTCAACGAAATGTGCACAGGTGGCGGCCAGGATCCGATTGAGCAAAATAGGCTCATCCTGACAGCGGGCGAGCGGGCTTTTGATGGGCTTGCCTGGGTTTGGCGTAAAATTTCTGGAATAGCGGATCGAAGAATTCAGAGATAGCAGGTATCAAGGTCATCCCAACTTGAAGCCTGGATTTACACCTCTGGTCCTTGTAGACACCGCCAAATTATGAGTAATAACCAAGGCACGACCAACCCGCCGCATTGCCGCATTGATAGCGTAGATGGGATGGGCTGAAGTCTTTTTTTGGTGAAGGAAGGGGCGAAATGACGCAAAGGATGAGTGCTGGGCCTCAAATGGTATGGCGTAGGTTTGAGCTGCCAAACGAGACAGTCACCGGGTGATGAGGTCCGGCCTAAACGGCGGCATCACTGATGCGGCAATCCAGCGCCCCCTCTGTATGAGGCCCATCGTGTCGTAAAATTGTATGTCCATGACGAAGGCCGACTATTAGGCGCGCCGATGTCAACAGGAAGTGTCGAGTTTCATCCGAGCTGCGCTACATTCAGAGCAGGCAAAATCTTTCACCGCACGGTGAGTTGTTTGCCAATCGGGGAAAAAAAGAATGCACACTCATGCAAGGCAGTAGAATGCAGTCGGGCTGTAGTTTCCAGCTTCAGCCTGGTGTGAGAACGCGTGGGATGAAGCGCGTCAGATGAAATGGAACTGTAACCGATGTGGCTCGCCCTGATCGGATGATTGGATCTGAATGCGCAAACTTGGCGGCCTGTCGTAACAGACCGTGACAGGCGTGGTTATGCCTTACAACTTCCGCGATTACCATCATTGATCAATCCACGCTCGTAGAGAGCATCAAGGTGGGACTTGGTCAGGTCTTCGTCTCGAACCAGGGAGACGACGCCAAACCGTGGTCTAGTGACGCATCTACCGGTTCATGAACAACTCAACTCTGCGAGTGACCCCAAGAGGGATAAGTCGTGGGTGTTATGCTTGTGGGAGGGACCCCAATCAGAAAAGTCACCCACAGGTACCAATAGAGCTTCGACGTCGGGAGCCAGTCAACTGTGGTTGAGCCCACGTTGGGCATGAACACCTGAACGATGTGACCATCGGGCCGGCTTTTATGCGACCAGGTCACACAAGATCACGCCCCGTTCTGGTATGATCTGACGGCTCAGGAGCCCAAGAGAGAGAGAGAGAGATCTTTATCATCGGCAAGTTGGATTTCAGTGGCATAATTGGAACGGAAATGGGATCCGTCGCAGGAACAGGGCCCAGGCGACAAGGGACACTCGATAGGCGGTGAGCATGTAGCTCTTGGATTCTATCGCCAACATTCTTCCACGGCCCCAGACACACCACAAACAGTCGATACAAAATAACAATCGTTGCCCAAGTGCCTGGCCACGCGGTAGAATGCCAGCTTCGTGATTAAGGGCTCCCTGTGAGATTAACGTAACTATTCTGACTTTTGCAGCCCACAGCACTTTATCCGAGGCGGCCTTGGCGGCCACCACTGCTGGCACACGATCATCTCGTGGAAGACATCATCGCCTCGCCATCAGAACAGCCAGGGCATTGCTTGTAGAGTCGAGATCGTGTGCTCACATCCGGTGCAGAGCTAGCGCGTGAGTAAGGTACCAGGCGTAATCGACCAATCGCGTGTGACACCACGTACTGAACCAAAGAACTCATGGATAGCGTTCGTACTCTGTCGCGATGTTTGCTCAAATGGACTGCTCGCTATCGTCCTGCTTTCCATTCTCATTCACCAGCCGGCACTTCGGACATAGCTACCTGGCTGAACTTGCCGAAACCGGTGTTTGCTGTCGAGGAGCTCCAGCCTCTTATGGCGGTGTAGCACAACCCCCTGCACATTACTCTTTCCTACAGATATGGTCCATGAAACTAACAGATCCGATCTTCGTGATTGATACCATTTCCTTCAATTATAGCCAGTCGTTGTGGAAGACCCTCAGGTTTCTGAAACACACTCTTGCGCAACCTCAACCTCGAAAATAGTCTCTTCAGTGTATTTACGTATGTGAAGTTTGGTGTCCAAAGGCTGGACCAGCAATAAGGGAGGCCGTGGAGAATGCAAGAGCTGTTCGCATCCGCACCTTGCATTCTCGTTCCCAGTGCGAGAACCTTCCACGGTATCATAGGAGCAATCAGGAACATTTTGACTACGGGTACCGCCTCTTCCCGTCTGGCAGGATTAGCGGTCGACGCAGCGCTGCCACTTGAAGGACCCGGCTGGACTGCGGATGGGTCGGACTGCGGGTAAAGTACCGAAACAGATCATCAAATCCGAGAGCTCTTGGTAACGCTTGACAGCTCACTTTTCGTCTGGCCACAGTGGTGAGTCGACTCGGGATCTTCCCTGATTGTGAAACCCGAACGTCCGGATGCCGGAAATATCCAGTGATTAGGTAGGCACACGGAGAAAAGAAAACCCGGGCGTAGGAGGAAAAGATCCGTGGTGGTTGTTGGATCTCCCTGTGAACATCATAGAAAATACGTTATCTGGGAAAAGCGGCCACACGATGGCTAGCGGACTTGCAGATGGGATAGGCCTAGAAGGAATGAAGTCATGTCTGTTTGGAAGATTTGCAATTCGTCTTCTGCATTTTGCAAGGTGTCACATGAGTTACGATAGAAGCTCACGACAGAGCATGCCGGAGCACAGCTTTCTGGCAGGGGCTATGGGTTGTGACCTGATTAATTGAAATCCCAGAGCTTGGTGAGGAGATTGGCTTCAACTCCAGATTCTGAATCTTGAGGCAAAAAGATTCTCTTCGGTATCATAAACTCCACCACTGGCGCTTTCTTGACGTGCTTCGAGAGCTCCGCGTCGAGGAGCTACAAACAGTGGTTAGTGACTCAAAGATCTTAAATATAAAACATCGGCAAATCTGGCTTACACTGCTATATGAATGGTCCAGGAAATCTTCCATGTTGTACGACTGCTTCGTGAATTGCTCCGATATGATTTTCGCGATAGTCGCAACATTCGGGTGGTAGTGCGACTGAAGCTGGACCACCTCCCACAAGCAGCTATCAATAGCTTGTGTCTCCATGGGGTCTTGCTCGTCGGCGATGAAAGGGTCAGCAAGCCCCTCTGTCTCTATCAATGCCTTATCTTCTGGTGTTCGCGGTACACGATGAATCATGAATGTGCACTGTGGGTGACTCTTGAACACATTGTAGATCCACGGAATCACGGCGACTATTGCCGCTGGTGGCGCATTCAAACACAGTCTGGATATCTTCTTGACGAAGCTGGCGACAAGGGCCGCCGGCAAATGAGTTGAGGCCAGGAAAGTTTCCAAGAGTCTCAGAAATTTTGATCTGTGTTTGGAGTGGAGAATGTCGGCATCCAGCAACGAATATAGCTTTCGGTAGAATGAAGGGTAGTCCAAGTTTCTGTGCTGTATGAGATAGTAGACACCGGAAAGAGCGAGCAACGACACGGTTCCCCCGGAGTCGTACGAGTCGGTCAAAAAGTCGGCAAGAAGCTCTGGTTTTGTGAACCAAGGTGCGATGGACGTTGTCATGATGCCAAGCACCTTCTTCCTTTGGTCTCGATTTGGCCCAAGACCCAAGAGAGCAAGCCAAGCTTCCTGTCCTCGTCTCTGGTGTTGGCTGAGTGATACCACCGGGTGGTTCTTCTTCTTTGGCGCATCCAGGTAGTATCCGCCCAAGTCCTCATTTTTGGCTGGTACATCTTCAAAGAATGAGAGAATATCAAACGCGTTGTCGAAGAGACTCTCTTTACAGCTGCCATGGTCCTCATTTGAGAGAATTTCTCTAAGCTAGATTAGATGGTGTACCGTTTGAATCTTGGAGCAAAGTTGTACGTACTTGAGTGCCTTGAATGTATAGAAGCGAACATCACGAAACTCGCCCACGAACTTTTCGCAAAACTCTTGGCGCATGTCTTCTGAGCCATTGAGAATGAGCACATCCACTATATCCTTCAAGAATACCTTGGGAAAGGTATATTCCTCCTTGTTGCTCAGGTATTGGCCCTCGGCTTTCAAGATGCGCATAGCCAGTGTCAAACCTGTTGTTGCTGTCTCATCCTGACATAACGCAGCGAGGATAACTTGTTTATATTCTCCAAGTCTGCCTTTGAGCCAATTTATAACCACAATCTCCTTCTCTGACTGGCCGCTGTTCCTCGTCAAGCTACTTGATGCTAGTAGTCGCAAGAAGACTCTGCATAGTGATATTGTCGCGATCAACGCCGATTCGGAATCGTCCTTCTTTTTTGCGATCTCCAGGAGTGCTGTTATATTATTGTAGTTCTTCCTGGACTCTAATATGTCGTTCTCGAGCAGCAGGATGTTGGCATGTGCATCTCCCTCGTCGCTGCTTTCTGACTTGGCTCGTTTCTTAGCCTTTTCCTCGCTTTTGGAGCGCTTCCGCTTCAAGGAGCTGTCGGGAACTTTTCCAGGCATCGTGATTGTTTATGCCTTCGGCAAATCGGTCGATGGTCGTTGGATGTTTCTGGTATTGAATTTCCAGAAAATTTTACCCGGCTAGAGATGGGAGCTGCAAGGCTGTCAGCGCGGCAGAGCTTCTGAAGTTTAATTATGGGTCAGCTTCTAGCGACAGCTGTTAAAAGCCGGCAGAGCCCAACTCAGACGTCGCTTCCTCCAAAATTGGAGCCACGTGATTCCAGTCGAAGGAAGTCGGCATCCACTCCAAAAGCTTTGGATCATTGCGGATCCGAAAATAGCCTCAGTGCCGAGCTGCAAACTTCAAACCTCAAAACCACATCACCTCTCATCTCACAATGGCCTCCCGCTTGGCTAGAAGTGCGCTTGGTAAGTATATATGTCCGATTCCCTACACGCAGGCGTCAATTGGGTTGATCGCAGCTCACAAACTCCTAGGGGCCGCGCGCCTCCGACCGGCTGTCTCTCAACGAGCGTTGCCGGCCTTGTCGTCCATCAGCGCGAACCGATACAACTCCAACGTGCCCACCGACCCCAAGAACAAGGCGCAATCCATCATCGACTCGCTGCCGGGCAGCTCGCTCGTCTCTAAGACCGCCATCATGTCCTCGGCCACCGCTCTGTCCATCTACGGTATCAGCAATGAGTATCTGGTCATCAACGAGGAGACAGTTGTCGCCTTCTGCCTGCTCAGCGTCTGGGGTGCGTTGATCAAGTACGGTGGTCCTATGTACTCGGAGTGGGCCCAGGCACAGAATGAGAAAATCAAGAACATCTTGAACGCCGCCCGCGCCGACCACACCCAGGCCGTCAAGGACCGGATTGAGAATGTCGAGCAGATGGGTGGTGTCATTGAGACCACCAAGGTTCTTTTCGAGGTCTCCAAGGTACGCTGAGAGAAAAAGTCACTTGAAACACGGCGGGCAACGCTGATTGCGTTTATAGGAAACCGCGCAGCTTGAGGCCCAGGCCTACGAGCTCGAGCAGAAGACTGCGTTGGCTGCTGAGGCCAAGTCCGTATTGGATTCATGGGTGCGATATGAGAGCCAGGTCAAGCAACGTCAACAGAAGGAACTGGCCGAGAACATCATTGCCAAGGTTACAAAGGAGCTGGAGAACCCCAAGGTTCTGCAGCAGATTCTCCAGCAAAGCGTTGCCGACGTTGAGAGTAAGTCTATGGTTCAAATTGGTTTCTTGACAAGTACTAAAGCAATAATAGGAATCATCTCCAAGCCTCAATAGACGGTGGTTTAGCGAATTCGTCCCAGGAAGCAGAGATAGTCACTTTGTCATCCACCCGTGTCTTTAACACCCTGTGCATTAGTCAAAAGAGAGCTTTCAGAGAAGCAGTCACGGATTCTCTTTTGTTGTAGTGCTTTGTATGTTACAAAACTCGTCTATGATCTATCTCTTGTGAACATTACATTGCTTGATTCACAGTAGAGGAACTCAGGCTTCGAAGCCTTGTTTCGGGGCGACGTTGGCTCCTTACTTAAAATGGCCTAGAAGCTCATTCTCTGGATTTTTGTCTCCTCCACAACGTGCGACAAGCTTCCGCTGCCGCTCTTGTGTTACCAATTCTATTTGGCCAAATCTGAAAGTATCAGGGTACCGCTGCTCATCCACCGTCACCGTCCCATTTCTTCAACAATCCAACTGTCCACTCCTTGAAATTCCTGTCGTTCGGCGGAAGATACTCGTTACTCTGCTTCAGAAGTTCAAACAGATCGTCAATTGCACTGCTGGGAAGCGTAATGTCCTGGACAACTGATGACATGCTATCCAGCATCTTATTAGCCTCGTCCTGTTCGACCATGCGGTACAACACCTTGACGGCTGGACAGGCCAGTCGACTGTCATCCCCTTTTGTTGCTGAGAATGTGATGTTGCCATTGAAAAGCCATATATGGAGAAGCCCGCTCGGCTGGCCGATTTGACCTTGCTGGAAACTCGTCCCAGTAGTTGCGGCCAAGGGCATCATTATTGACTTGGAACAGCCGGACCGGGCGAGTGTGGCCAGAAGTATAGAACTGACACAGTTGGCTAGAGTCGGCTGTGTGCGTGGACCTGAGTTTGCCGGGTTGCCAATAGCTAGTTGCCACTTGAAGAGCGAGATGGTAGTTTGCTCTTTGGTAACGCCTATCTCACTTTGGCAGTTACTGCAGTATAGAGATTGACTCTGAACCGTTGAGCCATTGGGCTCGTCACCGAGGTTTGAGTCTTGTCCATCGGCGAGAATAAGTCCCAATTTTGTCGATTGTGACGACCGTGTAAGCTGATGGGTTAGAATCAGCATCGATACAGCAGACTACAGTGTACTAAAACTCGAGGGGCATGGAAATGGACTACGTGGTGATATATGTGTTGATTCTGATTTGAACATGTTACATACGCAGTTTCCATTCAACCGGCAAATGTACCTCCGGCAAATCCCAAGATTTTCACGTCCAGAGAAAGTCTCAGTGAAAGTCCGAGGCGTCTTACAGACTCACAGATATCAATCCCATGGCTGGTAACCAGGGTTCGACACCTGAGGTCCGAGGTGGAAGACATAGATCAATCTAGGGTATTGGTATCGATGACCACGCCACTGAAATGCGTTGACACAGGTTTGGCCACCTTCTATATACCCAACAAGCAGAAAAGGGAAAATATGAAACGAAGATCGCACTTACGCTGGAGCCTAAACAATCCGCTTTGGCAAATAGAAAAGTGGTTATGTCGACGAAGCCCACGCCAGCCTGTCCAGAAATCTGTGAGTTGGCGCCGTAGCCTCTTGTAGACAGACTTTTGTCGTCGTGATGGCCATGATTATGTGGCTTGTGACAGTGCCAGAACTCCATCATCTCGGCCCAGTTCTCACTTGGAAGATCCTTCCAGATCTTAACCGTTCCCAGCAAGATGACTGTAGTCTGGCATGCTCGACAACATACGGAACCCTCTGGTTCCAGATCTTGCGCACACCAAGGAATAGCCTGTGAATCCACAGACCAGGGCACATTGGTGGTATAAGATAACGCGAGAGGCAACCGCCACGAAAGGCTTGTGGCTTTACTGCTTGCGAGTGGTAGCGTCGAGGGCGCCGCGACTCGTCCTGGAAGTCTCAGTGATGCTTCATTACCGTGGTGACGAACCAAAAGGCATGAACCATCTGCTGATATTCTCGCTGCAGTGTTGGCATCAGCAGGAGACGGTAGGGAGCATCCTATCGAAACTTGTCGAATATTTGACAGAAGCTCGGCATAAATAAGAATAGCCATGATTATCGCGCTTGGTGATGAGTAGGACGATTTTATTAGTGAAGGCCGAAGTCAGTTTCTCAAAGTATCTGGGCTGCCCGGGTCCAATTCGCAAGGTGAAGTAGAAGGTGCGGAAAGAGAGACCGCGAACTTTATGGGAAGCTGCCAGTGACCTCAATGACCCATGCCTTTTACGGCTAGCGCTCCCGCATTTTGCATCATAGACTGCCCCACTCAAACATTGAGGAACTTCAATATCTGCGTCGGGGAAGGCATCATCTAAGCGCACTATTCCTCAACGTATAACTACATCGTCTGAGTCCTCAGTTGATCAGAGAGAGAGCGCTCACGATAATTCAAGATGACTTCGGTATTATCATACATCCCAATCGTCGGCAGGTTTGTTCCCGACAAGGAGAAACCCCGATCCATCAACATCCCACCTGTTGAGATTCACAATGTGGAGACTGCACCAGAGAAACGCCCGAGGACCCTCAAGCACCTGCTAAGGGCCAACCACGTCAACCACTCCATCATCTATCACAACTTGCAATTTGAGAACCATTTGCCTCATGCTCTTTCTTCGGCGTACTTACTCGGGGCGGACGAGAAGCAATTGCACAATATATATGATGTACAAGCAAAATTCCTCGAGCCGTGGGTGCCGTCGCCGGCCGAGGTTACACAAAACGACTGGAGAGACTTCCTCGGTGACAAGCACTATCAACGGGCATACGTCGATTTCTTCGAGGACTGTTTGGTCATGAACCACAACTACAACTGGAAGGCATTGGTTGACGAGTTTATGTTCCATGGCGATGAGCCTTTGGTGAACGGTCTCATCGGTGGACGTATGTGTTCCTCATATACTCATCGGGTTGTGCTAACAGTCAATAGTTGGTCATCCCCTGATCCATTTGGGGTATGCTTTCGAGATGGACAACCGTGAGGTGGCAATAGAGGGACTCGGATTGGCGGCCACACAGTACAACTTCTTCCACAAGTATCTAGACGATCCGTCTTACACGAAGCCTTCTTCGTTCAAGTCCACGAACCCACTGGAGCTATTCGGTAAGATAGCCACCGACAGCCGCTTCGATGGGCTCTTCAAGGAACCCGGGTTTACCAACATCGAACCTCTGTTTGAGAAGCATGAAGAACTCGTGATGGAGTACTGGAATGCTTGGACTCTCGATGATCCTGTGAAACAATTCCAGGATTCGCAGGAGGCGGCAGTCGCCCTACTCGTTGCTTCTGTGCGCCCAGGAACACATTCCTACAATTTCTTCATATGCCATGTTCTTACGACAAGTCACGCCGTCAGGATACTCCTCCCTTTAATTCCATCAAAATTCCACATTAGCCTAGTACGCGAATGGTGGCTGTTAACACTTGCGGTTTACATTGCGGAGATGCGACCAAAAATCGACCCCGACTACGTTGGAGATGCTGCAGGGAAACAGTGGAACTACGTCGAGGACAAGGCTATCAATGGACCATGGAACACGGATTCCCATTTTGTCAAAGGTAAGTTGACAATCGTAGGGACGGCAATATGTTGATGCTTACATTTCACAGCGGTGCGAGCAATGAAGGAGGCGGCCAGGACCTGGGGCGATGTTCACGAACGTTATCTGGCAGCCGCAGTGCGATTTGTTGATGACTTTGAGGGCTGGGCGCATTGATCCGACGAGAACGAAGCAAAACAAAGTCGATAATTAAGAAGAGCAGGTGGGACTCATCAAGGGTTATGGTTGCGATCGTTGTTCTTTAGAGTTCGAGCATCCTCAGGAAAGGGGTAGGGCGACTTATGAATCAACATGGTTCACCACGTTGAACTGGTCAATTTCGCGAAGTTATCCAGTGAAGCACTATATGTAGTATAATTTGTGAACACTTCGTTACATGATGAAGTTTGGCTATACCTAAATTATAAATACGAGCAGGTGCTTCTGATGATCAATTTGGGTTGATCATTAACACCCACCTAAACGCGGAGGCTACTTTACGGCGACAACATGGAATTGTAGCAGAATGAGGATATTACACTAGATGATGAATTTTAGGTTACGGGTTTGAATACGGAAGATCGTTGAATTTTAGAAAACAAGGAACAAGACGGCCGAAGGTTTGTAATTAATGTAAAGAAACCTACGGGTTAATTGAAAGTCGAATGTTAGTCACATGAGAGCGCGGCGGCCCAGGACGCGCCACCCGTGGGCAACCGCACCCGCGATTCGCAACTCCAACGTCGTAGCTGCCTTCATCTCGCCCCAACACCTGCATCTTTGTTGTGTAACACAAAACCCTTAAATGGCGTAATTCTCTTCGCATATCATGACTCTAAAGTTCGATTCTTTTTCTATGTTGGCGCTTGATTGAACTGTGGAAGTATTCAATTCGTAATCTTTGTCCTCGAGCCGCACGTCGCCCTCAACCCAGCCGATGAAGTCTCGCCGTTTTTTTGCTCACTCGCAATGGCTCCGCCTGCGAAGCGCCGGAAGCGCAACGTTATACACTCGGAAGATGAAGCGGAACCGAAGCCTCAGGCAAACACCCTCTGCAATTTCTTGTTCTCCTCCCCAGAACAGCAAGACACATCTCGAGTTGCGTCCGCATCACCAAGCCCGGCCACGAGGAAACTCCCAAGGCCATCCGCGCCGGCCAGCCAGCCACGAAAGCCGAGTACCCAGCCTTTGCAATTGAAAGCAAACGGCGCGAGTAGAAATGGATATAAGACCACCAGCACAAGCCCGGAAAAGCCAAAGACCAGGGCGCCGAGGAAGGTCAAGGTTGAGGAGAAGGGAAAGACGGCCGATCTCAGGACACTATTCTCAAAGCAGGCAGAGCGTGCCCCAAACGTCTCGCCGACTAAGTTGGACGATATAACAAGCGATCCGATTTCCGACGAAGACACCATAGGAGAGCATAGGGCTGCGACTGCTAGCCGAGTCAGCAGCATTGCACGGAAGCGCTTCAAAGATGGAGGTCAGAATGGAACGGCAACGGTTAATGTAGGAGGTCAGAGGTTCCTGAAGCCTTCTCGGCCAACACGGGATCCAGCTCAAGATGATGAACAAAGACCGTGGTCGGAACGATTTGGTCCATTGAACCTGGACGAGCTGGCAGTACATAAGAAGAAAGTTGCAGATGTTCGAAGATGGCTCGAGGATGCCATGGCAAGGAGGATGCGGCAACGCTTGTTGATACTGAAAGGTGCTGCTGGGACGGGTAAAACGACTACCCTGCGTCTTCTAGCCAAAGATATGCGCTGCGAGCTGCTCGAATGGAGAAATCCTACAGGATCGCTTGGTGCCAATCTTGGCTATCAATCAGTTTCCGCCCAATTCGAAGAGTTCCTGGGCAGAGGCGGCAAGTTTGGCCAGCTGGACACAGACTTGGAAGTCCCAGTCGTGACGAAACCCGCCAACGAACCGAGTAAAGACAGTTTGCGAAAGATCATTCTAATCGAAGAGTTCCCGAACACCTTCACGAGATCTTCAACCGCATTGCAATCGTTTCGAAACACGGTCATGCAATATTTGGCTACCAACACGCCTTCCCTGGCAAACTCCGGTCAGCAATTCTCCAAAGGCCCTATCACGCCTGTAGTGATGGTAATATCGGAGACACTTCTCACAACTACATCGGCCTCTGCAGACAGCTTTACGGCCCACCGTCTGCTTGGCCCCGAGATAACTCGGCATCCCGGTGTGTGCATGATTGAGTTCAATGCAATAGCACCGACGTTTCTCGCTAGTGCCCTCGAGCTGATAGTCCAGAAGGAAGCACGCAAATCTGGCCGAAGACGAACACCAGGCCCACAGGTGCTCAAGCGATTGGGCGAAATAGGTGATATTAGAAGCGCAGTCTCATCACTAGAATTCCTTTGTCTCAAAGGTGATGCCGATGCGGATTGGGGATCTAAAGTGGCATTCACAAAGCTTAAGAAAGGGGTTAAGGACGGGATCTCTTTGACGAAAGGGGAAACGGACAGTCTAGAGCTTGTCTCGCGACGAGAAGCGAGTCTGGGCATATTTCACTCGGTCGGCAAAGTTGTATACAACAAGCGAGACGAGGTGTCTTTACCGAGTCACACCCCAGAAGGCAGAGCTGAGGTTCTGCCCAGCTACATGGCCCATCTTTCACGGCCACATCGATCTCAAGTTTCAGTTGAGAGTCTCATCGATGAGACAGGTACCGATACGCATACCTTTATTTCATCCCTTCATGAGAATTACGTCCTCTCGTGCGAGTCAACTGGGCCGGCAGACCCTTCGTCTTCTATTGATTATATGAACGAATGTATCGAGTACCTTTCGGAAAGCGACTTGCTCTGTCCGTCATCCGATGCGTTTTTTGGAGGACGAAATTTCGGGGCAGGGGGCTTCTCAGAAAGGGACTCGGGAAGCCATGTGTTACGGCAAGATGAGATTACCTTCGAAGTGGCAACTAGGGGTCTGCTTTTCTCTCTGCCAAATCCTGTGAAAAGGATCGGGACGACATCGCATAGAGGTGGTGGGGATGCTTACAAGATGTTCTACCCAATGAGTCTCAAATTGTGGAGGGAAAAGGAGGAGTTGGAAAGTGTCGTCGATCATTGGTCCACAAAGCTGTTGAAGGGAGACGAGGCTTCTCATAATCTCACCGATGGTGCATTGGCCTTTCGGAAACCCAAGTCTACCAACGTTGGGGACTGGATCAGTAAGCAGGCATCATTACAAAGGCCCAATAGCCAACGGAAGGACCTCGATCACGGGCAGACTCCGGCGGCGCCTTTACTATCCCTGGGAAGCTCAGCACGCAGAGAGATGTTGCTCGAGCGATTGCCGTATATGGCACACATCGCCCGGCAGCGGAAGTCCTCCGCCAACAACATGCGACTTAAAGAAATCGAGAAGATTGTTTCGTTTTCCGGTATCAACGGAGCTGCCGACGAGGAGGCTGCCGAGGGCGATGAAGCCAATGGTGCCACTGGCGAAGCGTGGGCTACTGACAAGCCTACTGAGGAGGCTTCACCGCGAAAGAAACGTCCGGGTATTCAGCTGAAGAACGACGAAACTGTGGCGGCGCTTCCAGTTCATGGACTGGTGTTGAGCGATGACGATATAGAAGATGATTGACGATCAACTAGACTAGGGCGAAACAAGCGTGTATTATAATCAACACCGAGACACTGTTGCTGTATAAAATGGGGTATAACTGGTTGGTCAGGCATGGTTGTTCAAGCCGGTACCTTGATGTTCTTTGCATGTAAGAGCTAGGCATAGCTGAAAAGGTTGGCAGAAAAACGGCATGTCTTAGGAGGACGAAAGTCGTCCCTAGGACTCAACCCTGCTTTCCACGTCTGGGACTTGCGGTGTGTGGGTGTAAGAATGCGAAACGTTGGTGCATTGTAATCCGTAATGCGGCAAACTTGCATTGCTCGCGAGTTCGAGACAAGATGCCACATTGAGCCAAAAATAAGTCGGACGACGACTAATCCAGAATACCTGCAGCTCACTCTGTCAAGCTTTGATGTCACCGGCCCACATACGGGCATTGCAGCCAGAGGTGAATTTAACTATACTTATCTCGTGTTGTACTCAGGTATTCTGGGGCCCTGGAACCCGATTTATACACTGAAGATCAGAGACTGGCTAGACTGGCTTGACTGACACAGAAGTCTGCGGACCTGGGCACTACATACCTACGTCAGCAAAATACGACAGGCCGAGCTCTTCGCAAGCTCGGGTATTTTGGGGGCTTTATTCAATATATGAATTAGATCTCGCTGTTACGAGGTGACTGACTGGGCTACTCGTTTCAAACTTACTCGTAGTGATATGTGAAACTTGATTTTTATTTCCTTTGCTTATAGCTTCATCTTCTCTACAATTATCTAATGTTGATGAGATCATCGTGTTCGCATATTGTCTTATGCCAATTCGGTTGCCTTCAGATTCGTATCTCGCATGAGTCGTATCCACCAACACCAACCATGCCCAGAATGATACTAGAAATCTGAGGGCTATAACTTGACTACTATCCCCCAAAAAGCTTCTACCTGAAGATTGCTGAGGGGTAGCACAGAGAAGAGGCTTGCGAGAGAGACTGGAATAGGTTGGCGGTTGGACTGACTGATCGCCCAACCATGACGACGCAATCACAAGTCGAGCCGATCCAGGATAACGACACATACATTTCTTCGTATATGAACCCTTCGGACGATTCAATCGCTGAATTAATGTTCCGCGGCGATTTTCTAGCTGTCGCCTCCCTCCTTCCTTACAAAAACCACCCCAGCTGAGTCGCATGTGTACCCTCTCCCAGTGATAACCCTTCTCAGATTGCGAAGCGAGTCGTCGAAGCTCTTGGTCAGGCGGGTTTTCCTGTGGTGGATGGTGGTGGACGAGCTAGGGAGATCCGCGCCGAGATTTATGCTTTGACTTGCGTGTGTGATAGTGCTAGTGGGAGGGATGATGTGGCTGCTGGCGATGAGGTTATAAAAACACAGTAGGGCAAGGAGAAGAAGGACCACTATGGCACTCGGCTCTAGGGATCGTTAGACGAGGTGCAAGCTCGACAGCGTGGAATCTCCACAAGGAGAAATGTAATGTGAGAAAGGGGGTGACGTGCGCGGAAGGTGGAAAGCGTCGCATGTCTGGAGCTATGAAAGGTTATAACACGAACAGCCTACCAGATATAAGACCACTTACACAAATTTCTACATAAGCAGCGGTAATAAGAAGTCCGTGTTCCTAATGTCCCTTTGCACCGTGTAACACTGTATAAAACATACAAAAAGCGGTTTCCCCGAAAATAGCCTTCTCGTACTAGACAGAGTCAACCCGCCTTGGGGTCTTAATTGTATACTCCAAATTAATCTTGTTCTGGCCGTGTAACTTAACCCTATCCAAGAACCCCTTTTCCAAATCCTTTTGCTGAACTTGGCCGTTATCCAAAAGTGGTTGCCTATTGTGCCACCAGCCATCTTTTTCTCAAGTAGTCCCCCGCTCTAGAAACACACACCCTACCGCAAGCACACTACTGCTTTCAACTGTAACTTCGCATTCCATCCCACCACACATCTGATCAAATCCCAATCACCCCCCTGCCCAACCCAGTCCGTAACCACAATGCCTGTCCGCGCATCGCCAATAGCCAGCCCAGCAGGCCCCTTTCCTATCGCGCCATGCCGCAAACACAGATACTCAATAATGGCCGGGTTAACCTTCGCAGCGATCTTCTCAGGCCAACAATTGGCGTTGAAGAAGTTGCTTGCCGTCAAAAAGTTGACGAAAAACGGCTTGTATTCCGGCGGCGCATCGCGGTGATTATATACCGGCTCACCGGCGCGCTCCAGATGGCCCCGCACAAGATCAATCTTCTTCTGCACATTATGGCTCTGGTCCACGTCGTAGAAGTCCTGGACGCGCGCGATGCCGCTCCCCGTCATCTCGTCGGCGCAGTTGTCAGGCCACTGGCTGCAATCCAGACCAAAGCCCGTGCCACCGTTTTCGCCGTCCAGAACGGGATCGTTGGCGTACCGGCGCAGGAGCACGATTTTGCCTCGGACCTCGCCGAGTTTAGGAATATACGATTTGGTAAACCACTTGGTACCGTCGTTGCAGTACCGCTCCTTGAGGTATTTAGAGAGGTGGTGATCGGTACCTCTGCCTGTGCCCTCCCGCTTGACACTCATGATGAGCGTCTCGGATTTATTGGCATCCAAGAAGGCGTAGACGTCCTTGAGCATATCGTGAAAGTACTTGTTGCCCGTCAGTGAGATGGGGAACGCGCTGTGGACTAGACTCAGGTCCGAGTTGTCGATGTTAACTGACACCCGGATGTCGAAGAAACGCACGCCGTTGTCGAGCTGCTCTCGCACGTTGACGGCCTGGCATCGCACTGAGGGAAGGGCAACGTGACAAGTTGGGCTGTTGTGCGTTCCTGGAATGGACAGGGCTGTGAGCGGGTAATCGCTGTGCAGCTGGTTCATCCAGCTGGATAGATGGGCGGAGCTGAAGATGGCGAGACAGCTGCCCGACTGCACGTACACGCACGTGTACTCATTGGGCCCATCGTCCAGCTTCTTGGCGACACTGCACCGCGGAGAAGAGCTCGGCGCATCGATTTGGTACCGGTGACCATCGGACTCGAAGGTCAATCTAAGAACTTCCCGGCCCGGGTCCGCTGCGCGTATGTCGGTCTCGCGGGTTTCAAACTTTCCAATGGGGATCATGACCTCTTTTCGATCCCGGACGTCGCCCTGGGGCTGCACATGGGGGGCAACCGATGATGAGTTGAAGATACCCGTGATCCTACTCGTGAAGTTGCCTTGCGAAGTACCTTTGCTCGAGACCGGATGTCCCTCGAACCGCTCCACCACCTTCAGCTCGAGTGGAGTAGCGGTGAGGTTGCGAATAGTGAGGTCAGCCATCTTGTATATAAGCCAGTGGGGTTTTTAGGACGGAGCAACGGGGACGATGGACGGCCTGTAGCCCATGACGACGACGACAAGGACGACCCAGAAGATATATGTGTAAGGAGTGTAAAATAGCAACTAGCAACTAACTGGGGCCAAGATATTTCCGCGGGAATTGCTGGGCTATGCCATTGGACGACTTGAAGTGGAGGTACCAAGAGTCTGTATGCATGTTGAGGCTCAGTCGTCAATTTACTTAGGTTAGCAAGGTTTCAGAAAATCGGGTTATCGAATTATGCCGAGACTCTGAGCCTTTTCAACTCCTCATATCAAATAACCCAGAGAAACTCATGTTAACTCCAAATGATGTCAATGACTGAAGTTTGATAGCTTCTTACTGAGGTACGGGGGCCATAGCTAAATATCTATCCAAACTCCAAATTCCCTGAAGTGGTAGTAGGTTTACGGTAGGAGTGTACAAAATCCAGTAACCCTTTTATTAAATAATTACTATTGTATGTGTAGTAAACTGTTTATGAAAATAATAGCCCCTTTGAAATGAACATACTGGCGAATAGCCTGCCATTGGCAAATGGATAAAATTTGGAAATAGAGGGGTACGTAGTGTGCACGTAGTAATGTTGCGGTTGGTAATCTGGGGTAATCTGGGGTTTTGACAGTCATTTCGCTATGGACTACCGTAGTGAGATAGGTATTCCCACTGCGAAATTAACAACCGGCACCTGTCAGTCGAATTTGTATGCTTGCGTCAGCAACTACTCAAGTTTGCTATGCTAGGTACTACATTCACTGTTATTGGTATTCCGACCCTATCCTGACTACTCTCGGCCCTGAAACGCGGGTGAATAAACTCCATACCAACCTTCCTTCCTTATTCATAGGATTAGCGATAGCTTCACACAGTATAATCCTCCTAAATGTACTATTATTGGTGACTTGAATCTCACAGCTTGTAAGACGCACCCATAATACCAGTTTGCGGAATGGTTAACTTATAAATAAGCTACATACTGCCACCATCTTGTAATCATGCCAGCAAAACTCAATTATACAATACGCAAATTATCTGCGTGGCTTTTGATTCCAAGACCAATGCCCTTTGGGATCATCTGCCAGCTCCCGCATCGCCCGCACATCAGCTGCGTCCGGCCCATTCTCAATGATGCCAGCTTCGACCGCCAGCTCCGCATACTTCTTGGCCAGCTTCGCCTTCCCGAACAAGTTGTATTTCAGCGCGGCAATCGTGTACGCACCCGCAATCCTGAACTCGAGCCTTTCCTCCCGGTACAGCGAGATCAGCCGCTCGACTAGTGCCGGCGATGCCTCCTGGTTGCTAAAGTCGGATATCTCGTTCTCGATCTGGTAGATGGAGAACAACCGCGCATCTGAGGCATCGGCTTCCGTCTTGGATAAACTGCACTGCGAGCAACTGCAGGAAAACCCCCACGATGCACGAGCTCGCTCCTGACGGACTGATCTGGCTTGGAAAGAGTCCAGATACGAGATGCTTAGCTCCTCGCCTGGGTGGATATCCCGTACGGCGTGTGTGTGATGCGTCAGGTTGTTGTCAATGTAGAAGGCCACATTGGGCCGGCAGTCGTGATTGAAGCGGGATACTTCGGGGAAGTTGCCCAAGTGGAAGCCGTCTTCTTCCCCAAGACTCATCTGGAAAGAATTGGTGAATATGACGTCGCTGATCCGATGGCCGCCGAGATCACCGGCCTGCGCCATGAAGCTGTCTTTTCTCGCTGTCGGCAACTTGTTCACGGCCAACTCGAGTAAGCGGTACTGGTCCTCCAGTTCGGACTCTTCAATGAATTTCAGATGAACAAGTATAGCGGGCTGCACAGCCATGATTCGTTCGCCCCGGCGGATCTTTCTCGTTGCTATAAGACCGAGTCCTTTTCCTGGCACTGCTGCGAGGAGGAAATGCGAAGATGCGCCTTCGAGCCTCGCAGTTACCTTGGGCAGTCGTTCCACTCGTTGGTGATTTGCCATCGTCGTCACGATACTCATCCCCTGACCAGAGAAGCCGGTATTTGACCACACACAGTATCTCTCCTCGCATGAATGCGGTCCTTTCCAGGAATCCGCGATACGCGTTGCTTCCTCTTCCAAGGGAGGTCTATGCTGTCCATTGATAACCCTATTTGAACTCGCGATGGGTAGGTCGTCTCCATGATTCAGTCGGCTTGAAAATTGATCAGTTGTCCGCAAAGGGCTCCATGAATACACGTCGGCTTGGTATAATTGACCTGAAGTAAGTGACACTGAATAAAGCACTAATGCTAGAGACAGCTTCATTTCCAGACAGTTTCGAAGCGAGAGTGTCAATACAACGCATTAAACAAGAATAGTTCAGATGAGAAGGATATGACGGGAATATGTCCTGAAAGGTTAATAATCATCGCAATGTCAAGACGGCTGGCTGGCCGGCTGTAAGTCATGCTCGGATGATGTTTCATGTCTCTCCTGATGTGCGCTCCAGAGGACAACCGAGTAAGAACCCTCGATCTTGGCTTCAATCCTGGCTTCAATCCTGAAACGAACACCAGCCTCGTAGCTGGGCACTACGGAACTTTTCTATCAAAGACCAATCCCGGTGTACGTTTGAGTGCCCAGATGTAAATTAAGATATTAGGAAAAAAAAGTATGGTATCAGTCTGATTGCATCACTCGGCTAACCAGAGGAAGAATACGTAAAGTAAATAAAAATCTGAAGATACCGGGGTTCGAGAGGATGTTCTACGTATGATATATGGGATCAGTGCTCCAATGACCCCAATGCTAACATTAAACGCTTGACTACAAATGCTGATATTGACGCAATCCCTAGGCCTATTGCCTATATTATCGCACAAGGTGGCATCCAAATCAAGTGCTCTCAAGTTGCTGATTGGTACCTGCGTCCATGAGACGCTTTGAAGGTCAGGGAGCAGTCGTAGCGTGCTTGGGACGATTCCTTCGTGGTTCTCACTGCAAATCAGTCCTAGATGGCTGGGACCACTCCGATGGCCACCATGTCCAAACAAGATACCCATTATGGCCTGACCGCAACGAGACATCGAACACTTTATACCCGTTGTGGTGAGATGTCGTGATGTGTTGTCAATCCATATGCAGCAGGAATAGGCGGTGTCTATCGATAACTTTGATAGCTGCCCAGCGCCCCATCTTTTAGTTCTCCTGCCCCACCCAGAGACCTTGTCGCTATTACCCACAGTCAAAACAACCACCAATCCGACGAGCTGCTTCACGTCTCCAGCTGCAGGAGCTCCTCCATTTTGGATCTCACCGACCTCTGTCTAGGCCATTTTTTTTTCGTCCCGCATTGTGAAGATTCAGCTCATTCTAGTTTATCCGCGCCATTCTGCTTCAAGCCCACCTTCCATCAGACAACGGCGTGCATATCGATCACGCGAACAAAAGCTCAAAGCTTCACGATTCGTCTGCGAGCGAATCCACCCGCCGTCTTTTTCTCCTCCCACCAGCCCTTCAAGAACCAGATATGGACGAGCAGTGGATTCTCCACACCCTGGAAGGTCAGTTAATACAGACGACCCCCCAGCTTTTCTCTCTAGATCCTTATTCACAGACCTTTTTTTTTTTACTCACATTGGATACCTCAAATTCATAGGCATCCTCCCCGAGCAGACGGTCCAACTTATACACGACCACATCCTCCACCCCTCAGCCCCTTTCCAGCTGGTCAAGCGCCAAGTCACATTCGGCGTCCAACAAGCATACACCTTTCTCTACCCTCTTATCGTGCCACTTGTCGACCGCGCCATGCAAAAGCTTAACGACTCGCCGGACTTCGTCCTGCTGGGCGCCCTCCTCACCTTCCTCGCCATCGCCGTCCAGGTCACTTTCTGGGTCCACCGCATCATAATGTTCTGGACGCGCCTGGCGATGCGCATGGTGATGTGGGGCGCATTGGCCGTGGTGATAGCTATGCTGTGGCAAAGGGGCCCGGAGGCCGTGGCAAAAGACGTCGTGGTCGTGGTTTCGAAGGCGGCGGGCTATGCTACTATCATCAAAGAGATTTGGTTGCGGGAATATGCGAGGTATAATGAGCAGACACAAAATGGGCACCGGGTTGGAGGCAATAGATCTGGAAATGTACGTGGATGGTAGGAATGGTGTGGCTTCTGAAGGGCGAAATGGAAAAATGGAAAACCGGAAAACTGGCTATGTATAGGATTACGACTGCGATGAATGATGATCTTCAATACTTACTACTCTAGTGGTGACCGATTAAAATGGCTTAAATTTGGTATCATAAAGCAACCGAAGCGCCGTCGCAATGCTGTAATACAATATCCGATCAACCAGGACCGAAAGGCCTCCATGGTGGTCAACCCCGGTCTTTATATGCTGGTAACCCTCAATGCTCACTCCTCAGGATCGTCAAATTCGTCATCCTTCAACTCTTTCGGCTCCTGAGCCTCGTGATATTGGATGCAGTCATCTATATAGCTAAGGATGGCACCCACGCTATCCTCATCTTGAACATCCAGTTTGAGATAACTCACCATACTGAAGTTTTCGATCAACCCGGCCACAGCCCGATTCAGCCGTCGGAAGCCAGCTCCACGCATCATCGTCTCTTTGTCTTGAATGTCGCCCATGTCCTCCTCTCCAGCCGCAGTGCCTTCCGCTTTACGGCGAGCAGTTTCGGCAGGGTCGTCTTCCAACAATGTCGCATCGGGTGTAATGAATCTTTTCAAATCCTTCTTCCTGACCTGGTCCTTGACTAGGTCCATCTTGGACAGGATATTGATATGCGGCACCTCGAGCATAATCATAGCGCTCATGGCGCTGAGGGTGCCCGCAAAGAATTTAGCTCGGTCGACGACAAACGTAGCTTCGAGCAGGTACGCGGCGCAGAGCCGAATGTCAAGGTTGCCGGTGCGCGTCAAAAATCGTACCAGGGCCGGCAGGATGGGCACGTGGGTGTAGAGTTCGATCTGACCCGGCATGTCGAAGATGATGAGGTACTCCTCGGTCAGCGAATCGAGCGACTCAGTCAGGAAGTCGAGGTTATCCATCAGGAACTCGAAGCAGTAGATCAGCCCGCCATTGGGGCCCAAGCCCATCTCTTCCATTACGTCTTCGAGAGAGATCAAGTCCTTGATGTCGAGGTCTGGCGTGTGTTCGAACGCCTCGGCCGCCGGATCGAGGTTGACGTAGAAACATGACCGGCGGTTTAAATTCAGGTGGGTGATAAGGGAGGCGCAAAAGGTCGACTGCGGGTAGGAAGGTTAGCTAAGTATTCGTACGCAACCTTAAAGACCGTCTGCGTCCAGGTGATGCCCAACGGAGGTTTTGGGAAGCACGTGAATTCGATACGGCATTTTCGAACAGCGAGCAAAGAAAATTTCGTACTTTGCCTGCCCCAGCAGGACCCATGACCATGACGCCGAACTTGCTCATTTTGGCGGATTACGACGTTGACAGAAATCCAGTTGAGTCTAGATGCAGGAATGAGGTTGATTGGGATCAAAAGCTCCAACCTCTCAACGCGATTCCAGTTGGTTGGGATTTGCAACTATGCCTCAGAGATCGATCTCGTAGGGATGCAACTGCGTGGTGGGACGTAGCACACCGCGACGAAGTGGTCGGAGGGGCAGTTTGCTCTGAGGTGGGGTAATTCGGACCCTGCCAGATCTGAGATCCAGCTTCATGTCGATACACTCAAAAACACAGGAACCTCGGGTTTGATAGGTGTTGATGAATTGCTTCAGCATGTAACACTAGATAAAGGTACCTAGTACTGGGCCTTCGTCTATATCAATGAATCTTTCATCGAGTCAGTGTTTAAACGTCCTACGGCGACTTTCGGGGATGTTTACTTTTGTAAGACCGCCGACTCTAACGCAGTCTTGCAGTTGCCATGCTCGGAAGGTTCGTCCAAAGTGTAAGTGTCCTTCCTACCTTCACTTGCCTGATATTTCTATCGGTGAGTTGTATAGTATACCGCGGTTGTTCTAACATCTCTCCAATGTTGTGGTGCCTTGCCCTGTGGGTTTTAAACGGCTTGCTAGTGTAGGTACACTAGTTGGATATATGATTTGCTGTTGAAACTTGGAACCCTGCAGCCTTGCTTATATCTAGCAAGACTTCGAGCAGAAAAACATATTCCAAGACGAACAGGAAGCGCAAATGGACCAGACCAACACTTGTGTGGCGCATCAGGAGGAGGGTGACTTGGAACGGTTTGGCTCCCACCTGGATAGACCGAAAAGGCTATATCCCGCTTCATCTGAGTTTGCACCGAACCAACGCATGTTGTTACCACATTTGGGATAGTTCACACGTTTACGATTCGTCTTCCTAAGGTTGTTTATGTGCGGCCCCTAACACACGTTTGGACAGGGAGTAAGAAGAACCGGCCCCGCATCCTGGGTAATGCGTTCTTTCGCAACCACATCCCACAAGATGATGTGGATTGCCAGATATGTAATAGATCTCTGAATTGTGTGGTAACAATGAGTCCAGCAGTGGAAGTGGTCGACACATGTCGGGCGAGCTGGTGGCTGGGTCGGCAGGAATGGCCTAGTTGTGCAATAGGCGTTGCGATATGGCGCAATACCCCGGTGAAAATTTTGGCGGGGCCGATGTTTTCCAAGTGGATGTTACCCAAGAGACGGGTACTTTTATTTCGGCGATTATCACCGTGTGACGGCAAGTAACTTCTACTTAAATTTCCCCTCCTCCCGACCTTCGGCAACTGGTCAATTGGCAAAAGTAAATCCGAAATCATTCCTAAACTCACCGATCTTCTTTCTTGCTCTCCGCCGAAACAAAATAGACCCAATCCTTCTTCGTGCAACTTTTCATCCTTCTTGATTCAGTCTCTCTGTTTTTTCAGCTCGTGGTTTCCTTGAAAGCTGTGTCGCTACGTATCACCCAAGCTGTCTTTTGAGTACTCTTATCATTATCCCCCAATTTGCACATCCGAGTCTTCCGGTCTATACAATTCAATCACCTCCATAATGCCTGCGAGCAACGGGATAAACGGCCAGAACGGCGATGCTTTCGCCATCCGAAATGAAGGTGCTTTCCTCTTCACTGTAAGTCTTTCCATGGATATGCCAATGACAATCAAAGCTAATGAGTGTACAGTCCGAATCAGTCGGCGAAGGTCACCCTGATAAGATCGCCGATCAAGTTTCTGATGCCATCTTGGATGCCTGTCTGACCGACGACCCTCTGTCCAAGGTCGCTTGCGAAACTGCCACAAAAACCGGAATGGTGATGGTCTTCGGAGAGATCACGACCAACACCAAGCTGGACTACCAGAAGGTGGTCCGAGACGCCATCAAGGACATCGGCTACGACTCTTCCGACAAGGGCTTCGATTACAAGACTTGCAACCTGCTTGTTGCCATTGAGCAGCAATCCCCCGACATCGCGCAAGGTCTCCACTACGAGCAAGCTCTCGAGCAACTTGGCGCCGGTGACCAAGGTCTTATGTTCGGCTATGCCACCGACGAGACCCCCGAGCTGCACCCTCTGAGCCACCTTCTCGCCCACCAGCTGAATAAGGCCATGTCCACAGCTCGCCGGGATGGGACCCTGCCTTGGCTTCGACCTGACACGAAGACGCAAGTCACAATGGAGTACAAGCACGACGGGGGCGCTGTTGTTCCATTGAGAGTGCATACCATCGTCATTTCAGCCCAACACAGTGAGGACATCTCCACCGAGGATCTCCGAAAGGAACTCCGAGAGAAGATCGCCAAGAAGGTTATTCCCGCGAAGTACCTTGATGAGAACACTGTCTACCACATTCAGCCCAGTGGCAAGTTTATTATCGGTGGACCTCAGGGTGACGCCGGTCTCACTGGCCGAAAGATCATCGTTGACACATACGGTGGCTGGGGTGCCCATGGTGGAGGTGCTTTCTCCGGAAAGGACTTCTCCAAGGTTGACCGATCTGCTGCGTACCTGGCACGATGGATCGCCAAGTCCCTTGTCCACGCCAAGCTTGCCCGCCGCGTTCTTGTCCAGCTTTCTTATGCCATTGGTGTCGCTGAGCCTTGCTCTGTATACGTCGACAGTTACGGGACATCCGACAAGACTGCTCAGGAGCTGGTCGACATTGTGAGAGCCAACTTCGACATGAGACCCGGTGTCATTGTTAAGCAGCTCGACTTGGCCAAGCCAATCTACTTCCAGACGGCCAAGTTTGGTCATTTCGGAACCAACCAAGACTTCAGCTGGGAAAAGCCCAAGACGCTGAAGTTCTAACTGAGCTCTGAGGCATTTTCTCGATACTTGAATGAATGATAGTCCACAACCGGACAATACGTGGAGGACCGGGAGTTTCCAGTTTATACCATCTCGTTTTCTCTGTGAGAATACGCTATGTACTCCATGTCAGCGGGAGAATCAACTTCTTCAGCATAGAAAGGCGTTTTTGGGTTTAGATGTCCGATGTTCATCACAGGACTCCTTAAAAGGGCATGGTATAGCATGGCGTACGGTATTCAACAAACCAGTCTCGGCAAGGCAGGTTAAGCCTTGAAGACAGTTATTTTGGTCAGTTAGATAAGAAAGGTGTGAAAAGATACACCTGCGTTGGTGAACGCAATTACATTTTGCATCAATCGAATGATGTTTACACGCCTGCCTTGATCTCTTGCATCAAGGCACCAGCGTTTTCACCAGCAATAGTTCCCATTGGAAATTCATGAGAAGTCCTCTTCAAGACATGTTACATCCACAGAAATCCAAGTGTCCTCGCGCAATTCTGTTGTTATACCGAGCCAACAAAAAGGGCGGGCGATCAAATATCCTAGCACCAATACGAAAAAAGAGTACTTCCCCACAATGCCCAGCTGTCCAAAGGTGTTGCTTCTAGTGTTGCAGCTTATAGACAATAAGCTTACGGTCATACAAATTACAGCGTTTTGCTTTTGTGACAAGACGAAAAGGAGCATCAAAGTAAACCAGGCCGTATTCTGGAGATAGGAACATGGATTCCGCTGTCAACTCTTGACGATTCTGGACTTATGCGGTGGTCAGTGGAGATACCGCCAGGTTTCCATATCTGCGATTCGAGCTCACACACCGGCCTCGTGCGCGATGCTTAAGAAAGCTGACGCTGCGGATTTGGACTACTAATGCCAATGGTGGCAGTATTATCTGCAAAGTCGTCTTACCTGCATGAGAAGGATTTAGCCTACCCACAATGACAAGTTCGCCGTAACCACAGGAGTTACACTTGATATAGCTCAATGAGGGAATCCTCTGACAGTCCAGGAATTGCGCAACATCCCCAAGAGTCCTAAGTACTTGCTGCTTAACTTAACTTGAATATTGAAAAATAGCCCCATTGAAGTCTACAGGGTCGAAGAAGACCATGTTGTCCGTGAGTTACCTGGTCAGCTATGCGTCGTGAAGTTAACGGTCTGTGACCCCTTCAACTCAGGAGGGTAGAATAAACCAAAAGATTTGGGTCAACGCTCATCAAGTGATAGAAGCTGAAGATTGCCGTTGCTTGTATGGCCTTAATGGATTAAAGGCTGGCCAACCACTATGTTCATCAAGAACAGCCGGATCTCCGGCTGTGTTGCAAACAGATACCATCCCTCGTGTAGAATAGTGAATACTTATAGGAACAACCAGTCAAGGTGATCTTCTGCTTTCACATTTAATCCGTATCATGCCCATGCCCGACTGGGCAACCACGTACAGAGCTACAGCCATGCAAGCCATATCTTTATCGCCATTGATTCGATAGAGTGGCTTTGATGCACTGGAGCTTTTCTTAGCAATCCCGCGAGCTCTTCTTGGAAGTCCACGATCTGGTTGATGCTTGGAGAGGCAATGTATGACTGGTGATTGGAGGTCCCAGAGACATGGAAGTTTTGAAAAAGACATAGATGTCAATGGAGACTGCCTGAAATCCTAGCATAAAGTACGAGAAAACTTCTTACACATCAGGATGGCTAGAAACAGTATTATAGAGATCCAAGTGGCATGGAATTTGTGTATAGGGCCAAGTTGAGAACCTGGAGAAATTGCGTACATTGAACGAAGCTACCAGGGAGCGGCATTAACCAGGCCCGTGCGTAGCTGCAGGTAGCTCGACGCGTGGGCTCGGTCATTGCCTGAAGCTCTCAAGGCAAGGCTGCTGGCTAACGTCGACTTCAATCCACTCGACAAGACGGCACCTTCCCAATCGTTCATCGATCTGTGTCGCCAACGCTTCATATCACTTCATACGTTGATTCTGAGGATCAATTCACTTCTTTTCACACCATCAAGACGCGCTCTCCTAGACCTCGAGATGGATACTCTCGTGGCCCGATACAGCCGCCCGGCAGCACACCAAAATGAGACGTTTGGAGCTGACCAAGATGAGGACCTCTTCAATGACATGGCTCCCACCCTATCCTTGAAATTCGCCATGCCACCTGTAGCACAAGTAAGCTTTCTTGGCCCTACCCTCGCATTAAATGTCGAGCAAATCAATCTAATGGCCATGACTCTAGCCGTCAGCCTGGCTCCGCGCAGCCACAGACGACCGATCCAATCCTGCCTGCCCCATTAAGATAGCCCACGGTACGACAACGCTCGCCTTCCGCTTCCAAGGCGGTATCATCGTAGCGACCGACTCGCGCGCCACGGCGGGCAACTGGATCGCCTCCCAGACGGTGAAGAAGGTCATCGAGATCAACAACTGCCTACTGGGCACCATGGCCGGCGGAGCTGCCGACTGCCAGTACTGGCTGGCCTGGCTCGGCATGCAGTGCCGCCTGCACGAGCTTCGCCACAAGCGCCGCATCTCCGTCGCCGCTGCCAGCAAGATCCTCGCCAACCTCGTCTACCAGTACAAGGGCATGGGCTTGTCCATGGGCACCATGTGCGCGGGTGTCACGAAGGAGGAGGGCCCGGCGCTGTACTATATCGACTCGGACGGCACACGGCTACCGGGCAACTTGTTCTGCGTTGGCTCAGGTCAGACGTTTGCATACGGTGTGCTCGATGCAGAGTACCGGTACGACTTGACGGAGGAGGAGGCGCTGGCACTCGGCAGCCGGAGTATCCTGGCTGCAACCCACAGAGATGCGTACTCGGGTGGCTTCATCAACTTGTATCATGTCAAGGAGGACGGATGGGTCAAGCATGGCTTTAGCGATACAAACCCCATTTTCTGGAAGACGAAGTTGGAGAAGGGCGAATTCACCAACGTCACGAGCCAATTCGTAGGTGATATTCGTGAATCGGTGTGAAGAAAGACTTGGGTTGACAGACAGGTTGAGTCTAGGAACGCATAGAAAGGTGAATAGAGAGCAGAGAACCTGTTGGACTGTCACGATAGTCAACTGGGCATTACATGGGCTTCGAGGATCACTATGTAAATGTACAATTAAGGCGTCGAATCCGGCGGAGTTGGCACAGCTGTTTCTATTTCACTATGATATTTCGTCTACCGAGGTGAGTTTACATGTGATCGATCGTACAAGTGAGGTGGTTATACATGCAATCGTACAGGCGAGATAAGTTATCGCTTGGCCTTGTCTTGTTCCACCCATGCTCTTTTGATCCATCCACCCGTCGTAAGTATACCTCCTAAGGGCCACTTCTTGATAGGCAGAATGTCCATCTCGCTCCTGAATCCAGCCTCGTACATCTCCATGCCAGTCCACGCAATCATAGCCGCATTGTCGGTGCACAAGGCGGGCGGTGGTGCAATGATCTCCAAATGGCCGAAGCCCCTGACTTGCAACATGGATCGCAGAATGTGCATAAGATACCGATTGCTAGCAACACCGCCAGCAACAACCACCGTCTTCACATCTGCCATGTTCGGATCATTTTTCAAGGCGAACAGCAACCGACTAGCCAGGTGCTCAAACACGAGCCGCATAGTATGCCGAGCTAGCAGCCGTCTCTCATCGACGCTCATTTCCGGCTTCTCCTCGACCACCGACCGCACCCGGCCGCCAATACCCGCGAAATCGTATGCCATGGCCGTCGTACCGGAGAGCGGAGGCGTGAGTACCCAACCCAATCCCGAGTCGAAGGCTTTGATCTCGTCGGCCCGGGTTAGGGGCGGGGTGTACTCGTAGTCCGTCTCTTCGGAATCTTTGCATTGAGGAAAAGCAAACTTCTCCAGTAGCGGGCCGTACATGACGTTTTGCTCGGTGGCAATCTCTTCCGGGGGAATGATGACTCGCGCGCACTTGTCGATCATGTCCCCAGTAGCGATGTTCATGGCCTCGGCGACGATGCGGTGGTCGCAGAGTGATAGAGAGTGGACGAGGATTGTGTGTCCGCCCGAGACGAGCAGGGAAAGGAAGGGGAACCGGGGATGGCAATGACCTTGACCTGTCGTCTGTTCCTCTTCCCGCTGGTGCTGTTCCAGGGCAGACACCAGACGCGGCGTCAAGGCGTGCGCTTGCATGTGGTTCACCCCTAGTAGCGGCACATCCCACGCCGTCGCTAACCCCTTCGCCGTGTTGAGCCCCGCCGCTAGGTTGGATGTCATGCCTGGCCCGCGCGTCACCGTGATATAGTCGGGTTTCTGGCGTGCTTTGCCATCTTCCCAGACCAGACGCTTCCAGTACTGTCCGTCATCTCGTCTGTTGCCATTATGCAGTGGTGGTGGCAAGGCCTCGGGCAGATGCCGCAGGGCTTCCTTGATCAGCGGCGCGAGGTGGGCTGTGTGGGAGACAATGGCGGTCAGCGGATGGACGCCTTGGAATTCCCGGTTGTCGGACGTGATCTTCTTGTTGAAGTGCAGGCGGGCAGCGCCGGAGGCCGTCTTCTCGAGGAGGGCTACGCAAGTATCGTCGCAGGAGCTTTCGATGGCGAGAGTGAGGAGCTGTCGTCTTTGGTGGGAGGCAAAGGAGGGGAGGACTTGGCGCGTTGCGACGAGCCGGGGCTGTGGTTGTGCGAGTGGGCTATGTGCCGGTACGCGGGGCCACAGTCGGGACCATGATATACTCATCAAGGGTTGAGGGGACGTTGTCGCAGGATATTAATGTTGAGCTTGTTCGTCGCATGATTTCAGCTTCAGGTGCTTATCTTATCGCGAGGCTTGTCTCTATGTACATACATACCGCATGTAGAAACATTAGACTTTGTGGAGCTGCAATCAAAGGTCAAATTCGGGCACCGAGGTATGATACGACTCAATTTGAGAAATAGCGATCTCAATTGTCATAATCACGTATCTCGGATCACGAGATGAGGTTGTGTAATGGCCAGACATCTTACTGGTGAGTATCATGTGCCTCGGGCTCCAGCTTGGATATGTCAAGCTTTCTGTGGCTTTCAATGTACGAAGCACTTGTCACATAAGGTATTGGCTTTTATGAGCACGTTTCGAGGCGGCGGAGACATACTTCTTCTAGTCAGCATGATAATATCGGCTCTGACGGATCTCGAGCATTTCATGGAAATCGACAGACTCCATGAAATATTCCCGGAGCTTTTTGCCTTCGGGGTACTCGCCTGTCATGCCCCTGAACCTCGGCGCCGGGAATTCTTGAGCTTGCAGCAGGGCCCCCAGGGGTTTGTTCAGCTTGCTTGGCAATCTTCGGGCTGCCACATGTTAAAACGTCATTCTCAACCTGCACCAGTTCCACTCAAGTCTGAGCTTCAACCCCCCGATGCCGAGCGTTCCACTAGATAATCAACCTAGGGTAATGATACAATCCCGTGTTCGTAGTGCATATATCAATCACTATTCGCTCTGGTCTCTCATTTTATTTATTCTGAGGAGCTTTTGAATGGACACTATTCTTCTCACCGTGTAGCTAGACTGTTGCGCCAACCTTGGGAAACTTCCACCATCACTTGCTGTCGCCTCCTTAGGCTGCTAGCTTAAACGCTGCGAATCGCGACAAACCTTATCCACAACCGGCACTACACAGTAAACGTCGTGGACAAAGGATCTACTGGAACTCAATATTAAAGGTACGAACAGCACGCTCAAACCCTCTTGCCGCTCCTACCAGACCTAAGTAAGTAGGTGTATCCTCTTCCCTGTCCTCGACTTTCTCATCTTGCAGCAAAAGACTAGCTCACTGTCTTCTGTCTACTTGCAAATCTGGGGCGCATCGCCGCACTACACAAACAATGGCGGACAATGCATACATTCCTCAAGAAAAGTTGCAGAGAACCCCGAGCAACACAAGCTGCCCTCGGGGTAGTTCCAAACTTCCGCGACGGGGGCGGGGACAGGGGAAGAAGCGCTGTGGCGATGGAGCTGGTATTAGTGGACGCAAAACTGACGCTGACGTAGGTCACTTTCGCCAGACCAGTCACTCGAGGAATCCCATCGACGAGCCGGAAACTGGCCAGAACCCAATTGCCAGAGTCTTTGAATCCCCGGAACTTCGCAGGTCAGAGAAAGTCGAGACCGTTCTGAAAGCCGGAGGAAAGCAGAAACCGGAAAGACAAACCAGACTTTCATCTACCGAGCGACAGAAGTTAGAGACTTCCGTGGGCACCCCCAAACTCGAAGTCTCGTCGAGGATTCCTCAGTCTCCAGATCTGCAGTCGCCAGAGACATTGGAACGGTTTCCAAAGGTCGATCTGCGCTCAAAGGTTCCTCAAGTTCCTTCGAGCCCAAGCACCCCGGAGACCCCGACCCATCACCGTGCGGCTTCCAGCGTTGCTAGTGTGAAGAGCGATATAGTTGCTGTAAGTTGTATGGCCTTCTACTTGATTGCTTTTGTAACTGATGTCCAGTTTCAGGTCGACGAAGAGCCGTCCACTCCGGACGCTCAAATCGAAACACCATCTTCAAGGACTTTCAAAAGTAGTCCTCACTTTGTTTACAGGAAGAGGTCGAACACAATGGATCAGCCCACCGAAGAGCAGGCCAACGGAAACCAGGGTCCCAAGCTCGAATCCTTCATTCACGTTAGTGAGGCACCAACCCTTGAACTACACAGCAGCAACTCGGAGCCCAAGGCTCCACTCAGCGTAGAGAAAACAGCTTACAGCAACGATGATAAAGGAGCTCCTAGTCAAAGTTCCGAGAAGACCCTTGGCGACATGGTGCACCACAGCGTCAGTTATGCCGATGCATTGAAGGATGGCAGCAACTCCCTAGATGGTCCACATGACGCTGAGGCTCGGAGTGAAGACTCTTTTCCAGAGCTGGACGATATGAGCCTCGAGGATGTCCACCGCCACCGACCCTCGCCGCAGCGCCAACCCTACGGTCGTATTAGATGGGCGCCGTGGGACGTGCCCGCAAAGCGTCGATTCCAAACCCTCATGGTACTGGTGCACTGTCTTTCCATCGCCGGCTATGTGTCGATATTCTTCGGCTTGTGCGCCAATCCTTTCGCATGGCCTCTGTTGCTCCTATACTTACTACATGTGCTGAGCTCCAGAGCTGCCACCGATGGCTCACTCAAATTTCGGTCAGAGTGGTTCCGCTCAAGCTACGTGTGGGACCTCTTTGCAGGCTACTTTCCAGCCAAGCTTCATAAGACGCACGACCTGCCGCCCACCCGGAAATACATTTTTGGATATCATCCTCACGGTATCATCAGCCATGGTGCTTGGGCGGCTTTTGCAACCGAAGCCCTGGGTTTCGCCGAAAAGTTTCCCGGGATTACGAATAGTCTGCTTACCCTGGACTCCAACTTCCGTATTCCCTTCTACCGCGACTACATTCTGGGCATGGGTGTGCGATCCGTGTCCAAAGAATCCATAGTCAACATTTTAACCCGAGGAGGGGCCAACAACGAAGGGATGGGAAGGGCTGTCACTATCGTTGTGGGGGGAGCCCGCGAGTCGTTGGAGGCACAACCTGGTCAAATGCGCTTGATCCTGAAAGAGCGCAAGGGCTTTATCAAGCTTGCCGTTCGATGCGGCGCTGACCTCGTCCCAGTTCTGGCTTTCGGCGAGAACGACTTGTATGACCAGCTTCGGCCCAGGGAACATCCATTCGTCCACAAGGTGCAGATGTTCGTGCTTAAGGTATGGAAGTTCACACTTCCATTTTTGCACGGTCGGGGTATCTTCAACTACGACGTGGGCATGATGCCGTACCGTCACCCGCTCAATGTGGTAGTGGGCAAACCCATTAAGGTCACGCAATCAAACCAAATTGATAACGACGAGATCAATCGCCTGCATGAACTCTACGTGTCGGAGTTGGAGGAGCTGTGGGATCGGTACAAGGATGAGTTTGCCCGTGACCGAAAGGAGGAAATGCAGATTCTCTCCTAGGTGGGTGCACCAGAACGATGTCGTCGAGGTAATATTTGGTAGTTTCTTATGCTTTATTAATACGGTTGAGCATACACGCGGAAAAATAGGCATGGGTTGATCGGAAAAGAAAGTCCCTGGTGATCCGGTGTTGGGTACATAAAAGGCAAGAGCAACTTTCTCGATCCATAACTGGTGTGGCGGTGTCTTGAATAGAGTTCACCAAGTACCTAAGGTCTAGCGGGTAATCAACGCTAGGCTGATATGCATACACACTGAATCCACTTTGTCTACTCCCTTGATTTCGCTTGATGCTTATTGCTCTTGAATTACGGTCGACGTCTCACCCTCTCATACTATGGTATCATGGGTAAGTTTTCTATTGCGCGTTTGTACCGTGCCCCACCTAGGCACGCGCCAACTCTTCGCTACCTGGCTTGAAGGGACCTTCATAGCTGTCTGAATATGATTAAGAGAAAACGTTGTAGTAGTGTGAATTTCGGCTTTCGATTTACCACTGTCGAAATATAGGGTTCGAATTCGTTGGCGATCCGCTTCTGTAAGGTGTTTAGTCCCCATTGTAGTTGCTGAATACGCGATAATTAGGACGCGTTAACAGCAAGTTGGAATCAGAGGTGGAAGTACCTTTTCGTTACCATGAGTAGGCTAGGCAATAATCAGTATAGCGTTACCTTGACAGTGGTCCACCGGTACTTGTCAAGGGGGTGAAAACTTTGGCCTGATACCGTAGTATGCTTTTGCTATGAAGTTGCATGGGGATTATTCAAAAGCTAAGCGAGGTTCTCCATCTGCCTGATCATATAAGTTAACAATCAGTGCTTGTAGTCAAGCAAAGAACCCCGCCCTCGAAGCGCTTTTCCAAATTGCCAGGGCCGGACTGTCATCATCACGTGGTGGTGGCGGCTTGCCTCTTTATAGCTGAACAAAATGATCAAGACAAATTGATAGGCTTCACAGGAAGGAGTGAGCGAGATGATTTATGCCGGGATACCTACTTTGGAGCACCGAAGCATCTGTTAGATCTACATAAATGTTATGAGCTTGTAGCTTGTTAGAAGGGCAAATTAGGACAACGCCTCGTTCAAGGCTTGGCCACTGAGAAAAGGCACCAAGCAAAAGCCACAGCCCGAAAAATCTGGCTTTTCATATCAATTAAAAGTGGTCATCACGATTTTGCTGAAACCTTTTTACGAAGCATCAAGTTTGCCGAGCTAAAGAAGCGAGGCTTGACGTATTGTATTGTATTGAATGACGAGACTTGAGTGTGTCGGGTCTACTCTACGCTGCAAGACAACAGCGACGCATTCTTTGAAAGTGGGGCCTGCCCCAGATTTGGTGGTTACTCTAGTCGGGCATCGGGCATCGGGCTATTCCAGATCCACGGACGGGTTGCTCACGCGTCCAAACCGACCGCCAACCCCTGACCAGTGACCACTGAAGAAGACACACACACACACACAAAATACGCTCCGCTTCAACTGGCAACTGGAAAGCTAGCTGTTCGCCCACGTTTGTCACACAATTGACTTTTCGTTGTAACCCCAGTACTGACTTTTACATCGAGAAAACCGTGAGCCCAGATCACAAAGACGAAGACGTGGGGAAAGTATCGGGAACAGATGGGTTAGCCGTGCCACAGATCAACAACGCATCCATCTGGCAGCAATCGGGTTGCTTGTCCCCGGAACCCGTAAATCCCTTCTTCCTTGGCTGCCAACCTGCCTTCACACCGCCAGGCTGGAGCTGACGGCGCATCTACCTACTGATGCCTATGCCACAGACACCGGCTCACCTTGTTGTCTCTAGTTAGCAGCCTGCCATCTAATTAGCAGCTTGCTAGTCGCAAATCGGGACTAGGCTGGCCGAGCATTGAGGTCATGCTGGCAGCTGGAGCGTATCTCCTCTTGTGATTGAAATATCCACTTTGGGGGCGCTGGCTACCCATCATTATTATTACAATAAAATATGCCTTCTCCTTTGTCCAACCAACAACGGTTACCACACCAGAAACAGCACTCCTTATACTTATCACCGCATCCAGCCGCGACACAGACCGTCCACAGCGTCCTAGTACCACCTCCCACCAACATTGATTATTCCACTCCTTCGTCCGCGTCGTCCGCAACCACCAGCTTCCAGCAAAACTGGCCACCCGATGGTAATACCATCCAGCGCCCCGAAGACATAGAGATGGACTCGATTGCACCAGCAGGCCACCGGCGGCGGCGGAGCACCCTCACGGCCGGTGGCAGCGGGCCGCCCGCCAACCCCAACGCGAACAGGACTCCACGGCCGAGGGCGCAAAGCATGCGGAGCACAGGCGAGCCAGGGGATGCCAAGATCTCCGAAGAGGATCACAGCGCCCACGTGTCCAGAGCTGAAGAATTGGAGGACGACGATGACAGCAACTTCACCGACGAAGATCTTCACGATGACGAAGAGACGGGCTTGACCAAGAAAGACAGGCGGCGGAAGCGGGCCAAGAGACGACGCAACACCAGATTGGACAACCGGATAGCACGCGACAAGCTTACCGTAGAGGAACGAAAACAGGCAGATCAGAATATGGCCAGGAAGCTGGCTATCAATGCCATATTGATAGGGCTTTGGTATCTGTTTTCTCTGTCCATCTCGCTGGTGAGCTCTTCCCATTTGTTCCAGACACGCGGTGTTCGTGACTTTTTATTTTGCTAACGCGGCATGATGTCTAGTACAACAAGTGGATGTTCGATTCCGCCAGGCTCAATTTCGCTTTTCCTCTTTTCACGACGTCGATGCACATGCTCGTACAATTTGCGTTGGCGAGTCTAGTACTATATGCCATACCTTCTCTACGACCAAACGGCAACTCATATAACTCCGACCAGGGTCGGTCCAGACATGATGCTGAGCCAGAACAGCCGTATATGACCAAGATGTTCTACCTCACGAGGATAGGTCCTTGTGGTGCAGCTACGGGCTTGGACATCGGGCTGGGAAACACGTCCTTGAAGTTCATAACCCTCACATTTTACAGTAAGTGGGATCCAAGATGTAAGCAGTACAGGGTGAAGCTAACAATGAGCTAGCAATGTGCAAATCGTCCTCGCTTGCCTTTGTCCTCCTATTCGCCTTCGTTTTCCGTCTCGAAAGTCCAACTTGGAAGCTCGTCGCCATCATTGCAACGATGACTATGGGTGTGGTCATGATGGTTGCCGGTGAAGTTGAGTTCCAACTCGGTGGCTTTATCCTCGTCATCTCTGCCGCCTTCTTTTCTGGTTTCCGCTGGGGCCTTACCCAAATTCTACTTCTACGGAATCCAGCCACGTCCAACCCTTTCTCCAGCATTTTCTTCCTGGCGCCCGTCATGTTTCTCACTCTGATTATGATTGCCATCCCCGTCGAGGGCTTCTTCCAACTACTCGAAGGCCTGCGCAAACTGAGTGAGGAATGGGGCGCGGTTCGAGCACCCCTGATCCTCCTATTTCCCGGCACGATTGCCTTCCTCATGACGGCCTCCGAGTTCGCTCTGCTGCAGCGCACCAGTGTCGTGACTCTGTCCATCGCTGGCATCTTTAAAGAAGTCGTTACCATCTCCGCCGCGGCACTCGTCTTCGACGATAGACTGACCCCCATTAACATCTCCGGTCTCGTCATTACCATCGCCGCCATCGGCGCATATAACTGGATCAAATTATCTACCATGCGAAACGAGGCCCAGCTCAATGTTCACGGCAAGAGCTACCAGCAGGCGCAGTCGGGCTCGTCGAGCGAGGGCAGCGATGGCGAGGAGGAAAGCGGGTTCCTAACGCATGACGACGATATGGCTGTCGAGAATAACTTGTTTACCATCGACGGGGATGTCATCCCAAGTAGACCGCCCGGCTCCTCCACTAGCGAGGAGTCGAAACTCTTGAAAACTAATCGTTCGGATTGAAGGTTCAAACCAGTCTCCTCTAAGCGAAAATTTTTGTAGACTTGGGAGGAGAGTTGGTTTTCTAAACATACAGCATCACAGGTTGCGGGCATTGTATCCTGCGGCATACTCATCGCTCCCAGGAGGGGGCTACCCACATCGGCCCAAGGCTCATATATGGTGGAAAACCATGACCCAGCTCTGGATGAAACAACGTTTCCAAGACCAGAGGCAGTGGATGGCAGCATCGGCCCAGCGTATCAGTATCAAACGGCAAGAGTGGTAGAAGTGATACCCGACACCAAGCGAGTCCCAATAGAGCATCTGGAATTATTGATGTATGACGATGGCAACTTGGGGAATTATAGATGGTTCGTTCAACGAGACGAAGATTGTAGATCTGCCGGCCAGCTGCAACTCAAATCTTCAAGGCAGCTGGATGTGATGGATCATTATGGAGAACGTTCTGGTTTCAATAATAGGATTGCATTGGCATAGCGGATATACTGGACATAATAGATATATGTGCGCACATTGTTTGATCAGTATTATTTCACTCTCCTCGCTTAGGTTTGCTCAGAATATGCTGAACCCGTAGTACTTCGCTCCACATTGCTTCAGACCATCGTACGAGAGTTGTGGGCCAACCAGGACGAACAATAATATCTCCCAGCATCTTCTATGCATGTCAAAGCCCGTTCCAAGGGACCACAAGGTTAGAGCCCTTGGTGATAGGGAAGCCGACTAGCTCAAGTCGCCTCCAGCTTGGAAGCACGTATCTACTCACATGTCATAGACTCACAAAAGGCGCGAGTACTGAGTTTTTTTCCGATCACGTTCTAGGTGTGCCAAAACTGAATATGTAGTATCTGTCTGTATATCTGTCTGCGTAGCATAGCGCCACTACATATCACGTATCTCAGGTGGCTTTTGCCCCCGGAGCTTGCCCCCGGAGCGTCACAGCGCATGAGTGTCATTATCCGGCAGCGACCCCCTAAGACGCCATCTTAGTGAAGCCGTTCTCCACAACATCAAAGACCCAATGCGGCCAGTTGGTGCAGATGGTGCAGAACGCGAGGACCGGCCTGTAATCATTCGCGAGGTCTGCGGCGACTACTAACACAATCTCAACCAAGCAATTTCAGTCCACCCTTGGTCTTTTGACCAGGCTTGGTCACCCCGCCGCCATGCGGTCCTAAAGCGGGCTCGAAGCTGCCTTCCCCCGTATCCCCACCAGTACCAGATCCATTTCCACCGCGGCTCTTGTTCTTGTTCTTGTTCTTATTCTTATTCCACTTGTTGTTGTGATGCTTATCCTTGACCGTTTGGGGCTTGATCTCCGTGGTACTCTTTCGAACCACGACAGGATGACTCTGGATGTACTTGCCATTCATCTCCTTGGCCGCTGAGAAGAATTCGTCTGGGTCGCTGAAACTTACGAAGCCAAAGCCCTTGCTCTTGCTCGTCACTTTGTCGCGAATCACACGCGCCTTCTGTAGTGACTTCCAGCGAGAGAAAGCCTTGTATAATGACTCGTCGGTTGTTTCGCCCGCCAGGTTACCGACGAACAGTCGAAGGTGCGAGGGGTCCCATTCTAGAAGGGTATCATCTGTCCACTTTTGCCCGCCGCCTGCTCGCACGACCGTCTTTTTCTTGTCTCCAGGTTGAGTGACGGCATCGGGCAACTTGCTCGGCTCGGCCGAATAGGCGCCGGTAGTAGCACCGCCAGCGCCCGGTCGACCTGGTACAGCGGTGTTGTCCTTGGGGTCCTTGCCGTATGCACTTTGCCATTGGGCGATCTGTGCTGCCATTTCGGGGTCATAGTCGGGGGTGGCGGCGACGCCTTGTGCTGGGCTCGGTGCTGGGAACGGATTCCTAATCTGTGGCGCGGCCGAATATGCACTGGGGTCTGCTTGCGCACCGTAATAGCTGGGTTGTTGCTGGTAGCCTTGCTGCTGGCCGTATGATTGCTGATAGCCCGCTCCGCCTTGCCCCATCATCCCTTGCTGTCCATAGGACGGGTACGCGACGCCGCGATCGCCGACGCCATATTGAGCTGTTGGCGCAGGTGCGCCGGGATAGTTGGGTGCGTTGGAGTAGCTCGGGGCCGTCGAGTAACCGGGGGCTGTCGAGTAGCTTGGTGCGCTCGAGTATGCAGGAGGCGTGTATGCGGAGCCGGGGCCGGCGCTGGGGGAGTGCGTCGCTGGCGAAAATGCAGGCTTGAAGCCCGAGACTTTGGAAGGTGGTGGACGCGGTGGGAGAGAGGACGAGTTCGAGGCACCTGGAGGTGGAGGATACGACATGATGAATTTGCTGTGCGCCCGAAAGGATGGTGTGTGTGCTCGGATCAACACGTACCTATGAGCCCAGTCCTAGCCTTTGAGACTTTGCTCAATCCTCTGATCCTAGCTGACGGAAATATTTTGTTTGGATAGGATAGGTGCTGATTGTTTTGGTGAGGTAGTTGGTGATGTTGAAATAATGCAGAAATAATGCAGCTTCATAAAGCTACCAGGCTTGTGTGGCGTTGCACCGCCACAACTTACCAACAATAAGGTGACTTAGCCAAGGGCCTTTGAGATTTCAGCCACTATTGTCTATTCCAAGTCTAGGTATTGATAGAGGGAGTGGCGTAAAGTAATCTTCACCAGAGCCACGCCGTAATCATGTCACAATGTACTTACTTACTCAAGTACTAAGTATGCATGATTCGTTGTGCAGGACGGAGTTATGATAGTGATAAAGAGGGGAAACTCCCGTTGAACCCTACCTGGACGATGCCGCGACTTGATTGATGGGAAACTGAGTTTGGCCTCTGCAGAAGCATCCCTCGGATCTTACCCCATCAACATGTATCGTGGGTTTCCAGCCCGGCTTCTTGGAGTGATGTAACAATCGCATGCAGACCTGAACGAAGTAATCTGGATGGTACTCGTACAAGTTGGTGCGGTGGTGATGTTGGTCATGGTTAGCAAAACAGGACATCGAATTGGATGTAGAAGACTGCACGAACCTGACCACCGGCCACACCACGACTATCGGGGTGCTTTCTGTGCGTGCCTACGCTACCCTTACCGGCGCTCATGTGGCCGTGGTGCTTGCGAGTTCTGCTGAGACGACATCTTCAGGGTGTTAGTGGTTGGGTATCCCTTGTTTCAACTACAAAAACCGAACAACTTCAAGCATCGACGACCCTGTTGCTCTGTAATTTGGTGTATCCGAGCTTCTTCCATTGAGAGCTGCATCGGCCTCTATTTCCCCTCTGTTGCAGCATGGTTTATGCGTTCACGTCAACCAATGACTGAAGGCTTGCAACTAGGCAATTCATCAGAATTCTCCGATTTGCCAACATCTAGGTGAGGATCCCAATCGCTCCTATAGACCTTCCACTGAGGTGTCTACATATGCACAGCGGTTACGATATTTCCGGAGCCAGTAGCCCGGACGCCAGAAGTCCGGACGCCAAGACTTTGTGTGAATATTCTATATTGCTTACATGCATTCCATATGTTGAAAGCCGGGTCTCATCGGCCGGCTGGGCCAGAAATCCGTGAAGGGCCGAAACGATGGGAATCCAAGCTTGCTTTGCAAACACTAGCTAAAGCAATTGTGTAGCCTCGCAGCCAGGTTGCGTCAGAAGTCCGTTCCCGGAGTCCTCCAGTGGTCTAGCCCTGTACTCAGGGACCTGCGGGGCGGGGCACTATCTTTGAGCATGCATGATGAGACATTTTCGGAGTAACAGGTGTCGAAGCATTTCTGCGACGATGCGCGGCGACGGAACAACGGCCAGGTGTGATAATCAACAATACCAGAATAGGCCGTTCTATCCACGGATTCGCGCGGTTGGGCAGCATCAGAGATCAAGGGCCAGTTCCGACGGCAATGTCTAAGTAAAGTATTGGAGGTACATTCGCCCCCGAGAGATATTTACACTTACGGTCCTATTCTGATTGGGCTACTGCAGCTTGTCAAAGCCAATCCGAGTGACAGTTCCAGGATGCCTGTCGGCTTGGTTGAGCTTCTCCCGAGTGCCCAAGCTCCAACTAGTTTTCGAAACAGTCCTGAAGTGGAGTTTATGGCAAATGCGATGTAGTGCAGGAATATGCCTGGGCATGAAACTCATACATGCGCAGAAGGTGGTGGTTGTGGTTATTTTTTTGGTCCACGGGATAACTCAACTAGCCCTACTTGCAACCACCGTTCTAGGAAGGCCGTCATATGGGAAAGATCCGGCTGATAACAAAGTCATATATTTGAGCGAGTATGCATCTCATCCAGCTCCCGTTCGCGGAACACACAAGGCCGGGGTAGCGAATCTTGGAGCCGGGCTATTGTTCCATGAAGCGAGCCGTAATCCTCTGCGGACAAAAGCGTGTGGTTACGAAACATTAATGTGCGACGCGGAGGGTGTCCAGGTCCTGCTTGATGCGCAGAGGGGAGATGTGCCTGGGCAATGGACCGTGACCAAAATGCCGCCATTCTCGGAGACGGCATTGGATGAGCGCTTACCAACCCTGATGGGGAAGTGCGCAACTGGGCCGGCAGAGTTCTCAAAGTGAGTGCTTGCTGGCTTCTGCTGCTACTTACATGATCCAAGGCCCATCAGTTTTAACCAGGGCCGTCACCCTCCTCAGCTATCCTGCGGCCTGGAGTTGGCTTGTCACTGTAGTAGGCCTAATAGCTACTTACGCGTAGTTCATATTGCAAGCATGGATGCCCAGCGGCCAGGTAGACAGTAAAGTAAAACTGGCTTTGACCTGGGGTGACTGCTCAAAGAAGGTCCCGAGTAAGCACTCGGCCCCGCCAACAAACCACAAGCACAAGCACGAGTGGTAGCTTTTAGGTCATATAATTTTACGTATCCACGATCGACGCTACCGCTTTTCTTCATGTTTTACCCCTCCAACCAGGCTACCCACTACGCCCACCCATCCGAACTTCCATCATAGAAAAAGTACGACAACTCCCCTCCGGCTATCCGTTCTCTATTTCCATCTCTCTCCTAACATCCGCCATTATTACAGCTCCTCCTCAACATCTACCATCGATTTCCAACACGCAATAAAACATTTCCCGTCCACCTGAGCATCATACATCGTCGCCATCATGTCTGGAGCCGTGTAAGTCCAATTACCCCTCAGCCATCGCTGTTTACCCCGCCACCCCGCCGTCGACCCTTTCTTCATCGTCGCGTCCTCCCGCTGCCCTTCGCTACCTACGTGACTAAACCGGCGTTTTCGGATGTCAGGGCTCGTCTTGCCAACATCTCTAGCCATTATGGGGGAGGCGTGTGAGCTTTTCATTTATGCTCCTGCCTGGCGAAAAGTCCCCCACAAGCTGCTAATGTTTGTCGCAGTGCTGATCTCGGCCTCATCGGCTTGGCCGTCATGTACGTACCAACACTCTGCTACTCTTTGGTAGGACACCCCATACTCATCTGTTTTCTAGGGGCCAGAACCTGATCCTCAACATGGCCGACCACGGCTTCACCGTTTGCGCCTACAACCGAACCGTGTCCAAGGTTGACCACTTCTTGGCAAACGAGGCCAAGGGCAAGTCCATCGTTGGTGCTCACACCAACGAGGAGTTCATCTCCAAGCTCAAGACGCCCCGTCGTGTAATGCTGCTGGTCCAGGCTGGTAAGGCTGTGGATGACTGGATTGAGACTCTTCTGCCCCTCCTGGAGAAGGGCGACATCATCATTGATGGCGGCAACTCCCACTTCCCCGACTCCAACCGACGCACACAATACCTGAGCACAAAGGGTATCCGATTCGTCGGTTCCGGTGTGTCTGGAGGTGAGGAGGGTGCTCGTTATGGTCCCTCCATTATGCCCGGTGGTGATGAGCAGGCGTGGCCCTTCATCAAGGACATCTTCCAGGGCATCTCCGCCAAGGCTGGCGATGAGCCCTGCTGTGAGTGGGTTGGTGACGAAGGTGCTGGTCACTACGTCAAGATGGTCCACAACGGTATCGAGTACGGTGACATGCAGCTCATTTGCGAAGTAAGAGGCCTCCAAACGTCCTTTGCGCGTTGAAGTACTAACAATGACCCTACTAGGCATACGACATCATGAAGCGTGGCTTGAACATGTCTAACAAGGAGATGGGCGATGTCTTCGCCAAGTGGAACAAGGGTGTCTTGGACTCCTTCCTGATCGAGATCACCCGAGACATCATGTACTTCAACGACGACGATGGCACGCCGCTGGTCGAGAAGATCCTGGACCAGGCCGGACAAAAGGGTACTGGCAAGTGGACTGCCATCAATGCTTTGGACCTTGGCATGCCCGTTACCTTGATTGCTGAGGCCGTGTTGGCTCGTTGCTTGTCTTCCATCAAGGCCGAGCGAACTAAGGCCTCCACCAAGCTCCAGTACGAGAGTCGTACACAAACCTTTGACGGGAACAAGGAGCAGTTCCTTGATGACCTTGAGCAGGCTTTGTACGCCTCCAAGATTATCTCGTATGCGCAAGGTTTCATGCTGATGCAGGAGGTATGGATTGTTCACCAGCTGCAAGATGGAAGCGTTATACTGACAAATATACAGGCCGCCCGTGATTACAAGTGGAAGCTGAACAAGCCCTCCATCGCCCTCATGTGGCGTGGTGGTTGCATCATCCGCTCCGTCTTCCTGAAGGACATTACTGCTGCCTATCGCAACAACCCCGACCTCGAGAACTTGCTGTTCGATGACTTCTTCAACAAGGCTATCCACACCGCACAGCCTGGCTGGAGAGACGTTGTCGCCAAGGCGGCCATTCTCGGCATCCCGACCCCTGCTTTCTCCACTGCCCTCTCATGGTTCGACGGCTACCGTACCAAGGATCTGCCCGCCAACCTGCTCCAGGCCCAGCGCGACTACTTTGGTGCCCACACCTTCCAGATCAAGCCCGAGGCTGCCAATGAGAAGTACAAAGAGGGCGAATACAACCACGTCAACTGGACTGGTCGTGGAGGAAATGTCTCGGCCTCCACCTACCAGGCATAGATATCCACCTCGTTTGGACGTGGTTGGGAGTCGGCACAATCATTGGGATTTGCATATGGTTAATATCCTCAAGCTGATAGATTGAAAAGAATAACCATCAGGATGATGAGATAAATGTTGGAACGATAGATTAAGCAGTGATGATGCCATTAGCGTCACTGAATTAAAATGAATATAATGTACCTAGTCGCAGGTACGCGACATGTTAAGTGACACGGTGCGATGAGAAAGCTCTTCAGGACTGACAATATCCTTGTGTGTTAACGGGTAATCAAAATGCGTAGTATGCGTGCGGGGGCCAGTAGGGATGGCATAACGCGCAGAACTGCACCCGGTATCTCTCGAGGGGCGGCGGCTTTTATAGTTGGACTTTCCAGAACACGCTGGGAAATACGACTCGATCGATATTGCGCTACTGTCACAGCCGACGGCGGGCTGGCCTTTTAGTAACTTGAACATTATTCTACACACAAGACGAATCTCCATTCTGTACCTTGCCCTGGACTCCTACCCTACGTTCTAGTCAAAGAAATCTACCGTTCCTCGAGGGCAATGTCCACCCAGGAAACTGCCTCAAAGGTCTCCATCGGCCGGACTTCGAGAGTAGCCCTCGGCAGTAGACATGTACTACAAGTTTCCATCCGCCGGGGTTCCGGCATTGGCATTTGCCTCGACGCCATGGAACGCGTCACCAAACGCCGAGTCGTCCATAAAATCCCCACCTAGATCACCGGGTGTATTACTGAAATCGGCCAGAGCATCGCCTGCGGTGTCCAAGTCCCCTAACGAGCCGAAGTCGTTCGCGTCGAATCCCATGGACGCGTTGTCGCCGCCGCCTGCTGGTGTGCCTGTCGCAGAGGCTTGCTTGCTGTCGGAGGAGTCTGCCGTAAACGTTGGGAGTTTCGGCGGTTCGCTGGTGGAAGCTGAGGCGTTTCCAGTTGCGGCTAGTTCGGGAGTCACGCCACCTTTCGGGACAACCACCCAATCTCCGCTGCCGGTTCCCTGATCGGGGGGGGTTCCGGATGGCTCTGCATCCGTGCCGGACATGTTGACATCCTCAGCCCCGCCAGTTTTTGGCTGCTGCGGAGCCACTTGAGCCGGTGGGTGCGGTGATGACACGTTAGGCGTTGCTGCGTACGACGGCATGGCAGACAACTGCCCTTGTGGGGTCGGCAAATTGTTGGCGGGTGTGGAATTCGACGACAAGCCGGTGTGCATTTGGTCAAGTAGTCCTGCGGCAGTTCCACCCATATCCATATCTGAATCTCCAACCATCCCGCTATTGTGAGATCCAGTGTGTGATGCTTGCCGCGACATGGTGCCGCTCCCGCTCGGGGCGGGTTGAGTCGCTTCAGGGGCCGGCTCAGGAGCAGGCTCCTGGTAGCCTCCATCTTGGATTCGCTTCAGTTCGTAGATAACCTCAGCCCGATGGCCAAATTGCGCCTCGACTAGTGACACGATATCATCGACCTTCTTGGAGTGTTTGGCTGCCCAGCGCGCTGTTCCATCCTCGTTTTCCTCGACTCGGCCCTCGAGGCGCAGCGCCTCCGGAGTCACATGATCTATGGCAGTCCGTAGGTCCTTCTCGGCGGTTGTAAGCAGCGAGTTCTTCCTAAACTTCGACAACTTCTTCTCATGCTCCGCCTTCATTCTCTCTATCTCGGCATTGGTCGAGTCGATGTGCTCGTTGATTCGCGAGCGGAACTCGGCCGCTTGCTCTATGTCCAAGGAAGTCGCAGCCTTCGGGGGTGGGCGGTCTTCTTTTTTCTCGGCGCCTTGCTCATGGCCTTCGGCGTCAAATATCCCGTCCGTGAGTCCTGACAACGCGCCTCTCAGGCCCAGCGCAAGACTGGTAAACCCAATTTGATTCATTCGATAGGGTGATGACAGAATCTCCTCCATCCATTCATGATTTTGACGGTAGCGGTGAAGACTGATCTCTCGTGGGGTCAAGTGATCAAACATATCGCCGCGCGAAGTGTCCTCCTCGTCGTCATAAGCATCGAGCTGCGGGACGGCACCCATTACAGGCTGAACTTGACTGTGTGCAGCTTGGGCGGTCCTCGCACGCTTAGAGGGAGGCGCACCCGCTGTCGGGGGATGTGTAGGGTATGCCATGGTCTGAGGGACTCCCCGGTTGCCAGCGTACATGGCCTGTCGGGACGGCTCCCTAGGCCAGGCGATCTGCGGCCAGTTGACGCGGTCGCTGAGAATGAACTCCTTGCGCTGGATCTGTCCACATCGCTGCAGGTATGCCCGAGTCTCCAGGATATTCTGGGTGCGAGGGTCTCGCGGAAGCACTTGCACAGGGATGCGCTCGTTGTTGTCAATCGGTCCATAGTGAACAATCCAGAGGCTTGGATCAACTTGAGGGGTGTTTGGGTTGTGGACGTTTGGGGGGCAAAGACGGAAACGGCGGCGCGAGTGGGTGGCCACTTGCTCGCCATATGCGAAGCCAGCTTTGTGCAAGTACATTTCCAGGATCTGCAGTGCGACAATTAGCCATGTTTGCAACGAGGTTTGGACTGGCTAGACATACAACGCCGTTGCCAACTTCTTGGGTAAAGTACTGCTCAGCGGGTGGCCAGATGTAGCCATCGCTGGCAAAGTTTGTTCCCATCTGCTGAAACGGCTGCCATGTCAGAGTTATGGTGCCATTTTCAGGTCTATCGAGATATGTCCAGAAGAACGGCGCCTTGTCTCGAGCGATCTGGGGTGCTTGCATCAACCAGTTGGTGACCTCGGGGATCTCGACATGGGCCTTCTGCGTGTATCGGTACGTCGAAATGAGGTGTACATGGGGAAGCTTTGTGCGGTTCTGTAAGCAGATGCATAGGTAGATAGGATGTAGTAAATGGCTCATACCAGGTCTCGATTGACCCCAAAGCTCGGGTCTCCCATTGAAGACATGATGCGAACGGGTTGAGTAGACACCCAGGGAGGGCACTTGACGCTTGCTTAATGTCGGAAATAACTGGCAAGCATCGAACGTGGTCTGTTATGACGGGTACGGCGGTATCCAATGGGCAGGTCCGAGGCGGTGATGCATGCGACGCGGAAACTCGGATGCGACGACAAGGCTGATGAACACTTCCCACTCAATTTCCAATGGGCGCGATCGCGACTTGCGACTAAGAGCTTGGAAGTTTTGTCGCGGCTGGGAGGCCACAATTTTGAGTGGAAGTGATCCGTGCGGTGTGGCTGGTGAGAGAGCGTGAGCCACCAAAACTCGCACGTCGCGGTTCTACACAAACAGTTACATCAACCAATCAAAACTCACGTTGTTTGAATATCATCCCTGAATATATTCCCTGGCCCAAGCAACCGTAGCACTGAAGTTGCTTCGAATCGCAATTGCTGCCTCGCTACACATCATTACGACAGTCCAAATCCAAGTCACTTTACTTGAACACATCGATCACTGATATCTCCCAGCATCCAACGCCGTAACCCGATATTCTGTTCTTGACGAGTTCGTACATGCTAACAGCACGAGCGCTATGCCAGACCAGCACGGAGAGAGCGGAATGTTTCGATTGGGGCGCGTACCCACTCTTCCCTCTAGTCTGTGCCTGCATTTAATTGTAGGCTCTGGTCCCCGCAGCAACGATTGCATGTCCAACCACTTTCATCCATATCCCCTCGAAAAACTTCCGACGATGAAGACAGTCATAACGGATCTCTCATGAGATGATCTGGGCACATATAACTTGTTGCAATCTTGCATGCCGCAGCCTCCTAGCGTCGATCCGGTTCGCTTAAGAGACCCCTGATGAGGCGAGTTTCAGATGTTGCAGGCTCTTGTTAGAGCCTCACCAAGGATTGAAGCGTATGGCCACAATTGGGACGAACTTTTTACCCAGGAGACGCCCTGCCCAGCAGCGCATGACGGGGAATAAGCAGTTCCGTGTCTCTGGCAACCCCGTCATGGGGGCATGTCTCAAGCTCAACGCCTCGCGATCTTGTGATAGTACGGCTAACAAGCCCGCGGCGGTCATGAGCTCTGCAAAGTGTTTTCATCACTCGATGAAGTAACCAGATTTCTGACTTGACTTTTCTCATGCGCTGATATTGAGAATCCCGGCTCTTGTGATCGACAAGCAAGTGTCGCTGGATATTTGTTTCTCGTGTTTACTGACAAAGCTTCTTGCGCTCCGGAGATCGGCCCTCACGGCTGTTTCCAACCCTGGTCCTATATCAAGACAGGGACCTCTGCTCCCCGGATCTTGAGCCTGTCAAATATCATCCAACCCCCGTTTGAATTGATTAGTGCCCAGCGAAGATGGCAGGGTGGAACGGCGTACCCACCTTAGAGTCCTGCTGTCAGGGATCTTAATGGCGGCTTGAAGGTATTACATATCGCGCAATGTCGCCTTGTGCTCGGCCTACCTTATCCAGGTTTCTTCTTCCTCTCCATATTCTTTACCGTGCCTTTTGGGTCCCTTCGCCCTTCTTTTCTTTAGCTTCTATTGAGCTGGGCTCCTCTTCTAGTCACTCTTTTCAATTTGTCTGCAGGCCAGCGACTCCTAGGCCAGCGACTCCTGGGCCAGTCCTTTCATTCTCTAATAAAACTTTCTACCTAATCTTATACCCCACGACCTCTTCGATCCCGTTTCCTAGTGACTGAGCAGAGAATAATTATGAGACACACTCACTTCACTGTGGTCCTCTTCGCCATGTTCGGGATGGCGATGACAAACGGTCAGGATTGTGCAGCCGAAGCTGTCGAGACTGCAGCACCAGCCCTCAAGCCTCTTCCCGGCAGTGTAGTTGAGGGTGCAACACTGCAGCCTCTTCTACCCCCTCCAGCAGCAACCCCAGCGGTGGAAGTAACTACTATTGCCGCAGAGATGCCGGTTGCAGAGACTCCAGTTGCTGAGCCCACCGTTGTTGAGCCTCCGGGTTCAGAATGTCCAGTTGCTGAGCCCACTGTTGCAGAGCCTCCTCCGGTTGCAGAATCTCCCGTTGCTGAGCCTACCGTTGCTGAGCCTACCGTTGCTGAGCCTACCGTTGCAGAGCCTCCTCCGGTTACAGAACCTGCAGTTGCTGAGACCACTGTTGCAGAGCCGCCGGTTGCAGAGATATCCTCGGTAGGTTTTCTGATGTTACTTTGACAGTAACGATGACTAACAATAGACAGACCGTTCCAGTTGAATGTTCCATTCCAACTGCACCAGCTCTCATCCCAGAGATAACCGCGAGCTCTGTAAGTCTCACTTCAACTGCTGATCCAAGAACTGTCGCTGATACTGGATAGACGCCTACCCTCGCATCTTCCGCCCCATCTGCAGTAGCTCCTCCATTGGAAACCAGCGTTGACATCCCCATTAATTCAAGCATAACCACTACTGCGGCAGCTCCTCCACTGGAAGCCAGCGTTAGCATCCCCACTAATTCGAGCATAACCACTACTTCGGCAGCTCCTCCACTGGAAACCAGCGTTTACATTCCCATTACTTCGGCAGCTCCTCCGCTGGAAACCAGCGTTGACATCCCCACTACTTCGGCAGCTCCTCCGTTGGAAACCAGCGTTGACATCCCCACTACTCCGGCAGCTCCTCCATTGGAAACCAGCGTTGACATCCCCACTACTCCGGCAGCTCCTCCGTTGGAAACCAGCGTTGACATCCCCACTACTTCGGCAGCTCCTCCGTTGGAAACCAGCGTTGACATCCCCACTACTTCGGCAGCTCCTCCATTGGAAACCAGCGTTGACATCCCCACTACTTCGGCAGCTCCTCCGTTGGAAACCAGCGTTGACATCCCCACTACTCCGGCAGCTCCTCCATTGGAAACCAGCGTTGACATCCCCACTACTTCGGCAGCTCCTCCGTTGGAAACCAGCGTTGACATCCCCACTACTCCGGCAGCTCCTCCGTTGGAAACCAGCGTTGACATCCCCACTACTTCGGCAGCTCCTCCATTGGAAACCAGCGTTGACATCCCCACTACTTCGGCAGCTCCTCCATTGGAGACCAGCGTTGGCATCTCTACTACTTCGGCAGCTGCTACAGCTGGCGTCTCCGAGGGCGGCTCTAAGAGTGGCTCGAAGAGCGGTTCAGAGAGCGACTCTGAGAGCGACTCTGAGAGCGATTCAGAAAGCGGTTCAGAAAGCGATTCAGAAAGCGATTCTGAGAGGGATTCTGAAAGCGATTCCGAGAGCAGTACTAAGAGCGGCAAGGGTGCCGCCAAGGCTACTGGGACTGCTTCGCTAAAATCTCTAGGAGGAAACGGTGCAGCCCAGGCCACTATAACCGCCTCACTGGAATCTTCTGGTGGAAGTATTGAGAGTATGATCGCAACTGCTCACATGCAGTCTGCCTTCACTGCCGGCTTGGTGGGCGCCACAGCGACGCTTGGTGCAGCCTCCACCCTCGCTACTAGTATTGCAATGGGCGCCGCAGGTGCTACGGCTGCCTTCGTCAATCTTGGATCCGCGGCACAATCATCCAACAGCACAGTATATTATATTCAACCAGGCGCAGCAGGCATGGTGAATATTCCCGCTACGTTCATTATCGGCCTTGCTGGATTTACCGGCTGTCTGTTACTGTGAACGCAAATCCATGCATTGGGTGATAATAGGAATGGATTCTCCCCCTTTCAAGCAAGTCAGCATTAGTGGTTTCTTCGTCGAGGACTAGTTTTACGAATAGGAAAGAGATATTTACTAGAAGCGCGCAGATATGACGCACAACCGCACCAGGAATCTGATAGAAGGTTTTGAATACCAACATTGTCCAAGAGCAATCACACCACACATACTACTCAATATGTCGTCTATTGATACCAACCGTCTTGGGTTGTGCATAAAACACTGCCTTTCTAGTTGTACTCGTGCCAAATCTTATGAGACTCATGTCAGGTGACAGGAGTGTTGAGCAAAAAATTCAAATCAAAACCAATCACACCATGCTCAGCTCACAGGGAAATAATCAAGTCTTCGGTAAAAACTCCTTTGTTGGGTTTTAGAGTCCTATATCTCATTGATTTAGGCTCGTCCCGAGTTCCGAAACGCACCTCGTCGCAGGATAGCTTATCCCTGCTCAAAAATATGCTTAAGTGGAATCCTTGGTGTTGCATGAGCCCCCTGGGACATCCTGGGCATACAGATTATGTTGATAGTATAGGTACTATATCCAAGCTAGTATGAACGAGTAATTATTCGGCTTGATGTTGAATCTTTCCGTTATTTTGTATATTTCGTGAAGGTAAAATCTAAAAAAAGTTTACCTTGCATGAAATATTTCTTAAAAAGAGGTATCATTTCATCTGTAATATGGAACGCGGTGCTGGCCTTAGGACATCGTTTTGGGTCACTTTACAATCAAATCTACCAGAAAACCCCAACAATTATCCGTTCCTCAGGAATCATGAGCCGATAACAGCACGTCTCTTCTACAGTCTCACTATGATTCAAATTGCCGATGGGAACACCCGGACTCAAATTTTGGCTGGTAAGCCTGCATATCTACATCCACACCTAACATATGTGCTCAAAAGGGTAGGCTGTGGGTCGATCATGCTATTCCACCAGGAGACGGGACAAAAGCGCCCTATGCCAGTTCGGTATCGTCCACTCTGGTAACTTGGCCACACCTCTACAATTCAATGTCACTTCGTCCTTGAAAGCCTTCACGCATGCTTATTCGCTACAAACCTGGCAAAGTGACGGCATGACTATTGCATATTTGCACCCTGAGACGCTTCAGTATGCAACCTCACCTTTTGCTCCACATTGATACGAAACAGCTCGTTCGGTCTATTTGCCGTTGGCTGTCTAGAGACGTTTGCGAATCTTCTGAAATTGATCTTGTGTCTGGGTAGCTGAAGCTATCTATCGGCTGTCCATTCCATACATTTCAAATCTGGCTGATATCTCGACATCGTCTCAACTTGTGCGCCAAGTTGGAGGTGACACACATAGCGACTCAGACATGGGCTTTCTTTCGCTCAGGATAATCAAAATTCTGTTGATCGCAACTGCACTATGCGTGACTCTCAGCGCATGGACTCTCTCCTGGCGTTTGGATTTGTCACAGGTCTCTCAAAATACCGTCACGGCGATCCAGGAATGGTCCACTGATTACTTACGTCGCAGCAATCGTACGTTAGGTGTATGTCCTTCCCTTTGACTTCCTAGCGCAGAAATCATATATCTAACGTTTGTGCAAGTTTGAGAAAATTCTAGTTATATCCACAGGTTCGTCGTGGAGACTCGAGGGCCTCTTGAAAGCTTCAAATTTCACTGGCTTTGACGTGGAAGTTCCGAGACAACCCCAGTGGACGAGCCAATATGTAGACGAGTTTCGTGGGATAGGCACTGTGGACAAAACCATAAGAGTTGGCCCAGGCCAAGCTAGATGCTGGCTTGGGCATCTCAACGCTCTTTCATATATGATTGAGCGCGAATGGGCCACGGCACTGATCATGGAAGACGACGTTGATTGGGATATTGCTATCAAAGAACAATTCGCCCTCGTCGCGCCGCACATCCGAAGCGTCACACAGTCTTGGTCTTCCTCGGCTCGTTTACCATATGGAAACAAATGGGATTTGCTATGGGTGGGACACTGTGGAGATGCTATCCCAAAGTCTGGCGGCGTCTACATTTTTGATGACACGCTTCCACGGACGGCTGACTATCGCGAGAACAATGGCCGTCATATACAACTAACCTCAAAACCACAGCAGCGTGTCATTCACATCTCTGACGGACCAGTCTGCACATACGCATACGCGCTGACCCTGGCTGCCGCTAGAAAGGTCTTCCAACATTCCAGAAACGGCGTCGAGAATATCATCACAACAGACCTTCGTCAGTGGTGCCAGGCGGGGTTCCTCACCTGTGTTACTGTTAATCCCGAACTCTTCCATCACCATAAGAAGGCCGGTGAGGTTTCCAGTGAAATTGCTGTCGTTGAAGGCTGGGATAGTCTTGCAACGCCAGCGTCGGTGGACTTTACGGCGAATATCAGATACAGTGCTAGGTGTAACAGTGTATCTAGCAAACTAGTTACATGCATAGATGAAACAATACATGACTGAGATAGCAATTTGAGATTTGCATCTCTTCAAAACATGCCTCCTGGGATCGCACCCGGCTATAGGACTAGATCACACGCTACTGTTCGCAATTGTCGCTTGGGAAGAGTGGGATCAGTACACGTCTGCATCTTCGATGACCACGATGTGGACCTGCAACTTTCGGCGTCGCTGGCTATCAGCAGTACTGACGTGCAGTGTACGAAGCCAAGACTGCGAATAGCCTCATAGTGAAATCTGTACGCAATCGAACATGTTTGGTCTGGACGTTCCGGAACATTCTCGTGACATGGAAAAAAATATCCACCTCAGCTCCGAGTAAGGTATGTACTCGCATTGTATTACCCTTGTTCTCTGGCCAAAGTGCTAGAGCCAAAGAGGCAGGAACCTCGATGACATTGTATGGGCCGAATCGAAAGAACTTAACACGAAGTTTAATTATTAGTATGATATCATTCACTATGCAGGTTCTGCATACTAGTTTGCACTTGAGCGAATTGCCTCTTTAGCTTTAGCAATTCGGCAAGGATGCCCACGAAACAGCCCAGTATTCAGGACAATAGGCCCCCGATGCATGATTACAGTAAGCCGGCACTGCCCGAACAAGTTTAGACAAGTGAATGCTGAGAGGCAATTTTCAATGGAAAGGACTTGAGGGAAACGTATTGAGAGGCAGTACAGCTATAGTCCGAGATTGGCGACTACTCAAAGTAGATATGTCAGGGCCCTATGTGAGAGCTTTTCCTAGAAAAGTGAAATTCTTGAACTAGGGAGGGCGTGAGATAAGGGAGGGCATGAGATATTACCCAATAGGAATTGCTACTTCGGTAGATGACACCATGGCAAACGACATGATAAGACGTACTAACCTCGATTGGGCAGGCGATGGAGTCTGCTTACCCCAGCTAGAATCCAAAGTTCGGACATTGTAGCAGTGGCTGCGCGCCAATCAGATAATAAGGATCGATATTTGGAGAAACAACCTTGTATCTAATCAAGCATGACCATAGCGAGACTTCATCATTTCACCATTGAAAAGGCTTGGGAGATTGTTACTATGAGTGTGCAGTTCGGCCACTCAGTTGCTCGATGGTGCCCCACACCTTGAATGCACCTACATTGATTTCTAAGAGGTTACGGGATGCAGCTATAGCCTGGTAGCACACCGTTGCTGGCATTTATTGATAGGCCACCGGTCATTCTAGCCATTCGACCTGAAAAGCTCATTCACCCGAGTTGCCCGATCAGAGAATATAGTTTTGGATGACGATACGACATCGAGTCGCAACACTTCGAACTGTAATCTCAGAACACCCAGTATGGCTGAGTCTTCATTTCTTCAGTTAGCTTCATCGTCTTGTTGGATTATGCAAGTACACATTGCTCCCGCTATATGCAGAACTTATGCTTACCAACAGAAGCTCATGGCTCGCCCTTAGCATGAGTCTTGTGATGCTCAATAAGTTGATAATGAGCGATCTCAATTTCAGTGCGTATTCGATGCTCCCAAATAGTGCTGAGATCGCTGACTTTCCTCATTTAGACTATCGTAAGCCTGGACTGCAAACCACTGACTCCAGGTAGACCTTTGCTAACACTGGTCTATTAGCTGCCTTCCTGGCGACCAGCCATTTGGTCTTCAATACATTATGCACACAGCTGTTAGCACTCCCGACATCATTCTTGAAGAATGACCCATGGACGAATGTCGATAGGGCTGCCTTCTACAAGGCTCTTGTGCCTATAGCAGTATTGATGAATTTCAGTATTATTTGTGGTAATGCTGCTTATGTTCATCTCAGCGTTGCCTTGATCCAGATGCTCAAGGCTTTGTCCCCCGTAGCAGTGTATGTAATCTCTTGTCTACTGGGATTGACGGAAGTCACAGGACGCAAGTGCATAGATGTCTGCGTCATCTCAGGTGGTGTCATGTTATCGTCACTGGGCTGGACCGAAGAAACATCCATGAGCATCATATTGCAACTCAGTGCCATCATTGCCGACGCTGTTCGGCTGGCTATGACACAAAAGGTTCTCAGCTCATGTGAGTTGAATGTGGAGCCACTCGCTTTACTGCACCACCTGGCTCCAATATGTTCCCTGACCGGACTGGTGCTCACAATCGGGTTGGAAACTCCAACTATTCCTGAAGTGCTGGGAATATGGCATTTCGGTATCGGAAGTTGCATCTTGTCATTTTGTCTGAACATTGCAGGGTTCTCAGTGGTGAGTCAGATGGCATTTCGAACGAAAGTAACATCAACTAACAGAAACAGGTCAAGAAAACGTCGTCTCTAACATTGAGCATTTGTGGCATATTGAAAGATTTGATCCTGATTGGACTCTCAATCGCTATTTGGCATGACGCCGTCACAGCGCTACAATTAATTGGGTATGGTCTCGCATTGGTAGGGATATTGCATTATCGTCATCACACTGAGCAATAACTCCTTCAATCACACACTTGAGGCGTCTTTATGAGCATCCTGAGACGTCGGTGGCAGACGTTGAGTTGTATCACATCTTAGACACCAGCACATATTGCCCGTGGAGCAAAAGTGAGCCACATGACGGATTTGTTGGCGTCAGAATACCTATGCGAACATGAAGCAATGGCGACCAAAAATGATGTCATCCGTAATTCTCAGTCTGTGTACAATATCTATATTCATGACGTGACCCGCCGCAGCTCCATACCCATGAAGTGATGAAGGCAAGCGATTCGGCCGATTGCGCTGCGACACCATTACCTTCTGGAATCCCTCACTCTTGCTTTATGATGCCCGGCTGACCCAACGCAGAAAGATCTGTAGTCACATGGTCTATACGGCCATCTTGCATTTGTACCACTAGGTCCCGTCCTGGTTGCGTGTGACCTGCCAGGATCGCCACCCGATGGGCGATCATGATAACTGAATGGCCTTGAGAAGTAAACTCCCGGTCAATGATATCATGTATCGCCGACTCTGTGGCATAATCAACAGAAGACGTAACTTCATCCAGTAAAATGACTGGACGTAGCCCATCGACTCTGAGCGCCTTGACCTTAACATACGCACGAGCTACCGCAAGCAGCTGGCACTGCCCACTTGAGAGTATCGGAAAATTGGAAATCTTTCGGGCTAAAGTTGTGGAAATGTCCAGATCGTCATCTTCCGCATCGGAATGGTACTGTAACGACGCAGTATTTTCGCCTTCGGGCTCACTTCGCTGACTGAATAGGGACCAAAGCCCAATTTTTGTCAACGCTTCGACTAGAAGCTCATCCGAGCTGGAATTTCCTGGGTCCAGATTGAATCTCAGACTTTGGTCGTACAGTATCAAAGGATCCTGGGTCACGGTGACAAAGCAACGTTCGCGTACTAAGTGGCGTGGGATCCGAGCGAGATCCACACCATCGACTTCCATTTTGCCGGACTCGATATCTAAGACTCGAAGTAGAGTCAAAAGCAATGAGCTTTTCCCGCTGTTCGAACGTCAGTGTACTTCCTCATTGTAGGATGATATAAATGACTAAAAAGACCGACCTCCCAGTCCGCCCGCATATGACAATCTTTTGGCCAGAAACAATGTGCAGTTCAACTTCGGATAGAGCCAAAGCCCCGGGGCTGTTCAGATGATGTGTTAATGAGCTGATAAACATTCAAAAGGCACATTACTTACTTATAGTACGCATTGATTCGTGTCAGACGAACCTGCCCCTTGAGTGGCCAGTTTTCTGGCGGGCTCAGTGTCTCTGTAGGAAAATGCTCTGAAGGCGTGCCTTCTTCGAGCATTTTCAGGCGCGAAATCGCTCCTAGAGAGACTTCCAGGGTCGTCCAGGACTCCACCAGTCTCAGGAGGGTTGTGTTTGTTACAAGAAGAATGTTGAGGGCGAGACCGATCTGTCCGCTGCTTGTGCTGCCATGCCATGCCACAGCGAGTGCAATGACGCTTACTGCTAGAATCGCTGCCACAAGATCAAAGACAAGGTTCAGCCATCGTTGCAGAGATAGCAGAAGAAATTCTGGCCGCTGAGCGTTACTAACACACGCAACGTTCTTTCGTACTACTTCTCTTCTCCAATCAAACGAACGAATTGTCTCGTTTCCTTCAGTCTGTTATCCGATTAGTGTGCCGCAGAAGCGAGATAGGCATCAAGATACTTTCCGATTCAAGAAAGCTTGAGAACACCGCCGCCTTCGACTCTAACTCCAAAAACCGTAATTGACGCGATGTTCGTAGATAGACCTTCTGTACAGCGTAGATGATAACTGAGCAGACCGGTAGAGATACTACCAACCATTTCTGTGCAACTAGAAGCAAAGCAGCCTGCGCAAAGAGTTTGAAAACCTCTGAGATGAATTAGCCGTCGTGAAACAGAGATGTACATTGCAGTGGTGAGGTTCACGGTTGCTCAAATTTGCCAGAGCTGACGGCAGTTGTTTGTCTACCAGCTGGATGTCCTGACTGAACCTGAACTGGGGTTAGTCATTTGAATGTTTTTGCTACAGTGGGTCTCTTCTTACCTGTTCAGTATGGAGCCATTTTCAGTCGAAGAGAAAAAGCTTAGGGGTGCACTGCTATCCCCGTAAGCTGGCGCTTCCAAGGACATATCGTGATCTCAACGACATACGACACCACAATACCAAGTAATCGTTGGTGAATCTGACGACCGGACTGCGGGGCTAATCGGATGACAGTTGCCCTAATCATGTTAATAGGACGGGATGAGATGGTAGGGGCCGACGTACCACATGGTACCACTTGTGGACATCCATGAAATGAAAGAAATGGCCAACAAGCCAGTGACGAATAGTGTAGTGTTGTTAGCCCCTGGGTCTGTCCAGATCTTCAACCAGTATTGCGGGATAGTGTTGAAGACGGAGTATGAAGCAGTACATGCAGTAACAAAGAGGAGGTTGATGAGTCTCACGAATTGGTAGTAATACACTATTTGGGGATTAGCTTCGTTTCCATACAGGTCTTACAACTCACTATAGAGTGTTGAGTCACCCGTCTGCCGTGCAAGGTCAATTTCTGCGTCATCACACGCCTGAATTCGGGACGTGAATCTGTCGGCGACGTTCGAACTCTGGGGGTCATCCATTTCGTGGTCTTTCCTACTTTCAGGCAAAAGCCTCGCGAAAGAAGTGAATTCCGACTGGAGGTCCTTCCATGATCCCTGCTTAATGATACATCCGTCACTAAGAATGAGGATGTGATCGGCGGCGTAGAAGAATTCGCCTGAAACAAATGAGCTGCGCGAAGTCGGTCTTGGTGTGCCCTATCTTACTTGAGTTGCACGTAAAGATTACAGTTGAACGTAATCTCTTCACGAGGCCGTCGGGACCAAGAAGATTTTCAAAAATCTTGTTCTTTGTCGTGCCATCCAAAGCGCTGAAACTATCGTCTAGAAGGATGATGTCACATCTAGAAAATAGCGCACGAGCGATTGCCTGCAATATTAGACACAAAACATATATGGAACTGAATGTACTCACCAGTCGCTGCCGCTGACCGCCAGAGAGATTGCTTCCTCCATTACCAACTTCAGTATCGTCTCCTTCGCGGAGCGCTGCCAAATCACGTGTGAGACAGCAGGCAGCAAGAACCTCCTGATACCACAAAGTATCACCGTGACTGGTAACCCCCAAAATGACATCTCTTACACTGCCGCTGGGTATCCAGGGTTTTTGCGCGCAATACGCAATCCGCTTATTGGCCAAACTGATCACTCCCGTGAATGCAACCTCGCCAAGAATCGCATGAAGTAGCAGAGACTTTCCGCCCCCCACAGGTCCGGACACCATACACAAAGATCCTGGACCAAGGGAGAAGTTCAGGTTCGCCAAGACTGCCGGTTTGGTGTCAATGGAGACATTTCTGAACTCAATGACTGGAGCCGGGTTCGTCAAGTGCCCTGATGATGGATCCCAAGCCACAGAAATGGAGGTGGACCGAGGTAGCAGCCGCCTTCTATCGCGTAATACTGGCTTGAGGAGATAGCGCTGAATCCTCTCAAACCCGGCAAACGCGGCGATTGCTTTCGGAACTATCGTCATGACCATATTTGCGGGATGAGTAATCATGCTCAAGACGGCCATAGTTGTGAAAGCGGTCTCGGTATCCAACGACTTGCCCTTTGCACTGACCACGATCGTGTAAAGTACCAGGGTCAACGCAGGCGAAAATATACCGAGGGCATTAGCTGAATTAGGTTAGCGATTGTAGTACAGCAAGTGTGCGGGACTCACGAACCACTGGCATTATAGTACACCGTCATCCACCTGACCTTGGAAGCGACTAGAAGTTCGGTTTCCCTAGCTCTCTGAACTTGCGCTGCAATGGCGCTCTCTAGCCCTAACATCTTGATGGCTTTCATGGAACCTAGCAAGGAACTGATGGCAGATACACGTTGTTGTGTCATCTCGTTCCAGGCTCTCTGTCGTGTTTTCAAATGCTTTGCAACATAGCGACTAACACGGGAACACACTGAAAGGATATCACAGGATCAATATCAGCGTTCAGAATGTATACAGAGGAGACTCACAAAATATTAGAATGAGAGGGAGTGGCCAAACCCAACCGATCTCGCGTGATAATAGTACTATTCCGATCGATACTTCCATTATCTGCGCCCATGTCTCGTGGAACATTTCTCCCACACCCTCAAGGCCGTCTGTGTCAGTGCTCATCAGTGTAGTCGCTTCACCGTCATCGTAGGATACACTAGGGGAGTCTATGATTTTCGCATGGATCAAGCCGATAAGGGCACTTTTGGTCAGTAACTTCAGTCGGTTAAGCCGATGCTGGTACAACGCCGTCGATATCTATATAACGTTGGTATTCGATACGACATCAACTGCTGGAACCTCACGGCCAAACCAAAATAAATCACCAGAGCAGAGACGATGATCCAATATCCCTGCAGCTCCCGGTCTTTGATTGATGGATTCATTATGTGTTGAATGGATCGTCCAATCAAGGCTGGCTGCGAGTATCGAAATACAGTAAGAAATAATCGTGGTAGAATTACGTCGAAGAATGGTCTTTTCAAGCATCGGAACAGCGCCAAGGGAAGGGTCCTCTTCGTTTCCGGCTTGTCTGTCCACTATGTTAGTCTATGATGCCCCATCGATAGCGAAGCAACAGACCTCTTTGGCTCCACAATTGCAAAATAACACGTCTCATTGTTTTAGGACTGAGATTCCGGTCAAGGGTGGGTATGTCATCATTCGTAAGGATGGTCCGGTAGCCCTTGAGTAAAAGTGAATTTATCCATGCAAAAAAGACTCTGCTCAGAACTCCATGATATTCTCCAGGGGATCTATTCTCCGGAGCATCTAGAGCTGTCGGGTTTCCACCCCATAATTCGCAAAATAGGAGTATCAGGCAGAAAACGCCATGCACAGCGATTGGCTGCACGTCGAAGTTCGTCAATGGCTTCACAGGTGGTTTCGTGAGAAGGACAACATCACCGATTGCTGATACAATGGTGTATAGCACTACTGCGTCTGAAGATCTGCGGGTGTATCGCATCTCCAGGTACATAAGCATGCTGATACAAGGCGCAGCGACTGTTGAAGCAATGAGTGAAGCTATCGTACTTGGATGATGACAATCTGGGAAGCTGAGCAAAATCACTAAGTAACCGAGTAGGATGATCGCAAGCAAAAGACCGAGGAACTAGGGAGTTGGTTACAAGAGGTAAAAAGTTGAGGGCTGGATACTCACGATTCGTGGATTAGCTTGCCAAGCAGAGGCTGTCGCTCGTCTGGAGGAATGAAGCACATACCACCGAAACGGCAAGTAGAGTACGAACGCGACAACACAGGCTATGTTGAACGTATGGAGGGTAGGTGACCAGTCGTCGCTGGTAGTGGGAGGACAAGCTGTAACACTTTGCGGAATGGAACGAATACGAAGTAAACAGTGACGCATCTTGGGGAATAGAAATCTGGTTCAGTCCAAGTCAATACGAGCGAAAAGAAAGCATGACTACAAAAGACCACGATCAGTATCTGGAGTGGAATGGCTGGTGGTGAGTATCCAGATAGTAGCAAGCAGAGGCTGGCCAACGAAGGTGCTACCGATATCAATCAGAATGCTATGACTGGTGGGACTGCCAAGCTTATTACCTCATTCTATGGGTACAGGTATGGGATTAGCCGTCCAGGCATACCTTTAGCACAATATCGTCTCCGATGATATGCTCCTGGTCAAGTACCTGGGCAGGCCACAGATGCCTGTACATACATCCCCATGATCTCTACAGCATTCTGGTGGCTGGATATTGCGCAGTGGAGCGTCTTGGCACACTGTACCTAGTCAGCCGCAGTACAGCATCATCCTCCATCTCCGCTGCAAAAATATGCCCCCCGAGCTCATTGCCAATCTTGACGCATGATTACATAGTACAAGAACTAGATTTGTGACAGAGTGATGATCCTTTACAACTGATGGATACCACACAGAGCTGCAGAGCTGGGGCTTCGCTACGGAGTAAACCCCTGCAATGGGCACAACCTGCCGATGAGGCAGGGGCTACCACCCAAGAAGGAAGCAGCCGCACTAGTGCCTGCGGGAGAGCCTTATCTAGACTAAGCCTAACTCTTGCATGAGGCACTTGCGGGGCTGCCGAACATGTGGATCCAATTCCACCTGCCCAATCAGCATGGCCTCAAATGATATCAGTCTACTTACTCGCCGCATTCATGCAGCATCCTTCTCTTGATGATATGATCAAGTTGTCTAGCGGTTATAACCAATTGAGGGGCTCTACAAGGTTGTGAAGACAACAATCCGCGACAGCTGTCATACTGTTGTCGAACTTCTTTGTTTCAATGCTCTTTCAGACTGCATCAGTATCACAAGCCATTCCTTTAGCACATGAACCTCGTTGAACGAGTGAAGAAAGTTTCCATCACCTGACATAAGGATGGCTGAGCAGCTGTCCCCAGACCGGATACGGCTCCAGAATAGGGAGTCTCAGCGACGATTTAGTAGGTTGAGAAACAACGAAACAGTTCCAATTCTCCATGAAGCTGAACAATGAGTAGGACAAAGACACAAGCAGTCCAGACGGATGGAAATATCTGGATTTCCCGAAGCCTGGCAGCGTCCCGTTTCGCCAGCATCGACCATGATGCCAAACAACGAGATCGCGGGGAACACAACGTTTGTGCAGAAACGCGGTCAACGTTCGGCTTTTGCACACAATCAATTACAGACACCATCACATGAAGTACAAGCATGGACACCATCAGAGCACAATCCTGCATTCATGGCGGCGGCCTCTGAAATACACGAGCGCTCAATGCCGCAAGGCAGCCCAGTGCATGTGCATTCATTTCCTCAGATGCCCCTGATGCAAATGCCGCTTGACAGTAATCACCTCGGAACTGGTGCCGATACGGGTGCTGAGGGGGTACAGGAATATGCCCTTAGTCTGTTGACCGCCAAAGAGAGCACGGCATCAGCCGCCAATCAGCTTGTGGAACAAAACGTTGCAGGCACCCAACCGGCCATGGGGAACAATGAGGTACTAGAAAATGAGAATCCCATACAGAGCCACCGCAGGTTGCACAGAGAAACGAGTCCAGTGACTATGACAAGGGCTGAAGAGATGATTTCCAACGTGGAAAGTCTCTACGATTTTGGAGTTGATCTTGGCATTGTTACTGAGGATCCTCGTTTTCTCGCATCACTGCAAAGACTGAAGGACTGGTTCACGCGGCTGCAGCAGTGTGTTTCTGAAGATAGCCTGCTAGGACAGATGAGTCAGGAACGAAATAGTGATACTGATTGGTAGATCTTGATACCACCTACAACAATTGTCTACGCTCTATGTAGGCCCTTGATGTGTTAGTGTGGTGGCAGCTTTTGAGGATGGATTTGACACATTAGTAGATGATATGTATCTTACAGCTACATGTCTACAGTACAGTGATTTTTGTTATTGTACGCATTATTCATTGATGACCGACCGTTGGCACTCCTCAAGAGTTAAGGATCTCATAACTACTAAATCTTCGGACGAGACCTCTGTCTACCATCCTTGGCGAGATAATATCTCGTGCCCCACATCCAAAGGTCGGGTTGTCTGGAAATGTCTCATAAGCGTCAATCAGATGCATGGTAACATGTGTTGGCCGGATGCTTCGTAATCTCTGGGGCGTTGCCATGCAGGTCAACCTATTGAGTTCTTCGGTCCAGACCGCCGAGATGGAATGTCGTTCGCATTCTGGACGGGCCTGCATGGTGCAGATCGTTCACTACAGTACAAAGCATGCACAATTGCAAGGGTAAAAGCCAACTGCGGGATGGAAACCTTGTCGGACAATTTTAATAAGATTAACTTTTTTAAATATAATATAAAGTTAATTATTATTATATTTATAAAATCTTTAAATATTAAAGATTTTTATTATTTTATTTTCCTTAAGATATTATTTATTTTTTTATTTTAATTTTTTTTAAATATAAATATATTTTTATCCAGTTAAATTATTTTCGAATATATAAAAAATAAATTATTAATTAAAATAATTTTATAATATATCTGGACGGGTCGGACAGCTTCAAGGCCCAGATAGCATCGATCTTCTCAGGGGGGACTTTGTTGGTAGGTTGAGAACCAACGTAGTATGGTAGTGGACGTAACGCAGTCGCCAATAGGGCGAACCGACGACGCAGCGTATGTATTTAGTCCAGCCATTAGGGCACGGTTTGACATACGGGAGTACTAGTAGAAGTACCGGGGGCTTCGAGCCTACGGCGTATTTAATAATAATAATAATATATATTCCGGTTCCTATCCGGTCCAGAAATATAAGAATATTTAAACGTTAACCTACCGACTAAAAACTAGCTTTACTAATATCACATTTGGTTGCTCAGGTACTGGGCTATATCACTCATTTTGGAGTTACGTCATATTTTGGGGGTTTACACTTAGCTATATGGTTCTTGAGCATTGTGAGGTTAAAGTCAGAGGTCCGCATCCAAAGGCGACGACCTTATCTAATACGAACGGTACTGTCGCTGCGGTAATAACTCGTCGAATCTCTTCGTGATGCTGACCCATCCCCCACTGGCGTACTACATCCTGAAATAATCCATGTAAACCCTTCGTGGAGATAGGAGGCCGATCCTCCCAGTTCAGGTCTTGGTTGTCCTCTAGTTCTATGGTGCAAGATGTAATCCGCATGGGTAGGAATGCAGTTTGAGGATTGAAGGAACATATGTCGCGTTTGACGGTGAGCTCCTCTATGGAAGAGTAATGAATGATCCTAACGAATTGATCAAAATAAATTCATATAGACGACAAATTTACTGACGCATAAACATATGGACAAAGGTATGAAGGTAGAAAATTCAACTTGCCATCTAAGCGCCGAGAAAGATGCGCCATCTAATAAGCTCGCAGGATCGAGAGAAAGCTCGACGTCCTCGCCATTGATGCCAGTATGTGTAATTTTGCGAGGTGCTGACAGTCCCTTCCGGAGAACACCGAGTTCCTCGCCCAACTTCCGCATTGCATCTTTGGTAAAAAGTGGCTTGCCTGTGTTATAAATTGCCTGAATATCGTGCACTACCGAGTTTCTTTGCACAACTAAATTCCGAGATCGCGTACTTTCAGTCGTGGTTTGGTCAATATGTTCTGACCCGAGGCCTTCCGTCGAGGTGGTCGCCATTAGTCACAGTCGAGTTGCTGGTTTATTACCGGAGGACCTTGAGGTCTAGGTGGAGGAATATAAAGGTTCGTACGAAGAGTAAATAGTAATATTGAATAGTGCTCCAGCTGTAATTTGCAATCAGCAGGCCCGGCCTCGGATTATTAGTCATGCCGACCCAGGGACTCGTGGCAAATACCCCGACCAGCTTTGCCGGTAAGAAGAGAGAGGAGGGAAAAGAAGGTAACGACCGATCTCTTGGAATTGGCGTTTTTGCCAATTATTGCCTTAGATGACCACTGCTGCAGCGAAAAATAGCACTCTCTCGATTATCCCGTACAAGCTCCCGATGCGGTAAAGATCGGGGTTGCTGGTGGGTCCTTGTATAGAGAAGGCATCTTGATCATTTTCCTCATCGTAAGAAAAGATGAAAGCAGTGAGAATTGAATAGTAGTAGCTTGTTTTAGGCCACTAAGCGATCACATTGGTCATAGCTCCTGGGCGACGCCCTAGTATTTTACCCACTACTACTAGAGTGTGTTTCCATAGCTCACTGTCCCATAGCATCCCACACGAATGTATCACTCTCTCTTCCCAGTCCGTCTGCACAAGAGCTTATCGTAACTTACGGCCCGAGTAGGAGTTAGAAAGTCCAGTCTTTGACGTCTTGTCGTAAGGTGAAAAAAGGTGTTTTAGATACTGATACGCTAATTGAATCATGAATTAACATGGTGTGAAAAGTTCTGAAATGGCCAACACGACAAACCAACAAAAAAAAAAGCTACAAAATAAAGTTGGTGTTAACAAAGTTTTGGCTATAGTAGAAATCGTCACAAGACAGTCTTTGGGCGAATCCACAGGCAATGTCCAACCACTCGACTTCGGCTCTTTGGCACTATGCCAATCGAGTCACCTGCCACCATCCCCGTCGTTACAATCCATCCCAAAGCCGCCTATAGTCCCTGCTCAGGCCGTCATATCGACTTATGGCACCAGCTCCCGAGATTACAACTCCTTTCCTCGAGATTTATCGTTGCACGAATCACCAATAACCCACTCGAGACATGGCACAAATCCAATATACTCGTGGAAACACTTTGCCGACTATCGTGCCAAGGTGACACAGAAGGAAGCAGAGAAGAATGATCCAACATTGCCGTTGTACCTAGAGGATGCTTTCCTTGATAGTAAATCTCGGCTCACTACCTGTTCTCGCTAAGGTATAGGTATAGAAACGCAACTAACTAAGGCTCAAGCTCTCCTTCTGATTCCCCTGATAGGAAGGAAGAAGTTGAGCTCCAAGGGCGTATTATATGGCCGCAACATGCTTATAACCGAATATCTTTGGATATATCACAGGCTTCTATATCCACCTCAGCCGGGCGAAATCATGCCTATAGGCAAGGCTAGAGAGGATCACCCAATGTATAGAACAAGGAAGCAGGCCTCCAGTCACATTCAAGTCCTTAAGGGATTCTTCCTCACTCATCCACTATGTAGGGTCGTCTTGAAAAAAAAAGCCTCAAGTGTCCCACTAACACCTCATAGTCCATTTCTTCTTTCCACGTGAAAACGAAGAAAAAGAAGAATACAGAAAGCACATCAAAGAAGAAGGGGAGGAAATTGATGCTTTCAAAAACCACAAGGTCCTTATCGCCTTGGCGGAAGGACGTCTTCCGGACCAGCAACCAAATTATGATTACTTTGCTCGCCTCCTTGCTGGTGATTCTGAGGTATTCGTACGACCGAAAACATGCTGGATCCACGCCTCGTCATCCGAAGTCTCACTGACGGATGACTGCAAGAACGCCTATGCTAACGATAGGACCTGCTTGAGTGCGGATACTACAAGCTTGGATGGTACTCGCCTAGGGCGTAAAGGCGACGTTCCCCATCTTATACGGAACAGTGACAAAGAGACCCGTCGAGATCTTGACAAGAACCAAAAAGAGGACGATCCGCCGAAGTATCTCCTCCATGAATACACCAAGTCTATAGCACAAAAGGAGTCAAAGTCGATGAGAGATATCTCAAAGAAATTTTGTCACCGCTTCCCAAAATTATACGAAAAGCTGATGGCTGCCTTAAATGATACCCATCATTTGGATGAGCGCACATCTCGCTGCGTAGTTGGCCCTTGTGACCTTATCCAGTTCGAAGTTGTCCTCGACTTGCATACGACCAGTCGATTCCCGAACGGTACGCATTTGGACGGCACAGTTGAGCTGCAGATCTGTCACCCCGAGTTATCAAACCATCATTGGCGTTCTATAACCAGCATTATCAAACCTAAAGAGTTGGAATACAACGACACGGAGGAACCAATTTGGGACTGTATAACCCCATGCCCATTCGGCAGTCGACAGAAGGACGTCCTTGTGGTGCCATTCCCTGCGACGAGCTGGGCTAATAGCTTCATTCGGCTAGCTGACTACGTGGCAGCCGAAAAGGCAAGAATGAATTGCCGTCCGGGCTGTGAGTCGAGAGCTAGAACAGAATACTTCGAGGAACAGCAAAAGGTCTCTTCACAGCCAACGACTCCTCTTGAACTTCTATCACAGGTGGCCATGTACCAGGAGGTCTGGTCATAGCCCAACGACGGATCTCAAGACCCCAAGTGGACACGCCGCTCCGTCATTCTCTGGACCTTTCAAGATGCCAATAACAAAATCAACGATAAGGGCAAGGTAGTCACTGTAACACCGGGAACAAACTAGCGATTCCTCACCAAGATCGACCCTACTTCAACATTCCACCAACAGCGTGCGTATGTGGACGGGTCGCCCCGTGTCTCACAGGATAGCGCCAAGTCAATGAAACCAGACTTTGCACACCATCTCAATGCTGCTATGCACGAGAACTTTGATTCAGCTCACGAGACAACTAGCATAACATCACCCAGCCAGCAACATACCCACCTCGACAATCTCCACCTCCTAGACAGTTTTTCATTGGGCTATCTAACCACTCCGCCCCCTACCGCGTCCCTACCATCTAGCTATACCTACATTTCCGACGACAAAACCATCAACGACAACGACAGCCTACACCGCCCGAGCTTCCTGTCCGACCCTTCGGCTTCGGGTACTGAAAGCCAGGGTAATATGCTTGCCGACCTTGGAGTCCCGTTCCTGGCTAACCTGGGGCCAATTAGCAGTAATGCATACGATAACGTCGCAGACTGCGATGGCGGCCTGCAGGGTCTGGAACCAGTGAGCCAGTGGGGTACGAAAACATGCGTCGCACACAGCCAACAATGGAACAGATTCACATGTGAGGGCAGCACAGGACTTGCCGCGGAGACGACGGGGCTGGGCGGTCCTGCAGCCAACATCGCTGATGTCAGCCCGTGGCACGACATGACAAGCCGAGACCAAGCCCTCTGGGCCTACGGGAACGATACATTATGGGGAGCCCGAGAAACCAACGATATAAAGCAGAGCCACAATGCCGGGACCGTGATCCATCTTAGGGCATCAGGGTTTGGCTTTACTTCTGTTCGTGTATTACTATGTATGGTATGCAGGCGCTTCAATTACTAAATCATATGTTGTTTCAATCTGTTTGATTATCTACAATATACATAAGAGATTCGTTCTCATAATCTTCGGTTTTGTATATAGTCCATAGTGTTCATTAGTTGTAAACTGTCCTTAAAAATGATCTAATCTCCACGGATGAGATAATCGCTCCGTACGATAAATTAGCTTTTGTTCGTGGTGCTGGACACTATCAGTCTATAACGAATCACGACACATCACAAAGAAGCTCAGCTCGGATCAGCACACTGTTAAAGGTGTCTTCTCCATTGCTCTGTGATCGGCAGGGAGGTTCGGAGAAGAGACTGTCGGCATGGTTGCCTGCCTGTCCACTGCGACTGGGGATGCGTGCTTCGAACCAGAATATCGGATAGCTATGTTGTTCCGATATGAAAGTGTGCTTCTATATAGGCTATTCTATAGATACATAGCTTCATTCAGTTTCATCAACAGCATTTAGGTATGGATTTTGGAGTGAAATACATAAATGAGTGAATTGACATATATGCCACAAGGTTATCGGTACTCGTTATTCGCCACATCACAAATTCCAGCATCAACCTCTCTCGCATAGATTATCGGCGTTATGGACGACCCGGCAGAATGGAGCGTTGTGCGTATCGTGCAAGAGCTCTGTACGACGGAAGGGTCGCGTCGACTGCGAGATGGCGATTTCAGTCTGCCTGATAATTTTGAAGAACGAATACGCTACTACGAGATCGACGGTAAGCAGCTGGTACACGAGATTAAGGACCACAGACGTCAAGACCTCTTCTTTCAAGCCATGGACATCGACAAGTTTACCCACAAACCATACCTCCTCAACGCGATCGAGAAACTGCGGTGTGAGAGCCAGCAGATGAGCGCCGACTCGCAGCTAGCCACGAGGAAGTATAGTAGTGCTGGTGAGGAAGCGGGAGGCATAAACGCTACGGCAGAGAAGAGACGGAAGATACAGCCGCAAGCTGTGGTCATAAAAGAGGGCATGATCGAGCAGGGTCACCAACTAGACGTGTACCTTGGGAATAGCAGTCTCGGGAGCTACGACGTTCTTTATCCTAACAACACCGATGAAGCAAAGCGCTATACCTTATAAAGCTCCTTCATGTGATTTCGGTCGACGTAACGGCCGGTGCTGGTGGTGTGGAGTTGCGAAAATTGACGAATGAACTCCTTCAACGAACCTCGACATTTGATTCTGTAGTTCTCATAGACGAAGAAAAAGAATTCCATTAGCGTCTCGCGGTGCAGGCCATCGATAGTGAGTTTCCAGTCCCCCACTGCCATCTCAGTGCAGTACCTGTATCTTGACGATTAGCTAACGATGGATGCAGAGGGGTTCTAGCAGGCTGCTACGGACCGCTTCCATTTCGTAAAAATGCCAGACATGTTGATCTCGGTCTCGATTGCATACTTCGGCTTGATATACTGAACTTGTTTTAATTGTTGTCGGTGTGCGGCATGCTGCCTGGCCGAGAGCGGTGCCGGTCGCTTGGCAATTCTGCTGTTCGCTTCCCTGCTAGCAACGCGCCGGAGGAAGTCCGTGTGATCGGGAGCGCTATTTGTGCTGGGGCGACTTCGGACTGTTGTTGTTGATGAAGGCATCAGGGCGACGGAAACAGGACGTAAGATGATCGGATTGGATAGACGAAAACGAAAGATAGCTCGAGACTTGACGAACAGAGAAGGCTCGAGAACCTGAGGAATAGGTGGGCGCTGCCATTTTGTAGTCCGAGTTTGAGGAGCCGGAAATAGTATTTGTTGGTTTTAGGTGCCAGGAAACAGGAAAACGGACATCTACATGGCCAGATATAGCAATCAGTCAGTCAGTCAGTCAGCGCCGGCCTTGTAATGAGATATAGAACTCTTTGATTTATTAGCTCCGTTTGTTCCCTTAAATTATACTTTTTGTGTAGTTACATCTAGCAGAGAACAGTACATTGCCTTTTGTCTTTATCAGCAATGTATTATTATTATTATTAAATACGCCGTAGGCTCGAAGCCCCCGGTACCTCTACTAGTACTCCCGTATGTCAAACCGTGCCCTAATGGCTGGACTAAATACATACGCTGCGTCGTCGGTTCGCCCTATTGGCGACTGCGTTACGTCCACTACCATACTACGTTGGTTCTCAACCTACCAACAAAGTCCCCCCTGAGAAGATCGATGCTATCTGGGCCTTGAAGCTGTCCGACCCGTCCCTAGCAGCCATCTTACAATAGTCCCACTAACTACTGGTTCTCCTGTTGCCGTTGCGAGGTCTCTGCGAGAGTATAGTGGCCGTGGTGCGATGGCGGCCCGTAATCGTTCCCTCGGTCCTTCCAACAGCCCGCAAAAGAGGATTACGTGCTCTGCCGTCTCAGGGGCATCGCCACAGCGGCATAGCGGCGAGTACACGCCAAAAGCCCCTGTCTTGAATAAGAAGGCTGCTAGTCCTATTTTTTCCGTCCTGATCTGGCACAGCGTAGACGCCTCCAGTCGGTTCAGGCCGAAATACTTGCCCCCTTTCGGTATCTGCATCGAAGGGCCCTCCGGTTCCTCAGCGATAGCGCGTCGCTGGCGATCGTGATGCTCTGCTCCGGTGAGCCATCTCTTCCTCCAGTGGCCGAGGAGGGCAGCCGGGACCTCCTTTTCCTCACTCATCCACTCGGAGCCCCGGGCCTCCTTCTCCATAGTGTACCCTGCCGGTCGGAGTAGCTGCGACGCCTGCTTCCTCTTCGCCGGCCTATCCTGCCGGAGTATATGTGACGCTTTAGCGCTCGCGCTGCGAAGCAGATTTCTCTTCCCGCTAAGCCGTAGCCGTTCTTCAAACTTAGCAGCCCGGGCACTAAGATAGAGGTCTAGTGGCGGGATTGCTGCTTCTGCTTCCAGGTGGCGAACCGGCGTCGCTTTGTGGGCGCCACAGACTACCCGGAGGCACTCGTTCTGTATCCCCATCAGGCTCTTAGCTGGCCCTGTCGGTTCCTCACTTATAGTATGCCACGCAGTCGCCCCGAAGGCGATCGCGCTACGGATAACCACCGTATATAACAGCCTATCAGCAATGTAATAACTAGGAGACACTATAAAATATCGTCGACAAATAGACTAGTAGTGAAATGTCCTTGGTTGATAGAAATTGGGGGACTCAGATCGATACATAATATTGGCCCCATATTATCAATATTCTTCACGTGGTTTGGCTATTTAATAACTATCGAGCTCCAGCATTCCAAGCCGAGGTTGTCGGGGAGAAGTTTGCTGATGAAAGATGCATAAATGAAAGGTCGAGGCAAAACCGACTTCATGACGAGAAATTCAAAACCAACACATCGCGATTCTAGTCACGCCTACAGCCCCTTAACACCAATGTGCAAGTATAAAGGATCCTTCTAGATTCTCTCCCGAACCGCACCACTCTTCAACTCCTCCACATCCCATTCAGTCCACACGAACCTCCCATGCAAGAACCTGGCCTCGGGCGACGCAGTCCAGACGGCGAACTGCCCGGGAAGATTCGCTGCATTTCGTACTATATCAGCATTTCCCAGAGAACAGAGGCGACTTCCACGGTGAGGGGAATCTATGGAAACCCACGATCAACTGTAGGACTAACGTTCCACCATTCTTGGTGAGGCCGTATCCGGGCATCTGAGCTCACTGTTGTAAAATATAGTCAGTCAGGGGTTAGTGATGGACAGCTTCTGCCCAACTTGACTAGAAACTCACTATCCCTGGTCAAGAAAACAAGAAAACAAGGGGTTGTGCACATATTTTTACTCACCTTAGTCCAATCATGAATAGCATGCGTCGAAACATTAACCAGCAACTGCAAACAAGCATGCTAGTTCCCAAACCCCTCACGCAGCCGTCCACAACGGGGCCTAAACAAGAGATCAGAGGAACTCACCTTCTGCGACCCATGACCCTCCCTTTTCTGCTTATAAAACCTCTCCGTCATATCCAAATCCCCCCTGACGTTCATCTCATAATCCTCCCAGACTCCCTCAGTCCCGCGTTTCAAAATCGGCACCGGCCGCGACATGCCCGCGGCATTGAGTACCTGGACACCAACCCTGGTTCCCTCCCTCTCGAGCACCGTCGACAGTTTATCAACTTCATCGGGCTTCGAAACATGGCATGCGAGCCCGACGACTTCCGACCTCTGGCTGTCTTTTCGCAGTTGTTTTGTCGCGTCTTGGATCGCTTCGAGCCACCGGCCGAGGATGATGACTTTGGCCGCGGAGGCTTGGACGAAGGCTTTTGCTATGGCGTAACCGATGCTGGAGGAGCCACCGGCCATGAGGGCTATCTTCACATCTTGGGAGAGCTCGGGGCGGGAGAGGGAAGAGTTTGGTGAAAGGTTCTGGTGAAGTTGTAAGCGGCCATATCTGCTCATTAGTAAGGTGCAGGGCAAGTTAAAAGTAAAAGTGGAAAATTTGGTATGAGAATGGAGTGAGAGAGATTTGGACTGGAACTTGCTTGTTGGGTTCATTGAGGAAGGGGTGGTGAGTCGACACCTATATATGTAAGATCTATGGAAGTCTTGGGGGCTGTGTGAGTCCGCAACATAGTGACGAACCGCATCGTGAAAATTGTCCTTGAGTCATAGCTCTGGTCTACCGAGTAGTATAGATCTTAACAACATTCTTCCGGCCGTCACTTCTCCGCATCCAACGCCATCTATATCTCCTACTGGCCCAAAGCCCGCGTTTCCCGCCGGCGAACCCATTTTTATCCGCTACCGCCGCGCTACTACGGGTTGACAAGTATTTAGATGTCCGCCATGGATGGCACCATCATCTCTAAGTGCATTTCTCTCACTTGTTCAGTGACCATCGACCCGCCCTCTTTAGTTTCGGTGTTCTGCTGTCTAAGGATGGCACCATAGTAAGAAGAAACCCAGAGCAACTTGAAAATGCTTCGTCAGGAAGGCCCGCCCACGGCATCCAACCGGCGCTCCGTCTGGCAGCGGGCATGTGTGGAATGCATGAAGGCAAAACGACAATGCACAAGACAAATGCCCCCTTGTCGGTGACGTGTGGAACGAGGCCAGGTGTGCCGATACCCGCCAGCCCGTCGACTTAACCCGGTTCCACTTGAAGCCGGCAGCAGTTGCCACCAGCGAATCACCAGCAATAAGTTCTCTACCGCCAATTGAGCCGGAGCTCTTCCTCGAGCTTTTCCAGCTACCTCACATCCCGCCGCCAACTCGTCAGGGGGCCTCGATACAAACCCAACCCTCCCGCCCCGCACAGGCCGACAACAACCTCCTGTCCACCCCTCAATGCCACTCCCCACCCCCCTGGTTCCTAATCACCTCCTCCTGGACAATCTACCGCCTCCTGCCCGAAGCCTCGGCCCCACCCACACACAACGACACCGCCGTGCTCAAATCCCACGTCACCACCGTCCAACTCTGGCTCCGCCAATGGGTAACGTCGGGACACATCCCCCTATTCCACCGGTCTCTCTACCGCTCCTCCCCGCTTTTACCAACGATGTCGCGGTGAATCCAAGATGCGTACAACGTCTACATGGCGTACCTGCACCGAACACCACAGACGGGAGACGTCGTGCTCGGCATCTTTGAGGAGCGCGTGGCGCAGTTGCTAGAGGATCAGGCTCTGATGGACTCGCTGTCAGGGGGCATTGGTTCCGACCCCAGTACGGGCTTGGATCTGGATCAGAATCTGTATCTGAGCCTCGACACGGCCGCCCACTTAGCCCGCGCCCAGGCTTTGGCTATTTATCAGACGATCCGACTGTTTGACGGGGACATAAGGATGGCGGCGCAGGCCGAGATGCACATCCGACGCTGTTCATGTGGATCGAGCAGGCAGATGTGGGACAGCACCATCAGTTCGTTTTCTTGCCGTGACAACACCCTCAATACCACATCCATGGACCTCTGGAGCGGCTGGATTTTTGTAGAGAGGGTGCGACGGATTTGGATCGTGACCACGACCGTCCAGCAAATCTACCTCACCCTGAAGCACGGATGGTACAGGTGTACCGGAGCCACCAAGTTCAACATGCGGGAGGAGCTCTGGGATGCCGAGTCGGCACAGCAGTGATCCGAGACTTGTCGAGACCGCGACCCGCTCTTCTTTAACCAAAAGCTGCTCGACAAATTGATACTTGAGACGAATTCTACCGACGTCGACGAATTTGGCCATGCCGTCTTCTTCATGAGTTTCGGGCCTGATCAGATGCACAGGTGGCTTGGCGACGGGGGACGGCCGAGAACAGATCCTGGCTTGAGCGTACCGGAAAGGGGCTAATGACTAGCTTTATATGCGGGGAGAGTGTGCGGTTCAGCTCGTCGAAATACATGGCTCGAAACCTCGAGCCCTGGGGGCTGTGGCATGTACATAAATAGTAACATTATGATATAAGCGATACCGAGATCATGTCTTGGTCCGCCTTCTAGCGCGTCAAATTGAGTTCCGGCAAATGCGTTGGTACATCGAACCGCCCTCCAAGTGTTCCACTGCTCGCTCTTTACTCGATCATATCGACATCATCACCCGCGGGGCCTCGAGCTGTCTCCGTCGGCGCAACAGTTGTGGTGCCGCCCGGGGCAAAGTAGTCGGCCATCTCAGCGTCCAATTCCTCTTGAGTCTTCTTGGGCCGACCTTCGCGTCCCTTTCGCTCTTCATTCTGTCCACTGTGTGCGCCTCCTTCCCGCCTGGCCCCGGGCCGTCTCCCCCCACCACGTCTTCTCGGCAGGGGACTGCGCGAGCGTCTTCCGCCACCAGGCACATAACGATCGATGTTTCGGTCGTTGTCCGCATATCGATTGGGTGACAGCGAGCGCGATCGGCCCGAAGGTACCGTGATCCTATCCGCAAGCGGCCTGCCAGGCATATGCGCCGTGTCGAAGGCGTTGCGTCTGGGGGCGGACGGCATTAACGCCAAACGAATGGGTTGTCCTGCAAAGGGGTATCAGATCAAGCCGTTCGGTCTGCAAAGAGAGCATGGCCCCTACCCTTGGCATTTGCGCCATCAAATTCGCGTACTGCCTCCTTTGCATCCTCATAGCGATCATAGGTGACGAACGCAGTGCCGTCTGATCTTCCGGCACGGTCGTAGACGAGCTCGAGCTTCACGACCGGTCCAATCTTACTGAACAGTCCCTTGCATCCGGTTAGCCGATCAACTCAAACTACAGGCGACAGCCATGCCAACCTCGAGATCTTCTTGGGTAAGTTCGTAGTGTAGGTTGTCGACCTTGACCTTGGTGCCGCGGGTCTCGCTATTGAAGGGGTCAGATCGGAACTCGAGATGCATAGCCACATGGAGGACGGTTTCACGAACTATGATGCCGGCGGGGAGCGTCGGCGCGGTTGACGAGATCGGCCATGACCGGAGTTGTCCTCGAACCTATCGTGGACCCATTCCCTGCCGGTTGTCAGCCTCATCTCCCATCGCCGAACTATACCGGGAGTATGTACGAATCCATGCCTCGCAAGTCTTCTCTGGTTGACTGTCGTGCAAAACGAAAGCGGATGTTAGCCGGGATTTCTCTTCAAACATCGCTGTCCGTGGCGTCAACCGTCATTATTTCGAGTTGGAGAGGAGTATTTTCAACCTGAGGCCTGCCGGTGAGACTAGCTTTCTAAAAACAATCACATCCATTATCTAGAGAAAGGTCGGATGAAACTTGCCTTTCTTACACCGTCGCGGGGAAACGACTCGCGTTCTCGAGGTCGTCCTCCACCGCCACCGCCATCTCTGCCGCCTCCGCCTCGTCGAGGTCCGCGGCCGCGGCCTCGTTTTCGCTGTTGGGGAAACTCATGTCAGCAGGGCTGCTTCGCTAAATTTGAGGAAGACAGCGACGCTTGAAGAAAATCGCGAACCTGATTCTCGGCGACAATCTCGTCTAGACTGCGATCCATGATTTCTGAATTGGTTGGTTGTTTGGGACAAATGCGGAAAAAAACAGAAGCCAGATCGCGACTGCTGAAGCTCGAGCTTGAGCTAGGAGGAACAACGCGATTGTTTGAGGTGAGGTGGGTAGGCTGGTCCGTGTGAACCTTAGATTCACCGAGCTTCTTACACTGTATACTCGCCCAAGGTCCCACCGAGACCATCCATTGCCATTGCAGAGGTCCATAGTTGTTTGGCCAACTTCTGTTTAAGGCTGGCTACTATAGTCCATTACTTTTACAACAAGAAATTTTGATGTTTACCTTAGGAATATTAGTGGTGCTCTTCTTGTGTAGCAGCTGCGAATAACACAGTTTAGCAACGACTATAAGGAACAATGACATATTGCTTTCCAGGGCATTGCCTAAGGAAGTTATACTTACGTCTGACAGTGTTTCTGTAATATTCTTCTTTAAATTCCAGACACGGATCTAACCTGGGAAAATAAAAGCCAAGAGTTATACAACGCGGTCCTATACTATACAGTCTATCGCCGGATGGTCATGTCATTTTTGTACACATATCGTACATACTCTTGCCCACCTGAAGACTAATATACAACAAGTAACTCGTACCTCGTCACTCAACCCCGTTCATGACCAGCGCCCCCGGAACATCAATCTTCGTACCCACCTGCCCACTCTTCAAATAAACGCCCACCGCCGAAATAGCCCCAAACTTGCGTCCACTAATATGAACAGGCGGCTTGTCCTCACCCTGTTCAACCTCACCGCTCGGCGCAACGCCAAACGTAAACGTCGACTTGAGGTCCTCGTTTTTCGCCTGAATAACGCCCGTGTCCAGTGTCTTCCTCGCCGGCTCGGCACAAAACCAAATGTACGACCCGGGCGTGACGACACCGCCCGACTGCTCGTGGTCGGGATACCCACGCTCCTCGAAGGCCTTGATGAAGTCGTCGATGCTTTCCTGTTCGGGTGCCAAGTAGTCTGTTTCTGAGTCGAGGGAGAGGAGGCCTGCCTTCGCGCCCCAGCCGCCGCCGCCACTGACTACATGATGAATGTAAGTTAGGTTCATGTTTAGAGAGGGAGAGGTAAGGACGTGTACTTACGGATTTTGTGGAGACGACATCCCAAAGACAACAGCTTCCGGTATCCTCTTGTAGCTTCTTGAGTTAGTTTCTCTTCCGGCTCGCTTGCATGGTCTTGAAAGACTCGCAGATTGAATAACAGATTCTTTTCCGACTCCAAGACACGAGCTGGTATGACCCAGGCCCAGACGCCTATGGGACCGGGTGTCCAAGCGGCATCCGATTTTGATCTGATGTCGAGGAGCTGGGGGATCAAATGCTCCAATTCCTGAGATGCGGTTGTGACCACGCCTTGGACATTCACCTTCGTCACGATATTTCCCAGGCCGGCGACAATTTTCCGCGGAGGCGTCAATGGTAACAGCGGAATGTAGGTCGCCTGCGCCATCTCTAGTTTGGCTAGTATCCGTTGGTGCTGCTTCTCAACAATCTTAGATAGCACGGGGGACTTGCGGAGGCCACTGTGCCAGAACCAGCGGGTCGCAAACAAGGTAGACCGCTGGCCGTTCTGGAAGACGGTGTTGGCAAGCGGCATTGTGATCTCGTGACGGGGCTCGGCTTTCTTATCAGACTTCAGAACTAACGAGATGGAAGACGCCAGATCAGGGCCTCTGGAGGCGACTGTATCGGTCTCGAAAATATCTGGTAACGATACCTGGGAGCCATAGAGAACGGAGAAGCCGCTTTCGGGCTTGCCCAGAAGCTTGGAGGGGCTAAGACCGTCTGCAACACCTGATATTACATCGAGCGTAAACAGGTCATCTTTCTCATCGAGCTTCTGAGGCGAATAGAGTCGTTTGAGGAAGCTCGCCATGAACTCCTTGTCCTGGAGCCAGGAAGTGAAATCCGGCGAAGCGAAAATGACAGCACCGTTTTGAAAGCCTGGTATGACCCTAGAGAGCATGGTCCTATGCCGGATGTAGCTTTCCAGGCTGCTGAGGATGACATCTTTCTATGCGGTACATGTAAGCCTTGATGGATACGGTGTGAGGGAGAAGGAAGTCGAACTAACCTTGGGCGGTTCACCAGTTATGGCGATATTGAGTCTCTGGATGCCGACGGGTGCAACTTTCTTCATTTCCAGCCTGATCTGACGGCGAGAATGGCGGGCAAACGGGGTCACCAAAGACGCCATGTAACTGTTATCAGCTGGACTGCCCAGCCTTTCTGAAGCCGATTTGAATCATGAAGCTAGGTTCAAAGCTGTGATGAATCGTAGGTTAATCATGCCTGCAGGGATCTTGAGAGCAGCTGGGGCGCCTTTAAGTGGGGCATTAGCACCTCGCACGGCATGTTATTTGGAGCGTGATCTGATTCACACATCACACGTACCAGTACAATAAGGTTCAATATAGTAACTGTGGGATTGAGCGCCACGGTTATGCCCTAGGCCGAAGGAGGTGTAGCGGCAATTGCACTAGTGGGGTCAAAACCCTTCCTCATAGATAAAATAGCTACACAGAAGACACAACAGAGCAGATAGATAGATCAATCAACAGAGGATCTACGCAGAGTCATCAATAGAGGATTGAATTCCTCAGTAACAGTATTTGCACGGGGGACCATTAGCGACGATTATGATTACAATGAACTATAAGTTTTTTTGCACTACAAGTTTACGGTATAAGCCGGAAAATATGTACTAGTCGGATTGACAAGTAATAAACTGTCCCCTTCCGTCTGGATATCATCACACTGGACTCGCACGCTCTCTTACTTTCTCACACGCTTGGCTCTCCCACGATGTTCTACATCCTGATAGACAGACTGTGCTTTGTACAGTTCTTGGCCTCATTCGAACATGGTACACAGGATAAAAAACCCCAAGTCCCTTATATGTACTGCTTCATCGCAGTGGTTCATTCCGCCTTCCAACAAAAAAAAAAAGGGAAAGGATAAGGGGAAAAAAATCCCTGGCAGGCCGCTCTAGTATGCGTTTCCTCGGTATTGTCCGTACCCAATCGGGTTGTAGCCGCCGCCATAGCTGCCCACGTTAGGCACTGATGGTTGACGGCCGATAGGCGCAGCGTGGGAAACGAGATTTTCCCTGCTTTGATCGACATCCAAGGGCGTTGTTGGTCGGTTGTAGACTGCGTCGTTGGCGGCATATGGGTTCGTCGGTTCGCGGGGGCCCTGGTATCGCTCCGGAGACGCGTTTCGCGCAAGAGGCTGCTTGCTCTCGTTCAAAATAGACATCGAGAAGGTACTGTCGCCCTTGCCCTCGCTCTTGGTACGCGTGATGAGCAATGAATTGCGAGCATCCAGAGGCGTCAGCGTGTCCATATCTCTTTGCATCTTTTCTGTAGAAATTATCAGCATGTCTTTACCAATTTGGACATCCGTTTGTAACTTACCCATCTCCTTGCGTCTCTTCCGGTGGGGGTTCTCCTTGATGCAGGAGAGGATGGCGTTCCATACAATAAGAATTGCGAGAATACCAGTCAGGGCTGATTGAACGGCAATCAAAACCACGCCAGTAACGGTCTGTGTCGTCTCGGCAATGCCGAACTCCTCAACGAAGACCAGAATACAGATGACGGACAATACCCGCACGACCTGGATCCCAATGTTGATGACGTTGCTGGACTTGCGCTCGAACGGTCGACTCCAAAGTAGCAAAATCATCATACATCCCTCGACAATGAGTTGTGCAATGGTTTGGGCCATGCCGTGGCCGTCACCAATTGCCAGGATGCAGCCCTTGGCGAACATATACACAATTGCCGGCACGAACAGCCACCAGTACGACTTCTTGTACGATTCGTAAAACAAACTGTACTTGACCCATATGTCCTTGTCTTCGTACAAACCAGACGGGTCTCCCTCAGCGTTCTTCAACTTCTGGGCTGTGCTCCAGATTTTGTACGTGAAGAATGCTAGAACAGCAGTGAACAGGGCAAGTGTGACACCAGCGAGCGTCTTAGCCGCCCACGAATCCCCATGTGTGAACTGGAAGATGCAGTACAGAACCCAAATGCCATAAAGCAGAAGGATCAACTGTGTGATGGCACGGGCGATGGATCCCCAGTAGTGCTTGCGAAAACCCGTGAGACCCTTGGGAAAACTGGCAAAAAGTGCCCAGATTTCCAAGACAACCTTGACGAGCAGGATACCGACAATGATAACGGCAATTACAATGGCGACGATGAGCAGGACCGTCATGAAGGTGTTACCGTTGGGAACACTGAGTTGCTCAACGTATCCCTCGATGCCGGACACGGCCTTGCGGACACTAGCCTCGATACTGCTCGTCGTTGAGTTGTCGGTCGTAACGCTATCACTGGCTGTCGTATCGATGTCGCGGACCATGAGCATCACCAAGTTGTCGACACTGCGCTTAAGAAGTGAGCTTTGGGCGGTGGTCGTCGAACCGTCGGGGAAAACCAGAGTGGCATTCTGGAGAAATTCGACGCTGTCTTCTGTCAAGTTACCACCGGTTACGTTCCGGAAGTCGTCAATCGACATTTGCATCTGTGTCCAAGGGATGAGGCCAGTGGAAAAGGCGAAGTTCTTTGAAAAACTCCGGTAAACGGCCGGGTAGTTGACCGACATCATGCCGTTCATGGCAAAACCTTGGAAGACGCCAAATATTTCAGTGAAGCTGGGGCTCATGGTTCCAGCTCCACCAGTGCTGCCAGCCCCTGCGGCTCCCGAGAGCGCAGAACCAAGGGCACCAACACCAGATGCCACCATCGCTAGACCAGCAACCCCAGCAGCGATGTACGACACTGCCGCCACATTGGCCGTCTTCCCGTTGGTGACTTGTGACTGAACACAACCTACGTCTGATCCATCGTCCAGTGCCTTGAGTTGCAGTGTCGCCTGAGCCGCGATGTCGGGCACCTGGAATGCTATTGCCGGCACCTGGTTGGCGTATTCCTCTGGGATATCCTGTGTTCCGTTTGCGCTGAATGTACCTGACGGTACAGGACATAATTGTTTCACATACGTCGATGCCTCACAAGGGTTGAAGGCGTTCGTGTATACCTGCTGGCCGTATGCAGTCACGTTCAGCATCGCTGTCACGTTCTGCACCTTGGTACTCGTTCCCGCCACGTCGAATGTCACCTTCTTCTTGTCGTTGTTGTACGAGATGTTGACCCTGTCGACTCGCACACTGCTATTGGTGTCACAATTGGTGAAACTCGATGTCGTCAAAACGTCCTCACCCAAGACTCCCACTGCGCACGCTGCCACCAGCACCACGGCCTTCAGGCCCCACCTCGAATTTGATCGTCTCATTTTGCTTTTGCTGTGATGAATGGGTCTGTAACAAAGAGGAATTGGTCGGACAATTGGTGGATCGCTCCAGATATGTGGTTGGTGGGAAAAGTCGTTAACAGAAAGTCCAGTCGCTTCTAAATGCTCCCAAATTCATCCAATGTTTCAATGCTTCAATGCTCCTCCGTAATAAGTATTCTATGGTGTTGATAGTGTTGTACTTGTGAGAAAATGGTCGTCCCAAGTTTTTCTTATGTTGTCTGGCCAAGATTTGGCGGCGATGGTGTGATTTGACTGATGACCAGTGAGGCAACAAAGAGAATAGGAAAAGCCGACTCGCGGAGCCCACAAACAAAGAAGTATTATCCAAGAATATTCAATGACAGTGAAGTCAACGAGGCCGAGGGTCAACCTGGAAAGAAGGGAAGAATTGGCGACGGGCTGCCTCGAGAGGCAGAAAACGGTTGTTGGGTCTTCTTGTTATCTTGCGCGTGGCAATCGAGTGCCGGCGTCAAGACCGTTCTTGGTTTTTCTTGTACGTAGACAATGGAGTCGAAATGGGAAGAGAGCGGTATGTGAAACGAGGGGATCTGTGAAGTTACCTCATGTGAACGAGTGTGGGAAGGTAACCAAAAAGAAGCAAGACAGACGCAAAAGGGTGTAGGTAGGTCGAAGAGTGGTAAAAGGGTCAAAGCATGTCTCTGGCTGGCTGGCGAAGAAGAAAAGGAACCCAGCGGTCGGCCCGTGGCAGTCAGAGAGACCCCAGCGACTGCAGACCCCTGAACTAGAGATCTCTTCAACTAATTCACTGGCTCGCGATCCCAGAATTCAAGTTGACGTCCTTGCGTACCAGACCCTGGTCCCAAGTGCCCCTGTCAGCCGTCTGCAGATTGACGGCTAGCCCAAGAGTCCAGCCCACACGAAACTGCTGCAGGGGAATCTCTGCGAGCACCCCCACCCGCGCCATTGGCTGGCAAGGAGCCCCAAGGCCAGCCGAGCCGTTTTGGCGAAGTGACCCAGCTATTTTTGAAACAGGTAGGTCCATTAAGCGGAGGGAAATGGAGGTCGCCCACCAGTTGATTCGGGAGTTGACGAGTTCAAGAAGACATTTTTGGCGAATGACTTTTTAGAGAGTAGACGTGGGCGTCTAGGAACGAACACTATTTCCTCAGAAGTGGGCGACAGCGTTACGCTGGGCGCGGCGAATATGGTCCAGCTGGGGCAGGTAGTACCGTTAGCAAAAGAGTCAGGATGGAATGCCAACCAGACAACCGCAAATGCCGGTGCGTGCGCGCATTCAGTAGGTTGGGCAATCAGAAGCCCTTGGCTCCTGCTCCAGATGCCAGCCATGCCGCAGGCCGGTGCGTTATGGAAAGGCAGGCACGAAGCAAGGTAGCGGGGCCGCTAAGCCACAATGATCTTCCTCTCATTTTGCTTCATTTTATGCTCCCCTGGTTAGTTCAAGCAGTATATTACGGGTCTCCCCGTATCCCATCAACTCCGAATCCTGTTTTAATGCCATCGGCATTCCGGGGCATCGACGCCATCTGGTACGACAACGACGACGACGACCGGCGGACGTTTTACTGGATTCTATATAGCTAGTTGCGCGAACGTGAGAGGTTTACCGACATTCAGCTTCCATCTCATGATGAGTGAGACAGCTGCAAAATCCGAATCCTTTTCCGAAGCTGCGGATGCGCCTGCGAATGGCAGAACTGTCTCTGTCGTCTTGTGAATGTATGAATCTATGCAAGCGTCCAGGTGCACGCAGTTTTCGTAATAGTAGCCAAGAATACAATACATTCATCCGACCCAGAGAGGCATCATTTGTGGCAAAGGTCAGCCACTCGGACGGACGTCAAAGTCAAGACGAATCTGGTCGATCAGCTTTCGAAGCCAGAATTCCAAGTTTGGGGCCGTTTCGAAACCGGCTCATCAGCAGGAGCAACAACGAACCGTGGCCTGCCATGGTGTGGTGAACGAACCGCCAAGCCGCAAGCCACGACTCGCGAGCGGAGCCGCTCCAAAAGCGATAACTTCTCCATTGTCATTGCCAACAATAGAACGTTATTCCCCCGATGATCATTGCCTCCATCGGTTCGAAGATGGAGGGAAGGAAAGCTTGTTGGACTTTCTGGAGGTTGCAAGTCAATTCATCGTATCCCAAGTTAGAATTAGCAATTTCCTACGTTGCAATTCCTCCATGAACAGTGACTAGTCCCCGAGCCAGTGGGCGTTGCAGGGCGTTGCAGGGCGTTGGACCTTTTCTTTGGTTGAGCAATATCCGGTCTCCACTGTCCCACAATTGGATGACGATTCCCAGCGAAAAACATTGTCTCTACCCCCGCGGCAGTGGCCAGGTGCAAAACGGGTTGTTCTCAGAGGCGAAGTAAGACGGTGGTGAATTGAGAAATATCATTGTTTACGGAGCACAAGACCCGTGTCGTCTCATCTATCTGTCGTTCGGTTGCCTCATATTCCATACTAAGGAATAACCACCATTGTATCTGTGGCTCTGTCGGCCGATGATCAGAGTCAAGAAATCTCATATCGGCCGATCATCCAGTCGCCTCAAATGAGCAACTGCCACTCGAATGATCTAGATCCTCGGTCTTTTTTCTTCTGATAATGTTGGCTGTGATAGAGTTATGAATCGGACACCCGTTTGTCTCGAATTGATGCAAGTGTGGGGACCAGGTGGAAAATGAACTACAGGCCCTGCTAATGAGGAAGGCAAACATCTTGAACGGCACTGCAAAATAAAACGAAATAAACCCTTCAAGTCGACGTTGATCAGGGAAATCGCAGAACCAGATTGCGTATTCGTATTCCATGAAGACAATACAATAGCGTTGAGTGACCTGTAACACATGAAGCATCATTGGGAGGGAGACTGGCGGCCGATGAAATACTTCGGATTCTAGAGTGACTACGCTGACGATGACGCGGTCACTCGATATGATAATAAATATCAATAAGAGACAGCTGTAAGGATTTGGCCTACGACTTCCGATAAGGTAGGCATCTATCTGCGTATTGAGATGGATGACAAATAATACACATAGCCCTGAGCGCTATCAAGACACCGGTGGGCGGTGAAATTTCTCAGAATTGACAAACGACTGGTATAAAACTCCGTATGTATCCCACTGTATCCATCACATTTCTACCGGGGATATCGTACACTTCAGGCTCCCGTCCGAACAACCGTTCCATTTATTCGTCAAGTTCCAGGTCCCGTCGCATCATGTGAACTCAAATAGAAACCCTTCCTGAACATAGATATTTGAGGAACCCGCCGCTCTATGAAAAAAAAAACTCAAAAATTCGGACTGATGAAATGTAGCTGACATGAAAACGTGCAATATTCAAAGCTCTTACTACAAGAAAACGCCGTTGGGATATCCTAGTTCGCCTCCGTCAATTAACATGCCAAGCCACATCCCATCACCCGCAATGTACGAAACGAACTCGAAGCAACCAAAATGGATTTTTGTCGAGGCCCGAAGGTCTGGAACCCACTAACACGCTCGTACCAGCAAACGCCAAACTGGGGTATCTATCGCAACGACTTGGAATCGGAGCTCGAAGAAGTGAGGTTGGAATGCATATTAGCAGTTCCAACCCCATCTTATGAAGGTTAAAATCTTGTATGCCCTTGATGCGGCGAACGCGGGTACGGTGAGACTGAGCCTTGGTTGCTGTACTGTTGTTCCACGTTCTGCATGATCGGGTCTGTCATGGTGTCGTAGGGATGTTGTCCACCACTAGTGTCCTGAATGCCAAATTGTTCCAGCAAAGGGAATGGTTCGAGTTGGTTTGGCATTGACATATAGGAGGTGTTGGCGGCTTGTTCATACGGTACGCCTGTAGTTACAGGCAGTGTATGGTACTGTTGCTGTTGAGCGAAACCTGTTGTGGGCAGCATCATTAAACCCGAGGGCGGGAGGCGTGGCTGGGCGTCGAACTGCTGGGGGGCAGCGTGATTTTGATTGTAGAATGATGGTTGCATTTGTGCACGAGGCATGTTCGAATACCCGAACGGGCTATGGGAGTCGTATTCTACTGGATTAGGGTTGGAAAACGCATGAGGGCGTTGAGGAGTGTGAGGGCTGACGGCCTGTGGTTCTTGCTTGATAGGCATGGGGAAGTTGCGCGGCGAAGGATGCTGCACCGGGCTCACCGGGCTGATACTGGTGTCCTCATTTAACTGCTCAGTAGCAACCAGCTTCAATGCTGGCAGACTGATGTATTCCATGTGCTTGGAAAGGTGGACTGTCAACTTCTTCCACGTGGGGAAGGTCTTGCCACAGAAGCGGCAGGGCTCATCCTGTGGTCGCCGGCGTGTCTCCACATGACATCTCTCGACCTTTTGCCACGTGAGATCATTACCCCCGGCCTTCTTGATGGCCGCCTTGGTTTTGACTTTGGGCTCTTGAAACTTGTGTTCGCGTACCAAGTGTTGCAGGAAGTTGTCCCGTCGATAGCATGTATGGCGGCAGTCGTCGACGTCGCAAGTCCACCATTCCAGATGACGGTGGCCTTCATTCTCATGCCGGACCCAATCTGCTTTTCTCTTGAACATTTTTGGGTCACGGCACTGGTCCCATGTACAAGTGAAGGGTTGTACATCCTCATGTACGTGCTTGGTCCACTCCGATGGCTTCTGGAATTTCTTCCGGGTATAGCAAAGCTGACACTCGAACTCCGCCGGGAGTGTCGTAGTAGGTGGCATGGGGATTCCCGTTGGGAAACTCTCATGGTTGATGTCGCCTTTCCGTGGTGTGCTGTCGCCGTCTGAGGAATCTGGACGAGCTGAAAGGGGATCTACTCCTCGAGTATCTCCTCTGCTATCTAAAGGCTGCGCAGAACCCCCTTGCGCGATACACAAAACCCCGCTTTGACAGTTATACTGGTTCACTGCCTTCAGGTGTTTGATCTTCGATTTTTGGAGGTTCTTGTAGCGAATGATCATGTGATGTGCAATCCGGTCGACCAAGTATTGGTTGGAGTGCGGAAGATTAGGGTTTAATCGCCGGATGTGTTGCTGGAAGCCCGCCAAGGTCGGGATGATGTCTTCACCCTTGCCTGTTTCGATATTCATGTCGGAGTCATCCAAATGATAGTCATCGGACTCGTCATCGTCGTCCTTTTCAAAGTTGGGTTGTGACCTAGCCAGCTGGGCAACGGGTGGACCGCCCTGTTTTTTCAACATTCCCACGATGTTGGAAACGCCTTCTGTGTTACCCTTGGGCAGTTCCGTCTTGCTTCTCGGCCTTCTAAGGCTGTTCTTGACATTCGGGAATCCGAAGGAACTCTTGGGAGACGTGATGGATGTTGCGCTAATAGAACCACTCCGAGCATGGGAAGTCCCAATTGCTGCAGCGTTCGTGGCCATGCCAACTAGGGCCGTGTTGAGGCTGGGAGTTGGTTTCTGTTTGATGCCCCAGCTCGTTGAGCGGCTAGGCGGGGCTAGACTGTCCCTAGATTCCCGTCTATCGGGATGCGCCAATTCGTCAGATGCAGTCTCATCTGCGTTGCTTCCTTTGCGCTTCAATAATTGGCTTGCACTTGGTCTCCTCACAAGACTTGGGATCTTTCTCAGGAGACTAGGCCGGCGTGAAGAGTCGGCTTTAAGGGAGAGTTTCTTCAAGAAATTACCATTGAGAACACCCTCCACGTCGACGAGGCTGGGCAGGCTCCTTCGACGAGTGCCCCACGTAGCTGCTCTTGAGACAATTGAGTCATTATCGCGGCACATCATCTCAAATTTGGCAATGGCCGCTTGAGAGCTCTCTGGCTGGTGCCGAGAGGAGCCCATCTGAGATATGGAGTGAACCATGGGCGCATCGCCCCAGTTGCGAGATTGCTGCATGATTTCTATGTCCTCCTGGGTGAGCCCGCCACCTTGAGTCTCTGTCTGGTAGTATGCTTGGCCAGAGATGTATTTGTTCTCCGTGTTGTTCCCAAGGGGTATATCATCAGAGCTGTTCTTGTCCGCCCCAGGCGGATAATATGTGGCGTCGATTGCATCGGTCGCAATTCGATCCGCATTTTCAGCGGCATCTGCTACCCAAGCATCGACTAGCTGGTTTCTTTCCGTCACTTGGCGGCCAGCATCGAGCTGATTGATGCTCAAGGTCTCCGCTGAAGGCCGGTCCTCGGGTCCGAGACCACGATGGCCGGTGGCAGCATCGCGCCCCCAGTTCCCTTGGGTATCCCGAGACACACTTGAGCGATGGAGGGTCTCAGTGGATATGACGTCGTTGTTGCTTAATGCCGAGCGCATTGTCCTGGGGCTCTCCGTGCCACGTGCAGATGTGCGCGCTACTGGGTGCACCGCGCACTGTTCGTCTCTTCCCCATTCAGACACCATAACACGGGGACTTTGGGCTGCCATGTTCAGAGCAGCAGGCGCAAGCCTGCCGTCGCTAGACCAGTTAACCGCGTTCGTGTCCAGTGTCGGTTGAGGCGCTGACTGGTTGCTGTCGCGCAAGACTGGCTCTGGCTCTGGTTGCGATACGTTGGAGTGATGTTGATGCGATGCGGTGGCTCCTGATCCAGTATAGAAACCACCGTCGTAGTTATTTTGTGAACTGAGCGACGAGGCTACCGGTTCTGACAAGGGCTTGGCAAAATTCAAATGACTGCCAGCATCGTATGTGCCCTGATTTTGCATTGGAATATGATTTGTATCAAGATGCTCAGTACTACCAAATCTTAGTTGGTCCTCGAGGAAGGTAGGGGAGCCGCCATTCAGGTTGTCGAAATTCACACCAAAGAATGGATCGTCCAGGTCCCCGCTGAAGTCACTCTGATAAATGCTGAGAGTGGATGACGACTCAGCTGGGGTATTTGAGTTGGCTATGGGCGATGCCGAGTTGCTTCTGATGTGCGACGAGTATGGCGACAGCAACTGCGACTCTGCTGGAGTGACGGGTTGATTGTGGTTGTGGTGCGAGCCGCCCGTAAGGTAGGGTTCCCGCAAGTGGTCCTGCGAATGGTCGCGATGGTCGTATAGCGACGAAGGGGAGACGGTATATAGTGAAGACATGGTCAAAGTTTGGTGGTGGGTGGTTCGAGTAAGTATATATCAACTTGGCGGGACTTGGACCGCTCAGCACCTAGTGACTAGTCGTCAGAGGCCGCTCATGATCTTCTTGATCGCGACAAGTGGGGTGAGGGGGGAGCGACGCGGTTCAAAACTCAGGCCGAGCGAGCTAATCGGACCAAAAAGCTCACCAGCCGAGTTGACAACAACTATGCTGTCGCAAGATTGACTCGATGTCGAAACGAGTTTTTTACGATCGATTGACTGATTGATTGATTGATGCTGAGACAGACTTTTGTTTGAATGATTGAGAGAGAAGCTGAAGTCTGGTCGTTTCTATGAGCTAGGGGCCGCGGGGGGGCTGCGCTCTCTGAGGACGGGCGGCGCTTAAGCGGGAGTGAGTGGAGTCGGTATCTGTACAAGTGGATTTACTGAGCGCGCGACCCACTGTAGAGATGTCTCGAGGGCGCTTCAGAGGTTGACGGCAAGGTGGCCTTGCAAATGTGGTTCGCAAGAGGAAAAATGGCATGAGATCTGTATCCTAGATGGTATCCAAACGGTAAGGCTCAACAATGGAGGGATATGCCCCGTGAGCTGACAGAATGTGGCAGAGAGGAAAAGAAGCTGGCGAGGTGTCCCGATGGGCAGACTCAGGGCGAAATAGTACTTCGCACTTTTGGTTCACACACGACTGCGGCTCAAACCAGATGTCAGGCATGTACAAAAGTACCCCGTCTGTCCGTTATCCTGCATCTAGGTACTAGGCTGAGTTTCCGTCATTCTATCATCATTCTGCAGGGGTTCACCTGTTCTCCTCAGCCCCAGGCTCTCTCCACTCGCGGTCGGCCATTTGGTGCTCGCTGTCGCGGCTAAGTGTGCCGATAGTGGTACAGGTAGGACAGCCAAGGATGACGGTACAACATTTGCTCACCGAGCTATGAATACCTCCAGACAGGGCAGACTTGTGTTCATATCCATATTCCCATGACAGGAAGTCTCAGTAACATGTCCCCGACATCCCTATGTGAGCGATAAGGTTTCGTAAATCGAGTCTCTTGAGACCCAAGAATGGTGTTGCAAGAGCTCTATATTCGGGTCAATCCCTACTGCTTCAATTGCCGTCGCAGCCTGGCAGCCATTTCACTTGAAGAGCCGAGCGCTCGCAGACCTGAAGTCGGTGGAAATTCCAGATTGCGTGCATCAGGCAACGACGTATCCTCAATTGTCTGCCTGAGCACGATCAATTCAATCCTTGCAGCTTGCAGCTTGCTTCTTGTGGGCATATTTTCCATTGCCACAGTCGCACTGGTTGTGGTGTACCTCAATACAATAGCGTCCTGCAGCCTTGGGGGCCATGCCTCCCATTCGGCAGTGATGTCGACATCAAATTGAAACTGATAAACATGGTGGTCATCAAAGTACATAATAAGATGGGTATAGTAGCATTCCCATCTGCAATCCGTGGACCAACTTGGGTGCGTGCGATGTCGATTGAAGAATATAGCACCAAGTGTTTGTCTCACAGCTAGACGCCAAATTTAGAAAGTTTCATGGACATTTCCATCACTGATCCGCCCTGCCAGGGCTAGGGTGGGGATGATAACCGCGCGGGGATCATTAGACTGCAACGCTAACTCTCATGCAGCGTTACCTATTCCGTGAATTGATGTTGCTGTTTGTGGTATTGTCGAGATTTGAGTTTTGGAATTGCTAAGGCGGGTGGGTGTTGCTACGGCCAGTCAGCTAAATCGATCAAGTTCTCTGTAGGGTAAAGCATCACAAAGGTCTGGTCGAGTCCATCGAGGTCTGTTCAAACGTCCAAACGTCAAACATTGCCGGTGGAGAGAGTGGAAGAGCTAAGAAGAGTTTGGCACATTGAATTGAAGTTAGTGGGGCAATCACGGAATAGCTTCCGCCTGTCACAAGCGATCGTATTTCCTTCCAAGTCTCTCATCATCGCGAAATGAGGCCATCACGAAATATTCCCTTCCACTGCATAAAGGTTATTACCTACGTGACGGTTCTACGACATGAAAATGTTCGAGGCAATCAGAAATCCCGAGGATAACCTCTTTCTGCGCATGTGTGTCAGCATCATCCACCCACTCTGCCTATGCTCAAACCAACTAATCCACCTCACAGGCACCGCGCCCGCTCGGTAATACTTACGTCGGATGAGTGAGCATTCTTACACCTTTGGGGGTCCCAGTCCCAGTCGCAATCCTAGTCCTGACCTAGACACTGAAACCTCCCCTAGACTCGTGGAAATCCGCGCCGCCCAGCGCACCTTCGAGGGCGCATACATGCGCACGGCGCTCTCGCAGTTCAGCTTCGCCCTCATCATCCTCAAGATCTTCACGTCGGAGTTCTACGCCATCGGTGCGCTCTTCTCCCTCTATGGCGCCGCCATTATGTTGGTAGCCGTCTTTCGGCGTTACCAGGGGAACCGACAATTTTTCACAGCCACAGATGAGGCGGGCGCTTTGCGGAAGAAGTTTCGCACCAGCGGGAACAGTGTCATCCTTTTGACGCTTCTTAGTTTGGGGGCTTATATCACGTTGATGGTACTTACATGGCAGCTCGAGGGGTGATAGGCTGAAAGTGAAAGGTTCAGTGCAGATTGGAATGCTCGTTCGATGCAGACAGCATCACATGGCGACGATTTAATGTAGCTTCAGCTTCAGTGTACCGACTATCGGCACCACTATCATAATCCTAAATGAGACTCAGAAGCACGCGGTAGATCATCCAGTCATAGGACGACTTTGAAGCTTGTGAAGTCAGATAAGGCTATGTATAGCCCGTCTTGGGTATGGGCAGAGAGAAGTCGCTACTACAACCCATGGTTAAATCTGAATTGGAACCAACAGGATATTATGTGAAACCCCAATGGACACTCAACTAATTGGCATATTTGGTATTTCGGCAAGGTCAAAGGCTGGTAATAAGTACACATCTGCCAGCATCGTATTCACGGATATTGCCACTGAATACCGGCTCATTATTCATAACGACACAGATTTTCAATACAAGCGAGTGTACCCACGAGGCCCTGGTAAACTGAGTAACGAGCAATTCGAGGTCAGTCACAGTTTCCAAGATATCAACGAGGTACAAAGACCAAATTGACAAGCTTTGTGGTATATATATGATAATCAACAGATACAAACAGCTTAGGTGTAATTACAACCAAAAACTCAAGTGCATGTACAAATAGCTAACTATCAGAAATATGTTGTCCTTGAAGTAACATGAGACACTTTTCCCATTCCGCTAAATATGGAACATGAACTACACAGAAGGAAAAATAGAGAAAAAGAAATGCAATTGAAAATACAATGAAACCACCCAGTTGTGTCTCGCTCAGATGCTGCCTCCCTGACGACTTGTTGCACTTTGAGATCCACACAAAGTGCCCCTGTCACTGACCGTACCGTGCTTGCTTGGTTGCCGAGTACGACGGGAGCGACTGCAAGCGCCTTTCGCCCTCCTCCGACTCCGAAACTGACTTCTACCGATGAACCTCCGTCCGATCGAGAGGTTCGCAGTTCGCGGGGATGGAGTCCCAAGTACTTGAGGCCGAAGTAGCATGGCAAGTCTTTTCAGGAGACTTCATCGTCCATCCAGGGTGGTGTGCGACCCCTTTTTCGAGTTCTTTCAGCTTGCCGCGGCACCCGAGTCCACCACTACAGCTTCCGCATTTTCATTTTTCTCTCTTTTTTGATAATTGCCAAGTGTGATCTTTGTTGTTACATCGTTGCACCGCATCGTTCTAGTTCGGCAATTTGGGTTTCCAGAGCCCTCATGGGTCTGTTCGTCCTCCACGCGTATCCAAAACCGACTTGGGAGCGGCATCGCAGCTATGATCGCATACAACTCAAGCATGCATTTAATACATATTGTAGGCCGGTGAATCTCCTTTGCCAACGGTGTCTGTCCTTGGTGCTCTGTTTCGATCCTGCAACACTCCATCTTCCTCTGGCTCTTTGGAGTGTCCCGTTGTACTTTCCAAAATTTGTTGTTCGTGTATTTCGTCTTGTTATCTATATAATTTTTTCCATTTGAGGGGAGTGCTTGAGGTTTGATCTTCCCTCCTTCAGGATCGTTGTAGTGTTCGAGGATGGTGTTTTGGTGTTGTGATGCGTCGCAAATCATGGCGCTCGGCCCCCTCCGTTACCCTTACCAGGCTCCATTTCGTCATGGATTTCGATTACCACCACCAGCAGCAAAGCAGAGCAGTTGAAGGCACACAAAAGACAGCAATATGTCCCAAAAATTCGTAGAAATTTCCATAAACAAGAGTCTCCCCAGTTCTGTGCGAGGCGTTCTGGTTGTGCCGAAAGCATCTGGACTCCAAGATCTCCTTCAGAGATTGTTGAAGTCTCTCTATCACACACCCCGGCGTTGCGCCAAGGCGTCGGTCATCTGCTACCGTAGTACAAGTTCCCGTCTGGCGGTGGGTTTTCTCCGGATGAGACCGAGGGATCCGGGTTTCCCGCACCATCACCATACCAGGCTCCGAAGCCTTCGCCAGACTTGGAGTAGGCATAAGGATCCTGCCAGTGCCCGCAGGTCGTACCCTGTGCGGCACCGGTTGAAAGGGATACATGGGGGTTCATGGTCGTTCCCGGCACATTCTCAATGTTCGGGATGGTGGTCGTGATGGTTGGGGGGTACGCGTCTGGAGCGGCGGAGGGCTTCCTGCTTTCATATGGTCTCAAAGGCAGAGGCTGAGTTCCTGTCTGGGAGACTGAATGGTAAGATTGGGAGTGCTCGCTGCCGTAGGACATGGACCTCGTCGGCGGCGGAGGGTACCCGGACCAAACGACTTCTTGTCGTCGTGCTGTCTCGTTGCCTAGCGGTGCTATCGGCCAGGGCACTGCCGGTGGAACGCCATGAGGTGTGTATGGGGAGAAGGTTTGAGAGACTGGCGACTCGTGTGTGTATGATCGCCACGATGGATTCATGTCTGCAGGCGTCCTTGCCGAGCTGGGATTTCCATCTGGTGCCATCCAGTTGACAGCGCTGTGGCTATAGTCGAAAGTCCGGGCGCTTGATGCGCTTGACGGCCCTTTTTTGTTTCTCATTTAGTATCCGTCCCCTGAAGGTTACACGAAGGAAAAGAGGAGATGTGGCCTTGTTTGAACCTACCTTTGGAATCCACAGGATGCGAATCAAGCACCTGGGGCTTCATCGACGGAGGTCCCATGTTTTGCATGGGCGACACGGTGGACAGCTGCGGGTACGCTTGTTTCGGTTGCATATCAGACGGGTGTTCGGGGTGGATCGCTGGTGAAGAGGATGCCGACTCATTTTGGGGTCCCACCAAAGATCGAATTCTTGGTTTCTGCCCGGGCGCCGGTTGCGGCAGTTCACCCACCGAGTGGAAGCTGCATTCCTTCTTCAGTCTGGCGCAGCTCTCGCAACGGTTGCCTTGCGGAACGCATCTGATCTTCCTGTGTCGGCAATGTCCTTTCGTGATATTAGTCAACCTCCAACAAGCCCGCATTTGGTCAGTCAGAAGGAGAGAGACGTACCACAAGCTACCGAGGTGCGATGGTATCCGAGTTTCTTTCGACTCTTATCGCCAGAGAGACTCAGTTGACCAAGAGCTGATTCGGTTGCCCCCTGTGGTCTCACGTTAGGGGTCGAGCTCGATCTTTTCAACTTGTGGGCTTTGGACAGAGACCCTCCGTGTTGGGCGAGGGGCATAATGGTGTCATGTTCTGTGATAGCATGCGGTAGTGGTGGTGGTAATGGTGCTAGAGGGGCTGTCTGGGCTGACTGGTTTCTTACCTCCATGGAGGAAGCGGCGTTGGTTGGGTAGCCAGCCGTGTAACTGGGGTACAAGTTGTCCCTGTCAGCGCCAGTTTGCGGAGGCGGCGGATACTGATGGTACATGTTGTTGGTCATGTTTCCGTGTTGTGTCTTGGTGTCGATGTTAAGACATTCACGTCTCCTCCGGGTCGATGTCAACTTTGTCACCTGTGGCCGTTATATCGCGATGGCCATGAACCGGGCCTTACTGTAATGTGAATGCAAGGGAAACCGGGATGATGTCCTAGTTGCCGCTTTGGTACTGCTGGAAGTGGCGAAGAAGTGTTGCACTTAGATACAGCAGGCTGGGAATTCCTGGGTTGGTCGGCGCTGGATTGTCTAGAGTCCCTATCCAACGGATCTCTAAACGACCTTGCAATCACTCCTCGGATGGGATTATGGTTGACTGATATTGAACTTGGGCAGAGAGGGCAAGGAGATGGTGGAGAGGGAGCAGCAGCGGACCAATCGTGTTCGTAGCAGGAGTTGCGGGACTGGTACCAGACTTGGGAGGCGACCACAAAAAGAACCTGGCTCTCATTCGAGAACGGTAGCGGCAAAGGTCCTTGTTGACACGGCACAACGTGGTGTTACGATGCGACAGCGCATGCGAGCATCCACACCCAAATAAAGCCTGTACCTGAAGCAAAGCGGTAATGGGAAATGGGTAGTGTGTATTCCTGTATGGGAAACTTTGGTACAACACAGTCCCGGGGGTGGGTCCTAGAGTGCTTGTGTTCGCTTCGGAGGACGGCACGGTAGTATCTTGATTTAATCTGGTCAGTCGCAGCACGGATGACTGATTTCCTTGACAGCTACGGGAAGGGTCTTGGAAGGCTAATAAAGGTCCACAACCCTCAACTTCGCTACTGCTATTGTCAGCTGGGGTTGAGCTGCTGGATGACGATGATCCACACCGGGGGGAGTCGATAACGAATAATGACTAGACAGGAGGACGACGGGTATGGGCTCGCCGCCACCCAAACTATGACGAGCCTTAAGGAGATAAGGCGGGGGATGGCGTGTTGTTTAAGTCAAATAGGGTGAGGAAATGGTGCCTATTGTTTTCTTTTTTGACGTCCGGAAGGGTCCGCGAGATGCGCAGGGAAGGAAAGATCAAGGGACGGGACGGTGCTAGCTGACTTTTGAGCACAACGACAACATCTAACGAACCATGGTATGACGGGCCTTGCCAAGTTTATCCACTTAGTATAACTGCAGCGGCCGGTGGTAGGTATTTCAGTGTCCTTTTTGTTCGAGGTCCTGCATTCGTGCAAACAGTGCAGCTGGAGATTGCTTTTTCGGCAGAAGGCAATGAAATTGACAGCCGCCGTCCGGCCATAAATAGTAGTAAGAGACAACTAGAACAGACAATAATTCTGGAAAAGGGTTTCTCTGAGCAGAGATTTCTTCGACAGAAAGTCCAATGCCTCTACATCATAGTGGAAAGCTTTCTAGCAATTCTTTGGACCCTCCAACTGGCTATTATCCTTTGGCCTCACCGGCGAAGGCTGAAACAGCAGAGGAAGGGCCAACCGACTTTCGGTGCTCTCGCGGCTCCACAACAACCAACGATACTCCATTGCTGTATCGTCTCGTCCGTGTCTGCTATGTGGCCAATATAGTAATCGACTTGATAAGCACCAGGTCGTGGTCCGCTGAGCCATGGGACAATCTCCCCCGGCTCAATGTGGTCTGTTGTCTGTGTACCTCTTCATTAGACCCAATTATTTCCACAATAGCCAACCGGTACTCAGCCTAGGCTATACGAGTTGGCGAACAGGCAATGCGGGCGTTGAAGGGTACCTGCATTGCAACGACCTGGGCAATACTTGAATTGCCGGGTCAGCTCACATATGGGTTGCCGCAAGTACTCGCTTCAAGAACCATACAGAAAGTTATCCTATCTTTCAGCCCACCACCTGAGGTGCGACTCGCCTCAACTCGCCTGGGAAGCTGGGCCTTTGGTAGGATTTGGCGCTTGTCAAGGTAGCATTGTTGTCATGGGACAGCCCGCCTACAGGGAATTTGAATGGGAGGACCCAAGCACGACAGTCCACATGTGATTTGGCAGATCATTTGCTTCTTTGCTTCTTTGTTCGTCATGCCATCCTCGACTTTCTTTCCTTCAATAGCAGTACGTCCATTGTCGCTAATTGTGAGTTGTCGGCCCCCTCACCAAGCCCATGTCTGCCGCGTATCCTTGTCCAGAGCTTGTCAAGTATGCTGATCCCGGCAGCAGACAAGTGTCGAAGCCAAGTACTTACATGGGATGAAGAACAACCCCCTGCCATTTGCCTGGCTTCCTTTTTTCCAGACAAGGCCATTCATACCATACGTAATTGCAGATACACCGGGTTGATGAGATTTGCCACCGATTTCTGCCAAAGAGCAACGTTTTTGAGCAGCACAGTTGGCGGCGTCGGACAGCGTCCCCGATATCCCTCGCCTGTTCCTTGGTTCCAGACGATATTGTGCAAAGCCTAAGGGTTGCCAAGCGGGCTGCTGTAGAATTGGACCGATAGGCTTTACCCGGATACTGCCAACTGCTCTACAGACTTGAGGACTCGGTACTTGGGATGCGCAGTCTAGCAGTAAGGCAAGCCGTCGCTTAAACTCAACATGATGGTTACGATTGACATCAGCATCTGACGGCACTTTTTCCAGACGCCTAGGCTGGGTCTGCTTCGCAAGCCCATGCGCGACCGAGGTGACATTGACCAACAATCCGCGAGCCACCCAGCACCCTCCGCGAGCACGGCACTGACGCTGGCCGTGGGGAGATCCAGGGGACTGGTAATCGTTCAGATGGATCTTGATGCCTCGGATCATGCGACGCTGCAGTGGAAGGGCGCATTGCCGGCAAGGGCACCCCTTCCCCCGCCCCCCAAAGTAAAGGTAGGGGTTTGATGTCGCAGCCGATAGTGGCACGTTTTCTCTTGTTACATAACCAGCCATTCCAGTGTATCAATAGCTTTAAGCTTTGGATTTCAAAGGTCTTTAGTCACAACTGAGGAGCAGTCGCTGAAGCGATGTTACTGTAGGAAGGGAAGGTTATCATGAAGCATGCCATTTGTCTCTCACTTCCTAACCATGACTTGTCATATGATTTCCAAGTTCATAATGCTTTGAAGAACGCATCAGGTTCATCCTATTTTGTCTCGCGAGGACGATGTGTCCATGCCGACATCCTAGATATCCTAGATGGCGATCAACCAGAACCCGGAGCGGCGGATTCAGCTGCGCTGGACAACTTTCATTAGAGAGCTGCGTACGTAATAATCCATGCTCAGGAGGATAACGCACTTGTCAGCCCCTTGTGAACAGAGGCATCGGCGCATCGTCAGATCGAGTGGATGTCATGCAACAACGACAAAGAGAGTTGCGGGCAATCAAACCGTAGGTGGACTCGAGAAGCGTGTTTCGTTGACCCAAAGAGACGAAAGGGGACAAGCCTCTCGGTCTGACAGAGAACCAAAGGACAGCGAGTTGAGGATCAGCCATCCCTCGGGCTTGACTGACAATACCTCCCTCATATGAAACCCATTTGGGACACACCAATTGGGACTCGATTCGGGCCTCATAAATTACGTGACGTAGGAGATGTAGGCAGCTCGAGTAACCAGTTTGTCATGGTTCGTAAAAGAGAAGTATGCGACAGTATTGAATGACAGTCATTCATCGGAACTTTTGACTGCCGAGGAAGTGGTGACAGGTCACATCTCAGACCTTTTCTTTCAAGATCTTTTCTTACCCGAGGTCTTCAGCCCTGTCGATTTCGGTTCATGGCTGCCCAAAGGGGTTAGCACCGCTTCCACCGTGAGGCCCGTGTTACTGCTAGCCTTGGGGACTGTGCTCCCTGAAACCCTGCCTGCCAAAGACAAAAAAAACAAGAACTAGGACTCTCTAAGCAACAGGATGTCGGGATCGTTGATCTGGCTTCAGACCGTATCTCGCGAGCTCGAGAGAGGTACGCTGCTCGTCCGATCACTGTTTCACAATCTTCTGGAAGCAACAGAACCCTGCATTGTACCTTCCGCATAATGGTTCACGTCTCCTGACGATAAGACGGGACGGCCTCGGCTCCCGGAAGAGCTCCAGGGTTCAGGAAGATCACGGATTGCGGCAGATCACCAATCGTCACGGCATGAATCCAGTGTGCCTATGGTAATGCTCATCGACATGAAATGGCATCATCTTGGCAGCTCCTAGTCTTGCCTCCATCACTACAAACTCGTCGGCTAGTCCGTCATGTCTCCAGCTGAGCAGCCTTTTCTCCACCATTCTGGTTTGATCTACTTTTTAGCCAGAATTGCTCGAGCTGTCTGCCCCTTTCATTACCACTGACGTACCAGACATCTGGGATTATCGGGGAACGGCCCGCGGACGGGGCCAACGCAGTAAGCAACGCCTGCCCGAATAGTGGCGCTTGAGGGGAGATTGGCTTTGCGTTCTGACAAGGTCATGACGTTAGTGCCGGAGCTTGGAGTATGCCATTAAAAAATGACATCTTCCGGGAAAAGCAAGCAAAATGTATTGACGGCGGCTTCAGCGGTTCCAATACCCTGGCATCCCGACTCCATGTATTCGCGGTCGTCCTGTTCCCAGCTGAGACCCCACTGTGCTCTTGCAACAGGCTGCAGGATGAAGGCTGCAGAAAGCTCGTCTCGGGAAACTATCGGCCAGCATCACATATATAACTCCGCCTTATCTCAAGACTGTTGATACAACGTATCACGCGTCGTGTATCATCCCTCCTTTTTAGGCAATTGGAACAGAGTCCTCAATGACATTTTCATCATCTCCATCTATCAATATACCAAGGTCTGTTAATATCCAACCCCTGGGAATCTCCATAATTACGAAAACAGAGTCTCATCGTGGGCGATGTATGGCAGGCACCAATACATCTCTGAATGCTTAACGTGCCATTGGCCACGCCAGAAGTCTGTCTCCTCACCGGCTTGGATGGTTGACGGGGGTGTCTCTTCGGTTGGTTCGGGTGCAGTTCCGCCACTCTGACGGAGTCGTAGAAATCCTCCCTTGCCTGGGACTGGAAGTAAAAAAGAAAAATAACATCAACAAGCCGCGAAGAAACCTGACAGGTAAAAGTTGGCATCCGTGAACAGAACATTAGCTCAGACCACATACTACAACGATGAACGCACAAACTAAGTTGTAAATCTTCGAACTTGAACTTAGCTGGACAACGCTGGTGATACCACCAGATACCCGTACATGCGGTATCGTGGAGATCAAGATTATACCAGTAAGGCGTGATAGATGAACGGAAAGGGCAATACATCATATGCCAGCACCATCCAGGTTAATAGACACACTCCGTGGTAGTACCAAAATATGAAGTTCTATTCGAGCACCAAGAGTCCGTATCAGAAGTACTACCGTTGTATACTTCGAACTCTAACAGCCCGTCGAAGAAAGAAATCTAGTAGTGCAAATGTCATGCTTCGTGCTTTATCATACTAGCCTAGGCTCTTACCTCAAAACATCTTGCTGGACTTGTATACGGTGCTCTTCACGAGACGGTGATTGCGAAATGCTGGAATGCAGAATTCCTCAGCACGAAGAAGCACTTGAGTAAACATGCCCCAAGTCGTAATACCGCTCGACGTCTCCAGGGAGTCTCACGATTGGAACGTAGCACCTGAAACACGGTTGGTGCATGACTGACCGGTTTAGCATCATTCTGGATAGCCTTTGCTTGAACGACTCAGCGTCTAGGTGACTTTTTGCCTCGATTCCAGACAATATCGATGCCTGGTATCCAATAAGAATACCAGACATTGAGCTTGTGATAGATCAGAAGGGGCAGGCCGCGCACGTTTGAGGCAGATCGGTTAGCCACGGTGTGTTGAATATCTCTCCTCGAAGATACATATCGAGAAGGTGTTGCTAAAGACGTCAGCCTGCCTCTCGGAAACACTAAGTCCGGGATACCGACTGGGAACTGGTGAAAATAAGGCAAGCTACTCATGGATAGTCCGGGTAACTGCTCACTCTGGTTACTGTCCTAAAGATATATGTGTGTTTGAGGGTTCCATTGAAATGGCGTATCCCACAATCGTACTGGCCCAGAACCATCGCAAACTACTGCTTGGGCGGGGAGGCATATGTGTCACCAGGCTTATCTCTGGCCATAGGGGTTATATGATGGAAACTAATTTTCAATTCACCCAGAGGGTTGAAAGAAAAGGATGCAAGACAAACCCGGCCATGTCTAACTCCCCGCAAATGCATAGCCAAGCAGATCGGATAACGAAAAGTGCGTTCCCTTCAACCGACATGGAGATGATCAATACCCAGTTATTACATGACAGTATACAAGCATAGAACCTATTTCGTAGATCCAGGCTCTGGTTACTGAAGTCATCTGAGGTTCAAATAACGACCTTTCTGTGGCACATTTCATAATTGGAGATTCTGGGATCTCTCAGAACTGCCGGTGGAGAAAATATCAATAATGACACAACTTAAACACTGCCAGACCGTGGGCGAAGAGCTTGGCATTGTCCAAAGATAGGTCGCGGAATGATGCGGACAGTCTCAAAATGTGGTTGAATCACGATTGCTACCGACCAATTCCGGGCCACGGACAAGACCCGTAGATGGAAGTGACGTCTTTCGAGAAAGGATGTCAAACTGACCAGTCCTTGAGGCTATATGCAGGAATGCATTCAAGCAAAGTATTGTTCTTCAGCAATGCTCATCCGAACCTGTCTCATCTAGTAACTGAACCATCACACGTTGATATTTATACCCAGTAGACTAAACCCGGATGAAGAGAAGAAGATGATGCCAGCCAAAATTGAAACTTGATCATGTTCCAACTCGTGTTTGCAACGAAGTTTTCGTCATCCGTGAAACGATCCCTAATAATAAACCGCAGAGGACAGCGCACTGAGGTTAGCTAAGTAGAAGGCCAAACCGAAGCAAAAAATACTGCTCTTAAGCCTGCCGCCCCAATTCGACGAAGTAGACGAAATCCCATAGGAGGAAGGGAAAGATTTTACTATTTCACCCAGTTCCACTTAGTTCCAGTATTTCATAGCTAGCTGTATACGCACGTATCGTACCTCGAGATCACCATTCTCAACCCACATCATACCATACCGGGAAATCACCATTAACATAAATTTTACAGAGAAGACAGGAAGTAAGGCGCAGGCATCACAGTCCAAGAAGGCTCTATTAATCAGCCTCTGGAGCATTAATCAAACTCCTCAGTTTACTCGACAATAGAGTTATAATTACGCTCCAATGAGAAGTGAGGGACTCAATCCACACACGGCACGAATTGATACAAAAGGTACGGAAGTATGTTCCGTAGGTTGCCGGCGCTTAGAATCTTCAGCAGATTGGCCAGACGCGAAGTTCTGGGTTTCGGGCTTCCAAAGCCACATCCATCATTCTGCTGGTTGATGCCTCTGGTGAGGCAACCACGCCACTCACACTCGTCAACCTAACAACAGACATTTGAATCCATGATACTGAAAAAATAAATCATTGGATTTCTGGTGGTTATTAATTATTGTCGAAGGTGACCACTTCGCCAGCATTTATAGCTGACGCCTTGCCAAGTATATCCCGGTTTGGTTGACGAAGCGCAGCCAGCTTTCAGGCCATTATCGTAAGCAAGAGCGTATTCCACCAAGATCCACGCCCAGAGATTCTCTTCTTAATGCATGTCTACGCTCTGATGCTTGAATTTCAAGTATTGTGCCCCAATTCTTGTTTCAAGGGCATCAGAGGCTGCAATACACCCCCCCGGCCGGGTTCCCTGAGGGTATTCACCAATATCAAGGCGATGCAGCGGGCGAATACTAATGCATCATCTATCAGGTTTTTCGAATAAAAGCTGGAGCCAACCATCAGCTTCGATACTCATATAACGACGGCAGATATATTCTTGTCCTATCTGGAATAACTGTAATTACCTGTACGTTCCATGTACGTACCGGAATGGACTTAGCAATCCACCCCTTTCGCCCATGTTATTGTACCTAACCCCCATGTTCATAATGAACTCAATATCCCTCATCAAATGATAAAAATGAAAGAAGCTGGCCCTCAATACTTTTACATACCGCAATTCCTAGCCGCTCCAGATCAGAAGGGAACAACCCCCCTCTCCCCTCTGAACTCACCTACACCTCACTTCATCGATTTCCTGCCATGTCACCCCCCTGAATCCCGGCAATCCGCCGCCGCCGCCGCCCACAACAGCGGTCCTCATCGGCACCATCACACAGCCGCTCTTCTCCCCCGGTCTGGGAAACTCCCTGACCTCGGTAAACTTGGCGTTCGCAGCATATCCAGCTCCACCACCACCACCAGGAGCATAGAGGGCCGTAGGGGTAGGCTCGTCGGGAAGGGAGTACAGCGTGGAGCGATTCGAGTTAGTCCAAACCATTTTCGTTCCTGGTTCCGCTGCTTCGGCCTCGGTAGCTCCTGCAAAGGTGACCCTTATGAAATTGAGGAAGGTATCGATTTCTCGTTTTGTTGTCATGGCGCCGATGCTGGCTCTGACAATGCTGCGGGATGAACTTTATTTAGATGGAAACCCTTCATAATTGGGTATAGGCCTATACACAGCGAGTGAAAACTTACCCCGTGGGTATCCTGTGGATCACGCTGATCCCGTTGGGGCCACCGCAGTGATGTCCTGCCTGTGCAGGGAAAATTAGTTAGCAAGCCCCCGTCTGGTGACATATCCAGATGAACGATAGAGATGCCCCTGAGTAGCCCAATCATGGCAAAACTAACTGCTGTTACCACCCCCCGGACATGCAGGTCAAGATCAAGGAGGGCTCAGGAAGGATACCAGATTGTCATTAGAAGGCGAAATTAAATCACGTACCGAGACTGCGCGCTGCATCATCCAAGGCTCGTAACCAAGGGCAAAGTATATACCGCCGGGGTTACACACCGCTAGGACTAGTCAGCCACCCCTTCTTTCCTTTACAGTCCCCAACATCCCAAAAGAAAGGGGAAAAAAGGAAGAAAGCAAAGCGGAAAAACTTGGACTCACCTCCAGACCTGATGTAAATTCCCCTGTCATTCGCCCTCCTCTCCACCTCAGTATACGGCACGTACCCTCCATCCTCCGTGAGCACATTAAACGCCACCACGGAGCCCTGCGTCCTGGGATCATCAAACGCCGTCCCGGGCTCGCTATACACCTTCACCACCGCCCTCCCATTCCCATGACTCAGCTCTGTGAGCCCCCTATATAGTCTCGACACAAGAAACGAAGTATGCTCACTGACTCTGCTCATAGACTTGTACAACTGTCCATGGACATCGATAGCCTCCCCCAGTGCAAGAATGCTGTGAAAGGGCAGGGTGCCGTCTTCGAGCCCCTCGTGGAGCTTGTATGTCGGGCCTTGTAGGCCCTTGGACCGGTACCACGTCTCGCCGATGGCGCTGACGTTGGTGACGGTGCCGCCGCCGAAATATTTTCGCAGGGTGAGGATGTGTCCCGAGTCTCTGCGGACGACGAGGGCGCCTATGTCCGGGAAGCCGAATATCTTGTAGAGGGAGAGGCAGGTGAAGTCTGGTGCGTAGGCTACGTCTTGGAAGACGAGTTCCATGGGACTGGTCATGGCGAACGCGGCGGCATCGAGGAGGGTGTCTTGATGCGAGTTAATATGAGCTCAGCCGGTTGGCAAAGAGAGCGTGTACAAAAAGGCCGACTTACACGTATTTTGCAGATGCTTAGCATCCCTCACCCGACCACTCCACCCCAAGGGCAGTCGTTTCCCAGACATATTTGACTGAGCCGGATAAGCGAACAAGCCCAGCTCCTCCGAATGATGCCGGTCAACCGATAGGGACACCCTAGGGAAATCGAGCCACGCCTCGACGTCTCCATCACTCTCAAAACAATACGACCGCGCCAACTCCCGTACCCCGACCAGACTTGTATGCGCATCATAATGATAACCGTACCAGAATCTTCTCGTCCTCGACTTCTCGGCCAGGTCGCTGAAGGAGTCTGCAACGAGCTTGATGGCTGCCGTGGCATTGGCCACAAAGACGAGATCGTAGTGTTCGGGATCTGCGCCGAGGAAGTGTAGCGTCTTTTCCCTGACTTCATCGACGACGTTGCCTGATAGTTTGGCAGGCGAGTTTTCTAATGATTTGAACGTTAGCCTCCCTCTCTAGTTTCTGCTGGAAATTACTCCGCATCTACGTACGGGGAAAAAGGAAGCTTGGCCTTGACGTACCTGAGTGTGGGTTTCCGTATAAGTTAGTTACCATCTTTCGTGTGAATGCCTCTACCGCAGACTTCGTATATATCGTGGCCCCACCGTGATCTAAATACGTTCCTATTATTTCACAGATATGAGTATTTGAATACTTTCCAATCTCTATAGGAACGTACCGTTGTTCATATGAGGATACTCCCTCTCACGCACAGCCTCGACGTCAGGATTCTCCATGATAAAAAAGAAACCGGTGTGAACAGTCAAGTTGCGGCTCCAGAACCTGGCCTCACGATCGGCTTATGAGGCAATCAAGGGACGAAAGAAATAGGTATGGCGAACTGGGCAGTAGGGGACACGGCATCGTCGACTGGCATTATTTATAGTACATGACTGCGGAAGGGTGGATGTGCCTCCCCCACCAAAGCAGCCGCACAAATGGCAATATATTCTTGCCACTCTGCGTTCTTTCCGCCCCCTCCATATTCACTGACAGGACTTAGAGCTCGGCGAATGATTTAGGGCGTTATTTCCACCCTCCATTTCATCACAGCCGCTTCCACGAGGGTGCCGCGGGAGCATTCTATCCAATTCGGTGACGGCGTACAAGTTGAAAGCCGACCCTTGGAAAAAGACAGTGGCTGGAGTTGAGGATGTCTTTGACCCTGCCCACAAGGAGGCCCCCCTGATCAATATGCTGCAGGCGTGTACACACTCGTATTCGATCAACGCAGACCATTGGGTCCAGGCCGCAGAAAACAGCCGAATACTCACGACAAGCAAACATTCTAGGGTAGACTTGGGCCTGTCAAAGTTTTAGAGTAATACGGCACAGCTGGTCGATATTTGAATCGATTGATAGTCTCTACTTGCCTCGCAAGCCGAGAGAAGCAATGCAACGTTGGTTGACTAGGGTGCCATAAAAGGCAAGGTGGACAGCAACCTGAAGACCCAATACGGCTGGTGATGACGTCCAGCTGAATCAAGAACCATGAGATTCATGACAGATGCGGTATGAGTCGTTCCCAAGCGGCGTGACAAACCCCGAAATTCACCGATATGGACGGGGAGGCTCACCGTTGGCTTTGTCCAGTCATATCACGGTCGTCAGTGTATCGTTCCGGCGAGGTATTCCCATTAGAGGATATACAATCCCCTGGCCTGATTACTGACTTGATCCAATAATCACATTCGGCATGACTCGAACATTCGGGTTCCCAGGTTATTTGGCGGCACGCATTTATTCCACCGTTTAAGTAGTGCCAGGGAAGGGAACAAGCATCGCAAATGAAGTCGATCGAGGCGGCTCTATGCTTTATCGTTTTCCCCAGGTTCTGTGCGTTATCGTGTTTCCTAGAGGCTGAAGATCCTTGCAAAAACCGTTCCACATCCGACGGGCGCATGCCTCGTGATGCACACGCACTCTGTGACAGTTGACGATTCAAAAAGTGGTGGTGTGCTTTCCTTGCCGATTTCCACCCAAATACGACAAATTGGTGACGGCTGTGCCACACGGGCTTTCACTGTCAAATGGTTCGGATAAGGACGGGGAAATCTTAATTAGTCTAAAGGATGCAAGTTAACAGACGCCACGCTGACGTCTGTGTCACTATAATCATCCCTAAACTTCTGACCGCAGCTGGGTATAGTGATCACCCACCGTCGTCAACTCTCCCGAGATCCCTGCTACTTGTTTGGGCCAATGGTCGGGTCCCATCGAGTCAGCGCTTAATTCCTACGGCTGCGTTTCCTTTCCTGGCCAAGTTCTTCTGATTAGCAATGGAAAGATGAAGGATTCGTAAGATCCCCAACAAACCAAGAGATTAGATCGAACGAGGTTGGTTGCAATTCCAACCCTGTCCACTGCCACCTTTGCCATTTTCTATGTGGCTCTGCAGTGCTGGGCCGTTTCTCACAAACTCGGATTGGTCAACGGGACGAAGGACCGATTCTGATGAGCGTCGCGCAACTAGCTCTTGTCCACCATTGATCTCTGGGGTTGGAATTGCGGTGGGACTGCCATACAACACAACATACTCCCGAACGTCGGCAAGGAGGCACTGCCAACTTCCAATATTGCTACCGGGTTGCGGTCTTGGTATGCATGTTATTTGCATTGTGACGAACACACCACTACGGCAGGCAAAGGGGAATGGGCAGATTGGAAAAAGAGGAAGTCATTTGAGAAATAAGACGTGAAGGTTGCTCGGATGTCGGTCTGGGTACGTAGGGATTTGATGCGAAGGTAAAGAAATTCTGCCCAGCCAGGCGAATGGGAAGTTGCTTTTAGAGTTTACCACGGTTCGGTACGTGTTGGCGTACCAAACGCTGAAAATCCGCGGAACCACGGAAAGAGCCGTACGCCAAGCTTATCTGACAGTCGCAGCTGCTTATTATTGCACCGATTTAAGGGTCATCTCTGCGATCTATGCAGTCCGAGGTCATCACGCGTACATGAATGGGATCGGGTGTCACGTACATCAAAGAGCATATATCGTCCAAGCCCACGTGGCATCAGGAAGCCCCCAAAGGCCTGCCTGCTAGTCTTCATCCACATTCGTCAATTAGCACATGTCACAGCTCACGGCAATTCGGCGGAAATAATCAACAAATAGGGGATCTTGTTTCTTTTGGTATCAAAATGCCTCACTCCAAAAACGCCATCATTTGTTTGGAGTCCGTTGGCTACTTCTACAGAATTCCTGACATTGCCAAATCCATCTCCATCCAGCTGTATCGAGGTGATAGGAGCAGTACTGTCAACCATTTCAGCCTATTGAATCGAACCTCGAATTAAACCCACACACAACCGAACGCCGAAAGATGCAACCGCAGTTACTTAGTGTACCGATGCACTAATACAAGCCCAAAGAGCATGCATGATGTACCCTCCGATCGTGACTAGCTCGTCTTAGATCATGAAGAGGAGAGCTGCAAGAGGCACGATGACGAAGTTCTGAACGCCGAATGCATTTGCCGCAGCAGTGACGGGGACAACCGGTGTGCCAGTGGGTATGTCAGTGGGTGTGTCAGAGAGTGTGCTAGTGGGAATTGTCGTGTTGGTTCCGCTTGTCGGCGTCGAAGTTGGAGGGGTCGTAGCTGGAGGGGTCGTCGTAGATCCATTGCCACCGGATTCACCGCCCGAGACAGCGAAGTTGGCACAAGAGATGCGAGTCTTGTTGGAGAAGTGGACTACGAAGCTGCGGTCGACGATCGAGGCATTATTTCCGGCGATGAGAGAGGAGAACTCATCATGGTAGGTCGCCTCGAACGGGTCCGACGTAATCTTCCCGTACTTACCGCTCAGGTCACCGACTTGGCAGGTCTGAGGGAACTTGCTCTCGCAGGTGGGCATCTCACCGCGGACAAAAGGGTCGAGGTGGGCAGCGGTCGACGTGCAGTTGCCGTCATTGGGAACCTTCTTCTCGTGGATGTGGTACAACTAATTCTGGTCAGCAGGCACGATTGGGAGGATTGTGTCAGTACTACTTACGAATGGACCACCATCTTTGGGCAGGTTGGAGAAAGACACCTTGTACTCAACGCCGATGCCATTGGCGCTCGACTTAACAGAGATAGAGCCCTTGACGTTGCCGTCAAGAGTTCCGGCGGTGAAAAACAGCTCGTCAGGCAAAGTTGCCACGGCCTCAAGGCCAACAGGATTATCGGTAATGACGCTGGCGTTGCCGCGCTGCTATAAATAACGTTGAGTACGAGATGCAACAAAGCTGGCAATCTTCGCCTGGGATTTACTTACACCAGTGGTGAGCTCCTGGCCGAGAACAGTAGCAATGGCGAGGGCGGAGAAAGACAGGATGTTTGAGAATCGCATCTTCGTCGTGTTTGCGCGGTAATTGTTCAAGTGGGTGACAGTGGGACGTCGATGGTGATTGTTGATGGTTAAGGGAGAGATATTGCTGCCGCAACTATGTCTCAAATGACTCGGAAGGTTTGATGAAATGTTGAGTGTATAAAGATGAGGCGACGTTGTGGTGGATCATATGGCTTGTTTGCTTCCAACTAATTATTTGGCATGCAAGAAAGATCCGGGAAGGAGCAGTCCTCAAAGTCAACTTTTCGGGGAGGAGGCAATCTGTGAGCGGGTGTCGACGACAGTCTCGGATCTTTTTGTGCATGAGGGGGTCGGAATTGAGTGAAGGCTTAGAACGGAGGCAAGGATCATAGAGATGAACTCAACGGGAGATTTTGAGGTAGGGGTTGCGAGGCGATGAAAGACTAATATACGTCTGCTGCAAACACATTCCCCAAGGTCTTCCTATGTGCCACGGCAGCCAACCAACACACAACGCCGAACAACAAAACCCTCTCCGCCATTTATCTTTGTTGGCCTGGTGAAGCGGGGTGGAAAACTAGTAAGCCCCCGAGCTGCAAGATCTAATGTACGAATATACAGCCCCCATGTGGCATCTTGCATCATACGGAGCTAGGGCCATGATGATCGCTTTTGCCTCACTATGTAGAAAAGAACCCCCATCTAATTTCAGCCAATGAGAAGCGGGGCGCAACCAACTCCATGTCTTGAACAGGCGAACAGACAGCCAAGCATTGATCCGTGTCTTTTAACCGACTGGGTGACATGGTCCGGAAATTAGTTCAGACGGCTCTAATATCACATTCATCACCAACAACGGAGGAAAGTTGTTTCTTTCGGATTCTTTCATGAAAGCCCGGCACACGTGCCTTACCTCGCCATGATGTCAGCCATTCCGCTTGTGGGACATTGGCTTGTACTCTGTGTCCAAGCGCCTTCTCTTTCTCCAAGGATAATAGGTCTTCGGTGGGTGGGCCGATAACAAGAATAGCTTTCTTGAGCATGTGTTTGCCAATGAAATCTGCTGCGGACTTGTCTACCCGCACACTGATGGGGAGTAGGTCTTGGAATGGCGTGTGGTAGTAATGATGACAAGAGGTATGCAGCTGGCCTCAAGGTCCCCATAAAATGTTTCACCTGTTTCCTCATCTGCCGGACTTGGTGACTATCAGAGCGCCGACGTAGCGGCTGAACTTTGCCAGATGATAGAGACCCTGCGAGTGATCTTTTGCTTAATGAGGGCGACCTAATTTGCACGCACCGGAAGCAAAACAAGTTTTACCGTATTGGGTAAACGGGCTGGGTCGCATAGGGGTGCTATGTCCGAAAATTGTACGGCATTGAATGGGAAACCAGGAGAACCTGGAGTATTGACTTTCGAAATGAACCTGACTGTCAACAGATCCATGAACTAACAGCCTCTTTTTTAGTCTCGGTAGACAAGCTAGAGGCAGAGAAAAAGGCGGCTTGCAGAGGATGCTCCACTCCCATGTCTAACCTTAATTTGAGCTCAATTAGCGCCTGCTAACTGGCGGGGTTGGACGTCCACTGTTCAAAGTCCTCGGCAATGGCAAGCAGACAACCCATTTGGAAATTTGCCGAATCTCGATGGAAAAACGGTACCGTTGGGAACTCGCAGGATAGGCCGCGATCGTGGTCCAACTGTTTCGATTTGGGTGTTTTCTACCCAACCCTTTGGTTTCTTGGTTGCTCAGGGTGCTGCGCCCCATTAACACCTGGCTTCGCCGCCCTCGCCCCCTCCCCCCAGCGTTGTTTGCTAACCACTAACCAAGCAATCTACCAATGCAAGGGCTTGGATAGACGCCCATAACTGCACTGCATTCAAGCGACACTACGAAGTATGCCAGCTAAAATTGGAAGCTTGCGTTACTCGCTTTCGCTTCAGTGGCACCCTAGATTCTTGTGAAGTTGCTTCGTTACTGGCCTGGAGTCTAATAAGAGCACATTGAACATTGAGTTCGAGTCAGCAGGTCGAATGATCCTAGAAACGTTCAAGATCTTATACGACCGATTCTCACAAGTGTCGATATCAATGACAACATCAGGGTCTACCGATGATTTACACAATCGTAATTCCAACCTTGCCAACCCCTCACGACTCTGATGCGTTCTGCTGTAGCTCCAATGGTGCTCGGCTCTAAAGTTCTCTTAGCTGCGCAGTGCAATTCGTTTCATAAAAATTGTATCTTGACATGCCCGGGATGTTGGTGATCGGTTGAAATACATCCTAAAAGGATGCCTCAAGCCGGGGAACACTCGACGGAGGTCCTTTGGCCATACTGGGCGTCTGATCTCGAGAGGCTCGGCCTTTCGACGGATGGAAGATACATCGGTATCTCTGGAATTCTAGCTTCAACTTTACATCAAACTTCCACTTCTCGGCCATTGCTCGATGCAATCACCAGTCGAGTCGTCGTGGCAATCGAATGTCAACTGAGTAAGTGCACACGAGATTGATGCAATGAATGAACCAGCCGACAAACCCTGGTAATTAAACGTGCGGCTCTTCACTCCTCATGTAATAGTAAACTCCGCCGAAGCGAGTCGCCGCGACTACATTGCTGGAAGTATGGCGTTGTCAGGTTGTGAGATATCGGATCGAAATACTGACATCGTGCCATGAGCAGGCCACCCGGCTTGAGAGTACCAGATCATCTTGTTTCTTCCCGCTCTGGATGCCAAACTGCGGACTGTTGTGCGCAAGAAAGGGTGTCACCACGTCGGTTCTACCATGCGCACTACAACAGCTCAGTTGTAAATCCCCGGCTATCCCGTACGCACAGTTTGGGTACGCAATGGCTACATGTGTAGTACCATTTCCACTGCGCCAAAGGTCCTAAGTCTCATCAAATTGTGCTGTGATAGCAGGTGAAATCACTCAACCTGCTAATGATCGTCGGGCATCGACAAGCAGTGACAAAACCCATGGACAAAACTGCATCTAAAAGCTCAAATAAGATAATCTCCAGATCGGCAATAGATTCTGACCAATTGCTCATGTCATTGACAGGTAGCTGGGAGACTTCGTCGGAGTTGCAGGCCCAATCAGCGGAGTCAGCGGAGTCAGCGGAGACAGCGGCGCCTGCAGGCACATAAAATGCCAAGCCTTAGATTGAGCTTAGGCCACGGAAAGCAATCGTAGCGCATTCAATCCAACGACTTCATCACGTCGACATCCAACGTCGTTACTACTGAATATCTTGCCTCGTCACAGCTATCGCATTCTAGACGAACTCTACTTGATCAACCCCTCGAGCAAAGCCGGCACCTGCCCACATTCGCAAAAATGAAGCCTGTCGTTAGTGCCATGCAAGCATGGTCTTGGTGAGTGCTGCCTCTTTACCTCCGGTCCACGAGGCTTCCATCCCCCAGTGCGTGCCTGGCTGACCATCTCTCCTCCGACTCTAGTGTTGTGGTATCCGCATTCGCCATCGTCATCCTCTCCATTATCGGCGCCCTCTTTAAATCCAAGCATCACGAGCTAGCAGGCGGCACCGAAGACCCCGAAAACACGGACGCTGTGGCATCGACAGTATTCATCGCCGTGCTCGTATACGCGGTATGTTCTGTGCATTTGAAGTAGATGCGCATCACGTACGATTCTAACCTCGTCTTGCTAGGGATTCCTCGTCTTCTGCGGCCTCCAGGGCATGCTCCACGTCCGCGAAAACAGAAGGGGCTCGATAGCGTTGTAGGGGAAACGCATCGCTCAGTTTATTCACCGCGTCAGCGACGGCGAGCTGGGGAGGAAAACCAAGTTAGGGTTCCTCAGATATAAGGAACCTGAAATAGTAAAATTGTCGATTTGCCTACGATTCGAGAAACACGATGGTCCACGTTTGTGGAGACGCTGGGCGAGTCACTGGTTGGGGTGGTTTTGGGACGACTTCGGAACCGAGTTAGCATTGAACAGCGACCCTTAATAGACACCCGAGTGTGCGAAGTCAATCATACTGTCCACCGCTACGTATCAGTGGGTGTGCAGGCGGCTTGGGTTTCCTACTCGTATCAGCATCAATATATGGCGTTTGTGGTATTGGCTTCGTCATTGCAGTAGGAGGACGGTGGAACGCTGATCGCAGAAGTATTACCCCTGTATAGAAGCAATCAATTACGAGCACTTTGGTCCACATATCATATATCTTCCCCCAATTTCACGGCTCAGAATCACAGAGCGGCAATGGAATATTGAGAACGTGTTCGCCAGGTGTCGTATTGTAGCCTGCTGTTCTACATGAGTGACGGCTTTCAGTGATGAGTCAGTAGCGATGCAAGCTATTATAGGCGAGTATAGCGTCAGGCGATCCGTGAGGAGGCAAGGCCCTTGCACCTAAGTAATCTAGTACTTGTATGTTCTGAGAAACAGCAAGCTTCCGAAGTCACTGGTCGGCATAGGGATGACGGGACTCTTTAAACTCTTGAATGGGCGCTGGACGGGCATTCTCGTTACTACTATTAGTAGCCGTGAACAGAGCAAGCAAAGGTAAAGAGCACTCTCCAGATAATCACTCTCTTAGAAGGTAGAGCCTATCGTATAGATCCTTATTACTTGGGGCTGTCTTATCACGGAAAACGGTGCTGGTAACGTATCAAACAAAGCCAATTGCTGCCTGAGAGATAAATCATATGATGCGAAGGGTCTCGTGTTGCGGAAAAGTAGTCGACTGACAAAGGTAGGTCTTGGTTTTCTCAGTACCGAACAAACTTGTATTCCTGGTCGCCACGAAACCACCCAGAGGAAGCGCCGCTATACGAATAGCCGTGGTAAGGTGAAAACCCTCCGCTCCTGAAAACAAGAGTATTTCCTCTGTCCAAATGGATGTTTTCCTGTTGGGTTGAGTCTGTTATGCTATGCTATAGCACACTATACCAATATTATGCCGTACTACAAGTAATCCTCACTAGTATCATCGTGAACTAATTGGTGGACTTGCGTTCTAGAATTACAATTCTTGTTTAGGGAACTACAACGAAGTGTCGGCCGAATGTAACACCAGTTAAGGAAGGATTTCTAACTGTCGAGACTATCGGGGGCTGATTGTACTTGGGAATTATGCAAGCGCTACACGGGAATTATTAAGGAACATGGGGGCATAGCTTGACAGCAGTATTCAGCTACAACATTCTTCACTTTGTGCTTCGAGACATGTAATTTCCGATCAAAATTGTTGTCGTCCAATTTTAATAAAATACGTCAACGAACCGGCCAAATATCACCTGCACCCTTTTTCTGAGTACCAGATGGTCTTGGTACACACTAACAAATCACTGGTGAAGCCACAGCTAACTTACTATCCACCTCTTTTTCTCTTGCTCATTTACGTATCGGAGAATAATGTTGAGAGAAGGTGATTGGATCTCTTCACAGTGAATCCTTACTGTCCCACCACGTGGCATGGTTGACCGGCTCTTCAACGCTCGAGACGCGATGAGCTGTGATGTGAACTGATGTCTGAACTGTTGTCCCATCAGGGCAATCGCAGCCATCGCAGTAGCCCCTTTCGATGTCCCATTCCGAGTCCTGCGAAGGCTTCGATTTATGCAGATCGGAAACGTCTTTTCTTGATTCGATACCACAGCCGCTATCGTCCAGCTTGACGCCATGCGTATTTCCCTTAGACGAGTCCGTGAAGGCTTCCGGGAGTTTTTGAGTGTTGTGCATTTTCACCCGTCGGCCCATACTTCCAGCACTTTGAGGGTACCGAGAGGTATGCCACTTGGTCCAGTTCAGGGAGATATCCCAACTTCTTAGAAGCGGTCGGAGGGTCGCGATACAACTTGCGAGGATGCTCAGGGAAGGTTCTAGGATGGACCAAATAGCTAGGTTCCTGTAGAGAGTTATTAGTAAACTGTGAATGGCGTGGTTTTTCATCCGAGAAGCTTACACCGTCTCAAACAAGAAATCGGCCGTGATGGCGATATTCTTGATCAGAGGGATACGGACGACCATTGCAACCCCAGCGCTGGGAGTACGTCAGCAATGATTCAGAAATCATCACAATAATGAAGTGTAGTATCCTTACATAACTCCCAAGCTCAAAAGAAATCCAATACTGATCTTCGTTCGCCGGTTCAGCTGCACCCTCCAAAGTATAACCACAGGTAAAAGCCCTAATACCCAATCCGCCATACAACTGGCGACTCCGTGGACAACAGTGGCTATCGGCACAACCTCTGGCATGATGCAAGAGCCCCCCGTACTGTTGGGCTTAGATGGATGTTCCCAAAAATAGGAGGCAGGCGAGCATTGGAACATCATCAGAAAGCAGAAAACAATGGAAACCACCCAGATGACCCCGATATTGACTCGGATAACCCAGATCTGCCACGATGCGGCCGCGAGCCGGAGGAGAAATGCGGCGATGGATGTTCTTATGAAGGCCGAAAGGGGCGCGTATAGTACCTCGCAGAGGTACCAGGATTTCAGGGCTGCGGCGATGCCGTCGGGGGTGAGTTCACTCGGGTGTTTTCCTGTGCCGCCGGCGATTACGCCATAGATGGCGATGATGCCGTATGCCGTATAAATTAGCTGTTTTTGCCATTGTTATCAATAAGAGCTCTGTGGTTGATAACGGAAGGAGCATTGGCGAAAACTCACCACTGCTACTAGCATTATCCAGTCATCCACCATGACCTTCTTGATTATGAAGACCTTGACTTGAGCCCGAAGGAGACTGACGATCCATACGAGCACCAAGAAAACTGCCTGGACGATGAAAAGGCGCGTTCCGTCCGGGTTGACGTCAAAGCCCAGGTTTCGGTGTTCCATTGTGAAGACTGTCCAAAGCGCGATATACTCCAGTGATTGAATCAAGCTGATAAACCCCTTTTGTAATCGATTATTGGACCTGACTATACATTGGACACGTGAGTGAAGCCTATTTTGTAATGGATACAATAGATTTCCCAAGGATAACTGTATGAGCGAGACAGCCAGACTAGACAGAGCCCCAGGTGCGATGGATCATTTTTGTAAGAACTCAAACGATGCACACCATCTTAGTGCTTGACCCATCATCGGCATTTACCTCGTCACAAGTTGCCCACCCAGTTGCCGCTGTCCATGTCCCGACGAATGCGGACGTAGCACAAGGGGAAAGGATGTCAAAGCTCCTCTACTGGATTCGGCATGATCTTAGTCCAAGCGTGAGGCCCTGCTAGTTGTGGTATGCGGATTGTGCCCTAGTAGATATTGCAAAGACGCTGATACCCGTGTCTGCAGCCACCCACGAAACTTTGGGGCCGTCAAGCGAGCACACGGTCCTATCTGTATATCGGCGACCATGACAAGATGCAACTCAACCCGCATCTCCCTTTTTCAAATATCGGATGCCGCATCCCCTAAGAATGCCGAGTTTGGCCCCTCGAGTTGAGAGACATCACTCTCTGGGCAGTCCAGAAAGAAACAAAATTTGACCATCATCCAATGAGCCTCTCGTCCAGCTTTGACCATTTGAGTTGCAGGGTTTAGCTGGTGTGCCAGCTTACCAACATGAAGCAGCAGGGGTCCATCTTGAATCAAAAGCAACCGACTGGCTTTGCCTCGTCCCGATAGGCCACGAACTCGTTCTTTAGCTGACCTAAGAAAGTAAAACGAAAACAATATGATCAAGAAACGAGATCCAAACCCACGTCAACTTTCGTAGAAAGGGAAAAATAAAGTGTTTAAATAAACAGGAGGCCCTAGCTCATGCCACCGAAGACGATTATTGGTACAAAACTTCGAAGCCGTTAGCCAGGCGGCGATCGAAGAGTGATCGGATATCTGGTGACTTGATTGGAACATTCCGATCTGGTAGCCTCGGTGGAAGGTGATTGGTGCTTCCCCCCTTTCTCTTCAGGGGACGAGGGCCGCATAGCCCGCACATATTTCCCATGTACACAGTATATATCATAAACTTGTTCATTTCCAACCCAGCCTCGCGGGAGGATAGTGAATAAACTTGGCACAATTCGGCGTCGAAAGCTTAGATGCTGTACGAAATTATAGTCCCTCGTTACTGAAAACGCGCTGGAACAACAATTTATTCACTTTTAGCTTTAAAAAGAGTCACCCAGGTGTGAATAAACTGTTTAAGAACATCGCAAAGGTTGGAAAGCGAATCGGGATGTCGTAGAATGACCCACAGTCCAAGCGTTGCAAAGCAAAGAGTTCATCTGAGGCGGAGTTGTGTTCGAGCCCGTCCACAGATGCTATGTCCAATAATAGAAAACTTCTGTCATTGGTGTCACGTTATGTCTTGGCCTTTTGAGAAGTGATGTTCTTCGGTATAATATATATCTCGAGAGGGTGTGGTAACGTAGTCCACAAGCGAACGGGTCACCCAACCGAACGGGTCACGCCCATAGCAAAAAATAGAACTAAACTTCCTAACTTTACCACGCAACTAATTCTCGATGGATTCTGCTCAAAAAGAATCTCAATTACTCCTTGCAACTCAGGCTATCAGAAATGACTCAACACTTAGTATCCGACGTGCTGCAACAATCTACAAAGTCTCGAATACTACTCTCCAGGCGCGTCTTCAAAAACGTCAATCACGTCGCAATATCGAAGCCAACGGTCGGAATTTAACAAAACTAGAAGAAAATACGATTATTCAAAGGATAATTGAGCTAGATTCGCAAGCATTTCCTCCCCGGCTAAGTGCTGTTGAAGATATGGCAAACCGACTGCTACGCGACTCGCATATCACAAAGGAGGACTTTCTTCCGGCATTTTGCGACGCGTTCAAGAAGAGCCTGACCGAAAGCAATATTCGTGCAGGCTTTCAAGGGGCTGGGCTTGTGCCTTTAAGCCCAGATATTGTTATTGAGAAGCTGGATGTGAAATTACAGACTCCAACGTCCTCCCGGCCCCCTACGCGGGAAACCCTTCCTTGGGCTTCTCGGACGCCAAACAACCCAACCGAGGCTACTTCGCAATCCGAATTTATTAAATCTCGAATTTCCAGGCATCAAAATAGCTCCCCGACGTCAATTTACGATGCTATCGATCAGTTTTCGAAAGGAGCGCGGAGTATTATGCATGAGATGGCTTTACTCCAAGCTGAGGTCGCGGAACTTCGAGAGGCAAATGCTCTAATTAGCAAGCGGCGCAGGGCGAAAAAAACACGAGTACGGCTTGGAGGATCACTTAGTTCACAAGACGTACAAGATCTTCAAGATCAAAAGGACGTTGCGCAGCAAGTACAGCAGGAAATGCGTGGAAATAGCGCTGGATCAAATCGTGGCCAGCCACGGCAACGGCGCTGTGGCGTATGCGGGAAGACCGGGCATAATGCGCGAACCTGTCAGGTAGAGATAGAATCATCTGGGCAAGAGTATTCTGAGTAGTTTTAATTGATTTACGGCGTTGTGGTTGCGAAATCGTGTTGAATTCCATGTTTTGCTAGTTGGCGTGACCCGTTCGGTTGGGTGACCCGTTCGCTTGTGGACTACGTTATGCGTTTCGTAAAGTCCTATTATACTTCACGTAACTCTACCTGGGTACTCTGGGTATCAGAGTGCGGATTCACCCAGGTCATCCAGGTCACCCAGGCTTGTCAATCACGACCATTTGACATCATGGCCGCCCTTCCAACCTTAAACAACCAATTTTTGAGCTTCGTAACTCCCGCCACGAAGCCAATTCACTTACACCTTCGTGCGAGACCCCACTTTGAGGCATCCGGGCAATCCGCCGGACCGATGCCGGACAGGTGAATCAGCCCTACGTTCTGGAAGAATACGATTTACCGCGAGGTCAGTGGAGTTGGCACATCACCTGGTTTCATTCTGCCTTACGTGCTACTCAGCTTTGATACAACCTTGATGGACTCGATTACAACGATTGCATCCAAGGGAGTAGAGGTGCACACCTGTTGTATATCACACATGTCACTTAGCCGAGAATATGTGGCGTAGATGGGGGAGTATATGGTGACAGCTAAGACTTTTTGCGAGGTTTTATAGGACCGTCTGGGATGTCCTGATAAGTGTCAGGCCGACGGGATTGGCGTAAGTGGGGGCAGGCCAGAAGGCGGTGCATTTAGAAATTTCAGTTTCTCAATCCAACTTATGCCTTGGGATCTCGCATCGAAGGAAGGATTAGGCTTGTGCTTAGCTTAGTATGATAGTTGGGCGGTGGTTACGGTAGCGTTGCCGGTGTAAGTCAACCCTTGTATCCTAGCACCTCAGCTGAAGGTTAATAGTAGAAATACATTCGGCCGCAGTCATCATAGCTCGTAAGATGAAAAGAACTTGGTAGATCAGGAAAACGCGATGATGCGAGGGTCCAAATTCTGCTGCTTGCAGCTGCAGTAAAAACGGAGCAACTGGTCCTAAAAGAACGACGTCAGAAGCGGTTTTATATCCGTGGTGATGTCATCACTAATTGGCAAGCGCCTCATTATGACATATGGACGAGGTTTGGCAACGCATCTCGATGCAATGCTCTCAGTGACACCAAACAACCCATTTAAATAAATGAGTCCTTTCTCTTGTATTTCGTTTGGAGGAAACAACATCATACCTGTCTTCTCAACAAATTCATCAATCACAATATCGCCGATCACATCTAACACGATATCAGAAGGACCAATCCTCCGATCATGTCGACAGAGGACCAGTTCAAGTCAGGTAAGATGAGGAACGCTAATTCGACTTGTCAATTCCTGATTTCTCTCCAGGCCACTCGGTGCCGGTAACGCACCAGGAATTCCCCGGCAAGGAGGGCAACCTGCCCATCCAGGCGCAGTACGACACCTTGCCTGACTACAAGGGCGGCAAGCAAAAATATAAGGCCGCCGGCAAGCTTCAAGGCAAGAACGCCATCATAACCGGTGGCGACTCTGGTATCGGCCGCGCGACGGCGCTCCTCTTCGCTATGGAAGGCGCAAACTCGCTGATCGCGTACCTGCCCGATGAGGAGGAGGATTCGCAGGAGACGAAGAAGCTGGTCGAGAGGCAGGGACAGAACTGCCACCTAATGGCACTGGATCTGACGGAGCGCAAGAACTGCCAGAAGGTTGTGGACGAGGCGGTCGAGAAGCTGGGCGGGATTGATATCCTATTCAACAACCATGCATACCAGATGATGGTTGAGAATATTGGCGACTTATCCGAGTAAGTTTCTCGCTACAATGATTTGCTGCGTGATGTGTTCAAGGAATTGACTGGAACAAATATAGGGACCAATGGGTACACACCTTCAACACCAACATCCATCCCTTTTTCTACCTCTCCAAGTACGCCCTTCCACACATGAAGGCTGGCGCTACCATCATCAACAACGCCAGCATAAACGCCTATATCGGCCGTCCGGATCTTTTGGACTATACATCTACCAAAGGAGCTATCGTCTCCTTCACCCGAGGATTGAGCAACCAGTACGTCAGCAAGGGCATCCGTGTCAATGCCGTTGCACCGGGACCTGTGTGGACGCCCCTAATCCCCGCTACCATGAATGAGGAGGCACAGAAGCAATTTACATCGCCTATGGGCCGGCCGGCACAACCTAGCGAAATTGCTGCGTGTGTGGTGTTCTTGGCGTCGGCAGATAGCTCGACGCTCAGTGGCCAGGTTATTCACTGCAACGGAGGCGTTATTGTGAACGGCTAAGCAACGAATCGAGATGCGAATCGGATGAGGACTGAATGATGCCCGATTTTGAAGCAGCAACCACGAGGATACAGCAGAATGACGCTTAGTTATCAACTTCTACTCGCCGAACTCTCGGCTTACTTCTCTATAGTATCGTCGTGAGTGAATACCTGTAGCTAGCCTCGTAGCCCTTACCCGCGAGCCCCGAAACTGTACCTGACGCAACGTTATTAGGCTCATGCACCTTATGCGTGACATTGAGAAGCTGTATGTATCGAAATATCTATACGTGGAACAACTATTGCTTTGATACGGCTTCATGAGAAGCGTAGTCCTCAATACGCCCAGACTGTCTCGCAAATCCCTGATAACTTGACATGGTATTGTGGAAAGCACAACCTCCAGACTCCCTCAGATTGCCTCAGAGACACCTACGTCTTTAGACAAATGACGTAGCGAATCCAGACACCCCTAACAACAGTTTTACACATCCTACTGGCGATCGCATGAATATAGAGCGAGTAATAATACCCGCGAACGCCCAGTTCATCGAGGACCTCTCACTCCCCAAGGTCGCAGTCAGGACTTCAGTCGGATTCAGTCTTCGTAGAACCAACGGCCTCCTAGAACCGAATACTGGTTCTTTTGATGATGCTCCAATCCTCCCAACAGCGCGGAACGGGCTCGTTGCGACTCATAGCCTCCAAGATGACCACTGCTTCCATCATGTCGACTGCAGCCAACGGGCCGTTAGTCTCGCGCTCTTCCTTTATGGTGTCGTCCACGTGCCAGCGCTCTTCGAGATCCGTCATAAGAATCCAAGGCTTCTTTGGCTTGGGGAAACGGTGCTTAGGGGTGGTGGCCGCTGCCTGGTGTTGTCCAATGTTGGATATGGGTCCGTTGTCACCTAAGATAATGGTTTCTTCGGAGTCCGCTCTCTCGAAAGAACGCTTGGAGGTGGTCCCAGCCCTCGATGCCTCATCTTGTGTAGGCTGCCACGAGTCTGACACGCGATGGTGCTCGTGTTCGATCGAGTCTCTGATCAGACCGCCAGCATTGATATTAGCGAGACTCCTTGGGATATCGGCAGCGTTCGATGTTTGCACGTGCGATGTAGCCCGGCTCGGCGCTCTAATCAGACCATGGCCGTCGAATTTCATAGCAGGGGAAGAAGAGGGCGAAGGGTACGTGTTGACCTTCCCCTCGCCCTCGTCCTCAATAGATCTGAGAGCGTGGCCAGGAGGCATCCGAGGTCCCAGCCGGCGGGCACGACGGTCCTTCTTGGGGATCGTCCAGTCCACGTTGGCAGTGATGAGGTCGTGCTTGCTGTCGGACTTGCCCTCATTATAGCATCTCTGGCAAATTGTCACACCGCAGGTGTTACACCGCTGCATGACACCACCAGTATTGCGGCCCTCGCTATCATGCAGTGGTCAGCACTCATTCCTCGGAAAAACACCTGGTGGAGATGAAGGCAGGGGGGAGAAAGTTTGGAGGATTATGCTGCATGCCCACCAAGAGGGCAGGCCTCTCAATGATGGGGTGTAGAGAGTATACAAACCATTGATCGCATTTGGCGTTCTTTGACGTGACTCCCCAGAATTGTGTATGGGGAGCTGTACCAGGCTGACCTGAGTTCAGCGAAGTGGGAGTGGTGACCACTTGCTGGCTATCAGACTCTTTGTCCATGATGATTGGTTTTTACAACCGAAGCTGTAAATGGAAAGGGGGGGTTGTAAACGGAGACCTGTTATTTCATGTGAAGAATCGCACGCGTAAACGAAACTCGGTAACAATAAGGTCAATATGCAAACCGTCGCTACAAATGATGCCTAGCAAAGATTTTGACGTTACTGAGCCCGCAAGGCGATGGTTCAGTTTTTGAGAATGATATGTGTGACGAGGCCTTCGTCGTTATCAACTATACTTGGTGATGGTTCAGTAATTGATAACAACGTGTGGCAATTATTTTGTCGTCAAAACCGTTGCTGCCAATTTTGCTCGTTTGTCTTGTCTTTCTGCCCACGAGATCCAGAATGGAGAAGCAGCAGAACCGCAGGACGTTATGGGCAGAAAGATCGTTGTGTTTGGCCAGAGCAAGAGCGAGTGTAGAGGCTCCTAGACGGATTATATGTGTTAGGTCTGACAGAATGATGTGCTGGTAAATAGGATGATCGAAGATTGAACGGACCTGGGGGCGGGAAGGGATAGTAGAGAAGTCCCTAGGTGAGCTGCTGATGCAATACTCTACCGGGCCAGCGAACAGGATGTTTGGGGAGTAGATGGACTTGGGAACGGCAAGAACGAGTAGAGAAGCTCCTAGATGAACTTCTGGTCTTTATCGCGATATTCTTCCGGTGAAGAGGAACACTGAGGAATAAATGGACTTGGGGGCGGCAAGAACGAGTAGAGGAGCTCCTAGATGTATTTTATGTGTTTCATAAGATAACCTGCCGGTGAATAGGTCAACAGAATAATCATGTCGGATGGGGAAGCCATTACTGTATTCACTTTGTTTGCAGGCTGTCTGACAAGGAAATCACGGAGTTCGGATTATCTAATGACTTTGTGTTATTATTAAGACTAGTGAATGTTGGTAACTCTTATTTGAATATATAGGTAAGGACGAAGGTCAAAAGTTCACTCTAACGTTTCTCTCACGGCGTTATGTTTACGTTGCCTGACAAGGAAAGCACGGAGTTCGGAAGAACTAATATTCTTGTGTGAAATAATAAAGCTGGTGAATGTTAGTCACTCTTGTCTAGACACAGCGATGAAGGTCAGATTAAGGTACCTTTATTCACTCTCACGATTCTGCCGCGTTGCTTTGTTCAGTGACTGTGACTTTTCCAAAGCTACTCAAAATTACTGGTGCTGAGACAGTAGTTTCTTGGACAGAAAATTATTCATAGTATCATTATCGTGAAAGACTACACTCGAGAAATTTTGCTATTCAAAGAAGTTCAAGACTGGGATAATTCTATCATTAGTCACATTGTTTCATCCTCAGGTATACATTGGTTGACCCGACGCAAACATTGGCGAATGTAAATGAAGTTGAAGGTCATGGGATGGCGTATCTTCGACTTACAGTCATGGAGCCCTTGCCCTTCTGGTATGTTAAATTTGGCCAAATATGAACAAAAGTTCACCGGGCATCGTTTCCACCAGAGCCCTGCGGCCAGCCAATGTGACCTTTAGCTGAATGTAAACCAAGAGCTACATAGTGTCGCGCCTTCTTCTTGCAGTGATGGAAACCTTTCTCCTATGTAACTGTGCAAGTGCGGCTCATTCAAATACCTTGAGATCATGAATTCGTCCAAAGGCTCACAAAGTATCGTACCTTCCACTTACAGCCCTGGAGCTGAGCCTTGCAAGCTGCGCCATACTTTCTCATCCGACAAAGTCATCACTGTCAGAAAGAACTAGAAAAGAACCTGCTGAAAGTATGTCGCCTTAAAGCAAGCAGTCCTGTAAGAACTCACTTAGTTTGGTCACAATCGGCTGGAAAACTGGGCATTGCTCAAATGATTTTCCTCGATTCTTCGCAATAACTGATGCTTTTTGCATGGCATATGATATCAACCAATTCCCGCATCTATTGCCAGGATAGGTGATATCGGCAGGAGATGATGACACTGCTATCCGGGAAGCATGGTTCATCCTATGTTTGAAAAGACTCCGTATTTGTGTCTCAACGTCCCTGCAACAGCAGCGCTGAAAACGGGCATACCGCGAACGGTTTTCGCCGCCGAGGGCATCACACCACCACCTCCTTACTTCCCAGCATAACTCACGTGGCGAGGCACCCCATCTGCCATTAACCTTGTTCCGCTTCAACTAATCCTCAGCGCACACGCAAGTGTATCCCCACACCACGTCGTTCGGAAGGTACCTAGCCTGTTGAAGGCTCTCAGTTGCCAACCTGAACCACTCAAAGCAGTTGAGCGATGGGTAATCCTGGAGAATAATGATGTATTCCAGTATGTCCTTCACTTTTTCATTGGCAATGCCGTTTCTCGATATCTTGCTGATGAGTACGCGTCAGAGCAGCCTAGCGTCGCCAGACAGGCCAACTGGAGTTGACTTGTAGACCCCAGGGTATGCTGATGGTTTGGCCGTCTGCTGCGGCCTGCATGATGTTCTTGCAGTGGTTCTTTGAGCCGTCCGTTGGAACGGCACCCATCGAAGGGTATTTGAGAAGGATGTGGAGTGCATAGTGGTATGAGTTTGGGTGTTTCAGCCGGGAGTATAGGGCAAGGTAAAGCCGCGGCTTTGATCGGGATTGAAGGCTGGGTAGTCGCATATTTGAAGTTGAGAAACCGAGATATCCGTCGGCTGGTAAAAGACTGTGATACGGGATGGCCGCTATTTGCACGTCGGGTCTATGTTTATAGGGCTACTTTGGTGAGGACAAACTCACAGTCAGCCTCATCACCATGACGATGGCGATCAACTGGGGTTTCGACAGAAAGATAGATGCTAGAGGTCCATCTAATAGAGCCAAGATATAGTCGTTCGACTCAATGTAAGCACGATCCTAGATACGGTACCTTCTACGTTGTCCAATCGATGATTGCGCAGGGACTTATCAGTATTAACGCGAGCTTTGCACCTGAGGATACCAAAGGCTCGTGCTTCAGGGCGCAGATATATCCTGGAGCACCACCACGTTGCACCTCGAGACCGTCTATAGTTCCCAACTACGGACACTGTTGAACCACCCGGAAGTGACTCGGGAGCGCCGACCTGGATATTTGGTGGCAACCACATTGGCTAGCAGGAGTTACCTAGCTTCACTGCGTCCGCAGAGATGGACAGTGTTGACAATGGAGGCCCAAACGAGAATGATCACATCCTCTACTATATTCCGTATACCCGTTCTAGGAAGAAAGTTGCACGGACCCCGAAATCATCAACCAACCTCTATGACGAAAGAAAGAGAGATGGGCGCATGGAACAAAGCCGATCACCAGCTTAGGGCGGCCAGGTTAGTGTAATGGTTCACCGGCAATGCTTGCCGATTCTTGCTATTGTACGACGGGATACGAAAGGCGCACAGGACTCGACGAAAAGAATGAATTCTCAACAAAACTCCTCAGGCCCCCTATTTCCCGTGGTTCTTATCACATAAGAAGAATGTCCCAGCAAGCCGACTCTTCTGAAGATGGTGTGAGACGCAAGAAACTGGGTGGGTTGCGATGACGAAGATCACCAGAGGCTGTTGCAACAGTTCAGGTGGGCTGCGCCTCGGTCGAAGATAATGATTTTGCGGGGTCCATATAGAATAGAGCCAATAGGAGAGCGAGCGCGAGAAGTCTTAGTCAGGGGAATATATGATTAGTCAGTTGCTTCATGCACCTAATTAAACTCGTGAAGACAAGACGCGACTTTGTCGCGGTCGACGCGTCTTCTCAACTTCGCTCTATTCCTGTGTCGCTGACTCTGAACCCGCACTCAACCCGCTTTTAGCCAGCCGACCAAGATATCGCGCACATTCCCTCGAGGATAGATAGGCAAACTCGTCAGCGACTATCTGCAAGTGTTAGCAACACTGCCCCATATGCTGTGTCGCACCACAGGTGACTCGCAGTCGAGACACGCCTTATCTATCGGTTACGGAGAGATCCAAGTTCTCCAGATCAGCCGGATATTCAGTCAATCAGAACCCCCAGGATTTGGCACATTGGCAATGAAGCCATCTTCAAAAGTAATACAATCATAATCACGCCTGAGTCTTAGGTCTTCATAAAAACTTCAAGCGTGAACAGCAGCATTATCAATCATGCAAGGATTGGTTACAGTGTGGGCGGACTCGGACGTTTCAGGAGCACCTATGAACGCAGAGTACATTATCATCCAAGACTATCGAAATAGAAAACCAAATTCGCAACTATGCACCTGGTGAGTTACGGTGCGAGGTGAAGTTGGAAATTGAGATTCAGTCTAGATCTCAACTGGCAAATCGTATTGAATCTGTCCTAAGTCCATCGCAAACCTAGTCATCGGAGAAAAGGCAGATGTCGGACGTTCAGAGCGAATGATCGAGGCCTTGGTGTCCATCCCTGCCTTGGTGTCCATCCCTGCCTCGTTCGTGTACCTCCCTCCCTCCCTCCATCCCTCCCTTGCGTGGTACGGCATTGACGTTTACCTGGCTTGTCTCGCCAAAACATATTTAATATATGGCATATTCACCGACCATCCGGGATCCGAGGGTGTCCTGGACATGGCGTAACTCGGAGCTCAAAGTGAAGAAAACGGAGACGTTGAGAATTAGGGGCCCGCTGGGGACGGTTGCAGATGGAACCGTTGATGACTCGAGCCCATCGCTGAAGATCACTAGGTCAGATGTCGCTGTCAATACCAAACTCAAAAGATTGGATAAGCTTGGAGTGTCTTCCCGGTCCCCTGCGGCGAGGAATGCCGTCGTAAACCCCAGAGCCCGCATGAGATTGTCTGATCAGCAGGTCCAAGCACTCGATCCTTCTCGTGGGCTCTCCCGCAGCCAGTATTTTCGAGAGAAAAGAGATTGGCACCAGGTACCATCTACGGTGTATGGATAGGTGTGAGGTGACCCCTTGCACAAGGTGTGCACCAGCGGTCAGAGCCCCACACTACTGGCCCGCCCGTACTTCAGCAGGTATCTGGGTACTTGAATACATTGTCGGGTATCAGTGGCCCACTCTCAGGACCCTCTCGCGCCCCGGCCCACGTAGGTTGATACGGGCTGAAATCTATGTACCTCCTACAGCATTTCAAATGTTAGTGCAATTACAGCCCCACCCTACAAAATCATGAGCTAGTATCTAAAGTACCTCCGCATACAAATAAAATAATAATATTAAATACGCCGTAGGTGTTAACCCTCGGTACCTCTACAAGTACTCTCTTAAGGGGCTATAGATGATATAGCGGGCCCTTAAGCCGCGTCGGGCGGTTATACAGGTAAACTTGTAGCCAAACGACTACTAAACCTCCTGTCCCTCCCTAAGTCTGTGCTACAACCCCTGCCTGAACTACCGATAAGTGTGGTAATGTGGCACTTAAATTCGTCCTCAAGGGTGGGATGCTGCTGATGTGCAGAAGATGCTCGACTATTTTTTGTCGCGACAAGTCGTAGTATCTGCTAATTGGGGTTCTCGTCGAGCGTATACATCTTAACCATACGCTCAAGTGGATAGACCGTAACGTGGTCTAGACGCTCGCAAGAATCGCGGCGAGAGGGCGTGCTGCGCGCCTTCTATCGTGAGGGGACGGGTTCGCCGACGAGCGTTATCGGATAGGCGAGGTCTGATAAGGGGTCGGATTAACGATTCGAATTCTGGACCGGCTGTCGAGTTATATTCCGCCGACGTAGTGCTTGACGGTCGACTGGCTAGGATGCTCGTAATCCTAAACTGTACCAACTACACCAGCCGACCATACAAATAAACAAGTAGCATACTCAATAGCATATATTCCTAGAGACCTCGTGAGTTACGGCATTCTAGGCTACATATATAGTATAAACTCTAATATAATGATTCAAGTTATATTATAGTAGTACTAAAGCCGGTGTCTTAGGCGCCTTTTATATAATAACTAGCTTATGTATTTAGCGGGTTAAATGATCATAGAGCCTCGAAAATTATCTGATATAGCACACGTAGATATTCATTTGTAACAGCGAGAATAAGCACGGTTTTAACTTCCTACAAGAGAAGAGCGACGATTAGATAAATAGGGTATCATATATGGCTAAAAGAAGGAGCCTGTTTATACTTAGCTCAGGATTTTAAGGAAAGAGAGTAATTAATATCTAGAAATACCCTAATACTATCGTCTCGCTTCATAAAGAGTTTAAGAAAATATTTGCTGGTAGCTCTCGCTTCGCTCGTCTAACCCCTAATACTTTCTTCTACAATTTCAAATCTCGGTAGAGAGCCTATATACCTTTCGAAGATCAGAAAAGTGACTTCGGGGATCGACCGCTAATTTGCGCTAGCTAGGATTCCTTGTAGATGGGGCCAAGATCACCAATTAGAGGCCGGGGGGTTGTCGGAGTGGGCTGGGAGGCACGACGTAGATTTTACCCAGTGTCAACCTAGGTGAGCCAGGTTCGCCGAGTGCGTAGTGCGTTGAACAAGGCCTTCGGGGCTCTTATTAGGCGCATTAATTCCTGTCGCCCCAAATTGGTCCCCAAAGCTCTTCTCCTCTTCACAACCCACACCACACCCAACTCAACCCGCTGCCTTGACAACTCGTTTTCGCACACAAACAACTCTTCGCCTGGTCGCAATAACAGTCGCAAATCGATTTGACAATTGCTACACATTTTACAACAAAACCTGCAACTTGAAACAACGTCGCAATTACCGTACTCTGCGCGCGCGCATCGCCACTGGCCGACCGGGACCCCGACTGCGCTGTCGTCGCAACTACTCAGTTGCGACAATACCCTTTTCAACAACCCACCACGTTTGCGCACGTTGTCACTATTGGAGTTGATTGAACAATCAAAATGCTAATGTCATCTGCGCTCTCATGCGATACGTCGCAACCACCTATGACTCGACTGCAGGCGTCGCTCTTCGCTTCACCCCCGGCTAGTCCTCCACTGTCGACGCAGAGCACTATCGGCAACATCTTCACAACATGCCGCGCACTGCAATCAATACTCACAACACCCGCGACAAACAGCGACCGCAATACAACCCAATTACTCTCTCCTCCGATGGCCAATACAACTTTGTCACCACTGAAACTCCGTCTGCGATCGCGCAAGACTGACACAAATGGAGACTTCATGGCCCCCAAGAGGATTGTGAAGCGATCTGCCCCGGCGCCTCGCGGCCTCAAAAAGAGGCGGAGAGGAGTTGAAGACGATATAGGTCGTGACGATGATGTCGAGAGCGACCTCGACATTGAGAATAACGACAGTTGCGAGGAAGACAAAGAGGCTATTTGCGCCAGACCATCAACACCAAAACGCGCACGAATTGCGCCAGAACAAATACCACTCGGCCTCGAGCGATCAGACTTCCACAATCTACACACCAGTGCGGAAAACGAAAGCAAAGCAGAAGGCACAGGAGTCGAGGTCGAGGCGGATGGAGAGACATGGAGCACAGAGGACGACCGCATACTTGTCGAGCTTGTTCTGGAAAAGCTCAAACTATCCAAGACAGACTGGCAAGAATGTGCGCGGAGTTTAGGAAAGGATAGGAGCAGTATCGGAAGGAGATGGAAAAGTCTCATGGTCAATGGAGATGTCGGCCTCAAGACGAGGAGTCGACGCTCCAAGATCCACGGAACCTGGCGATGAGGGCTTGGTGTATTCCTTTGTTTTGCGCTTTACCTTTCGTTGCCGATTTGAAGGCCTGTCGTATATTTACACATTAGGGAAGGATTGTCAGTTGAAGCTACACTTTGGGACTGGATTTTGGGTAAGGTATGTTAAAAGTATCTAGAGGGTTAACGGGCCAATGCGTAGATATTTTAGCTGTTGACATAGATGCTCAGCTCAACAATCCCAATTGTAAACTTATCACTATGTACAGTGTAGATGGGTGGCACAGGTCCCAACTTCGTGTGTTCGCTTTGTGTCGCCGACGGGCTAGCTGCGTGCGCATCATTCTCATGCAATGCGAAGCGCAGCTGCTGTCTCAACAACCCACAGATCTCTATCAACCCCGGACTTCTATTGTTTATGCTTTGACTTCAGCTCTTCGTACTTGAGACTCAGCCTTTAGCTTGGAAAGGGGACGTGCAAGGCGAGACCATCCAAGGGAACCCCCAAGCCAGAGATGCGACCCAGAACTTAGACCTGACGAATGAAACACAGTTTCGCGATGCGAAGACAGTCCTACTTTAGCTTAGACGTCGTCAACAAAACCCCGGTTCTAATTAAAGCAGCCTTGAGGATTTCAAGGACCTCTCTCCTGTCCACTAAGGCAAGTGGAAGTTGAACTATCGCTAAACTATCAGAGTAGTTTCAGCCATTGTGGCCAACTCTAGCCAGATCGTTAGGAAAGCTCATGAGCCGGGGAGGAGCAAAATGCGAAGGATTCCTGCGATGAGAAGAGAAGGGATGGACATTCGTTGCCACAACAATGACTTGCATACGCAAGACATATGGTTTCGGCGCCGCAAGCTAGACCACAAGAACATCCAGTCGTCTTGCTTCAAAGCAAATTCGTTATTACGAATTGAACCTGGTCGAGTACATACAGGAGGCGCCTTCCCGTTACAGCAGAGCTAACCTAGTTGATAAATTCCGAGTTCAGACTTTCGCCGAATCCAATTGTCGCAACGACGAGAAATGACAAGCAGTCGGTTTGCGGTTTGAAGAATACGTGCGGCCGGCCGTACACTCGGACTGGCCTAATAAGGCAGCTTAAATTGTACCGATTGGATACCACTTGTGTGTTGCACTTTCCAGCCAAAACAACCCAGCCACAAACGCACCTTTCTACTGCGTGAGAAATGGGCCTCACTTTGAGATGCATTTCTGTCTATCCTAACTTGTCACAAAGTTCGTGAATGGACCTCGTTTACGGCAAACCCTGAACCCAACGGTTGAGGATCCAGTTCATCGAGCAGTGGAAGGCCTCACCAACAAGCTACAGAGCCAGCGAATCCCGCCGCTCATGGGCGAGTGCGTGAGGCAACCGGGTCATAGATAATCGGGAGCTCCTACGCGTGATTAACCGTTTGCTCCGTGGAAGAATGCTGTTCGCACTAAGTCCTCAATATGGGATTCGAATTCAGTTGCCACGACAGCACACGTTGTAAGGGCTTTTCTTTTATTACCTCAATGTGCATCTTGTGGCTTTTTCATCTTTTGAATCGCCTACAAAGAATCTCAACGATGCGTTGGGGGGGGTTACAGTTGATACAGGTCCTTCAATGATGGGGGTCGAGGATCGGGAGCTGGCGTGGTCGGGACGTCTCCTCAGTGGATTCTGATGGACCCTCCAACACAGAAGTTCGAGGCTCCAGAAGCTGGCGCGGGAGTGGTGTATCCTCAGATAGTTCCCGCCGCCATTCAAACCCAAGGGTCCAGGCTTCAGCATCGCCGCGGAGGCTGGCAGAAACGAAACGCCCACCCTTAAATCATGCCCTTAGAGGCTCCGACTGGAAATCTCGTCGCGGAGATCACTCTCAAGAATTCTGCAAACCCAATTGTCACTAAAGCCAAGATCAGTGATGTGACCTTTGCGGCTTCATACTCTTTGGTGGACTCTAAAACTTCAAAGATCATTGTTGTCCCTGGTAAGTATGCCATGACAGTTGAAAGCTCAAGCCCTTTCTGACAAGACCTTCCAGGCCAGCCTGTAGCTTAGGATCCGCCTGACCCTCGACATTACCGGTATCGATATTTTCAGCTGTGCCAGCTCCTTGGGTGATGTTCTTCGCTTCACCAGGTCCATTGATGCCTTATTTAGATTTGACGTAGAGATGTTGGGAAACGCTTTGTTCATAATCCATAACGCGAAACGAGAGACGATTCCGGACCTCAAGGGCTTTGGACACGCCTTTCTTGATGCTTGAACTTTGTCCGATCCGGATCTTGTTGAAACAACTTTCCATCGGCGGCTTGTCAGATACCGGTTTGGCGGAATGGACCTCATCGTTCGCTTCAGCGCAATGGCAACCGCAGAGACGTCCAAGGCAACCATGATCCCATCTCCTAGACATGACCATTGGGTTATAAACCTATCCAGGGAAGAATCCATCGACATCAAGTGGCCGTATTGTCTCTCAAGATTCACTTATGGAAATCAAGATGAGATCTAAGTATAGGAGCTCATCGATTAGGCCGAACATCTGCCACGCCTGGAGGTTAGACGGATTTATGGATTTGTGATTGCGCATCACAAAGCTGGGCTGTTTGATGATGTTCAAGAGAGGAACATCACGGATGATCTGCTCCTCTGGGAAACCGAAAACCAGCAAGAAGTCTTGGCACATTGCTTCTATCCTTCCCCAGCTAGTGTTCGAAATGCGGGAGGCTGACACTTGTGTCATCTAATCCGCGAGGCTTCCATGTTGTTAACGAGTGATACTGATGGACAGCAAGACGTCACTCACGACCAATAGGTAAAACAACAAACAAATTGGCTTGCATATATAACTTTAAACTTGGCCCCTTTCTTCTTGAAGATAAGAGAAGCTAAAGCTAAGCCACAATCGTGTATCACGGACGACCAAGAGGCAATTGGCCTGGGTCAAACCCAAGGCCGACTCCAAGGTCAGCACCAACTCCTTCAGCAGCAAGCTGATGACCGATCGCGGAAGCTCAACACAATATTCTACAAAATAACGAAGGCACCTGGCAAATTGGGCGTAATTCAGATGTGCAGACCTTTCTCGAGGCATCTGCAACGGAACCGACAAACCAGACTGCATCGACCGGCTAGCCTCATCCATCACCACCCAGAAGGATTGCACATGGTATTGACTTTTGACATGATATGAAAAGTCATCAACTGGGGTTTGAGACTCCTCAAGTTTCTCTCCGACTCATCATTGAAGTAAGTCTGCAATGGCGAGTTGTTGAACGAAGTGTTGCTGGTGGTGGTGGAGCCACCCCTTTTCTGGACCGCTATAGTACGACTTGACAGAGCAAAAAGTCTCGATGCAGTGACAGTCGAAGGTCTTGCTTGGCTATCACAAATGGTCATACTAACTCCAGCACAATCTTCCCCGTTTCGAGAGACGGCACAGTCACTCTTAAGTGGCAACAACTTGCCGGTAGAGTCGCTCACTGCAAAGGTCCAGGGACTCTTTCAGAAAGTCGGATCGCTGGAGACTCAAATACCCACAAGGGGACAGAGAGCGATCTCAACAAATTTGGACCCGGCAGACGACACGATAATGATTTCGTCAACTATCACGACATTAGTATCCTCCCAACATGGCCAGAACTTGAGTGCATAGAACGACCGTTTGTCAGACACTCCTCTACACTGGTGGTGGCTTCTGACGGAAGATATGATGGCAGGAATGCGAGACGATCAAGTCTGCGATGAGCGGAAAGAAGAAGACCAGTTGGAGAAATACTCCTATTAACGACCTAGTACTGGAAGGCATTGACAACGTTGCAATGCAGAAAGGCCGGCCGGCCATGCACGCTCATCTTGCGATGCCGTGCCGACATTCTCAGCATGGAGGGTGCGAGCTTCGAAAAGAGGAAGAAAGAACTCCTGAAGTCGTCAGCATTTCTGCGATATCAAAGCTTTGGATGCCTCTTGCAAGACAACAAACTTTTGCATTTGCAACTCTTGATAGAAACGAAGGCAAGCTGACCCTCTCTATACGTTGTCTGTGTCCGCGTCTGTCGAATCCTTCTTCGCCGAAGCATGTCCTTCTCGCTTTGCGCCTACGAACCCTCGACTTTCTCCCGGTCTCCCCGCCGCTCTTCGCTTATGTGCCTATACTAAAGAGGCTACAGAAGAAGATTCATATCGAATTGGATGGCGACTTGCTGGTGTATACGGAGACGTCTTCCCTTTCTCCCGTCCGCCCTTATTAAGTCTCCGACACTCTCTTGGCGACAGGGTCTCAATCCGACCTTGAAGAATTGCTAGGAACATCTAAGCAAATCAACCTCGACAAATCGCAGATTGACGCTCTATTATCTGCACTTACGCACCAGATCGCTCTGATTCAAGGCCCTCCTGGTAAGTTCACCCACGGGTCTATTTAGATTGACACCTGCTGAGAGAAGATAAGGACGGGCAAATCCCTTTTTGGCGTTCTGCTTGGAAAGATTCTACTCGACAAAACAGAGGAGAAGATTCTTGTTTTATCTTCTACAAATCATGCCGCTGACAAGTTTCCAGAAGAACTAATGGGTATTTGTACCGGGTTTGGCTCGATCGTGCGACTTGGGTCAAAATCAACAACGCGCACTCTCCCCCTGACATTGCCTGATCAGATTATTGACAAGGACAAGATTAAGACGTTGGCTGAACGATTTGAAGACTCATTCGAGACTTACATGCAGGATCGGGGCACCTACACCCACATCCTCTTGCATATCGAATTTTCCGAAATGGATCGCCATTTCCGTGACGCCATCTCAGTTCCAGAAGCAGAAGATGGTGAGGTTCTCGTAGGAAAGCACGGCCTTCAGATGGCTGAGGACCGGTGTCTTGCCAGATGGTCAAGAGGAAGAGACGCAGGCATTTTTGCGAAAGCAAAGTCTGAGTCTCTTTGCGATGGTGTTTGGGAAATGAAACCAGAGGCGCGGTCGGTTAAGATCCAACAGTGGCAAGAAGAGATGCACGAAGAGAAAATGAACACCCTCGTCTGCCAGATCGCCGCGTTCAACAAAGCAGCAGAAGATGCTCCAAAGTCTCCGCAAGGAGAAAACTGAGCAAATCCTTCGGAGAAAGCGTGTCATTGGTTGCACGACTACACCGGCCTCAATATACGCCCAAGAAATACAAGCTGCTGCACCCGGTATCATACTAGTGAAGGAGGCCGGCCAAATTCTCGAGAGCCATATCCTTGCAGCAATGAGCCGAACCACTAAGCAGCTGATCCAGATCGGGGTCCACAAACAACTCAGACCGAAAGTGAAGAACTTCAAACTGACGGTGGAGTGTGTAAAAGGCTACGATCTAGATCGATCGCTGTTTGAGAGACTAATCATGCAAAGGCGTCGTCATTAAACACTAACACTATTAAGCCAGCATGGAATGCGGCCGCAGATCTCAGAGCTCATTCGCCACAACTACCCGAATCTTCAGGACGAGAAAGGCACAGAGAATCGACCGAGCCTGCGTGGGTTTCAGCATGATGTCCTATTTTTCAACCACAAGTATCCGGAAGCCAAACACAAGGTTTTGGTCGACAGGCTTGACCAGAGTGCTGCTGCCGGTAAACAGAACCCATTTGAAGCCGAGATGGTCTTGAAGGGATCTCAATACCTTGGTCAGCAGGGCTGCAAGACGGATTATCTTGTCATCCTCAAGCCATATCTTTGTCAGCAGATTTCCGGAAACAATCTCTTCGGCAACCTACACCCTCAACATTGTTACGGTCTGCTTCTGAACCTCCTGAAGATGAAGAAGCTTGATATTACCGAGCTGGCGGTTTCTCCTACTCTGGAGAGCAAGCCATTGGCCAAATTCAGCACGTCGACGCGAACGCCTTCGTAGGGCAATACCCGTGACGTACAGACTCTTTCAAAGCAAATCTTTGCTGAGACTATGAAGACGACGACGGCAAATCCAACAAGACTATATGGGAGGATGCGCCGGTGAATGGCCTGGATTTCATGAAAAAGGAGCGAACGAGAGGGCCTCTTGTCACATGTGTCCCACCTACTGATTCTCTCTATGCTGATTCTCTATGCGGATCAGTATGAAGCAACTCTAGCGGCACCAAAAATGCAGACGTCTACCGTTCTGACAATGACGACGGAACGAGCACATATTGATCAAGCCGAACCAGACGAGCCCAGGAAGCGTCTCAAGCTGGCCTCGACCAATCCAGATAGTATCCGCGATGCAGGCTGGAAGCAACTCGAGCGTGAGCTCCACGCCGCGAATGAGAAGGTCGGGCGACAAACAGACGACTCTGCCCGGCTCGATGCCCTGCGTGCGCTTGAAGCGGCTTGAGTAGAGTCCATCAAAACCGAACAAGAGCGTCAGGAGAAGGAAGAGCGAATGAAGCGCGAGCTGGAAATCAAGACTAAGTTCAAGAACACGAGTCGATGTCCTATGGGATTCGAATCGGCCGAACAACAAGGTGGCTTTTGATGTGCGGGTGGTTCGCATTTCTTGTCCGTTGTCGAATGATGAGTTGAGGATTTCATGAGCAGTGTTCTTGAGGAGTGTTGATTTCATGTGTTTGACTTGGACTTGTACTCCACTGTAAGTATTGACAATATCAGTGTTCGTTCGTGGCTAAGGTACTTGACTCGGATACAAGATTTTGTTGATCTGTGTAATGTTGAGCTACCATTCCCCAGTCCCAACTACTAAGATGGCAATTATCAATTGGGTCGTACACTGGCATTTTGCCGAAGGAAGTGTCGATGAATCTTGCAGATACCAATCTAATTAAAACTCAATGAGCATGCTGAGTTATCCGTCCATAAGTAATTGGCATGATGATAATGCCATCAACGGGTATTTATATACACCTAATTTAGTACGGTGCCGATTGAGCAATCTATTTGCGGTGAATCCCTCATCCGGTGAATCCCTGGTCATGTGAAAACACGGAGCCAAACGGCAGCTTTTACCTCCACGGAACTTACATTACTGTCTCATAATTTCACGAAGCACTCAGGTAGAGCTTGTGAAAACCTACCTCATTATGAAGGCAGACCAGTGGACATTCTTTCGTCGGATCTCCGAAGCTTGCGCAACCTCATGTTCACTTCTGATTGGCCGGCTGCTGCACCCATCTTTTTCTGTGTGACCCGTCTTTTTGAAATTGTGAGAATTGTGATGATCCGACGAAAGAAGTCTTGTGTACCCGTAGGCCAAAGGTGTAAAATAAGTTCAAGCAACAATGGATGGTGACGTGGAAATGTTGCCACGATGCTGTAAAGAAAGGGACTCAAAATACGAGCATGGACACGGGCATTAAGGATTGCAGAAGAGAATCCACGCCATTGGACAATAACCATTGGTGGGATACAGTACTTGATAGCACCGCTAACAGCAAGCGCGCCTCGTATTCTCCCCAGTGCCCGTTTTCGCAACACCAACTTTTGTCGTGTTGTTCGCCAGCAACTGCGCTTAGGGGCGAATCGAATTCCTATACAGTGGGACTTGCTTGCATATTCTGCTGCGAGGACTAGAGGAATCACGGGTCACGAGGCACAACATGGGGATCCCTAACGTGGACAAACATGGAGAGACTGCTGAATGTGAATCTTTCGACGAAGTTGCGTTTCCAGGCCTTTCGACGCTTGTACAATGGGGCTACATTTTACTGTGGGCCACATGCCCATTCCAACGGATGACGGACGACGGCTCGGCCGCACGCTCCATCGCGTGAAATGATGGGGTTTGGCTACCACGCAAGACGGGCCAAGATATCAAGGTGGAAGTCAATGGGCCGCCACTACCACCAAACGCGTTGCGTTGTTGGATTTCATCAGTCACAGTGCTCCAGGTGGATGGATTTTTGGCTGGCATTTTCCACAGCACCATAATAAGTTGGCCTGGAAGATTTGACGCTGACGAGCAAGTTGCATAGATTGATGAACGTGTGTTTCGAAAATAAAGACATGTAGGCCCCTGCATCCTGTGCATATGGAGCTAATAAGTTGGGGGAGATCAGCACACCGATCTGATGATTCTCCTCCTCCGTCCCCACAAACAGCCAGCACCACGAAAAAAAACAATGACAAACCGCCCTATCGAAGCTTGAGGTCACATGTAACTTTGCGGCTTGCCTTTCCCCCGTTTCTGCTAGAGTCCCGATGACATCTGCTGCTCCCAATCGCCGATGATACATGCTCGGGTTATATTTCAATTTTAAGGAATGGCTATTGTTATTATTATCACTACCGGGAACGGCTGCAATGAGCTCTCGTAATTTAAATTGAGCCTCGAGGGCTCAGTCCAGGGACATCCTAATCAGCTTACTGGGGTTTAACCATGAACAACCCAGGCCGCTAGGTCCGGAAGCAGGGATTGGACAGATCCCTCTTCGCGCATGGACGTGCGAACCGAAATGTGGAGGACCGTCTTAAGACATTGGGCCAAGAGTTGTTGCATGGCGCTTCTTTTTCCGTGAACTGACTGTATGGCCCCTTGTCGCCAACAAATGATGGCCCATGGGAGTGACACTATGATGGGCGGTTGCCTTCTCCTTCCCCGGACAGGAAACAATTTTCTCATGGGGGTAGGTACTTAACTAATCGGGTGGTCCTCTCCAATTCCTTTTTTGTTTTGCTTTCCGTCTTGTCTTGTTGTCTGATCCACGAAACTATCGTTTGTTATATCTGGAGCATCATCCTCTCAGCATTTACATTCGCTCTCACAACTCTTGCCGTATAAAACCTTGGATAGATTTTCCCGATACCTAATTATCTAATACCCACACACATACAACCACCACACCGTCACCATGCGTTTCACTTCGATCATCGTCGCTGGCATCTTTGCGCTCTCTGCCACCGCACAGTCGACCACTGGGGAAACCAGCGTATCCTCCACGACTACCAGCGCTGTTCCAACCAACTCGGTCCAGGCTGCCATTGATAACTGCCTCAAGGCTTGTGAGTAACCAGGCACTGGAAACTTTCCACTGCGAATCATGTTACTGACTCTACTTCTCTCACAGGCGAATCTGGCGACGTCAACTGCCAAGCCAAGTGCATTACCGTGCCGAGCCCTGACAACGCCGCCGCAAACGCCACGACCGAGTGCGTTGCCAACTGCGACCAGGGCAGCGGCAGCGCCGCCGACAACACCGCCTACGGCAGCTGTGTCGACGGCTGCATTGCCCAGTACTTCTACTCCACCACTGGCGGTGCCTCCGCAGCCACTGCCACCGCCGCTGGCACTGGCACTGGCACTGGCAGCGCTTCTGTCACTGCTATTGTGTCCACCATTACCGATGCCTCCACCACTTTTGAGACAACTGTCGGCTCCAGCACTATCGAAGCCGGCTCAGCTACAGAATCCGGCACTGGGTCGTCTGCCACATCTACCTCCTCGAGCGCCGCCGGCATGCTCTTTTCACCCGCGGCACCGGTGGGCCTTCTCGGCTTTTTGGTTGCTATGCTTGCTCTGTGAAGAGAGTCATTGGTGGGTGGGTGTTAGAGGATGTAATGAAACCAGTAATGAAGTTGGACTTGTATGATCTTGGGTCATGGATATGATGGTGTATGAGAAAGTTCCACGATATACTAGAGCTGAACTTGTATAAGTCCAAAATTTGAGTAGACGGCAAAATCAAGTTTTCTATTGACCGTTCTGTGGTTTGGTCCCTACCTCCCTGATGCCGTCTTAACCTTGGGGATATCACTCAACCACGGGATGCCGAGTTGCTTCATCTCAACTGCTAACTGGAACAGATAGTCGAGGCTGACCGGAGTCAAGTCAGCGCAGGTTGATTTTGGCGTTGACGCATGCAAGATCACGTACCTTTCGCATGTTGTCTTAGCTTTGTGCACGTTGTCACCCCAAACATATACACCATGTCTGCGAACCAACACAGCATAGGTATCCGGATACTTATCCATGGCTTCTTCCAGAAACTCAGTGAGGTCCTCCTCGTGAGACGTATTCTCGATGACGGGAATGCGTAACGTGTCATGGAAGTCCAAGTTTCCTTGCTTCCGGAAACCTCGGCCGAACCCTTTAATCTGCTCGATGTTGTTGATTTCAAACATTTTGTCAGATCCAGGGCCCCGCGTCTCCAGGATCAGCGTGACCAACACGGCCCAGTGCGAGTGCGTGTGGATGCAGCAGCCCGCCCCCCGCTTCGTGAATGCTGCCAGAAACAGTGGAGTGCACTGCGATGGCTTGCCACAGGGCGGCGCGCGCAGGTAGACACGGTTCTTCAGGTCTGTCTGCTTGGATAGAGCGAGGACGTAGAGGTCAGAGGCTTTCATGAGCTCCTTTTGGACTCCTGATGGGGCGATGTAGACCAGATCACTACCCAGGGGGGGGGGAAGTGGTAAGCTTCAATTGCCCTCACCGGGGTACATATTATAGTTGGTGCTCCGTTGGAATACCAACTTGTAACTATGCAAACGAAAATTGGAGAAGGCGAGTTGGTTGCTTACTCGTCACGAATGGAGCAGCCTCCACCAGTTCCTGTCACCCAACCCAGAGTCCAAAACTTGGCGCATAGCGACGGAATGAGGTTGGCTGGGTGGTTCTGATCCTCTGATGTAACAAGTTGGTCGTTGTCGGTAGTCGGCTGCTGGGCGCTCTCCGGATTCGTCATTTTTGCAAGCGGCACTGCACGCAGAGCCTCTTCGGATGGGAACTTCGAATGAACGCGGGGTAATAAGATTAGAGCAATTTGACAGGTGGCCTTTGACTGCCAGAACTTGAAGGGTCAGCGGAAGTAAGGCAAAGAAATCTCGGAGTCTGATCAAGACAAATGCAGTTGTAGTGTATTAAAGTCTTATGAGGCTAAATTCAACAATTGTCATCGTCTCTCATTGGCTCATGGTAATGTTCAATCAGGGAGACGCAACGATTTTTCATCAGTCCCACTCAGGTTGCGCTGGCCTTGTGCGGTGTGGTGAAATGTCAAAAATTGGCTTTAGTTCGCTGTGAGACCCACGTACTCCCAAGGAGTATGTATTCGCGAGATAATGACATGTATAGAAACAATAACTACCTCTAGGACGCCAATTGGCCTCGATTCATAGCTGTATTCATTGGCACTGAAATGAATGCAGACAATTCCCAGAGCTGTAGAAAGCTGTGATTGAACCTATATTGAAGATGCTCCTGGGCGGTCATTAGCACAAACTCTATACTTATTATTTAATCTGTCTTGCTCTCTAACTTGTTTGGTAAATTGTGGCCTCAAGCTCAACGTCGATGTTTCAGAACAACCTACTCTGCTAGTATACAAGTCAGCAATCTGACCAGATTTCAAATTACGTCACCACAACTCATTGAGGTACGTTGATCAACTTTTCATGCTCTCTCTCTCTCTCTCTCGCGCTCGCTGCTGTTTGCTTTCTCGTTCTACTGCTCTCTTGCAATCAATTCAAGGGGTCAACTATCGAGTTCGATAATAAGGTGGTTTGCCCGTTCTCAACGACGCCATCGCCTCATCAGCAAATGACCCCAGTCCCCGCATGAGCTTTAGGAACCCACTTACTGTTTGAGCCAATCACTGTCCACAGAACTCGATAGAAACCAAGTGCGGCGGCCGGAAGGTGCAGGTGCTCCAATTTCTGCGGCGTCCTGGTCCTTCCAAAAAGGACACGTAGAGCTAGCTGTTGGGAGCCCAGCTTTGCAAGGAATAAATTCACCAACTTCAGAACCCAAGCTCTCCTCACGAAACTTCTCCTCTCCGTCGAGCTCTGGGAGCAATCATTCCTTCCGAATATCTCTCTCACCTGTCTCCACAGACAGTTCCTGACATTTTGCAGGATACGTAAGCTAGTTATCAACAGCACAGCTTCCTGCCTCCGCACCTGCCTCGACCTTGTCATTACGCCACGGTCACTACATCCACCATGAAGTTCGCAGCAACCGCTGCACTTGCTGCCATCTTGGCTGGCAGTGCCGTTGCCGACGATGCCCAAAAGGTTCTCAAGGACGAGGGCTCGACCGCATCCATTGTGGAAGAGTCAACCTCGGTCGCCTCTGCGATCCCTACTTTTACTGTAAGCCCCGCGCCTCCAAGCTGTCTTGCATCTATTTATGCTACTTCCTGCTGTGTCATGACCATGGCCATTGATGTATTTGTGAGCATCGAAGCTGATTCCAATCACGACAGCCCACCAACCTGAAGGCTCCCTTCTTGGAGCAATTCACGGATGATTGGGAGACTCGTTGGAAGCCTTCCCATGCCAAGAAGGACATGAAGGGCGCCGATAACGTTGAGGAAGAATGGGCCTACGTAGGCGAATGGTCTGTGGAAGAGCCACATGTATACAAGGGCATGGAAGGCGATAAGGGTCTTGTGGTCAAGAACGCCGCTGCCCACCACGCCATCTCAGCCAAGTTCCCCAAGAAGATTGACAACAAGGGTAAGACCTTGGTCGTTCAATACGAAGTCAAGCTTCAGAGTAAGTTGTGTTCACTCACTGCCACCAATCCTACTCATAGTAACATCTGTTCGTTTCAGACGGTCTCGAATGTGGTGGTGCCTACCTCAAGCTCCTCCGCGACACCAAGGCTCTCCACCAGGATGAGTTCGCCAACACTACCCCCTATGTCATCATGTTCGGTCCCGACAAATGTGGCCACACCAACAAGGTTCACTTCATTTTCAACCACAAGAACCCAAAGACTGGTGAATATGAGGAGAAGCACCTCAACTCGCCCCCATCGGCTCGTATTGTCAAGACCACTGAGCTTTACACCTTGATTGTCCACCCCAACAACACGTATGTAATCAAGCAGAACAACGAGCAAGTCAAGGAGGGAAGCCTTTTCGAGGACTTCAGCCCCTCTATCAACCCTGAGAAGGAAATTGACGACCCGAAGGACTCCAAGCCCGACACCTGGGTTGATGAGGCCCGTATCCCTGACCCTGATGCCAAGAAGCCCGAGGATTGGGATGAGGATGCGCCTTTCGAGATCGTCGATGAGGAGGCTACCAAGCCCGAGGACTGGCTTGAGGACGAGCCCCTCACCATTCCTGACCCCGAGTCCCAGAAGCCCGAGGATTGGGATGACGAGGAGGATGGCGACTGGGTTCCTCCCACTGTTCCGAACCCAAAGTGTGCTGATGCCTCCGGCTGCGGTTCCTGGACTAAGCCAATGATCAAGAACCCTGAGTACAAGGGCAAGTGGACTGCACCTTACATTGACAATCCTGCCTACAAGGGAGTCTGGGCTCCCCGCAAGATCAAGAACCCCGACTACTACGAGGACAAGACCCCTGCCAACTTTGAACCCATGGGTGCTGTAAGTGGAACTATGTCACTTTGCTTACGGGAAATTGCTAACGACCTTTTAGATTGGCTTTGAGATCTGGACCATGCAGAACGACATCCTTTTCGACAACATCTACATTGGCCACTCCGTTGAGGATGCTGCGAAACTTGCTGAGGAGTCCTTCCTTGAGAAACACCCCCACGAGCAACTTCTCGAGCTGGCTGAGAAGCCTAAGGTGGACGATAAGCCCAAGTCTCCATCTGACCTGAAGTTCCTGGACGACCCGGTGCACTACATCAAGGAGAAGACTGATCTCTTCCTCACCATCGCCAAGTCAGACCCCATCCAGGCTATGAAGTTTGTTCCCGAGGTTCCTACTGCCATTATTGGTCTTATTGTCACCCTTGCGTCTGTGATTGGCCTCGCCACCATGGGCGGTTCAGCTCCTCCAGCGGCTAAGAAGGCTGTTGCCGATGCCAAGGAGAAGACCAAGGAGGCCAAGGGCAAGGCTGCTGAGGCTGTCGCTACTGGTGCTGAGAACGTCAAGGCGGAGGTGAACAAGCGCTCCACGCGCAGCACCCAGTCTTAAAAAGAAAAAGGGCGACGCGGGCGCTTGAAATGAAGGGCGCGTGACTAGTGGGATGATTAGGATCCATGAATTCTACGATATGTCTGGACTTTGGTTTCGTCGAGTATTCGTGATTATTGCTTCGTATGGCGCAGCAGGTGTATTATAGGCAAAATCAATACAGTAGTAAAGTAATTTATCATGGCCTTGTACGAGTAATATGAATGTCCAACACAACTCAACATAACCCTTCTTTCATACAATATGTTCGAGTTCCTATCCGGGTCTATTGTCCTGAGCGACTACGTTCTGCCACCACTGGGCGATTGGGCATGGGCAACTTCATACGCCCCGGCACTACAAACCTGCCAATGTACACTCGTCTGCCCGTAAAGATTCATGGAGGAGAAATTATTCAATGTTTGAACTAAGAATGCATACCAAGTACATGTTGAGGGACTGGAAGTCGGTATGTTCACCATAAGGGTGCACTACACGTTCGGCAAAACCTCGGAGCATTTGAGCTGGAAGGACTCTAAACATGCATTCTGGAAACGTCCCGCATCTAGGTACTTGATTCAAGCTACAGTTGTATCAACATAAGTTCAATCCTTCGCTTGGGCCTCAACATCCGAATAACATACCCGTAACAAGAACCCTACACAATGACGTGGATTTCCAAAAGCACATCAGCTCTCGGGTTGCTGCTATTTACACACGCGTAAGCTCAACCTCGATGGAGCTCGGGCTCGACCTTGGAACCCTCAGAGCTAACCTCAAGCCCAGTTGCTACTCTGCCCACGAGCACTCCGCCCTACAAGCGCACCGTGCAGCCTCGCTTTCCTCCTTGACGACATCGCATGGAGGAGTCGGAGTCATCTCGTCGCTCCCTTTGGACATCGCCATCGAAACCATCGTCGCGACGTTCGTCATCACGTTCGGCCTCGTGCTGGGAACCGCGAAGCTGAGGCCGATCCAGTGGCGCGTGTGGGCCGGGCAGATTGAGAGGGAGGGCGAGGAAGGTTTCAAGAATAGCAGTGGTGAGGTGGATAGGGATTATGTGGGGAACCCATTTAAGTTGTTGGAGAGCAGGCCTGGGTTTGTGGACATTAGGAGGCAGAGGCAGGAGTTTGCGGAATGGGTGAAGGGGCAATAAGGGCATGGTTGGTGGAGGAGGACGCGATGTATTAGTGGACGCTGGTTGAGGAGTACAAGTGACCTGAGTGCCGGCGATGCGGCCCAGATCTCTGTATTGTTACATCCAGGAACTGGAGGTTAGTCAAGCCTCGAGATTTTTCAGCATTGAAGAAAAATACATTTTCACCGACGATGAATGTGTCCAAGGGCTTGATATGGATAACATTGACTTCGGAGCGTCAAACGTTCTATAAAACATTTCAAGTATGCAGCAGGAAGGAACGTCGAGTTGTCCCGTCCCCACCAGCTGTATCGTCCCTTCCCCCTCCAGATTATTGAACCCAATTTCTGCCTGGAAATACTCACATCCAAAACTTCATCATCTTAGTGCCTTGAGATTTTCTGCAATCAGACATGCATGTTAGGTTTCAGAACCCCCCGACTTCTTTTCTGTTCGAAGACATTGGGAATTGGCAGTTGACCCATCGGAACGCGCAACATGGCCTCCCAGCAGGGCCGCTCAACCCCCTCCCAAGCGTCTCATTCCGGATCCTCGCAAGGCATGATGAGCATCCCATCAGTGGTTTTGGAGCAGTCTACCAGGCCCCCATTCTTGACGCCAGTGCCATCTACGACCAGTCCAGAACGATCCATGTCCCAAAGTGGCCAGGCCTCGGGACCGCCGTCTCGTGCCACCCCCAGAACTGCATCGCGCTCATCCATCTACTCACCTCAGCTTCCAGCTCACCCTCAGAGGTCGAGACTATCACTGCGACCATCTTCATTTCGAGGATCGTCCGCGAACCCCAGTCAGCGTAATGATGACGGAGATGAAGCAGACGATCCCTTTCCAGAGGACGCCGACGCCTTGAGCGAGGTAATTATGGCTCTTGATATGAAGGCGAATGGGAACCTAGGCTGTGCATACTATATTGCCGCCGATGAAATCCTACTTCTCCTTGAAGATGTCGCAATGGCGAGAGCCGAAGTTATCGAGACACTTCTGCTTCACGCCAGACCTACAACAGTCCTCACGCCTTCACGTACCTCAGAAACGTTGGCGGATCTGCTGGCTAAATGTGCCCACGATGTCGATAGAGATGATGAGAGCGACGATCAGAGAAGTGGGGTGCCCGGACCGTATGCCCTTCGAATCCTCAAATCGGCAGATTTTCGCTACGAGTCTGCCAAAGAAAAGTTGCTAGGTCTCGAAATACAGACACAAGGCGAGAGATCTATGTTGTACGCCTCCGTGACCGATGAAGGTGTGGACGCTGGAGATGAGTACGGGGAGCAACAGGGGTCGGCTCAGGGTTCTTTGATGAGACTGGGAACCTCCGTAAACCTCGATAGTCACGCCGCAGTGAGTTCGAAAAATCTTTTCCGGGAGTCAAAGGAGGGGCTGACGTGATGAAGATTGGATGCGCGGGTGCCATTTTGGGGGAATTACAACGTCGACGGACGGTCCAATATCTTCCAAACGACCCTGACGCCTTGGTTGCCTTCAGAATCAGATCAGTCGAGATGTTCACCCTGTTTGATTCAATGTTTATCAATGCGGATGCCTTGGTCTCGTTGCAAATACTTCGTTCCGAGCTACACCCAAACAGCCAGATGCGAGGGCCTGATAAGTCCAGTTTGGGAGCCAAGGAGAGTCTATCAGTATATGGGCTTTTCCACCATTTAGCATGCACCCCGCAAGGAAAGTCTAAGCTTCGACAGATCTTCCTTCGACCCAGCATCGACATGGACGTGATCAACAGTCGACAGAGAACAATATCTTTCCTTCTGCGTCCCGATCATGCTGAGGCCGTCACTGAGCTGACTAAGGATTTGCGAAAGATTAAGAACATGCGAAAGTCCATATCTGACCTTCGGAAAGGTGTGGACAATCCAGGCCGCAAGGTCTCCATGACCAACAACGTCTGGTCAATACTTCAGCGCTTTGCTCTTCATGCATTGAATATCAGAAGCATCTTGGGGCAAATGCATGGGGCTGAAAGGATAAATGCCATCGGGAAAGTCGTTGAGGTTCTTCAGCCGTACGCCATTCATAAAATCGGTGAGATGATCAGCCAGACCATCGACTTCGAGCAGTCCGCAGAACGAGGCCGGACTGCGGTGAAGCAAGGAGTCGATGCAAATCTTGATGAAATGAAGCAAAATTATGATGGCATGGAACAACTCCTCACTGAAGTCAATGAGAAACTGCAGAGAGACTTGCCGGAGTGGGCTCAACGCTACGTGCAGAACTGCGTTTTCCTACCTCAACTCGGATTCCTCACGGTGGTTTCACTCAACCCAGAAACGGGCAAGGGCAACTACGAAGGAGAAGGACTGAATGATATTTGGGAAAGAATGTTTGCCGCTGAAGGCAGTGTTTACTGCAAGAACAGTCAAATGAAGGAGATGGACGAACAATTTGGAGACGCATATTGTATGATTATAGGTGGGGCCATTCACAAATCCCCCGACCCTACGTCTTGACTGACTTATCCAGATCGAGAAATCGAAATCATTCATGAGCTTTCAGTTCGTGTTCTGGAACATGAAGACGTCATCCTGGCGACATCTGATGTCCTAGGCGAATTCGACAGTGTTCTAGCACTTGCGGTCGGTTCAGGGAAGTACAACTGGGTTGCTCCCCAAATGACGACCGAAAACGTTCTTCAAATCGAGGGTGGCCGTCATCCCCTGCAAGAGCTAATGGTCTCATCGTTCATATCCAATGACTGTTACATGTGTGGCGGTCACGGTGACCAAGACCAGCTAGGGGACGCTTCCTCCGTGAACATGCCAGATCACGAAGAGCACCCCAGCACTCTCATATTGACGGGGCCAAACCACTCGGGGAAGAGCGTCTACCTCAAGCAAGTTGCATTGATAGTTTATCTGGCCCACATTGGCTGCTTCGTGCCCGCTGAAAGTGCCAGGATTGGTATTACGGACCAGATACTCACGCGTATTGCCACACGTGAAAGTGTGACAAGGCAGGAAAGTGCGTTCGCCATCGATCTACGACAAGCAGCATTCGCAATGAATTTCGCAACACATCGCAGTCTAGTTCTCGTGGACGAATTCGGCAAGGGAACCAACAGCGTCGACGGCGCAGGCCTGGTCACGGCGCTGCTAGAACATTTCACGTCCCAGGGCCCAAACAGGCCGAAGCTTCTGGCTGCTACCCATTTCCACGAGATATTCGAGTCCGACCTCCTCCCACCGAGCGCTGAGTTAGCATTTGCACATATGGAGGTCCGCATAGATGCTGAAGCAGCAGAAACGGAAGACCAGGTGACCTATCTCTATAATCTGACACCTGGTCGGAGTGTGTCGAGCTTTGGCAGTAGATGTGCAGCGATGAACGGCATCGATGCGGCTATTGTGGAACGGGCAGAGGAAATCACGTTGATGCTTGTTCGCAACGAAGATCTAGAGGCAGCTTGCACGGCGCTATCTGATGCGGAGACCGTGAAGCTCGAGCAAGCAGAACAGGTGGCTCGTGCGTTTTTGGAGCAAGATGTAGGTCCTCGGCAGATGAGCGGCAGAGGCAGAGGGTCAAAATCTGGGCATTGGTATCGAAACACGCTCGAGAAGATCCTGTCTGTTGACTCGTCCATCTCAGACGACACATAAAACTCGCAAGTCGATGACAGCCTGGGGTTTGAAATCTGGGGCCTTTCTGTCATCCGGCCCTTCTTCGACGTTCTTACTATCGGACTCATTTACTACGAACGAAGGAACCGGCTGGTGTACGTTGACGTATTGCTGGGCATTATACAGATAGTGTGGACGAGCAATCCTGGTTGGTGGTACTCAACCCGTCTCTCAGCTGTGGAAACAAAAGTTTCAGCTTAGACGAGAGTTCGTCAATACCGAACGTCAGACTACTCAAGATTCAACGTCCAGATCTGTCAGATATATTTCTGACTCATTGAAACGAGATAGCTCGGCAGAAACTACCAAGCTCGTCGAGAAACAGCATGATCCCTGCGAGGACATCAAGACTTTACATATCTTTCCAGTCCCACAAGGTGCGACCTGTAACTCGCGATGTTTCAGGCACGAGGTGAGTTTTTTGCGCAGGACCACGAATTGTCCAAGATGGCACGAAGATCTAACGTCTATTACCACATGGAGCTCTGCACATATATGTCCGGCAGTCAAGGATGTGGTCTCCCAGCACTATATTTATACGTTACGTGGTAACATGGGATGCCGCGAAGTCAGGTGACGAGTACGGCGCAGATGTACATACACAACGTCAGCTCTGTGGAGTTTTGCGGATCAAAGAATCTGTGAGAAAATCATGCCTTATGTGGTTCCGGTCCATAGATAGCCACCAATCGGCAGTGGTTTTATCGAGCCTTTTCAATAGCATTATACTAAACGGGGGATTCATGTGAATAGCTATGAATAGTCACATACGTCCCCAATACGACACATCATGACGTCTCCTTCCCCCTTCACCCCACGTTGCCGTCCGGCGACCGGAGGATTAAGGGCAAATAGCGATCCAGAACTATCCCTAGGCCCATCCGATCATTCCAAACAGACTTACCAGGGCATCCACGAGTCGTTATCGGTTCAGACAGTGTCGATCAGGCGTGGATCATACCCCAAGACCGTCTGGAGAGAGGTGCTAGGGTAGCTACACAGTAAGTAACTCTGCTCGGGTTTAGCGGGTAGTAGTGAACATTTATGGAGTTTCAGTATGAAATATAGGTGCGCCAATGCCATTACGAGTCATTAACCCCCGAGTGGGGAATTGGGAGATCTTCATAATTCTCGGGTATAAGACTTTGGGCAAGAATGTGTTTTTGGTTGTATGTGAGCTCTGTATTTTCCAGCAATTGTTAGACCGATATAGACTGTTGCGAGATCTTCTCTTTTCCTACTTCTTTTCTTCGACTTGTGCATTTCCACAACTGGGCTGGCACCTTTTCCACTCGGCCAGGTTGCCATTGTTTGATTCCGTCTCACCTGTCTATATACGAATCACCACTATCTACAAAGAAAACAAGAAAAAGAAAAACACCAACCAGCAATCATGCAATTCACGACCATCACGCTCGCGGCCCTGGCAGCCTGCACTGTCTCTGCAGAGGTTCGTCTGCCTTCCGTCCTAACTTCACCACCACAGAGAATAGAAAAGTAACAAACAGACTAACAATATACAGTTTGGCAACATTGTCCCTCGCCTAGAAATCAACCCCTCCCGCGTCCGCCGCCATGTCATCAACGTAAGGTCCAATACGACAACAGAGGAGGGCTGCCCGTGCGGCACGGGAACCCCGATGCCGACCTCGACGGGCGAAGTGCCAGTACAGGGCGGCGCTGGGCGAGTTGCGACGGGCAGTCTGGTGACGGTTGCTGGGGTCGGAGTGGCTTTTGCTTTGTTTATGTGAGGGTCGCAAGGGGCGGATGGGGGTGGATTTAGGACGAGATTTGGTACGATATGATGTGGGTTTCGGCATTTGATTTTGATTAAGAGGCAAGAGAGGTTGGGGTTGGATGGCTTGTACTATACGCTCATTTCTGGACCGTCAAACGGGTTGGGTTGCACTGAGGCGTTCAGAGGAGGGAACAGGGAAAATCATGGCTTATGGCTGCCTAGATGGGTGGATCGACGGACGGACGGATCAATGTGCAACGAGGCATTGCATATGTACAGCACCAAATACGCTCGCTAATGTTTAGAACAGCATTTTATCAAATTGTGTATTAGTTTTGTTGGGTGTCTTGATCTGTGACTTGTTTAGATAGTTCTTATCTTGACGCCATGGTTCCCCGGTTCCGAAATGCCAAACGGAAAGTTATTGTCAAACCCTCATTTCGGTTGCCGTCCTTGTCCTGTCTATTAGACCGACATCGAATTACATTAAGTCGTATGGTTGCAAACCCGCATCGTCAATCGTAGCTTCCTCACCATCCCAGAAGTCCCATAGCAAGCAAGCCCACGACCGCGCCCAGCCATGAGGCTTCCTCTCTCCGTCCCATGCCTCCGGCCGGACTGGCAAAAGGGGACGAGTCGGTTTGCTCCGTCGGCCCGCCTGAGTTGGTGCCCGTGGCCTTGTCGGATGTAGGGTCAGTATTCGAGGAGAGAGTAATCTCTCCCGTTGACGAAGGCTGGACTTCTGCTGTGTTGGAGATCCCGGCTTTACCAGTATTCTCAAAGGAAGTGGTGGTCTCAGTTGCCCGACTTGTCTCCGTCACGGTGAGTTCTGTCTGCGTGGAAGTTGCCAGAGTGCTGCTCCCTTTCGAATGTGACGGCCTATCGGCTGTAGTGGAATATCTCGAAGTGGAAGTTGTCTCAGGGGTGGCGGTCTCGGTGACAGTAGTCTTGGTATGGGTGTGAGTCGTAGTTGGGGTGGAGCCATCAATACTGCTCTCCGCGGCTTCCGCGCTTTGGATGGCGCTCTGGGGTATTGGCGATCCCAGGATCTTGCAGCTCATCTCGAGAGGGTCAAGTAGGGTGTCCACCGAGATAGCCCGGGAGCAGTCCTTGTACATGCAGACAACGACATCGGGCAGGAAGCTCCCGTTTGATGCCGTGCACATGCATTCGATATCGATGGCGCCGCATCCTGAACCTTCAACGCAGTTGGACACACATTCTGGGAGCTCGAGATCCAGTTCAAAGGTTCGTCCGAGGGTGTCTGCATGGATTTGTTGCAGAAGAAGTGAGAGGATGGTTGTGGCGAACAGCAGATCTGAGTATCGTTGGCTGACAGCCATCTTGACTTGGCTATACGTCGGTATGACCTGAAGAGTTCCAAAAGCCTACCTTGCGTGCATATCTACAAGGTCAGTGACGCACAAGTACTCACGCCATCGACTGACAGGACTGATCAGGCGTTGGAGAAGAGAAGAAGAAGATTAGAGATGACAAAAATGATCAACAGGAGGTCAAATTGCAACGTGCGGTCGAAGGTGACCTTGGTGCTACCTGTGGCTTGTCGAGCGGGCACGCATTGTATCACCGGTAGGGACCAACGGGATATTGAAACGCTGTCAACCCAGGTTTCCTAAGGGTCTAATCCGTTTGAAGCCCGTTTTGTCGATCCTGAAATCAGGAACCAACCGATTCGTTCGACAACACGTCAGAGCCAGCCGTCCAATGTGACATCTGACTGGAAGTGGACGGGTTGAAGCCACCCAACGCAGTCCTGATCGGCTGGCTCAGCCACAGATCTCGTCCACGTCGTGTACCCAGAGGCCAAATTCCGTGTCGCTATGTACTCTTCCAGTGCTCAAGTGCTCAAGGGCTCAAGTGGCAATAATACACGGAGAATTTGGTGCAAGACGAGGAGGCTGCCAGGTGAGGTTTTGCTGGTTCGACATCAGCACTCGCCACAAAGCCGCAATTCTGGTAAAAAGGGATGGCGGCGTTGTTGTCGGACCAGACGACGACACTGAGGGTGCACTCTGTGCCTTGCCGCCGTGAGTACGGCCCTGGCCAAACTGTGCCATCAAGCTTCGGCCCAAGTGTACATGGCAGTGATCTGGAAATGCAAGCGCTTATTGTGAGCGATAGCCGGGGCTTTGTTGCTTGCGACTCCTCTCGAAGCAGCTTGGAGTGGACCGCCCGCGGGCTTCGGATTAGGCATTAGACCAATGAGTGATGTTGACGACAACATCCGCCCACCGTGGCAGCGCGCGGCAACGAACGTCCTTGCAAGCGGGTTTCGGAGGCGCTTGCGCCAGTCTTCATCGGAGAGAGCCAACTAACTCTCGTGCGTAGTTGGATCCGAAAGCTTGGGCCGACCGGGGCAAGTGTGTTGGCTCTGCGACATAATGCACTAAAGACACGAGCAAACGCTTTTGTGCGCAAGTCGTCCCAACTTGGTCGCACTTGGTCGCACTTGGGTGGGGTGCCGTGTGACTTGTGTGAGGCCGATGAGTTTTCTTCAAGTTTGCACATTTCGAGATTCCCTCCGGCCACCCCACTCCCCTCCACTTGACAAAGTCGGTATACGCGAAAGCGTGCCGCGTTGGGCCATCGAGCTTTTGAGTCAACGGCCATGTCATCCTCACATTGCAGGCCTGCAGGCTCCATACCCATAGTTGACGTGCGAGTCTTCAAATTACGAGAATCATGTCCATCCGGCCAGCTTCCAAGGATATGGTGATGGTACACAAACGCCAGATTCCATCGAACTCAGCGGATGCGTTCCGTAGTGAGTGAGAACTCTGTTTATCTGGAGAGATCAGATGGGGCAGGGCTGAACTAGCTCAAGGGACAGCGTTATAAGGCACCACCCGCTGCCCGTGCTCCGCCCCAATTTGGGGTCCGCCGCTAGCATCATGTTATTTGGTTCACCCCCCCTGCACATGATGGGCTCGTCGTCAGGTGGTGCAAGAGCTGATCTCGGGTCACAACTTGGGATTCGTACCACCTCGTCCCAAATTTCTGGCGACTAGCTGGAAGCCCATATACTTCAAGTCTTCCTTTCGTCTCATCATATTCTAGCACACTCACACCGCGTTGTACGCTTCTCATTCTCCAATCCAATGGCATCGCAAGGCCACTACCAACCGACCGCTCAAGCCGGCGATAGATTGAGGTTCGACGATTTCGATGACCCAGAAGTGTTCCAGAGAGCCGAGTGCGAGGCTGCTGCTGATGGGCGAAAAAATTTCGTGGTCGAATTTGGTCCCCATCATGCCCGCATAGCTCATGACTACAGCCTCACCGAATTCAAGCAACTCTTGTATACTCCGCAAGATGCCGACCACCCTGTCCGCTGGATGTACGTTGCATCCACTGTCTTGATGACTTACATGCGTCTAATTGCTTCAATCTAGCAACATCTGGGACACCACGGCCCAAAAGGAAGCGGTCAAAGCCATAGGGGATAAATACAATTTTTCATATAGATTGAAATGTTTGATGATGTACGCCACGGACCTGAAAGACGGCGCGCAACGCAGCACGGAAAGCAGAGCTGCCGCCGCCAGGAAATTGGCCGCCACCCAAATCGTGGAGATGGAGACGGACATCGAGAAAGCCCCCGGTGCAGACACGACGAGGTCGCTTGAAACCGACACTGGGATTCCCCTGGAGGAAGTCGAGCTGTACTTTCTCGTCAAAGACACTCTCAGCTATTCCTCCATAGACCATACCGACAAAGGTGCGTCGTCCTCGATCTGCGTGGCACGACATGACTAAATAGAATCCAGCGCTCTGCATCGGTGCTAACTGGTTGCACCGAAGACCAGAGATGTCCTTGCCACCCAGCGAGGCAGATCTCAGGTTGATGCCCCCGAAGCACTGGATGTGGCTTGCTATTTGCGACGACAGTAAGCCGCTGTGCGGCCCAGGATATTTTCGTGATTCTGACTTGGCTGCGTAGACACCGTCCTCTCGTTCCACGAAACACCCACGGTTGAACCAACCCCGAAGGGACTAAACATCGCCGAATGGCGTGCATCGTACATCAGAAACATGCGGTCAAACACTCTCAACGTACTATTGCAGCAATCGTCCCAAGGGATCCACAAGTATGAGCGAAGACCGCTGTCGCAGAGTTCAATACGCGTGGCTTTAGAACGGATGGCGAGACCGAGAGCAAGCCGCTTGCCGTCTGATATGACCTTCAATGGAAATGGCCAGTTGCTGACGGTGGGCGAGGAAGGCGCTAGTAACCTCTTCTACTACCTGTTTGAGGATTATGCCGCAGCCGGTCCGCTGAAAGCTGTGGGCAAAATCTTGGATGATCTCGTCAGTCAGCCACCGCCCCTGATATGCCTTTTCGACTGCTAACCCACCGGCAGACACCTAAAGTACTGGGAAGCGCGGTATGTCGGCAGCTTGGCTCGGACCACGGAGTTGACGGTCTTGCTAACGAGATACAGAGTCGCAAAAGTAAAAGCAAGAGCATCGACATCATCCCCAAACTTCATCATCTAAGCAAGGAACTCCGAAAGCTGAAACACCTGTTCGAGAATTACCGAATCCTCATTGATAAGATCATGGCCCCAGCGAGGTCGGACTCGTCGTCTTTCTTCCACCCTGCGAGGCGCTCGATCGGCACGCGGATGAACAGCACCGTTTCTGATTTTCAGGAAGACGGTGATGAAAACGCCAACGCCGAGGCCCGCGCGGTGGTCCTGACCAAGTCAGCCATGAACCGTTTTGATCGCCTACGCGACCGCCTCCAAGGGGTGATGTTGAACACAATCGAAGGCTACTTCGAGGAAATCAACGCACTGTCAAATACCGTAAGCGACAGTCCGTCTCTCTCGCTTGAAGCAACGAGACACTGACAGATCCCGTGTAGTACTTCAACCTCACCCAGCAGAAAGACTCGCAAGCCACGGCTCGACTCACGAGAAGCGCCACGCTGCTGGCCAAGCTCAGCGTCTTCTTCCTGCCCATCAGCTTCATGACGAGCTACTTTTCCATCCAGATCGAGGACCTGTACCAATGGTGGACGGCCGGAACGTACTGGTACGCGTTTGCCGTCATCGCGACCGGCTCGTTCCTGTGCCTGTTCTTTTTCGGCAGGCTGCTCATGTTCTTCAGCGATGTGCTGGATGAGTGGTCCGCGGCAATAATTGATTGGGTTCGCACGGTTTTGATCAAGATGGGACTCCAGCTGGAGGCGAAGGACGTTGATGATTATATGTGAGACGACGCGTTGGGCGCTTGGGCCGTCTCCGTTTGGTGGTAGAGGAAGTAGTAGAGGCAAGCTTGGGGAGGTTTGGGTGCTACTGTGAGTGGCTATTGCTTGCGCTGTTGGGATGAATAGTCGGGTTCAACTTGGTCGACGCCTCACTAAGATACCCAAGCGTAGTCCTCTACAAATAGTTCTAATAAGTATGTATACCTGCCGTCGGAGTCCCTGTGAAACGTCGCTCGCGCTAAACCCTGGGATTGAATCAGTAGTACAGTTACAACACAATCCCAACCGATACTTACAAACAGATAAGTCCGTGTGTATCGTCACACATCCTGGAGAACTAGGACAAAAAGTGGCGCTAGGGTTTTCACATGTTCGACCTGCCATTTTGACAGGTCCAAGCGCTTGGGGTTAGAAGTAGCATCGAAACCCAATGCGAGGAAGCAGAAGTCATCGCTCCATTGACCTTGACTAGAAGGTCTCGTGCTTGTTATTACCTAATGACGCAAAACCAGAATCCGTTTCACGGTCCCTGTACTTAATAGATAGCGGCGCCTGCTATGAGTTTGGCCAATACTACCTAGAACGGCCTAGAACTTGACGGTGCCGACGGCGTTTGGACCCTGCACCCCACTATCCGAATCTGCAGCTACCCCTGGCTAAAATCCCCGAATCTACTTTGTGCAGAGTGCAAGCCACGAACAGTGCCCCATGATTGGTAGACGCTCTGCATCTATCTTGCCCTTCCCCCAAAGCATCATGACGTTGTCTCAACCTACTAAGGCGAATCTCTGCTTCTCGTAGTAGTCTCTCGAGCTCCTCCTCCGTGGTTTTGACGCAATCCTCTTTTCCTTGTGCAGACCATCCATGCTGTCGGTGTAAACCACACAACCCCTTTCTCATTCCCGAACTCGCGTGCCTATCATGGCCACGATAACCTCAGGGCAGTCCCACGGGGCCAGCAACGGCGTCGAAAGCCACGTCCGTTTCATTCCGCTCTCCTACGATGGCAGCTGCTCCGAGTCGTCAGCCCTGCAACTCGTCACCGAACTGCGCCCGGAGTGGAAGAGCCCCGACTCCCAAATCGAATTCGTCCGCTTCACCGACGGCATCACCAACACCCTCCTCAAAGCGATCAACAAGCGTCCCGGCCTCTCCAAAGAGCAAATCGACCATGAAGCCGTGCTGCTGCGAGCCTACGGTCACGGTACCGACATCCTCATCGACCGGCAGCGCGAAACGCAAAACCACGAGCTCCTCATGCAGCACGGCCTTGCCCCGGAGCTGCTCGCCCGCTTCAAGAACGGCATGATGTATCGGTACATCCGCGGGCGTGTGACGTCGCCGTCGGACCTGCGCAGGCCGGAGATATACCTAGCGGTGGCGCGAAGGCTGGCGCAGTGGCATGCCACGGTGCCGTGCCTGCATTCTACGTTTGCCGAGCGGAACGGCCTGGTCGGCAAGACGAACACCCCCTACGAGGCGGCTGTCGACCTTGCGGCGCCGGGGAAACCGCCGCCGAACGTGTGGACCGTGATGCAGAAGTGGTTGTTGGCGCTGCCGACAGAGACGGAGAAGGAGAGGGGGAGGCAGGCGGAGCTGCAGAAGGAGTTTGTCTGGTTGACGACCGAGATGAGCCAGAGGCCCGGGTTGGGAAAGAACGGGGTAAGTTGCTTTGGTTCTGACTACGCTATGGAACAACACGTTTACTAACATCGACCTGATCAGCTGGTATTTGCCCACTGCGACCTCCTCAGCGGCAACGTGATCGTCGAGCCCAAAGCGGACGCCGCCGTCACAAACGGCGAGGGCTCCCAGGAGACGGTGAGCTTCATCGACTATGAGTATGCGACGCCCTCGCCGGCGGCCTTCGACCTGGCCAACCACTTCGCCGAGTGGGGCGGCTTCGACTGCGACTACAGCGTGCTGCCCACGCGGGCGCAGCGCCTCGAGTTCATCCAGGAGTACATCAAGACGTACTTCCGCCTGCTGCCCGAGCGGCCCGCCGCCCTGGATGAGGAGAAGGAAGTCAAAACGCTGTTTAAGGAGGTGGACAAGTTCCGCGGCGCGCCTGGCTTCTATTGGGGCATTTGGGCGTTGATACAAGCCAAGATTTCATCGATAGACTTTGACTACGCTTCCTATGCCGAGACAAGGTTGGGGGAGTACGAGGCGTGGCGGGCGGAGGATACGGGATTGAGGGCCAAGCAGGGTACGGAACCATCCCTGAGGGAGAAGAGGTGGGCTCAGGACGAGTAGGAGGGCGCACAACATCACAATTGGAGCTGATGGAATAAATGCACGCGGCGAAGTTATGTGATTTAACAGACGACCAACTCACTACGTCGGAAGAGGGGCAAACCCCCAACCATACATGGGTGGCGCTGATGATTCTTTGGCGGCGCAGCACGTTGCTGGAGAAAACTGTCGATGGGGTTTATTTTCTTTTACTTTGTTATTTGCCGGCTTGGCGGCACTGGCATGGAGGCTCGTGTTCAACAAGTGCTTGCGGCGGTGTTGATAGACTTACTCAGCGTGTAGCTAATGTTATTCACCCCCTCCCCCCCCCCCCACTCTCTTTGTTCTCTGGTATGCATTATACCCACCGCAATATTCTGTTTGGATGATATGCGGTTGGCATAAGTGTAGTGAGGTCTGTGAGACGAGTGATACTCTTACACATCTGTCCAGGAACTGCGCAAATGTGGATTAGGCTTGAGCTTTTCACTCGGCTGTGTAAACCACACGCCGATATATATATCCACAAAGGTTTGGTGATCTGTCGCAACATATAAGTCATCGCCTACAGGTTGTTTCTGAATACCTAAAACACCATGTGTTGTTGCAATCAAGGCATCTGAGTTGTGGGTTGGGTTTGCTCACACATGTAGTCAACTCCATCTTATAATGGTAGATCAGGTCATCCAGCACGCCGGCTGGATTGCACAACCAAAGTCGTCCCAACGGTGTTGCCAAGAACTCGTATCACAGTTCATTGGCGAAAGGATCTATATCCAGGGTCAGAAGTGAATTTGCAGTTGAATTCTCATGGCTATCATATAATATAAGTATCAGTCAAAATTAGAACGCCATAAACTTCGCTAATAGCTTCACTCATCCTTCTTCCCTTTCAACCCCTCTCATGGTCATCTTCCTTGTCCGAGACGAGTTCCATTTTATCTCCATTTCCCAGCTCCGCCGGTTCCGAGGCTATCGAAACCTCCGTGATGGCCTCCCCTTCATCGTCTCTGATCCTTTCCTCGAAATCGTCGATCGCCACGGTAATGGTATTATCCTCGCTCCCCAGTTTACTTGGCGTTGAAACTTGCTCTCTCGGCATCTTCGGTGTAGTGGGCACGATCACGTTGAGCACGCAATCGTCCAAATGTTCGTAGAACTCCTGCGCCGTGGAAAAGCGGGTTTGGCAGATGGAGCACTTGGCGTCGCCGCCACGCGAACTGTTGCCAGTTATGATCATCTTTCTGCTGTTGGGTGGAGTCTGTTCAACGTTGTGAACGGCGGTAAGGTGTCGTTTGAACACGTCGGCCCGGTTGAAGGCCTTCTCGTATTCCGTCCCTGGCCCTGGACAGAACGGACATACCATCGTTCCCTTGTAATGCGTCAGGGCATGTCGATTCTTGTCGTATTTTCGGGCAAAGCCCTTTGTGTGGTATTCACACGTCTCTATGGGGCACTTTTCCGGTCGTTCTTCTTGGTGGGTCAGCATGTGAGCTGTGAGATCCTTGAAAACGCGACCGCAGTCGGGGTGTGGGCAACGATTCTTGTTGTCCTCGATTTTAGGGGTAATAGGACTGCTATGAACCGTGCTCTCCAAGGATGGCGCAATTGACGGCGCAAGCAAAGGCCCTTGAGGCCCCTGAGGGGGTGCCGGAGCAAGTCGAGGTGCTTCCAAGAATGCCGGCTGCCGTGGCACAGTGTACTCTTCGACCATCCTCGCATCGTTATCTTCCTCCCCACTGGAGCTATCATTGTCATTCACGTCAATGGACTGGCGTACTTCCCGCATCCAATCTTTCAAGATTGTCATGGGAGGCCAGTCACCACTTGCTTTGCCACCTCGGTGGGGGTTGAAGTGAGCTCGTCGCAAGTGTGCGGCAGCATTGTAGTAAGCACCATATCGCTTCTGGGTGACACAGGCCTTGCACTTGGCCAGTGGAATGACAGGTTGAGGCGAGCCAGGGCTGAAATTCGGTGGCTCTGTGCATACCCATCTCTTAACCAGAGCAGCATGCTTCGCATCCGTATGCCTTCGCAATTCGTGCTCGCCCCGAAAACCTTCGGGATATTCGTTGCATTTGCCACAGTAGACGCGGCGAAGCGGTGGTCTTTGATAAGAAGTTCTGAGCTTGCTAGGCGATGCCAGGCCCCTGGATATGGCGCGTGTAAAGGCGGGACTTTCTCCAACCGTGTGCCGTCTCGTCGGCTCTAACCCGAACGCGGGAGCCGACAGCTCAACCTCATTTCTTTGTTGTCCCCAAGCCTCAATAGGCCGCCACTCGGGAGCTGGTTTACGCGGTTCACCCAGCTGCGGTGCAACGGGCTGTGCTTGGTATTGAATAGGTCGGTACATCGGTGTCCGCTGTCTAAAGAATCCATTGAAACCGGTGTTGTCAACCAAATAGCCACTGCCCAGGCCGAGCAGAAAGTCTTTCGAGGAGCGGATTCCCCAAGTCATCCAGTCCTCCCTTCGAAGTGCAGCGCACGTAGTGGAGAAAATGAACCGGTCATTGTCATCCAGGTCTAAGCTCGGGTCGTCTAGAAGCATGGGCGTTGACCAAGCAAAAATGCTTACGAGAACTTTGTGGACACTATGCATCGCCGCAGCACCTGACGTCATGGCATGTCCAGCCTGGGGATGAGATACTGCAGCGCGTGAGGGGGTGGAAACCAGGTCGGCCAAGATCGTGCGAACGATGCTGAAGATGCAGAGTGAGAAGAAGACTGCCAGCCAGCCTTTGGGTTCGGAAAGGACCCTGCGCATTGTGCTGCTTTCGAACGATTGAAGGAACTGCGTCATGCAGTTGTATATCAACCGGTTCCGTCCATCGTAGTCAATATCATCCGGGAGAGGCTGCGCGTTGGCGGTATTCACGTCCGTTCGAATCGACGGCTCGTCTTGTTGGAGATCATAAAACAAGATTTCCCTGAGCAACAACTTGGCCCGGTATAGCACCGGATAGGTTTGCTTCTCGACCTCTCGATTTCCCGACATGTATCCACTCAACTTGAACATCTCCCAAAACCGATACGGGCTGCCCTCGGCGTTCCAGCTTGCTGCGAGGACCTTGAGAACAGGCGGGGGTCGATCTACGGGATCCTTGGAGTAGGTCGCCGAGGTAGGGTTGGCCGTAGGTAGCGAGGCCAAGTCTTCGGTCCACCAGAACCCATCGTCAAAGTCCACGTAATTCCTTACCATTTCTGCCATGGCGGGACTGACAAGGTATGTACGTTCGAGATATTCATTCATATTACGTCTCCGAGCCATTGGAGAGGTCACGGGCGTGTGGACCTGTCTCGGTGATAGAAGCTCTGTACATGCGTCAGATGCACTCCGAGTTCGCAATAACTGCAGCGCCTGCCTACCTGGTAACATGTAATCAGCCAAGGCGGCGAGTGGTTGCCGATGACATCCCAGAACACTCCAGAAGTCGTCGTCCGCGGACGTTGGGGGCTCAGAGCAGAATCCACACTCGTCTTGCGAGTCACACTGAGTAGAAGTAGAGTCAGCTGACGTTGTCTTTGTTCAGGGACTTTGGGAATTACCGGTTTGGCTTGCACCTTGCACCGAAGACAGGGGCCCGTGTCTCGAGGAAGCCGAAGTTCTCCGATGGATTCCAGCCTCGAGTGACCGACTCGGCTCCGTTTCAAAGGCGGTAATAATGGGTCAACCTCTGACTCTACCGAACCCCTGGGTTGCCCGGGAAACTCGTTCACAAAAGAGTACGCCAACATGGGTTCGCGCCTGTCCCGGGACTGACTGGCTGAAACTAGTGGTGGCAAAGTTGAGGGAGCAGAGAGGCGTGGCAGGGCGACGGGCGAGCTCTGATTAATACGTTGCTCTGGGTTATAAAGTCGTGAGGATGTCGATTGTTTAGGGTAATGCATTGGTGGCACACTCCCGACGGAGAGACCCGAGTCGGTTTTAACGGGAAGGCCATGCTCCCTCAGATGATGCTCCCGATCCTCGGCGTGTGAAAATCCGTATATATAGTACAGACAATGGTCGTCCCAGCATTTGAACGATGCTTGATTGCGCGAGATGAGCGGCAAAGACTCTCTCAGTCTCCAGCCCCGAAACACCGGATCATAATATGAGATGTTTCTGTCAAGCCAAGCGCCGTACTCCCGCGGCGCATCGTTTGGTGCAGACGATTTCAAAGCATCCAAGAACCTAGGGTCGAGAAGGTCCAAGCCTAATCACGAAAGGGTTGGGGCCTTAGAAGAAGAAGCTTATTAGATGTGTCATCGGCAGCAATTCGTACCTTGATCTATCAATGAGCTTTCTATGCATTCGCACTTGTACTGTAGTGCCCGAGCCTCTTCCACGTCAGACAATATGGGAATTGTCGCGGCGAGGTCTTTTTGGTTTTTGAATTGGGTCAGATCAGTGAGGCCAATCAGAAGACATTTTAGCAGCAACTTACTTTGATTTTCGGCGTAAGTTTCGAGGGACATCAACTTATGGCGCAGCATGTCCAGCTCGAGCTTGCTGTTGGGAACGTACTTGGCCGGCAGCAAAGCAGCGAGTTTGGCCTGGATTGCAACCTGTTGCTCGAACAAGGTCCGGATCGTGGGGTCCAAAGACGGGTCGAAAGCGGATGCGATGGGCGTGTCTCGACTGTGAGAGCCGCGACGATCATGTCGAGGCTCGCTCGGGTCGGCGGCGGCCATTGCTCGTCCTCCTGTCCTTTGGACCTCTTGGACGTTTGGGCACCGCACCCGGGGCAGCTGAACCTGTACCTTCAACTCCACCTGGTCACACACGCGCGCACCTTAGCGACAAGCCAGCCTTTTTTTTTTTTGGAGCGCATCAACTGCGATTTGAGGAGCTCTGGGGCAACATGTTCCAAGCATAAATAAAAATCACACAATTGCACTGCCTCATGGCATCTCCATAGGTTCCGTCTTTGAGGAGAAGGGGGGGGGGTGTGTATGGGAGGAGCCAGTGCCAGCAGCCGGAAACTAGGGACGTCTGACCTCTCGCGGCTCGTGGTGGGGGACGGAACTTTTTTTTTGTACAATCTCTCACAAGTCAGTCGAGGCAAATTGTTAGTTAACCTGTCAACGGCGATTGATGGGTAGCAGCCAGCGGGTGGGGCGACCGACTGGCGGCAGATTAGATAGTTGCAGGGCAGTGGCCAGGCTCTTCGCAGCGCGACGCAGGCGAACGCAGGCCAGGCAGGGCGGCCAGGGTCCTCCGGGGGGCAGTGGGGGGTCGGTGCGGGTCGGTGTACACTGTTGCGACTAGTCAACGGCGAGGATCTGTCGAGCTGTCGAGCTGTCGCAGCTGTCAAGCTGTTGAGCATTGCCTGGCTCAGCAAAATAGATGGGCAAATATTGACCTTTTTTTGAGTCGTCGCAAAAACGCAATTGCCTATTCTGCATCACTATCTATCTTCCCCATGGGGATGTGTTGATTCTCTGTCGATCCCTGATGATTGCGACAGTTTGGATGGAGTTGAGGACGGTGATCATTGATGGGCCACATGGGGAGAGGAAGCTATAAAGTAGTACGAGTCACGACTAGTGCGCTTTCGACTTATGTATAACCGAGACGGGAAGCTCAGCTGTAGTGATATGGAGAAGAGCTGTGGTGCTGCGAACCTGCGGTGAAGTCGACGAGACGTAGGGCATCTGATTGGAGTTTGTGGATCAAATCATGATTTACGCGGATGGCATCTTGACCGTCAAGTGTGACCACTTGAGACCAGTGAGCAGTGAGCACTGCGCAGGAGGAAGTGGGTGGATGAATGGAGCGCGGATGCGGCCACATGCACTTTGTAGATAGACTTACATTGCTGATGCGCAGGAGGGTGCGTTCATTTACACCGATACCATTATGGACAATACTTCCCTCGGGGTGAGTGTGATGAACGTGAAAAGCGCAGGGCGCTCACCAACAACGTTACAAGCTTCAGGTTACCGCCAGCTGATAGGCTCGGTGCGTTCCAGCTTGGACTCGGCTAAGTCAACCATGCCACTTGCATGCCCAGCTTTTTGGAGCATGCCGTCGCAAGTACTTCTTCGTCAAGCTTCCAGACGCTCGAAATCTCAGCCAACCCCAGGTCTCGGACTGGCAGCAAGGTCTGTGAGCTTCTTCTCCAGCTCTAACAACATACTCCGTCTTCTTCTTGATCCTCGACTCGCGTTGGGTCCCACACACACCTTTTTCTGATGCGTCCACACGTCTTCGTCGCCTCGCAAGACCCCTCCTCCCTGCTCAGCAGCCACAACACGTTTCGCCATGTTATCGACAAGTCAAGCTAGAACAGCTGGGACCCCCCGCTTCAAGTCCCTTCCTGCAGCTGTTGAAGGCCAACCCAAGCCAACCGTCGGAGCACCGCTGGCGAGGCAGCGAGGCCAGCCGAAAAAATGCGCCGACTTTTTTGCAGATCTCAACCATTAGGGACATAACCCTGCATCTTAGCTGCACCTGCTAAGGCAGAGATGCTGCTGATATTAGAGTGCTGATATTAAGAGCCGAGATACCTTGCCAGAAAAAACAACGTTGCGGAGTGGCAGGTGTTGCGATACCTTTTGACATGAGCAGTCTCTGGTCAAGTGTCAGAGACTGCTCAAGTGCGCCATAAGTCGTGCAATGAAGCGTGCATTGCGCACCGAAAGCTAAGACAAACCCACGACGTACACACTGTGGAGGGAAAATAACCCCAGATCAACGGTCACGGCATAACGACGGATCTCACCGTGATGCACGCTCCACGGCCTCACAAAGGCTTGACAGTCTTGGCGGAAAGCGAGCACTTGCCTCGGGACTCACATCTGTTAAAGCAGCAATTGCGGGAAATCTTGATGAACGAATAGCAGCACGACTGATAAGCAGTGGGAGGGATCAAAAAGCCCGGGATAAATAGGTGACGAGGACAGTGCACTGTGCTTTTCAGAAAGCTCTCTCTTTTCTTTTCCATCTGCCACCCGTGTGGCTATTTTGCTGAATATGAACGGCCCGGTCTCACCTCGGATTGCGCGTCGCCAAGGCGGCCTTGCAGACGGAAAGCCCAACCCCCTCATTGTTTCCCGACTTTCTCCCCTCACGAGAACGCCATGAACACCATGGGGTTTTCTCACTCCACCACCCGTCGGGTGATTCTGCTGATGATCGTACCGATCTGCCTCAGGAGGCCAAGCTAGCACTTCAGCCAGCATACTCAGCTGCCCCAGCTGGGGCTGTGATAAGGCGACCCCAAATAGTGTCCACTTGTGGCTGAACCCCGTTTCGCGCCTTACTCTCAGCTATGTCTTCAGCTGGCCCCCAACGTTCACCCTTGTCTAGTGTTTGCACAACAACGCCAGTTACACAAGCCGATTCCTCTTCAAGTTTTGTTGCGGTAGGAGGCTAAAATACAAGTCGCTTGGATGGGACTGGCGCGAATGCCCGGGACTGAATCACGTCGCTGGGATCTTTGATTATCTTACACGCAATGAGTTCCGGGTGAACATGTAAATATTAGGCACCTGGATACAAGAAACAAGAACCCTAGGATTTAGTGATGTTTGTCTACTTCTAGGAGTTCGTAATTCCCGTACTGCATATATTCATAGTCTGGTGGGAATATATAAGCTTACTGAGCAACGGTTGGTTAACAGACCATCAACCATTAGGTTGCGTCAAGAAGCAACTATCTGTTGTCGGTGCCGCCAAATTCCTTTCTTCAGAGCCTTGAGCCTTGTTACTTGTTCTTCTTTAACAGTTGGAGGCATCAGCGGCCTGTGTCTCTCATCTACGGGCGCCCAAAGTATGAAATGCATAACTTGAGCTTTTGGCGTTTTAGCTACCTAACCAATATGCTGACTCGATTCATCAACCTATTCCGCTTGATAATATCACTAGCGAGACTCGAGCTAGATTCGAGGTTCATGAATACGCAAGCATCCTGATATCTGCCTTATTACTTTCGAATGTCGCCATGTGATAAGTCTGACGGACCTGATCACCAACTTTCCAGACTAATCATATTGCGAAATACGTTCGTTTCGGATTCGGTAGTAGTGGGAACACGAACTTCACGATATTTTAAATTTCCTACCATATAGTTACTAACTCCTGCAGCTTACCCTAATTTCTACTATTCTGAAGAAGTTTCTAGTTAGACTCTGGATAGCTGCTATATATGTTCTATTGAGATTCGAGGAATCTACAAACGCTAGGATCCTAATTCCTCGATTATTCACACTCCTCCTGTAAACTCAAGTACTTAACATCCCTAGTCTGATCTAATCAATGGAATAAGGTCGAGGTCGAGTCTAGATGGCTTCTATCTTGATCCGAAGTTTGCGGTAACTCTGGTACTCCCTTATTTACTATCTGTCCCTTCACCAACATTCCTATCTTCCCCAACCTGACCCAAACAACTCCTACTTACGATATTATATAACATGGCTTCGTCCTAAATTCGATGCATGCTTCGAGCTAAATTTGAGCCCGATTTTCGATGGGTTCTATTTATATTCGAATTCCATAAATACCATCAGACAGCTCAGCAAAATGGACTCTAGAGGCGACAAGAGCCTCACATCCTCGGTTTGGGGCAACACATCGCAGCGGGTACCAAAGTCAATCGCCGATATCCACGTGACATCATCACAAGAGAAGAAGACAAAGAAGCGGAAGAGAGGGAAGGACTCGGCCGCATCTGAAATTGACGATCCGTCCAAGAAATTGCGCTTTAAGTCAAGGAACGAGACTGTCCGGCCTCAAGGATGGCGCAATACCGATAACTCGGTGATTACGCTACCTCCAGAATACTATAGATCAAGAGAACCACCGATATTCAAGAATCGGAGGCAGATTTCTTCCCAGCCTGCATTTTATTGTTTGGCTGGTTGCGAGACTTCCTGCCATTCCCCGCAGCCGGTCACTATCCTAGCAACAACTTGGTTAGACATATAGGGCGCTAATATTATCAGACCTCTTTACTTCGTCGTGTATACACGACTTGACAATGACGTCCAGGCGCCAGGGACCATATACATGTTAGCACGCCGAATTATATGCCATGCGTGCCCGGATTCTCCTTCAGATGCGATGCATCCTACACACCGAATGCCGGTTGGCGTTGGATGGTAATAATGTACAAAGGCATACGGAACCTGAGCGACCATTTCACCAATACAAATGAGAGCCCATACAGCCACTTCTACCTAGAACACTTGACCGAGAAATGGTATAGTGCTTACAAACCTTGCATGAAGCTCTGCCGCCGACGTATTGGCGTTTCTAGAAATAAGTACAACCTCACCTAGATGAAAAACCTGTTCGAACCCAGCTCAAGATGATATTTTCTTTCCACGTCAGCGGAGCCGGCTTCAGAGGTGTTCTGTTGCCAACAGACGGCTCAAGATATTATGGATCACCATTACAGTGCAGATGCCCTTACATACCGGGAGACGTTGACCAAACCTCGAGAAATCCCGATTTAAGGACTACTTGCACCAGGAGGTGCACGCCGAGTTGCGCAAAGACACAGACGACGATGACGGGCTTGGTTATCTAAATCTCTCGGATTACTCCAAGCAATCGTTATTGCAGCGATTGGAGTGTTGCCTGACCAAAAGCATGAAGCTTAGCCATGCCATTTGGAAGGTAGCAGTAGCAGGTGGGCCCCCTTTTACTCGATTCACAGGCACCAGACGAACTTGGTAGAACGATGGGATCTTGCCGCTTGCGCTTGATGTTCAGGAGAGCACCATACTCGAACAAGCTATAGAGGTCATGAGAGCCGATGAGGATTTCGTAAGAGTCTCTTCGGTCATGTGCATTATGGGATAATCCCGAAACTTGACTCCTTATTCAAATTTTTAGCAACGGTGTAGCAGTGACGAGAAGGCCCAAATGCATGATTGGCTGTTCATCGACTTCATGGACAGAGCACCTTCCCAAAACGGAGCCCCTGGACAAAACCTGTGAGGATATGTCTTTGGGGACAAGAATCACTTACCACTCAACCTTGACCCCCACAAGTGAAATCTCCATTCTCTACAGTTGACTAGCGCATACTGGCTTAAGACCACGTCCGATGACCAACTTCCACCGCCAATTCGGGGAACACACGGGCCCATGACCATGTTTCCGAATATCGTCTTGGATCACTATCAGAAGGATTTCTAGAACGGGTTGATTTTAGGCCGTACTTCATCATTATTCCACCTGGAATAGTCTGACATATACAAATGCGCGGCTGCATGCTTGGTATAGTTGATTCTATACTGCGCTTTCGGGCTCGGAAAATGACTGCCTGAGCCGCCGCGGACGAGATGCGATACACGCAAGGACTCGGGTATGCAACTAAATGTTAGCGGCTACTTACCAAAAGATTCCAGTTCGAAACAAAACCTGACCTACCTTTATTGTTGGAAAAAGTCACGTTCTCTCTACACTTCCCAGGCTTGATGTTGGCGAACGGCTGCGTGCGGTATTTCAATATCACGGATGAAGAATGGATAACACACTGTGCTTGGGAATAACTAGCCTGTGATGACTTTTAGCTTTGCTATAAAAATCCAGGTCTTTGGTTAGTCGCTTTCCGGTGTAGGAATCATGATGCGTTCGTTACCTACTTGAGTAGTGACTAGACCTATCTACATTTCATCGGAGATGCGATCCTCCCCTCCGCCGTCTTTAAACTGGAGGGTGGATATGTGTCAGATTTTCGGAGCTAAGCTACACTTCATAATGGCGTAGTTGTTGATCAACGGATTGCACCTCGACTCGCTTGCCACTGCTTGCCATTCCATGACATCAACTCTGGCACTACTTGAAGCTCAAGAATAGACCGCTCTTCGTCCACCGAGCTCGACTTTTGTTCAAGTCAACAAATACTCGTGGCAGACCGGGTTTCTCACATACATGCAGGCATGTAGCCAAGGCACTTAATGCGGACGATCTCTGTAACTGTGAACGTGTTACTCTCTAGTGATGAGCCTATATTTGCTATCCCCGATTGGGACGGTTGGGGCTAGAATGCAACAGTATTGCTCGAGTAGGATAAATGTGTTTGCCACAGCGCGAAAACGGTATTACCCTATAGAATAACTATGGAATGACATGGAACAAGAAATAGTGTCCCACGATATGCACAGGTTCATTCCATAGCAGGGTTCTACTTATTTCAGATTCTACTTATTAGTGAGGGCAGAATGATGGCGCTCCTATCCATAGCCGTCTCTTAGGCAAAGGCTTTGGCTTGGGGTTGCGTAGCTCCCAGGCAGTATGGAGCATAGTTGGCCCCCAATTAAGTAGGCTTCATTGAGTGATCTGTCGGATCAAACTGCTCGATAGGTGGTTTCCCGCCCTGTCCTCTACAGCCAATAGCAGGATATCTACTCCATTACTTTCTCTTCCGTCTTTCACTTGCCATTTGCGCCAGCACCATTTTGCTCGTTTATTCGACGTTAAATGCCTGGTTTCTGTGGTAGGGTCAATTACTCAATCGACACATCTACTTGACCTGGGCAACCAATTGTGTGTGCGAGCAACAGTTACATCGGCGTCTGCAGCTTTGATCAAGATATTGGTGTATTGCCACTTTTGTAGATTAGCAGGTACTCGCATCGCACAAGTGTCACATTCGCATTCACATCGGTGGTCGTGCCTCGTATCCCAATGACAAGGACACGGATAGCGGCTCAAGTGTTGTATAACTCGACCAGTGTCGTGTCCATCGATCCATCACATCCTCTTCTCTGAGTCTACGAACTTCAGCTCTTTAGCTCCGTCACTTGTCCATCTCTAGTCCGAAGATGTTTCGGAGCTACTATCAAATATAATTACAGGCGACGATGGGCTTGCAGTTATATTGTTCGCATCTGACAGTGGGTTAAAAGAAGCTGAAATATCAGATAATATATATAAAGAGCATCTTCCACACTCCAGCAGTCCAGACAAGAGCCCATGTGAATAAATAACAAAGCATGATCAAAGCAAGTGCATTTGGTTGCAAATCTTATGGTTATTAGATATAGCAGAGTCAAGTATAAAAATGAGACAGATAACGTGGTGAAGAGGACTTGATAAATGAAGGCCAATAATTTCTTGCGTTGAAATGCTCCAATGTTAGAATACCGGCTATATAACCCCAGGGAATGGGGTGGATGACATGATACGACCCAGTGATTCAAGGGCCATTATGGTTTGAAGATGCCCGGCGATCCCGAAACATCTTTCCCATTCTCTGTTTTTTGCCTTGTCGGACAGCTCTAGGACCCTTGATAGGCTACAGGTAAGTTGTGTATCAAAATGGACAACAAATCAGGACCGAAATGCGAGCATCAACAAATCTGCGTGATACGTGACCCCATGGGGGTTTACCCTATAGCGATAGATAAGATAGATAAGATAAGATAAGAGCTATAAAAGAGCTCTGCTAGGCCAGAGTAGCTGACCTGGCCATCTTTTCCCAATACAACAATTCACACCCCATATGCACTCGCATCACTGCGTTTGGGGTTCGAAATACAGCCTGAGTTACAGTTCCATACTTTCTCAGCATTATCTATGCTATATTATATGTGATTTTACTGCAGTTCGACCAGAAGCTTTGCGAATTACTACTTAAGTAGGTACGCATTTATTGTCGGAGCAATACGGTCTAAGACTATACAAAGAGTTCCTCGGTTTACCGAAGTACATATGACCATCGAGAACCACGACCAATATATATTAACTTGAGAAACGATAGCTAGACTTCGGTAAAAGAATCCTAAAATAGTCGCTGGTTGACCAATTGATCCATTAAAGACGAGCAATCGGATACAGCATCACTGTACGATTATGTCCTTGTCTGCCCCGCCGAAGTATGAATTAGACCCAATTCCACAACTAGGGACATTCTAAGGGAAATATGTGGTCGTCAAATCACACATCTCAAATCGGGGCGAAGGACAAGCTCAAATACTAGTAAATCAAACTTTGAAGATATTTAACTTGCGAAGAGAGCTGAGCGAGCTTGGAGCTTGGAATGCAAATAGCACCCAATAGAGCCACCCCTAGATAACACCGTCCTTTGTCGCAATAACGTCGACTTCTGCTCTGACAAGAAAGGGGAGTGTTCTCTCCTGCCAGCTAGGCTCGTAACGGTATGATTACCCTTAGACATCTAGTACTTTACTTAAGCATCTGTATTTAGTACGTGCTAAGTGGTATTCAGATGCATCATGCTTCAAGGCCATTCCAGTGGATATTGCAATCAGGCCAGTGTGTAGCATAATGATTTGTATGTCATGTTTATTCACATTACTTGTCCATTCAGTTACCTCATCTTTCAAATTGAGGACCAATGCCAGTAGTAACGAGGAAAAATCCAGAAGAGGATAAGGAGGGTTTTCGAGGCTCAGGTTGGATTTGAAACCCGACCAAAAGACCAAAAAGAAAAAAAAAATGGTTTGCTTCTTCTTTGTATAGCGTGTCATCCTTAGTGCAGGGCTGGAGAACTATTAGTGTCTATCATATTGCTAGATGCAAGATTCGAACTTACGCCATGCTAATCTTCTCTGTATCGTTTCAAATTGACCAAATGCCCGAAGGCGAAAGAAAGAGTGCAACTTGGCATTAAGACCCAGCGAAGGATTCTTCCGAGGGGCGCACAGAAGCATATCTGATCCGTGCGTGTCTTCCACCAAAAAAGGGTTAGAAAACCCCATCTTACCCTCAAAGCCGATCATCAAATGTGTGGCCTTGACTTCCACAAAATATATTGCAATAGGTTGGGCTGCGTTCCGATGAAATGTGAAAAAAGACAGAACACATCAACTGAATTTGAATGTGCGAAACAAGCGCGTCAGATTCAGTTGTCGCCTGCTTACCTTGGGATTTCCTCAGGGAATGAGGACGGTGGCCGAAGGACACACTCACTGTACCAAGGTAGAGAAAACCTATGTTGTGGTTCGGAGCGAGGTTGGTTGGGGACATCGTCATCGTCTTATACTCTCCTACACCACTTTGACGATAATAAGCTAGGCCTGTTAGGGCTGGAACCTAACTGCGTCTTCTCGTCTCCGATTCAGGACTTACCCCACTTTGATTACTTCATGCAATAGCATTCTTCACTGTATCCAACTCTCTCCGCCAGCACGCTTACTCCACGGACTGACTGGTAGACATGGATGAGAAAATCACTGGCAATCAACATTCCGTAGCTGCTGACCAATGGCGACTTGTATTGAGTGTTGTGTGTTGTCAAATATAGTAATCAAGACTTCGCATCTGTCCTGTTTGTTCTGTGTACCGTCAGCTTATCACTCGTACCTCATGAGGGCTAAGAGAATATGCGTTGCCTTGAATTCTTCGTGACGACCTATAGATATTATGAATGAAATCCCTTGTCCTTGAAACACAGTTTGTGCTTCCATAGTGGTCCAACCAGAAGCATTTTCAAGATAAGCCTTCCGTACATTCCCAGCAACAAAACCGAAGCACATGTACAAATCCCATTCCATCCAATTGTGAACCACCTCTTGTCACCACCTCTCCACAACCGTAGCATACACATACAGTCCCTTCGCCGGCCTAGCCGTGACACTCCCCTTAATCAACATCTTCTCCTCATCCATCTCCTCCTCGTCCCTCAACCTAAACTCGAACCTCCCTATCCACGACGCCAAAAGACACGCAAACTCGGCCTTGGCAAAGCTCTGCCCAATACAACTCCTTGGCCCATGCAAGAAAGACATGAATGCGTAATTACTTGACGCCCCACCGCTAGCCGTAGCTTTCGTCTGCTCATCCCCATCTTTCGCAATCCACCGCTCGGGCTTGAATTCATCTGCGTCGGAGCCCCACAACTTCTTATCGAGATTGGTGGCCCAGGGGCAAAGAATGATGCGTACTCCCTTAGGGACGAAATGGCCCTGGATGCTGGTGTCGATAACAGATTCGCGGGTGGTCAGGGGTACGGGGGAGTAGTACCGCAGGACTTCGCTGCAGACGGCATTTAGGTAGGGGAGGTGGTCGATTTCGAGGCTGGTGACGTCGCGGTCGGAGGACATGGAGGGTAGATTTTCGCGGATTTCCTTGCGGAGCTTAGTTTGAATTTCCGGATGGCGGCAGAGCATGTAGACGGCCCATGTCATGGCCGATGCGGTGGTTTCGTGCCCGGCCGCTAGAAAGGTCATGAGCTGGTTGACGAGATTCTCGTCTGTGAAGCCGCCGGACTCGAGGGCGATGGAGGTTATGTCCGGATCTGTGGGTTCCTTTCTCGCAAGCCTCTGTTTCTTCTCCAGGATAATGTCGTTGCATACGGAGCGAATAGTTCGGGCTGCCAGGTTGATATCATTGTTTCGCTTGACAGGCAAATGCGTGATAACCCAATTCGGGAGCAACAACGACATGATCCCCAGAATTTGGGCCTGCTTTGATGGTTTGAAAAGACTCTGGTAAGTTTGATTCAGTTCGTTGTTGGGATCTTTGATGGCCCCAAAGTCCCTGCCCAGTCCCGCGACTCCAATGATATCAAGCGTGACCCGAGACGCCCAGGAGCCAACCTCTAAGACAGCAGTTTTCTTGCCCGTTTCAGACAGCGCTTTCTCGAGGTCCTTGGAGGTTGCGTGTAGAGAGGCGTTCTTGGTGATCTCCTCGGTCATCGCTTCAACTCCCTCACGGCTCTTCTTCCAGAACACCGGGTACAGATCTTTAATATGTCTAAACGCAAATGCGGGCATGAGGTTTCGACGCTGCAATCGATGTTGTTCTCCTTCGGCAAGCAGTATGCCGATCCCGAGAATTCGACCGATGGAGTTTCGGAACTGAGAGGGCTTTTCAAAGTCATAGTTGCGAGTCACCAAAACCTCGGAAAGTGCCTTGGGTGACGTGATGAGCAAGCGCTCCATGTTAAAGAGACTCGTGTATCGAATTAGCCCCTCATTCGGCACGTTGGTTACCCTGAGTAACTGTCAGCCACGAGGTGCATTATTAGGGTCGTCAAGACATACCAGTCCCTCATCGGAATACCTGTGGGCTCCGCAGCTATCCTCTTGAACTGGCCCATAAAGAAACCGCCACCGGCCGGCTCTGGCAAGCCGCGTAGGGGTGAGAAGAACTTAGGGTATAACAAGACTTTCCATATCCCCCAGGCAAGACCCTGGAGTAACCAGAGACCGACGAATAGTGTTGTAAATTGACGTTTAGTCCATGTTGGCCAACGGGACACAACTAGGAATGTAAAGATGACCGACACAAGCGACACGGCCCGCCAAGGTAATGTGGCCATAATAAAGACGTTGAATAATCAGGCCAGCCTTGTTGAGAAAAAAGTCATTGTTGTGATCAGGATTATAAGTCTCCCAGAACAGTTATGGCATATTGGCGTGCGGATGGATAGTGGGTCGTCCCAACTGGCAACTGTAGCACCATGCGACGGAGGTATGGTTTCAGAAACCGTACCTGAACAACGTCGGGTACCTCGCAAGATCGCAAGAGCGGAGGTTACGAGGCCCGGCGGTAAGTAAAGAAAATAAAACACTGAAGACCCCCTAGCGAATCGAGCTGACCGAGCTGGAGTGATGACGTGTAGATCGCAAGAAGTCCACACTTTTTAACGACTGCTAGTTATGGACTAGAGTGTGGCTAGGTGCCTCTGGGAGTACACTTAGCCCAAACGGCTTAGGCCACGAGTTATGGTCGGCCTTCCAAATCCGAGCTGACCTATCCACGGAGCGAATGGCTACCCTTTCTGGACATACCTGGGAGGGCTTGCGTGTGGTCGAATCTATCAGATGAACATTGCGAGGGGTTATGTTTAAACTTGTTCCTGGCCAACACCTTCGACCCAGCACAAGGTCACCAGGTACTCTAAATCGGCCCCTGATGAGTGTAACGAGGTTGAGCTTTCCACAAATATCTGGGCTCCAGTAGATGATGTCGGTGGTGATGGAGGATTTCAGCTACTGTGTAGTAATCTGCGGTCGGCCTCGGCGTTGACGAAGTCTATGCCAGATCTGGCTTAAGCCTGAAGATGTTGGGATGAAGAAGACGCGGAAACAACTGGGGCTCTCATGTTTCATGCGGCTACTCAAAGTAACCCGGTAGCGTCGACATTATCGTCCGCCTGGTGATGAAACCGCGACATTCTTCCACCACCATGTGTATAAACGAAACCGAGCCATCAAGAAATGTCCCCGACGAGCGATGGGCTACGTAGGGGACGGAGGGATTCTTCACCCCGCCGTCATAGTTGTGGAAAACGTTTCTTGGTCATGATGGAAAAGTGGTCAGAACTAGGCACCGGAATAGTTGAGTCCCGGCACGTTGAATGGCAACTGTCGAAGCTTTTCTCGACCAAGTCGTGACCTCAAGAAGCTAGGTTTTGCGAGGCCTGACTAATTAAACGACTCTGAATGGTGATGGTGTTCGGAAGATATCCGTGGTGGACACACCTTGAGACGATCCTAGTAAGGGATGTGTATCGGGGACGTCATGTGCCGACAATTGCCAAATATGTGGCTTCAGAACATCGGGAAACATTCCGGTCTGATTCGCGGCCAGTTGTGTTTCCCGACCCCTCCTCGCGACAGCTCATCAGAATACACGAGGAATTCCTGCAAGGGAAGACAACATTGAGATGTGATGTTACATGGGTTTAGAGTGGGGCTGAAATACCTTCCGAGACCTTGTAATGGGATATAGGCGACCCATTGCATATTACCATACTATGGAAATAACCGAAACCGATAGCAGGCGTGCTCACTCCTCATCCGAGCCATCATGGTATTTCTAATCAATGCCGGCTTTCGAAGCAAAGAGTGTAAGAAGTTGACGACTTCTTGCCGGTATATTTCACAACCATTGAAAATCGCTCGTTCAAGTTCGTACCCGAATTTCAGGCGAGATGAGTTTCTCCGCAGCCAAGGTTGGCATTTTGTCCATTGGAGACATGGGCATGGGCATAGCGAGGTTGCTGGTAGCGAATGGGTTTTCCGTTGCAACAAATTGCCAAGGTCGAAGGTAGCACGAGCTTCTCAACTTGACATTCTTGACACCCCCCTATTTGCACGGGAGGCGCGGGTAGTGTATCCATGGTCCAACTAGAGTTTCCTGTCTTTCTTTTTTACTTGATTCATCGGCTTGGTGCGTTCCGGAGACTGAGCTCTTACCAGCAACGACACCCTCGAACGAGCCAGGAGCGCCAACATCGACATTCTCAACTCGGACGTCGCCCTGACAGATGAGTGCTCCGTCATTCTTTCGGTGGTACCACCACGGGACGCCATCGCCACCGCACAAAGAGTGATAGACGCCCTGGTGGGCACAACGCAGCGGCAGCGAAGCACCCCACTGTACTTCGCCGACTTGAACGCAGTGGCGCCTTCCACGGCAAGGACCATTGCCTCCTTATTCGAAAAGCCCAGACTGCCCGTCCGCTTCGTCGATGGCTGTATTCTGGGGGGTCCGCCGTCGCCCAAACCTGCCGACCCCGCAGCCGACGGTGCGGAACCAGAGTGGAACAAGCCAAGTATCCCCACCTCCGGACCGCACAAGCTGTCCGACGTATCTGAAATCGGGCAGAAGCTGTTCGCGACTCTCAACATGAAACACATTTCGCCGGACATCAGTGCTGCCAGCGGTCTCAAGATGTGCTTCGCCAGTACGACAAAAGGGTTTACTTCACTTGCCATCCAGGCTTTCACCACGGCGGAGAGACTAGGCGTGTTGGATGAGTTGAAGCATGAAATGCAGACCATGATTCCCGGGCACTGGAAGATTGCTCAGGGTGGGGTCATCGGCATGGCTCCCAAGGCTTATCGATGGGTTCGAGAGATGGAGGAGATCGCCTTAACTTTTGAAGAAGAGGGTGGGTTCAGCCAGGATTCGTTCCAGGGGGCGGCTAAGGTCTTTAAGGCTGTGGAGGAATCCGAGTTGGGACAGGAGAAGGTTGGGAAGAGGAAGAGAGGGACGACGGTTGATGACATGGCGGCCGCACTTTCCGAGGGCATGGATAAAAGACGGAAGAAGCGCGACTAAAACTAGAGCGTCATTGGAGAATAGATTGTCTACGGTCTAGCAGATCAAAAAATGATATGAATTGAAGAATATGGTTATGACAGTCCAGCACTGATCTCCATAAGAAACTACTTCATTTGGCTGTGCTTAGATTGGCACCCTGCGTAGAAACGTATTGATAACACACAAAATACGGACAGGCACCATCTTCTCCACCGTCACCCTTGCTCACCCAAATAGAATATACCAATGTCAACACGATATGAAGGACGCGTCTTACCCGGTATCAGGAAAACCTCATACTGACAAGACATCCAAATTTTGTGATGTTAATGAAGACGACATTACATTGAATCGCATATAGTCTCTAGTACGCAACATCGACCACAGTACGATGACGAGTCGCCCTTCTAGCGGGTACTCTAGGGAAGAAATGGATGAGGTCTCACTCGAAACGAGTGAAAAAATGAGGATACTCGGCCCTTGAGTCTAAGAAAATTGAGCTTGTCAAGATGCAATGGCATGAAAAAGTCTAGCTGCGTTCGCATGTCTACAGCACTAGATGACAATTTGGAGTATAATTTCTAACATCAGAGGCTATAAACTCTGTCTGTTGCAGTCATGCGCTTCCCCAACTTCGTTAGACCATTGAGATCTCTACCGCAATAATGACATGTTGTGATGTAGGTGGAATCACTACATTCATGAACGCGGATCGAAAGGTGGGGGAGTTGTGAAGAAAGGAAAAGAGAAGAAAGAAGGCTTTGCTCACAGATATAGGTAACCATTAGGCGTAGAGTACTTGCTATTTACCTCCATGACTTGTCACAATAATAGAATATGGAAATGGACCGCTGTGGTACTATATCCATTAATATCCACAAATCCAGCGGACTATGATGTTTCCTAGTTATCCAACACCTAGTATGATTTGCTTCGTTTCTAACGTGAGCGAGTGGTACTCAAACATACCCACTTGGATGTAAAAACGTGCCAACGTCTAGAAAGCCTTCTAGCTGTACTACGCAGACTTGATGGATTGACCAATCGGAATGGCATGGCTTTCAGTCTGAGATAATTTAAAGCTGTTTTACGATTCTTTAATGAATATTGTATCCCTTGAATGGCCATAGATGTATAGCTGACTAAGATGATTAGCAGGAAACTGCGACTTACAATTACGTGCGGGACCATTCCGCGTTGGGGGCCAGAGGATTTCCTAGAAATGGTGAAGTAGTGACTGGGCCATAGCTCTTGAGAAATGGCAATGACGAGGAGCCGTGGTTCAAAGAGACGAGCAGTGTCAGACATAAGGCAGATAGCCAAACAGAAAGATAAATGAATACCTGGAGTACCGACAGAAAACTCGCGAACTAAGCGAGCATTGTACAGACCTCAGTACTTATCCATGATTGCCGATACTTCACCCACCCAGTAGGCACACTCATAGTGTTTCGTCCTGCAACTGGGAACTTCAAATCTGCGAAGCCAATACCGAGAAAGCCTGCTATATAGATCGTGTTGAATTCATCGGCATCGCCGACGCTGCAAGTTGAAAGCGGCCGCTCATGCAATCATCTGAAGTATACATACTCTACTTCCCTCGACTGCCCAGATCATATTTATGCCGGAACAGTGCCCTTGTGGTACTTGGTCGGCACAAATGGCATCTTCGTCACCGTAGCCTTCCGCTTCCTCCCTCTCACAACCACCTCAACTTCGGTGCCCGACTTGTGCAGCCCATCCTTGATGTAGCCCATGGCGATGTTCTTCCCCAGCGTCGGGCTGGGACAGCCGCTTGTCACGACGCCAATCTTCTGGCCCTCCTTGTCTAATATCTCAACGCCCTCACGCGCCGGGGCTCCCTCGATTACAAGCCCGACACGTCTCCTCTCAACGCCCTTCCCGCCTTTGCTCTTAGGTATGATCTGGCCCAGGATGACATCAGCGCCGTGGAACGCACCGTCCGCCTTGGGATCCCGCCTGTCTTTCCCAACGATCCAGCTCAATGCAGCGTCAACGGGGGTTGTTGTATCGTTCAGGTCATGACCATACAAGCACATGCCCGCCTCCAACCTCAAGCTATCCCTGGCGCCCAAGCCAGCAAACCGCAGCTTCTCTTCTCCGCCGGCCTTCAGCAGAGCCTCGGTAACAGCAACCGTCTCCTCAGGCTCAATGCTGATCTCGAATCCGTCCTCACCGGTGTAACCCCCCCGGCTAACCAGAACCGGCTTCGACAAGTCAGAGCCGCGTATCTTCAGCATCGCAACAAGGCACTGGCCAAAATACAGCTCCTTCAAGTTAGATTTGCCCGGCGCAACCAGGATCTCACCCAGAATCTCCTCCGACAGAGGTCCCTGCAACGCAACGAGCCCCCAGCCATCCAAAACCTCGTGCTTGACCGTCTCACCGCCCTCGGCCTTCCACTGTGCCAGCTGCTCGTCCAAGTATGCAAGATCCTTGTCCCGGCAAGCCGCATTTGTGACTACATAGAACTTGTCGTCTTTGAGCTTCGTGATGATCGTATCATCCACAATTCCTCCTGTCCCTGGCCAGAGCAACGTGCTCAGGGTGCTCTGATGCAATGGGAGGGCTTGCAGCGACCCGGGAGTGATGCGCTGCAGGAAGGCGGTGGCACCAGGGCCCGTGAAGTGGTGTTGCACCATGTGGCCTACGTCGAACAACGACGCGTGCGAGCGGGTGAAGTGGTGCGAGGCTGAGACGGACAGTCTAGAATACTGCACCGGCATGTGGAAGCCACCGAACGGCACCATCTTGGCCCCGTGGGCGACGTGTAAGTCATACAGAGCTGTCTTTTGAAGCGCCGAGGACGACGAAGAGGCATAATTTCTCGAGTGCAGGCCGGTTCGAGTGTGGGAAGTGCGTACTGAGCATCGCGATCGCACGGAAGCTATTGCGGCTGCGTTGGTTAGGGAGACGGTGGAGAGCTGGCGAGTGATTAGGGTTGGCACTCGACCGACTTGGACGAGTTGAGGGCTCGGAATGAGCTTCCTCGCTGGACGTAGAGCTCTTGACAACCTCATCATGGGCCAATGGGTGGAAGAGAGTTGTACGATTCCAGTTGACCATGCCTGCATGATCGAGTCGTTAGGGCTCGGCATGTGTTCATTCCATCGTTATCAACCTTCGGGGGCCGACTGCGGCCGACTGCGGGGCACAGTCCCACCTCCAATTCATTATCCGAAAGGTAAAATAGAATGACGTGATCCACAAGTCATTTACGCACACAAGTCACTTTCGCACTTTTCTTGGCACCTTCAAGTAATTCAGTAATATCCTATGCATAACCCGCATTTTATCCTTTAAATTACTCAAAATCTTCTTCATTATCAGTTTCTACTTGTATTGAACAAGTCCTTGCATTATGTCCAGTCCCTCCGCAAATACCACAGCGCCTTATACCGGTCTGCCGGCGCTTTGCAGGACAACTGCTTTCCCCTTCTTCCTCCTCCATAACCTTGATATCACCCCTCAAGGCCCGTAAAACTTGTGCATCACCTATACTAAGTGCTCCTCCATATTGGATTTGCTTATTTTTCGTCCTACGACGTTTACTTAGTATATGGTTCGTCTCACGAAGCTCTTCGTTCTCCCGACGTAATAATGCATTCTCATGCATCATTGCATGCGTAGCCTTCGTAATCGAGTTAATTGAGTTCAAAATATGCGTCGGCGAGCTGTCTTGATGCCTCTGGACGCTACTTTTAATCAAAGTTGACTGCGATGCGGCTTCGAGGGTGTTGGTAGGCGTCTTAGAAACCCAGACGGAGGGAGGCAATTGGGGGTCGGGTGTCGGTGTTCGTACTACTTTTGCGATATCCAACGTAGATATGACCCTATCCGGGTTAAAAGGAACAAGTCCAGCTACTTCGAATCCTGATCTGATGTTTTTTTCGTGAAAAGCACCAATGAAAGCTTCTAAAAACCCAGCTAAGAAATCCTGCTTCTCAATATGGGTTTGATGCCTTTGCATTAAACCCTCCACGAACGCACCGTACAGCCGTTTCAACACACTAAAAGGTACCAAATCCAAAGGCTGGAGCTTGTGGGATGAATGGGAAGGCATACACAATGTAATTACGCCGTGCGCCGCGAGGTAAGTCTCAAAATCCATCGAGTGGTGGCTCTCGTGACCATCCAATATTAAGAGACTTTTCGCACCCTTCCGACGGCTAATAATATATTGAACAAAGTGTTCTGCCCATTCCACACCAATATTATTAGTAGTCCAACCGTTATGGGAAAGGTCGACCTTCCAGTTGGCCGGTAGGTCGTTACCGCGATACCACGAAGCAAGATGAACCTTGCCCGCGAAGATGATGTACGGCGGTACCGCCCAACCTTGCGAATTAATAGCCTGGATCACCGTAACCCATTCCCGACCTCCTTGTGTAGCCTGTCTAGGCCGTCCGTGTCTTTCTGCACTCGTTACAACCATACCGGTTGTGATTATGCCCATTAGGAAGCCCGTCTCGTCAAAGTTGTAGATATCCTCCGGTAGGATACCGTATTTAGCGATTGTGTCCCTAACAAGCTCAAACCACGCGTAATACGCGATAGTATCTTCGCTAAATACCCTCTGGTAATCAATTCGACGGTTTAAACGCGTTTGGAGGTCTTGTCGGCGGTTAACGAAGTTCGTGGTCCAGTTCTTGCCGACGGGGGGCGCGTCGCGTACACGTCGTAGGATATTCGCCATTTCTTCAACGTATCGAAGCCGAGGAGGAAATGCTCGCGCATCTAGCTCAATTATACGTCGGGCAATCGTATCCTCTTCGGTTTGAGTTAGATTTCGTTTTAACATATTAGCTTCGTGTCGCGTTTGGTCGCCGTCGAATCGATTCTTTAGTGTACGGTCGCAAACGTTGTAGATACGGCCAAGCTTACGCCATGAAATTTCAGGGTTGCGCTTTTTAGCTTGGATAGCTAGCTGAAGATCGGCTTCTTTGGATTTACGAGGCATGTTGTGGGAGGGAAGAAAAGTGCAAGCTAAGTTAGAAGGTTGAAATATTTGAAAAAGTGCGAAAGTGACTTGTGTGCGAAAATGACTTGTGGATCACGTTACAGAGAAACCGACTCAGTCTTGCTTATAGTTGGCTTCATGATGTATGAAGGTTTTGACGGCTACTTGATTATGATCCACAACGCAACTGTTGGTGGCTCCAGGTCTTGTTATTACTGACAACGTAATTGACAAGTATGGGAGCGAGGTGAAATGGCATAACACGACACCGAAATCTATCTTATGCAACCCCCACTGGACCAGCTCTACAAAGCTACATATCCCTCCACAGCACGATGTTTATCCCTTAAGATCCCTTAAGAACTTGTTGATTGTCCCTTTAGAATAAATCACTTATATCACTATTAGATTGATGGAATTATCACGAAAATAAAAAAAAGACATTCTTGCCTGACTAGACTAGTAGATGGAATAACGGTCATGACTACCCTGTGGCGCCAGACAACGCAGGAAGGCACGCCTATTGCTCTTTCCCTAATATGAAAATCGTACAGCATCCATACCGGTACGCCTCTCCCCTCTCTACTGGTGCCCTGCCTTTTTCAAGGAAGTTGCGAGCCACTCCAAACCCTCATAAAGACCGTCACCGGACGTGGCACAAGTCGATTGGATGTACCAAGCGCGCTGGCGCAGAGAGTGCAGGCCAAGTTTATCGGTAATCTCGGCAGCGTTCATGGCGTTCTGTAGTCATGTGTCAGTCGCGGCCTTCCGCATAGGAAAGGGAGGGCAGAAAAGGAACATACGGGCAGATCTTGCTTGTTGGCAAAGACGAGGAGGTTGGCATCACGAAGCTCGTCCTCGTTAAGCATGCGCTGGAGCTCCTCGCGAGCCTCGACGATACGATCGCGATCGTTGCTGTCGACAACAAAAATGATGCCTTGCGTGTTCTGGAAGTAATGTCTCCAGAGGGGACGGATCTTGTCTTGACCACCAACATCCCACACGGTGAATGAGATGTTCTTGTATTCGACCGTTTCGACGTTGAAGCCTGGGAAATGTGTCAGTGAAACGCGATGGCTAGGGGCTAGCAAGATCGATCAGCGGCTGGCCGAGAGAGGAAACGGCGTACCGATAGTGGGAATTGTTGTGACGATTTCACCCAGCTTGAGCTTGTAGAGGATGGTGGTCTTTCCGGCGGCGTCCAAACCGACCATAAGAATTCTCATCTCCTTCTTCCCCCACAACCTGTCGAACAGCTTCGAGAATGTAAGACCCATGGTTGCGACTGTGATGCGGACGCGAAACTAGTGGGTTGGTATGATGCTCGATGAGAAGGCGTAGTGATCTGGGCGAGTAGGTGCAAGATTAGCCTTTTGTTGACAATTGATTGATGATGACGAAGAATAATGGATTGCGACGTGGGGTGTAATGAGTGTTTATATGCGGCCAGGTGAATGGATGGTTTCCTGTAGGAAAGGACAGATCGTCAAGCTCTAAATTGAAGCGCTATGGTTCCTAGAAGTAGTTGAGTCTTTCCCAGGCGTCCGCAATACCTCGGAAGGGACCACCTGTTCGCTACTGATAATGGCAAGTGGGCCGATTGAGGATAAGAAGGCTGATGCGGAGTTCACGGAGCGTTTTGCGTTGAGTTTGGAGCGAATTGGGGGTAACTTACGTCGTGACGTTGAGACCTGCTCTGGCAAGGAGGAGTTCCCGTTGCGATGAGGGCGATGCGTGGTGTCGTTATCGAAAAGGGGATGCCCGTGGGAAGTAGTTGGTGCGGTGAGGACGAGACTGGCCAGGTGGAAGTGTTCGAGTAAAAAAATGGCCACACAAGGCCGGCAGGACCAAGGGTGCAGTGGCCAAGTTGTAATTGTGGGTCACACTTGTTGTTGCTGAAGTGGCTGGTTCCTTCCCATTGTTATTTAGTTACTTAGTTACTTAAAGACACTGGCTATTCCACCCTCGTAACAGCTATTACAGTGGAGTTTTTGTGGGATAAAATGTATTATTATCTTGATTATTCTGTATTATTCAATATCATCAATATTATTCCAACTATTCTATGCTATTTTAGTTGTTTACTTTTGGTGTACTCCCTGAGTTGGCAATCCCAGAGAAAGTGCAAGTCTGTTGGTCAAATACCGGGTACCACCTCGAGTACCTGGTACCCCTGCAACTTCAATCACGTCTTGGTGTCGAATCGCACTAAACAGTTCTAAGCCTTAACCTCTCCGAGGCCATCAAAGTGTCCACTCGTGCAATTGAGCTGGTGGTCGTGTCATTGAAGCTCTTGAATTTGCCAACCTCTTGCAACACTGCGGTAGCTCGCCCATTACCAATCGCCATGCATTTTCTCCCCTCTGCAGCCCTGCTGCTTTCAGCGGCCAGCTTCCTTCCGGCTGCGCTCGGCCACAACATCCAGCTCCCTGCCCACGGCCGCGAGTGCTTCCACGAGGAGCTTCACAAGGATGACAAGATGACGGTCACCTTCCAAGTCGGCGATAGAGAATTTGGTAGTGCCGGCAATCTGGACATTGATTTCTGGGTACGGGCAAGCTTCGCAACACTTTTGATGCGCACTGGCTGACGGGTCCCTTCTTCGTTCAGATCACCAACCCTGCGGGCCAGTACGAGACATTCCAGAAAGAAGTCTCCAACGGCGATTACTCTTTCGATGCCAAGCACGATGGAAGGTACCTATACTGTTTTGGAAACGAACACTGGGGTGCGAACAGCAAAGAAGTGTCTTTCAACGTCCACGGAATCGTCTACGTTGCCGAGCATGAAGCCGAGAAGGATCCCCTTGAGACCGAAGGTGAGTTTTTCTCTTACCACAAACGAGTCCTGGCTCCATAGACACTGACATGGCACCAGTCCGCAAATTATCCGACCTTCTCAACCAAGTCAAGGATGAGCAGTCCTACATTGTCCTTCGAGAGCGAACCCACCGCAACACAGCCGAGAGCACGAACAGCCGGGTCAAGTGGTGGAATCTCTTTGTTATTGGTGTCGTTATTGGCGAGTCCATCTTCCAGGTCTGGTGGCTGCGGAGGTTCTTTGAGGTCAAGCGAGTCGTCTAGAAGGCCACCCCTCACGAATGACTTGAGCTCGGAGAGACCTACTGGTTTGGGAAACTTGGCGTCTTTTGAGTTGGGAAAAGGGCATGATCATGTTGTAGAGAGACTTATAATGTACAATCAAACTATCGTGAGAATGAACGTTCTCGCCATCAGATGTATAACGTGATACCGACCGTCCTTGGGGTTCGTGATAAGCACAACCGTTAGATCTACACTTTCAAGGTCGAGAGACGAATAACGATAGTTGCTGATATATTTCCTGGTCTCCCACCAGGGAAAGACCCTACGAGGAGTTTCCGTGGATGCGGCGCATAGGACACAGCATGGTCAATATGATGCTACATCAAGCCCAGCAAGACAATGTGGTATAGCCATACGTGAATACCCTATCGCGCGGCTTAAGTCCCGGCCAATTTGAACGTGCGGCTCTGTCAGGCAAGGTGTTGTTAGTGGCCTTTAAGTTAGCCCAGCTCGTGGGAGTCAATTACAGCCAGCAGGCAATGTGTTCTGTTCCCAGATAGTACCTACTGCCAATCTGAATATCTATGATAATTACTTTCTACACGCAAGAAAAGAAGAAAAGAGGGGGGACGAGGGGGAGGGGGATTTGAAATACACACAGAATTTACTTGTCCTTCTACTCGGCAAAGATCAAGTTCGCTTGTGGTTTAGAAGTAACCCGCATTGCCTGCTGATCATCCTTCCGAACTGTCGATGCGAGCCAACCTTGCAGAATCAGGTTATCCAGTGGAAGGCAGGCAGAACTAAAACACTTGACCACTAGGCCATGTGACCCTGTGACCTTGGTGATAGTATTCAGAGTTGAATAGCGTTATTAGGTGTAGATGTAGCCTACCCAACATCTCACCATGCCACTCGCCCCTGGCTCACGCTTCGGGACACTCAAAAGGGTTCATTCAGACATGGAGATAACTACTACAAGCTCTATGGAACGCCGGGGCCGATGGAGAAGTTCGATCGCCCTTTGGACTTAGAATACACAGTCGATAAGCTCAACCAATTTTCAAAAGGCATCATACCGACATACTTACTCCAACATTTGGAGTTCGGCAAAGCGACTACTCAGGACCATTAGAGACGGCGCATCAAAGCGTAACAAAGATGATTCCCCGGTCTCCCGGGTTTATTGAGCTCCCTAGACCATATGACACAATCGTGAAGTGCACTACCGGAGACTTTGCGCCCCTGTAACGAGGTACTACTAGAGGGATGTACTACTCTGAGGATGGAGATCTTGAGTGTTCGGGTAGACATTTAATCAGTGATGGACCGCGAAACTGGACAAGTGATCGGATCAAGCCGCTTCGAGTTTGTGTCAACCACCGGGGTAGACTACCTCAAGCAGCAGGATCATGGGCATGGATTGGGCAAAGCATATACTCGTTCCTAGAAAACCTTCCCTAAACATCAGCAAATTCCAGAATGTACTTATGCTATACTACAAAGGCTCGGTCATGGGATTCAGACACATCACAAAAGTCTTAATCCGCAATAATACCGAGTTTCCTCCTGTCATTACCATCACGACCAACACAGACTAGGGAGTTTCAAAGTGGATTCATGCGAACTCTGGCCATGAATCGTCCATCAATGTATATATATATATATATGTGTGTGTGTGTGTGTGCTCTCATCTGAACCCCCAAGAAAATAATAAAGCAGAACCTCAATGGTGGGTGTAAGTTTCTAATAATAGCTGCTCCCCCCAGCAGATCGTGGATCCGAATGCAACAGCCCTCAACGCCAGTCTCGTCAAGTTCATCCTGTGACGCCTCATGAAAGCCAACATTATATATATCCAACAGTAAAGCACCACATATTTACTAAGCCGCCGCCCACTCCTACCCTATGCAGCGGGGTCGGACTCTGGTACCTCAACCTCGTCGTGCTCCTCCTCTACCGGCAAGTCGACGTTCTTGATGGGGTGGAGCAGCATTGGCGGCAGACACATCCTGCCCTCGCCGCCCCGCATCTCGCTAACTATGGTGCCGTTCTTGCTCTTGTCCTCGGTCAACTCGAACTCCTCACCGCCGTCGTTATTGACCTTGAGGCCAAGCCAACGCCTATACAAGTTGGGTGCAAAGCCCGAGTCATAGAACCAGGTCAGGCCACGGAGGTTGTGCTCACGCTGACCAAAAACCGAGGTCCGCGAACCGCCACTGGCGCCGTTCTTCCCGTTGTTAAGGGTGCGGGCCAAGAGCTCAGTCGGCCACTCGCGGTCGACGTAGAGGGGGTGAGGCACAAAAACGGCTTTATAACCGTGTTGCAGCGCAACCGTACCCGGCCACATCTCGGGGAAGGCAAAGTGCTTCTTAAAAGCTGTCTCCCGGTGCATCGTCATGAGGAGACGACGGGACATGCGAGATGCGGTGATGATCTGAGCACGGCGAGGAGGTTGACCTGCGGTCGTGTTGTAGCCCGTGATGTCGTCAGCCAATCCCCAGGTTGTGCCCTCGGGGTCGAACAAGGGATTGAATGTGATGTAGTCCGCTTCCTCACCAACGCCCCAAATATATTTGTCCTTCTCATAAGTAGTCGGGGGCTTGGGGTCGTTCTCCTCCTCGAACCAATCTTCTTGTTCGTGCGGCCGCTCGGGTCCCCAGACGGTTCTTTCACCCCTTGTTGCGAAAGACCCCTGTGCTTGACCCTTCTTCTTATTACCAGCTACGCCATCCCATATGTTGTCGGCTCCGGTAATTCCCATCTCCGACTGTACTCGTGCCATCTGCTTGAAGTCATCCCATGTTCCATGGACTGTAGGCATATAGAATCGGGAGTTACGCTCCCAAAGGCCTTTTCTTGGTTGCTCCTTAGCCCAGTTCTCGACCTTGGCGAAGAGATCATAGTAGTGACCAGTGTAGCGAATGTCCATCTCCCACTGCCAGTAATAGTCGTACTCAGGGTGCTGATACGCAAAGTACTGCATTGCCATTTGCAAACCACGATACACACCGTGAACCGGCAGGTCAGGTCCACGAGCATACAAATCGTAGATACCCTGGTAAAGAGAGAGCATTTGGGTCTCGGTCCAGAGTGTCACAAGGCCTCGTAACTCCGGAGGAATACGGTCCCGGATGCGCCTCTCGTACGTCTCAGCGTCGGCCCAGACAGGATACATTGCATCGTTCTTGACCTGCACAAGCAAGTGGACATCGTAACGACCGCCCGACGCTAGAGCGAGCTCCGTAATGACGGATCGGATGTTCATAACATCTTCCTCTCGAAACCAGTATTCATCCCAGCAGCGGATGACCACTGCGGTTCTGGGAAGTTTCACATCGCCACCGGTCTTTTCGTCGCTGGATGCGGAGGTAGGTTTTTCACCAGCGGCAACTGTCTCAGGAAGGACATCCCGAGAAAAGAGGGAAGGGTTATGGGCTCTCTCGTCAACGAAGAAGCCGTGAGGAGGCGCAACTCGGTCTGGTAGAGGCTTGTATCGGGCAGCGTTCGCTTGGTAGCAACGCTTTTGCGCACCCGCCCAATCTATATCCACCCAATTGACTCGAGGTGTTTTCTCCCAGGTTGAGTCAATGCCCTCCTTTTCGCCATGCTCACCGACGCCCAGACCACCAGCTCGAACGGAATAGCCGAAGCCATAGGGTCCGTACCTGCCGTAGCGTTCGTAACAGATGTCTTCGGGAAGGTCGAGGAGGTCATATGAACCCAGAATAGCTTCGGGGAAGCCACTGGGACGGCCTTCATAGTAGCGGATATGTGGTATCCGCACTTGGTTCTCCTTGTCTACAAAGCATTCGGTGATAGTCTCAGGCGCCGTCTTGAAAATACTCTTGGGATGAGCAAGGTTTTCTTTGCTTGCAGGCAGGGCGCGGCTTGCAACCCTGTCTTGCATGCTGGTGTAGTTGACAAAGGACAGCTTGTCCAGGGGCAATTCGTCCTCAGGGCGGGGGTACTCCGCAACATTCTTCTGTAATGAGACCAGATTTCTGATACCTCCATAGTACCTCGTAAGGAAGGGGTATTGCTCCCAGATCGGCGGAGCCATGGGCCCTCTATCCACCTTGCCTTCTACTAACCTTCTGTTCTCATTTTGGCTTGCACGGATGAGGGTGAACATGAAAAGCAAGATGGTGGAGATTAACCCAATACAGAGGTATCGGATGACTTTGTTGGGTAAACGGTAGGCTCCCAACGCTCGCCCTGGCCGGCGTGCGAGACTATACGTTTTCTTGGACATGATAGGCGTCGCCGACGAAGACGTGTGCCTTGAGTTGTTGGTGCCGGGAGACGAGATGACGGAGGAATCGTCGTAGTCGGATTCATCATACGAGTCAATGTCGTTCGAGTCGCGTTCTTTGAGGTTCTCGTATATCGGTAGTCGTCCGTCGCGAGATCGGACCGAGTTGAGGGAGAAAACTCCCATACTTGGCCAGGAGAGCAGTGAAGCTGTCTTGCTGTAGCTGTGAGTTAGCGACCTTCTCCGAGATAGTTGGGGTACATTACATACCAGGATACCTGCGTGCTTTTGCAATTGTGTCGCAAGTTGCGATTTGACGAGAAGCTGGCCACTGTGGAGAAGCCAGTGTGTCGTTCAAAGTTGTTCTTGCCAAGTATTGGTGGTGTCTCGCCGTAGCCAACTGTCGAAGATCGATATGTTATCGGTCAACAGGGCTGGCTACGCACGATGATTCCACACTATCTGCGGCGCGGGAAGTGAACGAAGCACCTTGGATGGTATGTCCGAAGTAGAGTCGTGGATTATTATCGTGAATTCGTCGAAGGTGGCCTCCTTTGGGGATTCCAAGATTGGTGGAAACGGAAACGGATGTGGATAGTTCGCCCTTTACTTCTCAGACAGCTTCCAAATCAATGCTTTAAACTGAGTCCTGCCATGTTTTGGGTCGTCGAGTCGTTGCCCCCCCCCGGCTTTTAGCCCCTGTCCTGGCTGGCCATCTTGGCGTGGAGCCGCCAATGACGGCAGCCACCCATTTTGGATCAAGGACTTGGCTGCCGGGCGCAACACCAAGAACACCAAGAACACCAAAAGAAGTTGTCATGAGCAACCAAGCAACCTTCCACAGCCGAATCCCCGTCCCAGGCCGTGAGTTCGTAGCTGCAGGCTCCCGAAGCCAATGGCGCCGAAGACGTTAGCACTGAATTCTACAATTATAGTACGCGCCAAACGACGTAATTTCATCAGTATTATGCTATCAGTCATTGTACATTGCCGTTGCGAGTCCTGTCAATAATCCTGTTAGCTTTGGGCTGATGGTCAGTCTGGACTGTACGTACCCCAAAAACAACCAATTCATCCGTACTTTCCGGAGGAACGAGAACCTTGTTACAAGAGACCAGCCGTACCACCTTTCCAAGATCTCGCTAATCCCTGATTGCATGTGCAACTTGGAAATGGTGCCAGCTATCCCGTCTCACTTGCATGGTGGCATCAATACTTAAGTAATCCCCCAGCAACGTTCAATACCAGCATCAACCAACCATTGTTGTTCGGCATGTCAGAATTAGATGCTTTTAGCACGGCTTCAAGAATAAATTATCTCCTGGGTAGGTAAAAAGTATCGATCGACGCGTTCTGGGCATTGGCAGATCGAATGAGTGTGTCTTTCACCCCGTAACGACGCACAAAAGTTAATTGCAACATTCCGTCTCATGACAACCGAGTCTCCCGAGTCCCCCGAGTCCCCCGAGTCCCCCAACGTAAAGAGCAGTCCCCTTTGCTTCCCCATCCACTTCTTTGATTCACTTTTTCCCTTGCATCGTCCGGCTGTGTTGCGCAAATAGTTAGGACGGGCCGGCACTCGAGAACATGGAAGTTTAGGGACGTGTTCCGACTTCAGTGTTGTAAGTCATTGGACGTGGGGGCTCTGACCCAAATTCCCCACGCCAATGCACCAGCTGCACAGGGTGTATTTGATCATCTTATCGCATAGCACACTTTCATCTGTATTTCAGACCTTGCTGGTGATGAAAGCAAGCTTGCGTCCAGCAAGGAAACCCTATACTGGCGGATTCGAACAGGCAAGCCATGAAAGTTGCGCCCAGCGGAGCACTGTCATAGAGACTGCAAGATTGCGCGGCTGCGAAGCTTTGGCGGGCGGAAGCTGCTACCCATAGAGCCTTCCATTTGCAGCTAGGACCGTTGAATTCGCAAGGTTGATATCGGGCGTATCTGCTCACACTACCTCAACACGTGTATCGCTGGGAGCTGGCTTCGTCCAGCCACCGTCCATGAAGTACAGAGAGGCTTGCTATGTACTTGCGCCAAACCTGCAGACCCAAGTGGCCAGATGAAGATGGGAACTAACTCACTTGCAAGTGGTCCAACTTCCCTTAGTTCTGCAGGCTTCTGTGGGCCAATCTGTCACAAGGTAAGTGTTACCCCAGGTTACTGCTGACATATGCCACCGTTTCCACCATGTTTAGGTTGACGTTTACATGAGCCGGGCCAGGTTCGCAACGCAAATAACGCTCGAGGTTATTATCATTCGGTGCTATTCTTTGGGGTCCGGAAATGACATATTCACCAAGGCAAGAAACACTTGAGCGACAGGACGGAACCCTCCACCTTTCGTTGTCTGTCAAAAGTCCAGATTGAATTCATTATGAATTGACCTCCATTGCGCTGTTACACCAATCTTAGAAAGGGATCTCTTGTGAAGGTTTGACCCGTCGACTGTACCTGCGGACTGAACTTGACCCCTCCTCTGGTCGTGCCATCGAAGCATTCCAAGTACGCCGACAAGGCTCGCACCAATGCAGGCTGTCGTCCAATTCCTGTAGCCTTCACCTTTGGGTTGATCGGAAGAAGACGGGAAGCACTTCCGGCAAGGTGGTCAGGCACAGGTGCAGGCGCAATATCGAATCACGGCGCCGAAATATGCGGCCTGTCCGACGTCAGTCTAGCGGCAAGGCGGGGTGAGCGGTTCTCGGTGGAAATTACCACGCACTATTTCGTCCTTATTTGGTAATTGGTCCACGGTCATGGGTCGTCCAGACAGACAGACACATGCTCGCCGTCCGAATTGTGGCCATGCCGGCGACCATCTCTGGGGAACTGCATCATAATGAGTGTTACCAGACACAGGAAACCTACCGAAACTAAAAGTTCTATCCGGATCATATTCTCCTCGAGTTTGTTACTACTAGTGCAGGTGCAAGGCGGTCACCGATCCCGGTGATGACCAAACGTGACAGCAGCCAAACGAGCCAGTCATGATGCCCCAAACTCAGTCAAGGGTTATTTTTCTGTAGTGGCACTCCGTCACTTGACATCAGAGCTCAATGCAAGGCAGCGGCAACCCACGATCAAGATCGTCTCTCGGCCAGTCTGTGTCCCGCGGCTTTCCTTCCTCGTAAAGGACCACAAGACCGCCCCCTCACTTTTGCCAATACTTGGAGGCCATCAATGAATGGCATTCTCACTGCCGTCTCTTTTAGGCTCAAGGTTTATATTTCTCCCTATCGTCTTATTCGAACGACATTTCCTAAGTCTGTTTTCCTTCCCTCCCAACCTACCTCAGCGTCACATTGATGAGTGGTTCACACTTCGAGCTCATTGGTTTTCCGTTAACCACCCGCCTGTCCTTCTACAGACCAAAGTCATGTGTGCTCTTTCTCTTACACGGCCCGAAGCCTCCAACACGACGACCTCATGTGTCGACGATGGTGATGGATTGACCATTAGCTTCACCATCCGGCAAGATCCCATGTCCATCACGTTGGACGGCCCAGCCATCTTCACCCTGGCCACGTCCCTGATTCTCTGCCTCCACTTCTTACAGCCCTCAGTCGTGGTTACACTGATCGGCCTGGCTCCCATACTCCTCTATGTACATAACGACTACCACAACTACCTCAAACTCGGACCTGGTGGCACGCCCGCCACCCCCCAAGGCTACATCCGCATCAACTGGTTCCGTCTCTGGGCCCTCCGCGATCCCTTCGAACCCCTCCAGCCCGATCCGGCCACCGAACCCTCAGCAGGCATCCTCAGCCGGAGTTCGCTCCCGTACCGCTGCGGTCCGCGTCCAACCGTAGCCGGCATCGCGCCCCAGCGGCAGGTCGACCAGCGAGGCCCGCAGGACTGCTACTTGGCACTGCGGCGCATCCTCGAGAACCACGGAGCCAAGCACAGTGACGGAATCGCCATCGGAACGTCGTGCTTTGAGAAGCACGGCTTGGGCCTGTTTGCCCGGTTCCCGTTCAACAATACATGTCAAGGCGAGATATGTCACGTCCACAATTCGGATCACTCGATGCATATGAACCTGCACCCGGATGATGTGAAAGAAGTGCTAGCTAAGGGGTGGGGGCAGAGGCACCCTTTGACTTCGCAGGGCTCGGGATGGATGAGGATGCCGGTCCCGCGCAACTTTGTCATGGTATATGCGCCAAGGTCTATGGAGGAGGTTAAAATTGTTTGTCGGATTATTGAGGCGGCGGGTTGGTGGGTCATGGCGAAGGAGTATGAGATTGTTACTGGGAATGGAAAAGCGACTGGGGCGTTGTCGTGAGGCGTGTGATACCACTTCAGATAAAAACGATGTCAAAAATGAGGAATATCATCTACCAACAATTCAACTCATCCTGTAATTTGTCCTTGGCCATGTGCTTCATTTGTAAAGCCTGCCGGCGGGATCCCACTTCACTTGCATCTCAGTGCAAGTGAATCGTTATGGTATCCAGCAGAAGCTTTCGTGCTCTCATTCGGTGCTCCTCGTACTGGTCGGAAGCCAGCTGATGCAAATCATACCTAGTTTATACGTGGTAGTACAAGCATTTCTCTCTTTCCCTCACCATCCCTTTGTCCCCGTCCGAGTGCAGCCTTGAAGCTGGGCTCGGGGATCTGAAAATGCTCTAGAGTATGAGGGTGTACTCATGCATTTTACTGAAGATGAACCCTCGGGCAATAGTGGTCTGCAAGGCGGTGGCGCCAGTCAATATCACAAAATAGAGGTTCACCCCTCGGCCTCCTCTTCAGCAGCAAGATCTTCATCCTGCTTCTTCCCCGACTTCTTGTACCGCTCCCGCCCATTCGCAACGGTAGCCCGTACAATCCGTCCATCAAACGCCCGCCCATCCATCTTTTCCACACACTTCTCCGCATCATCAGGCGTCTTGAACTTGACGCTCACCACGCCGTCCTCCTCGAGATCATACAGCACCACGTTGGTGACGGGTCCTATCGTCTCGCACTCCTCTCGGATATCCTCCTTGATCTCCAGCAGTGCCGCCGGATCCTCCTCGAGCTCCTTGAGCGTAAACATGTGTCGCAGTATGACCATCTTGTCCCGCCGCGCGGCTGTCTCCAGCTGTCCGCCATACGGGTCGTCATCATCCCAATCCGCCAGCTTGGCGTCCAGCTTCTGTGTCCGCTTGATAATCTTTTTCTTGTCCTGCTCGCGCGTCTTGTCCTTCGGCTTTCCCGCACCCGTAATTGGGTTATGAATATCCGCAGTAGCCACATTGCCATCCCCACCAGCTGCACCACCAGCCTCACCTTCACCCTCCTTCTCATAGTGCGTCTTCTTGTAACTTGAATCTGCAGCCTGCACCCTCATCCTCCCGCTCGCCAGCCCCGAGGCCGAATACCGGAAATCTGTATCGTCCAGCAGCATAATGGCCATATCGACACTCTGCGGCTTGAAGAACACCACTAGTGCGTCGCCCTTGAACTGCCCATTGTCATCGGTGTACAGCTTGATGCGCGGCCGCCCACTGTCGATCTCCTCGGCAATGACACCGCACTTGCGCGAAAACGCATCGTGCACCTCATCCACTGTCACGTCGAGCGGCAGGCCCGTAACGTAGACGGCTGTGTTCTGCCGCGGTTGCGGCGGGTTCTTGTGCTTCTTGTGCGGCCGGGCGTGGGGTTGATCGCCGTTGGTCTTGCGCTTCTTCCTAGGGTGCCCGATATTGGAGTCTTCTGTCGTCGCGTCTACTCCATAAGCTGATTGCTGTTGCGCGACCAGCTCTTCGTCTAAGGTAGGGATCCAGCGCTTCAGTTGCGCGTCAAACTCGAATTCGGTCCCATCGTCCTGGACTGCGATGAACTTGTTGTCTAGCTTGGAGAACGAGATGCGCTCGTCGCTGTCAAATTCTTGGGGATCAATCGGGAAGGAGAGACTTGGCGCTGCTTCCGCCATCGTTTCTGTAACTGGGATTTCAGGGAGTTGAGGGCTTGAATGTGATGCGATTCGTGAGGTTGCGATTTTGGACCACGAATGTTTCTAAACGGCAAGCTTCAGGGTAACAACTATCTTGGCATGCGTAAGGAGTCAAGGAGTTAGCTAACAGCAATCGCGACGCACGGACCTTCCATATAAGGGTTACCCTACCATGATGCTGTCTTCGGTTATCAAGTCTCCAGGTTCATCAGCCAGCAATTCGGAGGTTTGACGTGTTGGGGGGTATGGATCATTTGGAAACGTCAATCCAGCTGCGTTCAACCAATGGTTGGCATCTATCTATATCTGAACCTTATGTGCAAGGACGGACTTGTTCTGAACCCTAGACCATCTGATATGACAAAGCATGACCCTACTTCTTCTCCTGAACCGTCTTCTTGACACCCTGAATAAAGGCTTCCACAGCTTCTCCCCCTCCAAGGGGCATGCTACTCCCCTTCAAGTAACCGCCATTATCCACCTTGATTGAAAGCGCATCCGCCACACTGGGTAATCCGCCGTCTCTGAGCGCCATTGTGAGACTCGTCAAGCTTTGATGAAACTGGGGGCTTCGCAACACCTTCTCCAGCAAAGCCTTCTTTTGGCCAATGCTCATCGCCTGCTTAGCTGCCTCGACGGCATCGGGTGTTGGTTCTGTCGAAGCGTCTTCTGAGTCGGCCTGCTGAGCCAGGATGAGGACGGCAGGGGGTAGGAAGCTGAGCAGATTGTCGATCTGGTCCACTGTAGCTTGCATGGCCATGGGTATGGTTGTCGCGGGTGTTAGGAGGTCTGATAACAGCGGGTAGAGCTTTCCTTCTCCTTGACTTGCACCAGCTCCAGCACCACCCTCCAGTGAATTGAGGAAGTTTCTTACCGCCGTCGCAGCATCAACACCAGAAGAGGCACTACAGGCACGTTAGCCAAAATTCTGGCATATCGGAGACTGGGCCATTCTGGTGACGACACGCTTCAGTTCATTATGAGAAACACTCTTTAGTGTACATGGCAACCCAAAGCCGGGGCGCTCAGCTTGCTCTTTTGGCTCTTTGCCGCGCATCATGCCATTTCCCCAGGTTATGTCCTTCTCTCAACGCCGTAAATCATGTGAGAATGTACCTACGCTCTAGCTCCATCAGCTCCACCCTCTCTGGCAACCTCACCCTCTTCTCGTACGTCCCCGCCAGTGGCACCAGGTCCGGCACCTCCAGCTGCCCCGCCGTGGGGATTGTTCGAGTCACCGTGACCCTCAACGTCCTCCATAGTCTCGTCATCGTCGCGGCGCGAGTCGTCGTTGTCTGTGTTATTGACCGTTCGAAGCTCGCTCTGAACATCGACCTCCTCGCCTTGTAGTAGACTGTGGATGATCTGCCCAATCTTCCGATCCCGCGGGCTGAACCAGCTGGGGTCGCCACTTCTGCCTTGCGGTTTCGACTGCATCCAGAACAGGTGTCGTTGTGAAGAAGACATGAATTTGAGGACGAAGATGCGGCCATTGGTCTTTGTGTTAGCGCCAGGCAGTTCGTAAGGGACGAAGTGGCCGTCGGTCGGGACCATCACGAGGTCTAGTGTGGGCGAGTCGAGCGGTTCATTGCGCTCTCGCCAGCAGAAGTGGATCAGATCTGTAATTTCACATGAGCTCAGTCACTTCCATGGAGATAAAAACAACCAACCATCTTCTGAGTAGAGGTAGATGTAGCCCGGCTCGGGTTGAGGCGTTACTTTGTACGGCTTCGACTCGGATTGCTGAAGTGCATGTCAGCTAAGCAAACAAGCAAGTAGACAGTATCTCTGGGAAGGAGAACTAACCTGAAGTTCGCATCTGCCCGCCTTGAAAGTTATGATTGGTGAGATGGACATGATGAAAGATGCGATGGCGGAAAGAAAGATTTGCTAGGGGAGTTGAGAAGAAAACCTGGAGATGCTGCGTCGCGATTTGTAGTGATGGCCTAGTTGAATCATACAGACGCAAGGCTACCAAGTGCGTCCGTCGATGGCCCAGAGCTCTAAGGAGGTGGACAAGGCAAGTACAGTCAAAGGAGCCAAGACTTGGCCACTCAGCTTGCGCCACACATTGCAAGGGTCAGATCGTGGCGTATTACAACTAGAATTGAACAAAGGTTCAGTTGCAACAACATCACGGCATCATAAGAGTCAGTTCAGGTTTACTTACAATCAAATAATGTAGGGTGTTGAAACATATATAGCTATCTTCATTCCTGCGTTTACTCCAATGTCTTATTGATGGTCTAAAAAGATGAACTGCGAAGTCCACGTCTTATTCCACGTAGAGACCACGTACCTGTGTATTTCCTTCAGAAGATACCTCCTCCAGGGCTAGGTGGCTTTGAGAAGATCCACCAAAGATTAGGCTCCTAGTGTCCGTAGTTTATCCGCCCTGACCCTCGCGAACTTCAATTTTGAACGCACCAAAAACCACACCCTCGGCCAACTTGAACATTGAACTTGTCGCCTTTCCCTTCCACGCAGTCGCCCACCACAACACCGACACAATGTCTGCGCCGACGACGAAGAAGTTCGCCAAGGGCGAGAGATCCGTCCCCCATCACTCGCAGAAGGCCCAGAAGTGGTATGCGGCAGACGATGACGCCACTAACAAGCACGTGAGTCTTGACCTGAGACGATTGCACGCCTGGAAATGCCTTGGAACGAACAAGCGCACCGACTTGTCGGTGTCGCGCATCTAAGAACAATGCGATGAATTTTCGATTTGGTTCAGTTCGTCGAGGATTTCCAGATGTGACCCGAGAAATCACGGGGCTGCGCACTTTAGATGAAGACTGCGCGGGGCTTCTCGAAAGAAAACTCACTAATGCGCCATTATAGGTCCGCAAGTCCATCCGTGCCTGGAAGCCCCGTCAGTCCCTCGAGGCTGGCACCGTTCTGATCCTGCTCGCTGGCCGATTCCGTGGCAAGCGCGTGGTCCTCCTCAAGACCCTCGAGCAGGGTGTTCTACTCGTTACCGGCCCCTTCAAGATCAACGGCGTTCCCCTGAGACGAGTTAACTCCCGATACGTCATTGCCACGTCTCAAAAGGTTGACCTGCAGGGTCTCGACCAGAAGAAGATCGACGAGGTTTCGCAAGTGTCGTACTTCACCCAGGACAAGGTCAAGGACAAGGCTGGTGAGGAGGCGTTCTTCAAGCAGGGCGAGAAGCCTCAGGTACGAATATCCCAAACGATTGGTCATCTGACACGTGAACTAATTGGGTATCTGCAGAAGAAGGAGATCAGCAGCAGCCGTGCTGCAGACCAGAAGGCAATCGACAAGGCTTTGATTGCCAGCATTAAGAAGGTCGATATGCTCGCCAGCTACCTTGCAAGCTCTTTCAGCTTGCGCAAGGGTGACAAGCCCCACGAGATGAAGTGGTAAATTCCCGGGCATGATGGGGATTTGTTACTTTAAAGGGAAACGTTCTAGAGGTCGCGGATGACGGGTTCGCGGAACTGGGCTGGCATAGCAGCAACTTGCATCTGGACGTTGATGGACTCGGCTACATTGATTATGGCGTCTGTATTGAGGTTCTACAGTCAACAAAAGAGCATAAGACACAATGTCGTGGTTTTTCGGTTGACGACTGGCGTGATGGTGTATTGGTGACAGAATTGTTCGTGCAAGGGCGTACAAACGGACCAAAAGCATTTCCAATTGACTTAAGTGCAACTCACAGGCCCCAGCCAGTCGCCTCCCGCTTTATCCATTAATGAAAGTGCAAGTTCACCAGACTCAAACTGAATGATTTCTAATGCTGACCGCTACACACTTGTATAACAAAGCTAACCCTGGGTTTGCGAGAACTCGGTTTGACAATGCCAAATAATTGTCACAATAGAACAAATTAAGCCCTGAAGATGCGGAATATGTATATTCGTACAATATTGATGTAGATAACTACATTAATACGCAGTTAAAATTGTTCAGAGCTTTCGCTTGTGAGTATCTACTCAATATGTGCAGACCCACAACTTCAAACCTAAGAGGAAGCCATTTCCTTTTCCAGTTCCAGCTATTCTTTCGACTAGACCTTTCGGTCAGCCCAGCTCTGGATCATGCCCTCAGGCGTAGCATCATAATGCTTCAGCGTCACCTTGCCCGAAGCCTCATCCAAGAAAGTGTTGGCCTGCACAAATACCTTTCGAGGCTGCTTGTTCCGCAGCACCTCATCCCGGACTTTCTTGCCCCAGAACTCTGCATCTACATTGGTCATGTCGCTGAAGAACTTGCTTCCGGCCTCAATATCAGCCGTGGCCTTGTAGATGTGCAGCTTCTGCAGGTAGTCTCCTACCGCCTTGCGTCCGGTCGTAAGGATCTTGCTTCGGTCCAAGCTGATGGTGACGCCCGTCAGGTCATCTCCGTCGTATTTGAGCTTGCAGAAGTCGTCACCCGCTTGAAGGAAACATTGGAAGATGGAGAATCGGGCTTGCGAGTGAGCTTGTCCCCACTTGCGGCTCTTAGGATCCCACATCTCGAGCGAAACGAGTCCGGCGCGCGCCATCAGGAGATAGGCAGTATATAAGACATCGCCTGCCTCCCCATCCATGTCTATCGAGCCGTCTCCGAAGCCAAAAATCTTAAGTACGGGGAATTCACAGCCCAAGAACATAGCCACGAGTTCCGCGCGGCATTCTTCGTAACTTCCAGCCATGCTACCGAAGACAGAGCCCCAAGTCTGTCCCGGCTTATACCACGTGGTCACAGGCTTGCCAGTAAGTGGCGAGATTGGCGGGTTCTCCGCGTCGAAGTTGAATTTTCCAGGGGAGGTCTCCTGCAGGAGCTTGCCACATCCGTGGCCAGTCAACTCATGCAAACCCACCTGCACTTCAAAAGCCGCATCTCGATACTTCTTGAAAACCTCGAGATCTTTCTCGGCAATGAAGGGGATCTTCTCGTCTGGAGCCTTGGCGCTGAGGACGTTTCCAAGCGACACATTCTTGAATCCTTCAGTCTGACGGATATCATCGTAGTTAGGAATGTTGATTCCTGTTTCTGGATTAGTGTTAAACTATAACGGTGGAAACCATAATAAACTTACCAGCAGGAATACCAGAACCAGCAAACGTGAGAACTTCTAGAGACGTGAAGTCGGGCGACAGGAACTTGTCCTTCTCAAATGCCTTATCCCAGGGCAACAAGGGGATCAGGGCAGGAGCAGCTTCGACCAGAGCTCCAAACGCTCTGGTCCGCTCCAGATTAACCATGCTTACAAATCCTTCCCATTCGCCCCGTACACCCGCAGGATCTCTGTATGTCTCAATGAAACCGATGTTCGACTCCACCATAGGGCCCTTATCTCTAATCCAGAATCTCTGGCTGTCTTTGAAGGCAAGAAGTGAGCCATTTCCGAACGATATGCCGTAGGCATTGTGCATTTTCTTCTGTGTCTCGTTATCGACATTGTCGCCTGCTTTCTTAATATTCTCGGTAATGGCAGCCATCTCCTTGGAGTAGTCACCGTAGACAAGCTTGATCTTCTTTCCAGCTAGCACACCCTCGCTGATGGAAAATTCAGTTTCCTTTCCAATGTCACCACCTTCGCCAGGAACACTCTTCTCCGCTGACGCAATCAGAATCTCGAAAACACTCCCGCCGCTGGTCTTGGCAAGTCGAGTGTTCTCGGGGAGCAACCCCTTTGTCTCCATCCACGAAGAGACGGCTTCGATTTCAGCCTTTGTAATATCTGGTGACTCTGGATAGTACGTAGTCATATGGCCTTCTTCAGGATAACCAAGATGCATCAGAGCCGACTTGTCAGACGAGAAGATGGCGCCTTTAGTCGCGTTGTAGAAACCCTCTGCCTCGGGAGAAGTCGCCGCTAGCTTGGCAAAGGCAGACTCGGGACATCTGGGAATGAACTTGGCGTCTCCAAAGCTCTTGTAGTTGCCATTGTTGCCGAGGAATTGTGTGCTATACTGTAGAATGTGGTTCAATTCCGCATCCGAAATACCGGCCTTGGCTTGGAGTGCCTTCCAGTCTCCACCAGAGCTCTTGTGCAAAGCTAAAATGAAATCATAGATTGCTTCGGACTCTGGTGAAGTCTGTCTGAAGACAATTCTCGTGCCGAAGAAGGAGGCTCTGGTCACTTGTCAGTCGCTGTACCCCTTTCCTGAGGACCAGGTCAAAATCACTACCTGCTGATGAAATGGGCATATCTCTTCTGCTTGTCAGACAGAGCATCAAAGTGCTTCTCGATCTCCAGTTGAACGACACTCGGAGGCTCATCCGCCAGGTAATGCTTCAAGTCCTCGGTATTCATTGTCGCAAACAGACGAGCTAATGGTGGTGCGGTCGTTCGTGTCAAGGTGGCAGGAATGAAACTGGACGTGAACCTTGGACTCCTTATAGCAATTGTTCGTCTTGAGGATATTAGTCTAGAGACGCCTCGAGACAGAATTGAAAGGCTCATTGAGGGGAGCAAGCAATTGGAGCCGTCGTTTGCCGTGCCTTCTTAACGCAGGCGGGCAACACTGCGTCGCAGCTGACTTGCAGTCACGGGTCCAATTCAGAATCATTCTGCATTTGAGCAGGGATCCAATGCCCAAGACCCCGCATTATGTAGTTCAATAAAGCCATATGGCGGTCAAGCTAACAAAATAACTTCAGCCACTGCTGATGAGGCATGTCTCTGTGATTTTGCTAGGTGTTGAAATACTGCGATGCTCACTCTTGTGATAATACCGTATTGTTTCGTGTAGTTGAGTCAGAGTATAAGCTGGGGAACCATGAGGCTAAAATCTCCGGTCGCACCACAGCCAAATACGACAGTCAAATGCAGCTTGTGTCTTGTTTCTGCAATGTGCATACGGTCGTCCTCAGGTGCTCATAACACAAAGTTGGTGCTCCGATCTCGGTGCGAATGCCACTCGCTTTCAACATCCTCGGCGACGCATCAATGCCTGCTTACCTTCCAGGGAACAGCTCTATGACCAAAGTCACATCAACGGTGTCCCTGACCCTGCATAAAAGTCAAGACTCATCAAGCCGCGTCAAAATCACACCGCTTCCTAATACAACGTCACACAAGCCTATTAAGCCCTTATACTTTTAATTTATCTTACCTCGACCTAATGTTCAACGGGAGCAATCCTGTTGCCGATTTCATCACCTGAGCCAGGCCTTACAACCGGTACCACAATAGCTCACATAGTCACCAGGCATCACGGGTGGGCAGAAGAAGCACTTGCATAGGCTCACAAAAAGGTGATAAGTTTGGATAATATAGACACAGATGGTGTCAGTCAAGCTCAATACAGAGTTTATCAATCGTTGCAACTTACTCGTGTCATAAATCACATCGGTAGTCCTCGGACCTAGTGAGAATGCGGCAGGTCATAACTGCAGCAGAATGGACGACTTTGAACCAAAATCATCATCTTCAAATTAGAGAGAAACATGACCGTTGGTATAGCAGGAAGGATGATGCATTAGAAGCCATCTAACGCTTTCCAGCATTCTTGAGAGTGTGCCGGCCCAGAGCAAGATGTGACAAGCACTTCGGCTCCTTGTTTCCAGGCATCGCAACTTAGGACATGGGCACATAAGGGCACCTGTCTCGATATACTCAGTCTGACATCCCAGAAAATTTGGGCTCTTCGCCTGCTTGCTTGTATGTTGAGAAATTGCTTCAGAGCGGTTTTGATATAAGTGAACAGTGCTGTGTCGCCCAAAGCAGCTTGAACGAGCATGCCACCGATCGATATTGGAGAATGTGGTGATATTACCCTCGGACTTGAGGTTTACATAAATAGTAGAGGTGACCATCCAGCCGAGGCATATTTTCATATCATATGCCTACTCCCTGTCGAATTGACCCTATGATCATAATCGCTAAGCTCCTTTTCTCAATGTTCCATTGCGTCCAGTCTTCCTTCAGATGTGAGCATTGATGTAAGAGTTAGTTTATACACATTCAATGCAAGGCTTCCGCATCTGTTGTGGCTAGAAGGAGATAGCGGCAGGGCCATCTTGGATTATGACTTCATCTGACAGAGCACCGGCACTTGCCCAGCTATTTGTTTTGTTAGCGGCCTTGGTACTCCAGTCCAGCTATTAAAAGCCAACCGACTCCTTCTCGTTTCTGTATCTTATTATTGTTCCAAGTGACACAGTAGGTAGATTATACTAATAAGAAACATAAACTACTTGACGGCTAATATTCTGCTTCGTCGACAATTTGTTACATTTTCTCCGCAACTTGAAAACTCAAGTGCAATCCTGGAAAGGCGCATTTCGGCGATTTATCCACTGCGGCTCCATGCAAGGCGCCAACGTTTATCGGGGAACATAGGATAATAGCCCCGAACGACTTTCACTGGCTGATAGCAACGCTGGTGGAAAAAAGATCCTGCACAGTTGTGATCTTCCAAATGTAGAATGATTCTACGAGGAACTGGGAGATACTTTACTAATGAAGCAGCGTGTGGACAGCGTTGGAATAACGGAGTAACGTACGACCCCACCTTTCTGGCCACATATTACAATCCAATTGAAGGTATTCGAAACAGTGTATTCAACGTACTATTATAGCTATTCAGATACAACCAGCTCTAATAGAAAGCTGTGCTCCAGGGCTTCCTGAGGTATAGATCTGATAGATTCTGACGCCTTAGCTGGGTCCAGTATTACCTGATTCCGACGTTGTACCTGGTCTCGTTGCCGTTCTACTTCAAGGGCTCGATCCATCGCTTCCTTAATCTGTACAATGTTACCAAATCGTTCATGAGGCCCTAATCGTACCTTCTTACGTGGTTTGGGGCGTAACGAAGTTATAGGGTAGAGCGTGGAACGCCCCATCGGAGGGAAGCCTGGCGCTGGGATATCCCTTGATTGATATCGTTGAGAGCGCCTTGAATTGAACTTTCTGAATATCGAGGCATTGTATAATAATAGCCAATACCGACGATAATCTGTTGTGCCGAAGGTTGTTGTAGTTGGCAGATTAGATGGCCAGAAAGGTGGGTGGCCGGAAAGGTGGGGTTGTACGTTATGTATTAGCATCTGCGTAAACTCGTGCCTGCCCTAGCTATACTTGATCCAAACGTACAGAATGCATTAAACGTTTCGTTCTCTTACCAATACGCTTTCACGCCGTATCCCAAGCGGTGAGCATAATAATCACTCGTACGCCAACGTTGTCAAAACTCACATAACACTCGAATACGAATAGGTCGATGTGCATAATGAGTTGCATCGGGGTTTGTTCACTGGGAGGACAGAAAGTCGGACACGCGAGGAAGGATCTACGCCACGAAGTTCCTGGAGTGAGCATCTTTTGGTTTCGAAGTTTCAATATTACCTATCATATTTCAATATCTTGCAGCGTTGTAGTACCAATTCCTGGTAGTTGACTGCTGCAGGCCGAAGCCCAACCTTGACACTGGGCATCAATGTACTGTACTATTTTATTGGAAGAGTCGGTTTGCAAGGCTGCCGGTCCAAAAATTGTCGCTGCATATGAAACCGTCATGTACGTAATAACCACGGTGAAATCCAGCAATATAACTGCTGCATGGCCATCCAGCCTGAAGGTATTTCCCGGTAGCCCGGAAACCCTGCAACCTAAGAAGGTTACTCGCAGTTTTTTTTCCTTTATTTTCCCTTTAGGTTTTTTTCCGCGCGCACTGATCGACAATAACGTCGGCATTTGGGATGACAGTGCTCTCAGCGCTGAACGAGTTCGTCATCTGCGGCTTCTATCACTTTTGACGTGGTGCTTGCAGAATCTCAATACATCAAGACAGCGGCCTGTTCGTTGCTCAGGTGGTTCACGCAGCGGGCCCGGCCGCAAGAGCCCAATCACGTCAGATTTCTGCCCATTACCCTACGTCCTAGGCCTTCTAACATGCCGGCGAAATCAAATCCTGTAACGGTGTACTCGGCCTCTCCTCGGGCTGGAATCTAGCATCGTCGCCACTACGCTCGACTCTTGGGCTCCCAACATCTCCAGCTCTTCCGAATGCGTTGTGTGCCAGTACTACGAGTTGCGCTTTCCTAACGTTCTCACTCATGGCCATGTTCATTTTGCATCCGAGTTGCCGAGTATTTTCTATTTTGGTAAGATCGTGTTTTTGTTTGTTTCACACCAAAGACTGATCCAGTCCTTACTTATTTGAAGTGTAATCCCCATCCTTTATTATGATGGGCGGAGTTTCAATTCCTGGTCGGCGGAGCACGACGGGGGCATCAAAGCCTTGGAGTACAGTGGCCCCTCACCACTCCAACGGGTTGCTTCCCCAGCTCTGATTTCCTTGGGGTACATGCTTTTCCGCGTCACGCAAAAGAGGCACTGTCGGATAGTTTTGACAACGGAAAAACACCCCTCAATCTTCGCAGATACGGACGTTTGAAATTTAGCCGGATTCTCGTCCTTACCTTTTATAGCGTCAGGTACTGGCCCAATGCAGGTCGCTGGCTGCTACCATACTTGCCTCAAACATTGCATTCACGCCACGACTTTACGACCGAGCTGATGAAGCTGTCAGCTTCAATGTCTTCGAGAAGCGTAGCTGTACAACTACCCCACGCGAAGTACTTCGACCACATGACCGAATTCCCCAAGCTGGGTACCGTAATTTTTCTTAACCCCACACCCTCCCTCGTCATGTGGACCATGTCTCCTGGCCCCAAAGACTTCCTGTCGTCCTTCATTGGCTGGGACCGAGAAAAACTTGCCCTCTTTGACGTTTTCGTGAAGGCCCCTAGCAAACCTGGACGGAGTCACGGAAGTCGGAGGACCTTGCTGTGATACATACGCCAGAACCCGCTGGAATTTTGGAGTAGTGTAAACTGCCAAAAGCACCCCAACAAGGCGCTGCCACTCAAAATCCAATCATTTTCCGTCACCGATTTATCTCATCAATCCATGTTCCCACGGGAAAAGCTTGCTGCAAGGTTCGGACATGGACTATATATATAACATTGCTGCGGCGCTTTCAACTCCACTCGGCCCTGTCCGTCTGACGCAGTTCACACGTTGCTCTAAATACCCCATGCCTTCCTCCTTGTCTTTGGGCCCCTCCCCCTTTTTAGTACTACAACCCGTGCGCTATAAAGTCAATTCAGACCTTGCACCTGAGTAGAAGCTTTCATCGTTCCTCCGGAACTTCCACAAGCTACGTTAAGCCTAAATTCACTTACCAGAAGCTACTTTTACCTTCACTATTAGTAATCCCCACTTGCTCGGCCTTTGTTGGCAAATATAAAGAATTGTCAGTCACAGAACAACTACTTAAAACCTGAGGACATAAAACCACCCTTACCGAGCAGTTACGACAGTACAAAACAAAAGTTGAACGAGCTGCCACTCAAGCAAAATTAATCAGAGCCAACCGCAAAGATGCTGTCGTATGATTCCACAGTCTCGATGAATGCACAAGCTCCTTCTACCGTCAATATGAACACTGCAAATTTGACTATGGGAACGGATCCGAAACCAATGCCAGCAACCCTGGCTCCAAATATGGCCAGTGATCCCAGTGGCCGAGTCGCGCCGAAACATCACCACATATGGTTGGTTACAGGTCCTGCCGGCTGTGGGAAGAGCACGGTGGCGCAGCACTTGTCGAAAGAACTTCAACTGCCATATATCGAAGGCGATGAGGTGTGTAAACACCAAATTGGTTAGGCGGAGCCCGCGCTGACAAAGATCATAGTTCCACCCGCCGGCCAACATCAATAAGATGGCCACTGGCATCCCATTGACGGACGCAGACCGGTGGGACTGGCTCACTCTGTTGCGCGACGAGTCCCTGCGTCAACTGGCCGCTGGTGCTAATGGCGTCGTGGTTACATGTTCAGCCCTGAAGCGGAAATATCGCGATGTCATCCGCGTAGCTCCATACTACTCGCACGACGTTCTCCTCCACTTCATCTACCTGCACGCTCCCGAGGCAGTCCTGCTGGAGCGGGTTGGGATGCGACAAGGGCATTATATGGGGGCCAACATGGTGCACAGCCAGTTCAGCATCCTTGAGCCGCCAACGGCTGAAGAGACGGACGTGATCAGCGTTGATGTGAGCGCATCGATGCCCGAGGTGCAGAGGGAGGCATTGAACCAGGTTCTACAGAAGATCGACGAGGCTGCATGAGTACTTGTCTGATCCCAAGGGTTCACTTCACTGCATGCATTGTGTGGTTTGGGTACCCAGCGGGACGAATTAGTGCTGCATGCGACAGCCATGAGTTGAATTAGCGAGTTCTGCATTTTCATGGCTTTTCCTGGTACCAAGGAGTTCTGGAGGGAAGATGTTTCTGTTTTTCTCGGGGCAACAGCGTCAATACCACGTACAAACGAACGAGGCGCCGTTGGAATTGGTGTTTGATTGGCTGATTGTGGATGGTGAATAGGTGTTTGGCTGTGTTGGCACATTTCCAGAACTTTCTTCTCTGGGTGTTTGCAAGTCTTCCACTTTGAGGAATGGCGTATACAAGCATGGCGAGTTGCGAGTCGAATCAACAACTTTCAATGCAATCTTGGAACTGTCTTGCTGGGACACAAAGCGGGTGCATCTTCCGACAAAAAGTTAACAGCCCCAATGATAAAATAAGGAATGCGATTCGCAACGGAAGCGCACCCGGGTCCCAAAACGAGCGCGTTGCATATAAGCCCTCCATATTCCGCCCAATTCCTATTCGACCATTGAAACCGGTGAAGGGATGAGGAAATATTTTTTTATATACGGTATTTGCACGACTGAAAACATGGACATCTCAGAAGCGCAGCAATGTTACGTTGAAGCAAACAACAAACTGCAGGTTTGCCGCCAAGCGGGTAGCTTTCGGTTCCAGGCCCGGATACAAGGGTCTAATTACAGTATACTGTAGGATGCATACAGTCTATACTAACCTTGCGACGCTGCATACATGCCCGACCGATCATCATACGCATAACGCATCTGCAGCCTTATCACATGGCCAAACCCCAAACCCACATCGGACGGACGGACGGGAAACCCATCATCACCGAAGATGGGTGACCATTACCTCAGGCTGCTCAACAAACTGGCGCACCACCTCAGCGGCCCGTGCCATGGTCGCGCCGTCTACTACGCGATGGTCCGCACTCCAACTGAAGTTACACACATGCTTTTTGACCACGTTTCCGTCCTCGTCGAAGGCCGGCACTGTGCGTATACGGCCTATGCCTAGGATCGCCACCTCCTTATCCACGAGGACGGGCGACAAATACGTGCCTCCGATGTTTCCAATGTTGGATACGGTTATGGTACCGCCGCTCATGTCCTGAACTGACAACCTGCTGGTCGCGGCGAGCGACTGCAGACGGACGAGCTCGGCGGCGATGGAGAGGATGTTCCGCGACCCGACGTTCTTGATGACGGGCACGACGAGGCCGGAGGGTGTGTCCATGGCCACGCCGATGTTGTGCTGACTGCGCATCATGAGACTGGGTTTGGACGTCTGGCTGTCCACGTCGACCCGGGAGTTGAGAACGGGGTACTGGTTCAGAGCCACGGAGACGGCTTTGATGATAAAGGGGAGGTAGGTCAGCTTGGTTACTTCCTCAACTTTCGCCGAGGAGGCAAGGATTTTGTTTAGACGGCGCCGCAGTGAACAGACATTGGTGAAGTCGATTTCGTCGGCGTATAGGAAGTGGGGTATAGAAAGGGAACGTGTCATGGTTCTAAACATCTGGGCTTGGGTGTGCGTGAGCTGAACTGTGGTCTCAGTTTGTGTTGCCGTGTCGACTGGTTGGGAGAATGCGGACGAAGGTGGTGCGGTTCCAGCTTGGTTAGAAATGCTAGAGGAATTGCGGTTCTCGACAAATCTATGGATGTCCTCCTTGAGAACCCTGCCATCTCTTCCCGTCCCTTCAATTTCCGTGATGTCTACCTTGTACGCCTTTGACAGATGCCGCACCGCTGGGGTAGCCAGAGACGCAAATCTCCCCCCTTGTTTCGGCGGTTTTGAGTGCCTATTGTTCTCCGGAATCTCATTCCCTGAGGTCTCTTCTTGCACCTGGCTCTCGGGTGCTTTACTCAGGGACTCCTTATTCAGGGGCTCTGCAACGCCGATCTCCACTGGTGCCTCGGGCTCCGTCACCGTCAAGGCCTCAAGGTCCTCCTTCTTGACATCACCCTGTATGTCGATATCCACAAACGGCTTGCCCACCTTGGCCATCTCGCCGGCGTCGTAGTGGAGCTTCTTGACAATGCCAGAGAAGCGACTCGTGATCTCGACCGAGGCCTTGTCGCTCTGGACTTCGCATAGCGGCGAGAACTCCTCGACGCGCGCTTCGGGCTCGACGAACCATTGTATGATTTCGCATTCCACAATGCCTGAGAGAAGTATATGAGCATCAACGATGCAATGCACGAAAGAGCTAGTTTGCATGATGAAGTAGAAGAAGACGAACCTTCGCCAATATCAGCCAGCAGCACCGGTTTGACAACCTGGAGACTCGTCGTAGAATGGAAACCCCTAGCCGCCGTGGCATATGCACCACGGCGAATGCCGACCTCGACGAAGCGATTTAGAGTGTGGTATAAGTGCCACTGGCGACGTATTGCGCGAGATCCCCGCTGAAGAAACATGATGGGCGGTAATGGGTCTTCTTCGAGAATGGCCCTTGTGTCTACTAGCTAACAACCACATTAGCACAAAGCCCCACGAAATGGAATGCTCGAAAGTAAGACAGTGAGGTCAGAGAGCGGACATAACGTCCGCCGCGGAATACCGCTGGTAACCGAACCTGGGGTTGAGTTGGGGTTGCTTGTAGGCCATTGACGTGGGGTAATCAGAAGCGATTAGATACGATGGATTGTTAGCGCAATCGCGTTCCTGGCAGGCAGATGAACATTTTTTTGTGACGCGATAACACTGCAGCATCCGCTCTCCGCAAGCTGCTCTTTCGATTGGTCCTTGGAACTTCGAAGCAACTACAATCCTTATTGCGGCGTTGGTGCAGCTGCAATATATAAGAAGTCGTAATGTCTTTCGTAGGAAGACAACGGTTTCTGTGCCTCCTCTGCCAATCGAGGTCCTTTAGCACACGATACCGCCGCCTCGCCGAAGAACCTACCAAAGCCGCCACCGCCGTTCCTGCAGAGAAACCGAAAAAGTTCATACCCGCCTCGCCTCTGGAGGATGCGCCGAGATCATATGGCAAGCGGCTCGAAAAATTCACACCGAAGCCGCTGAGCCGGCCGATAGGCCTGCCTTACCCCCCGGAACCGGGCCAGAACACGGGCACCGACCTGCGCACAATGAAGCAGCGCCGGGATGACTTTGTCAACATCAATAAGCACTTGGAGAAGCGCGAGATGCTGTAAGAGAAAACATAATACCCTCTATACATGATATGGGAAGCTTCATGGCTAACGTTGTGTGAAATAAAACAGGAAGAACAAATTCTCCCGCCCCTACTTCCGCGACTGGGGCAACCTCAACTTCCATAAGGGCAAGACCTTCATCGCGCCCCCGCGGCCCTTCAAGGGCGACCTTTCGCTTTATTTCCCCAACCTCTACGGCCAAACTCTATTAAAAACAGACCGCACGCCCCGCGATACGACCCCGACGCTTTTCGGCAAAGTATCTGTCGTCAGCATATTCAGCAGCACCTGGGCTGAGAACCAGGCCAACACATTTATATCACCCGATCACAACCCGGGTCTGACAAAAGTCCTCGAGGAGAACCAGGACCGGTCCCAGCTGGTGCGTGTTAACATTGAGGAGGATGGCCTCAAGGCGATGCTCATCAAGCTGTTTATTGGTGGGTTGAGGAAGAGGATTGGGGAGGCGAATTGGGATAAGTACTTTATTGTGAGGAGGGGTGCTTCGGATGAGATTCGGGAGGGGATTGGGTTGTTGAATGGCAGGGTTGGGTACACGTATTTGCTTGACAGCCAGTGTAGGATACGCTGGGCGGGAAGTGGGCTGAGTGAGGACCATGAGCGAGAAGGTCTGGTTAAGGGGCTCGTTCGGCTGCTTAATGAGGAGAAGAAGACTGCTGCCAAGGTATGATACTGTATGATATGTGTTGTTCTATAGAGTCTGAACCACAGACAGGCAAAGACTCGTGGCTGCTAAATGATACCCAACTTCTTCAAAGTCCTTTAGAACAACTGTCTCTAACCCAGAATCTTCTGTCCAAAACACATCCCCCAATTCTAGCCTTCCACACAGACAAGGATGTGCTCTATTGATGGCCCATTCCTCACAACGCTCGAAACACATCCACCTTTGGGTTCTTTCATCCTATTAGTTTCTTCCAACTAGGATTTAGACATAGCGTGGAGAAACGTGCACCACTCGGCGAAGTAAACAACATTCGTCGTCTTGTAGCCAGTCTTATATGCCTGCCTCCTCGTCCTCAATCTCCTCGATGGTGACTGGCTTTGCTTCCGAAGACATTGTCGTAGCTGCTTTTAAGTGGCAGTTTCAAAGATTATCTTCAGACTGAGTTCAATCTCTGTGGTTGAGTAGTGACGAGTTCTTTGTAGTTGAGAGGAGGTGATGTCTCAATCTCGATCGTGTTCTTGGATGAAGAAGAAGGCGTTTGAGTGCATGTATTTGTTCTTTGTACGACAATCGTTGTGATAAAGAGATCGTAAGGATTGCTAAACATATGCAAATGCGAGGTCATAGGATTTCTTATACTCGTGTGTCTCCGAGGAATCTCAGTGGACCTAACCAGACAAGGTGATGTCACAATGTGGACCAAAGCTAATAGCAAAATTTACCATACGCGTGGGGGAGTATAGTTTCATCGCTACTTGCTCGATAAGTTTCTATGGGTCCCTCATCTGGGCCTTGGGTTACCATGGGCCATGGTAATGTCGTTAGGGGTGACATGTAGCTGCAGTCAAAGTGTACACTTGTGTTCAGGTGTCTTAACTTGAATGATTACCCCCCAGTCCGTGGTATATAATACCAACAATTCGCAACCGGCTCCATAAGTCGATAATGGCCAGTGACAAACCTCTCAAAAATCATAACTCACCTGTGCAGATATAAGCGGATATGGTAATTTGCACTCATCCTCAATTTGAGACGCAGTACTCAGCATCTAGTTCACTCCGTCCATGCCAAATAGTACCATACAAGGCAAGCTGGCGCCCAACCGCATCACTCCAGAACGCCTTGCGAAACAAACATGCCAGCTGGTGAGTCCAAGGAATATCCAGAACCAACACAACCATCATACAAACGGCCCCCGTTAAAAATGTCCAGGCCGATGCCCTGCGCTCCTTCAACAGATCAATCATACAAGCCAGAAGAACAACACAAAGCAGAACGCAATGAAGCTGCCCATGATAATTCCATCCCTCCGTTTCCTCGCCGAGATCTTCCCAATCAACGTATTCAACCCCGGCACTTGGCTAGCAGCCATGGTAATCCGTCGGTTGATGCTAGCCAGCGTCTCGCGTTGCGCCATGAAGCTCTCGTTGGTGGCGTAGGCCTGACTGAGCACGCTGTCCACCACATTATGACTGTTGTCGATGCGGTTCCGCTCGTCCAGCATGTAGTCGGCCTCGGCGGCCCCCGGTTGGCTGGCGTGGTAGGCGTCGATGGTGGAGCGTACGTTGGGGAGCAGGTTGGCGCGGTTTCGCGCCTCTTGGAGGTTGGAGTGCAGCCGGTTTAGATCCCGGCGGTGCTCCGAGAGCTTCTCGCGCAGGAGGGACAAGTTGTTTTGTTTGAGGGCGGAGGAGGTCAGGGCGGCTTCGGAGTCGAGGAGGCGAGCCAATTGGCTGATAACGGAGTCTCTCTGTGGTTACGTGCGTTAGCCGAGGCTGGCGAGATGCTGTATATCATGGAGGGAGCTGTACCTTCTCAAGGAGCTCTGTCAGCTTGGCTTCTGTTTCCTTCTCTTCTGTCGTCGGCTTTGGTGGTATATTTGGTATTGTGGAGAACTGGGAATATGTTTGGAATAGCGTCTCCGTCTGGAATACGACTTATTAACACATGGCCTGTCGCTCAAGGAGCTTGATGTTGCTAACCTGAGACTCCAAGCTTCGAGCTTGTTGTCGCAACTGGGCCCAGCCCTGGGCTCCTGCAGCTGCTGCCATCTTGTTCTTGAATTATGTGATGAATTCTCACAACTGAAGGTTGCCTCCTGAGCGTGTAGGTTGGTGCAGATGATGGAGTGGCTAGCCGAGGCCTGTTCGGGTCTGGATGGTAGTAAAGGTACGTGGATGTAAGTCTGCTTCACGTGTAGCCGGTTTAATGTTATTGGCAGTACGGGTATCTGGGCCAAAAAAGCAAGAGTCCTAAACACTCAGGGATTAAGTGGATGGTGAATTTCGTATATTTTGACTCTATGAAGCAGTTGCGTACTAGTACTGATGGTATGCTTGGAAGCCAGACCGGCAAGCGTGGTTACGAGTTGAATCACGAAGCCCGGGATGTTAGGACCGGCACCAGCACAGACCAGCTCCACTCTGTTCTCGCCTTGGTTTGTGTTCCAGGGACGATCAGCTCATGTGTATTTGAAGTCACCATGCTCGGTTCGAGGTGTTATTTATGGAGGAAATGTAAACGCCAAAAGCATTTTGCATTGCTATAGAACAGACTAGTTATCAATATGCATATTCCTACTTGCATCAACTTGTAAAACTGGAGGATAATGCTGGATGGAATGTTATACTAAGTTATGCAAAGTTATGCAAAGTTATGGAACTGATTGTTCTTAGCGGGGTGATGACCTACATGAATTGATCAGCGCCCGTTTGCACCCTAACCCCGATAACTTCAACTCGTCTTTATGCATACACGTTAACGCCTTCTAACTGCGAACTATTGCTACGCAATTCCAAAAATGCCCAGAGGTGCTCCTGCTGGGGAAGATAAAGGTTGGGGTGCTATAGAGAAGGTTCGAGCTGTTGCTCGGATTCACGGCATTCCCCGAAAGGCAAGTTTCAAATCATTGTTCCGGTGTCACAACCAGACCACTGACGCCACATATTGCTTATAAGCATACCTGCCTGGATCCTGGCTGTTCAGTGTGGCTTGTGGCTCGTGGTTCCATGGCTCTTGCCCACTTTACCCATTTTTGCATTTTGATCCCACACGATTTTTTGAAGCATTCTAACGTCGGACAGTCAAAGCCTCAAGCCTTCTCAGCATCCCGACAACGACTTCGTGCAATTATCTCGACAGACACAGAACGACGTGCTCTCCTAGCCAGCAATCAAGATGGTAAGCTATTGCCCTCCTCCATTACTGACATTTTATGAATTTTGCGATCGAATGGACGATTGATCCACCCACCTTCTACCTCGAGAAATTTCCACACAACGCAAAACCCCGAAAAGCTGGATTCAAGCTAACCTCGATGTCTCTACAACAGTCCACGAGCAAGGTCAAGGCGGGGGCCCTGTGGTCCAAGAACAAGGAGGATCTCACCAAGCAACTATCGGAGCTGAAAACCGAGCTGGGCCAGCTGAGAATCCAGAAGATCGCGTCGGCGGGTTCCAAGCTCAACAAGATGTATGGAAGACGAACTACTACCTAGGGCACCGATGCGGAAGTACTGACCATTTATTTCAGCCACGACCTGCGAAAGTCTATTGCCCGGGTCCTTACGGTCGTCAACATCAAGCAGCGCGCCCAGCTTCGCCTGTTCTACAAGAACAAGAAGTACATGCCTTTGGATTTGCGTCCCAAGCAGACCCGCGCAATCCGAAGACGTTTGTCCGCAGCCGATGCATCCAAGAAGCTCGAGAAGACCCGCAAGCGCGAGCAGCACTTCCCCCAACGCAAATACGCCGTTAAGGTAAATGCTGGGAACCCGAAGAAATTTTGAGCACACAGGGATTTGGAAATGCTAACATGAGTACGCGCAGGCTTAAGTGATGGTTTCACCTTTGGCATTGGGTGAAAAATGGTCTCGACGAGGTGTGGTTCTTTCCTCAAAAATGGGGAATCTCTGATCTTTGCATGGCATCACACGGCTTTTACGGTTGCCCGGTCCAGGTGTTTACGAGGTCATACTTAGCAGCCACAATGAAGCTGTAAATGAATCACAAATGCGATTGTGTTACCAAGCAACCTCCCGCTACCGATTCCCTGTCTACTCGTGACTGCGATCCATGAAGTGCACACCAACCTCGAAGCAAAGAGCCAAGGCCCCAGTTGTGAACGGTGCAGTACGAAGGGGCAGGTTGATTGGGTGATATAGGAGAAGCCGCGTTGGATGCGCTTATCTTCAATAAACCCCCAAGTTTTGTCCGCTACGATTGCGATTCAGCAACTTACTATGGGAAAAAAACAGTGGTCAGCAGTGCTGTTACATGGCCATGGCCTCGACTTGGTGTCTTTACCAGACGGAGTCTTCGCGAACTCGGCTAGGAACCCTCGAGTTGTGCCCTTTCGTGTGGCAATATGAGGGATCATATCCCCTTCACAACTTGCCTAAGACATTCTTAGAAGGACCTACTCATGCCATGGTGACCCGCTCCCCAACCTCTGCCCCCAGGTGGAGCTAACGTGACGATGATTCTAAGCAGGCTCATTCATACATTCTTCATGCCAACAAGTTTATACTCTGCACAGCGAATTTACTCCAAGTAATCTATCTATCTGGACTTTGATGATGGAGCTAGGCTACCCTGAAACGAGGAAGAAGTAAAAATATCCACTGGCCTGTGCCGGTGGTTACTTTTTGAATGCGCTCAGGGATAGACCCTGAACTGAAGCAGATAATCGTTGGCGCAGATCAGATAGTGCCTAGGCTTTCTTACGTCGTTGACATATGGATCGTATGTAAGGCTACACTGGTAAAGTACGTTTTGCTGCAAGTAAGCCTAGCGAATTAGTGGCATATACGATGCCCATGTAACGAAGTCGATTCGTCCTAGCATCTCCTCATCATGCTCATGTCCATCGCAACCGTAATCTACCTATTGCGTAAACCGCCCCAATTACTTTTGAAACCCGTCCACTTGTAAACTCCAATCCGCCAAGTGGCAAACCCATTTGCTAAGTTTCGTGCTGATAGATGCACCCATATGACCCTTGGCCGCCATGTGCTCCAAGCGGACCATTGTTGCGTCCCATTGGGGGATATCGTGTACGCATATGCTCATTCACGTCCACTTGTAACCCACTTTAACATCATATGATATATAACGGTTCTACTTGGATTGACAACTCAGGCGGCGTAGCCCGCTGAAGACGATCCTTCGTCTTTTTCCTCTGTCTCTCGTGCTTTTCCGTGTGCCGCCTCAATTGGTCGAGGCGGATGAATTCCTTGCCACACCCAGGTTCTGTGCATTTGTGCTTATAGACTGGGTTGTGGATCTTGCGATGTTTTGACAGGTTGGACGACTCGCAGAACCGCTTCCCGCAGTATTCACATACCAATGGTTTCTCTCCCGTGTGGGTTCGCTTGTGCATTGCTGATGAGTGTCAGCTGGGGGTCCGTCCCGCTGATGAAACGAGGAGACAACTTACTTAACGCGCTTTTCTGTTTGAATGCCTTATCACAGCCTTCTACGTCGCATACGTAAGGCTTGTCTCCCGTGTGTATTCGGATATGTTGGTCCAGAGCCTGTTGAGCCGAGAAGCCCTCTCCGCACTGTTTACACTCGAATGGCTTGTCTGTTGCTCGATCAGTCGGTGTTTTCACCTTGTCGTTGTTCTTCACAACTCACAAGAAGTATGGGTCGAGAGATGACGGCGCAGCTTATTCCTAGATGCGAATTCCTGGTGGTCCTTTCGGACACAGCCCTTCCACAAACACTTGTATTTGGTCTTGCTGGACATGTGGGCAAGGTGATCTTCACGGAGATGCTTATCCAGATCGATAGGGGTGCTGAACGACCGGCTACACAAATGCTCATGCTTCGCTCCTTCGTCGCTCACGATCCACCGGCAAGTATGTTGCTGGTCAGCGCAATTTGGGCTTTTGAGACAGTCGTCCGGCTCTGGCGTTTTGGGACTGGTGTCAGCTGTATCAGGCATGAGTGGAGGTGTTTCTTCAAGTGCTGGACGTAGAGAGCCGTTTGTTTGAGCCATGTAGTCCACTTGGCCAAAGTCAGGACACGGGAACTGCATGCAGTCCGGCTGCTCGATCGAGCCCGAAGCGGAAGGTGCCCCCAGATTCCGCAGAGTGATGGCAACATCATGTTCGGCGTTGGTGTGGTTGCAAGGCGGATTGTGCGATAAGAAGCTAGGTTCTGCGTGAGCATGGGAATTCCAGTCGTCGGGCATGTTCCAGATATGATCCAAAGAACCGCTAGCATCATTATCGTCGAAGCAGTGAAGGTCATCACACGGGACGCCATCGTCTGCACAGTCTTCCTCCTCACAGGCTAGGGTCGAGCAGCACTGGCTACTGCAGGATACTTGACTGCAGTTGACGGAAACGCAGTCGTCAGTTACCGGCTGTTGCCGCATCGCCGCAAAGTTGGTGTTGTTGCCATTGAACGTATCCCCAATCTGCTGACTGCTGCCGACCTGTTGGTGCAGGGACCTTTCTCCTAAATCCGAGCTGTATTTGAGATCCGAGTGATTGGACATGAAATTATTGTACATGAAACCGTCGAAATGTGTTGCAGGGCTGGGGAAGAAGGTGTTTTCCGGCAAAGGGTACGGGTACGACACAGAACTGGTCTGGTATCGAGGCCGGCTGTAGGGGACAGGAGGATATGCGTGTCTGTGTAGTCCGTGAGTGGTAAAGCCGCCAACACAAGTGTCGATACAGGAGTCATCATGCGACGCGAAGGACGCCGACATGTCGAGAGACGACGGCATCATGTAGTTGAATGAGTGAAGGCCGGTGGGATAGTTGGATGCAAAAGCCGAGCCGTTGGACCCGGCTGCTGGGCTATCACATCTGCCCATCGACGTGGACGGGTTCAACGAGAGCCCGTAGTCCTGATCATTGGGATTGATGGAATCGTCCATCTTCCAGCATCAGCTACCGGTTCTTTGGCGTCAAGGACATGACCTTGTGGCGTCTGCCCGAAGACCAGTGCTCTGCACAACCGCCGAGAGCCTCAGGGACGAGACCACACGGGTAGAGACAATGTCGGCGCTCGTGATAGGACTGGCCCCGTGGATTTTAAGAATGGCTGCAATTGGATCACAAGTAAGGAAGAATTCGTGCTGTACCACTGGTCTTGAGGCTCGAGCTTCTGCGGGTTCACCAAAGTAGATTCACCAAGAAGAATGCGATTTCACTGCTGATGGGCGCAAGAAGTCGACAGGCGCTCTTGTTTGAGTACCTTGATGGCCACTGCCCTTAAAGTATCATGGCGTCAGAACTAGGGTACTTGGCTGTGACGCGCGCCCATTGATTTTTCGAGGTTAGCACCAGTTGGCTGCGGAGTTTTCCAGATATGAGCCTCTTGAGCGCTCAAGTGTACAGCGATGGACCACCGACCCGGAATTTTGGCTTTGATATTGTCGCTCAACGAGTGGGTGAAGCCTCAAATCCGTCCGCGAAAAAGACGGCTCAAAGGTGGGGCTGCTAAAGAGCCAGCCATCAAGGGACTCACGAGTCAAGGTTTGTCCTGTGAAAATTCTCAAGATGGCATGATTGATTGCATGCGTTGATTGGCGACAGCGCGGGGTGACCCGGTTGCGTTAAAATTTAGCTGCAGGTGTGACCTGAGGCTTGTCGCACCAGGCGGTGCCAGCTGCTGAACCAATGTGCTGGAGCTAAGTAGAGCCCAGAGCTTGCTCATGCCAGCCATGTATTTTTGAGCGGGTTTTGGGATATAGCTGATTGTGAGCACACATTCATCTATGGACATGAGTGGGATAGCGTACGGGGCAAACCTTGTGTTGATGCTGTTGCCGCCTGTGTGTTTATTTGCATTTGGCATCCAGAACTGTTTGGCAAGATGGCCTCAATGAGCAGGTAGCTCAATCATTGCCAGACCCTAGCTGTGCCTTTCGCCGGTTTGAGGCTGAGCTAGCCCCTCCCCCGCAATGTGCTCCCTATCTCTTGCCCATCCAATGTCTCAGTCGCAGACGACATATCCAACTACAGGCCTCGTCTCCCATCCCTTTGAGGTCTGAGACACATGTGGCCATCTCTCATCATGCTCCGAAACATCCTTGACACGATTGGATTCTCTCTTAAACTCGTCTCATTGTGATCCCGAAGATACCTGCATATCCGCTATCACACATTCACTTGAACCTAATCTCGCCTATCTTTACTTGACTGAACTCTGATATCAACCACCTGCGTATCGCGGCAAGCTTATGAGAAGCCCAGCAACAACCACCCACCACCCGCCCACACTCGCGCAAGAATGGGCAACATCTGCGGCAAGCAAGAAAGCGAGAATTTCTCCACCCCGGGTCGCGTAGTCGGTGCCGCTCCGCCACAGCCGCAGCGAGCTTCGGTACCCGCAAAGGTTGGCGGTCCGCCACGGACGTTGGGCGGCAAGGACACGAGCGCGTCGCAAGGCAGCAGCGGCGGCGCCACGGCAGACGACGCGCGGCAGCGGGCCGCAGAAGCTGCAGAGGTATAAACTCAGCATTCCGATCTTTCGAAAGGTGCAAAGGAGCTAAACCATGGAACGCATTAGGCACGTGCTAAAGCAGCTTCAAAGGCTACGGGCAAGTTAGGTTTCCAGCTGCAGGCGCAGAGGAAGCAGACGAGGCAGGACATCCTCAAGGAGGTCAGCCAGCAGGAAGTGAGGGCGAGAGATGCTGATGAGGCGGCTCAGGCGAGGAATTATAACTAGGTTGTTCATGAACAGAGCACTGCGATGATAAGTTAGGGCGACAATCTATATTTGTTTGGCCCCTAGAGGTTGCTGGAGAACTCCAGAGGGCAGGGCAATGTCGAATCCGCGCGTCTTACATTGCTTAACACGTGCGCCCAACCCCTGATAACTCATGGGCTGATGCCATTTGGAATATTTCACATAGTTGAGGGGTGCATCGGGCGTATTCAGCCCAGGAGCATTGCGTTAGAATGGTTTTCCACGATAATATTACCTCCTTCCGTTTGTCTACGTAACAGTGTACCTTCCACCAATAGGTGCCCGACTATCAGCATCGGCAGCAGCCACAGTGCCTTCCTTCAATAAACGCGTGAGCTCCGCCATGGCGTTGGCAACAACCAATTCGGTATCACCTTCAACTAAAATGTACAGCTTGGGAGCTCCGCCCGGTGGAACCTCCTTTCCTGTCCCGTAAAATGTTCCCTTCGTAGTAATCGAAGTGCCAGTCGCCTCCAAGATCTTGGCCACGTTGGTTCGGTTCGTGACAGCCCAACGGGCCTTTTGAGGAAAGTCGTGAATCTCAAGCGTTGCGTGGTACGCACCCGCATCAGGACCCTTGTTGTCAATAGGCTGTCCTGGCCGAAGTTGTCCGGCTTTTCCGAGACGTGCGTTGATGGCATTGATGGCCGTTGATACCTTGTCCAAGGGGTTGTTGCCACTGGTCGACGACGCTGGCGCCTCTTCCCGTTTGTGGATGGTAAACTTAGGTTCGAGGTCGACCGTCTTGGGAGCGGCATCACGGGATGATACAGCTGAGGCAGCCGCTTGGATAGCCGAAACAGCCTTGTCGGCTTTCTTGTCATCTGCAGCCCCTTCCTCCTTGTTCGGCTCTTCTTCTTCACCTTCGGTTCGGTGAGATTTGCGTTCCCGCAGTCTCGCCGCCTCTCTCTCTTGGTCCAGCCGTTCGAGACCCTTTCCTCCAAACCCTGTCTGATCTTTGGCTTTGCCAGATTTGACCTTCTCCTTGAAGGCCTTGCGCATTTCTTCAAGTTGCTCAGGTATTGGCTGGCCACTTTGTTCAAGCGCCTTCGCAATGCCAGGCGCGCAATTCTCTTGATCTGGTGTAACAAATGACACAGCCGTGCCTTTATTGCCAGCACGCCCAGTACGCCCAGCTCTATGCACATAATCTTCAAGATGATTCGGCGCGTCGTAGTTGACCACTAGCTTGAGCTGCTTCACATCAAGGCCTCGTGCGGCAACCGACGTCGCAATCATGATTGGAACGACGCCATTTTTGAAGTCTTCGATGGTCGAGTCACGGTCAATTTGGTCTTTGCCGCCGTGGATTGACATGCAAGGGTAACCTTTCCGCATCAGTTCTTTGAGCAGGTCGTCAGCTTTCTCCTGCCGCTCCACAAAGATCAAGCTTCGAGCGTCTTCATCTTTATCGTACAGCTCTCCCAGGAGCTCAAGCAAGCGGATGAACTTGTTGTTTTCTTCTCTGATCTCAACGATCTGAGTGATTTCCGGGGCAACGACGCTTCTACCACCAACGGTAATCTCAACTGGGTTACTCAAAACCTTCTTGGCCAAAGCGTCCATGATACGTGGCATCGTAGCCGAGAAGAGAATGTTCTGTCGGTCTGGTCGCATATTTGAAAGGATCTTCATGACTTGTGGCTCAAATCCCATATCGAACATCCGATCAGCCTCATCCAGAACGACATATGTCACTCGCTTCAGATTCGTCACGCGTCCCTGGTTTGCAGCTAAGAGATCTATCATACGCCCGGGGGTGCATACGACAATCTCAGCGCCCCGTTTCAGTTCGGCAATATGATCTTTGATCGGGGCGCCACCATACGCACAAACTGCTCGCAATCCCATTGACTTCAAGAACGGTTTGCAGTCTCGATGGATCTGCGTTGCTAACTCTCTTGTTGGGGTCATGATTAAGCCGATTGGCCCGTCATTCTCTTTAAGGGGTTGTTGATCCTTGATGTGTCGGAACATGGGCAGCAGGAAAGCCAGAGTTTTCCCGGATCCAGTCTTTGCGATTCCAATAATGTCGCGACCGGACATGATGGCGGGGAACGCTTGCATCTGGATAGGTGTTGGCTTGTCAAAACCTAGCCCATCAATAATGTCAAGCGTTTTACGTGATAAGGCACATTGAGACCATTTCTGCACCGGCTTGGGGACATCCTTGCCAAAGACTTTAATACCGTCGAGTTCAAGTCGGAGATCTACCACCTCGGCTTCGGTCATTTCAGACAATTCAGCGGGCTCGACCCAGAAGTTCTTGCGAATCGGATCCAGGTTGAGCTTGGTATAGTCTACAGCAGGGATGTCTTTCTTCTTGCGTGCTTTTGACGTGATGGCGACGAAATCAGAGTCGATCTCTTTGTCCCGATAATCGTATTCATCGTCGCTGAAATACGCTTCGGGCTCCTGCTGAGGTTTGCTTGCTTGAGGCTTTGTCTTAGGAACTTTGCTGACAGTTGGTTTGGTTTCGAGATCGTTCATAAAGGCATCGAGAGGATCCTCCTCCTCCTCCTTCTCGTCGACCTGCATGGCGTCGGAAACAAGTACAGCCGGTGCAGTCAGCACAGCAGCCACGCCGTTCGGTTCAGACGCTACAGGTTCTTCTTTTGGCTCTTCATGTGGTGCGTCGATTTCCATGTCGTCATGATGTTGAGCACTTTCTTGAGCAATCCGTTCCTCTCGTCTTTCCTGCGCAGCACGAGCAGCAGCAGCTTCTTCTTCTTCATCACCCGCGAAATTATCCGCATCGTCCTCATCATCTTGGATCTCGTAAGGTGTATCATCAACATCAGGAAGGGGTAAAGAGGGTAGCTTAGCCAGTTTTCTATCAGATGTCTCCTCCTCATCGAGCATCAGCTTTCGCTTCTGTGGGACTTTCTCAGCCTCTGCATTCTGCTTGTGAAAGCCGAAGCCACTCGTCTTGGCTCTACTTTGCGGCAGCGCGGAAACATTCGGCTTCGCTGCTGGTGGGGGTTTTGTGGCCGGTATAGTAGACGACAACTGTCCAATAGCCCCGAGCTTGGGAGCAGCACTGGGGGAGTGTGTACGCGGGGCCGCCTTTTTGGCAATGGCCTTCGGATCGAACTTGCCAGCGTACGGGGTTCCCGGCGAGGCTATGTGAGCTGGCTCGGCTGGAGACGCTACGGCTGCTGTTGTGGAGGGAGATGCTGCAGTCGGGGTTACAGTCGCCGAAGTACCATTAGCTTTCTCATCCATTTCTGCAAGAAGCTTCCTGGTTCCACCTGGCGTAGCCTCCTTCTGTTTCTCCTTCTCCTCTTGCTTCTTCTTCCACGCCGCCAGCTTGGCAAGACGTTCCGCCTTTTTGCCAGCATCGGACTGAGCAACTGCAGGAGTCGGCTTGGCTTTCATATCAGAAACCTGGAAGCGGTTGTAAATATTTGTAGGGATTGTGGGACTCTTCGGTAAACGCACCTCTGTCTTCATGTTTGCCTTGTTGGCATCGACGGGGGCGGGGACGCGTTCTCGGCTAGCATCTCGCCTACTGCGCGGACGAGAGTCAGTAGTACCTTCGCGTCGCCCTCTGTCTCGATCTCGGGAGTCATCTCGCCTGCTTCGATAGTCCCTATCTACGCGCCGGCGATTTTCCGGAGAGCGGTCTCTGACACGGTCCCGGTCCCGGTCCCGGTCCCTCTCCCGATCACCATAGCGATCACGCGAACGCCGCCGGTCCCTGCCGCCGCCGCCTCTGTAGTCGTCATCTCTTCGATCTATGGGTCGACGGTAGTCATGGGGCCGGTCCCTGTCGCGGCGGCCATAATCTCGCCGGTCTCTATCCCGGTCCCGGTCCCGATCTCGATTCCGTCCATCCTCTCTACGATGTCGTCTTGAGGAGGAATGCTGACTTCCTGCAGGACTTGGTGAGCGTGAGTCTCGGAGCCGGGCCATAGTTTTGTGTGTAGGCGCCCGGCACAATGGTGAGAACTACCAGCGAAAGTTTTCAGTCCGAGGACGAGAGCGACTACCTTATTGGATAAGTGTGCAATCCCACTGGAGTTGTATGAGGTATTATTTCGCGGCGATGAACGTGCTTCTGTACGCAAATGGTCGTTATAGAGATCTTGGGCAGTTTGGGGCGATATAGGTATCGCTTTAAAAGTCTGGATGTTGTTGATGGAGTGATGCAAAGTGTTGGTCGACTTCACTTTCGACGACGTCAAATACAGTTTGGAACTTTCGACGTCCTATGGTAGACAGGTGTGGCCCGTGCATAGCTGCCTTGAAACTGCAGTCAAGTCCAAAAGCAATTTGAAGGCTGTAATAGATGGTGGCGCTAGACCTGAAATGACCAGCGAGGCTCTGCACAATGGTGGTCATAGCTCTCCCCATACGTAGTACGGTCTAAGCTGGTAACGTACAACCCCACCTTTCCGGCCACCCACGTTTCTGGCCACATATTGTAATCCAATTGAAGGTATTCGAAACAGTGTATTCAACGTACTATTATAGCTATTCAGGTACAACCAGCTCTAATAGAAAGCTGTGCTCCAGGGCTTCCTGAGGTATAGATCTGATAGATTCTGACGCCTTAGCTGGGTCCAGTATTACCTGATTCCGACGTTGTACCTGGTCTCGTTGCCGTTCTACTTCAAGGGCTCGATCCATCGCTTCCTTAATCTGTACAGTGTTACCAAATCGTTCATTAGGCCCTAATCGTACCTTCTTACGTGGTTTGGGGCGTAACGAAGTTATCTCGGCTTCTAATGCGTGTACACGTTGGGTCAAAGTAGCGACCTCGACGCTCTGTACATCTAGCCGACGAGTCAGCTTCCGAAACAATAGCCGTTGCGACGATCGCAATGGCGTAATCGCTGCCAGACTCTCCCTAGTTACTAAGCTAGTCACTGGCGTCGCCATTATTGTCGGATCAAGCCAATTACCAGCTGTTGTTGGTGTAGTTGGTCGTTCTGATAGGGGGGCTATCGTCGGCTGAGGTCGCGATGGATCTAATGGGTATATTCCAGTTGCAGAGAAGCCTGATTGTATATTACTGATCGTGAACGACTTCGTATATGCCTCGATATATAGCGAGAGGAACGTCGACTTTTTAAATGGAACAGAACAGTACTCGATCGAGAGAGATGTCGCTAGCGAGCGATAGTACCGCTTTAATGGAGCAAATACGGCGACGTCGAGAGGTTGGAGCCCGTGAGAACAGTGTGCTGGTAAAAATAGTAACGAGATCTTGTTACAATAGGCTAACCATATGAACTCGACGTTATCGTGAGCGATATGACCATCTAATATCAAGAGCCGCTGCTCGTCGGGATCAACTGGTTGTGTACGAGGTATAAAGATATCACGAAGCCATCGAACGGCGATATCTGTACTGATCCAACCGTTGGACGAATAAGTATATTGCCAATCAGGTATATCGTCGCAATCGTTAAACCATTGGGCTTGGAGGCTCTTGCCAGTGTATATTACTGCTGGGGTCAACGAATTACCCATCGCCGATATAGCATGTAATATAGTGACCCATTCGCGGCTTTCGTCACTCCGAACGAATATTTTCCGTTTCTCTGACGATCCGTACACTGTACCCTCGATCCCTTCGCCAATCGCGATGCCTGTTTCGTCCATATTCCAGACGTTGTGTGGAAAGTAGTCGTGAGCTAACATCAAGGCTTTGTACGTCTCGAAGAAATCGTCGATATTCTGCGTCGATAGGCCATCAAATCGCTGACGGTCGAGGCGTCGAGATTGGATACTTCCGACCTCTGGATGGCGTTGAATAAAGCGATGAACCCAATGGCGACCGAGGCCCTCTGATCGACGATCCTGAGGCAACAGAATTAACGCCATCTTAGCGATGAATAGCGCCGACGGGCTACGACCCTCGCGATCCATCTCGAGGATCCATCCAATCAGCGCGTCTTCCTGATCCCTAGATAGCTTCATCGACGCGATTGATGCGTCAGAATGGCTGAGGCCATCGCCGAGTCGTAATTGGAGGGTAGAGCGTGGAACGCCCCATCGGAGGGAAGCCTGGCGCTGGGATATCCCTTGATTGATATCATTGAGAGCGCCTTGAATCGAATTTTCTGAATATCGAGGCATTGTATAATAATAGCCAATACCGACGATAATCTGTTGTGCCGAAGGTTGTTGTAGTTGGCAGATTAGGTGGCCGGAAAGGTAGTTGGCCGGAAAGGTGGGTGGCCAGAAAGGTGGGGTTGTACGTTAGTGGCTTGTTCGCAGTTCGAACGAGCAGCAGTGTCAAGCTAAAACAAGGGGGCTGGGGTGCAATTTGTTGATTTCCCAGGGTTTGCTTTTAAGAAGTCTTTGGCGACGGCAGAAGCTCCCGAAGTCCACCCAGCGATCACTGACCAATCCACCAAGTATTTTTGAGGAGAACCCGGACTATCTTAGTCGCTTTGATGACTCCATCTTGGAGCACCTCCTCAATCGCCGATTCCTCAATTCCCACACAGCAATCAGCAGTCTACAATTCCTAGCCATGCTATCCGCCGTGGGACGCGCTGCCGTGCAGCGCTTGTCCACTACGTCATGTTGCCCTACCACCATCTCTCGACTGGCTATCCGCGTCGTGGGCCAGCAGCAGCCTAGCTTCGGCGCATACCGCTTGAAGTTTTCAAGGAACTTCGCTGCTGTCGCAAAGACGAAGAAGACGGAAGTCATCGAGACGAAAGAAAAGGGAAAGGGAAAGGCCAAGAATACTGTGACGAAAACTGCCAAGAAGACTGCCAAGAAGCCTGCGAAGAAGCCTGCGAAGAAGGCCGCCGTGGCGAAGAAGAAGGCACCGAAGACACCCGTCAAGAAGAAGCCTGCCGCCACCCAGACTCCCTCCAAAACGGCACTGTTGATGCAGGCGCGGAGGGAAAAGATGAAGCTCAAGGAGGAAGCCTTGTACAGAGAAGAGCCGCCAGCACCCTTCAGATCTCCATACCTAGAATTTGTGAAAGAACAGACGGCAGGAAATTCGGGAACGCATGAGTATTTCATGGAAAAGGTGGCGGGTTTGAACCAAGTCTTCAAATCGCTCCCGGCTTCGGAATTACAGGCGAGTCGCGACTCCAAATCGATGTCGCCATTGTTCTAACAGCAAGCTGTAGCGTTTTAATGAAATGGCCGATGCAACGAAGCTAAAGCGCAGTGCGGACTACAAGGCTTGGTTGGAAAGTATTCCCGCATCACAGATCGAAGCTGCCAACAATGCCCGCCGAAGGCTTAAGAAGGTTTACAATTTCCCCAAGGTCTTGAAACTCATCAAAGATGAGAGGCAGCCCAAGAAGCCTATCAGCGCGTATCTGTACTTCGTCAAGGGTCGCTGGGCTTCTGGTGACAGTGACCTCACATCCACCGGGAGGGAAACGCCAGCTTTCCAAGAGTCTAGCAAAGCTCTATCAACCGAGTGGAGTAACATGTCGGATGCTGAGAAACAGGTAAGTCATGAAGCCCCCCTGCTTGATGGCCCATGATTGACCAAATGCGATGCAGCCGTATGTCGAGCTCTCACAAGCCGATATGAACCGTTATGAAAAAGAGGTTAACACGGTCCTCCAGCGGACTATGAGACGCTCCTCCGTCTAGTTTCCTGCTCTCGTGGAAACTTGAACAGAGAGGCTTGCATTAGGGGAGGACCGACTTTTTTCACGGCTGGAACGCAAAATTGCGGATATGTACTAGGTACCAGACGTTGGACGCTGTAAAGAACGGCAAGATCCAGTGCTTTGGGTCTGTAAGCTGAATGGACGGAGCGGAGAGAAAGAGATTTCTGCGTTTTGATTTGATTCACAACCTGTGTACACTAGCAACCACCAGACACTGGCATGTAACCAGTTATGGAGTCTTGGAGATACCAAACGAGCTGCGGGCTACTTATTGATACAGTTCTCAGGCAGAAAATAAAGTACGTTAAATGAGGGCATCAAGAGTGTTCGCCCTGGTGCACCTTAAATGTATTATAACTGATATGCCCCAATGTTACTCAAATACAATGCTCCATACTTGCCCAATGCTTCTGACCAAATGGTAAACCAATCCGCCACCTCAATGCAGCCGCTCCATGCTTAAACTCAAGGCTCTAATACCCAGCGCGCGTCACTATGCGCAAACAGCAAAATCAAGCCACCGAATGATGCTCCTTCGCGCCCATGGTGATGACGGTGTCGCCTTCTCCGTCGATCCATGAACATCCAGTATATAGAATCTTCCGTCCGCTTGCCAAGTAAAGCAGTAAGAAAACATGAGGCACGATGACGGCAAAGCAGTATATCCGTACCCAATGGAAACCAGAGTCCCGCTTGCACCAGACGGTCCAGCCAGCCTTGCCGGTTGCGACATAATTGACGAGAAAGGCCCATCCTTCTCGCTTCAACTGCGCGTCCCACGACTTGCAATCGACTAGCCAATACCCGCGTTCCATCGGCCGGAGATCCCGTTTCTGTTTCTCTGGACGGAACCGCTTAGGGATCTCGAGGGAGTGGGCCAGCTTGTCTAGATAAGAGGTAATTAAGTCGGGAGGCTGCAGCTGGGCAACAGAGATAGGAGGATCCGGCGAGTGAACTTCTAGGTCTTCATAGTTGTATCCATGCTCAGGGAGGAACTCAACACTAGGGGTGCTTTGAAGGCTGCCGCCATTGGCATTGGGACCAATATCGCCGGATGTGCGAAGCAAGCCCCGTGAATTCTGTTCCAGAACTGTAGCCTTGAGTCTCTTGGCGAGTGAAGGCTCAAAGTCGGCTCTTGGCACTGGGGCAGCCTCGGGGGTCGAGCCCAAGAATGTCTCATCAATCACTTCGTCTTCGTCTGATGCGCCCGCTTGTGCTATAGCTTGCCGACACACCTTAGAGTACCCGTTCTGAGCAGGCGCTGCTGCGACCACCCGCTGTTTAAGATTCGGAGTGCATGGGATCACAGTTGGCTCGGGAATGTGTGGTACGATGGCAGTCGGGGGGGCATCCTGTTCGCCAGACGAAAAACTAGAAGCAGACGCCTTGCCTGTCTCGTGGGAGACAGAGTGATGTGACTGGGATGAATGGTCAAACCCCTGCAGGTAATGCTCTAGGATACGTGTTGGCGAGGAGTAAATGGCAGTGTTAGCCTGAATTTGGGGACATGAGTCTTGAACCACACTCGGCGGTGACTGCCACGGCGATTGCGATTCTTGGACTTGGCTTGCCGAAGGGTCTGATATGGTTGTATAATACGACTTCTGAGGTAGACAGGGGGATTTTGCATTGTCCTGCACACTACGGAAGGAAGCCTCGGGAGACCTCAGTGAAGGCAGAAACTGACTCAAACTAGAGCTTTGCTGGGCCGCGACAGACTTGCCATTCTGCGGGTTGCCATTGTCAGCAACCTCAGGCAGAGCCATCTCATTCGCACTGCTCACCTGCGAAGGAGGACTAGTAAGCCGCACCTTTGTCGCTGCTTCAAATTCTACGTATGCTGTGGCATAAGATCTGTATCGGACATCATCAGAGGTTCTGCCGGGTGCTGCGATATGCACGAGAATCTCCACGTCTTTTGCCTCGGCCATTTCTGCTCGCTAATGGCCATCTAGATAACTATGGCTTGAGGTATCCAAGAAGATAACGTTTTGGACCGGCAATTGCTACCGGTAACTTCCCATAATTACGAAGAAATTGATGACGGACATCAAAAGCTCTCAGCCCGGAAAACAAATGCAAGCTCAGTGCAGGCCGCATTCGCAGTCCGTGCACATGGTAGTGGATTAGGTGTGCTACCTGGGATGGTTGGTTACCCAAAAGCACCTGGCCAAGCAAGAGTTGTTGCGCAAGTTGGATGATCCTCGCACTAGATTGTTGGATGACTTCAGTTCGCGCTACCTGTTGGTGAAGATTTCAAAATTGATTTAACCAACTGCCGCAAAGCTCAGGCCACTGGAGGTGGGGTGTAGAGCATTTTTCCTTCTGCTGCAGCTTCCCAAGCTCTTACCACCCACCAACTTCTCCAATATAACAATTCTCCAAATCATTTCTGCTAACCTACCAACTACCCAACTCGCGTAAGGCCTCCGTTACATTGCAGTCCATGCACTCAGCGCTGTTGCTACCTTCCTCGAGCGATCCTTTGCACATCTCTGGATCCATGGATTGTGAACCTTGTGATGAGAACAACATCGAACCACCAACATGACCAAACTCCCAAATTGACAGGGGCAGTATCTTGCTGATTGCGATGACGTGCAGGCCCATCACTGACTCGGTCTTCAGGTTGGGACACGCTCAGGACACGCTCAGTACTTGGATAATGCGGAAATCAACAACATGTCTACCCCAAGTGATGTTGCCCGCAGCGGGTGCCTCGTCCGAGTTTTGGTTCAACGCATGGCGATGCTTGGAGCTGTTGAATTTCGGGAAACGAACCTTCGAAGCGGCTAGATATTGCCACGTCCAGACCATCCCATCGGTTCGGTAGGCTTGCCGGCTAGACACTCGAAACCCAGGCTTTGCTAGATTTGCAAGTGCTCATCGTCAATATGTCTTGCATAAGGCATCTGGCAATTCTCCCAATTTCTCATTTCACCGTCAAGGGCGGTCATCCAATCAGTTGTTCCCAGGCTAAGCGCCGACTGCGCAAAGGGCGTCCCTTATTGGCCAGAAAACCTGCATATACTCTACTCCCAATCATCATGTACTACCCTCCACATTCGCGCGCGGCAGCATGCCAATTGGCTGGTGCAGTCGTGTCTTCTAAAATTAGCCCTTCATGATGTGGCTCGTATCATCCCTCATTGGGTGCCGTAATCGGTAGTTTGACCGATGAACACCCTGACTGCCGTCGCCCAGCGCGACGAGCTCTCACCTTCGGCAACGAGCATCAGGTTCAATGCGCAAATAGGGTCGCAGCCGTGGGGGCCTCTGGTCGAATCTGCGGTTGGTATGACAGGATATGCAGGTTCGATGTGCCCGTCCGTCGTTCAGGTAGGTGGATGAGTTCGTGGAAGCGCTCATGTCGTCCCGCTTGGTGACAGACTCGCCGCGCGCCTTAACCGCTCGTCAACTCGAGTTCGAGAGCACGATTGATAAAACTAATACCCGTCCGCCATGGGCAACTAGTAGGCATCATTCTCGTCGTCCTCTTTTTTTCTCCAAGCTACCGGGAGGTTGCTCATTTCCTAGTTGGCTTCGTTGATCGAAACATTCCTGTCGTTTTGAAGACCTATTTCCTACTTGTTGCTTTCGACGACGCCGGACGTCCTTGCGTTACATCGTCCCAATACCGACGAGTATTCTTGGTATCTCACCTGCATACTCGGCATATTTTATGTCTATGAAAAAATGTCAGACCTCGTTCTTTTGCCGTCGACTACGTACCGACCTCCCTCCCCATCGCTGGGTCGAAGGCCAGGGAGGTCGCTTAATACTATAATGGAGGAGGATCCCGAACAAGCACAAGACATGGGTACGGGTATGTCCGCGCCTGAGAATAGGAACCAGGCCCAGGAGAAAATAGTACAGTGGCTATCACCTCGAAGTGATCACTTCCCTACTCCAAGAGGATTCCACTTCTTGTCAGCACCGATACTACCTTCGTCGCCGTCGTCTGCCTCCATTGATGAAAGCAGCTCCCCCTCATCATCTTTCACCCCATGGAACCGGACCAGCACCTGTACTGATGTGACAGAGTTCGATGATATCTACGACATCTCAGAAGACGACGAAGACACCCCAAGGATGCAGTCAAAGAAGCCATCACTGAAGCGTCAGAGCAACGCTCGAACGACACCAAAACGAAACTCTGCCCCGTCGCCGGCGTCCCTCCGGGCGCTCCCCAAGCTGATGATCCCGGCGTCGCAAGAACACCATGTCGATAACTGGTCGGCAAGGCCTGACTTCAAAAAACTCATGTCACCAGTGCCACCAACGCCGCCTGCCAAGGTCGAGATGTCCCCGGCCGTCAGATCCTTCCTGCACGCACAACAGTCTCTAGACGTTCCAACCATATCTGCACCACCATCCCTTGATGGCAGCTTGAGCTCTGAGCAGATGGCTGCCATGTCTGCCCCGCCTACTCCGGTAATTGGTGCTGATGATGACCTATCCAACACGGACTGGTCTGGGGTGCGGTTGCAGCCGGGCGCACTGGCAACGCTGCGTGCCTTGTCTGGGGCTTCAGATGTCTCCGAGAATGAATATCAAAACGAACAAGTCATCGAGATTCCGGAGGAGTCGGCCCAAGAGATGCGACAAGAGATGTCACAACAAACACCTCGTGCCTTCACCTCCATCACGCGGCCAGCCCTAAGACTTTCCACAGGGCAACAGCAGTCTTTGAGCGGACTGACAAGGCTCGAGATCCCGTCCCCAGGAGGCTTCTTCTCCGGACTCTCGCCCCGCACCAGGCATACATGGCACCTGCCTAGCATGATGCCAGACGATGTGGCCCCTCCCACTTCTACCACTGCCGAACAGTTCTACAGATGCCCGTGGAATGACGTGCCTGCTCCCCGTATGCCCGCTTTGCCTCAGTCATTACCACCACCGCCGCCTCGACCTCAGCGCTTTGCTATTGTGCAGGTACCCGCAATGCCAGTCGAGCAGGTGGTGGAAGTGCGCCCCACTATGTCAGATGGCATGCCAACCGCGAGACCCGTCATACTTGAACAGGTCGTCGAAGCTAATGATGATGTATCGGACGGTCTCCCCACTGCACGCCGTGTTCCCGAAGTTGGTGACACCTCGACGTCGTCTGTCACTATTGTCGAGCCAGCATCACCAAATGAGGCGACAGTGGTTGCCACCGAGATCGTCGCTGACTACGACCCTGAATACACCAAGAAACAACATGAGGAGGCACTGTCCAACCTGGATCGGACTGAGCTTTGGCTCATGGCCCAGAAGGCCTACCTCAAGGGCGTTAGCATTGACGACGTCGAACCAGAGTCGGCAAAGGAGCCCGAGACGGTCAGTATTCACCTTGAAGATTCGCCACGAGTAAAGACTCCGGAGCCCGAGGTCCCTTCTGAGACTGCAGTTGTGCAGAAGAAAAAGACCGTCCGCTTCTCGGAGATTGTCGTCAAGACCAACATACCTCGATCACTTCCATCCAAGATCTGCCGCCAGGAGTCGGCATACTACCGTGCTTTCCAAGACTACGTAATCCGCAGCCGTAGTCAGGACCCCTTTGTCCACCGCCTTCCTCGCTTTGAGGCCATGCAGGCACAGCGCGTCTCTCTTCGCGAAAGCCACCGCAACCAGCTTCTCGGCAAGTTCCAACTCTCGGTGGTACCCCAGTCTGCCAAGAAACGCATGAGCGCCAATGTGGCCCGCGGCGACGACGTTCTGGTCGATGACCCTGAGAAACTGAAGCGGGAGAAGGAAGCTGAGGCTTTGACTCAGATGGCTGCCTCTACCTGGCATGTGAATGCCGTGAAGACAATCAATGGCGGTCGTCTATTCTCGGCTCCCTTAGCCAAGCAATTGGCTCGTCTTTCTCGGATGCACGGTGCCAACAGTCGTACGAGAATCCTTGATCTGGGTGGCCAGGCTGCCTGTGATTGGGCTTGGCATTGCGCCATCATGTACCCCAACACCAAGGTGTACACGGCGACCACGAAGGCAATCCGTCAACTCGCCAACTCTAACATCCGCGGTCCACCCAATCACCGCCAGGTTGCCGTGGAGCGCCTGACCCGTCTTCCCTTCCCTGAGAGCTACTTCGACCTCGTGTCGGCGCGGGAGCTCTACTCAATCCTCAAGTTCGTGGGCGAGAATGGCGAGGACGAGTGGGAGACATGCCTCAAGGAGTGCATGAGGGTGCTCAAGCCGGGCGGCTACCTGGAGTTCTCGGTACTCGACTCGGACATCATGAATGCGGGCCCTATGGGACTCGCCAAATCGGTCGAGTTTGGCTTCTCGCTGAAGACCATGGGGTATGACCCCAACCCGACTAAGCTGTTCCTGGGCCGCCTGCACCGTGCCGGTTTCGAGGACGTCCGTCGCGCCTGGATGTGCCTCCCTATGGGGGAGAAGCGCCCCGCCAATCGCAACGTCGTCCGCGACAGCCAAGGGTGCGAGGTCAAGCTCGAGCTCGAGGCCATGGTCACAGGCAGCACTGAAGCGACGGCATCGGTGTGCGGAATTGCTGGGGGTTGGGCATGGGAGAGGTGGCTGTTGAGGTGTGAGATGGAGAAGGTGGCGTGTGAGGGGAGGCTGGTGGAGACAGCCGAGATAAGAGAGGCGGGTGCATGTCTCGATGGGGTGCATGGAGTTATTGAGGAGGGTAGGCAATGTGGGGCTGGATGGAGGGTGTTGAATGGGTTTGCAAGGAAGCCGACTGTCCAGAAGGAGTTGGTTAGTATTGCGCTTGTGCGGTAGGTAACCGGTTTGGATGTTGATCAGGTACCAAGATGATGTGATGTGAATGGAATGAAATGGCCGTGTATATGATTGAAATCTCAGATGATACCCTTTTTCTAACAATGGGGTCGGGGTATGGATGGGATTGGGATGTGTGATATCTGGTGTTTTCGGTTCTATAATCGGGCGATACGTACGTCCATATATGGTGCTAGACTCATCTTGGCGCATAGGAGGGAGAAGGGGATGTGGTGTATAAATGTCGGGTTGTCTAAATTAGGTCCACCGGATTTGAGATATATATACCTATATAGAGAGAAACACCTCTTCTGTATAATGATACTTTTATTTGTCTCATGCTTGGTCTGAATCTATTACCGTCCGTGACTTGGCAGTGGTATCTTGGCCATCAGGGCTAAAAAGAGTGAAAGTATGATCCGTCTGTCCAAACGCATCGTCTCTGTAGACTATACACACCTCTTAACAAATTTATACGGAAAGGATTAATATGTTATCTATCTTGTTATAAGCTTTTCTTGTCTAACAAAACTGACATGTTTTAAGATGTTGCCACTACTCCTACGCTTAGACTGTACTGTATCTATTAAAACCAGTCAGAGGTGTTGAAATGAGAGTCGGGGCCTAATGGCTCATATAAATAGTGTACATGAATAGTTCGCCTCGTAATGCTTCCAGTTCGTTGAAAACAGTTATTAGAAAGGAATTTGAGTTGGGAGCGTAGGGTACGGAGATTTAGTCCCCCTTGACACACACTACTTGTACTATTATATTCAGTGAAAGTGCACGTTATTTACTCGAAACATCGCATAGAAGTCCATTGGCAGGAGTATGATCGAGGCATCAGGTTTTACGGGTCCAATGTTGTGCTGAAGGACGATATCGGACCGGTCGTCGTTTTCTTTGTATCGACAACTACTGCCGTAACTGCCTGTCCGGTGTCTAATTCACCGTCCCGTAAAAGAGGCTTCAAATCACAGAAATGCCTCTTTAGTGCTTATCAAAAAGATGTTTATAATACTAAAGTTGCATAAACTCGTCTAACTCGCCGCCAGAGAGTTAAGATAAACATAAATTATTTCAATAGTTCTTACTCAAGACTTTACTGGCGCTCACCATCATATTCGCGTCCTCTCCGGGAATGTTGGGAAACTAAGGCTGTGTTGAGCAAACTAGGACTAAGCCGAAACTGACGATCGGCTCCGAGTACGTCCTAATCAAGAGAATAATAATAACAATGGGATAGGTATCTACGTCTATCAGAACACGCAGTGTACAATGAGAAAAGTGAGGCTGACTACATAGAGTTGTCCACGATGATTGTCCCCATGGATCCACTGGCCCGTAGCAGCTGAATATTAAGAAGTCGGGATGGGTACACAATGCCTCCCAAAGAAGTTCTTTCCAGGCTTACTCGACGCTATTGGAAGATTTAGAGATAGAGGCTCTCCGGGCGAGTCTCTGAAGTTAAGGGTCAAACCCCGCCCGTATCACAGCTTGAAACATCCAGGCTATTCTGCCAGTTCACATACACCAAAGAACTATCAGCCTATTCAGAATCAAGTGTCTCGGTGCTTAACCTCTGGGAGAGGTAGCCTAAACCTCCAAAGCCAAACACAATGAACCACATCCATAGTTCCAAAATAAGGCCCCAGTTGAGCAGTCTCACAAAGCCATTGCGACCACCCAGGCTGACCATAATGCTCTCATCAAGCAGCTTCTTGAGCAGAAGTAACGCATAAAATGCACAATGCATCACCAGCTCCTCCGTGGCAAGAAGCACAAACACCCCACGCAAGACAAGGAGTCTGTCTGAGTCTGCCTGTTAGGCTACCTGTTAGTCTGAAAACCCCGAGAAGAGCCAGGAGTCGTAGGTTGAGACCTTGAACTCTCTTCCCAATGATGAGACGATCACCGAGTTGTACCCGCCCGGGGTGGTGGAAAGATTAATAGATTAGACAGACTGAATAGAGAGCCAGAGCATCTTTAACAAACTGACAACGCATCAAGTGCATCGAACAACCGCATTAGATCTCTTCCTTCCTAGATTAAAGTCAATCACAGAGGAGATAGGCCCTATCTCGTTTGTTGAGGTTTCATATTGCAAAGGAATATACATATCATTGATTGAGTGGCCTGTTCATACATACATGTGTCAAACCCCATCAGACGACCTATTTGCGGATGATCGTCCAATCTGGTATCTAAGAAGAGTAACTACATCCCATACTGTACAGCGTTATACATGGAAATTGGTACAAATAAACGTAACTCATAAGCACGCCCCTAATATGTAACGCCATGGGAAGAATTAAGCAGATTGCTCTGCGAAAACTTCTAAACCGGAGTTATCCTCTTTGATTCTTACGCCAGCAGTGTCACCCCTCTTCAGTGTGCCCCTAATGATTTTGTCTGCAAGTCCATTGCCAATTTCTGTTGTGATGAGGCGGTTCAGTGGTCTCGCACCAAATTTGGGATCGTAACCACGTTCTGCCAACCAGTCGCGGATCTTCCCATCCACGTTAAGGGTGATACGCCGATCATCGAGTCGAGCTTGGAGTTCTTTAAGACGGATGTCAACAATGTCTCGCAGAGCTTTCAGGGACAAGCGTTTGAAGACGATGAAAGAGTCAATGCGGTTGAGGAACTCGGGTGGGTAATTAGAAGCAACTACGTCCAGGACGGCTGTCCGAACGTCAGAGCTAATCTCGCCATCTGGTGTTTCCGTGTACGGGTGCATGGGATTGGCACCGACAAGGATGTCAGCACCCAGGTTAGAAGTTAGCACGATGATAGTGTTCCTAAAGTCGACTTTGTGGCCTTGTGCGTCCGTCAGATAACCCTCGTCCAGTACTTGGAGCAGGAGTGCCGAAATGTCCCGGTGGGCTTTCTCGAATTCATCGAATAACAGAACTGCATATGGTTTCCGGCGTACGGACTCGGTGAGTTGGCCGGCATCCTCGTAGCCAACATAGCCCGAAGGAGCACCGATGAGCCTTGAAATAGTGTGCTTCTCCTGAAACTCGCTCATGTCGAAACGCACTACGGCTTGCTCCGTAGAGAATAGAAAGTTGGCAAGCTTCTTGCAAAGCTCGGTTTTGCCAACACCCGTGGGCCCGAGAAAGAAGAATGAAGCTAGAGGTCGGTTGTCACCGCTGAGACCGGCGCGCTGCATGCGTACGGCATCGGCGACTGCCTTCAGCGCGTCATCTTGTCCGCGGACTGATTCTCGTAGCGTATCCTCCATGTGAACCAATTTCTCAACGTGACCAGAAGTGAGCTTGGTCACTGGAATACTCGTGATTCTTGAGACAACGTTGGCAATGTCATCAGGGCCAACCGAGTCATGGATCAGAGTATCTTGACCATCGACACCTGACGACTCTTCCCCATCCTTTGGTAATTTCTGTTCCAAGTTGGGAATCACACCGAACCGCAATTCCGAGGCACGGGCGAAGTTGCCATTACGCTGTGCTTGGTCCAGCTCGTTTCGGGCCTTATCGAGCTCCTCCTGAACTTTCTTGAGAGACTCGATCTCGCCCCTCTCCTTCTCCCACCTCTCGGTCAGGGTCTTGGCTTCATCTTGGTAATTCTTCAGGTCCGCTTCGAGCTTCTCCCGGCGCTCACGGCTGGCTACATCCTTTTCCTTGCGCAGGCTTTCTAGTTCGATTTGCAGCGTCATAATCTTTTGGTCTAGTCGCATGATGTCTTCGGGCTTGCTTTCTTGTTGTAGACGAAGTGAGCTCGCTGCTTCATCCATCAGATCGATTGCCTTGTCCGGGAGGAATCGGTCCGTAACATATCGGTTCGACAATGTCGCGGCTGCTACGAGTGCACCATCCGTTATTCTGACGCCATGGTGAACCTCGTATTTTTCCTTGATGCCACGCAGAATACTGATTGTGTCCTCAACAGTCGGTTCGTTTACGAGTATGGGCTGGAAGCGTCTTGCGAGAGCAACATCCTTCTCGATCAGCCGATACTCTGCGAGGGTCGTCGCACCACAGCATTGTAACTCGCCTCGTGACAGGGCAGGCTTCAGCAGATTTGAGGCATCAATTGAACCTTCAGCTTTGCCCAAGCCAAGCAACGTATGTAGCTCGTCGATGAAAAGGATGACCTCCCCGTTGGCCTGCTGCACCTCGTTCAAGACCTTTTTCAGCCGCTCTTCGAAATCACCACGGAACTTGGCACCCGCAATGAGCGACCCAAGATCTAAGGATATGACTCTCTTATTCTTGATGCTTTCTGGTACGTCTCCTCGCGTGATGCGCAGAGCAAGACCTTCAAGTACTGCGGTCTTGCCTGTTCCAGCATTGCCTATCAGAACAGGGTTGTTTTTCGTTCGTCGTGACAATACTTGTATGGTGCGTTGAATCTCAGAGTCTCTTCCAATGACGGGATCGAGCTTTCCGTCCTTCGCCCTTGCTGTGAGGTCGATGCCGAATTGCTCCAAAGCCGGCTTCTCGGGCTCGCCACCAAGATTCATGCGATGCGTGCCACCTGGGGGATGTGGCCTGGCGCCATTTGCATATGATCGTATCGCCGTTACTGGGGTCGAGGTTCGTGTGAGTGTCCTAGCTGTGGCGAGCAGGGCCACTCTTGACAACGCTGTGCTGGAAGTAACATCGGCTACCCGCCGCGCGGACGTTAAGAGCTGTCTTCGCGCCAACATTGTAAGATGTGTAGATAGGTCAAGGACAAGATTATCATAAGAGACTTCTCTTGTGTCTAAAGGGCATTTCGGGATAAAGATTAAAACTCCGCTAGCTGAACAGGAGACGAAGGAGATATAACTTAGCCTCTGAACCGTGTGATCTTCGAAGATGCTTAGAGAGTTTTCTAGGTGTTTCGGTCGGGGATTATGAACGGAGCTACCGTTGACAATCGATCGGCCTCGGCAGTGGCTTGATAATGCGTCCGGCCCCTCTTGTGGCTGATAAAGCTAGTCAATTTGAGGCTATCGAATTCTCGAAATTGCGCTTACCCCACCGCTTCGGCCTGAAGGCTCATCTGTCCCGTTGCCATATAAAATCGAAAATTTTGCGAAATGCATCAACCCCGCCAGCTCTTCCAGTCAACATCTCCCAGCTCCTCACAAACTTTCAGACCTGTCACGGTCTCTATTTACTTGGTACCAACACAAAACTCTTTACTGATTTTTGTTTCCAATTTGTAATAATGGGTTTCGCCGACCTTCTCAGTGATGCTGGTGTCACCAGTGAGTCTTCCTCTCAAAGCTATCGCACTCCAAGCAGTCGCACCGACGAGCCAAATCTGCTTCCTCGCTGTCAAGCATGTGAGTCAAGAACATGGCTGACCTGGCATCTTCTCGTCAGTGCTTAACAGCTGGTTGATTACCCGATCCTACATTGCCCCCAGCAGGTAAGCCACGCTCGTCGACCTCTACCCTTTTCCCCTTCCCCACTAGCCCCCCGTTTCCATGATGAGAAAATTGGTCCGTGTTTCTGAGCAGCTTAAGACCCTGCAAATGAGGACGTATACTTTAGCACTTTGTGCACCTCTGATCGAACACCATATGCTCTCTTTGACGTAGTCATCTTCTCCATGATTTGCCTGACTGACCATGCCAAAGCTACGCCCCTACTCAGGCCGATGTCGCTGTCTTCAAGGCTATCAAATCTTCCCCTGACGCGGCGAAGTACCCTCATGCCGCAAGATGGTTCAAGCACGTCGCCTCGTTCGAGGATGACTTTGCTACCCTCCCTGGCGATGCCACCAAGCCCTACTCCGCCTACGGTCCCGAGGAGACCGCTGCCACCTTGAACCCTGCCAAGGCTCCAGCCAACGACGACGATGATGACGACCTCGACCTCTTCGGCAGCGATGACGAGGAGGAAGATCAGGAGGCCGCCAAGATCCGCGAGGAGAACTTGGCCAAGTACAGAGAGAAGAAGGCGACCAAGCCCAAGGTCATCGCCAAGTCTATCGTCACCCTGGACGTAAAGCCCTGGGGTATGTTGCCCCTCCCCGTTACACCTTGACATCTGCCCATTGGAATCAATGCTAACTCTGCAAATAGATGATGAGACCGACATGGTAGCGCTCGAGAAGGCTGTCCGCAGCATCGAGAAGGACGGTCTGGTTTGGGGTGGCTCCCAGCTGATTCCCATCGGCTACGGTATCAGGAAGCTGCAGATCAACATAGTTGTTGAGGACGAGAAGATCTCGATGGATGATCTGTCAGAGGAGATTCAGGAATTCGATGACTACGTCCAGTCTACTGACATCGCTGCCATGCAGAAGCTGTAAATTACTTCTAGCATACGAAGTCACTCATTGCATGATGGAACGATTTTAGAGACATGAAACTTTGATGATCATGACGGAAACTGGTTTGCAGGCTGGCATTTGGGAAAACTTTTGAGATGCCCATTGCGTCTCTAGACATACCCGCCTGAAGAGACATGCTATGAGACGATACCATCATCGGCTTTCCGATTTGACTTGGCATTGCCGTCGTAATGTGATTGTGCTTCAAGTTCCCTCCGCTCAATATTCTAGAATGAATATGATAAAAACTTGGGAAACAGAGTGTTCAAAGTCCCGGGACCCGAGATACGTCAATATTCCCTGCAACCTCCCACGCATATCTCCATATGTAAGCCCCGCGAGAGCAATTGTGATGACACCATTCTACTGCGAAACTATTGGCAACATCTGGTTTTATAGAGCGCAAACTGAAAGCACTAACAAACTCTAGGCCCTGGTGGCATTCCCACTCATCGTAATATTTTGAGTGCGGGTCGGACAGGTAATCAATCTACCTGCCTACATTGGTGTTGCCTACGTATGATAGTCCGTGCCTTCATTGAGTAAATATCTCAGTTTTAGATCTGGGAGCTTGAAGCAACAGGCTTCAGACGTGGTTTGTTACGCGCACGATAAGTCACAAAGTAAGTTCCCATACTTTGCAAACAATTACTTCATGTTGCAGCCGCGTGGGTTCGTTCATCATCAAAATTTCTCCTTCGTCCCAGGTATTACCTACGTCATTCGTGGCCATGCCAAAATCGAGCCCATGCATATTAAGGACTTCAATGCGCTTGGTGAAGTCTGACTCAACTTTAGTAACATGTTGAAACTTTCTGTTGGGCTAACCTCAAGGAGACTCCCGAGATACTAGATACAAGAACGCAATCTTGATATTGCGGCCGAGACTGTCGTTTGGACATATCCTTGTCCTGTCACCGTTATCCAGGAGGAATATCGGGTAGGCTCCCACCCCTTAGCCTAGACCATTTGCCCTGCTACGACATGGGTATCTTTCTATTTTAATTTTACGTCACCCGTAGTTTTTGGCTTTTCACTGTTTCCCTCTCCCAGTCCAACCAACCGTTGCATGATACCCAGTGCCGAGTAAACAGTCTAGTGATGGAAAAGTCGGATGTTCTGCTCCACGAATACGATACCTAGCTTCTCGGCCGTCTCATAGACGGCAGAATCGTTTTGGCTTCCACCGGGTGCTGCGATGAACTTTGCGCCGGAGCGGTGGGCACGGTAGATGTTATCGACGAAGGGGAACTAGGGCCCATGTTAGTCATTATACGTGGCGAAAAAGAAAACAAGGGGCCGGTTGGCTGTGGTAAACTCACAAATGCATCACTGGAGACGGAAACGTCGACGAGCTTAGCGAACCATTCCTCACGCTCTGATTCGGTAAAGGCAGCGGGAACGTCCTCGAAGACAGCCTCGAAGGCGTCCTTCTCTGCGCCAGACTTGGGCAGCTCGCCGCTTACCAACAGGTCGATGGCGTTGCTCTTCTCGGGTCGCTTTGTGCCCTTCTTCCACTTGATGCCGAGGACTCGGGGGTGGAAGCGGAACCACCAGTTATCCGCCTTGTCACCGGCCAGACGAGTGCAGTGGATCCGAGACTGTTGACCGGCACCAAGACCGATGACTTGTCCGTTCTTGGCGTAGCAGACAGAGTTGCTCTGAGTGTACTTCAACGCAATAGTCGCCACTGTTAAGTCTCGGGCAGCAGACTCGGAAAGGGTGAAATCCTTAGGCGTGACAGTTCGTTTAAAAGAGTTGGGCGAAATGATGACGTCATTTCGGTGCTGCTGAAGGTTCACTCCAGCGACGGTTCTCGTCTCGGTCGGACCAGGCTGGTACTCTGGGTCGATCTGCAGGACCAAGTATCTGCCACCTTTCTTCTTCTTTAGAATCTCCAGGGCGGCGTCCTCAAATCCGGGCGCAATAACACCGTCCGAGACCTCCTTGGAGATGATGCTAGCGGTGGGAACGTCGACAATGTCACTGAGAGCAATCATGTCTCCGAAACTGCTCATACGATCGGCTCCACGGGCACGGGCATAGGCCTGGGCAAGGCCGGAGGTCTCGATACCTTGGATATCATCGACAAAGTAGACCTTGCGCTCTTCAGCGCTCAACGGTACGCCGATAGCAGCACCCGCTGGGGACACATGCTTGAAGCTAGCTGCAGCAGGCTTACCAAGAGCTGTCTTGAGCTCCTTGACGAGTAGCCAACCGTTCAGGGCATCCAGGAGGTTGATGTAACCGGGAGAACCGCAAAGAGCCTTGAATGGCAAGTTTCCAGAGGTCATGAAGGCGGCAGCGGGCTTCTGGTGGGGGTTGGCTCCGTAACGAAGCGACGTGTACTGAAGGCCGTCGGCGGCATATCGCGCACGGAAGAACGCCGAGATGTTAGCGTCGTAGTCGGCCGTGTGCTCAAATGCCTTCAGGGCGTATAGTTGACGGCTCTTCTCCTGAATCTCGCCCGCCTCGAGCTCCTTCAGGAATTCTGGGTAGTCACTGGGGTCGCTCAGGATAGTCACGCGCGAGTGATTCTTAGCTGCGGCGCGAATTAGGGTGACGCCTCCAATATCGATCTCCTCCACAGCTTCGGGAACCGTGACGTTGGGCTTTGCGACGGTGTCCTTGAAGGGGTACAGATTGCAGATGACGTAGTCGACCTTATCAATGCTCTGCTCGGCCAGGTCCTTCTCGTCGGACTCGAGGTTGCGCGCAAGAATGCCGGCGTGGACAGCTGGATGAAGGGTCTTGACCCGACCAGCAAGCATCTCGGGGGCCTTGGTAATAGCCGAGATATCCCTGTTTATTTGTTTCAGTCAGTAGTTGTCATAGAAAAATCAGGGGTTGCCGTAAGAGAGTATATGGGCTGAGCACAGCAGGACAACATGGACAAACGTTTATATCGTGGCAGGTCGTTTTTCCCAGCAGACGCCCATCCATCCATGGAATAACCGTAATTCCACCACGATGTTCTATAGTTCCATGTTGTCCACGCATTGCGCCGTCCCAATTCGTCTTCAGAAATCTCGGAATAGGTTGTTGTATTCATTCTTACTCTACCGAAAACCCAGACTCTCGGATCATCTTGGCCGTGCCACCTGAGTATAAATGTCAGCCATCCTACGATTAGACGGATCCCTCCTACATGAGAGACTATTCCCCAACAACTAACAATGAAAAAATTGTTCACAACGGTCCAAATAAAGAAAGAAAGACGTTGTGGAGTCCGCCGTTCGAAACATGTTTCTGAGATAGACGTACCTGATGCGAGAATGCGAACATTCTGCTGGACGAGACCTTTCGCAAGGTCCAGTAGACCGGTCTTATCGAAGACAGAGACAATCGCAATTCGTTGAGTAGCCATGGTCGCGACTGTGATTTCACTACTTAGTCGACTGTCGATCGCACAACTTCTTGTCGTTCTTTCCAGGTAAGACGCAATGTATGGGCATTAACGTACTTCACGATTCTCGAATTTATTGACGTACTTTATGGCGGGGTACTTCGGCGAGATATAAAATTTCGAAATCGCAATCGCGGGGCAGCTTTTTTTTCTTTTGGTTTGGCAGGTCCGACCCACCTACAAGACTGAGCCGCCACTAATAAACGGCTTGTTGCTGACGGAACGCCAAACGTTGTTCAAGAAGCGTGCCCCGCCATCTTTGCGCGTTGCAACCACTTCGCAAACCCGCTTCAGAAAAGTCGTCGTCACTGGAAACAACCTTGGATGAACAGCGGATCACAAGGACATATTGGATACCACTGAGACAAAATAGGGGAAATAATTGGTGCTCCGGTTAGCGATCGGCGAACCATTCAGAGTGGAAGTAGTCATCCCAAGCGCCCTGATTTTGTGCCACTTGAAACGACTGCTTCGGAATTTGAACTGTTTACTTTCCAGCTGTCGCCAAATTGGTGGATTGACTTGCTCACTTCAAGTCAGAGTTGCTGTCACATCAGGCGAGATGTACGGCGACTTAGGAAACAAGCTTGTGAGATAAATGCGATACGCTTCAATACAGTCGCTAATGATTTTTGCTCACAACCAGGTCCAATATGCCAAACGGACTCAAAGCCTGGGGTTCCTCCCGCCATATCAGACCGAAACGGTGCGCGGCGTGACACGCGAAGTCCGCGATCTCGACAAGGACATCGCCCAAAGGCTGGAGCCTTTTGGGGGCTCGTTCAATCCGCAAGCCGATCAAGCAACCGCATGCACCCTACTAGTCAACCATCTCTCGATTCGAAGGAATAAGCGCTGTCTACTTGCCTATCACAAATCACGGACCGACAAGCTCGAGGAGTTGGCATGGAAAGGCTTTGATGTTGTAGATCTCGCGGGGCAGCAGGTGGCATCAGGCAATGCCGGGTCGAACCTGGGCAGCGCCGATGGAGGATCGAGCAGTTTGAGCCCGCAAGAAGAGGATTACATTCGCCAGTATAGTGACCTGCTGGCAGCATACAAGGGTCAATGGACGGACATCGATCTGACGGGAAGTTTGGAACCACCACGGGATCTCTTCATCGATGTTCGGGTCTTGAAAGATGCTGGGGAGATCCAAACTGAATACGGGTAAGCCACTTACTAGAATGCCTTGATTGGAACCCACGCTGATTCAATGCTACAGTGCCATCACATTAACAAAGAACAGCCAGTTCTATGTTCGCCAAGGCGATGTTGAACGTCTGATAGCACAGGGATATCTGCAGAAACTTGGCTGAAAACCTGTCCACGAGCCTAGATACAGTTGACGTCGGGAAAATGCCGCAGTTCCGAGCCACTTCGTGTCTGGTTCGGGGTTTTGTATCTCCTGCAAATCCGCCGAGGTTAACATGACGAGAAATGTTACATCCTCGACGGAACTTCAATGAAGTTCCGCAATTGCATGCCTAGGCACAGTACAGATGACGACCACTCATGGGGGCCACACGCCTGGTCCCGATCAGACTATGAGATATTCAAGGTAAGCCGCTAAGGTCTACGCAATGCGTATGGAGTCGAGCATTTGGAGCCATGTAGACTGCTCAGGCGAGACCTTCCGTCTCCGCGGTCTGGTGCAAGCACCAATGAAAATTGGAGGTGGATCATGCAGCTGCAGGTTGCAGGTTCATGGTAACAGTGGTGCTTCAAGCTGAACCCAATGCGTATAGCCGTAGTGGGGGAACTAGGGTTAGAGGCTTCGGAGTCTGGAGAGAATGCAACACTTGCTCCTCCGAAGAGGTTTTTCCATTTACGACCCCACGAAAGGCCCGTCCCGTTTCCCTTTTAATCCACTCGTAGCAAGATGGACGAATCTTTACTCATGTGAGTAAGTAATAGTGACTGGGATGAAAGAACTAAAAGTGTACATGTCGCGCAAACCTGTTCAAGTCCGACGTGTAATATCAGCCAACATACTTCCGAGACCCGAGATCATCCAACACGGAAGTTTTTGACAGCGGGGTTGCGTTTATTTACGGAGACTGAGAATTGGTGAGTAAGCTTTTCCCGCTCTATCCAGGTGAAGAGATCAATATTAACGACAAGATCGGTAGATCTGTTCCGGTATTTTGTCTTCCCGGTTCGTCTCATAAGTCGAATGATGCATGTCAGACTACATTGTGTAGTCCCGAGTGAGACGAGTATCATGATTAACTGCGGAAATGTATCAGTTGCCCAGTCATCTTCTCACAATTCACACTGTCCGTGACAGTGCTTCAACTTCTGGGCTGCCCCGCCATCGGCGCCGGCACATGGTAATCATCCGCAGTAGGGGTTGTCGCATCATGCACGCTCTCTTCCAACCATAATGCGACTTGGTCTTTGACTTGCATCTGATCCGAAGATTGTTTAGCCGCGTTGTCGAACGACAACGCCGACTTCCCAACTCTCTATCCATCTATTCTCAGTCTACTCCTCAGCCATGTTGTTTCGAAAACGTGAGCTGATGGCTTTGTCACGCACTACTCGTAATTCGAGCCGATTGGCCTTGGCTATGTCGAGTTTGGCTTTAAGGTTGCGTTGGTGGGATTCCCCAATTAAATGAATATCCAACTGTCCCAAGCGCAGACTCGTCGGTTTGCATCGAGCTAAGCTTTGACTTACGACTTTAGTCAGAGCGAAGTCCTCGTGGCTCTTGCGAGTATCGGAGGTAGGTGCTGTTATTTCGTCCTGTGGATGATTCCCTGTTGCATCTATAACTCAATCGGGTCGAGGACAGATGATGACTCGACTCAACCACACCTCAAGACCACGGCGTAGCGGCGCATTTGACCCACGTAATCCATCAGCTGCTCGATGAGAACTTTGGAAATAACGCCGTTTTCCAATATTCGCGATATTCTCGCCGGTGCCGTAGCGCAAAGCGCTGGGCCCCTGTCGAAAGCTTGACAGGGAACTCACTGGGGTCTAGTGGGCGTGGGGCGCAAAACCATGCACATGCAAATTTGTTTGGCTCGCCTGATGATGGACCTGAAGCTGCCCATCCATCCATCCGTGGGTGACGATGATCAAGGTTCTCACTACCATGCATTTCCATCTGCTTTAGCAACCAACCTTTTTCCCCCTCCCATCTCGCCTTATCAGGCTCAGTGGACGCCCGCCCAATTGTGGTGCTTGGTTTTGGCTTTTACAGTTTTATCATTCCATTCTCCCATTTAGGGCGTTTCCAGATTTTCTACGCCGTTGTCTCCGTGTCGTGCGAACGCACTGTGCTCGTTCTCCATGTACATATCGCCTTGAGCGGACTGCGTCAACGCTCGACGACGACGACTTTGGGCCATTGATCATGTCAAGTGTCCCCTTCGGCTTCACCTCATGGAGGAGGAGGTCGCCGTCCATTACTTCGCAGCCTTGCTCTCGAGATATCCCGCGGACGCAGAGCCCGAGTCAGGTCCAACGAGGTCAGGCTGACGCAAGATTGCTCTCTTCTTCCGTCAGCTCGCTTGGATATCGCGAGCCCACGAGGTCTTTCATCCCAGGTTCGGCCAGGGACCGATTATGCAAGTGTCTGGATTGCTCAGCTGGTTCCGTCTATGACTAACAAGTGTCCACAGCCCCTGTTGATAGTGCTAGCTATGCCCGCAGTGTTCGCGAAGACACGGCAGAGCTTGCCTCCTACGTTCTAGCTGACAAGAAAGACGCACGCAGCCCCTCGTTTCTTACACGCAGAACGTCGGACGCTTCATATGCCGGCATTGAGAGTTCGGGACCCTATCATGAAAGCGCCGGCGCCGACGATGTGCCAGTGACGAATGCAGAGACGATCGAGGAAGTGTCGGAGCCAGGGACGCCAGACGATATCGGTGAACATAACTCTGCCCCTGGGCCGTCGATTCTCGCAAGCATGATCAAGAGCTGCCCTCGGCCAAAGAACACAAATGGTCCGACAGAGACCGAGGCTGGCGGACAAGCCGTGATGGCATCGCCGGGCTATCCGCCAGTCAATGACAAAGTAAACGGCAGCTCTGAGACAACACCTTTGTTGCGGTCCAAGTCGAGCGTTTCTTGCCTGCCAGATAGTCCTGAATTGAGTGACGTCGACGACTTGGACGACATCGAAAGTCAGAAACCTCGTCTACAACCGTGGTACCATGGCTACGGGAGTGTCAGAGAAAGGACCCGGGTCAAAGTACGTGGGATTGCAACTACGATGAATCCCAAGACCTGGGATAAGAAAACAGCGTGGCAGCGTATGGTCATGGACCCAGTGAGCTGTATGCCTGCCGTCGTCCTTGGGCTGCTGCTCAATATTTTGGATGCCCTTTCGTACGGTAAGTTACTCCGAACCGACACATTCTTCGACCAGAATTCATCGACTGCCCATTCTAACTTGCACATCCAGGTATGATCTTGTTTCCACTTGGCAACCCCATATTCTCGAGTCTAGGCCCAGCTGGAATCTCCATTTTCTATGTTTCAACGATTGTATCGCAAATTACCTTCTCGATCGGGAGTATATTCAAAGGTGTCGTTGGCTCCGAACTTGTGAGTGACTTTCTACACTGCCTCAGCATACTCGATTGGTTGGTGCTTACTCGTTCGTAGATTGAAGTTGTCCCATTTTTCCACAGTATGGCCGCAACCATTACCGTCCTAGTTGGAGAAGACAAGCCAGAGGCCGTCATTGCCACTACTATTGTGTCGTATGCGATGAGCTCCATGATGACCGGACTTGCATTCTGGCTTCTGGGTAAATTCAAGCTGGGCTACATTGTCGGTTTCATTCCCCGTCACATCCTGATCGGCTGTATCGGAGGTGTAGGCTGGTTTCTACTGCAAACTGGCGTCGAAGTATCAGCTCGCATGGACGACTTTCGCTACGATTTGAATACTGCCAAGAGACTACTACAGCCGGACGCGCTCATTCAATGGATAATCCCTCTTATACTGGCCATCATTCTCTTCGTCCTCCAAAAGAAGATTACCTCGAAGTATTTCGTGTCAGCATACATCCTGTCTATACCTTTGGTCTTTTACTTTTTCGTGTTATCCTTTGACAGTCTGGACCCGCAAAGCTTGCGAGACTCAGGGTGGATTTTCGAGGCCCCACGTGCGGGCGAACCGTGGTGGTATTTTTGGAGTCTTTACAGTAAGTATTGGACTCGTTCCGCTGGTACTGAATGAATGGCTAACCCCAACTAGAGTTCCACCTGGTGGACTGGAGTGCTGTGCTTCAAACCGTGGGAGCAATGTTCGCTCTGACTTTCTTCAGTCTCTTGCACGTACCCATCAATGTTCCCGCCCTTGCGCAAACCACCGGAGAGGACAATGCCGATCTCAACCACGAACTTAAGCTGCATGGATATTCAAATTTCATTGCTGGGGCCCTGGGGAGTATGCAAAACTACTTGGTGTATGCGAATAGTGTGTTCTTCATGAGATCAGGAGGGGATAGCCGCCTTGCTGGATTCATGCTGGCCGCGTTCACAGGCGTCGTCATGGTTATCGGGCCCGTCGTTATAGGTTACATTCCTGTGATGATGGTTGGTACCTTGATTTTCGTTCTAGGTATCGAGCTTCTGGCCGATGCCTTGGTCAACCCAAGACACAAAACCAAGTTGCTCGAATATTTGACGGTAAGCTGCCATCCATTGATATTCCCATTTACCATTTGATATCTAATTCTCTGTAGATTCTGGCTATCATCTTGACCATGGGCATCTATGATTTTGTCGCAGGCATTTTTTTAGGCATCATACTTGCTTTCGTTTCCGTCATCGTGAATCAATCTCGCGTCTCGGCCATCAGAGCTACGTATACTGGCGACCAAGTGGGCTCCATTGTCCGGCGCAATCCCACCCAATGTCATTATCTCCGGCAAGTCAGTCGGCAAACTTACATTATCAAGTTGTCCGGCAATCTATTTTTTGGGACTATTGTCGGAGTTGAGAAGAAAATTCGAGACTTGGTGGCCGACGACGCATTTGCCGACCATCCCATCAAGTATCTCATTATCGACTTGTGGCAAGTAACTGGCATTGACTATTCTGCTGCCGAGGGATTTATGATTATCAATCGGCTACTACAAAAGCGGGGGGTTGTGCTGTTGATCAGTGGCAAAGATGCTGATAGTCATATTGGACGAGATCTCAGGGCCGTTGGTCTTGGTGAAAGTAGCGGCGAGGTCAAGTTTATGCCCGACCTCAACTCAGCTCTCGAGAGTTGTGAGAACGAGCAGCTCAAGGCACTCTATGCGCAACGAGAAGCACTGCGGGTGATTCGGGATTCGCCATCCCGCAACCTTGATGTTCCAAACTGCAACAAAAGCGTGACGAGTCCCACCCTGGACCTCCTATCTCAGTCACCGCGGCGGAACCATCTGAATACAGTAGCCAAGAACGTGCTTGAAGAACACGAGTTGCAACGTGCTGAGCGTTGGCGCAGCATCAGCGAGCCCATCCGGCTCATGCTACAAATTTTCCACGAGCTCAGCGACAAGAATGAAGACTTTTGGTTCCGGGCGAAGGCGTACTTCGTACGGAGAGAATATCCAGCCGGAACGGTTCTATTCAATCGCGGCGACTCGGCGGACGGCTTCTACCTGCTGGAGCGAGGCGAGCTGCGCGCCGACTACGACATGCCCCAAGGCAAGCTGTCGGAACCAATCGTCCAAGGTACGACCTGTGGCGAACTCCCTTTCTTCTCGCAAACCGAACGCACCGCGACGGTATTTGCTGTGAAAGACTGCGTCGCATGGTTCATGGACAGGGAGAACTGGGATAGATTGCGGCAGCAGGAGAACGACATCTACCAGGAGCTGCTCTGTATCTCGTTGAAGCTTACGACGGAGCGGATGAATGCTATTGGCAATTATACCTTGGCGAATGCGAACTAAGGGATGCTGTAGCGACTGGTACAACTGCAGTCATTCTTGGATGAGAGAATGGCATGCAAGCGCTTTGGCCCATCCAGTTTCTGGGACTCAAAGACTGGCGTTTGGATTGGATAAGAATTACAACAAATTGCATCAATACTTTGGTCACAAGGCTGCGGATATGGGCGGTTACTCAGTTTGTTCTAGCATAGCGTTGCATATAGTTGAGCGGTTTCGGCGTCTAATAGTCTCTAGGTAGTTTATTGTAGTCACTGAGGCATCACTAATGCCGACTGGCGATGGATCACATCAATTCCCAGGTCACTTGGTGCTTTTGGCATTCATGCTCATCAGAAATCAGCTCACGGCCGGTGGTCAAGTTGACAGATTGCCAATCTCATTTCATGAACATGGCCCTAGTGTATGCAAGTTACATGTCTGTATGTTTTATCCGCTTTATACCAGGTATCGTATGATTAACATGTGCCTCAAGTTCGATATGATAAGGGTTAATTCCGATTTCCTTTCCATGCATTCCAGGTACCCCGACATAAGAACCCGTCTGGTTTTGGTGAATCTTGCTATTTGCCTTTAACTCGGTCTCAACATCTGCGAAGCAAGTGTAACCCCTCCAACAAATAATGCCATGAGTCCTGGCCCGGCTCTGCGCCTTTCCGCCTCAACCTCAACCTCCCTCTTCGTAGGCACCATGTTGGACGACGTAGACCGCCTCATGACGGTCAAATGGCGGTGCTGTCTCTGCTCTCCGTCTTCGCCTCCCCATTCCCACGAACGTTGAAGACTCCTGCTCATGCCAACAGACAGAGGCAGATCTACCCAACCCCCAGAAGACGCAGGTCTCCTCAATATCATCTCGCGTCCTCTTCCTCCACCTCTTAATCCTAGTCCTCTTTCTCCTCCCATGCCGTGACTGCTGGCAGGGCGTGGGCTGGCGAGGAACCCGCCCCCGGCACCGTAGAAAGAGTGCCTCGCCGGCATCAGCACCCTGCGTAGTCCGACGTCGATCAGTCGGTGTTCTGCGTGGAAGCCGATTAGTCCCGCGCTGCCGAACGACTTCTGCCGTGCCTTGGTAGTTAGTTGTGGACGTACAAAGTTGATGTCCTCGAGCGAGTCGCGACGGGTCACGAATACGTCCTCGACCGTGGGGCCTCTGCGGGATAGTGGGCCACTGCTATTACTGCTGCTGATGCTACTTCCTCCTCTGTCTCCTCTTTCTCTTTCTTCTCCTTCCGGAATTTGGTCGCTGATGAAGCCATGTTGTGATTGTTCCTGTTGGTCGCTTAATGGTGACGAGGCGAATGGTGACGAGAAGTCGAAGAGATCGAATTCTGGCCTGGTCTGAGCAAATCCTCCGTCTGCAGATGGAAAACCTCCGCTTGGCGATGGCAGCTCGTCCTCGAGTGGTGTTTTCGGTTCCACCTCCTTGGTAGGGACGGCCGCCGTGCTTGGAATCACTAGTTGTCTCCTTGAACGCTCGGGTGCAAGTACACGTTCACCCGATCCCTCTGTTGTCTGCTCGTCTGTCGGTTTGGTTTCATCCTTGCTGTCTTGACTTCCAATTGTAGGAGGCAGGTCAGGCTCTTCAGCTTCAACCTCATCTAGACTTGAAATTGCCTTCAAAGGGGTTGGTATCCCAGGTTCGGCTGGGTTCACCACCGCATCACTCGATGAATCCTGGACAGGATCCGCTAGACTAAAGCTGTCTCTGCCACTGGCAATTAGATGTTGCTTTAGCGGCGATGATGATAACCTTGGCCTGACTGGAGTCAAAGAGGGCGAGCCATCAGGGGAAATCTTCAGCGTCTTTTGGTCGGCGCCAATCTCTTGTGGTTGGTAGGGCTTGTTGTACTCGGTCAAATTGTCCCGAGAGCTGTCGGCCATCACAATTTCGATGTCGGTACTAGTTATGGACCCATGGATCTTGGGAGTGAACATGAGACTGCTTCTCGGAGAGTGGCCGGAGCCAAAGGTCAAGCACGGAGTGGACGGTGCAACAGAGATATCATCTCTTGCGTCCGCATTGCTTCGTGGCCTGGCCTCGAACTCGTCAACCTGTGGCATTCCTTGTGGTAGCGTGCCTTTGACCTCATTGATTTGGTTATCATGACTTGACGATTCACCATCTGTTGAGTGGTTCGTTGGTTTCTCGGTCTCGTTGGGGACAACATCGGGTTGCTCCCCCGAAGACTGAGGGTCGAACGGATGAACCTGAGCGTCACAATCCTTGCCCGGGACAACTTCATCATTCATTTGCAATTCATCCGCTGACTTGGCATCTACAGTTGCTTGGTCCCCCTCGCTATCCGCTAAGGCATCAGAGTCGAAGAACTCGAGGAGCCCAAATGAGCTTGGACTCGGCATCAAAGGAAATACTCGAGCCCCTGATCTCGGACAACGAATGAAAGTGGGTGACTGTGGCCTCTCAGAGACCTCGCTTGTTTCCGAGACGGGCGCCGTTGCGTCTTTGACATATTCCCTCGCAGTTTCCACATTGAATGGTTCGACAGGCGAAGTGACATCAGGGATCATGACACTCTCTGGAAGCTCTTCCACCACCACTGGTAGAGGACTTTCGGGCAATGGAATATCAGCCGGTTGGGGCCTGTCATACTCTTCATACTCAGACGCTGACTTCAAGGATGCCGCATCAAGTTTACACGTGTCCTTGCAGACCATCTGAATGTCTTGGTCGACACGCTGTTTCAGACGATCTACTACCTTTGTCCTCTGCTTGGACGGCGAGTTCCATCGATGACTAGCGGGTTCTCGAGCGACCAGGGTCTTGTCCAATATGCAGTGACCACGTTTCAGCGCAGACATACGGACGTGTAGAGCATTACCGCGAAGCGTGTCTCCAACTCCTGTCTGGACGCGGTCCAAGATTGCCTCGATACTTCTTCGAGAATGGGATACATCAAGTCCCAAGGTACAAACGAGTGGCTCGTCCAACTCCCATCCACGTCCGCGCAGCTCGACAATCTGGAAATCGAGGTCGTCCATCTGGCGAATAGTGCTGTCAGCGACATCTCGTGCGTAATTCAATGACTTTTCAAGAGTATCATAGAAGTCAATGCAGTCTTGTGCCTCGGGTTGACCAAGTAATGCAACTTTAGTACGGACGGTTCGTTCTAGATGATTGAATTGAGGGCCGAGGTTGTTGGTGACTCGTAATACTATCTCAACGGCATCATCTTCGTAGTGCTGACAGCTTCCACCGATGAGGCGGCATTGACGGTGCTGGTCCTGAACCGTCCTCCTCCTTGCCCTCAAAGCACCTTCCAAAGAGTAGGATGAGTCGGAGAACAAGGTCTCTGCAACTTCGAGGTTCAATGGAGTGGTCTGAAAACTTCTGATCTGAATTGTCTTCTGCCATTCCGGAGGTTTGCGACGCTTGCTTCTACTCGTGAGCAAAAGATCTATCGTGAACCCGGGGATCATCTCGAATGTTTGTGATGCTTCGAGGAAGTGAGATCGCGGGACACAGTGCAGTGACTGAACGGATCCGATCCGGTACGGTGTCGTCTCGGGATCTTCTAGGGACTCATCACGGATAGCGCCGTCCTTCCATATGAAGTCGGGATCATGTCGCTTCAGGAAGAGGCCAACGATACGATGAGAGGCGAGAACGATTTCTTTCGCCACTTCTGTCGTCAAAGATTGCTTTTGGTAGGAGCTGTGCGTTCTCGTCGCCCATTCCGAGCCGCCCTTCAGGATCTGGAACGTCATGTCAAACTGCTTAGGTTTGGCGATTCCGTCCAGTCTGGTAGGTGTAGAAGCAATGGGGTCTTTTCGCGTTATCAATTCCGTACAAGTGTGGTCGACATGGCGAAGTAGGCCTCTACAAAGTTTCTCCGACACGCGGAGGTTAGGTGAACTGTTGTATGTTCTATTGTAAGAGAAGTCCAAGGGATCCTCGAAGGTGAGGGTTAGGTGGACTGAAAGACCGGGTCCCGGAGGTGGATCTGTCCGAGATTCTTTGCCAGTAGGAGGAGTAGGCCGTGATTCTGCTGCTTTCGTCTGAGATTCTTGGGTAGCGGGAGTGCGGGGCGTTTCTTCAGGTTCTAGTTCTATCTGAGATGCTTTGCCAGCAGGAGCACGCGGTGTTTCAGTATCGGAGGATTGGACATTTCTTTCATGGCCGCGGCTGTCTCTTCTCAACCCTCTAACGTCCCGGACGAAGGACTTGATCCGGTTGTGGAAGATGGCAGGCTTGCTTTTGGACGCGTCCCAGGCCATGATGTGGTATGTGGTAACAATATAACGATAATGGAGAAGAGAACATGGGAGGGGGCCCCTTATTGGTATTGAAATGTATACAACTAGGTAGCACGACCTGGAATTATCGTAGATAAATGTTTTTTCAAAGTAGGAATACAATAACGGGCATGGGATCCGAGATGGAGGATTTCTTGGAGCTGGGCTCTTTTCATACCTGATTAGGTCAAAATTCCGGGCCTCTTTGGCTGAACCACCTCGTGCCAGCGCAAATCGCCAGGGAGACCTAGTTTACTTGTAGGCAGTGGCCATGCAGAGCCCAGCTGACACTATCTGAACAAAAATACTCGAGTCAAAAACGGCTGGGAGACAACGGTCAGACCAGTGCATAAAATATGGGGTACGTACGAGTTGGTCTTGGGCACAGTCAGGTCTTGTCCCTAATTGTTCCTTGATAAAGGCGATGAGCCAATGAGTTGTCGTGTTGTTGAGGGCTGTGATAAAGCATGATGTTACGATACTGTCGCAAATCGGCGCAGAGCGCGTCCCTTACCTTATTACCCTATCAAGCGCTTTGCATTACCACATTTCAATGATGGCTGAGGCGGCCAGGGTTCGCGTGGACGGAACCTCGGAAAGGCTGGAAAGGAGTTTTGGGGACGCTGCCCAGAACCTTGGTAAGGCTGCATATGAGAGAATGTGTCAAGATTCTCTCATGGTGTTGTTGGTTTGATGTAGCCTGATGTTTCACCCTCAATCCCGCTGATTTGGTGACGTCGAATTCTTCGTTGCAGACACGGCCTGCCAGATCCGGGTTTGGAGCCTTTGGGAGCCGAGTTATCCCGCACATGCATCATACCGCTGCAAGCCCTACAACTGGACCCTGCAACTGGACATGTCGCGCTTAACGCTACGGCCAACTGCAAGTGAAGTGGACTGATGTGGGCCTTGCAAGGTTGCTCCGAAGACCCCAACTTCGAGATCTCATCACGATTTTGGTGTCCACGAATGGTACGTGCGATTTTCGGCCGGCCCCGTTGAAAAATCTGGACTGTGGCACGACTACGACTACGACTACCCCTCCACACATCTTGTCTTGTGATTCCCGTATTCCTGGTTGTCCGCGTTGTCGCAAGTCTCGAAAAGGAGGGCCGGGCCACACATTCTTCATAATTCATAGCATAACTCGTACTCATGCACCACATCAAGCACTTAGTCACGAGATCGTCTTTTGCAGTTGTGTTATGAGCTGGCCAAAGAGTCCCAGACAATCTCGAAATACCCCAGATCTAATCAAGGTGCCTGCCATCCGATTCCACCATATCTAGATCTGGCTGGGATGGAGATTGCTAGCGGGCATGGGACCACAAGTATTGAGCGGTGAGACAGAACTCGAGTATAGAGGCACGTGGAGCACTTGCATAAGCCCACTGGATGGGGAGCTCGAGTACCGAAGTACTTGCAGGTTGTGGGAGTATGCTTCCTTGAGAGGACAGTTGTTCTACCTTGTACGGCAGGCTCTTGTCATGGAATTGCTTCGTAACACTCTCCTCTGCGATGTTCTTTCCTGGTTTCTAGGTGACACCGCATCTTATATCCACTTCTCAATCGTTCTTCTCGAGGACTTGTCACTCTTTTCTCATGAATGAGCATCAGGTTTTCTTCGTTGAACCATTTCCTTGATGCGTTAACCTGTGGGATTGAACGCCACAGTTATGCCCTAGGCCGAAAGCGGTACGATTGCAGCTGCAGCTAGTGGGTCAGCACCTTCTGCCTTCTGGAGAGAGCAAGACCACCTCTCAACGCCAGCGTACGTAGCACAACGCGTAGAGCACGCACAACGATCAATACGAAATCCATCTCGGGTCATCAACACGGGCCGATTCCCTCCTGGTCTACTTATCAGCGGCACTCATCTCTCAACGGTACAGCCAAATCTTCTCGTTACCCACGAATCTAAAAGTATTTAACTTAACGACTTCTTTGCCTACTAAAATGAAAGAAAATAATTGGAAAAATGTATCCTGATGCAACTAAATTCTAGAAATTATACTATTAGTTTGAAAATATAGCCTTTAGATTAGTTGAAAAGAAGAATGAAGTATTGTTTTGAGCCGGGATCGTTGGCTTTTTAGCTTCTTAGCTTCAACTCGAGAAGGGATACTAAATCGGTAGGAAATGCGGGATCGCACTGGCACTAGCATTCCGGCTACATACGAAGGTGAAGAAGGGAAGTAGAGGTTGGAGGGGAGGGTGGAGTGTCCAAGCCGCACAAGCGCACTAAAGTATCTCAAGTGTACCTCACCATGACCTCAAGCCACCAATTCCACGGGAAATCTAAAATATCTACCTAAAGCCTTCACTACGTTATTACATACTAAATCAATATTATCCTGTACAAGCTATAGTAACATTGATATGAAACGCTATCCATTCTCTTATAGCTATCATGGTTGTTTTTCTAGAGGACTTATTATAATATATGTGTGGGAAGTAGTAGCCTCAGTTGTGAAGGGGTACGAGGCAGAGACGCGTTGTAGTATTTAGGGACGCCTCGGGGCTAACTTGGGATCGGTCCTTCACGCACCTTCATAGTGTCTGTCAATTAGCAATTATATATCTAGGTACTTGGACATTTTACATAACATGTAGCTATTTACTGCTACAATTTAAGTACCGGCCTATGTAACAACACGGTTGTCTACTTTCTAGCTCGTAAACTCGTTGAGCTATAACAGTTTGAAGTTATAGTGTTTTTGCTGTACCGTTAGTCTGTGTGTACCACTGGTGGGTGGGTTGATGTATACAATATGCTTGATAGTGAAGAGGCATTTCGTCAGCCTTCGGAGGGGACAAATGTCGAACAACGCGGTCAGCTGTCAATACCAAGTAAGTATCCCAAGCATACCAGAAACTAAACCAAACAACACGGCTTCCTCGAGACAAGAACTTACCGATACAGGGATCTGTCGACACTCGTCTTCGAGGTACCATTCTTGCGAATATTCCACTCGGACTGAACAGGCTTCATCCAGCACTCGAGACGTTTCCGCGAAAATCATGCAGTAAGCGATTGCCCGGTGGTGTGTACTTGTTTCTTGCACACTTACTGGCTGGGCTTCAGACTCCTCGCCATCCTGTAGTGTGAATTGAGCTGTAAAATTGGCGCTGCAACATTAGTCAGAGGCGCCAGCAAGACTTGTCATATACGTGAACAAGCTGTGTATCTCATACACCATTTCTCTCAATAGTGACTCCTTCATATTTATGTGCCACGCTGGATCCGGGCTGCATGTTACTCGGCCCAAGTTCTATGAACATCTGCTTGTTCGATATCTCATGTCACCCCATCAACTTTTTACCAACTATTCATTTAGACTCGTGATAGATACTCTAGTCAGACACCAGGGTTCAGGATCAGCCTTGAACACTTCAGGACGTCAAGTGATCTTTCACTACTGCACTACCTCGACACTGGGAATACTGTTTCACTGTATCTAATAAGGGCCAGCTGGACACGACGAAATAACGCAAGTGGTTCACACTATCTCCCAGCTGAAAGAAGCTCCTCTGAGATCCCTTCAATCTCGAATCACCTTACCTTGAAGAATTTTAGTGAAGAAATGGGAACACTCAATTTTCAAGCCCTCGGACTAGGCGAACTGATCTGCGATATTTCATCCCTAAGTCACCAGACTGCGATGTCTTCTTAATTTCTGACTGCCAACTTTGGGCTTGGCCATCAGTATATATGGACATAAATGACGTCAACGTTATCGTTGTCGGGGTTTTGCATACGGGGAATATGGGAATATCATTTATACATTACGGCTTCCGTTCGTGACCCTAAAAAGTATATCTGAAAATCTGAACAAACGTATAGTCTTTCTTGCCACGGCTCCCGAAGGCCGACTGGCAGTTCACCTACGGAACCCATATTATCTGCGTCGACCACCCTCCCAGTACTGCATCGCGCGAGGATGATTGCCTTAGGACACAGGAAGCCCAAGAGACAGCTTCAGCCCCTTAGAGTCTGCATCTGAACCACATACTGCCTGGCTGATTTTCACGCCGCATACGCTGGATCTAATGATTGCTTTGCTACTGGCGGGACGTGCATTGTCTCTGTTCATAGTGGGCTAACTAATCGAAGAGACGCGAAAGCTCAGAGATCACTGTTTATGGCAATGTAAATAGTACAGAGCTCATAGCACCGAAAGCGTATCATAGTATACATACGAAGTAAATCCAATACTTGGACAAGCAAAGAAGGAAGGGCCTTGAGGAGTACTAATCGAAGATATGAACCTCATGGTCCGAGACCAGAGGCAACGAAGAAAATCACAAACTAGGCAAGGGATAAGAAGTTGAACATGAATGTTGGACAAACCACCGGAATCTATTATAGACACTAATAAATTATAACATTATGAACCAGACCCCGTGTCGTGCACAGCCTGTGGTATTTTGTATTATTTTGGCGGGCGAGCTTGTTCGTCTCCCTGCATGAACCCTAATCCTGGTTGAAAGAAACCCACGCCAGGCGCTATGAATAGATTGCTCTCCTTATCGGCCTCCCCACAGGCGCGTCTCATGGCGCAACACGTAGGGAGGTTGGTGTATATATCCAAAAGTGCAGTGCAGGGTAAGACGCATGTTCATGTACAAGATTTGTCACTTCGGACATGGCACAATTAGAGGCCGAGGGCCGAGGCGCAACCCCAGTGTTGCTCACAGCCGCACTCGGTGCTACCGTCCTTCCATGCGTCGTCAGTGTAGCTGAACAGGATGGAATCAGCACCGACCTCGGTGACGAGGGATGCGACGGCGATGGCCTGCTCGACGAGACCGGGGCAAGCCTTGCCCATGCAGTTTCCGGCCGACGGCCAGCCAGTCTCCAGGACCTTTGCAGGCTTGCCGGGGCAGGCCTGGTTGACAATCGCGAGCTGGCCCTTGACGAACTCGCCAGCCTGGGAGGCAACCGTCTCGGTGTTGAAGAAAGCGTGGGAGTTGCATCCGACGACATCAATGACGTCGCAAAGGACGCTGGTGACTGAGGAGTCTTCCCAGATGGTGACGATGTCGGCAGTAGTGAAGGGACCGGAGTAGCCAGAGAACTCGGATCGGCACTCGGAGATGAGGCTAGCAAGTTCCGAGGCGGAGCAGTAACCGTTGAAGACAGCTTCGTTACCGACGACGATGAGCTCGACAATGTCGTACTGAGCCCACGACTTAATGGCGCTGATCTGCTCGGCGACGGTGGGGTTGTTGGCAGAGCAGTGGGGTGCGTCGATGAAGATACCGAGGACCATCTTGACTCCGTGCTTTGAGCATGCGTCACCAACGTTAGGCAGGGTGTCACAGTCGGTCGAGTAAACACGGATGGTGGTGATACCGGCAGCGGCGATCAGAGCAATATCCGAGTCAACATCCGACTTAGACTTGCAGCTGCCCGCGGTGTCGTACGGGGTGTAAGTGAGACCCCATGGTCCATTGCCGCTGCCACCCAGAGTGCTGGAAGGCTTGGCTGCCGATGAGGTCGCGCTCTGGGTAGCGCTCGACGAAGGGTAGACAACAGCGGAGCTGGTGGTGGCCTCCACGGGGACTGAGGTAGTGGTGGGAACCTCAGCGGGGGCGGAGCTGGTGACCTCAGCTGGCGAGGATGTAACCGCCGTAGTAAGCTCATCGAAGGGGCAGTAGATGACGGTGTTAGTCTCAGTGACGGTCGTCACAACTTCGGGCTGAGTGTAAGTTCCGGGAGGGTAGGTAGAGATAACTGGCACCACTACGGTGGTCTCGTTGTATACGGTAGTAGTCGTCGGGGCAATGGTGTAAGTGCCGGCCGAGGGGCAGACGTAGGTGGTCGTCTCAATAACGCTAGTCGTAACTCCCTCGCTGGTAGAAACAGTGGGGTAAGGGCAGACAATGGTAGTCGCGTTTGTAACGACTGTAGTAACACCACCCAAAGTGTACGTACCACTGGGGACCTTGGTTGAGGATGGGGCGCACACAGTTGTAGTCTCATTCAGAGTAATTGTGGTAGCCGGGAAGGTGTACACACCCGTGGTTGAGCAAGTTTGGGCAACGGGCGTAGGGACCACGGCAATGACCTTAGTCGAAGTTGGGGGAGCAGCAGTGGTCACGGGCGCAACGCTGCTGGTGGTGGCCGGGGCGGAAGGGGGAGAAGGGTTGTGCACTGATTTCTCTTGTTAGTGACCTGTGTGGCACATGTGGTTCTGATTTTGTTCTCGACGTACGAGTAGCTTCACCATACCAGGTGGTCCAGTAGGTGGTGCACTCAGGCGTGCAGGTGGCATTGTCATAATTCCTGCGGAAGATGTCGTGGGCGTGTCGGTGGTGGACGGTTGCACCAGCACTTCCAGCAAGGGCCGCAACGGCGACAGTAGCGAATTGAACCTTCATCCTTGCTTTCCTTCAAAAGTATTATTATATTCTGCGGTTTGCAGATTTTCGTAAGAACGAGTGCCCGCTGAAAGAGTGAAGCGGTGGGTAGGGGATGCGCGAAAACGATGGACGAAAGCTGGAGATACTTGTTACGTCAACAGCATCAACATTAGGGTCGTTCCGTGAAGAGGGAAGAGGAGAGAGGGAAAGGAGGGCCTGATAGAGCAGCAGGGCAGGTAGTTTTATTGTGACCTACGGCTTCATGGGTGGGTGCCCTTACGGACATCAAATTTGACATGGTTGTTGTTTTTGGCAATAGAGTGAGAGCCCGGCCGCATCTCCAGTTTGCCAGTCAAGCCAGTCCACTACTATTGAGCACGGCCATCCTTGCGCCCTTACTCTTTTGGGTCAACAAAGTCACCATATTGACCCATGTGGTCCTTGGAAAGACAGGGTACCTGGCCAGGATTAGTCTCTTTCATCGGTCCCCATAATCCAGGACAGTAAATACCGACACTTGCAGACTGCAGTGGTGTGTTTCTCGGCCTTGTTATGGCGCGCGCGATGACTCTGTTGTCACGGTTGCTGTGGTCAGAGACGAGAGTACGGAGAGACCATCACTCATTTCTCTGTCCGGTCAATTCGGCAATGAATGATGGCCATTGACGAAAAGCAACATTGACTTGTCCATAGAAAGCGAGCTGCTTGATGCGGGCATTCGACTGGTCATTCGACCGGGGTCATTGGCTGGTGGTTGTGGGGTGAACGTGGTTGATAGAAAATTACGAGAGAATGAAGCAAAATTAAGGAGGAGCTCTATGGTGGACAGGCGGAGGTGCCATTCGGCGCCTGCTAGCGCAGTCCTGGAGCGGTTGCCGACGACTATGGGAAATTAGTTAAGCGAGTTGCGGGAAATTGCAACATCACTACGAACCACCCACAGCGCGTTTTCCCAGGGAGATCACCGCTTGAATTAACACACCCTGCAGCATCCTGCAAGGCGCGCAGGCTCAATAGGGAACACTCCGAAAGCCTCCAGGATCCCAAGCTTCCAGAAATGTCAACAATCATGTAGTCTGTAAAGCGTGCAGATTCTGCGATTTCCGAATTGATGTACCGATAGTTGGATAGAGCTGGGAGATGGTCAGCACAACTATTTGCTACCATAACAGGAAAATAACTTGCCTAAGCTGCAAAGCTCTTACGGGCCTGAGAGCGGCAAGGTGATCTATTGTTGATGTTGGATCGTCTCCGGTTGAGAAATGGATTCAGCCGATCTTTAACGTCCTGGGACTTCGTACCTGCATCTTGACCCTGCATGGTGCCAACGTCAACTAAACGCCGCCGAGTATCTTCGTACCCTTCGTAGTGGCGCCCATGTGGATGACACTTCCCCAAAAAATGAGCGCCTTCAACCGGCTCCAAGATGTTTCTTCAACCGACTATTTCCCCTATGCACTTGCGTACTTAAAGTTCTCGGGTGGACCAGCGTAATGGCCGGCAGCGATTGCCGTGAATAGATTTAAGGTATGGCACTCTTGCTCTGGGATATATGTTTTCGGCTTAGCACTTGCAGGTAGTATGGGCAATTTGCCTCTTTTGATCTGTCACTATCCCGGCTTTTTGGTGTCCGTGCTTTCTCCTTCTCCACGTTCTCTTTTATTGAGGAGCTCTCATCATGGACATGATCATCCTCCGTCCTGCCTGTTCCAAATACCAAGCTTTCATTCGCAGCAGGAACTCATTGCTTTACGAGATTGTCGATCAGTCGGAGAAAGAGTCTCGACTCCGGATTGCCAATATACTCCTTTTCTTCATGAGCTTTCAAGGTGATACTGACCACCATTCGACAACATACATGCCTCAGCTGCGCAGTTACGTACTTTATCTGCTCGAGTACCCTTGGAACAATGAAACCCATCTACACAGTATATAAGTTAACAAGGCGTTGGTAGTGTACAAAATAGTGCCTCCGCTGAGTAAGAACCATTCTCTCTCACAAATAGGCCGATGTGGAGTGATAAATAAACGGTGTAACCGACTCCACTTCGCAACTTCAGCTCAGCTCTTCCATCCGTGGTAATGTCCACTTCTGTGCATGCATTTGATTAACCTTCAATCAACTGGCATCGACTCTGGATTTATTGCTCATCATTCCCTGAATTAAGTAGATCTGATTGCGTCCAAAAGTCGCTTCGAAGACAAGCGAGCATGCCTCATAGAGTTGCTCCAGGGATAGGTAAAGCTAGCCTTGATGGATGGAGCAATTGCCTATAGAGTTGAGTAAAACACGCATTTCTGCCTCCTGGTTAATGGCAACGCTTCAAACGCAGTTGTTAAAGTTCAATTTTCCTTCTTTGTATTGACTTCTTGACCGAACACGAATTTGGACGGGACGTAACTGCCAAAAGCCCTACCGTGAACAAATGAAGAAGCTTGCAATGAAGATTACATGATCCATTCTAACTATTTGGTATTCAAAGTAACCGTGACAAATGAAAATTATTGTAAGTTGACGTCTCCATCTGGCGTTGACCGTCGTTCACTACATGCTTCCCCAACTTCTTCTTACAGCTGAACAAGCGCACTGAGCAGCACTGAGACGGCGAAAATGTATCACTTGCTAGTCTGGAAAGGACGCAATCTGTCCAGAAGGGCTTACTTACAAAGATTCCAGTGGCTCCACTGCCAGAAATGGGAGGGTGCTGCCCCGAGGCTGCAAGAGTGGCAGCCTCATTTTGTGCTGTCTCAGGTGACATACTAGCAGCGGCGGCGCTGGCTGCGGCTTCCATGGGCATGATGCTTTCCATACCGTCCATCTGATCCAGAGCAACCCCAGCCAGAACGGCGGCAATAGCAAACATCTTGTAGGTCATGTTTTCTTCTTGTTCCAAATTGCGAGATCCTATGATTCAATGGTTTTCAAACAAGGATGAAAGCAGTCTGGATAACAGAAACGCTAAGAGGGCGTGGTGGCTGGGGTATCGAGGATTAGAAAAAGCAGACTGGTGAACAAAGGCAACAGGCGGCTCTTTGATGGTTTTCAGTATCAATGGCATATTTGATGCTACAGCCAAGAAGGCGAACGTTGGACATGTTTGAATTCTAAACGTCTACCAGTAAAACTTGGTAGACAGTGCAGAGATGGATGGGCGTTGGCAGTTGCAAGCGGAGAATGTGTCTCAAAGAAGGCCCGGTACCCCGAGGCCCACAACGTAATGGCAACATGTCACAGTTCCGCGATGTCAGTTTCCGCCCTAGACAGGCTCTGCTCATTATGCTGTTGTTCCGATGGTTAAGGTAGTTGAACTGTCAAGGCAGAAACTCCCCAGTGGTACTAAGACACGCTAGTGATTGCCTCGCTCTTTCCTATAATTTATGACATCTAATATCAGTCGTCACGTGATGATATCCCCACTTTAAAATTTAACGATGCAGCCATGTTTTCCTATGCTCCCTACGCTTTGTCAATGTAGTTAAATCCAAAGAGACAGCACTGTCTTTCCAGAGCGGATATGTTGCAAGTCTCTGGTCGTTCTTACGTGTGTTGGCGTTGTGCTTTCCGTACAACTGCCTCGGATGCCATTTCTAAGAGACGTGGTACCCTCTCAGCACTACGAAATGTTCGTCCAGCGGGTCAAGGACGGTCTCTGATGCTGAGACGGGTACGACAAATGCCCGGCCTGGAAAACCCCTAGCAATCATTTTTAGCTAACATTGATGTCCAGGGTTTGGCCACAGTTCATCATTCTGCAGGTGAAGATGGCAGTGGGCAGAGTGCGTCTCGTTCTCAGGAGGACCAAAAACTCCCCATCCGAGATCGTTTGCGCAAGTGGGAGGCAGAAAATCCCGACGAAAGCCACAACATGATTACCGATTTGGCCAATGCCGGCGAGTTGTCCAACACCTTCACTCGACCGCAGAACGTTACAATGGCCCAGTTTGATGTCCAGGCTCCACTATTCGACGGTGATGAGCTTAGTGATTTGCGGTCGGATGACACCATGCTTCGGCCTGGAGACTTGGTGGAGATGGGGTAATGCTATTTTCATCTCTTGCGCGCTTGACTTAGCTAATGCCGTTTTCTAGATCCGAAGCCGCCCGAAGACCCATGCTTGCTGTTTGTCTAGGCCGCTTCAACGGTTATGAGCATTATTACACAAGCAGCGGCAAGTGGTTTTCCGGACTGGGTGTTAATACGTTGTTTGTCGTGAAAAAATTCGTTGATCCTTCAGAACTCCAGCCCCTCATTGCCGAAATCCCAACTGGCGATGTGCCCATGGAGGCTTTGAACGCGCTGCAGGATCTCGGACATGGTCCATCAAGAGCAGTCGGCGCCCCAATGCTTCGCAAGATGCTAGAATTCGAACAGGGTGCCGAAGCTGTATATCAGGCTAACGCTGGAACTTTGGATGCCTCAAGTTCTTTCATTGGAGACCCGCTAAAGCATCGATATTTAACGCTTCATGAGATAGCTGATCTACTGCTGCCCGCAATTATCAAGAAAGACGGGAAATTTGCTCCAAATGCCTTGTATGCTGTCCACAGGGCTCTGCTTCAAGATGAGATTTTCTTCCGTCCTCTAAAGCAAACAGGGAAACAAAAATCTTACTTGTTCGAGGTCAGCCCCCTCTCAGAAGTCCGTATTGTACAGAGGGTCGAGGTCATGGTACGTGAATTCCTGGAATCGTGCGCAGGTCCCCGAGCGAACCAAAAACATGAACAAAGCGGCGGAGCCTACTCGCTGTCGAGTTTCTTGAAGAGGGCTCAACTAGCCATTGACAACAGCCGCAAGGTTCGAAGGTTCTCGCCGCATGGCGTCGTCGGTCCTTCCAAGTCGCAAGATATCTCCCGGCCGACTTGGACCGCCACCGATCTGGAGATCCTTCAGTTTCTAGAGTTGTGGGCCAGCTATCAGAAGTTTCCAAACTATTCACGGTTCCATTGCATAGGATCTGCAATCCTCCGGTACTTGGAGAGGTACGAAAGCGAGGTTTTGAACTCGACGACGGGCTGGACCTTCCTTCAAGAAATTGGTTGGGTAGCCCCCTGGGAAATCTCGTCTCGATACAGAATCCGCTTTCCTGACGTGGAAATCCAACGGGGGGGTGGTTTTACCCGCCCCTTTTTTGGTATCCTAGACAGACACATGAAAACCGACATTTTCGAGAATCGACGGAAGCAGTGGGACGGACACACTGCTTTTTGCATCGATGCCGAATCTACCATGGATATCGATGATGCCGTCTCAGTTGAACGAACAGACAATCCTGAAGAATATTGGATCCACGTCCACGTTGCGGATCCAGCATCCTCAATTTCTGCTGCAACCCCAATTGCGAAGTATGCCGAGCTGGTCCCAGAGACGATCTATCTCCCAGGCCACTATGACCGCATGCTCCCCGGCAACATCAGCCAGGATCGATTCTCGCTTGCCCCAGGGAGGCCTTGCTTGACGTTCAGTGCCCTCGTAAATACGCAGGGCCACGTTTTGAAACACAACATAGTGCCTGGCACGTTGAAGGATGTTATTTACATTACCGGAGAAGCTGTTAACGACGCGCTTGGGGAAACCCGAGATGATCCAATCGCTTCGGATCAGCACCTGAATATAGGACCCATTCCCATGGCAAAACCCCCTTCGAGGAAGATGACGCGACCTATCGATCTCTCTCCCAAGCAACGTGGTGAACTGGCTCTTCTCGCTGAGCTCGGCAGAACAATCCAGAATGCGCGCTTCGATAGAGGTGCTACCCCATACTTCCAAGCTCGCCCTCAACCAGAAGTCTACTTCGACAACGTGGAACAATGTACTACAAGTGATGGATTCATCAATGCTTCCGGAGACCCTTCTATCCGTATTACATTTTCCAAACGTTCTGGTACCGACTTGGTTGAGAATGTCATGAAGCTCGCTGGTGAAATCGCCGCGCAGTGGTGCAATGATCGTGGCATCCCCATTCCATACCGCACGCAACCACACGCAGCCCAGAACGCCGCCCTCATCCAGCAGTACACGCGGGATGTTTTCCGCCCTTTCCTTGAAGGGGGCGCTCGTCCCGAAGACCACCATTGGCGCCACCTCCGCGCCCTTCTTGGCGGCGATGAGATTTCGACTTCACCCGGTCCGCATTTCACGATTGGCGCAGACATGTATACCAAAGCCACCTCGCCTCTCCGTCGTTTCTCAGACCTCCTTGTGCACTGGCAGATCGAGGCTGCCATGCTCGAAGAACAGAGGCTTGGCCGTTCACTTGTTGGAAATAAGGACGACTCTTTTCTACCATTCACACGCGAGCGTATGGATCGCATGCTGCCCATGCTTCGCGTCCGCGAGAAACAAGCCCGCGCGCTCGCTAACGGCGACGGCGCTGACCAGTGGATTTTGCAGGCCCTGGTTCGGGCTTGGCGTTTCAAGGAAGCCAAGCTCCCATCAACATACAGGTTCACCGTTGCCCACGTTACTGGACGAAGCAGCGTCCTTGGTCGGCTGAACTGGTTCGACAGACGCGCCATCTTGAAGGTCGAGCATATGAACAACGTGTCCAAGATGACTGATGTGCGTCTTGGTGATGTCTTTGAGGTCAAACTGCAGGATGTCAATGTTCATGCCAACCAGATTTCGGTCGAGGCAGTAAGAATACTCCAGAGGGTCGGCGTCACTGATGCTGCCGCCATCGATGCAGCTACCAAACAACCGCATTTGGCAGCTTGAGGATCGATTTGAGAGGTGCGGTCAACCGAATCTGCCCAGCCTTAGCACCATGACACGCCAGTCACATAAGGTGTGTAGAAGCTGTGTGTAATATGTAAGGAGGGGAGCTGTACGATCACTTGATGAGTGTGCTACCACATTGTAACCTGTAACACCACATAGAATGAAACACAGCCTAGGGCCTCGGGATAGGACATGCACATACCCGACCTAACTCTTCTCTGCAACTTGCGAACTCCGTTAGGTTGGCCGGGGTAGCAAGTCGTGTGAAATCGATGGCATCGACGTCTGTATGACTTACATCTGGGTTCACCGCCCATCATCATGCACAAGCACACTACCCCTACGCCCCTAGGGTCGATGCTCGTATCGCGTTGGGAATGAGAAAAATAGTTACAAGCCCAAACCAAACAGAAGTAAAGAAAAGAAAAGAAAAAATAAGAAAGAAAAAGAGAGAAAGTGCAATTACCGCGCCAATTTCGCCTCCGTATCACTCTTCTCATATTTACTCACGGAGGTAGACCCTGTTCAAGTATAGGCAAGCAAGCCCGACTAGGCGTCCAAGGATGAAGTAACCACTCTCGACATACATAACACGTCCCAGAGTCCTTGTGACCGAAGCTTCAGCATGAAATATCTAATTACTCCCCTTAGGAAATAAGTTGCTGTAGAACTGCAGCTAGCAATAGCAGTCATTGACATCTAACGTAGGTCAACTGACCCAGCCCAGCCCAGCCCAGTCTTCCTGCAGATTTTTAATCGAAGACCCAGGTTTCCATTCGCATGAGATCCTAACCTTGTCTGTAAAACCGTGGTTGTTAGTATACATGTTTTATTCCTAGCTTTGGTCTCCATGTTTAAGCTAACCTACTCGGCATGTCCTTAGTAGTCATGAGATCTCGGCTGATTTTGGGGTCGTATGTTCAAATCTAATACCGACACCCTGTAGTAATAGATCCCTCTATTAGCTATGACCCAGAAGAACAGAGAGTTGTGGGCAGTTAGTACCTGACTCGCCCCTCTGTGCGTGCCGAGGCATTGAGCCCGGATAAAACCGATGCATCCAATCTCGACCAGGTACTTAGTTCAGGGTGTTGGGTATACATTCCACCATGGGTATCACCATATTGGAATGCATGTGATGTACGCCTTCTGCTGGTTTATTGTCGATTACTGCTACATGATGGTATTTGTAGCCCCATTCGAGTTTTGCGTCGTTGTTACTATGTCTTTCACGTATTACCTGCTTCCCGAGGTAATGGATGGCCAACTGTTAGTATATCATCATTGATCTCGTCTTCATCGGCATTACATGTAGCACACGCACAGAGACGAGGGTGTAATAATTCCGTGTATCACATTGAGGCCACCGTATCCACGGCGTTGCTCTCTATACGCTGGCAAATCTATGTTTTGGTTTTGCGTAACTCGAGCCTGTACATTAGTTGTCTTTCTGGCAAGCCGAGCAGATCAAGTCCCCCGGCCATGTGACCCAACCACCAACCACCAACCACCCCGAAGAGGCCGTCAACACATTGAAAGCCCCTTCCAGATCTACAGGGGATGGAGACCATCACTGTTATCGTAGGGGAATACTGGTCCCGACCAAACCAATCTGTACGGCGAGATTCGTTCACTTCCTTGACAACATAACCTAATCAGACGCTGGAGCGCTGAGCTGTGCATGAACTTGCATGTGACAGCAAGTTTGTCGACATTGAACCTTTCGCCCTGGGGTATTCTTGCATCACTCCAGAAATTGCTTTGCTCTCTATCCGTCCTCGTGACCGGTTGTTTGGCATGCTTGCCAACCGACATGGAAAAAAAAAACAAATGGACATTTGAACGCCCCATTGAAACCCGACCTGTGGGAGGAACAACCCCGTATGTCGCTTAATCCGATCCATATTGTGTCCGTGTGCTGATACCTCATTCCATTCCGTCCCTGGCCGTTGTCCACTTGATGTGTAGAAATTGGCTCGAAAATTCCAGTTGGTAATGAATAATGACAATTAGTGAATTAAAGCCGCCCGCTCAGACGCCGGATGCAATGCAGGTTCGAAAAAAAAAATCAATATGGTCGCGTGCTTTTCGTTTACGACGGAATGAAATCGGCGTTGGGCGGTTGAAGTTGTGCTGCGTGATGCGAATGATGCGAATGATGCGAATGATGCGGATGGGCTAGTACACACGCCATCAAATCTTCCTTCACCGCCAAATAGATAATACCACACCTCGTGCCATCACGCCCCCAACGATGCGTCGCGAGGTAATAAGGGGTGTATTTTGTTGCTGAACCAGGGTAATCCCAACACTAGGCGAGACATACCCCAGTTATCTCTTCCACCCCACATTCCAGATGACATGCGCAATATCCCGAGCAGTATTGACCGTGTCGATCACGCGCCCAATGATCCCATCGTTACCTCGAACCTCTCCTTCCTCGTAGGGCATGAACATACCGGACTCGGTTCGGCGCATGCCTGCTGGCTCTGCCGTGAGACTGTTTGTTGAGCCCGATCGGGACAGTCCAGGCTGTCGGTTTTGTACGAAGGCTTCGACGGGACTCGAAACTGGGGTCGTGCTAGTCTCGTCACCAAGTGTATTCTCTTCATCATTGTCCACGGCGTAGAATGGTCCAGACGGTCGAGACGGCCGCAGCGTTTCTTGGGAAGAGGTTGGTGACAAGAGGGGGCTTCGGAGCCCAGTGCTGTGCTTCATGGCCGTCTCCCGGGGTTCTGGCGTGTCTTTGCGGTACTTCAAGGTGGTCGAGGGTAGCATCGCTATCGTTTTGCTCTCCGCACTGACTGGCGTGAGGGACTTTCGTGGCTTCAGAGGCTTCTTCTTCGAGTTGGTCCTCTTCATCATTATGGCACCGTCATCTGAGTCACTGTCATTGTCGTACTTCCAATGACCGTGGCCAACTTCCTCCTCCTCCTCGTCGTCACCCGGACTGTCAACAGCGATGCACTGTTTGACCTGCTCGTCAAAGTGAATGTGTTTCCGCTCCGTCGAAGGAGAGATGACTCCCGACGATGCGGTCGAAGGCGCACGACTCGTGTTTTCCCTGCTCATTCTGCGGGATGAAAAGGGGAAAGTCATGAAGTCGGTGGAGGCTTGGTGCAGAATAGGCCTAGTCATTTTCCGATCCTTCTGTTGGGCCTGGATGGCAGCCGTTGCTTGTTTGAGTAGAGATGAAGAAGAAAGAGACCGCTGGAGCATTATCTCAGACATGCTTCTCTTCTTCAATATGGGCTTTTTGTTGACGAATGAATCGTTCCTCGACAGGGTCGAACTGCCATGCTCCGTATCGTTGGGGAAGAGATTCAGCTGGCGCGTCTGTAGGGGGCCATACAGCCACGTTACGTCACAGTCCTTGAGCCTGTGCGGAAATTAGACATTAGGGGCGGACTAGTCGCACGACGGGAGCAACTATACCAATTGAGCGTCTCAGGCGAGACAGTTTTGAGCCTATACTTGGCCTTCATCCAGGTTCTCCACGAGGCGTTTTCGAGACGAGGGCCGTTGCTGTACTCGTTCCGCCGCGACACTATGTAGCGCCATGACGACCAGATGTCTTCCTCTTTCCAGTTATGCGACAAGTAATCAACGTGTTGTGTCGGGTGGTGTTTGACAGCCGTATCATCCTCAGCGTGCTCGTAGAATTCCGGAGTGATTGGGCGTGAAGTAGTAGCTGATGAGTCGTGCGAGTCCTCCTCGGGTGGAGAGATGGTGTAAGAATTACCTGTCTGGGGGCTCGTTGGAGCTTCCAGATCATCTTCGAGGGCCGGGGGGAAGAACGGGTTGGAGTCGTATGCTGGGAGAAGGATCCGGTCGTCATCAGGTTCCAAGTCGTCCTCGCAATGACCGTCTAGTGAGAGATTGGTAGCGGGAGTCGACGAGTACGACGGATCCGCCGAGTCGGCATGCGCAGTCCGCGGTGACGAGGGAGCCGAGGACGGATTAGAATCAGAGACTATGTGATAAGACTGGTGGTGGTATGATGCGTTGTAAGCATCGCTAATCCGAGATGTCGATGAAGACGTATGGAATCCGGACGATTGCTTGCCTACGAACTTGGGCTGTGAATGAGTACGCCGCAGAGCCGGCGGCGAGAAAAGACTATTGTCCTCGGATGAGAGTACGACGGCCATTTTTGCTATGCCTTGACCGATCCTCCTACTAAACAACTCCTTGAAGGCCGCGAGGAGCGATCGTCATGAGTAACCTGCTGCCTCCTGCTCAGATGGAACTCGTTTGTCGTGCAAGAGCGGAGTCTGGGCTGTTGGGGCTGCCCTGAAGTCCTTCCACGTCAAGTGAAGCTTCGGTGACTGAAATGGCGTTGAAGAAAAATGAGGTCGTCCACAGGGCAAATCGGGTTAATATGGGGTCCGAAAAGAGTTATCAGTCGTCGTGTGAATTAATTCGAACGGTGGGGTCCTCGGAAGCTGGGAAGAGGTAGACTCGACGAACGGGCATGAAGGTGTAGAAGCCCACAACGTGTCGAGCACGGGAGACGAGTGCAAATAAGAGACTCGCCTGGGAAGGTGGTGATGATGGTACGAAGTAGACGGTTGAGTGGAGGGTGTGGGAGCTCCAAGAAGGGCAAAGAGAGTTGTGGTGTGGATGGTGTGGGAAAAAGAGTACAAGACTACTTTAACCACATAGAGAGATGGGATTCCGGGAGTTCGGAAGGCTGTTGCAAATTACAAGGGTACACAAGACGCGGAGGGGCGTGGGCATGTAAAAAAAAATCCCTCCAAGAGGGAAAGGCCAGGGATCAGAGCAGAACAGACAGCGTGGTCCGGAGTGGGGACGAAGAGATTCACCAGGGAGGCGTCGGTGGCACTCTGGACCACCAGCTACCCAAGGGTACTGAGCCAAACTGAGCCAAACTGAGCCAACCAAGCCAGCGACAAGAACGCCTTCGAGCAACGCCTTCGAACGTGGCATGCGAGGGCAACAACGACCTTGGAGGGATGGTGAGCGAGATGGCAGACGGATGGATGGGTATCTTTGCATCGAGAACTAACGCGCAGAGCATTTATTAGAGATGCATGCCAAATGTACTTTTTAAGTGCACACTGATTCCGTGCATCCAAAATGTATATTGTATGGTGCTGTCGAAGATAGCCTGAGCCATTTGAAGCCATTTGCATCAACTTACAGCAATAGAGCCAAGGTCTGATGCTCTAGGTGCAGGGTAGGTGTAGGCCGGGGACAAGGTTTTGCGATACTTTTAGTTATCGCGAAGTATGCTAAACACACACTCTGGGCCGTTCCAAGGAAAAGCAAAAGCCCGGTTTGAACAAAGACCTCGACCCAGGCCCCAAAGTAGAGACCATTATCAAGGTAAACCAAACCAAGGCAGGCAACAAGCAACAAGCAGCGAGACAATGCACAGAATGGCAGATTGACATAGTTGCTGCACGCATTACTGGCTGGCTAGCCAAGTGGAAGTGGAGGGCGATACGATGCAAGACGAGCCCACTCCACAGTGTACAAAAAAATGTCGCCTGTGGGGCCATTCATTGCGTGAGACACAATCAAAGTGGAGAAGCAAGACAGGCGTGCGGGGCACAGGCAGTGACACTGGCAATCTGGGGGGCCCGGGGAGCGAACGGATCTCGAGTCCCAGTTCCATTCGAACATGGATGACCAGAGACGGGACGAAAGCAAGAATGCAGCATGAAACAAGAAAAAGCCGGTAGCCTATGACCTAGTCGTACTTGCTCTTTCATCAGCGGCAATGAAGGGGTATTCCTATGTCTGTCCATTCGTGCGACCGACGGCTGATAAGAGGCTTGGAAAGCCAGCCTGCCACTTTGATGTCGACGGAACTCAATCCAAAATGGTGCAACGCATCGTCGGCTGCTCGAAGCCTTGCCGTCCCTGTAAGGTTGTAAATCCTTCTGGAACCCCGGCCTTCGGGCGCAGGCGGAGGCTCGACGCTCGAATCTCTAACTTGATATTGTGGATTTGTTGAGCGGGCAAAAAGGAACACAGCAGGGCCTGTATTTTTCTCTCTCACTTCCACAAGTGGAGAAGACAGGAAAGGGCTAGAGTGGCCCATCCGTACATGGTGCCAATGTCGAGTGGAGTCTTTTCAAATGCTTGCGAAAGAAACTAACGAAAGTTAGATGTCCGCCTTGAGATTCGCTGCCCAGATGGCTTGTTGCACTCTGACCAAACAGACAACAGGACGAGTCCACGGTGCTATACCTGCCAACTGTCAGGGTACGATATCCTCGATCTGGATGCTTTCTCGCGGGGTATTCTAGGGGTTCCCCAGGTCGCGCTGACTGAACAGCTGGACTGGACACATACACACTGCTCGTCTATTGCTCAGTGCGTTACTTGGCGTCTGGGGGTTTCAACTGATGATACCATTGGATATGTTTTCGGGAGGCATTTGAATGGCCATATGTGTCTGTGTGAGGTAAACCACTAGATGTCAACTAACCTGTCCCAAATCACGGCTGGCAAGCGACGTGTGTGTCAAGTCACTGCAGCATTACGAGAGATACGCGTCGCACTTCTACTCTAGGTTTCTTGTTTGGTTCACAGTCTTTCTAGCGCTAAGCTAGGAACAAGTCCCTGGGTCGCCAAAGATTTCCAGGGCTATAGGCCTTTCCCTCCCACTGTTACAGGTTCGCGACATTATCACCAAGCGTGATGACTATAAAATGCGGTGCCAGATTCTTTATCCAGAAGTGTGACCAAGTAGGACTTGATAGCCACGGGGTACTAGCCACGGACACCTCGGGATTGGGCTATGGAGGTAGCATGTAACGACATGGGCATCTGTCCATGTACGACATGCGATCAAGTACCTCGGTACCGTTTTCTATTTACTCGTGTAGTTCGACTTGTTTGGCTATCAGACGCTTTCCAACATTGCTCGTTCCATTCTGGGGGCTTGGTGACTGGTGTAGAATGCCGTGTTACCCTTTCAACTCGCCCGTAGTATACGCCACCTCGTGGACTCAGCGTAGATACTAGAACTGAAGGACCGGATACATTGCCAGAGCTTTAAAGAGAGAGGGCTGTAGAATGCACTGAAGCTTACAACGCCACTACAACTTCTCCTGAGACGTGTCCGATTTCTTCCGCACAGACATGGCTAGCTGGCAATAGTCGGTTTTTCGTTGCATCCTAAGTATTATCTAGAGTGGAACTCAATCGGACTTTGTTGAAGACCCTGTTCCTGGTCCCCTGGGGCAATCAGTCATGTAAGGAAGCACGCAATCAACTGCCCCCTTGGATAATGCATAGCGAGCTGAGTGATGCCAGTTCCTCTGGAGTAGAGCTCGGTATAGGATATCTGAAAGTTGAGAAACTGTGCTAGTTTTTTATCATTCCACACCCCCATCTTTCTAATGACAAACCCCGTTCACCCATCCCCAAGTTGCAACTAGAAATAGGCGTGGGGCTTATTCGCAATTGATACTGCGTAGTCAAACCTCTGTTCAGATCTTGATCTTCTGTACACCAAGTATCTTCTCATATGTACGAGTGACGGGCAAGTCATGGCCTTGGTATTATCCTGATCCTCGGCATCGCATAGGACTTCCGGGTGATCTGCTCCGCATCCTCGTAATGGATTCATGTCCATAGATTCGGGTGGAGTAGCAACCCCAGACATATCAGAACTTGACATTTCCTCAGTCGCAATGTTGCACTGGTTTTTTGGCTACTGATTGCACAGCAGCAATGTACTTCAGCAAACACCCGGACGAATGGTTCATGACCTACCGATCGTTCAATCAAGTCTTTATGTGTCATGAAATGTCTAGGGGAAGGGCCCCTTACTTGGCCCCAAAACGAGAACCTGGTTACGCGTTGGCGCTACACATCCGACTGAAGGAACGGCTGTCAGAGGCTGAACTCTATTGTACACAGTAGTAGCGGAAAGTGACAATTGACCGTGAGGTGGGCGAGAGTAAAGTCTTGAAATTTAGGCGAGATCATTGCGAGGATCAGATCGCATCTGAGATGGTGGCTAAGAAGCTTCAAGTCGGATATAGGCGATGGGTCGCGAGGCGTTTTTTTGTCCGCGCGTATAGCAACTTGTTGACCAGCAAACCTTCTTCAACCCACAGCACGCAATCCGTGACTAAGTATTCGCGACATTTGAGACTTTCCAGGTACTCTGCCTGCCGACTTTCTTTCATGCGACATGCGACACCGGCCGTCAGCTCAGGACCCTGATGATCCGGATCGACAAAGCTCCCAAAGCTCCCCTGCTGATCCAGGTCGTTATCAAGGTGTGGCCTGACAAAGCCAACCCCACCATCCCCATTTTGCAAGAATCAACCTCACGTCAAAACCGACAATTACCAATGGTTCCAACGGCAAGCTTGTCAACATAGACTGTTGCCAATTGGCACCGGCAATCTGAAAGATGACTGGACGCTGCCTTGCTGCGAGTAATCCCCCGAAGCAGACTGTTCTGACGTTTTAGAACGCACTATCAACTAGCAGATCTCTCGATCCGTACGCCGCTGTTCGTGTTGGGTCGACATCGAGATGGACAATGGATGGGTGGCTGCGTCTCTGCCACGAGTTTTGAGACCTGGTTGGAATCTACAGTTGTGCCAGTGTACCGAGGACCCTGTTTCATCCGTATTATTTCGAACAGCCGATATACCGACCGGTGTCGTGTCATATCATCCAGCAGTCATTGGCGAATGACGACTGCGAAAAAAAAAAAAAAAGAGACCCTCACCAACCGCCGCCTATGTTCCCGCTGCTCTGGTAGGCCACAGACAACAGAATAGTCCCCGGCTTGGCCGTGCAGCGAAGTTTGCAGACCGACTGCATGCAACAGAGCTTCGAGTGCGTCAGGAGGCGCTCTGCTCCCTGGTGGTGGTGGTGTTGCAGGAGTGGTTCCCATTCGTCAACGGTTTCGGGGGGACGAATAGTAGCATTCCGTTTCACCATGCACAATCTGCCATGCAACCACCTCACCAGCCACATGTTGGCCGATCATTTCTGAGGCACAAATATCCCGGCACGTCTAGACCCGGTATCCTTGTCTCAATATAGACCTGCGCATGTCCCAATCAGGTCATCCGGGCTCGATAAAGTGACATATAGTATGGGAACCATGTCCGTTGTATACTCTACGTCCACCCTTCCCCGTTGAAACCTGACTCAATATTGGCATCATTACAAAGCTGACTGCATCTGTCTACTATGGTACTACTACATCCTATCTTCTGCTAGTCTATTCGTCATTTCGTTAGTCAATATTGGAGACCTACCTTTCGACCAAGAGATCAACACAAAGCCCACTTACTCTCAGCCAAACGATCGGGCCTATACCGCCCGAAACGGTTTGCCATTGTTAAGTCGAGCTTGCTTGACGCGAACTCATTCAAAGGGCCGACTGCAAAGAGCCTTACTAGGCAAGTAAGCGGCTAGTTGCTAGCTCAGCCGCTATCAACTCGAAACTTACAGGCCAACAACACACCAAAGCCCATTGCTCACCTCTTTATATGAATTCCTAGTCGTGCCGTCCCGCAACGGGTATCTAACCCGTCCACAACGACTAGAAGTGCCGGGGACTGCGAGGGGGACTGCCAGTCAGCAACATTGATCGCGCTCTCCCGCTTCCCTCAAGTTGCAGATTGGTCCTTGGAACATTGATAACAACCGACTAAGGTCTGGAATGACTTTTGCCGACCAACAACTAACACGAATACAGTCCGAAGCTGTCAAACTCAATCAGATGGTATACTACTAGTTGCATAGCTGGCAGAACTCAGAAGCGCAGCTCCTTCAGCAACCGAAGGGGTATAGCTTGCGACACTGACGAATCTTCCATATCTCCTGCCACTCCTGTTGTTTCTGCCGCAGTATAGACACACTGCTCTGCACCGGTGGCACATATCATTAGTTTCCCAATGCACTTGATATCTCATTATTATGACCACTTTACCTACAAGCATAGTTGATAAAATCAAGTACACCTTGCATACATAGTACGGTCCTTTTGTTGACTTGGTACGCCGTAACCCCGCAGGGCGGATAGCGGTGCCACACACGCAACCCGACCATCAGCTCAACGTCATCAGCCTCGTACCAAAAACATGCAGGTTGATAGGTAACAATGCCAACCAACAAGCCGCTGAGGATATCCGGCGTTTCCTTCTCTTTTTTCCTTATCAACCGCTGAACATACGCGCTGAGATTTGTGAAGAAATGGGACCCTGCCAACCTAACTGCTGCCCTGCTTCATGTTGTGTCAAACACAGTAACCATTGCATGACAGACTTGCAGATAGCTCCACACCCAGCTGCAAGTACCATGCAACCTTCGAATCTCCTCCCTCTTTCCCCCTTGTTCTGCATCTCAGCCTGGGCTGTGCCGGTAGGCTGGTGGCACATCAAAAGTTCCATTGGCCCGTTATCGCCGGGAATACCAGTGTATGATGATGATGATGATGGATCGACGTGTAGAGAGAAGGTAATGCCAACTAGGGATAGATGATGGTGCTATGTCGTTTGAAAGCTTATCAAATAGACTAGCAGAAGCACCTGTTCACAAAACGACTCAAACGAATGTCAAGTGCGTTTCCGTGTCGTTTTTACAGTCGAACGAGATCAAGCGAAGGAAAGGGTCCCTCCCCTCCCCTCGGTTATCACTTGGGCGGCTGACGCTAATCTCTGCCGAGCGACTCATCGGGACTATAATTGACGAGCTATACATCACAACCAGGCACTTTGACCGGCCGTCACTATGCAAGTCAATATCAACTTCCCTTGTCAGACGCCGATCCTACGCATGGTATCGCAATACCGAGCAATCTGGGCCTTCCCGAGCATCTGATCATTGTCCAATTATAGCGTCGCATGAAATTTGGCCCTATCTCGTTCCATCTACACTCTCTACCATCCTTCTGCCCATTGCAACTGGCCTTGATGAATATATGTGATATGCCACATCTGCCTGTCAGGATGGGCTCGAACTATCCACTTTGGTACAGGTAGCGCTGTCGGTACGGCGCATCGCAGACTTTGTCAACCCTTTTGGATCGACTGTCACTGGCTGGCTCGGTCCGGCTCAGTGGGCCTAGGCCGGGCATTGTTTCAAAGCCAGTGCGCGGCGGCACGTACGTATCTCACTGCATCTGTGTATATATGACCCCGGCTGCGGCTGTTAGTGATCCGCATGCGACCACAAACCAATACGGGATGGAACATCGGCATGACGGGACTCCATTTCTCTAGGGCCGCGAGATACTACCCCTGGTGTTGAAGAGGGGCAGCGTACAGATAAAGTCTCCATGCGGTCATTCCCGTAGACCGTAGCAAAGCGGACTGGGGCCCATGATTGCCTGGCCACCTACTAACTTCTCCGAAGTCCATTTTCACATGACATTGCTAGGATGGCGAAGATATACCGGAAATGAAACATGCAGTGCCAACCGAATTCATTCAATGGGCCTCCGGAATTGTGGACTTGCCTACCACCATCAGGCAGATGAGGCGGCCCTGAGTTATATGATGTGATGTTTTAAGGCCGCATACTGTGATACGCCTAGGTTCGGGGTGCAAACGCCACTTCGTGTGGTAGTCTAAAGGATGCGCAGAACATGCGCTTCGCTGGCGCCACGTCTCTAACGTCGTAAATGCTAACCTCACCGGCGTTCTCTCCGTCACCGGGGACTACCTTCATGCCTAGTTCGGTGGAGAGCCGCTCACAGATATCCAGGCGTGGCACGTCATCGTCGCTCTTAAGTGCAAAGCAGTGGACATGGACCATCGGCAGCTTGGTCTTCGTATGCGGCTCAAAAAGCTCCGCGCGATTAGCGTAAAGCCCGCGGTAATGATGGACAAAGGTGTACGCGGAGGCGGGGAGATTCATGACGAAGTGTGCGATGGTGGGCGGGACGGGAATCTTTTGCGGGGGCGGCAGCAAGCCCTCATTTGCAGTTGCATCTTGTCGGTGGCGGCGAGTTTTCCTTGGTGTGACGGCATGTTCATCGGTTATAGAAGCAGCGTAGACGGAGTCTGCTGCATGGTGGATGAAGGCACGCCCGTCTTCATTGAAGGGACGTACGTACTGCCCGACCTTATTGCGTTTAATCGACTCTGCGAGATAGTGATGGCTCTCTGGGTTCATGTCGTTGGCCCATACGAATACTCCTTTCTTGCCCGCGGGTACGGCGAAGGGTCCGATACCTGCCATCACATCGCAGACGACCTCGCCCGGTTGAAACATATTGATGAGCCGTGTGTGCTCGGCTTCCAGCTTACTATTCCAGTAGACTTTTGAGTAGTCAAAGTGAAATATACAACCATTCTCCCGCACCTCGACATCCATGTCGTCCGGTCCGGCGAGGACTTCATAAGCGAAGGTGCGGAATTCCGACTCCGTACCCACGTTATCAACCTTGTTGATGACGGTACGAATGTGTGCATTCTTGTCTACGAGAATCTCACCGATGAGCTTCTTGTAAGGTAGGTATTGCTCGCGAAGATTCAGGTGAGCTACATGGCCGGCTGCATTGAATCCCGTGGGGATTTCGTCGTGGAGTTCGGGCGGCAGCAGTGCGGATATAACATCAGAAAAGCTGAAGTATTCGTAGTCAAGCTTCAGCTCATACGGTATAACGCCCAGCTCGGATTTGTCTACTCCTTCTTTCAGGCTTGGACCCCATGTTTCGGGAAGTGCAGATTTCACTGTTGGGCTCAATAGCAGGCATTTCTGTCCTTGGGAGGCAAGTGCTTGGTCGGGATGCGGTGCAATTGCCGCTATCCTTTCTAAAGCCAGCAACTCCTTCGTCTTTGCCAGTGCCTGGCGGTATTTGGCAATATTCTTCTTCTCAGCAACCGTGGCAGCTGCCAGTGGGATCGTCCTCGCAAATAGCGATCGATTGAGGACACCAGCGGCTGGTCGGACGGTAGAGGGGCGGAAGAGGTTCATATCGGCCTTACTTGCGGTTGCCTGTTGGCAATCATTAGACTTTCAGTTAAGTAAATAAAACAGAAGAATCGAAATCCACTTTATTTACCGCCATAGCGTTCTTCAGAACACTAGAGTGTTTGTCGCGTTGAGGTTGTTGGTCAATGAGTTACAAATCTCCTTGATCGCCCAAAATTTGTGACCAGGGTCCTTGCAAGGATTTAGCTGCAAGGCTGAGACATGCGTCATAAGGCTGAGAAGCTACCTCAACGCGACAATAAGGACGTCATGGATTGTATCGCAAAGTAACGCCAAGTCCCAACTCAATTTACATAAATGCAAACAATTGACTCTGTTCTGAACCAGAATTTCATCTTTCTTGGAACCAGCTGTGTGCATCGGCCTTGTGAGCACGCAATTACGAGCCACAATGTCAAAGAAGCGCACCATCGACGCCTTCTTCGGCGCCCCAAAGCCAAAGAAGCCTCGAAACTTTCCATCCCCTGGGGATGATGAGGAACACCTTGTTGACAACCTTGGTTTGGAACCCGTGAGTCTACAACTATCCGTGTATGAAAAAAATGAAATGATTCAAAGGGTTCTCACACTTTTCTGCCGCACGCCAGGCTGGCTATTCCACTCATGCTTCGTATCCATATGCGATATCCAACCTTCCCGCCGCCATAAGCGCACAGCTGAGCTCGTTACCTGCAAGCCTTGGCAAGGTAATCAATGACCAACCGGATCTAGATCTCCTGTACTTTAAGCCTTACATTCCCAAGCGCACAGAGCGCATACTCTTCGAGTTTCTCCGGGCCGAACTTCCCTTCTACCGTGTCGAATATGACATCAATCGAGGCGGAATGCAAACCCATATCCGCACCCCAAGATGGACAACAGTCTTCGGAGTGGATGAGACTTCGCGGTTTGACGACGACGGGACCGTGGTGGACGCCAAAACGGGACGCAAGGTGGTAGACAAGTACTATGCCAAGTACCCACCGCGGCCGATTCCCAAATGCCTAGATGATTTGCGAAAGTCGACCGAGGCAGCCACGGGCTGTAACTTCAACTTCTGTCTCGTTAACTACTATGCGTCAGGAGCAGACAGCATCTCGTACCATAGTGACGACGAAAAATTCTTAGGACCCTTGCCTGCGATTGCCTCCTTTTCACTGGGTTCCCAAAGAGATCTTCTCATGAAGCACAAGTCGCTTCCCTCCAATAGTCAAGCGCCGCAGTTGAAAGGCGTCAAGCAGTTGAAATTGCCCCTCGCCAGCGGCGACATGATTCTGATGCGCGGCAAAACGCAAGGGAGCTGGCTTCACTCAATCCCTAAGAGGACCGGGAAGAACGAAGCCGATGGCGGGCGAATCAACATCACGTTCAGACAAGCCATGGTCAAAGGAGGATCCCAGAACTATTATAACTACAACGTTGGTCTTGGCCCGGTCCATAAGTGGGATACTGCCAACCGGGAGATGAAACTTTGGGAGAAGCCTCGGTGAATGGGTATTATGTATACATGCCTTTTTTTTGTCCTGGACTCCATGCCGCTCGAAAATGCACATTGATGGGACACCGCGACTCAACAGCCGTTTATCTGCCTAACTTGAAAGAAGCAGTCGCATAGCTTTTCAACGCGGCCAGGAACACCTGATACCCGACCCCCTGGTTATCCGGCTTGCAGTAGATCTCCGTCAACCTTATCTGCCACGGAGGATAGCCCTGCAAGTCGACGAAAGGCGAAAAGGAAACCAGTAGATCTGGCTCCGCCATGACGGCCTCCGTAAGCTCATTGTCGATTACATCAGCCGTGATGTCCGCCGCCGATAACTTAGATCGCTGCGCCATTACAGCGAAGACTTTAGTCAAGTCTACCATGGACTCGCGACCGTCCTCGGCCGACAACAAGAGGATCTGGAAATGCTCCTTTTCCGCGCCAGCCCTACCAGCGATGACATTATAGTTGTGCGGATGAATTGACTCTTCGCCTCGACAGTGCAGATGGAAGACAGGTGCTTGGAATTTGCCGAACCATTCTTGGAGTTTGCGATTGACGATGCGGTGCACGTAGGGCATGTGGTTCTTGAGAGCGCCTAACAAGATATATATGTTAATTTGCGCGTTGAGACTTGTAATGTGCAGTGGATGTGCTTACCTCTCTTCTCGTAAACAGATAACAGTGGAATACCAGCAGATTTACACCAGGCGGCGACATCAGCTACTTCATTGATGAGCTTCTCGATGGCGTCACCCCGTTTGCCTCCGTTCTCCAAAGTCAGTATGACACTGACATGGTTGGGTTTCCTGCTCAGTTTCTCGACATCTTTCTTGATGTACTGTGGATCTCGATGGTGGTACCGTAATATGGACCATATGCGATGGATGATGGCGTGGTATGCGATGCGGATTCGGATGTAGACAGAGAATAAGGCATGGATAAATGCGTAAGAGAACTCGTAGAGCTGCTGCCGAAAGAATTTCCTAACACCAAATCGAGACGTCTCCTGCTTCCTCTTACGACTGTTGCTTCGTGCTAGATCGGGCACCGGGAGGTAGCGTTTAGCTAGTTCTTCCCTTTGTTGTGCTTGAAGCAATCGGTGGCCAGCTCTCTGGTCCTCCCGATACAGCTCTGTGTCTCTGGAGCTGAACGACATGGCTTTGAGCCCTGGTCGTTACCCTTATTCCTGTTCCTCGTGCTATGCAGATGGTGGTGTTTCCATGAAGGAATCGCGTTTAAAGTCGTAAAGGGAACTGGAAGGTGCTTAACAAGCAGTGACAACTTGGGACCAAAACTCAATGGGATGTTTCAGGGCCACAAAAAGCTTCCTTAACATGTAGTTGGGAGATGTATCCTGGTATTCGCAACACTTGACGGCGGCGCTGAAGACCGACTGGCCAGCGAAATGCTTGGATCAGCTTGAATGCGGTGGCAGTGACGATGATTGATGCTGCGAGTTCTTTCCCTGCGCCACAAATGCGTTGGACCCCTGATGATAAAACAGTGTGGCTAGAACCTGACCCGTGCACGCTTGGAGCAACGACGACCGACCACAGTTGCATCCCTGTCAGTACTGGCTAGTAGCGTCCGACATGCCGATTTAACAATCGCATTGATGAACTATCGCCGACATAGTTGTTTCAATCGCAATCAACGACTTTTGCCCACAGCCCTCCACTACTCCAAAGGCCTTCATTGAGGCTACCCCCTTCATGCTCCCCGTGAGCTGACGGTTCTCCTGCCCATGTAGCACCAACAATTGCGGACGAAATGGAGCGGAATGGATCAGGATCTCGGGCACTGTTCCCCAAGGGGCCCAGCTTCACCCTCGAAGACTTCTCCAACAAAGACTTCATAGTGCGCGACTTTGTTGATAGCCTTGCTGATAATGCTGTGCCTGTGAACCGTCGTTCAGGCCCAGCCCAGCAAGCCTTTGACCCGAAACCACTGATCAGATCCTTCGAGAATGCGCTTCAAGGGCTGGGGATGTTGTCGGAGGAACTTCAGCAAAAGGAGTCGGAGCTTATGACCGAAGTCAGACGTGCAGAAATTCAACACGACCAGACGCTTGATACCCTCGGCCGGAAACTGGACCAGTCAATAGATTCATTCGAAGCCCTCGATCTGAGCCTCAACAATCCCGATGGAAATGATCGAGGCAGCCGCGGCGAAGTGGGTGGGAACATTGCCGTCCAGATTGGAGAGAAGTTGGAAGAGCTGGACCGGAAACGCAGGCGAGCTATCGATGCGAATTTCTTGATCCAATGCTGGCTTGAGGTTAGTGAGACGGGCGAGCTCACCTCGCTGCAGGACATACAAAGGCAAGGAGGGGCGGAGAATAAGGTCAGGTGTGCAGTCATTGCACACCAGTTAATGCGGATCAGCCAGCGCCTCGATCTGGTGGCGTGGGGACCGATAAACGGCCTTTACCGGAATGGAATCACGAACGGTGTTGCCGGTGCAACCCGGCCCACACACAACACAAGAGAAGTGCTCGAGAAGTTCTGTGAAACACTCGAGCAAGACCTGCTCAAGCAATTCAACAATAGCTACCGCAAGCAAAACTTTGAAGACATGATGGAGTGTTCCAAGGTCCTGCACGACTTCAACGGAGGCTCCAGCGTTATTGCCGTGTTCGTTAACCAGCACCAGTTCTTCATCGATCGGGACCAGTTGATATCAGAAGAGGTCACCACTGATGGCGATGTTTGGGAGCAATTGGCTGATCCAGACTCGGATCCACCAGGTGTCGAGCCTAGTCTCCAGTCACTCGTCGACGAAGTCAGGATTGTCATGCAGGAAGAATCTTTTATCATCAAAAGGGCATTCCCGTATTACGAGACTGTTCTGGTCAAATTTATTCAAAGAGTTTTCCAACAGTCGGTCCAGCAACGTTTGGAAAACGTCCTAGAGAAGGCTGACACCATCTCGTCACTTGCTTTCCTTCGTTCTCTCCATGCTTCAAGGAATTATATCAGTGCGCTGATAGAAGATCTCAAGTCGCATGGTCTGACAGAACATCCTGAACCCTGTTCTGCGCAGATATCCCAGAATCTCGATCAGCAGATGGAAGAGCTGTTCGTTCCATACATGGTTGGGAACGCGTATATTGAGCGTGAAAAGAGGAGCTTGGAAGAGTTGTACAACTCGCTGCTCTTCAAATACAACATCTATCATTCCAGGAGGAAAAAGGCACCAACCGGTTTCATGGCCTCTTTAGCCCAGCAAGGTTCGCAACTCATGGCTTCTGCGAAGGATGCTTATCTAGAACGACTTGAGTCGTCTGAGCTTACTGCTACGCAGAAGGCCATGATGTTGAAGGTCGCCGGTGTTTCAGAGACAGACAATAACAAGAATGACATTGAAGTCACAGAACAAGACGGTGTGCTGAGTACGGCCAACGCGAAAAGAATGATGACTTGGCTTGCTGAGAGTGTCCGTCGGACACTAGAACTGGGAAGCCAAAGCGAAACGCCAAAAGACGTGGCTATCCTGCTTAACCTCTTAATGACCAGCATGGGCCAGGTATATGTTGAAACCGCGTTGGACGCCGCGTTGGAAAAGTCGACAGCCCAAGAGAACATCAAAACGGAGCCCGACCTGAGCTACCTTCCTTCCGTTCGCCCAGCCGTCATAATTACTAGTATCATGCTGCGTTTCATAACTACAGTCCTGATTCGCTTGGCCGAGTCCAATACCACGGTTCGCCGCAGCATGGAAGCGCAGACGAAGATGGGCATCGAATCCATCGAGAAGAAAACAAATAACGTCATGAAATCCACCATCGATGTCATCGTAAACTGGGTCGCCAAATCTCTGGCCGGGCAGAAGAAGATCGACTTTGCGCCCAAAGACGACTCGGTGCTCGAACTGAATCAGACGGCGACTTGCACTGCCATCTGCCTCTTCCTGTCGCGCGCCGCAACCCTCACATCGCAAACCATCGATGGCGCCAACCTCGAGGCGTTCGGGGGCGAACTTGCGCTCGCCATCCAACGACTCCTATTCGACCACTACAAGAAGTTCAAGATCAACGCCGCAGGCGGCCTCATGGTCACCAAGGATATTGCCAAGTACGTGGCCACGCTCAAGCAGTGGTCGCTGAGCAAGGATATGGAGGCCACCGTAGACATGTTGACCGAAATTGGATACCTATTCATCATTGGACCCGAGGCTCTGCGCGAACGCGGGAGGAACTTGGCTACCGGCCCCAGCGTGGCGAGCAAGAGGCTGGTCAAGGCAGACTTCAAGACGTTTGTGCAAAATCGCGAGGATTCGCGGAGTGTGGGCATTCAGAGCGTGCTTTCTAGTCTGTAACGAAAACGCGTGGCAAAATGGCGGTTGATGATGGATGGATGGATGGATGGACGGGCGTTGGGGTTCGGCAAGGAGGCAGGACGCACAATGTTGGGTTGGGCTGTATGTATTTATGTATACGAGACGATGACATGGCGTGATTACAATGATGTACCGCAGCACTTTGAGCTCTGATATGTGAGGTTGATGCTTCAAGTTGGAAGGTGACTCTTTCATCTTCAGGATTGACCCGTTGGCAGCCTCGGTGCGGTTTCGATGGCTAGCTACAAGATAGTACGTACCGGTCTCGAATTTTCTTCTCCTCGTGGGAGAGAATTACAGGAAGACCCAATGCGTCAGGTACTGTAACTCGAGACCTTTAAAATCTGTTACGGAGTGATCAAGGCATCTTCTGGGTTTGTCCATCACCCTGGTTGCTACTACGACTGCCTGACTGGTATAGCTATCACCAGATTGATCCCGCTCAGTTTGCCAAATCAGGGCCCATGAATCATGTTGTCCTCCCTCGTCTAAACTCCAATGGATTCATTTTTGATTGTTGCTCCAGAGAATTATTGGTGGGGTTTGGCCGTTGGTGTTGCGGTTTCAGCCAACATCAAGCAGTCTGCTCAGTACAGGTCACTCCAGCCGTTACTTCGTTGCTTGAGTCTCAAGATACTTCCGATGTCTCTCATCGACTGGGGCTGCCAGACTGTCAACAATGCTTTTGACGTTTGCGCGCCGCTCAGTTACGGGGCTGCAATTGTTGCGGCGGTTGCTGCTATGATGATGCCGACGATAGGGGTACCGTGACCCCTAGTAGGGTCGAATTTCGATGACCAACAGCTTCTTGGAGATTGCCTGTACACTTTCCTTTTCAATTTCGTCATTTCAACCGCCTCGAAGATGAATGTCAACCCCATGAGTCAGAAAAGAAAGGAATCAGCGACAGGAGATTCGCATTTGCTGCTACTGGTTGCGTCACGTTGATTTTTGCAGAATCAATTCTTAGACAGGTTCCAGTCAGTCGGTGGTTGGATGAAGACTTGGATCATGCGGTCATTGGTCTCGGCACGAGTGACCTCGATCGAAGCTTGTTATACGGGTTAGTTTAACATCGACAATCTGGGAAATGTATGGTTCTTGCCAAATTGCTCCTGAGATGATGAGCAATCCACTCTCTTCATCAAGCGTCGACTCCAGGAAGAACTTTTAGGCTATCGAGGTGAATATAGCACTGTCACCAAGCTCTCAAGCGATCCATAGTCTCATCTCCTTTACAGCCGCGTCACCAAGTGTTGCCTGACGAAAGAGAGCCGCGAGCCAGGGACACAGGCAACTCTTAATTGGCTACTTTAAGTGGTGATTTGAGACGTATCCCGGCGGGGAGCTCTATATCAACAGCCATATTGCACCGGGGTCTGGGAAAATGCATCGAGTAAATTACGCAGAAACTTAGCTCTATTCCAGGCAATTTTTGACCATGTCATTCCACCTATATATAGCATTTGCGCTCTATAGACGACACAGGTTTTCAGCAAGTAACTCCCCGAACTGAAAATAAAGCCTTTGCCATTGAAGAGAACGCAGATCCAGTATTGAGCAGGTACTGCAGCCATTACGAACCCCTCGATAGGAGATGGTGATGATCAATAGACTTGACCCAACTCTTTGCGCATCATGACGCACTTTCATAAAGAGTTGCTCTCCCTTTGGATTTAATGGTAGCATTATTGGACATGGTATCACCCTGGGGATTCAGGTTTCCGAGCGATCACAAGAAGCGACTGGATGCTTCTCCTGTATACCTTCCTTGTCTCAAATATGGTATCCATTCTTGAAAGCTACGTTGGGTTTTCCAGACAAACTCGGATGCATGAATCGTATATTCGCTCTCACAGATAGCTGATGGAATTTTGCACAAGCAATGACAGCGGTGGGAACCGGACCATCTGGCTCAGTCGAACAGCGGAGGGAAGACTACCACTTGTGCAGGACCATGGTATCAACAAGAGGAACAATTTGGCGTACCGATGCCTTGAGGTAATATTCAGAATGCCGCTCGGCCATGCTAAAGTTAGCCGACCAAGATTATAGGAACAGGGACCCGAGGAGAGGTAGGAACTCCATCGTCAAATTAGCCCTCTGACAAATGGACAGATGTGCCATTGTAAACCTACCTGTACTGCTCAATGCGAGACTTGCTGCCTTTTCATTCTATGGCGATATATGCCTTTGACTCGTCCTTGGATCGATGCGAAGGGCGCGTGTTTATTCTGGGTACAATTGCTTGAGATCTCCATTCTTGATTCCCAGAACAGCACTAAGGAATGAAGCCCATGCAATCTGAAGGCTGGGTTCGGTGGCATGGGTGCCCTCCTTATGCATAAGGATAGTCGGGTCATACACCGTGACTGAGTACGTGTCATTGAGAAACTTGAGATGGTAGGCCGCCACTAGGGTACACACAATGCCATGGGCCAGTCGATACGCCGTTGCCAATACATCCACTAATAGAGCGTCGTAATCGGTATTATCTGAGACTGTTGTGCAGTTTTTCGTGTAGGTCGACGAGGTTCGCTCGTTTCCGGTCGTGCTCCTCCCGCTCCAACACCACTATCCATACGAAGTCCCCCGCGGAGAGAACGCCACCATTATGTCGGCTTCTTCCAGTATCTTTACAGGACTCTCTCGTATCAGCTGGGGGTTCTCGTCATCCGACAGAGACGCAACTTCTGTTCATTTGCAATTGTCAGCTGGCGTGTCTAGACAAAACTGGAGACGCCCGGAGGACCTGGGAAATACAAGTGGGTGAAGGGGATACTTCCCGTCGAATCTCGCCTCAATCAGGAGCTTATATGCCGGCTCTTGAAGCAGCTTCTGGTGTCCGAGATCTCATGCTATCCACAGTCTTGTCTCATTTTGTTGTTTCCGGGAAGGATGTCTGCTCCGCAAGATAGGGGACGATCCAGCATTGCGCTCATGGGGCCAGCTGGGCCGTCATACTGTACTTGTCTGAGGCCACCGTGACCTTGAACGGATCCTTCCGTGAGAGATCAAACAGTACATTGTCAGGCTCAGGCTGGCCGTGGATGATGTTAAGAAGAAGAAGAAGCCTTAAAACAACTGGGTCGTCGTCCAGTAGAAATATTAACCATGTTTTGTCATGTACGGACTCGAGAAATGAGCCGGAAAGCATTTTGATAAACACACCCGATGACTTTGCCAGCGTTCTCGGACAAACAAGGAATCGCGAGGTGGACTGACCATGGCCATCAGCCTCGATGATCAAGTTCAGATCTCCACGTCTGTGCAAAACTTGTTGGGGGCGGGCAATGCATATGATCACCGGCCTTGGAATCCAACAGGAAAAATAGAGGGTTTTGAATACACGCGATTTGTTGTGGATTGCTCTTCATCGGTCGATACCGAACCCACCTCCGAGAGTCTACAATACCAGTAGGATATGATATGATGAAATTGGCGCAGAGAATGTATAGGGACGGTATGACCATCAAGTCAATACGGAAACAGCAATGGCAAATCTGCAGAATGAATGAACAACTTCCAAGCCCTTGCACAGACGACCGTATAGTCTCAGGGCCAGAGAAGATGAAGCACACAACACGCGGCGGTAACCGTGTGGGAATGGCGCCGTAGCCACGGGGGCACGGTAGGGTTGCAAAGGCGTGACTGAGGAGAATATGATCCTACACGGCCACCTTAGACAGTATACTTCGTACTGTATTGGTCGGTTCACAATCCTTGACTTGAACGGCCGACAGGGGTGGGAACGCATATGGGCACGCTTTCTCCAACAGCAGATCCTCAAACTTCCGGGGCCGAATGACGCTGGACCCCACAGACACTTTAACCGCGTGCACTCGAGCCGCATAGGACTCTAACCCAACGCGGGGTGCATTTTGACGTGCAAATGACCTAATCCCTGTTCCCATCGAGTTCAATCTGGCGGGAACGGCAAGGCTAGAGTGTCAAGCGCATTCAAGTGCATTGGCTAACGTGCTATGAGACCATGCAAACGTTACAACAGACGGGCTTTCGACTGTGGACCGATCTGCCCGGGGCCCCGCGACGGCTTAGTAGGATGGATCGAGGAGAAAGATACGGCATGTGCCAATATCCGCTCGCAGCTGCATTCGTGTCTACGGCTGTTGGTTGTTGGAGCCATGTGGGCAAGAATGTCGGCGTTGGAAAGTGGACCTGGGACGAGATGATATTTTGGCATGGAAAGAATTTCGTCGGTTGCACTTGGTGATGGCAGCTGCCATAACAAAGCAAGTCAAGAGACTTCCTATTCGAGTAGTGGTCGCAGCTGATTGACCAATAGCGCGACGCGAGATCTCGACGCGGCAGGGGTCCGGGCGCTCGAGCGATAATTAGGCCAATTCCACTCTACACGCGCTCTGATCTACGTTGATGCAAATGCAAGCTCGACACGCTCGCCCCCGACCACCATATTGTCTCGCTTCACATCTCCACCCTTTTCTTCCACCACCCGACCCCAGTGTTCGCGTGCGTCCTCCGTTCTGACTTGTGCACTTCTCCAACGTCTCCGCGAGAGCATCAATCTCACACGTATATACCTGAAGGACGCACTGCTGCTCGTTGTTGTTCGCGTCCAGTCTGTTGTACGATGCAGTCATAACCTCGCTCGTCACCACCCTCCCATCTCGACGACCGCCATGTCCCACCACGCTCCCTCCCCGACCTCTTCTCCCCGGCATGGGAGTCAAGACGCGGCCATGCTGAGCTCGCAGTGCAGCAATCCCGACTCGTCCAGTCTTTCGCTCGAATCGTCGTTCCAATTGGACCCGAGCTTTTCGAGCCAACGGATGGATTCAGAAAAACACCCCAAAGGAAAGCGGAAGAGGACCACGTACGCGCGCCCCAGGGCCCTGCTCGACCTCTTGCGGAGTCATCCAGGCTGACAATGCTCTTAATCTGCACAGTACACAAGACAAATCAATCCTCGAAGCGGCGTACCACTCGAATCCCAAGCCCGACAAGGCGGCGCGTCTCGATATCGTGAAGCGCGTTTCTCTTAACGAGAAGGAAGTTCAGGTCAGTTTTGGCCCCACTACGCGCTAGCTGCGTTTCCCGAAGTGTCTGCACTGGCCGTTGGCAGAGTCAATGGGGGCTAATGACGTCGGCCTTGTAGATATGGTTCCAAAACCGCCGCCAGAATGACCGCCGAAAATCGCGTCCTCTCTCCCTGCAGGAGATCGCCGCACTTCGGTATGGGGGTGGGATGCACGTTCTATCCTCCGACCCGGCGAATTATGGAAACGCCAATGCGTCCGGCTCGAGCGAGGACGGGGAGACACGCCCCGAGGATGCTTCGGCGGCTGGGATGGATCAGCGTGCTCTAACCCCCGAAGCTGCTGGCTCTCAGCACTCGACCCAATTGTCCCCCGAAGCTTCTCAACCAGCTAGAGTCTTTGGGGATGCGGCGGGGGCCGAGGCCGAGGCCGAGGTATCAAAACAGGAGAAACAGGAGCGGAGGGACTCGGCAATAAGCTGCACGCCGCCTTCATCACAACGCGGCGATGGAGACGGAGGGTCGCAGCTGCTGTCCCACTCTCTGTCCAGCTCGATAGGGTATCTGTCGAACCGGTGGAACGTTGGCACCTCCTTCTCTACTCCCGCGACACTCTCCCGACCTGGGGACGAGTCACTGAGGTATGCATCGACTTGCGACTTACTACTTGTGATATCAATGTGTTTTGCTGACCAACCACGTCATATATAGACTCGAATCCTTCCCTTCGTCGGCCAATTCAACGGCCAACAACTCACCGGCATCCATCCTGCTGCCGCCCTCGACCTCTTCATCCGTCCGCATCACCTTCTCCCTCGAGGGCAAGGCGGAGCTTCTATCCTCGCGGTCGTCGCCCCCACGACCTGTACCGACCCAGCTTCCCGTCGAGATTGCAACGTTACCACCCGTCCGCAATCACCGAACGCTGCAGCGGAGTAGGAGTGCTTTGCCCGGCATCACGCTACCACCCATCTCGACCCTCACCGCGAGTCTTCCTCCTCAACTGACGCGCGGTCGATCGCGTAATGTTCATGCATGGGAGTCGGTCTGCGAGCCCGACACGATGGATGAGCTCACTGCCCAGGCCGAGAACGAGTCCTCGGGCTCGGCAATCGCGGCCATCTCGCTGTTGCGTTCGAGCAGCCAGACGAGCACCCTCAGCGGCATGATTCACAACCACTCCCCTCCCAGCAACCACGTCTTGCAATCCAATCCTGGCAAAAGAAACGCCCCGCCTACGCGACGCGACTCGGGCAAGAAACCCAGGCTCAGCCGATCCAGCAGCAGCAGCATCGCGCGCATACAGGCCCGACCCTCTCCCGAACACGGTGCTCTTCAGGACCCACTGCCCGTCGCTGCCGATGTTGAAGTCGTCGACAACAAGGAGGACGTCGGCCCTGCTGCAAAGAAGTCGAACAACGTCGGCTTGGCTCTGGTCCTGAGCCCTTCGGGCGGTGACTCGGACAAGGAGAACTGGAGCCCGGACGAAGAGGGAAACCCGACGACCAACAACCACCACCACAACAACAACAACCGGCGGCGGCGGCCCTTGCCCCCAGGTGCCTCCGCCAAGACGAAGACACAGACCTCGCAGAAGCCGGTCGGCAACCCGCGGCGGGTTGGACGCGCTCTGGGAGAGAAAGCAGTGGTCAAGCGGACGGTGCTGGGGTCGCGGTCGAACACGGCACCCATGCCGCGGATGCGTGGAGGCAGGGCCGTGGATAGCTCGGTGTCGATCTTCGAGGATGGCAACTCTGGGAAGGGCGATGCCCCCGGTAGGAAGGGCAGGAAAGGCGTCAACGAAGTGGAACGCTTCATGCACGGCGAGGTCAGCCCCAGCAAGAAACCGGATATGGACTGCGTGGCGGGATTGCTGTCGCTGAGCCAGGGGAACTGGCGTTGAGAGAGAACGCTCTCCATGTCCTCTCTTGTGGAGGGGCTTGATGCTTATGCATCGACATTCGATCGGCCAATCAATGGCCACGGCAAGCTGCATTCTGCATTATGTGGGGAGGATACAAATTGCTTCGAACAACCGCCTCCGGTTCGCCCTTACAAGCAGAAATTTGTTGGAACAACTCACTTTGAGAATGTAGCCCCGTTGAACTTGATGGGCCGAGTGACAGAGAGAACACCGCCAGAGTCCTTGATGCCATGGAAGAACAACAAGAGGAAGAAAGAGAGGATGACATTGAGTTGGGTATTTGTAGTTGCCATTGCTGTAGAGGTTCACGCGTCCACGCATATGAAAGCTTCACACTCGGCTACTCGAGTATTCATATCACTCAGTTAGAGGAGGTGACTCGTTGGCATTGGCTTGGGGAGAATGGAGAAGCGGGGTTTGGCGCCGCAGCTGTTTACACACATCTTGGAAAAGCTACATTAGTCTAGATGCCCATTCTCGAGGTTTGGGGAAGTAGATGGTGTAGTTGTTAGGATTACGTAGTAGAGGCAAATAGTACTGAGAGAAGAATGTCGATGAACAACAGTTTTCGCTGCAGCCCTTGGGTCGGTGATAAGGTATGAGACGAGGTGAAATGACATGCATCATATATATATATATATATACAACGGGCGTATGATAAGTATATCTAACCTGTATATTAGGAGGAGTCAATGGTGATCAATCATTGAGGCCATCTAAGAAGACATGAATCAACTGAAGGCGTCCTAGTGCACTATCAGAGCTACCAAGATGGGCAGTATGTAGGACAGATAATAAGTACTGAGTAGCTGTGAGCTGAGACGAGATAAGACAACCTGATTCGAGACCAGACGCGGAACAGTCAAGTCATGTACGATGTTATTCACCTAACCGCATTGACCACCTCTTTGCATGCACCCCCATTTTGCAGGGTCTAACTGAATCAACCTAAATACTTCGTCCATATTATTTATATACAGAACATACTTAATTTAAGTGTCCGAAGACTATGATATATTCTTTCGAGCCCTCTTTTTAGGAGGGACTCTTCCTTCGAGAAAAGTATCAATTTCTAACTGCTTATCCGGTAAAATAGGCCGTATTCGCTTATTTCGCTTGTCCTGGGCTGTTCGGATCGCTGATAAGTCAACGAATACTTTATTCGGGTCTGGCTCGACGGGCTGGCGTATATCTGGAGCGTATTTATCGAGTTCCTTATATAGTTGCTCGTTTTCAATACGTAATTTGGCATTCTCGGCGGCCTGGAGTGTAAGGGCCTTGCCCGCCTTGCCTACTAGGGTACGAATCTTACGAGATACCCCGCCCTCGGCTTTCTCTATCGACTGTAGTTGGCTAGATAGTTGCTGCGCTTTCTGAGGAGTAAAAGCAACCAAGGGTGGTGATATATGAGGCGGAGGATCTGGTGTATGAGGCTCCGGAGGATCACAAGATACGTCGACTAGTCCTTCGGAGCCTAGGGGCCATATACCAGTCTTCCGCCAGCCAGATTTAATATTTTCCGTAATAAAGGCTCTCTCCGAGGCACGTAGATATGCTTCTAGCATACGTTGCTTGTAAATTTGGGCTGTAGCCTTGTAGGAAGCGTAAGCCCTGAACTCTTGGCGGTAGTAGGTCTTCAAAGGTGAGAACGGCCCGACATCGCACGGCTGGAGATCGTCACTGCAGTGTGAGGGTAAATACAGCACGGCGACTCTATTCGAGTAGGCTTTCCACATAAATTCGGCATGAATATGTGTCTGGTGGCCGTCGAGGATAAGGAGTCGCCATTCGGTACCCCTAGGCTTCGTCTCGGGGAGAAAAACCTGATCTAACCACCTACTTGCGATAACTTTATTACTCCAGCCCTTACTCGTCGCGGTGTATTCCCACTCAGGGATATTTTGGTCTGGGAACCACTGTGCTTGGACTCTCTTGCCGGAAAATACGCAGACAGGTGTACCCCGTTGGGTATGCGAAATGTACTCTAACCAGGAGCACCACGACGAAGCGTCCGACTTTGATACGCGTACCCGGCGTGAATTAGATGTCCCAATAACCGTACCATGCCCAGATTCCCCCTCTTGGACACCTGTCTCATCCATATTATACTCGTTGTCGGGTTTGATACGATACTTCGTACGTAAGCGTTCGAGGAGGGTGTAGAAGTCTCGGATCTTGTTTGAATCGGACGCTCTAACTCGGCTAGCATCTACGACGCGCCCAATTTTGGTACGTATCTGTGGATGGCGGCTAACGAAGCGATCCACCCAGTGTTGGCCAAGTGTATTGTTATCCCCTTGAGCAAGGAGGATTTCGGCAGCGAAGTCGGCCACATAACGCTTGCTAGGAGCCCGTCCACACACTTCTTCGTGTAGGATCCAGTTCACGATAACCTCCTCTTGCTCTGGAGTCAACTTTTGTTGCCTGGAGGCGGCGTCGCGATGCGAATTACCGTGACGAATACGGTAGGACAGTGTAGTCCCCTTGATACCGTACCGATGAGCTGCTACGGCCTGGGAAGAGCCCTGACGGACAAGCTCTTTAGCGCGTTCGATTCGCTGCTCAAAATCGTCCAGACTATTCTCCACTGGATTAGCCATTTCGTACGTAGATAGGGAGAAATTGCGAGGTAAATTGAGAGACGTCGTGTTGTTGAGGCGTAGAAATTCCCTGCAAAATGGGGGGGCATGCAAAAAGGTGGTCAATGCGGTTAGATGAGTATTCACTTGTCGTAGAAAGAAATAGGTGTGATGAGGCGGAATCACCGGGAGGAAGCCTGCATCCCTATTGACTGAAATTTATGGAGCAGCTAACTATGAGGCGAGAAAGGCAGGGTGATACGGCAACCAAGAGTCTGTTGTGGCCATGTCACACGAATTTGCACAGCCCGATAGTCACACCACAGTGGCGGCAAGGCATCATGGAAAAGGATCATTACCCTTCCACAGACGAGCCATGGTCACCACAAATGATTACTAGTCGCTAGTCACGAATATTGTTAAATTCTTGGTCACGGAATGGACTGGAATCTCATTTCCCGCAATCAAACGCGACGCTGAATTACTGTATTTTAGTGCTGTGTGTCCGAGCGTCATCTAATTCAATCGGGTTCTTGACGATTTTCACATGTTGTTGTCGTTGTTGTCCTGTGGCAACATGCGGATGCGGATGCTGATGCTATGCCAATTCCCATAAAACTCCCAGAGAGTAGTTGTGTCTGTAGCGACCGTCTGATCTCTCTATGATGTGGTATCATATGCTATGCTTTATGCGAATGTACGTTTCTTGACGAATGCATATCTTCCAACTCTTGGCTAACGAAACTCTCTGTCTATATCCAACCATGATGCGTTGTGCGATTATCGGGCATTGTTTACATGCCCAGGAGGCTCATCTGACGCCGCAATGGACTGGCGCTGATGCTGCCTTCTTCGCTAGCATAGCAAGCCGAGTCCGTGTCAATATCCCATTCGGGCTCCTCCTCTTCCTTGGGGCATTCGCCGTCCTGTTGGCTTTCGAAGCCCTTCTGAGTGGCGGCACGAGTGTTCCACTGCAGAGTGCGAGAGACGCTGTCAAACCATTCCGTTCCGGTGCGCATAACAGTGGGCAACGGGTACTGCGAAGCAGTGATGGTGACGTGATCGCCTTGCTTGAGCTCAACACGGCCCTTGCCGTCGAAGGCGCAATAAGCTGTGGCACGAGAATTGCGCGGCACCGAGACACGCAGGAGCATAGTGTCACTGAGGACCATGGGCCGGAAGGAAAGAGTGTGGGGGCAGATTGGGGTGAGAAGGATGGCCGGAATGTCAGGGTGGACGAGCGAGCCACCAGCAGAGAGCGAATAAGCGGTTGATCCTGCAAAGTTGATGAGCATACTCGTATGATAGGGTTGGGGTATTCGGGTTAGACTTACCAGTTGGTGTGGAGAAAATACAGCCATCCGCCTGGACAACGGTCAAGAGCTCATTGTCGCCGTACAGCTCCAAGTTGGACACGTACGGCGACGGACCGCGATCAATGACGAGCTCGTTGAGAACCTCGAATTGCTCGCCCTCTTCCATTTCATGTGCGCCGTCACGGAAGACAGTACAGGTGAAACGCATGCGTAGGTTGACACGCATGCCTTCCTCTCCCATGATGCGGTTAAGATGCTGCTTGTACTTCTCAAACTCGAAGCTCGTCAAGAAGCCGAGACTTCCGAGACTGAAAGACAGCACGGGTGGAACAACCCTCTGGAAGAGCCACGATGTGAACAACACGGTACCATCACCCCCGAGAGTCAAAACGAGATCGAATTTTTCTGGCTGGCTCCAGCATAGATCCGGGGACCAGTAGCGCAGCATTGAATGGAAGCGCGAGTCGTCTTCGATTATGCTGGCGGCACCGAAACGCTTCGAGTTTCGGAGCTTGGCGTCGACGTAAACATTGACTCCAACGTCTGATCCATAGCGTGGAGTTCTGAGCAGCCACATGGCCAACTCGCGCGTGAGAAGGACTAATTCGTTGTCACGGGCCTTGGTAACAATCATGATGTTGCGGACCGCTCGGCGAATGGGCCGGCGCTGGAGCTGCTTGGATACCTCACGCACGCCCGTTGCCGTCTGGACCAGCCTGGAGTGGGACATCCACTCATCGTTCTTGATCTCCTCGAGGACCTTGTCAATGTCCACGGCGTCATCGAAGCGCTGGTGATAGAAGCAAGGCGACTGCATGGAAGGCAGCGCAGTAGTGGGGGTGTTGCCCCGGTTGGCGAGTTCATTGAGCGCATCGGACAGTCGCTGAGACGAGGACGAGCCAGGGCGCTGGTCGGCGCTGGGTCGTTGTGCGGACAACATGCCGGTCAATGAGAGGGCTTCGGGCTTGTTACTGCGAGCAACCGAGGCCAACGCCTTCATAAAGGTCTGGCGAGGCACAGACTCTCTGGATAGGGCGTTTTTGCGGTGGCCTTGGGCGTGAAGCGGCGGGGGGAAGTTGCTACTCTTGGACGAAATAGGGCTGGCCACGCCTATCGAGTCATCCTGGCCGGCATTGCGAAAAGACTGGGCTAAGTCGAGGGGCAACAGCGGAATGTTCGGTCGAGTGTTGATGGAGCTCGGCGTGCTCTTGCGACGTTCTGGGATGTGGGATTTATTGTTGCATCCCTCGGACTCGACCGGAGGATTACTGAGGACCGGGTGGATCGCAGTGGGAGATGTCACTAATGCCGCCATTTTTGTCCGAGTCAGGCGAGATTGATAGCGCTGCAGCTCCAGGATAAAGTGCTAAACTTGGCAACTGGCAGGGGGTGGGCTGCGCAGTTAACAAATTGGAGCGTCCTAAAGCCGTGTCCGATTGCCGGATTTTGCAAATTGCTGATGGCGTGGGACTGTGTTCAACAGATGTAATCGATATCGGCTTCCAAACCCGACAAACTGTATTAACGCACGTCACACACCGCTGTCGTGTGATCTCACTTTCTTCAGCGTGCTGAATCTGGTAGCACAATGCGTCAGTCACAGTACATGAAGCTTGAAACGACTCACAGCTGTGGCGGTCAACGCGCAATGGCCATGTGTCCTGATGGGCTAACGCAGGGTGACAAGACTTACGAGACTGCCTCAATTCCAAGATTTGATGCTGCGCTAGGCGAGTGATATTTGCTGTGGGGTTTGACGGTGGATGCGAATGTGATGGATTCTGGGGGATGCAGAAGGATGCAGAAGGATGCAGAAGCAAGCAATGCCGGTCTCACGACTGCGGGCGTCTGATAGACTCGAACGAAAGTAGGTGAACCAATAGAGCAACACTGGAGGGTATCTTGCAGAACGACACAGAGAAGACACACTCGATCTATCGGGGGAATATCTTCTATGGGCTGGCAAAACAAAGAGGCCTAGGATCGCTGACAGGTAAATATTCGAGGAATGGAAAGAGTGCTCGAAAACAATAACTAAAAGTTAGGTGATCCTCGAGTCTAGACGAAGGTCGGAGTATTATAACGAGGAGTAAAATGTGCTGTCAAAGCCGAAAAATAAATAATGGCACCTCAAAAAAGGCAAGTGAAGGTTGCAGGCAATATTCGAGTAGGGACTGAACTGATGAGGCAAAGACACAAGGTAATTGCAAGAACTACCGGAGCTCTGCTTTCGCTGCTGACGCACGCGGGACTGAATGGAACTGAATCGGGTCTACAATGAAAGACTCGAGAAGCAGAAGTAAGAACACACAAGTGATGCAACGGCTCGCCCATCTTTATGACCCTCATCACAGTGATACTTGCAAACCCAGAGGAGGATTGGCTAACAGGAGCTCCAGTGGTCGCCTATTGCCGCCATCCGTGCTTGACTACCTGAGTGGCAGCTTGGTGGGGCAAGTTTGTGTCACAATTGGGGCCATGGCCGGGTTGTTGCTTGCCATGGCGTTTAACCCACTAGGGGGTTGAAGGGGGTCTCCAGAGTCTAGACGATAGCGCTGATAGGGGAGAGACGGTGAGTTTGACCATCGAACCCCAGCGCTCTTCGTCGACGGCTGGTAATGCCTTGGTTTCCTCAGTACAGGAGCCTGGGATTTGGAAATGTCAGGCTTCTCGTCATCGGGGCCTCGGCTTGCGCGCGGGCACAGGGGTTTTTGCAGGCGAAAGGGTCTAAGGAGCGGGGCTAGCGTGGCCTAGTCGTCTCAAGTCACGGGAATCTGCTGCAACGCCCGTCGAGCCCGCTTTTCTCCTTTCCCTCCCATATTGGCCCACTTGTAAAGAGCTCCTGGAAAGTCCTTGGGATTTCCTAATCTCAGCAGCACGGCACTGTCTGCCGCATAATGCTGCCAGTTTCCTGCTTGTTTTAAGCCTGGAACGGACAACGAATCGAGCACTGGTATACTAGTCGTAAGCAACACCTCTCCCCTTGTGATCTTCACACAGCGTTTGGGGTGGGGGATAAGTGCCGTCAGATTGCCGCCACTCTGGTCGGCGGAAACCCCGTTTTTGTCCATGGCAAGGTCCCGAAATTTGCTCTTATCGCACCACCTAAACATACCCTCGGTACCACCTAAGCTCTCGAGAGCGACAAGAATAGCCCATGACATAGAGAACGTTTTGTTTCCACCATTCTGACCAGTCAACTTTGTCTGCTGCGAATCCTTCGCGAAGCAATCATCTTGATTCTGTCGCAAGTCGGACTTGGATTCGTACGATGATGAGATGAAACGTCGCCCTTATCCACAACGGCAATTCCAAACACGGCCCTGTGGCAGACCCATCTCAGCTCGAAGCATTCGTCGCGTTCTACAATGGTTTGACAACAATGACGAATCCCGTTTCCTATTCATGTCGTAGTCTCTCTGTGCTCGAATCGGCATTGTCGACAAGAAGACAGTTTCCAACCCACCATGATCGACACTCCTGGAGAGTATTCCACGGGTTGCCTCCCACCCGTCGCAATCCACGAGGCATTCGTCCAAGAGGCGGCTAACAGGCTATCTTACGAGGTTTCCATTCGTTTATCCTCGTTTTCCTGGTGCCGCCATTTCCTGACCTGATGCATTCGTTGTTCAGAGTCTTGCCTGATGGATCAAATGAGATGCTGCACTCGTCGGTCCCAAAATTGGTAAAACTAGACTGTGATGCAACACACAAGGGATTCATCACTTCCAGTAAAGATCCGAGGCTATCTTCGCTTCCACGATGGAGCGAGTAAACCGGGTCAAGTCTGCGCCAGCTTCCGCATCGTCGCCCATCATGTCCACGTTCTCGAATCTCATTGGACAGCATTGGCTTTGAGCCATGGTCACCACCTGGTCCCACGCGTCCATGGTGAAGTTACCCTCGCTCTCAGCGAGAAGAAGCTCGCCGTGAGAGGTAAATGCAAAAACATGCAGGGATTCCGCCTGCTCAACGTCACGAGCTGTAGGGTCGATCACAATGCGACGGTTTCCCTCTTCCGAGAGAACGGCGAAAGCGGTCGATGTCAAGGTGGCCGTCAGGGGAATAGCCGCCGAGAGCAGCGACAGTAAGGAAGTCTGTATCAAGGCCGGTAATATGGGTAGATTCTATGATATGGCGATCAGTACAGTACAGCCCCCGTGCATGGGGAATGCCGACACCCGATGATGCGAGCCGACTTCCATCCTCAGACTCGTTGGAGTTATGACTTACCGAGCTGGCCTGGATAAGCTTGGTGTTTAAGTATTCGTTCTCGGGTGCTACAGTGACTTGCAAGGTGATTTGTATCAAAGTTCGTGGGAAGTTGTCGACGAGGATGATCTGGCGGAGGGTGGACTGCAGAAGTGATTCTAGATGTCGTTCTCTCGCTCCTATATAAATAATTGAGCGTCAGTTGCAGTGTTTTCAAACTCAATTAATCGTGCCATGTTCGTGCCATGTTCATACCTCCAACCCCTGCGGCGGGTCGTACGACTACGTCAATAACAGCCTCCTCGGGCAGCTCGTCTCGTCTCTGGACCTCGATGGGCCCATTGACGGCCCCAACAATGGTGTAGCCCGCGAAGGAGAATGTCGCAGAACCGTCAGCACAAGGCAGGTGCGACAGCAATGCTTGAGGCTCAGTATTTACGGTCATGTTGTGGCACGTTTGATGATCCTGTGAATTTCGCTGGAGTTGTGTTTGTCGCAGTCAAAGGTTGAATCGAAAGTTTGCGTGATGAAAATTCGCAAGGGAGCTGGAGCCCCGCCTTTCTAGGATGCGCTGCAGGTCCAGGGTAGCATGCAGTTGGCAATTGACCGCGGGGCAACCTCCTCGCCGCTTTGTCAAGTTGCGGCTCCAAGCTCTCCAGCTTTCTAGCGACCTCCAACCTCCGTCTCCAATCTTTACTAAGCTGTGTGACATCTGACCATACGACCGCTCGCAGTACTCAAATAGACTACACTGATAAAATAAGTCAAGAACATGGCTGCAGAACCACCTACCAATCCGGCGCCCTCGACGCTTCCAAATCTGAAGGACAAGATCCCGAAGCTGGAGCCGAGACGCCGGCGCGCTCCACCGTCCAGCCCGGTCCCTATCCCAGAGACCCCGACCTTGCCGTCACGTCCCGACGCGTCGTCACTGTCCTACCAGGTCCCCTCTAGAAGAATCTTGTCTACTAAGGACCACGAGCTGTTTCTCTCGTCGCCCACATATGACCTCATCCTGGCCTTCATCTTCGGCCTCTCAGATTCCGTCGTGGACACCCCAATCTCTGCCATCAGAGATGCGGATTTAAGCGCTCCTGTCAACTCGATCCTTTCCATACTGGACGAGGCAGAGGTGCTTGTGCAAGACACGCCGCCGAATGACTCGGGAGGCTCCCGCTTTGGCAACAAGCTATTCCAGACCTTCCTGGACAAAGCCAAAAATGCGAGCGCTTTGTGGCATCAAAAGCTGGGTATCACATCACCCGAGGCGGTTTCCGAGGTGCAAGCATATCTGATGCAATGTTTTGGCAACCGTACAAGAATAGACTACGGTTCGGGCCATGAGCTCAACTTCATGATATGGCTTCTATGCTTGTATCAACTGCAGATTTTGAAGACGTCAGACTTCAAGGTTCTGATTTTGAAGGTCTTTGTCCGGTACTTGGAACTGATGCGCACTATTCAGTCGACCTATTACCTTGAACCAGCTGGCTCACATGGTGTTTGGGGACTGGATGATTATCAGTTTTTGCCGTTTCTATTTGGGGCCAGCCAGCTTCTGCACCATCCTTTCATCACACCGCGGGCGATCCACCACGACCTCACAATCGAGGAGTTTGGCCACGACTTTTTGTATCTGGGTCAGGTGAGCTTCGTCAACAGCACCAAGACGGTCAAGGGGTTGCGGTGGCACAGTCCCATGCTGGATGACATCTCGTCCGCCAAAAGTTGGAACAAAATTGAGGGCGGGATGAAGAAGATGTTTGTGGCTGAGGTCTTGCGCAAGTTGCCAGTCATGCAACATTTTTTGTTTGGCTCTTTGGTCCCCGCGGTAGAGAGTATGAGCACGGAGGCTGAACTGGGGGTGGCCAGCGAGGAAGACGAGACGAAGGGTGGTGCCGTCTTAGTGGAAGAAAATGGCGTCAAACATATGCACCAACTCAACAGCTGGGGCGACTGCTGTGGCATCAAGGTCCCTAGCAGTCTTGCTGCAGCCCAGGAGATGAAGAAGCGAGGTGGAGGAGAGAGTCTGCGTAGAATACCCTTCGACTAAGCATCGACCAAGTATCAATACGCCTTGACTTGCCAATAATGCTGGATCTTTGTATAACACAGGAGACAAGAGTAACTTATCCGCTGAACTAATGCAAGTTTAACGGACATGCGATTTACGACTATAGATCATTCGGGATACGGAACTTGAACAGTCGCTATCACTCATTTGGGAGTTCTTCTACTCAGACGCAAATGCGTAGTCACAGCTCTGAGTACCGGTCACAATGTACATAGGACTGATTGATGAAATATTTGATACTAGGAGAAGCCTCCATAATACCCAGAGGGGAGAAGTTGTAAGAGGGCTCAGTCCAACTACGGCCAAGGGTCTAGGGAACTTTAATCAAATCAAATCATACTTTCGCTTCAAATTTCGATATACCCCAAAGGGCGACATATGAAAATAATATTAAATACGCCGTAGGTGTTAACCCTCGGTACCTCTACAAGTACTCCCTTAAGGGGCTATAGATGATATAGCGGGCCCTTAAGCCGCGTCGGGCGGTTATACAGGTAAACTTGTAGCCAAACGACTACTAAACCTCCTGTCCCTCCCTAAGTCTGTGCTACAACCCCTGCCTGAACTACCGATAAGCGTGGTAATGTGGCACTTAAATTCGTCCTCAGGGGTGGGATGCTGCTGATGTGCAGAAGATGCTCGACTATTTTTTTTGTCGCGACAAGTCGTAGTATCTGCTAATTGGGGTTCTCGTCGAGCGTATACATCTCAACCATACGCTCAAGTGGATAGACCGTAACGTGGTCTAGACGCTCGCAAGAATCGCGGCGAGGGGGCGTGCTGCGCGCCTTCTATCGTGAGGGGACGGGTTCGCCGACGAGCGTTATCGGATAGGCGAGGTCCGATAAGGGGTCGGATTAACGATTCGAATTCTGGACCGGCTGTCGAGTTATATTCCGCCGACGTAGTGCTTGACGGTCGACTGGCTAGGATGCTCGTAATCCTAAACTGCACCAATCTCCCTATTATCGCTAGGTAGGCGAAGTCAACAAGGTGGGCAGCGCGCCGTAAGGGTTGACTAAACCCCCTTGTGTGTCAGCTGCGGGATTCGAACCCGCGACTCGTCACCAACCCAAGTGGGCGAGGCTCAAATCGGGACTTATCTACCAGCGAAGTGACCAACTACACCAGCCGACGCGACATATGATGCGTATACGTATTGGGACTCGTGTGATTATATGGCAAGACTTGCAGGCTGGAGTATTGTCTCGATCAACTTGCCGGAGGTCGAGGAGTAATTGGGTTAAGATCAAAAGCCGACATCCTATTTACCTACTTTGGCAATATTCATCAATGACCAAAATATACCCAATCCTTCACCTCTGAAGTATCACTGAAGTTATACGAGACTAGAACGTGAGCTACCCTGATTTGGCCCATGAATACTCTACTGTTTCCAGATCAAGAGCAATCGGACAGGACATAAGAAGATGGATACCTGAGGTGGTTGCTGTCGACTGCTCACATAATCCTCAACAGTGCTTGCCGATCCCAGGTAAAAGGACTACAAAACAAGTGAGGTAGCCGCATGAAATTTCGAATACAATTGAGCGTGGGCCAGTCCCAGACAGTGAGGGTTCTCTCATTCGTGTTCACTAGTTCGCAACACCCTTGTCTATTCTTTTTCTCTTCTTCTCTTTTTCTCCCTCTTACATTGTAGCTTTTGTTTTGTATCCGAGTCGACAGCGTTGTTTCGATTGCAGCCAACATCCTAAAAATCATAACCTCAAATGCATTTCTCCCTGTATACATGAATCGCCTAAAAGCACGCCTAAGATACACAATCCGAGGTTCCAGTCCAGCAGCTCCAACTGGAAAATGGATCAGCCCCTCCCCGCCTTAAATTTGTTACTGACAGCCCCCCATGAATGGGAGGATATTATTGCCACTCAATATAGCGTTTCGTATCACCCACTGCCACATACTTGGCATTACTATACTCAGGATATCTCAACTCGACTCGAACACCCAGTAATTGATTGTTTCACTCAGTATGTACGCTTGAACGGCGGGACGGCTTTGCATTCAGCCTCATCCAAGGTGGTACCAATGACACGCCGATACCCTAATTCGACCGGACCCTGGGGCTTCTTCTGAAACGTCAGAGTGTGCTTCATCCAGTTCACGTCGTCACGGTCTGGGTAGTCTTCGCGGGCATGGGCGCCGCGGGACTCCTTTCGATTTGCAGCAGCAATGGTTGTTTGGGTACTGATGTTATTAGCAAAATGTCTTCAATCACGCCTTTGTTCAAATTTGTACGGGGAGACACTCACGCGCAAGTAAGCAAGTTCCTCAACTCGAGTGTTTCGACAAGATCTGAGTTCCAGATCATGCTACGGTCTTTGATACCAACCTGGGGGAACAATTGGTCGACATCGTGGATCTTCTTGACACCTTCGTCCAGACTCTCTTGCATTCGGAAGACGCTGACATCAGTCTGCATCGTCTTTTGCATAGCAAGTCTAACCTCGGCCGTGCTCTTGGGGCCGCTCGAGTTACGGACCTGGTCCAGAACCTCGATCGACTCGGCGCCCGCATCAGCACTGAGGGGCTTGTGCGCAGCGCCCGGCGTGAAGTTATCACGGATGGTGTGGGAAACGGCGCGGCCAAACACGACCAGATCCAACAGGGAGTTAGCACCAAGTCGGTTGGCCCCATGCACAGAGACACAGGCAGCCTCTCCGCAGGCGAACAAACCGGGAACAACCTTGTCATTGCCGGCGTCATCGACAGTGAGGACTTCACCAGTATATCTCGTGGGGATACCACCCATATTGTAGTGAACAGTGGGCAGCACAGGAATGGGTTGCTTTCGGACATCGACACCAGCGAAGATGGCAGCCGTTTCAGAGATACCCGGAAGACGCTCGTGGAGAATCTCGGCGGGCAGATGGCTCAGTTGCAGGTAGACGTGGTCCTTATCAGCACCAACACCACGTCCTTCCCGAATTTCCATCGTCATGGATCGGGATACAACGTCGCGAGAAGCAAGATCCTTGGCAGTTGGTGCGTAACGCTCCATAAATCTCTCACCTTCCGAGTTTAGCAGGTAGCCACCTTCACCGCGGGATCCTTCCGTGATCAAGCATCCGGCTCCGTAGATACCAGTGGGGTGGAACTGGACGAATTCGAGATCCTGGTTGGGAAGACCAGCGCGGGCTACCATCGCCATACCATCGCCAGTGCAAGTGTGTGCCGATGTGCAGCTAAAGTAGGCGCGACCGTAACCACCCGTCGCCAAGACAGTATTGTTCGCGAGGAATCGATGTAAAGTGCCATCTTCCTGATTGTATGCTAAGACACCTCGGCATTCCCCATCTTCCATAATCAAGTCTAGGGCGAAGAACTCGATGAAATAGTTGGTGCTGTGTCGGAGCGACTGGCCGTAAAGAGTGTGTAGAAGTGCGTGGCCCGTTCGATCAGCGGCAGCACAGCACCGGTATGCTTGACCACCCTTTCCGTACTTCTGTGACTGCCCGCCGAAGGCACGTTGATAACTGTTGCGCGTGATGAGTATTGGGGCAGAGGGATGGGATATTGGTTGCTCACATCTTGCCATCCTCTGTTCTCGAGAAGGGGCAACCGTAGTTCTCCAGCTCAATAATAGAGGCAGGAGCCTCGCGGGTCATATAATGGATAGCATCTTGGTCGCCCAGCCAGTCGGAGCCCTTGACGGTATCGTACATGTGCCACCGCCAGTCGTCCTCGTGCATGTTTCCTAGCGCAGCATTGATGCCTCCTTGGGCGGCAACTGTGTGACTTCGGGTGGGGAAAAGCTTCGATATGCAGGCCGTGTTGAAACCAGCTTCGGCCAGACCAAAGGCGGCTCGGAGACCGGCGCCGCCAGCACCAACGACGATAGCATCATACTCATGGTCAATAACGGGATATTTGCTGCTCACATGAGCCGAAGCCTCCTTCGCTCGCAGGGGCCTGTTGGCGATAATGCGAGCTGTTGACACGTGAAATTAGATTGGCTGCTAGCTTGACCAGCAACGGGACGGGACAACATACAGACAGGGCGCGTCGAAGAGAAGTTTCTGGCCTGGCATCTTGTCGCTCGAAAGAACTGCACATTTTAGTTAGTACTGGATATTTCTCAAAAGCCGGGCATGCTAGAGCTTGTGCGCTGGGCTCAACCAAGAGCAGAGACAGAGGGGGAGATGAAATATGGGAACGTACGGTAGACCCAGTGGCCAGTCTCCTCATAGCCATTTGGGAAGCCATTTGGGGATGTATGTGCGAAGACGACTGTTGGTGGAGAAGGGGAGATATTCAGAACGTGTCACAGGCTCTTGTCCTGCAAGTCCGGGATGGAAGAGCTCGCCCAAGACGAAAAAGTCGATGATGATTCGAAAGTGACCAGAGTCGGCTCAGTGCTCAATTGAATGGGCTCGTAATCGGGACTTAAGCCGCTCTGATTGGTCACTCAATTCCTCGGCACAACTGGAAGACTGTCCAGGTGGAGCTCAAGCTTCGAACCGTGACAGGGGCAGCACCCGGTATGAACCGCCTCCAGTCCCCGCATTATCTGGATCTAACTTGTATGGAGATCATCTAGATCGGTGCTGTAAATGGTCCAGCAACGATATGGAAAGCACATATCTCAGCGCCTACACCTACATACCCCAATCAGTGATTGTTGTCAGGCTTCATCCGTAGCAGTCGTTCACCCTGCTCATGGAACAGGATACTGGCATTTAGTCGATCTCGAAAACCCCAGATTGTATGACCAACATCTTGAAATAGGGGTGGATCAAAGCATTTCAACGGACACGTCACGAACATGTATAGAAACAGACAGACACCTCGTTACAATGTTCGCTTCCTAGATGCTGTTTTTAAGTTGTTTTTGTAACATTATCCAGCACCTGTAGCCGTTGCAGTACTGGTTCGTACTCAAGACGACCTAACAAATCATCATTCAATTTCTTTCCGCGATGTGCATCAATGTACCGGCACCCTCTCTATTTCGATGTGTTAAACAATTAAGTCCAACAATTATGGACCCCAATCCCGGTGATACCAACCTCTACCCCGTATCCTATGTCTACATTGCCAGCCGTTCACCGTCCCTTGGCCTTGAGAACTCGCAGCCGTCCCAAGCCGCTTATGCGTACCTTGGTGCTGATTTCTCTTCCTTATGCCTCTACGCTCCCTAATCCCATGCATCCGATGCACATGCATTGGTATTTTCTCCTCTACCCCATCAACGCAAGTAACTAATCTGCCAGGACCTGCCTCAACATCTGCAAGAAGTTATCCTTTAACTTGTGCACCTCACCCACTGTCGGCTTTACCGGCTCGCCCGCGCTGCGCCTCAGTCGATCCTGCCTCTTTGCCCTCCTTCGCCTTTCAGCTTCAATGGGATCGAGCTCATCCTGAATCTCCTCCTCGGCCTCGTCGTCCGACTCCTCGTCGTATGCCATGTTCTCCATATCCATGTCGTTGAGGCCGAAGTCGCTCGCGTGCAGGCTTGCGACCCCGGGAATGGACGAATCCACGCCCGCATGCCCCTCGGCCGCCATCTTCTGCCGCGTCTTGTCGTGGTGCCACTTTTTGCGCGCTTCTTGCCAGGCGATGAGCTGGTTGATCTCGGCTATCGCTTCATTTTTGTCTAGCTTGCCGCTGGACACCGCCCCTTCGAAAAGTGCATTGATGTCGAGGGCTCCGCCCGCTGGTCCTTTCCGTAAGAACTCTAGTATGCCTTCGATCCAGCCCATGAGCTGCGTGAACAGTCCATTATCGTGCGTGTGCACTTCATGTACAAACTTGTAAAAATTGTGCTCGTGACGCTGACAAAGGTCGATGAATGCTTGGACGGTTTGGTTAGGATCGGCGGATGCGTCTTCATCTCGGCACTTCTCCACAACCTGTAACTGTGTTAGTACCAACTAGAGGGGTTAAGTCCGCGTCATTCACCTGTATCATATCACCCATAAAGACAGAGAAATCTGTAATGCTGTTGTATACGTTTGCCGATTTGTAGACGCGGACCAGCGGCTCGTAGAAAATGGTAAACAAATCCCGAAGCAGTTGCAGTGTGACCGGTTCTTCAATCATGTGCAACATCATCTCCTTGTCGCGCTGCCTGGTATACAGCTTCAAGAGCTGCTTGAGGTAAGAGAAAAGCTGGGCACCCTGCTTGAGCTCGTCGTCTACATTTTCGACCGCATTGTTGAAGGCAACGTATGCATTGTACAGTCGACCGATTTGCTCTGAGTTGAGTGATGATTCGAGCAGCTCAGATCGGAGTATGGCCACGATGATATCCACATCATCGGCTTCGGCTTCCTCTCGGATGGCGACCTTGACTTGCTCCTCGGCATCGGTGAACTTTTTCAGTTTCTCTACGAAGACGGCGTCGCCGATCTTAGCGGCTACCGCATCGATATTCTTCTGGAAGGTGCGGATACCGTCATTCAGCGTTGCCGAGAAGATTCGCTGCATGAGAGATCTAGTGCCAAAAGGTTGTGCCAGGAAGAGGTCGAGAACACTAGACATGACAGCAGCTGGGTTTGCGATTCGAATGGCATTCTTCATGAGGGTATAGGGTATCAAGGAATGAATCCTCTTCATCTGGGCAAACAGTTCCGGCGAGTTGTCCTCAGCAAGGAATAGATGATAAACTGTTGCAGCAACCTCAATCCGCATCCACTCGGCGAATTTCTGATACTGCATGCTCAAATCCTGGATGGTTTCCTTGTCTTTGATTTCCTGGAACAGCATTGTGAGGCCATTGCGTTCGACAATATCCTGACGAAACTGCTCCATGTAGACGTCTAGCTCGGCAGCTCGTTTTCTGGCGATTTCGTAAAACTGCTTTTGCTCCTCCATTCGTCTCTCATCGACAGCCTTTCGGCGGTGAATGTCCTCGACATCACTGTCCGCCGGTGTCATTGGACCGTGTGTGAGAAATTCCCGCATGGTCTTTGTCTGGGAGATTTGAGCGTTCTGCAACAGCGAGCGAAGAAACGCTCTCAGTGATATCCTCTGGTTCTCTCGCCACAAAATGGTGGTATTCTAGTTTGGTCAGTGATTCATTTACACCATCATTAATCGTCACTTACGTCGAATTTTGGACTCGGTAGGGGGCTCTGGTTCCTCCCATCAATACTTGGGCGACGTGACGAGCGGGAGGATGTCGATACGTTGCGGCGATGGTCTCGTACGGTCAGGTTCTTCATGGATTCTCTGAAGCCACCATTGGATTCGCCAGGGGGCACAGTTGACACGGATGAGATGCTGCTAGCATCAGAATCGTTGCCACCGCCGTTGATGCCCGACAGCAGACCCTGAGCTGCCGTGTCCGACTTGTTCTTCCTGGGCAATGGAGGAAGAACTTTACCGGGCAGCTCAACCCGTAGTTTCCTGTGGAGGCGGCTGAAGTCGCCATAACGTCTGCCAATGAAATGTTCTAAATCTCCTTTTCTCTTGACGCGCAATATGAACTCCTGTGTGGTGTTAGATGCAGCCCCTCAAAGCTCAGAAACGCTGTACTTGCCGCATGCTTGTGTGTCCTGATGTTTTTCTTTTCCGATATAAGGCGGACTCCGGCAACATTGACGTCCCAACCGTTGACAAAGTTGCCCTCAGGCAACGTGTGTAGCATGCCAGTGTTGATGGCATCCCGGTCGACAATCTCCATCTCAGCGAATCGTATTCGCTCTTCGAAGCCCGAGGCCGTCGGCACGCCAGATACCATCATCAGCTCCACCAACTTCCGACATTTTATTGCCAATTTCCGCCGCTTTGTCTCTTCCAATCGATCTTCTGAGGTAGAAATACTTTTGCTCGCAAACGACTCAAGGAACTAGAGTTTCACACACATTGGTTAGCCGCAAAGCCGCAAGTTCGCAGGCACGCACAGGACCCTTGAAGGGATCGTGGGAGCACAGCATTCACGTACCGCTTGCAGCTTGTCCTGCCAGAACTCCTTCTCCTTAGCCTTGTCGAGGAAGGGAAACTCGCGAATGTGGTGGACGAATATATACCGGAGTATGGGAAGCTCTGAGTTAAGCGGCGAAACCTCGCCGAAGTCAGACTTGAAAGGCGCGCCGAATCTTTGCAGTGCGGTGGGCGAGTTCAGCTCCGAGATCTCCCAATTGACTTGTTCAGAAACGAGTTCACGTTTTAGGTCTGCGAGGGCAATTGTGTCAGCAATTGATCTTGCATACACATTGGGATGCGCTGGCTTGGGGATCGGGAGCACACACAGTGTTCTTGCTTTCCTGTGAGCGTCTGGCCCGGAGGTGGTATCGACTGGTTGCTCTTGGTTCTCGAGGGCATCCCAACGACTGGAGCATCTTGCGCTGGCTGGGCCGAAGCAGGCCCACCATCAGTTGAGGCCATATTCGCAATGCTCGCGCTCGTGGGCACGCTGTATTCCGGGCGCTGATTAAATACGGCTTGAAGGAGCGCGATATGTCAAAAGCGGCTTCTGGACTGAATAATGCTTCGCGGCAACCTTATTGATTTTAGGTAAAGGAAGGGCCTAGGTGCTCATGCTATCCCGATGGCGGGGTACCAAGTACTATTGCGCAAAAACGTCTCGTCGATCAGGGCAGCAGGGTGGCAGTGTAGCAGGGCAGTTCAAAGCTTTGTCACTCTCAATTTCACACGTAAAATACAAATAAAATGATGAGGTCTATTGTGGACCGGCGAAGTGTACTGTCAGAAGGAAGAGGCGCAGTAATACACTTCCAATACTATTGTTACGAGAGTCGTCCTATGCTTGCGAGCGCAATACATGGATGCCGAGATGACAGTAAGCAAGCCGTCAACATCACCAGACTGCCGTTCTTTCCACTAGGAACAGGGTTCTGCGCAGTCACTACTGCAGAATTGGTTCAGAGTTGGGTCGAAGAGGAGTCATCATGGCCTTGCGAACGTAGAGCCATCCTGGCGAGTGATTGCCCCAAAGCCCCGTGTGCACCAAATGCCATTGGATGACGATGATGTCAATGGCTTATAAATGGCCCATGGCGTTGCAGCTGAGACAGTGGGCGAGTCTCCAGAACTGTGTGGGTGGATCACGTTGAGGATCCCAGCCAAGACCTAAACATGGTGACATCCACTATATATTGGTCGTCAAGCCAGACAAGGCTGCCAGGCTTATTGCCGCCAGAGCTAGCCAAGCGGAAATTATGTTATTGGTTCAGCTTGGAAATGCTCCGAAACTTGACTCGTGACGCCGTCGAGTTACTGACTGTTCATCCTCCTCTATTCCGTACGTCGTCTAGTATCTAGAGCTTTGTTGCCGATTCCCGCTGAAATGGTTTACCAAGACTCTTTACATGTACGTACTTATTACAAACTCGGATGCCAAATGCCGAGCCTTCCCTAATAAGGTCTTGGACATGAAAGAGAGTTTCAATGAGAGCGATAACTTTAGAGGTGGCGCATGACAGAGCAAGGAGACTGGCCCGACAGTCCAAACATTGCTATAACTCGAGGTATCGCTCGGTCACAACTGTGGTTTCTTTTGCGATACACATCTGCTTTACGGTTGAGGAGCAACATAGTGCAGATGTTGCGATACCAATTCAACATAGGCCTGAGAAATAACACATAAACAGTATACCGCACTATAATTCATCAAAGGCCCTGAACACTTCTTCAGTTGACGTTCCGTCTCCCCTCGTGCTATCCAGCGCCGCCCTCAGATCCTCACTCAGCTGATCAGAAACTCTACTGCTGTTCGCCGACACTTCATCTATGGCCGCCGCCTGCTTGCTCATTGACGCCAAATTCGTTTCACGTGAAACGTCCATGTTGGATCGAGTATACTGGACCCCGAAGAGTATAAACATGATGGCCAGGACCATGACAGATGTAATGACCCATATGACTTTGAGACGTTTCCGCGTCCTCTCTTGCCAGTCCTTGTCGACTCGCGCCCAGCCCTCGACGCGCTCTCGCACAAGGTCCACCCGCTCACTCAGCTTCTGTGCCCTCTGACGTCCTGTGAATATACGATACTGCAACGATGCGATACGCTTCTCTTGTTCATCGAAATGGCCGACCGCGTTAAGTTGCGATTCTACTTCGATTATGAGGCCCTGCGAATCGGCTTTGAATGTGTCATCCGTATTTTGGGCCATCCCGGCCAGCTCCTTTAAAACTAATATAGTATTCTGTAGCATGCTGAGTTTCTCCAGTATGGCGTAGTATGACTCGTCTAAGCGTCTCGTTGTTGCATTGGAAAAGGCCGTTAGGTCTGTCAGTGTCTTGCGAAGACCACTAGAAAATGGGTGTTAGTGGCCTATATGTCATAGTCAGGGATGTTTTCGTGATGCGACATACGCGGTTCTCGACGCAGCTTGAGATCTTTCTTCGTGAAGCTGCCTCTCACGGCTTGCAACGACCGCTGCTGCAGCTAACGCACCCAATTCTTCTGCCCCGGGTGGAAGCATACTTGTTCTACGACTCTGGTCGGTGCTCATCGTATACGGTGTGACGCCCTCGGAACGTGGGAGATCGAGAGAGGCACGAGGCGATTGTATCGTCAGAGATACAGGCTGAAGGGTGCCGTCATCGCGGCTCGGTTGTCTGCGCTGGTGCAATTGATGATGCAGCTGGTGATGACGATGTAGTCTGATTGGTGCTGACAGCTCGGTGATGGAACGGCTAAGCTGATGTCGCCTCGCCGGCGAAGCATGTTTTGACAGGTCGAGGCCTTGATTAGACATTATTAATGCCAACCCGTCTTATCTAGGTTTTGCAACCGGATTTTGGGAGCGCGATCAGCTTGGTTTGCCAGTAGTTAGAAGAAGCAGTCTACGGACATCCTTGTAGCTATGCGAACGTTGAAAGTTTTGTTCGTCTATGCGCAAGGTTCGTTACCAGGTGCCTTTGAGACAGTGGCACCGGCAGTGGGCCTGTAGTGCAGTCACATGTCACGAATGATCAAAGTGCCACAAGCAGCAGCAATGCAGCCTCATGTGGAACGTATGCATTTCCCTCTTTTGCAACGATTTGGTTCAATCAACGGTCCAGTTTGTATATAGCCAGAGAACAACACTCTAGCATTACATCACCCATTTAGTAATCATGTGGTCATTGTTCTTCGGAGCAGCGTCCGTCATAAAGTTGGGTATCTTCAACTTCCAAATACAACGGCCCTCCCCACTGTCCACGCCTTATACGGCTGTCGCTTGGTTCTCAGCGACTACTAGGCCGCATTGTAAAGCGATCAAAACGGCCTCAATATCCGCGGTCCTCCTGTGGTGGGGCGAAATGTATCAGCGGCCGTTGGAATGTCTTTGCAGTGCCAGCAATTCGCCTAGCGACTTCATATTTTGGACACGCCGAGGACTCGCAAAGGCCTCTATATTGTCCTCAAAAACAGGGTTGAGAATTCGCCTTTCATGAGTTGAGCAACTTGTTGCGCTTCTCCTTCCGCTTCAGTCGCTCTACCCGCTTCTTGTGCATCTTCTCGGCAAGCTTTTCGTATCTCTCTCGCTCCTCTTTGGCTGCTCGTTTGTCTTTGATGGCTTGCACGCGTCTCTGTAGCAACCTGTCAGTCCCGTATCCCAAAATAATCGATCAGCTGTGCGTCTGACTTGTCGGTCTTCCTCCTTGTCATGTTTCATCTCCTTCTCCTTCGCCTTCATGGCTGCCATGGCTACTCGCGACTGGGTTCGCTTCTCGAACGAAGTCAAGCCGGAACCTGGTCTGAACGCTTTTCGTGGTGCGTGCCATTGCTTCCCTGCGTCAAACATATGAGCATTGAAAATCGACCTGGCGAGGCGTACGGTGTATACTTACCATTTTCGCGCATGCCTTGGGGCTGTTTCTGTGCCTTGGCGGCAGTGCCCGAGACCACTGCAGACATAGTTTGTGTAGCTATCGTTGAAGTATAGCGTAATAAGGTCTCTGTTTCGGAATAGAGTCGAGAAGCTGGGATCCAAAGCCGTAAATGTGGGTTTAGTAGACGCATTCACTGCCGAAAACAACGTCCAAAGTCCGATTTGACTGCCAACCTGAAATGAAAATTCGGATGTGGCTGGTGACTGTGGGAATGACGGACTGGGATGCTTCCGACACTCCGACAATTCCTGGCAATCCATGGCTGGTATCTAGGTGGCTTGATGTTGGACCTGCGAAGAAGGGTCTATTACCCCACATTTCAATTGGATCGGCACAATTTCACTCTAAATGAAATTAGGAAACACGAGCTGCGAGTGATTGGTCCCTGGCGCGTTTCCAATCCCAGAATTTGTGTTTTTGACAGCGGGACCTTAATGTCAGGATGCAAATTTGAAATCACCAATCTCAGCTCAATGACAACAAACCGACATCAAAAATGCACCCGATGCTCGTCACAAGAACAAAATCATGATGACTTCAATATCCTCTGGCTTATCTGCCCTCTCGGATAAGCTTGCAAGCTGCTCAAATACTCGGTTGGTTTTTGAAACTCAGCACATTTTTCTTCGACATGGGTCCATGCCGATCAACATGAAGGCATCAAAGATAGTTTGCATTCGAGTAGTTTGCCGACAGGTCCGAGTCGTAAGCAGCACTCCAGTGTCATATTCAGAGGGCCAGAATACAAAATACAACGAATGAGCCAGTTCACAGTAGCGGGAGCCATCGACGACTATGGCAGTGGCAAACCAGACAGTACATGGATGCTTTGTGCAATTAAACAAGTGCAGGTTGCACTTATCAACACAGCCCCGCGGACAAAGGATTGAGAGGGGAAAGCCTGTCGTCATTATGGTCGAGTTAGCGCAATCTCTCTCGGTTACAACGATCCAAATCGGCCATGGTTCCTCGATAAACCGACGGGAACTCCGCATTTTATCCCATCTCAAGCCACGGCTGAGGATTTACCGAATCGAGCCGGGGTTGAGGTCTGGTGGAGCACGAGGGTTGGGTGCTGACAACGTAGCAGTAGCCGCTGTCAATACGAACAGATGCGAGATGTCCGAAGTTTCGGACAATTTGATTTGAGCCGGATGCGGCAGCATCTCATGTTGGGGGGTGGGGGGGCGAGGTGAAATTACTGCTCGTTTGCCGCGATGTTCTTAGACATGACCAGCCCATAGAGTTGTTGCGCCAGCCATGCTTCTCCTCGCAGAACTCAGAAGCTGTCCAGTCCAGAGCCTCATCGTGGCTTACAATGAGACGCTTCGATACGATTTCCATATCGTGTGCCTTGCGATGGTGCAGCTCTTGCTAACGCAATTATTGCCCTCACGAGTCGATCAAACATTGACTCTTGGCATTCTATGTTGTGCAATCATTCAACTGGACGAACCTGCATATCCACAAGCATGCTGCAAGATCTCCTCTCTTTTATCCGGTCGAATACCCACAACCAGCATGCAGGAGAGGTCCGAGCACATTGAGGTCGTCGGCCTTGGTTGGACGTGGCGAGTTGCGACAGATGATGACTGGCTGCTGCTGAGAGCGAAGGTGGCTGCGGCCAGGCCTTCGGATTTGCGCCCTGCAGCCTTCAGGGTGAAGTAAAAGTACCTTTCGAGCAGGTCGTCTGACTTGGGCTGGTTTGGGGTTCTTGGCAGTGCTACGGCGATTAGCTGACTCCGTAGAGTTGCTGTGTGAAACGAAACGGTTCATGCTCGACTGATACCATGATCTCATCATGAGTTGAAGGTTTACCGTTGTTGAAGGGCGCCATGGATAGCTTCGGTGGACTGCAAACGCCTTGAGACTGCGCGAGCCTCAAGTTGCACGATGCCACCCCAAGAGCCGCCGCAACAGGCAATTAGATGCACGAAACTTGCGACCCGAAAGAGACAAGCAGCGGGCCCAACTGCATAATTTCCAAGGTGTTGACTTCCCCAGGACTGCCAGGATAGCCGGGCTCCCCCTAACCAAGAACTTCCAGGAACCGAAAATTCACGAGTTGGCACATTGGTTGACGAATGGATCCATAGATTCCGAGAGTAATAAGAGGGTACTTGAGAGAAATGGCAGCATGTAAAGTATTAGCCGCTGCTCATCGTAATGTACCTGCGCTTCATAATAATGGACGAAATCAACTACACGGAAACGAAAGGACTCAACTCGAGATAAAGACGACCCTGGTTTTGGCTCAAACCAAAGAAATCCCTCGCAGATAGCCTTCGATATCTCATCCGAAAAAAAAACCAAACAAAACCCAGACCGCGCTGTGGCCGTCTTGAACTACTACTATAACACGAACTTGTGGTTGGCAAAAGCTCCTTGGGACCGCGCTGTATGATTCGTGTTGTTGGGCAAGTCTATCACTACCAATGAGACTGCAACCGCGCAATCTCCATAGATACTGCGAGTACCTCGCTTTTGCGCCGAGATAGAGGAGCCTTGGGAGCCACCGTGGTTTGTCAAGTACATGCTGTTAGCACGAGTCCCCTGAAAGCGTGGGATTGCCTGCGGATGCGGCCTAGGCCAGCCATGTCTTGGGACGCAGTGGGGAAGAGGTGACAAATCAAAGCATCACAGCTGGGAAATGGCAGCAAGGTCTGACCCGATTTACGCGGAGGGCCCACTAACAGAGTGACCTTTTTTCGTGGGATGAGCGTCTCGAGCCATTCGGCGGCCTTTCCTCCCTCTCCCCAATTTTCTAATCTCGCTGCACCTAGCTCGCCTTTGGCCCTCTCAGCAGTAACTTGAGAAGACAAGCGAAGCGTGGACCACCACCTGGCAGCACCGCCCACCATCCATCCACCTGGCACCAAAGCCCAGGGCGCCGCAATCGCCTTTCCGTACCATCTCTCCTCATCTCTCCCTCGCCTTTGCCTTCAACCCTCACCTTCAAGCATCGTCACCACGGCCTCACGCCTGGCTCAATTCCAGTCGCAAATCTCATGTAGATTTGTCCTGGTCTTGGCCGTCCGCTCCTTACAACAATCGAGAGTCTTCTTTTTCTCTCCCATTTCTAATTCCATTACACAGCATTTATTTTGAAGGATCGGTCTCCCGGCAATTGGCCTGTGGGAAACAACAACAAGCAGCCGCCAAACACCCATTTCCGGCGCCCGAGCATATCTCGCAGAAACACAGTTTTGATCCGACTCGTCCGTTTTGGTTTGGGTTTAAAGGTATGAAAGCACATCTTGCCTCTGTGAATGATTAGTCCTATTTCTGTTATTTTCACCACTCACTGTCGCTCGTGCGAAACGATGCTATCCGTCACCCTTGGCCTACCCGTTGGAGCCAGTCTCACTCTCAGTTTTGATGTCGTTCTTTTCTGAAAATCTGCCACACATTCTTCGATGCCTAATCAAGCCGCAGGGTCAATTCACCGAGCGAGTAATCAACACGGAACTCGTCACGTACTTCATCTTTTGCGACCACGGCAGACGAACGCCTCATGACCTCTTTATTCAGCCAGGCGCTGCTTTAATCTGTGCCGCAGAGCGGCTTGAAGGAACATGGCAACCGCATTCGCTGCCAACAGCCCGGCGGAGTCTGCCACTGTTGGAATCGAGCCCGTAGGAATGGCGGGCAGACACACACGACAACTCACCATGCCGATCCCGGCGCCAATATCCATTTCCGTTGAAAGCCCCGTGGACAACTCGGCGTCGTCTTCCTATTCACCTCACGGCATACAACCGCCTCCTAATCCGCCGTTTGTTTTCCCTGCGCGTCCCGCGTCATCATCTGCCCCATCATCGTTGTCGAGAAGTACTGGTCGACGACCCATGTCAGCCACCGAGTTGGATTTTCGGCGTGATACATCCGGGTTGGGAAGCCCGAGCTACCAACCCATTCGGTCTCCGGGGCTTCCTGAGTTCAGCTTCAACCCGGGTGCCAGACTCAGTCCCGAGAGCGCTTCTGAAGATCGTCGACCCAGATCTGCGGCACTTCCCGATTTCAGCTTCAACCCGGGTGCCACATTGACAACCGACAGCTCCTTGCTCAGTCCTCCTCTATCACCCTCATCTCCGCGCATGCTACCAAATCGTGGAAGTCACCGACGAGGTGGGAGCGAGTTCGTGGGTGGAAATATTCGAGCTGGCGAATCCATTACCGTAATGAGCACGAGTCCAACAAACCCCGAGAGCGGGTTTGCATCGCCAACCGTAGCCCCGATCGATATCCCACCAGCGCGTCGCGGCCGACACGCGCACCGTCGATCTGCAGCAATCTCTAGCCACGATCTGACTATGATACTCAAACCAAGCAGCCCTAATCCGTTACGAGGTAGTAGCGCTCCTACTAGTCCGGCGGATTTCGAGTGTAAGGTCAGACCTTTCCCCGAGACGAGTGATGAACAGCCGATGCCTACTCACTCGGAACTTCAACTGGACGTTGAATCTGCAACGGTGAACACTATGACAGCGAGTCCTGTTTTGCCTGTGTGTGAACCCAGCCTACCCGCAAAACCAACCGTACGAGCAAGGGTGGGCTTTTCAGATACCCTGGAATTCATCCCTCGTCCGTTATCTCTGGTATCGACAGATACATCGAGCACTATTACGGGTCGCCACGGACACTCCGTGTCTGGCAGTATTTCATCCATCATTTCACTTTCAAACTCGACCACAACAGATTACGACATGCACGGAATACTGGGGTCACCTGTCTGCAGCAAGAAGGGTGGACCCCGGCCAAGTACGGCAGGTGCTGTCCTTGAACGCACACCCAGCACAATTGGCATTGCTGCAGAAGAGCAACCGCTGTCTCCACGCAGACGAAACTCTATTCCGCTTTTATCTAATTTGCCTGCACCTGAGCCTTCGTCATCCACAACTCCTAGCCCATCGAAGACCCCCAAAAGATGGTCCTTCTTCGGTCTCGAATCCCTTGCAAGTTCGGGATCACCTACGAAGGCACGACCGCACAGTTCCAGCTCCTCAGACAGCGGGTTGAAGGTGAATTCCTCATCGGAGAATGAAGAATTCGCTGCTGATGAGCCTACGCATTTGTCTGACCCCAGTAATTCCTCGGGCAAGAAAAAGAAGCAGAAGAATGTCAAATCCTGGGCTGGATCTATCCTCACACGAAAGTCAAAGTCCCGCTCTCAGAAAATGAAAACTGGTCTTCGACGCTCGCTCACCCCGCCGCCGTCTAGAATAGGTTTAGACGACGATATGGAAAATGAATATGTGGATGCCTTGGAAATGGCAACCGAGCCTGCTGACAATAAGGAAACCAGTTCAGCACAGCCTTGCATAAAGTCAGAAGATGACACATCATATCCAATGATAGATCTCGATGCTGCCTTGGGTCCTTTTAACACCCCCTTGAGTCGCGATCCAGCTTGGGACGAAGCCCAACGATCTGGTGTTCAGATTAAGCGCCAACTCCACAGTGCTGCCGGCATGCGAGGATTCACTGGTCCTGGAATGCACTATCATCGTCGTGCCGAGAGCGCCCCTGAGATGCCTCCTTTTGAGGCTGCCAGATTTGGTATACATCGATTCGGGAGCTCCTCTACGATGGCCGACGTGTTTGAGGAGGATGAAGAAGACGAGGACCATACTGGTGCCAAACTCGTGACCAGAAATTCTGCTCCTGATGCCCGGCGACGATCCACAGCAGACGGTGATTCCAAATCAGTATCAGCTGACGACTCCAATTCAACGCCGACGCAAGATCTGGATCGAAAAGTGCAAGGTGCGAAAGAAAGCCTCTCGTTGGGAACATGTGTAAAACGCAAAGGCAGCGGTTCAAGTCTTGATATGCAGCCCCCTGAGTCAAGGATGAGGACCGAAACATCATCTACATCACTTCACGAGGAAGTAATTGTGGAGGAGGGACCGGTTCGTCGTGCGGTTGACCAAGAACGAATCTATGAGACAATTCCAGATTCGACAGACTTGGCAATGCCTTCACCTCGCCATATTTTAGTCACCAAAGACCTTGCCCCTGTCGAGGTTTCTCCATTCACCCTCCCCGGCCCGTCATTGACGCCTGCCAGCCCCTACTCGGCAAGTCACTCTTCGTCATTCCCGTCACCCCTTTCACCCATGTCATACGATGCGCAGCGGATCTCCACAGCTCCCTCATCGGTAACTGAGGAAAATAACTTCCAATCCTTGCTCATGGGAGAGCCGGGCCCCGAGGTTGTCCGCATATCGGTTGATGTACCTTCGTTGACGAGTAGCAACTCAACGATGACGCGTGAGAGCAACTTCCCCGGTGTTCACCCGAGAAATGTGCCCTTTCATGAACAGCGTCCAGCGTCTTTCACGTCTACTGCTTTCGGTCGACGAAGATCTAGTCTAGCTAGTCTTAGTAGACTCATCAGCAGCGCACATGGGGAACGGAGTAAACTGAGCATCGAGGTTCCGTGCGAGCCCGATTCAGACAAGAAGCCCAAGGTCAGTGCAGCAAAGCGTTGGAGTCGCATGATGCAATTCTGGAAAACGAAGGAGTCGACCGAGACCGAGTCCTAGGCAGGCTTCCGAAGTTTATTGGCTGAACACTTGGGTGGAAAGTACCTTGTGAAAACTAGCTGGACCTTAGCCAGAGATCACCACCTGGTGACGAAGTAGAAACCGCCTCGCAAAACGCGTGTTCGGTATCGCAATCCAGCGTATCGACAAGGTGGCGCGAACAGTCTAGTACGAGCTAGTCAACGCTGCCCCCTGGTGGAATCTAACAAAGATACTCTAAGGATGTTTGGTCGCCTCGATTCATCGGAGACAACTCTCCGACGTGTTTGTCCACGGGCACCAGGGGCACCAGGGGCTCCAGCTTGAAATCTACAGACGTTGTTCAGCACATATGATTTGGCATTTCACGAAAGCATGAAGACATTGTAACAACTACATGACGATGGGGGTCAGAAACTACTACACTATTATTTCGTTGCTTTTGGAAGAGGGGGAATGGAATGAGCATAAAGGTATCGATATGTACCTGACCAGTCGCGGTGGGTTCCTACATAGCATACTGAGGACAATTGGAAGCTCACTTCAGATTCAGCCAGGAAGGAGCTAGGTAGAACACACTGAAAGGGGGACAATGGCTGGTGTGCCCCGGCTTTGGCTGCCGCTTTGGCTCCGCCATGTGGACGACGAAAGTAAAGTCCCCAATTGTAGAAATATAATAATGAACATATGCCCGTAAACATACACATGTACATCCTTCTAGCCCATCTCTGCCTTGTGACTTGATGTTCTCCCCAACATAGCTAGGGCTTCTGGCTCGGGGTGGTTTGCATCGAAGTGTGGTCGTATGGGTGACATTTAACGGGTTCGCGTGGGCTCGTTCGTAAATGACCCGGTAGCTGACCGGAAGCTCCTCCATAGCTTGATGCTTTCGTTGATGGTTCTTGAGTTGCACCGGCGTTGAACTCTCGAGAGCTGACGAAGTATAAAACGACGCGGGTTAGGACATGCGCATCACGGTAGTTGGCCTAGGAATGAGGGGATGGCAATTTTCGAGCAGATACCATAGTAGGCACTGGCGTACCCCCGAAGTAGAAAAGAGGTTGGTAGAGGGTGGCTAGAAAAGGGAGAAAATACAAGGCAAGTCAAGAGTACAGGGGGTTTGCCGCATGGCAACCCAATCCTGGTGTCCCATGACCAATGTCCCCCAGATCCATCCTCACTTGCTTGCCCTGTTGTCCATGTCATTATTGACCAACCTTTTTTTGGGAACGCGAGATCTACCCAAGGTGGGTCGCACACATGCCGGCATGCGCAGAGGATGCTTGCACGTAGACTGTGGGTTTGCCACTTTAACAAGGCTTCTCGCAGGACGAATGCGGATGTGGCCACCGCCTAGGAAGTTCTGAGATTATACCTACAAATGTCAGTTTGGTTGGGCCAATCGGACGGGGGGACGAGTGGGTGACACGGAGAGCGAAGTTAGATGTATGTATATGATGTATATTCGAGTGTCTGCGTTAGGGATTTAACGTAATCCACCCCTTAGCGGGCCGCCATTTTTGGCATAATAAGAGGATGATCAATAACAGCATAACAAGCAGAGTTGAAGCTATTCACAACGCTATTTTCAACTAAATACATCAGAATCGAGCGGTAATTCCTTCCAAACGCGTTTAGCAAAGGTAACAACGCCCCTAAGAGCTTGTCTACGCTCCTTTTCACTCATTACCTGAGCCTCTCGCTCCTCTCTCCGGCGCTGTTTATCTCGAATCTCTTTAACAGTTAATACACGTGCAGTACCACAGGCCTTCTTCGTCCTTCTATTTCTACTCTCCTGTTGTTTCTTAACGAGGCCCTCGTTGTTCTTCTGTAAGCCTAGATTATCTGCTAGAGCTGTTAGGCAAGTCTCTTTAATAAAAGAAACCTTACGCTGTAAGGGGCTATCACAAACAGTGACAAGCTTAGCTACAATCTCATTGATCTGCTGAGCCGTATCCCTATCAACTTGAATATCAACGCGTACACCATTCTCGTCGGTAAGGCTCGCAAATGGAGGGGTCTTTGGCCGGTACTTGGCGAGGATCTTCGACGGATCTAGTGGGGATAAGCCAGTACCTCTCCAAGCGCCCGGGATATTGCGGTAGATAGTAGATCCAGCTTGTTGATATAATAATAAGAACTGCTGGTTGTCGACTCGTACGGCACCGAAGATAGACCGTTCATGATCAGGGACTTGTACGCCTTTGCCAGAGGGCCGAAGATACCCTTGTCAAGGGGTTGAAGCTCGTGGGTCGAATGGGGGGGGGCAGGCATAGAGGAATGATTTGATTTGCTTCGCAGTATTCGACGAATTCAAGGGATACGTGGCTTGTGTGACCATCTAGAATAAGAAGGCGGTATTGACCACGACACTGTTGACGTGTATACGTATCAAAATGGCGTAGCCAGGTCAAGGCAATCTGTCGATCGGTCCAGCCATTTGGGCTGACCTGAATAACAGTCCTTGGATCGATCCTCTCGTCTATCCAAGACGGCAGAATCTTCTTGCCCTCGAATATGATAAAAGGCGGTAGGGGGTAGCCGTTGATTCCTATACATTCGATGATAGAGACCCATTCACGGTTACCAGGCTGGTTAGCAAAGGCCTGATCGTCCTCTCGAGATATAATAACTTTAGGGTTATCACCGATCCCTTTGCTAATCCCCTTCTCGTCCATATTGTAGGTATCATCGTCCGTGATCGCGTATTGTTCTTTAACTCGTCGGTAGAGGTCGAACCATTCGGTGAGGATATCGTACGTGATACCATCCTTTCGAGCTTGATCTAGACTACGACCCCTATAGATCTTCAGCTTAGGGTGGCGGTCTAGAAAGCTAGTGTACCAGTTGACCCCTAGGGGGTCTGTATCTCCTTTCGCTTCCAGCAGGTTCACTGCTAGCCCTTCCACTGCTTTGATAGTCAAGGGCCATCCCCCGCAGCTAACTGAAGCAAGGCTCGTTCGATCGTAGCTTCTTCGGCAGGTAATAATCGCTGTCGGTGTTGGTGGGCGGTGGTCCGGCTCTGGCGGCCTTGAATTCGGGCTTGGAGGGTTGTTCTGGGGACCCCAAAGAGCTCGGCTGCTTTACGTATACTAGGGACTTCCCCAGAACGAATAGACTTGATGGCTTTCTTGATCTGGTCTTCCTGATCCATTTGACGAAAGAATAAAGACCTAGCGATAAGAATCGACGTAGAAATTGATGATGTTGTTGTTAGTTGGGTGGCCCGCTTATGGGTGGGTTACGTTATATCCATTCCCGCCCCAACATGGAACTGACTTCGGGCGTTCCAGGGGCAAAATGCTGTGTTTGGTTCTAGTATTAACTAGTCGTGATCTTCGAAGCCGCCATCAATTTACTAGTAACTGTGGTGTGGGATTGAGCGCCAGAGTCATTCCCTAGGCCAAAAGTGGTACAGATGCTAGTGTAGCTAGTGGGTCAGACGCGTCCTTCCTTCCTTCCTTCCTTCCTTAGAGAGCAATAGTACCCCACAGAGCCTCTCAACACCAGCCTACGATGCACAACGCGTAGAGCAGGCATAGCGATCAATACGACATCCATCCACAGTCATCAACAAAGAACTAGTTCCCTCATTAACTCGCATCCCGTTGAACACCATTAGAAGCAAAAGAGACGGAAAAACCCGCCGAAAAAAGGAAAAGGAAGTTTACCTCAAAGTCGTAGCTAATCAGAGCGCCAGGAAGGCCATCCGCCAGGCTCGGCCAATCAGAAGCACCTCAGGCAAAAGTGCTTTTCCCCTCTCTTTGGATGTGGAACGCTGCCGCTAGTCTGGAATGCGTACATCCCTGCTTGGTAACCAAATAGGTAACCAAACAGGTAACCAAATAGGTAAAGTATCGCCACAGGGTAGGCAGGAGAGTAGAAAAAACGATAAGGCAATTTGGAGGGGTCCCCTTATTCATGGGAATTCTGACCAGGACACTAAAAACAGTTGGAACCAGGACAGAGAAGCACGCAATCCATTTGCAGCCTTCTGTGCCAGATGACTGTAGACTTTTGCTCAGTCGCCAATAGTGAGCTGAGTATAGCAGAATCACGAAACTATCTCTCTCAAACTCTCTCTCTTCACGCTCTCTCTCTCTCTCCTTGTTATCCCACTTGCAAGAATCATTCGATCCCCAAGACCAAGGCCAATACATACCAAAATAATTCGCCCCACTTGTTAGCAAGCTCAAGCCTGTTGAGGCTTGTTCCCAGCGCAACAAGACTCAACCATTCACTGTCCATTGTCATAATGGATACAGCGGCCCACGGGATCGTCTGGAGACAACCTGTAATCGGCCAGGTCGGCCAGGTCGGTCACTTCGAACCAGAAGCACACACACATCCAGCGGAACCATTGCCGGTTCCGTCGACTTTGGACGCATGGTCATCACTAGAACCCTTCAACTTCAGCTTCCCCCTCCACCCCGATTCGGGAGGCACCGACACGAGCTTCACGAGTTATGACCCCCCATCCGACGTGAGTCATCTTCCTGATCCTGCCAGTCTCATCTGATATGGTACCCCAACCAGGGGGGCATTTTATCTAGTAGGGTCGTGAGCCACGATTGTTTTGGGTATACTAACAATGTGCGGGGCCTTAGTGTGATCATGCCGCCCTGTGTCACCAAGAGCGTCCACATCAACAATCACAACAACGACAACAGAAACGGCAATATCCACAGCAATCACAAATACTCACACAGCCACAGCTACAATGGCACTCCCAGCAGCAACAACTACAATTTGCCAACCTCGCTTCACCATCCACGTATCAAGAAGACCCCCACGCAGAACTTGACTGCAGTCTACAGACCGGTTTTGGCCTAGTACATGGCCAAGCCGACCCCGAAGAGCACTACAACAATAACCCTTCAGAATCGGAGCCCGAGCCGGAACCGCGGCCATCCAGACATTTGAAACGTAGGAAACATAACCTTCAGAGCTTCCATAGTCTGCACAGCGAGTCGGCCCCTTCCACTTCGCCCCTGAACCACGAGTGTTCTAACGGCATCTCCGCCACCACAGAAGGACGGCCAACCCATCACGATCGTAACCGGGAGAAGAATCGACTCGCGGCTAGCCGATGTCGAGAAAAGTCCAAGAAGCACATCGACGACCTCCGGGAGTGGGAACGCGAATTGACGGCTCAGCGCTCTTCTTTAGCCGCTCACGCCGCCATTCTAAGAGAGGAGGTGCTCCAGCTCAAGAACGAGATCATACGGCATGGCGACTGTGACTGCGACTTCATACAGAACTATCTCGCTTCCGCAGCCAGGAACATGGGCTAGCCTCGCCGCAGATGGGGTGGATGGAGGAGGGAAACTGACCCCTGGTTATTGAACTGAATTATGAGGGCCCTGAAGAACGCACAAGACAGGAACTTGAAAGTGTCGTCGTGCTACATCTCCCTCCACTCATAACTCCAACCCACAATTGCTTGTAGGCAGTACGCCCAAGAACATTGTTGTGTGCATTAGGCCACCACGACGGAACGAAAGAAACGAAGAATTAAAGAGACGGAGTGATGGGGGGGTTGACGAGCAGAAGGAGCTTGGCGCTACCCCGGCAGATGCGATAACGGTGTTGTTTGTGCCTAGCACTTGCTCGCAAAGATGAGACACGTTGCTCTAAGAGAGCATGTTCGGTGCCGGCTTCCGGCTGACGTGGGATTAGTGACGGAGGTTGCAAGTAAAAAGAGGATGAGCCGTTCGGAAAGAAGAATTTCATCAAGCCGGGGAAGCAAGCAGACTACTCCCCAAGACTGGACATATGCTGTTGTTGCTTCTTCGAAGAGGGAAAGATCTGTTATTGTCAGCCCATCAGGCAGTTCTGAGAAGACTGGGAAGGCATATTTGGATGTTATTTCAAACAGTATTGGTTACGACGACAACAAACACCGACAAGGGGCCCAGCCCAGGGGTTCATCCTTCGATTCGGAGAGACTTGCAGATGGCAGGCTCTGGGAAGAGTAGTGGGACAGGTTCATCTTAAAAGAGGAATTGAAGATATGACGTGCAGAACAATCTGATGTAATAATGGGGGACAAAATCATGAACTTCCGAGACATCATGAACAAAGGAAAGGAAAAAAGATTCAGTTTTTCTCATTTGGAAGAAGCAAGATATAAAATACTTGCACTTTGTAATAGAAAGGGTGTCGGGGTTGCTTAAGTACCCCCTCCTAAAACTCAGCGTATCCTCTAGGAATTCGGATGGCATGGTTCTGTGGCACAACCCATGGTTCACTGCCCTGTTTCGTTTTATGTCCAAAAATATCCAATCCTGGACAAAATGCTCTGCCAAAGATGCGAAGGCATGAAAGACGTTGCGAATCATGACGAAACGAATGCTCGCCAGAGGATATGCTAATGTACCTGCAGGCAGGGTGTGATAAGAGCCGTGATGTGCCGCTGCATGGAAATTGGCTGCTGGCCTGTCAGTTTAACGTCAGCCTGTCTGGGGTTGCTACGGGGAAGTGGACCTCTCTGGGCCACCTCTTCTGTATTTCTGCCGGGATGTTGCTCTGCACCCATCCAATATTGTCAGCTCTGTTAACCATTTGCATGTCATTCTGCTGTCATTTTGCTGTCATTTTGTATCGGTTAGCATTGTTGCTTGCCGCATGGACCTCTGCGCAGGGTACGACGAAGGGGAAAGTGGACAGGAAACAGGGAGGCGAGCCAACAGGGTTACCACCTTCCCTGTTCCAGTTCCCCATTCGGCAAGCAGGGCTCGTATACTTAGTCGAGGCAAAGACCGAGGGGACCACAGATTTTGACATTGAGGACCAATAAAGAATCTCCATTCCAGAGATTTCACAGGACAGGAGGGATGAAGCCTGAGAAGCTGAACATGCCAGCCCAACTAGAAGTCAGACTGTGTAACCAGACGTTCTGGCTGCTGGCTTGAGCCGCGTACTCGTAGCCAGGTATGCAGCCAATGGTGTAAGTGAGAGAGCGTTCCGAGCCGAGTAAACTGAGACTCGATTTGGGCAACGATCGGTGGCGGAGCTGGGAGGGTGCATATGCGCTTATGCCATATACATGTATATATCCCTTTCGGAGGTTTTACCGGCTCCGAATTCGTCGCCAGCTGGAGAACCAAACCCCAGACCCACACTTATCAAGCAAGCCTCGGTGTCCGTCATCCCTGTTAGCTGGACGTGCAGAGAGCTGCCGGGTCCGTCGCCATATGCTGCTACCGGCATCTGGTAATAGCAACCACTTCACAGCAGAAAATCAACATCGAATTGAACCGTCACTCGTCGCTTCATTGAACTCAATACTAAATCAGCTTTTGCAAGGATCGCCATCTCTCGCTAGACCAGCATTGCACCTGTCCGACGCACCCCGTGTCAAATGTCCAGCACGGTTTCCTCCTCGCGCAGCGCCTCCAAGCGCCTCCTCCGCGAGCTCGCAACCTGGGAGAAGGAAGCCTCCACCGAGTCGGGCATCGAGCGGCTTGGTCCTGTTAGCGAGGAGGGGCTGCTGCACTGGGAGGCCGTCATAAATGGGCGGGGGATCGGGAATGGATACGATGGTTCGTCATCTTCACTACCCTCCTCCCATCCCGTTCCACCCCAACCCCTGCTTCCCCTGCTCTAGATTCAAGTTAACTGACTTCGTTATTTTCCCCCTCCCCCAACAGAAGGTCGCTGGCTCCTAACTATCCACATCCCGCCCACCTACCCCCATCACCCGCCCAAAATTATCTTCCGCACACCCATCGTACACGCCAACATCGCCCTGGCCACAGGCGAGATCTGCCTCGACTTGCTCAAGGACCAGTGGACGCCCGCGTACAGCGTGCTCGAGTGCGTGCGCGCCGTGCGCATGCTCCTCGGCTGCCCCGAGACCGATAGCCCCCTCAACGTCGATGTGGCCGCGCTGATACGGGGCGGCGACGCGCTGGGCGCGCGGAGCTTGGTCGAGTTTTGGTGCCGGGATGAAGGGGGGAGGTATGAAGGGCGGTAACAGGGGGTAGAAGCTATGGTGGAATTGTAAGATCTGAGACTTTTAGTCGGAGGTTGATAATTGGGCTCGGAAAAGGTGACATATCAAGCGTGCTCGGGGTTCAATGCATCTAGGGGGGAGCAGGACCATTAGATTGGAACGACACAAAGCTGGCGCTGTAGGCTTTGAATGTAATGGGGTTGGGGATCACGCGGGGTGTAATCATGGTATGCTGCGGAGGTATCGATGCCTCTGACACGCATGCTGAAGGGAAATTGTAACTGAAGTCTCGGCACTCAGTAAGGCGTTGTACGGTGGCATCTATTCAGTCACCTCGTAATTAGGCAGGCAACTGCGAATGTCTACGCTTCTCATAGAAAACTTCGGCATGCAATGAGTAAGGGAAGCAGATGCGGCATCAACACAAATTGGCCGAGTCTTTGAATGCTTTTTTATTCGATGATAACAACGGCCGCAATACCCCTGCGACCTTTCCAGAACGTCCGTCTATGCAGTCCAGACCACCAGGGAGAAAACCCAGCCGTGTATACCTTAATGTGATGTATAGTACAACGCCGGAGTACATCCCAGGTCTCACCTCATGCTCAATAGGGTAACTCCCACCAAAGTTTTTGCCTGGAAAACCTGTCCTGTAAATGCTGTTGTGGCAATTTGCATTGGGGGAACACAAATCTCCCTCACCCTGAAACCGACAGTTTCAACGCTCACCCGTATTCTGTTTCTCGGGAAACGACCAACAAAGTCCAAATTAATGATGACACAACTCCTCATCTCCAAATGTGAAATTACGACCTCGTTACAAATTAATATTCGTAAGGGTAGCTGGCAAAAAAAATGCATAACTACCGGACCAGGTGTATCCTGACACGACGATTCTTCTACTCGTTGTAGTGATAGACCTATGTGATATGTTAGAGATGAGACAGAGAGCGCATGTCATTGTTGATGCGTACCTTGTAATTTGGCAAACCTGTTGCATGCCAACCCAGCCTCCGGGCCATCTTCGCGAAGCCCTCAGTCTCAATCAGATGGTAGAAAGGGAATGGTGGGAACATGGCGCCGTCTCGGTGGACATCTGCCTTGACCAATAATGCCGTGCCTCCCACGCCATCCAGAGGAACTTCTGCTCGAACATCGTTCATATCTTCTAACTCCATATATGCCATCAGCGTTCGATATGTAGGCAGCTCTTCGTAGCCCTCAAGGAGTAGGTCCTCGGGACCCATCGTGGCTGCGAGCTCCTGCGCAGTATTGCTGTCCTGCCAACTGTTGAAGTCATAGGCCCTCTCAGCAAGCTTGCCGCTGTCGTCGGTATATCTCTGAAAGCAATTAGGCACTATCAGGTCCTTATTGTGGGATGCGAGATCTTGTATCAGGGTGGGAGGCGTCTCGACAATGTCGGCATCAAGCCACAGGACCCAGGAGGTGTCGGGTCCGAGGGTAGTGAATAACAACGAGTTCCGTGCTTTCGACATGGCAGCGCGTCTGTCCTTCTGGTTTGCCAGCTTGTGTCGTTCCGACTCGTCCTGGGATGCCAGAGGGGGCTCGAAGTCCTGGCGCTCGATGATGACCTTTCGGAAGGGACGCGCCCCCTTTTGTGTTTTTGTTATCTGTGCTTGTAGTGCTGTTGTGGCGGCATTGCCTTCTTTGCTTTTGGGGAGAATGAAGCCGAGCGTGATGAGTTCGTGGGGATAGTTAAGCTTCACCAGGTTGTCCCAGTACTCCTGGTAGAAGCGGGCCATCGGCGTCAAAATCAAGATTTTCTCCTTGTTGCCGACCGGATCATTGGTGATGGTGACCTTGTTGAGATCGAAGCGCTGCACATCTCGGCGGACCTTGTGGCTCGGTTTCGGTATAGGGGAGCTGTGTTTCGTGGTTGATCGCGAATGGCCGCCGGGTGAGGTGAGGAAGTATATGATGAAGATGCAGAGGGCGGCACCGATGGACAGAGTCACATAGTTCGTCCTCCGCAGACGAACTGGCCCCATGGGGCGCGCCATGGGTCGTCGAGGTTGTCTTAGAACTCAGCTTTGCGTGGGTGACATGGGCAGATGGATCTGGATCAAGGGGAATCACGAAGAGGCGCCGCTGGCCATCGAGACCCCAGAAAAGGAGGATTATATCAAGTCGTCGAGCTTGCGAAGATTGGCGCCGCGATAATGCAAATGCCGGGCCTGATGGGGTTCGGCTGTAGTAGTTGTTGCGACGACGTCGATCGCACTCCAGATCGTTAATGATGACAGCCCAGAGACACCCGTTGCAGCTGAAGTAAAAACTGGCCCAAGGACACCTTGGAATTTCCAGGTGTCGTGCAAGATGAGGCTGCCATCAGATTACCCTCAAAGTGGCTTAGCGCCCCCACATTCCAGCTTTAATCGCTTTGCCAAGCCTTTTAGGTTCGTCTCGAATGTAGGAAGACCGACTTGCGATTTTCAACGTTCGCAATGATTTTCTTACACCAGGTTTTGCTGCTAATCTGGGGGAAGGCACTCCTCCAGACGGACGGCAAGTGAGATCTACCGACTTCATAACATTCCGTACTTTCCATCAACGAATTTTGACAGAATCTCGGCTGTCATCTCACGAACACCCCCGGGGGCGCGGATTCCTCGAGATTCTTTTCGTACTATCGTATGAGCTCATCAGTCTCACTCAGCGGCGCCAGGGCTGTATTCTGACCCAAGCTCCCCTGACCGTCATCAACACGAACGCCTGGCTTCTCCCAGCTATCCGTCTCCAAGCCTTCAGCACTACGCTTCTGGGTTCGATGAAGCAAAGCAGTCTTCTCGGCGTGCTATTTATGAGGTTTGACGGTTCAAGCAACCCCGAATATTTACAGCCATGACCAGCATACTCTAGCAACACCAGGTTAACAATCAACTGCACTACCCACTCGACAAGCACAACACCAAACACAGATCCGATTGGCATGTTTTCTTTGCTGTGCTACAACATTGCAAGGTGACTAGTCACAAATTGTTTGAACAGTCATATCTGATGGACTTAGTTGCTCCTTGAGACGTTTATTGGAATAGCAACTTCGTTCGCGCGCCATGTCACCGCAATCTGCGGAGACAGGCACCCCACGTAGTCGACTAGTAAGCCACATAGATTTGTGTCACCACTTCGACAAGCACTGCATGATCCAGTTCGGTGTATTGTCAGTTGACAGGTATGAACCGAAACGTATTGATTTTTTGACAGGACTACTTCAGAATACACAGTGATTTGGTTAAATGGCCCACATCCACGTTATATGTACATATACCTATGACAGTCCAGACTCGCTCAAGGCATCAGCGAACAATTACTCCGTATCTTGGTTTGGGACCAAGTGGACCAAGGTATACTGCTTGCTAGTTAGGTCTCAACGGTGATGGTGGTTGGTCCATCTTGCGATTCTCGGGCTAGTTGTGAGCGATATAGATAATCACATGCTCATCGTTCCCCGTATACGGTGGGCTTCGCATTGACCTCAGCCACTATTATAACGTTCAAATGGTTCTGTTAGCTCTTGAGTTCCCATGGAACGTCGCGGTAAGACTGGCGGGTTGTAATATTGATGGTGAGGAGGTTGCCATCAAATAGAACCGCAACTTCGTTGCCGCTGTTGTTTGTGATGCTTTGAAAACCCAGGGTCTTCCAGCCTTGGCGCTTGCTTGAGCCGCATAAGATGCAGCACTAGCAACCTGGCGCATTGCATTATATACTCAGTCGGTGGAACTCGATTTAATATGCTTTACCACCCCTTGCTTGGAGGATAACCGGTTTTGGCGGGCATTGTCGGCTGCGCTGTGCCCCTTTTGACGTGAGATTGTGAGATTGAAGTAGATTATGCGCATAGCCGCGCTCACCACGCATGGTCCTGAGATATGAGGGACCCCGTTTCAGCAAATGGGTCCGGTCATGGAGAAAACCGATACCGTCCATTTGATCGACCCAGATCCCTGCCGGCTCGGATCAATTCGTGTGTCAATAGATCTCCCGGCGGTAAAGAGAAAACCCTGCCCCGAGCACAATGCTCTCTCACTTGATCAAGCGGTCAAGAGAATTCGGCGTTTGGAACGGCCCTCGAGAGACCAAGTGAGGTAGGTGGGGGAGGAGTTTGAGAAGAGAGAAGGGATGAATCACTTCCTGATTCCGCCAAAGTGTCAGAATACTCCGACAAGTGTGACGAGGAAACGCAACCAAAACAGTAAAAGTCCCGCCTGGCACGCAACATGATTGAACGCAATGGATGACGTGCAGCCGAACCGCGCTATGCTGAATGGATGCGCCAATGCACCGCCAAATAGAGTGCATCTGCATTGCTTGATGATCGCTTGGCCTGCTCCAGTGCTTGCGGGGATGAGCTTTGTTGCTCTAGGCGATTGAAGCGAGGGGCAGGCAGCTTCGAATCACAATGGATTTCGAGGTTCGAGCCAAGCAAACCAAGACCCCGGCCTCGCTTCATTGTTTTTATATTTGCTTCTATATCGTCCGATCTTCAGGTAGCGTCTCGCTCGTGACTGCTAAGCTGTGTATCAAACATGCAGAGCCCAAGAACGGTGGCAACACCAACCCCGAGGGCATCCTTTTGTCGTACCATCCAGTGCATCAATGTTCCAGGCGTTGTTGATCTGAAGCAGCTCGGTTCAGGCATGCGCAGCGACCAGTTCACCACCGAGTCAAGAGCGCTGTGGTCGTGTGCTCGTGTGTGTGCACGTGTGCACGAAGTTGGCAGCTGACCAAGAGCAATGATATTCCATTTACACAATTCATTAATTCATATGCTTTCCTGCGTGGTTGAGGTCTTGCACGGTCGTACTCTTGGAGGTAAACAATATTGCCTGCTGAAGCCATGAGAGTCTGTTCAAACTCTGGCATGCTGGCTTCATGCAACGGAACCAGACCAGCGGATTCGGTGTTGACACAGACGAGGGACAGCTCGAGTTTGACTTCAGTATTTCCGAATTATTGCCTTTGCTAGAAAAGAGTCATCTCGTGGCAATAATTATTGCTCATAAAGAATGGGCCAAACACATGGTGCTTCGTGCCAGTATTGTTTACGCCACACTTTGTTGGCTTATTATTCCTCTGAGCGTTGATAGTCTTTCCCAAAGTTAAGGGTCCAGGGCACAATCTACTGATAGCTAGGCGGGGGACAGGGAGTGGATCTGCATCTGACTGCAAGGTTGGGGGGGCTTCGGGGGCTCCTGACAGGCCTACTAATGAAATGCTAATGCCAAATGTGAATTAACCGGTTGGGTCCAAAGTATGTCTATGTCCTGGTAGCTGGTCGAGACTAAAACATCAAACCCCTCACCTAGTCCAGAGCCCCTTTCACATTGGATTGATCGGTCCCCTCCAAGGCCAAGCCAGCAATCTGGGGGCCGTCATTTGATCTCTGCTCGAGCACATATACTTGCGGTGAGCGCCATCGCATCGCCCATGGAGACTGGTCGGTAGCGCTTGCGTGTTATGTGGTGGATTGGACTAACCAACTGGATCTTTTGTCCGCCTGCGCAACTTTGGACCTCACTGTTTGCACTCATTCCTCACCCGGGATCCAGTCGTACCATCGCCGCGGCCCTCCTCACCTAGACTTCACCTCCAAACCTCAGCCAAACGTGCCCAGGGATTTCGCTGGGGGCGCTCTTTTGTGGGACGGCCCATTAGATTGTTAGGACGACTTGTCCATCCGACCAGTTTCAATTTTGTGCCTGCCACTTCCGAATCCCGATCGCCTAGGCCCTTTCGACACGTTCACCCACCCACCACAGTCGCACGCAGCCAGCCTACAGAAACATCGCCTCCCACGACAATCTGGAACCTGCATTCCAAATACCCAACTGTTCCGCCGTGCTTGTTTTGCCCCATTTCGTCGCGGTTGCCATACTCTCCTCCCAATCTGTGACCCGCGTCTTCACCTCCTCGTCACAGCCGCCTCTCTCATGAAGATCTCGCAGCCAACTATTTCACACTAGTTCTCTCACCACCGACCTTCACGATGGAGCCTGTTCCGGAGACGGAGAGTTTGGAAAGATTCCGCTCTCCCCCCCTACCTACTCTACGTCTACAGCACCCCAGCGATCTGGATTTGAGTCGCAAGCCTCCGACGGTCCGACGGTCTACGGAACCACTGTCTCCGAGCTCGCCCTCTTGGTCCTCTCCGACCAACTTCTCGCTGCCATATCGACCAAGGAACGCCTCACCCCTCTCGGGATCCCACACGCGATCAAAATCAGCCGCCAGTCTAGCCCCTCCCACCATGTCCCGCACTAGATCCATGCCGGGCTTGGACGGGACCGGACGCGTTCTCTCCTTGCCACTGCTCCGTCCTGCCAGTCCGATCGGATCACCGAATCGACAGCGTCAGCGCCGCAAGCCAGCCGATGAGGTCTTTCCACCGGTGTCACCCATCCGGTCGTCCGTCTTCGAGAATGACACCAACAGCATCCCCGAAGGCAGTGCTTCGCCAACTGCGGCAAACACAATTCATCACAGGCGCACGTCATCCCCCTTTCGCCACTCTATCCCTACTGCGTATAGCATCTCATCGTCAACGCCCTCGACCCCGTCTTCTGTAGCAACGTCTCCCACGTACAGATACGAGACGAATTCGAATGGGTACAGTTTCCCCTCTTACTATTCTTCGTCCATACCCTCCACGCCTACCTCGGTCAGGTCTCGGAGTCCCAGTATCTCTAGTTTAGAAACAATTCCCGACTCCCCAGATGCCGAGGAGGCCGCACTGGAGGCCGAGCGCATTGCCAAGCTGCGAGCGGCAGCCGAGGGTTCGGATAGCGAAGAGTCAATCGAGGGAACCCGAAGCAGGAACAGCCTGGATGTCCCATTGCGAGGCCGGACGCTAGGCATGGGATCGAAGGACAAGCGCAAGCGGTGGAGTGTGTGTGGAGCCGAGAGACGCGGTGACCTGGATCTGGAAACGATATGGGAGGATTGATGCCGCCACACGAATGGGCAATGTTGCGGATGAGCTTACGGAATTCATGATTCACGCTCAAAGGGCGGATCACACCGGCGTACATGCATTTGGTTCGGAGGCGTTTTGTCACAGCTGTTCGATACCCTGCTGCATTTGCATTTCATACGGCATAATGGACATAAGCAGAACGCAGACATTGTATAGCGAATCTATTGGTTTTGTACGGGATCAGGGTTGAATTGTGCTCCCGTTCCACTGTACTCTCGATTTGGTGAAGGCCACCCTGTTACTCAGTTTACAGTGGGCTGTAAGGTAGACCGCCTCCCCTTATTTGCCCAGTATTCGCCCTTCTGTCAGTAGTCAAGTCGCAGTTCAAGACGAGCTAATGGAGCACCGTTCCTTCTATATCAGATCTGGAGGACGTTGAACTTGGATAGGGGTGGGGGGGAGTAGCGGCATGTATAAGAAGGATATTGGCTTTTGACAATGTGCAATCAAATGGCTATAGGACAGGCCGTCTCCACTCCCGTTATTTTACATCAGTCCATTGTGGAAACCTGACTGTCCCTCGTTACGAAATTGTCTCCTCACATTGGCGTAGCTTGCGCATCCTTATCCGCTACCGATGCTGCTCACCATACTTCACTTTGTCGAGGTTGTCAAGCCCAGCGAGCGAAACTTGGACTGAGAGAACTGGAAACAAGAGAGACCTCGGACTCAACAACCTGGTCGATGTATGCGTTGACCCGGTTTCGATAGCCTCCCATAGGAAGTGAAGACGTACCCAGGATGCATCTCGGTAATGGCTTCAGACAATTACCGAGCATTGCTTCTTCCACTCAGTAGTTATCGACCACGTCTTATAGCAACGATGCCGCTGTTCTTGCGTTGGCTACGATGAGAGCTTAGTATCAGCTCCTCCGCATGGTCCAGCACGTCATCTGGCTTGCTGGTGAGCCCACCATCGCTCCCCTGGTGGCAGACGCATGTCCAGATCATGTATATCACCACCACGGTGACTGCGAGGCGGCCTGAGCAGACAGTGGACCCATTGGCTGTGCTTGTTATATCATCTTCCTTGATTCAGGAGAAGGTTCAGCTTAGAGACCAGGCGACAGCGGCCAAAACGGTGCGCAGAGGAACAACTGTGTGGACCACTCCATGTTCCCATCAAACGTACTTCCCAGCAACAGCCAGGCAGAAGAGCCGACCGACCCGATTGGTTATACTCCAATTGTTCCCGTAGCCGCTGGCAGCCAGCCAGACACCGCCCGCCTGTCACCGAACAGTGAAAGACGCCCCTATCTTTGAATGCGCACGAGTCCAGGCGGCATTTACCACTCTCGTGGCATACTCTGCTTTGATAAGAGAGTCTTGCCATAACGAAGCAAACTCGAGGACAAGCCCGCAGTCTCGAATATGTTTTTCAATCAATCCCGTCGCCGCTGGCGTCTTCTCTTCTTGGTCTTCGTCTTCCTCTGCGTCGGAGTCATGGCATAATGGCAGTCTCTCGACTTTGGCAATTCCAACGAGTTCTTCCACTTCCGGCATCGCCACCTCTTCATCAACATTCTACATGGACAAGCTCAACTGGAACAGAAAAGACTCCCCCGTTGTTGCACACCTCCCACTCCTCTCCCTCATCATCGTCATCGACAATTCTCCCCTATGAGTCCCAAGCAACCCCCCTTCTTCTCCTGCCACACCTCCATCCGTCCCACTTCTAACCCCTATTCCAACCCCACCACCACCAACTCGTTCTCCTTACCGTCCTCCTCGCCGTCCTCATCCCTTACGACCCTGTATCCAATGTTAGCGACCCAAGCTGTCTTCGACCCAGCGATAAGACCAGTCCTCACAGCGCACCACCATAAATTCGCACACACCTTCAATATCCTGTCCTGTATTGCCTCAGTGAGTCACTGACCGCCGTGAAAAGACCGCTGATTAAGGTATTCATTACCACCTAACTAACTGGGTATTCTCATTCTAAACCATCGAACCATCTGCGCAGTATGCCCAAAGCAGGCTCCTCTCTCCAGGTAGTGAGATCTCACTGTCCCTTGACCACGCAGCCGTGCTATACCGCAGCACGCATACCCTGCACTAAACCTCATGCCAAAGGTTCATCATGCCGGACTTCATCTTCTTCCTCGCCTCGGCAATAGCCCTAATCTGGTTCTCCAAATCGGTAATCTTTTCCTGCAACTTGGCATTTTTCGCCACCTCGTTCTTATGAGCCTGCCTCGCGGCGTCCCGGCCCCGCTCAAGCCCATTGGCCTTGGCGTCGTGTCGTCTCAGCACTGCCTTCAATTTGCCCAGCCCAGTATCGGACAGCTTCTCGCCTTCGACGGCGCTCATGCCTTCTTCGTAGAGGTGTCCTGCCACTCCCGATCCCGGAGTCGTGGGGTTGGAACGCTCTTCTTGGGAAGACACGGGCGTTGAAGTCGGTGACGTGGACCGACCAGCACCGTCAAGCCTCTGCCGCTTTGAATGGACCTGCTGTGCCTCGGGGGGTTCCGCAAACAAGACCCGACGGACTGGCTTCTCCGTAAGCGCCGGCGTGGGCAAGCCAAAAACCGTGGTATCATCATGTTTCTGGGCGGCAGTCGGCGTCGCATACGTATCCTTCTTCGCCCCCTGTTGCGAACTCTGACCCTGGCGCTGGCTCGAGCTGTCGGTAATTACAGCCAGCTGCCTCTCCTCATCCGACGACATATCCCCAAACTCATCCTCATCCTCATCGGTCCGCTTTCGCTTCGACCCAGTTCTAACAGCAGCAGGCTTCTGTTGCTGCGCACTCCCCCGCGACGATGCGGCATCTACAATACGAAACAGCTCTTCCTCCTCACCTGCCGACATATCATCCCCAAACTCATTCGCGCCCAGTCCCGGAGCCGCACTGGCATGGCTCCCGTCACTCGCCCTCAACGTCGCACTACTGCCCCCGCTCGCGCCCGCCATCACTACGGGTAGCTCCCCGACCGGCGTAATCGGCGTCTTCCCACCGCGTGGCCCCTCCGCCCTCGGCGTCACGCTAGCGCTCAGCGTCGTCTGTTTGAGCCTTTTACTCGGCGTCTTCGGTACTTTCAAATTATCGCCACCGCCGCCTACACCAAACAAGGCTGCCTCCTCGCGGGGTCGCGCATCCTCCGCCCAGAGGAAGAAGTTGCATTTTTCTGGCGAGCCGGCGCGGCCTCTGGTGCGGTCCTTTTGGCACGTGTAGAACCAACGGCCTTTGTTGTTGGTTTCGCGTTTCACTTGGAACTGGATTGCGGGAAGACGGGGTTGGCAATTGCCTGGATAATGGAGAAGGGATTGGGGGTTAGTAAGATTTCTGGAGATGACGCAGGAGCGTGGGTGGGACGGGAGTAAGGTAGTATCGGTATAGGTATAGGTGTAGGTGTAAGAAAATATATATATATATATATATGCTGGTAAAAATTCGAAGACTTACAAAGCCATTGGCCCTTGACGAAGGCGCCCTCATCGGATTGCCTGGCCGGCGTAGCCGTGTACCCTAGTTGGTGCTCTGTCGGCATTTATCCTCGCCTCAGCAGGGTGGAGTTGTGCTTGTTTTGCAGCAATGCAATACCAGATTGGCTCTGAACCCTGGAAATGCTGGAGAGATCTCCCTGAAGCTGAGATCTGGGAAGAATCAGGGACCCAAACCGAACAATCCAGGTGAAAGACAAAGAACGTCTCAACGGACAAGTGCTTAGTAAAATCGGCGGGGGTGTTTGCTGGTTGGCGCGGTAGTGGGAGTGGGGCCAGCCGTTATCTCAGCTGCCGGTAAAGTTGTGGGGGAATTCCAGCTGAACCCCGCTGCGAGGTATTGATATGTACTTAAGTATGCGGGCCGCAACGCTGTCATAACTTAGGTATCCACAGCAGGCCACAACGTATTGGCGGTGGAAGTCCAGAGTTTCATAGACGATTCCAAGACTATCAATGGCAACGAGTCAGTAGTACAGAGCTTTTTTGATATCATATTTATAGGCCAGTCCGAGCTACCTCAGGAATGGCGTGCTTTTATTCCGTTGGGTGTATTCGCGTCATGAATCGCAACCCCCAAGCAGCGAAAACGCGCAAAATCAACTACGCTACATCAAGTCCGCCATCCGGGCCAGGGTATATCATATATCGCGCACACACAAACTGTAAACCAATAACATACAATCACGCAACCATCCGAGCCACAATTCCAAACGCTTCCCGCTCACACTTGGTAGTAGTACTCGGCATCCAGCCCCTCTCTGCTCGGCACCACGCCCGCCCCCGGTGGTGGCCCTGAGTACGCTGCCTCCATTCTGACGTTCAGCAGTCTGATCTTCAGACCGTAGTCTCCAACCAACGAGATCAATTTCTGCGTTTCTGCCGTAATGGGCGCTTGATCTAGCAGCATTAACAGACCGTCAAGCCATTCCGATGCCACACTGTGGTTCAGGGGGTACAGAGTCAGCACCGGATGTTCTTTGCCGTCTCCACCGGGTTTGCTCGCGTCCTCTGGGTTGCTGAAACTGAAGATGGTGATCTTGGTGGTCGACTTCGACGGCCCAGACCCGGCCCCGTTCATCATGGGCGTTCGGAGTGTGGACTTGTTCGACTCGCTTCGCGCATCATCGTTGGTCGTCGACACGTTTGACACCACCGAGCTAATCCTGCTCAGATCTACCTTCTCATCCAGGACTTCCAGACCCGGATCATGTCCGGTCCGCAACGCGAAATCGGAGAAGTGCAGCCATCGACGGTTATGGGACAGTTTTGCGTATCTCCACACGGTACCCTGGGCGGCTCGGCGATTCTGGTAGCTCTCATTTCGACTCTCCTTTGACGGTGTCGGTTTTGAGAACCAAGCTCCCTGTAGCAGACACCGAATTCGTTGCTCTTTGACAAACGAGAGGGATTCCTTCCTCAGATCGTCACGAACTTGATTTAAATGATGACCCCAGTTGTCGTCGAAGGACAAGTCCAACAGCTCCATCTGGAGTTCTCGTAGTCGCGAGCAGTCGAACTCGAGCAGTTCATCCTCTACCTCCAGGACATCCTTCGATCGTCCTGCCGTGCCCACCGCTTGGTCTACCAGTATCCGCACTAGCTCCGCCACCTTGTCGAAATCGCTCTGGTCAGCGCCAGTTGCTTTCCATAGTCGGAAGAAGGATTGAAGTCCTGCCGTGTGCAATCTAGACCATTGTAGGAGCAAAGGATGGTACAGCTTGTCTTGCTGCTTTCCATCGGACAACTGATAGCCTCTCAGGTCTTCTATCCCGGTCTTATCGCAGTCGAAATGGTCGTACAGGATCAGGGTCACGGCCAGGCTAGACCTTGCAATCGGACAACGCTCTCTCAGAGGCTTGGTCGACTGTTCTAGGAGCAGTTTCTGGAACCCATCTTCGTTCTTCCTCACGTAGTCCGTCAGGTCCATCATGCCCAAAAAGCCTGCTGCTTCAAATTCGCCGGCTGGGCCCTCCGTTTCGAAGCCTAACCTGCGCCATTTCTCGGGATTGTGCCGCCTGCTCCCCTTCTTTCCTGGTTCTTGGTTCTCCTCCACCTTGGCAACACCGTTCATGTAGTCTCGGTTGGGTGCACTAGCAAGATGCAGTCCCTTGAGTGCGCGTCGATGCTCTGGCCGCTCAAGGTCGACCCGAACCTCTCGCCACTTGCGCAACAGCACCTTAGTGAGGGATTGGAACTCCAGCAGGGGATATGCAAGATCTTGCAATGCTGAGCTTTGCATGAGGTTGTATACGGCCTTGATGAGTCCCAGATCCTGTAATCTCCGGATGAACTTGGGCCACTCGTCCGAGACGCTCGATTTGTTGCCATTGCTATTGCTGTTGGTGCCATTGGTTCCACTGGCGGTCGCTTCGCTGGACACAGCATCCCTTATCAGAGCATTAATCAGCATGAGGGCGTTGGCGCAGAGAGCATGGTCAGCTGATTGCAATTGTTGTATAACCAGGTCAAAGAACTGGGGGTATACGGCTACGGCGGGCTTCAGGGCACGGAAACCAAAGGTGCCTGGCGTTCGCATGGCACCATTGCGAGTCTCGGACTGGGAATGGCTCACTAGAGCGACAAGTATGGACATGGCGCCGCGAAGGATGTTGACCAGAGGATTTGTCACGATGAGTTCCACGACACGCTCTACTAGATCCCCAGCTGTTGGCCCCTCGAAGATGTCCCAGCCCATGTCCACCTCAAGCAGCCGACTGAGACTCTGCAGTGAGTATGCAAGTGTGTTTCCTCCCGTGCTCATAATTAGTCGTCGTAGGATAATCAGGCCGCCCGAAGAGATGAATACATCGGCAAACGCGGGGTCGTTGATGGAAGACTGCAGTTTGAAGACAGCCATCTTGCGCGCTGCATCCTCGTCGCTGGCTAGGCGTGAGAGCAGCGCCGGTATGTCTGCTTGATCCATGGCGAGTCGCGTGGCGCGTGTTACGAGGTGGAGGCGATGGGAGCCGTTATCGTGTCGTGGTTGGGACGCAAACACGATTCACGAGAGCGACAGGATGCGGATAGCTAACCTGGTCGACCGCGACACCGAAATTGAATGTCACTTATTCATAATTCGCAACTTCGTGTCGTGCTCGGGAGGATGTATGGTTTGGCGATCTAGACGTTGGTCAGAGGGGGGAATCGGCTGGCGATTGGGTTTGATGCAATTCTTCAGGGGAAAATTTGGGAAGGTTGTTCCTGAATTGGGGGCCGATACGCTATGGCCTACCGTTGACTCTAGCGGCACACACACACATCGTAGCCCCCTACATTGAAATAACGCCCTAGTGCCCCGCACCTGCTGCATGTGAGCGTGTCGACGTACAGTCTCTCAGGAGCTCGAGCCTCTGAAGTCAAGATCTTTGTGGTCTTTGTCCAAATAGCCAATTTCGGAATTAGGGATTCCATTTCCTAGCCTAGATCTAGTGATTCATGGGAAACGTGCAGACGCCTCTTGGCCTCGTTCTTAGCCAGCTCAATTCGCCCACGTCAGTCAAACGTTTCTAGTGAAAGGTATAACATGCCAATCGACCTCAAGTCCTCGGCTTGGGGTAGCACATACCAGCTCATAAGGTCCATTTCGCCTTGCACTTTTATCATAGACATCACCCTCTTCAGTTCAGCCATGGATCGACTTGCGATCTGCGTATACGCAAGTCCCATATAAATATGTCAGGTAACGTGAGCTAGAGGCAGCTTGTAATATTAAATCTCTTACCTAATCTGAACATCCACATCTGAATAGTAGTTGTCTTCTCAGGTCGCATTAACCTGAACTATTCGGAGCAAGGCGCCGTGGGTTCGTACGATGGCGGATACCATCGCCCACCACCCCTTGGGTAAACTCAATTAAGTGGGCTATGGTGACAGCACTACAAGTTCAGCTGCACACAACTCTGTGGCTGATGTTGGACACTTGAAGTTGAATACACCGTTTTGTAGCCATTTTCTCGCTCAATCATCGTATATCCTCCACTTTACTGTGCGAACACTACGCGTACTTATAGGGGCCGTTACATTTGGCCCCAACTCGTCAGAATCCGAGGACTCGATATCCTCCTCCTTAATTACTGTACCACTGCCTCACCGTTTCTAACGGATTTTGACGCTTAGTAAGGGAATTGGCTTTCTGATAGCCAGTACCTCAGTTATATTCATGAAGCGGCCGTTCGTGTTGGGCAATGTCTTATCTTTCTTGCCTCTGTTCAAGCGGTCTAATTCCTCCTTTAATGCAGCATTTTTGCCACCAACTCGGCCTCTATGGCCTTAAACCCCTAGTTGATCGCTCCTCTAGTACTTATGCCGGCTGCGAGGAGATAAATTACGGATTTCGCGGCTTGCGTTTGATGTTGAATCGCTGTCTGGCTCTGGATTATTAAGGGGCTTAGGGTAACTACCGCGGTTTTCAACTACTGGCTTGATTTCTGGATGCCGTACGGCTTTAGCTCTGGAAATTAGCTAATTACCAGTCGTACGCTAGCCAGTCTTAACAATCCTCCCGGCCACAGCCTGACGTGCGGTAGTGTAGCAGGGTAAAATTGACTTTTATCAACTGGCATCCGTTGTTCTGCGCAACTTACCGACCTTGGCTCTATCATGTTACGAACCATTGGTTCTCACAGCCTAACCAACACAACAGGCCCGTTAGTAGACCTATAGGCACCCCACTAAGCAATATCGGATCAGGAAAAGAGATGGTCCCAGGTTGCGTGGCGGGATCATCGACGCTCAGAGGAAGGACAATGATCCAGAGTGATCCGCGTAAAGGATTACCCGCGATTTAGGAGAGTCTGGGGGATCATTAGAACTCTAAGAATCCGGTATCGTTCAGCTAGATCGGCGAAAAAAGAAATAACTAAATAAGGGAACCGAAGCCCCAGGCTTTTATAGTTAGTACTTTTATAGTTAGTAAATTCACCATGACTCCAATAGAACCGATTGGCGACGTGGGAATGGCCGTTTGGCAGGAGGTGTTTGAGTGGGGATGCCGTCGTCAAGGCCACAGTCGTTGCCAGCACCTTCTCGGCCGAGTCCTTCAAGTCGTCGGCCTTCCCTAGAAACTGAAAATCAAGGCAAATGGGCGTTCCGGGATGAAAAGGTCACAGAGTTTGCTACGATGCTTTTTGATGCCAACCAGGGCCCAGGCATCTCGGCCGAGAACTGGGCTCTTTTTGCCTGCGTCTGCGAAGGCTTCCACTATTCTACCAACGATGCGAGAAACCATGTGAAGTGTGGGCATCGCTAGGACCCGCTCGGGCCGGATAGATTGGACACTGATAGCCAGAGACGTCCCCAACCTCTGCACTTTACCACTGGTGACCCTTATGGATTGGATGCCGAGTTCAAAATCATGGTCGACCGACGGGACGTGTTTATGTTCAACTAGAGGGAGGATGTTGGTGACGAGAGACTGGCCATCGCGCAGCAACCCGACCCTGGTGTCTCACCCGTCGTAGAAGGTAAAACTGTAGCCGACCGAGAGTGAAGCGCAGTACGAGGCGGCCGGGTGAGGAAGAAAATGGCAGTAAGCTTTGTTGGAAGGGAGGAGTATATCAAGGCGAAAGTTCTTTGCTCACCCATCACCATGGACGTAATAGGCCACGGGCAATCGTTGCTCTTTAGTGGAACCCTGTCATTCACTTGGTCCAGGGCACTTTCTTTTCTAGCGATCTCCAATGTTCTCGATCCATGGTTGGCGCCAAGAGTTTGATGATTTCGTCGACCTCGATTACCCTATGATGAAGAAGCTCAAGCTGTCCTGTCTAACTTGCATAACGACTCGAAGGGAGACGAGACATACTTTCACGGTATTAATTGCGTCCAGGAGACCATGGCTCAACCTACCAGCTGCCATATCGACCAACTAGAGCAACCCAATTGTCGTATTTGGGGCTGAGCCGGATATTTACTACTAATGGATTGGCTGCCTTTTTTGCCTTTCTCTACGAGGCGCGTACCTACCTTGGGGGACTGGATAGTCCCACCCTGCCATACACCCTGTTGAAAACTATCACGCAAAAGTCTTGAGGGTCTACCATTGCTTTCTCTGTCTCTGGTTCCATCCCTGGCGACGGCCCCTTCCAGTTGACCAACATCGTCCACCACATCCTTCGTGTCAAGGGCGAGCAGGAGGAAGGCGAGGCCAGTAAAAGCAATATATTCAATGTGGCGGATCTTGAGGGAGAGAAAAGCGACTGAAACTATATATTGCATAAGTATCATACTTTGAGCAACCCGAAGACCAAGGCCGAGGTGGAGAAGCATGGGGGATCTATGGGCGAGCTGATGAAAGAACTTGGCTCCCGGTATGCTTATAGCCCGTCCAGATGTCGACACATTCCGCGGCCAGACTATCGGTGACGATAGTAGAGAGATCGTTGTCAAACAGATTAAGTGTAACATGGTTAACGGCCCTGGCCGTGATGCCTTGTGCAAGCTGAATGCTGATACCTAGGCATATGTCAGTTAGGCTTTTGATAAGAAACATAATGGGTGGATGATGCAGGGGCAGAAAGGGCCCGAGCCGACTCAGCGCAGTGTGAAGCTTAGGTTTTGGCCGTCAGGGGGATGGTACGACAGCTATGAGTTTGTGAAAGGCGGCAGTCGCATCTGGACATTGGTTTTTTTTCTGCTGGCGTGCGAGAAAGCAGGGAGGCGCTTCATGCATCTTGCGCAGTAGTGCAGTGATGTTGACTTCAGCCCCTGCGAGCCGGTCAGTCATTTTCAAGTCTTTGTCTCCAAGTCCCAAGCCTATAGCACCTGGTCCGCATCTATGCACTTCTTCGTCCAACATCCTAGAACAAAGACCGCACCAATATCGTTAGGGTCATGCCGGTTGGACTCACGCATCCCGAAAAAGACAAACCCAGCCACATGGCAAGATCCTTCCTCAATCCAAGCTTGCCTTGACAGTCCAGAGTAGTGTAAAACAAGCCGACAGATACTATAATCACAGCCATTCACACTTCCATGTCCTCCATAACCAGGCCATCTTTCATATCCAACATATGATACACCTTTGCGCATATTTGCTGTGGTATCGTCTCCTGAAGTTCCAGATCATAGTCCATTTCCTTGAGAAATACGTCCAGCTCTTTAACTAGCTTATTCAACATCTCTCCGGTGATCAGTTTTCGTCTAGAAGATGCCCTTGGCTTACAAGGAGCACGCGAGCGAGAGAGAGAGAGAGAGAGAGAGAGAAAACCGACGTACTGAGGTCGCAAGTTAGTCATTATTCTATACGGCTTGTTTTGCTGTGACCTGGTCAGGTCCGTGACGCCCTACTACGTTTAGTCTAACACCCTGCTTATATTGACTGTCCCAATCTCTGTTCTTCCTTCCCGATTGCAGAGAAGATGACGGGAGCAGTTATTTTCGGCCTATGTTGGCATATTACGGCACCTAGAGAGACGAATCGTCGTCGGATACTGTTTTCTCCATAATGCACCTAAGTACTCAAAGGGTAGGACTACTCAACGTGCAAGAAAACTCTGGGTGGCTTGCGCGTCGTCCTACCGTACCAACGGTCGGTCGCTCGTGTGGCGGCCCTTTGGTTATGGTCATTATCGCCACATTGTATGTCGTACTTAGCCTGCTATGCCACCCAGCTCATCCTCATTCTCGAGATCTTAGGCGCTGCATTATCTTCGCTCAACCCACTACAGGCCAGCCAGTCATACTTCGAGATGAAGGCCGATGTGAGGGAACTCTACCTCGTACGGCGGGTTCTAAAGCACCGAGATCGTTACCTTTGCGTGTATTAGCACGCCTTATCGTACTTACGACCCCAAAAGAAGACCCACCCCTCGCTCTAACCCTTCTCGTAGAGCTCGCCGACCTCCTCAGCACTTGTTTGGACGTCCTCGACAAATTCGAGTCCTGCCGGGATTTTAGAACCGATCTACCTCATTTGGTAACTTAGTTCGAAGCTAAGAAACCCCGTTTCCAAAAATAGGGCCGCGCCGTTAGTGTCCAGCGAGATCAAGCATCAGACGGCCATGCAGCAATACAGACGAGACCCTTATGCAACCTAATTCGGGAGTAGATGCGTCTACTTGAGACAGGCTGCGTTCCCGGATCCGGGTTCAGCCCTATCGTAGCGGCACGCCCGAATCTGAAAGGAGTAGGCCTAACTAGGCGCTAAGAGACAAGACGAAACGTATGAACAATTCGGAAAGCTAGTACAGAGTTTACATGACATGGTACCACCTGACGGGGTCAAGGGTACACACCTGGGATACGGAGGGCCCGTGGCTAGCAATTATGTCGGAGACACGAGTAGTGCGCTTCCCCACCCCGATTAATATAGAGATGATTTAACAAATATTTCGAGGTAACTACGCCGATACGGGGGCTTTAAACGCGAGAGTTGCAGCGGGTCCTAGTCCAGATAGAGGAGAATATCTCAGGTTAGCTATCTTACTACACATACCGCTAAGTAGCGTCGCCGAGACGCGAAGGGATGTGCGCGCCCAGCTTGTAGGTGGCTATAATCCGAATAAGCTTTTTCGATAACTCCGTTCGGAAGAGACTGGACGACATATGCGACTAGATCCTAGACCGACTGGCATTCCGTCGCACCTGCCAAAATATGGTGTTCGAGTAGTCCTATGTGCAGGTCGCAATCGCAGATGCGTCAATGTCTGGGCCTGCAACTAGGGACGCGCCGAGTTGCCGAAATGATGCTTCGAAGTCTTAGTTGCAGAATTTCCTTATAAACTGATCCCAGCCGCGCGTAATTGCCGAATATCTGCTGACAAATACTCCTTGCATACATGACATGCATGTATACACTCCCGCTGAACCTTCTTCTTTACATCCATACGTAGTGTACTCTTGGTTGTATTGGTTCTATCAACCACAACTGATAGTGCATATTGGATTGAAATACGGCACTCAACATGTATGTCTGGCCAGGTACATGTGCGTTGGCCAGGGTGTACCTTCACTTTGACGCTCAGGGGTTTAGACTCGACCATGTCACCCGACTCAACCTGCGTAATTGAGAGTTCATCAGAGAGTTCGACTATAACTCCCTTCAAATAGATAACAACCCTGTAACGACACGTATTCTGTATGGCCAGTTGCCTCATTGGGTTCGTTGGGTTGCTAAAGCGGCTCGTAGGCACGGTATGCCATACGATGCCATACCATAGTAGCCCCAAGACGAACGAATGGAATACCCCGCTTTCGCCAGCAGATTTCTGAATTGGGTATATTGGAGTCAGGGCTCCTGCACGGTATCTCGAGTGATAATTGGCTCACGATGCCTTTGGCATGCAAGATAAAGCTTCCGCCATGGACCTTGAGTGCCAGCCCCTGCCACTCTGAGCAAGTACAGCCTTCCTCCAATATATATTTCCACTAAGTACGTAATTATACCTTCTGATCAGCAGTAGCATTCTCTTGATGAATCGGCACAACCAAATACTCTCCATTCTCCTTGCGCTCAGCAACGTGTTGGATCTTCTCCTCGAGACGCGAGCCACCCTTCTTGGTAGTCCACGCATACGGGGCCCCCTTAGCAAACAGGCCCTCGATTTCTTCAATTGTTTTCCCGCAAGTTTCGGGGTACGTAAGAAACGCCTGGGCCGCAGCAGCGATACACAGCACGCCAAAAATGATGAATACCTTCCAGGTAATAGTGACGAAAGCCGGCGGCGTGAAGAGACCCAGGGCAAAGTTGAAGAGCCAGTTGGCCTCGGCTGCCATGGCCATGCCCGTTGCGCGGGTTCCCAGACTCCAGACCTCGGCGGCGTAGATCCACGCGACGGGGGCTAGGGTGAGGGCGTAGACAATAATCAGCAGGTAGCTAAAGGCGATAACGGTATGCGAGGCTGCGCCCTCGACCTTGATGACAACGTTGGCGTTGCCGTTGACACCTTCAGGGACGGATACACCATACGAGCCGAGCATGCCTCCCACTACGAAGTGGCAGATGGCCATGCCAATAGATCCCCAGATTAAGAGGGTTCGTCGGCCGGTTTTGTCGATGAAGAAGAACATGACAGTAGTGAAACTAGTCCCCGGTGTTAACGTGGGGGATTCATGGGGCGTGAGCTTGCAACTTACATGATGAATAGCGCATATTGCACACCGCCAGAAATCAAATTGATATCACCAGAAAGTCCAGCCATCGAAAAAACGTATCCAATGTAGTACACAATAACATTGGCGCCCGACATTTGCTACAAGTAAACTGTTAGTTCCAACATACACGGATAAGTCGAGGGCGTCACATACCTGCCATGCCTGGACCGAGACACCAGCAAGTGTTCTTTTCCACATTCCATTTTTGAAGAACATCTTCCATCCATTTCCAACCTCGCGTTCTGCTTGCAAAGTGGTAGAGATCTCCTCCCATTCCGCAATAACCAGGGGGTCGGCACGGTTACCACCAGCCTGGATATCGGCAAGGGTCTGGATGGCCTCCTCATCGCGGCCAACCTTGGCCAGCCAGCGAGGTGAGCGCGGGAGGAAGGGAAGTCCGACCATCAGAAGAACGCAGGGGATGAACTGGGTCCCCCACGCGGTGCGGAATGAGGCACTGCTTCCGGGAATCCCCTTCTCGATGAAAGAGCAGCCGTAGCCGATGAAGTACATGATCAGGATACCCCATTCGATGGCGAGTTGCTGGATAATGACAAGACGGCCTCGGGTTTCCTGCACAAGTTAAACGCCGCCTTTCACTGAGAGTCGATCATGACTCACTCTTTTCGCAATCTCGGCGAGATAGACGGGAACCTGAGAAGAGGTGATACCGACACAGACACCGTTCAGAATGCGGCCGGCAATGAGCGTGCCGTAGTCCTTGCAAGCAACCTGAACTGCCGTGCCCATAAGCCACCAAAGACAGGCGAACATGATACTAGTCATAATCTCAGCAACTCTTCACACTCAGCGCAAGAATAGTGGACGCTTACCTGTCACGACGACCCCATTTGTCTGAAACGGGGCCGGCGATCAAGCTGCCGAGCACGGATCCAGCAGCAAGAGAAGAGCCAATAGCGCCCTGAACTAGACCTGACGGGTTATTGAAGTAGTTGATATACTGCTCCGTGACGACGATGGCGGACATGGACGAAATGTCGAAACCGAACAGCATTCCGCCGACAGTGGCCACGATAGCCACGAAGTACGTGTTCGCTGCAGAGGCAGGTAGGTTAGTATTGCAATACCGAGCTCTTCCAAAAGGCGAACCTACTGATTTTTGGAATTCTCGCCATCGTTGCAGCTCTAGCTCGATGGTTCTGTCAAGATGTCAAGGAGGGATGAGACTGAACGTCAAGCCAAGCAGCTATCCACGAATGGTCCGGAGGGGATGCAGACGCTATATATGGCCCGTTTTCGTGAGCTTGTTCTCCTTGTAAACTGGCATACATTGTAGCTGAATTACGCCCCCAAACCGGGCTGTTAGCCGGGGGACTTACGAGATCTTCTCCCTCGTAAGCAAGCAGCTAGAGAAAAGTTGGAAAGTTCCCCGGGCTTCTGAAAATCTCCTACGGGTAACGTGGAGCAAAGGGGGAGCTAAGGGCCGAGCCCGGGCTGTCATAGGTGCGGAAATCGAGTCTTAGAAAGCTGGGGACCCCGATGCATCCACAGCGAAAGATGGAGATATCTTGTTCAGCAACCATGACTCGTTGGGTTGGTAGTAGTGTTGGTGGAGCTGACCCCAGCAGTTGCCCTCGTTTCTTATCCAGCAACTCTGCTCGGACCGTTCAGAGGCTCCAGCTGTTGCCAATGGCCCATGGGGTAATTGATTATACAGTGGAGACGGAAGCCAGTAATGACGAAGAAGGTACTTTTACCTACTCTCGTGTTCGGGCCGACTGACAGTCTCTAATTAGCGCGCATAGACTTGACAGAGTCTCGAAACGTCCCCAGAGGTTCAACGCCATTTGCTAGCTTGGTTGAACATACCACGGGGCTGCATTCAGCTTGGCGTGTTCGATAAGGCCACAAGCAATGCTACCATGGTAGTACGACGTCAAGACGTCATAACCATAAATGCTTGAGGAAGTTCATTCGGTATTTGTCAAATCTCTGCATGGCTCACTGGATGTGAGGATCAAATCGGGTATGGCCTTTATGTTAGTTCAACAGCTGAAGTTGACGATGTCACCAAGACGTTGTAAGTCTCGGACTGAACCGTGCCACACAAATCCAGGCAACTGACCGCTTCTATTGCGGATCGTTCCTCCCTGAACTTCTCCAGACTCCGCAATATCTCCGCCGTGGTTCCCGCAACTCGCGAGCCCGATTTGTGGAGCTGACTTTAGGATTCATGTCTCTGAACGGAAGCGCCGCCCACGAGGAATGAGTCATGGGAAGATAGGGATGCAAATTATACAAGCTCTGTTTGTGGGCGAGACGTGTCTGGCGGGTTCGATAGCAGTGAGGAGGATACTTGCGATTCATTTTGCTCAATAATGAACCGACTGGATAACATTGAGGTGTCAGGAAGGGATGTTTCAAAAACTGTTCATTTATAGTCCGAGTCCTTTACTAAGACCAAGTATGAACCGAGTATATAACGTCTCATAGGGTGGGGTCGCCGTTTAATGCTGGCTGATGCAGCCAGATCAAGCTTCCCACGTGGTAGTGCAGATCCATCAGTTCGGAACACTCGTACAAGTTCCTCCCAGTATGCACGTAATCGTGCTTGTGAGTCTGATAGCCTATGATGTTCGTGGTCCTGGTGGTGGTAGCGCTTCTGGGCCAAAGGAGAGGGGCAGGAGCTGTAGTAGTGTCAGCATATATATATATCTAAGTACTCCTCCCCTAACTAATCCATTGGTGAAGGTTGGTACTCACTTCTTCTAGTCGGCGTACGATAAAGTCATCGTTTTTGTCAAACATGATGATAGGTATGCTGAGGTCGCAAAACTCGCGGATGCTTGACGACCACACATGTTAGACAGCTGAGACGTGGAAGCCAGCCGCCATTGGATCGGCTTAAGGCGGAACCAGAATTTGAGGCTGCACTCACAACTGTCTGCACATGCCGCAGGGACTGGCTGGAGGGGATATATCCGTGGCCACGGCCACAGCCTTGAATTTCAGATGGCCTTCGGTCACACCCTTGCCGAAGGCCACTCGCTCAGCACAGGTCCCCACGGGATAGGCTGCATTTTCGACATTGGCACCGCTATAGTAAGCCCCATCGACTGACATGATACCTGCGCCAACGCGAAACTGGCTGTATGGGCAATATGCTGTCGATTTGGCGTCAACGCTGCGTTTGTGCAACTCATTGAATTCAGCGGTAGTCAGCCCGTAATCTTTGCAGGTGCACTCGACCTGAGACGAGTTTGCGCTGGACAAGATTTGTATGCTAGATGCCATCGTTAGGTATAAGAAGGGGGTTTGAATATTGCTTGCAGCGTTCGATGAGAAGGCACACTTTGAGAGTTGGAATTTTCACCCTTGGGAGGTTGAAGCAGCGGGTAACCTAGATATCAATTATGAGGTAGGGGCGGGGATCACCGGAATGCGCCCGCCATATCAATCACAATCACTAAGCCACAAACTGCGCAGTGACCCACTCACTCAAAGCAACAAACAAACAGTATCACAAATCCGATATTTCCAGATTTACTCATCCTGCAACTTGCGTCTTTTTATAACCATCCTCCGAGAATCATCTCAGGACCGTCATAAATAGGTACCGTCAAGGATTTATCGCCCCGCAAAACGTAAGCTCATGGCAACGTTAGGTGTCTTTCTCCGGTAACCGTCGGGTGAGACTCAAGTTGATTTACGATGCGCCAACGTCGATTACCAGATTTGAACCTGTGATGAGAATTCCGAAGCCAGGAACCCGGTCACTATTGCGACCTCCTGTGTGTTTCCAGCTCTCTCCAGCCCAATGTTGTTTTGTTTGGTCTGCGGCTTTCGCAAGGCTGATGGTGGGAACTGGGAGGTCATTCCTTTCACGTCGAACTACACTGCGCGTCAGTTCATTGACGAACCTCAATGTGGAGCACGCCCACGTACGACTTCAAAACTGACGCCGATGCCAATTTGGCCTACTGAGATGCGGTTGACCTAACTCCAGTGCCCTTGAGTATTGCCACACCGGCTGTGACAGCACCCAGGGCCGCATGAGAAGTCATAGTAAAACAGGGGCCCCAAGTGCCTCCGTTTGTGCTGCTAATAACAAAGATGGATCCGTACTTTGAGGTCTTCGGCGCCGCATTCGGATACAATTGCTTCTTGGTCAACTTGGCCATGGCTGCCGGAGCATATTTGAGGGCGAAGAACGGGGCCAGCGAGTGTACCTCGAAAAATTGCTGCAGATCGGTTGAGATAGTTTCATGGATGGACGACGGCCTCCTGGGACGAGGTTGCCAAGATGTCCAGTCGACCAAATGTATTCAGCGCTTTGTCAACCAGTGCTGTTGTCTCCTATTCCATGGCGAAGGTTGAAGGGAAAAGGGATTGTTTGGTTGTTGGGGAATTTCTTGCCGAAACCATCCACAATTTTCTTGAACTCAGCGGTGTGGTCTTTCTCAATCTACCCGGTGTCAGCTTCTGCTTCCAATATCGGCATGCCATTCAGAACACATTCCCGCTAATATCGACGCAGCACCGTGTGCTATTCTAAGTATCAGGCAATGTGGATCAGTCACCAAAGATGGAAAATCGGTGGCAACACACTTGCTAATTCACGAATGATGGCCTAAGCAACTGCTTGCGAAGCTCCCGTAACGACACAGATGAAGCCGAACTATTTATTTGACCAAGACCAGTAAAAGAAGGGCATATGCGATTTAGCATGTAGCCCTGCCAAGTCTCCGTCATGTGGGTAGGGATTGAGGTCTTCGGTGATGTCCATATTCACTGGTGAACCACTAATTCTCGATGAGTACCCAAAGAATGAGTCAGGGCAGAGCAATTCTCCGCGCACTACTGAGCATAGGATTTTGTTTGTCCTCAATACGGGCCCGGAGATGCTTGAACCATCAGGGCTGTCAATCTGCCTACACGCCACCGAACAGAACTCAATCGCTTGTGGTGGTGCCACTATTTCCGGATGCGCTCAAACTCTGGATCAGGAGTCCAATCACCGTCGTTGTTTGGCATTAGAGTGTGTTCCTTTGGTCACTGGAGATATCAGAGTTGCATACTATGCTTTTCCGAGGACGCCAGTCAATCGGTTATGCGCCTCAGCAATAAGAAATTATCTGATCACGTCTGGATCTGTAGATTAATCTCTCGAGGGCCAAGCTTCGGCATCAGGAGAGGATCTTAAATTGTATTTCTTAAAGCTTTCTGAGGATACTGGCGACTCATTCGTCGCTTGTCGAAACAACCGTTCGACTGACGACCACGCGACAGGCCAGGCTTTCCATTCATATCTATCTGAACTCATGAATCTGAGTGTCGTCACTTTGGCGGGGCAACAGCTACCCCGCAATGCGTGCGCCGAGTCCACCGGCCGAGCTTTACGATCTCCCATTCCCGCTGTATCCCCACTCATCAAGGTTTATCCTGGAACAATTCAATCAATGATGCCATGGGATTCAAACGGCCTCGACCATAGCAAATTACCGTACTGACAATGTGGCAAAGCCGCGCACTCGAGATCATGACGGCTATCTATGCTGTCCGATCGACCTCCATCTTCCTATACCACTGTGTCTCGATGATTCTACTACAAGTGACATCTGGGCCTATAATGTACTTTGTGGAAGTCCGCAAGTCAATAGTGGTCTGCAGACCTTCAAGGTGTAAGTACCGCTGCTGACAGGTAAGGATCGCCTAGGCTCCCGTCACCGAGACGGGCGTCAACTGTGTGAGTTCACGATTATCTCTTTTTCCAGTCGGAGCGGTATTGAGGTAAGCCCGATGAGTTTCTGGCACTCAATTCTTGCAACTCTGTCAGCGAGGTCAAATTTCACATGATCACCCTCGTTTTCTTCAGCTTTACGAACATGTCGTGTACTCATCAAGCCTAGAAAGAGCGGTTTATCCAATCTACGTAAAACTAATGCAATAAGATGACGATATTACCGCGCTGAGTGGGCTGCAAAACCCCACCTATGATCGCACAAGGCTTCCACCAGCCCCAGCAAAAGTTGCAGCACATTGTGTATTTCTGAACTGACGGCACTCAGATGACTTCAGCTGCATCTGGTTGCTTAAGGTTGTCCTATTTAGCAAGGACTGACCCTGAAACTTGGACGAACAGCCCCAAATCAAGTAATTCAGATGACGTGACGTCACATTGGGTGCCGGGCATGATATCGTGGGTAGGCATGGCTTTAACACCTTCGCTACCGCACCGTTTTGCACGTAGATTGGGATTGTATGAGTTATCTCATGTTCGCTTTTGAAAAATAAGTAACTACCTCTTCCATCGCAACGAAGATACACGAATTCACCGTACATATCACGCGCAATACACACCCAGCAGTCATGCCTCACCCCTTCAGTCCGGAAGACTTCCCCATCAACGAGGAGCGCGAGTTTGACCCGACGCGGACCATCTTCTTGAAGCAAGCCATCCACTTCAAGAAAACGGCGCAAATATTCGATGTAACGGGCAAAGTGCGCAAGTCGTTCAATAACTTCTCGCATTCGTTTCTAGATGCGACTGCGCGCGCGGCGAAACAAGCCGAGGATAACGGCCCCACGTACGAAATCAAGAGCTGTGGCGACATGATGCGGACCATCAAGACCATGACGGACAACCAGGGGGAGAAGGTTTGTGACCTTAATATCACCTTCATCTCGTTCGACTGCTCCACCGTCCGGTTCCCGTCCGATAGCAAGCACTCGCGGCATCCCATTGAGATCTGGCCTGTGGACGATGGGCGGGGCAAGGGAGATAAGCATGAATGTTTTGTGCGGCATAGTGTGCCTTATTTTTGGGATATGACGAGTGGACCGGTTGGGGTGTTGCATAAGTGCCTCAACCAACAGCGCGTTGAGGTTGCGAAGGTGGTGGCGTATGGCTTCGATAAGGATGCCATACTCGTGTTGGATGGAGACGAACTGGACGATGCGGTGGCGGTGGCGACATGCGTAATTTTGCTGAACGGGAGGGATTCTATGGACCACTGAATCTGTGTTTATGATTTCATGACATATGGGAGGTGGAGGTTGGATTTGGCGTTTAGTGTGTTTCATATAGCGGATATTTCTACTGGTGCATAGGCTGGGTAATCAAATTTTCTTTGATAAGCTGACTGCGAAACTACCTGATGTATAGTTATGTATAGTTATGTCCTTGTCGTCAAAGCCCCACTCCGTCGGCTTTGCTATAAAACTCCAAGCCTGCTCCTGAGTCTATTCTTCTATTCATCTATTCGTCTAGTCGCCGATCCAACTAACTGCTGACAACCTCTAATACTTATGCGCCCCAGCCAAATTAAATAGCCCAGAATTCATAAATTGCCTGAAGTGCATCCTTGGAATGAGTGAAGGGGAAATTATGCCCGCCGGGCACAACTCTCCAGAACACCTTCTCCTTGCCCCCAACAAGTGGCAGCGCATCCTCCTCGTAGTCATCCCGCTGGATCAGCTCGTCCCGTCTTCCCAGAATAATGGCCGTGGTCCACGGCTTCCGGTCAGCAAGCTGTCTCCAGTGCTCATGTTGACCCATCAGGGGCGCAAAGCGGATGGTGGACATGAACGCCGGCACGAACCCAGCGTGCGCATCGAGCATCCAGTGGATGTACGCAGCGATCTTGGCCTCAAGAGGGTGTAAACTGTTAACCGTGTCGTCGTCTTCTTTGCCCTCGACGTCGGGGTCTACCGCTTCTTGCACGGCAGCGTCGGTAAACGTCTCTTTTCCATCCAGGGGCTGCGTCAGATCCTCCACCGTCGTCGGCACCGACATAGACACAGACGTGCTCTGCTGAATCTTCTTCTTATTATGCACCGCATTCCCAATCGGCGTACGCAACCTCCGTTTCGTCAGCGCGGCGAGCAACCGTTCAGGAATGATCCCCGACGTGAAAACAAGCCTCGACGCATATCCGATATTCGCGGGACGAATGACCCCCGCCGGCGCGAGCAACACGAGAGACGCCACGAGATGCGGGAACGTTGCCGCGAAATTGACCGCAATACCACCGCCAAGCGAGTATCCCACGACATGGCAGGCGTTTTCGCCTGTCCAAGGGAGATGAGACGAGGCAAGAACCAGCAGCATCTGGGAGACGAAGAGGCGGGTGTCAAAGGGCAGGTCGCCGACGCCATCGGTAAAGCCCCGACCGAAGAGGTCGAAGAGCATGACGCGGCAGCCCTTCTTGTGTACCATGTCGAGCGCAATGTCCGTCAAAGTCAGACAGGACGTGCTGATGCCGTGGAGGAAGAGGACCTTTCGGCCGTCTTCAGGGCCGAACTCGTAGACGCGGATGTTGCCGTACTGTGCTTACTTAGTCTCGAGTCATCTCACAAAAGGGCGATTATGGCGACAGAAATGAGAATGAATGCATACAGGAGTCGCCACATCTCTAGCCCCCGGGAAGTGATCGGGCGTGTAGGGCAGCTTCGCTACTTCTTCCTTGGACAGGTGGGGGATGGACGTCGTTAAAGGTCCAGGCAGGACCTGATCTCGAACCGGGTACAAGGTATAGCGGGCGGACCATAGCAACACGACCGTCGCCGCGAAGGTTGTTGCCACGACTGTAGACGTGCTAGAATTGGTGACGCCACCGAGAAGCCTTGTGATGAAATCCATGTTGTTTCCTGTTGAGGTCAAGGTGTCACGGTGGAAGAAGTACGAAATAATCTTGCGAGCCCGATTGCGTCGAGGTCGAGGTCTCGAGGGGCCCGCGCTCACAACCCGTGCAGTCTAGCAGGCTTCGACACCGAGTACAGAACAGCAGGCGCCAGCCTTGTGACCTGATCGCAGTCCACCTTCTTACAAACTGTGGACTGAAGTCGTCTTTCAAATATTACGCCATGGTGGCTTAGATTTCGGATCACGGTATCGTCATTGAAATGGACCCGAAAATGACTAAACGGAAAGGAGCAAGCGCCACGTGGCTGGGGCTCGGCGCTCCAAATTCAGCATTTGTAATAACTAGGTACGGAGTACTTCAGTCCCCTACTGTCAAATCACCGACTACGTACTTCGTACCTGGTAGCCATTTCGTTCGCATTGGACAGAATTAACTACCATTGAAATCGCAGCAAATGCCATCCCATCCTACAGTTTTTCCAATTATCCAAATCCCGCCATGTTACATAATCGTGCCATATATTCTCAGCGAACATCCGGCCGTTTCTCATTCATAATTTACACCACTAACTCAGGCCTACGGCCCACGCAGCTTCTCCCAGTTGTTTAATCAACTGCCGCAGGTTCTCCACGATGGGAGGTAGGAGGTCCTCTCCATTGAAATTTGCCCGAAGGGTGTCCTGGATGAGATTCATGCACGATCTCGGGTCGTCTAGCGGCTCCACGCGTTGTTCGTCTCTGGAGCGAATGCTTGGACGCCCCTGACCAAAGCCCACAAACCGTTGGATCTGGTTCGAGTCGAGTCCGTCAATGCATACAATTTCTTGCTTCTCAGTCGGTGATGACTGGTGCCGGCTAGCCTTGATGACTACTCCGTAGGTCCAGAGAGCCAGCGCTGCGTGGTGCACTGCTACCGCGTAGAAGTCCTTCAGATGCCCGTGAGGGAAAAGCTTGGCTTGGCGCAAGATCTGGCCCGCGTGCCAGACAGCTTGCCGCGCTTCTGCGCTTTCGGACCACTGTTGGAGGATGGGGTAAACCCTACGTGCTTGATCTTCGCCCTCTGTGCCAGCGAACAACTGGAGATCGTCCAGAGACACGTGTAGGTTCATTTGTAATAGATTAAGGAGAAGACCCTCCTGTGCTGACAGAGATGAATGCCAGTCCGAAGTTACCAGTTGAAAACTCTGTAGTAATCTGCTCAGTTCCTGATGTCGCGAGTTGAGTATTAGGTTAGGGCCGGTTTGGTATGCCCCCCGGAATGAATATGATCGGTGGACCGAGCTTAGCTGTCGCCATTCGAGAATCAAATTCCAGAAGCAGTGCAGGTAAACCGAGATGGAGTATTGCGCATCGAGGCGCTGGTGGTTTGCCGTGAGAAGGTTCACATCACGAATCAGATCCCCTAAAGCAGGTGGCCGTTTGCTCACGCCGGGCGACCTTGATAACCACTGTCTTTTCCATCCCGCGGCGCTCTTGGCAAACCAGAGCTCACGAGATTCTGGAAGTGGCAGTGTAAGTTCCGCATATGACATTGTTGGGGGGGCTAGTGTTGTCATCGAGGTTTGAGCATCCCGTAGGTAGCAATGAAACACGAGTCTAGGTAAAGGTTAGTATTCCAGAGCTCCAGCGCTTACACAGCATTGGGAACGTGCCTTTTCCACGACTCCAATTGGTACCACCTGCGCCACTTGTCCTCGAGAATTTGGCCTTCATCCGTTGGCTCAACGGTTATGAACGGATATGAGGAGCGCTGAAACTTTCCCCGGTACCGCATCATCTAGAAGTCGTCAGTACATCGATTGAGAAACTCCTTTTCCGCCACACTAACCGTAATGGGTATCAACAAATGGCACTCGGCGATCTCCATTTTACGCCTATTGCCACTCCATAGACCAATGTCTTGACACATCACAAGAGTTTGCACGAGCCCGAGGTCTTCTACGACGGTATTATTTTCCTCGAACTGCATCGCAACTCAGTCAGTATTTCCACCAAAATAGGTATTTTGCCAAAGTGGGGTTTGCTGGCTTCTGGAGCGGAGATAGGCTGTAATACTCACTCTCGCAGGAATGGCGAGTCCTACCACATGTGTTAGTTTTCATTATTTCCAGTCGATTCCAGAATTTGGTCTATCGGAACGGACCAACTTACGAACTGCTTCTTGCATTGCAAAACCAAACCTTCTCATTGTAGGGACTGGGGTCATAACAGCTCCCCCCGCCGCCGCTGTTGCCAGCCACTCCGGCCATTGTGTATTCAGGGTAAAGGAAGCCCAGTGAATCCAACCACTAACGGAGCAAGAATGAGAAGCCAAGTAAATGTGAGTCATCGTATCCATTACATCAACAGAGGGGAATGAAGAAGCCACACGTGTTCTTATAGTGTCGCTCTGGCACATCTGTAGCATGATACTTAATATCCTGTCCCTACTCGACAGGTCAAGTTTCTCCTGGACAACTCGATCCAGCCTCTTCTGGCTCTCTTGGAACTTCTGACTTGCGGTGTCTCGTACTGGCACCGGCAAGTTGCCGTGTTCCCCATATCCCGAGTCTCTTGGGTCAGGGATCCAGCGCCAAGGTGAGTCGGTCCATATCTTGACCAACTTCTGTCTCATGTGGTTCATGTCAATGGCTGAGTCGTCTGTTTGTGGCGTGGCTGCCTGGGTGACGCCCTGAGAATTGACATTACCATCCAAATTCCAATGGTCTAGCAGGCCAAAGTCAATTTCTGTTAGGTCGTAATTTGTATTGTCACAAAAGTCGAGAACAGCAAGGCCCTGTGATTCCTCCGGTCGCGCCGTGCTCATCGACGGCTCATACAGCACATCACGTAAGAAATCCGAAAAAGGCATCCTCGCCATGTTCATAGCCACCATGCCATTGGGAGGGTATGGGCTGGCGAACGTTTCCATCTGGCCGCCATGTTCTACCATGGTATCTGGCGTGGGCAGCTGACCCTCCTCGGGTTTGATGGCTGCGTTAGACATATTGGCTGGGCTGTCTCCTAGAGTGTGTATAGTGCCACTGGGAGAGTGATTCGAGTAGGGGCCTTGTACAGAATCCGGTGCGCTTGAATGCGCTTGTGCTGACAAATGGAGAAGGTGCATTGCAGCAGTCGAGCCGGGTTCAGACGAGGCGGATTCGCAGAAGAGGTTGCGGTTGCGACATCGCGTGCAGGGCTTGACCTCTTCACATTTCACACGGGCAGCGGCACAGGGCCGGCAGGCGTGGGAGACACGGCCGGCGGCGAGGGAGGCGTCAGTCCGTCTGCGCTTCTTGGCTGGGTCGTTATCATTATCGTGGTTGGCGGCATGCCGCTTCAACAGGTCGGCGCGGGCGAAGGCTTTGCCACAGACCTGACAGAAGAATCTTTTACCCAATGTATGTGTTTGGATATGACGCGCGAGGTGTTCGGGGCGCGAGTAACGCTTCTGGCAATCGGCACATTGGTAGAGGCTCTGCGTGATAGAGTGAGTGTTGGCTTGTGTGGTTTGTGGCAATTGGGCAGCGTGGTTAGGTCCAACACTGGGCGTGGGCTGGCCCAGGTTATTCAGAGGCGGGAGTGAGGCTGCCGCGGCAGGCGGAGGAGGGGGAAGCAGAGACGGAGCCGGCGCCGACGTGAAGGAATTAAAATTGGTTGCATGGGCCGAACTGGTATAGCTGACATTGGGGCCGGTAAGTGGTTGGTGGGCTTCCGGGACGGTATTCGCGTGGAGGAGACGACTTATTGAATTGGACGACATGATTGGGCTTTGCTCTGCTCGAACCGAAGCCCGCTGAAAGGGACCATGTCAGCTAGTCCGAAATCAGGATAATTATTCCCTTGTCCTGTCCTGTCCTCGGGACATTGGGTGACTGTGCAATGTCTCAAAAACCAAGATTCGCGTGAACCCGAAGCGGGAGGGAGCGCTGTCCGAAAAGAAGTATTTAGGTGGACTAGCACGTTGTGGTTGAGTCGGCAGAAAAGAGCTAGCAAGCAAGCGTCGTCATCCCCACATTGGCGTTGGCAGGGGTAGGCCAAGTACCGGCGGAGGGTTTTCTTCGTCTTCAGGGTGCCGCGACGTGCGCAACCAGTTCAACGACTTCTACGCATTGCGATTCGAGAAGATCTTGGGAGGGTAAGGTCCAAACGCCACCCTGTGAATAATACTTTGAAAGGTACGAGTCTTGGGGCCATTCGAGGATCTCAGTGTGGTTATCTACGTCTTGTCCAGGGTTGTCAGGCCCAGACTGTGTCTGTCGGGGTGGCCTCGCGGCGCCGATTATCAACACCACACCTTCAGAAGCTCGGTCAATAGTGCTGTCGCACAAGCACTTAAATCCAGCTGGCGAGGGTGGCATCTCAAGCTCCTGCCAACTTCTAACTTGGGGGCAATGAGAAACTTCCCCGCAGTCCAATAGCAGGGCAAATTGAGCTTCTCCTAGTGATTGCAACTCCCAGCTTCCAAATGTTGTCGCACGCATGCTAGCCAGCCGATACTTCATCAAGAAAGGATCTGCGCTTATCACAGTTTGGTACTCCGAATCCTTGCCATATCTGCCATATCAGCCATATCAACATCGCGACCAATTGACCTGTCATAACAGGAAGGGCTTCTTCGAATCAGGAACACCGTCCATGACGCGGGAGAAAACGGCACTCTAAACCACCGAAAACGAGGTCGTCCTGCATTCTATGAATTTCAAATTTCCATTGTTTCCGTCATTAAATTCCACGACCCCGTCTTTCTCTGTCCATATTTTAACTACCTGAAAACTGGGAAGCTGTAGCCTCAAGTATGGAGGGGTATGAGGCAGGCACGGATGGTTGTATTTACGGACCCCTCAGGGCCAACTTGGAATTGGTCCCTAACGCACCAAGAACCATAATATCAAATCTGGCATGCCTATTTGCTCTGGAAACAGACTTTGCTCTTCCGACTGGTCTACTTGGTTTAAACAACGTTGATGATATTGAATTGTTTATCACTTCGTACCCTGATAATAGTTGACCGTTAATTTTGAGAATTTAGAAATTTCTGAATTCGTGACGCGGCCTCGACCTGCGTTGCTACAATGCTGCTCTCTTTGGGACTGAAGGCTGACGTATGCCTCCGCATGAGCTTGGCCTAGTGATCTTGGCATCAGTGAGGTGTGCCCAGTACCGAACGACTTGAAAAGTGAGGTTGGGATCGCAATTTTCTACAGTAGTGTGTTGCTATAGTCTACATATCGTTGGGAGACAATTACCTCTGATTGCTTTCAGTCCCGGTCGTGTTCAATTTCTGTGAGATATTCGCGTAAGAATAACAAGCCTGCATCCCAAAATCTTCAACCCATTTTTACGTAGCCGTCGAAACGTTGGATGCTGTTCAACTCGAGTTCACCTCGTATTGGCAGAGCTCATTGAAGTACAGAATCGGGGTAGGTATGATATCGCATGAGTTATACCTTGAATGCACCTCTGTGCGGCCAATACGAATTGTACAATAATGCCCATAATTGCCCCTGGGTCCAGCGTGTTCATTTTACGGTATGGTACGGTACGGTACCAAACTAATGGAATGTCCCTTACATCGCCAAACCCCCAACTACTGGGGTACGTAGTAGTTGGATGTGATGTTAATGGCCCTTAGGAGCGTCGCATTTTCCCATATTGCCCAGATCCTGAAAGGAGTTCTTGAAAGGAGACACCCTTGTGACGTTTGCATAGTTATTCATGTTGAGTATTTGCCCGTGGTTTCTCCAAGAAAATTTAAACACACAACGCTCCATCAAGCAATTGCCGGCACATGTCTTTAGCATTGGTTCTAGACTAGTCCTCGAAATGCATTAATCCTCCAATGGCACGTTGTAGGGTCCTTTTAGGGTCCATCATCAAAGTCGGACTTATGCCCAGGGTATCTAACTCGTACACTACCTGACTGCTTCTTCGTGGAGTTGCTGAGATGTATCTGCCCTAGATGCCTATAACCCAAAAGCGATGCATCACTTTTGTAAGCCAACAACATCAGCGAATACGTGGGAGACGGCTGTTTCACTCAACATTATCTAAACCACATCCTGACGTCTTTCAAGCTGGGTTTTGCCGGCATCCATTAGGAGTAATTGTCAACATCAATCGTAACTGCCTGCCCAAACATTCGTCGTGGCTTGCACTATTTCATTGGATTATCATTGTCGATTCGGCTATTAGCTGCCGGAAACCGGGCGGGAAGTGGAGGGCACCCCTCCATCACAACTTTAGAAGTGCCGTAAGGGTTCTGGGCATGCCTCGTGGCCGGCGAGGTATATCTCTGTAGCTCGATGTTACTGCTTGGAGGAAGCTTCCGGGTCTTTGAAACTGCATGCAAAGACTATTGCGGCTGATTCCGCCAAGTTGCATCATCGGGATTCATATTCTAGTGCTCGAGCAATAACGTGTTGACACTCAGCAGCGAGCTACCCTACCAAATCTACCTCCGAGTCACCTTGGCAACCACACATTTGGTTTCAGTGCAGATTCTGCAGCAAACGCGGGAGCATCTGCGACTTGGCCCACCGGTCAGTCGCTCAGTATTACAGTCCCAGAAGAACAGGACAGCCAGAGTGAGCATTCAGATAGCTGGTCTACCTACGGCCGCTGATTTCGGCCCCACCGTTGTTGGGGTTGGGGTTTCCTAAAACTCCCTTCCGCTGCCAGTCCAGGATGCTATAGTTTTCTCTGGAGCCTCATATTTCTGGCTGCACTCTATATTCGTCCTGGCGCCAGCACCGTGCAACTGACCCTCTCGATATAAGTCAGATTACGGAAACATAGGGAGAACTCATCACGTTAAACAGCACTCTATCGTCTCCATCATGGCCGATGATCATACCATGCCGTCTCTCAAACCTGAGATCGAAAATCCTTCCGCCAACAAGACAAGAAAGAGAACTCTCGGGAATGTCCGTGTGCGACATCATGAGACGAACGAACTCATTTTGGTTCCAACACCCTCCAGAGATCCCAATGATCCTCTCAACTGGTACGATGAAACCACATGTACTGCCTTTTGTCTGTGACTGACGAAATCCAGGTCTCAAACTTATAAATACTATGTGGCCACCCTTATATGCTTGGCCATGATGATCTGCAACTTTCTCGCTGCCGGTGAGAACATACGCAGGCTACAATCACTGCCAAAAAGTTTCAAGCTGACCTTGATACAGGGCCAAGCGTTGCCATCATCTCCACTGCCAGAGATTTCTTCCCAGAGCTTTTTGCCACGGGACAGATCCCAACTGCCATTAGTAAAGTCGCGTACTTCTTCACGGCGACAGCGTTGTTGCAAGGGGCTGGCAACTTTTTTTGGATGCCTCTCACGAACAAATTCGGCAGGCGACCGGTTTATGTCTCGAGCTATAGCCTTTATTTTGCCACCGCAATGTGGCTTATCTTTGAAACCAACTACGGCGCCTTTCTTGCAGGCCGAATAATACTGGGTCTAGGTTCCGGCGCTGCTGAAACGATCGCCCCTGTTTCCATTGCCGACTTATTTTTCCTCCATGAACGCGGCTTCGTTATGGGGTAAGTCTGCCTTGCATAGAGTACACTCCTTGAATTATTGCTGATGTCTCTAGTTTGTACACATCGTTCCTCTCAATCGGAGTAGCACTCGGTATTCTGATCGATGGGTGGGTTTCCTCAGGCAATCAGGGAACATGGCTGACGCACGCCAGGTTTATTGTCGTCCACCACGACTGGCAGGTAATATACCAAGTAGGCGCAGCGCTTATTGGCCTCGTCCTGACGCTGGCCTTCTTCACGTTTCCAGAAACGGCCTGCACGCGAGAAGCTTCCACCAACGCCTCAAGTTTATCTGCAGAACGACTGTCCCAAAAGCCAGGCCCATCCAGCGCTGACGCTGAGAACGGCGTGCAGATCCCTCGGAAACAACCATACTTGCAGCGCCTCAAGATCTTCAACAAAGTATGGACCCAGGAGAGCTTGATCAAAATGTTCCTAAGACCGCTAGGTCTCATCTGCCTGCCGCCAGTACTATGGGCTGCTCTCGTTCAGTCTGTTACCATCGGCTTTCTAGTGGCGGTGTCATCAAACGTTAGTAACGCATTTTACCATGCATACGCATTTGAACCGTGGCAGGTTGGCCTTTGTTTCATTTCCGCCATCATAGGTTCTCTTATAGGAATCCCCGCAGGCGGCCAACTTGGCGACCTAACGGCCGACTACTTCACAAAGCGCAACCGGGGCGTCCGTGATCCCGAAATGCGTTTGCCGGCCATGGCGCTCTGTCTCATTACTACACCTTTGGCACTTATTCTGTATGGTGTGGGCATTGAGAAACACCTCCACTGGATGTGCCCAACTATAGGTCTTGGACTTCGTAAGTCTTCAATATTAACACGAGAATTTGCAGTGTGCTAACTCATATTTCCCAGTCAACTTCTCTATTTCCCAGGGGACCAACGTTTGCCTCGTGTACGTCATCGACGCATACCGACCAATTGCCGGCGAAATTACGTTGGCAGTTACAGGATTTAAGTGTAAGTGACCATGTAACCCGAATTACGGAAGAAACCAGAGCCTTACCAGCATACCATAGCACTCTTTGGATTCCTTCTCTCGTTCTACACGAATACTTGGGTCGAACAATCTGGCTACCTCAATGCGTTCGGTGCGATGGCTGGGATTTCTGTAGCCATTTTGATGCTTTGGATTCCGCTATATCTTTGGGGCAAAGAAATTCGGCATACGACCTGGCACTGGCCGGTACTTTCGTATATACATTGGGATAATGATCGGGAAGTGGGGGAATAGGGGTATTGTTGGTACGGTATCCTTCTGCATTTGGCCTTAGATTTTCGTTTACGTTGGCAGTGGGTTCCTCAAAGTCGAGATACTTCACCTCAATTGAGCAATACTCGAGATAAAGAGCAAAACCAAATTCGAAGAGAACGAGTAACTTCAGCAGAGTCCAATTCCATGCCGGCGCAGTCGAGCATCCGATACGATGATCCATCCTTTGGTTCGTATCTACGTCAAGTTGAAACCTGCATCCATCAACACATTCACGCCAGTCATGCTTCTATTCTTGGCAAGCCCGAGTACTTGCTCAGCAACATCCTAGAAGGTGAGAAAGTCAGTACAAGTCTCTCTCCTCTCCTCAGTACCTATGTAGTGTCACATACCTCAACGGTTACGATCCGTTTGAGTTTCGTCTTCTGACGATGGGCCTCCTTCTGCTGGTCTGTGAATCTATCACCCCATTCCTACCACTCACTAGTTAGTAGCGCAGCCGACCTTTGTTCTGGGTGAGAAGACTCACTGTGAGCAGTAATCCAGGGGAAACACTGTTCACTCTGATATTGGGAGCCGCCATGACGGCAAGTGACTTGACCAGTTGGATCTGAGCCGCTTTTGTCACACCATAAGCCTATCTCATGTTAACCAGGACGTCTGATAGGGGTTTGGGCGAGACTCACCAGAGAGCTTCCGCTGACACTGACACCCGCCAGGGATGCAGTCGTAATGAAGCAGCCCTCGGTCTTGTCCAGGTGCTTCCGTGCCGCGTGCATCAGCCATAAATGGGCCTTGACGTTCATGTTGAAGGCGCGGTCCCAGTCCTCCTCGAAAACATTGTCTATCCCCATTAAACCCGTGCTGCTCAATATGATAGGGCTATGGGGTACCAACCATCAATACTATTCATATCCCGAAACTTGGTCCAGCCACCATTGGAGAAGACAACGTCCAATCGTCCCATCTCGGTCACTACTTCATCGACAAGCCGCTTGATATCATCCCGGCTGGCCAGGTCAGCCTTGATGGCCACGAAATTCTTGTCATTTCCACCTGCGGCTGGTAGCGTAGACAACCCCGCCAGTTCCTCCACAAGGATGTTGGCGCGCTCGGCTTTGTTATTGTAATTGACAGCCACTCGGTAGCCATGCTTGGAGAAAAGCTTGGCGGCGGCAGCACCTAGGCCTGCGCTCCCAGCTGTAATAAGCGCGACTGGGGATGAAGTCATGGTATTTCAGATGAATGCAAGCTGCAGTACAGTTGATAATGTTTGCTTGCAAGACAAGGGGAATGTCTATCACCCCTTGCTTCCAGATCTCGAGATGTTGCGATCACCGGCTCGGTTCGGTACCGACCGATTGGGTGGATGACGGGAGACGGACCGCTGCCGATTTTGTGGTTCCCCAAACGTGGTGGCACCCACTTTGAAGCCAAGTCGGAAAGAACTGTTCAGGATACTTGCAACCCGATATTCTTGCTATAACAGCGCAGAATACACTGCTCCCACTTGTTGTCACGAAGTCTGTGGGAACAACTTCGACATTCAAAGAGTGTTTCAAGTGTTTTGCTCCACGTTTCGGGAATTTATATAATGCCGTATCGTGCATTGTGGTGAAGGATATGTAGGTACCTCGGGTGTAATGAATGCAAACAGCCACAGCCGGTAAGCGACATTCACACCCGGCAGTTTGCCTATCACGAACCAACTTACGTGATGTCATGCATTCACTGAAGTACTTGAGTACCTCTACTAATGTACTATAGTAATGGGAACGAACCTTAGAGCCGGGACGGTACCGGACGACCCCCACCTCGGAACCTATCTGGGCACCTATTGCAACATACCAGACTTGGCACTACCCGAGCATGCTGCCTCCCATGGTCTTCCTTCCAAGAGACCTCACCGGGCCCGCCCAGTCCCTTTGGCCGCGGATAATGTAACGTGGAGCCAGCTTCCTAGCCCCGTTTCTGCGAATCCCACTCTCGGGTTGGGCTATGTGGGGCAGGATTGGCGAACCGGCCGCCTAGCAGCAACCACAGCTTGCTAGATCCAGGCGTCCAGTCTCCTTCCAGCCCCAACTGATTCGTGAACCACCTTCTCTAAACATGTCGGCGACACAAATTTGAAGACCCGAATCCACCCAGACAGAATCGATTATGTCTGGGGCCTTGTGCAGATCAAAAGGGTTGGCACTGCTCGTTGTTCATATATTTCTGCTTATATCTCCTTGCTCCACGGATTGCCTTGTTAAGCTGTAATGCACCCAATACTTCGTGTCCCTGTTGTGGATACTCGATATTGTACAGTTCTTTACCATTTCCAATAATACATAGTTCAGGGGAATAGACTACCTACCATCAATATATACCCTGCCCCGGTTTGCTATACGATGGCTCTGCGTGAAGTGCCCACCACGAACGGTGTGGCACCTAGCGCTCTCATCCACGATTACCCCAATCCTTTCAAGATCGTCATCGTCGGAGCTGGCATAGGTGGTCTGTCGGCAGCAATTGCTCTCCGCCGTCAAGGTCACAAAGTCGACGTATGTCCACATGTCGGTTCTATAGCTTCATCAGGCTGACCAAAAGAAAAGCTTTATGAGCAATCGAAATTCTCCAGTGAAACTGGGGCTGCCGTCCACCTGGCGCCCAACGCTAATGGTATCCTCCGTCGTTGGGGCGTTTTTGCCGAGAGATTCGGCGCCGTCGAAATGAAGAGGTTGGTAGAGCTTGCGCCTGGGGGCGGCATTGTGAGGGATGTTGATTTAACGGTTACAAACAAGATGTGGCAGCATCCCTGGCAGCTGGTCCATCGAGTCGCACTCCATGAAAAGCTCAGGGATGTGGCAACAACCCAAAACGCACCTGGTAGTCCTGCTACCCTGAAAACCTCCAGCAAGGTGGTCGACATCGATGCCGAGGCAGGCAAGGTGACCCTTGAGGATGGTACATCGATCACAGCAGATATTATTGTTGGAGCGGACGGCATCTACGTAAGTTGAAGCAAACAATGCGGATCGACAGGCTCTGACTGGTGTTAGTCGAGGACGAGGAAGTTCGTCCATGACGAAAAGCTCTTCCCCTCTGGCAAGGCAGCCTTTCGCTTTCTTTTGGACCGCAAGGTTGCTCTCGCAGACCCAGTGACGGCACCCTTGGTAGAGAAGCTGGATACCCTCACCATGTGGTACGGGTCCGACAGAAGGATGGTCATGTATCCGTGCAACGACAACAAGACGTTAAATTTCGTCTTGATACACCCCGATACCGAGACCCATGCCAAGTCGAGCGACGGTGAGCTAGGCTTCTATGTAGTATGTTGATTTTATGGCTGATCACTACTAGGCTGGAACAAGCAGGGTTCTCTCGAACAGATCCTGAAGATATATGAAGACTTCGAGCCTGCGGTGAAGAAACTCATCAGCAAGGTCGATCCCATGGAACTGAAAGTATGGCAACTGTTGGATATGGAAAAACTGCCGTCATGGACAAAGGGCAAGCTATGCCTTATTGGAGATGCTGCCCATCCCTTCATGCCACGTTAGTTTTGCGTCTCTCTACGTCGGGGGATGCCGTGTTAACGCACCACAGATCAGGGGCAAGGCGCTGGTCAGGCAATGGAGGATGCTGCGGCATTGGCCACTGTCCTACCCAAAGGAACCGCCCCCAGCGATATTCCAGAACGCTTAAAGCTTTACGAAAAGGTCAGATACGATAGAGCTCACACCGTGCAAGAATTCTCGAGACAAGCGGGACGAGACTGGGTTAATGGGAAGCCGCAGATTGAGAGTAAGTCCCAAATAGCACCACATCAGGCCAATATTGACCCTAACAAAATGCAGTGACGACTTACACAAGTTTCAACTTCGGTCACGACGAGATCGATAACTCTGCCAATGTCTTCAAGAGATGGCTTTGGTCACAGAAGAAAAACATGTACTGGAGAATGCCCATTGGGTTCGGGCCGTTTCCGGGTCCACGGCAAGACGCCTTCGGCCGTCCTCGAGCTGGACAGAGCGAACGTACGTTCCAAACCGCTTCAATCAAGTTCAAGACTTCTAGAACTTATCTCGAATCGATCCTACCCACTGAGTCATTCAATTTCAAGAGTCCGGCCACGGTGTGTACAGCTAGCATATCTGTCACAAGTCTGGGCAATATGTCCTGGCTTGGAGGCGGAGGCTACGACCACTGCGGTCTCTACATCCACGGCGTCCAGTACACAAGGAAAGACGGGTCGACCATCAACGGCACGTACCTGCCAGTTCTATTTGAAAGCCTGAACGACCCCATTATTTCGGGTCGCGACGAACTGGGCATGAACAAGCTTTACTGCCAGATCGACATCGACCGCACCGCCAACTCCTACCGTGCCCGCTGCTCCTGGCGCGGGGCGGAGTTCCTCGACCTCGAGCTGCAGAACCTGACGGCAGACAACCCCAAGTCGGAGGCTGGTACGATAGGGGGCGAGAATGACTATGGTATCTTGACCTACAAGTACATCCCCGCTGTGGGCGAACCCGGGAAGGCGGATGTTGAATACGCGTGTGTGGTCCCGCACGAGGAAGAAGCGAAAGTAGCCCCTGCTACTGTCAAGTCTGTGGCCAGGTCAGACAAGGCGAGCATAAGGTTCGATGCTGGGGACTGGGACACCCTGCCGACGCTGCACCATATCACTTCGAGTCTGGCTGGCATCCCCATTTACGAGATTATCAGCGCCAAGATAGTGCAGGGCTTGGGGGTGCCGGATGTGTCGTCTTGCAGACGGACAGAGTGAAGGAGTCTTAGATGTTGGTCGTCAAGGTTGCACGTGTGGAGCGCATCTGAACCTCTATGGGTTCGCAATCCCAATATAGTCAGTCATTTGTCCGTCTACGCGTGGAGATTCGCTCTCAAGGATGAAATCGGGCTAGTATGCCTGACGTTGTACTATCTCTTACAGGGTATTTCCACAATTTTGCATGCATCAGATGTCTTGATTAAACGTTGCCTAAACTCAGAGAGGCCGGCAATTGTCCTCTGCGGCAAGTGGGGGACTAGCCTGCCGTGCTGGATCTGTTGTGTGGAGTGCGGGGCCGAGCCTGAGTGCATCTCGAGCATCGGAATTCCTCTCAATCCGCCATTGGAACGTAGTGACGTCTAGAAATCGCTGGGTCGTCGTGAGCTCATCATTCTGTTTATTGGATCTTGAAGACAGACCTTAGTTTCCAACTCGATTTAATATCAGAGACCGCTTGGCTTACTTTCGTTGGCCGACTTACACCATACCCAACGCTGGTATATTTCACACTTTCTAACTTACGGATAGTACAAGACCAAGAGAGCAAAATGTCGACTCGTCCCACCGGCCACAAACCCAACGACCTGCGCCAGATCAACCGTTTCATAACGGACCACAATGACATAGGCGAGGCCGTCTTTTCCACGGCCCTCCCGGAGCTTCTGCCAGGCAAAAAACAGTACAATGATGCTGTGTTTAGTCTGGGCTACTGCACCAACGAGAGGCCGGTGACATTGGCTGGGAATAAGGATCTAAATTCATATGCCGCGTATCTGAAGGACCCACAGGGAATTGTTGTGCCCGGTAAGCTGTTTTGTTGAACTAGCCCAGCAGATCATCGCTTCCGTAGAGGCGTACAAGACCATTCGAGGAACAGCTTTCCCCGAAGACATATGCTACATAGGCACGTGTGACCAAATGGTATTCTATGACGAGAACGCCCGAATAAATCCAATTCGATTCATTACTGACTAACCCCTTCATGCACACAGGCGGAACAGTAGCCCGCTACGTCGACATGGCCCCCGATTCCATCAGCCCCATGCACCGAACCGTCAGCCTGGACTACGGCGTGGTGCTCGAGGGCGAGATCGAGCTCGTGCTGGACTCGGGCGAGGTGCGCCGCTTGATGCGTGGCGACTTGGCTGTGCAAAGAGGAACTATGCATGCGTGGCGGAATCCGAGCAAGACGGAATGGGCGAGGATGTTGTATTTCTTGCAGGAAAGCCATACCGTCGAGGTGTCGGGTGGGAGGAAGTTGGGGGAGGATTATGGGGATATGGAGGGGGTCAAGGCTAGTGGCAATTGAATAGGGATGAGGACGGGACTAAGGGGGCGAGAAGGCGGCTAGAAAGATGAACGAATGTGCGATGCTCCAAGACATGGGGTATGTGAGCCTCATGGGCATACTTCAGTGACCCTGTGCTTCTGTCGTACTCTAATTCATAATCTGCATCATTTGAACTGGATACTGCGAACTGACGCCCCCTGGTATTTGAATCAACAAAAGTGGCAACCCAAAGTCTCTGGCGAGGCCATTCTCATGTAACGCGGCTACAGGTTGCCAAAAATATAGAAAAACTCTGCCTTAAATAAACCTCTCACCTTTCACGTAAATATCCCACTCTCCATCCTCCGCCCCCTCCTCATGTCCCATCCCAAAAGCTCCTTACAGAAGACTACGATGCTGTCATCTATTCCTGCCACCACACTCGCAGTCGTCGGGGGTCACGTCTGTGGGGTTCAAGCGAGACTGTAGGTCGGGAAAGGGAGAGCCCGGCGGCCCCGGGAATTGGCGATGAAGACGGTGGTGGTAGTCTTGAAATGCCTTTCGATCTGGAGTAGGAAGTAGTGATCGATGGTTTGTTGGGTAGTTGGTAATAGAGGTTTGACATCATGATAGAGGCGTGAGTTGATGATCAGCGAACCCCCTGGCTACAGTTCCCGCTCTTGTAGTTGTAGAAGCGGGGGTGCGGGAAGGGAGGAGATTGGCTGGGAGGGTGTCAGGAAGTAGCGACCGTTTATTTTCATGAACCAATCGTGGGTAGCTGCATTCAGACAACCCCCCTGGCTTGCGCTACAAGCAAACTTCTAGCTCCCGGGCTATTAGTACAGTGACCGGTATGTAGTGTCTCAGGTTTGTGTGTATACATGAACTGTTCGCTAATGGTTACTTATTCAATCAATTTGGCGCAATCCAGGACCAAGAGGCATATAGTCCCACCTTGTTCATCGCAAAGCTCCCGTATGTTGGAGCGAGAGAGCAGTCAATTCCGTATATTGTATACGTGCAAAAACAACCAACGGTTATTCATTCATACACAGGCATCGGCCCCCAGCATAGCGGTGGATGGAGTTTCAACTGTTATGGTTCTTGTTCTGGCACTAAGCTTGTGTATTAAGTTGAGAGGTCGTTCAAGAGAAAGACAGAAATTATTATGCAACACATAGTTGAAACACCCCTGTGGAGATGTTTTTCTATGATCGTCGTGGCATAGGTCCGACAATGCGATCGCCACCAACCCATAACCACTGGCTGTTTGTTTTCTTCTTGTTTTCTTTCCAGCCGGAGAACGAGTGAAGAATAGACACCCCAGTCTCCAGAGTCCATACACTTGCCTCTTACTTTTTTTCTTTCTTGTTCTTGTTCCAGTTATAGCTCAATGACAACCGCGTCACCCACGAGGTCGGCCACGCCGTCTCCCCAGATGCCAACCACCGCCATCATGAAGCCGAGACCCATCACGACAGTCTTCACAATCTGGTCTCTAACAAACAATTCGACCTCGCCGCGGACCTCCTCGCCGTTGATATCCTCATCCACTTCGTCCGAGCCCTCGTCACTGTGCGAGTCGCCGAGCACCTCGTAGGAAGCCTCCATGCGGCGCGCAGCTTGCTTCTGCTTTCTCGCATTAGCCGAAGCGGCTTTGCGCTGTGCGGCGGGCGACGACGAACTAAATGAGCTGGATGAGGAGGCGGAGATACCGAAGATCTTGGGAGAGACATGGTGCGTCAGGCGGGTTCCGAACACGAAGAGTGACGTATAGAGAAGGTAGGGATGGCGGTAGGGCCGAGGCGAAAGGGCGAAGGCGAGGAAGAAGGCGGTGCCCGACAGGCCCGTCAGAGCGTTGAGGTGGGTTGTCGCCGTGTCGGTCAGGGAGCGGTAGGCCTTAGCGGCTGTCGAGGCCGAGGGTAGTTCCAGGAGTGAGGGGATGGTGAGGGTTGAGAGGGTGTAGGAAGCGCCCTGTTTGCCATTGTCAGTCTGCGTCCCGGCGTAATGATGCTTTGAGGTGATGGAGCGAATGCGAGTGCCAGCCCAAGTGCTGCGGCAGATGTCATCGTGAGGTACCCTTGCGGGCAGCGGGGTCCTCGAGGGTGCAGCTGCAAGTGGGGTAAGGCCATTACGCCATGGAACGAAAGCTACCGAGGTCACCTACCGTCAAGAGTCCAAGGGAGACGGTCCCTACGAACTTGAGTAACGACACCTTTTTGGACGCCATGTTCACTGCCGTCTTGATGAAGATGTGATTGTGGGCTTCGATGCGGATGAAAAAGTAGGCAGTCGTTGAGATGGTGGTGACGTTGGGCGCTTCAGGTGGCGCTGTGGTAGGCAGTGGGCGAGACGCACTTTGCCGTTTATTCCTGGGGTCCGAGGAAAGAAGCCAATCAGACCCATTTGGATTAGCACCGCAATTGAATGTCAACTGAAGACCGCATTGGTCCCGCTTCGCTTCATTGACCTGTACCCAGCTATTTGGCCTCAGGCAGCAATTGAAACAGGTCGCGACCGGCATTCCCACCAATTGTTTACCGACTCCAAAGTAGCTCTCCTCCCCAGCCGAGGTTGCGTCCGAATGCAGCAAGCCAATTGTTCACTGAAAGTCACTGAAAGTGGATGCAACTTTCCTCATCAGCCGAGGTTGCGTACGAATGTAGCAAGCTACCAAGGCTTCCTATCAGCTTCAGACTCGCATGCGATGTGTTCCGTCTGGACGAAATGCGTGCAAGCTGTGAAATTCCGATCATTTCGTACAGTACATTTTGAGATGATTAATCAGGTAAGCTATCCTAAAAGGGAATGCATATAATCTATAAAAAGCTCGTCCCCCGGATTTTAGTCTACAAGGGGTTCCGGACGGCGGTCCGGATACCGGTTGGAACAAATCCAGTACTGTGATCACCATCAAAACATTCATACAAGCACATTTCTCTCTCGCGTTCTCCTCTTGGCTTTCGGTGTCTTGTTCGTGTACTTTATTACCTAGATTGACTCGAGTAGCAGCTAGATCCCGATATTAACTCGCCGTCCACCCCAGCTTCTGCTTATTAGCTTCCCCGTCCATCCCCCTTGCCATCTTCGCCTGCAGCACAGGAGGCATATATCATGCCTATCCCAAGGTCTGAATACCTCAGTACGGTATGGAAGGACGACATCTTCGGTCAGTGCATGCATCCAATTCCATGTTTAATCCATTTGAATTGACAGACCCGTCTGTATAGCTGGCCGGGTGGCTTTCGTCACTGGCGGCGCGGGCACGATATGCAGCGCCCAAACTCGAGCTCTCGTATACCTGGGTGCGAATGCTTGCATCCTAGGCCGTAACGTAGAGAAGACAGAAGCGGCAGCGAAGGATATTGCCACGGCCCGACCAGGCGCGAAAGTGCTTGGAATTGGCGGGTGCGACGTCCGGGATGTATGTGGCTGAGCACTTGGATGACCTGTCTCCGTACTGGGGAGCGAGACACTGACATATCCACCAGCCCGAAAGCCTTAAAACGGCCGCTGAAAGATGCGCGAAGGAGCTTGGAGCAATCGACTTCGTCATGTAAGATGATATCCCTCGGGTTGTGCCCGTCAAAAGCTAATCCGCTGCGTCGCAGAGCCGGTGCTGCCGGAAACTTCGTTGCTCCCATGTCCGGGCTTAGTGCCAATGGCTTCAAGACAGTCATGGATATCGACGTGCTGGGAACGTTCAACACGATAAAAGCGACGATGCCCTATCTTATCGAGTCGGCAAAACGTAACAAGAATCCGAGCGACGACGGTCTGACGGGCGGGAGGATCATATACGTTTCCGCATCCTTCCATTACACGGGGACGCCGCTCCAGTCTCATGTGTCCGCCGCGAAAGCCGCCATCGACTCTTTGATGGCCTCTGTCAGCCTTGAATACGGCCCCTACGGCGTCACTTCTAACGTCATCACACCCGGTGGCATTGCGAATACCGAAGGCATGGCGCGGCTGTCGAGCAGCAAGATGACGCAGAAGCAGATCGCGGCGGGCGTGCCGATAGGTCGGTACGGTACGATCCGCGATATTGCCGATGCCACGGTGTATCTCTTCAGCGATGCTGGGAACTACGTTAATGGCGAGGTCCTCGTCGTGGATGGTGCTGCGTGGCGGCTGCACAACGGGGCTGGAGTCGGATTGGATGCGGACATGAAATACCCAGATTTCATACTCCGAGGCGAGTTCTCGAAGCATGTGAAAACTGGGAGGATGGAGAAAGCTAAGCTATGAGGATGTTTTCACAATTATTTGCGGCTGTCCTACGCGACTGATACAACAATGGTGGTTCGGTTATCTACGTTTATTTGGCAACAGCTGTATGCACTCACTCACAGATGGCGCGCAAAGCTGGCGGACTGCCAATATATATATTCACTACTGAACGGGCATGGCATAGGAGCCCAGCCTTATAGGCGACAGTTGACCGTTGCTTACCCAACCATTCCAAAGTCGACGTAAGATCATCCGCATCCCACTATTCATTTCTGTTCGGGCACCAACACAGTGCCCTCCTCTGTTTCAACCTTCTCCCGATCCGCGTAATGCTTGTCCACGTCCTGTATCACCTGCCTTCCCCTAAAGTTGGACATGATATTCTGAGCCTTAGACCGCAACCTATACGAATACCATTGAGGCAATCCCCGCAACCACCGCAACGTCCACCCAAGCGTCGGGGTGATAATCTGTCCCGACTTGCCCGAGAAGATCTGCGTCGCAATCGCATCTGCGACGCTCTCGGGCTCGAGCGCGGGAAGCATAAAAGGCTGCTCGTTATGATATCCCGTGAACAGCGCCGTCTTGGTGTACCCCTGGTTCACAACAACGGTTCTAACTTTGGGTGCATTATACCGCGTCTTCAACTCGGCCGTCAGCCCCTCGTGGAAGGAGAACGCGGCGGCCTTCGAGCAGCCGTAGTCGACCATGTTCGGGACGGTGAGCCAGGCGGCGAAGCTGGCAATCGTTACCACCATACCGTGGTTCTTACAGATCATAGCCGGCAGAAACTCGTGTACTGTATAGTAGTGGGCGAAGCAGTTGACGTCAAAGGTGAACTTGAGGTCCCACTCCGAAGTGTCGAGGATGGATTTACCCCTGGCGACGCCGGCGTTGTTGACGAGGATCGTCGGGTCGCCTACTTCGGCGCGGATCTTGGCGGCTACCTCGCTCAGGTTGGCGGCTGAGGTAAGGTCGCACTTGTAGTGGTGCACCTTTGGACCTAGGTATGATTAGTATTGCTGTGGTATGAAGATGACCGAATGTTTCGGTCCGGACCAAACTCACCGGCTTCGAAAGTCATGGGTTGGATGTCCAAGACCACGACCGCAACACCCCTCTCTGCGAGTAGTCTGACTACATGACCTCCAATGCCACCCGCACCCCCAGTGACCACAGCAATCTCATTCGGCCAGTCATAGGTATCCGTCGTCCAGTTGTTCACCACGCCCTCTGACAGCTGCGAACTCAACCACTTTGCCAACCCAAAGAAGAACAAAGTTTTCAAACGCGAAAACGCAAGGGGGTGTACTACGGACAAATCCTCTCCCTTCTTTGTCAACCGCGTCGCTAGTAGTATAGGGAGCAACACGGCCGGGTTGAGGGCGGTCTTGTTCAGCAGACTGAATATGGGCTCCGCGCTGAATCCCTCACGGGGAAGCCACCCCTTGTGAATAGGCATCTTGGAGATGGATGCCGTACGAAACCAGGGAACTTACTTATACGGTCTGGATGGTCAGAGTAACTCAGAAGTAGACAGACCCTTATTATCAAACTCGCAAATCAGTGGATGGGGTAAAAAAGAGGAGTTGCAAAGGGCGGCACGAGACAAGAGAAGCAAATTAAACCGGTAAATCGGCAGAGAGGGGACATCTAATTAATACGGCTGAGGATCTTCCTCTTTACATGTAAGTGTCAAGTGACGGAGCTACCGCACCACACAAACCCCGGTGTGGAGAGTGGCGTAACGACTTTGGCGCGCAGCGGAGTGCGGGGATGTTGGGGATGGAACCTGGAACTTGGGCGAGGTTGTTTCCTGTTTGGGGGATCTTATGCGGCCAATATCCATGTGGTGCAAGGTGAACTGGATGATGATGCGCTGAGTCGTGTTTTGACTGTCCCACTTCGGGGGCGTTCCTGGGTCCGAAGCTGGGCTCAAAGCTGTCATACCAGGTTTGTTTTCACTACCCGCCTGCATGTCGCCTGGCATATTGTGCTGCGTGATGAAGAAGATATTGAAGTTGCTAGCTGAGGAAACTGACAGGTGCCACCAGGGTAGGCGGAATATCCAATTACACCAACCTAGTCATGTTGCTCACCCAGCAGTAAATCTCGCCTAGGTCGTGAAAGAGTTGGCAAATGAGATATTGCCATTCTTAACCGTCTCTGCCGCTGTACGAAGTAACACTGCAGTTGAATCAGTCATCCGTGAAGTGATCTCATTCACAAGCGAACCACTACTCACTCAACACTGCCTTGGAAAAACTCATCATAGGGTATCATCACGTTAGTAACACCAGAAAGACGGCCAAACCCGCCATCCAACACACCGCGCCCGACACGCTCGACGAACCAGCACCTCCGAGACCATCACCGGCCGTCGCCTCGGGTTTGCTACCGCCGAGGCCTTCTTCGTCGTCCGAAGAATCCGGATACGTAGCCTCGACCTGGGTCGCATCACCCGGCGCGAACAGGACCCCGACCGTATTGGCGGCGGCGGCATCGATCTGGTCCTCCGTGAGCAGCGGGTTGTCGAGCGAATCGCACGACGGGTTGCCGTTGGAGGGGATGCTATTGGTGACAGAGATGGGCACGTCGAAGATGGTGTAGTGGTCCTCGTTGTTGAGGCGGAAGTTCTGGCGGATGGAGATCTGGTGCGCCATCACGTTAGGCCAAGGTTAAAACGTACAACACTGATAGGGTGTAAGTGGTACTTGCGTTGTATATCCCACGGTCACTGTCGCTCGTCGTGGGCTGCCCGTCACCAACCAGGCAGTCGGGCCACTGCCACTTGACATGTTTTACGGTGCTGCCGGACTCGGAAAGCATTATGTCGCCCAGGCTGGCGTTGTTTGCGGAAGCGGTCCCGTTGGTGATAGTGAAGTTTCTCCCGGTCGTGTAAGACGACAGGAAGATGGTAATGTTGTAGATCTTGCTGGGGCTACCGTCGCCGTATGGAGGCAGGTTCAGCTTGCCGTTGGCTGAAACATCGAGCGCTACCTCTATGGTGTCTTTTTCCAAATTTTTCGATTAGATCTTGTTCGGGAACTTCGGGAACCGGGTGAAATAATGGTAATCGGCCACTCACCACCACCTAGTGGTGTTCCTGGTTGCGGCGCATCAAGCACTGCGAATCCCGGGGTAAATATCTGCCCGTTGGCGATTGTGAAATCGGCTGCCAGAGCCCGCGAAAAGAATAACGGCAGCAAAAATGCCGGTAGTTGAGGTTTCATCTGGATAGTGTTTGTCCCGGGTATACGGGTTGCGATGCTAACGACGGTTACAATGAATGCAGAGAGAAGCGCGTGAGGAATATCCCATGGCAGGCCAGTATAGGTAGCAGACTATTTAGCCAACGTAGCAAGTCGACGGATCCAGAGGGATTAAAAAACAAATAGCAAGAAGATACGGCAGCACACCATCGTTAAATTATGCTAGTAAGTAGGGTGATGGAATCAATAATAATCCTAGAAGCAAGTTGATTGTTGATTCGGCGAGCCTAGCCTTCTAGGAAGGTGGTCCTAAACCCAAGATTCTGCGTTGAATGTTCATGCACCAATACTCGGTTATGCGATGGCCGTGAGGGATGTTGAAAGATCCGGGCTCCGCTTATGAAGCGTTGCTCGCTCAAGAAGCTGACGATACTTCTAATCCATACCAACAACTGACACGTTGATACGACACTGTTGTCAAAGGGACATCCTCGAGCTTGTTTGACGTGCCAAGAACATCATCCGGACTGTGGCATCTCACTGCAGCAGCTTTTCGCAGGTCCTTGCAGCAGCAACCCTGATGACAGCCAGGGGCATCCAGAGCTGTTCAGAGAGGGGCACTTTTTGACAGCCCTATTTTACGGAGTACTGCGACGATGAATCTAACGTCGTGCAGCTGGGGTTTCAGGTTAAACACTAGAGCCCTTTCTTCTATATAAGGTAATCGCAGTGGGGCGCGCTAGGCAAGATGCTCTGTTTTGCGGTTGCACTTCGGAACCGGCCGAACACGATACGCCCGGTGGACTATCAGTTCGACACGAAGCGTTGCGAGTGGCTTGACATCTCGAGGGCGCGCCTGTAGTTGACCTCAGCTGCCCGACCTTCGCTTATATCGCAGTTCACTACACGGAGCAGCATTGACGACATTCTGTCAGCAATATTTGGTATCTAGTACTGCACTCGCTTGGAGATATACAGGTGTCCGAAATATACCTGAAACAGTGCCGCCAGCATTACACTTACACTACTGACCCCATCAACTTAAAGCCTGCGACGGATATTGTGCGGTAGAGAAGTGGTTCGCAGGATACTAGAGCACTGCTGGACGCCAAAATGAGGGCATTGCGGCGTTCGTGGGCTCTGGCTGGGTATGGCAACCGCCTTCGGCAATGCAGATCCTTCACAACGCCCGCAAATATTGGCAAACTGAGCGCTTTGAAGAACTTGCTGAAAGTATCCGACGAGGTTAGGGATGCTCTAGCGACGAACAAGCCGGTAGTGGCGCTCGAGTCCACCATCTACACCCATGGAGCGCTTGGGAACGACCTCGACCTGGAAGGGATAGTCCGCAAAACCGGAGGTGTCCCCGCCGTGGTTGGCATTCTGGATGGTGTGCCGACCGTTGGTCTGCTGCCCAACGAGGTCACTCAGATGGTCGAGAACTCACCGAAAAAGGCGTCGAGGAGGGACATAGCTTTCCTTGTCGGCAATGTAAGTTCTGGCTCACATCCCATTCGGTCTCGGGCCCATTTACTGAGTATTAACCCCGGCATCAGGGCATGCTGGGCAACAAAATGAATGGCGGCACAACTATCGCAGGAACCATGATTCTTGCAAGGCTAGCCGGTATTCGAGTCTTCGGCACTGGTGGCTTAGGCGGTGTCCATCGGGGCGGTCATAACTCGTTCGATATATCGGCCGATCTGACGGAGCTGGGCCGCACCAGAATGGCGGTGGTCGCCAGTGGTTGCAAGGGCTTCCTGGATATTCCTCGAACCCTGGAGTTTCTCGAGACCCAGGGTGTTCATGTGTCAACCTTTGCCGATGGCCGCCGGACTGGCAACGTTGACTTTCCAGCATTCTGGGCCCGTGAAAGTGGTGTCAAGAGCCCTGCCGTCGTGCAAAATGAGGAGCAGGCTGCGGCAATGATCTACGCACAGGAGACCTTGGGCATTGAGTCAGCCATACTGTTTGCAAACCCCATTCCTGAGGAGTTTTCCATCCCCAAAAGTGAGATGGATGCCATCATTGAGCAGGCGGTGTCCGAGGCGGCTGAACAAGGTGTCTTGGGGGCCGAGAATACACCATTCATCTTGAGGAGAATCAGAGAGCTCACGGATGGTCGAAGCGTTCCCGCAAACAAGTCGTTGGTGCAGGCAAATGTACACCGTGCTACCAAGGTCGCCGTCGCCGTCAGCCGTGCTATCTCGGGCGACCTAGTTGCATCTAATCAATCGTGAGCGCCTAGCTCCTAATAATGAGAACAATGGTCCTGACAAATTCCGTCTCTAGGGGATGGCATCCACCTAGTACCGTAGCATTCGTGGAAGGTCGTGCTCCGGAAAGTGTAGCAGACAAATCATACCAGAAGGTATGATATCTCCCTTGGGCAATGTTCCGATGTGAAATGCTGTGTACTATATACTTGGGAAAACATGTTGCCCACGTCTCTCCTATTCCTACAGACACTGATCACAAGAAGCAGCATGGGGAGCAGGCAGACATAATAGTCGCTGGCTCTGTTGCTGTAGACTTGAGCTGTGATTACGTCCGCTCACATGGCGCTGGCGATCCCTCTCCCCACCTTCACACGTCGAATCCTGCACAAATAAGCCAATCTATAGGAGGTGTAGGCCGCAATGTAGCACTCGCCGCGCACAAAGTCAGCGGGGACATGATGGTTAGACTGTGCACCATGGTAGGAGACGACATGTGAGTTCTCTTCAATCCCCTTTCTCCATGTTGATCAGTGACTAACGCTAACAGTGCCGGCTCGACCGTTCTCCAGTCACTAGAATCTGCCGGTATGGACACCTCGAGCGTGCGCAGGTTAGACCGGAAATCGAGTAGGACGGCACAATACGTAGCCGTCAACGATGCTGAAAAGTCCTTGGTTTTGGCGATGGCGGACATGGATATATTTACGGCCAACTCGTTCCCTGCTCACTGGAATAGCGTCGTTTCAACAGCCAGGCCCAAGTTGGTTGTAGTCGACGCCAACTGGGCAGAGACAGATATCCGGTCGTGGGTGAAGGCAGGAAAACAAAGCGGTGCTCGCGTGGTGTTCGAGCCCGTTTCAACCGCAAAATCGGCACGGCTATTCTGCCCTTCCAAAGGCCACGAGAAGTTGGGCGTGTTCCCGAAGCCTAGCATCGACCTCGCTACTCCGAACCAATACGAGCTGGCGGCCATGCATGCGGCCGCCAAGGCGAACGAGTACCTCGAGGATCCGTGCTGGTGGGAGATCATCGACGCATTCGGATTGATGGGGGCAAGGGACCGCTTCATCAAGCTCACATCCGCAGCCATGACCGATACTGGCATCCCGCAGCAGATCATGCAGCTGCTTCCCTACATACCCACCTTAACTGTCAAGGTGGGATCCGAAGGCGCCTTATTGGCAACTATTCTCAACAAGGAGGATCCGCGGCTGATCGATCCTGCTCAAGACCCCTTTATCCTGTCGAGGTGTTTCAGCGACCATCCGCATGTGGGCGGAGTGTATATGAGGCTGTTTCCTTCAGTAGAGCATGTCGAGGACGTGGTTTCGGTGAATGGGGTCGGGGATACGTTTTTGGGTGTCATGGTTGCGGGTCTGGCGCGGGGTGGACGGGTTGAGGACTTGGTGAATGTTGCCCAGAAGGGGGCTGTGTTGACGCTTCGGAGTTCGGAGTCTGTAAGTGAGGAGTTGGGTATGCTGGAGAGCGAGCTCATTGCGATTTCCTCCCAAGCAGGAAGGTAGAGCGTTTGATCGCAATAAGCTGGCTTTGGGCTCAAAGTACCAGCTCGTCTCAAATTCAGTGTATTCCCCGTTACTGCCGTCTTGACACCTGCGATCTAGGCATAATTTGGATTCGGTGAGAGACACTGGTCATGATTTAGATCCCACATGTTATTGGAATGTTTATGTTGAAAGGTTCTGAGGCGTTTAGAGTCAGTACGGCATCGCGCAGAGGTCATGATTTGGAATGCTGATCGGGGTAGAAGGCTGCAGCCTGATTCTACTGCACTTGTAATAGGCAAAGACAGGCTTCTTGAATGTACAAAAATATGATAACATCAGTACATGTAAAATCTGCCCCGTGAAGGAGGCGTCGTGCCCTTCTGGCTTCTACCTTGCTCCATCGTCTACTTAAGTCTTCGCCCTGTGCTCTGGGAGGTTGCGTCTCCATGCTTGACCGTCGAAACGAGATGCTCGGATTTTCTTGGGAGGATAAGTGTCGGATTCCAACCACGGGGGCTGTACTGGTGCTAGGAAAGTGAGTGGGGGACCAATCTCAAGTTGGCCCCGAGGGGTCTCCAAATACTATAATTCGTGCCTGTCTGCCTCGTACCTGACTATAGCTGAAGCCACAGCTTCCCACAATAAGTAGGATTCTAAGATTATTAGTGGCTTTGGCTTTCCTGCCTCATTTCGTCATGGCATTCGATGTATCCCGATCTATTTGCTAGATGTAATGCCAGTAAACAAGAGGTACGCATCAATATAGATAACGTACAGATGTACGAGTATAGACCTATTCAAGAGCAGACTACGTTGTTAACAAAAAGCAGTGCACATAGGATTGATTGCCTGATGAAGAAAATAATGAGGACTAAGTTAGGAACAATGACTGAAATCCAGTGCTATTAGACAGCTGTCGGGTCTTTGAGCCTTGATGAGACAGATATTATAAATCCAGCCAGAGAATACTAGCCGTCATATGGTCCGTTTCTTTTGGCTTGATTTTGCCTGCTCTGGACAGAGGGTCAAGCCTGTCCCTGGATTCTTGTCACTCTTGTGGACTGGAACCTGACTAATGACATTACCCGGTGCTCACTTGTTTACCGTGAAATCCAGTTCTGCGCTGTGAAAAAAACATACATGATCTTGTTTGAAAGTACATCCGACTTCAAGACATCTTACCACATAGATTTCCCATCGCTCAGTCAATTTAATGGCATCAATTCTGGCGGAAGCGCACAAGCACAGTACCATTCACAAGAACAGGCACAAATGGACTGCAGTAGACGAAGACTTGGAGATGAACTGGACAAAGCCCTGAGGATAATATAGAAAGTGTTGAAGACCCAACATATGTGAAAACGAGAGAAGCTGATGGAGAAGAGGTGGTGGAGAATATTTGAGAGGCACGGAATGAAATATTTGAGAGGCACGGAATGAAGGGTAAGATTCAATTTGCTCAAGTGAAGCCGAGAGAAGTTATAGTAAGTAGGAAAGCGACAAAGGACCTACACATGTATTCGGGCCACACTATGCAATTAAGCAGCTGATGAGGGGGAAGCTCCTTGCTGTGAGCCAATCATATTCCATGCGCCTGCAAGGCTACCCAGCTCCACTAAAAAGTTATTTTTCTCTTCCACTGACGGTTGGGAAGCAGCATTGAACACTGCTGTTAACCTTAGGACCACAGCCAACGCAATGTCGTCCAATCGAGCGGACAATTCGACGGACGAGGAGTCCGATGCATCTCTTGAGCATTACGAGTCGGACGGAGACAGCAGTAGCGAAGACACCGCGCCACCAAAGCGAACGACCCGACCAATCCTTGAGAAAGACTCGGACGAAGAAGAGCTCGAACGGCTCGTGTTAGGAGATTCAGCAAATTTTCGACAACAACTTTTCAAGGGCGATGATGCGGAGTCCCATTTCGGTGGCTTCGGCGCCGAGGGCGAGCAAGATGTAGACAGCATGGAGGACCTCGATGATGCGCAGTTGTTCTTTCTCGATGCGCCCCCGGCTGCCAGCAAACAGCTTGTTCAGGGTTCGAAATCCTCAGCACCGCAAAAGGACTCGAAGAATGCACCAGCATGGGAAGACAGTGACGACGAGCGGTTGACAGTGTCACTGGCCAGTGTCCCCCAGCTTCGAAAGCTGAGAATCAGCGAGGCTGAGGATGTTGTGAATGGAATCGAGTACACAAATCGATTGAGACAACAATATTTGCGGTTGAACCCCTTACCTGGCTGGGCTAAGGCATCTGAGCAACCGCCAAAGAAGCGCCGCCGAAGATCTTCAGGTGCAACAGATGACACGTCCGACTCGGATTCATCAGAAAGCGGAGCAAGCGACGGGGAGGACGAGGTTTCTGCACTGCCGTTGGACAAATTCCTGCGCGACGCCCGATCTCTCAAGGAAGGGAAAACCGCAAAAGCCAAGAAGCTCCGTCCAGAGGTCATCAATATACAAAGATCGAGAGATATGGCCGACAGTCACAAGGATCCTGTCACGTCACTCTCGTTCCATCCCAAATACCCAGTACTTCTATCCTCTAGTACCTCGTCAATGCTGTTTCTACATCACATTGCGCCAACAGCACATCCGACGCCCAACCCGCTTCTGACCTCAGCCCAAATCAAGCAAGTGCCCGTTCGGCACGCCGAATTCATGGACCCTTCCGGAGACAAGATATTCTTTGCAGGCCGACGCCGCTTCATTCACTCATGGGATTTGCCCTCGGGCCTTATTCAGAAAACTGAGAAGATCCAGGGGCACCACTTGGAGCAAAGGACGTGGGAGCGTTTCAAGCTGAGCCCCTGTGGAAGATATTTGGGTCTAATTGCATCAACTCGCAAAGGCGGTGGTATCATCAATATCATTAACGTCAACACGATGCAATGGATTGCTGCTGCTCGCTTGGACAGCAGAGGAGGCATTGCAGACTTCGCGTGGTGGAGCAACGGCAATGGGATGACCATCTTGGGTAGAAGCGGCCAAGTTGGCGAATGGAGCATGGCATCAAGACGATTCTTGGCCATATGGACTGATGAAGGCTCCATCGGTGGTACCGTAATGGCCCTCGGTGGGCGCAACGGCCCTGTGTTACTGGGGACAGACAGATGGGTCGCAATTGGTTCCAAGAGCGGCGTCATGAACGTCTACGATCGACAAAAGTTGGTCCTACCTTCTAGTGACGATGAGCTCGTGGTCGAGGAACACCCGGAGCCCGAGCGCAGGTTCATGCAGATGACGACACCAATCACCTTGTTGACGTTCAGCCCCGATGGGCAGATTTTGGCATTCGGAAGCAAACACAAGAAAGACGCGTTGCGGCTGGCACATCTGCCCAGCTGTACGGTGTACCGTAATTGGCCCACGGAGCAGACGCCGCTTGGGAGAATCACGTCTTTGGCGTTTGGGAGAAAAAGCGATACGTTGGCGGTCGGTAATGATGGTGGCAAGATTAGATTATGGGAAATCCGGAGCTAGCCAGATCCTCTCAACACGGTTGTTTTTACAGAATGAGCCATCCAGATTGCCAACATCCTCCCGTATGATATTCTCTTCGTCTGCGCCAATTACCATGTCCTATCTCGTCATATCACGTTGATCATGCCTGACGTGTTCCATGTCCTTGCTCTCTCTCTCCAACAGCATCCTAGCGTCTCTTTCCCCATCAGCAGATGTGAGCTAGAAGTTTACGCAACGGACTTCCTTTCTTGACGTCCCTCTTCGGGTAGACTTTGCCAGTTATCCGCGTATACCGTGATAACTCTCCCTCCGACGAAAAGTGGTGGGACTGAGTTCCCATGCTCCACGGCGTCCAGGAAATCGATGATGTTTAGACCAACGTCCTCGAGTGCCTTGAAGTTTGTGTCAGCGACTAGGCACTTTGAAGAGGAGGCAAGTCAGTGACTGCCTTGGGGCGTTGGTGATGCGTCTGTACCTCGCGGCATTGCGGTTTGCTCCTGAACTCCTCGGTGAAGTCAAGATCACCCCGGCCCATATAACCCTCGAAGCGCTCGGCCATCACGTGCATCGTCTCCTCCTGATCCTTCGTTTCCGGCTTCGTCTTGGGAGCCTACTGGTTGTTGGTGGTCCCGGTGGACGGCTGGTTGGCGTTTGCCTGAACCAGTGCTTTCCTGTTTTCACGTATTGGCTGTCGAGTTCGATGGGAACTTTGAAGACAGTAGTTGTACGGACGTGCACGTGCACGAGTGACTGAGTTGAGTTGCCGCCAACTCCAACATCTGAAGATCGTGAGATCTTCAAACTCCAGATACATTGTACGTCTTCGCCTCTGACACTATTTTCCAACGTTTCAGTGCTCAGAAGTGCAAACGCAACACCTGGAGTGCTTCCCTCGGAGCATATCTGTACCTCATACACACATATGCATGCAGGCTTTTCCCATCCCTGATTTGACAGAAAGGGCTGGCAGACAAACGACGGTATGCGGGTGTCCTTTGGGAACGGCACTTCCATCCCCGAATTTACACAAGAGAATGACAGTTGACAAGAATGTAATATGTAATATTGCTATTGTGATTAGGCTTAGCTCGGCTTATATCATGAAGATCCATGAGTCAAAATGAACATCCCTCTGAGAGTATTGCAGTTGTATACAAACCCATTACGGGTTGATCCGTTGCCACCTAAGCCAATCGGATTGGAATCCGGGAGGGATGGCGGTCCGGCAACAGCATACAAATTATGCAGTTCCGCGTCTACTGAAGTCTCCAATGAGCTGACGGAACGTTGATCTCATAATGCCCGATAGAATCTACAGTCCTGATCTACAAAGCGCAGCCCTTGTTCCCTGCGATATGCCCGCTGAGTCGGTAAGCGACCTATTAGCTTCTCCGTTTAACTCAAGATCCCGGAGACCCGGTACATGGTCAACGTTGTTTGCACCCGGCGACTAGCATTTCATGCCGTGTCACCATGAAAAAGTGCCGCCGCATGATCGAATCAGAAAAGTCGTACGTCAACTGAGTTGAGTGTCGATTGAGCAAATGCAGATATGATAGCCCCCTCCCACCCCACATAGGAACCCATCTTCCATTATGTCCATCTCCCGGGAATGGAAAGCCGTTCAGTCCCTCAACTTTGCTTCTCTAGCCGTTGGAGGTCCTTCTTCTTTTCGTAACGCCTCGTAAGTATGATCTGATGGGGCATGTCGCGACTCTCTGTCCTATCCTCTCCCCAGTCCCTCACTCCCCTATATATATCCGGCTCGTATTTGGACTCCTGCCAAATTCAATGAGTGCCCCTAATGCTTTATGTCCATATCTCCTGTGCAGCCAATAGTGATAAAAACACAAATGCCGGTTCCCTAGGCCCCAACTGTTGGTAAACGATGCCAGAATGGGTCAATGCAAAGCAATGTATGTGACGCAACGAGAACAAAGAAATCGAGAAAATAAGAGGCGCTCCGCTCCTGTCACTTGTTAGAAATGCCGCAATGCTCCGAACGCCGCAAACTGAGCCGTTCCTACAAGCTCATCCAAATATGCCATTTCAGAATGGGTCCAGTTTCCCCGCCAGAGCTGCTTTTCTTCTACGTCGAGTAAACGTTTCCTGTGATGTTGGGCGTTCCAGTATATCCTTGGGGTCTTGTACCCAGTCGTAGCCTGGATCAGGCTCCCATTCATGTGTCCTGCGATTCTTTTTGCTGGAGGTGGATTTCTTCCCGAAGTCGAAAGTGTCCTCGGCGCCGGCATCGCAGCGTTCCAGTTGAAGCAGTCCGCCCCGGGCACGATCGCAAACCAAAGCCATCAGGTCTTGACCGCCATTGGCAAATGCAGTGCCGCCGATCTCGCCAAATACATCGATATCCTGTTTGCGATCGAAAGTCTGCGCGTCAATGATGCTGATGATATCCGCCTCCTCTGCCGCAACCAGGACGCGCTTTCCAGAACCGAGAGGCGAGAATCGTAGACTGCGTGCTCCCGACATCTCAGTCCGTATTACGGCCATCGGTTCCGCCCAATTCCGTGCGTCCCATATCCTGATGGTCTTATCTTGAAATCCCGTGGCAACAGTATGACCGTCCGGCGCCCAGTCGCAGGCAAAGCCGTAGTCCCGATGACCAGCGAGACTCTGGTAGATCTCGCCGGACTCGGCATCGGTAATCAAAACGTTCACATCGTCACCCACCATGACCCGAAGCCTCTTGTCGGGACTGACAGTTGAGCAGTTCAAGGGAAATGTGTACATGTCTTCCTGGATAATAGTATTCGTGTTGAGGTCAACGATCCGAAAGCCGTGGTCATTCGACGCAAAAGCCGCCAGCGGTGCGGATGAATGCCGAGACGAGTGAACTTGAAGGTGGTTCGTAATACCGCTAGCATGACTAGTCAGTCTCCCTTCCACACAGGCTCGGTCCTCGGAGTTGACACTGCGGTAACGGTAGTTGCCGGCGAAGTCACCAGCCACAAGCACTTCCTCATTAGCTGTCATGGTTGATAGTTGCACATCACCATCGGCCTCAAGGCCCATGGCCTTCTTCGTCCTGCCCGTCGTGGGATCCAGCTGGCGGACATGGCCACAACTTGGGTAGAAAACTTGCGTCCGCGAGGCGCATCCCAGGATATTGCGCAGCTGGAAATGCAGCAAGCGAGTATCATGGCGTATATTCATTCTCCGAAACCGAAAGAAGTTGTTGTCGGCTGGAATCCTCCTGTCATCAATCTACACGACACACATGATTAGCTCCTGCAAACGCTGGTTCGGAAGTGCATTGAACATACATGCCACTGATCCGAGAGCTCCTTGTTGACGTAGTTTCTATAGGTGCGTCCACGACGAAGCCGGGCCTCGCGTCTGGCAACACCAATGTCCTCCCAATCAATGCCCTGTAAATCATACTTATCACCCTCGAGCTGACCATATTCTACGCAAGTGACGTCGCGACTACGTCCTTGCTCCACCACTCTGTTCAGGCGAGGATACCTGCCCTTTCCGACAGTATGACCGTGATAGGACCAGGCACGTAGGAAGTCGACAAAGCCGAAGTTCTCAGGCACCAAATTCATGGGATTGGGGTTGCTGAAGGCACCAGGCCCCGCGAACTCATCGGCGGCGGCATCGTCCACATTGCTGGCCTCCTCCTGCTGCTGCTGCTGCTGTTGCTGTTGTTGTTGCTGTTGTTGCTGCTGTTGTTGTTGTTGTTGTTGCTGCTGCCATTGCAACTGAAACGGCATTTGCATATGCACTGCCAGTGTGTTCTGGGGAGCTGCCGCGGCGTAGGTTGCCGGTACAGGTACGGCCTGAGGCGGTTCCGGTACGGCGAGGGTCAAGGATGGATTGACGGGCAGCGGGAGTTGGGCGGGATGCAATGGCGGCAATGGTGACAATACTGACAATACTGGCAATGCTGGCGTCAGTTCGAACTGGACGTGGTTCTGAGGTATGTCGAGGACTCCAAAAGCGTCGAGTTCCACCCCTACGGGCACAGCGCCATCGTACTCGGCGTCCGCCATCTCATGATCGTCGCCGCTGTCGCCTGCCTCCCCAAAAGACCCTGCTGTAGACTGAGATGATGCAACGTTGTGCTCATGGTATGTCATAGGGGCATCGGGTTCCGGTTCCAGTGCATGCGACGAGGTCGTGGCTACCGGGGTTTGATGGAAAGAGAAGGACGGACCATGGTTGTGATCAACGTCGAGGTCGAGATGGGTTGAAGAGTCGGGCGGAGCCAGCGGAGTTCGCATTGCCATGGTCTAAGTTACTGGCTGGGGCCGATGTGGGATTTTCGTTACACTAATGCCAAACTCGACAACCCTCGCATTTGGGCCTGGTGGAGAAGGTCCTAGCTGTGGACAAGCTCTTGGTGCCTCGGATCGCTGTTGCGTTTCCTGTTCCTTTGTCTTCTTCTTTTCCAACGACGCGTCACCCAAACCTCGATGGAAGAATGCGGGGAAATTGGAACTGAAATCCAGAACGACGCCGCGCCGTGTCGACGATATGCTGGCTGTCTTTTGATTTAAGTTTGGTCGGATCTACTCTGCTCCCAAAATAGTTGATCCTTGACAATCTGTACTGCATGCGAGAAGGGCTGCATGTGCTGGAACCTGTCGGGTCAAATAGCACTTTGAAGTACTGGAACAGAGAGCCATACAAATCCTAGTAGACATCCAGACACGCCGACTCTTTTCCAAGAACAACAACACACCTTGGATCCTCAAGTGACAATTAAAGACCAAAAAAGGAGAAGATGATATTGAAAGTGACGGCCACTCCATAAGAGCAGACATGTAAAGTAGGTGGGGCAACGTGAGTGTCAAAGCGCGCAACAGCCCGACCCACGTAGTATCACCGGCCGGCGTGGAGAAGCCTGCCAAAACTGCCTGCCCTGCAAGCCCTAGGGGTGACGAGAGAAACGCCAGCATTAACAGCAAAACCTGCTCACGGGCTGGGCCGAATTAAGCGATGTAGCCGCCTTGTAATTAGTGTGGAAGTGGGTAGATGTCTTGAGCCTACTCATGTTCAATTCTTGTAAAAAAACCGAAAGATTGGAACGCAGCTACGCACAGCCTGGCTGATCACATCACGAGTTGGTTTCCGTTCAGCAGCGAACCCAAGTACCGATTTGGCATCCGTGGAGGAGGTGCCATCGCCCTATCCTTTTCCCGAGCCCAGGACGCTCGCACGCTAGTTCCAAAACCTGTTCTAATCTCAACACATCAAAATTTGAGAGTGCCTACTGCTTATGCCGTTATCAAGCCTTTGTTTGTCAGCTGGTTTGATTGTACGCGTTCTCCATGCCCGATGCAACTCCCATCCCTCGAACCACCAGAACTGATATGATAGCGCCTTCCAAGCCGTCAGCTTTCGTCGGAAGCGAGGTTTGGTTTTGGGGCTACGTGCCAGCCGTCATTTTGCGCGACAATCATCTGCTGCAACTGGACCAAAGGGGAAGACTCGAAGGAAACTGGCCCACTAACCTGACGGGCTAGGGTTCATCAGAGGTGATATGTCACTTTTAAACCCAGTAGCTGTCATGAGGCTGTCAACTTGGGAGGACGATTCCAATGTCAGCGGTGCTGACCGGTGAATGCATATGACAGACTTGTTGGTTGATAAGTTGTTGGTCATTTGTCTCAACTTGCAACTTGTTGACACAACTCACGACGCTCGACGGAGCAAGTATCGTCTGCGACTTTCAACAGTCAGACGCTTGATGCTACCTTGCTCTGCTACTTCATGTTTCATAGACAGTGCCTCTTCAATTGCATTACCTCATGCCGTTGCGACCTAATAAGGGTACCTCCCTGCCGGACTCCAGGGCTAATATTTCGTATGCTGTATGCACCATCAATCAGGCTCACCGGTGCTCGATGCCCTGTTAGGAGCGTGGTGCTTCTGCCGTGCCATTCCAGGCTTGCCAGCCCCCCACCCTTCCTGTGGCGTTTCCCAGGCCCATTCAACATTGGCTCGCGTCGCAGCAGAGAAAGGTGAATTCTCATCTTGGCTTCTTCAAGCGGGCCGCCCTCCAAGACAACAACACACCACGGTCATCGTCCTTGAACAGGAAGCCACGGCCGGGCTCCAGCCCAGCCCCACCTCCGGCACCGCCGGGTGCTCGCTGCCAAGCTGATCAGTTTAGCGGACCCCGTTCCCGTGTCTTCTGTGCCAAAACTATGTGCGATATATCAATGCTTCTATCGTACAGCTCCGGCCATCATCAACTACGGGACTTTTTGTCGGAATGGGCATTCTTCTCACGACATCCACACATTACGTGAGGAAAGGTACAAAGTCGTAAGCATTTGGATCAGAAAGTCTGGTTGGTCGAGCCACACATATACGAGTCCTACAAAGACTTGTCAGATTCATGGCACTGGGTCGGTAGCACAGCAGCGATCCCTCGCATCAAATAGCGTTGGCCGGCGCCTTGCCCTGCAGTGTGTACAAAGTATGCATCACGCAACATGCAGCAGTATGCTTGTTGGTGGCGAGCCGCACTTGTCCTCATTCCAACTGAGATTTGTTTCGTTGTGGGCAAGCGTTGGCTCTCAGTTGTTTCTTCTGTATCCAAGGGACACTGCGTTGCAGCTTCGGCCAACTGCAGCACTAGATCAGAATATGTCCCATCTCATGGTCGCTGGATCCGTAGGAGCAAATGGATCGTTAGAAGCCGGGAATTGGCTTTGGATTTAAGCTTTCATCGCGATGGGCACGAGGGCAAGTCTTATTCAGCCTAGTCGCTCATATCATGCAAAATATAGTTTCATATTTCATCGTAAGCGGTCTCTCGTGCTAAGGTGCTTGTTTTCATGCCGTAGACGAGCGAGCTAAACTAGTCGTCCCTTTCTACACCCCAGCTGTAAGAATTTAAGCACTTCTAACAGTTTATCATCCAATAGTAATTCATCAAATTTCAAACCAGATATTTTTACTAGCAATAACTTTACTAATAAGTTCTATAAGGTGAACGCCTTTAGTCAGAAAATCGCGATATCTTTTTATTTTTACACATTCACTTTTCTAATATATTTTTGAACGTCGGCTGGTGTAGTTGGTCACTTCGCTGGTAGATAAGTCCCGATTTGAGCCTCGCCCACTTGGGTTGGTGACGAGTCGCGGGTTCGAATCCCGCAGCTGACACACAAGGGGGTTTAGTCAACCCTTACGGCGCGCTGCCCACCTTGTTGACTTCGCCTACCTAGCGATAATAGGGAGATTGGTGCAGTTTAGGATTACGAGCATCCTAGCCAGTCGACCGTCAAGCACTACGTCGGCGGAATATAACTCGACAGCCGGTCCAGAATTCGAATCGTTAATCCGGCCCCTTATCGGACCTCGCCTATCCGATAACGCTCGTCGGCGAACCCGTCCCCTCACGATAGAAGGCGCGCAGCACGCCCTCTCGCCGCGATTCTTGCGAGCGTCTAGACCACGTTACGGTCTATCCACTTGAGCGTATGGTTGAGATGTATACGCTCGACGAGAACCCCAATTAGCAGATACTACGACTTGTCGCGACAAAAAATAGTCGAGCATCTTCTGCACATCAGCAGCATCCCACCCCTGAGGACGAATTTAAGTGCCACATTACCACACTTATCGGTAGTTCAGGCAGGGGTTGTAGCACAGACTTAGGGAGGGACAGGAGGTTTAGTAGTCGTTTGGCTACAAGTTTACCTGTATAACCGCCCGACGCGGCTTAAGGGCCCGCTATATCATCTATAGCCCCTTAAGGGAGTACTTGTAGAGGTACCGAGGGTTAACACCTACGGCGTATTTAATATTATTTATTATTTTTGAACGTTTTTAGTAGGTTGAAACGCGGTGAACGACTTTTATATTCTATATATCCCCTGTAGGCTAATAGCTAGCTTGCTTAGTTAATGTTATAAAATGTCCTGTACCAAGTGATCGGAATCTTATACCAAGTAATAAATTAAATCTACCATTATTCTTATAAATCTCTATATGAGTTCTGTGAAGGTCAACCCTCGCAGACTCACTACAACCAGGTGACTTACAGCTGGAACACCTGCCATGGCAGTGCCAGATGGGAAGCCAATCATAACCCCTGTAGGAGCCCCGCCAAGCGTGGACGACTTAGTCGCGCTCCCTCAAACCTAAGTTGTCATCTTCTTTCCTTCGCTCCTTAGAGTAGAATCTTCGTCGATAGCACCTAATCGAGGTCTCTACCAATGCGATGCAACCCAGGTCGTGACAAGTTCATTTTACAATTTGATACCTAAAGCAATCGTAGTACCCTTATTAATATTAGCTAACAAAATAGCGAGACAACAAAGAACTATACTTGTTCACTAGTACAATGTTTTTGTTAAAGCTAATAGGACTGCTAAGTTAAGTAGCACTAACCGCAGCATTTACTACCGGGGTCAAATCCGATAGGAAGCCCCTCGGTATCCCTATCTCTCGCACCCTTATAACTCCCTTCTTATATCCCCCCCTGCCCCCCCTCCCCCCGAAACGGCACTCGGATCTGCAACAAAACGAGTGATTAATTGTTTCCACACCATCCCCAAACAGTGATCCAGGAGCACACGACTACAAAACAAGTCAAAATACTCGCTCCCAGCAGGATCCCAGGAAGGAAACTATACGCAGAACTTACTACCGACTTCCCAGGACTCACTTACGCACCGGCTCCTTGATCGCCATCGGAGTGCGCGGTGATGATGGCCAAGATTCGAAGAGCATGGGAGGGAGCACGTCTGTTATCCTATGTGTTCCACTGTAATGAACTTCCAGTAGAACGAAAATTCAGATATTTGGTATGGGTACTACTGGTTTTATTCCTCGACGAAGAGCGTAGTTACCTAGTCACCCTCTGATAAGAATTTGAGGATCATAGGTCTCGGTGTTAGTGGCACAATCAAGAACCTGTGAAGATGAGCCGAGAATGGGAGTCGCACTCGTTCACAGTCTCCCTCATTACAGCCAAGCAGGTCAAGGGCGGTCGCAGTGTTATGCCTGAGCCTTATCCAATCCTTTGCGAAATGACCAAGAAGTGGTGTCAATGCATGTGTCTTTCATTACAATCCAATCTACAACTCCAAAGCGAGAAACATTTTTCCTGGGGAATAATGGGAAGCACGGACACATCTAACTCTGAACCCTTGACCTGTCATGCAATTCCTCGGACCTTGTGTTGGGCCCAATCAAACACGAGGTTACACAGCGTTGCCGCGTTGCCGTGTTGCACAACGCACGCCCGATCTGCGTGTGACCATTACTCCCTCGCTATCAAGGTGAATTGTGAGTGAAAGAGCTGGCGTGTGACTTTGGAACATCGGCTGCTTAGATATACTCAGTCCTGGTATGAGACTCAGATAGAATAGACTGGAGACTCGTCGTGGCTTCTTCCATGTAGGTTCTGCTACGATTCGTCGGACGAACGGGTCATGATACTCAAAAGAGAAATTGGCAGTAGTTAATCATGCATTAATCATAGGGATGGCTTGCCTGGTATACAATGCACATACTTCATACCATGGAGAAACAATCGACGCCAGCCCCCGTGCCATCATTTTCTATACGCATACCCAAGTACACTGCAGGCCTGCACGCTTCCTATAGCAGAGTCTGCAAAACCAATACAAACCAATGTAAAGCCAAAAACACTATTATCCGCCATTCAATCAAGCATCCGAATAGTATTGCTCGTCGTAAGGGTATCGTTGCGGAGGGACGTCAGGGACGGTAGACCAGCCAGCGCCGCCGGGACCAGCAACGCTTTCTCGCGAACCCCAGTAGTTGTCCTTCAGCCGTCGCTCGCGCTCGAACTCGGCCCAGCGCTTCATGGTAATCTTGCTGCTGTCAAACTCACCCTCGTACTCGATGCCAGCCTTCTTCGTCTTCTCGCCTGCCGTTTTCCGGGTGTCGCCCCACGAGAAGTCGTCAAACTTCCAGAATGCGTATGTGGGCAAGACGAAGTTCCACACGGGAAGCGAAACAAGATAGATGCACATCCAGACGACATATGACCACGAGTGAGCGGTGACCACAATGAGCACGGCCGGGAGGCCTAAGATGAGTCCAAGCAGAACCAGTGGAATGACCTGCGCAGGCTGGTGTACAATTGATATGATGACTATTCGTTACCGTTAGCAGGGACTAGATGACTTGCGGAGATCATGCTTCAACTTACCGACGTAGAAGGTGAAAGCAATGGCAGCAGGAAGAACGAGAGTGCCGATCAGCTCGATGAATATGATAAATTGCATACTGAAGCAGAAGGTACCGCACAGATCTTTCACAAGAACAAGCTCCATAAGGTTGTGGATGGTTGAGTTGATCCATCGTCGTCTCTGGGAGAGCAAAACACTGAATTCATCGGGGACGACAGTCTTGCACACGGCCTGGGGAACGAATACTTGTTTGCGCTTGGGGAATGTTCGAAGCATCAGTGTCGTCAGGTATCGATCTTCACCGAGGAGCAACAAGTTCTTCTTGTGCAGCGTGTCGACCACATTTTCAGAGTAATGTTCGACAACGTCCGGGTTGGCAAGAATAGGCACCCAATAGTTCTGAGCACCTTTGGGAGCCTTGATTCGGTACATGCAGAAGCAACCGGGCAAACAGGTGACTCCGCCGAAAACCGATTCGAAGGCCTTGGACGAATGATGCGAGATGAAGTACTCAAAGACTTGAATGGCCGAAACCCAACTAGCTCTCTTGTTGGCAATCTTGGTTTCACCACAAAGACCCATGATATCGGGATCCCGGACCATGGCACAGAGCATGTGGGTCAGACTGTCGGGGAACACCTTGGTGTCGGCATCGACCATGAGAACAGCCTCGTAGTAGTCGGGCGATATGCCAGTGACCTTCCAGAGACCATTGAACATTTCGAATTCGAGTTCCGTCATGCGCTCATCAAACATAACCTTTTGCAAGAAAGACATGAGGATGATCTGGCTGTCGCGTTTGCCCCGATTGCCTGGCTTGGCCTTGTTCGCCTCATCTGGGGTACCACACTTGACAACGAGCATCATGGGGACCCTTTGCTGTTTGTCAACGGGAATGGCGGACTTGGCGCCATAATCGTAGAACCCAGCATAAATCTTGGCCATATTGTGACGCTTTGAACCGCTGGCCACGGCAACGTACGAAAAGGCTTCCACTTCTTTCGGTGATACGGTGAGGTCCTTCATCATGCCAAGTACAATATCGGGTGTTGTCATGCTTTCGCCCTCACCTTTGATCAACCCATCGCAAATAACTAAGAGTACCTTGTGGCTATTGGGATAATCTGTCATGGCAACCGAGTCCAGAGTCGTACGGAGACCCATTTCTCCCTCGGAGTAGGCAGTAACAAGGCATATGGAGTGAATCAAGGGGAACCCGAAAGGTTGGTAATCCGAAGGCGGCTGTGGTACGACGGCCTCATGGATAAAGCCGGCAGGGCCGTAAACATCCATTGAACCAGGCATAGGGCCCCCGCTGTTGCCGTAGGAATCCGAGTTGATGAAGCTGGAATGACTATCGTTCGTTTGCCTGTACAACGAACCGGGGTGGATAAGAGGACCGGTGGACGCTTGGCTTGCCATAGTCGTAGGTTGAGGACGTCGAGGATTACGCTCAGCACCATACGCTGCTGAGAACCGAGAGGTCGTCGGCAAGAATGTGCTTGCACGCTTACTCGTTCTGTCAGAACCGCCGACGCTGCTGCTCAGGTCGCCCGGCATCCGTGGTGGCGCTTTGTAGATGTCGTTGGACCAATCCTCAATCTGGCGGTTGCGTTTCTTCTTGTTCGCGGTTTGGGACGTCTTGATTGCTGCATACCTGCGGCTGATGAACCACTGAAATATCAATGCTAAAACGAATCTGGCAAGGACCACAGACAGGATGAGTACCAGCGAGACGTAAAGAACCACCTTGGATGCAATGCAGCCAACCGTATCGCCATCGATCGTTCCGACCTTGATGATTTCTTCGAAACACTCGGCTAGTTGCTTATCTTCAGCAGCTTGAAAAGCCCGGGTAACGTCACGGCCGTGGATTATAGCGTTGGCCGACGTATCCCGATTTCTCAGCTCCTTGAAACGGTCCGGGATCGATACCTGCTCCTCGTCAAACCATTTGAGGAGGTCGAGGTCGAGCACATTTCCAGAGTAGACAATCAAGTTGCGGGAGCTGTTCTTGATATCGTCCCATGTGAAGTACACATCACCTGTTCCGCTAAGTTTGAGGTAGAACTCGTCCCGTGCTGTCTGGCTTGTATGGCATGCATAGCCGTTGTAATACTCGGTTGTGTCGTTTGGCTTGGAGGAGCCGTCCTGGTTGAATGGTTTGCAGGGGAAGTACCAAGCTAGTTCATTATTCGAATCGGTGGGAATGCTGGAATTGCTTGCCCGAGTGATGAGGTTTTTGCACTTTCCGTTGACGTTTTGGAACAGAAAGCTGCCATCCTGGCCACCATGCTTCTCCGATAGGTCATACAGAACATTTGGCAGCTTTCCATTGGAGGTCAAGGGTATGCCATCCGCAACAGGATGGACTGAGCTCGACAGGTCATATGCAGTACCATGAAAGATCATGTATCCGGAGTCAACGTCGTTGACATGTAGCCGTATAGTGGAGGAACCACAAACGGCTTGCTGGAAACCGAAAGTTAGGAAACCAACGAAAGCCATGATGAAGAGAATGATGCTGATGAGGCCCATCTTCTCCCTCCACGCTCTTTTCTGTGCCTTGGCCTTCATGCCACAGCAGCCTAGCATAAAGTCAGGACACCAAAAGGTGACAATGGCGCAGTAGACATTCCATATGCTCGGCGGGCGTATGACCTCCTTAGGGCCTTTCCGTTTTGACTCCCTCTTAGAGCCCTTGGAAAGTTTGCCGCCACCCGATTGTCTTCTTCGTTTCGACTTGCTATGTCTGACTTTTTCAGCATCTCCGCTGTGCTTCCTTCTTGGCGATTCCTCGGAGCCGCCCTCAGGTGTTCTGGCTGCTGACACATCGGTAGTTCCCTCGACGTCTTCCACGATAGGATCATTGCCAGTGGATGACGGCAAAACGCTCATGTTCGCAGCATGCTTCCGGTAGTGATAATTGGGGTGGTCCTTGCCAATTTTCCTCCTCTCTGGCCGAACCAAACTTCTCTTTCGCGATAAAGGGGGGTCGTTGGCGTAACCTTCCTCCGGTTCTGGAGAAAGGGGAAGTCTCTCTGTGGTCGTATTAGGATTATTAATAGTATCGGCGAAGGACACTCCTGATGGCGCGCGTTCATGTCCTGGTCTCTCGACAGGATAATACCCTCCTGTCTCGACGTCGGTTGGGCGGTTGCGCCGCGATGGTGACTGACGGTAGGAGCGTCGCTGTTCGTAGGAGGGCCTCTGCCCCGGCCTCTCAGGGAGAGACATGATTCCTGACCAGAGTAGAGTCAGTACACCAACACTACATCGACGGAGACAAGTTGAAGACGAGCGGCTATGAAGGGTCGGTTGCTGGGGAGCACGGACGGAGTGGGCTGAGCCTTCAGCCAAATCTAGAGGTTTGCAAACACGTGTGGGCGGCTATCGCGACTCAGAGGAGTCGGGAGGAAAGTGAACGGTTTGCAGCCAATACTGTATAGTATAGTACGCGCAACTTCGTAGATGGGGAGGATTGCTCAAGAGAGCGGCGACATGGCCGGTCAAAGCCAATGTTGTTTCGCCAGAGAAAGACTACTACTACTCACCTGCTTGTTGTGGTGGGCAACAACTGGGCTGGACTCAGGTCAAGGTCAGCCGAGCTTAAGGGACAATCCCTGCTCTTAGGCCACAGCCTCCGCAACCAAGGCAATAATAACCTGCCAACCAGCCGTGATGCAGTACCTACCCTGGTCGGTTTGTCGTCGCCAAGATCCGGCCCTTGCAACAATACAGGTTTGGCTGTCTATGAATGCAGCAAAAGGGATATCATGATCGAATCGAACGCATTCAGGTTGTTTCCGTTCTGTTCAGTCCGTTTGGGATGTGTAATATGCGGTGCGCGAGCGTTGCAGCGAAGCAGTGGGCACAACAGCAGTGCGCAAAATGGGTCTCGGGTCGGCTTTGTCTCGATAGCGCCCAACAGACCGAGACTGAAGGTCTGCCCCAGGCTTCGTTACAGTCTTTATGTAAAGGCAGTGGGATTATCGACGTGGCCGAGTGGTTCGTGTAGAATTCAGCATGAACGAATGTCGACAAAAAACAATGCTATCAAAACGAGGGAAGCTTTAGAAATCACGATGAATTGGCTTTGGATTGGATGAACTGAGAGGAAGCAACGACAGGAACAGGGGAGATGCGGGTCGAACGCAGCAGGCAGGTCCTGGCCACTGAAGCGACAGGGAAAGGGGCAATGCGCAAATGCAAAAAGTCCGACGGCCTCACCCGTTGAGGTTAAAGATTAACGCTGAGTCACGACTGTACCTCGTACGCGAGCGAGCTTTCGCGGATCTTGTTTAGTCTCCTCGTGTTGGTGGTCTGACTGTGCGAGCCTCGGTGGTCTGTAAGACTCGAAAGACTTTTAGTGCCGTCGGGTGTCTGATCTGGAAACGCCGCCCCGATGTACACTAGTCGACAAGTAGCGATCCATACATAAGCTTGGTTGACCCACGCTCATATCATTAGAATGTACACTTGAAGAATTTACCATAACGACGTCTATCGCAAAAGAAAAGGCCTTCTATTAAAAAAAATTGTATTTACGTAAGTAGCGGTCAATTCTCTACAGTCCATTCAATAATTGAGATAAACCGGCTCTGATATCGTTATAAAAGATGGTGTAGTAATAATCGCTCAGCTGCGCGTTCTATTGATATGAACCTGGACGTGTTGCATAGCATCGTATTCAAAAGGTACTTTGCGCCAACTTTCCCCCGCCAATCACCAGATGCTGTAAGGAAGATCTACGCCAGTGGACAGGGGTGCTTGCTGATTTTTCCAGGGTTTAAAGCACTGTTGGCCTGCCGACCAGAGCCTCTTTCCTCTTCATCTCCATCTCGATGGCGTCAGAATCGGACTGTTGCGGTGATGTCCTCTTTGCAGAGTTCGAGCGACACTGAAATCTTGGAATAGTAGTATGCCAACGTGCGATAGCATGGCGAATTATTTGCAATTTCTTGGGATTCGCCTCCCAGCGCGTTCCATTTTACGCGTGCACATTCCTCTAGAGCTGCTGAAGGAAGAGTTGTCAACTCTGAGCAGGTCTAGACTGAAGGTTTTTGATGCTTGGTGGCTGAAAAGCGCATTCCAGCACAGTGGATTACTGACCCACTCTCCCAACGCCGGCTGGCCTTCTGGAAAATAACTGTTCAACTTTAGTGTTTGAGTATAGCAACGGCCGGAAGGCGGTTTCTGTCAATGTGCTGTACCTGCTATCATGCGAATGAATCTTGCGACAAGGAACAGGTTCGGGAATGCAATGTCACGAACGGCAGCAGCCGAGAGTCTCGGATCTGGCAGACGCAACCCACGCCATGTATCCATCCACATTGACATACAGCCTTTGTACGACGTTTTCTAGGTCCGACGAGCCACATGACTTACAATGGATGGCTCATGCTACATAAGGAATAAATGCTGTAAGTTACAACCGACACTACGCCTAGTGATGAATATCAAATCGGCCATCATACGAACCGAACTATCAAAGCTTCAACTTCCATAGTGGAAGCGGTTCTTCTAATCTAAGTCAATGAGATATTTTAAAGCGGGATATCATATACCATTGCTGGCGTCGCATATACTTCGTTTATGATAAATATGTCAATGTGTATTGTAGTGAAAATGAGCTCATTTTCAACCATACACACTTATATCTAGTCAAGGAGTGGTAGACATAGCAGCTGCTCGATGTACTGCATGAATCCCACGGGTATCATGGAGTAGTGTCTAAAAGTTCACGTAATGTTCACGTGTTGTGGTTCTCGCTCCTCTACTTATGCCTTTCGGTCTTTCTGTGATCGCATTAGGCCACCTGTATTCTCATCTCTCATAATCGTCCTTGTGAAGTTTTGCAAGAGAGAAGGTGGTGGTTACCAAGTAGGCCTTGGGGATTCTGTCATATTTGGGTGATTGCGATGAAATGTGAAAGTCGAATGGATTTCGAATTCGCCAAATTGTCGATGTCTGATTTACGTGGCCCATTGCGGCGCATTATCCTGAGTAAAGCGAATTGAGATTTTAATACGAAGCGTTGCAGCCCTAGCCTTTAGGCTGTAACCAGTCGGATCTCGTGATTGGATGAATAGAGACAGTGAGTGGGAGTACTGGTACGGGCAAAGTTCCTTGCCTGTGTTGGCGCTCAAGTCGCCGCATCGACTTGAGTGTGTTGTTGAATAGCAAAAGCTCTTCGTGTTCGGCTTCGATTTAAGACATTTGAACTCGACCAATGCCTTGATGGTAAGCATGTAGTTTCATTGAGAAATCTCAACATTTTGAGTTTTCAAAGGATTCGTAAGTTTGTACCCATGTCGGACTGCATGGAATATTTCCGACACTTTCGATATTTTTAGTTGGCTGCGGCGACACAAGTAGTTCCAATCCCTCGGGTCTTTGCTCAAGGTTGGGTGTTTCCGCCCGACTGGGCAGCCCTCACGGCGGGCCCTCGTACAGGGAGAATGTTTGTGTGCTCGTACAACCGTTCATCAGGGTTAACGAAGTTACTATGATTGTGGACATCGACGACTTGGGATGAGTTCCGACCGTCTCAAGTCATATTCGGGGGCAGATGTAGGTCGTAGTATACACCAGTCGAAATCTGCTGTTGTTCCTAGCCAAGATGGTAATGCACATGCAGGCAGGGTAGGCGACGATTTGTGCATCTCAAGGGTCCAGACTCCGCTTTTGTGTCTGTTGGTAACATCAGGACCACTGTATAATGAGGAAGTGGCAGTCCTCTCGAGCAACAACATGAGGAGCGCCTAACCTGTCACAGCAAATCCGATGAGTCGTACTTTGTCGGCAGTTGGATCAAGTCCTCAATCGTAATGGCAAGCCTATCAATAGCACCGAAATATGCTAGTGGGCTGGCATATGTATCATACTTCGAGATGCGGCTGAGATCTTCCACAGCACCTTGCCCGGTTCACCACATGGCCCAGTGGGTCAAAACTTGTGTAGTTGAAACCAACAACCTGCAAGCAATAGTCTATTCTGTCGTTGCGCAGGACATGTCGGTTTCGATCGAATAATACACATGACCAGATTGGTAAGGCTGCTCAAATAATCCTGAAGATCAGTTCAGTTCAGTTCACAGAAGTTGACGAACGGTGGTTACGAACTGTCCACTCGTTGGTGGGGCTGTCGATCGTAAGTAGAGCTCTCGCTTTGAAAGCAACCCGAGTACAGACACCCAAACCGACCGGCATAAAAAGAGAGAGATCATCATCGATGGCACTAGTACTGTTGCCAATGAGATCGGCGAAGAGTCACAACACGGCTGAGCAGATAAAATGATACCATTTTGGGAGAGGCTGGTGACAACAGACGACAATGTCTTCGTGCTGAATGCATTGTATCAGAGATAGAAAACAAGGGCCTCCTCCACGCAAAAAAGCCCACATTCCCTTGTACTGTACGAACTACTCCACATCGATACCGCTGCGACACAAATAACGGACAAGCCGGCTGCTGAGACTGATAGCACGTTGAATTCCTAAACTGGCGCGCCGGGCAGGTTGTTGGCGCAGGCTGGCGCGGGACTGACGAGCTGATAGATCACAGATAGAGGCACCATCTCTACTCAATGTCCACGTTGCTCACTACTCTCGTCCTTCGCAGATTATCGTTGCGACCGTTCGTCAATTCCGTCTTTCGAAGAGCGCAATCTTGAAGCTCGATTTCCTTCAATTTGTTATTATTATTAAATACGCCGTAGGCTCGAAGCCCCCGGTACCTCTACCAGTACTCTCTTCAATTTGAGAAGGGGCAGTGAATCAGGCGGTCAGTAAGGGCACGCAAGCTAGCATCGAAGTACATTGAATACCCCAGACAAGAGTACTTAGTTTCGCCAACATTAAAGACGATCTCGAAACCGCATCTCATTGTTTCCTCGTCGAACCTCTCCAAAATCGGTCGCGCACAGGGTCGTTTCATCATCATCCCCGAACCCGTTTTTGACAGCTCGCTCCCCAACAATAGGTCTCGGATTTTGCATCCAGGCCTGGACCAGCCGACTCGTACCGCTAGGGCAGGTACAAACATAGGCACTATCCATGCGCACCTGCAGCTTCCCCCGTTGCCCCAACTCTTGATATTATTCAATCCTGAGCCGTCCGTCATCTTGCCCTTGGCTAGGCCCCAGCGACATCTAGAATTAACGCCAGCCTCGAATTACATTGCCATCGGCTTTGCGCGCGACCAGCTCAGCTCTGCTGTGTTCTAACATTTGCTCAAACATTAGTTTTATTGTTCAGATACCCTGCATCGCTCTGGAAATTTTCTCCCCGTGCCAAACTGCCACTGCTCGGAACACCAAGTCGGATCCCTTCGCTGCAGATCACCTTGCCTCTGCCCCTTTTCACCTTGTGGAGAAAGCAAGGCACCGTGGACGCCAATTGAGAGAAGGGAATCCATCAGAGGGCCGATGCTGAGGAGACGGGCGCAATAACAAGCATATTTGGGTTGCTCTTGCGACTGGGCGTGGCTCAGTGGGCTCAGACGTGGATCTAGGCGCACAAGTCTTGTCTGGTCCGTCTCTTTATCGAAGTTTGACTTCGCAACTCCGGAAGTCATGGCTGCCGTGACGACCACGCCGCCTCCGAACCAGTCCTCTCCGCCCAGATCGGTCAAGCGAATACCCCTGTCTGCCCCAGACCTATCCCCAGAACGATACAGGGGACACGAGTCAAACGAGCATACGTCACCGAAGCGGTTGGTAACTGGTACAATGGCGGAAGCAAGGATGGGAAACGCACCCGTTTCTCCCGTACGACTTAGCTTCCAGCCAGAGAATTGGGCGCAGCCATCCAATGTGAATATCGAGGGCAGTCAACCGCGGGGCCATACGGAAAGAGAATATGCCAAGTCACCAGATGCACCCCCTCCGCTGCCCCCGCCTCACGGTTCTACATATATGCTGGACTCGAGACAACCGCCGTCATCGGTACAGCAGAGCTCGGGCGAGCCGCTGCCACCACCGACGTTCACCGTGGACTTGCCGCACCGAACCGGGGAGGATCAGCACTCAAGTCCTGCAGTCGTCCAAATGAACTCCGGCATGAGACATATGACGGAACGTGGGGAAGGGGCGGCGACACCTGAAAAGGATAGCCAGAGCTACAGTAAAACGTTGCATGGCCATGATCCGAATCGACACAGCCGTGATACCAACACCTCCTCTAGTACACAGCAGCAGACATCTACCACCGAGTCGTCTACGGAAACGAATGCAAGTTCGGTCTCCCAGGATGCATGCGAGAGTACGTTGCTGTCCGAACGGACATCCCAAGAGGACTCTTTCACCGAGCCAGGCTTCCCGGAGGGTCAGTCTGTGCCTCAGCTACATTATCATCACCAGGCAGCCGTTCCGCGTGTCTCGAGTGCGCCCCTTGAAGCGAATGCCCGGAACGCTTCGAATCCAGACCTGGCGGAAGAGGGAACGGCCATAAATCGCCATCTCACCCCCAACTCCTATGGAAGGAGGAGTTCTATGCCCCGACCCCCATCAGCTTACTCATTACACTCAGAGTTGGAGTCTCGGGGGCGATCCCCACACGGTCGAACCCCATCTTCGCAAGCGCGCAGGTCTCCTGAAACACGACCGATATCATATGCAGAGTTGTTGAACGTACCATACCCTCAACCAGCTCCGGCGCCCATCACCTTTGATAACTCTCAGCTACGCAACAATGTTGGAACTAATGCAGCGCTGTTGAGCGCTCAGAAGACGCTCGAGATGTACAGGCAGAATGTCAAGAAGACCAACGACGTTTCGATTCAGTACTCGTTTGCTGTTTTCTTGATATCCACAGCCCAGGAACAGGGATTCACGCCCGAGGAGCCTGCGAGGAGCAAAGTTACTAAGAACGGGATAGACGAGGGGAACCCGTATCGCGATAGCAAGGAGTCATCGCCTGCTGCATTAGTGCGTGAAGCAAAAACTATCCTGACAAGGTTAGCAAACGGCGGTTACCCGTTTGCCCAGTACTATCTTGCCGATGGGTATGCATCGGGCTTGTTCAACAAAGGCAAAGAAGACTATAATGCAGCCTTCCCGCTGTTTGTTCTGGCGGCGAAACACGGCCACGCGGAATCGGGATATCGCGCTGGACTCTGTTATGAATTTGGCTGGGGTTGCCGCAAAGATCCTGCGAAGGCAGTGCAATTTCTGAGAACAGCTGCATCCAAAAGCCATCCAGGAGCCATGACGCGACTCGGCAAGGCCTGTTTATCCGGCGATCTAGGCGAAAACAGATATCGCGAGGGTCTCAAATGGCTGAAGCGAGCAACGGAAACCGCGGACAACATCTACAACGCGGCGCCTTACCACCTCGGTGCTCTATACGAAACTGGCTATGGCGAAGACATCTTCAAGGATGAGGGTTATGCCGCCGAATTATTTACGCAGGCAGCTGAGCTGGGTCACCCCGAGGCCAACTTCCGCATGGGCGACGCCTACGAGCACGGCAAACTGAACTGCCCGCGCGATCCCGCTCTGAGCGTTCATTTCTACACGGGAGCAGCTGAACGTGGTCATCCTGCGGCCATGATGGGACTTTGCGCCTGGTACCTGGTGGGAGCCGAGCCCGTCTTGGAGAAGGACGAAGAGGAAGCCTACGAGTGGGCAAGGAGATCTGCAGACCTTGGTAAGCCGGATTGAATGGTTGATCTCCCCTGGATGTACTATGTAACTAATGCACTTGATTACAGACTATGTCAAAGCACAGTATGCTGTCGGCTACTTCACCGAGATGGGGATCGGCTGCCGACGTGACATATTGGAGGCTAATGTCTGGTATGTCAAGGCTGCAGATGCTGGCGATGAGCGGGCCAAACAACGGCTTGCGGCTATTCGTGCCGCCGTCAGCGGTGGTACCCCGATGGAGGTCGCGCCTCCCAGAAACGCAAAGATGAAGAAAGCCCAACATAACAAAGAGGACAAGGACGAGAAGGAATGTGTTGTTATGTGAAGGGCAGCAACTCAGGAGCTTGAAGGGGACTACAGGCCCAGATGCGTGACGAAACGTCGGAGAGGGTAGGTTCGAGAGAGCTACTATGTGGAGATGAGATTCGGGGGATGAAAAGTCTTCAGGGGCCTATCTTGGATACCAAAAAAAAGGCTCTGTTCGAGACTTGTTTGCGAAAAATTCATATCTTGCTGGAGCATTTGGAGGATACTTGGACTGTGCTTGACCGGACAGGACTACGGGCAGGATATTATTGGGTTTGACCTTATGTTTCCTCAAGGGGTCAAACACAAGATGCATTTGCATATGCATGTGTGCGATTCAGGGCTGAAAAAGAAGAGAGCTGATCGTTGAGCTTTTCTTCTTTTCTCTCTCTCAGTCGCGACACACCTGGCGTTTCTACTCATTTTGCTGCTGCCATTCATGGACGGGGATCAATGGTGTGATAGGAGACGGCACATTCCAACTTTTTCCCCTTTTCCCCCTTTTCTCTTATTCTCGAAGACGATGGAGAAAATTTGTGTTGAGCGAGCATATAACCCACCCCCTCTGCTGTACTACACGCTTATCGTACATACCCGGACTAATATTACGCTGTTGTTGTGTTGATAAATGGTTGCATGTGTGTAAAGTAACCGCACACGTCACCAATTATTGTCAACAATCGCGAGTGTTTGTCAGCTCGTATTATCTTCAGGGTATATCCCAACTAATAATACAGTTCGGCAGGCTCGGGACGAATGCTAAGCTCCCTAGGGTCGACTCTCGACATAAGGTTACTTCCCCGCAATCGGGGAGGCCGTGATGGCTGCTAATTATAGCCAGTTCTGAACAAATCCCAGACTGATACGAGTCAATACCGCATCGACGGCAATTCAGGGGCATGACGGACGTGAAGACTCCAACACGAGAAATGCAGGAATCCAACGCTCGCTTGACCACTTGGCAAAGCGTACGAGAAAAGAATATCCCCTATTCCCCAACGTCATTTCGACGCTCAACAGGTCCTCCTAATCCAATATGCCCCAATCCATGCTAATTCCATTCGTTTCGTGACCGCCAAATGGAACCCACGACGCCAGATCAAAGTGGGTATTATCTCAGACGGAACCTGTCCCCCGGGTCCGCCGCATGTCCCGTCTTGATGTTCCTAGCAAAGTCGACGAACCGCTCCCGGAACTTATCGAAGATATCCTCGTGCACGTAAATACGCTTCATGACAAGCGTATTTCCCGCCATGAGGGCACCGGTTAATTTACTCACGCCCAGGAGCAGTGGCCAACTCCATGTTTCGATAGTGTAGCCTACTCCTAAGGGTATATGGTGGAGCTTCACGATCCGTTCGGAGGTGTCCTCGGGGATCTCGTTGGGGAGGCGTAGCTGTGAGATGGAGGAGTGGAGGCTGTCGAGCGTCATTTACATCTCGATTTCAGCTTTTTGGAAGAGTGTACCCGGTTATAGGACTGGAAGGTCGATGAAAGAGGACCGGTGGGAGGCGAGGGCCGAGGTGAGGCGGATGAGGTACATGGCGCGCAAGACTTCAAATAGGGATCGCCTGGAGGAAAAGACGGCGTGGGCGGCGGAGAGGGCGGATGAGATGTCTTTGGGGGCGGAAATGGGCACTTCGGGAAGGGGAGTCTTGGTGGAAGGGTCAATTCCGTTGTGCGTTTTGGGGGTGGTGGTCAGGCTGTTGTTGATGGTTGTGTAGAAGGTCTGTCGATGGATATGTTATAAGACAAGGTAGTTCTTCTACCATATACTCAGGGGATGGGTTTGCTTTCACTTACGGTAAAGTCAAAATTAGGGACACCTCCATCCCCTCCACCTTGGACTTCAGTCTTCGAAGTATCGCTCGTGTTCATGTTAGCTCAAGTTTCTAATGTATGCTCCATTAATAGTGCTTTGGTCTGTGACCACAAAGCAGTTCGAGACCAAGACAGTCCGTCATGGGAAACCCGACGCTTTATATCGCACATTTACTTACACAAATCCTGCGGGGAAAGGTGCACTTCCCGTCTCGTTCGTGGAACAGATCTATTCATCATCTCGGTCCTCCCTACCCAACCTTGAGCCACCATACGCAAGCTTAATATGACCATACCGTGCAGGAATTACCAGCGTCGTCTACATATCTATACACCACCATTCAGCTTCCCTCCCGTGCTAGCATTTCCCCATGTCCCTCGCATCTGACTCCCAAAAATAAACGGCGCCAGATGCTAACATGTAGCAGGCTGTGGTCCAATGGTCGATATGTCGGGTCTCGATACAGCGAAGACAACTTCGCCGCAATGGATCACAACATATAAATTGTCTCCCTTCACTATCGTGAGCTTGGTTGGCATGTGCATACTCACCTAAGTATTCTATCGTCTTAGCCACTAAGCACCCCATGTATTCAAGTCCACTTCTATAGCGGTAGGTGAGAACCTAGCACTATAATCTACAACTACATATAAGCAAGCCAAAACAAGTCGACGATACCAAGTCGTAGCACACAGCAAAACACGACTACCAATATTGCACCACGATTGCGCCAAATACACAGTTAAAAGGCATATGAAAATGTATTACTCCATACACGTTACACCATGCAATGAACGTATCCCCAGCCCAATCTTCATCGACAAAGGGACCCAAAACGCCTCTTGATTTCTCGTAGACGACGTAGAATCTTAACACCTTCTTCTGTCACTCTCCACTGCTGTGGCAGTAGTCTCTCCTTGATCATAACAATCGCTTCGATTTCAAAGCCCATTTAGTCTATCCGCCTGGGCGTCCAAAAGCACAAGAAGCTTCCGCACCCACTCCCAATGTATTATTCCCCGTAGCCGAGTGTGCTAGGAGTCGGAGCAACAACCAAGCACTGTGATATCAGAATTCAAGCTGTCGGAATCCTCTTTCGCTCCTCAACGTCTTCCCCCAGCTCGTGAGGATTCTTCGGGTCTACCACAGCACTGAAGCGTTCATCGCCCCATCGTGCTCCTATCGTGACCCAAACGTGTTTGCTGGGCCCACTGCGAACCGTCTCGCGACATCCAGTCCACTTGAGTCTCCTTTCCCGACTCATAGCACTGTTACCCATGCCGCCGTTGGTGACCCACTCTTTGACCACGTTCTTGATGAAGTCGACTTTGCGGCGGAAATCGTTCGCCGCTGGTATGCCTTGGAGCATCGGGTTGATCTCGGGACGTTTTCGTGTGGCATTGCGAGTAGGGCGGATAGCAGGCTTGCAGGAAAAATTGAGCAGAGTTTGCAAAGGGTAGCTGAGTACTGCCCGTTCATCGAGGGCATTCTCATCAAGCTCACCCGACGCTGCCAGTCTCTCCGCGGCCTCCTGCGGCAAATGCCAGAAATGGCACCAAGTACCCGTCCCGTCGAGCACGATCTTGGTGTGGTCGGGAAAGTTGAATTGGATGTGGCCGTCGGCGAAGACCCAACAGCCGACGTCGCCGATGCGCTGATAGAACGTCACGACGTCGCACGGAGGAAGATTCGGATCTGATATCGTCGGGATCTGAATATGGCCAGTCTCATCCGTGTTTGTTTCTTGGTCGCGGCCGTAAGCCACCATGTAATTAGCAAACTTCTTCCACAGGATCAGGTGCTCGCGTTTGCGGTAGTCGTGGATGTCCTTGCCGTTAGGCATCTTGCCTGGCGTGCCATCGGCATTGACCCCAATCTTGAACTGCGTAGGATGGACCGAGACACTAGACAGGCCCTCTTCGCCGTTGTTCTCAAAGAATTGGATCGGCTGTGACATTGGCACATACTGGAAACGATCCGCGTACGCTTCATCATGACGCCGCTGACAGTGTCGTTCTGCCTCGCGCACCAGGATACACGATGGGGGAAGCATCACTGACTTCCCCCCTCTCCCGCGCCCTGGGATGCTGCGAAGGACACAGCCTATGCTGCCGTCATTGAGGATGTAGCCAAGTCCAAACTTGTTGGAGTAGTCAACCCACTTGACTACAATGTGTGGCGGTGATGGCGTGGCCGCTTTCCCAACAATAGCCATTGATCTCGAGTTCAGGGCCCTCTCCAACTCGCCTTGAAGCTGTCGTAAGCGCTCGAGTACAACATCGGGCTTCGTGTCTGGGACCGCGAACTGGCGTTCCTTGGGACTGAACAACGTTTCCAAGCTGCTGGACACCGACGGCGCAGAGGGCGGCAATCTCTCCTGAACCTTCTCAACCGTTTCCATTATCGGCTGAACCGTTGTCGTCGGTCTCACCTTCTCCACTGGCTTTTCCACCGGCTTCTCTCTGGGTTGAAGTCGTGAGACAGACACCTGTGTCCTCATGGGGATCGAGTTGGGTTTAGATGCGGCATCTGCGGGTTGCGAGAGAACATTATCCTCCGTATTGCTTCGGGGCAATTCCCGTCTCACACGCGTTCGCATCGTGCTGTTGGCTGTAGGAGGCGCAGTCATCTCGGCCATGGTGCGGGATCGTACCAGCGAGGGCGCCTTGGCTGGTCTACTCTGGGCTCGTTGTTGTGCAGCAAAGCTTTGAGGCGGTGCCTTCAACAGCCCGGAAGGAGCTGCTTGCACCAGCGTTGCTGACTCGTCCTCCGACTTGACGAAAGATTGTGGGGGCAGCATACGCGGAACCTGTTTAAGCTTCTGCTCTCTGCTTATTTCATCGTAAGGTCGGTAGACAATATTCTCAGCAAGTGGGATCATTGGTGTCAATCCAGCCTTCTCCTCCAGTGCAACTTCCCTCCAGGTACTGGTGTAGACCTTCTGAGTGTTGTTCCAAGGTCCCACTTCGCAGGCACGACACATCTCCTTCAGATTGCGCAGATTCTGAGACGCCTTCTGTGGCGTGAGATCTGCCTCGTAGAATTCCTCCATATCTGGCGGGCAGTCACGGAACTGGGGTGTGATGTCTCCGGGAAGCGGGACATATCCTGAGAGGAAGAAATCATGCTGTACGATAACGTCAGGATCCGGTCTCTGATCTGCCTCGACGAGCATGGTAGCAACTATGTCCTTGGCTTCTAGACTGATATACTTATCAGTCTTTGGCCATTCGTAATCGCGATTTCGAGCGCGGCGGTAGATCTCATCCGTCGTCGACGACTGAAACGGCGGTTTCGATGTGAGCATGGCAAACCTGCCAAACGCGTTAGCGATGAACCTTGCAAGTTCTTCATCGTCGTGAGAATCTCACATTATAATGCCTAAGCTCCAGATATCCACCATATGATCATGGCCCTTCTTACCCTTCTCCAGAATCTCGGGTGCGATATAGTTGGGCGTTCCGCACAGCGTCGTGCGACGAATGGTTTGCATGTCCCTACCGGTGACGAGCAACGCTGCCAAACCAAAGTCACCAATTTTGGCGTTCATGTTCTTGTCGAGGAAGATATTGCCCATCTTCAGGTCCCGATGGATAATTCCCTTGGCATGCATGTACTTGATGGCTCCAGCAATCTGTACCGAGTAGAAGCGCACCTCGGGTTCCGTCAGCCCCTTTCGACGCTTGACCATGTCCATGAGCGAGCCGTTGGGACATAATTCGAGAACGAGATATGTGCATCTGTCGTATGAGAAAGCCCGCAGAAATTGAACTATGTTTTGTTGTCGCATCTTGGAGTGGATTTGGAGCTCAGTTTGAAACTGGACAGTTGTGTAAGCATATGATCCTTTCAACGGACCCAGCACCTGGAAACTGACCTTCTGTTCCATTTTTGACGGCATCTTGCTTTTCACAATCTTCAAAGCATGCTTCTTCTTGCTTCCGGGTAATTGTCCCTCATAGCACACAGCAAATCCTCCTTTCCCCAGCATCATGCCAACCTGGTATACAGCGCCATCTTTGCGATCAGAACTCGGTGGTTCGTATACTTGGGACGGAGGCGGAGGTGGGTGCTCCTTATCCTTCTGGGCAACCTTGGAAGCCAGGGCTGCTTTCACCTTGGCGGTTTCGAGGGTGGCTCGAGGCGGCAATTGGGCATTCGCGTCTCTTGGGGACAAGGCATCGGCATCCGTCCCTTGCTTCGTCGCCAGTAGTCTGTCGGCCATCGTTGACAGCGCCGATGCAACTAAGAGCCGAGTATGTGTGCCTTGATCTGAACGGGAACGTAAATATTAGCTCGATCTTCCTATACCCTCCCGTCCCCGAAAGATGAAATATGTCGGATGCTCAATATTGGCAATTCGTCGTCAAATGATAGTCGCAGCCAAAATTTCAGCTGGGGCAAGGGTCGCTCTCCAGACTGCGAACTCTGAGGCTGTCATCGGCAACCTCCAAAGAGTCGTTTTGGCAATCGGAACATCAGGGAAAGAGTAAACAAACCTTAATCTCGGATGTACTTACTGAACAAATAGTTCTCGCAACGGCATCAAGCAAATAGAAAATTGACAAGTGCAACAACTATCGTCATGCAAAACTCGCATCCAGGCCTTCCTGGTAAATCTAGAATTGGTGTTGTGAGGAACGGCACCGCCTTGGACGACACTACGGAATTATCCCAGCGCGTACATGGGTTGCAGTTTCGGAGGTTGTCAGGGAAACCGCCACCCCGGTCCGCCGGCCTTTATCGATAACGCGCCTAAAGTCGTTCTCTTGTCGCGGGTCCGCCGCTGTGGATCATGAATGCGGCCTTCACAGCTATGACTTCAAGGTTTCAACTAATATCTCTACTCTACCTTCTGCAATAAGGCGGCTCAAAGCGATTGATCTCGGTAGCCCACTTAGTTGGCTATGTTTGCCCCTTTTTAGATGCCGCGAACGTCTCTCGCTCTCCCATGCCCTAGCGATCAAGCAACGACAATATCATTAGAAATCAAACCCATGTCCCGCGGAAACGATGGTAGCTTTGCCGTTGTTCAAGCTCGCGAGTCTATTCTTGCGGCATGTCTCCAAATATGGTGCAGTATGATGGTAACTAGGCTTATGCACCATCCCATCATACTGACTCCTGCTTCTAGAATCGCATTAAGCTCCAAGCTCACGAACACCCGGGCTTCCGGCACTTCGCAGCTCGATACGGTCAGACTATTCATCAGCTGAATATGCGCTTGTCAGTCTCGTTACTGAGAAACCCCGAGGCCGAAAGGAAAGCCAAGGAGAAGGCAGAGGCGCCCACTGTGAAGACGGCAGAGCAGATACAGAAGGACGAAGAATACAAGGCGAAGCACGGCCACACGAGGGACGAAGCCCGGGCGAAGCGGCCATCGACTATCTTGAATGTGTGGAAACGGAAGTTTAGACCACTGCCAGAGGAGAAGGCCGTTGATTTATTTGCCGATGTGATTGGTGACGCCTTCATTCTCACGGTCGCTAGTACCATTATCCTTTATGAGTGGTGGAAGTCATCACAAAAGCCGGATCACAACCTCGAAAAGATCAAGGAGCTTAATGGAAAGCTAGAGGAGCTCCAGAAGGAACGTGAGGAAGACCGGGTCCGCCAGGAAAGCAGAGTATTGGCTCTCGAGACGGCACTACGTGGGTTCAAGGATCCCAAGACCCAACAGCCATTGTTGCCTCCGGCCCCAACTCCACCACCTGCGGCGTTGTCGCCTGCATGATGGTGGACAGCGACTTGCGTGTCGGCTCGGATTGCATTCCATGGGCGTTTGCGAGCGGCACCCTCCCAACGAGACTATGTACCCGTACGTTTCATTTCATGGTTGTATGTCGTTTCTGCTGCGTTCTACGAGCCACGCTCGGTGTATCTGGTTGAGAATTGTGAGAAAGGCTCAACATTTCACATTCAATGTATGGGGTAAAAGCACTTACGTAGAAGACGGCTGTGGTTTTATACCACAACGACAAACTCCCATCTGAAACAGATCGAGTTTCCTCAATGTAACTACTGAGACTGGTTCAAAGCTTGCCGGGTTGGTCATTATGTTCGACTGAAAATGTGACCAGGCGGAGTCTGAGTTCAATTTATTTTAGAAGGGTAAAAGTGATCAACAGGAAGGGTAGGTACAGACTGACTGCGCCTGTGGAAGGCACCTGCCAGGGATGGAGACAGCTCGCACCTGCACTGAACTTGCCTTCCCTGCCCAACATCTCAAGTTTGGGTGTCACAAGATGGGGCGTTAAGGTTACCCTGCGTCACATCCAAGAATCTTCAACGCGGCAATTGATGCACAATCGAGTGGGAGTCTATCGGTGTCAAGGTCTGGACCAACAGCCGTCGTCACACAGAGGAAGGTGGTGCCGTCGTTGTCGACTATGGAGACTAATCTAGTCTGTTCCTCAATGCGCAAGCGGCCTAATTGGGCTACCCTCACACGGGCGCTTCTGCAGCAAAACACTGCAAGATGGAAAGGCAGTGCAACCCCCCATATCCCATCTTTCCAGCCACTTGGGCGCTAACACATTCATGCAGAATCCTCCTTTGAAACTCACGACGTGGCCATGCCGCTGTCTCGTGTAGCAGCTCGCGCCGTCTTCCGAGCCATCTTTTTGACGCCGGCAGACATTGGTACAGCCGAGACGCGCACTCGCACTGAGCGGCTGTTCAATCTCAACGGTGGGCAGTATGTGGCCTTGGTCCTTCTCATGGAGAAGCAGGACGAGGGGGAGAGTCCAACAGCTGCGATGATGAGGCTTCAGCTGGAGTAAGCGCTCCATTCTCTCTCCCCCCTTGTTGCAGGCAGCCGCGTCCTTATCGTAGTCAAACTCCTTTTCGCAGTAAGACTGACCATATTCAGACTTGTTGGTGGCTTGGAGATGCCCATCATCCCAGTTGCATCTGTCGAGACCGCTGGAACAACCCTGCTGGCCTTCCATCAGCAACTTAACACCAGTGGAGGATGCCAGAAGCGAGCAGAGGCATCTAGTCTTCTTCCATATTGTTCTGACTCGTATACACTACCGGAGCATAAGGTCAACTTGCTGAGTGATATCACTAGTGGGTTGCGGGATCTTCTGGAACAAGCATCAACAGCAGAGGGGCGAGAGAAACTGGCACAGTATCTTGGCCCGGATGCAGAGCGCGTGATCCGTTTCTGGAAAGAGGAGTATCCGGTGGACTAGTACTCGGTCTACTGGACTGTTGCCGACGCCACTATTTTATATATGGCAACAACGAGCCAACTCAACTTTACTTGGACTTGAGCTCTCGAAACGGACTATCCTCATTGGACGGACGCTCGGCAATGCTAGATTGCACTCTAACCTCGCAGCTCCCATTTGAAGTTGCTGCCTGCACGAATTCAATAGAACCAGAGACTCGCTCGGCGAGTTGACTGCCAAGGTTGATACCGGCATAGTCTAAATATAGTCTCGCTTATATCTGCGGAGGTTATGCGGAGACGGAACACAGCTATTCCAACACACAGCAGCCAACGCTACAAGATGTAGCATTGTATTTGGTCGAGGTCAGAGTTGTCTGACAACGTCGCTTCCAGCTCGAATCTGAATTAACGGAAGACGAGAATTGCGCACGTCTTCATCCGATAGTGACAGCCAGAATAAACATTATTAGATGATTCGGGCATTCCGCCATTTCCGCTGATATTCTACAGGGCGCGAACATCCCGCGCAACAACGGTCAGAACAAGGCTGGCCAAAGAGGTGTCAACTATGTTTTCTCTCTATCAGCTGGCTGACCCTCTATCACTAGCCAGCATCCTGAACTGAGTCGACACTACTGCAATACGTATGCCTGGAGCTGGTGAAGCAGTACAAATCACTATCTCCTTCATCAGCCGTGGCAGAATGTGACTAATGCTTGGATTGTGGAAGCTAGTCGTGTGACGAGATAACTTGGCAGCATTTCATGTCTCCGGCTCACGATGCTAGCTTTAGCTGTACTTACCTCCACTCAATACCATGTGCCATCGACTCGGAAGTGGTGAATGGTGTCCAGCGCCGGGGGTCAACCGGAGGACGATGCCGAAAACGGACTACTCTTCGTGATTCTGTTAGCCGGTAAGATTCGAGTGCACGAAGAAGAAGGCGGCCCAAATGCCGGGCTGACTCGTAGCGTCGGGCTTTATATGGCACAATTCGTCTTCGGCCGGCGCGTTATCAATCACACTTCCTGCCAATGCAGCCCACAGAGTTGGATGAACCACTAGAACGCTGAAGAAGCATAGCGATGAGACTACAGCCGTCAGTCTCCCTTTATGTGGAGAAAGTCCCCAGCCACACAGTCGTTGCGGTTCGTTAATCATTCTGGATGGTTACATCTGCCAAGTTTCCCATGTGGCTTCCTCACGCGAGTCCAATAGAAGTCATCGAACAACCGCCGACACAAATAAACTCAATAAACTAACGTAAGCTGGTGGCACACCCGTTACACCGCAACCTCTCGCATCTACTGTTTGGTATGCATCCCATCAGCTCCGTTCGGCTCGCTTACCTCGCCAGATCGGGACTACCAAGAGGAAATATAACCAACCAACCAGCCCCCAGCACCAAGGCTCGGATACAGTCGAATTCGTCAGCTTGTCGTGGAAGCCGCACGAGGCACTAACGCGTGGTGACAAAGACTTCAACTCATCACGGCATACGTTGGCCTTGACACTTGATATCACGGACTCATCTCATCACAATCCTTCAGTTGGGTGCCGAAATCATGAAATGGGCCAAGCATTGGTGCTTCTCACCTTGCGTCTTGGGTGTTTCTCACGGCGCAGAGAAAGTCATGCAAATCTTTAAGGAACACTTGATTTCGGCCAGTTTCATGACTCGATGCGACTCTCCACTTTGGATGCACATCATTCCGCTCGATGGCAAACGAAACCTGCAGCAGACATCAATGCTGGTGCTCCCCTAATCACGAAGCGGGCTTTGCGATCCACTCTGACACTTTTGGGATCGTTCTCCCACTTGAACACGCTTCGCAATTGTAGTTTTTCTGTCCCGGTTGATGATGAGACAAGGACGAACAAGCCCATCCTGGGAAAGAAGTAACTGTCATCCAGACTATGCAAAGTCTGTTTTTGAAGGATCTCGTCACCCTTTTCAGCACCTCGCATCGTAGACGGTTTAGTGTGCAGACCCATGCACTACTTAGGTAGGCTCGGATGATGCGGCATCCCTGGACGCCCCGGCCGGTACCACAGTACATGTTTGGACCGTTCCAAACCCAATCTGCCTCAGCATCGTCACTTGCGAAACTTGTCGGGCCTGATCGACCCCGTGGCGGTGTCGCAGATTTTCAGATGGCATGAACATCTGAAATTTGTCGTTGTCTGAAGTTCCACTACGAGGCCACAACGGGCGAACGCTCTGGAGTTAAGCTGGGCACCGAAAAGGAAGAAAGAAAAGAAAAAGTTCCCACTCAGCGCAGCTGGATTTGAGGGCCGAGGAGGTTGGCGAGGTGAGACATGTCTGCCTCCACCACTCGCCCCCCCACTCCTCGAGTCACCATGACCACACACCCTGCTTAGTTAGACTGCTGGGTTGTGCGAGGTTCTAGAAAGCACGCACCACCACTGCAGGACGAGGTCGACCTTATTTTCTCCGACGCCTAATATCTATCATACAATGGGACGCAGTCGACGAGTGCCGATAATATCTGGCTTTCAAGGCAGATGTGGCATTGCAACGGTCACCGGGCGGGAAGCATTGTTATTTTTATTATTAACAACCCAGACATGCGACGGACTCCAGCCCCCCAGCGGCAGGCAACTGTCAATTATCGAACGAAGCAGTCAATCAACAGCACAGACGAATCGCCGGCCAAGTAGAGAAGGTACCTCGTCCTGTTGTGGCAATTGGCCCCCCCTGTAGCGGCAGACGCGGATGGGGGACCGGCCCCTGTCAGGAGTCTGTACTAGAGCCCCTGATTGGCTGCCAAGGTGACATCTAACCGCCCGTGCAGCCCAATCACAGACTTTCGCATCTGTTCTATTCTCGATATCCACGTCTATGGCCGAATCTCCTCTTACCCAATAACTTTATGCTGCAGTATGTTAAGCATCCGCCCATACTCGTACACGCCGGCCGCCGCGACGGCGTCCAAGAATCCCCCAAGAGCCTGCAGGTCCAATTGACACCAATGCCTCTCTGTACCCGCCCCGCCCGTCTGGGGGCTTTATGCATATCCCCCCTCTGTCTGCACATCATGAGGCCCGTCCGAACCGCTGCGCTTCCCTCGGAAAGACCTAGCAGGCCAAGTCGTGGCCCGCAACGTGCCCCGTTTTGCAGAGTCTTGCCCCATGTATTGGTTGCTCGTGGTTGAATGGCGGTCTCGGCCATGGCTGATGAGACTGTACTTGTTCCCACGCCTGTCACTTCTTAAAACTCGCATGCCTCCGCATGTTTGACGATCTACCGTTCCGTAATTGAAGAAACCTCCTTGTTGCCTCATACGTTAGTGCTCCCTCTCCCCGTGAAGGACCTTGTCGTCTGATCTTCGAGCCATCATCGTCGACGTTTCCAATGCGACAAGGCAGAGCCCCATCCGCGAACGGCTCCTGATCCAAGCTTCACCACCTCATCCTTGCGGAAATCATTCATGACCCTTTCCGCCCCGTCGAACAAGAACACACTACCGGCGTCAGATAACTAGCTTCAAACAGCGCCCTCCGCTGCCCTCGAGCCATGTCCCGTTGAGGCTCAACCTAATATCATCGTCAACATCGTATACTCAGGGAATAAGGTTGAAAGGCCCGTCCATCATTCCCAAGCTGGGCCCCATACCGACACTGTGGAAACAAGGAATGCCGCTCGGATGCCCGCTGTCATCATAGATCAGATTATCAGAACGTGGATCTCCAACGAAACTGCTTCAAACGTCCGGTACCAGCAACCCACGACAGGGAGAGCGCTTCTGCCAAAGCTTGTGTGTCAGGACCTGCTCCACGGGAGCACCGCTGTCCCCTCCCCCCCCGGGCAGGAGGCCACACCGTCCTACCTCCAATATAGTCCACTCATACCCCCGCTGGCCGAGGGTTTACGTTGGCTATTCCTTTCTCTTCTTTTGTTCTTACTTGCCAGCGCTGTGCACTCGCTTGTCGATTACTTTCTTTCATATCGACAAATTCTGTTCTACAGCAAACCCGCAGGTCCGGCTACCTTGCATTTATTTTCCCTTCGAACTACCGCTTGTTGTTATATACTATTACCGAGAGGGCAGACACGTCACACCGTCGACCTTCGTTACCTTCTTTGTTGGAGCTTGTTTGGACTTTGAGAAGATTCGGCATACAGTTTCGGGCTTGGGCACTTCAGGAAAAGAGACAAGGGTCCAATAAAAGAAACGGGAATTTTCGGAGGAACTATTTGAGAAAGTACCGCGAACATGGGAAGGCTTATCAAGAACCACTGGGCGAGGCTCATCACCTTAACGGCCGCAACTTGTAAGTGGGATATCCAGTGGGACTGGGTTGCAGAGACCAACTTGCTAACATGCCATGTTAGACCAAATTGCTGCCGCTCTCGAAGGATTCTTCTGGCCTAAGATATTTTTCGATTTCCTCACGAAAACCCTCGACCCGGCTGTGAAGCCCGTACCGGTCTTGCAAATTATCAACCTCTTAATGGGCCTCTGGATGCTGGCATGGGAGTGGCCACTGGGGCTTATTGCCGGATCGTCTATCCACCGCAGCCTCGAGGCTCGACTTGCTGTTCTGCCTCTGACCGCTCTGGCTGCCGTCCTGATCTACCAAGGCACTAACTCGGCACTCTACTACGTCGTGGCAATGGTTGTTTACTTTTGGGCGTATAGTGAAGGCGAGGTACGTTTTGACTTGCCCACAGTGCAAATTTCTCTCAAACTAACATCGACCCAGATTGTCTGCGCCAAGCCATGGACTCTACCACAGAGAGGCGGCCGCGGCAAAGTATAAGTCATGGGAGACTTTTACTCGCGAGGACGCGTCGTCATGAACATGGCCGTCCCGTGTTCCCCCCCCTCTCTTACGCTCTCCCACTACAAGGTGGTGCATTAGTGGGCAGAGGGGATACCACCGTATATATATATATATATATATGTATACATGGCCCTCTTCGCTCTTCTCTCTCTGGAGAGAGTCGAAGGCCAATATCTGCATTGTCATTTTTCCCACAGCGAACATTATTACAACACCAACTCTTTCGGCATTTATACGGATGACGGCGTTTCTACTTATTTTTATTTATTTACTGGATTTTAACTCGCGAATCACTCCCGCCACCGACTAGAACGACTTGGAAAGAGAGAAAAGCAAATGTCTTGAACACAGTATTGGGCAAAACAAAAACTCCAGAGTTATTTTTGGTGGCGGTCTTGAGAACGATGCAAGCATGGTGTAGAGGAGGAGCAAGAGGATGGGATGGGATGGGGTGGGATGATAACTAGAAACTGGGCCGAGAAAGCCAGTCTTCGCCTCATGCAGATCGCAGGGTGATGGGAGGAAACTGGAGAAAGAAAGAGCTACCTACGACCCGTGGACGCAGACTATGGCACACCACTCGACAATCAACAAAACATGGATCAGCCAACCTTTCTCCTTTTGGGAAGCTGGTCTTTTTCCCGTCATACCTTTGTCCCGACAATGCGTGTAGCAGGAAGCGAGGCTTAACCAAAATACCTAATATCCATACAACATTCAACTTCCAACGAGGCCCTGATTTGGGATCGCGAAGTCAATAACAGAACCTAGTAGTTCAGCAAACCTTTTTGCATTACTACTCATCGTGTGATCGCTTAGTGTATATGTACGCATGGTGGATCCAATTCGTTCGTCCCTTCTCGCTGTTCTTACTAACCCAAACATCCCATCATTTCCCTTCTATACACGCACTTTCATGTCAACTCCATCGCCTCATCTTTTCCCCTCACACACCGTCTGAGTAAGACCACGAGAAAAATCTGTCTAATTTTCATGGCTTGGTCGTGTTTCGGAAAATCTTGGTTGCGGATCATGGTAGCATTGACCATCTCGTAGACCTACCCAAACCGCATGTGAAACGATCTTCAGACGCTACCCCAGCCTCGAGAAAGACTTGCACTCTAGTGATGGCGGAGTCCCTGTTTGTAAATACCAGCACTACTTAGCACCAAAGCTGTTCGTTGCCATGTCAATATGGGCTACAATACGATGTCCGATGATGGCAAGGTGGCACTCGGTTATTTGGCCAAGGCGGAAATAACTGACCGAGAGGTACTCCAGTGGATCAAGAAGTGCCGAGGAAATAGAAGCCGAGGAGCGTTGAGCTAAAAGTCGAACCATGCTTCACTAATATATCGAATGATCGTGACGGAGATGGTCACTTAATTACCATAGGATGGATATTTGCTGGGGGTCACGGCCACTGCACAACGGTCGAGACCTCAGGAAATATGTTGAGGAACATTTTGATTATGATCGATGGATTCCGTGCAGATCTTTACCACTAATTCCACTGGAGTGACTACCTGTTTCCAGTCTCAATGCACTCACACTACTTGTGCCTCATCCATCCCCAATGCAATAACCGTTTGCGCCGTGGGTCGACCCTCTACCCATCATGAGAGGAGGTACCATCAGTCCCAAATACCTTTCAATTCACTATCGTGGGCCAGTGGTAATCGAACCCATTTGCGCGTCATTCTTGGGGCCTTGGCGCTCGGGGAACTGCAACAGCCCATTAGCATGCATATAAAGAGGACTCTCAGGATTGCCACGTACCTCGGTCTCTTGAGAACTGCCCTTCTCCAGGATCTGCTTGATAACCTCCTCATCGATCGAGGTGCCAAACTCATTCTCCAGTGTCGCTTTGGAAGCGCCGTCCATCTGGCCTTGTGCTCCTTGCCTGTCGGAGCAGTCGTGTTAGCCGCCCAATATCACAAGGGTTTGGGTCGCAGGGCTGGCGACTGTTTCACGTGCCTATGCTACGGCAAAGACGCTGGATGTTCCCGTTCACAAAACGGAATGAATCATGGGGGCAAGGTAATAGGGCTGACTTACTTGTGTGTGACGAAGATTTTGAACGCGGAGATGAACTGAACCATGGGAACCGACTTGTCCTCCTTCCACTTCTTCATAGTCTCGACGTCATCGACAAAGATGACGAAGTCATCCTCCTTGCCCTGGTAGTGGATCTTGGTCTGGATGGCCTGGCCTTTCGTCATGTCGGCGGCGTTGGTGTTTGTTGTATGGGGGAGTGGTTGATAGAGTGTTGTAGTGAAGTAGACGAGCGTGTGGTTATGTGAAGGGGTGCTGTGTTGTTGATGATGTCAGAAGATAGAGGATGGAGGGGAAAGTCCAGTGGAAGGGAGAGTTCACGGCTAGAATTTATGAGGGGTAATCACAGCTCTTCTGCAAGCTTCTAATTGCTGCAAGCCTGCATCGTAACTGCCTTTGTGCGTGTATTCGATCATCATTGCTCTGCCTACGTCATAGCTAGGGGAACACGCGACAGCCCCGCCAATTTACAAGCCTGGACAGCCTTTGAGATGGCTTTCAGTGCTGTCGTTTCCCGCTTTGGCTGGGTTCCTGCGTCAGCTCAACCACCCCGCACTAAATGACATCCCAATACTATAGCTCGGCATGGACGCGCTCTTCTTTATCAGCTATTTCATAAAAAGGTCGCAGAGGTATGTTATTGTTGAAGTAGTTTGTTTCCGGAGGAAACCCTACCAAGAAAGACATCACCACAGCTGTTCTAGATCTCGGTCTTGACAGCCTCTCTGCCCCGCCACAGCTTTAGACTACCTGACGTCACTTCCGGGTTCAGGCAGGGATATGCCCCTTCCAGTGGGTTTCCACCTCCGGACAACATAAACGGAAAGGTCCAAACATGCAAACAAGGCGAGCTGTGGCTACGTACCTGGGTAGCATCAGATGCGGTTACGTATGTACCAGTAGCAAAGTGATCAACGGCAAGGCAGGGCGGGTGCTTGTAGCTACCATTGACCCGTTCAAGCTACATCTACTCTTCCCAGGGCTGGCTGTGACATGAACAGGCAGCACGAATAGACCCTCTTAGGGGCGAGGGATCAAATGCCCGGAGCCATTAGACCTAATCTATGATAACTCAACGGATTTGCCTGGGATATTGCATCACAGAAGGGGATAATTCATCACTATCAGGCGCGGTAGCGGAACGCTAGGAGCAGCCTCTCGCCCTCTGCAAGCTGATTTGAACTAATCGTCAGGCGGTGTTCATATGCCATTCATAACAAAACAACCGAATTCAACTCTCGTAGTATGTTATAATTGGCCCGACCAGATCAGAGCTCCAGGCAACAAGTCTACGTAAATCGACGTCAAGTTTATACACGCAACCAATAAGAATCTTCTAGACCACCAAGCCTGGTGATCAGAGGCAATCCTGGAACCAAGACAACTGCTGTCCAGGACAGGAACTGAATGCCAATACGACCCGCTAGACTTGTAAGGTACTACCTTATTTGGTATCTAATGTGCCCGTGACACGTCGGGGTCTATTAGCAATACTGCAACAGTTGCGACGGCCTCCTGTGGTGTCAATGTATGTATGTTTGATTCCATTACACGCATCGTCCAACTTTGTAATCTATGTACATAATGAACCTGTGAGCCATCCAACTCCCAATGCAGAGAGCAGTGAGTGACAACCAAGTGAAGTATGTGTAGTGTAGTCTCCGTAATAAAAACAAAATGAATCCAGCTCGCAACAATCAGGTTACGGATGCGTGTCCTTCCCTAAGTACCCAATCAAACAGCCTTGCAACTCCAAAACCTGGGTATATAATTCATCGAAAGAAACCACGGAGTCCTCCCGTCTTAAGACCCCTATTGATGACGCTGACCTTAGTCCACTTGCTCACCGGCTTCGCGTGGTGCGCTGTCGTTTCGAGCCCTGGTTGTTTTGTGTAATTCATGTTATGTACGTTCTCCTTTTCCTTTGTGGACGAGGCTGGGGATGCCGATTTAAGTGATGGTGTGTGGTGATTTCGGATGCTGTTTGCCGAGGACGTTCGCAATGCCGAAGGAGGCCTGGCCTGTGATTCCTCCAGTTGCCATTGTGATTCTAGCTTGGAAGGATCGAGTCTTCTGACAGTGCCGCACCTGGATGCAGTGTCGTTTGCAGGGGAACGCTCGCTGGGGCTGCTGGCGCGTTCTGTTTCATCTCGAATGGCGGGCAGCCTGCCCTGGGCCTCGCCCTCACACTCCTCATCAAGATTCAACGAAGGCGTTGTAAAATCGCAGTTGAGCGTAACAAGTGCATCGACGAAGTTGTTGACGTGTGGAAGTTCGTCCTCGTGTGCCTTGCTCATGTTCGTGCTCGCAGCACTGGCCGACCGGTTCTTGAAGGAATTGGTAATGCTCGAGACGCTTAGTTTTCGCATCATAGTGGAGGCGGAGCTGCGGACGAGATGTTCACTCCTGGACCGGTTTGTTATGCCGGGGAGTGGCAGAACATCGCGACTCCAGACATCAGCGAGCAGGGCTTCCAGACGGGCTCGATCAGCTCGCGGCGGAGCCAAGATAGGAACCCGTGAGTTTGTTGTCAAGAGCGACTGGGAGCGGTTGATCGGAGAGGCGGTTTTGGTAGTCGACGTGTCTCTAATTGTAGTAGTATTCTTCAAAATCACTTGACACAAAGGGGATTTCGGTCCAACGGTGGTAGCTCGGTGGATAGAAAGACGACGAGCAACCGTGCCTATTGTAGTTAGTCCACCAGCCATCACCGCTCATAATTTCTATGCGACGCACCTGGTTTTCCAAAAACCGTTCCAAGACTTTTGATATTTAATGATAGTGAACTGCAGAATGGCGGCTCTGTTCGATCAAGCGTCTCCCTGGGCATGGAACTTGACAGGCGGTTTCGCCACTCAAGCTCTTCCTTAGGAGAGCAGGCCGTCATGATGATTTCGTACAGTTGGTGATCAACCTCAAACACAAGCTTCCAAGAGAAGGGCACCGTGTGACATTGCAATCCTGAATAGTGTCAGCATGTTTGACGGTTGAAACGCCCCTATGTATTTTGATCTCACATACCTCGGCCATTGTCAACTTCCTCGATTTTGATGGTGTCCAACCCAATGCAAGCTTGAATGGTGTAGATTTGATCAGATCTACCCGCAGTGGCGAGACACAGGCAATCCTTGTAAAGCAGTGCAACCATGTAACTTCCACTAACGCCTTCTCTCGTTTGCCAGCAGATGTGCAAAGCGCCGCATAACTGGATCTGTCCTAGTGACCGTATCGTAGTCTTGAGAGTCGCATCAATATACTACCAGTACGGTCAGCTACGTAAAGCATTGGATGATTGCCCAGGGGATTCATACTTGATCTGGAAAGACGAGTCGATCCTGAAGAAGCCATGTCTTCTCCATCGTTGACTTGACGGAAGGGTCATCAGTAGCACGGTTGATTTCAGCCGTAGCTTCGCGGAGCCGGACGAGGACGTTTTCAATCTCGGCATGGGAATTGGGACAATCGTAGACAGGGGTGCACTTGAGTAGCTCGGCGAAGAGCAGAGGGTACTTGCATATCCTCTGAATGGGCTTCGGATCGTTAGTATCGCAGGGGGGTAGTTTTGCACACGCGGTGTAGACATACCTTGACCAACAGATCACCAATAGTGAGCGACTTTCTTGAATGGTCCAGATGTTGGTTCGCTGATCCCAGCGAAGCTGCCAAGGCCTCCAAGCCTTTCTGATACGTCTCCCACTGAGGCATGATTCGATGAGTTGACGCAACATCTTTGATCATCATCTCGTACTTGGCCCCATATTCTTCATAGACAAAGAAACGGTTCATCTTGAGAATGTCAGCGGTCGGAATGAATCCCCATCCACCAGGGGAAAGGCATCAAATACAAAACAAGGGCCGAGACGTACTCTTCTACCAAATACTTGAGCAACTTCGGCCGCAACATCGGGCTCTGCTGTCATGCCGGGAACAGTCTGCAGCCATGAGCCCCCTACTATGTCCTCAGGGACGGAATCTAGACTCCGCCATCTGCCGTGAGTCGGCCTGCTGACTGGCTTTGGTGCGGGTGGTAGTTGATCTGTCTGGGTGTATTCGGAGTTGGGCACCACCCGGTGAAGCTCACCTAGGATATCTTCGTGTAGCTCAACAACATCCGTCAGGTTTCGGTTAATAGAAGATCGAAGGCCCATCTGCTGGGTCGGTAGGGACGCAAGAATTGTAACATAGACCTTGGATAGGTCAGCAAGACGGGGTACGAACCCAGTGGTCAAGACGAGCAACCTACGTTCATCAAAAACTTGATATCACCAATGTAACTCTCTTCCGTTTCAATCAGCTCGTCCAAAATGCGTCGTCTCTGCAACAGACGCTCGGTAATAGCAGGGTCCATAATAGGTGATCGTTCCGAGCACATACTATCCTCTGAGAATCTTCCACCGGACATTGAAGCTCTGCTACTGCGATCCGTCTTGGCATGGTGAGAAGATCGTGCCGTGTTCCTCCTGGGTCGCGTCATGACGCTGGCGCTGGCGAGACTTACACTCGCACTTCTGACGCCGGTCACATATCCGAAGGAGTCATCCGATGAAGACCTTCTGTGGTTGGCGCCTGATGCAACCTCGGAGTGCGTGGAGAAAGACTCCTTGACACCTTTGTGGCCCCAACCCCGCGGCCGGCGTGCCCGTTTCTGTAGGGTCTTCATCCATCTGTGGAACGGCTTGCCATCGACTTGCGGTGACTCGGATTCCTGATATTCGTGGCCGTCTTCATCCAAGGGGAGCCGTGGGAACTCATATATCCGGTTTGGTGATTCTGTTTCCTCAGCATCCAATGCTAAACCCAAGGCCGTTATGTTATCCAAATCCTTCCAAGCGTCCCCTCCGTCAAATAAAGAAAGGTCGACATCATAAATCGCCAAATCAGAATCAGTCCGGTTGGCTTTCAGAAGAGACCGTGGGGTGCTCTTCTTGGCGATGTTGAGAGAGCTACTCCGCGAGCAGGGTCGAGGAGAATCGTGGCTCATGGCAAGAAGAGCCATACTAGAAGGAATGCTCCTCTCGCCGAGGTTTTGAGGTACCAAAAAAATGAAGATGCAAAATTGGCTCCAAAGACTCAAAAAAGTTCCTAGACAACCAAAAGCAACGGACGAGGCTGGTATCAAAACATTACGACGCGAACAGCAAGGGAACAATGTAGAGGTGGCGGGCGAAAGAAAGTTAAGGCCCAAAGGTCCGCCCAAGGGTATGTATGCAGATGCAGTCGTAGCTCGACGCCCTGCAACATGATAGCAGCAAGAACGGCTCGGCGAAGCTTATCTTTCGGGGAAAGAGACAGGAGCTGAGAGACTAGTTGATTTGGGGCGAAACTGCCATGGACAATGGGACGGAAAAGTCCAGGTTGGCTGGACCTGCCTGCAAGTCTTGTTGAAAGCCGAAGGGTTGGAACTGGTTGGAACTGCTGCAAAACTATTTGGCGTATGAGACGGTGGCACAGTCGCGGTGCCCGTGGTAACACCTGAGAGCGCGTCATGTCTACTGAGCTTCAAGGGACATTCCGATTGCGAAATGGGCAATGTAGATCACAGTGTTCACTGCATCAATATTGCAGCTGGACATGGAAAAGAGAACCACGTTGGTAGGTAACAGACAACTTGTCTGCTAGTTGCGCGCAAGTGAAAACTTTAGAATGTTTCGAAGCATGCGACCTACCTGTCAAAGTGGTTGAAGGTTTGCGAGCCTGGTTCATGGGACGATTGACAGTTGAACTTGACGAGCGAGGCAAGTGAAAGCCAATTGGGTTAATTGGCGGTAATAGAGTTCCCGTCGAACCAGCCGAATTGCGACCCTAGCCCAGCCTCAGCGTCACAGGGGATCAGCTCGTCGGATGCTTCCCTTAAGGTTCCTTGACGTCGATCCGTGCAAATTGCGATCGACCAGCCATTTTGCAGATATTGAAATGGCAGTTGCTGATGGACAGAGTGGTGGAGGAAATCATCCCGATACTGCAATAACGAAGATATCCAGCTGTAATGCGGCTTTGCAATAGTTATTACCCTACGTACTTCGTATTTGGCAGTGCCAAGACATATTTGTAGCTGAGGGGTTGAGGCTCTGGATCGGCCACGGCGAAACGTAATTCCTGAAAGCACCAAGCTACCCCTCGTTCGAGGCCAAGTTTGCAAGGACCCGCGTCTAGCCAACGCGTCCCGCTACTGACTGCTGTGATGAATCAGTCCTTGAGCCTATGGAAGCTTGACAGTCAACCAAACTCCAACGCTTTTTTTCATTAAGGCGACAAATATTCAATAATGACTTGACTTTCTGCAACTCAATAACGGGCCTTCCCTTAAGAATGGAAAATCTACATGCGCCTACAATTCCCTCCGGGCCATCATCTAGGCCTTCAGCCAATGGCAATGCAGCGCATCTCTCCTTCGCCGAGCTTTCGCTCAAGAAGGACAATGTCGAGGCTGAACTCAAGGCTCTGGGTGGTGTGTTGAACTCAGTGAGCCCCTCCACTTGCGAAGCCGATGACAGCAGCTAAGGAAATACCTAGCATGGAGTCAACATGGAAACGCCCCTCACGACGTCGGACGGATTTCCTCGTGCAGACATAGATGTAGCACAAAGTACGAGTCATCAGAGTCCGAATTATGTTGCCTAGGCAGCCAACCAGCTGACTTGCTGATACAGTTCGCACCACCAGATCCAAGATCATTCATTTGCGAAATGATTACAAGGACCTGATGAATGCTATTGAGAAACAACTCCATGAACACTTCGCCAGCCTCCACGATACCGATGATGTGGCACCTGCGCCAAGTGCTGGTGCAGGAATGATGGGTGACTCCATCCCACAAATGCGAGACGAGGCTTTTGCGAAAGTGAACACGGTGGCTGCAAGCAGCCCAGCGGATGATGCTGGTCTGAAGCCTGGCGACGAGATCCGAAACTTCGGATACGTGAACAAAGCCAATCACGATGGTCTGAAAAAGGTGGCAGAATGTGTTCAGGGCAACTTGGGAGTAAGTCAACCTGAGGGATGCACATCTACCAACCTGCTTTGGATAGAACTGATGGTGTTGCAGCAAATCATTCTCGTAAAAATATCACGTCGAACCGATGCCGGACGACAAGAGCTTCAGCTCAATCTGACACCACGACAAGACTGGGGTGGTAGAGGGACGCTGGGCTGCCACATATTGCCGCTGTAGATATCTAGGGAGGTACATTAGTCCGGTTGACGAGGCCCCATCATTTCTTTAGGAATGAGCTCTTTGCTAGCAAGAGGGCTGCTCCATCGCCAGCAAAATACTAGCATGGCGCACATATGTAAGGACCTAAAAAAGACGTGTTGAAGTAAGCCAGGCCAACCCTAGGGCTCCTTAGGCTGTGGTGAATTAGCAGTCAGGTATTATCGCCACCTAATGGCTGAGAGCCCGATAGTACTCAGGCATCCAGTCTGCAAGCAAATGTCTCCCTGCCTAAAGCTGTCTTGTAGGTAAACACAGACGTGAATGGATTAATAAGAAAGAGGGGCGTCAAGGTTGTAGTTTCAGGCCATCCTAGATAGATGCCAGCAGTGAAAAGTATTAAAGAACCTCACATTGACTTCAGAACTCGATTCACTCTCAGTCACTTGCGAGTAAAGCCTGACAAACTTCAATTCACAATCTCGACCCACCTTTTGTTTCTGGCCCACAGCAACCACGACCTCTTGTGCCACAATCAAGCCACAACTAAAAAATTTCGCTTAGGCCCGAGCTGAGGCACCAAAGGAGAGCCCGATCCATTATCCCGCCTTCCTTTCAACCTCAGCGAGAGATCAATCTATCGGTCAAGACTTCGATTCATATCAACTTGCACTTCTCCCCCCTGCAATACGCTCGAGGTACGCATCCCTTTCGCATAGCCATTGTCACCTTGCTCTTCTGTATTCGCTTCTTCTACATTGAAGCAAGCTCCAGACTTTCTCTACTTCCTCGGCGCATCTGACAGAATCCCCCCCCACTGACGTCGCCCCAGTCGTCTGTTTACATCACCTCGATCACCGCTAGCTATCGCCCATCATGGCCGCCGCTCAGCAAGCCCCGACCTTCAAGCTGGTCCTCGTCGGCGATGGTGGTACTGGAAAGGTATGTTGTTAATCTAGTCCGTTTCTTTTCTGAGACGACTATCGTGGTCCTACTGACGTGGGGTCACCGCGTGCTACCCCTCGCTCCCACCCAAGATCGTCCGAACAGAATACTGATACCCATCGCGACTTGCAGACCACCTTCGTCAAGCGCCACTTGACTGGTGAATTCGAGAAGAAGTACATGGCTACCCTCGGTGTCGAGGTTCACCCTCTGGGCTTTACCACCGTAAGTTGCCCCTGCGCTCTAGAGTTTCTTGCGCGCAATTGCTAATCTTCCAAAGAACTTCGGTCAGATCACCTTCGATGTCTGGGATACCGCTGGCCAGGAAAAGTTCGGCGGTCTTCGCGACGGATACTACATCAACGGACAGTGCGGCATCATCATGTTCGATGTTACCTCGCGTATCACCTACAAGAACGTCCCGAACTGGCACCGTAAGTACCCCGATGCGGTAATCGCAACCTGGTTGCACGACACATGCTAATCTTCTTACCAGGTGATCTCGTCCGCGTCTGCGAGAACATTCCCATCGTTCTCTGCGGCAACAAGGTTGACGTGAAGGAGCGCAAGGTCAAGGCCAAGACCATCACGTTCCACCGAAAGAAGAACCTCCAGTACTACGATATCTCTGCCAAGTCCAACTACAATTTCGAGAAGCCCTTCCTGTGGCTGGCTCGCAAGCTTGTCGGCAACCCTGCTCTGGTAGGTTCAAACTCGCTTAGTGACTACAGAATGTGTCTAACTATTTCCAGGAATTCGTCGCTGCCCCTGCCCTCGCACCGCCCACCGCCCAGGTCGATGAGAAGCTTCTCGAGCAGTACCGTCTGGAGATGGAAGCAGCGAAGGATATGCCTCTGCCTGGTGAGGATGAGGATGATGACTTGTAGAAGGCACCACACGTGACGACAGAATGAACAAGCGTGGCTACGTCTGTGCAGCAGCCTACTGTTGCTGAGCCTACGGGTTTGTATGGCTGGATGGATCGCGATGAGTATTGAGTTTGGCAAGGATAAACAAATGAGCGCCGCAAAGGCGCCCCTTGGCTGGGATGGAATGCCTCCACGGAGGGATTCAACGCATTGCTGCATCTGCAGCCTCTAGATAGCACCAACTAGACATCACGAGAAAAGATCAACCCTTCCGATCTTAATGACCTGACACATTGTTTCCCAAATTCATTTCTTAATGCAGCTGTGAAGTGGTCTTGATCTTGGTGATGCTAGTTAAAGATGCTGCTGTGAACTATTACCGAACCCTGCTCTGGATAGACGGAGTAGTATACTAAGCAGTACAATATAATGCGTACAATCAGGTCTGTTCGGTATGGAAGCAATTGCCCCCGTCCCTATATGTTTCTAGCCCCAGGAAGCTTACTAACTGCGAAACAGGAACTCATGTTTCAAAATTTGGTGAAGTGGGAAGAAAGGCAGCACGGGAGCAGGAACCCAGGACCGGTAGTAGCAAGTTAAGACGCAAGTAGAGCTGGTTCGCCCCAGACCGGCAGCCAGTGACAAATGCTTCCCGCGGTAACTAAATATGATGAAACCTGTGAGCGATACACGCTTATATGACGAGGCTTGGTCTCATCCAAATAGGGGATTCCACAACCGTCGATTGGTCGTAAGCTCAAGTAGATCGTTTCGAATAGTCACTGGATGCCTGGTGAAACAATATCCTTTTCAAAGGACTCGGGGGTCTGTTCGTACACAGCCGGGCTTCCCAATTCGACAATACTATCATGTTTTGAATGGTTGTCCAGCCTGTTATCTCGCGTTTGAAGTGCCATACTAATTGCGCTATCCCCTGATACGAGTCATATTCAGAATAGTTGGCTTGTCAGCAACATAATATCAAGCAATACTGTCGAGGGGAAAACTTGCTACCCTTCATGAACTTGCACCGCTAGTAACTCCTTCTCGTCTCGGAATACGCACCAAAATAGCTAAGGATTTTCTGCCTTGTTCTTGGGTTGCTTCGAGTTGAGAAACCTGCTCTCATTACGGAATTGGTCGATCCGAAGGGACCCCTCCTCTGTGAAATTGTCGTGAGAAGCACTTGACGGATGATAACGATGATGTATGGAGACCTAGCGGAGTGATGTTTGAAAACTCACGTTTCACAAAACCTATTCCCTGGGATGCAAGCGTCCTTCCTTCTTATGAGTGACCAATAGGGCGGCAACAACAAAGCCAGGCCAGTAAGCAGAGCCATCCAATTGCCCGGTCATATGGTTACTCGCTCTGCTACATGCATCCGTTCTTCCTATACCACAAGATACATAAGGAGATACGTTCAAGGCTGAAATGTAAGATAGAAATGAATAGGTAACCCGATTGCTTCTATAGGCAAAGCTTGTCTGGAATGGTAACTCAATACTGATCCAGTGTCCAGTATATTAATGTACAAGTGTTAATTCTGCTAAGCTTTTGAAAAATAAATCGCATGAGGACCATTTCCAAGAGCGTGCCAAGGCACAGTCCCGCTTCCATTGCCTTGTGTTTCTAAGGCTGTGCCACCCTCCCGATGCAAGTTGCATAACCTTGACGGACGAATCCGGAGGAATCTGGTGAATTTGGCAATCATGAGTAGCAAGCCAAGCCAAGTTGGCTATACATGAGACCATTGTCGTCGTCTACAGGTGACGTAGCAAGAATCGAAGGCGTGTCACAGACAACGTTGTCCAGTCGAATAGTTTACCACCCCATTACTCATGGATTCTGTAGACAGGTATCCACGTTAAATATTATTTAAGAACTATTATATTACCCGCTGCGAGCGACTGGGCAAGTGAGCATGTCACCCCGCATTGTATTCCAGAGTCATCATTCACCAATATATCCCCAATCTAACCCCAATCGCTAAACGCCGGTGGGCATGCCTACACACCATCCTGAATCTCCCCGTCTGGAACCTATGCACAATCAATCAACCTTACATATAGGTTTGTAACCCTCCTCAAAGTACTCCTGCTCATTGTCCACGGATCCCCAGGCCCCAAAGAAGACAGACAATTTGTGGCTGACCGACTTACCGACCTTCCGTAGGCGCCTTGTCACCCTTCCTCTCTAGCTTGGGCGTGGAGGAGCCTTTGAGCGCGGCGGAGCCTGGCTGCCGTGTCATCTAATGTTAGCTTTGGCTTCCCGCGCCCATTGCTACTCACGCTGCTGAGCAGGATTGAAACTGACAGAGAATGGTGTGGCGCATCGCCGGGTTGGTCTTGCAACAAGTGGTACATTTTGGTGCCAGTCCCATCGTTCGCATTGCCTCGTAGCAATGCCTGGGGCGTCTTATTCGTGTTGACTGCGGTGCCGGCCGTGGGGCTAGTCGCGGCTCCTTTCCGACTCCAAATCGCACGGACAGCCTTCCTCAGACCCTTAGAGCGGGAAGCCGACGAAGCGGACGGCGCGGACGCAAAGGCATGCAGATTACTGATGCCGGTACTGTCTCGTTGCTTGGCCGTCGGATCCCTCACGAAGCTCGGGACACTCTTCGATGGGCCCTGGGACAGCCTGCTGTCGTTGAGGGCAGCATGGCAATTCGAACACACTCCTTTGGAGGTCTGCGCTTGTGTCGAGAGAGCTTTTGCCGGACCCGAGCATGCACAGAAGAGGTCCGAAGAGTTGATCTCGGCCCTCCAGATGTTGATTCTAGCCTTTGAACGTTCACCGCTGCTTGGTTGTTCGGTTGGTTTCGGCTTGCTGTCTACTTTTTCCCATAGTAGACTAGATGGTTTTCGTAGTTCAACAGCGTTCTGCGCAGTTGTGTCGTTTGGCGGCACCATTATGTGTGTCGAAAGCAGAAAAGAGTCAATAAAGATGTGTATTCGCAAGCGTCCCGATATAGGCATGCTCCTGAACAGGATGAGACCGAAAGCCAAGAGACCGCAATTCTTCCCGATAATATATCCCAAGAATCCAAAAATAGTTCAGAGCATCTCTCAATGCTTGACGAAAGTGGTGGCGGCCAACTGGGCTGGGACTGCAACTGGGTTACTGGACGTTGTTTTGGTAGAGAAGTTGGGGACGGTCAGAGTGGTCTGAAGACGATGATCAAAAGGCGGCAATTCCTCGGTGAGGTGAGATGAGCTCCTGCCAGAAAAATGGTACGATAAATCTGAACATTATTATCGTCGTGATTCCATGGAGTAACAACACAACAATCAACTTATTCCAGTATTTACTTGATAGTAGCCAAACGCGTCCTGACGAATGGCATACCAAACGCTATTACCCCAACAGATGTTCCGACGCCAGCCAGCCGAAGGCTTATTTCCCGGGTTAATAGTGATACTCGTGTCAAAAGTAGGGTATTGCTCCGAATTCTTCCACGCAGAAGACATTTCCTTATTTCGTGAGACTGAAACTTGTATACTGAGCAGGTAGGTTTCGGTCTGCAGATGAAGTAGCAACGTGTATGACGTCAGGTGGTTACGATGTTAGTTTACCACTGCCCTAAAAGTCAGCTGCTACCGCTACCCCATTCCCTACGCTACCTTGATAGTTTAAAGTGGCTTGCTGGGCTGCTTGCCAGGGAATGCACGCTATTCCTTGATTTGAGAGGAACTCATCGTATATTATGTCCTTGGCTATGAATATGTCTCACCTGTTTCGAGGATTGCGCCGTTCCACCCGTGGTGTACCTTCAAAATCCCTTATGGTCCACCCCACCAGATCTATCTGCTATCCACTTCCGAGCCGTAGCGACGGCTCGCTCCATTCTGCACTGCCGCTTCCAATGTCGGGTAGTGACGACTGAAGACTACGGTCTGAGTGATAAGCCCAAAACAACTACTTCAATGCTGGTTTTAACTCTAGACTGGTGTCTAGGAGTCGAGTGGTCTCGATAATTCACCTGGTAGAGGAGAGAATGGCTGTACCTAGTACGTGAGAACAAAGTCACGTTCGGTTGGAAGAAAACATTGCGACAATGATGCCGTAGAACAAGATGGAATGAAACACAGACCCAAGAAGTACATCTAGACTGCCAGCCTTGCAACTTAATGCAGGGCCTTGATAGGAATCCAATCAGCAACTGTCCCAAAGACCCCTCGTTGCAGGGGTCCTATCCAAATCAGCCATCGGCATGGCAGAAACAGGCAAGGCGGCCGAATTCTAGAATGGAGTTCGACAAGCTAACAGCCTCATGTGCTAAGAACACGTTGTGCCTTTTGCTTTGGTGATAGAATGCTCCACCCACCTATGTACCGTGCAACTTGCAAGAGCCAAAGTCTCTCTTTCTGCCTCAACCCACCTCCTTCAACGTTTTCACACTTTCTTTCAAGTGGCAAGTGTGTATTCGACAAAAAGACATGTGGCATTTATAAAGCGCCGTCATCCGTCTGCATACAAATCCCCGTCTTGGTTGAGCTGGTCACCTTGCGCCGTCGCAATCGCATGGTTGGTTTACAGAGAGCAGCTATTCCGCCCTCGCACCCGCTGATTTGAACGCCGAGTCAAGAAGGCAGCACCCCGCGTCCACCCACTACTATGGAGAATGCCTCTGCGAAGCCAGCACAGGACGTACTGGCCCATTTCGATGTCGATGCGCAGAAAGGTCTCACTGACAAGCAGGTCATTGATCTGAGGTCCAAGCATGGCAGGAATTGTAAGTCAACTTCCACCATTTCCTTGATGTCCTTGAGTTGCGCCAAGTGCGAGTGCGAGTGCTGACGAGGGTACTTTTGTTGTAGCTATTCCGGAAGAACCCCCGACCCCTTTATGGGAGCTCATTCTGGAACAATTCAAAGATCAACTGGTTCTCATCCTTCTCGGGTCCGCCGCCGTCTCTTTCGTGTTAGCTCTCTTCGAGGAGGATGAAGGGTGGAGCGCATTTGTTGATCCTGCAGTCGTGAGTTGGCCTTACCCGATCCTGGTTGCGCATGCCATTAACACCCTCTGCCCAACAGATTTTGACTATATTGATTCTCAATGCCGTCGTCGGTGTCTCCCAAGAAAGCAGTGCCGAGAAGGCTATTGCCGCCCTTCAAGAATACTCGGCCAACGAGGCCAGCGTCATACGGAACGATGGGCTTATTTCGCGCATCAAGGCAGAGGAGCTCGTTCCTGGCGACATCATCTCCATCTCCGTTGGCGACAGGATTCCTGCCGATTGCCGACTCACCTCCATCGAGAGCAACAGTTTCTCTGTTGACCAGGCTATCCTAACAGGGGAAAGCGAGAGTGTTAGCAAGGATCCCACAGCGGTTGTCAGCGACGACAAGCCTGTTCTACAGGACCAAGTCAACATTCTTTTCTCGGGTACAACTGTTGTCACTGGACGCGCTACCGCCGTGGTTGTCCAAACCGGCTCGAATACTGCTATTGGTGACATCCACGAGAGCATCACCGCCCAGATATCCGAGCCCACGCCGCTGAAGCAAAAATTGAACGACTTCGGTGACTCTTTGGCCAAGGTCATCACTGTTATCTGTGTGCTAGTTTGGCTCATCAATATTCCCCACTTCGCGGACCCCAGTCATGGAAGCTGGACCAAGGGCGCCATCTACTACTTGAAGATTGCTGTTTCTCTTGGTGTTGCGGCCATTCCAGAAGGTCTTGCAGTCGTCATCACTACATGCCTTGCTCTCGGAACACGAAAGATGGCTGCCAAGAACGCTGTTGTTCGAAGTCTGCCCTCGGTTGAGACACTTGGAAGCTGCAGCGTTATTTGCTCTGACAAGACAGGTACACTCACCACGAACCAGATGAGCGTTAGCAAGGTTGTTTACATTAGCGAGAACGGATCCGATTTGGAGGAATTCGACGTTGAGGGCACCACCTTTGCCCCCAAGGGTGACATCAAGCGCAACGGTAAGGTGGTTCAGAACCTGGGCCAAACCTCCAGCACCATCTGCCAGATAGCCGAGGTCGCCGCGCTCTGCAATGATGCTCGCTTGGCGTATGACGCACGCGCTGGGAACTTCTCCATTGTCGGCGAGCCCACTGAAGGCGCTCTTAGAGTTCTAGCCGAGAAGATTGGACCCTGCGCCCCGGCGAGCTACGACCCTGAAGAGACTCTCCACCATGCCAGTAGCTACTACGAACAGAAGTTCCCCAGAATCTCCACCTTCGAGTTCTCCAGAGACCGCAAGAGCATGTCAGTGCTCGTTCAGAACGGCCAGCAGAAGAAGCTTTTGGTCAAAGGTGCCCCCGAGTCCATCATCGAGCGCTGCACACACACTCTAGTTGGTACCGATGGCAAGCGTGTCCCGGTTGACAGTAGAATCTACGACCTACTCATGAAGGAGGTTGTTGAGTACGGCAACCGAGGTCTCCGAGTGATTGCTCTAGCTGGCATAGAGGACGTCTCTTCAAATCCCCTGGTGAACAACGCCAAGTCAACGGCACAATACGCCCAACTTGAACAAAATCTTACGCTACTTGGTCTTGTTGGCATGCTTGATCCTCCCCGCCCCGAGGTTGCTGGTGCCATCAGGAAGTGCAAGAATGCTGGAATTCGCGTCATCGTTATCACTGGAGACAACCGCAACACAGCCGAAAGTATCTGCCGATCCATCGGCGTTTTCGGAGAATTCGAGGATATAAAGGGCAAGAGCTACACGGGCAGAGAATTCGACAATCTTAGCCCCAGCGAACAATTGGAGGCTGCTAAGAAAGCGTCCTTGTTCTCTCGTGTTGAGCCTAGCCACAAGTCCAAGCTCGTTGATTTGCTCCAGTCCCTGAATGAAGTCGTGGCCATGACCGGTGACGGTGTCAATGACGCCCCGGCGCTCAAGAAGGCCGATATTGGCGTTGCTATGGGTTCAGGTACTGATGTGGCTAAGCTGGCTGCTGACATGGTTCTTGCCGATGACAACTTTGCAACTATCGAGGTAGCCATTGAGGAGGGCCGATCCATCTACAACAACACTCAGCAGTTTATCCGATACCTCATTTCGTCCAACATTGGAGAAGTCGTTTCCATCTTCCTGACCGCTGCCATTGGCATGCCTGAGGCTCTTATCCCAGTGCAACTCCTGTGGGTCAACTTGGTCACTGATGGTCTTCCTGCTACCGCACTGTCATTCAACCCTCCCGACCATGACATCATGAAGAGACAGCCGCGAAAGCGTGACGAAGCTCTGATCGGTGGCTGGTTGTTCTTCCGCTACTTGGTCATCGGCACATACGTTGGTCTCGCTACGGTTGCAGGCTATGCCTGGTGGTTCATGTACAACTCTGAGGGACCGCAAATCAGCTTCTGGCAGCTGTCTCATTTCCACCGCTGCTCATCCGATTTCTCAGAAATTGGATGCCAGATGTTCAGCAATGATATGGCCAAGTCGGCATCCACCGTGTCTTTGTCGATCCTGGTCGTTATCGAGATGCTCAATGCCATGAACGCCCTTTCGTCCAGCGAATCTCTCTTGACGCTGCCTCTGTGGGACAATATGATGCTTGTTTATGCCATCACCCTCTCCATGGCTCTGCACTTTGCCCTCCTCTACACGCCGGTTCTTCAGACTCTCTTTTCCATCCTGCCCTTGAACTGGAACGAATGGAAGGCCGTCATGATCATCAGTGCTCCTGTTATGTAAGTATCTTCCCCTCATCATAATAGTGAATTTATTCTAATTGTGTAACAGTCTCATTGATGAAGTACTAAAGGCTGTTGAGAGACAGTTTTTCGTGCAAAATACGAATGACGTAGTCACCGAGACCAAGAAAGAGGCCTAAAGTGGACATAGATCTAAGATTGGTATAAACTAGATTAGAGCTGTGATAAAGCTACTGCTCACAGCTGCGTACGACACGCAGCATCACATAGGAGCTTATAGATAACAATATTATTTATTCACGCCATGTCTTGTTACCAATACCGTTTGAACTATTAGCAGCCACCTCACAGAGATCACATTTATTGGTACAAGATAGCTTTCTTTGCCATCTGATTGGTAGTCTATTATCCGCACGTCCATCGCCGTTGAGTAAACTTCCCAAAGATGCAGCGTCTCAGGAATCAATCCAGCCAAACTCCCCAAACCCTTCACCGCCTAGTCTTGTCGTCCCTTGAGTAATCGCTTGGTAACCTTGTTCTTCTCGATGATGTAAACGTGTGCTCCCCATCCTGACAACGCATCTCTGTCGACGGCGTTCAGTAGCGCTTGCGAGATAGTCTCGAAGAGATCCTCCGGCTCCTAAACGCGGTGAAAACAGGAGTTAGCATCATTCATACTCCAATTCGTGCAACGCCACGGTAAACGTACCAGGTCAGGCTCCCACAAGCTCTCGCACATGCCAAACAGCTGCTCCGTCGCCGTGCCGCTGACAATGAAATCCTTGGCAAAATCAATGCACCCGATGCTGTCGAACCCGCAGATGAAGGGCTGTCCCGTCTTGGGCTCGAGACCTGCGACCACGGGGGACACGAAGTAAGGGCCAAACCGCTTCTCGTAAAGGCTGCTGCTGACGAGGTTGGCGAAGGTGGTAGGCGCAATGTTGCGCTCCTCCCGCAGCCGATACATGTTGACCTTGTACCGGAACAGGTCCGCGACCGTGATGACGTCGGTCGCGAGGCCCGTCAGACCCAGGAACACGTCGCCGTACTGGAACACCTTGGGGAAGTTGTTGGATACCGTTAGGGCTTGCAGCCCGAGGCGCAGGTCGCAGGCTATGGCTACACAGTCCTTGCCCACCATGGCTACGCAGGCGCCGCCATTTATGGAGAAGGGGGAGGACTGGCACGTTGGAGGGTTGTGTTAGCAACTGTCGGGGAGATGGATATTGGGGGCACGGTTTGGTGTGATTGCAGCTTACCATGGTGAATGGAGAATGCGGGTGGTTTGGGGATAGAGAAGTTGCGACTCAATCAAAAGCTATATTGACGGTCGATTCGAGCGGTCAGTAGATATGTGAAGTCGGATCGTCGTCAAGTTGGGTGGTGGAGCTGTTCGTGATGGATGGGGTTCTATTGAAGCTGGTGTTCGCCTGGCTGCGGTCGTTGCTACTAGCAAGGCAAGGCAAACACGGTATGGCGCGGCAGGAGCTTCAATTTGGCCCCGACCTGACAGGGGTCACGAACGCTTGGGCCGGCGGGTTGCTGTTGGTCAAGTTGAACAAATGCAGCTCTCAAAGTGGGATGTTTTGCCCCTCTACATCTTCTGGAGTGGCCTATTCTGAGACCCGAAAAGCGCCCAGAATTTATTGCCAACTGCTGACGAATTAGGCTGATGTAAAGCGCCTTCTGAAGCTGTCTTCGCACTATTTCCTTGATATTCTTCTGTACTTGAGGTTTATTAAGCTGGCACTTGACAAACACCGGTGCCAATACTGATGTCCCGCACAGAGGAATAATCTGGATTACTTGAGAAGAGCTCCCCAGCATCCGCACACGGCCTTATTCGGTTGTGTCATACACTAGAGAGATCTTACGAGGATACCTACCGACGAGCGAGTTTTAGAACCATGGCAACCAACGTCAAGGTCGTGAGCACCGACCTGCGGACCACGACGGTCAAGGTCACTCCTGCCACTTACCTGACCGAGATTCTCGACAAAGCCTGCGCAAAATGGGGCTTGCAGTCGGACAGATATCTGCTAAAGCACAACAACAAACAACTTGACCTGTCCAATACTTTCCGTAATGCCGGGCTTGTCCCTGGCGCTAAGCTCGAGCTGATCACGAAATCGAAGTCGCCCTCTGTTCTCAGCATCGCTCTAGCTTTACCCGAACGGGAAGCAAGTTCATTCGGAAACCAGAGGGCTGTCGAGAAACTACCCAGCGACTACACAATATGGAGTGTGCTTCGATATTTTGAGGCGCAGACGTTCCAGGGGAAGAACATCAACATCACTGGACGAGGTGTGCCGCAAATAAGCAATGGACAAGGACCAGGACAGCTCTATTATGAGACGCCAGTACTGCAGATCGAGCAGCGATCGTTTTCGACATTCGTCGATTTTCAGAAAACTTTGTCGTCGCTGGGCTACAATTCAGGATCCGTCCTGATTAGGCTGTCATTCAAGAAGACCGAAAGGACGCTCGTGGAGGCCATGGAATACATCACTCAATATTTCCAAGGGGAGAAGGAGCAGGAGAAAGAGACGACTGCTAGAGCTGCGGAGCGGGCCCAGCCTTCCACATCAAATGCTGAGAGCAAGGGTATCACACTCAAAGCGGACGGTCCAGCTGAAGTTGATGGGGAACCAGCCCCTCAACCCGAGGCTGCTCCGACAGAGCAGGTACAAGCAGAACCTGGTGCTATGGATGTCGATTCCGCACCTACTGGCAATCCTCTAGTCCCTGTGTCCATCTTCTCAGCTCCGTCGGCTTCGACCCCGGCAGCTGCACGTATCAATGAGCCGGACGAAGTCTATGAACCAGGATTGGCCCAGTTGACATCTCGTCAGCAGTTCTTGAAGACTGCCGCTCAGAACAAGCGGCTTCCTTCTGACAAAGAGATTGCGGAGAAGGCCGCCGCGGAAGCCGCGAGGCTTGATGCTATCAAGTCCGTTGACGTCAAGGTCCGGTTTCCGGATAACACATCGGCACAATGGCAGTTTGACCAAAGCGCGACCGGCGAGTTGCTACACCGGGCGGTTCGTAACGTGATGGCAGCTCAGCAAGCCCCTTTCAAGCTCATCCTGCCCGGTCCCCAGCATGTCGCCATCCGCGATGACTCGGCGAATCTCATCAGAACGTACAACCTAACCATCCGGACCCTGGTGAATCTAGTATGGGACGACTCAGTTCCAGATGCGGCACGGAAACAGCCCTTTTTGAGGCAGAGTGCCGCTCAAAGAGCTCAAGCAATCATTGTGCCGGAGGTGCCGCAAGTTGAGGAGAACGAGCCGACCCCGGCTGTACCGCAACGATCCGACGAACCTAGGCGAGACGTTGGTTCGAAGGGGACGCCCAAGTGGCTGAAAGGACTGCCTGGTCTTCGAAATAAGTAAACAGCCAGTTTATCGCATTGAGGCTTGGGGAGACTTGTACGCATAGCATTGGAGTTCAGGCTGCATGGTATATGAATACTACACGACGCAACACAATTTATCATTATCTACGGTTAGTTGACGATCGCTAGGGAATTCAGTTAAATGATTGCAGAAGCGGATGGGCAATTTGTACAATGTTCCCTTGGCTCACTTGAGGTCACTTCATCCATTTATACTGAATTGGTCATACAAATTAATGTACTCGAAAGAGTTCAGGCTCACAAGCGATAGAAGCTAGAAATGGCATGTCATAAAAAACCTTTTGGTACTGTCCAGATGGTATTGAGTATGCGGCTAGCAGCTACCTGCTGGGCATCCATGTCTTCCATCTGCAAATCAATGTCGTAAAGACAACGCCAGACCATGCCGAATCTACTTTTTTTCATTTGCCAAATCCACCAAACCCCGAAATATCACGTCATTTAGTGACCGGCGCGGCGGGACTCGGCGATCACACCTTGGAGCTCATCGACCTTCTTCTTGGCACGACCGAAGGTACCGAGCTGAGGGTACGTTAGTAGGTGAAGTCATTCCATTGGACAGGGGGGGGGTACACACTCTCTTCTTCGCCAGCTTACGTGCACGCTTGTCCTTGCTGTTGCGGAGGAGTTCAATGACTCGGCGCTCGTAGGGGGCAAGACTAGATATACCTGTTAGTAATTATCGTTTGAGAGCACTTATAGTTAGCCATTATAGGCAACAACTCAAGTAGCAGAACCTGACTAGGCCTTCGGCCATCAGATATCACCCCATTTTCATTCCACCAATGTATATCCCCTTGTAAGATGATAAAAGAGAGATCGAACGTACCCAGCAACCTCCTTCACGATGTCGCGAACGAAGGCAGTGCGCTTGCTCAAGTGGCCCTTGGTGCGAGACACACGGGGTTTAACAACGCGAGCAGTCGTCTTCTAAATTGGGGGAATGACAACAAGTCGTCAGCCAAAACGTCCATCGTCTGCGATTGTTTTGCGTTTTCTCTCGCCCTTCGTGGGGGTGGTCGAAGCAAAAATCATGCAGAGATCCTCCACGAGGTGAGACGCTTTTGGGAGAGAAAGGACTTCATCTTACGTGTCCACGGTTGATACCGATGGTCAGCCCGCTGCGGGCGGGGGCTTCCTTGGCCATCTTGCAATTGTCGTGATGCTAGACGGTCGTGGGAGGTCTTGTCGTTAGTATGATCTTCGCGGATGGAAAAGATCAAAAAAAGAGGTCTCGACAAAATTTACCGCGGGTAGGTTGGATTTTGGAAAGTGCGGCCATGGAGCTTAAGCGAGAGATGGTCCATGCGTTGTGGCTGGAGGAGGTGTGGTTTTGCGTTGTGGCTTCAAAAAATCGATCGCGGTTGCCGACTTAGCATCAAAGTCAGGTTATTGTGAAGGGTCCAAGTCAGCAAGACGCAGCTCGCAATCATCGATGTTCCAACGCTCCAAGTTTGAATAACAACATGCGCGACTCAAGCTCGGTTGGTATCACAACGAAAACATTCGTCGGTCCTTTTCTCCGACACTCGCTTTTTCAGACCTCGCCCAATGTTTGAACAACTTCCATATCTAAGAACACCAGTGCCTTGCTCAAGTATTTGTCTGTTATACTATTCTTCTACCCACTTTAGACCTTGTGCTGAGCACGAGGGCTGTGCCAAACTCGCAAAAGTCCTGCTGTATGACGCTCATCCCCGAACACGATCATCGTGCGTTTTCGCCGGCGTACAAATTCGTGACTGGTGCAAGCGGCTGCCAGGCATTCCCCTGTCCTTCGGCGTCGCCTAATATGTGGCAGTGCCAGTCTGATGTCGCATGAAGGCACTAACTGTTTTCTCCGTACAACTATTTTCGCAGGAGTGATGGCGATGATGGACCCTATTTGCTCCCCATGTCGATTCTATAGTGGACTCGTTCGCAAGTCGCGTGTCCGGGTTATCTCACCGCTTGCACGATCCGATATGGGCAAAGGCAGCTGAACATCCCGGACCGAATCATGCGTCATCGAGAGCTCTGATACGGCATCAAGAACGAACTGGGTTGTCGTTGGGAATAGTATTCGCGCAACACGATGGGTATGCATCGGCACTCATCAAAAAGCCTTATCAACCAAAGCTGGCGGCGCAAGGTCGTATTCTATAATCCTGTGTTCCCCTGGAATATTCTTAGGGGAGAAACTTGAAACTTGAGTCAAGCCAACAATGACGGCTATGTCGGCCTTAAAGGATCCCGTTTCTGGCCTTTCTGGGCTAACCTGGCGCCATAAGATCTGAATGCAGATCATAGTAGAGTGTTGTGGTAGGTAGAATTTCCCTATCCAGCGAATCATTCGGGCGCCTGCATTGGTGATCTGCAGCCGTACCCGCATTTCTGCCCGGTAAAGTTATGGACGGAATGTCTTGGCAGGGGAATCACGCTCCGTCGCAATATCGAAATCCAGGCAAGCGCATAAGTAACAAGACAGACTCGAGGAATCACACTTGCCCAATTGTTGGTGGTGGATTCCTAGCTAGATGATGTCAAGGTCGAATTTCAAGGCCTCCCACCACGCCCTTATTTAGCATAGATGGACCCTGGACTCCGTTCTGTGCTCCTCCTTCCTTCACACATTACTCTGCACGCACCCAGTTTCTCCAACCTAGGATCGCAATTCATCGTCTTTTGTCCCCATACGTATACCATCAACCGTCATGATGTTGTTCCCAGCTGTCCTCGTTGGCCTGTTGGCGGGATCAGCCACCTCCAAGTCACTCAAGTATACAATCCCAGCCAGCATGAAACTAGCAGACGACTGCGTGACGCCCGGCGAATACGAAATCGCAAACTTCATCACGTTTGCAGGCCTTGCGAACGGCACAAGCAACACTACCTCGTTCTACTTTACCGACGTTGATACTGGCATCAGCACGTGCTGCCAGCGCAACTCGACATCCACGCCGAGCACCCCGAACCCCAACTTGACGCCGAGATGGCCCTGTGACAATACGGCTGTCGAGTTTATGTACCAAGCAAATGGTTTAACTGTGATCGAAGCAGTATGCCCCGGAAAGTGAGTGTTAATCGTATCATATTCTTGTTTAAGCAATACTAATGATATATGCAGCACGGCAACTAACTTCGAGGCGTCTGGACTCACGACGTTTGACCTCGATTGCACCACCACATCTAAGGGCACTAGCTGCGTCTCCAAGGAGTCGCTTGTAGCAGACAATTTCACCAGTTTGCAACCCCGTCCATCATAGAGATTCACAAGATGATGAATGGTTATTACGCGCAAGGGAAGGTACCTAGAGCAGTTCCAAGGTATCAGGCACTCTACTTCTGGGCTACCCACTCCCATCCTCAAACATTCAAATAGCAGTTGTGCACGAGGACAAGGGTATAAATCACTGCAAGGGTAGACTTGGATGCCAATGACAAAAGTAATGTTTATTTGAACAAGATAGATGAATCAAAGAGGAGCCAATTCAACCACAACCACCTTGGTTAACTCTGTCATATCTGACTTGAATGATATAATCGGACTTAGAAGCTTGTGGTGCTGGGAAGATGCCCGATCTAGAAGGTCTGGAGACCCCGCGTTTTGCCAAGCTCGCCAATTACATTGCTGTCATTCCAGCTCTGGGCAGCTGCAAGTGCGCCAGCATTGATCTCTTAATCACACGACCAGCAAGACTATCTAACCTGGCATGAATTGCGAAGGTATGATGCGCTCTTCTGCTTCTCGTGGCAGCTGTGTCTCAACCTTATTCAATGCTGCCTAATTTTCCTCATCTACTCGTAGTTCGAGCCTTGTACTAAATCTTTTGTTCCTGCATTTCAACATGCTCTGCGCGTACTCGACACCCCGACGGTATTGACATCATCATCATCATTGCGTCTAAACGATATGCTTCCCAGATTTTCAGTCCTTCTACTGCTGTCGCAAGCGGTAGCTGGCGCGTTGCCGCTACCGCCTGATACCGTACAGCAACCTCTATACGCACAAGTCAACGAGCCTCCCAATGGCATCTCAGTTCCATTCTTCGCATCGGTTGAACGCCTCGCTCGCTTGGTGGACATTGCATATTGTGTTGGCACTACGGGACTCTCACGTCCATTCGAATGCGCATCGCGCTGCAAGGACTTCCCCACACTCGACCTTGTGACGACTTGGAACACAGGCGTCTTGATGAGCGACAGCTGCGGCTACATAGCGGTTGATCACGGTGCCAACCTACAACCTGAACCTACTGCGAAAGTGTACGGAAGCGACGTGTCGGCTGTGGATAAGAAGCATGGCGCCATCATCGTCGCTTTCCGTGGGACATACAGCATCACGAACACAGTTGTGGATCTCAGCACTGTTCCTCAGGAATACGTCCCATACCCGTCGCCGGACGACGGAGGAGATCAGCCGCCAGGGGATCCCAAACACAACTGCGATAACTGCACTGTTCACATGGGTTTCTTGGCCTCGTGGAAGATTGCTCGGGAGGACGTCCTGCCTACTTTGAAGCCGCTGCGCACCAAATACCCCGATTACCCGATCTATTTGGTGGGACATAGTCTGGGTGGCGCTGTAGCTGCATTGGCTGCTCTGGAGATGAATGTTGCTCTTGGCTGGGACAACCTGGTGGTGACCACGTTTGGGGAGCCGAGAGTTGGCAATGAGGGATTTGTTCGGTTTCTCAACGGAGTCTTCGACCTGGCAGGCGAGAGCACAGATGTTGAAAAACAGACGTATCGGCGATTGACTCATGTTGACGACCCCGTACCCCTTCTACCGCTCTCCGAATGGGGATTCAGATCGCACGCAGGCGAGATATTCATCTCCAAATCCGATTTGTCTCCGTCTCCCGAAGACATTTGGTCTTGTGTGGGAGATTATGACCCAAATTGTATTGCCGGGTCCGAAGGGGAGACGCTCTCGGTGACACGTCATGTCATTGCTGCCAGAGACCCTCAGTCGTCTCTCTGGTCCTCTTGGATTCGCAAGTTCTGGGGCTTCCCATCGCGGCTGAAGCTTTGGCAACTCCTCTTCGCTCATCGTGATTACTTCTGGCGCCTGGGAGTTTGCGTTCCGGGCGGTGATCCCCTTGATTGGGGCAGAGATAGATATCCCAACATTAGTTCAAACGATGAATTATAGGGCAAGGGCTTGGAAATTGGAAGGAAAAGGCCACATACAAGCCCAAGGATCGTGTTAGGACAAGTTGCCAAGGTCTTCTTTAAGCTTTCATTCGAGCATGACTTTCGTCTTTGGCTTAAAAGAATGGAATAACTACTATTCAGTCGTCAGTTGAGAATGACAAAAACAAGGAGTTATTGTTGCATAGTGTATAATAACTAACGTACATATCATGTTTCAAGTTACAGATTTTATCCCGCCTTCATTGTTCACGGACTCGTTCTAGAAGTCATCATTCAGTTATGGGTTGTGATGCCCCAAACAAAGGCGTCTTGTGATTTAGGTAGCGGAAGGGGTTTCCCCAAGAGTTTCAGTATCGTAGAAATCCATAACTAGGGGACGAAGTGGTTGTGCTTGAGACGAAATGTTCGCCGCACAAAGCCTGGTACTGTTGGCCTTGGGATACTGGACAATATCCTGCACAAACCTCACTCTTGTACGATGCCCAATCTGCCCGGCCAGCTGCTTGTGATGGGCTTTGACAGAACTAATCAATCAGTGACGACTACGTTATCCTGCATGAATTGACCAGTTCTGCTCTCAGAAATCGGGGCTGGGAGATGTGTGACTGGCAAGAGTGATTGCCAACACAGCCGGCTCTGCGAGTGTGACAACGCATGGGCCCGCCCAGATATGCCACGCGATAAGAGCCTGAGGCTGGCCCCAAGTGACGTTTTTGGGAGACTATCAAATTGTACTCCGTACTCTGTAGGCCACATGGTTGACACAATTTCATTCCAACTCGTAGCCCCCCCAGGCGAGGGGTTGCTCGTTTGGCTGGTCGCGGGTGAGATCCCAAAATGAGTTAGGACGAAAGGGCAGATTTGACAATCTCAGCGCCTACATCATCCTGACCCTCCATTACCTGGATATCGCAGCTCAAACATGTGCAAGTAGCTCGAATCTGGCTTCCATGTGATAAACAAAGTATGCAGCAGTAGGAAAGATCAAATCCGGTTTTATCCAAAGGTTCACACCTAGATCGTAGCACAGCCCAGAGGTCAAATCCAGGTCATGCCCGGGATACAAGCTCAGACTGATAAGTGATAGGCTTCGACTGGCCGTTGTGGTCATGCGGGGCTATATCGCGTTCCCATGGTGCTCAACCTGGCATGTTGAGCTTCCCATGTGCATGACAACGAATTGCTGTTCTTCAGCCTCGAAGGATGGAAAACGGTCAGTTGCCATCGTGGTGGTAGACGTCTAGGACAGTTTTGTGACGTTAGGCTGATCCCGCACGGGAGGGGAAACTCTGAAGACGTCTCCACGCTAGTCAGAACGGTGATAAAGCGGGGAGCATCATGGAAGTTGACAGAAGGGGATCCATTTTGAGGACGAACGCACACCCAAGAGGCGTTGCAAAGGGGAAAGTCTCCAGCTGGTTCGGGACATCTCGATTGCCAGGGCGATATGTATCTGCAGGACTGTACAGAGACTTCAGGGCAACAAATTCAGATGTGCATATCATGAAATTAGAGTCACGTAGACAAGTGGCAATGTTGATGGATGTGCCAATGCTCTCTTTGATTAAACCAGGAGTACCTCTTGTTGGGCCGAAAACACCCACGGTTGAGTCCATGAAAAGCCTGGAGCGAAGAGGTACCTTTGTACCCCGCGCTATCCCACTTTGTTCTCGCTTATTTTGACCTGGACGCGGCGCTTCTCAGCAAATGGCCCGACGTGCCCCCCAAGCCTAAAGAAAAGCCGCCTTGTCGTCTTCTCGTGTGATTCCAGGCTGATGATCAATCTCAACGTCGACCATCCATCAAAACACGAGTAGATATTTACCTCTCCACCACATCCACCTCAATCCTCGCATCCGCGCAAACGCTTCCCTTTACCGAAACCAATCCCCGTCACATCGTCAGAATGGCTTCTGAGGTAAGTTTATCGCCTTTGCTCCATCCTCCGAGAACACCCTCATCCCCTTTCTGTCGGTACTTTCCTCGCCTCGTATCAACAGCCATTTTTGGGACCCCCTCTTTGCCCGTCGCGGGCGCAGCCCGTCGCGCTTTACCCCCTTTGCCGCTTCACCCACATCTGCTAGATGGAATCTCTTGCTGGAACTTAGCTAACGTATTGTTTTTATCACAGCGTGAGAGGTTCGACCGCCCTGCGATGCAAATCCCCTTAATGACGTACGTACTTCGATATTGACGGTTTTGCAGCAAGACTTTCCTCGCTCGCCTTTGCGAGCAGGCCGAGCGTTACGATGAGATGGTCACCTACATGAAGGAGGTGGCCAAGCTGGGCGGTGAGCTCACTGTCGACGAGCGCAACCTCCTGTCGGTCGCCTACAAGAACGTCGTCGGTACCCGCCGTGCCTCGTGGCGCATTATCTCGTCCATCGAGCAGAAGGAAGAGTCCAAGGGCTCAGACAAACACGTCGGCACCATTCGCGATTACCGCCAGAAGATCGAAACCGAGCTCGAGAAGGTCTGCCAGGATGTCCTCGACGTCCTTGACGATAGCTTGATCCCCAACGCTGCCACCGGAGAGTCCAAGGTCTTCTACCACAAGATGTACGTATTCCCAAGCAACAAAATTTTTGCATACTCTAATCATGTCATCCATTCAACAGGAAGGGTGACTACCACCGCTACCTGGCTGAGTTCGCCTCTGGTGAGAAGCGTAAGGTTGCTGCCACGGCTGCCCACGAGGCCTACAAGGTAATTGAAGCCTGAATCGCATGTGATACCCAGCTTTATCCGTGAACTGACATCGGCTCTTCCCCCCTTTTTTAGAGCGCCACCGATGTGGCCCAGACTGAGCTGACGCCTACCCACCCCATCCGTCTCGGCCTTGCCCTCAACTTCTCGGTCTTCTACTACGAGATCCTCAACTCTCCTGACCGTGCATGCCATCTTGCCAAGCAGGCCTTCGACGATGCCATCGCCGAGCTCGACTCGCTGTCTGAGGAGTCCTACCGCGACAGCACGCTGATCATGCAGCTGCTCCGTGACAACCTGACTCTCTGGACCTCATCCGACACGGCTGAGGGTGAGGCGGCGGCCCCGGCAGAGGCTGCCAAGGAGGAGAAGCCTGCCGAGGAGGCCGAGAAGAAGGAGGAGGCACCCGCTGCCGCCGCCGCCGCCCCCGAGTCTTAATTGGCTCGAAATTTGACAACCTCCATCTCTCGGCTTGTCTTTTGATTGCATGCTATGCTTCTGCAGACTTGAGACTCTTGAGGGCTGGGCTTCTTGATACCCAGCTGAATTGATGGTGAAGGGAATCTGAGCATCGGTCTGGTGGTTTGGTATGGGAGTTTTTGATGATGCAGGGCGAAAATGCAGGCCATGGTTTCCCTTGTCGCGTTCCCCCCAACAGGAAACGTCACAGTAGAGGCTACGCTATAAGTACGTACGTCTGGCTGCTTGGCAATATGATACTTTTCACGGACTACGGCTGTGTTTTTCTTACCTCCCTCATCTTGGTCTCTCTATGAAAGAGCTCACACGTGGAATTGCGGCTCGAGGGTGTTCGATGGTCACGGTGGTGTTTTCCTTTCTCGTCTTAACAGTACTTTCCTTGCGCTCTTGTGTTTGTCCCTGAAATATTGCGCAAATTTCCCCCCAACCCCCACACACGCACACCCCTGGATTCTGGCACATGGCCAGAGGCGTCGCACGCAAGATAACCCTCGCGCAGCTACACTCTACCGGCACCGAAACTCGCCCCAAAAATCGACAACTACGACAGCTTGCGTCTGGTGGCAATGGCATTGGGATATCGAGCATTTTCTTGCCTCCTGAATCTCGCCGTCTGGAACTGAACGTAAAGGTGTCCCCCGAGCAACTGACATCCGGAGTGCAAGTTTCTCGGAAATTGGTATTACTACTGGTGGAGGAGGCAAACTGTGTTCACCTGTATTTGTCTGCTGGCGTGGCATCTTTTGGTGGCTTCATGGTCGGATTTCCAAATAAAAATAAACTAAATTCAATTGCACTGATCATGATGAATATGACGATGATGGGTATTTTGCTGTATACTGACTAGGGAAAAGACATATCAGGTTCCAGGCAGATATATGGGATCAACGAGTCGTGACCAAGACACCGCAGCCTTTCTTGAATCCTCCTTTGCCCATCCGATCAAGTGATACTATAGTTTGAATGCTAATCCAGGGTTTGGCACAGCCAGTCGTCTGGCTACCTTGCGAGGTTGCATTTATTTTGGACTATGATGCTTGTTGACAGTGTGGATGGAAATGCATCTAACCTCCATATGGATGTCAAGAAACAGCCATATACACCAGCATGACCAAGATCATGGAGTCTTCTCTTTCCCAAGACTTATGCTTTCCCCTTTGACTGTTTCTAGTCTCCGAGTCCGCCATTCCCCTGCCTCCTCGCAGATGTCGATCCGTGAACGACGACAGCATAATTGACCAGCAGGCATTATGTAGTCTTGTACATTGAGACTCAACTTGTGTTTTCTTAGGTCTGATGGAAAAGGGGAGGGAGCATCTGGGAAGCGATACTTTAGAATACGATACCACATTGAGCATTTGAAGTTTAGAATCATCCCTTGCCCTTTAGAACAGACAAGAGAGCTCGGTATTCACAGCACTTGAGAAAAAGCACGCACTTTATGAATGATTGACTTTCAAGTGACTTGCTCTTTTGAAATCCAAGCCACTAACCTAGTTGTCTATTCCAGCTAGGAATAGTTAGGGGTAACCCACTGATGACGATTTTCCGAGCTCGAAATACTCATCTCAGCCACGCAGGGTTCTTTGAGTTTATGTCTAGACAAGATGCGTGTGGTCGCGGTTGGAGGCCATGGTTGAGGGTTTCGCGGCCAATAGCTTGTTAGCTCGCCGGCTCCAAGGAAAAGTTTGGGTTATGTATACAGACAGCAGCATCACATCACACACTATTCAATAGACTGCTTTTATACCGCTAAGACGTCATTTTGTTTCATTCCTTTCAATTGGTAACTTGCAACACCACTCAGTAAGTCAGGCTTTTCAGGCTTGGATTCCGCTGTCTATCCATATTCCAAGTCATGAATCCCTTTCATCACACGTCACACAATTTGCTGCCACTTATTCGTAGAATCAAACAAACGCTTGTCAGATCTGGCAGCCTGCTTTTCAAGCAGACGCCAATCATCATACCCTCTCCCTTGACGCCGTTCATGCAATTCCTTCTACAGTCATGTCTGGTGCGGTCTCAGAGTTTCCCAATGGTTCATATCCTCTGAATCGTTGGCCCCGAGTAGATCTACAACTGGCTGCTTGCTCGGTCTGGTCAACTGCGACGTTCTAGGTGGCAGCACTGGTTTCCGCTCTCCCAAGCCGGGTAGGCTGACGCCCCCGCTAGGCGTTCCAGCAGTCGGGTTCGTGCCGACTCGTCTTACTTGTTGCCGTGGAGATGAGGGTTTGTGCATTCCTCCCGTCAGGTTAGCCGACGCGGATGATTCGAGTCTGGATGACAGGTTCTGAATGTGTGTCGACGCTCGCCGCGGCAGCTCTGGTGTGAATGACGAGTTATCAAAATGAGTGTCATGATGAAAAGATGGGCTAGTCAGGGGCGATGTTGAGGCGAGATGTGATGGTTTCTTCGCGACGGGCGGAGGCGCCTTGGACTTGCCCGAGACTTGCGAGGATATAGACACAGACCGCGATTGCGGCGGAGGGGGTGTTGGTTTCAGCACTGGTGTTCCCATGCTCAACTGGGTGTTTGCTGTCGGTTTTCGCTGTGGCATTTCTACCGTGCCCCCCGTTTGGCGTCGAGGGGGGGTGGGGGTGTCTCGTGTCTTTGCTGACTTTGCTGACACTGCCCAGGGTTTGGCTCATCCATCAAATTGAGCCGCCCGACCTTGGCGGGTAGGCCTGCCGGATCGTAAGGATTTGGTAATGCCTTCCTCGGTACAGAGCTTGATGCCGAGGTTGACAGCAGCGTAGAGTGATTGATATGTTCATATGGAGAACTGGAGATGCTCGAGGAAAAGGATCCTAGTCTCGAGCCAGCTCTGGGTACCGCAACCCAGTCTGGCTCGTCCGTTGGAGAGAAGGGATTTGAAGGACGGCTGGGGTTGAGCACCGTCATGGAACTACTGGTAGACTTAGGTGCAACAATGCCAGACTGCGCCATCTTCCCATTCTCGAGCCACCATCTCTGGTGGTCTGAGCTAGCTGGTGGAAGGCCGGGTTCTATAGCATCGTACCCAATCAGGTCTTCGTCATCTGAGTCGTCAAGGTCAAGATTGACACCATTATGTCCAATTTCGGCTTTCCGACGTTCATACAACTGGCGACTGATTTTCTCTTTAGTGTTTTCATCGACAATGTTGACGATGCACCGAAACGTTGCGTAGACCGGCCGATGGTCAGAGAACCGTAGAGGGGCCGAGTTGTACGAAAGTTGCCTGACGTTAGCCCCTTTGCGCAAGATTCGATCCGTCCACGCAGGTATACGAGCCTTTTCTCTACGGTGTTGTCAGTAGGTAGATCGGATCCATAAGTCACAGCTACTCACGAGGTGTCGTATCTGTCCGTTCCGAGGTCGAACTTATAAGTTGGCATGAAGGTAATTCTAGCTTCTGAGTAGTAGGGGAATGAAAGCCCCGCCACCATCTGAAGATTGAGCTGCGACAGGTTAGTATTGCTCGCATATTTGAGAGCAGGGTTTTGACCTACCTGATCATTTTCGTAAAGCTTCTCAAGGTCCTGTCTCTTAACCAGGTCCATGGCCCTTTCATGGCTCAGCCCAATACGGTAGTTGAAGTCGCCAAGCCAGATGACAGAATCTATACACAGTCAGCACCATACGGGTCTGCATAAGCTTGTTTCACTTACCGTGATCATCAATACCCCGGTTTCTTTGGAAGCGCAGACCATGATGAATAGTGGCGTAGTCCCGGTTGCGCTCGTCGTAGTTTGCGAACCCGGCAGCCAGATGTGCTGTGACGAAGCACAGTTGTGTGTTAGCATACTCCATGCGAATGGCCACCGCGCCCTTGTTCCCGGCAATTCCTGACATGCCCGTTTTCTTGACGCTGCCTTCAACGTTCTTGATTTTGGACAGCACAGACGCTCTGACGAAGATGCACAGGGCAGCGCCCACTAACTGGCCGCTGCGGAGCAACACATATTTCTCGCCTCCTGTCTGTTTGGCATGACCATTCAGAGTCCTCTTAATGGCATTCTCCCAGGCCTGCTTCCTGGTGGGGTCGCTGTTCATGATCTGTTGAGCATTCAACTCGACGATTTCCTGGAAGCCAACAGCAACAATCTCAGGCTGCGTTGAGCCAAGCGATGCTGGCCGAAGCCACGGAGTAAGATCCTCGTTTATACCCGTGGTTTTACCATTGAGATTGAAAGTACCAACCAAGCTGTATTTCGTCAGTTAGATAAAGCATAGGGTATCAGTGTACACTTACATGCTAATTGTTTCAGTCGAGAGGAATTCGGCACTTCTCTTCCCCAGCTCCGTTGAGACGTAGTCGCTAATAGGATCAAAGAGATGGACAGGAGACTGGCCGACCAGTCGACCCAACAACATGTCAATGGTGTTCTGCCTTGCCTTGTCGGTGAAATTATTTATGTATAACCTTGTTGCACTTTTACGCGCATCTGCAAAAGCGCCAGCCAGGGACATCTTGCCTGTCCTTGTGAAGGAAGACTTCAGAGCACCCGTTCCGGCGTAGATGCGAGATAGCGCATCCCCATTATCAGCCCACAAAGTCGAGTGACGCATCCAGAAGTCTGAAGCGGCGTAGCCAGCCCGGTGGGACAAGAATGCCTCGGCGGCCATCTGTGAGATCATGGACTGAATGAGATTTGTCCTGTCTAGACAATCGAGGCAGTTTGTCCGAAAGATGCCTTCCTGCTGAAGAACCACAACCACGCGGTGATGCGTCGTCTGATCCTGTACGAACTCGGCTGAATCATCAACAGCTTCTGCCAGGTAGTAGGCGAACCCATCTGCCGAATGTTCGATATACCGGCGGATCTCTCTGGCAGCTTCGTAGCCCATAGTTTTGGTTTCTGCGTGGAAGTCATAGTCGGTTTCCCGTAGTAAAACGTGGTCTTGAGACGATTCTTTCTCTCCCATTCGGCTAAGAGAGCAGTGCTGGACGCCGTAGTGGTATAACTGCGTGAGCTCTGCCTCGCCCGGTTTTGATGCACTCAAAAGGTTGACTATATGAACTGCGCCATAAGTTTGTTCTAGATCCTCGAAATGTTTATTGAACGCCGGTTGGGTTCCGTCGGCTGATCGCGTGACAGTGATCTTTTGCTGGCCGGGAATGAGACCAGCACTCTGCTCCCAGAAAACAGGCACGGAGCCACGAACTTGGGCATAAGAGAAAAGAACGCCTGAAGGGCTCCAGTAGATTGTCTCCGTTTCAACAAAATTGGCTACATGCCCATCATCGTCTATGCCACGACTGTTGAAACGCGTGCCAGCTCTTTTGCAGGACAAGCGGGATATGACGGTTAGGAATGATGGAAGACCCGACTTTACCGCTTTCAGGGGTGCAGCGGCTTGGGGGATGGTAATGGTCGAACAAAAACCACGGATGGCAGAAGTTAAGATTCTGGATGCGTCCAGGGCCTCTCGTTCATGCGTTAGGAGTCGAGATCTAAACTGGACCAGAGGACTGATCATGAAGGAATTCCACAGGAAAGAGTCGTCGAAATTATCAATGTCGAACGTGTCAGAGTCAACCGATCTAGACGGCAAATGTCAGCACCTATTGAGTTCATGTCCAGTCTGTCCCATAGCCTTTACAATTTTGCATTTGTACGGCCATATATGTATAACGCACCTGTCCTGAAGCCGGTTTGTCAGATCGAAATCCGTGCTATAATAAAAGCTCCCATTGCTCAACAACTTCTGGAGTTCATTGTACGGGTACTCGATCTCGCCCTCCCTGCGGTTCAGGTTCTGCCCATACGAGTCGGAAGGTTCGCTCTCCCAAGAGTTCATAGGGTAGACATTGTCGTATTCTGGACTGTTCAAGCAAAATAACTCCACATTTGCTATTCTCTCGACGGTTTCGCCTGGCCTAAGGGAAGCGACCCGCGACGCCTGGGTCACGACACATAAGAACACATCCTGGGCGATGGATATCAGACCCAGCGTTCCATATATCGGTCGGGGAGTCAACGGTCGGAAATCGCTCAGGAGGTTCTTGGAGACGGGCGAGAATTCCACCATGCATTTCGACACGAGCCCTTCGCTGTTAGCGCGAGGTCGTGCTGACGGAACGGAGGTGAGGGAGCCATCGGCAATGGCTTCACTGGTGGTCGGGCTGTATCTGAAGATCAAGGCGTGCGAGGATGAGACAATGGCAATGGCTCTATGGGGGTAGTCCCTTATAAGAAGCTGGCTGGACTTTTCAGAAGTAGGCGCGACAGCGACGTCGCGCGCTGCCGCCCTAGGGAATTGGTCCATTTGCTGAAGAGAGCCTCAAGAGTGGTGGACTGGAAATGGAGACCAAGCGCATGCGCATGCTAGAGCTAGGTGCTATCGAGGAGCTCCCTGCAGCGAGGGTTTGTATGCTGCATCTGGGCGTGTCGAGCTGCAACTAAAAAGTTTGAACTGGGAATAGTGACAGAATGACTTGCGGCAGAGTTGTTGGTCCTGGTCTGGACTCGATGTCTGACAGTCCACTCGCCAACTCAACCACAAGCAACTTTTAGTTACAACGTCACACTTGGGCCGTCGGCCTGTGAGCCCGAGCGCCTGCGGCTGAAATTAGTTAGATTGATCTGGAAAGTGATCTGTGCTAGCAGGGATAATAACTGAGAACTTCGCAGGAGCAAATGAACAATCACAGCACTTGTAAGGTTGCCCAGTTGTCTTGAATATCTTCAACCAGGTATTACGGTGCTGGTTATATCATTATCTCAGTGGCAGATATCTAGAAATAACGTAGCACAATTATGTAGTATCACTTTGCTCTCACGAACTTACCGGTACCTACCTGGGGGTTGCGAGAAGATGTCATTGCTTTCATATCACCTGGCGGACTGATCCGGGAAACAAGCTTGGCTGAAGTCTCACGCCAGATGTATGTGAATACATGCGTGTAATCCCCCGTTCTCCTAATCCTTTCGACTATGCAATACACCTTTCATCTTAGCTCAGATGTATTATCACCTATCAAATGCCCAGGCTTGCGCAATAGAACACGACGATCCTCACCGAGCTGATAGTAAACGCTGAAAAGTTCCTAGCAGATGTGGAAAGGCACCCCCAGAGAGGCGCATGTTGGCCACTGAGCCTAGCAACAACGGCAACTAGTATTATCTGGAAAAAAGAGAATACAACATGATGCTTACGTCCAAGGCCGTAGATGAATAGTGGGGTATCTCAGAGCTCGAAAGAGCGCTGAATAAAAGAAGCAGAATAGACAGCGCTATGCGTCGCTTGGCCTCAGAATAACAATTTGAGCTCATAAAGCTTCGAGAGAAGCGTTCGTACTCTTCCTAATCGTGTGATCATCAGCGGCCGATTTGTATAATAGTAGGAGAAACTGAATCGGTGCACTCCTCAATGAGGGTGGGCCTATTTATGCTGAGGGAGTTGGGGAAAACTTTTCAATTTTGAAATCTGGCCAATAATATTTCATTCCCTAATAGGCTTAGACTATGTTAGTAGCTCTTATTCTAGCTAGACCTCAAGGATTTATAATTTCAGAAAAAGATATACCTGACTTATAACTAACTTATTAGTTTCATAATAGTATCGAATTAGTGTACAAGAATTAGTTACTAAATAGGAAGGCTAAGTGGTGAAGGGGTTTGAGGGTTGAGGAAGAGAGCAGTTACTCGGTGCCAGACGATAGGAAATTATATGTTTAGGATATGGTAATGAGCGTTCCAGGCCTACAATTCATCTATTTCTAAATCCGGTTGCCCAGGCGGGAGCTCTGTGTTTGTGGGTTGCTCAAGTCAAATAAATAAAAATATTGACAAGACAAAGAACATTTCGATACCTCATGAGGTAAGTCATTTTAGCGAGATTGACATGTTCCTTCGTATTATTATTTTGTTATTTTGACGTCGAAACTGCACCATGGGTGTGCCTTATGTCGTGATGACAACAAAGCTCAGCTATCATTCCATTTCTTGTAGTTCTACCTTTTTCAAACGTGCTTGCATCAGTTGCTATCCGGCATGCCCAAACCAGAGTAGGAGCTCCATGTATAGTGAAGCGCTGTTGTTTCCAAACATGTAGATGTCTCGTCACCAATGACAGCACCCACCCACGTGTACATATAATCATTCGTTATGGAAGATAACATTGCCTTAGGTGGTCCGGTCCTTTCTTGCGCGGTTTCTTCCCTGAGCCGACTCTACACAGAATCATGATTGTGTATGCCTCTGAGAACGGTCTATTCCGTATGTTCAACACTCCAAATTCTCAGTCCCCACAGTCGATCATTAATTATTGCTATTAGTTCCCATAATCAGAGCAGATTGGTATCAGTAGAATAAACGACTAATCCCTGGTCGTTCCGTCACTTGAATAAGGAGTTTCTGCATGGCGGCGTCCACATCCAAGTTTCAAAGACGGTTTATGTGCTCGAGTGTAAAAGTGATTCACTTGCACCATCTTCTAGAAAAGAAACAACTTTTTTCTTGTGTTCAAGCCAATATACTGGGGCGTTGGACGAGTGTCGAAGGGATGAGAAGGCACACAGTCATCCCTTAAACTTGCAAGATGCTACTTAAAGTGAAGGAAAGAATACCACAACTTCCCAGACCTGGTGGAACATTTCTGAAAATTCCTCAGATTCTGTATTTGTATCACCATTCCATCTTTGCTTTGCCCATCATCTACTCAGCCATTATTATGTTTTCTGCCTGTGTCCTGTTATGCTGAGCCAGCTCTACGATTGCCAGTTGGACTCTGTGGCCCTCGATAATGGGGGCATAGAGCTGTCCACTTAGCAGAACCCCTCCGTAGCCGAAGTGCCAGATGTGAATAGTGATATCGAGATAGAAGACGTGGTATGCCCTGCTACCTACCGTATTGGCTCTGCTGCGTTCTATCTCAATCCGAAGAAAGACGAAGTTCAGTTCATCATGTCAAATATGAAGAGTTCTTGGCGAACTCAACGCTGATCGGGATCTGCTTTTATGAAACCCCCGAGATTGACTTGATTGGAAATATTGGATGTTGAATAGCTCTGGTTGTTTACTCTTATACTTCGAGGTAACTGAACTGACCTCAAGGAACTCGACGAGTACCGGCCCGCCCTCCAGAGATGCCTGCCCGGCCGGCATGGTCTGAATTGCCATCTTCGGCAATAAAAAAGAAATTAGTTTGACCAGAGGCCGAGTGCCCCAGATACAAAAATGAGTACAGTCATATCCCTTTCCCATGTACCTGAACCAAATTAACACTAGTATACACTTCAAGATGTGGCCCATTGTACCACAAAACACATTTGAAGAATGCTCATGGCATCAATCATGACCGTCCGAAAACCGTGCTGAAAGCACTGACAGACCCGATGCCCTGAGCCTGACTTCGGAACTTCCCGACGCACAGCCGCCTGAGACCCCAACTGCGCCACCAAAGTCTTCAGCATTGACTTTGACATTTTCATGGATCAAGACGCGACCGCCAGAACTCCCTCCTCCTCCTCTCTCCTCTTCCTACCATTAGGTCAAGCGCCAGCAATAAATCCACCTTCAGTTTTCCCACCACGTGGATTCCTTGGTCACTGCGCATCGCGGCGATTAGTAATTTACAACTCACGCGTGCCCTTTTCCTCTTGGCTCTGGTTTATCTGCTCCGGTCCCCAGCTGTTCGCAGCCTCCCCGACGCCTTCCTACTCGTCAACACCGTCATCAATCAATTCTTTTGCGCCGGGCCACTGCGATCATCCACAATTTTCGTGCAGGTCGCTAGCATTTTTCAGTGACAATGGAGGATTTCAACAATTTCGGCGCCTCGGATGAGGAAAATGCAGAGATCAGGAAGCTCACGCTTGAAGTGGTGCGTACATAACCGAGACCCCTCAATATGGGGTCTTGCTGCATGTGCACGTGTAATCTAATTGTTTATGTACAACCAGGAAGCCGATACCGACAACTTCGAGTCATGGGAGAAGCTTGTTCGAGCTTGCGAGACTCAGGAAGGCGGTCTCAATCGCAACTCCAGCCCCCAGGCACTCGCTACCCTTCGCGAAGTTTACGACCGATTTCTCCTGAAATTCCCTCTTCTCTTTGGCTATTGGAAGAAGTATGCCGATCTTGAGTTCAACATATCTGGGCCCGAATCTGCTGAGATGGTACGCATCTAACCCGTCTACACGCCTGGGCGCCACGCTAACAGCCATGCAGATATACGAGCGCGGATGCGCAAGCATCACCAACTGCGTTGACCTTTGGGCATCCTACTGCTCCTTCAAGATGGAGACAACCCACACACCTCATTTAGTGAGAGAGTAAGTAAAGTCGGCAGATTTCCTACCCTTAACCATGCCACGGACAGAGTATACCTCCAGAGGAGACGCACTGCGAAGACACTCAAAGTTACTTAATCGTCGATGGTGAGAAATACCAACAACAGTCATGAAGTGTTGGATCTTTCTCACAAAAAGCCAGGCTCTGGTCCGCACATAGTCACTTGTTTGACATTCCGCTTTCACCTGCTCCGTCTATCTCGGCTTGATTTGGATTTGGAACTGTTTCTTACACAAACTTCCCTTCCTGTATTTGCACTCCTTCCCGTCCCAACCCCGCCCCCTTCCGACCTGGCGAACGCGCTGCTGACCTCGATGCTAGACTATTTGAGCGCGCTGCCACGGCTGTGGGACTCGACTTCTTGGCCCATCCTTTTTGGGACAAGTACATCGAGTATGAGGAGAGGCAAGAAGCCCATGACAAGATCTTTGCCATCTTGCAGCGTGTCATCCACATCCCGATGCACCAGTATGCCCGATATTTTGAGAGATTTCGTCAATTGGCTCACAGTCGACCCCTGATCGAGTTGGTGCCTGCCGACACCCTGGCCCGATTCCGAGCAGAAGTTGAGTCGGAGAGTGCTCCCTTTGGAGGCATGCCCCGGGCTGAACTTGAGCTTGAACGTGATATCCGGGCGAAGATCGACAGCATGTACTACGAGAGCTTCCAGCGCACGCAGGAGGAAACCACCAAACGCTGGACTTACGAAGCAGAGATTAAGCGACCATACTTCCACGTCACCGAATTGGAGAACTCGCAGATGATCAACTGGCGCAAGTACCTAGACTTTGAGGAAGGCGAGGGCGATTTTGCCAGAATCACTTTTCTCTACGAGCGTTGCCTCGTCACCTGTGCTCTGTACGATGAATTCTGGTTCCGGTACGCTCGGTGGATGTCGGCGCAGCCAGGCAAGGAGGAGGAAGTACGACACATCTACATGCGAGCTACTACACTCTTCGTACCCGTGAGCAGACCAGGTATCAGACTGCAGTTCGCCTACTTCGAAGAGAGCTGTGGCCGAGTTGACGTCGCTCGGGACATTCATGAGGCTGTTCTGATGCAACTTCCAGATTGTGTCGAGGCGATAGTGTCGTGGGCCAATCTGCAAAGAAGACAGAGTGGTCTCAACGCTGCCATTGAAGTGTACAAGGCACAAATTGATGCACCACAGGTCGACATATTCACGAAAGCGATTCTAGTCACTCACTGGGCCTTCCTCCTCTGGAGAATCAAGGGCTCGGTGGATGAAGCGAGAACAGTCCTCAAGAAGAACGTCCAGTGGTATGCCGACAGCCGGCATTTCTGGCAGAAATGGTTGGACTTTGAGCTGCAACAACCTAGCAACAGTGAGACCGAATCCCAGCATGCCGAGCGGGTGAAACACATATTCGATGAACTGCGGGTTAAGAGCCGCATCTCGGGGGCGGCAAAGAAGGGCTTGTTCTTGTCCTACCTTACATATCTTCAAGAGAGAGGCGATAAGGATGCGATGAAGCAATTCCTCATCATTGACCGAGAGGTTTACGGGTGAGTGCCCCACCATGTGCTTTTTTTTTTACAAGGAACGTACTTACTGATGCATTGCCTAGACCGGCTTCGACCTCGGTTCTCAATAAGCCTGCAGTCAAGGAGAACGGCGCCGCACGCGGGCCGCTTGATGATGCTACGAGACACAAGGCAGAGAGTGGCTACACAACGTATTACGAGTACTACACCGACCCTGACGCGGACGCGCAAGGAACGGCTCCTTTCAACTAGGAATGGCCAGATACGAGAGTTCACTGGCGATAAGATGGACGAAGTAACTTTTTTCCTCCGCGGAGCTATTCAATGCCCTGCGGTGCTTGTATACAAGACGGCGTTCTTTTTATGGTATTACATTTGCCTTCTAGGGGACTTACGGTGGGCTGCCGTCGTCGGTGCGGTATTTGCGACTCGGATACCTGGTGAAAGACGGGGCGACGACTTGGGGCAGGAGTTGGAGGCCATGCCTTCATCAGGTCGGGCTAGATAGGTGCACAAGAAGCCAGCTCCTGCTATTGGCGGCTCGATGAAGGATGAAGGCTGCACGGTAGTGATGCCCTCCCTATTTTGAACTGAGATCCTTTCAAGGTTTTGGGTCTTTTCAATAGACCATGACTACTGCCACGCACTGTCTCCATTCTCTCCACATTGGCTTTACCGTATATTGTCCACTATAAGACTGTCGATTGGGCTAACCTTGTTTCGGATCACATTAACTTGGGAAGATTGGATGGGGCGATAAACGTGAACCCCCCCGCCCCCCAAAGTTCCACACGGTGGGTGAGCAAGACTGAGGAAGTATCGGTGATTGGAGTCTGACTCGCGTGGGGCTTCTTGTTGGAAACGGCTGGGTCCCAAGTGCTCTGGTTTGGAAACCGGCGGTCCATTGTATTGTGCCATGAAGTAATTGTAGGATCAGGTACGAGATCATCGAAGGGCATAATACAAAGTTGCCGTCGCCGTCAGCGATGAGTCAAGGTGCTGACTGAGTCAAGACCAAGGGCAATTTCTGATGGTCTCCGGAGTTGCCTCTTTCTGCCAGAAGGCGCAACTCGAAAAATTGGCAGGCACCTCACTTAATAGCTGTTCCCGATTTCGGGGGAGATTCATGGCCAGCTGGGAGGGCGCTTTTCCATCGGAGGCACGCGTTTGCATGTTTGCTGACAAATTGCGACAACTTCGGTACGGTCAGTACCAAGAGCGCTGCGCTACCGTGCGGCCACAAATATATCTAACCTAGAGGTATCCATGGAGTCCCTAGTCCAAGGCTCCGCTTTAGGGTGGTCCAGTTTGACTTACAGCAGTGCAGGTCCACTCGTGTTGGTAGATCTTGACAAGATCGGCCAATTGGCTTCCTCGAATTACCAGTTGTCCGGCTTACAAAACAGCTTGCGACGGGCCATCAGATAACACTCGAGGAGGGCAGCGTCTTGACTCTTGCCCGTGGCATTATCCCCTTAATTTTCTTCTAATTTTCTTCTTTATCTCGTCTTCACTTCTGTGATACCCATACCCTTCACTCTTCTCCTGCACCACAGTCCTTCACAGGTAAGCAAACACCCCCGATGCAGCACCATCATCACCCCACTCAGACTTCCTAGAAGCATCCCCAATACCGCCTGACCCGATCTAACCCGCCGTTTTCGCGCTGCAGAAATCGCCCGCAAACATGTCTCGACAGGTTGCCCGAGCTGCTCTGCGCACCAGTGGTCGAAGCACCTTCGCGACTGCCTCGCGCCCGGCTTTCCGTCAAGGCGGCCGCCGGTTCTACTCGTCCGAGCCTCCAAAGTCCGTCGGTACATCGCCGCTGCTTTACATCGCAGGAGCCGCCGTGGCAGGTGCTGGTGGGTTCTACTTCTACACCCAACGCAGCTCTGCTGGCCCCACCGTCTTCACGCCCACTAAGGAGGACTACCAGAGAGTATACAACGACATCGCCGCTCGCCTTGAGGAGGAAGATGACTATGATGATGGAAGTTACGGCCCGGTATTGGTACGTCTGGCGTGGCATGCCAGTGGCACCTACGATAAGGAGACGAAGACCGGTGGCAGCAACGGTGCCACCATGCGATTCGCACCTGAGGGTGACCATGGGGCCAATGCCGGTTTGAAGCACGCTCGGGACTTCCTCGAGCCCATCAAGGGTAAGCACGCCTGGAAAGAGACGTAACCGTAAGCAAAGAATATACTAATACGTGCCGTGTAGCCAAATACCCGTGGATCTCGTACTCGGACCTGTGGACGCTGGCGGGCGTCACTGCCATCCAAGAGATGCAAGGCCCGGTTATTCCCTGGCGTCCGGGGCGTTCGGACAGAGATGTCTCCGCCTGCACACCCGACGGTCGTCTTCCCGACGCGGCTCAGGGCACCGACCACCTCCGCAACATCTTCTACCGCATGGGCTTTAACGACCAAGAAATCGTCGCACTTGCCGGTGCCCACGCTCTCGGCCGCTGCCACACGGATCGATCCGGTTTCGACGGTCCCTGGACCTTCTCGCCTACCGTCCTGACCAACGACTACTACACCCTGCTGCTCTCGGAGAAGTGGTCGATTCGAAAATGGGACGGCCCTAAGCAGTTCCAGGACAAGGGTAAGACTTTGATGATGTTGCCTGCCGACTACGCTCTCATCCAGGACAAGGCCATGAAACCCTTCGTCGAGAAGTACGCCAAGGACAACGACGCCTTCTTCAAGGACTTCAGCAACGTCATTGTGAAGTTGTTCGAGCTTGGTGTGCCCTTCAAGCAGGGTGCCGAGAGGATGACCTTCAAGCCCACCAACGACTAAGTCGGCGGTTGGAGAAACCAGTGGCACGAAAGGACGAAGGAAAGTATCCATCCAATGCTCGGACCAAGCCGAGTACACTGAAACCCTAGACGGCTAGACGATGGATAGATCTAGGTTTAGAGAGCATTCCTATAGACCGCGAATTTCAAGATAATGATAGAGGATAGATGGATGGACGGATCTGAGTGCTTACAGCGAAAACTGTCGTGTGGCGGATGAACCCTGGGCGATGTGTGCAGTATTCGATAGCTAGTCTGTAAATCAACCACGCTGTTATGTTCAATCGCGGTTCTTGACGGGTACTACACGTTTGAATGATATACGACCATGCTCGTAGAAAATATTGCAGGGAAGAATGAGGGAGGATGGGGGAGGAGAGGGAAGTGACGTTGGAATAATAACACGGCAGACTCGACTCTAGACTGTCGGACAGTTCCATGGTCGCTTTCCCCGCTCTTGTCCAAGCCACCAATGAATTGCAAATGTTACAACGGCAAACACACCTTCCGTTCCAACCCATCCATTCATATGTTGGGGTTGGGTTCGTATCTGCATTAACAACATACAGGCCGGCTACTCCCGTAGAAGGGGACATGGTTCGTCCGGGGTCACGACATGGTTCCCCGCGTTCTCCATCGTGGTGCAGCGTTCCTCCCGCCGGGCTGCCACCAGTTGAAGCCAACTGGTGGCTTCTTCCAGGCCCAAGGTTTGGCGACACAACTTGGGAACATCACAGTATAGGGATGCCATATGCTGTGAATTCAGTCAGAGATGTGAATTCGACCTACGTTTCACGAGACTGGCCTGGGTGCTATGTATCGGCAAATTGGATCTACCGACATGGATCGAGCCTAGGCTTCGTTCAGGCGCGGGTCCAATGGGCAATGCAGCGCCGGATTGTGGAACCAGTGTGTCAACCAAGTCAGCTAGTAACGCAACTAGATCTCATGACCGTGTATGAGTTCGTTGCAGGGGAACTTGAGTCCACCGTTTCGCCTCTTTAGTACACCACCAGCACCGTCTGTTGAATGTGAGCGAGTTAGAAACTCTGGTTGGTGTTCCTTGTTCTTCTATATGGACTGGTGATTGTTGTTGAGCAGAGCCCAATATTTTGGTGGAATACGACCGACATAGAAGAGTCGACTGCCCCATCAAGTATCCTTCTGGTCTGAGCCTCATAGCGTAATTAATGGCCAGGTATGTGGCCGTACTTCATGGGCCGGATCAATAACCGGGTTCAGGGCCACATGTCTGATCCGAGGTAACAGGATGCATGATGAGAACCCCATCTTGAGAGAAGTGTGTTGCTTGTCACATCGAGCTGATCTTTGCATGGATCGATTCTTTCGGACAGCTGGATGTGGTAGAGATAGGAACGAGGAGGTGTCAGTTCTCTCTGGTGTTTCTGTACACGTCGGGTGCTTCAGGTAGGTGGTATGTTTTTATATAATGGTTTGCCTGTAGGATCTTCAACATCGGTTGGGCGTATTCTCAGGACAAGCCAGTCGCCGATGTCAGAGACTTGTGGGCGCCTTCCCCTCGGCTAGCTTGTTCTATCTACGACTAATACTGGAACTTACTAGCTTCGTAGAAGAAGTGGAGGAAGAGGAGGACGAAGAATACTGGATCCTTCACATCTACTGTGTGTTGATAGACCTCAACAATACTCGCATGCTATGGGCTGTTCTAATGTTGGCTTTAAAAGGTGAAATAAAATTATACTGTCAGGCACTGCAACCCTAAAACCTTTCCATTTTCGTAATAGAGATTGATTCACTTTTCGCATCACTGTTGACCGTTAACCCCCCCATCCCCCTCCCCCCCTTTTTCACTTCCTTGCACTAGGTGATAAATTCATAATCCGCACACGGGGAGAAGATGATTCAGGTCTTAGTGGGGTTGGGAGGCGGGCGAGCAGAAGCCACGGAATAAATCTCCGACATCAGCAAGGTAAAATCGGGTTTGGTAGTCGCCAGTTCAAGGACATATCTACTGATGGCATAGGTAAGGTATATGGCCAGAGCTCCCAGTATTCAGGCCTGACTTCAAATCATGCGAATATCGTAGCCTTTCCGGTTCAGCGCGTGTGAATCGGTGCATCCCATATATATGAGATGTTAGCCTTGTTTTCGAAAACGTAGCTGTCAATGTGCACATACAACCTTGCCCTGTAGTCCTATCTTGAAGTTATATGCAGCAATTCTATGGATCGTCACTTGCATTAATCTCGCCATAGGATGCGCATTGAGAATAGACTTGAAGGCTCTTCACGGCCCTTAACCGGGATGAAGATGCCATTCACTGTCCAGAGGGATTTTGCGGTCTGACAGTCATGAATTATTCCTGACAACCCGCTCCTGCAACATATTTCTGCTCTGGAACAATTTAAACTCCTACCGTCTTGTAGATAGACTAACAGATAGACACAGAAACTTCTATTTGTGACGAAGGCCACCGAACCGAAGTAAAACCTAACACCTCGTCGCCTGTCAAAGAAGAAGACGCAAAGAGGCAAGTAGGACTCATATGCCAATTACGTTAGGTTGATTGACTGCGATAGCACGCCCAAGCGTAGCGCCGCACGACTCCAGCTCGAATTCCTCGTTCCACGACGCCGCGTCGAAACCCGTATTAATTATCAGTAGCCCCACGAAAAGCGTGAGTATACCGTCCAACGCGAAACTTCATCATCCATCGGTATTTTCCTTCTTGCTCCTCTTCCCCATTCTTCTCTCCAGTCCAGAAGTCCGGAAGAGAACCAAACCGTGAATCCTTCCCGATGTAGAAAAAAGTCGTACCCGAGTCTATATGACGATCTAACCGTCAAGCTAGCATATGCTCGTCCCGGAGTCGCTCATGACATGTCATTACGCACGGGCAATGGGATAAATGAAACCCTTACAAGGTTCCTCATAGACTATACTACAGGTACGAGAAGGATTACCGCGTCAAACCAGGACAGTTATACCTGGGTAAGGTGAGTTTCGGGCCCAGCCCAGCTGGTTTATTCATTTAGCTACTTAGCAGTCACTTAAGTATTGTTACTCAAGGCTGCCCCTGGGGTCGGTCCATCTCGCTCAAGGTTTCCTCTTACCAGCATGCTCAGTCGCCGTAGACTTTCCGTATTCTAGCCCCATCACTGTATGCTTTTCAGATACTCTATTGCCCCCCTTCCACGCCACTGACGGGCAAATGTCACGATTTATCCCGAGACAATAGCTTACGTGGCATGCGGCCATGGGTATTGCTTAAGAATTGTTGGTTTCTCCATATCGTCTACCTATGTATACAGGTACATCATCAGGTTGTGTCTGCTACAGTAACCTGGCCCGTTCTCGACGAACAAAAAGTTTGACTGCAGACCTCATATAGACTCAAGCTTTGCGGCTTCGCCGCCCGTCGTCAGTCGTCACAGCATCACCATACCATGGCATGTATGGTCAGCCTCGGGTCTGACACAAGCTTGGCGGGCGTCAGTCCCATGGATGGGTAACAAAGGCGTCCGTGACTGCAAAGCTGTTGAATTTGCTCGCTGTCCTGGCGCAAAAAGTATGTCTACGGTACAGGGATGCCTGGCCAGTTTGCGAGAAACCCCGGGACGACCCCAAGCACATTTCGTCTCGGCTACTTCTTCACCAGCTTGTACTTCCCCCCAATAAGCTCCAACTCGCCATCCGAAACCTTATCACCAAGAAACTCTTGCAGCTCCTCGTTGCTCCAGGGGAAGCCATCCGCGATGAGCATCTTCAGCATCATGGCGATCTGCCCAAGCGGCATGGCTGGACTTGAGTTGGTCAACATGCCGACGATGAACTGCCAGTACACCTGGCGTTTCTCCTTCTCCTTTTCGCTTATTCCGGACTTGGCTACCTTGCGGGGGTTGGCGCTCATGGCCGCGTCATTCCTCGCAGCATTTGACGCCGATGCTTGTGTCGTAGATGATGCGAGGTCTGCATCTTGGAGACGCTCAAGGACGACGTAGGTCTCGTCCGTCAATTTGCGAAGCACACGCTTCTTCTGCCAGAACTCGAGGGCTGCTGTGAGAAGGTCTTCGTCCATCTGGAGGTGTTGCCAAAGCTCGTCAAAGGACCAGCTGGGGCGGCACCCATTTGCCGCATCGTCGCTGAAAGAATTGATCACAGCTGCTTCGTACGTGTGAACTTCTTCCAACACCGTACGGTCTTCCAACTGCAGCTCCACTGTCGCTTGACCTAGTTGGTTGAGCCACTTGATCTTACGCGACGGTTTCAGATGCTCGAAGATGTGCTCGTATATCTTCTGCATTTCAACAATGCCAGCGGGGACAACGAATCGCTCATCTCCCATTTCTGGCCAGAACAGTCGGGACAGGATCCTAGTGTGGATGGTCCAATCACGCTTGACCTTATCAGGGTGATTCAGAGCACCGCGGTGGATGACGCCGTCAAGTCTCCGCGAGTCTTGTATGTCCTTGATCATCACGTCGCAGGACTGCAGCGATGCCTCTCCAAATCGCTTCTTGAGGAGTCCTAGAACTCCCACTTCCTGCTCGAATCCTGCCTGTTCCGACAGAAGACGTTCGCCGATAATGTTTTGGAACTCCTTGATGAAGACTTCGGGTGAACCTAGCGCACTAATGAGCGTGCCGATGACATCTTCTGATTTCCGTCGTTTGTAGTTTGAGCCGGCGTCTACCGGTGGTGGTACCCAAGTAAGGTCATCCCACTCTTCGTCTTGTCGCTCGGTTTGGTACTGGTCGGGATCGTACAACAAGTCCACCAGCTCAACGAGTTTGGTCTTGCGTGCCGCGGCCGAGTCTGCTTCCTTTCGACTTGAGAGCAGGCCTGCAACAATGATCCGGACCGTATCCTCTCTCGTACATAAGTAAAGCTGCAATGAGTAGGCAACACGATCCAGGAGCACCCTTGAATGGTCTAGTTTATGGAAAGTCCTGATCATGGCGATATACGTGCGCAGGATATCCAAGGTGGAGCGACCTGGGTGCAACAACCGTTTCTGCAGAGCCGCTGAGAAGGCGTCGGTCAATTGTAGCCGCCGCTGAGGCGTTGTAATAGCGTAGCGGAGATCTTCCATGCCGCCTTCGCTGTTCGGCCAGTTAATAACAATGTCAAACAGCTCGCTGATTCGGAGGGCAGCTAGCCGACCAACGGCAATTTCCTTCCATTTTTCGACATCAGTCCAGGCGACTTGCACGTTGCCGAGCAGGTTGGTTACTTCAACGGCCAGTCTAGAATAGTGGTTTTCGACCCAATCTGAGAGATGGCATATGCAGCGAGGTTGCGCGAGTGCATGGCTAGACACGCTTGCTCGCATATTCAGGTCCTGGTTTGGCTCCCATTTGCCTGCAAAGGAGAAATGCACGAAGGTGACCATCATGTCGTTCAAGAGTTCGGCGAACAGTATCTGGAACCTTTCCCCGGCTAGACCAACATCGCAGAGAGACTCGACAAGTGACAACAACTCTCGTCTTGCTCTCTCCATCTTGTTCGGGTCAGGCCTCGGTGTTTTGGGACCAACAGGTATGCCAAGAGCAATCTTCATCTGCTGCCCCAAGACTGTCCTCAGTGCAGCCGTAAGCGAGGTCGACATCGAATTTCCCACAATAGCATGCAAGTCGCGGCGGAACTTCCTGAGGGCGCGGTCGGCATCATCTTGGTTCATCCCCATCACTATTAGAGACAAGCCGTACAGATACTGTCTGTGCGCTGCCTCCAGCGTCCGTATGCTACCCAGGTGGACTTGCGTCTGATCCGAGTAACTATTGCAGACGGCCAGTAGGGGCAGTACGTGGCTCACAAAGTGCATCCGCACTTGCTGCGTATGCCAGGATAGCAAGTCCTCTGTGTGCGCTGCCAGGGGAAGCCGTGAAGCGGGGTCGAGGACATCCCGCAAGGCGTCATCAAAGACTCCATCGTCAGCGTCTTGGGAGTTGGGTAGAGACCCGAACGAGTCCTCAGCTGTCACGGAAGGTGGCAGAGCAACGCGCGTCGTAACGACATGCCAGGATCTATCGTAACGGGTTTGATGACTGGCGTGTGGGTTCTCGGAGGACGGGAGAAACTGATGCGCCTGAGCAACGGAGTCCATGCCCTTCTGAGGCGTGTAGGCCAGGGGGCCCCCAAAAGATTGACCCTGCTCAGAGAAGTGTTGTGACGGCGTAGAATACGGCGTGGGCTGTGAGATGTTCGTCTGGAAGACGGACTGGAAGACGCGACGTTTGCCTGCGCTCCACTTGGTTTCCATCATCTTGGAAGCCTGCGGCGTCTGCAGATGCTTTCCTGTCTCATGCTTCAGTACGACAAGTTCCTTGACCGCATTGCCGCGTTATTTTGGGACGTTGTGCAGCCAGTATTGTCGAGTGCTTGGTTGGCCCCTGCTTCGGTCCCGGGATCGTGACAATGGGGGATGCTGTTTGTGGCTCAAAGCTGTTAATGAGTGTGGCTTTCATCTCATTGCCTTTGTCGCCAAGGCTGTTGCAGCTGGTGGGAAGCCCCACTGTCACTGCGATGGCAGTTACGCGCCATTTGATGCGATTGGTTTGGCAAGCGCGATAGTGGCTTGAACTCAGAAAGCGGGTCCAAGTACGCGGCAGAGCTACATACACCCCTCCCCGTAGTGGACGGACACAACTATATTCTCACCCGATTACCCGCTGCAACCTCCATGTAAGGCGGCTTTGCCGCATAATGTTGGGCGACGATAACATCAGAGTTAGCAGTAGTCTGCTTCAGCTGAGAATTTCCATTTTTGCAATTGCACAACCCCAAAAATGGTTTCAACCAATACTACGAACAACGCGCAGCGTCGGTCGATGCTTCCTGTCGTATCACACCCGTTGTGCGTTGTCTTGTGTGGAGTAGAGCCTGCACTCGGAAATGGCTTCTGACAAATACCTTACCGAAGGCCCGCGCTACGAAGACCAATCCAGGCACATCTGCTGATCCGTAAATACTGGCGAATGACGAATTCTCCGACCCTCTCTTCGAAGGTGGTGCTACCTTCATCGGTGTGGGTGGTGTGCCGGTGGCCGATTGTAGCACCTCGGGCGGCCGGATAAGGTACTTGAACGTACCCTCATATTCCAAGAATGGCAGTTCATGTCAGACTTGCGAGTGTCAATTGCAGACTGTCCGAGGAAAGAGGAGGTGTGTCCGGAACCAAGGCGTCAGCCCTAAATGCAGCTCCCTACATGGCTTCGCGTCCGAAGTGCAGAAGTGCGAATGTATTGCCCTCACGCCACTGACTCGACTTTTGGGGGCGGGGGCGACCGCCTGATCGCGACAATATTCTGAAAAGCTGTGGAAGAAGGGGATACAGGGGATGTGCGTGCTCGTACAAGTCAGGTCTCGCTATGGAGGTTACCGAACGCTCAAATAAATTCCTAGAAAAGGCAATTTTCGTCATGAACTCGTCTCTGGCTCTTGAACCATGCGTGGACGTTCCGCATGTGCCCAGGCAAGTGGTTGATGACGGCCACAGTAGACGCCACACAGACACGGCTGCAAATCGTCAAAATTTGTAGCCATTGGCAGACAATAGACATACAGCCTTTCGGCGTTGGCAACGGCACAGACAGTGTCAAACGTGTGTAATGGCGGCACGGCCTGATGAAGTGGTTTAGGAGTCTCTTGGTGCAAGGTGACTGGCGCAGAACGCGACGCGCACAGGTATCTCTGGTTCTAGACTTCGAGGGTGGCCAAACCGTGCTAGAGAAGCAGTACTTTACGCCGAAGGCGCAGAGACTCCTTTTCTCGAGCGCCACAGCTTACTGTGCCGAGCCACAATTCGGTCGGTTATTCCCATTGAGCGAGTCCCATAAGGCTGCATATTTATATTTCGACCTTCTTGATTGTGATTGGTCGAGATTGGTAAAGAAAGCCGACCCCTGTTTGCTGACAAGTTGCGGGAATGAATCGAAGTGGAAATCCGCAAGGGGGGCATGTCCACCTGCTTTGACGGAAGAAGTATGGTTTACGAGCGGGACATCCGTTGTTCAGAATAACCGCGTCCTTGGGGCGAAGAACTTGGAGCTAGAATTGAGCCTCAACGGTGACACGTTGTGCTTCTCTCCACATGAGCCGTCGCTGATCACGATGCTGATGGGCAACCCATGAGTTCGTAAAACGACCTGTACGCAGTACGAAACGATCATGTACAACTAGGTCGCCGACGCACTGATGCGGCACGGCTCCTTGGGTCCTACATGGGTAATGACGTTCAGAGTTTCTCCGCCGAGCTCAGTAGGCGAGGTACATGCATGGTACTTGCATCTCATCGACTTTGCATCGTTGTGGAGTTCGCATCCAACTGCGAGGGCCTTTTGTCCAGGGCACAGGGCAGGGAACAATATACGAGTCTTGGTCTTGTCACTTGACGTGGGGTCTAGTTCCTGTCAGTCTCCTCTCGAATGATGGCAACGGTGCACAACCCTCACCGAGCCTTCAAGCAGATGACAAAAACGATATTTTGCTCCATTTCGAAGCTCGAGTCCGAGTGGTATTGTTCGCGCCCAGTAAGCAGGTGCACGACATGGTTGCCTTGGGACAGACTCGGTTGTAGGTCTGTTCTTCCAATTTCGCCCCGCCTTTTCCACCAAGTTGCGCCCGCAAAACGCTGCGCTGGCTATAGAAACAAAGGCGGTAAATAGTATTTGGAAATTCTTGCCTGGTCCCCGCTTCTGAGTCTTGTGTCTCTGCTGCGGTAACCGAACAGCCAAAAGTCGGAGACAGGTTGACCGCATTTTGTTTTCCTCTTCGCCGTCCTCGTGCTACGTCGATGATTATTTTTACGCCGTCGCGTCGGTATAGTGCCATTCTGCCCACAATGGGGCCCTCGAGGGCAGGTAAGCGACGTGCCAGTTTGGCCAACAAACTTGGCCATTGAAACGGGTCACTCGTGGTAATCTCTCCAGACAAATAGTTCGGGTCAGGTGTCCACTCTACCGTCTGCTGCTATGGTTAAAGGCCGAATATTTAGCACCCCTATCAGGTAGACCAGTATGGATCCACAGAGCTGTCTTCTTGCTGTCCAAATTACCCCTGCTTAGTGCGAGAGACTCGACTGGTAGGACGCAAATTACCGCTTCAAGACTGTCATGGTAAGCACGGTAATACACAAGTATACCGAGGTACCTATTTCTTGGGTCGTTGGAGTAACCCCAATTATCTGTCGAGGGTTCGATCTGACCATGGGGCACTGCTCCATAGCGAAATGAACTCGGTCTTAGTCATGATACACGGAGTCGGCATCTCATCTCGTCTGCGTCCTCGGACTGTCTCCGTCTCGCGGCCCCACAGGTGGTTTTCGACGGCGGTTTCTAAATAATCTCTACGTCTACCTCAATTACGTCAGCCACACCGCTATATCTGAACAAGATAAAATGATACCAGCGGTTAATTTCAAAATGCGAAAGCCATGGGGCCAGCTGGGTAACCTGGCTGGCCCTTGTGTATACACCCAGTCGGGGGGTTTCCACCGGGAGTCGGAGCTCGCTCTCTTAAAAGCCGACTAAGTAATACCACAAACCCCGGAGCGGCGCGCCGCGAACAGGAGCTCCGGCATCAGTGCCACTTGGGATGCAACAATTCTCATTCCAGAGATCGTTATGGAGGCTCGGTCCAGTGTCTGGAATTTACTTGAAGAGGTCAAGTTGATTGTCATCATGCCATTTTGTGTATGAGCAAGCTCGCTAGTGAGCAGACGAACATATCGTAATTATTATCAATCGAAGCTATTGTGGTCATCACCCACGGAAGATTCACGGATCTATCATCAAACAGCTCTCTCTTTTGTCGCTTTCCTACGGCACTTCTTTCAGGCACAGAATGGGATAATACTGCCGATGCCGCCCAAGCGCAAAAAAGCAAGTGGATGCTGGTTTGGGGCCAGGGGAAAGCTTATTGTTCCCTGAAGAGGAGCATGGCTGGCTGGGCGTATCCGACAAACTGGTTCTACGACACAAAAAAAAACCAGCCTGTCGGCTACTGGGCGTGGTAGACGTACCTAAGTCCCGAATGCCGCAATCATGGGAATTGACTATCCCAAATGGAGACTTTTTCAGGGCTGATGACATGACATGGAATGAAAAACGTTAATTTGCTACCGTCGCTGTCGCATGAGTCTCAGGCACTTGCTCCAGTTTCCCGGGGGGATGTCCATATTAACTAGACTTTGTCACCAGCATGGCGTATTAGATTTCGACGCTGCCGTAGACAATGTCAACGCCACCCCTGCCCTGCCAGACAGATAAGGGTACTTCACTTCTCTACAATTAGATAATACCGCGCACGGGTGGTCGGGGTCGGTCCCGTGGCCTCGAAATATCCCTGTCAATGAAGCTAGTACGAAGCTACTGCAGAGCACTCTATAGTAACTTTGGGTGTGGGTAAAACAGCTTGTCCATTGCTATCTTCGACTACGATAACATCAACCTGGCGCCATGCAATGGATGGTACTTTTGCGAGGAGAGAGTGAACAGGAACATGGATCATCCGTGCAGTCAGCTTCCGCACTAAAACGCTGGTCCCCAGTGGCGGTGCCAGACGTGAGATCTACAACTTTGTTTTGATTTTTGGGTCAACCCACGCTGTCGGACTCTGGGGGCAGGATTCTATTTTCAGGTACATTGCTGAATGGCTGTGCACTGTTGCAACATTATTTGGAAACAGCCAGCTTCTCGGTTGTCCCTGAATCTCCGCAATTTCGAGGCTTCGACGAAATAAGACCAATATAAAAAGAACAAGGGTTCGACTTTTATCTCGGTGCCTGTTGCTACGCTCCTTAGGTACCGCTGTGCCGTGCGATCGCCCGACGCATGATGCTGGGGATCCCAGGAGCCAGGTGATGGGGGTCGTAATTACTCTCAGCTAAGAAGCCCAGTCTGGTTGAGCTAGGTTTCGGTTGGCGTCTTTGCCGTTGTTGGGCACACCCACCACAAGACTCCAAGGTTTGCGAGGGCGAGCCATGTTGTTTTACGAGCAATTTGCTAGCTACGGCAGGTACATGCACTGTGAATCCCAAGAGGAGTCAGTCACAAGCTCATATCCAACACCCGTGTTGTGTGTTGTACTCGGCGCCGCACTCACCTCCACAATTGTCATCTTTCATTAGAGCTGTTGTAAATCTGTCTGTCTATTTCTACCCTGCCATCTCGTAAGGCTGATTCGATTAAATGAGTCTCTAATGAAGCTAACTGATGATTGAAGTAATATCCTTGCGACAAGGCTTTATTGGATACTTTACTGAGATATCAGCCAACCCGTCACGCCGTTACAGAGGTTGACGTCACCGCAACATAATGGCCCACACCCATTGCATACGGATGTGCGTGTCGTCAAACTACAACCCACCTAACCATTGGCGATTGAACATGGAAACTTGACCACACGTGGCAAACTCGGTTGAGATATAGTGACGATGTCAAGTTCGTTCAACGCCACAGATCCCAAGTCGCAAATTACGTGCTCAATCCAAGCTTCTGCAACTCACACATGGTTCAACTTGCCGATAGAGGTGTCGATACACTTCGTACCAAGTCCGATCGCCCAGTCTTCGTACCCACTTGGCTGGAAAGTTGCGTGTCAGAAACCAGACTGGTTCATGAGCGCGGGGGACTTCTACGAAACTTTCATAGATCACCCGTCGGAGGTACCGAGGGTACGGGTCGCCTGCTAAAGGGAAGATTCAAGTCGGTTGGCGAGCGAGCATGGCCATGTTGGAACGACATCAACCCCGCAATTTAGGTGTACAACAAGTTATGCGATCTGTATAAGTGGAATCCAACTCGACGATTTCGAGTTTCGAAAAAGGGGTATCTACTCGAAACCTGGCGTCTGCCACAACCATCATCTCAAAGAATTCCCATATATACAGGGTTGTACATTCCATCCGCCAGAAAATGCCCACGAAATGCCAAGCCGTCAAATCCAATATCTAAGAAACAAAAACCTATTATCAAAAGCCCCTAGATATTTTCTAGCCCAACTCCATTTTTACAAAATGCTCAATCATGAAGGATCGTTAGTGTTGGTAAATGCAGCGCATAGCATAACCGTTACGAATTGCGGCGCTGCTTGCACTTGTCGTGAGCCAGGTGTCCGTTCCGCGCCGTTGTTCGTGTAAACTCTGCCCCACAGTTGGGGCAAGTGGCCTTCGCCGCCTGGCCAGACTTCTCGCGTTGATGTCGTAGCAGGTTGCTGAAGGTGGAGAATTGGCGGCCATTGCATCCATGTTCCCAACATTGCGGCTTGGGCCGACTCTGCACCACCCGGACGTGACCTCCATCGTGCGTGGTTCCATTACCCGATGGCAAAACCGACGGAACCGGGTATAACATACTGGTTTCGGACATCGATGTCGGACGGCTGCTGTGAGGTTTTGAGTTAGCAAATGCATCAAGGCGCCATGTCCACGGTCGAAAACTGACTTGTAATGCGAAGTGAGGCCCTGTGTCGTGGGCGGGAAGCCGGGAGAGTAACCCATGTTCATGTAATCGCTCGAGGGTCTGCGTGAAACCAGTTAGCAACGGAACGACCTTGCAGTGCTGTTTACATCAGACTTACAAAGTTGAGTAGTGCCCAGGAAACAAGTTCCCTGGATCTGGGAGGGGCGAGGTAGAGTAGGCCGGCATGTAGGAGCCCGTTACGCTGGTGACTGGCTCGGCCAAGAGGGAGATCTGCGCAGGCGAAGTTGTGTAGATAGGCATGGTAGATGCAGATGAGAACTCGGCCATGGTGACTGGCGGGGACTGTGAGGTGTACGAAGCGTTACTCAGGGCGCGGCGTGCCCGGACCGAGGTCTTAGAATCGCGCCTTGCTTGGTCCCGTTGCCTCCTCAGCTCGCGCTGCTCCGCCGTCATCGGTCCTCGTGGTGGACTCGCTGGCACCGACCCCGATCCACTGGAGGGGGTCAGACTGGCATCAGAGCCGTGGCCCACTGAAGGTGATAAATCGTGGCCCAGAAGATCAACGCCGGATTCGAGGACTTGGTGAGGGTTTAGTACATAATCCTGCTGGTACTGCAGTTGTTGGTGCATACCTGGCCACGTATACGAAGAGCGAGGAACCCCCAAGTCATATCGCGGGTCGAATTGCACTGCGACGGTGCTGCAAGCGTGGTAAGTCAAAGTGCCCTGTGGCGGTCAAGTAGTTAGTGACCTTACCTCATATTGTCCCTGGTTGTGGGGGGGAAAGGCGAAGAGGAACGAGAATAGTCTTGTGCTAGATCAACACGGACTATGGGAGCGTCCGAAGACTGGTTCTGATTGCTAGTCCACTCCGATTCCAATTCACTTCGCGGTAGGGTAGGGTACGAGGAATAAGCCTGTGTTGACGGAGTTGACGATAGAAACGTCGCGGAGTTTGGGGGCGCCGGAGTTATGAAGGACGGCGAGTGGGTCCCTGTTGAAGATGTCGGCCGACTAGTATCGTATGGCAGGCTACGTGGTGAGTCGACGAGAATCAAGTTGTGAAATCGACCGTCCGTGGAAGAGACAGCACTGTTGGCTCTTGATCTGGATGGGCGTGAGTACGAGTCTTCATAACTCTGCTGCTCTACTCGAGAGCGATCCATTGCGGAAAAAAGACAAGAAGACATTGATCGGTATCAAGAGACGTAGACGTTGAAGTTGACATACACTGTGCAGCAAGCCCGTTCTCAGTGTTGACTCACGACGAAGAGCAGGTTGTCCGCCTGTAGGTGCAAAGGCTATGTCGAAAGACTTATAAAGATCCAAATTGAAGCTGGTGGATGTGGATGAGACCCATCAATATGGAGAAATAAGAGAAGTTGCAACCTATCTTTGTAACCCTAGCCTTCAAGAGTCTCTCAGCCTCAGCGGTAGACAGGCAGGACATTTGATGCTTATAAATTTAACTGGAGGCAGTACCTCTGTGGAGCTTGAGCAGGCCGGCCTCAACCTTAGGCACCGGGTGCGTGAGGAAAAGGAAACAGACTCCAGGACCTTGGGCTAGTGCTGCTAGTAGACAGTATGTACCTTTGGGTACATGGTCAGGAACCAAGGAAAGATGGGAACCATAACCATAACGGGCAACGGTGGGATCAGATGGTAGCGGGTACATCGCAACCCAAGTTACTGGGGGGGAGGGGTGGAGAGTGACAGGGGAGGGTGGCTGCAGGGAAGAAGGGGGCGTGACAGGACCATGCCTGTCCCGGTGGAGGGGGTTTAGTCTTCCAGACTAGGAAGGGCTAATAACGGGCAGCCGGGGGACACACAACGACGGACAGACGGTGGCGGGATGGCGGGGAGACTGATGAGAGGATCGATAGGCTCCAACATTCTGTGTTTGAGAGGGGACCTGTACTAGCATACCCCAGCAGCAGACAGCTTAATGACATGTTGGCAGGCGAGGACGAGCGCGGATGACAACCGAGGAACAGCATTTTGGTTGACGCGCTTGTTCCGGGCACATACACATACACGAGTATGAGAGAGAGAGGCAAGTGGGGAGTGATAGAACGTGATGAGGCTCGAAAAGATATGAACATGCCAATTTGAGGCGGCAGGTGCGTGGAAAAGCGATACAGGCTATGTGGTAGCCAAGCCATGATTTCTTCAAAATGCTTGTGAATAATTCATCACTGACGAGCGACCAGCCGGCTTGGTAAGCTGGGCTGGGTTGCTGAATGAATCAAAAGCCCGGCCCATAGGGCCCCGCCCTGACTCGAGAGGAACTATGAAAAATGTGTGAGCGCAGACGATGAGTGCAATGTAATATCGAGAGTGTGTCAATGAGATAGCCAGTTCCGGCGTCTGTGGGTCGGTCAGTTGAAAATGGACGAGCGTGGTGTGATTAAAGCTTAACGCAACCAAGCCCGACACGGAGACGGAGAGCAGCTTGGGGTGGGAATTGAGGGGAGCACTCGAGGCGAATGAAGGGAGTGCCTGAGTGCTCGAAATCGTCGAGCTGCGAGAGATTGCTGAAGGATTGACATCCCGGTCTAAAAGCCTGCCGCCTAGCCTGCCTCACTCAATTCGACTAATTTACGCAAGTGAACAGCGGCCGCAAGTCAAGCGACACTTTGCTCGATGATGCAGGTTAGACGGCTTGGCCAACACCCATCCGGCGACAGGCAAAAGAATTGTACGACGGTACGACTGTCGACGTGAGCGTGTAAATGGCGGTTGGTGGCATGGTGACACAAGAAAAGATAAAAAAGAGTTGGGGGTGTGCATTGTGCAGTGTGTTGGTCTGGTTTGGTCGGCAGGTCGGCGGTCGCGCCTGCTTCAAGTGCGCCTGGGATCCTGGTTAGGCGCAGTCTCCTGGAGCCAGAACCGCAATTTCGCGGCTAAGCAGGAGGCGCTTGTGAGTATTCAAGGAAGTATCCTGAACAAGGGCCAAAACAGTATGGGTGATGGAAGACGCTTCCGATGGCAGAACAGGGAATATGCCTGTTTCCTGTCTCCTCATCTGGGTCTAAAATGCAGAAGTACACTAGACTATGCGACCTTGGCGTACACACCCACGCGATGCCCCGGTCGTTCTTTTGGTTGGGATGGCTCTTGAGGGCCCTGGGACACGGTACAGGGACAAAAAACTGTCCGTGAGCGGTTCGCAAGGATGAAGTAATAATATTTGCTGGGATCTGGATTTCCCGTCTCTGAGCACGTATGAAGTAGACGTCAAGGTTGTTGACCGTCACAGGGCTTATTTTCCCTTTTTTTTTTCTCTTTTTTTCTTTTTTTTTCTGGTCAAAGCTAGCCATTCACTCCATTTCTCAAGCTCGACTCCTCCGTCAGTTCACTCAGAGTGTCAAGATAGATTTCGCTGCTCGAAATAGACACAACTAAAGATTTCACTGCCCGGTCCTAATGCCCATTGTCTCTAGTTAGTGGGGTAATTTCCCCAACCTGAAGTAGATACCTAGGGTACGAGGTAGTTTCCTGCGCTTTACCCAATTGGGCAACAGAACCATTTGCGGTAATGGGTGCGAGGCGGCGGCGTGTAAACAATGTCGGAACATACAAGTACACATTTGAGAGTTGTAGGCTCAATATTTTGTCCTTAAATCAACTTGATGGGCGTTGCACCAATGCTCGTCATCATATTGCCGAATGCCAGAATGATTGCATTTGGCCATCTGGACCAGACCCGCACCCTGGCAGTCGGCGAACTCATAAGACTCTGGCCCACAACTTCTCTTCAACCGTCCATGACCGGCCAACAGCGATAGCCGGATTTCTGTGCAGGATTATAAACGACCTCAGCGACGACGGCTCACTTTAACAGCGTATAAAAAGCTAACAAGCTGTTTATAGACCCCTCTTTTGCTGCACTGGCGCGTCTATAGGGCGTGCGCTGGTTTCGTGGGACCCGTATTCCCCGTGTTCGCTACACTGAGGATTGACGATGGCATTCTCAACGATATACGTACCCTAATGCTCATTTCCTGGAGCCGTATTTAGATCGCCTGACGAACATGTGGATTGCCACCCGCTAGATGCCATCCTCCAGTATTGGAAGGTGACTTCTGCCTTTGGAACAACAAATAGAGTAGAAGATCAACTGGTGGGCGATTTGGACGGAAATAGAACCCATCGTGGCTCCTTTGCACTGTTTGGCAATAGGAACGTGCGTTCGGCCAATGGTTGAGGTCTTAATGCTGCTGCCTTGCTCATGGAGTATATACCGTCACAGCAAGGGTATGTAGCCATCCCAATCCTCGTGTAGAGCAGACCATGACCGTCTCTGTGTGCAGGTAGTTTTTAGCGGTGACCGCTGTTCGTTTCTATTTGGTATGTGATGATGTTTCTTCCCAATATTCGAGACACTGTTGTGAGGACCAGGTGTGTTCGGATTGGGGGTGCGGCATCTGGATGCTGGACGGTCCTATAATTTGCGTCTGTTGAATGAAGTGACCTATAGCGCGATGCGCATGATATCTCCGTACAAGGATATTGAAGCAGTCAGGAAGTAGGACCGACGAGTTGCGACGACAAGTCAGTTCAAGAGTCCATCATGGATGGCTGTCAGGCAATACACTGCTTAGCTTGATCCAGGCAAGTGGTCAGCGTCTATTCAGACCAATGCGCGGCACGGGTCGCATACGGCGGATGACTTGGACATGACATGATGCGTCAGCAGATCATTGGTGCGTGATGGCTTTGACTACGAAGAGCGACTGTAGTCGAATGCGACCAGAGTGCATGCGTACATGCAACCCAAACCTGATGGAAGGCCACACACACCTAGCAAGCTGCCCTGGCAACCTGGCAATTTGGCCTGCATCTGGGTTGGAGAACTTTAGAAGCCTCAGGTGTCTCCACGTCGACCCAGATTTGACCGCTCGGCACTGCAGAAGGCCTGATGATTGGAACTCTCCATCAGAGTGTTATGAATGTGGATGCAATGATTCAAGAGTGACGGAGTTCAACGGCATGTTTGCTAGTCCGTGGGTGGAAATGGTATCGTTGAATCCCCCCGAGTATTACCGATTGAGCTCGGAGTTTTGGAAGCTGTAGGCCGGGTCGTCGGTGCCCACCTCGGAAATTCAAGTTATTGATTCGAGGATCTCGTTTGACCCCCTTGCATCCTCGAAGGTATCCATGGATCTGAGCATCCGAGCTTCAAGCTTCCCAGCATTGACAATATTTGGACACTAGCCGTGGAGCACATCTGGCAACATTCACAAACCCGTCCACAGGAAGAAAAGTTTTCCCCCATCGACGCGCAAGCAAAGCTCTCCCAACCCTGAAGACTCCAGAGCCCGCTTACCCAGTAGGGCTGGACGGCTCGCACTCGGCTCAATCATTGCTCACCATGGCATCGCAATTGCGTTCAAGTGGCAATAGGTTAAATGCGCATTGTCACATCAAGTTGACAGGATGCAATAGCTTCGTCGATCGTTGCGCCCACTTGCAGTAGCTACATCTCGCTCCCGCAGCTCGGTACCCTATCATGCCACCGTCCCCCTCAAAGGCTCGCGTCAATGGCCATTCGCCCAACTCCGAAAGCACATCGATTGAGGGTGCCGGGAACGGGGAACGGAGAACGGAGAACGGGCACGGACTTGGGGAGTAAACTAACTGCCGGCTGCACTCCTCCTCTGCGTATCGTAGTGTACAGTAGCAGCGGCGGTTTCATGACCTGTTCACAAACGATATCGTCTTTCAATTCAGAGCATGTAGTTATCACATCGTTCAGTGGCCCAATCAGAGTCCTGAGCTGTCCTGCCAGTCTCGAAGTCAGGCTGTTGTCGCACCGAACCCGAGTAGCTATCCCTGTCCTCCATACACCCGCATTCATGCAAAGACCCAACCTAGTCGGACCTACTTGTACTTGCGCAATGGCGAACGCACCAATGGCGAGGGAAGCCGCGCTTACATGAGTGGTCAGTTAGACGCTGGAACGTACGACACACCCCTGACACCACCTCGAGGCAGTTCTTGGCTTTGGAGAAAACACAGGGGTCCACTGTTAGCTTCACCGACATTTCTGAGTTATACAAAAACGATCTCGCTCTTTGTCGGCCACGTCTCGACCTCTGAAGCTCTGCTGAACACTATTACACCCGGTTTACTGAGACTCCCCGCCAAGCCACTGCTTGCCTCCCGCTTCCCCAGCAGTGGTTTGGTCGTTGTGCCCACATAGAACTGGCGGCCAATCCAGCTTTGTCCATCTCGAACTGGCGGAAGCCAATGTCCATGCCGGAAGCCGGGGCCATTGGAGAAATACAAATCATAGAGCGCCCCTTCTAGACACGCTAGAACCTGCACCACGAACCATCTGGGCAATTGGGCCTGCAAATCTCTTGAGAGTCGACAAAGACATCGACACTGTACGACGGAGTCAGATTCGGTCGGACTCGTGCAGTTCCTCTGATTTGCCCGTCCACGGAGCGACTCTCGCAACTTCCAGATACATCCTAAATTGCGGCCCTCGGAGCCACCTTAACCTCCCATCCTGGTACTGTAGCGCCTTATGGTTCATTCTATAGCTACTACTATAAGGTTTCTACGGGAGCCTGGGAGCTTTCTAGTCCAGGCTGACGGGCTCCAAATCCACCGGGCTGGGCTTCTGTGTCTCGTCACAGTGGTATTGTCGAAAATCGGAATCGTTCGCCGCCGCACCTCTTCGTCATGTGGTCATCAGCTTGATCATCGCTGGCCTGGCGGAATTCCTCAGCCCTGCCTGTCATCAATGGCCCTGCTAGGAAGTTTTGCTAAAGATAGCTCAAGGTCTCCATAATTTCCGCTCTAGACAATCTAGAGTCAACTGGCGTGGCCTGAAGGACCGGCTGGTGCAGTTCCGATAATTTCTCGTCTCTGCTCATCAGCAACCAGGCAAGCGAATGAGATCATCGGGACGGGCATGTTGTTGCCCTTGCTCATCAATAACTAGCGTACAATGTCCCAGACGATCTACTGCGCGTCTTCAAATCTGCAAAATCACTTGAATCAGTAGTGTTGATGCGCGTCTTTAGGTTTCTTCAAATTCGTACCCCCGGGTCTCCAATTACTTTCGTACTTGGTACGTTGCTCCCTACTTCGTCCAGTTAATTGGCCTCGACGGCTGGTTGGCTGGTTCCAAACGACCCAGAATGACGGCGTGAGTCTCCAAGATTTGCTCAGCCACATTCTTAGCGAATGAGAATTCTCAGCGTTATTCCCGCACGACGCTGATTGGGAAAGATCACGCAGCTGTGGTACCTTCCATGCCTCAGTGGAACCGAACGGGTATACCATCGTGTACTTATACCCTTGCCGTTTCCAACTCTGATCCCCGTCGTTGGATGGGAAGTCCCGTTTTTTCAAGGATGCTTTCTCCACGGTCGTCTGCAGAAGTATTCCTGCGGTATGGCCACCTAAGATTGAACCGAATACCTGAGAACCCAACTTGGAAGTGTTCGTTTCCGCCCTCGACCAAGCCGCTATGCATAATTCCTTATAGGTTATATTGAAAAAATAACTCCTTGCCGTTTCTCCTGTTGGGCTTTGGGTGATAGTACAGGTTGCAGATTGTATATCACGTTGTCGGGACATATTACAGGCATCCCTGGTTCGTCCAATCACACCCTCCATGAACCCCTTTTCCAATTCGCTGCCCGTCACCATCTCCACTAGGATAGGTCTTACGTTTCCGGCCCCGCGGATACCTGGTGCCAAAGCCAGGGTTTCGGGATCGAAGTCGATCCAAGCTCTCTTTGTCCCAGAAACAAATACTTAGCATGCTTGGTGTGGTATCGACCGTCTTTGCAGCACAGCAGGGGGTTTCGACAAGTAGCAGGCCTGGACACCCCCGCTTCTCAATCGAACTTCCCTGATAGCAGAAGCGTCAGTTTTCACGGGCAGTCAGCCTCCTATGATCTGCTCCAAATTAGTACCGCCGGCAGAATGCTAGCCAGGGAGCATAGCATAAGCGAATATCTTCATTACGACGTCGTCAAGGTGTCCTAGGCGGGGGTGCTGCTTGACCAAGTGGGGTTTTGATAAGCAAGCCAGCTTTACTTGGGATGTGCTCATCACGTACGAAGTGGTCGACTGTAAGCCATATTCCTGGGTAAATGGGCTAGCGTTCCGCAGATGTGGCTGGTCATGGCAGTGCTGCTCACAATCTTGCAACGGATGCGGGAAGGAGTCGATTGATACTAGTCACCCAGGTAGGGCCAAGCATAGATGATGCGGACTGGGGGTGGCAAGCGTGGTGTAGCGGCAATTTTGTCTCTCGTGTCAGCGTGTGTCAGTTGTGCAGGCGACCACTTACAAGGAACCAGTTAGACGCCGTTCCCGCCACTGCACAGCAGGAGGTGGGCAGCAAAGCCGCAGACGCCGAATCCTTCTTACAGTCGGCAAAATTGGACCTGATGGTCGTGGAATGCCACGAGCAGTCACCGCTGTCGTGCTTGCTCGAGCTGGGGTGGCCGACTGGGTCGTGACCTTTGCCTGTACCTGGCTGCGAACCTGGCGATATAGCTGCGCTCATTGTAAGCCCTGACCCCGAGCCGCACGACTGCCTCTCCTGGCTGTCGGCTTGTGGCCGTGGCGGCAAATTCAGAGCCTGCAATGGCTGCGCAAGCCAAGCCTTGGGTAGCACCACCGTCTGTTGGCCCAATAATAGGCCGCCCGGCGGATGACCATTTATTATCGAAGATTCCCCATGAATAGGCTGCGCGTTTTGGTCTGCAGGCTTCTTTCTAGAAGGTGAGAGGCCAATACGTTGCAACGCTGGTTTCTGCTGTAAGCCACCAACAGTCTTCCATGCGGACCCGACCCTAGATTCAGGTAGACCAATAGCTACTGTTTGCCAACTGCTTTCAGGTGAACCGCAAACTGTTATTCGCCCAACACCACTGTAGATAGGCCAGTAATGAACACGACGATGGCTCTTCTGGTGTGCCTACGCAACATCTGATACATGCAACGAATCAATGAGGTCTGCAACCAGTAAGCGTTGTCTAATTTACCCAAGATTATTCTGGCGCCCACCGCGTCTGAATCACCTGCGGGCCGTCAATGAGACGAGCACTACCGTGGGCCAGTGACCAAGGTCGACTTCACCCCACTGCCCCGAGCGAGCAACTTCATAACGTAAAGCGCCAATCTAGTCTAGGCACAGGAAATGCGGCACGTCTCGCGTCAGGAGCACTTCAAGCAAACTGGGCATCACCAACCCATCACTCGCGTCACATAATCCCCCCACTCCACCAACTAGTCTACGCTCACCGTGCAAGTCAGCTTTGGAAAAAGCCATACCGAAGAAACCGACAGATAGGAGTTCACTTTTTGCAGGTACCCTAGACAAGCATTGCTCTGAGCTACCCTGTTACTTGACATGCCCGTCGCTGGTCGCTCGTTACACAAGGGGTACAGATATCTACTATTGGTTCCAAAACGGGGATGAGCAACTGTGCCGCACGCCTCCCGCGGGAGGCGAATCCGGATTCATGCCCCGAATACAGGTTGTTATTCCTGTGTAAGTAGGGAGGAGCTTGCATACGTCGTCCGACAAGGTGATGTGTGCGAGCAGAGGAGAAAAACAACCACCCTGCAAGCTCGGACCTGGTGGAATTAAGACCGAAGACCGAAGATTCTTGCACCATCCAGACGTACGTACATTCGCAAAGGGGAAGCGTTGCTACATTCCACGATGGAAAGGTGGCATTAGGAGAGTGGCAGGGACAAGAGTAATGCACATGGTCATTGGGAATATCTATGCCCGGTATGAAAGCGAGGAGCAGTACGCAGGAGCGAGGCACGTGTATATTATATTGCAGTGAATATGCGAGAAACCCAGCAACGAGTGTATCTAATACTACAGGGTTACCCGAGGCCATGGCTTGCTCACATGTATGGTTGATGTGATGTAGTTTCGGGGAAAGCAAAAACATCACATGCGAGTCGCTTCCTTCGGCATGAGGAATGCTTCATTGAAAGTATACCAATATTCCAGGGAAAACCCTCGCAATCACCCCTCGAGAGACTGCTGAAGACAACAGCCGAAGTGGTATCTGGTACGTATGACCTACTCATCGGCCAGACCGGCGTGTTCGAGCTCGCAACTTCGAATAGATGAAGTTAAGCTGTCGGCAATAAACAAAACAAAATGAAGTAGTATCGAAGATAATTACTGAAAATTCTCCGATCTATCAAATAACCCGCAATCAGGATTTTTGTGAACATAAATAGCAACTTTCTTGCAGCAGGAACAAGAGGTAGCATCATTTTGTTTCTTAATAACCACTTGCACAACACAGACAGAGGGAGAGGGCCATGTCCATTAATTCTGTTGCCTGATGCTGCGCAAACGGGCAATGCTATCAACAACTAGACTCTCAATGATGTACTTGGGTAGCAGTGGGCTGACTAGCCTGGCTCTCTCTCAGAACGAGATCTAATGTTAGTAACACTGATACCCCCAGCAACAAGGACAACAACAGATCGAGAGTGGAACGGAAAGGAAGGAACCCATCTCTCTTTCTTCCCTGCTAGACTGGACTTGGCTTGAACGGATAACACATGGCAAGCAGCCAAAGAAAAACCGGACAACCGCCCCGCGTAATGAATGCTGGCTGGCGAGCTCGTTTTCTACCAAAAAGACGCAACCTTTTTAGTCTCTTCACATATTACATCATCATCCCGGTCCAAGAAGAAGTGCACTCAAGTTACCCAAAGTAGTATTAGTTGAAGTTTACTCGACCGGAACAGAAGCAGGGGTTCTTCCTTCTACAACACCCACCCTTTGTTACGCACACTACTTCTGGTTCTGCATGAGAACGTGGGAAGCTAAAGAACACCATCTCGTACGAAACGGGGCCACCCTCCCGGAATCGGGGGGGGGGGGGGGCGGGCTGTGGGATGGATTGGATAGATGACATGGACTGGCCAGATGGTGGGCAGTGTGATAATCCATGGATACCACCTTGCCCAGGCTCTCCACAACCAATTACATCGTTACGGCAAGGCACATTTTTCGAAAGGCTGCAGAAGAGAGAAAAAAGTCAAATGTAAAACAAGCGCCAATGCACCTCGGGGATATCATTTTGAAAAAAATAAAGAAAAACAGCCACTGTCTCAACCCTAGCCTGGAAAGAACATGTATGTGTGTGATCTGGTACGGTAGGTTCCTTTGTGCTCCCCACCATCTCGAGTGGTGGCATTGATCCAGTCAAAGTACCTGCTAGGAGCTTGTGTTCCCGTTGCCGCCTTCCAATAAATCGAAAAATCCCCCCCTCCCCCCCAAAATATATATATATATATATATATATATATATGTATATAATCCGTACACATACGCCCCCCACCCCCTTTCTAGATGGCCGTTAAGCTGAAACGCGGTAAATATGTAGTTGAAGAGAAAAGGACCAGAAGATAAATGTGATGTGATGATGGGCAGTGTTCTTTTGGTTCTGGCCCCCAAATGAAGTTGCCGCAATACCCACTCACAGCTTGCCATGTCTCGCCTTAAATATCGCCACCTTGTCATCATAAAAAAGGATTTCACGAAGTCGGAGCTTAGGCGATGATTGGCTGTTCTCCGGTTCAAGAAACGAGTCGGGTTCTGACTCGGCATCGTCAGACACTTCGTTGAAGTCGTCCTCAGCGTCTGTGGCTGGACTACCGTTTGTGCCCGCGTCGTCATCCTCCGTCTCCTCGTCTGCATCACTGTGATCATTTTCGCCATCGTCATCTTCATCATCGACGTCGATAACCGAGATGGCCCCTGTATTGTGATGGTGATGGCCGTTCAGTCCAAACTGGTCAGAGCCGCCCCCTGTTACGTCTGACGGCCGCGCCTCCAGTATCTCGAAACACTTAGTTCCAATACCCACGTAGCACAACTGAATCTCCGGACGCAGTGTGATGATGTCAACCAGTTGTAACGCCAGTTCTTTCGGCTCAAACGTTCCGACGATATGATCTTGTATATGCGGGATGAACAGTGACCGCAGCTGGGGGATGTTGGGTAGTCTTTGAAGGAAGGGGTGCTGTGGTTCTATTGTTAGTCTACGAATACAGAACATCACCGTCGTCAAGATGCGTAGTCCGTCGTGGTGACGGACATGGTAGCTACTTACCCAGTCTCTGTAGTGAACAGCCACGGCCAACTCCTTCAGATTTCCAAAGCGGCCGCTAGTAAGATAAGCAACCATATTGCTCGTGAGAACCCAATGTTGCCAGCGAGTCTCCTCAGTGGCCGCAGCCCGTTCCAATTTGTCGTTGCTGTCGATCAGAAGTTTCTTCAGGCTCGAACGATGTCGTTTTAGAGCCCCTTTGAATATTTGCTCGATTGTAACCAGGGGAGGCGGTGATCTACGGCGATCCTGCAAGAACAATACCTCGAGCGTATTTGGCGCAAGCGTCTCCTTGATGAAGCTTATGAGAGAGTGCGTCGTGGCATCGGTGTGTATCTTTTTTAGCGCCATGTGGTATTGCACAGGCGTCCCAGGAGCAGAGCCACACGGTGGAGGAGTTGGCTGAAAGTGTCTCTTGAGAATCTTCCATAAACTTTCGTGATGAACACACTCAAGGATGGTCAAGTTGGTTAGGACAGACCAGTCGAATGCTCTGCAGCAGACCGGCATGGAAAGGGCTATTCTTTCCAATTCCAACGTATGAAGCCTCAGCTTTCCTTCCAAACGCTTTCTTCCATTGTAAGAGCTATGCAGCATCTTGCCATTTTGGCTATATCTTGAGCCTGACGCCAGTCCCCCAGAAGCCGAGGACGAGGCAGAGTTTCCTTGTGATTTGGGGAAGCCATTGATTTCGGCATGGGCATTCTCTGACGCAGAGCCATTAGTATATGTTGCACCATTTGCCGAGGGCTGCGAGTTATAAGTCGTGTCATTCGGGAAACTGCCAACTTGATTTGGTGTCCAGTTAGAACCAGACTCTCTCCGTTTGGATCTTGAACGGCCTTTCTGGCGTATCTCGTATACTCTGCCTACGAGCACGCCCAGCACCCCGCCCAATCTTTTGTATCCGATCCGGCTCTCGCCCGGCCATCGGGCGCTCAAGTCGACTTGTTGCAAGTTATCTCCTTCCAAGATGCGTACGAAGTCCTGAGCATGAGCCTTCTGTGACACTCCCACACGGAGTTCTTGCAGCGTCTTTTTGGATCGTTCAATCAGTACTGACATCTCATCTAGATATGCAAGTTCGTCCACGTCAAGAACGGTAAGACTTTTGAGAGGGGGTAGGACGCTAAAGGTTGGAAACTCGACTTGGCTGTCTGAGTATTTGGGAGGCGGGGCTAGTGCTGCATGTGAATGGATGGCGGGTGGGATCACGATAGGATTTAGATGGTTGATGGGAGGAACAGCAGGAATAGCTGGATGCACAGCAGGACTGGAAGCCGCCGAGGATACGGTGCCACCCGTGTCTGAGTTGTCATGCCAGCGAATCCACACCTTTTCGAGCTTAGGTTCACCGTCGGCGTAGTGATCTTGAAGAGATGCAAGAGCCATGAACACATCCGACAGAACTCCGGTTGGCATGTCCCAAACGAAGGTTTCCAAGTTCAGCATTTTGGCAACCGCCAAAGCCACCAATGTGCCCAGCATCTTCCCGCTCTCTTTCGTGATGTTATACTCAGCGACCCAATCCGTCGGTCCATTGCCCAGAGAGAACTTCCTAGTGTACTTGGCATACTGATTATCCACCAACCGCTGGGAAGGAAGGGCAGAGTAGTCCACGGTGCCGCCTTTTAGCCACCTCGTCCTTTGGGCAAACTTGCTACCCAGGCACAAGGTCGAGAGCCCGTATGTGAGTGCATCAACACTTTTAGAGTCGGACGCCGTCATGGTGGAGTCGGGCCATACGATGTCAAAGCGAGCGTAGATATGGGGAACCGAGAGGTTGTAGAGCGTCGAATTGGTCAAGGCAAGTGAAGTCAGGTCATTGGTATGGGTGATCTAGACGCGCAACTTTAGTCAGCAACGTCTCTTAAGGGATGGGACCGACTGCTTATCGCATCAACTGATTCATGGGTTGCCTACCTCCTTGACAATCAACCTCAAGATGTCGACCGGCAGATCCAAAAGATGAAGCGGTCCCATCTTGCTCCGAACTGCCATCCACTCGCGCTCCTTGCCCTTCAACAGTCTAGACAGGGACGGTACTGGTTGCTTGGATGGACTCTCCACTACAGGTTCCATGGACAAGTCACCGTTCTCTGCTTTGGTTTGCGAATGCAGAGCAGGCGGCTCCTTGGAGAAGCTCGAATCAGTGCTGTTTGCCATGGGACGGTGGCATTGAACTATCCCAACTGCAAACTGCAGGTGCTTGATCCGGGGAGGTCGAAAGGGAATGAGGAGGAGCTATCACTAGGGTCCGGACGTGATTATAGTTATGTATAAATGCGCATAGGGCGGACAACGAATTGCGTAGACCAGAGCGATCTTTCTGAGCCTGTGAAGATAGGTTGTTTGTGTGCAATATGCCAAACTTAGTTGAGGCTCTGCAAGGTGGTTACTTTCTTGACGGTGCCTCGATGGGCCGCAGGCCAGGCCTTGTCGCACGGGCTCGTCGCTTGGGGATTGGATTTGTAAATTTAGATGCGCCTCAAGTGCCACAGCTTCGGATTATTTAGATGATGGCAACGTGAAGCAATGATTTGATGAGGAATTCACTGCAGAGAAGATATATCAGTGCCTCTATACAGATCGTTATAAGTTGAAGAGTATCTCAAGTTCAGAGTCTGAGCTGCTGAACTTGAACGGTGGTGAGTGAGCTAGCTCCAAAAGCTCCAGTTCATCGTCAATCATTTAGTAGGGATGGGTCTTCCGGAGAGATTGATCTTAGCGTCGTAGACTTGGGGGAATAGCCGACATCCCCACACATGCACTCGTTGGTCAGACAAAGTCTTCCAAGCAAGCAGTCGAAAGCCTCACCAATATGACACTTATGAAAAATAAAACTCATTTTTATGCTTAGCTGTTCAATTAAGTGCCCGAGCAGCAAGAAGAACATAGATGAAGCACATAGTTGGTCACGAGTACTTGTTCCTGTCAATGCCAAGCCGACGATGGAAGGCGCCAACCGAGCACCTGTCGGTAGTTAAAAGACGAAGACTCTGCTTACCCTTATTGAAGTACATTGATGAGGAACCAAAATTTCCGGCGCATTGAAGGTTCACTGGCCATACTGTGTACTACTATAGTAGCTCTGATATTGAGGATCGCATCTTCAGTAAGAATATCAATATTTACCCCGATATTTTGGAGAGCACCAGAATATTTCACAGAGATATAACTGCTTGAAATGTTGTCTAAGTTCTTGAATTTCTAGCTCAGGCAGCGCTGCAGATCAAGTATCTCAACTACAATTCCACTACTGTCTTATGACCCAGCTGGATATCATCACAAGTCACAAGATGCATCAGCTGCCATTTGAGTTGAGACGTTCAAGCAAGTTCTTTTCTTGCATTTCTTCCTTCTTAACAGAGCCGTGATCCACTTTGATAACCAACAACATCCTGTCTTGTTTATTTTGAACAATGCATATTCGTGATTCGGCCTACCTTTGTGTGCGTGTGTAAAAAAGGAATAAGCCATCGCTGGAACGACGTCGTACTAGAAAAGTACTCACAAAGGCGACTCGCATCTTGCTCGGGTCCATCAATTTCAGGGTCTTTTCTTTGACGGTTCCTTCCGCCCCTCCCAAATAAACTGCCCCGCTTGTTTATCATTCTCGCGGCTGCTGTTGCAAATTGGCAGCAATAATTTTGTCCTTCCAATCCATCATTGCCTAACAACACCTGGCCTTAGATAAGGTTAGTCCAAGAGGTTCGCTGTCCCTTGCACAAGGTTTAGCTGTCTTCTTGTCACCACTGCGACAGCTTCTTGCTGCCTTTTCTGGGGAGTTCTTAAGCAAGCCCGCTCCTCCAGCTCAGCTTGACCCAACCAAGCAACAAACGTCATCGCCCAGTTGGTCACTAAAATCCAGAAGCTTACCTTACCGACTGTACCCAACAGCCAGATAGCATCCCGTCGCAAAAATTCCATCGTTGTCGCATCACATTTCCAGCGACCTTAAAGTATCATCACTCGCCATGGCGTCCTTTGTCGAGGAACTGTGGAACTCCATCTTTACTCCCGGCACCACGCCGACCCTCCTGATTGCGACCAACGCCACCTTCGCCTGTCTGCAGCTCGTCCTCCTGCTCCTCCTTGTCGCGACCTCGAGCATCCACTTTATCATCCTCTCGGCCCTGTGCGGTGGTCTGTGGTTCGCGATCAACTGGTTCGCGGTGGAGCTGAAGAAGGAACAGGCCAGAGAGGAGGAAGAGAAGGCAAAGGCGGACACGATAGCCCGGCAAACGGCGGACGACAGCGATGAGACCGAGGTAGAGACCGTGGAGGGCAAGGCGAAACCCTTGGTGCGGCCCGTGACGGCGAGCAAGGAGGTCGAGGTCGTGGAGCCGGCGGGCGAGTTGAAGTTAAGGGCTGAGGCGTCGCCTGGGACCAAGTCCGGCGTGAGCACGGAGGATGAATGGGAAAAAGTCTCGGAGAACGAAAATGAGAAGGACAAGTGATACTCGCAGGGATATCACAGGTTGTAGACGAGTTAGGATGAGATACGAATGTTTGTGGTTTTGCGGTTATTGATATTTTAATACCTCCGATGCTTGGGCTTCCAGCGATCTAGCCGCAATCGACCACCATTTCAGCATCGAGACTGAAGCAGGATCATCGTTGCAAAGACTGTGTTTTATGAATCGTTCGCTTTTGGTGGAGAGCATGTTGAAAGCTCGAAGTCCACCGGTTCTCTTGCCACGCATGCTCTTAGCACAAACCCGACAAAGACAAAACGGACAGGACAGCATTCAACTCACCGTCAAACTTGACTTTACCTTCATCAAGGATATTGTGATTGTGATACTGTTCCAGGGGTTGGCCAGAATTACGGGAGAAAACTTACATGAAAGTGGTAGGTACCTTGGTCAAGATCTCTTGATAGTCCAACATGTCGCGCTCAAATATGTATTCCACCAGGAAATAGATCTTTCAAATTACTACTACCTTGGTTCGAAGGAAGTAGGCTGTTCATGAATTCATGCGTGACAACAGCATTCCGTTATACTCTTCTGGGTTGATAGTCCAATCGTTACACAGCATCAAAGTCTACTTTGGAGACCCCAAATCAAACCACTTGAAGTCAAATTATGGCTGGTACTGCGCTGTGGCGGTGGTCGGTGTGGCTGACCCAATCGCTGAGCTTGGGACGACGGCCGACCGCTGCCTCGTCCAAAGAAGGTATCTCTCGAAATATTTCAGTTCAGGAGCTCTCGCATCTCGATTCGCGCGACCTGTCAAGCCAAATACGCGCAACATAAACACACCGAGAAACGTATTCCTACAGTCGGCGTTTGCCAAATCCGTCAAGATGAAGCTCGTCCGGTAAGCTTGTCCTCTTCATCCCCAGCGCGGCGCACAATCTGTGCTAAACTCTACTGCTTTCCCGAATTAAGGCCCCGCGAGCTGATCGTTCTTCACCTGACAGATTCCTGATGAAATGCGCCAACGAGACGGTGACCATTGAGCTGAAGAATGGTAAGCAAACCTTTCCCATATTCCATCTCCATTGAGTGTACACAAGACCAGTCGTTGATGTGCGGTCGGTTCCTAGGCACCATCGTCCACGGCACCATCACATCAGTCTCACCTCAGATGAACACGGCGCTGCGCACGGTCAAGATGACGGTTCGCAGCCAGGACCCCCTCTCACTCGACACGATGAACATCCGCGGCTCCACGATTCGCTACTTTGTCCTGCCAGACTCTCTGCCGCTCGACACGCTGCTCATCGACGACTCGGTCAAGCCCAAGAACAAGGCTCGCAAGGAGGTGGCCGACAAGGCTGGCGGTAGAGGCGGTGGGCCTAGAGGACGTGGTCGGGGTAGGGGTGGAGGCGGCGGCCGCGGAGGTGGTGGACGTGGGTTCGGACGAGGCAGGCCGTGAGAGATGAGTACTTGAATGAGGGGGGATGAGTGGCTTGAGGAAGAAAACCTGGGAGATAAGAGAGGACAATGTGTGTTCATACGTCGAATGAACATGGGGAAGCAATATAATGAACCGGCTCTCTCTGCATATCATGTAAGTAAATGCAGGTCGTTGCTGCACCTCCCCGGCAAGGGTGACTTCGACGGCGTTGAAGGGCACGAGAAGACCTCAAAACGCTGGAAACCACAGGCAGCTGGTATGGCTTCTCTACACCAAGATCCCACGTTCATATCGGGCGAAATGGATAGCTCGTTGACGAAAAGTACAAGGTCGATGGATTAGACAAACAACAAGAAACCTGTCTACTTGACTGCCTGCCTCCTACTCCCTCCAGACTCTAATGATCTGCAACTTCTCCCAGCCAGCCTGCTTTCCACTCGACCCCACCATATCGACCCTCCACTGATCCCCAAAGCCGCGAATGCGGTGCTTCACCTCCTCAGGTTTATTCTGCGCGCAGAGCAGCACGTACGCGCACCCCTTCGGTGAAAGAACCCGGGGCAGACTCTCAATCAACCGATCCGTGATCTCCATCCCATCCACCCCTCCCGCATACGATAGCGACAACAGGTATGAATCATCCTGAAAACTCGGGTTCGCCACCGAAGTCACCATATCCGTAGCAGTGGGCCACCGCGGCAGCTCCGGCGTCGGCACATACGGCGGGTTGAAGATCAGCACGTCGACCGCTCCATCCCTTAGCGGCGCAACAAGATCCCCCTGTGCCGTGCCCAGGTACGTGCCGTGGGTGCTGGCGTGTTCGGATGCAGCTTTGCCGACGGTGGTGTTTGTTGCCGCGCAGGCGTAGCTGTTCACGTCGATGGCGGCCGTGAGGATTTCTCGGGTGCCAAAGAGGAGTTGCGCATGGGCGTTGGCGAAGGCGATGACCACGCCAGAGCCGGGGCCGATTTCGAGGACCAATGGCAGGGGCTCATTGCGGAAACGGGAGGTTAGAAAGGCCGTTTCGCGGGGGGTGGAGAGAGTATCCAAGAGGAGAAATGAATCTTCTGCTGGCTCGTATATTCGCTCGTACGAGACGTGGGAGGTGTCTGGTGTGGGGAGCATCAGGACGTTTGGGAGATGCTAAACCTGGTCGGTTGATGATGGTGAACAGGTTGATGATGCATTCAAATTTCAGGCCCGATTGCAATCCATTGAAATGGAGTTTGGGGCACGTGATTGAGCAGCATGACCTTCAAGGGTCAGGAATGAGTTTGATTCCGGCAAGACTAGCAACGACTCTGTACCGCGCAAAAGCAGAGTGTATGCCAGCATGCTTGACGACGACCAACCCGCGGTTGAAAATATCTTATCATTTCCCAAAGCCTGTGGCGTTGATGTCCCCAACCCCTGGTCGGTACGCCTACTTCTCCATGTCCAACACACATTATCAGAAGCCCTACGTCTTCTTTCTAATTACCGTTCCTCAAACCACCCTTCGGCCACCTGAAGAGAAGCGTCGCAGAACTTTCAGATCTTCCCCCACAGGTAGCCGCTGCATTCAACAACAGAAGAAGGTAGGATATATATATATACTTCCTCCAAGCTGCTCCAAACCCGAGTCCGTCACCCTCCTATCTCACACCAAATACCAAGTTACCATCCAGTATGTTTGCTCCTCCCTTCACATTACCACACACTCCACCCCTGGATCATCCTTACAAGGTCCCAGGCCCCATCGCCACTTATTCTTAATATCGATGATCATCCGGACGTAGTTCTTGTCGTACATCCCCGGGTGTGCGCATGCCGGACACATGCCCTCCCAAACAAACTCGTCCGATGGTTCCCGTGCAACGCCGTTGCCGAATGTGTCACAGGTGTTGAAGCCCATTTCGGGGTAGCAGGGGCGTGCGATCTGCAGCCAGTGATGGCCGCAGTTGCGAGAGCGGTGGTGGGTTGTTAGGCACATTTTGCTTTTCTTGTCTCGCGTTTGTCAAGTGCAAGTAGATTGAGAAGATAAGAGGAACAAATGAAGTTATTTTTGGGTGGTGGGTTGTTGGGTGTTCATTATTTAGATTGGGCTATCGGTAGTGTCACGCTGGGAAGAATAACATTGTTGTAGCTGCTGCGGGATCTGTGAAGGGACAAGTGGCGCCCGATGAGAAAGGTGAAGAAGGTGATGGCCAGGCCGTAGATGGCTTGCCACAGATGCAAACTGCGCCTAGGACTGAGCAGGCGAACTCAGACTGCATGGTAGACAGTGAATCACCCATGGGTGACCGAATATTAAGGCTTTGTTGGCGCCGGTGGCCGGAGGAGTCACAGTCGCTGACGAAGAAAATGGACCCTGTAGAGACCTGGGTCGATTACAATCGATAGGATAGACACCGAACCATAAGAATTACTGGCAAAGCTTTGCATATGGAGACTGCATAGTGAGCAAAGATGGAGTGGCTGGTGTATGGATGACTTAAAGCATGGCATTCCAACCTCCACGTGCGTGAAGGGGAAGGCAAGAAGTCACTGATCAACGTGGGAAAGAGCAGAAGATCACATCTTCAACTTGTTTGGGAAGGCGCGATAGAGGAGCACTAAGGAAGGGGAATAATACAAACTGTACATGATGTTGACATACTTAAAACCATCCGTCCCAGCCACAAACTGGACTCAAGCCAAAGTCACTATATAGATTGTGGTAAAAATCTCCATTGATGGCCGATACCGACTTGTGCCAAGCAGTCTATTGATGATGGCTGCGTAAGGGAATGTCTGTATAAAAGACCTTCACACACAAATTCTATGTACTCAAACATCAGGATCCCTATCCAGAACCTGTGTGGTATCAAATCTCTATACTTGTACTTTGTCCATTCTAGTCTCCCATACATATCGTGCTCAACTCCAGACAACCAAAACCCTCTACTCGGCTATCTCAGTTCTATCCAATTCCCCTATCGTCCCACTCAAATCCACATCACCCGCCCTCATCTCCTCATCTTCCAAAGCTCCTTCATCATCTTCAGCCCCAGTGAGTTTCTGCAACATCTCCTCGATCCTCCCCGTTGTCTGCTCCAGCGAATCCAGCCGGCTGCTTAGTTCTCCAAATTCTGACGACTCATTCAGGATACTGCGGACTTGTTCCGTCAATTCTGCGTACGGCGCCATCGAGTCCCGCCTTGCAGGACGCTTGATCTCTGGGTTCTCTACTCGCTTCTTGTGGTTACCGTTATCCAGCTGCTTACTGTTGCCACCGTCCTCATCGCTGCTGGGCTCTTGACGGATGGTCGGCCTCACGCGAGGTACATGTGGTGTACTGGGTTGGCGCACAAACTGTTTTCTGATCATGTGGTGCGTGAGCTCGTCATCGACGGCAATGTCGTCCTCCACTGAATCCGGCGGTGTAATCTCGAACACGGTTTGCATATCGCTGTGTGTGGTGATCCTCCATTTCTCCCAGAACCAGCCCCGGGTGCGACTTGGCAACCGAGTCGAGCTGGGCCGAAGCAGACGCCGCTCTGCGATGGCAATGATGAGCAAGACGGGCAGGTTGATGGCGCGAACTGACGCAACATGGATTTTGTGGAACCAGCGAGCGCTGACGAAAAACTTCATAGGGAGTAGTACAAAGATGGCGAGAATATTGAACGGAGGCTGATAGGCGAATATTGCATCGCTCTTCACTCCCTCGAGTGTCAGGACCGCGCGGCGGAACTGGATCTCTGCTGTTGCGTCGGACACAATCGTGCTGAACGTGTTTGACAACATCGATACCAGGATCGTCAGGAATAGGGTGTTTCCGAGGAACGCAAACATGATCATCAGCGTTGGCCCAAGAAGCCAGTGAAAATCAGGCTTGAAAGTTGTATCAGCACCAGTGTCGTCAAATGGAGTTTTCCGTACTTACTGATTGGTCTACACCCGTGCCGTCGAGACCAAACCAAATCCACAGCATCCATTTACTAATGGTTCTGGTCTCATATTAGTCAAGATTCATGGCGTGTGCATGTAACACAATTGTATGACTCACAGGAAGTCATGACGCCCTTCGGCCAGCCATACCATGGATAGCAAAAATCCACAAAAGCACCACGCTGCAAGGAACGTGAGCAATGTGAAGTCTGCCACCATTGAACGAAGAGAAAGAAAAACGAGGTTGTCGGACAGCAAGTTAAATGCGAGGCGAGGAACGAGGACCGGGGCCCCCATAGCCAAAATGTTCAAGGCCTGCTGGCCGGGTCCAACGTCACCAATCTTCCATCCGTAGACTCTCGGGATCAAGTATCCCCAGTATACAAGAGCAAACATGACGTCCAAGAAGGACCACAGGTTCTGGGTGTAGACGTCCCTGTGCAGCATTGTCAGCAAGTGATGAGATCCAAGTAACCAGTAAGCTCACCATCCATGTTCGAGTATAGTGGCAAACTGATCCAGAACCCATCCGAAGGCATATACAGCAAACGCAGCTTCCCGTATACTTATACGTGCCGGATCACGATCGGTCATGAACATCAAGTAAAGTGTTAGCAGAATGACGAATTGAATAACCTCAAGTAAGTTTCTTGTACGGGGTACAATCAACCGATACTGGTTGAGAAGAGGCGCGCCCCTGGGCTCATACAGCGCGATGGGCTTCTGTTTATAACGGTCCGGGATGAGATCCAAGAAACTTGAAGGAGTATAGACGATTTGGCCATTGTAGATTGCATCAATCCTATTAGGAATGTCAATGATCACAAGACCACCGGAGGAGTGCGGTGCAACTCACACTTTCTGACAGTGCGTGGAACTCAAGAGATACTTGCTCTCGCTAATGATGGCAACTTCCAAAGCGGGTACATTCCTGTGGTAGTCGAATGTCGACGATAGTGCAGCTTCCCGACGGACTTCCTCTGGGGCATTCTGAAAGGGTTCGAAGCCGGCAACGAGTATATTTGCGAGTAGCAGTACACCCTGCGGACCAGGGTTATCCTCAGCGAAGCGTCTTAAGATGCGAGTCGCGACAACTTCGCAAAGCGTAGCGCGTGTGAAATGAACATTCTGGCGGTTATTTAAATGTGCCTGCTCGTGGAGGAAATGAGCACGGTTGACAAGCAAGCAGTAGACTAGGGTTGTGTTAGCAATAGTGTCAATCAAAGCTGTGGTCGTCACTCAGTTTTAGTCCGAGGACAGTTGATGCTAGCATGTAAGTGCGTGGAGTCGCCAATGCAGGCGAGCGTACCAATAGAAATGTCATCCTGCTCATAAAGCTTGTCCACCAGCGGACGGACAACGGCAATATTAAGTCGTAGATCCCTCAGCTGCTCAAACGTCAGGAAGTCTTCAACGATAGAGATGACATCTCTACGTATCCGGTGTATAGTCGTATAAACGGGCAGATGGGCGTGCGGATTGGGGCAGCCGAAAAATGGCTCGCCGTCCATGATATGGCTGTAGTGGGACTGTACGATCAGAGGTCGCCGTTCTGCCTCGGAAGGTTCCTCAACTCGAATGCGTATGTCACAACGATCCGGCATCTTGACTCTCGAGGACGGCAACTTCTGGGAATAAAAGTGCAGGCTAGTTACTTATCACAGAGGTTATTAATGAGGCATAAAAGTTGGGCGGGAGAGAGACAGGGAAGCTTGATCTTGATACTGCGTCTAGCTGGCGATAACCAACCTGGCCAATCATACAATGCGTTGTGCCAATAAGAACTTGCATCAAGTTGGGGAGAAAGGTGATTATGGACCCAAGATTGCTTGTCGAAAAGCGGTGACCATGGAAGCCTGGTGGATTCCAGGAAACTTTCAAAGGACGAGAATACTTTCTTCTTTCACCGGGGCTTTTTTGGTGGGTTGAAGTGTGCAAAAATTGAGTTTCCCGGCTACTCATCATGGGGTGAAGTCTAAAGCACAACTATTGGCATACAAGTAGCCATTTTGAAAGTGAAGTAAGTGTCTATAGAGAAAGTACTAAACAGACTCGAGGACCGCATTTCTGGACCACGGATTTAGCGTAATCAGGTGCAATACCCCAGCATCGCATCAGGGAATTGCGACAGTGCGCCGACTCTCCTTCACATTTCAATGGATGCTGCCGCAATTCTGACGTCAAAAATTGCTAAAATCGAGAGGTCTTAGCTCCAGCTCTAGTTCCAGTTTCAGCCCCTCACCCCTGCCTCAGGCATGTATACCTGCATGAAACCGTATCCGAAAATCTGAGATGCCGGCACTACCTGGGCAAAGTGAAATCTCACCGCCCACCCGGAGCCGAAAGCATTCATCCGGCAATTTTGCTAGGCCGTGACTTCGCAGTCGTAACGGCATCGATAATGCCATGGCCATTCAGCTCCAGGCCGGCAAAGGGGGACGACCCTGACCGGCGTCCCGTCTCTTGGTCCAACAACCTCAATGGTACCGACTGGCAGCACTTCAAGGACCCACGCAACTGGGTACCAACTGTATTGGTGACGACGACAGTCATCGTATCCTTACAGCTATACCGGTCGTATCTGCGCCGGATACCGGGTGCCATACATATCCAACCGGCTTTCTTTCGAGAGCGAACCATATTCGGCAAAGTCACTAGTGTCGGCGATGGGGACAACTTCCACTTGTTTCACACTCCCGGCGGACGCTTGACTGGCTGGGGCTGGCTACGAAAAGTTCCAGAAAAGAAGACGGAACTAAGAAACAAGACGGTCGGTATTTCCTGCCCGCCATCGACAGCAGGGGCCAGACTGACGATATCGAATTAGATTCCCATCCGTCTCGCCGGTATTGATGCACCCGAATGTGCTCACTTCGGCCGTCCCGCCCAGCCCTTCTCGACGGATGCACTCGCATGGCTATCTAGTTATATTCTCGGCCGACGAGTGCGCGCTAAGATCTACAAGCGTGATCAATATGACAGAATAGTGGCCACAGTTTTCGTCCGACGTTTCCTACTCCGCCGGGACGTTGGACTCGAGATGCTGAAGATGGGTCTGGCCACGACATACGAGGCAAAGACCGGCGCCGAGTTTGGTGGTCTGGAGGCAAAGTACAAGGCTGCGGAGGCGGAGGCGAAAACAAAGAAGCGAGGCATCTGGGGAGGCAAACCACAATTCTTTGAGAGTCCCCGCGACTACAAGAAGCGCATGAGCGCTCTGGAAGGAACGCAGAACAAAGTTGAGCCTTAATGGGATGTGGGGGGATATTTTCACTCCAGGTACACACTTATTCATGTACGACGGTCTTGCGCGGCGTGCCCAGCTGATCGCCTCCGGGTGTCCCTAGGCCACATGAATCTGGTCGCGATCTTATTCGCATGGGTTCAGCAAACATGCCGAGGCGTAATGGCATCCGTAAGAGACCATACGCAACCGTCATTGTATAAAGTGCAGATGGTAAGGGCCTCACTATGGCAGCCAGTCAGGCTGAAAGCTCGGCCAAGGATCAGTTCGGCATACTATGGTGATGTGAGACGAGAAACGTTCTGGTTGACAAAAGAGCATGGTGGAACGAATGATTGATCAGCAGAACGCAGCTGACTGTGCTGAATCGCTGTAGACCCGTACGAGGAAAGCTGGAGGTTAGCTTAACGCAGTAATGAATATTCAAGATTTGTACTTAAGCATAAACATCAAGTGCATTGTATACAATTCTGCTGCAACAAAGATGATGCAAGCTGTTGCTACAAGGGCAACGTCACGCAAGGTGTACTCGTCTATTTCACCATTTGACAGTCAGTCCTTGACTACGTAGATGAGATGACATATTGAATACTTTAAAACGGTTGAAAAGCCTTGTGCAGACGCATTCGCTGTGAATAGCAATCCGTCACCGGAATATTGAACTTGTGTCATAACAGGAATGAAGGATCATCATTCCAAGCCCAACCAACTATTACTGGAGAATCTAGAACAGGGGCATCGAGTAAGAAGATGGTAAAGAAACAACTTAAGCTTTGTTTACAATAAAGCCCAGGCAACTAAGATAATCCATCAAATCAGGACGATGAAAATCCGCTCCTTGGAGAATTACTTATTGAATCATGCAAGCCGAGGTCAAGTCAAGACAGACCAGTTGAGTTTAGACGTTGCAAGTTAGAGACCCCTGTTGCTGTAGCGTCCCCCTAGCCCGTTGTACAACCCGCTCCAACGATGACACTGAGCCAGTTACAGCCTAGACATGCAGGCGGACCTCTTCGGCAAACCAAACCCCCTTAACTGCCACATGGATCGTGCGCGAATTCTTGCTTCTCGTGGGGGGTCTTGTCGAGAAGCTCTCTTTCTTGTAGTTTGCGACGCGTAAAATCATATCCAATCTGGATATCGTCACTCTTTTACCAAAATTTCTAGACAGCAAACAAGAGGTGGTCAGGAATCTATCGCACTACTTGTCGTCTGATCGCCTTGTGGCATCATTTTTTTTCTTTTACCATCTTCCAGTCACTCTTTTCCGGCAGCCCGACCAGTCTCGGCCTTCCGTGCCCCTGATCTGAGACCACCAACCATCTCAAACGAACGAGAGATCTTGCAAACCAAGAATCGCGCCAGGTTGATCAATACTCGTCACAACTTCAGGGGAAATCTATTGCCCTCCACATTCGTTTCCAAACCATACTTCAAACACCAGAACAGAGTCGCTGCATAAGCAACCATTGCCGGGCGTCAAACCAGAGGAACCAACCTGCCGATTTATCAATAGAGTTGCAGATTCAAAATTGTGCACGGTCTGCACAACGTGATACCATATTGTCGCACTTTGATACAGGTGAGTGACGGATGATTTCCTGAAATATTTTGTTACCGCCTCCAGAGTGCAATAGGTCGCGAGAGCCTCGTAGCACTGGACAATACTTCATTTCATTTTCCCTTGCGCACCGCCTTGATGTGACACCAAAGGACGGGTGGGACGACTTTGTCATCCATAATTTCAATCTCGGCTTCACGCGCACCGACCCAGTCACTAATTTGCCCAACTAGGCGTAGCCTTCGGCCATCTCGACGTCGTCGAAGTATTGCAAAGGTCAATCAATCTCAGAAAGCAGGAACGCTGCCAATCACGGTCGCACATGCGAGCAGCAGCAAGAAGAAGAGACACCTCTACCCAGCCAGCGCAGAGCCTGCGAGCTAGCACTGCCTAACCCAGTGGACATACGCATAAAATTGGGGGTTGCATCCATTCGTTCGTCGCTGTCCAGTCGGTTGAACGTGTCCGGATTAGACCGGCCAAGGCTCATCTCCACATTGACAACGGGCCCCACGGACCTCATCTCCCCGTCCTGCTCTAGCTTCCAATCCAGAGCGAACTTCAACTGTTGACACCAGACGGATCCAACTTTATCTATTCTGCAGGTACGAACAACAAAAAACACATCTGCACCTCAAAGAATCGTCTGGTCGTCTCAGGATTTCTAATACCAAGCCTACCAGTAATCCTCGTTCACCGGCGCCGATACCGTACAATCATTCCTTTCATTTCGGGCACTCATTCGAGTGCAAACGACGTCAATTTCTGTCCTGACCAACACCCTCATACGGTTGCCCATTCCAATTGCCATTTGACCTCCATGGTCACGAATCCTTCAACAATCCTCCTGGCATTTGTCTACTTTTAGACGCAACACAGCCGTCGCTCATGAATTCCAGAAGCCGGTAACTGTAGCCAACCTAGGTTCGGATTTCTGGCATCATCCCCCGACTGGGGCAAACTCAACCATCTGCTGCCTCGGTCCCTTGCCATCACAGTTATGCGGATACCTTTCAGGCGGCGGCCTGCAATGCGCAACTACATCCAAAGCTCGACATCGTGTCTACTCACGCTCACTTCCTTCGTGTCAATTTCGCGCGCCATCACGGTGACCTCCGTGTCCAGTCCGGAACTCGATCTGAGTCAGTTGGGGAGGGTAGGGATTGCAGGAGATTTCACTGGAATATCCATGTACGAATTCGAGGGACAGACCGAAGCACCATTCATCACCAATGGCTCGGAATCGCTCATGACGCGGTTGCCCAACGGCATGTTCCTCAGTGTCTTGGATACGGACGCGTCCATCCAGAGCATGTGTGTATTTGGGGATGCAGTAATTCTTGGTGGTAATTTCACCAGTCTAGGAGGACAGAAATCCCCTGGTATAGCCTCGTTCGATGTTGGCACGTCAAAGATAACTTCACTGGTAGGACTCACTGGTCAGGTCAACAGCTTGCTTTGCGATAACGATGCCGGCATGGTGTACGTTGGAGGAAGTTTTACAGCCGCGAATTCGCACAATGCGATTACCTGGACCTCAGGTGGCAACTGGGCCAGTTTGCCATTTGCGGGCTTTAACGGACCCGTCGAGACGATAGCAAAGGCCTCGACCGGCCATATCATATTTGGGGGCGGCTTCAGCGGTCTTGGAAACACCAGCACCCCGAGTGAACCTGACGGGCAGGTCATCAACCTATCTGCGGCAACAATTGAGGCAGACCAGGGAACGTCCACATCAGGTTTCAGTGATCCGAAGAACATCATCTGTCAGACTAGTGGCGTCGATGGATCTGGAACCACGTGGTTATTGGAGGACAACACTGCGGGCACGTGGCGAGCCAGCTTCAGATTCGGATTTGAGCCTACCAAACTTCGCCTGTGGAATACACACCAAGACGGCCGGGGCACCAAGACGTGGAGGTTCACCGCGCTGCCCATCAACGGAATTATGAACTTCACCTACACCGATCCCGCCACGAATCAAAATCGTTCATGCACAAGCGAGTGTCCGCTCAGTGATAACACCACGGTCGAGTTCCAGGACTTTCATTTTGTGAACAAAGTCGGCATGAATGCTTTCAGGATCGATGTATCTGCCTGGTACGGCAATGGAGGGGGTCTGAATGGGATCGAGCTTTTTGAGGACGACGTCTTTGCTTACGCCATCAACGATTTCAACGAACCGAGTTGCGCTACTAACGTCTCTTTTCCGTCCACTGCCACTGCCACAGGTCCCTGGGCGACTACCTCGTCCGGGAAGAGCAGCTCAGATTACTTAACAGCCCAGTTGGACAATCCAACCTCTGAGTCAGCCTCTGTGGTCTTTTTCCCGGACATCAAAGAATCTGGCAATTACACCATTACTATCTATACTCCCGGTTGCATACAGGATGGCACTTGCTCAAGCCGAGGTCAAGTAAATGTCACCTATACCTTGACTGCTGATGGGCAACCCGGCTTCACGCAATTCTATCAGACGAATAACTTCGACAAGTACGATTCTCTGGGCATGGCAGAGTTTGTGGATGCGAGTTCGGATTCGTTCCGCCCCAGCGTCACCCTTACGCCCATGGCAAGCCCTCTATCCAACGTGACAGTAGTGGCTCAGAGGGTCCAGTTCGTACTTACTACCTCGACCGGCGGCCTGAACGGACTGTACGAATACGATCCTGCCAAGACAACTATTGATACGGCTGATTTCAAGACATCGGCATTCGACAAGCTCGCATCTAGTTTCTCGGCGAAATCCGCCGTCAGGTCTCTTGTCACGTCCGGAGATATCACTTACATTGGCGGGAACTTTTCGTCCAGCAGTGTCAAAAACATTGTAGCCATCGACAGCCGCGACAACTCGACGGTAGCTCTGGATGGTGGTCTTAATGGCAGCATCAACTCCTTATGTGTTCTCAAGGACAAGCTGTACGCGGCTGGGAATTTCAACAGCACACAGGATGGATCCGCTTCGGGTCTGAACTATATTGCTGCTTACGACAAGTCGAGCAATGTGTGGTCACCACTAGGGGCCGGCGTGGACGCACCCGTTGAAAGCATAGTGCCCATGGCATTGAACATCAGCAGCGACACGCCCGAGGACGTCATAACTTTGACGGGAGGCTTTAGGACACTTTTGGCGTTTGGCAGTAATGATGCTGTTGCAGTAGACGGCTTTGCTGTTTGGGTCACGTCCCAAAATAACTGGCTTCAGAATTTGGACGGCAATTTGCCTTCTATCGATGGCCTATTGACTACTGCTCTGCTCAATCTCTCAGACGGGAGCTCCCTGTATGCCGGTTCAATCTCTGCCCAGACGCTCAAAGCAGATAGCGCTGCCACTTTGAGTGGTAGCATTGGAACTTTCCCCATCGACATTACCTCCACCTCCAATGCCACGAACGGAGCTAGCATCGCCAAGCGTGCCTCCTTAGCCAATCGCCACAGCACTCTCTCAGGTGTTGTGACGGGTGCCTTCTACGAGTCTGGAGACCACAACCTGACCATTCTTGCTGGTCACTTCACTGCAAGCACCACCAATGGCTCGAGCATTAGCAACGTCATTCTCATCGATGGGAATGACGAGACCACCACAGGCTTGCCTGCTGGGATTTCTGACGAATCCGTCTTCTTGGCTCTCGCAGTCCAAGGCAACAACCTATTCGCCGGCGGTGACATCAACGGCACTATATCCGACTTGGACGTGAGGGGCTTTGTCTCGTACAACCTCGTCGATAGGAAATTTAACACCCAACCTCCTTCTTTGACCGGTGCGAAGGGTGTTGTCTCTTCGATTAATGTCCGACCGAACACTGGTGACGTCTATGTTGGCGGCTCCTTTGCCTATGCCGGCTCTCTGGAATGTCCTGGTGTCTGCACTTTTTCAACGTCCAACGCTCAGTGGAACCGCCCCGGCTTTGGACTCGAAGGAGACGTGAATGGTATGATCTGGTCCAGCGACACAACACTTGTGGTCGGCGGAAACCTAACTCTCAACAACTCGAACGCGTTTCTTGCATCGTATGATGCCTCCAAATCGACTTGGAGCGGTTTTCCGTCTGCCTCGTCCCTCCCGGGACCCGTTGATGCGCTTACGGCAGCCAATAGTGACGGGACTCAAGTCTGGGCCTCGGGTACCGCCACCAACGGCTCCGTGTACCTTATGAAGTACGATGGGGTGTCATGGAAGTCTCTCGAACCCACTTTCGACGAAGGTACCACCATCAGCAGTTTGCAAGTCTTCAGTCTATCGTCTTCACACGACTCATCCGACCTGGTGGATGCCAATCAAGTTCTCATGATTACTGGCTCCTTAGCCATTCCTGGCTTCGGAACTGCATCAAGTGCTACGTTCAACGGGACAGTGATCCAGCCATACGCTCTCACTGGTAACGCGGGTAATACTGTCGGATCGATTGCAAAGATATTCGTGCAGAAACAGAATTTCTTTACCTCGTCAGGTAAGCTTTCACACAATTCCTCCATTGCTTGTTCTTTGCTAATCACATCACGCAGATGGGCACCTGGCTCTTGGTTTCGTCGTCCTTATCGCACTTGCCGTCTCACTAGGCTTGATGCTGCTCATCGTAGTCGCTGGGCTTGCTTTGGATCGGTACAGGAAGAAGCGCGAAGGGTATGTACCCGCGCCGACGTCCATGTACGACCGTGGTAGTGGTATGCAACGGATACCACCGCATGAGCTCCTTGATTCTCTCACCAAAGGCAGGCCTGGCGTACCGCATGTATGATGGCGCCGTGTCAGTTTTTCTCATCTGCCATAATGCCGCGTTTGGATAGCACGGAGAATGCATTGCAGTCATCTTCGACGCATCTACACACCAACATATTTTTCGAAATCGGCCTCGATCTCGATCCACACACCAAAGATACCCACCGATGCCAGCAGGCATATGCCACTGGGTCGAAGAAAAGAGCAGAGCCAAGTGGGCGAAGGCTTAGAAATTGTGTTGAAAAAGGGTGAGGCAGGAGAGGCCAACCTGAGTCCTTTCACAGCAACTCCACATCTCACGAATTATGACCACAAAACCACCTTCCCTAATGTCTACATGCCTAGTTTATTCTTGAAACCCCCCGTTGTGTTACTACTATACCTTCTTACACTCTCTTCTGTACATTACAAAAAATCACAACCCCGCAGTCTCGTCCCCCGGCTGCACATGCGATGGATTTATTTTTCGAGAAAGGTGGAATAATCCTGCTTGTCAAATGGGATGGATTGGAGGATACGTGATACCATTCCTTTGATTTGTTGAGACAATGATTGCGAGTAGTTTAGACATGGGAAAAGGGAAAGGGGAAATGGCCCCACCATATTCAGCGTGTGTGCGCTCGTGAGGGAGATACGGAGGGAGAGAGCCTAATTTACACGCTGTATCGGCCGGCCAAAAGGGGGGGCCATAGATAGTCTGGACTGCAATATAGTAGTTCTAAAATTATGCTGCTGTCAATATTCATCTGTGATGTGTTGTCTACATGGTTGGGATGCTTATTCCATTGGTCCGGCCAGCTCAAATTTGAACATGTTATAGACTTGTCAATGCGGGGGATCAAGGCGCAAGGCCACCCACCAACAACAGCCCAAATAGTAATCGCCTGGGCAAGCTATGAATAACTAGTCACATTGATACACTCATTCTAGCAGACGAATTGCTTTGTTTCTGTGAATGAACATAGCATTTTTCGTTTTCGGTCGTGTCTGGTTTCCAAACGCCGATGAAAAGCCTGAAGGGGACAATTAGGTTTGTTCAGCCGCATCAAGCACGTAGTCGCACACAAACAACAATTGCTCATCAAGTCACGCAGGATTCGATTTCTGAAAACAACAACTACCAGAATTGGAAAGCATTCAGACGTGAAAACCTGAAGCTTCAAGGTTTGCGTTATGTATGCAGGCTGGCGAATGCTATGGAACAGGATGCTATTCTCTTGGGCCACCAACTCGTCCGTTGCCTAATCCCTTGCATGACCTGAGGTATCTCCTTCTACCCCATTGACATACGCAGTGGCATGACCTTTTGATCCCCAAATCCTCAAATCCCTCTGCTTGGAAAGCCATGCAGGGCAAAATGCCAATTCCAAAGGCCGTCCGTGAGCGCCGCGCAGCCCTCGCAGAAATCGCCAAAGAAACCAAGGCGGCACTGCCCGGAATCCTGCAACAACTCCCCCATCTGGACGCCTCGTCCTCGGAAAACCTGAGCCTGGACGAGCTCCCACCGCTCGACCCTTCGCAATGCCCCAAGTTTACAGTCCCCGGCAAGTCAAATATCTACGGCACTCGGGTCGTGGTGGTCAACCAGGATACCTTTGACGCTGCTATTGCCATGCCCGCCTCTGTTGTGGCACCGCAGGAAGGGGACATGGCCATCCCCGAAAACGAGAGGAGGAACACTCGCGTCGCAGTCCTGAACCTAGCCTCGGACAAGAAACCCGGTGGAGGCTGGCTCAATGGCTCCGTGGCGCAGGAGGAGGCCCTTTGTTATCGGAGCTCGCTATACCTGTCGCTGCATAAGGAGTACTACCCTTGGAGCCCTCTGACGGCTATCTACACTCCCGATGTGGTTATTATTCGGTCGTCTATGCGAGAGGGACATGAACTTTTTCTGGGATCGGGCCCATCTTCCACTACCTCAGTCATTACCATTCCCTCCTCAACCGCTGCGACTACTCCCAACACCTCTACGACCGCTCCTACCACTCCTAGGAGCCTACCAGTAGTAAGCGTAATCAGCGCGGCCGCCCTCCGCTCCCCGCCCCTCAACGACGCTAAAACAGGCTTCAAGTACAACGCCGACCGCAGCCTGACCAAGAAGAAGATGCGCATGGTGTTGCGGATCGCGGCGCGGGAGGGACACGAGTTGTTGGTCCTGGGCGCCATGGGGTGTGGGGCGTTTCATAACCCTCCTGAAGACGTGGCGGCGTGCTGGTTGGATGTACTCGAGGAAGAGGAATTTAGGGGAGGTTGGTTTAGGGGGGTTTGGTTTGCGGTGTTGGATAAGAGAGGGGAGGGGAATGGAGCCGTGTTTGAGAGGGTTTTGGGAGGAAGGGAGGTGGGGGTCGTTGAGGTGAAAAGAGGGGGCGGGTAGGGGTGATGAGTTGTGGTAATACGGGAGAGGGATGTTTGGTATTGACGTATGGGTTGTGTTAGAAGGCGAGAGAGCTTGATACCCGAGATACGACAGACGGTGGGGTCGGAATATCGCTGTGCTTGCTTGGCTTGTTCGTTTCATCCCTGGCACATGGCATCTTGCCTACTTAAGTGCTTGATTGCTGTCTCGTTAGTAGATAATGAACGAGCTAACGACCCCTGTGTCATGAATTGCGTCTGGTGGAAGTCTATTTTTAACGCCATCACTTGTATATATCTCCCTTCCACCGCTTTCCACCTCAATTGGGAGATACGTATCCACATTGCGGTGTTGTGTGAAAATCCGAAATACTGCTATGTAAGGCTTGATGTAATATCTCTTCAGGAACAAAGTATGGCGGCGCCTTGGTTTCATTTTGTCCCTCTATCCAGAATCCGTACGTTTTCACATCACAGCAAGTATAGAGGAGAACTCCACACCTCTTCAATATGGTCGTCACGACTATTGACTGGCATGGTCAACCGAACTACATGAAACCATGTCTTACTGCTATCTTACGGAAAGGTGTCTCATATTCAAGGATTTCTCACGTTACGACATCTAGTTATACAGAATGTACAGAGGCGGGTGTCGTGACATCCACGCAATCCAATACCCGTCAACGTGCAAAGACATTCATCTGTATATACACCGTCATGTAAATACGTATCTTGCAGACTGTTCGTACTACCATGGATGGCTCATGACAACCAAATAGAGTATGCTCATCAGCTTTGTGGCTTTGCAAATTTGCGATTCGGCTAATCGCCTACGCACCTGCAGAACATAGCTGGAAACTGCGTTCGCCAGTATGGTCTCTACCTTGGTATGGTGAGGTTTGGCGACGACATGGTCACCTTGGAAACCACTGTCCACCGGTGGAACCCATCTCAGCGGGGCAGAACATCACAGGAGCCATGGTCTAAACGTTGCGAACATATTTGCAACTTCACTGAAAATAGACTATCGACGGTAATGATGGAAAGGGGAAACACCTGGCCCGCTTTCAGTTCCGTTAGCTAGCGGACGATGCAGACGTGAGAATATTTACCAACTAGAGGGACAATGGAACCCAACCTTCCGCATTACAATCTGTTGATCGCCCACTCCGGCGAGTTCCATTGGGTATACCAAGTCTGAGAAGCCCTGCTGCCGAGCACGCACTCCTTTCTCAACTCGTAGTCGGGCATATGTCTACAGCCCGAGAAGGACTCAATCCCGGTCAATAAATGCAAGGCCAGAGGGCACAGTTCACAAGGCGTCTTCTATGAGATGTCTGTAGTGACCGATCCACCAACGAAGGTTGGCTTGACGGCACGTGAAGAAGCCGGGGCCAAGAACATGACGTGACCGTTACTGAAATCAGGCTTCCAGTCCTTCTCAACAGCATAGCTTCTTATGAGACCGAGACAAAAGTTACCGAATTCGAGGCTTTTTGGTTGTTGATAGAGAAGAGTATGCCACCAGCAGTGCGCAGCCCAGCATATACAGGTGTTGGCATGCGACACAGCAAAGGCCGTCTCACTTTGTGGATTATGTGTTCAGCTGTCGAAAGTTGTGCATCTTGACGATGGGCCGGCGTCAGGCTTGACACTTGCACTAATCCGATGCCTGCGTATATCAATGTCAAAATCCTCTCGTTCTCTGGGCGGAAGTTTCCTGAAGGCATGGTTGTGGTGGAACGCACAGATGCGGCGCCGTCACATCGTGGGAACCAATGAAGGGCACGAGGACCAATGGCGAAATTACAGCTTTGACAGTAACCATGGCGAACAAGGCAAGCATGAGCTTGAACCAAGTTGAAACAGAGCGAGTAGTGGCCCGGAGTAGGCATCGAGTTTGGACCTCAGTTGCATCTTCATTCATGACGAATACGGTCTGGCGGGAGCTTCCGATCGCATTTGGGTGGGTTATGCAGGCTCGCCCAAACCTGAGAACCACGAGACGTTCGAATCCTGCGATCCCATGGCAGGTACGCCTGTTCAGGTAGAGGGTGGTATTCGTCATTCATATCAACAACCTTGCTGGGCCTGACAAGTGAGTCAATATGACCGGTGATAAGGCAATAGTTCTGGCAAATGAAAAGGTTTGAGGCGAGAAAGAACATTATACAGTAGAGACGAGTGAAAGGAAGCGGAAGGCATCCGATGTACTCACTATCATCTCCGCAACAGTAGGGCACCATTCCTTCCGCTGGAAATGGCACTAATAGCGTCGCAAATTGACCCCGTAGGGCCCCGTAGGGTTGGCAGTAACAATTTGCGAGTCAGTGGAGAGAACAACAAGAGCGATCTGCCCCGGGCGCGCCGGATCACTTGACTGCTGGACTCGGTCGTACCAGCAGGAAAGATTCCTTGTCGTGCCTCGTCGGTGCGGATACTATTGCAACGGGTCATTGATGCGGTGTAAGGGGACGATGAATCATCTAATGCGCGGCGTTGCAGGGAAAAACCACCCTGTCGCTGGACGGGTGCGAAACTTGGCTGAATGTTATCATGCCTGATGGCTGAAGAAGGAGGGGCTGGCTGAGTCCAATAGCTGGGTCGGAAAGGAAAGACGAGGTGTCTGCTGCACAGGCTTTTCGTCCATGGATGTGGATAGGTTGTCATTGATGGTGCAGGTGGTGGCAAAGCGGCATGGCAGTGTGCACTGAGAGGCGGGCTAACCGACTGCCGGAAAGGCTGGTTTCGAGAGTCAACTAAGTCGGGGGGATGGGGCGAGCCCGGTATCTTGTATGCGGACCTGCGTGTTGATGAGCTGTACCGCACCTTGCTCGTTGCGACTGTGAAAGCAGCGGAGCAGGCGAAGGGGAGGGGTAAAACTCCAAACACGGCGCCGCCTGTGTCCGGCCGTCGAGTTGACGAGTGATAAGAGGAAAACCACCCAACAGGTGGTGCCCCTTGCACTAGCTGCGGCTGCCACCGGAAGATGCCTTTCAAGTTGGCTGTAATTTGAAAATGCGATGTGTATGCTCTCGTGCTCTCGTGTTTGGAAGACGCAAACATGTAACCACATCACATTTCGCAACAACAATCTGAAAGAGTCGATGTGCATATTGCCGGAATCTCCAAGTCAGGGAGCCCTGGAGTCGATCAAGAAGCTGCTGGCCAATGAGAAGATGCAAACGACAACGCAGCTGCCCAGAACGACAAGGGCGAGCTCGGAGAGGAGGGGCAGCTGAGGAATGCGCGAGGCGTTGCTTCTAAGTTCGGTCGTAACTTATACCTTCCTCCAATACTTTAGTTGCTCTGAAGACGGTACCTTCAATGTTCGGTTAGTGTAAGCAGGCAAGGTCACTTCAATGCAACAATTGCCTCTTGCGTGTGTACTGCAATTTACCTTGGCAGGTGCGTTCTTGTTCTCAGAGCACACTCTTCAACTCGGAATTTTCGTCAGCCACGCCGCACCCGCCCAGTCTAACAAACAGTGGGGAGTGAGGGGCGTTGACTTCAGAAGGTGATAAATGCTCATGTCTAACACTTGAGGCCAAAACCTCGCATGAGACATCGCGACGGAGACTACTGCACAAAGTCAAAGCGAAAAACTTAAGGTTTGCTAGCCTGAACTGATTCGATAATATCCTGGTCTACGGATATCGGCGTGGTTGAGACGGAAAACTACACCTAGTCTCCAAAGGAGTCTCTTGAGGCTGGAATGATACAAGGCAGCTCCTCAAATACCAATACGTTTCCTTGCTTCAAATTAATAGGATATGGAAGTGGTAGCACGACTCGTTTTCAGTCGCTAACACTTGCCTCGAGTCCAGGGATACCATGCCTAGATTGATAGGATTGTTATACTATTAAAGATCGGAACCGACGGCAATACCTTCCGCTAGGGATCCGTCATTCCACACACTCCAGGTATATATCTATATTAGGCGATGCCCAAATGCACGGAAAAGTCGGCGACATCGCAACTAAGAGACGGCGCAAAAACGTGTTGGCTCGAAGCTGTTCGCCTGATGCGGTGATTGCAAAGAGTTATGGGCGGGGATGCCTCTAACTGCACATTTCCTCCAGGACTGGCTATCAATCCAGACGATCACTTAGGTCTGCTCTTGACGAACCGTACTTGCCGGTTCCATGGTGGAAAGCGGAGATACGGAACACAACCAACTGCGTTGTCTTGTCCCGGCAAGCACTGACGAGGGTCAAAAGTAATAACGATAAGCTTCAAGTTGCGAGTGACCTTGCCTTTTATCCCTTTAGCAACCTTTCCAACTTTGGAAGAAATGGGCTCGCCGCTGGACTTGCCGGGGCTGGGAAGTTTGTCGCGCGGCCTATTGCTCCCAAACCTGGAAGCCTGTCCATAGAGTTCAAATGAAGCAGCGAATGGTTTAGAGACAACGAAAAAAAAATAGCTGCGGCCCTGTGCGTGCCCCGTGGCTACCGTCCGCGGCTGTATCAGGTCCAAGAACGCTGGAAGAACACTGGACTGCAGCGAGGCGCTGAAAGGTGGAGGACCGTCAAACGGGACTTGTTTGTGCCGCAGCCGAAAGGACAACAGCAGTAGGTGGAATGAGACCGAAGTTGCCATGTAATACCCAATTTTTTTTTTTTGCGTGACGGGGTACCTTCAACCCTTGAAATGCAGTCTCTTGGTGACGATACGATGCGGTAGTGGATTGCCTGGCCATGGTCCATGAATGTTGGTACTCGTAAGTTGTAACCTAGAAGAAGCGGGCGCCTCGTAAATTGCGAGCAATCCCATCATACATCGCCATTGGGTTTGTTGATTCACGCGTCGAAAAGAAGTAACGGGACCTTGATGGGATAGGACACACATTCGCTTACCATTTGGACATCGAGGCGGGGGAACCTTTTATGACCTTGCAGCCGGCCATGTTCCAATCCAGGATGATTGTCGTGTCCAAGCCCTCCATTCTCAGTGATCCAAAGTGATGCCAACAGCCCACCACGTTCCATGCCACCACGGCCCACAGCCCACGGTCCACCGAGGGGTCGTCGTCGTGGATCACATGGGGTTCTTGCAGGTCCGGTGCGATAGGCGGTGGACGAAAAGCCAGCCATCATCCGTGGTACTTTGGACATGACTTGTAATCATGATGAAATTGAGAGTTCAAGACGCAAAACCGCCCAGATGCAGCAAATGGCATGTTGCGTTCCAAGCCCAACAAGACGACGGGAATTTAGAGGTAATTTGACAACTTTAGAACGGCAACATGAGCTACATTCAGCCTTCATTCACATGGCGAGGCGAGCGGTTAACAACGTAGGTAGGTCACTCTATTCTTGTACTGGCCGTAATAATAAGTACCCTGCCAGTGGTCGGATTTGACGCAAGAGACTAGATTGGAAACCAACTCATCAGGGCCACTGCCTGTCCAGGTAGTCCAGGCCCTCCTCGTCAAATATCCAACGTAACGCGGCCGTATTACTTGTGTGCGTGTAGTTAGCTCCCGCCTAAGCATTTTTTCGATGAACCACGAACCTTTTGCGTACATGCCTTTTACGCTTTTTAAACCCGCACGTCGGGCGGAAGTCTGCCCAGCGCCAGTGCCAGTCAGTACCAGTGCCAGCACCGACGCCAGCTCAGCGCAAGGGAATTCTAGGCATTCACCACTCGGGTAGGCACGCCTAAGGTGAGACTGACTTGGTTGATAAACCACCCTTCCTTCCTTCCTCCGTCCGCTTCCCTTTCTTAAGTAGTAACCTTTGCCAACCTCTCCTGGCTCCAGTGAGACTTTTGCTCTCCTCCGCTGTCTCTTTCTTCGTGGTCTGTATACGAACTGCTCTCTGGCTTCCTGTCGTCATATTTTCCGACATCTTGCACCATATCCTCCCCCCCACCTACTATTTGTCTGCTATCATTCGTGACACCCAAATACAAATACGCAATAAGATCATAGGATTCAAAGTGTTTTTCCACCTCGTGCATCACAGCGGCTTTATCTAAGCACACAGCCACCACATTCGCCTTTACTCGACCTGACGAGGGGGCGAGCGCAATCTACAACTGAACTGGTGGTGACTCCGCTGTTGCAAGATCGGACGCCTTACTCGACACTATCGCCGATTATCTCCTTGGCAGGGCAGGCACAGCGACTGAAACCCCTCCCTCGCTTCGTGTTGTCGACAACACCCTTCCGAAACAAGGCTCAAGCTCCCTAAGTCTCCCCTCATGCCCGGTTTCGCCTCGAGATAGATTCAGAAGAGACGAAGAATAAGAAGAAGACAATCGTGGCTTCGGGTGCTTTCCCAACAGCAAGTAGGGAACGACGCGGACGAGAGCGAGGGCGCGGCCTCGAACCAGAGCCGCAGCTCTCGACACTATACCGAATTGTCAATGGACCCCGCAGCCATGGACTTTGTGATGCACTCGTCGTCCCCTGATCGGGCAGGCCTGACGCCCATGGACATAGACCAGCAACAACAACAACAACAGCAACAACCACAATCATTTTCCTCGCCTTGCCCAGGGTCACACACAGCAGAACCGAGTCGGCATCCGGGCATGCACCCAGGTCCTCGGGGCGGCGGAGGCACATACGCATACGATCCAGTACACGCCAGCTCCCCAGGCGCCAGCTGGTGGCCACCGCAATATCACCACCACAACAATAACCCGCATCAAAGTTGGCAGCACCCAACCCTCGCTCCCTATCCTCGGTCTGGCCCAAATTTCTATTCACCGAGCTACCCACCCATCACCGGGCCTGGTCCGGGGCTCCCGCAATCTAACCCCGGAAGTCAACCACACTACCCGCCAATGAATGGGCAAGAAAACTACAACCCACACGCTCATGCACACCTTCACATGCCCTCTTACTATCCCGGACCCATGATGCCGAACTTACCCAGAATCGGTGGACCACCTCCCACACAGAGCCAAAGCGGATTCTTTGGGGGAGCTGGGGATTCGCACGCGGGCCGGGCAGGTGGCTTGCCTTCATTGAGTTCTAACCCGGCGCCGCGTCAAACCACAAGCATGTGAGTGGATTTATATGTTTTGACCACTGCCTCGCATTGGCGACACTTCTAACTTTCTTAGGCCACAACCTCGCAGTCTGAATCGCCATTCAGTGCATAATGTTGAGCCCCCATCCCCCACGAGACAGGAACCCAGGGGACATTCGGGGGGGCGGACGATTGAGGGAGAACACGCACAGCTAGGTGAGCATCATCACTATTGCGTACTTTACGGTTCCATGAACACACAGAATTGCACACCTGACATGCTTTTTAGCTTTACGCCCAACCTTGGGAACGCCATCAAGCACCTTCGCGGCCCCCGAGTTTATGCCCCGTAGAGAATCATCGGCTGCCGCCCTCGGCCGATCTCGCACCGCGGCCTCCAGTTCAGAACCATCCAGTGACGAAGAAGCAGATCCCAACGACCCCGAGGCAGTAACGATGCGTAGGATGATAGAGGCGGGCCTGCTTCCACCTTCATTGACTGGTCCTGAAGAAACGATCCGTCAACAGCAGCTTCTCAGGGGGTCTCTGCCAACGCGACGTGTAGCTTCAAGAAGTGCTATCTCGTCGTTACAAAGTGTCACTATCCAGGATTTGCCTGAGAGCGAGAGGAGTAAGTCGAGACAGTTACCTCTGAGTCCCCTTTCTCATTTCTGACTTCGATAGCCTGCATAATCTGTTACAATGAGTTCGGCATCGAGAACCCCGAGGGCATCAATGAGGCGCCCCTGCGACTTCCCAGATGCAAACACGTCTTTGGCGACCATTGTATTAAGAAGTGGTTTGAAGAATCTGACAGTTGCCCATATTGCAGAGACAAGGTCCCGTCTGAGCCTCAATTTCGCCAGCAACGTCATCACATGATGGGCTTCATGGGTCGACATGCGCATCTCACAATGCACGCGATACCTCGTCCCCAACCTGGCTCGCCAGGCGAATCTTATCAAGTTCCAAGCTATCGCCCCAGGGACACCCATCGGGCCGCCTGGCATGCTTCACCCGAGCGCCGCTCGCCAACGGGAAGACGCCGCCATACCAGCCTGCGCGGATCTCCTCCTTCTGTTCGACCTACGTCCTCCTACATATCGTCGACGACCCCTGGGCAGCCTTATTACAACCTCCCTCAGTTGAGTTCGACTCTTGATAGAGATCAACTGCCGTTTCTAATGGGCGTTCCGGCTGGCCAATATCCCAACCCCCTGCATTCTATGAATTCTGGAAGTTCGACAAATGCTGCAGACCCGTTCCGCCCAAACTGGCCTCAAGCATAGGACGACGAGGACTTCTGGGCCGACGTTGTCCTAAATCCTTTGGCAGTTATGCGTGCACTTCGCCCTAGACGGCTCACCCGGGTGAATGAAATGAGCGAAGAGGATGTTGACTAAGTTCTGCTCCCAATCATTGTGTCTCAATGCCATTCCCCCCATCTATAGACGCTAGCATCGATTTTTTCTTTCCTAACTATTTTTACCTGCGGAGTTGCACAACAGGGAACATCAGTACATCGTGGCCTTTTCTCTTCTTGTTGGCGGCTTTACTTTCGTTGTTGTTATGCTAGGCGTTCGAGGCGTATAAGGATGGCAGGTCGCACACCATGAACAGGAAACACCCCACGATGGATTTGCATGAGGTGTTAGTGATTATTACCTTCCCGACTCTGATTCTCGGGGATACCGGCCTCACATGGTTCTCATCCTTCATGTATATTTCTCGGCATGATAAGTGGTCAGACTTTGTACGCTATCTCCGTTTCCCCGCGGACACTGCTCTGCCGTACAACCGCATTTCACAGCGATGATTTAATGAGGTAGTCTTATATAGCAGAGATAGCAATCGAGCGGTTTTCACATTATGTGCTTTTGCCAGTTGCCTAATGCTGGGTGAAGTGTGGCATTGCCCAACGTCTAAGGTATGAAATCCCACTATCACTAGACCTTTGTAGGTTCAAAGACAGTCATTCCCGCCAAGTTCAAGTGGGCCAGATACTACAGCTTTCAACCGCGAAATCATAACAGTTCCTCAACGTGTAAACCCCTTTTACTGATAAACTTGCTACATTTTACAATTTCGCAGATATGCTCCCCTTCTCCCTTACCTTCTCAACCAAAGACCACGCAAACTCCCCATACGGCCCAATCATATCTCCATACTGCCTCGCCTGCTCACTACTGGCCTGCCTCGTCGCCACCCTCGCCGCAATGCCCTGGCAAATGGCCGATGATCGGAAAACACTAAAAGCCACAGCCCAATTCATCTCGGGTACCGGGTCCCAACCCGCCTCGTCGCGATACCACGCCATGATCTTTTCGGGCGTGGGCAACCCCGAAGTGGCTCCTGGACGAAAAGGTTTCCCGACGTCGGGCTGGCCCGGTTGACGGGGCATAGAGCTTGTGTAAAAGGGGTTCATCATGTTGGCCAGGTCGGACAAGGGATGGCCCACGGTGCTCATTTCCCAGTCGAGTATGCCGATTACGCGAGGTTCAACGGCGTGGAAGACGAGGTTGTCGATTTTGTAGTCGCCGTGGATGAGGGTGCCGCGGTCTACAGGTCGAAGCCTTTCGTCGTTGAAGAATTCGAGTAACTCGTCCGTATGTGGGATCGCACCAACGGGTTTCCCTGTTTCCACATCGACGGTCCCGGCTTGCGCGTCGCAGATTTGCCGCCACGTCGCGAGCTGGCGGTCGTAGAAGCCCGAGGGTTTGCCGAAAGAGGACAAGCCCACGGACCGAAAATCGACACTGTGTAATTTGGCCAGGGTCGTGGTCGCGGCTTTGTAGAGGGCTTCGCGCTCTTGGGGCGGCGAGTCCGGCATAGAGGGGTCGACGATGATGCGGCCGTCAAGAAAGGACATGATATAGAAGGGAGTGCCGATGATGGAGGCGTCTTCGCAGAGGCAGTATGCTTTAGGGACGGGCACTGAGGTCGGGCCTAGGGCCGCGATGATACGGTATTCGCGCTCGACTTTGTGCGCCGCTTTGGAGAGGAGCTTGCCCGGGGGCTTTTTGCGGAGGACGTAGCGGTCGCCGGATGGGGAGGTGAGTTGGTAGGTCGGGTTGGACTGGCCGAAGCCGAACTGTGAGGGAGCATTGTGTTAGTAAGCTATTGTGTATCGTATGAAGGCAGGAAAGAACGCAATCCCAGTTGACATACCTGCGTCACTTCCAGTGGCACCTTGATCTCGGGCACTTGTTCGGCGATGTACTTCTCCAAAGCACTGACGTCGATGGGATGCCGCACGCGACCCGCCATTGTGATAGTTGTGTTTCTTTTCGAGCTAGAATCGACAGTTGACGATGGTGCCCTTCAGCTCTTCCCGGTTATCGCATGTTAAGGTGGAAGCTCCGGTTCTGTGTAGAGCGAGACATTGACATGATCGTAGATGAAGAGGGTTTGATTTGGACGACACCCCAGGTTTAGCTGACGTTGCGTCAATGCCGAGGTACAATTGCTCAGTGCGATCCCCGGCCCAAAGTGGAGACTAGCTCGCATTGCCCTCCCCCCACCCCCCTGACTTTTGTGGGGGAGGGGTTGCACACTGCGAAGTGTTGTTTTCGAAGGTTTTTGCAGCTTGGAATGCACTTCAGCATCTACTGCAGTTCGGTTCAGCTTTAATAGGGTACGAATAACGGAATGGGACGCGTCGTGGATCACAGTGAAGGTATATAGAATGGTTCAATATTACAATGACCCAGTATTGTGCCTGTCTACCATAGCCGCCGTTGAAGGTATCGGTGAGTGTCTATAAGTGTCTAGGACCATGGACTTCATCCTAGGACACATGAACAAAGGTCCGTTTCTTGACGTTCTGGCTTTCATCCTCATTTTCCCAGTTCTCGTCAAGATAGTCCTTGACACTGTTATACCTAAGTTGCATCCCGACCACTTTCAACGCAGCGATGTTGTAGCCCATTTCATCCTTTTGCCTCTTGAGAGACTTTCGGAGATTTGTTCGGATGCCGTCAAGCATAACCCTCATTGTCCTGCTGCTCACAATTTGGTTGTGGTGAGTCTTAAGCATGAAGAAGAGTATCCGGCAGGTGAGGGGGATATTCATCGATCTTAGGGCAAAGAGATTGAGGAAGGTGAAGAGCAACGGGACCGTTGCGAAGGGCAGTACCAGCAGTGCGTCATGCAAAGCAGATGCTTTGATCTTTCGCAGAACACTCATGACGTATTCCTCGGCGCTGATGTTTCCTTGGTACACGAAGATGGGGTCTCGTTGGGGCGGTCCAACATTCGGGTTGGCTGCCTTGGCTTCCTCCCATTCCCGCATGACATGCAAATCGGCCATTCCGAGCTCGAGGGCCTCTGCAATGCGTTCACCGGCCATCAACGTTTCTACCGTCTGTTTGGTGGCAGCAGCGACCTCGACGTCTTTGTCTTCATCAGGGTCCCGTTCGAGAGACGAAGTCAGAGTCTTCTCGTAAAGCTCTTCAATTTCCTTTTCCCGTTCTTCTTCAAGGAAGATCTGTTCGTCCGTCTCCTCCCACACTCGAATGCTCTTGTCATGACTTGCACTGACAATAAAGCTACCGCTCCGACTCATCGCAAGTGCCCATATCTCACCATGGTGGCCGTCGATTCGCTGGATTTGCTCGAATTTGTCACCGTCCCAATACTTGATTGTACGGTCCTTACTTGCGCTGAAGAAGTGATGGCCGTTGCCATCCTGATTATGCGGGACAAACGCAACCTGCAAAATACTGTCTTGATGCGCGAATAAAGCTTTGTGGCAATCGCCAAAATCGAGACCCCATATGCGTACATTCTTGTCTGCCGAACAGGTGACGATGAGTTTACTGTCGTATGATATATCCATATTGAGAACCGGTAATTTGTGGCCATAAAGATTCAGGTAAAGCTTCAGCGAGTCTGTGAAAAACACCTTCACCGTGCTGTCCAGGAGAGCAACAGCCAATAGCTTTGCGTCAGGGGAAAACCTGAGACTCAGAATATCGTCGGAAACCTTGAGAGTTCTTGATTGGCTCAATTTGAGCCGTGGCGTTGTTCGAGTAGTCCCAAGCACTTCTTCTTGTACAATATGGAAGTTCCAAAACTTGGCGGTCTTATCGGCGCTTCCAGTGACCACTGATCGACCATCGGGATGAACTTGTAGTGACCAGACGGCTCCTTCGTGAGCGGAGACATTATCAAGTAGCTGCGCTGATGCAACATCGAACAATTCGATCTCGCCTCCCTTGGTTCCAACGATGACAACCTTGTCTCCCGGCAAAAACGCACAGCATAGAGCATACCCACACTCGAACGTACGGATGCATGACTGCGTTTTTACATTCCAGATCTTGAGGCTGCCGTTGGATGCAGTGGCAAGCATTTTGTCGTCAGAGCTCAAGGCCAAAGCACGAATGTCGGCTCGGTGGCCGGGAAGCTCAACTGCCATAGCCCGGTTATAATCAGGCACATCGTCCTGTTTCGACTTGCTCTTCTCCTTTGTGATGTTATACAATTCCAGCTGGTTATTAGTGGTCCCGACGAGTAATTGAAGCCCCTTATGACCATGCTTGAGCACCCAGTCAACAGATCTCACCTTCCCGCCAGTCCGAATAATAAGATGTTGCGCGAATGACTCGATGACAGAAGCTTTACTGGGGTCCTCATCCTGCTCTCCATCGACATCCATCTCTTCATCCTCGGCGCCTTTTTTCGAGGCCAACTTTTCCTTTCTTCTCTTCTTCTTTCTGGCCAGACTCTTCTTGATCTCTGATTCACTTCGTATCCTCCAGATTTCGACCGATTTATCAGAGCCATGTACGGTGAAATAGTCTCGGCGGGGGTGGAAGATGATTTCGGTGGCTTTGTCCTTGCCTTGACGGAGGAGGGTGCCTCGGTCCTGAAGAAAATGCCTACTTTGGGGGATATCGACTTGCTGCTGTGACGTGATCAATCCAGATGTGTCAAGTGACCAGACTTTCATCTCGCCTGAGTTGCCGGCGGTGACAGCACCACTAAAGTCTGGAGTCAGACCCAATGCCCAGCATTCGCCATTTGTCTGGGCGATATGAGTCTCGATGCAATGCCGAGAAGACAGATCCCACAGCTTGATCAAAGAGTCCTTTCCGGTTGTAAGCAGAAAGCCCTCCGATGTAGCTGCGCCTTCAACGACCATTGCCTGGTCGGCAGTATCCTCAGATACTTCCGGCTGCGGCTCCACGAATGCCAGACCGGTGATCTGATCCTTGTGTCCTCGAAGCTTGTACTGACCCACCTCTGCCACCAAATCCCACATAATAACATCCGTGTCTTTCGAGCCACTTGCAAGGCGCACCCCAGACTGGTCGAATGCGAGGATCGTAATCGTGGATCGATGACCATTGAAACTGACTATGGTGGTCGCAATTTTGCTGTCCCATAAACGGATGCTGCCATCGTCATAGCCAATAGCGAAGACATCTTTGTCGCTCTTGCTTTGCGCGATGGCTGTTACTTGAGCAGAGCAGTTTTCATCCCTCCAGCGACTCAAAAGCTCCCCCTTCTTGATATCCCAGGTAAGAACCTCTTCGTTTGCGGCGACAATCGCATGACCGGCACTTGTATTTGAGCGATCATTCGCGGTCCATATGATGTTAGAGGTACTCGACGCTACGATGCCAAAGGACTTTGAGTGCTCGTATTTGCTTTATGAACGACAATGTTAGTTCTGCTTCAATTGGGTTGCGTCCGCAAGCTATACTTACAGGTAAGACTTCACCATTTTCACAAATGCGTCCGCGCCAAACCGTCAATTCGCTTCGTCGTGTAAGTCGAGCCCAGAAAATTCGACCCAAACTTCAAGTTCCAAAACTTTTTTCGCGTAGGAAGATGCGATAAGAATTCTTATCGCAACGTGCAGGACCAAGAGGGGCCGGCATATCATCGGGCCAATTCGTTGGAGCTGCGACGTAACCGGAGGCACAGGAGCTGGCTTCCCTTGAGTTGGACCATACCAAAGCCGGCCCCACTACAGACTCGGGAGGCATTGACGTTGACCTCAGCCAACAACAGTCTTCCAGTCGCATCATACTTCACCGACCCGGCCGCAAAGCAGACTGGTAATCGGCCGCCAAGATGCTTCTGCTTGATTACCAGAACGTACTTCTTCAATCCGTGCTCACGGAAAGGTTCTCAGGGTGAGTTACAAGTTAGTTCTTGCTACCTACGACCATGGGTCTAACACAGCTCCAGAGCACCCCCCGCCTCCATCGACCAGACCGTGTCCGACTTCGACGGGGTTACCTTCCACATCTCTACCCCCGAAACCAAGACTCAGATCCTGGTGTCCATCAACATCCGCTGTTTCAAAGAACTCGTCCAGTACGGCGCTGAGCAAGTGCTGCAACGCGAATACGGCCAATATGTTGTTTCCCCCGAGCCAGGCTACGACTTCTCCGTCCTAGTTGACTTGGAGAACCTCCCTGCCGACACGGAGGCACGAGAGGACTTGGTAAACAAGATCTCGTTACTCAAGCGCAACGTCATGGCCGCCCCCTTCGAACATGCATACGAGGAACACTACAAGCTCAGCGAGGCTGCGTCGAAATACACGTCCGAGGAGGCCCCTCAGGGTGTTCAAGATGGCGGCGATGTAATGGCTATTCATTACCGCGAGGAGGAAGCCATCTACATCAAGGCGAGCGACGATCGAGTGACCATTATCTTCAGCACCATCTTCCGAGAGGAGACCGACCGCGTGTTTGGAAAGGTCTTCATTCAGGAGTTCGTGGATGCTCGGAGAAGAGCCATCCAGAACGCACCCCAGGTGCTGTTCAGGAATGACCCGCCCCTGGAGTTGCAAGGTGTCCCGGGTGTCAAGGAGGGCAGCGGTGGCGATGTTGGTTATGTCACGTTCGGTATGTGGAAACATGGAAGATGGCGGTATTGTAGCAACGCTGACAGGAGTAGTTCTTCTCCCGCGGCATCTGACGCCGCAGCGGATGCCTGATGTCATCTCTCACATCCAAACATTCCGAGACTACTTCCACTATCACATCAAAGCATCCAAGGTATGAGGTACCAGCAGCAACGAAGGCACAAAAGGCACCCCAAGGCTAAATTATACACATAGGCGTATATCCATTCCCGTATGAGACGGAGAACTGCAGATTTCCTCCAAGGTAGGCAACCCCCTATTCGTTGACCACGGTGTATGCTAATCTGTGCAGTCCTTCGAAGAGCCCGGCCAGAGAACGAGGAGAAGGAAAGGAAGACGGCAAGCGGACGGACCTTCAGACAGGGCGCCTAGGTCCGTGTTACAGTACAACGACCGGAGACGCCTAGACGGCGATGCTCACAAAAGCCTGCCTAGACTTACCTTTAGATGGATAATGACAAGTTCCAAACAAGGAATTGTCCTTTGGACCTCGCTCTTCTTGTTTCAAGGAACCACTGATATGTGAAAGCATCAGAGTATTGATGTTGACTGTGGCCTTGCTTCCTTGCTGAGTGCATCATTTGGAACAAGCTTCCAGCGCCGCGTAACAGCACTCAAAATACGAAAAAACTTGCTAGGATCATGGAACTTTTTTTCTGATGAACCGGACCAGTAGAACGTAGCTCAGTTACGTGCCTGCATGCATCAATCATCGATACACGTACATCTGTACCTATAACAGTCGAGATAGAAAGGCTTGGACAAAGTGCCATTCTCAATAGCACTTAGAGATACTACGTAGCATGAGAAGGCGCTTTATGCCGGTTCATGTACAAATGTTTTGATAATCAGCATCTCTCGAATGTGGACTGTGGTCTGGTCTGAAGAATTTCGTCTCTGAGGCAATAGGCCCAACCTGCTCGTACTAGAAACATGGCTTATTATACACATCGAAATGGAGCCTACCATTATGTCAATGTTCTCAGCACAAGTAGCTGAGATTTGCAATGACACAAGAAATGATTCGCTGTACCCAAGGTATCAACGCAGCTAACCATCGGACCTGCTTCCGTCGTCCATTACCACGCTCCGACCTCGAAATTCTCCTGCTGATATATTAGCAATGTCCAGCAACAACGTTGTTTGCTATCGGGTGAGCGACTTACCTCGGGGAAATACGTCGTTACCACGGTCCTGTCGGCAAACTTCCGGCCAGCCAAGGCGGTGAGAGCCTTCTTTGCCGACTCCTTCGTGTCGAACTTGACAAAGATCTTGCCGACACCAGCAGACTGCCGACTTCCTCCACTTGGCCGGGGAACCTTAAGTCCGATGACTTCTCCAAACTTGGCACACTCTTCTTTAACGTCCTCACATATTTCTGTTTTTGTTAGCATTGATTGGCTGGGTTTTTTTAGGTGTACAACGTACCCTCGTAGTCATCATTGTCCATCAATTCCTCAGGCGTCACCATGTTGAGCAACTGCAAGACTCGGGTTTCTTCCGAATCGGTTGCAGACGTGCCGGCAAGCATGGACATGGCATTAACACCCATCTCGACTCCAGCCACTTGAGTAATGCCAATGCTGGCTTTCCTGACCTTCAGCTTTTTGTCACCAATAGGCATGTCGTTTAGACCCTGGACAGCAATGTCCGTGGCGCTAGGATCCGAGTACTCGCAAAATGCGATTCCCTGGCATTTCTTAGCTTTCGTAAGACTCTGTTATAATGAAAAATAGCTTACTCGTGATTCTTCTGTACCGTGGTCCTTGACCAGCGTAAAAGCCTTGAGTTCACCAAATGCCACAAGGAGTTCCATCACTTGCTCTTCAGTGAGGTAGGTTGGCAGATTGGCAATGCTGACTTTGTTGGGTGTATCCACAACGATCTTGGACACAACACCAGGCTCGTAAGGCGTGTCATTAACGACTGCAGGGACAATGTAGTCCTTAGGTCGTTGAATGCTCAGACCAAGCGCGCCCCCATTGGCCACCCCATTGCCCATAGCATCATCGGGCTCCATGGAAATACCATCGAAGGCAAGAGCTACTGTTGCATCAGAGGCGTTTCTAAACTCCAGTAAAGCGAACGATTGATCTTTAGATATTTGGCATTGAACGCAGGGATCCGGGGTCTCAATGACATTGAGACCATTCAGTTGAAGGTTGAAGAAGGACGTGACACTTTCCTCGGTGGAAGACGAAGGGATGTTGTGGACCAGAAGACGCTTGGATTGCCGACTGTTGGAGGGCTTCAGTGCAGCACTGTTCACCGCACCTCCAGGTTGGTTCATAAAGGCCTGGAGCTTGGTGGGATCCATTGGCTGCTGACGCGGTGCGCCGGGTAGGGGGAACATGCCAGACAACTTGGCTTGCTCAGCCGTCACGTTCTCATAACCTGGCGGCTTCATGTCCCATTGTGTCATGCGACGTTTGCGCTCCAATACAGGGGTAATGTCTGTGAGATCAGGCGTGGGCTCTCTCTTCTTAGGCGGCGGGGTTGCGCTGCGGCGGCGGTTCTGGGCAAAAAGGTCTTCGTCTTGGTCCCGATCTCTGCCTCGGCCACCATGACCGCCTCGATCACCTCCTCTCTCCCGTCTGTCGCCTCGCCTGTCGTCGAAAAGGTCGCGGTCACGGCGTGGTGGTCGGCCGCCATCATCGCGGCGGTGGTCGCGTCGTCCTCCACGGTCACGATCCCACTCTCGGTCTCCTCCTCTGCGATCCCGGTCCCGACCTCCACCGCCTCCACTTCCGCCATACCGGTCCTCGCGTTCTCGGTCTCGGTGGCTGCGGCTTGATGCATAGGAATCGACATCTCCCTCTCTGCCGTCGCGATGGGGTCTTCGAGGGGATCTCGATCGGCGTCGGTCTCTGCGATCACCGCGGTCTCCACGGTCTCGTCGGTCATCACGCGACGAATAGTCGCGTGATGAGCCAAGGCGGCCATCTTTTCAAATTAGCTTGGTCATTGGATGATGAATGCGCTGTCATTACGAACTTACCCCTGGAGGAATAACTTTCGCCGTTCATAATGAGAGTAGGCGAATGTGATGGGATTGAGGGCTGCTGATATTTGTGCAATGTTGATGGAAGTCAAACAACTGCTGAGCTTCGATCAATAGGAAGGGTGGATATGCCATTGAACGGGGACGAGGCTGGAGTTTTGAAATTTTGGCAGACCTCGGCTGGCGCTAGTACAGTTTAGGAAAGGCATACCTGTATATGGATCCATTTTCACCCCTGCACATTCAGGTCGGTCCTGACTTCGAGGTCCTGACCTCGTGTTTGAGTGATAAGTTGTTCATTAGAAGTGCATTAGCAACTAAGAAGGGCCAAAACAGTCCCTTTCTAGGAACCAGTTAAATAACACCACCAAAAATTTTCTGTAATCCTGTAAAGAACCGGATGTGTTATCTTCAGGCTGACCCAGCCTAAAATCGATTTCGCGATGCCAGCAGCGCGAGTCTCCGAGTGGCGGAAACTGCCTGTCAGCTTGACGGAGCTCTGTATTGAGACCACACTCCGTTGTGGACAGTCTTTCCGATGGCGTAAGCTAGGAGATGAGTGGTAGGTGAAAATTCTACCATGCTCTAGTAGAAGGTTATCTCATTCACCATGTAGGCACATGTCACTTTATGGTCGCATACTGTCTCTGAAGCAGGACAGTACCCATCTACATTACAAAGCGACTTGGCCTGCAGCTACCAGTACACCCTTCACAACATCAACTTCTGCCAAGGAGGAAACAGTTGTGGATGATACAGAAGAGTTAGTGAAGCATTACTTCAGTTTGAAGCACAATGCAGCTGCTTTGTACAACCAATGGTCACAGTCAGACCCCAACTTTCGAAAGAAAGCTCCAAAGTTCACGGGCATTCGTATCCTCAGTCAAGACGCCTGGGAGACTCTCATTGGTTTCATCTGCAGCAGCAACAACAACATTTCAAGAATCTCTCAAATGGTTGGTCTCCTCATCCCCAACAAACGTTATGAAGGCTAAACTCAACCCAGATTCACAAACTTTGCGAGAATTACGGTCCACTGATTGGCAATATTGGAGATGAAGCCTTTCATGAATTTCCCACTCCCGAGGCATTGAAGGGAAAGGAGGTTGACGCCCATCTGAGAGACTTGGCCTTTGGCTATCGAGCAAAATACATTGCTGAAACAGCCCGCATCGTCTCAGAGGAGAGGCCAACAGACTGGCTTGAAAGCTTGACAAACCCCAATAATCCCGGATGGGGAACCGGCCATCGCAGCGGGCTCCTGCGTGCTAACTACAAGGAGGCTCATGAACAACTCCTTCAGTTGGTAGGGGTTGGGCCAAAGGTGGCTGATTGTGTCTGTCTCATGGGCCTTAGCTGGGGGGAGGCCGTTCCTGTTGATACCCACATATGGCAGATTGCGCAGCGAGACTATTCTTTTGCTAGGGTTAAATCCTCGTCGCTCTCCAAGAGTATGTACCACTCCATTGGGGATCATTTTCGGCGTATTTGGGGCGATCAGGCGGGTTGGGCACAATCAGTTCTGTTCACAGCAAACTTGAAGTCCTTCTCAGCACGCCCCAAGGCAGAACCTGACCCAGTGGCAGTCAAACTTCAAGCGGAAGTATGCGAGACAGTGACTGGCGAAGTTGAGACGAAGTATAAGGTGGAAGAAGATACTTTAGTGGGATCTATGCGGCAATTCCGAAAAAGGAGGGTATCGGCTACTGGGGGCACAGATCTTGAGAACACAACGATTGAGCAAGAGCTCATATCAGTTGCACCAAGGTCTAGAAAGAGACGAAGGCCATTACGGTTATCCTGATATACTCCGCATAGTGAAAGGAGGCCATGTTATAAATGCAAGTTTAGATGCTTTCAATACGCCGTCACAACCTATTAGAATCGTACTATAGATGTAGAAGTTAGAAGAAGAGGATACAATTGACACGGCTTACTGGGACTCGTTCAAGTGGACATTTGCCTCTCCACCTGTTCAACGAATCACTGGATGTAGCTGTGGGAGAGAACGGACCACGCCGGATAACATCTGACTCCAAGGACACGGTGCTTAACGAGTGGTCTTAGAATAACGAGGTTAACATGCTTTATATCGACCAGCCAGTACAAGTCGGTTTCTCATATGACAAGCTCACCAACGGGACCATCGATGAGGATAAGAGAGCAATACAGTTGTGTGTACTCGTCACCTAGCACACCTTTACAATGTAGTTGTAGGGACAGGAGACAAATCACCTGGAGTGCTGGCTATCAAGGTCCCTGCTGGAAATACTCATTTTTGGCTTCTAATACTGACCTAGCTTGAACTCGGCTTCATTCCACTCGAGAATTCAAGAATTATTGATTTGAATAAATCTAGAAGTAGACAACGGGAGTCACAGCTCCAGTGGTCGAGCTTTTCAGCCACAATTTACCTACTGCGCCACTCAACAGACCTCGAGCCGATCTTATCCAATCTTTGCTAGCGTGTCAAGGTGCGATTACTCGCTACAATTTCTTGGACTTCACCTAGACAAGCGTCAAGCAGGAAACCTCACCTCTCACACCTCGTCGCGACAAGAACGTAATCCATCACCAAACTTATCTTTACCATCCCATGAAGGACATGACTGCGGGTGGCTAAAATATCAAACATGTCGGACGCTGACTTTGAGACGATCAGAAAGCTGCAGGCAGAGCGCAATGCTGCCGCGGCTGCCAAAAACGGATCGCGAACCTTTGACCCTTCCAACCAGCGGTCCGACACATCCACCAAGGCCAAGCTTACAGAATCTTTCGACACGGAACTATACTCACGCGATGGCGGCGACAAATATGCTGGCTATCTCTCTTCCATTCCCACCGCTGATGGAGATGGCGACGAGGACATGGATGATGCCGAAGCCTCGCGACGACTAGTGGGCCAATACACAGCGACGCGAGCCCAGATTGAGGAGTTTGCGCACGGTAACGGAGTGGAGGAAGATGATCCTCTTGCAGGGCGTGGGGAGAAGAGCAACCGCATCACAGATCGAGAGACGGACTACCAGAAGCGCCGCTTTGATCGGGTAGGTGCCGACGAGCATGAGAGCTATCGTGAGATCATGGAGCGGAGAGAGCTCGAGAGGGAAGAAGAACGCGTCCAACGAGAAATCCAAGCGAAGCGAGAGGCACAAGCCACCAATGGCGAGCATGCCGCAACGCTCCAGAATGGTGACAAGGAGGTGGCTGAGCCAGGGTCCACAGAGGCCAGTCGCAAGCGAAAGAAGCGATGGGATGTCTCGACAACAGCCGCCGACGAACCAACGACAGAATCTACCGAGGGAACATCCAAGCGATCGAGGTGGGACCAAACGCCCTCACTTGCCGCTCCTGGAAAGCGCTCACGATGGGACCAAGCACCATCCGCAACGCCGGTCGGCAGCAGTGGCCTGGTCACCCCAATGCACACATCCCAGATAGGCGGTGGTTCAGGAGTACCTTCCTTTGGTACTGATATATCTGGTCCCAACGCCGCCATCAGTGATGAGGAACTGGATGCACTGCTCCCTGGCCCCGAGGAGGGGTACAAGGTCCTCGAGCCACCGCCGGGATACGCTCCTGTTCGTGCACCCACCCACAGGGTTATTGCGACGCCAGTCCAGTCCAATGGCTTCATGATGCAGGACCCTGATAGCGTCAGGGCCGGTGGAAGCCAGATGCCAAAAGAGATACCTGGGGTCGGGGATCTCCAGTTCTTCAAGCCGGAAGATATGACATATTTCGGCAAGTTGACAGATGGTTCCGACGAGAACAGCCTGAGTGTTGAAGAGCTGAAGGAGCGAAAGATCATGAGGCTGCTCCTCAAAGTCAAGAATGGTACCCCTCCAATGCGTAAGACTGCTCTGAGACAACTCACGGACAATGCGCGACAGTTTGGTGCAGGGGCTTTGTTCAATCAGATTCTTCCCCTGCTCATGGAGAAGACACTGGAGGATCAGGAGCGCCATTTACTTGTCAAGGTCATCGATCGTATCCTTTACAAGCTTGATGAACTAGTCAGGCCGTATGTTCACAAGATCCTCGTGGTTATCGAGCCTCTGCTCATTGATCAAGATTACTACGCCCGAGTTGAGGGCCGTGAAATCATCTCTAACCTCAGCAAAGCAGCTGGTCTCGCAACCATGATTAGTACGATGAGACCCGATATCGACCACGTCGACGAGTACGTGCGAAATACTACCGCGCGAGCATTCGCCGTGGTGGCCTCGGCACTCGGCATACCCGCACTCCTCCCCTTCCTTCGTGCAGTTTGCCGCAGCAAGAAGTCATGGCAAGCGCGGCACACCGGTGTCAAGATAGTGCAGCAGATTCCTATCCTGATGGGTTGCGCCGTCTTGCCTCATCTGAAGGGATTGGTTGATTGTATTGGTCCTAATCTTAATGATGAGCAGACTAAAGTGCGTACAGCCACCAGTTTGGCTATCGCAGCATTAGCTGAAGCTTCGAACCCCTACGGTATCGAGAGCTTTGACGACATTCTAAACCCTCTGTGGACCGGTGCGAGAAAACAAAGAGGCAAGGGCCTCGCCGGCTTCCTGAAGGCCGTGGGCTATATCATTCCCCTGATGGACGAGGATTATGCCAATTACTACACCAGTCAGATTATGGAGATTCTACTCAGAGAGTTCTCTTCACCTGACGAGGAGATGAAGAAGGTCGTTCTGAAAGTCGTTTCCCAGTGCGCAGGTACTGAGGGTGTTACTGCAGGGTATCTGAAGGAACATGTCCTTGATGAGTTCTTCAAGAGTTTTTGGGTACGCCGCATGGCCTTGGACAAGCGAAACTATAGGCAAGTGGTCGAGACTACGGTTGACATTGGCCAAAAGGTGGGCGTCAGCGAAATTTTGGAACGAATTGTGAGCAATCTCAAGGACGAGAGCGAAGCGTATCGGAAAATGACGGTGGAAACGGTCGAAAAAGTGGTGGCAGGTCTGGGAGCTGCGGACATTGGCGAGAGGTTGGAGGAGCGACTCATCGATGGCATTCTGCATTCTTTCCAGGAGCAAAGCGTGGAGGATGTTATCATGCTGAATGGGTTTGGCACTGTGGTCAACGCCCTGGGCACGCGATGCAAGCCTTATCTTCCGCAGATCGTTAGCACAATTCTTTGGCGGCTCAACAACAAGACGGCGACCGTCCGCCAGCAGGCCGCAGACCTGATTTCACGCATTGCCATGGTCATGAAGCAGTGTGGGGAAGATGCCTTGATGGGCAAGCTGGGTATTGTGCTTTATGAATATCTGGGCGAAGAGTATCCAGAGGTTTTGGGGTCGATTCTCGGTGCTCTACGTTCCATTGTCACCGTCGTCGGAATCAGCCAAATGCAGCCGCCTATCAAAGACCTCCTTCCGCGGCTGACCCCTATTCTACGAAACCGACACGAGAAGGTACAGGAAAACACCATCGATCTTGTTGGGCGTATCGCCGATCGTGGCCCAGAAAGCGTCAACGCGCGGGAATGGATGCGAATCTGCTTCGAGCTGCTAGACATGCTCAAGGCTCATAAGAAGGGCATACGACGAGCAGCAAACAACACGTTCGGTTTCATCGCCAAGGCCATTGGACCACAAGATGTTTTGGCAACTCTACTCAACAACCTCCGAGTTCAGGAGCGTCAGTCTCGTGTCTGCACGGCTGTCGCCATTGGTATCGTTGCCGAGACTTGTGCTCCGTTCACTGTGCTTCCGGCATTGATGAACGAGTATCGAGTACCCGAACTCAATGTTCAGAACGGCGTTCTCAAGTCTCTCTCGTTCCTTTTTGAGTACATTGGCGAAATGGCCAAGGACTACGTGTACGCCGTGACGCCTTTGCTGGAAGACGCCCTCATCGATCGTGATCAGGTGCATCGTCAAACAGCTGCCTCCGTCGTCAAGCATATTGCGCTTGGTGTGGTTGGTCTTGGCTGTGAAGATGCAATGGTCCACCTCCTCAACCTGCTCTACCCCAATCTCTTTGAAACAAGCCCGCACGTCATCGACAGAATCGTTGAGGCAATCGAGGCCATCCGAATGGCGGTTGGGCCTGGCCTCGTGATGAACTACGTTTGGGCCGGTCTGTTCCATCCCGCACGCAAAGTACGTCAGCCATACTGGCGGCTGTACAATGATTCTTACGTGCAGGCTGCCGACGCTATGGTTCCGTATTATCCGAATCTTAATGAAGATGGCATCGACAGGTCCGAATTGGCCATTGTGTTGTAAGAGGACGAACGGTAGGATAGGGACAGATTCCAAAACACGAGGTGGCGCTAGTGAGGAGTTGTACAGTAGTTTTGGGTCAAAATATCAAAGAAGTGTTACTGCATTCAACAGGTTTCAATTACATTTCACGTCGAGTAACTAACGTGTGTGCTGTCAGGATCTGACGGGACCAGGTGCAACACTCTTTCCCAAACATCGCAAGCCGAGTTGACAGTTCATGGATTTATTACGCTGACCAGTATGACCTACCACACGTTGTGTCACTACGGAAAACGTGTCGGACGAGGCTGCCGGATCGCCATGACCCGACTCGACAACTCTGCAAGGAACCACCGGACAGATGGCTGCCGGTCCATGATCGGCGCTCTATGTTCAGCAAACTGCGAAAAGCAGCCACTCGGCCACGCCGGTATCATGAAGCGCACAATGAGCCAGTCGCATGATATGTGCAAGGCTTAACATGGCATGGAACAGAATATATCGCCTTTCTTTACTCCCTCACACGGCATTAAGAGTAACTTGACGAGGTATATTCATTCACCAAGACAGCGCTCGTGACTACTATGCAAGTGTTGTCAACCACTCTTCCGCATCCTCCACTAGACTGACAAGATGGAAAGCCATCGTGTGCTGCCTTCCGAATAGCGGCCTGCAGAACCATCTACTCAGCTTCATCCACCCGTCTCCCTTTCGACGGGATCCGTTCGTCAGGTTCTACCACTTCCCTGGTCCGATAACCCTCCAAGATCGGCACCACAAGGAGAAGACAACACAAGAAACCATCCGTGACGGCATTCGTCGCACAAGAGAACAGATGACGTCGGACGACGGGGTACGTACATACAATACACTTCGACCCAACTTGCGGAGGATGCTTTGGTGTTTCACGGGAGGCTATCCGTGTCTTGGGGCCACACAACAAGAGTTCACCAAGAAACAAATCAAGAGTGTACACCGATCGACAGCTTCCAGAAGGTTTCGTCGCCAGTTTCTTGTTTATTTGCTGGGAAGATGGGACAGATGGGAAGATCACAATTCACCAAAGATCCGAAAGGGGAGGATTTGGTGAGAATTAAGGTTTGACGTCCCAAGGAGTTGATTGCCTTTTCGAGTATCGGATCAACGCTTTCCTTACCCAATTTTGTGGTTTGGGGCGCCGTGCATCACCGTCCGCACGCGGATTTTGGCCACGCCCTGACGATCAACCCGCGTCTAATTAGATGTTGTCTATCTCCCGAGACGCGAACTCTGGAGAGGTGCCGGATTTTCAGGAGTTTTGGCCAATTTCGGAGCGCGCGAGGCTCCCAGCAGATTGGCGAAACTATGTCTACCGTCCCACTTTGCTGGGTTCCCTTGGCATCGCCGCGTTTTCCCTTCGCATATCTACGAGTACGTATCCCTGATAATCGTGTATCGCGTACAAGATGGGCGCAGTCGGAACCGTCAGCCTCCTGATCCGGAGTATCCGTCTTTGTCATGACTGGATGAAGATCCTTTGTGATTGGCAAACTTGGGAGATTGGTAAAGACACTGAAAAGCGCGACATTACGACAGTACCCCCTTTGGCCCTGCTGCCGTAGTCGGCAGCCAAGTCACGCCATGCTAATTCTATGGGTAACACCCACAGTCCAGGCTGCCATAGCATAATCATCCGCTGTCTTAATATGGCCCAGAAGTAGAACAGCGGCCACTGCGGCGGTGACAATTAGGAGGATGGAGAAGCAGGCGCGAAAGGCAAGAGGAACCATCCATCCATTTGATAATCCCTACTCGTTGAACCTTGAGGAACAGCGGTACTTGCGGTACATCGGGCGATGTCCGTTCCACAATACATAGTAGACTCCTCACCGTTCCCACCCTCACGTGCAAAAGGTTGCTGGGATTTTCCGTAGTGTACCTCGACGGAGGTCTGCGGTACCATCCCAACTTGGGTAGAAAAGACAGGAAGGGATCAGCAGTCGTGCATTACTATGTAGGTAAAGCAGATGAGCTCAGACGGGCTGCGAGGGTCCCGGTATCAGCACAGCGATCACCCCCGGTAACTGCGTCCAGTCGGTTTTTTGTTTAGGAAAAAGTGATGGATGGTGAGTCGCCATGGATTCGACAAGTGGCGGTGAGATTAATGGCAGGAGCGAGTCGATTGGTATTGGTAGGCCAAAGGCGTGACAGCGGTCGTGTCGTCGATTAGTGTAGTCCTCTATGTATTGGTTTATTGGTTGGGGTGGATTTGGAAGGACGACTGGTTGGGTCACAGCCAGTCAGCAATTGCGCGCGTTACGCAGACGGACGGGTGGCGAAAAAACCATTGCCGGGTTGTCATTGTGATAGTGGTGCAGTTATGCGACCAGTAACTCTCTTGGATAATAAATGGGCTTGATAGCGGGAGCTCTCTCAGCGGCTGGGGACAAGCTCGAGTAACGCGCCATGGAGATGGGCTCGTACTCGACTAGCATCGATGCGGGTTTCCCCGGGTAAAGACCATACAAGTGTTTTACTCAGTCAAGTGTTGCAGTCGGATATCGAGACTGGAGGCAGAGGGTTGTCCGGGTGTTGCTTAATTACCAAGTATTTGCATTTCTCTTGGTTCCGGTACCCTGGAGGCTCCGCCGCTACCTTTAGAAGATGATGGCCACAATGGCGTTCATCAACTGGTGCTACGCAGCCTGACTGAACATGGGAAAACGAGGGGGAAATGCTCAATCCGATGGCATTGGCATTGGCGTGCGCGGGTGAGAAGTGAGTGAACCGGCAGATTCCCATGACATCCCTAGATGGCATTTCGAGCAAAAGCCCATTGCTCCAATAGCTTCTACACGCGAACACAGACGCCGTTTTGCCACTACCGAACCGCGAGCTTCGAGAGCCAAGAGAACCTTAAAATGAAGAAACCAATAAAAAAGTATAAAATAAATAAAATAAAAAATAAAAAAACGTGTTCAAATTGAGAGAAGAACTGCTGCTGACATAGCCTCCAAGACTATCTGCGTACTGTCACGCGACTTGGAGGAGGAGGAGGACACGTGCGACGGTAAGAAATAATGGGGAATTGAGCTCAACTCAGAGGTGTCCGATTTCGCGCTTTGAGAAGGCAGCTGCAACTTACGAGCAAGCATTGCAAATCAAGGGTCGAGGGATGTCAGGGGTGTGCCGCTGTAGTCCACTGGACTATATAGTGGCGCACACTGCGGGGCGAACAATACAGACGACAAATTAAACACTGCAGCGGCAGGCTGGCGGCTCGCCGCTACTGCAGCCTCGACGTCATCTTCGCCTTGTGCTTATAGCAGGGGCCCAATTCAACGACCACCTCGACTCGACTTCTAAATTTCAACCAACCCTCACATCCCGATCCATCGTAAGGTGAGATTGGAGGGTCGGCTTCTCATTGAAGCGTCTCACGAAATGAGACAGGGTTTCCGATGGAGAAATATCCAATTTATCCACCTGCATTCCTTGGTGGACTCGTCACATGTCGTCGTCGAATGCTCGACGAACAGACGGCAACTTTCTTGGCAGCAGTTCCCCAGTAGTCAAACTGTGCGTGAAACAGGCCCTTCATGGGGAAGCGGACGCGATGACCTACACTGCGTTTCTCGCCAGTCATGTTATGGCCCAATCATGCGCCACTCTATCATCACAGTCTCTACACTGGGCAGATGAGAAATTCCAAGTATTTTGCCCTCAAGGGTTGACGTTTCACTCCCACCGCAACCGCATTATGCCGTGCATCGGTAACTGAAGCGCGTTCATACCAATCCCCATATTGGCCGGTCCGTCACATCACAGCCTCGCTCTATGTGGATAATATAAGAAACCAGCGAATGCTCCGACTGGAGGTGGCGAACACAATGGGGTCTCTTTGGGCATTGCATCACAGCGTTGACAGGCTGAGTCGTGGTCGTATCACCACAGCTTCTACCCAGTCCGGAACCGCAAGCTACGTAGTATATGGCAGCGACCAATTGACTCGACCTCTCCCACACCCCTTGTTCCCCGTCTCCCCGGAGCTAGGAGGACCCTGAAGATCACAGGCAGGAAACCGATACGAATGGATGCCAGCTTCATGAGGTGTGGAGAGTCTGTCTTTACTCTCATATCCAATCTCAAGCTCGACCGATGCTGAGCTCAAAGCTTTGCTGCAGTAAGTGGACTTTCTTATATGGATGCGCGGCCCATTTCCGCACTCTAGCTTCGCCGTTACCGCGACCTCAAATAGAATCATCTTGGCGAATCCTTGGTAATGTTTGTGCCATTATTTCGCGTTTTTAGTCGCCTTTAACCTCGTAATCTCGCTCCTTTAACGCCCTTTGAACTAATTTAACTAGTTCGAATCTACCGTCGAGTAAGTAAATAAATGATCTTTTAACTATTATTATTATTATTATTAAATACGCCGTAGGCTCGAAGCCCCCGGTACCTCTACTAGTACTCCCGTATGTCAAACCGTGCCCTAATGGCTGGACTAAATACATACGCTGCGTCGTCGGTTCGCCCTATTGGCGACTGCGTTACGTCCACTACCATACTACGTTGGTTCTCAACCTACCAACAAAGTCCCCCTGAGAAGATCGATGCTATCTGGGCCTTGAAGCTGTCCGACCCGTCCCTAGCAGCCACCTTACAATAGTCCCACTAACTACTGGTTCTCCTGTTGCCGTTGCGAGGTCTCTGCGAGAGTATAGTGGCCGTGGTGCGATGGCGGCCCGTAATCGTTCCCTCGGTCCTTCCAACTAACTATTATAATCCTCTAACTACTGTAATAGCGGTTTGCAATATATATATATATACGAGCGTTCTTCGAGGACTTACTAGTATCCTTTAAAATACATTTCGCCGCGTGGAGCAGCTATTTTCCCTTCGCATAACTATGTTATTACCTATGTTCTAATGTGTTAGAATAGTATACTTGTCTATACAAAGGCTTCTTATAGTTTCTTTATATAAGCTGCGCTGAATAAGGGATGATCATAAAACTCGAGATCGTCTTCTACGAGGATAACTTGCTTTGTATACCGCTATTTCCTTGATGCAAGGCGACAAAATCGTCTACACAGTCTTATTTTTAAGGAGGTTTACTCTCTTTCTAAGCGAGTTCTGAATATATAGCGCTGTAAGTAACGTGTGCGTTTATCCGTATATAGCGCTAGCAGTTACCGTTACATGCGCTTTAGAAGTGGGTTCTTTGTTTGGTAACGATTTCCGCTGAATTCAGTGCGGATTTCAGGCCATTGGCCTGTAACTTAAGCGGAGTGGTGGGCAAGTGAACGTGAGACTTTCGCCGGTGTTGTGGTGAAGTTCGTTGGTGGGGGTGGCATCCACATAAAATGACACTGACGGCACCTTGCACACCCGGTTTGGTGGAATCTCCTTTTCCAAACACACAAATTGTACTCGGCGTGTCTCATCCACTCTTTTGGAGCTTCCGCCTTGTTGACGTCATCGCCCTCACTTGGGACTGACAGGGAGTGAGTGGGCTGTGTCCGTCAGCCCAAAGACAATGGGATCGGACCCAGTCTTTCATTGTGATTGACAGGTATCCTCGGATCTCGTTACAGTAACGCCGTCATCGAACTTGACTCGTGTCTTGTATTTGTTTGCGGTATCTTTTGGGCGCTTCTTTTCACTCTCCGCCCACGGCCGCCAGCGGGATATGTGCTCCCGCGTTCGTTCTCCCGATCAATCCCCCATAGCAAATGAAATCTACTCAAATCATGTGCGTGAAAATATTTGTCAGGGAGCGTCGGCGTTAACCCAAGCGGCTCGGCTCGGCCGTCCTTGCACACAGTATATCGCGGTTATACTGTGTAGTCAGACGAATAAGCCGCAGACGTAGTACCGCAGAACGATGAGTTTATTCCTTCCTACCTGGTTACGACAGTGCGCGGGATGCCGCAACCAGTCGGGCCCTCCCCGTTTCCAGTTCGCGGTGCTTGGCCAGATAGAGGCATACTGAGGCATATGTTCGCCTTCTTCGCGGCAGTTCGTTAGTGATCGTGGTACTATCCAAGTTTTCCGGTGGTGGGAATTTGAAGATGCGGTTGCGTTGCAGTTGCCGAAGGCTGGCAACGCCACATTCTCTGCTGCCACCGCCCTCCTCAAAACAAGACTGCTGCATGGTCTCGTTGCCAGCAGACCTATATCTCGTATATTAGCCCAGCGATCTTTTCACGAAAGAATCACGTGTATCGCCTTCTATACTACCCCTTGGGCCCCATCCTTGGAAAAAGTCTATACAGGCTTGCTCCATCGGGCTGGCACACCACGATCTGATTACTAGTTTGGTCGGCCGCCCTGAATCGCATAGCCATCGTCTCCAGCAAGCCGCCTTCACCATGAACCAGGCGCACACTTTCCCAGGCCACCACCGTTACGGCCACCCAACCCAGAACTACTAGTGAGTAAAACAATCTGCGGGTTCAGAGGCAAAAAAAGCCAAAAACAGCAACCAGTACGTACTCCCACTCCCACTTACGAGTTCAGACACGTAATACACATAACCTATCGTAACACAGGCAACAGAGCGATTCATTCGCATCTACTTACACCTTCTCCATCACTCGAGCCTCGAACTCCACTCCCTCTATTCTGTTCTAGGCAATGGTCGCAGCTTTTCACTAATAATGAGAGCCATGTAGTAGTGCACACAGATCCAAGTTGGATACCTCAACCACCTCGCCACGCAACAGAGTTCGAGTCGCAGATTCGCAACCTCTTTCCCCCCCCCACTTATCTGGGCCCCATTCATCTCGCCCTCCAGCAGCGCTGCAACCAGACAACCTAGGAACAGCTCCGCCCTGCCCTGGGCGCGGAGAACCCTAATAACTTCAAGCCCTAAACATGAAACACGCTCGATTGCGGGGCGGGGCATGGCCATTGTTCTTTCCAGGTTTGGGTGATCTTCTGATTTCTGTCCGATATACTACTGTTAGTTAGTCGCTAGATAGTCCGCCCGTTTTCTTCCTCCCTCCGTCGCGATGATCAGTCCTAAACGGGCGGCTTCGGTGGGGTTTCAGGGGTTGACACGTTTTCCACTGGAACGGACTTGTCCGTACTGGTTCAACCCCCAAAGAAACGGAGCTGGTGTACAAGTACCTCCAGGTCAATTCAAGTATCCCAGTATCGATTCCAGTATCACTCTTCCTTCCCCAAAGACCCTGCTTTCTCTTTGGGGAGATGTTCGCCAGTGGTTGGAAATATACGGAATGTGTGTGTACGAATAGGAAACCTGGAGCGGATGAGATGCATCTCGCTCGCCTTCACCGTCTGTACCTGCCTACATTGCGCGCAAATTTTGATACGGCTTTCCTCTCCGCACATACATACATACCTACACATCTTGCATGGTAAAATGGGAATATCCCATGTCAGGAGGGCTCGGTTCGAAGCCGACGCCGAGGATGGTGGAGCGTTTTTCCACCGACGATCTCATGCATGAGTATCTTTGTCAGGTCTGGGTCTCATGGTTGAGTCTGTGACACGCATACACACAAACGGCAAACCCCCGGTTAGCTCAATAATTGTATCAGGCAATTGACTTTTTCAGTGTAGTAAATTGTTTGTAAATCTACTATTAGATTACAAGGCAGTAGCGAGTGTCGGGTTAATCCTATCACACGATGACCCTCTGGGCCTATTCGTGACCAAGACAGATGCTCTGCCCTCAACGGGTGGGTATATATGCGAAGCAACGCCTAATAGTACAGTGTCGTCGCGTCTTTTCTCCCCTTTTCCCCACGCCTCTCTTGCGTGTTGAAGCACTGCCGTTCCCGAACCTTTCTCCATTTAGAGATAATATACCCCAGCTGCGCTCCGGCATTATAACGAGTGCATACAAATGACCATCGCCAGCGCACAAGCTGGCCATGTCTCCTGTGTCGTATCCCAAAAATATCAACCCTGAACGCCGTTTTGAGGGTATCTCAAGGACACTCTTCCCTCGACGGTAATCCCAAAAATGCTGGACCACGAAGCGAGGGTCGCGAAGTGTATAAATCCCCAGAGTGCCTGCCCGCCCAGATCTATAAGTCCCGCTACTCCCAGCGCTCTTCGTAATGCCGAGGATATCGCCTTATACAGAAGCAACCATAATGATGCCAAATTCCTACACGAACATGAATTGCAATCGCCACCGGTTGAAATCTTGTTTCTCATTCGAAGCGAAATGAATCGTCATTTGCGACTGACCTCCTCTAGTCTCGTGAGGTCCTTCGATGTGAGATATCCCAAGGTATCGGATGTGTAAAAATCATGAAAAGATCTAGTCGACGCTATGCGCAAGATCCAAAAATTACCGGTGGCGCTCAGTCGGAGTCGTGGTGGTCTTCCGACCCCGCATCAGACTTCGCGTCATTCTTGTGAACTTTGCGGTGGCGTCGAAGATTTGATACCACGGAAAAGTGTCTTCCACAGCCTTCAACCTCACAGCAGAATGCTAAATACGAATCTTAGTACGGAACGATGCATCCCTTATCGTGTTGGATCAAAACTCACGCTTTTCGCCGGTGTGACTGTACATGTGTGTCTGTAATGAACTCGGTCGAGTGAACCTCTTGTCGCAGACTTTGCACTTGTGCTTTTTCTGAGTGCTCGATGAGACCTTGGAGCTGAATTGGCCCATCATGGATTGGGGTGCAGGCGGGGGCTGAGTCATCAAGTTCGGTCGGGGTAATGTCCGTGACGTGGCAGACTCTATATCTGAACCGGCCGTTGAGTAGTCGCTCACAGACGAGTCAATGGAGCCTGCGTAGTAGCTGTTGGAACCGTAGTTGCTGGCTGACGATATCGAGGAGCTTGTCGAGTGTGTCGAAGGGAAACCATATGAGTCTGCAGATCCTCGTCCACGGCCGTTGGCAGGTGGATAGATGGCCCTAGGTGTCTCTTGGCTCATGGCGAGCATACCTTGTCCGGCGTCAAGGGCATCGGCGAAGCTGCGACGGTCATCCTGGGGAATTCCTCTGTGATTGAAGTCAACTAACGAGTTCCGGTGGGAGCGAACGGTGTCTCTAGGGCCAGGATCGGGCGTTGGAATAGACGGTTGTGAATACCTTCTGTCGGCTTCTGGTGCCAGAGCAAATGTGGAGCGCATGGGTGCCTGTGCATACCCTGGGATGCTTTGATCATACGGTGTCGGCGATGCGGAGTAGGTTGCGTGAACGGGAGATGCGGCGGTTGCTGTCGCGTAAGACGGCTCTCCATATGCGGCTGACGAGGTTTGCATACGGTTCAGGCTTATTAAATCTTGTGGCATGTTGAGTAAGTCCTGTTGTCCAAATACGTCCACTTCCAGGAGAGTGCTACCTGCTGAGGATGCGGTCACCGGGATGCTCCCATAGGAAGCCATCGAGGAACTGCTAGTTGGGTTTGACCGCGCGGCATGTTGTTTCGCAATGTCCTGCAGCCCACCCATGCTGGGGGCGAGGCTCTGCGAGTACATGCCGTGGCTGCCATGCTGGGGCGACGAGGTCGACGCCCACGGGTTGGTGAAATGCGGGGGATTCGAGTAGGAAGACATGTGGTCGAAGTTTAAGGCACCAAATCTTTGTTGTTGGTTGTCGAGTGTCATAGTCATCTTCGTCTCAAAGGGAAGACTTGTACCGAGGGTTGGAAGCTGGGTCTTCAACACCACTCCAAGGTGCTTTCGAATAGTCGGCGCTGATCAGTTGTGGGATCCCGAGTATTAGGCACAAGTCGTGTCACCTAGTCGAGAAACAGTGCTTTGTTTTCAGAGATCCGATGAAGAAAATCCGTCACGAGTAGTAGAGGTGGGATCAGCGAGCCTTAAGTGTGTTTGGCAGGAGTCTGAAAGCGTATGCAACAGGGGGGTTCGTATGGTTGGACGAAGGTACAAGCTGATGCCCGTCGGTACTTATGCCACTCCCCAATTCGTCTGAAGCTTATTGCGTTCTAACCAGCGGGACAGGTGGAGACGACTAAGCGTGTAGTGCCAGTGACGACGACGAACAAATTGATCGGCAGCCCAATGTCCCGTCCTAAGGAGCCCGAGGTTGCAGGGTTGGACGGTAGGTGTATAGTATTGCCCGGGGCTGAAATTTGGGAAGATGGTGTCCAATTTGACGGGTAACCGTTTAGTCCTCCACAGGTCGCGAGTATGTGGAGCTGTGTGGCTCGTTTCAAGACGGATGAGTAGAAGATCAGCAGCGGCCAGAGTGCCGGGTGAGATGTAAGTTGAGCAGGTCCGTGACTAGCAGATAAACAACTGCGCGGCGTTGGATTAGAGCTGTGCGGACTTTTGCAGGTGGATCAAAGGCGCGCGACCGTATAGTATTCGGGCGGCGAAGTGGATTGCTCTGGTTTGTTGGAGGCAAAGTGTACGAAAATAAAAAATAAAAATAAAAAAGGCAGATGACGCGAGGAGGTGGACGAAGCAGGCTTTACATACCGGGAGTAGACAGATGGCTCACCTCCTTCGCAAACTACGTAAATCAGTCGAAGGCGAGGGTCTGAATACCGACTCTGGTGCTAAAGTAGCATACCAAGCCCGTCGAGGTCTTTCTAACCAAAATTGGTTGATATGCAATGGAGCCAAGTACAACAAGGATTGGGTAATGGCGGCGAAAAAAAAATAAGTCGATATGGATTGGGAATTGAGAACAGCCGAACTCGATCATGGGGCGTGGTGGTTGAATGTTGTGTGTGCGAGGGTGTAAGGCTACGGATAATCCCCCTGTCGTTCATTCTCTGCCCCCCCCCAAGCTACTTCATATGTGAGAGGGTGGAGTGTCCAAGGGTCAGCATGGATGGGTGCTTCATGGGGGTTTGGAAGAATGTGCAAGTAACCTCCCACAGGGCCTGCACTTTTGGTTGACGCCACTGATGCGGGAGTCGGACTTTGGAGGGCACACTCATGCAGGGTCTGAGAGGCGCAGACACGATGGGTTGTGGTTGTGCGCCAAAACGTTTGAATTCGAGGTTCCCTCTGGACGGACTCGGGCAATTTCAGTTGCCTCTAGAATGCGAAGCAGCTGGGAGAGGAGAGGGGAGAGGGAGCTTACCGCTTGCCTAGCTCACCTGCCAGGCCCAACTATTACGGTGGGTGCAGCAAATTCCTTAGAAAACCCAATGCCACAACTGGGTCCAGGTGAAGGAGAACGACGTCAGTGGGAGTTCAAAAAAGGACATGGCGTAGTGACGTTGGAAGGAGCCACCCTTGTCCGGCAATAAAAGCGGGTACAACGGGGATGTCAGCTTGTACCGTTACTTCCTATGAACCCTGGGGATTGGTTGCGTCCCAAGCCTGGGTCAGACGGCATCAGTTCGCACGGTATGAAGTAGGTGGCTCCTCCTTGGCGCGCTGCCACGAGCTTCTTGAATGGGGCATGCTTCAGAGCTTTGTCTATAGCAGTGGTTTACTATTATCACGCGAAACGGCAGAATGCTTCATGATCAATTTGTCGTCAGCACTGCCTGCCCAAAGTTGAACTAGGGTCCTTGAGCAATTTGGCGACTGCACGGCAAATTGGTTGGAGGAGTAGGTCCCCAATAACCATGAGAGGTTCATCTCAAAAACAACGTGTTCGGAATGAAACCAAGAGGGTTGCATGAATGACGATATCTTCGAGTGTGTCTCAAATTTCTGATTGAGCCCTGGAGCCGCTCCTTTTGCTGTTGTACTGCCCCATCAACTGTAGTGGATTGACGTAGGTGCCAGACAAAAATAAATATTGATGGTAACGACGGGAAGCTGCGGATCGAGCGTCCCTGCAACCGCGCACCGGCTTGTGGCCGCCTCGGTTCCTGGGTTGCCCGCCTTGCCCTTAACAACCAATATTGACAACATGCCTGGAGACGAACGTTTTACGTTTTCGATTCTGCCACTGTATTGCACAGCATGACGATAAAACACGGGAGAAGCCGAGAAGTCCTACATGAGGTGTTGGGTAATGCAACTGCATTTGGTTACGAGTGTGCTTTTGAATGGCCGGGTCTCACAGCCAATCATTGATCCATCAATCAATGCTTGCGCGACACACTCCCCAGACGACAGATGTCCCACGGTGCCAAAACAACTTGGCATAGCCTCTTTTTGAGTAGGGCAGGTGAGGTCACTCGTTGTGAACAGTCGACTTCACAGGCATGGTGTGAGTCTTCAAGCGATATATACGGCATGCGTCATGTGCTATGAAACTGTCATCATGAGGCCATTCGCTACCAGAAGGAAAGAAACACCCCCGTCCGTTCCCCCACCCCTCCACCCACCGACCGTAGGAAGCAGTAGCGCAAACTGTGTGAACGCAGGCGGTTGGTGAGCTGAGTCGGCATCGAAGCCATGTATCGTTACAACGGGCTCTTCAGGCTGCTGTATTCCTCTTGGCGGGGAGCGTCGTTGTGTGCAGCGACTGGTCGGCGGGGCGGTGTTGGGAGGGTTCGGGAGATTGTAGATGATGGGTGTGGCGCCGAGTAGCGGTAGAGCCTGGGCACTGTCTCAATGGGAATAAGATTCTAATGGCTGCACAAGGCCGAAATGTATGCCAAATGACACAACCGGACCACCAAGTTGCAGTCAGGTCCATCACCAAACCAATCAATGTCCCTTGCTGTCATGCTGGCGGGGGGATAGAGGGGGCCAAGATGTGGGCAGAAAAGGGATTCAAACGAGCAAGGGCCACTATTTCAGCAGGACCATAATCCCCTATGCACTCCCTAGCCATCGACCGGTGAGACGAAAACATCGTTTCCATCAATACGGGCTTCAATATGTTCAGTTGTTATCCGAAGACGATATCCCCACGTTTGGAAGAGAGCATACCGACAATCCGAAACGCCTCGCAAGCCTCCAAGCCTTGCTAAAACACACTGAAGTCAACGGCGTTCCAAAATCTTTTAAGCTTGATGGTTCGATGTCCACAGGCGGCGCTAGTCGGAGAAACCTTCGGTCGTTAATAGGAATGAGACACCAAGCAATTCAAGTCATCGCGCGCCATGGCCGCTGCGACGGTGGGCGCTTAACCGCAGGGGTTGAATCTGACAACCATGGGCGCGGACCAATGGTGCCTGAATTATTATTCCATAGGGCTCTGTGATATTGGCATTTTGCTTTAAAAGTAGACGAGTATGATACTTGCCCATACTACGTAGTACTATGTGCAGGGCGTAGTGGTGTTTTTCGGCCCGGACCCGGCAGCCGACAATGCAGGGCAAGCGCATTGTTGCTTCTCGTATCTGAGCCCTTGCCCTTTGTTTTGAATTTTGACATGTATATCAACAGGACTGTATGAGGTGTCAACCCTCCTAGCGTCCAGTTTGATGAACGTTGTACTCCAACAGGGACTTGCAAATGACATTGTAATTCGAATTGTCCCCATCGTCAAGTTCGAAACTGGAGCTGCCAAGACCACAGCATCGATAGGCATGCGCAGCCCGCTAACGTATGTCTGTTCGCGAACCACGGGCTTGTTCGGAAAATTCCTAACCATGCAGGACTTCATCTTACCCACAGGCCATGTGGACGAGTTTGAAATTGGACTGCAATTCCTGACGGTGGAACTAGCTCGCCATCAATCGGAACCACAGCCTCACGTCCCTCTTGCGTGTTGCGACTTGCGTCTTGAAATCTTGACGTCGTAGCAGAATGTTCAAACACATTCGACATCACGGACCAGGTTGCATTTCAATTTGTGATAAATTATTCCGGTGGAGTCGCGCTTGGCTGACATCGTGTTGAAGGTTCCGGGATCCTATCTGCCCAGCGCTGCCTTTAGCCCTCTTTTGTTCATCACGATAAGCTCTCCGCCCGGAAAGACTGACTTCAAGCACGGAAAGAAACCCTGTCGGGAATAAGGCTTCTCGACGCGTTGCTAGCAGGTGTCAAGTGCGCAATATCTACTGAATATCGTTCCTGCAGGGGATCCGACTTCATCGGAGTCTATTGCAGACGATGCCTATATGAACTCCTTTGACAATCAATAGTCTGCAAGCTTCTCAACGTTGCACATCCCTGAAGACATCCACAGATTTCGAGGAGATTTCCGAGAGATGACAGCGACGATCATAGAAGTGTGAACGGCAGATGCCAGAAGCCACATGCCCCCATCCCCCACTTGCACCTGGCGGATACTACGTGGGCTTGAGATTGCGATACAGTGGGCTTGTTGGTCATATCTCTTGTATTATCAGCACATCTTAGGGCTATCTTCACCGTTTTATCGCGCTGCCCGGCTTGTAACGTCTTGATGTGTCTTCTAGAAGACAGGCATCTCTTGAAGCTTCGACCCGTTTGGACCACCTATCGCGGTCATGCAAATTGAAGGAATTCTCTCTGCATCCGCTTTTGGACAGCTTGGCTTCAGCCATCCAGTCAGAGCGGTCAAGCAAGTCAGGTGTGTCTCAGATTCGACTGGCATTCCCCAACAGGAGCAAGTCCACAATGCGGGTCCTGACCGTTTGTTGATGACACTGTTGACGATCACATCCGTTTCGAGAAAGCCCAAGAACAATGGCGCCTCTTTAGCGCAGCTCTCTCTGGCAGGCAGGGGTCAGAAAGCGCATTCAGGCCGTTCAACCCCCAAACCCTACCCTTTTTTCCCCAGTGTCTTTCGACAGCCTCACCCGTCGAGGTTTTTTAATTACAGCGAGGAAGAGCCGTAAGGCGCTCGATTCATATGGAATTGCCGTGTGCACTAGCCAACGCCATCACGCACGGCAGTCTGGGAGCGAGACGGGGATTCCTGACCAGGAATTCTGCAGGCGTCGTGCAAAAGAAACCATACCCGGTCCGCATCGTATAGTGCATCCACAATGCCAATTCTGCTAGTCACCAACTTGGGGGCGGTCACTGAAAATGGTCGCCGATCAGGATGGAGGGTATGCAAATTGGGTTGACCAACCTCGAACAAGGGTACTACGGTTGTCCGGATCCAGATTTGACACTATCACCAACGTGCATACGAGGTGCCGGAATCTACTTCGACCTTAGGAGCAGAGGATACTCTATCGAGATGTGAAGATTTCCGTTCACCCGGTTACGTTTGTTAGTAAAAGCCACAAATTGACGCCGCCTGTTAGTAAACGCCAGGGTCGGTGCCCATACAGGGATCGCTCAACAGCTCTCGAGTCTTCCGGCGCCTCAATGTCAATGGGGCCTCCGTGTACCAGTTCTAGCTGACGAGGCTTGCAAAACTCAAAACTTGGTGTTGCGAGGGGCGGCATCTACGGCTTGTTGGACCGCCTCCGCTTCATAATGCCCACTGGAATTGGGTAATAGTGCGGCCGGCACGCACCGCGGGCGTGTGCGGGTTGGTTTATAGCTGCCCGCCGGGACGGACCCGTGCAGCTCAATGCGTAACCGGACGGGGCCTTTGCAAAATCCTCATCAATATTTCATTTGTTGCTTTCTTAGTTATAACCATTTGAGCACGATGGCTCCGAAGGCGGAATCAGTCAAAACCCGAGAAACTCATCATCACCGTAATGTGATTGGATCCAGACGCCTCCTAAAAGAGTTGACGGGGAAAGCTCTCCCCGGATTTTCGTATAGTGCAGCTTACCATCTTTCTGTCTGGTGTAGTTTCAAGCTCCGATGGTCCACATGGGAGGGTCACTATTACTGACTTGCGGCTGGTGATCAACAACGCTTCATGGCGATCGGTGTCCATGGACCATGAGAGCGGTTAGAAGGCCACATGGCGAGGCGATCTCAAGGTGACCAGCACCTCTGGGACAACGAGCTACGAATGCTTATTTTCGATAGCGTGTCGATATGTGAAAGCAACTCTGGTATAGTTCACGTTGGTGCCGAAGAATCAATTCTGCCGGTCCGTTTGTATCTGCTACCCGAATGCCACGGTAGGTCTCGTGGCGACGGTTTCGGTTTTGTTATCGTGAACAACTGCTCCTCAAGTCATTTAAGGGTGACATTTGTTCCTAGTGTACCCCTATTTATGGGATTAAGATGCTAGGCCTCGAGTGGGATGGATTTTTATTTTTGAGGATTCATTATGTAGTTATCTTTCACAAGGTTTAGGTTCAGTGGTGATCCACACTGGAAACATTCGCCAGTAGCCGTGTAATTGACCTTTTCCACAACGGAGCGAGGCCAGACGATGGTGATGATGCAGCTATCATCGTGGTAGTCGATTGTGGTCGTTGTATCATTCCTGTAGCTCCAATAGTAGTAGTACTGAGAACTCTAGGCGCACTTAAATGAGTGATGAAAGCCAGTTATGTTGATCGACTTGAATCGCATCTAATTACGAACATGAAAAAAATCTCGCTCATTTCCGGGTTGATTTAGAAATTGAGTGTTGGCTGAGCAAACGAAGTGTCTAAGCTTGTCGCCACTGTGTTCATTCAAATCTGAAAAGACACAACGTACTCACGCTGTTGACCCAAGAGGCGGCCTCTAGATCGGCAACGTGGGAGCAACTAAGTGATCATGGCATGGCTTCTATTCCCGACACGAGGAGTTGGTCTGGGGCTGATCCTGTTTATCCTCTCACCACGAGGAAGTTGAGTTCAGTTTATGGCTATCATTGGCATCGGTGAGGGTGACCAAATAACGAAATGGAATGGCATACGAGATACAGATGTCTTTCTTCGATATGCAGGGATATATGTCTTGGGAAATGGCTTCATCCAGAATTTCAACCATGGTATCATGAGTAAAACACCTACAAGCCCATCAGACTTCTAGTCATCAAGCCGTCTCATTCACAATCTGACCCTGTACGATGCAGTCTCTGTCAAAGATTCGCTCCACAACAAACCGAGCTACAAGGCTCCTTCCTATGTCTGAGCGATGAACGCCGCATCGTCGTCAATGGGAAAGACCTCTGGGTCACGAAAAGTCTGGAGCAAGCCCTTCGCCATTTTCGTCCCAGACAGCCAGGAAGTCCGTATGTCCTTTTGGAAGATGCTATCTGCACAAACCTTGAGTGGCATTCCCTAGTGAAACCCTCGCCTCGCAGGTAATCTCATGGCTGGGTCCCGGATTGACCACGTCTAGCAGAGCAATTTAGTCACTGAGGCTATCCACTTGCTGCCGCAAGGCCGATGAAGCTGTTTCTCAGTGTTCACATGGTGATTCTACGCAAGATGCGCCCTCTTATAATGCGGTCGTCATTAGACTCCCAGAAACATGGGCACAGAAGCCCAGTCGTACTATGATCCCGAGGTTGGTTTATCGTGACATACGAACGGAGGGGAACTTTATGCTTGTGTAAAGTAGTGAAATCGTGCCATCTACTCGCTCATCGGTGTTGTCATTGGGGCATTAATCAAGACTTGACTGGGGGCATTGGTAGTTACGTAGGATCTCTTTCATCTTTCTTAGCATTTTTGTTTGTTCATGATGCATCTGTCTTTTTCAAAAAGGGGCAGATAAGTACGTGTTCAAAAGAAGTATTTCCACAAAACAAAGACCTTTTTTGTTCAAATTGAAACCATGGGCAAGCCCCTTTTCACATCAAGCCTTGCCGGCGACAAAAATCAATTATTCAATAATTCATCTATCCATCTAGTGACAAGTTGTGTTAAATCAAAGTGGTATACTTGGTTTGCATCATGGTGCCGAAGGCAAACCTTTTGCAACACGGGTTCGTCAGTCATGGCTAATACAGCATACCTCGAAGTTCTACTTGCACATCGCCAACAAAATTGGTCTCCCCTTCTACCTGTTCTCTAGAGCGAACCGGCGAAAGACAGATCCCTCATATAATGACCTGGCCAATGAATTGTTCGATAATATTTCTTGTTTATTCCTTCCGTGACTTGACAGACGGCCAGAAGCTTTCCTCCAGCACAAGGACGTCCCTCCAGACCTCCATAGCGATCTTCTCCACCTCGTCTTCAGCACTATACGCAGCAGCGCAAGCATCTACACACTCCTGTATCTCCTTGACGAAGCGCTTGAACTCATCACTAGTCCAGTTAGGGATGAAATGCCTCCTCAGCGCCCCCCCGTCCAAGTCGTCATCCCCATTTGCAATCGCATCCGCACCACCCTGCTCCTTCGCATACGTCCACGCATCCAGGTACACCTTCTCGGTCGCCCACAGCAGCACCAAACCCTGAATTAGCGACTTGTGCTGCGCCCCCGCATTTTTCTTCGCCTCACCACCGAACGAGTCGAACAGGTCAATGTATCTCTTCGTCACATCATCCGGCCGGAAATCCGTCGCCCCCTGACTGCTGCTGCAAGCAGAGCAGGCCTGTAAGTCCAGATCGTACTCCCTGGCCGTCTTCTCAAAGAATTGCAGCTCCGTCATGATTCCCTCCAGCGCGCCCTGCAGCATAGCCAGGACCCGCCACTCGAGCGTGTCCACGGTGCCGCGCTGCGAGCTCATGGGTAGATGCAGGCGCGATATCAGCCCGCCGATGAAGCGCGTGTATGCTTGCGCATACAGTCGATCCTGGGAGAGCCATTTTGAAAGGTCATCTTTGGGGAGCTTGCCTTGGCCTGCGAGGCGGAGGTAGTTGCTCTGTGTGGCATTTCTGTAGAGCTGCGCTGTTTCGGCGTTGTGTAGGAGGTGGTGGGTGATGCTGACCATGGTTACTGAGCTGTTGTTGTTTGGGTTTATGGTCGTACGTGTGGGTTGCGGCGCAGGTTGGTTTACAAATTGGATCTTGTGTTTGGCAGGTGGGACATGTGACATGGTGTGATGTATGGTATATGCAAGTGTGGTAGAAAGCTCTTGCTTGGTGGGCCAAACAACTTTTGAGTACGTATCAAGCTCTCCGAGTTTGTTCCGACTACCTCACTTATCAGGAGTGCCTGTCTGCCTGTGAGGATCATCACTCCAGTCGTCGCTCTTTGTAATTTCCTACTTGACACCACTAGACAGAATTGTTTCTTTGACTGAAGCCAGCAAGTTCAGATAAATGGAAATATCAAGCTCAAGAGTTTGTCGCCGGGTCATATCAAGAAGTCCGGCGCACGCTATGCCACTTGTCCCCGGACAAGCTGCAACTGAAGGATCGGAAACTCGGTTACCCATCCGGCTCTTGACACTCGCCTGCGCGTCAGCGTTAATCCGCAGGACAGACAGAAGGTCATCGAACAATGGATGAACTTTCCCGATGTATCAGATCGGGCTTCCAGAACCTCTCTGTAGCATTCCAGGATGTAGGACGCGTCGTCTGCGTCCAAAGATGGTCTGTCTTGATGAGAATCCATATCGTCTAAACGCCGGTATAGCTGGCCACGACCTCGACGATGTTGGGGCCCTTCAGCCGCAAACACTTGCTGGACTCGAACTATAGAAAATGGGTCCATCGTTGAGGATTCAAAGTGGTGGAAGTTGATATCAAGACTCGGGGAATGCCTCACCAGCTTGCAAATTCAGCATAGCAGGCGGTTGCTTGATGTATGTTGGGCGCTAATATTGTACTAGCTGCCGGTGAAAACCATGGCAATTGGGCGATCGAGGTGAGGATATGGATTATATTAGTAGAAGTGGCAGGCGTTGTATGCAATCGTGGAGTCTCAAGTATGGCACAGACAAATTAGCCACTTCGCTTCACCAGAAGATTGTCGTTTACCCACGTTACTCTTGCGCAGCTCGCATCATCAAGAGCACCATGCACTCGGAGAATTGTAGATCAATTTGAAAGAAAATCGATACCCGTAACTCAGCGAAACCTGTATCGTTCCCACTAGAATAATTAGGGTAAGGACAACTTGGATTATATACAGTCAGGCTCCAAAAGTCTGGGGACACTCCACTTTTACTACAGCGCTCTTTAGGGGACTGGGATTTTAATATGGCTATGTCTCTATGAATATATAGGCTACAGGTATTAAAATAGAGTCATTTCGAAGCTTATAACCCGTAGATTAATATTTTGTATACCAGCCGCGGGATTTAATAATAGCGCGGAGCCTATGCTCTGGAGTGTCGTATAGCTTCTTAATCAGCGCTACCGGTACTGCCTTCCACGCTAACTACAGCGTAGCTTGAAATTTCTCAATATCCAGCTAGTTTTTTTTAGGATAAAGAGTTCAGGGCATTCCCTAGATAGATACCTCTTTAACCAGGCCCATACGTGCTCTATAGGGTTGAGATCTGGGGAATGCGCTGGCCAGTCTATTAGAGAAATAGCGTGCCGGCCGAACTACTCCATAGCTTGCGCCGAGAGGTGTATCTTCGCATTATCTTACTGAAAATGCTGCTAATCCTTATAAAATGGGATTACGCCCTCTCTCAAGGCCTTAAGATAACTCCAGGTATTGTAGCCCTTCTATCTCTTGCCCTCCTCCTGGGGGGGTCGCTCCATTACGATCAGGTCGCTCTTCTTCCCTACTCCTCCCTCGACGTAGATCCCACCCCAGACCATAACCGAAATATTCGCTTTTACGTGTGCCTTAAGATTCACGAAGTCCTTATTATACTTCTCGCTCGGAAATCGGAAGACCTAGGCGGTCGGGGATGACGTAGAATTCTGTATAGACTCGTCGGAGAAGATTACCTGTGGACTAGATTAGCGGGGGAACCCTCGATACGCCGGAGGCTATACCGTTATCAATTCCTCCAGATTTTCGAGCTAATAAGTTGCAAATGCAAGGCGATCGGCTGCTAATTCTTTGGTGAGTGGTATGCGCTTAAGCGCACGCCATTTATTCATATTAACGGCGCGTAGGTACCTCCGAAGGGTACTCTTCGAAACCTTACTACTCATAGATTGCATAAGCTCCTTATAAGTCCAATTTCGATTACGCTTGCATAATTGAACGAGGAAACGCTTACCCCGACGTGAAAATCTAGGGCGACGACCGCTTCGAGCTAGCGAATCGAAGTTATGGCTAGATTTCCAGGACACCAGGGATTTCGTGACGGTCGATCGGTGTACGTTAAAGAGGCTAGCTACGGTAGTCTGCGGGATACCGCACATAACTGCCGTTACTATGGCCGCCCGTTGGACTTGAGTATACTCACAGCCAGGCCGATGATCAGCTATTACTTGCTACGCAAATTCGGTGAGATTCGGCCTTATTTTGATATAATTGTAGTGGTTAAAATGTTAGAGGGTGTAGGTGCGAAGTGCGCGAATTTTCGCGTTGGCGTAAAGTGTCCCCAGAGTTGTGGAGCCTGACTGTAGATCCAGTCGAATAGATAGTGCCGGGTATGTGCTTTAATTTCCCTCCCTGGTTGCCCTTGGCACGGCACAGTGGCGACAGGGCACCACAACCTCAATTAACTAGAGGATCCGTCAGCAACGGATTCACCAGTCATGATGCCAAGATCTGCTTTGCAAGCACCGTGTGAGTGATCGCTTGCACATGCCCTTAGCCATGACATATACCCACTCAGTAACATGAACTGTATGCGTCGTAGAAAGGACGTATGATGAGATGAGTTCACACCACTTGTAGGCGTGTCAGATATCAGCATATTTATTGTTGTCCGTTGGTGGCTTGTATATATCTGGTCACCTCTCGGGAGCTGGGCCAGTTAGCGGGCCCTCTTGGCGTGGCCTGGCAGCCGAAGTAGCTGATTCCACTTCAATATGGCTAACCAAATAATGGGTCGTACAGATTACAGGCGGTCATTTTAAATCTATGCATGCGACGCCACATTTATATCGGGTTGTTCTGCGAAGTCGATGGTATTCTGCCGTATGCCCGCCAGCACTCAAACCGATGAGCTTCTACAAGCATCTGAAAGTTGCCGAGGCGGCTTCGAGGTAGTTGGCCCCTCGAGTACGACTGATATACGGAGTTCATTGTGCTGGTGGTTTGGGTTTCTTCGTTGCTAAACGTCACTGGGCATGACAATGCCATTGTGGATAATGGGGAAGATTTTCCAGGGAGGTTCGAAGTGAATATTGTATCCTAATATGGGGGCCGCAGGAGTCAGGCGCTTAAGACATTAATTCCTCGTCACCTCCTTCAGCAGGTTCAGGCACCGTAGGAAGCGCAAGGATCTCATAGGAAACGCCGGGAAGCATCTGAGGCGAAGGTAGTTCAAAAACGTCATGTGGGTATTGGATGCCGTTATATTCGCTGTCAGAGCTATGCGCCATGAGCCAGGCGTCAAGAAAACGGCGATAGTCTATGAAGCATTAGCTGGTCTTTACACAGTCTCAGTTCTCGGAGATAAGATACCTTCATTGCGACTGAACTGAATACCCAGGTAGCGGATATCCAAAGGGCTCGGACCGTCTGGATTCGCTGTTACTGATCGTTGCCTCGGACGAAATGCCGAAGACAACGTTCGTCTCGACCCTGACCCACTGCCTCGTCGGCCTCGCACGCTAAGGCGAAGTGTCCGCCGTCGATCATCGCGCCCCCGAATTTCTCCTTCGAAATAGTCGACCATATACTCTTTATACCGCCGATCTGATCGATTTGCAAATATTGTCAGAGAGTGCAACGTGTTGACTCGATCTGACCAAAGCTTCAGACGCTGAACGGTGCCTATACCTCGGACGTTGCCGAACGCATCTGTCCTTCCTTGGGTGTCAGTCCATACTACATCGACGTCGAAGCAGTCAATAAGATCCTTTCTTCGCAGGTCGCCCTGGAAGTGTAGTGAAGATTCTATAGTAGTGAAGTCGTATTTAACCTCAATCGCTTGGTCGTGTATAGGAACCCCGTCTTTTCGCGTGTATCTGACCCGATGTCGTTCGCGAAAGGTGATGCATTGTTCGAGTTGACAAGGGTCCGAGAACGGTCGGTGCCGCGCATGCAGGGTATGGGGAAAGGTCTCGCCGGAAGCAGAGGACGGCACTGGGAGCGCTACTCAGAAAACGAGTCGGGCCACAGGCGGCTTGGGCGACATACAGAAATGCTCAAGGCGCTCTAGTTGGTAGCTACCTTGCCAAACAATGCGGCGGTGCTCGTTGCCGACCACCTCCCAAGGACCGAGATACACTGTCCTCTCGTCGGCCGTGCCCTCAAATAATACACTGGAGTAGGCAGGTATCTTTGTCAGAAAACATACACTTCTGGAAAGTCGAGGTGCAACGCGAAGCAGTGTGGCTTACATGGTCGCTTGATAGCCAGGTGGGCCTAGGTCGAGCGGTCGGAGCTGGTCTTGCGGGGTGGACAGCTCGTCTGTGAAGGCTGACGACGCTGGGGAATTTGGAGTCCAGTTGGAGTTGACTGGACTGGAGGTGGCTGCGAGATTCGGTGCATACGCAGGTAGACTAAATGCCGACGAAGCATAAGACCTCGATGAAGATGATGAAGAAGAGGTAGCCATTGCTGCTAAAGGCCGCGCATTCAAGTTTGGCTGGCCACCCCTTGAGGAGTGAGAAATGCGAATGGTCTATTTCATAGAGGGTATATTTCTTCTGTCTGAGGGACCAGCATCTATGCAAGTGTGGCATGCTCCGTGAGTCGCTCCTCTTCCTTATCTGTAACAAGCTGTAAATGGTGCTGAGATTGGAAGTTAAGGTTTTGTGTGGTTTGCGAATTGCGGCAACGCATTGTTGACCTGAGGCTAGGCGGGTGTTTGGACAGCTTCGTTGATGTGCCTCACAATGCAGACAAGGCTTTTTTACCAAAAATATATCCGGATTCGAAACCCACCAACATGGCTACCCTAGTAGCCGGTTTATACAGACGATGCTTCGGAATGGGGTTCGTGGTAGCCGATTACATACATCCCTCTCGGGACATGAAAACCATTGGGAAAGACACATGGCGCCGTAAATGGTAAACCGCCCAATCTGCCCTCTGCAGCACTCGCGCATAAGTTGGGACAGGGTTGATGCGCAAAGGTGATTCGCTTCGCTTCGCAAGACGACGAACTGCATAAAGTTAAACTGTTCCAAAGTCCAGACTCAAGGACGATTGACTTCGATTTGCCCACGGCCAAGTAACTCGTTATTTGTGTCAGTGCCTGACTGGTATCGAGTTGTTCAGGGAGCAGGTCCTCGTGGGGAGTTCTAAATCGATACCGTCTTCTCGAGACAGATATAGGAATACGCACTTGAGCTAAACTTCGTATAGTCGTCTAAGCATGCGGCTACATAGTGCTCGTCACACACAAAAACAATTCAGGCCAACGTGAGCTGCAGTGAAGAACGGTGCAGCAGCTTCGACAGCCTGTCCAATCATCTAGACGAATCCGAGCACATGCTAATTTCTCTGGGTACTGATCCAAGCCTAGGTTTGGGGTTTAATGCGCAGCTGGTTGGGGGAGACTTGGCGATTCTCTAGTGGGGCAGAATAGTCCGGGGTAGTCATCCGAGCCGGCTTGTGTACCAGAGATGACGGTGTCTTCTGGATCATATACACAAGAGCTGCTGCGTATACTGACCCATATGACGAGGTGATTACGCCTGATGGCTGATGCTGCATGGCAGAGCTCCCATTAGGTCCTGACGAAGCTAGCATCTATGAGACCCAAGAAGGTGACTAGGGCGGGTTGCAAGGCTGGACAAGGCTCAGAATGCCTCAGAGACCGACTTACTACTGAGCTAGCTCATTGACCCGAGGCCGAAGTATGTATGGCCTGCAGTCTTGGTCTGTCGATACCCGACATGTTAGTGGGATGTGACCGACAAGCAGACCGGTCTAGGTGTTGGCAAGAAGCTCCCATGCGATTCATCTTGAAACGAAGAGGTTGTCACACATGCAGGGCGGCTATCGTCAAAGTCATGTTAACCTGTGGGCTGACTTGGAGAGCTTCGCTTCAAACCAAGGCAGCTGTCGGTTTATAATCATATGCAACGAAATGGAGTAGCAGATGATAATGGAGGACTCGGGTACATTCGAGCCTATAGCTGAGCTGGCGAATGAGTATATTATCAAATGGTAGGTTTCTGCGTGCAGAAAGTTCACGCAGTGTGTCATTAAAGGTAGCAGAGCTTTTAGCAAGCGCGCCACATTCATCTAATGTCCCATGCTCCTTCCCCACAGCAGCCTAGGCTAACAACCGGCCTTCACCATGCGTTTACTCAGAATGTTTCTTCTTTATACTTATTTCTTTGCAAATCCTCGAATTTCCAAATTTTGTCGACGCAGGTTGTCTCGGTTCCGTCGTCCTTGTTCATCAGTTGTTTCGGCTGGGACATTCCTTCTCGGTTCTCGGTGCCCGAGTATTATTTCGTGCGTGTCCTAGATGTGACTCCGAATGAACGGTTCCCATCTTACGGAGTGCGACATGAACCTGCATGACTCTCAGTGACAAGACCCACTTGGACGCCTTCGGCGACGATATTAACCCCTCGATATCCCCTCGTGCTCCCCTTCGGACGTCACACCAAGTGATATACGACATCCAGCAGACAAGGGCCGGCTTGCGCCTTGAGTCCGGCTCGGCTCCCCTCCCATTCATCTCTCATGATGGACGAAGACATCGCTCCGGAAGCGCGGAGGAATCGGGGCTTTTTAGGCTTCGACAGCTCTGCCCTCTCAGCGCGAGATCGTCAGGCACGTCTAAACTAGCTACCGTCACGAATGCTTGGCAACCTTTGTTGCCACGATCAGAGAAGCGGCGTGGTTCGTGCTTGCTGACCCGTATATGTCGCTTTAGGATCGCCGTCAGTTGCGGTATGAACTCGATCTGAACACTTGGAACCTCAGAATCTGGGGAGTAGCAGCATCTGGGTTTTTTACTGACTCGTAAGACTCCATCGTATCCTGTCGCTGCTGTTCTAAAACATGATTGGCGTGTCTCACTTGAAACTTGAAAATTAACTTCCTACCTCGGATATAACCTATTCTCAACCAATGTCATCTTGACTTCTATGTCGTTCGTATATTTCCCTGGCCACAGATGGCCCGGCCTGCTCATCAACCTCTTTACCCTTTTCGGATCCGCACTGGGCCAACTTCTCTTTGGCTACCTCGCCGACTGTTATGGACGCACTCGTCTTTACGGTATCGAATTGCTACTTGTCATCGTGTCAACTATTGGCGTGGCCACGGGCAGTAGCGCTGGCTACAACAGCCTGTCATTTTTGGGCCTTTTCATTTGGGTGAGTATTATGTCATTGACGGTATCTATCAAAGCGCAACAGTGTCTAACAGCATTTTTATAGTGGCGTTTCGTAATGGGAATAGGTTTGGCAATGATCCAGAAGCCACGAACTATTTCCGTGCCAACTATATTTAGGTATTGGAGCTGAATACCCACTGAGCGCCGTCATCACGTCGGAATGGGCAAGCACGCAATCAAGAGCTACTATGCTTGGGTCGGTTTTCCTCATGCAACCCGTTGGCCAAGCCGTAGCCCAGCTCGTCGCTCTCTGGGTTATATCAGGTCGAGAAAGTGAACATCATTTGCGTGACATGCGATGCGGTATCGACACCAAGTACGACACAGAGTGTAAGCAGCTTGTTGATGGGATGTGGCGCGTTGTCATTGGCTCGGGTGCTGTACCTGCTCTGCTAGCCATCATATTCCGCTTCTTCCTATATGACTGTGGCTTATATCAACTCGAGGTCAAACACAAGCCTGGCGTTGCGTTGAGAGATATGCGGAGGCTTTACGTCTCGCAGGTAGGTGCTCGCAATAGCATCATGATGAGGAACTCCCCTGGGGCAACACAGATACGTACCGCACAACCACAGCCATCTCAGTTCTCGACGGAGGATTTGTACAACTACTTCTTCCGCGACGGCAATTGGTATTACTTAATAGGTACGACGGGCTCCCCTTTCAAATGTCCGAAGCTGCACTAGCGAGCTAACACTGAATGCAGGCACCTCGATGACGTGGCTTATGTAAGAAAACGCGCTCTAAACGATGCCTAGACTCTGTGTCTCTTTGCTCATCGTGCTAACGTCTAGTCTGTAGATTAGATGCCGGGTTCTATGGCTTCTCCTTAGACAGTCGAGCCACACTTGCAGACTTGTGGGCTTCCACAAGCCGTCCACTCGTCGATTCGAGCCTTTCTTGTTGGAATTCCTCCTTTCCAGGAGGGAATTCAACTCTCCCCAGCTGGAAGGACAAATATAACGGGCTTCCTGCCTGGCAAACGGATGCAACGAAACCTTGCAACAGTCTCTATGACGTGCTCGTAGAACAGGCGAAGCAATACCTGCTCACCGTCTCGATCAGTTCCATCGCCGGGAGCACGTGCTTCATCTTCTTTGCCAACCGCTTCCCCCGCAAGCACTGGCTTACTTCATCATTCCTCGTGCTCGCCGTCCTATTCGTCATTATTGGCGGTCTGTACTATGGCGTGGCACACACCTTTCGTGCACCGGCGATCGTGATCTTCGTTGCCATCTGCCACTTCGCCTTCAACTTTGGCGCCAACACGCTGACATTCATCATTCCAGCCGAGATATACCCAACGTGTTACCGGTGTACGTGTCATGGCATCTCGGCCGCGGCGGGGAAGCTGGGGTCCATTATGGCGCTGCTCATCGTGTACGGGATCAACGCTGGATACACGGACCCCAATCGGCAGGGGCTCGTTTTCATCCTATTCGGTTCAATCTTGGCCCTGGGGGCGATTTACTCGTGGGCCTATCTTCCACATGTGCAGAGACTTCTTCGCGACGATGACGGACGGGAAGTACTGGAGACGAAAACTCTGGAGGAACTTGGTGGAGGAAGGGAGCAAGCTAGGATTGAAGGTGAGATCATCACGGTGAGAGACAAGATGAATGAGGCCAGGCGTAGACGGAAGGAACGGCTTGGCTCTCAGGGCGTATCGCATGATCCACAGAGTCAGGCTAGGAACTAGCAACCCTGAAGTGTATCGCCAATGCCCCTATTTCCCAGCGACTGAGTCCTATGAAGACGAGGACTGCATCGCGGGATATTTCCTTGTTATCGTAGGGATTGCGTAAAGCCTGTATGTACTCCGATGATTCCAATACAAAACAGTTTTGCCAGCCGTAGCGCTTTTCATGACGCTGAAGGGTGACTGTTTAGGGTACATATTAATTTGCCATAGCCCCCAAACTATGGCTCTCATCGTACGCAATATTGTTGACCCAACCTCCACTGCTATGCGACATCGCTCCCTTGTACGCACGCAAGTTTCGTCCATCCGTCAGTATCAGTTATATATACCTGATGAATCTCCGCGATCTATGATCGTAATGACATGTGTTTACTCGTCACATGGAGACTACTAGTAGGTGTTACTAGTAACTATAGATTAGCTAAAAAAACGTAAGTAGAGGTACTGGGGATACTTGGACTATTATACAGTCAGGCTAGGAGTAGGGAAGAAGAGCGACCTGATCGTAATGGAGCGACCTGTGACGGTTGTCACGTGATTGACCTACACTGGTTTGAATAGATTGATAAGTGGTTGCAGATATCAAAGTCAGGGACTTTGGTATTGGTCTCTTTTGGTGAAGACATCTGGTACGGTGGCGTAGTGGCAAGGATTGCAACCCCTAGCACGGCGTGACACGACCCCCCCAGGAGCAGGGTAAGAGATAGAAGGGCGACAATACCTGGAGTTATCTTAAGGCCTTGAGGGAGGGCTTAATCCCATTTTATAAGGATTAGCAGCATTTTCAGCAAGATAATGCGAAGATACACCTCTCGGCGCAAGCTATGGAGTAGTTCGGCCGGCACGCTATTTCTCTAATAGACTGGCCAGCGTATTCCCCAGATCTCAACCCTATAGAGCACGTATGGGCCTGGTTAAAGAGGTATCTATCTAGGGAATGCCCTGAACTGTTTATCCTAAAAAAACTAGCTGGATATTGTAACGGGGTAAGGCCGGACATCAGGGAAATAGGTTACGGGGCTAGGGGAAAGTTTATTTTCTCTTCTTTAAGAGGCACAGAGGCAGAGTAGGACACGAGTCCCTCATCTTCACGCATCATCATCCTCATCTTCATATCATCATCTCCTTCTTATCTATATCTTCACCTTCGCTTTCCAGTCAGTTATTTAGTTATTTTAGTTATTCAGCTTATCTTTACGTTCGAGATCCTATTATCACGATACGAGTCTCAGAGGCACATCCGACCAACTCGCGCACCAGACGTGTAAGAGCTTCACTCTTATAACCAGTACCACGATCTTCGTCTGATAAGACCAACAGATCCCATCTGTTGGTACTGGAGCCGTCTGTTCAGTGTGTTAGGTGGTAGGTATATCCTACTGACCGCCTGACCCCGTTTCAATATTGAGAAATTTCAAGCTACGCTGTAGTTAGCGTGGAAGGCAGTACCGGTAGCGCTGATTAAGAAGCTATACGACACTCTAGAGCATAGGCTCCGCGCTATTGTTAAATCCCGCGGCTGGTATACAAAATATTAATCTACGGGTTATAAGCTTCGAAATGACTCTATTTTAATACCTGTAGCCTATATATTCATAGAGACATAACCATATTAAAATCCCAGTCCCCTAAAGAGCGCTGTAGTAAAAGTGGAGTGTCCCCAGACTTTTGGAGCCTGACTGTAGGAACGTCAAACATTAGCAGTAATCCCCAATGTGAGCGATTCGCACACGTAGTTTTGGTCGAGCTCTACACCAGCTGTACCTGACCAGTTAAGCACACTAACAGCGTGTAGCTTGGCCCGCAGACAACAATGACCATGTTCAGCGCCACTTAGGAGACACGCTGGTACGCCGTAGCTACAGCTGAGCTACTTCTGGCAGCTTTCTTGTGTACAACGCCTGGAGGGCCCGTCATCATCATCGCCCTCAAGACCCGATGTCATGGACCGATCTCGAACTCGTGGGGCTCAACATCACGAGATTCTTCGCTAGCATGACACTGATCAGCCTCCCGCTCAAGACCCTGAGTAACGCGCCAAAACACACATCGCTGCTTCACGATGCCGCGTGTTCTGCAAGATCCCCATGTCCACACAGATGCCTCGGGAATCTGGTGATACGGTAGAAGCGGCAATAGAATCTTTCCATGCAAGAAGTCACCCTCTGTGCTCCACGTGCGTGCTGTGGTGCTCGGGTGAGCAGCGTGCCTAGACTTCGTGTCCAGCATCTGAGAGCCTTGTGTTGCGTTATCGACAGGTCGGAGAGTTTGTCAACGGCCCGAGATCTTCAGATTCTCAATTCTGTGTGTCCTCCGCGGGATCTTGTAAAACAAAGAGGTAGTAACTGCTGGGATCGAAGCGCACAGCAGTGCCTCTGGCCAAAACGATTGACGTCATAATTTGTCCTCCACCTCAAGTCCCTTCGTCACTCGGTGAAATACACCTCACAATGACCGAGGGGACTTTTCCGCATGATAATTCATGGGTATACCTGTCAAATGTCTCGCGAACCCGAATAACCCCAGATCAATAGATAGAACGTCTAGACCCTTGTTTTCAACCTTCCGATTCGACGCTGCTATCTTTCGACCCGTTTCTCGCGATGGGACATCGTTGACCTGGTCATGGTATCGCAAGCAGCCTATTCCATCATTCTAGTGCTATCTCGACAGTTTGACAATAGCAACGAGGGATGGAATCGCCGTGATTCTGTTCTGCTCCGCGGAGCAAATTTGTCCAGGGTATTCCGATCTCTTCTCTTGGATCCCGTCTCCAGCCGGGGTAGCCGGATAGCCGGGAGGAGGGGTGGGGGAGGGTGGTTGAGGCTCGATAGGAAACCGAGGCCTGGTACTTTGGTTGTAGGGAACTGAAGATAAGTCTACGGAGGTCAACACAAATAATACCACGTCATTTCGGTACGAAGAGGAAGAAGCAGGCCTAGGTAGGTTCGTCGTGATACCTACCCTTACACATCGGAGAATATGGTGTGTCCAGTGCTGTGTGATTGGCGTGTATGCAAGCGCTTAAAGCACCACGCGCCAATCAGAAGAAAAAGGGTCTAGAGCTACTCTATCACCAGGGATCGACAGGTACAGCAAAGGAAAGAGCAATACAAGGGTCTTCGCGGATCCCAGCTCCCGACCGGAAGTGGGGAAGCAGTACCCACGGACTCGTCGGCTTGACGTACATATGAAATAAGAGAAACAAGGTTGCCAGCATGGGAAAAGGTTGGGTTCTTGGTTCCAGGCTGTTGTGGAGTGTGGCACTTCACTCTAGCAAGTCGATCATCGTGGTTATGCGGGTGCGCGATGACGTCGTGATGTTTTCAACCTTAGTTCGACTGTGGGGTAACAACTGCTGATGTGCCCACTTTAGACCAACGTTTCGGATATCAAGGCAAAAATAAAGGGGACCATGTTCGTGCCAAGAAAAGGGTCAGGTGCTGACTCTACCGAGCTACCGAGGCACGACCTTGTGCCGTCGAATTGCAAGCCGGGGCTGCCATCTAAATCAAAAGACCGATGAAGGCAGGGTAGGGTAGAGATGGGCGAAGGACGAGGAGGAGGAGGAGGAGGAGGAGGAGGAGGGAAGGATCCAAAGTTTGCGACCGTCTTGAGCTTGCATCGGAGAGCCTGATGAAGTAAAGTGTGCCGTTAAAGTGAGTGCATAGCGTGGCGATGGCATTTCCCCAAATGCCATGTCCATCATGAGTTTTTGGGGAAATCTGTCGATCATTCGGATGTTGACGTGCATGGGAAGCTTTGCTCCGGGGATGCAGCGAGGGAGAAGGGCCAAGAGTCTTAAGAGGAGAGTTTGACCAATATTAGGTTGAATAAGGTGATAATGGGAGGGTGTGGTGACCAACTTGCTATCTGACGGGAAATGGATACGAATTTATGCGGGCAGTGCTTGGTCTTAGATAACTGACTGTGCCGAGCCTGGTTCCCAGAACTGGTTACTGTCGCGAGGTGAAGCGTATCTGATGTGATAAAGGCGACGAATTGATTTTACCGAAGCACATGTGTCCATTTAATGGTGAAATCGCAAGAATCACTTAGTGCGCTTAGCCGCAAGCTTGAAGTTTTGAAGTTTTGAAATTTTGATTTTGCAATGTGATATCGATTGCCCGTGTTTTCATATGCCATCGGCCCCTAAGGGGCAGATGAGTGGTATCTGACGCCTAATTCAATGCCGTAGATATTCAAACCAAAAAATAACACCAATGTGAACAAATTTCCAGCAAACACCGTAATGTGTTCCCATCCGGTGTCCGCTGGAAGACGCCGGACCTAGTTGATAATATGCCAACTCTTGCTCATAAACGCTTTTGAGCCCCGCTCAATAAACCTGACTAATGGGCAATTCCAACGAGCCGACATGATCGGCTTTGATCGCTTGCCTCTTCGTGGCTTGTAAATGTTCACGTTCTCTCTGAGTATTTCCCGTAAATGCAAACCGCCAGTGCGCCGTCGTATGTTTAGGCCCTAAATGTCCAAAGTCTCAATTCCATGAATAATCAGATACTGTCGTATATGTTGCCGTAAGTCTGAGTGTGGTGATGGTGAAAGGTCATTATCCCCCACAAGTCATTATTCCTGAGAGGGAGACTTTCGTCAGGGATGAAAAAAATTGGAGCGGGAGGATCTACAACAGAAGCGTCAGGATTCGCCCTCTTGACAAGCAATTGCTGCCAGTGCATCAAGACCGCTGCTGCTCGTCCTCCCCGCAACAGGTCGACTCATGAGAGGCATATTGAGCCCGCGCATATCCCATGCGCCTCCTGGCGATGGCAGCTGGGTCGCGTCATGTGGGTATTGTTCCACATCCCACATCTGCACATCCTGCGACATTTGGCTACTGTGAGAGGTGGTTGATCTTGAAGACACAGAGCCACGTTTTACGGAGGTGCTGTGAGAGTGCTTGGATGAGGCCTTGGATGACGCTGAAGACCTCGACTTGTCCTTGAAGTGAGTTTCCAAATGTTGCTTCATGTTGTCTGCCCGGGTGAACTTTTTGTGGCAAGCTGGGTACGAGCATTGGACGGCCTTCTCAGCGGTGTGTATCTTGGAGTGCCGTGACGCATGACCCGATGTGGTGAAGGTCTTTTCACAGCCATGGCTGTCGCGGTACCGGCATGGATATCTCTTGCCTGTCCGTTCAGGTGCCGATGATCCATTCGAACTCTCGTCCTCGTAGGAATTGGACCGGCTTCCTACGTAGGCAGGACGCTTGATTGTAGCTTGCTGGTCTGATAGGTAGTCTTCATAGGGGCCACGATTCGCATAGTCGTAGACCGTCGGCGTGATGGGGGATGCAGGGTCGTAGCTTGTATTCGAGTCGTATGAATCTGACCTGAGCAGCTCGGGAGTGGTAGGGTAAGGTGAACCGTCCCGTGCCGATGGATAATGGCTTGTAGTCCGGAAGGTCAACGGCTGTGAGAACGACTCATCATTCAGCAAGGAGACCTGACGGCCTGTTGCATCTCTGGCTTGCATGTTTCAAAGTGGATTGACGAGGCAAATTCTGGTGAGTTGAGATGTAGCAATCGCATTCAAGCCTCAGCTGAATATATGGTCTCCGTGTATTCAGTTACAGACTGAACGCTGAATTACCGCAATGCAGGCCACACTCGGTTGCCCTGAATAGACGCTACTACGAGATGATGGAAGCGAGTTCACAAAATTGATCTTGTTTGGCCGCCGAATCGTACGATAAGTGATGGAGTGTCCGAGACGAATAAATATGAACAGACGGATACGCGAGGCCACTGGGGTCTGAGTGTGGTTGGTGGCAAGACTCGGCCACACGGTGGTGAAGAAAATTTGGAAACTTCGTAAGTAAACACAATAATTGCATCTGAGCTCACGAAGTGAAAGTGCGAAGTGAGCGCCGGTGGTTTTAAACGAAAACATGGGAAAGCATGAATCCCATGAGTTTTTGCTCGCCCGCAAGGCTCAAGGGCCCCACTTGTGCCCATCAGGGTGGACTCGGTGCACATCTCCAAGCCTCAAGGGACGACACTGGGTGACTAGGGTCACGGTTGCCAGGGTTCAAGGGTGCTAGTGGGAACAAGAAAAAACAGGAGCGGGGCAGGTAGCAGCCACAGGGTTCGACGTGTACTCACCAAAGTACCCTGAAAGTACCGCATGGCGCTATTGAAAGTCATGGGCCCCGCATGTCCCGCATTCTCGGAACTGAGAAACTCACGATTTCGACCACGGTGGACTGACCACGCGGCGAGCATCGAATGTATGATCTTGTCAACTATGAACATGCCACCATGTTTTCAATAGTACATTAGGAGAAGAAGAACTCCTCGGCCCTAATCACTCTTTATTATCGATGACGCGAACCATCAGCCTCAGCTGACGGCTGCACTTGAATACCGTTGCCGTAGTCTCGATATCCATACTGCCCACTCGCAGGTCTAGTCAAGCCGAGGACGGAGCACGTATCCAGATCTCGGTCTCTTCTCCTATGTATGTCGGGTAGATCAACAGTAACAATTGAGGAACCGTGGCAACACTGTCGTCCATAAGACCATACATATTGAAGAAACCAATTTATGAACTTCAACCCCTTAAGAGAATATATACTAATCCACCTGTTGGAGCTAACTCCGAAGTTGATATGTGGTAATTCATAATCAGAAACCGCAACTTCGTAACCTATGAACATTTGAAGTATTCTACAGATATACGCTCCTTTACCTGAATCGAAACTTGTTAATTGTAATACTAATACATTAATTAAGACACAAAGATGCAATATTCGTGTTATATCGGTCGTATTAAGCACACCTCCATGTAAACACAGATCGATACGAGAGGCCGTCAAACTATCCCCGAACGGTAGTCTCCTGTTGCATCATGACAAGCCCTAGTTGCGGTGAGTATTCGTCTTTGATATCGGCAGTATGCTCAGGATAGTAGGCTGATGCCGTTGAGTTGAATGGCTCAACTCCCCAGCACGCAACTCGCGTTAGCTGCCTCGTGCTGCTAATTTCACGACGACGTACGTGGCAGCTAGGGGGTTGTGTACAAGCTGATCCCGAATATCTTGGGTCCGCAAGCTTCGTGGCTGAAGGTAGCCCAAATGTAAAACATTAAAGAATAGTCCCTGACACCCACTGAGCCGTGTATGATATAAACTGCTTGTTTGGACCAGACTGCCGATGCCTGGCCATATCGCAACCTCCCAACGGGGAGAGGGGGCCAAAGTTTAGCATGCAAGCCTCGATAAGAGTGATGGCACACTCCAAGCACTACGCACTACTACGCGACTGGCACCCACTCCATGTGAAGATTCATCTAGACCAACGGTTGTAAGGTGCATTTCCGGATTCTTGGGACTCTAGCTAGCCTCGATGATGAATAGCCGGGAAGAGCCCTGCTCGCCGGGAGAAAAACCTACTGTCTTCTGTGCAGTACAGCTAGGAAATGTGCACAGCACACACCTTGTGATGTGTCCTGTTCATGTGGACGGACATAACGGCCAGGTCTCGCAACCACGATAAGGTGCAGATGTTCAACGCATGGCTGCCAAGGCATGGCTGCGATCGCCAGAATGAAGGGTCTGGATTGGGTTGGGTGAAGTGGATGGTGTGTACTTGAGATCGGCTTGGGAACGACTTGAAGCGACAAGCGCCAGACATGGCATTCTGGATGCCGCTTTTCAGAATTCCATGATCACTCATCTCGATCTGGCGTCAATCGTTGGCTCTCCGAGATGGGTATGTCTGTGTAGCTCTTTCCATCGATTGTGCTAAGGCGCGAGACTGTTCATTTATCCACCTGCGTAGTGGATTGCGAATGACGGTATAGAAGAGACCGCCTATTCCAGTCTGGTGGGAGTCCATATGTCATCGACTTGAATTGGATTGGAAAATGGCCGTGGCCCTGGCAACAATGCGGTCCGATACCTGAAGCTACTCGGGTGAAGCTTTGGGGTACAAATGCGATACCTGGAGACGACAACCATGGAGGCCGACTCTTGCACCGTTGCTATGATGTCATAGTGACAAGTGGGTCTGCTGGCGGTACGAGGAGAGACGAGGGACGAGAGACGGGGGGACGAGGGATCGCTAAAAGACCCTGCGTGGAACACGCGCTCCAGAGAGAGAAAAGTTTCGAAGCCCTCGAGTGATGGAAAGGGCGCTGCATCGAGATTTGTTCTAGATTTGGGGTGCCGATCGAGGAAAGTGCGGTTCAATCGAGATTTTAAAGCTCTGCCCTGGTCCCTCCGTCGGTTTGAAAACAAGGGGTTTGTGCCAGTTCGACTAGTTGGGGGTCGGTTGCAGCAGAGGCGCTTGACGTTGTGGCACGCAGCTAGAGCTTATAGTGGCGTTGCGTCTCCATATGTGTGTTGATCGATCACTGATCATTGATCGTTTGACCATTCCGCAACAGGGCTGTCCACGCTGTGGAAGACGAGGCCTTTTCCTTCGCTTTAGGGTCTTGAGGCAGCGATCAGCCATTCCTTTGCTGAAGCTGGGTTTCCCAAGGGTCCAGGGTCCTTACTAAACTCTAAACGGTCCTTAAGTAAGCTTGGTCAGCAAAATCCAAGGCAACCGCAAACGTTGAGAGAGAGCTACTCACGTCCAGACATCTAACCGCATTGACCACTTTTTTGCATGCACCCCCATTTCGCAGGGAATTTCTACGCCTCAACAACACGTCTCCCAATTTACCTCGCAATTGCTCCCTATCTACGTACAAAATGGCTAATCCAGTGGAGGATAGTCTGGACAATTTTGAGCAGCGAATCGAACGCGCTAAAGAGCTTGTCCGTCAGGGCTCTTCCCAGGCCGTAGCAGCTCATCGGTACGATATCAAGGGGACTACACTGTCCTACCGTATCCGTCACGGTAATTCGCATCGCGACGCGGCCTCCAGGCAACAAAAGTTGACTCCGGAGCAAGAGGAGGTCATCGTGAACTGGATCCTACACGAAGAAGTGTGTGGACGGGCTCCTAGCAAGCGTTATGTGGCCGACTTCGCTGCCGAAATCCTCCTTGCTGTGACGAGGCAGAGGCACTGCAAGTTCGAATCAGGGGCGCGACATCAGTCTATCTCTGTTGACGAATACTTAAATGAAGAAGAGAAAAGAAAAGATATAAGTGCAAGTGCCCTTTCCTACATTATAAGGAAAAGGGCAGCGCGTACAGGTGGGACACCCATACTAGGGTGTCCCTGTGTTCGTCCAGGGGCCCAGGGGCCAGGCATCGTGACCGGCGTCACACTTGCTCAAGGGGATAACAATACACTCGGCCAACACTGGGTGGATCACTTCGTTAGCCGCCATCCACAGATACGTACCAAAATTGGGCGCGTCGTAGATGCTAGCCGAGTTAGAGCGTCCGATTCGAACAAGATCCGAGACTTCTACACCCTCCTCGAACGCTTACGTACGAAGTATAATATGGATGATACAGGTGTCCAAGAGGGGGAATCTGGGCATGGTACGGTTATTGGGACATCTAATTCACGCCGGGTACGCGTATCAAAGTCGGACGCTTCGTCGTGGTGCTCCTGGTTAGCGTACATTTCGCATACCCGACGGGGTACACCTGTCTGCGTATTTTCCGGCAAGAGAGTCCAAGCACAGTGGTTACCAGACCAAAATATCCCTGAGTGGGAATACACCGCGACGAGTAAGGGCTGGAGTAATAAAGTTATCGCAAATAGGTGGTTAGATCAGGTTTTTCTCCCCGAGACGAAGCCTAGGGGTACCGAATGGCGACTCCTATCCTCGACGGCCACCAGACACATATTCATGCCGAATTTATGTGGAAAGCCTACTCGAATAGAGTCGCCGTGCTATATTTACCCTCACACTGCAGTGACGATCTCCAGCCGTGCGATGTCGGGCCGTTCTCACCTTTGAAGACCTACTACCGCCAAGAACTCAGGGCTTACGCTTCCTACAAGGCTACAGCCCCAATTTACAAGCAACGTATGTTAGAAGCATATCTACGTGCCTCGGAGAGAGCCTTTACTACGGAAAATATTAAATCTGGCTGGCGGAAGACTGGTATATGGCCCCTAGGCTCCGGAGGATCACAAGATACGTCGACTAGTCCTTCGGAGCCTAGGGGCCATATACCAGTCTTCCGCCTCATATATCACACCTTTAGTTGCTTTTACTCCTCAGAAAGCGCAGCAACTATCTAGCCAACTACAGTCGATAGAGAAAGCCGAGGGCGGGATATCTCGTAAGATTCGTACCCTAGTAGGCAAGGCGGGCAAGGCCCTTACACTCCAGGCCGCCGAGAATGCCAAATTACGTATCGAAAACGAGCAACTATATAGAGAACTCGATAAATACGCTCCAGATATACGCTAGCCCGTCGAGCCAGACCCGAATAAAGTATTCGTTAACTTATCAGCGATCCGAACAGCCCAGGACAAGCGAAATAAGCGAATACAGCCTATTTCACCGGATAAGCAGTTAGAAATTGATACTTTTCTCAAAGGAAGGAAGGGTTTCTCCTAAAAAGAGGGCTCGTAAGAATATATCTAAGTCTTCGGACACTTAAATTAAATATGTTCTGTGTATAAATAATATGGACGAAGTATTTAGGTTGATTCAGTTAGACCCTGCAAAATGGGGGTGCATGCAAAGAGGTGGTCAATGCGGTTAGACGGTCAGACCACCATTTCAGCGCTTGTGCTTGTTTATCATATGCTTTCGTGCTTATCGTCAACGTTGCTGGCGATTGTCAGATTGCTGAGGGGATTGTAGCCGTGAACCGTGTGTCAAAAGATTCGCCGTGCCCAAGTCTACCGGGCGAAGCAATCAAACATTCTGCACTGGGTGGGAAGAAAAGACTCGACACAATCGCCGATTCGATTGAAATCGTCGATTTGAGGCGACACGTCTGCTCGCTTCGGGTTCTCCCAAGCATTAAAGTGCTGCTTCCGAAGCCCCACCCCCCACCGGCGGCAACTCGCGCGACCACGTCAATTAACCTCAGTCCAATCAGCCGCTTGGCAGACCTGGAGAGGAGAGAAATAACGGCGTAATAAACCTTATTGCTTAAGTGTGATTGCAAATAGAAGAATCTCCGATTCCAGTGTATAAAATCGATGGAAATGGTGCAGCCTGGGCAGCAGAATGATCTGACACTTTCGTTGTATTGCACCGTTCAAGTTATTTCCTTACTTGGATAATAATCCAAATTTGTTCCTTGGGAATAAGGGACTTAAGTGGCATTGGCAGGTAACGTGGCCAGCTGATACTATCCAAAAACCCTGCACGGCGTGCTTGACGATCTCCCGTTGTTTAGAATGGACGCCACAAGAACAGCTAGTTAAAAGCCTGATTATAGACCGCCTGTCAGTCATTATATTCTGCAGATGTCTTTGGGGAGCTAGTAGGGTTTTGCAGGAAATTCGAATTCTTCTCAACTAGCTCCACGTAAGCACGTATAGAGCGTGCCCGGCAGTTGCAATTTGAGCTTTGGAAGCAACTCCTGGATGCCTCGGAAACCACTGGAGCTTCCAGCATTGCAAATTACCACGGGTCGTAGCGGAGTATTCGGCTCGAATCATCCTATGTAACTATCCTTTATTTGTATCCTTTACTCGCAAATCAAAATTAAACGAATGAAATCAGAAACTACAGTGGATTTGAAATCAATCCCATCCACTTTCCGAATATGAAGAAATGTTCATTTGTCGCGTGTATGTGTGACCCCGGAAGTTGGTTCCAAGCCACTTCATATGCCGCATTTTCTGATGTTTCGAACTTGGCTGAAGCGGTCAAAACAGAGTTCGGTAGATATGGACGGGAAGAATCGCGGAAGCACGATGGAATGGTCTGGATTAACACTATCAATGCCATTTTCAGGGGGACTGTAGTGTGCCTGATGGGAACTAGTGTGGTAATGCGATGAAATGGGGTATTATTCTAGCCTACCGAGGTACTTCCACACTATCACTTTCCGTCTACAGTCGTCCATATTAGGTGAATAACAGATCTCTATTCGACATTGATAGTATGCACTACTGTAAGGCCAAATTGCCGTGTCTCCATACAGCTAAACTCTATCCCCATATCACTTGTACCATTCGGCCCTGTTCCCAGAGCTCCAAACCACTGCCGAGCCACCGTGACTTCTAGCCGAGCTCTCTAGCTGAATGAGAGTCCTGATAACCAACGACCAACAACACGCCTAGTCGAAACCACCAAACTCAATTGGCAACAACTGCAGAGCGGCAGTCAACTTTTTCGCAACGAACTGTCTTCACTTTCGGGTACATCAGAGAAACGTGTCTTCCCCACAGAAGTGACATCCAAACAACCGCAAAGCCAAACCTACTCGAGGAGGGCTGAACCTGGTACGGTAGTCCTGTGGCGAATGAATCTGTATGAACGTGTAGGTTTTCCCAGCCTTTTATCGGCAGGTACTACCTGTCGAAGCGATAATTCATGGCATTGTTGAATTCTCCCATGGTAGGAAATATGGAATATTGGCCAGCTTTCGCCAGCCAAGTTAAAAAAAAGGTGGCCTCAGTCGCAACGATGGTAAAGGCACTGCGCTGATTGCGATGGTGATTGCTCGAAGGTATCACCAGAATATGTATTTTGATTCTATCTACAATAAAATACCAATATGCGATAAGACAACATTCGATTTTTTAGGTTGGCACTCGTTGAGCTCCGTGCTGCCGCGGCCTCCGAACAAATGGCATGCTGTTGCGAAGATACTGCAGGCACTTTGCATTATGCTTGCATGTAGCCCACATACCGATAACGCCGGATGGACTTCCCCATAACGCGGACATAGCTAAACGTAGCTTACCATTCGTGCATAATGATGCGATAAGATTTTTCATCGAAAATGCTTCCTTCGAGCCAAGGTCCCTAAAATGCCAATACTGGGTACGCTACAGTCCCCTGTTGGCGTAGAAAACCTTGGTCCCTTTGGTCCGTATTGCCTTCGTACAGGAACCCTTATCGCGTGGCAGGCAATGGAGGGGGTGCCATCTTAGCGCCAGTATCGACCCTTTTCGTGGGAGGTTGACCCGAGCCGTTGCTCGACCCGCTAACTTGAGTGAACGTGCCTCCCTTGAACCATCGGTCTTCCTCGGCTTTGCGTTTGCGATTGAGTTCGGCCTGTACCTTTGGGTCGACGAGTTCGAGACCCTGAACGGGCGTGAAGGCCAAGGACGACGCCGTCCCTGCGCCTGCGCCTCCGCCGATAGTTGAGCCTACCCCAGACGTCCGGATACCTTTGCCGCGAAGATCAATATTGGAGGCCGATTGACCGAACCCTCGCAATGATGAAGCTGCGCCGCCCATGGTAGTACCTCCTCCCCATCCCTTGTGCTTCTGACCGAGCTTGGCACGTGTCCGGTTATCGATTTGAATATTGCGGATTCGACCATCGTTGCCCTGTCCAATCATGCCCATTCCAGCAGTTGATTCGCCCGTACCATAACCTACCTCCTTCTCCTCTTTTCCAAAGGCCATGCGATTCTGAGCCTTTCTCATGTCCGTCATCGCGGTTGCCTCCTTAGCTTTGCGAGCTCGCCGGCCACCTCGTTTTCGGGACGGTTTGTCATCGGGGGCAGGGAGTGCCCGTTGTCCCTTGTTTGGAGGAGGCTCAGTGATCTTGTCGAGCCGTTGGAGACATTGACTTCGGATCTCTTCACCGTAGGATCCATCCGGGCTCATGTGGCCCGTATCTGCTCGGGCAGCTAGAACAAGCTTTGCTGCTACGATTTTCATGGCCTTTTTCTTCAAGTCAGTTGGGATGCCACGGATAAGGGGCGAGTGGTAGAGGTATCCTTGTTGGCGGATGGAGGTGTTGGTCGCCATGGCCGAATTGGCCTGTTTCTTCGAGCCCCAAGCCGAAATGTTACAAGCCGGCGTTCTGGATAGAGGGGTTAATCCACCAGCATAGTTGATCAGCTGAGCTGCCGTGAGTGATCCCACAATAGTTGTCAAATTTGGAGCGAAGACGTTCATTCGGGATTGAACGTATTCCGTGAGCGTCTTCTTGGCCCGATCCATCTTCACAACCATGAGACACGCGCGCAATATACGGTCCAGCTCTTCCTGACTTAGCTCTTGACCTTTTGTCGTCGTTGCTTCGACTGTGACGACCATCAAGGATGGGCCGTCAATGACTGATTTCAGGGACTCGCCCAAGGCATTATCCGTTGAGTTCTGCAGCGACTTGATGCTATCAGAGTCCATGGGTCCATTGCCGAGAATTGCTACAACCTTGCTGTAATCAATGGGGTTCTGAATCAAGACCTCGAGCTCCGGAAAGCGAGCCGAATAATGATCTCGAATGAACTTGTGCACCTTCATGATCTCACCATCGATCTGGGTGGAGAGAGTGTTAGATTCGGTGAGAATTTTGTACTCAGGATTGTCCTCTATGTTTCCGATGTTGTTCATATGAGGCGCAAGGGGTTGCGAGTGGTAGCGTTCGATATCCTGTAAACCCGAAACCAACGCGTCAGGGCTATGTCCAATAACAGGAGATGTAAACGCTTTATCATGACTTATTTGTTACAAGAAAGTGGCAACTGACCTTGAGTAGCGGCTCCAACCTGTCCATAACGGTGGTGACTTTGCGAATGTCCTTAACACCGCCCAACTGCATCTTTTCGATCTTGGCCTTGGCTTCTTCTTCGTCCTCCATGGGGTCGATTGAGGTGGTGTTCATACCGCCCATCTCCTCATCCTCCTCAGGCTCCTCTTCCTCATCACCATCGAGTATCATATCGCCATCTTCGTGACTGGCATCGTGTTTGGGTGGTCCTACATCTGGGCCTTCGGCGTTGAGACCAAGATCATTCTGCTCGTCGCCATTTTCGGACCCCGAGTCCTCGAAGTCCTGGAGGAGCTCGTCTGCGAGAGTAGACATTGCCCACTGGTCGATGAGACTTGACGGTCAAAAAAACAAGTGATACCACAGGCCACACTCACTTGTGCTGTTGACTCGGTGCTTCCAAATCGATACTCTTTTGCGCTCGTCTTCGCCCCAGTGCAGCACTAAATTGCCGAGGAACGTCGCTCATGTAGGTGGTCCTTTTCACCCAATAGAGACGCGATGATTTCAAAGTTATTATCTGCAGGTAGACACTGGAAAGGTTTTGCTTCGTTGTTTCGTTCTTTGACACGGCGCAGGACGTGAATAAGTGAATAATAAAATAAGAAGTCGTGAGCATACAGATACAGTGCCACCCTTGACATCGGTTGCAGATTGCGACGGAAAGCGGAGTCACTTTTATCCGGAAGACCAAATTTCCAGCCAGCGTGACTTCCCCATTGGCTAGCCTAGCTTCAGCTTCCCAAGTTGTCAACACTATTTTTCAACTGCAGCCAACCTACTTCGTTCTTCGAGACACTCATAGCTTCGAGCTGTCTTCCTCATCACTATCTCACCTCGGTCGTTCACTGCCAGTCTCTCTCACGCAAGGATCGACTCAGTACCGCCAACATGGAATCATCACGCGGCCCTCCGCGGGTCAAGAACAAGGCGGCCGCGCCTGTTCAGATCTCGGCCGAACAGCTTCTTCGCGAGGCTGTAGATCGCCAAGAGACGTCTCTGCAGGCACCAACGCAACGCTTTGCTGATTTGGAGGAATTGCATGAGTTTCAGGGGAGGAAGCGCAAGGAGTTCGAAGACTATGTGCGCCGCAACCGCGTCAACATGAACAACTGGATGCGCTATGCACAATGGGAATTGGAACAGAAAGAATACAAGCGGGCACGGTCTATTTTCGAGCGAGCTCTCGACGTTGACTCGACTTCGGTTGTGCTATGGATCCGCTACATCGAGTCCGAGATGAAGAGTAGGAACATAGCCCACGCACGCAACCTCCTCGACCGTGCCGTTTCCATCCTGCCGAGAGTGGACAAGCTCTGGTACAAATATGTCTACATGGAGGAGATGCTGGGAAACATTCCCGGCACACGTCAGGTCTTTGAGAGGTGGGTGGAGTGGAGGCCAGATGAGGCTGCCTGGAGTGCCTACATCAAACTCGAGAAGCGGTATGGCGAATTTCAAAGAGCTCGTGAGATCTTTGAACGTTTCACCATCATTCATCCCGAACCCAGGAATTGGATTAAATGGGCTAAATTCGAAGAAGAATTCGGTACTAGCGACTTGGTCAGAGAAGTATTCGGCGCTGCTGTCGAGGCACTGGGCGACGAGTTTGTTGATGAAAGACTGTTCATTGCCTATGCTAGGTTCGAGGCCAAGCTTAAGGAGTACGAACGAGCTCGGGCTATATACAAATATGCCCTCGACCGCCTCCCGCGGTCCAAGTCCATGCTGCTACACAAGGCATATACTACTTTCGAGAAACAATTTGGTGATAGGGAGGGTGTTGAGGACGTGGTCTTGTCGAAACGAAGAAGGCTATACGAGGATCAAGTAAAGGAGAACCCGAAGAATTACGACATATGGTTCGATTACGCACGCTTGGAAGAGACGTCAAGCGATATAGACCGAGTCAGGGATGTGTACGAAAGAGCAGTTGCGCAGATCCCTCCCACTCAAGAAAAAAGACATTGGCGACGGTACATTTACTTGTGGGTATTTTATGCTATATGGGAGGAGATGGAAGCCAAGGATATCGACAGGGCCCGTCAGATTTACAAGTTGTGCCTGAACTTGATACCACATAAAAAGTTTACGTTCGCCAAAATATGGCTGATGAAGGCACACTTCGAGATTCGGCAGGGCGAGCTGACCGCTGCGCGCAAAACATTGGGCCAGGCGATCGGCATGTGTCCCAAGGACAAGCTCTTCAAGGGCTATATTGAGCTGGAGATGAAGCTGTATGAGTTCGTACGATGCCGTACGCTATTCGAAAAGCACATCGAATGGAACCCTGCAAATTGCCAGACATGGATCAAGTTTGCGGAACTCGAACAGAGCCTTGATGACTTGGAAAGGGCGCGGGCAATTTATGAATTTGCAATCGGCCAGGAAGTCCTGGACATGCCGGAGTTGTTGTGGAAAGCATATATCGACTTCGAGGAGGGCGAGGGCGAATACGACAAGACGCGAAATCTATACGAAAGGCTGCTGGAGAAGACGGACCACGTCAAGGTGTGGATCAGTTACGCACACTTTGAGCTCAATGAGCCCGACGAGGTCGAAGAGACTGCAAATGGAGATTCTGGAGAGCAACCCAAGAGTGAAGCGGCCAAGGACCGGGCAAGGAGGGTATTCGAGCGTGCTCACAACAGCATGAAGGAGAGGGATCTTAAGGAAGAGAGAGTATCTTTACTGAATTCTTGGTTGGCATTCGAGCGTGCATACGGGTCCACAGAGGACGTTGAAAAGCTGCGCAAGCAGATGCCGCGGAAGACGAAGCGCAGGCGCAAACTGGAAGATGACACTTTCGAGGAGTACATCGACTACGTATTCCCGGCTGACGACGAGCAGAAGCAGGATCTCTCGAATATGCTCGCCATGGCCCAGGCCTGGAAGCAAGGTGGCGGGAATGTCGGAGGGACGAGTTGAGCCGAAGAAGTCGTGCTACCACAACCAGTGTAGAATACATTCAAATCGATGTAACAATAGAAGGCGACCCGCCATACATGTAATTAGCGGCCATTACGATATCCAAAGGTTATGGGAGCCGTTGTTTCATCCAAGCGACTGACGGCATTATGACTAAAATGTATGCCAACGTCCAATTTGAGACAAAAAAGACTTTTTGGAGTCAAACTAGGGGATTGTCATTCTGCCGCCGGGGTCAAAGGCAAACGACTTTAACACAGGGAGGGCGAAGGATCGACCAAAAATGCCTTTGCCAAGCCGGGGGGAGCCACGCTGTGGCAGCAACGGCAAACCTCCGGCGGAGCCCCAACAGGCTTGGAACATCCGACAACGAGAGGACATCGGCTGCCGGGGGAAAGGCTAGACAAGACCTCGTTGCTTCTGTCAAAGACGTCAACTTTCGACGACACCCTTCCACTTCTGCCCACACACGGCACATTGATTGATCACATACTACGCATCCTACCTGTGTTAATTAGTTCACTCTTAGTAGCATGGTCTCTTCCGGGCAAGGCGGTCAAGGACTTGGACACCCAAGCAGAGGCCTCGGAGCCCGAAATCGCGACATGTTACTAATGTAGTTAGTTACTGGGGCGCTGAAGCATGATGGTGTCATGGCAGTGTCCCGCATACGCGGTGCTAGTCTACTAATCAATGCGTGGGATGGGGAGTGGTGGTTGAGTGCCAGATCCTACTTTCTGGATCGGATCGGGATCACCAAGTCCTTAAACACACCCTCGTTCACAGTGATCAGTCAGCAATGAATGCATCAGTGTGCAAGGTCAAACGTACATAGACTTCCCGCCCGACTCGCAAGTCTACTTTACTTTACCGGAGCCATGCAGGAGCCAAAATGACGATATTGTAGATATAACAGAACGAATAACCTCAATTGGCCTACACATTGGGAAATGAAAAAGCTAGTAGGAAAATAAAGAAATCGTGACATTCATATCATCCATCCCATTGAGAAACCACACCCTCCCTCATTCCGCTCAATCCGACTGATCCAACATCTCCTTCTTTGCTCGTCTCTCATCCCGCATTACATCTCCCACTCATCCCCATTTCGGCACAAATCCCCGCATGCCCCACACAACGTTATCGGATCAGTATATAATTCGTATACTCAAACTTCTCTTCCCCTTGTGGATTTGCAACAGCCATAACGGTGCGGGGCTACTGCTCCTTTTCATACTGGTCTGCTCACCGTATCTTGCTACCACCGCCCTACCCGACTCAAATCTCCAAAAAAAGAGGCCCATGACAATAGACCACGCCAAAAGAAATCATTAGCTCAAAATCCATGATCCATGTACCGTTCTTATTCTAGATTCCCCGTCTTCAGTGTAGTGTAAACACCCGCCTCATTCCCTCCGATCGGGGTCCAACCCTGGGCACGTACACTAGATTGTAGTCGGCGCCGTTGGCCTGGCGTCGTAATTCACTTCGATGGGTTCTCCACGTCGTCAACCGTCATGTGCCACTATGACCCCAAACATGAATGGATGGATCGGCATGGTACGCTCGCGGTACGCGTTAGCGGTTCGCGCGCCGGATCCTGTACTCGGCTTATGTCTGTCATGTGTCTATCCGTGACACAGAGGACATCCGAGTGGGATCGGATTGTATTGGGTCGTTATACCCGACGCACGTCCACTAACACGGGCCGAACGAACCATGTCCCTGCTTGCATACCAGCATTGGATTACGCCGTCAGGGATCGGCGACACATCAACGGTTAATTTAGTGGTGATGGCGGCGGCGGCGGTGCCCGTCTGTCACAACCCAAAATATATCAGTGAGAAAATTCTAGTATAGACAAGTTATGAATTCATGTGTAGTGCTTGTGTACGGGGATTTAAAGAAAGAAGGAAAAGAAAGTGATTTCTCTGCTCCTATCTGAAGTTGACAGGCGCGGGAGAAAGTCAACTCAAGGAGGCAACGCAAGAGGCCCGGCGTGAAGCGTCTTTTCGTCTTCGTCAGCTAAACTTGAGCAATCAAGTTCGCTTTGAAAGACCAGTAATTCCAAAACATCGTATTGCGCCATATTGACATTTCTTTCAAACTGTATTCTTTTTGCTCTTCCATCGTAAGACGTCGATCGTGCAGGCCATGCCGGGATATGAAGTTTGTGTTTTATTTTGGCAGATGCCGATTGTAGTCGGACCAAAGCTTAGCTGATATGACAACGGGCGTTCATACGTAATGGAATACATATGACTGGGCATCCTCATCTCCTGTCGTCATGCCCAATAGGAGGTGCAGGCAAAGACGAGTATGGATTCCCGTCTGAATAGCGGGGCCCGTCGTCATATCTCCTGTTCCGAGGCGGAGCTGAGGAAGACCAGTTGTCAGCCCGTGACCTTCCATAATGATCGTCGTTTGCCCGCTTCAGCCGTTCCATGCGGCGTTCATGCCGCCTTTGCTTTTCTTCTTTGAAATTCTTGACCTCATGGGACATCTCCCGTGCTTCTTGCATTTCGGAGATGGCGCCCTTGATGCCCAGTGCTGCAATACCAACCGAGGCCGCGTCCTGCAAGAGGGCTTTGGACTTCAGCTTCTTGGCCTCGGCGGGGCTCAGACGACCCTCCTTCACTGCCTTGTGTCTTGCGTTGCGCTTCTCCATGCTAGAGTATACATTGTGTGCTGCGTGAATGGTGGCTACCGTCGCAAGTCCCGATGTTAAAATCTGCTTACCTCTCATCTTCTTTGCCGCCTTCTCATCCTTGTCCGAGTCGCCTAGGTCACTGCTTGACGCTGACGACGATCGGCCCCCGCGTTGTCGAGATCTGCTGCGGCGTGAAGACTTGCCCCCTACAATTGACCGATCATCTTCGTAGTACTCGTCCCCTCCGCCACGCCCACCTCTCATGTAACCGCGAGAAGTGTAATCGTCCTCATGTCTGTCGTCTGGGCTTCTCGTGCGACGACTTCGCCGGGTGGTGCGAGTCTCCTCGACGTAGTCATCCCGGTCATCCGCGGGGCCGCTACCAATCCCGATTTTAGCCAGGCTGCGGCGGGCACCATCGACTACGCTACGACTGCGGCTGCGCTGACGCCGACGAGGTGACTCATCTCGACTGTCATACGAGTCAAAGCTGCTTCGGCGGCCTCGCGAGTCGTCTCGCTTGTTTTCCAACAGCTTCTTTGCACCAAGGGCACCCAGACCGGCCGTGGCCAGAGCTGCCAGTCCGCCGGCACCACCAGTCTCGGAGCGGGCACGAGAACGAGATCGACTTCTACCCGTCGCGCGGTCTTCCTCAATGTCTTTCCTGGGACCATTCAGCAGGCGGTTGCCTGCAAGACCGCCGATGACGGATTCTAGCAGATGGTGCTTGCTGTCCTTGGAAGGATCACGGGCAGCATCAATAGTGGCGGCACCTGCAGCAGCAGTGAGGACGCGCTTCATTTTCTCGCCCTTCCAACCACCAGGTTCTTTAGCCACACGGAAGGCTTCCGCGGCGCCCGCCACGAGGGAGGCCTTGGCAGCCTTTTGCATTCGGTTGGCACCATCGTCGCCGCGTGATTTCCGCGAGTCTGGGCTGCCGCGGCGGCTCCTTGTTTCGGATCGGTAGTCATCATAGTCACCGTGCCTACTCTTCTCGCTACCGCTGCCACCGGTCAGGGCCTTGATGGCGCTGCCAAGACCAGCGGCGGATAGAGCGTTCTCAAGAAATGACTTGTTGCCCTTGTGGCTTTTGGGATCGTCTTCCTCGTCCGAATAGTACTCTGCCATGCGGCCGTCGCGTCCCTTGTGAACGATATACGTAGACTTTTTGTCCTCCTTGCCCTTTTGCTTGTTATACATCTCGGCTCCTTGGTAGCCGGCGAATGCCCCAGCGGCTCCGAGAGCGGCGGTCGCGGCCAAGTTTCGGTTGGGCTCAACTCTACCCTCCTCCTTGGCCTCTCGCCAATCCCAAACCTCCTTAGCGCCAGCAGCCAGAACACCACCGACGACAGCGGCGATGATCTTCTCCTGTTGGTTCAGGACTCGCTTGCGGGTTCGCTCTTCCTCCTCATAGTAGATGCTGCCGGCTTTTCTTGAAGAGCGATGGTCGCGATGGCTCTCTCTTACCGACCTGCTGTCGTAGTCGCGGCGTTGGTCGTAGTACTCGTCATAGTAGCCAGGCTCTGCAGACCGGGCTCGTCGGATGTCCCTGCTGGCATACCCTGGGGGCGGGAAATCGCGGCGGACTTCTTCGATTGACAAGTCGCTGTCTTCGCGCGCACGAGGAACTAACTCATTTCGGGCGGGCCTCTGATAAGTCTCCTGGGTTTCAACGTAGCGAGGCTCCCGCTCTCGAGTCTCCCGCCGTTCCTCTCGATAGTACCGCCGTGCATGCTCACGCGGCGGAGCATCGTATGGATCGTAGGCCGACATGGATACTGCCTAGAAAAGTGCGTATTCCGGAAAATGTAGTAATCAGTGTTTTGGTGTTGAACGATTGAAATTGTTGATTTTTCTTCAATCTGTGTGTGAATTTTGAAGGATGACGCCGATGCGATGACGGCTGTTGCGGTGAAGCGGGGCAATCCTGCTTTGTTGCGAGGCGTCGGTTGAGGATTCGAGCCGGGGCCAGCTGACTAGTGAAAGTGACGTAGGCCGGATGAGAACAACAACCAACGTTTAGCAGGTCGGGAGAGTTTTGAGCTTCGTTTATTCCTGGTTAAGTTTCAAAGGTTAAATGGTTGCACCTTGTAAGAAGATCAACTGGGAATTGATCGAAAGGAAGTGGTTCTATAATCTTGTGGAAATAGCAATGCGCCTCGCCGACAGCTTGGCACAGAAAGAAGGCAATGCAAAAAAGGCCTGCTTTTCCTGGATCCTCCTAGAGGACCAGCTCCAACACTTTACCAAGATTCCTCCCTCCATAGTAGGCTGCCATGCTGGCTAGCCTGGTTCGCAGAGGCAAGCATGGCATGGGAAATGGTGGCTTGCTTGGGCATCAAGTTCATGCCTTTACCCATCACCCAATAACCAGCCGGGTCTCACAAATCATCACCACAAAAATGGGGCGTCCCTTGTGGAACATTCTCGAGATGCCACCAGGCCGGGAGCTGGGTAACGTCCAAGGTCCCAACGACTTCGCTATCAGCCAACATGGCTGTTTGCTACTTCCCGCCGTTTCGAGCAGTCACCAGACGATGAGGCCTCCAAGGATGGCTGGCTTTGGTTGCCTTTTCCCTAACTTGACAAACCCCCGGCCTCGCTCTGAAAGACCTACGGTTGAGGCGTTTTGCTCAGTGTGCCATGGTTTATCGAGGGTTCTCCGGCAACCCGACAGACTTCTTGGAGGGGTAATGGAGCTGAGGTGATGGCGCCTAATGACGCAGCTAAAAGTGGCGGTGCCATGAACTGAGGGGTTAAATTTGAGGAGGCTGGGGCCCGGGAAGACCGGGTGGTGGCAACAATCGAGCTCCAAACCCCACTGCCAAGTCCAGGAGGACCCTTGAAGCTGCCGCATATTGGATCGTGACTCGAATGACGTTGCATTCGAGTGGCTCATTATCGTGGCTGTGAGCGACGGAAAGAGGCGCAACCTGAACACTTCCTATACGACCTGCAGAAGTGATCTTGTCACGAGTTTGCGGCTCGCCCAATTAAACCCCACGAATTCTGTCAGCCCTACAAGTAAAACGGCATGATGCCTTGTCATTGTGTATGTGTATTTGACGGTGTCACACATACACTGGCGACACTCTTCTTCCGAGCGAGGCTTTGGCCAGGAGTCGCATTACTAGTGTTCTCACGACAATTTCTCAGACGTGAAAAGTCGATATCGGCGCTGCTAACTTATACTCGGTTGAGTTGCAGCTAGTAAGACTTATATGACTACAGCGAGATGGACGATTGATATGAGGACTAGCCATCCTGGAGACCCACAAACATATGATGGAAAGACGATAATTCATTGCTGGGCAGAATCGTGGGAAACAACATCGGATCGTTGTCTTTGAGCGTAGAAGAGACGTGTGCTAAAAGCTCACCCATCTCGACACTTTTTGCCCTCGGCGCATGTTGTTCGTGGGGGGAAACGGGATGCGTCTTGCTACGGTGATATCCGTATACTCTTGGCTAACACCATCAATACCGAATAGGATATTGGGTAGGTGAGATCGCAATTCATATCCAGGTCTCCTGTATCAGCTACAGGTCGCCAACACCCTTGTTGTACTCAACTCCTCACTCAAACCGCTGGAGGGAAAAATTTTAATCTATGGAGTATGGTAAGGAGGTACATGTTCATGAATCGACTCACCTTTGGACTGTATCAACTTTTCAGCCAACGTATCTCTGCTCCATGATTCAACCACCAGTACTTCTGGCGTCGTAGCTCTAACGTACTCGGAAATATCCGCCAGTCCAACCTTACAGAGAACCTCATACACACCCCACGTGTCCTGGTCATGGCACAATCATCAACCAGTGCGCGCACCTGGTCCAGAGTCCAAATACAAGCTAGCAGCATCACTCTGGTGCAAATCTTGGCCGAGACCTCGATCCAATCTATACTGACGGCCCCAGCCGCCTGTCTCATCTCAATAATAGGCTTCAGCGCCTGATAGCTCTAACTGTCAAAATTATACGCCTCCGTCAACGCAACCGCCATCAACCTCGCCACCTCGGCCTTCTCCTCGCACTTTCAGTGTCTCCTTGATGCACTCCCTCACTCTGGGGCCTCCTGACGTCGGCATCGCTTCCTGCTGTCATGTAATAAACCCAAACATGTTATATGGGATTGTAAATACCGCTGCAGTAGAGCAGGGTAGCAACCATATCAGTTTATTAGACGGCAACACCGCTCATACAACTCCTGCTCCAATAATGTCGGATATTATAATGCGAACATTCTGGGCCATTCAAAGATAAAGCAGATCACAATTCGTCAGCTGCGGTCCTTACAATGCACCTTGGTCGATTCCATGAACCCAAGCGCGCACATATTAAGCATGCCCACCCTCATGATCCATCCCGTCTGCCTCAACTGAATGATCCTGACATTCCCCAGTTGCAAGAACACCACTCTATTCACTTTCTAGTTGTGAGTACACAAACAAACTGCTTTGGGTATGGAAAATCTGCGGCCTTGAAGTTGTAGTAGCAGAGTGGATGGGGAAGGTGTTCCATACCACACTGATGATAGCAGCTAGCGTGAAATTCCTGGACCCAGATGCTCATCTTCGAGTGTGGACATAACAAAAGGGCTTGCATCATCTGCATGGCAGGTTGCTCAATTACCTGAGCAAGATTATAGCCTGCCGCCATACTTGCCACGTGTTGGTGTGCTAATCGGTCGTTTTGTCATTCGTGGAACTCATCATGCAATGGCACAGTATTGCATCTCCAACAATCTGTCAAGCACCTACTGCACAACCATTTTCACGCAAACAGTCCCCAGAAAGGAATGGTTTGTACCAACTCCAATTTCATTTTGTGTAGTTTCCTATTAGTACATAAACATCCAGTGCAGCAATAGCTTTTTTTGGTTTCTCTTGATTGCCGTGGAAAGTAAAAAAATATCAAGTCTAGTGCAGGCCGCCCCTTCCTTTCTGAGTTTCCCCATATGCGACTTTCGCGACCATGCCATGAGACATGTAAACCACTTGATGAAACTGTTGTGTGTGAAAAAAAAGATCGCCGAGTCTTCGATGAGAACATTGAGTCATACTTTTATCTAGCAATAACAATGTCGCTGTGCTGCCCTGGAGACGTGGACCGCAAGTAAAAGAGGAGAAAGTACGACGGGGGGTGATTGGTGTGTAGACATGCTGAAGGATCCAGCCAGACGAAGTAGGGAAGCCAACATGCCAACCTAGAAAGGCAAATAGCCACCCACGTCCAGGCCTTGCGAGGCTCTTAAGCCCCTAGATCATCTGTCGTCTTTGCTCGATCATTATGGAAGCCACCATCCTGCTGGTGCATCTCATATGTAGCTCATCGGCTCATAAATGGAGTCGTGCTAGATGTGTCGTCATGCCAAAGTAAAACAAAATAAAACATCTCGGGAACCAGGATGGCCGTCGCACATCACGCTAGGCAAGTTCACCAGCATCTTTCCGCAGACAGCACAACCAGGTCCAAAAATTCTGTCATTGACAGGAAGTGCCCGTTCCAAGTCGAAACCCCAGAACGTTGGCATCAAGTCCAAGAATTATTCCGTAGCGTAAGCGTAATGATAGAGTCCTCATCATCAGATGCTGACATTCATCGGCACTCCATCTGGACCAAGTACAAAGCCCATCGAGCTCGTCGAGAGCTATCCGTCTGCCTCATCTTATATCTGTTGTTAATCACGTTGTCAGATGCGCCCGGGTCATGTTGGAAAGACCGCATCCAACATCTCATGATTTGCAACCCAAAAGCCCACCTATGTCGAATATATCTTGCCAGATCCTTTGCTGGCAAACGCTCATAGACAGTGGGGTGTCATATTTCGTATTCATATCAAGAAGTGGATAGAAATCACCGTTTCGCACCTCCGGTACTGCCGCAAAGCACAAACTGCGAAACGCCTGCAAGCACGCTTGCCATTGATGTGTCCTGGACCAGCCTCCCACACATAGTGTCGTAGTACAGGTGCTCAGGCCGGCAGCATACTGCAGTGAAACTAGATCTCAGCTTCAACAGCATCACCAACCCCGTTCGTATATGGTGGTTGATATGGTTGCGCAATTTCCTCGTGAGTGCCATTGGTAAGGGGCGCCGCCTCACCGTTGACGCCGGTTGTGTGCTGGCCAACCTTGGCCGAATCTCTTCCAGGTGCAGCACTGCCCAAGTCCGAGGCACCCATAGCGCCACTAGGCGAAAACTCGGGCACTTCGGCAGACAGCTGAGACTCTCCCACGGGAGCTTGGCTATGGACACCATTCATGCCATTGATGCCGTTGCCCATGGCCTGTACATACGTGGCTCCATTCATGTAAGGAGCGAACTGAGCGTCAACACCGTTCGGGGAGAACATGGGAGGAGAGTCCAAGGGGTAAGCTCCGTGTGTGGCTGCTTGGTAGAGGCCATACGCGTGTCTGCTATAGTAATAGCAGTTCGAAGGGCCGTTATCATAATTGACTGACTCATGTCGTTGCCCCGGGGGATAAACCCACGCTTCCCAACCATGTCTTCGGCGAAGTCGTGTGCGATTGTCGTCAGCACCAATGACAATCTCAACTTCTGGGTTGTCCTCACATGCGACGCGGATCACATCGATGTTGGTCGTCATATTCTGCATGCGTCTGAACCCGGCGATAACTTCGATAAACACGAAACCCTGAGAATCCATGTGCCTTCTAAGAAAAGTATCCTTGCACAAATTATCAACTGAGAAATAGAACTCGAGCTGGCCCTTGACTAGATCCAGAATACTGCTGCCATCGGTGAAGCCGTAGGGGGCTCCGTACGAGGGGAAGTTGCTAGCCGGATGCAGCGACATGTCGTATTGATTGCTACTGGTCTGGGCGGGGGAAATTCGAGCGCCACTGGTTTGTGGCTGTCTAAAATAGTTGGATGACGTCGAGTTATGGCGGTTCGATCCACGATGGCCATGGCCAGTGTTGGGACCAGGGTATTGATTGCCAAATAGCACCGCAAAGTTGGCAGGGTACGAGTTCTGGCGGGGAGGCATGCCAAAAGACTGGCCGCTTGCACTATAAGCGGGGTGATGACCATTCGCCCCTTGGTGGTTACCTCGACCTCGGTTCCCACCTCGTGACCGAGAACCGCCCTCATTACGGTTGTTGGAATGGTGCTTTGACTCCTTCGCACTGGGGAACAGGGACTCCTTGGACTGATCAGCTACCCAAGAGCTCGACTCGATGCGTAAATCCGATCCAGTTGGGGCCCCGGAAGACTGCTGCTGATTTAGTGCGGAACCGTTGGACTCTCCTTGGCTCTGCTTGGAAAGCCCATCCTTGCCATTAATCTGTTATACAGATGGATTAGTCATTGAAAAATCACGTTGAGCACCACTTTAGGGCTGGAGCAGGCAACTAACCGATGGAGATGGATCAGCAGAAGATTTGACAGCTTCGGCAGTCATTCCAGCTGAGGACTTGTTCATTTCTCGGGCTCCTGAGTTGTCCACCGAAGCCCTGTTGACCATGTGCGACGCAGCTGAAGCAGCCTGTCCGTTTACTGCGCCATCATGAGAACCACCGGCAGACTTCATCGCCGCTGCTTGTGATCTGTCCACAGACGAACCGCTAGCGTGATTACCGCGAACTCCAGTATCCCGTCCGCCCCGAGAGCCGGCTGGACGACCGCCACGTCCGCCTCGAGTCGGCAGCGGGGTCTGAAAATTCACAGTCGGGACATATGGTACAGGCACCCACTTTGTCTTCTCTTTTGGACCCGACTCTTCCTTGGTCTCCTCTTTCTCCTGCGGCTTGTCCGTCTTGTCCTGAGCCTTGGATCCAGTGATTGCGGACTCGACAGTTGGCCACAAGTGTACATCCGACACAACAGGCAGCGGCTCGCCGACTCGCCTTTCGCCCTTATCACCTATGCGGCTTCCCCGAGGCGCGGATCTGCGCCCGGCCTGGTCGCTACCATCACGCACCGGCTCGTTTCCTCTTCTCTGACTCTTGACTCCATTAGGAGCCGGCCTACCGTGCGAGATCGTGCTTTCAGCGTCGTTGTTCAGGGCAGGTCTAGACTTCGCTTCCACGGAGCTGAATAAGGCGGTCGTAGCCGGGGAGGCGTTGCCCCCAGCCGTCGCGGCCCGGGAAGGTGTGGATGACTGAGCCGGCGTTGACTTCTGCTGCAAGGCCGCTCGTTGTGTCCAGGGATTTACTGCTGGAATGGGAGCTTCAGACAATTCAACCTTTGGTGCCTCGGAATCCTTATCCTTCTCGACGGACGGATCTTGTTCCAGATCCTTGTCTCCTCGTGCTTTCTTGGATTTCCTGGACTTCTTGGTCTCGACGATGTCGGAAGAACGTGTAGAAGAAGAGTTCGGGCCCATACCCCGTCTCTCGGTGCTTGGGACCCAAGTATCTGCGACTTGTTTGGTCTCCTGGACTATAGGCTGAGAGGCTTCCTCGGGTGCAATCTCAGCGGAGGACTCCTCTTCCTTGGCTGGCTGCATGGTCGATCCCGCATTGCTCTTGCTCGATGACTCTGAGGGCTCCACAGCGTTCTCGTTCGCATCGTTGTCATTCGATGTAGTTGACGCAGCCACCGAAGGGGTGTTCGTCGTGGTACCGACTGTACCAACTTGACTCTGACTGCTCGTGGTTGATGCAGCCTGGCTCGATACTGACTGCGGCGCCGCAGGCTTGGCCGTGAACTGGCCTTTAGCCGCTTGGGCATAGGAAAACGGAGTAGACATGATCTCTGTTGCACTTCGGAATCGAAGTCGAGGTTTGCGCCTGGTGCTGTAGAAACTGCTCTTCCCGCGTACACCTTCGCACCAGGGATCACAAGGACAGGTGACCCAAATCACACCTCACTCTTCAAGGCGAGCCTCCACGAAAGCCAAAAGGCTAGGGCTCGTCACCGCGATGGGCAGACTATCGGTTCTTTGTGACGTTCGGTCAAGATGATTGGCCAGTCGAATGGAACACTGAGATGTGTTCACGTCAGCTCCTGACTCGGATTCGAGACGTTGCCCTGAGATAGGTGGACAATAGGTCAAATCTTCGAGGGCCAAACCAATCGCAATGGAAAAATAATTCCCAAGTCGAAGAGGGTGGTGAGTGCGGGGTGAAACCACAAGCCAATTGCAGGCTGCAACGAGCTTGGAGAATTGGTTGCGCAAGGGCTGGAAAAACGGAAGGAGCCTGGAATTTTTCTGCTAATGGAGTTAGGGTCTGTGACGATAAAAAGCCTGGAGAGGCTCAGGGAATTGTCTTCGGCGCGGAGGGCGGAGGTGTAAAGGACGAAGGATTTGTGGTCAAAAGTATTACAGAAATGCCAGATTCAAAAACAAAAGTAAAATCAACCTGATGGAAAATGACTGTTGCTTGCCCAACGGGTTGGTGAATCGTACCGACGTGGCCTCGGAAGGACGGCAGATGCCAGGAAGAGAGAAGTCACCATAGGACGACGTGCCCAAGTCCCAAGCGTTCCTGGAATTCTCGAGCGAGGGGACCAGGAGCAGCTCGGACCGTCGGAGTCGATGTGCAAAAGTCGACAAGAGAGCTGTGCCAGGCGCTCGTCGAACAATCGAGGAATCGGGACGACGATGGAGGGGGAGGTGGGGAAGGGGGACAAGGTAACAAGTGAAGAGGCGGACTGACTGTCTTGCGTTCGATGGCGCTTCTTACTTCTGCTTCTGCTGCTGTCTCAGCTTTGTCCGGAGACCACCAGAGAACGTTTGACAGAGAGGTAGGGAAGGCTATCGAAAAGAGAGAGAAGGATTGTGTGTGTGGTGTGCGGCGGGTATGATTTTGTGTGCAAATCGGAAAAAATTATTTTTTTCTTGCTGGTTCAAGTTTCGCTGTCTGCCCTGGGAGCCGACGACAATTTTTTGATGGGACCCTCTTCACCACTATCGATGGACAGTGACGGATCCGCAGTGAATTGGGTAATAAACTAGGTGAATGGAGGGGCTCGCATGCAAATGGAGGAGGAAAAAATAGCCCACGGCCTAGCGCTAGTTGCCTTTGAGGGCAATGACGGAGGGGAACATGGAAAAACGGAAAACTGCCGGTACGTTTTTTTTTTGATTCTGATACTGAGTTTCTCATTCCCCATCTCCCAGTAACTTGTGCATTGCGCAAATGCAAGCACTCACTCCCTCGAGGTGATTTTGCTCATTGATGCCCTCAAGCCCTGAAGCCTTGGATGTTCACTTTCTTTTACTCTATGGCCGTCCATTGGGCCAGGGAAGCGATGCTTTAGTATGCCGGTTTATGATTAATAATGTCACCTTTGAGGGTGGAGCTCACCCTGTCCGACGCTGATGATGATGCGTGAATATGAACCAGCTATGGAGAAGTTGATCGGATGCAGTTGGATCATGAATTCACCAGCACATGACATGATGCAATTGCTTGCTTCGCATGATGATATTGAGCCTGCTGGAACTATTAATGGACACCCATGAATCTAGATTTCAAAATTATCTTCCCACGTTGTGTGCATTTTGCCGCCAGATGGGCGTAGCAAGGTTAGATGCACCCGGAACCCGAGTGAACTTGCTTCTCCACGTTGCAGCGATTGCGACTCACAAGCGCCGTTTGCTACTATCCATTATGTTATGACGTGAAGAATCTGCTACACATTTTTGGTCACTAAACTTGCGGAGTACTTGTTGCCCACTGATGAATGAATACCACCAAATCGGTGAGCGGAGCAGTGATTCATATTACAATGCTTCCGTCTTACACATGAGGGGGTCGATGTGGACGCTGGCTTTGTCCGAACATTTACAAAGTATTTTTAAACTCAGAGTACAACAAAGCGGGACTCAAATCTTGGAAGCCGAGGCAGCACACATTTTGATTAGCAAGGCATCCCGAGCCCATGATCCTCCTGCCTCGCTTTTGTGTAAAGTTGATGTTGTGAAGGTTATGTCATACATGACCCAGATGCTCGATGTCACATCTCCAGGCTGATGTACACCCTGTCATGTCATTGATTCTACCATTGAAAACATTGAAAGACGGCAATGATTGAGATCATATTTGAAGTGTATCTCATTTGCTCAAGTCGTTTTACGCTTAGTCTAAAAGTAGTTGGCCATTCTATTATCTCTACTGGGGTCGCACTAGTGCATTAGTCAATGGCGGAAATAATTTTACCACATGCAGGCCGGTCATTCGACAAGTGCATACCGGTTCCCTACTTAGCAGTCTGGTAGAAGTAGAAGCCAACACTTGACGATGCAATGGACGTGCCCACATGCCCCAGGAACAAGTTTCCATTTACCAAGGAGAACCTTGGTCTACTGTAAACTAAATTTATTTAAAGCCCAGCCAGTTTTCCAGGTCAAGTCGAATTACACAACCCTTCCAACTTTTTCTAGCCTTCGTGTTATTCTACCGTCCTAGTTTACCTGACGCGGACTCCATGGTCGCTTATTGGTGAATTTTCGAGTAATCTCAGGTTGTGTTTGCTGGTCTCGGACACGACCCTAGATATATCACGAACGTATCACCTTGAAGCCCGTCGTCAGGATCTCAAACTCTAATTTGGAGATGAGAGATCTGGGCCGCAAAACAACGTGGTTTTGGCAGAACGCACGGTATGTAATTGGTACGGGACTTCCCATCTGCTTAACCTCGGCCGTGTCACAGTGCATCGTTCCAGGCTGAGACGACAAATCTGGCTGGCCTTGTTTCCTCTCGTGGCCCGTCTGCCATGATCCCAGAGAACTGCGCCAAGGTTTACATATTTGGCATAAGTGCTCAGGTACAATTCCAACACACATACACTGATATACAGGACTAACTCTGTGGTGGGAACAGGCCACACTTTTTGGCCTGCCACTTCGATTGGAAGGCATGCATTAACCCCACATTTCGAGAGGTTGGACTCTTGGTAGGTCTCTTCTTGAATTCGGCAAATGTCACAAGGGGCGATCTTGGACTGCGTGCGCAGCCCCTGCTTGACAAAATGAGGCGACTCGTGATAACTGTATCTTCGCTGCTCAACAGGCCTAACCGGTTACCCACGCGGCAGCCCTCCGCGCCCCAAACGTTGTGGCGAGACGCAGACCATTTGAGCCCATCGGGAAATAACTGACTAGGTACCAGGCAAGACAGGCGAGCTGGATGAATGCCGATATCAATGTCAGAAATGTACTTCGGAGCTACGAGATATCAGTATTTCAGCCTTGTGCGCGCCACAGCAACAATATGATATGATTGACTCACACCGAGGGAGAAGAATAAGGTCAAAAAGATGGACCCGAAATAGGCTGCCGTGAAAGGCAGACGGTTTCCAGACAGCAGGTGCCGGACGTAAGTCATAGGGCCCATCACAGCCCCAAATGAACAGAGGAACAGAATGGAGCCGAAGGACCATCTGAAGCAAACATTATTAGCATTGCGACAGTAAGGATTGCATGTCAACAGGCAATGGACAGGCGATGTCGCAACAGGGGTTAAGAGAGGCTCAAGGGTTATCTCCATATGGTTGATCACCCGTGGCCCATGCAAGATCGGCCGCATATGCAGAGCGGCTCGTTGCATAGGAGCCCGGGACTTGGAGGGCGATAACGGTATAGCCAGTGAGCTGTGCCTATATTGGTCACGAGGACAGGCCAACAAAGATGGTGTGAAGGCTGGCAAGGGGTGGGCTCCAAGGACTCACAGAATGGCGAACTTGCGAGGCCGCGGGAATAGAATAGGCCATAGTGCAAAGCAAAGCACGAAGCATGCCAGCGCGGCAATGTTACAGGCACCGAATATCAACATGCGGTCCCATCGACTCACTATGACAAGATCGAGATTTTGGGTCAGCCTTGCGACAGTGGGGGATAATAATTGACCATGTGCAAATGTGAGACATGTTACGCAGTGGTCTACTTTACCTAACATGCGCAGCACATGGTTGCCTTCAGGGCACACTGCAGGGAAATTGAGACGGGGCGGCGATTCGAAGACGGACGCAGTAAAGGAAACGGATGCTGCACTCACGTACGAACCATCCTTCTTCTTCTTCGCGACGATTGCTTGCCGGCAGAGGGGCACCCGCGCCCTCTACCGTCGGAAGCTGAACATACCCACGGTCGCCAAAGGGATTCAGCGATTTGATGGACGAGAGCAACCCCGACTGCTGGTTGGTATTGACGGGCATGTCTGGTTCGCGACGGGACCAGCCCAGCGAGTTCATGGACTCTCGAAATGATGTCGAAGCCATGATGTTTTGGTGTGTATTCTCCTCGTCTCGTGTCCGCAGCTCTTCTGGCAGTTGCTGCTTTGCCCAAGCCGAAGGCCTAAATTAGTGCGGGTTCGAAGCCTCAGGCGTCCAGTACGTATGCGATTTATGTGTAAACTCCGGCGGGTGGATCGAGGTCGTAATTTGATGGAAATCAGGTGTGTCCGATGACCCTCCCTTAGAGAACAAGTTGGGCAAATGATGAGGCTGTGGGTTGAAAGAAGGATGTGTCGTTGTCGTGTTGAGGGTGTAGACGGGAGGGCGAATACTATTGGTCATAAGCCAAGGTAAGCCTTGCATAGAGTGGGGACGGACGGTTTGAGTGCCGTGGGTTCCGATAGTCCCGAGAGGTGTGTTGCGGCAGGCGCATTCGTGGGTACGAATCAAATAACTATGGGCCGAATGGATCGCTCCAGTTTGTAGCTAGTGGTTGAGTGGAGGCACACCATTACACGAAGCAATGTATATTGAAGAGAAGATGGTTTCCAAGACTTTGGAATTTTACGGCACCTGATCGGAACTCGTGAAGTTTTCTGTCCAGCAATTAGTCAAGGAGGCGGCCCTCAAAATTCGGTTGATGAAGAGTGGAGTGCAGAAATGGTAACCACTTGGGAATGACCTTTAATAACCTGACGCTCTCTACTGATTACTCAAGCAGAGGCGACGGTGGGATGATGGCCTTTTGTCCCGGTTCTTCTCATCAATTCCCTGAAATCACTCGCAAGAGAAGTTATTGTCCGTTTGCTGTGTTATGGGAGAGCTTTCGGTGAAGGCGAGCTTGGAGATTCGCTCGGCAGCTTTTGATCTCGTTGGGGTTCCAAGGATTGGGACGTCTTGCCTCTTAATGCCCCCTGTCAATGAAGAGTGAGAGACGATATTTTGAAGTTCGGCCAACGTCCTACGACTAAAAGGTAGCTTTATTGAGTATCTGTTTCTACGCCAAAATCGGCCTTGTGGCAGATACTTGGTAGCAGCCTGCTGGTCCAACTAATGCCCACGCAATCTTGAGGCCAGACTACCTGAGTAAAATCAGTACTGTCAGTACGGGTCAGTGGTGTGGCCGGGCAAATTCCTCCGCCAACTACATGCTGATGGATGCCATCCATGATACGAGAGCGCTATGCACTTGCAACAAGTAATCGTGTCTCAGATGCTGAAGAAGTCATCTACGCGACACCAAAGCACACAGTTGATCGGAATGGGTGTGTGTGTAAGTGAGTTTTGGGTGGTCGGAGTAGCGGCAAACACGGAGATATTCAATCGCCGGTGCTTCTTCCCCTCATCTGCCTTTGCGGATGTGAGTGGGCGGGCATGGGCAAAACTGGTTTGAACGGGTTTGAACGGACTTGAATGCCGTCCAAAGTCGTGCTCCACGCTCGTGCTTCCGTTTACGTACTTGACGAAGCCATCTTACGCACCGTGCTGGACGGGCGCTATCATCGAGAAACCGCAACCCCCAACTGGTGGAGATAAAACGCTTCATTTGTGATTGGTTGTCAGTACCCTTGCGACTATATGCAATGTTGCCCCATGGATCGTCACCAGCATCAGCGGCATGCCGTTAATAATGTCCCGACCACTCGCTTGGATGCAGATCTGAAGAACAGACCCTAGAAGTGCCGTGCGACTCTCCCCCATTTAGCAACACCGTGTCTAAGGGCCCGACCACTTCAAGTTAATCCTGATTGAAGAAGACTACGCTTGCCATTTTGCGACGAAACGCCATTGCCGCCAGCCAGTATAATGATCCTAACGCTCTCTACTATCAACTGAAGCAGGTAACCTTCAAAAGGCTGGATGGCTGGTAAGAGCTTCAAGTGGCAAGCCTAAAGTAGCGTCTGTACCTGGCATCGACACTGGTGGAAACAAGGATTCATTGGCGGGCTTCAGCAGCCAAAACACGTCGGGGGCTTCACACTTTTGGTAAGACAGCCTCTTATAGCTCTCGAGCGAGGTGGCTAAGTGTGGCCTTATGCGTATGTTCCCCAGACTAACATGGGGTCGTCAGCATGAAGTGTGGCATTCTGGGGATTACGTGCAAGTCTATAGTCCTGATGGGCCAAGTTCTGAACCCAAGACCGGTGCCTTGCACCAGACTCTGCTTCGCCATCGTTGGATACGGCCAACAGCCAAAATGGTCACGAAGCGTTTAAGCCAAGGTGATCGTTAAGTGACTCAAGTGGAAGAGCTGCTGGTCGAGTTTTGCGAGGTTTCCAAGGTTGAGCTGCAACCCACCCTTACGTTCGGTCTGTCAATAATGCCATGCTCGGGATATGCACTTTGCCATGGATTACGCTAGCCAAGGCCAGAGAGAGGGTGTGTTCTTGTCTTACCTAGGTGGGATGGCTGACTTTGTACCGCGTCACGCGTTTGGCGTGGGTGCAGCCCTCCATTGTTCGTCGCCTTCCGAGAATGCCCAGAGTCGCACAGAAGATTAGAGTAGAAGGCAAGGAGCGACTAGTGACAACGAGAGAAAGGGCCGGCGAGAAGTGTCAATGTCCTAGCCCACCACTACTACTGCTCCAAAAGCGGGTAAAACTATTTTGACAGTAGTCAGAAGACACACCATTCTGGGGCAAGCAAGGGCTCCAGGTATCGAAGACTTGATAAGCTCTGGCGGATGCTCAGGTTGAGTGGTCATTTCCTGGCAAGTGGTATTTTTAGACTGGAATATAAAAGATGACGGCCGCCTCGCATACCCCACGAAGCCCACTCTGACCCAAAAACGAAAGTCTTCTTCGTCCATCGGTCGCATAGCATCAACAAGGCTGATGTGATTAATTTAAACAGTCCTCTCGACCATCGCACTACGATTCTACGAACCGCCTTCATCAGCAACTACGAAGTACGCCGCTGGTTTCCGCCGTCTGCGCAACGCCAACCGCAGTCAGAACTCCAACACAACAAAACACACCTTAGTTCATAGGTCATTGACTTGTCACTTATAGACCCGCGAGTCTGCCGGATGTTGCCGGCCATTATTGGACATCTTCTAGTCCGTGACAAACACGACCGGTCTAACGGAAGTGCTTTCTCGCTTGCCATTCCAGCAACGCTCGAACACGGCCATCGACCTATCCTGTCTACCAGAGGAGAGTCGAAACTGTTATAGAGTGCATTTACAAGGACAAAAAAGCTTACTTGTCTTGGATTTTTCGTACTTCCTTTTCAAGTCTGCAACAACCACTCGGCTTTGATTCTGCGAAACCGGGGTAACTAGCTGCTAGTTGCTACGCCTTAGAGTCGACTTCGATCACGACGTCAGCTTGGCATCTCGAGTTTTCTGTCAAGAACCTTGAAGGCTTCTAAAGCCTGCAGTATCATCTGGGGCAGCTGTCCTGCCAACCACTGTTCACTATTTCCGGGCAACACCAAAAAAAACACAATTACCGCAATCGAGAAAGCAGGTGTGATCAAACGGAGATCCCGTCCGCTGTTGTTCAATCAATCCGACAGGGAAAGGTAATCTCAAGTGCTGGGGGTTTTGAGAGAAACTGGTCTAGCTCTCCAGCGAGCGATCTACAACTAATAAGAGCGACCAGCCCGGTCCACAGGGGTCTGGCCCTAAATCCGCGCCAGCCAATCGATCGTCGGCATCGTGGCCTCGGCTTCCCTAGAAAGGTTGCAAACATCGAGCTTCTCACCTCGACCGCCTCTTTTCTGGGACGGGTCTCACCGCGACTCAGCACGAAGTATTAACAGCATCCTCGAATATATGTGCGCATCCCATCTTGAATCGCGCGACACATCACTTTCCCGCATTCGAGGTCTCGTATTCGAGGTTTCCATTTCGGAAACTGTCCTCTATTCCACCAATCTGTCTATCGATTGTCAGATTGTGTAAGGCGGCAGCATCAGCAGCAGCCCCTGTAAGAATAGGGACCCTAGGCTGTAAGCAATAGTATTGTTGTTCAATCAGCTCGCGCCCAGGCAGGCCCAGGAAGCTTGCGCAGCCAGCAACGCCGGGCTACTTCGATTTCAGCCCACTTATCAGGCTTAGGAGGCTTGGAATTCTTGGAAGCTTTTGCCTTACCTCAAGTTTCGATAATCTGTGTTCGCTTCCACCAACCGACTCTCTCGCCGATTTACGTTTCGGAACATCTGGATCATCTTCCACCTGCAATCTTTCCCGTTCGGTTCTAATCCCATCATCTCCAACTCTGTCCCCGGACTCTCTCCATACGCTCCTCCACACCCTCTAGACCGATATTGTCAGGCCATCGGATATTACCTGACACACATAAGCCTCGACCCGTCTGCGAACCGAGAAAGGCGACGAATCGACCTTGGTGCACCACACTAGACGAGACTCCAACAAGCCGATCGCAAGCGCTACCTTCTTTCTCAACCTAACGAGTCACCGTCTCTATCTAGCCTCAGAACCAGCCCAGGGCCCCGAAGACCTACCTTCCCTTGCGGCGGATCAACGTCACACATTCACCACTGCTGAACGGCTGGATTTCCGCATATATCCACCCCGCTGCCCATCTTCCGGACTGCTGCGCGCACACATCGTCAGTCAGTCAGCTTTTGGGAGAACTCTTTTTTCTGCACTCTGCGCAGCGTTTCTTTTTTGTCGCTTCGGCCGGCGGTTCATTAGCCAATCGTTGCTGCGGTTCGCCCAGGCGCATCCTGTTGGTTTCGCGCAACAAACTCATTGACGAGAGTCGGAACTACGTACTGCGGGTGTCGCTTCACATTCGTCGAACTCCCATTGGGGTTCGAGCGCTGCTCCGACTCGGACTGGGGAGCCACGAACGGAGAACAAAAAAAACCGTCGCTCGCCATTTGCGATTTTCTGGTCATCCATCACCAACAGCTCGTCCAACGGACCTGACCCGTCTTTGAGAAAGACGAAGAGGAACTCTTATTCTGCCGGTCTTCCCGACGTCATTTACAGACTGTTCCCAGACTTCCGGCGACACATAAACTCGCATACTCCCTTCAACCTTCAATCTGCCACATTAATAGCTGCATGGCTTCATAAACAGCCATTGCAAGCGACTTCAAATCCCAAATACTTGCAAAATTTACTCAACACGGAGGTTTGTTGCCCACTTTCTTCCTCTCACTGTACAACGTGCGCGTTATTCCTCCGATTTTGCCGCCAGGGTGCGACCAATATTGCCTACCCTCATCGCGACCGCTCTGTTCCACTACCACTTCCCCACCTTCCATATACACTGCCCAGCTCCTCGAACCCGGTCGTCGAGTACATGGTGGTGCGGGGCAGAGTCGACCCTCAGCTTGCTATCTTCTGCTTCATGTACGGTGCTATGCTAACGCATTCCTGCAATGTTCTAGTGATTAGTGGCGACACATCCCACGATAGGCTTTCGCCTATAATTCGCTCCAAAGACTTCCACGGTCACGATCTCGACTTCTGCGGCAGTCCAACGCGACGCCAGCTATGGCACAGTACGGTTTCAACCAATTCGGGGGAGGCCAGAATAATGGCAGTGGAAGCATTGACCCCAACGACTTAGCCATGTCTGGCTACGGAAACGGTAACGCCATGTTCACCGACGACGATCTGCTCGGGACGCTAGATAGCCACAGCCCAACCGATGCCAACCAACCCACTACGATGAACAACCAAGGCCAAGAATTCAATAACATGAACGGCATGAGTATGGGGTTTCCACAAAGTGTATATGCGTCGCATCAAGTGGACCAGTCACACATCAACGGATACTCGAACACGCCAGAGGGAGACCCCATTCAAAGCCCCTTTGTTCACAGTTACGGCGGCCAACCCCAATTCCGCCAGATGCAACATCAACATCAACATCAGCCTTTTGGTAACTCGTTGCAATCTCCCATCTCTTATTCAGGCTCCCCTCATACCGGCAACGACGCGAACAATGATGGCGAGCCCAATTACCTGAACGCCAAATCAAATCATCGCTTGTCACAAGCACAAGCGCAAGCTATGCAGCGCAAAGCCTCCAACACGCGAAGTCCCCTCACATCGCAGACAGCCACAGCCATGGCAAATTTGACAGTTGGCTCCCACGAATCTCCTGGGTTTGCCACTCAACCAATCCGAACACCCAGCAATACGAATCACGAAAAGTCACCTTCGGCCCAGTGGATGCACACGCCCAATAGTATGTCCTCGTTCCCCGGCACCGGCTTCTCTTCGCCCTTGCAACAAGGCATACAGCATCCTCACATCGGCGATGTGATACGAACTGCTGGCACGTCGATGCCGACGAAGCTAGGCGGTGTCGCCTCGAGCCATGCCACCGCTCAAGAAATTAAAAGAAAGCGAAGGCGCGAGTCCCATAATCTTGTGGAGCGACGACGAAGAGACAATATCAACGAAAGGATTCAAGATCTCAGCAAGCTGGTCCCGATGCACAGACTGGAGGACGAAAAGATTCGAAAACTCATCCAAAACGGAACGCCCCTGTCACCTACGTTGACGGGAATTTCCCAGCCTGGCCAAGCTACATCGGGACTGGCGGGTCCAGGCGCGAAACGAGCAACAGGTGCCGGCAGCATCACGACTGGTCTTCCCATCGAGGATAAGGACAAGGGACCGAACAAGGGTGACATCCTCAATGGTGCTGTTAGCTGGACGCGTGACTTGATGTGGATGCTGCACATGAAGCTGCAACAGCAAGAAGAGCTCATGAACCACATTGCCGAACTTGGTGGCAGCTTCCCGCTTGAGCTGACCGACGACGAGAAGCGCATGCAAACAGAGCTGATGGAGACCATTGCCAAGAACGAAGTGCACAACTTTTCATACTCGCGCTACGATGGCTCCGGTCTTCGGGTACCTCATCACACCGACTACAAGGGCGAGTCTCTCAACGGTGGCAGCGCAGGCGATCCCATCTCCGTCAGTCCCGAGGACCACAATGGCGGCGACCTGACAGGAGATCTTGGCAACCCCAATGAATTCTGGAATGATCCGGATGACGATGTCAAGGAGGAAGATGAATACGGCATGGACCTGACTGTATAGTGTTGCTGGTATGCCGACTAGTCGTTTGGTGGTCGGCGCCGTCGCTTGATATCACATTGCATTCCGCCGCTTACGTGGCTGGCTCTTTTTCATTCTGCATGTTCCGAGGAAGAGACATGGTGCTGCATCAAGAGGTCGTTAGGGAGTGGACAGGCGTTTTCTTTGTTTTCTTTGTTTTCTTTCTTTTCATTACTTGATTTGATTAGGAATGGAGTTTCGTTGCAGTGATTATGGGGGGGGGGATTCTATCATGTACCGTACTGGACATATGGACGGACAAGCTTGGGGCCCGCCAAGTTCTAGACATCTGCCCAAGGGGGGTTTTCTTTCATTAAACGGTACGCGCACTCTGCTTTTACACTATGATACCTAAGCGGGGCAACTAGGGAGTTTATAGGGTTTCTGTGTTTCCCCCCTTTTCATTATCAGCGTCGCTTTGCAGTGTCTTTCACTCTCCTTCATCTTCTCCCTTCACAAACACGCTTGGTCGCAAATGTAGCAGGTCGTTCTTTCGCAGCGAGCCTAGCATATATAATCGCATGTACCTAACCTACCTATTCCTTTCACCCTGGAGCTTATACACCGTTGCGAACACGGTGAATTGGGGAAATATACAGATGACAGACACAGACAGACCAAACCCACTCATGGAGCTTGTTCATAGTTGTATGACTCGGGGGTAATATTCCACATCAGAACATGTCTGCACGATGCAGTGGCATTCTATGACTTCGAGGTAAGCCATGTCAGAGCACGTCGTATAAACTCCCCTAGCCTATCGATATCTACCTAGATAGAGTAAAACCCCGAGTACTGAAAGAAGACTCGGCCGGCCCAAGCAAATAACCAATTCTATGCCGCCCCATTGGCCAATTCAGTAGCTTTCGCCGCTGCTTCATCAAAATCATCAAACGCAAACAGCGGCAGTCGGCTCTCGGCGATGATGCGCCGCCCTTCATCCTCGTTGGTGCCTCGGATGCGCACCACGACGGGGACGCTCATGTGTAGGTCCTCGAAGGTCATGACGATACCGCGGGCGATCATGTCGCCTAGGGTTAGGCCACCGAAGATGTTGACGAATATGCACTGCCCATAACAAGCATTAGATGCGTCGAGTTGTGTAGGTAGCTTTTATTCTCCGTCGTGCATGAAAAGGGGGGAAGGGAATGGAATGAGATATGCAAAGGTAGATGAATACACATATACAGGGATGGATCAATGGTTCTATATATAGAATAACACACATACCTTCACCCTAGAGTCTCTCAAAATAACCTCAAACGCCCTCTTGACCGTCTCACTCGTCGCCTTTCCCCCCGTATCGAGGAAATTGGCTGCCTTGCCGCCGGCGTCGGCAAGCGCGTCCACCGTGTTCATGGCTAGGCCAGCACCGTTGACTAAAGTCCCAATGTTGGCGTTGGGGTCGGGGAGTTTTATGTATGCAATTCCGTATTTTTCGACCGAGAGCTCGGCTGGGTCTTCGAGGGAGAGGTTGCGCAGGGAGTGGATCTCGGATTGCCGGCCGCTAGAGTGGAGGGCCGCGTCGTCGAGGTGGAGGTGGGCGGATGAGATGGAGATGATGGGTTGGGCTGGGTTGTTGATGGTGAGTAGGGTGGAAAGGAGGTAGGCCTCTTTCTCGGCGAAGAGGGTGGTCAGTTCGGTGAGAAGGTGGGTTATGGATGGGAGGCAGAGGCTATCAAGGCCGAGGGCGGTAGCAATGGAGGATAGGGGCAGGTCAGCTGCTCCTTTATTGTAGTCGAAGTCGAAGACTTGAGAAGTGCTGGTGTCGCTGGTGGTGGAGACTACTATGCAGGGGCTGCGGGATGAGCGGTTGATGGAGATGGCTAGGAACCTTTGGGGGCCTGAAGCGGGGGCTTCGGGGTCAGTGATCGCGATGCCATGTTCCCGGAGGAGGTCGAGGGTTGTGGTCTGTGTCAGTGAGATGTTCCTCTTTTGGGTCTGAGGTGAAAAAGCGGCTGTTGTGGTGTTGTTGGTTGATCTAGGGCGGCGGGCCAAGGTGTGCATTCCTCGGCCTTGTGAAGCAGTGCGAGGGGATGCAATACCACCCCCTGTGGGCATTGCGCCGGCGAGCATAGTCTTGAGGACTGACCCGAATCTTGAGGGATGGTTGATGATTGTCGCTCCAGCTGATTTCAACGCCTCTATCTTGGCTGGTGCGGTGGGTTCTCCGGGTAGAGTAAATGCGCCGGCATGGCCCATGATCCGGCCTGGGACGGCATTGACACCGGCGACGAGGGCAACTATCGGCCTCCAAATACTATTTTAGTCGACATCCTCTTAAGTTACTTGAGATTTGCATACTTGGGAGTCTTGGTCGTTGCCCGGTACTGCTTGATCCAATCGGCAGCTTCAAGCTCGGCATTACCTCCTATTTCTCCCACCAACGCAATGCCCTCGGTGTCTGCATCTTCTGCGAGGATCTTCAGTCCATCTGTGAGGGTTGTGCCGGGGACAATATCCCCGCCCACGCCTAAACACATGCTTTGGCCCAAGCCGGATCTGAGTGTGGACGCGGCAGCTCCTTTAAGTCAGCACAACATTTGGAAAGCCTAGTAGGAATGTGAGATTGAACTTACTTTCATAGCTAAGAGTACCCGATCTGGCCACAATGCCAATTATACCAGGCTCAAAACATGGCAGCGGTTGAAACCCTGCAGCGAATAGAAGAATAACCTGTCAGGTCATCCTTCAATTAACAATCCACTCCGGGGTTCACTCACCAATCCTACACCTCCCAACCGCCGAGATGATCCCAGGCGAGTTGGCCCCGATCAACCTGGAAACCGACTGCGTTTTCAGGATAGCATGTATCTACCCTCGACATGTCAGCGCAGTTCAAATCCACTTACACAAGAAAAAAAATTTATTACTCGGAGCAAGTCGTGCAACGGAATATGCTCAGCCACAGCAACTATAAGCGGTACCTCGGCCTCGATAGCCTCCACGATGGCCGCAGTCGCCTGGTGCGCAGAAACATAGATTCCCGTGGCATCTGGCTTTAGCACCTCAACCGCCTTGCGGACGGTGGGCAAAACGGGGAGACCCAAGTGCTCGCCTTCACGGCCGGGGGTCACGCCGCCTACGATGTCGGTACCCCATTCGAGGGACTCTTTGGCGTTGGCCGTGGCTTGTTTGCCTGCGGGATAGTTAGTCGACCAGTGCTACAAGTGATGGTTGGGATTAGTGGTTGAGTCTAAGAAAGCACACCTGTAAAGCCTTGAAATATCACTCGTGTATGTCGTCCAATTTTTAGGTTTTTCAACGTAGCATCGTAGTTGTGAGAAGCTCGTGAGGTGCTGAATGGATGAGTGTAGTTAGACCTCGGTAACTTAACCGAGACTTGGAGTCTATAGTTGCGGAGACGCATGTTGCCCGCGCTCTGGATTTCAATGAAATACGTTGCACAACAACGTCACACAGAGCAGCTTTTAAGCGAGTATGTGTGTACGTGCCAAACACCACGAAATATTTGGGGAAATTATTGGTTTGTGTTCAAGTTGAGAGCTGTCTCGCTCTAGTCTCCGCCAAAGACGTCATTTGATTTGTAACTGGCAAGCTTTGCCTCCGAGGGGGAACTTGGTTAGCGCCCAGAGCAAGCTGGGAATAAACCGGCCCAGCGACTTCCAGAGCTGAGATCCAGTCCACCATGTAGACTCGCCATATTCCCAATGTTTCATTCCGAGCCTCTGCGACTCACATCCCGTAAGCTACTGAGCTTCCTCACTGCCGCAGACCTGGAGACGATGACGGCTGAAATCGTATCGATTAAAGCTCGTATATTCGACCCCAGCATTGCCGGACTAGGCGATGAAACCGGATGTCGCACCTGTGGGAGAGAGCTTCTCTCTGCCTACCAAATCAGTTCACCCTTGACGCCCTTCTCGGGTTCTTTTGGCTTCTCCGGGAATCCCAGATTTCTAAACTCGTCCTTGGCCATCAGGTTCCTGTGAATGAGGCACATCAGCACCGCCAACGGTGTCCGTGACAGCTAGAAGCTTACTTGTCCATCCGACAGGTAAGATAACCCTTTGCCAGTTCGCGGCAGGCCTCGTCATTCATTCCCTTAACCTTCTTGATGCAGTTGAGATACGAGGTCATGACATGTTTACATTCCCCTAATGGCAGGTGGTAAGCAGCGGCCATGAGTTCATGGACACAACGATACGTGTGCGTGGTTCCTAGTGCTCACCATCATGGTCTAGAGGGAAGCTGCCTCGTTGTGGTCTGGTAGAGCTTTGTCAATACCAAACCATCTATGACTTTCAATGCCGGGTCTCTTGGGAGCTTGTTAAGCTTACGGGGTGGGCTTTCCAGAGTATGGCGATGAGCCGGGACTACCGAACGAGCTCATGGTTCATGTCGAACGCGTCGAATTGCTCGTTGATAATGACGGTGCACTCCGGCAGAATCGGAAGATCGAGTCAGTCGCCGGGTCTGATTATCTGCGGCTGTCAAATATGTCCTGTGGCTGTTGGAAGCCGAAAGGCCAAGGATTCTCATGCTGTAAAACCTCTGTCAGGTGGGGCCAGCACCGTGTCAAAAGTCGAACGATGATGTCGTCGAATTCGGAGAACTCGAGCTCAGTTCCCACTCATTTGGAGCTGCTGCCCCTCCCCCACCTTTCTCATCGGCGACGGGACCGCTCAAAGCCGGTTTCTTCGCCGTTGCTGGGCCACCGGTGGAAACCAACCTCGCCCAAATCACGACCCTCGCCATCATGAGCAGGAAGCGAAACTGACTTTCAACCGCGGGAACGAATAATTCAGCTGAATAAGTCATCCACCCGTGATTTCTCAATATTGTCACTTGTATTCTTGTCAATTACAAGCCATAGCGCGCCTTGACACGCATCCAGCTGCAGCTAGAGACGGGAATACGTCAACTCGATCTGACATCGACGTGCCAAGAGTGCTTATGTACATTATTCTCGGCTGAACAACTCGCCCATTATCTCCACCCCCATCTCTCAGCGGTGAGGCCAGACCCTCAGGAACCGATCTCAAAACTCATTTTTTCTCTTCTCGATTTATCTAATCCACACCACACAATTGACTGCTGGTACTCCAATTCCAAGCAACCTGCACTCGATCCATCAATTCGGCAGTAGAGTCCCAGGCTCTAGGCCTCTGCGCTGTTTAAGCCACCGCTACCCGTTATTCCGGCCTCAACACACATCCCGCCCCAGACAATGAGAATACGGCACAGCGGCGGATATGGAGCCCTTGTCTCGGTAGCCATCTCACTCGTGCAAGCCGAGTACTTTTCGCCCATTAATTATGGCTCATTAGCAAAGAGACTTGACTGCCCGACGGATTACTTCAGTTGCGAGGACCAAGGGACGGTGTTCGCGGGCACCTGCTGCGCCGACGGCCAACTCTGCTCTCTGGACTCAAATGGAAAAGCCGCGTGTTGTCCATCGGGGTACGCAGACTCTCTCACTCACGTCGCGGAATATGCCTCCAAAGAACTGGACTGATGATTTCACAGCGCCGTATGCACCGGGACAGTAGCGTCCACCACCGGGGGCACCCCAACAGCGTCCTTCGTGACCAACTCCCTTTACGCTTTCCCCGCCATTCCGACCTCGTTTAGTAACGCGGGCCAATGTTCTTCCGCTGTCAACGCCTGCTCAAGGAACTACGAGTCGTGCACGTCCGGGCTGGTCAGCGGCACGGGCGGCTACGCCGTTACGGTCGCCGTCCCGGGAGGGGGAGGGACTACGGTGGCGCCCACCCACGTCACGATACCCATCGAGAGCGCGACGTCCGTCTGCTCGAGTTTGTCGTCTAAGGCGTGCTATGGGATCCAGAGTAGCGTGTGTACGGTCACGGGGACAACGGGTGTGTTTAATATCGGCACCGAGAATATGGCCTCGAGGCCGACGGCTGCCTGCATGGCAGGGGTCATGGCCGGTGTTGGCGTGGGGATTCTGGGTGCGCAGTGGTGAGGAGGCGGCGGAGTGTGACGAAATTCGGCTCGGCTACTCAGCTTGTTCTGTAGAATAGAGATATCAGAACGGCGTGGGATAGTCCTATGGGATTATCCGGGTACAAAATGTACGAAGCACTTACGATACGATAGTAAACGATTATGACGACCAAATGGAAACATATGCGTCTCCAGTCCATACCGCCGCGTAATTCGGTCTCTCGTGGCCCCGTCTAATATACGCTACCCCAGATGAAAACTCGTCCGTCTGTCACTGAAAGATTTACCTCTTTTATAGGTATGGGGCACAATCCCTTATTTCAGAACTAGCCCCTACACCGGGTATGTACCAGCAATCCCGAACGCTGCAGGTATCTACCTGAACGGCCCTTTAATGCTGCTACAAATATCCTCCGCGGCAGATTCTACAGCTTCGAATTAGTGCAAGCCCCCTCCCGCAAGTTTGTCAGTTGCCGGATAAGGAGCTCACTGCGAGCCTTCTCATTAGTCGAGGAAGAACCCGCCCCGTCGAGTCTTCCCTTCAGTTTCTTGCTGTATTTTGGATACTTCGATAGGTTATTACTCCAAACATCCTTGGGCTGAGACGAGCGCTGAGAACAGCACAAGCAGTCTCCGAGGCGACCACCCTATCAACATCGCCGTCGTACTTGGCCCTCTCGTCCACGAAGGTGTCTTTCGTAACGACGAGCTTCTCAACCGGGCCCCTGAAGTCGGTATCCCGACGGATATGCGGTAGCTTAGTTCCCTGCTCCTGGAGGTGCAGGCCTAAGGCGAAGGGACGGGCTCGATTGCCGCATCTCTCCCCCAACCAAGCCACTGTGCTCCGAGACGCGGGGCGGAACAAGCGCTAGCTTCACTTCTCTGATACGGGGGAGGGAAAAGCTGGGAAACGGTGTTTCCGAAGAGCTTCTGCGGAACTTTCCTATGGCAGAGGTTAGAGCGCGCAGGGCCGTTACCAGCTCGCGACTTGTCGTATTTGGAAGAATCGGGCGAGGTGCTTCGCGAGTACGGTGCCTCATGCTCTCGGTTGCAGAACGCGCAGGTGGTAGATCGCCATGATGGAGAGCAGGGCCCGCATGTCTTTGGCGTATTCTTTCAATTCCTGGTCTTAAAATTCGTGGAGCTGTTCGACGACGCCTAAGAGGAAAGTCGTTGGTATATTCGACGTGATTGAGTTCTCCAGTCTGGGGAACAAAGTTCAGTCGGTATCCACTCGTTCATGAATAAGCGCCGTGGGACTTGGGCTAGAAAATGTCTTGACTTGCTTCTGGGCTAGTTCGTCGAAGATATTGCTATATATCCATAGCTTTACAAGAACTCTCACCGTTTCCCAAAGTATTGGGTTGGGGTGACAAACACTCGATGGCGCGATCGAATGCCTTACGGCGCAAGTCAAAACGCTCCTACATGGTGCTATCCTCAAAGTCTGTCATCAGGAGAAGGGTAGTATCCCAAGCTGAGATGATGACTTGACCCTTGAGTTGATACAGCAGGCTTCATACGTCAGTGCCAGTTCCAGTAGCTCACAATAGTTGCGTAAAGGACCTACTTCCAAGTCACCAAATTTCTTTGTCGTTGCTGAAGAGAGCAACTGGGGTATTATAGCTTTCGAAAATTATTCTTAGTACCAATCCGAGAGGCCTTGAGTATCTTCTCGAAAAGGGGGTTGGTCTTCAAACTGCAACAGCCATAGGTATGAAGTCATATAGAGCCCACAGGTATGCCCGAGAGTATTGCGCAGCGTACATAATCCTGTCTGGCCTGCATGTACTTTTCGACGACACGATCTACATAGGTGGCTTCTTCGGGATCGATAGGTGCATCCTCTTTCCCATCATCCAGCCAAGGAATCGTCCCAGCCACGGGAGCTAGGATGAGGACCAACAAGCGACCAATTTAGTAGGACAAAACAGCGACTTGAACCTGGATATTGAAATAGCTTGCAGGGAACTTCATTAAGGAATCGATCACTGCTATTTCCATTCGATGTTCACGAGATATTCAGTAAGAAACTCACATTCATCCCCTAGTTGTGTCCCTTTTGATAGTAGAAGTCCATACAGTGTGCATTCCGAAGTGTGGGGCTTATACACCGTGCATATCTTGACCAATATGTGATGCTTTCCCAACCTCAAAACACAACGCAATTCCGTTGAACATCATCTCATCACTCATCAAAATGAATTCTCAACACAACATCTGTGGATTTGGATTTGATTGACAAGACGATTTTTTTTTTTCACTTTGTCGTCGTTCAGGAATGGGTGGAGTGTAGATTATCGTTACGAACTCTACCTGCAATGAACGGTGCCAAACTTGCGTGGACGGATGCGACAGAACCACAAACCTGCTCACCGTTTGCTATCAGAGCAATTTTGACGGAATTACACATTACTTAACGTGCCAAACTTCCCAAGAGGCTAGGTAAAGATGGCTGTGCCCATTCTCCCCAATCCATCCAACTTTCTGGGTGTAGCCCTGGTTATCAACCGATCCAGAGACGGGCCCCGTTTCGTCTTCCACTACCCGCCCAAAATCCCGCCCATCAGTAAGCATATACCCAACAAAGGAACCCCCGATAAACTGGACGACGACGACGTGCTCCTGGACTGTATACCTGAACCAAACAGGGGCATTACAACAGGGCCAAAAGGCGTGGACCTCACACAGTGGGATCATGATGAGCATTTGGAGACCGACAGTGGCTCCCAGGTCGTCCCATGGGAACATGTCGGCGGATTCCCCACCAAAGACCTCGAGAGTCTCCTAACGCCAGCCCGGGCATTTCACAAGAAGCTCTTCCAGATTTCCCTGGACCAACTATACGCCGTCTCGTATCCCATTTACGCACCTGAAAGTGGCCTCTGGAAGAAGAAAAAGAAGCAAGCGAAATCGCGGCCTAGCAACAGCAAGTTTGGTGGTGAGGATGGCGATGCAAGCATAAAACCTGACGAATCAGTCACCCTCGCTGAAGATGTGCCTCCGATCGAAATCAAGGACATGGCGACCGAGACGGAAGGGGCCGATGAGGCAGTAACCGAAGGAAAGAAGAGCGGTATGACCATGTTCAACCTGGTGTTCATCCTCAATCCCAAGAAGCACGAGGCCAAACAACTGGTCGACACGCTCTACTTCCACATCATTCGCAAGATCAACAAGGCATACAAGTATAGCCAGCAGCGCAGCGACTTCGTATGGAAGGAATCCAAGAGGATACTTCTACTCAAAGATAAGGGTCGTGAAGACAAGACCAGGATGACGGCGCTATGGCGCGAAATACTCGAGACTTCGTCCCTCGCTTCCTCGATGCAGGATATCTACGAGGCTGTCAGCCAAAACAAGATCGCCGCACTCCAGCTTGGGACAGCAGAAGGCACCCTGACGCACTCGGTCCAGATTCCAGTGCCATTCTACCTTCCAGACCTCCCGTCTGACAACGAGATTTCGGCCGCATCTGCCGGATCCAAAGGATTATGGATCACCACAGCCAACAGCTTTGCCGATGCCGACGCATTGGACGACCCTTCTTTCCTCGACAGGAACTTTGCGCTGCTGCTCCTGAACGACGAAAAGAAGATCATCGCTGAATTACAGGCAGACCCAGATGAGACGACAAACGCCATGGTCGAGTTCGTGCGCCTAAGCAAACCGACCATGAGCTTCCATCAGATTGGACATGCTGGAATTCTCAGCCCCGCACAGGTACGCAAGTATGCGCAACACTTCATCTTCTGGCGGCGAGCCATCGCTGTGCCACCCTTGCATGCCAGAGATGTGTACATCATCAGTCCGAACTCCTCCACGGACTCGCTCCCGACGGCATCTCAAGCTTGGGCGAAAGCATTTCCTCTGGCGCCACCACTCCCCAACTTTCTCGCCGACCTGTCAAATGCGCCTAGACCGTATAAGTGGTTCTCCCCTTCTAAGGCCCACAGACCAACGTACTTGCAGATGCTAGCCTGGCTGATGCGCGGTGGATGGGTGACACAGCTCTGCACATTCGCATACGTCGTGGTATGGCCCGAGATCCAATACGAAGTCGAGTACCAACTCGAAGCCGACGAGCTCAGGCGATCTTCGTCCGCATCCGATGACGGCGCTTCCGCCGCAGACGACACTGCCCATGAGGTCGAGTCGAGAGAAGCATCCCCGGGATCCACAATCTTCTCAGACCAGCGCACATCTTCCTCCCCCGAGGCCATCCAACGCACCGCCAACGAGCAAGTAGCCGAGAAAGCGCGGCTCGACCGTCTCGCAGACCGCGCCTCCCGCCTACAAGCCGAGAAGGCGGCCCAGCATGCGCGGAAGCAGGTTCCTATCAACACGGATCACCCATCCATCAATACGGCGGCGCACCTCGCCAAGCTGGAGCCGTACATCATTGTCGATGCCAAGAAAGCCACAGGCAAGGACTCGCTGTACCTGTCTGCCATCGGCCGAAGATTTAGGGATCCTAAGGTCAGGGCTAGCTGGCCTGTGTTCTGGAAGTACTTCAATGGCCGCAGCGCACTTGAGAGGATTGCGTTGCAGGAGGATAGTATGAAAAGGAAGGAGGCGTGGGGTTTGTTGACGGGAATGAGCGAGTTTCTTTTGACTGTGAGACATTGGTAGGGTGTTGATGAGTATAGATGAGTGACCTAGGATGGGGAAATATTTTACATGAGGAAGCAATGTCATTCAGTACACCCAGAGATCTGCTTAGGGTACAATCATGGAGTTTCATGGAGTTCGGAATCAAGTGAGGAGAATCCACCATCATATGCATAGGTAGCTAGGTCTAAATTCTACACACGCTCTATCGCCCACAACCCTCTAAGCATGGCTCTTCGTCTGTGCCTGACCAAATCAGCCCCCTCAACCTGCACATCGGTTGTCACCCCACTTTCATGAGGCATCGCTGCATCGTCCATAACCGCCCTCTCTCTCCCTTCCTTATCCAACCCTGCCTCTTCTAACTCCGCCACCTTCCAGGCCCTGAGCATCCACAACGCCATAAATGCAACAAGATACATGCAGCTCACGAAGATTTGGACATCCAAATACCCCCAGTATCCGGTCTCTTTCCTCAAACTCAGCCCAACGACTTCCGAAAACGTAGACGGAATCACGAGAACGAGCCAGCTCATGGATAGCGCCGAGGGAATCAGGGGTAGGCCTACGACCTCGGCGCAGACGGGACCGGCGGTGGCCCACATGACTCCCGCGACGGTGCCGCTGAGGAAGGCTAAGACGATGCAGGCGGCGAGGGAGCGGGCGGCGAAGATCCAGAAAAAGAAGCAGAGGAGGGAGCAGAGCAGGGTGCAGAGGCAGGACATGTTAAGGCGGCCGACGGAGTCGGAGGAGAGGCCTATCATGGGGCGGCCTAGACCTTGTCCTACTGTTTTTGGAAAGGTGCGTTAGCATATATATATATATATATATGTATATACCTAGATATAACTGAATGGAATAGTTGATGCACGAGAAAGGAGATGAAGAGAGTAATAACTGACAATTAAACAGAGCCCCCACCAAACTAGCCTGCGAAGTCGTAAGTCCTACCGCCTGACTATAATCCGCAATGCTAAACAAAAGAATGACATATCCCATTACGGAGAAAAACAGCCACATCTCGAGCAAAACGTAGGACGGCCTTGCGAAGAGGCGCCAGTTAAACGCCGCGGTCACGGAGCCAATGGCTTTATTGCGGTCGCGGATCAGCACGCTGCAAGCTCCATTCACGACGAAGCAGAGGATGGCGAGTGCACGGAACGTTCTAGGCAGTCCGATGCGGGCGATCATGGCATTGGTCGAGAGGGAGTAGATGAAACCGCCGAAGCCGGAGCCGGCGGCGGCGCAGGCGCTGGCTAGGGAGCGTCGCTTGCTAAACCATTGCGTGGGGACGGGGTAGGAGGCTACGAAGCAGAAGCCCATGCTGTTGTTGCATGTCAGTATTGGGACGTTGGGACCGGGTTGAGAGGCGTGGAACTCACCCTACGCCGAAAGCTACACCCTGACTGAGAAGCAGGTGCCAAAGCTGACTCGTGAACGAGGCTCCGACGAAACCTGCGGTTTCAAAGACGGCCCCGAGGAAGATGGTCTTCCTCGTTCCGCACCATTTGGAGCCGGCGAAGTAGGTGGCGAGGGGTGATATGAGCATGGCTGAACAACGGTCAGAACCGAATACAAGAACGTAACCCAGACATATCCGGAGAAAAGCAAGGCATGGTGATCTGCACGTACCTATTGAAAGAGACAAGCCGCCAACGAAGGCATAGCCAATGGTGCTAGTGCCTTCGAAAGTGCCACTACGAAGATAATAGGCCAGGAATACGGCGAAGGACTTTTCTTGAGTCAGAACATGGAATGAAGGAAACAGACACTAGACGAGCTGCGAATAGTTGATGACCTACAGAGTTGAGACCCCATGTATGGGCGTTGAGCAACGCCACCGCTGCTACTACAATCCTGAACAAGGAACATGAATCAACGACTTGTTCATCGAGTATTGGGAGTGTCTAGACCGCAAGGAAGATATATGAGTGATCCGAAACACGAATGCTAGGGGTGACCAACCAGCCATAACCGCCCTCCCTGAACTCTGCAACTGGTTGATTCGCAGATTCGTTATTGTCGGAACTCGAGATATTTGGCGCATCATCGCCCCGTTCCATCTTTCTCGCTTGGGTTTCCTCCACCTCCGTCCTCTGTGTGCCCGGCGTAATTGCTGTCATCTCGGCCACTTATCGTGCGCAACTGATGATGAAGTCCAAGAAAACGAAGTTGAGATCACGAAAGTCAGTCATGGAAAATAACAAAAATGACTAGCGTCGTGATCTCGCTTTTTGTGGATCGGCAAAGGTTGAGACTTGCTTGGCAATAACGAGGTAATGACCGCAAAAACACTTCCGGCCGGGGATGAGCCGCATATCCGCTTTTCCATGATGTTGGGAAGTCAGATGGTGATGCTGATTAACGTCCAGCGCTCCTGCGTATCCGACGGCGAGCTTGTGAGCTTGTATTGGCTGCAACAGTGAAGACTTCTTCCCGGGTGGGGCAAGTTGAGGTGGTGGACTTTTGTCACGTCAGACAGCACAGACAGCAGAGCAACGCTTTTGCCGCACTTGTCGACAAATTGCGCTGTCTCTAGAGGTCCGAGTGATGAAGAGGTCCATACTTTATTGTGGGACACGGCATATGGGAGAGTGCGATGTTTGTGCAGTATACCAGTGCTTGCAAGATGCTACCAGAATAGATAAGTCGCTGTCACGTGGAATCCAGTTATAAGCAATGTGGGATGGTATTATTACCCGCGTTTCTGGCGAAGATGGATTCGTTAGCGGCTTCAGGAAAGCTAATATGGTGGTTGATGAAATGACAGCTTGAGACAACTAGGAGATGCCTGCTTCGAAGATGCGCCAGGTTGCACTCACAAACGACTCTAATTCAAGTCGTCACTTGACCCTGGGTCGGACACTTGGTTTAGCGTCATCGGTTGAGCTTGCGGCTGTGAACTGGCAGAACCCACCCGGACGCAGGAAAGGGGCGGCCAGTTGATATTGCTTCTAGAAGCTCAACCCACCCTGGCTAAACACGTCCCGCACGGGCAGTATCGTACCAATGCACGCTGCGTTCAGTCAGCATCCAGCCTGTTCGTCCACGCAAGAAAATGCATGGACAAGGACGTTTCGAGTCAAGCTTGCCCCCAGGTGAGAGATTGGAAATAGACGGTGAAGGTTGGTGACTCTTCGATAGTCCGCGGTGTACGAAGTACTTAAATGAGGGCGCAATATGGAATAAGTGGGGGTGAACTCTTGGCAATCGCCAAACGATCAAACGCGACCTGACCAGCCGGCCTGCGGGTCGCCCTAGGCAACGTTGGTGGCACTCCGTGATTGGGGACAACAAAAAAGTGGGAGCACGCCGAGGGACATTCCTAGTAAGTTCATACAGAGATGCCATATCGCATATATGGCCGTCGGAACCTGACAAGAGCGCGCCAGCGCATCATCATGCATTGCAGCCACGCACATTTGACTCACGCAGTAGAAGAGCTCTTCCCCCCTGGCAACCCTCCGTGTAAAACAGGGCTCGTCAACACCGTCTTTTGCACCACCACCACCAAATATCGTTATTAGTACAAACCGCCCGGATTGTTGCCTCCTGATCTCATCTTGCGGCCTCGCAGCTGTTCCCCTGCAAAATCGCGAGCCCGAACGCCCTCGTGCCTGCTTTTCCGTCTAACAGTACGAACACAGATCACCGAAAATGCTTCTTCGAGGCAGGTCCAAGGAGCGGACTTCGCCCAGGAAGGTGACGCCTCCGTCACCTGCCTACATGAACAATGAGCAGTTCTGTAAGCATCTATTTGTCCGCGTCTGCACGAGCTGTTGGTTGGATGGGGACTGATGCCAATCATTCCTGTAGCTTCCTACCTCGCCAGTCTTCGAGATACCCGTAACACTCGCCCAGGAGGTGCCAGACCACAGCCCACCACACGCCGGGAATCAGAACGCGTCGCTCCAAGCCGCCCCTCCATCGGTGGCATTTCAGTCCAGTCGGATGCCGCTTCATCGCATCAGCGAACCCAATCAGACACCGCAACCCCACAAATCACCTCGGCCATCCGCCCCAGCTATGGCGGTAGCTTTGCCTCAAGCATCGCGTCGCGCTTCACCACCTTGTCCTCGGCCCCGGGGCGAGACTACTATCCGGAGAAACCAACCGCACCACCGTTGAAGCCCGGCGAATTCGTGCCCAGCGCCAGATACATTGAGCGAGGGTCACGGTGGATGGAGAAGGAAGAGGCTGTCTCGTTGCGCACCGCAATGGAGGACATGGAGCTGAAGGACAAGCGCGAGGGTATGGGAAAGGCGACTCCAGAAGACCCCGAAGAGGCGCGGCTGTACGAGGCTGCTCTCAACGAGGCAGCAGAACTTGTATGGCAACACGAGCATGGTGTCAAGCCGCCGGAGCCGGGAACCCCGTATCGCTACAAGCCACACCTGAGAAAGGACAGCTACGCCCATGCGCGCACCGCTAGCGTCGGGCGTTATGGTGACGACATTGTTCCCACAGGACTCGCAAGAGACGGTGCACGATCTGCTTCGGCAAGTTCTTGCGGTAGTGACGGAAGGCGTTCCCTGGATAGTACGCGCCCAAGTTTGGACGGGCAACGCAAGACATCCGTAGAATCCTCAACATCAAAGTCTTATGGCAGCTTGAACGGAATTGCATCACGTCCGACGGGTAGCCGTCGTCGCAGCAGCATGAAGCGCAACATCAGCGGCGAGGTTCAGAAGCCTTTCTCTGGTGACCAGATTTACGAAGAGCCCGAGGGCGACACTCCCAAGTCCAAATCCACGTCCTTCCTTCCCACCAACACAGATAAGGTGCAACCGCTGAAGCTCAAGTTGAAGAATCCTCTCAACAAAATCTCATTCGCGCCGGAGTCTGGTTCAGATAGCGGAAGAGAGTCCCCAGACGTTGCTCCACCTTCTCCTGCCAAACGGCTATCAAGATATGAGATCCACAAGAACCCTCCAACCCAGACCCGCAATCCCAACTACACGGTGAGCAACCCGGCTCCGAAACCCATGGGTCCACGCGCCAATGCCGATATCCCCAAGAAGCATGGCGTGGAAATCCGCAGTGAGGATATCCGGAAAGCAACGAGCTTCAAGCTTGGGGATCGCAGCAAGAAGTTGCCCACACCGTCGGCAGTCAGTGACCGCCCCGGTCGTCCAATCGTAAGCTTCGATGCCAACTGGAAGGCCCCCGAAGAGGCGGTCACTGATTCAAAGCCAGAGCCAAAAGAGCCCAACCGCTTCGTCGGGTTCCGTCAAAGCCAACCAAAAGACGGCCAGCCCCAGCCGCAATCCAAGCCCAGGTCAGAGCAAGGCTCATCACAGCAGCCGCCTGTTCCTACTCTGTCATTTACGCCGGATTCTCAGATCACGTCGCCGTCAAAGCACCGCCCATCAGCCTCTACCACCCCGTCCGTCCCCAGTATTCAGATAGACGTACCCGCTTCCGTTGGTTCCAAGCCGCCGGTTCCAGCTTTCTCAGGTTCCTCAGATGACGGCCCAAGCATCCCGTCCATCGTACTCCCCGGCGAAGACAGCGGCCCGTCGATTCCGTCTATCGTGCTACCAGGTGAAGACAACGGCCCTAGCATTCCCGTCATCGTCACGCCTGATGACAATGGTGCATCGAAGGCTCCGAAGCCATCGGCACGTCCCCTTCCCACGCCAAAAAAAACAAGCCCATTTGCCCGTAATGCCCGGAATGGAACTCGCCCCGGCAGCCACTGGTCTCCTGACCCGGGTGCCATCTCTCGCCGTGCAACCGCAGTGTGCCACGAGTGCTCATTCCCCATCGAGGGCCGCTTCGTGGCCCTTCGTGGCGCATCCGAGCGCTTCCATCCCCAGTGCTTCGCCTGCTACACCTGCGGCACCTCCCTCGAAGCTCTGGAGATATCCCCGGAGCCCGACAACTTCCGCGCCGAGCGCCTAGACCGCATTGCCCGGAGAGCCGCCGGCGAAGCCCTCGAGGAGACACCCGGCAAGACCGTAGCCGATGACGGTGACGCTCGCTTGCGCTTCTACTGCCATCTCGACTGGCACGAGCTGTTCGCGCCCCGGTGCAAGACGTGCACCACGCCCATCCTGGGTGACCACATCGTCGCGCTCGGTCACCATTACCATTACGGCCACTTCTTCTGCGCCGAGTGCGGCGACCCGTTCGAACAGGGCATGACGCATATTGAGAAGGATGGGTATGCGTGGTGTGTCAACTGCCAAACCAAGCGCACGGAGCGGCGCGCGCCTAAATGTAAGAGGTGCAAGAAGCCTGTCATTGGGCAGTACATCCAGGCACTAGGCGGGGAGTGGCATGACGAGTGTTTCCGGTGTGCGACTTGTGGCGGTGGGTTTGATGATGGGCAGATTTTCCCAGTTATTGATCGCGTGCTTTGCACGGGGTGTCGGATGAGGGAGTTGAAGGCATGACACTGCCGATTAAGCTGAGCGTTGGCTGATCAACCCCGCTACTTGGGGTGGGGGCAACTCCCTTCAGTTGGATGCTGGCCCCGTCCTAAGAAACGACGCAACTCTTTACACATGTCACCATCCTCCTGTCCCAGAACATAATCCTCGTCTCGATCTCGTTACGTGGGCTGGAGAGGAAAGCGGGACTGCCGCTCAACCAACATCAAGTCATCACGGGTTCGCTACAAGCGGGAAGAAAACAATACGGGCATTCGCTCAAGTGGCTGAGGTGCATAGGTCTACGAAACGGCATTTGATGTTACTATTGTGTGGGTATACGCATCCGTCAATCACATCACATCAGAGAAACGGCTTTTGATTTCTGTCTGCTTTTTCTGCTTTTTGGGCGCACTGCACTGCATTTCGGAGGAGTTGTACACGAATAGGGGAAGCAAGCAAACGGGAGGAACCGGGATTGTTGGCGTTTGTTTGCATTTTGCTTCGAGCTGCGTAATTGGTAGACGATACAAGCAGTTCATTTTGATGCATCAAATTGAGAAATACGTTTTTGCATATTGCGTCGGAGAAATGATGGGAGTATGATATGACAAGCACCGTGGAGGTTGTTGCTAGAATGAAACACTGCTTATGAATCTGAGCCAAGGTGTGAAAACTATGTCTTCGTGATGATAGCAGGTGAAACTTCGAGATCTTGGGTTTCATTCCATGTCCGGCAGCTGTCGTTTGGCTCCCCGGACGCCTTCGCGAACCGTGAGGTTTTTCCGACGTGCTTCCTCGCTCCCAGATGAGATCATCTTCCATCGTACAGTCTCTTCTCTGGATACCCCACGCCATAGTACAGGCCTGCCGTATTCCATGACATCCTGCTACGTGTCCTGTCCCTCTGGGCTGCAGCCGGTCATCCAATGTTTTTCGAATGAGGCTCCCTGGGAAATGAAGCAATACTGTGATATAACGCCTGTAGAAAGACACGCTTGGGCAACTGTCCCATCTGGGAGGGGATGACGGCTAATGTAGTGGCGTAGGCGAGTAGCTCGAAGATAAGGAGATTAACTCTGTGCTTGCTAATCATGGCATGGCATCTATATTTATTGCAAACAGCCCGTATCGTACTGTTGCAGAGCTCTGACCAATACAAGACTTCAGGGTCATTGAAGGCCCCAGTACGAAGAGAACCGCATAAGATGCGGACTGTGGAATCAGTACCTTCACCAGGGTTCAACTCCGAAATCGACATTTTCAGGATTCGGAAATATCGGTCAGGGCAAAAGTTGCAAAATACATTAGTGTAGACGATCAAGAGGATCGCAAATCAATGGATTTATGTCTCGAGTAGCAAACCGGGCTCAAACTCCTATTTTCCCCTCTGCAAAGATCCAGAGCACAGCTTCCCAACTGAGGTGTTGTGCTTTGAAAAAGGAGTCATGCTGCAATATCCGCCCTGGCAAAATCAGAATACTTGACAACTGTTACTAATGTCCCTGATTGCCCATTCCTCCATATGCACGAGTTGTTGCCGAGATTTCATGAGCCGCGGACCTCGAATGGGTTACAGGATTTTCAGAGACCACCTCCGACCTGCTCTTGATGAACCTCAAGGGTATCACCATCGGCCATCTCGAGCTGCAGAAAATTTTAGTTACTGAGCTTGTACGAGACCCGAGGGCACGTATAACAATCTGGGGAAAAGGTAGGGGTCGTTGTGCTCAAGGGTGTGATTAGGTGAAAGTAACGTAGAGCTAAACTGTGAACCTACAGTATCAGGAGTGTCGGTGGGCTGGACACGCTGGCCCTCAAACAGGAAACGGACACTTTGCTGGGTCTTGCCCTGACGCTCACAGAACGCGCCCATCAGCTTCTCGAGCTTCGTCGAGCGCTTGATCTTGAAGAAGACCTCATTATTGTTGTCCGTGACCTTGATGTTAAGGTGCTCACTGGCGGCAGGAGCCTCAGAACGCTCCGGGGCGGGGCTGTTGTTATCGTTCTCGCTGGACATGGTGACGAGTTTGGGAGTGTGTAGTGATTCGGATCTGGAGTGTGCTGTCGATGGGTAACCTGGCCGGCAATTCCAGGCGATCCTTCAGTCGGTAGTCGCGATCAGGCACGTGGAGAAAGCTACAGTTGTCTGTTAGTGACGTTTGCGATGCAGTTATCATGGTGGTTTTGAGGGTCATGCCAACGGGTGACATACTGGGCTGGAAGGCTTGCTGATGCGCTCTTGTTGCTTGGTACCAGATAGGCCGAGCTAGGAATGCGGGCAGCTGGCGCAAGAGGTAAGGGTCAGTGATGACAAGTCGACAGGCAAGCGGGTGAAGAAGAGACGTTGGGAATGCAACAAGAATAGGAAGCTCAAATAAAGGCTGATCGTGAAGAGGAGGCGCGGAAGGCGACCCGCACCTCTAGGCAAAAGTATGGGGCGTGGTTTCCCCTCCAAAATGCCAGGGCTGATGATAGTGGGATGGCTGCTTCGCAGCCCTGAAGGATGCAACGTGAATTGGCGACTTGGGCAACGTACCGGGACTTACCTGTGGGTCATAGCCTCTTGCAGATTTAAAAATTCTCCTTTAAGCTGCTGAATCAAGAGATGGTTGCAAAGTGCATCAGTTTTTTCTTACCTGCAATGGCACAGACGAAGTTACGTGATTTACAAATTCAGGATTATGTACTTGTAGTAGTTAGTCGGCGATAAGGGGGACAGAGACTGGGAAGACGGGATTTAAGTTATAGCGCACGAACCAGTCCTGGCTCAGAGAATGGCAAGGGTCAATGAGATTTGCAAGCCATGGAGTTCACCAAAGAACAATCAGCTTGCCTGTGCCTGAGGAGGTACTTAAAGAATTTGCCTCTGTCGAAGGGTAAGGCACTTGTAGAATCATGAGCTCGTGATACTTACCTTAAGCAAACAGTGCAGCAACATGCACGGAAACGTCAGGGCCTTCCAGGATAATCAATGATATTCACACGCGGGCCCTAAGCTTCGTGCCGATCCACCGTGATTCTCTCCTTTCATAGAAATTGCATCATTCAAGATTACCACATTTACTGTCATCAACTCAAGGACTTCAAACACACTCAACCCCGACGGACCCAAATACAGTGTTCACGGGCAATCCTCGTTTCTTGTGCATTTGTTCACAAACAGCTACGCTGCATCATCTTCATCAACATGGTACCAAGCCCTGCTACACCTCCAGACGCGCGTAAAGGTTAACTCGGAACAGGCACCACAGGACGACGTGAACTCGAACCCCCCATGTCACCTAAGAGCAGTAAGCTACATTCGACAAAAGACCGTGCAATACATAGAACTGACTGGATTCCTCTCCAACCCCAGTGTGCGATTCAAAGTCAGTTCATGTAGATGACAACGACGACGACGCATATACTAATCAAAGACTAGACTGTTTGACCAAGAACAACTACAATGAATCAAAATGCCAAGGCCTCATTGATGCTTTGTATGAGTGTTGCGACGTATTCTACCAGAAGAATGGGGATGACGCAAGCACCGTCAGCTGCCCCAAGGCGAGCCTGTTGAGGCTGAAGATGAAACAACGGCAAGATGAACACGCAAAATGATGGACAGACAGACAACCCTCGATAGATCCTCCTTCTCCAGACCGTGAGGCTCTCAAGTCATCTTTATACATAGGACATGCCCAAGCCATCGTTTAGATGGGTGTATGTATCACTACTCCTTACACATGTCCACCCAGACCAAAACATAGGCAACTTTCATGAAGAGTGATAGATCTTTTCTAGGCGATCTTTGAGCGCGTAAGAGATCCGCAATAGGATCGGACAAGCATTGAAAGAATAAGCTCGTCCCGAGACTCTAATAAGAATGCCGTGACATGAGGAAAAAAAGGAAAAATTATCCGAAGCTGTGAAATTCTCAGTCAAATACTTCAGCAAGGCTCCACATCTTGCAGGTGGCCCAAGCTCCAATTGGATGCTTCCGGGCTGAAAACGCGCCGCGTCTTTTTGCTTGGCACTGGCCGCTCATGAATCCATTTTTGAGCTTGGATGCGGCAGCAGCCTTGTTGAAACCAGCCCCCAGGTGTTTGGTGATAGCCTCGTTCCATTTCAACCCGGCAGCAGCGTGGTTCGATTTGTTCCGTACACCGACAACAAACCTCTCTTTCCAGCCTCGAGCGCACACATCTGCTAATTTTGCGTCGACAAACCCAATACTGTGCGACAATGACCTAGAGTAGCCATCTGCGATCGACTTGAGGACGCTGCGCGCCGTCTTCCCGTACGCGATTGCTGCTAGTCGCAATCTTTGGTTCAACAACCACCCACACAACATTGACGTCGCACAGCGTAGCTGCCACGATGCTGGCGCACAGAGATCCCTTTGTGGGTTTCCATTTTCCATCCGCGACCATCCATTCAGTGCCATTCCTGCTGACCTCTTTCCTACAGCGCATGTCGTCCAGTTCAGACGGCGGGGCGAGCTATCTCGGCATGGACGATCAAATCCTGGACGAAAATGAGGGCAACGAATTTGCACACGATGCGGAGCGTTTTGCGAAGGCCCTTGATGTGATTTCAGGATCCTCGCAGAGCCCATCGGAAAAGCGCGCCGATATATTCAAGCTCGTGGATGTGTACTATGAGCTCGCCGCCGGCAAGGTCCATAGCCTTCGACCTGCTCAGAAATCCTCCACGTATCAGCGCCCCTCCATGGAGGAGTCAGATGAGGACATGGATGTCGACGAGGCCGAAACTGATGGGCAGAAGGCCTCAATCGACGGTTCAGTTGAGCACTGGGAGCTCGAGGCTCAGACATGGGACTTATTACGAAGGCTGCTACCGTTGCGATACCCAGACAGGAAGATCACACAACCTAAACGTCGAGAGCCGTCAAGGTTTCAGACTGGACCGGAACTCTGGGATGAGTTTCTGCAAACAGAGTCTACCGCTCAAGAGCGCAAGGCTATCTTGGAGGTGTTACAAAAGACAGCAGATGAATCACGTCCCGATATCGATGACATAGTACGCGACTACCAGCAAAAGGCGGAAAGAGGTGACATACTTGCATTTGGTTGGCTCCATACACGATCGGCCATCAAAATGCAGAAGCGCATCAATGGATGGACTGGCCCCCTAGACCCCAGCTCGGCTGATGTCACCTCGCAACACACCGACTCTAACGGAACACCGCTTGTTAGCCAACTTGATCCCGATGTAGTCACAAGACAAAGTCGCAAGCTCCAACCCCAGGATGAGTACTTTGAGCGCGCCATATGGATTGGTTGCTATGAACTACTCCGGAGAGGTAGAAGCTTGGCGGAGATTCGCGACTGGTGTGTTGAAAGAACGGAGGTGTGGCGTGCGGTGAGTATGTCTGCCATGCCTCTGTCCAGGGAGACCGAGGATGACCGCGCAGTTTCCAATCCCCTAGCTATTTTGCTCTGGCGAAGAACATGTTTCGCACTGGCACGACAAGGAGGGTCGGATGACTACGAAAGAGCTGTATATGGCATTCTTTCTGGCGACATTCAAAGCGTGGAGAAAGTGTGCCAGACATGGGACGACTACGTCTTCGCACACTACAATGCACTATTGCGAACCCAGTTCGACAGCTACATTATGAAAAGGTCGGCACCAGAGGCTACTCAAGCCATCACCCAATCCCTATCCGCCTTTAACGCCGTTCAATTTCATGGTGATCCCACATCTGTTGGCGAACGTCTGGTCACATCCCTCGAGACCAACTCTGCCACCTCCAAAGAAGCCAAGACACCCATGAAATCCCTTCAAGCAGCTATTGTCTCTGATACCGTGAGCCAGTATATAATCAACAATGGAGTGTTTCTCGGCCGCTCCGCAAACCAGAAGGGCGTTTCTGCATTGATACCAGCATATGGCAAGCAAAACTCGGACTTGGACGACACCAAGTACTTCACATTGAAGGATGAGAACCAGTTGCGTGTCCTTGTTCACGTTTACTTGTTGTTATCAAGCCTTGATAAACTGCATGGGGTTGGAGAGGACGACATGGAATCCCAGAAGGCACAAGAGAACGTGGTTGCATCCTATGTCAGCGCCTTGCGGTTGATGGATCTGTTCGAACTGATTCCAATATACTGTTCGAAACTTCAAGGAGAACGTGCCTTCTTCACTCTCAGCAGAAACTTCGCCGGCCTAGCGGATTTGGAAGAGCGCAGAACAATGCTAAGAATTATGGAGAAGTTGGGCATGGACATTGGCGAGTTCGTGGTGTTCCAGCCCCTGTCACTCCTGAAGGAACACCCCGAAAACATCAACTACCTTCCGGTGGATAGTTTCACCATTTTCACAAATGATCCTCCATCCTTGAAGTATGGGCGTCGCCTCAAACCAGACTTCTTGGGTGAGGCCCCGGAATCGCTCGATCCTGTTGATGAGCAATTAATCCAGTCCCTCGAGTGGATGATGCTCGTGGACGGCTTGTGGGATGAGACTCTGAGTACTGGCGTAGCAATTTACAAACGCTTTTTGAGTATGGATGCCCAGTGTACTTTGTCAAACTGCATATGAAACTAACAGGTTTGACAGAGCACTATAATATTCATGCAGCACGCGCCCTGTCTGACAGAGTCAAATGCGCAGACATTTTCAGACATAAGGCCAGATTGGCCATTTCTGATGACACAGACCTGTCATGGTTTACGGACATTGACGACAACGATCCTCTTCTCTACGAGGATGGCACTCCTCGACAGATGGTGACAGCTCGCAATTATCTAGAGCTTGAGTCCCTTGTGCGTGCCTTGGATTGCATGGAGACGGTGGCCTCGAGTGCTGGAATCGCCCACGAGTGAGTCTATCAGATCGCTTTCAGAAACTGAGTGCTAACATGATGAACAGGCCTGCACGAGATGCATTGACTCGAGATTTCTGGTCTCACCTGGGCGGACAGGTCAAGCTAATCAAGAGCTTTATGCAGCCGCTGCTCCGTGGCTGGCTCAAAGAAAGCATCGACGGTAAGGGCACACCTGCTTTCATCTCATATCCCCCCACCCGCATTGTACTGACAGCACAACAGAAGAGGAAGAATTCGAGCTACTCCGAGAAATGTACTTGCCCGAAATAATACTGGGCTACGTAAGCGTACTGCACTTTGCCGGTACAAGCCTGTCGCGGGACAACCTCCTCGAGTGTATGGAGCTCGCGGCCCTCATTGCGGAAAAGGATTCGGACATTGCAGGTGTGCTGATGAAATGTGGGCGCATGGAGGAACTTGTCAAGGGATTTGCCAATGGCAGCAAAGCGCTGGCAGTCAGTGGTGGCGATAAGAAGGTCGGTGGTGGTGGGAGCAGCAAGAAGATGCGGGAGATGGGCTGGTCGAGGGACTTGTGGAGTGTCAAGCGTTGAGCTTCGCCTTGAAAGCTCGATAGGAGGCTTTCGGTCTGTGGTGAGCATACTACACCAATGGAAATAATTGACATGATCTTAGCATTAGATGGACGGACGTCGTATGTTGGCATCTAATTCCAAAAGCTGAATAAGGCAAAAATTCAAAATTTGACATATCTGCCGCAGGTTTTCTCTGTACGTGGATGGCGTAAACGAAAATGGCCATCATCACTGTGGAATCGACCTTGAAGCCCGTGCAGGATCCGGAGCAAGGGCATTCCCCAAAGTGCCAAGCAGCCCGCCAGTCATGACAGTCTCCTACGGAACGACAGGTCACTTCTTGAAATCATCTGATACCGGACCAGGATTGAGCTTGGACAGCACATGATCTTGGATGCCAATGTTCTCTGCATTTCCCCAGAGGAATCGGCATCATCATCACCCAAAGCTTCCACTTCGCCCATCGCTGAGGCAGTCAGAGAGCAAGAACATTTGGCCGGTCTACGATTTCGTGGATCATTGAGCCAGCTGGTGGGTGTGTTCGGCAGACTACATGAAGTGATTCCATGTTCGGGACAACCACAACCAGCTGGCTAAAAAATGCAGTGTTGTCTTGGTTTAGTGATACTGAGGCGAGCATTATGGGCCGGTCTCTTCTACCGAACACTCCACGGGAGCCTATTCCCTTGGGTTAACTCTTGTGCGCTGGTTTTAGCGCTAGAGCTAACTGCCTATGGATAGCCTCTCCGTAGCTGCATACTCCTGGGATTTAGTCCTTATTACCAATACGGCTCTCTTTCCTGTATTGACTGCACTTCTGAACTCATTCAAGCTTCGATAATGCCTTTATCGATATTAAACTCCAATCGATTCTTCAGTATATAGTCGTAAACGTTATAGATACGGCTAAGCTTACGCTATAAAATTTCAGGGTTACGCTTTTGTTACGAACCGTTGGTTCCTAACCAACTAAACCAACCAGGCCCGATGGCAGGCCGCAGGAACCCCGACACGGGAAGGAAGAACTATTACCAGAAAGACAGGAACGGTCACGTGACCTGGATCACCACCAGATCAGTGAGCCATAAGTTGGGCTCACCAAAGGATCACCAATGGATCACCTTCTGAGCTGTGAGCCGGAAGTGATCCAAGGAATCAGTGAAGGAGAGGTTGGCTATATAAGGGACAGGACTCCAGGCATTTCATAGATAGACAGTCTCTACTTCAGTGATCAATCTAAGCATCAATCTAACCCATTGGTGAGGCAAACTGCCTTAACGACTCTATTCCCGATTACCCTACTTGAATACTTCAGTTACCCAAAGCACTCTACTCCATACGTCAAACCCCGATATTATTGCTTGAGGACTCCGCAGTAGGACTTACTTACTAGCACAAACCCTTACAGACTCTTTAGTGGTTTACGCAGCTAGACTATTAGAGGTTTCGTTACAGTACTCTTTAAAATGCTAATATAGCACTTGTCACGGGGCTAGGCCCGTGCACCGCATGTATATTGGTACTGCACGAGCTGGCTGATGTTCCATTCTTCGTGCTACTGTGACGACTGACACATGGACGATAAGCAGGGACATCCTGACATGGCCTGCCCTGATCTGGACGAGCGCGTTCCCCTTATAATAGGAGAACGGCCAGACATACTTGTAACCCTTTCCTTCTCTTTCTTCCCTAGTTTAGTATTCAACAATAGAGATGCACTGATATGCAACCTTGATTCGTACCTATGTGCCTCTGCCTCGTTACAGCTACAACAATAAACTACTGGTAACCCCATACACGACCCTGACAGCACTTACCAAGCGTCGGAGGGCTAAAAAATCATATGTACAGCTTAAAAGAGCTTTTACTATAAATAAATCCACAGCTTTACTAATTAAAAAAAGGGAAACATCCTATGGCTTATAATAGCGAAAATGGTAGTCCTTTAAAAAGGGTAGCGACGTCTATTTAGCGTTATAATATATACAGCGAGACTGGCTATAATACGCGTACTTATTCTATAGATATAAAAGACTCTCAGGAATTAGATATAGCTTGATTTAATCGGTAAAATGCAGGTTTAGGCAAAATACTATTAATTAAAGTTAAAGGCCTAGAAAAAGTGAACCGCTGACTGGTCAACCACGTTATATATATAGATAAATATTGGCAGTAAGTGCTGGGCATAGCGGATGTCTGCAGTAGATTGGCCTTGGGACGGGCCTTGGGATTGGTTGCCCCTGGCCACCAGATTTGTATGTAAAAGCGAGACGCGACCCGAGCAATAGGCTAGGATTAAGCTTGCATCAATACATCACACTGAACCTGAGAATCTATAGAAGTATTAGTTTAGATGAAAATTGCCTTCGGAGACAACTTGAAGCCTGACCGTCTTGCCCCCATAATATCTTGCGAAGCCAAAGTTTATTGCAATAGCCTTAGCGTGCCCGAGCTAAACCTCCATGTTAGCTTGCCTGATGACGGCGGCGCATCGGCCTGAAAGTGGAGATATACATGAAGGTAGCCATTTGGTTCAGGCGGGAACCGCGTGACGACCTCCTTCAACGGTCGCAGCTTGTAGACATCAGCTAGGAAGCCTTGATTGTACATGGCATTCGGGTCGATGCTGAGCTCCTCGGCCTTGGCGGGCTTGCACGATGGTGTGTCGGCTGGTCGTTGACCTGCTGCTGCTGCTGACGATGATGTATTACTGCGAGCCGCGGCGACGGCGGCGGCGGCCTTTTTGGCTCGCTTCTTCAGGCGTTTCTTCAGCTCATTCTTCGACACCATTTCTCCAGTAGCTTCGTCAAGCTGCTGCTTGGCAGCACTCGCGGTAATCACGTCCGCCTTCGTGTCTGATTGATTTGGTAGGTCTTTCTAGGAATAATAGTAGCTTTGATAGAATTAGACAAAAAAAGGCCCAAAAAGGTGTTCAGCCATAAGCCGTCAATAGAAACCCTCTACAAAAGAGGTTTTACTATAAAAGTCGGTTCGTATCGCTAGAATCATTTGTGCATAATTCTTTTATGCATGCTCTTCTGTTTTTGGATGCGTTCATTAACGTTAGGGGCCAGGCTCAGGCTTAAAGCGGCACGGCTCAGGTCCCGATGTGGCACCCAGACCCTTATGGACATTCTAGTTGGCAGGTAGCTCAGAGCTTGCCTATAAGTAATGGTGGGAAAGAGACATCACACTCTGTTGAACATCAGGTCGACCGTAGGGTAGACACCCTCATAGATGAGGTATAGACCGTTGAATATGGGGCTGGGACGACTTTTTCAACTAAATTTCAGTTCAAGCATCCACAGAAGTACAAGCCCCAACACAGCCTTGATCTACGATTCCACATTCTTAGACATGAGGCTATAGCAGCGAGTACATAATGTATTGCGAGTACTAAAGTTCTCCAGAGAATTCAGGAGTCTGTCTGGAAGAAAGTCAGGACGGGTGTAGCATACACCTTTGTTGATATGACCACCTCATTGTGGATGCCAACGGGATGTGTCTCTGGTCGTACTTCTCTATAACTCTAAATAAATCTCAAATGGATAGCATGCTTAGGAACCGTTCGAACAATGTCGTTCAAAGAGTCACCAATTTACTCGTATGATGCACGTATGAACGTCCGCCTTGACAAAGAAGATGTAGAGCAACCCCGTGAGTGCCTAAATAAGGCAAAGGAAGAGCGTATAGCGATGCGGATTGTCTGCCGGGAGTCACTCGGATATCTCATGAGCCATCAACATCATCGATTTGCTGTTACCAAGCTACTGGGGTCTCTCGGCGACTCCCAACCACTTGTCCAGAACTGTATGGAGGGCTTTATGCGGCGAAATCCTTCAGTTGCGACCAACTTGGGCATCAGAACAAAGTCGAAATGTTTGAACGGATGTACGCCGGCAGCAGTTAACTGGGATTGGGGGCCAGTACAGTTGGATCGAACCAGAGAACACGCTTGACATCAATAATGGAGGTTTCGAAGAAGTTGCCGTAAGATCGAGTTTAGGCCTCCTTCATCGAATACGTCAGCGCCACAAGGGTCTCCGGGAAGTCGTTGATCATTCTAAAGGCAAATCACTACAGAAGCAGTGATTGATTAATGAATTTCAGCAAAAGTGCCGCAATTAGTGCTTCAAATTCAGTTATAGCGGCTGGATAAGTAACAATATTGCCCTAGAGTAGCTTATGGGGACGTATATTCCCGAACCACAGTTAGCGGATCCCTCTGATACTCGTCTAATCATCTTTATTTGCGATGAGAGTAATGCATATCAGTTGATTTCTTGCATTCGACTAGTCCAGCTAACTCTAATTTGAAGGAATTGATGGTGCCGGGAGGTGGGAAGGTACGGCCAAGTACAGGGCTGCAAAACCCCGCCCCAAAACCAGAAGTAACCATCATAGAAGAAGAAAAACATCTTTTGTTGGCCTTCGTATAAATCTCGGGGGTGTTAGGAACGCCTAAACCGCAAGGCGCTCCCGCTTATAACCACCGCTTGGTCACAGGCAGGTATAACCGGAATAGTATACTAATCTCTGACCTTCCCTTCTTCCTCTTCTAAGACAACTTCTATATATACATAGCTAGAAACCCTATTCCGAACTACAATGCCCCGATCCCTCGGAATACATGATATCCCAAGACTTCCTTAGTAACGTCTACTGCTGCTACCTCCCTGCTCATACCTCACAAGTGCTACCGCCCCTTGGTTTAGGCATTACCCTCTGCCAAGCTGCCTCTGGGAGATACCTAGGCGATCTAGCTTTACAGAGAAACTCGGCGCCAGTGGACAAGATCAACTTCATCAGATGCTGCAATAAGGCGCTTAGGGACGGCATAACAGCCTGCATCATCAGGGTAGGGTTGAGGGCTCCTAGTAACCGGCCCATTGATAGTTAAAAGGCGCTAAATTGCCTATATATCAAGCATCCCCCCTAAGTAGAGGACTCTTGAGCTATAGCCAGATTCCGATAAAGTTCGTACACCAGTCAACGGCCGCTAGATCATGAATATGAAATGGAAAAGGCACCGGCGACTAGGCTACTATTACTAAGATAGCTAAGGAAGTTGGCGATAAGTCAGAGCAGTTAATGATGAAAGTAGCCGTATGCCGCTATGATTATCTAGAAAACTGAGTAATCCGAGTATACATAGTGAGATATATAAAAAAATGAGTCAATGAGGTAGTTTTTGAATTGTGTGTTAGTGCAGTTGTTGCTTTTCATATACTATTTGCCTGATTTGGCTGTACCGCTGTGGAGTGGCCAACTGTGACAGGTTGCAGGGCTTGGCTAGCTGAGACAAAGACTATATTACGTTATGACTTGATAGTCTCCATATTGTTCAGGGTCCCGACAAAGATTGCGAAATTCCTGCTTACATGATCCCAGGATTGAAGAATGCAGAAAGGCGCTGCACAGGAAAGAAAGAAATATCTAGGCTGTAGCGGAGTCCCTATGCCCCATCAACTTCTTTCTGAGAACTTCTCCATTGGTCAATATGATGCCGTAATGGGCACTTGTAAAACAAATTGTCCCAGGCAAATTCACCGTGTGAAGTTCGGCCCCTTGATCCACTCCATGGGAATGCTATCACCCTGCACGCGTGTGTCGACGAGGCGCTGCTACAAAAGCTCTGACAACTGCCGACCTCTCAATCAAGACCCATCGTATAACACTCAAGATACCTTAAACTTCCAGGGGGGGCAAGTTTCATACAGAAACGAGAAAGTAGTTGTCCCACGTAATGCCGAAGCCCTGAAAGCAGAGCAATCCTACGGGAAACGAAGTCTGCCAAGATTCCTCTACCCTAGCATTGGTGCATTTAAGTTTAGAACCTCGAATCGAGAATGCCAGGGATGGCTTCTTTATTATATCTTGTCCAAGTATGTTGAGGTGTACAGAGAGAGATTATAGTGTTATTAATAGGAAATCGATTATAGCAGGGCTCGTGCTGGTAGGCTGGAGCCAAATGGTGGTGGCTACACACGGACCATATCTGACAGTATAAATGTCAACTCTAGACGGTAACTTACTGTGTCAGGCCTTCTAATACACGTATAAACCTCTTTGCTCAATAACATCCCTCAAACTGAACTTGAGGTGAAAGGGGCCTATTTCATCGACGTCTTGACAAGTATTGACTTCAAAAGATTCCACAATCAGGTCCGCATAGAATCAGACTCGGCCGTCGTTTTTTACGTGGTAAAGATGCCCACTTGTACACAGGGTTCATACCACTGTAGTCTCGCAGCTGCTACATTCCACAACCGGTAGAATCAAAGACTCTCCACAGCGTGTCACAGAGCGGATGTGATTAGCTGGTAGGAAATGTGTGAGATGATTATCTTCATTGTGTTTTCTTCTCTAGCGGCCACTGGGGTTCGTCTCGGAGGCAACATATAAGCAACGAACGAGACGCGAAAATAGAGTCAAAGACGTACGATAACTGGGGCCTTGTTTAAAATGCCTGGGTTGGAATGTAAGTGTTGGCGTATATGTTCTTGGCACTTCCCAGGTTCTATAAGCATAGTAACAGTGCTGGAACACTTGAACTTGATGCGAGCTGCTGTTAAGTGGATATATCTATATATATAACTCGTGCGGATTACTCAGATGTATTTATATATTTGAATGGAAAAAGTCACAATGTTGGTACCTATCGATGGTATGTAAATGTGCCTCAAAGGCCGAGAGTAAAGCATGCCTCCTATTCACGAGGCCGTGACGGATTGAGTGTGACTTTAGTGGAACCTTCTCCCGGAATATTGATACCAGATATTGACTTTGATTGAAAAAGCAGTTTCCGAAGAACATTGAGAATGCCTTTTCCTCTCATGGTGGTTCTTGCTCTACTTCAAAGTATACCGAGTGGGGGAGATCATAACTACTAGCTCTTTTTGAAACCATCCATCCATTTTCACTGTTTTCACCACTATGAGAACATTGCCCCAAAGTTAATCGAACGCCAAATTAGCTTAGCAAGACTAAATAAGTAAAGGACACGAGTGAAGCAGCTGCCGCCGAGATTGCGAGTGGTGTTTGGGAGTCAGGACAGTAAATACTCTAGGCTTCGCACGGGCACAAGTGGGTCAAAGTAGGCTTGGTTCGTTCAGGGCTGGAGAAAAATGCGTCCAAGTTACATTTGCAACCACCGGAGTTCTCAACCCTGTCATCACAGGCCCGATTTTCCCCATTCATACAACTAACTATGAAAGTACCATTCTGATCGACTTGTATATAATACCATGCCGATATTGCCAGGTACATATAGCAGCCTCGAAGAATACACAGATGACCTCTGCAATTTTCTCAGCACCCCCTTAGTCCGTCAGATCTCAGGCGGCATCCATGTCAACGATGCCTTAATCTTCGATGCTTGGGGGGCTTTACCTTCAGAATGGACCTCCTGGTGGGGCTCACTCCCAGATCATCGCCTAGCCCAACGGGATCTGATTGACAGCATTGCCGACGAATCTTCAACAAATATATCATCAGCAAAGGCCGACAAGATTGACGGAAATCTATCCCCATCTCGACCAGAGTCCCTAACTACCTGGCTCAAAACCCTTAACTCCCTATCCCTCGCCCGCAACCAACGTCCTATTCCAGCTGTCTGCCTCCCACCCTCCCTAACCAACCCTATGAAAACCAAGAAAATCGCCGAAGTCTCCGTCGCCGCAGCCTACACCCAAAGTATCTGCCAAGCCCATAACATAACTCATATTATCGACATCGGCTCCGGGCAAGGCTACCTACCCCTGACACTCACCACGCTCTTCCCTTCCTTGCGCATCCTAGCCATCGACGGCAGCGCGTTCCAAATTGCCGCTTCCAAATCATCGGCCGCCGCACTCGGCATCCCCCCGGATCGACTCACACACCTGGTTTGTTACGTCGATGACTTCTCCCCGACTGCGCCACTGGTTAGCGAAATGGCTGCCTGGGCCGGCGGGGAGAGATGCCTGCTTGTCGGTTTACACGCGTGTGGGCGGCTGTCAGACCACATGCTGCGGTACTTCACCTCGTTGCCGTTTATAGCGGCTCTGGCGGCTGTGGGGTGCTGCTATAACCACATCGTGCCGCTTTCAGAAGCCTGCCCGGACGGGTTTCCCATTAGCAAGAGATTGAGGGCTGCGAACGTGCAGTTGAGTCCCGCGGCGCTGATGGCAGCGTGTCAGGCGCCTGATAGGTGGCTGCCAAGCACCGATGGGGATGGGAAAACTGAATATTCGAAGCGCCGCTTATATCGCGCCATTCTGGAGAAACTCTTGTTTGATAAGGGGCTTGGGATTGCGACTTCGGTGGCGGAGAGGCCGGCTTGGGGGATTAGGAAGGGGGATTTGGTTAGCTTTGAGGCCTTTGTGACGAGGGCGATGGGGCGTCTGGGTATCGGCTCACACGAGATCTCGGCAGAGGAGATGAGGACGTATGAGGAGCGTTATAGGGGCGGTGAGGGGAAGATAGCTATATTGTGGACTCTGAGTGTGCTATGCTGTAAAGTCTTTGAAAGTGTTATTGCGATGGATCGATACTGGTTTCTGGTCGAGCAGGGCGTGGAGAAGGTGGATGTTTTCCCTATCTTTGATTATAAGATTTCACCGAGAAATTTGATCGTCGTGGCTGAGAAGGGAAAGGGGCAACCTCTCGAAGAAAGTATATAAGTTATCCATGTTACATTGTTGTCTTTTGGACCTTGATGGAAACATAAATAAGTTCATTGTATCTTGCGTGCCTCTATCATGCTATGTTCACCCTTCCCTGCGGGTCTGGCTGGATATTAACATTGCCGCCCCTTCCATGGTTGCCATTCTCATTCTCCACGTTTACAACGTTGTCTCTCCCTTCTGGACCCGATTGGATGTTAACGTTGCCGCCCCTCCCACGGCCATTCCCGCTACCCCCGTCAACAACGTTTACATTACCCCCTGGCTCTCCCATATCAACAATATTCGCATTTCCTCCTGGTCTTCCAGGCACTCCCGGTCTGCCTCTTCCCCTACCATCCACATCAACAACATTCACCCTTCCTCCTCTCGGAGCCCCGCCAGGGTTGATGCCAAATCCTTGAAACGGACTAGGTATCGGCGATGAAATGAGCGATGAAGTATCATAATATGAGGTCGTCTTGCTTGAAGGTGAGGAACGGGCATTGCGCACCAAGCGGGCAAGGAGATAAGCTATGATGGCGATGACGAGGATGTGCAGGATTATTATCAGCGCTATTGCGTCGTTGGGCTTGACCATGCTAGGAGGCACATTGATGGCTCGGCTGTTGCTCGACTTAATCGAACTAGCGGAGGAAATGTGCGCTGGGTCTGATGAGATTAAGAGTCAGTAATATTTGCGGAACAGAGGAGTTAGGCACGATACTGACCAGTGGAAGACTTGCAGCGTTGGGATAGTCCGTCACTTGGGCGGAGTTCTGGAGCTAGTTGTGTATAATGCTTAATCCTGTAACGCACTAAGTGGGGTTTTCACGGACACTTTGATTCCTGGAATATAGGAGTATCGAATGTCTGTGGATGGAATATCTTCGCGATGCGGTATTACATCATCTTCCGTTGGTACGAACATTAGGCGAGGAGAGATCAAACGTTTGTTCCTGTCAGAATGCTGCGATGAATGAGCACGCTCGTCAAAGTAAACAAACATTCTGCGTCGTCAGGGATGGTGATGCAGGTGGTCATCATTCATTTTCATTGGTTGCGTAGCCGAATGGGGAGAGGCGGCGGGACTACTACATTCGGTAGTGGCTGTATGTACGCGACCAGGACTTGGCCGAGAAACTTTTAGGGTAGAGGTATAGGTAGCGTAACGGACTTTCTTAATAATATTCGTTTGATTATCTAAGGTTATATTGTGGGCAAGTGTGGCCACAGGTATAGAGGGATAGAAGGCACTCCGGCAGGTAGTAGTGTATTGAGGGATACCCCGAGAGGGGGAGGGGGCCGATTGGGTGATTCTTCCTTATGTACCTTCGTATTACCAATATAGTTTTTGGATTGTGGGCAAATGGTCTTGTATTGAAAGTGTCATGATCTCTGGAGAGTCCTGAACGAAGTGAACGGCGGCCTTAAGGGCCTTACATAGACAGGAATAACTGATGCCTGTCCCACAGGCAGGACTTGTGTGGTTCGATGGGTGGTGGTCATATTGGCCCATAACCTACGGTGTGTGGCCATATGTTCCCATAAGACTGGCAGTCTTGATGTAGTAGCCTTGAAGGTCTAACAATACTCTCTAACACTGGGGATCCTACAGATACTCGTTTCTAGTTAGAAGAAAACTTATAGGTACGCCTTACTAAGTGTTGTTTACTCTAAAGCTAACGTCACCCACAGGTCATTGCCCCACACGGGTCTTTGCCCAACTTTTCAAGAAATCTTGACTTTCCATCTTTACTTATACAATTCTTCCCTTCCACAACATGGCACGCAAATCTAGTGAAGCTAATATTCAATTAGTCATCCAAACTAAACGACGCGATCCTCACCTAAGTTGGAACAAGCTTGGTAAAATCTTCAAAGTCGACCATAAGACATTGAAGCGCCGTTACGAAGGCGTACAACCATTACACATTACTAACATGTCTAAACGGAAAATGACCGAAACCGAAGAGAATACGATTACCCGACGCATAATTGAGCTAGATTCGTGAACTTTTCCTCCCCGGCTTCGATACGTTGAAGAAATGGCGAATATCCTCCGACGCGATCGCGACGCGTCACCCGTCGGCAAGAACTGGGCCTCGAGCTTCGTACGGCGACAACCAGACCTCCGGACGCGTTTAAATCTTCGAATCGATTACCAGCGGGCATTCTGGGGAAGATCCTGTCGCGTATCGCGGTTATTTTAAGCGTGTTGCGGACACAATAGCGAAGCACGGCATCCAGCCGGAGGATATCTACAACTTTGACGAGACGGGCTTTTTAATGGGCATGATCTCAACCGGCATGGTCGTTACGAGTACCGAAAGACGTGGAAGGCCTAGGCAAGCCCAGCAAGGCAATAGGGAATGGGTTACTGTCATTCAGGCGGCCAATTCCCAAGGCTGGGCGGTGCCGCCGTACATCATCTTCGCGGCCAAAGTTCACCTCGCTTCGTGGTATCGCGACACCACATTACCGGGCAATTGGGTCGTTGATCTATCCCACAACGGATGGAGAACGAATGATATTGGTTTCAGCTGGGCAGCTCACTTCGATCTGCACACACGCGATCGTATGAAGGGTGTCAAACGCCTCCTGATCCTTGACGGTCACGAAAGCCATCACTCGATGGATTTCGAACAATACTGCAAGGTCCATGGCATCATTACCCTTCCTATGCCTGCCCATTCGCCCCATAAGCTCCAGCCTCTCGACTTGGTGCCTTTTAGTGTTTTGAAACGGACGTACGGTGTGTTTGTTGAGGGTTTGATGCGAAGGAGGATTTCCTTGCCGTTTTTTTTTGGAGGCGTTTGGCGCTGCTTTTACTGAACAAAACATCAGATCTGGTTTCGAAGCAGCTGGAATTGTCCCTTTTGACCCCGACAGGGTTATATCTGCCCTGGATGTCGCAGAAGTCGCGCGTACACCCTCTGCCGACCCAGAACTCCTACCCCCTATTTGGACTTCTAAGACACCTACTACCACCCTTGAAGCCGAATCGCAGTCAACGTTGATTAAGAATAGCGTTCAGAGGCATCAAGACAGCTCTCCGACGCATATTCTTCATTCAATTGACTCGATTGCAAAGGCTACGCATGCACTGATGCAAGAGAATGTTATCTTGCGTCGCGAGAACGAAGAGCTTCGTGAGACTAACCATGTGCTAAGCAAACGTCGCAGAACCAAAAACAAGCAAATACAGTATGGTGGGCCACTTAAGATAGAAGATGCACAAGTTCTACGGGCTATTAGGGGTGATACGGGTTTGGAAAGTGAGGAAGAGGGTGAAAGTAGTCGTCCTACAAGGAGGAGGGCAACGGGTGCTAGGCGCTGTGGCATTTGCGGAGGAACTGGACATAATGCGCGAACTTGTCAGGCAGATGTAGAAACAGATAATGAAAAGAATTCTGATTAATTTCTTGGATGAATACGGATTGTTGTTGATCTATCTAAGATGAAAGGTTGGGAGGTCGTGAAAAGTTGGGCAAAGACCCGTGTGGGGCATTGACCTGTGGGTGACGTTACTAGTAATCATATTTTTACAGAGTTTCTATATTACCGGCCCAGTAAGGATTATATTCTCGTAGTAACCAGATCTACGGGAGAGTTACATAGCCAATATCAGAGACCAAGTTTGGGACAGAGAGTTATACAGCGGACCGAATAGAAAAGGCTTTCCCTTAGGTAGAAATAGAGGCCAACTGCTAGTACAGAAATCTCTTCGCACAACTTGACCTCGAGATATTTCAAGACACCGCTTATCCAACACAACCGCGCCGCAACACAAACTCACACATACGCACCCAAATACACATACACAACGGTCTGGGTGATACTTATCTGTAAGTGCCCCTTGGCTCCCAACGACTTTGCACTTATCCTGATGTCCAACAGGATGCATTGCTGTCAATATGCCATATCATGTATTAGAGATTGAGAATTTTGCGGAAAATATGAAATTCATTATTGGCCAGCCCAGTGTTTACCACCGATTAAACCGGCCCAGCATTCTTCTTTATTTATACTCCGCCTGGACACTCCCACACTCCACCCGTTCAATAGTGCCTTGATTGTCCCTTTCGTGCACCAAGTTAAACGTGATGTTCGCTGAGTGGCATGTCATCTCGATCTTGAACGGGATCTTGTAGTACAGCTGGTTGTCTTGTCCTATTTTCGTCTCGCGCGCCTCCTTGGGGATCTTGTTGAGGTCTGCGATAAGCTTGACAAGCAGCTTACATCTGCCTATATCGTTCGTCAGTGTCTTTCGACTAATCCCCTTAGACTGATGGCAAACACTTACCAGTTGTGCCCAATTCTGGGTAATCCGGTCTCTGGTCGTGATCGCAGATGTACACTGGCATCGTGAAGTTATCCAGGCGTCCGCCCTGGAAGTTAACGTTGCTGACCGGTTCATCGTAATAGTACTTGAATGAAAATGGTTTCGATTCCTTAATCTCAGACCCCTAGAGGTTATTTAGGCAACGTACACTGCATACGCCTGGTGGATGGGAATACCTTGTCAATGAACCATTGAATGACTTCAATACGCTCGCCTCCATCTGCACCACGAGGGATTCTGTTTGGTAAGTAGTTAACATTCTGCATAGGAGTATGAAGATTTTAACGTACCTTGGGCGGTAAGGACTGTGTTTGCCTGGTATATACTCGGTGAGTGCCGAGGTGCCATAGTGCTTTCTGGCGATCCGAGATTCGACCCAGATGTTGGCCAGTCTTGGGTTTGATTGCTTATCCGCGAGTCCTCTGATTAGGGCTCCCCGTACAATGGCAGTTGTGCTAAATGGCTTGTCAATATTTACCTACACAAACTTGGCGACTTGAAAGGAAGAGGTGTCGCATGGTGTTGCATACCAGTCCTTCATCTTCTCTACCTTGACCGCGAGACCAACTGTTTCCTGAATTCTCTTCTTGAGATACTCGTTTCTTCCGAAGCCACCAGCCAACAGTACAGCCTTGGCAACTTTCTTCCGTTTCTTAGTCTCCTCGATCTGCGAGGTCACCAACTTGAGAATCTTATCAACGACACGATCAAACAACTTCTTTACTGTCTTGCCACTGATCTCGAACTTTCCGTTTCTTATACCGTAGTCCGGTGTGTCCTGTAGGCCTCTTGCAGGCATTGGGTATCTCTTGTTTGGACCTGTGTCCCCATTGAATATCCGCTTGGTTTGAGATTCCCAGCGAGCCATGGCGTCCATATGATGTTCATCAGTCCACTGGCCGATGTCACGGGATTTCAAGTGCAAAGTGAAGGACGAGAGTGCTCAAGCGAAACAAGCTGCTAGTCACCAGGTAGGTACCAATAGCGTAGTATAGGGGACTCAATAACGACAAGTTAATCGCTGCCCTCTCTAGAAGAAGAGGGGTCACAGCAGCCTAGTTATACATTTCCGACCCCTGTCCAGGCCAAGCCACTGTGGCTTATTTGCACCTGACAGGACGCCCTCTCCCTATGGCTTCTGTCCTCAGAAGCCGAAGGTACTCAGCAGGTGTACCTCTGGGGTCCTCTGAAGGTCGACTCCCCAAAGCTAGGAACATCTAGTTCCGACAACCAAAACAACAATCCATCTGCTCCTAACCATAGACTTAAATTCGCCTCCAAGAGAACAATAGGAATCCACCTGCGATCCTCTCGTAGACACACACTCGCCTCCAAGAGAACAACAGGAATCCACCTGCGATCCTCTCGTAGACACACACTCGCCTCCAAGAGAATAACAGGAATCCACCTGATACCCTCCAGTAGACACACACAACTAACCGGTCACCCTTGGAACACCTCCGCAGGCCCAGCAGTCAAACTCGCCTCCGGGAAGAACAACAGGAATCCACCTGCTATCCTCCCGTAGACACACAACTAACTGGTCACCCTTGGGACTCATCCGTAGGCCCAGCAGTCGACCTCGCCTCCGGGAAGAACAACAGGAATCCACCTGCTATCCTCCCGTAGACACACAACTAACTGGTCACCCTTGGGACTCATCCGTAGGCCCAGAAGTCGAGCTCGTCTCAGTCAGCACCAGGAATCACACCTGTGCCTCACGATATGCTTTGCAGCGTCCATAGAATCAGCTCCGGCTAGTGACAACCCGTAGAGAGTAGGCAGCACCCCGAGCACCCAAACCGACTGGCTTCTGTCCGAGAGTCCCCTTTTTCCTACAATCCATTTTTTTCCTCCTATATTTCCGTAGTAGTAGCCAATGACCATCTTCCATCCCTTTTCTACTCCATGCCTGCCCAATAGTCCTACTTCCTCACACAGGTTTCACCGATTCTCTCCTGCGACTCCACTGGTGTCCTTTCCCCCCATTCTGCCCCTAATCCTTCAACAGTTCTTTTCCTACATTCAACCCAGTCTTCCATCACATCCTATCGGTTCTTTTCCCCACATCAACCTGATCCTACCCTGTCACTATGTCAGCAGGCCCATCTCGGTCGGCCAGCCGACAACTGCGCCCTGACTGCACCCGAATTTCCGGGCGCCACTACACACGTCGCCATGCAGCCTGCTCTCGCTGCTTGGATCGCATGACCAGATGGAAGCCAACAGTTGGCAACACCTTTCCTGTCTGTGAGGACGACGACAGTAGGTTCTGTTTTCTCAGATCTGAGCTGGCCTTACTAACAATAGGACAGGCGGCTCCACGAAATGCACATATTGCCGCGGGCTTGGTGGTAAGCCCTGCTCAGCAGTACGCTCCTTCCCTAACAAGGCCGCTCCTGCGGACTTGGCTGACCTAAAGTAGCCCCAAGGCTCGCTACAAGCGTGCTCGGCCGACCTCGTGCGGGTCGTTGAGTCGGTTGTCTCTGAGGGATACCTTGAGCACAAGGTAAAATTCCCAAATCATTGAGGTGTAGGTCAGGACATGCTGACCAGCTGGTAGGAGACCCTTACTACCGCTCAAATCTCTGTCAAGAAGGCTCTCCAAACTGCGAAGAACCTGAAGACCATGCCTGCAGATAAGCGCAAGGCTGTCGATGAGGGCGCTGCTGCAGCTCAACAGGAGCGAAAGCTCTTGGCCCTGGAACGACAGGCTGCCGCTGCAGAAAAGGCAGCCATCGAGTTGAGCAAGATTCGCACCACCCTGGAGGCACAGTCATCAGATTTGCAGCGTCTGTTGACCTGCCACCAGGAGCTGTCGGAGACGTATGCAGCAGTGGTAAGTCAGCTGGTGCATGCCTAATGATCGTATTCCTCTAATTTCCTTCGCAGCACAAGGATGATCTGGAGGAAATTGCCGGTGATGAAGAGAATGCCGGTGGTGAGGAGACTGATGCATAAACAGCTCCTAAAAAGGTAAGCTGATGTGTTGGGGAACCTCGAAGAGGTTATGGTCATGGTTGTGCTTCGTGCTGTGCACCTGGTAGGTACCAGGTGTTTTCTTGTGTCTCGACAGCCTCTAGCTGGCTGTGGCCAATTTGGCCTCGTAGTCTCGAATCAGATCGTCACTGACATCTTTCTTTGCAACCCAAGAGTTCTCTTCTGGGCCGTAACCTTTCCACTTGATCAAGTACTGTCTTCGCCATGCACCACCACGGTGGGCTAATATGGCGTCGACTTCATAAACTTCACTGTCTTCTTCAACAATAGGCACCAGGGGGGGAGCTGGTGCTTCACCATCCCTTTGCCTCCAAATCTCTAACGACGAGATTGGGAACACGTTATGTATCTTGTACTGGGATGGCAGATCTAAACGATACGCCAACCCGTGATCACCAACTACTGCTGCGACCTTGAAGGGTCCCAGGTACTTGTCTGACAACTTTCGACTCGGTCTCTTCTGCTTGATATGTTTAGTAGAGAGCATAACAGGATCACCTACTTTAAATTTCATGTCCAGATGGCCACGGTTATAGTATTTCTCATACGTAACCTGACTGGTTGCCAACAACTGGGCAATTGCGGCATGCTGATTTTGCATCTCAGCTGCCCTTTGAGCCCCAGCAGCGGACCGTATGCTAGCCGGCCCAGATTCTCTCGTGTCATTAGGCCCTTTCGGAAGGTATCCTAATAGTGCCTCTGCTGGTGACGTACCGGTCGCCGAATGCCTAGAAGTGTTATACACGTGCTCCGCCAGAAGAAGCTGGTGAGGCCAGTCTGTCTGCTCGAAGGTACAGTAAGTTCTCAAATAATGCTCAAGGTTCTGGTTCTGTCTCTCAGTCTGTCCGTCGGTCTGTGGGTGGTACGCTGTAGACAGCCGTCGCTTTACCCCTAAGCAGTGGCATAGCGTCCTCCAAAATATGCTCGTAAACAGGGATTCACGATCTGAAACAATCCCGTCAGGTAGCCCAAATGGCCTAAGGACGTGGTAGAACAAGAGGTCCGCAAAGCCATCTGCAGTCAACTTGCTCGACACTGGTACATATAACGAGTACTTCGTAAACCGACAGACAATAACGAGCACAGCATCACACTTTCGCCCCGCCAGTGACACTGCTGGTGGGAGGCCGGTGATGAAGTCCAACGAGATCTCTTGCCACGGTCGGCCTGGTATTGGCAGCGAAGCCAACTTGCCGTAGGGGAGGTGTTGCCGCGGTTTAGTTCTCTGACAGATCGCGCACGTTGGTACGTAGGTCCGGACGTCTTTGGCCAGGCCATTCCAAAAGTACGACTTGCTAAGTCGGGCAATCGTCTTTGTCACCCCCTGGTGACCACCAGTTGGGTTATCGTGAAACAATTGCAGCAGTTCGTTCTGGAGAGGGCTGTCATCTGGGATAAACACACGACCTTTGAAGCGGAGCAGCCTATCTTGGCCTTTCTGCCACAGCGCATCTCCGGTCTTCCTGTCCTTGCCTCTCTGTTTCCACGCTTCTGAGCGTACGAAAGGACTTCTCTCCTGAGAGGCCCGAATATCATCTTCCAGGGATGGCAATAGCTCTTCTGCCGTTCCTGGCTGCCCTGCCGGTTGACCACCGGTAGGTAGCTGGTGGCGTACCGAATACGGTCAACCTCCGTCTCTGTGTTTGACGAATCGATAGCACAGCGGTTTTTAACTTCAAAGGTAAAAACCTTGAGCTCTGCCCAACTAGAAGCCTTGTATCGTAAAGTGCTCATCGATGGCTTCCACCAAGTCGATTCTCTCAATCTCTTCCCCGGACGGGCACTGGTGTCCGCCGGCTGTTCGTCTGGATCTTCGCCCCTCAAGAGGGCGGTAAGTCGGTCTCTCTTCTTCTGTCTGAGGCGCTTGGCTTCTGCAGCCGCCAAGGCTCTGTCTAGCTCCTCATCGGTACAATTGTCGACGTCGATTTGTCCCGAAGGGGTCACAACGGGCTGTGTGTTGGAGTCAAAGCTGGACCCTTGCCCGCTACCCTCCGTCTGCACTCCGGAGGTCATTGTCGATAAATAGAAGCTCTGTCGCACTCTGCCCAACGGTCCGCACTCCCTCTGGTAGGTTGGAGCGATTAATATGTCACGGGATTTCAAGTGCAAAGTGAAGGACGAGAGTGCTCAAGCGAAACAAGCTGCCAGTCACCAGGTAGGTACCAATAGCGTAGTATAGGGGACTCAATAACGACAAGTTAATCGCTGCCCTCTCTAAAAGAAGAGGGTCACAGCAGCCTAGTTATACATTTCCGACCCCTGTCCAGGCCAAGCCACTGTGGCTTATTTGCACCTGACAGCCGAATCCCAAAAACCTATTGCGCAACCATTCGTCGAACTCCCGATCCAGGAAGGTTGAGCCACATAAGCCACCGTTCCCTGGCGCTGACTCCGCCAGCTGTGGAGTCTTGCCCAGCGCTGTGATGGTGTATGATATCAAGTCCACGGTGCTGATATGCATATGGTCAGTTAACATCCTGATATGATTGATTAGTCGGAATGAACGTACCCTCCACCCGCATCGCAGATAACGAAGGTATCGTCCACCGCAAGGTTAATCTCACGACTCATAGTGTCCAAGGCGTAGATCCCAGCCGCTTCTGGCTCCGTGATGATGCGTACATCACAGGATGACGCCATACCGGCGCCGCCGGCGCACTTCAGAGTGGTGTTCTGCGCTATCTCTGGCCACAAAGCAGGTACTGTGATAATGTACTCCCATGAAATATCTCTGAACAAGGCTTCCAGTCCATCAAAAGTGGCCTTGATGCGGGCTTCAACGTGTTTTCTCAGAAGGCTCAGATAGTCCGTAATCAGCTTCTCCACGTGAGCGGCATCACGAGGAGGGATAGTGGTTTTGGGATAACTTCGTGTTAGTTCATGCTTGGAGATATTGGGGTTCTGCTCAAGCTTGAACCACTCGTACTTCTTTTCCACAGCATCGAGTTCGAATCCCCATCTTATGTTGCCGTTTTCATAGTTCAGCGTGCTAGAATTGCTGTCAATATCGTTCGGCAACAAAAACAAGACGCAGAGATTTTGACTAACGTTGGTACCTTCAATTCCGTGTTGACTTGATCAGGCCATTCGTCGATTAGGTTCATTCTGGATTGGTGGCCGCCGGTCAAGGCTGTCTCAGTGGAATCCACATTAGCCACGAAGTGAATTATTGTGTTCCCATTCCCGGTCAACTTTCCTTTTTTGTCTGAACCCATGCGACTGCGGAGTATGTCGTTCCTATACACCATCCGTTAGTTTCTCGTTCAAAAGTGACACTTGTTCAACTGAGGAGCAGCCACGTACCAAAGTCTACGGCAACCAGAATCTTTCGAGAAGCGTTGCGGCTCCCTTCCAGATTCATGCGGGAGACTCCTCCCACTATCCCAGAAAAAGACATGTTTTCACTGGCGCAGCCGAGCCAAAATTAATGGCGGCGACTTGGTATGTATAGTCCGTACGCGTCGAGTATCATAGACCATAAGCACTGAGATTAACCACGACACGAAACAAGAGGAAGTGAATTGTACAGGTGCCTCAATTGGCCTCCGAGAAAATTCCCCTTACTTAAGATAAGTGCTCCCCGAGACAAGGCCGAGGCAATAAAACACGCCCACCTCCCTCATCAGCCGGCATCTGCAACTCGACGGCCATTTTCTTGGGGGCCATCCTCACCCCAGCCCAAACCGACCTATCATATGTGAGAACTAATCCATTATGGCCCCCAATATACAGGTATCTCTTCATAACTTACTAGCTCATTGGAAAATGGGCAGTGCCGCGACAGGTGGCATGCATTTCCACAATGCACTGCCCCGCAGAGGTAGCTGGAAATATTGGAATCAATATTGCCACCTTCTACGGCTGCCTTCGTTCATGGATTCTATCTAACTGCGGACAGAATCCTCTTTGGGCCAATTTGAGCAGCCGTTGCATTCCACGACCGCCCAACACCAGCTAATACTGACAACGGAAACATCAGCATTTGGCAAAGCCGTTCACTTTCTCGCACTTATGTCTCAAGCTCAAGAAGAGATAGAGTGGTTGATCAGCCTTAACGACCAGCTCCACGCCGATTTGGAAGATTGCAAGGACCAACTCTTCGAAATTCTGCAGAAAGAGAACGACGTCCCTGAACAGACAATCAAGGAAGCCTTCACGACTATACTCGAAGGTATCGAGTACTGGATTGATGAAATTTCCAGTCATCGTCATTTCGATTTCAAAGAACAATGGGCAAGAAACCTTCAGAATAACAGGAAGGAAAAGCTTGCCGACCTTGGGCTTCATCAACGGTGCCATGACATAACGTGGCAGATGAAACTGGGAGAGTTGCCCAACTGTTACTTCGTTATACTCTCCATGGTGATAGCAAAGACTATCTTCGGAGAAATTCTGAGCCACCAGGGAATATTCCCTGTCGGACTTCCACGCGGGCATATTGATCTTGTGAAGGACCTACAGGGTATAATGGCATCCGATGAGCTCAGAAGAGGTTCATTCGCGCTTTCCACACACTTATAAAGCCAGTACTGACAACAAGCTATGAACAGATCACACACAGATATCTAAATGGCGAGGAGAAACAATATCAGCCATGACAACCGCGGCCGATTACCGATCCTCGCTAGAAAAACGATCTGACGAAATTTTCAGGAAGCTGAAACACGACATGCGCCCCTGGACCGGAGCAGATGCTTTAACAGAGCACAGCGAAGGCCTTCGCCAAAATGTCATTGATCCCGCAATCAGCCTCTCGCGGATGATCGGCTGTGCTCACAAAGCCTACGCGCTAGAATCCGAAAAAATAAACCCAGGACCTGTGCCGAGCCACGCATTGTCCTGGACTGTAAAGGATATACGCACTTGGAGAAATATACCCTCAAGAGACGTTGTTGGCACTTTCCACTGCCTATATCCAGGGATTGTTCGAAAAGGAGGTGTTGGCCAAAACGATCGACGGTTGGTCAGTCCAACCCTCCTCGGATATCGAAGCCCCGAACTTGAGCCCATAGCTTCCCGTCCAAGCAGTCCATCGAAACCAAGGCCAGAGACGCGGAGAACTGAGTCTGAGACAGCTGATTCAAGGAACCCCCGCCCCTCTCGACGATCATCGCCACCCAAATCTATATCTCGACCACTATCGGATACCGGATCGCTAAAACAAAAACATAATTTTCTTGGCCGCATAGGATTGGCGTTGGGAATCCCCTCATCACAGTCAGGGGCTCAATACCCCGAAGCCCCACCTCCCAACGAAAGGGGCCCAAGTAGCAGACGTGGATCCTCGAAGCTCAAGCCCTCTTCCACATGTTACGGGGAAACTGGCCCCTCCCGCGAGAACCCGGGAGATCTGGCCGGTATTCATGATCATCCCGTCCTGCCAACAACTGATCATGGGTATGTAGCTGAGCACGTCCAATCACAGGCGGCGCACATTGTGGATGCTTCGCCGAGGGATGAGTCCGTGGTTTATTCCAATGTGCGGTATACGGAGGAACGTCAGACGGCGGCGGGTGTACGAACTATGGCAAGTCTCGATAGCGGTTATTAGTATCTAGAATAAAAATGAGCATCAGGCAAGGGAGGGTCTGGAAGCCCGAGCTTATTTCCAAGCCACAGATGAGTTGGGTCATTTCTTTGGGTCAAAGCTACTATGAAAGGGGTAGAAGTCTGTGGAATTGACTTGTTTGTTTTATCAAGTCTGTCATGAAAGGAGTTTGACTGTAGCTATCTTATCTGCCAATGTAAAATGTATTTCGGGTCTGCTCATATGATATCTTGGTTGTTACTGTCTAATCTCACGAAACAACTGAATCAACACTGCATTCATGCCTTTCGCCTATGTCAAAAATCGACAATGAACCATTGTCTTATTCTACGGTTTTGAATTCCTTCCTTGCGTCTTCTACCGTGTCTGTTAGAACTCGCAGTGCCAGCATAGCCATTCCCTTTCCGCACCGGATCGCAACAGCATGTGCGTCGTCAGTGCTATCCGCCTCAGCAAACCCTGCTTGGTACCCAGTGGCAGTTGCCACGGAAGGGATCGCGAAACCACCGTGTAAACTGGGAACATCTTCCCCTACTGCGCCGGCAATATCGTCGGCCCGCAGCTCTTCTGCGCCAATGAGGCCTGGGATACAGGTCTGGCTTCTTGGCCATGATGATATGTTTCGCTGTTTCTTTTATCCTCTGCTTTGTCCTTCGTTTCTACCTCATCACTGAGATCAAGAGGCGGGATAAGCTGAGCGAGGCAGCTTCGGCTGCTGCGACGGCTAATGTCGACGCGGGTAAAGGGGGCGAGGAACACTCGGCGACGTTTTTCAACTTGATGGATAAAAAATATAGGGAGATTTTGGGGTTTATATATGTGTACTAGACGGAAATGGATTTGGGTGAATGGTTTGGATAAAGATAGAGGCAGCTTCCTGAGATGCGTTGTTGAAAAATAAAGTCGCCATGTGTTGTACTGACCCGGGATGATAAATAACATGCACTCTGATGTGAGACTCACAAGCATTAATGCGGTCAAAGATTAATAAAAGACCCAAAAATTGCGTAACTATCCATGGTATTGTAATACCCATGTTCAAAATTGTCGCATTTGCTGGCCCAGTGCTGCTATTTGATGCTCTTGATCATGTTCCACAATCTGCAGATGATGTTGAATTAAGCAGAAAAATCCCGAATGAACAATCTTCAGAATGCTTGGTCTTGCCGAGAGTTTCCAATAGCTTGAAGTCAGAACTAAATATTGACTGCTGCTCCGAGATGGCCGCCAGAAAACTTGGTTCAGCTTGGGATCGCCGACAAACCTAAATCGTCCACCTCATCCATCGCTTACAATATGAAATAACCTAGTGAGCTTGATCCTTCCACAATATATCGCATGGAAATGCTTTCGTTATCTCGTCCAAGCTGGGGATGTCTGTGACATGTGTCTCGGTGCTTAGGGCATTATCAGACCACTCATTCTATAACTAGCTTTACTCGCCACCTTAGGCTCTACGCTCAGACTTGTTGTTCTTTCCAAAACTAAGTCAATACGTTGCCTTCGCATTCTGGCTGTCCTGTTCGGAACCATCAATCATGCCGCCAATTTATCTCAATCAGAAAACTTATGAGTTGCATCCCATGCACCAAGTAGCAGAACACATTGATCCTCAAATTATTCGGACCGTGCTTTCTTACGGATTGCTCAGTCGGGACTACAGGGACTGGAACAATAATGGACAACCTGACAGCAATGCAGATGAGGATGGAGGTGGCGGGTATTGGGATCAACACCTAACTGGCGGCCAGATTGCCGGCATCGTCCTTGGCAGTTTCTTCACACTTCTCATCATCCTCAGCATCCTCTACTGTGCGTGGCTGAGTGTCTCGCCTGCAACACCCCCCAAGGTTGTGCGTGAGGAAAGGTCTGTTCGGTCGTACAGAAGGTCGCGGTCTTGTTCGTCGTCGTCGTCGTCACCTTGTTCGTCACCTTGTTCTTCCTCCGACCGTTATCCATCGATTCCATCAAGATATTACCGGTACCAGACCGCTTCCAGGGCGAGGCGAGGGAGGTCAGTGGTGGTCGATCAGAAAAAGATCTACTGTCGATATCCATCGCCAGTTTATTGTCGGGAACAATGTTGTCAGGAAATCAACAGGTACCGTCAAAACTGACGAGACATCTAGTATGGTGCCGCAGTGGCTAGGATTGCAGCCCCTAGCGCGGCAATACTATACTTAGGAAACTTGCAGATTATAAGTTCGCGGAATAGCCCGACTTTTGCGCTGAATTTACTAAGCTTTATACTATCCTCGACTACGACTCCCGCTCTAAAGTATCTTAGCTCTAGCAGAAGGTTAGCTAGGCCCAAGCTAAGAAGATCTCTAACTAACTCGATAAGCCGGATAAACCCGATTTCACTAGATAGGTCGAGATCTATACTATACCCTAAGATAGTGTCTAGTAGCTAAAGGCTCGTACTATAGGTACTTCCTACTCTTGCTACTATGTCCCCCAACCTACTGCTAGTACTAGTCCGAGTCTCTGTTGTATTACACGTGAATCTGATCAAAAGTAGGGGTTCGAGTGATTAATTGATTTATCTGGTTGTCTTCTATTACAGTCGGCTGACTGCTGGTGTAACCTTGTGTAGGGAGGGACAATCGTGCCTCCTATGTGACTGTGTGTGTGGCTTGTACAGTGGCTGTAATCCAACAGGTTCTATTCTTCTACTACAACGCTCGGCTTCCGTAGCTTATAAGAATCGCTCCAGCTCCTCTTAGTGCAATTGTCGATGTCGATATGATCTAAAGGGGTCATAAGTGGCCAAGTGTTAATGTTGAAGCTGGACCCTTGTCCGCTCCCCTCTACCTGATCTCCGGAGTTCGTTTATTGAATAGGAGTCCCTTCGCACTCTGCCCACCGGTTCGTACTCACTTTAGTCGGTTAGAGCGATTAATACGTCACGGGTATTCAGCTAGAGAGAAGTAGGTTACTAGTCACCAGGTTAGTCGTAGCAGTGTAATGTAGTGGACTTAACTACGACGAGTTAATCGCTGCCCCTCCTCAAGATAAGGGTTCACAGCAACCCATCTATACATTCCCGATCCTCGCACAGGCTAAGACCCGGTATGACACTGGAGCCCACGGACTATACAGGCCTATAAGCCACTGTGGCTCATTCGCACCTGACAGTGAAGCTTCTAGAAGCAGTACAACGCTTTTTGCTAGGCCACCTTATTGACACTTGCCGACGCCGAAAAAGCGACCCAGCGGGTTCGGACAAGCTTGACTGTATGTGACCATACATCGGCTTTAGCGAGTTGATAGCCCTTGCTCTGCAGACAACTCAGCCCGTAGCCTTTCTACGCTTACGTGGCCATTACCCAGCTAGCACAGTTACCTTGGCCGGCATGTCAACGGTCTGCGTTCATCATACAGCAAGGACATCCCCGCCAAAACCCAGGACTTCGGATCGAAAAGCCGGCCAAAATCCGTCCCTCGCCCAGAACTTGAGGCGTTGGAGAGCGACGACTAACCTGAGCACGCCGAAGGCACTCTGGGTGTCTCCTAGCGGAACTGTATCGTACAGTATGGGCCGCTCGCCCTCGCGACCGCGAACGGTTGCGACAAATTTCCACGTGTGGCCTTGAATGATGATGCCGGGGACGAACTCAATTCTCCTAGCCGAGTGCAACCATGGCCCGCTAGTCATGCCGTGACCGAGATCAGCCGAGTAACCCGGGGCTGGGGGCGGCGGTCTTCGCTTCGGAGTCCAGGCAATGCTCCTCAATTGTGCCGCGTGCCATATGCCCATCTGCAGCATGGCTTCATCCCAATTCTCACCGTGGCGCTTGGTCTCGATCGAAATGGCGATGGGATCCTTGAATAAGCTCCCTGACTCCGTGTGATTGATGCTCTGGCTTGGGCGCGATGACTTGCACAGTTGGATGATGCGTTCGTGTTCGGGGCTGTCCCTGGGGGTCTGCACGAATATGCAGAAGTCCACCATCTTGGACGGCGCATCTTCTGGCTTGAAGGCGGAACTGATCTGGGCTGAGGGGCAATACATCGAGTCGATGAAAGCTTCCCTGTATGGAGAGCCGATGCGCAGCACCCAGTCAAGCACGAGCTTATGTACCTCGACGTTCCATGATGCTTCGCTGTAGAGATCGCGAAGGCACTTGTCGGCGCGGAGGAGTATGTCTCGGATGAAGGCGGAATCGGGGTAGCTATAGTTGAAGTCATCGGCGTGCTGATCTTGACGGAACGCAAAAGGGGGGATTTTGTGAGAATCCAGCTGCGGGATTCGCAATAAGCACGGGTCAGATGGAAGTAGGGGGTGGGGAAGAACAATGGTGGCGAGATGTACAGACGGGAGCCGTCAAGCATGCCTCAGCTTGCAGATTGTGCGGCAAGATGGACACACCGAAACCAATCTTGGTGAGGTCCTCTGTCAACTGGGCGAGTTGTAGCGGGAGGCGCTCGGCGCCCATTTCGAAGCCTGCCGACTCGAACCCAGTATCCTGGAGGGCGGCGTTGCGTTGCTGTTTCACTAGAGATGATCTTCTGGACACGGCAGAAGACGATTTACGCGACTTGGCCGACCGTGTGGAATGATCGGAAGAGGCAGACATACCGCTCGTCAAACTCCGTTGATCCGCCCAGTCGCTAGGTGGCCCCTGCCCTTGGAGGCGGGAGCGATCGGCCTTCGGAGTAGCCTCCAGGTCTATCGTAAAGTCCGTGGAGTCGCCATCTCCGTCTCTCGATCGCTTGCGATGGGGAGAGAGCATGTTCTCCGGCGGAGGTGACGCTGTCGAGCGAGAGGGCGAGGGCGTCCGCAAAGGCAAAGGCAAAGCTTGCAACCGGGTTTTCGGAATGAGGAAAAGAGAGCTCTCTTTATTGCGGCCCGGGGCAATCCGATGGCCTCGAGGGTCAAGACGCCTTCGTTTCTGAGGGAGTTGGGTTGGTGTCGCTGGGTCGAGGACGGTCGTTGAGTCAGTTGAAGAGAGCCAGCTGATGATGTCGTCGAACGAGGTCATTTTTTACGCCGCAAGTCGATTCGATGACAGCGCGCGATGCATAACGTAATGGCTCGTCGATTTGCTGAAGGGGGAAGAATATGTTGGACGAAGGGGTCCCATGTAAGGCTTACGGTGCTCTTGAGCTTGGTTGGCAGGGTGATACTGAGTAAGGCGCTTGATGTGGGTGCGGGGAATAGAGGGGTGAAGCTCGCCGACGAGTGGTGGGAGTCGTGGCTTGGAGTGTGGCGCACATGCGAAAACCCGTCATGCTGCGGCACTGTGCGGCAGTGTGGCCACCGGAACTGTCAGATATCCACGTATCTTGCGATATGACGGTGGTGTGACCTCTCTGTAAGATGACTGTGACCTTATTGTGAATTAATCTATCACCTTTCCTTCTTTTCTCTCTCTTTTCTGTTATATGTTTGGTTTTTATAGAGAGATCTTAGCTAGGTTCCAGTTGCTTGTAATCTTGCCCTCGTAATGCGTGACCCTTGATAGGTCATGTAACCCGTTATATCTGACATACCCCCTTAGGCGACTGCCCTAACTGTTAACTGTAGAGTTCTAAGGATATAAAACTTATTATGACTTGAAGTAGACTTCTATTCGGACTCTCCTCCATCCAGAAGCTCCTTTCACTCGCGCTAGGGGCTGCAATCCTAGCCACTGCGTCACCATACTAGATGTCTTCACCAAATGAGATCAATACCAAAGTCCCTGGCTTTGATATCTGCAATCACTTATCAATCTGTTCGGACCAGTCTCGATCACGTACGTGACAACCGCCACAGCTCCTCTACTGCGTCGAAGTCCTCGTATAATTCCCTAAGCTTCTTAGCTTCCATCTTTCCCTCAACATCTACTAGTTCGACCTATCTTATAAACTTCTTAAAGTTCTTAGCTAGTAAAAACGGTCAGTAAATGCCCGCAGGTTCAGGATGTGATGATGATGGTAACAGACAGCAAGATCCTCAACAAGACCTTACTATCCTGGAGATGGAAAGAATAACAAAATCGAGAGCCTTCTTGCTCCGATCAGACCAACAAAAGTGTCACGACCTGGGTTGCATCGCATTGGTATATACCTCGATTAGGTGCTATCGACGAAGATTCTACTCTAAGGAGCGAAGGAAAGAAGATGACAACTTAGGTTTGAGGGAGCGCGACTAAGTCATCCACGCTTGGCGGGGCTCCTACAAGGGTTATGATTGGCTTCCCATCTGACACTGCCACGGCAGGTGTTCCAGCTGTAAGTCACCTGGTTGTAGTGAGTCTGCGAGGGTTGACCTTCACAAAAAGTACCTCAGCAGCTACTGAAAATAGCCTCAACAGGCGAAAGGAATCAATTACTACTGACTTAGCCGCTTGATCTTTCTCTCCTCAAGAGAATGACTACCTACACGGGTCTTTAAATATCTTCAAGAATACGCTTACATAATTCATCTGAAAGCCTAAAAACAACACCTAAAAACCCTGTCCCTAAGTCACTAGTAGTATCTTAGTTAAGCCGTCGGCTAGTATATACCCGATTGGTATGAAGTAGACCTTAATCTAATTTATGTTTACTACTTCTTTAAGCTAATAGTCATGGATATATACATGTTGTAATTTAATCTATAGAGCGGCTACGTCGGTATTAATGAGCCGCATGGTTTATTAGTTATCACATTAGATAGTTAAGTACGTAGAGTCTAGCGTAATACTGAGCTCCTTAAGTAATCAGGACACGAATAGGGTCTCTTTAGCGGCCTAGATATGGGACAACAACTCCGCTTATATTTAGAAGTACTTATTGTGTCTTGCGTATTCGCGCGTGTAACAACAGATACAGATTTGGGGAAGGCCAGGCACAATCATCAAATTCCTAACGCCAGTAGTAATTGGATACAAAGAAGGAAACTTGCCCCTCCAAGTGCCCCTCCAAGCTTCCATGGTGCCTTGACCACCATTTGAATGGCCTGGGAGGTTTTCCTGAAACGCCCTCGGACCGTCATAATTTCGCCCGCCTATCCAGGGTGATCTTATTCAAGTCTTCCAAGCCGTCGTAATAATAACTTTTGTGACAGCGCGTTAGCTAATTACTCCTCCGAACAACTTTACAATAGAGGCTTATAAGCTCTTTCGATCGATCGTATTATTGGTGAAGGAGGCATCGCTCTAGGTCTCGAAAGAATCTCTTTGTCACAGCACTGACGATTACAGAGCCACAGAGTGCTGTATATAGCAGGTAGTGGGACCAAATGTCAGTGATCCACTGGCATTATACATCTTTTGGTCTATTGGCCTAGGGGCTTGGTCCTCCCTTGTCCCTTGTGACACGCTTCCTCTAAGTTAAAGAGCTTAGTATTTCGTACCGAGAAGGTCTCAGATAATATATTCAGCAGCAGTTTAGTACGTATCGCTTAGTCATAAAGCCGAGACGGCTACGTCCACTCGAGAGATCACGGCTGCGTATAGGATAGAGCCTATACACACCTAGTACTTATTGTTGCTCGTAGTGGTAGCTCTGCCGTCGAAGGGGAGAAACTCTCTTTACTTTATTAGTGAATCCGGATATAGACCGTTGATCTCTGATAACTTCCATTCCTAGGAACCATTGGAGTTCATTGCCTCCAGTTAGTGTATAGATGGACTTAAGTTGCTTTGTTACGCTGTCCGCTGGGTCTTGGTTCTCTTTCCTATGCTAGCACAATATCGTCGACGTAGAAGATGAATGCCCCTTGTCTACTGTAGCAGCAGGGCTCGTGCGGTACAGGTGAGAACCCTAGCCTAGTTAGTATGGACGTAAAGTCCTTCTACCAAAGTAGAGGGACTCCCTTAGGCCGTACATAGCTTTCTTAAGATGAAGAATTGTCCCTCACTTCTGGTATCCTTAGGACATTCGTATAAAGATATCGTAAGGTGACTTGGCGTTAACGAATATACCAACTATATGGTATTAAATAAGTTTGAGGTTAAACCTTACAGTAATAGCTACGAGGGTCCTTGTAAGGAAATCGAGGGCTATAAGCAGGGTTAAGCCTTAGTTCTGTGTCACAAGGGAGGACCAAGCCCCCAGGCCAATAGACCAAAAGATCTAGAATGCCAGTGGATCACTGACATTTGGTCCCACTAACTGCTATATACAGCACTCTGTGGCTCTGTAATCGCCAGCGCTGTGACATTCTTCCACTTAGTGGCAGAACTACTAAATCAGTGATTCCCTCGGACGACCCAATATGCTTGATAAGTTTGTGCTGAATCTTGGTTCCGGATAATGGCTAAGACCTTGCGCCTAGAGAGCAATGCAGTCTTGATGGCGGATACGCCGATATTCCCAGTTGTTCCGACCATTAGAACGGTCTCCATTGCAGTCATGAGGAATTAAAAAGATGCCAAAGTTGATTCTTTTTCTGGTGACCCCGTGCTGCTTATGAACAACCATTGCAATTCTGCTCTTAATCCATATTCATTGATTATGGGTGTATAAGTATTTGTTCTAGCTCACAGTCCGACAGCCTATGGCTGGAGATAGCTGCTAATCAATGTCAATTCTTTTCTTTGGGAGGTAGATATCTGAAGAAAGTCGGTAATGATAAATCGACCAACGATGATCTCACAAGTATTCGGCTTTGGAAGAGGCGAGCTTGAAGTGATGTATTGTACTGTGGGCAAATGGTCCTGTATTGAAGATGTCATGATATCTGGAGAGTCCTGAAAGAAGTGAACAGCGGCCATAAGGGCCTTATATAGACATGAATGAACGATGCCTGTCCCACAGGCAGGACTTGTTTGGTACAATGGGAGGTGGTCACATTCGCCCGTAACGTATGGTAAGTGACCATGTATCCTTCCAAGACTAGTAGTTTGGCGTAGTAGCCTTGAGGGTCCAACATAATGACAAATTATTTCATTACGAGACGACCCGAGTATAGACCTGTCGGACCGCCCGGCCCGCGTTTCTAACCTCGACGGCTGATTTAGAGTCTCTTGACTTGCTCTGGTTTGGAAAACGCAGACGGGATGCCGAAGTATTGTGTTGTTCTTTCGAACGCGAAGTTGAGAATCCTCTAGGTTCGGCCTGCGTCATGCAACCCAATTACGGCCTTGACGCTTGCAACTTCATGCCAGACTCCTTACTGTCACTTGACAGTCTTGATCAATGTTCATGTAGAGTTGGTTTAGCAAAGGCGACGACGATGGCTGCGGGGAAATTATGTGTAGATTTACCCATGAATAGATGCTGTTTATACCTTATCTTTTAGATCAGATGAAGTTTCAGCTGCCTAGTTTCGCAAGTCGGGTAACGCGCTTTTCTAAGTCCTATAAGTATAGTAATAAGTGTGGGATTGAGCGCCACAGTTATGCCCTAGGCCGAAAGAGCTACAGTTGCTAGTGTATCTAGTGAGTCAGACGCTTTCTCCCTTTCTTCCTTACTGAGAGCAAGAGCACCTTACAGAGACTCTCAACACCAACCTACGTAGTAAAACGCGTAGAGCAGGCATAGCGATCGATACGACATGCACCCAGAGCCTCCAACGGAAGAATAATTCCATGCATAAGTAGCTAAGTTAGGAAATGTAAGTTCATCTAATAGTAAAGATAAGTAGCGCATGACATAAAACAAACAAAGCAAATCTGGTCTATATTTGATTTGCTTAGGTATCTGCCAAGACTACCCTAGAGCCGGAAAACATCTACGCAGACCAACCAGATTGCAATGCATCAGAGTCTCTACTTGTTATTTGGGAATACTCCCATAAATCTGGGCTGTAAGTGGTTGCAAACCAGCGTTATCCCAATGCATCATGTGTTCACTTTCAGATGTTGCCCAAAGTTTAACGGTTGGACCAAACACACCAACACACGTTTCCACGATGTGGGCACCGTTGATATCGAAATATTTATCGCCGAGTTCTGCAATAAATGCAATCTCAGGCCCTGCCGTTGGTGGTTCACTCGACGTCCGCATTCTGGTTTCTGATGCGCGAGTATACACGACCCATTGGCTACCGTTTGGGTGTTCCGCCGAGAATGAAGCACAAATAGGACATTAACTTACCGAGAGCAGAAGCATCCCGGCCCACATTGACTTTGAGTAACTACCGTCAAGTAGAAGCTCGATCGAAACATGGACCATTTTTAGCCCCGACGACCAGTGGTTCACGAGCTTTGTACATTCCCACCTCAGCGCATTCGGAGACTATGATAGTACTAGGTTTGACGGCAAATGTATGCGCCAGCCTGTTGCTGATGCTGAAAAAGCGGCAAGCCGAAGGGCGCCCGGGTGGGGAGCACCAACCAGATGAACATAATTTTGAGTGATCAGTTTGCATATGTCCACATGGCGGCCAAAATGTTTAAGCAGATATAAATACCAACAGGCTACCATGTGTTTGGCCATGATACTCAACTAGCATCAAACAGGCTTGAATATGTTGCCGTCAGCTCAATTTGTCGGAGCACCTTCAACAGTCCGGTTTCATTATTATTAAACATACACAGTCTTCCCAATACTTCAACAATTTAGCATTCGATACTCTGTTTTAGTCTCAAATTCACCAATCTCCTTATGGGGCAGCTCTGAATTTGGTCCTAGCTAGAGACAAGCTCAAATATCTGGGGTCTTGACTCAAACTACCAGGACGATGGCCGCATTATCCGCTGGCTTTAGGATAGCTTCTGGGACTTCAGAATCACAGGGTTAATGCCGATACACTGCCGCCGCTTGCTATTTGCTGCAAGATGTCGAGCAACTGGGCACCTCCTCGAGACGAGTTCATGCAATGGACGTTTCAGGATTTATGAGTTTACATGACATTGAGATGGGCAGTACATACATGGCACGCGAGAGTGGCTTGGGGACTCGGTATCAGGGACGGGTCTCAGCCAGCTCGGCGCGAGAGGCCCAACAAGCCAAACTGGACGCTATCCATGCCGTCATCCTCCATCCTTCATCCCGAGCTGCTCACGAACTGTTTCATCCAGCAGATAATCCTCAATACGTCCAAAAAGACCAAGTCATAGACAGCCATTATGCTCGGCGAGGGGAAATCTGGCAATGTGTTCACCTTGGTAGACATGGTCGAACAGCATCAGGTCAAGCCTTGACGGATGTGAGCGTAGTATACATATAGATATTGCTTAAGGCGCCAGTGGGTATATTAGAGTTGTGACAAGATGTTGTTAATATACATCGGTAGATCCTTAAACGGAATATCTTCCTTGATGGAAAGCCGCCTGCACTGAACCTCACACATCTTTTCAGAAGCCCACCGGCGTCCGAGTAGCACGATGACAGGGTACCCAACCCTATCAGCCTCTGTCAACCTGGCAACGAAAATACCCTTCTTGGATAGTGATTGGTTCTTGCGGAGTAGCACAGTATCGTCGAGCACGACGTCGATCGGCTGGGCATTCGGGTCGTGGTGGTTCTTGAGGAGATCGTATACAGACTCAGCATCCTCCTGTGATGAATCCTTTCCGGGGATGATGATGGCTTCGAATGGCGCAATGGCGCGGGGCCAGTTCAGGCCTTTCGAGTCGGCGAGGAGGTCGGCGACTGCGCCTATGATACGGGAGACACCTATGCCATGGCAGCCCATCTGCATTGTGACGAGCTGATCCTCGCGGTTTTGGACTGCAGCCTGGAGGGGTTCGGAGTAGCGGGTACCTAGGTGAAAGGTGTGGCCTAACTCGATGGCCTTCTGAATCTTGAGTTTGCCGGAGGAGCAGTAGGCACAGCTGTCGCCTTCACGAATACGCAGAAGGTTTAGGGGCTGCCCATCGTCGGATATTGAGATGACCTGGATATCCAGTGATGCCAGCTCGAGGTCACTGCCTGGCGGTAACATCATCGCGGCTAAGGTATCAAGCTCCTCCTCAAATTTCGGCCCAAGCCTTTGGTCAAATATATTGAGGACTTTCTGGTTTGTTGGGGATAGTTTATCGTTGGTGGTCGTTGACCACAAGGATCCCGCGTTTTCAATGCTGGGGTCGACGATTGAGTTGATTACATGTGTGTTGATAGTATAGCCCGAGATTCCTACCGCAGCCGGATACCAGACATTGACGAGCACCGTTCGATCCTTGGATATGCCACGCCAAACCTGGGCTTGAGGTTTCGCATCCTCTGCTGGCATATCCACCTTGGCCACGGCAAGCTCTTCGTTTGCCGCATAGGAGCAGCTGTCGCAGCTGATCACGTTGTCTTCCCCCACTGATATCGGAAGATGGTACTCATGGCTGAGATCACCGCCAATATCTCCAGACGTAGCTTCGGCAACCACATAAGGAAGCTTCAGTTCGTCGAACAAGCGTGAGTAAGCGGCGCGTACTTCGCTGTATGTCTGCATCGCTGACTCGACAGTTTCATCAAAAGTGTAGAGATCCTTCATTATGAACTCTCGGGAACGTAGGAGTCCCTGACGAGGCCTCAGCTCGTCACGGTATTTGCGACCAATCTGGTACAGCCTAAGAGGAAGCTGCTTGTATGACTTCACAGTCGACTTGACTAAAGTTGTGATTTCCTCTTCGTGCGTTGGTGCTAACAAGAAGTGCGCCTTCTTCCTATCAGAGAGGCGGAAAAGCTCCGGCCCATAGCCCTCCAGGCGATTGGTCTGTTTCCATAGCTCTTGTGATGAGAGCGAAGAGAGTGAGACTTTTGAGGCTCCGACTTGTTGCATATACTTGTCTATCAACCTCTCGAGCTTCTCTTGGACCCTTTGCCCCAGCGGCAGCATGTGAAAAATGCCAGAGTGAGCTTGGCGTAGGTACCCGGCATTACTCAGCCATGATTGTCCATCGCTCCTCTTGGGTGGATTTGACTCTTGCGGGATGAACGTCTCCGACAGACATGTTCGATGCGGCGAAGAGCCACCATGAGATGGCTGAGTGCTGTGGAAACGAGTTGTGACAAGCGTTACTGATCGGGTCTTATTGGTCTTAGTCAGAACCTTTGCCCCTGATATCCTGATTGACAACATTACAGGTGGGTCATGCCTGAGATGTTGGGTTTTGAGGATGAGAATGTGGTTGGGTAAGGCCCGATGTTGGTCATCGAGTAAGAATAAATCTCAAAATGGAGGTCAAGTCCTACTGTCAATCGGAAGTGCCGGGACGGAAAGTGGTGCACCTATTGTGTTCACTGACAGGCGACACGCTTGCTCATTGAGCAGCCTAAAAACATGAAGATTCCAAATTCACTCGCAGCCTTGCATGGATTTGTGGGGCAATTGGTTTATAACCATCGCAAAGTTCATGCTGATTGGTTGTTTCTGCCCTTGTATATGCGATCCACTTAGTGGATATACTAGCCTTGCAGCTTCCCCGCTAAAATTATTGAACTTTTGCGAATTTTTTGAAACGGAGCGGCCTCAGAGCTCGCTGTAAATCAGACAAGCGGCCCGTAGCTTTCAAACGAACCAAGCCGACATCTGCAAACTTGACCATGGCTTCATTTGACGGGGCAGCGCTGGTGAAATTGACCGCCAAGATTGACCAGAAGTTATCTGAAAAGGACATCAGCGACAAGAAGAAGCAAAAGCAGGCCAAGTCCCCGCAGGCGACGCCAAACTTGAAGCGGAAACAACCTGAAGAGAAACCTGACGAGAAGAAAGTTGAGCGACCAGCAAAGAAGAATAAGAAGGATAGGAAACCGGCGCAGGATGACAGGAACGGCAAGGCCAAACCCCCAAAACCAAGTGCGAAGCCCGCCTCCAGTGCACTTCTCGACGAAATCAAAGCATTAGGCGGCGACGAGAAAGACCTGGAGCTCGTCGGAGATATCGACTCCGAAGATGAAACGCTGGGCCAACAGGATGGCAAGAGAAAAGCCGATAAAGGTCTAGCTGCGGAATTGGCAAAGTTTGCCTCTGAACTCGGCTTTGAGAAGGTGCAGCCGGAGGAGGAAGATGAAGAAGATGAAGAAGAAGGAGAAGAAGAAGAAGAAGAAGAAGAATGGGAAGAAGCTGCATCTGAGGAAGACGAGGCGGAAGAGGAAGAGAAAGCTGCTGATTTTATCCCGAAAGGCAAGCGGAAAACGGTCAGTAAGCCTCACTAGCCTCCCCTGCAATTGTTCCCCCTTCTGACTTCGGCTTGACGTAGATATTCGAACCTCGTCCTGACTGGCATGCTGTACAATTGAAGGCCCTGCCTGAGCCAACTGACGACAAAGTTGCACCTTATATGTCCGCGATAGCGAGCCTCAAAGAATATGCGAAGACTCTCCTGGAAGAGGACAGCGCCGCCTACAAGGCAACCTTGTCTGCTTCCTCCTCGCATAGGTTCATGTCGACTATCATGTCTTCAGGAACAGTCTCTGATAGAACGTCTGCGTTGACTTTGGCCATCATGGAATCACCTGTACACAGCATACGACCCTTGGAGAATTTGATGGCTCTTGCTGCCAAGCGAAGCCGTGGCCAAGCTTTGTCAGCTTCGGCTGCCCTGGTAGATCTGCTTGGGCCTGGAGCGATCCTGCCGTCGGATAGACGCTTGCGCCAATTTTCCGCCCAGGCTGGCCTGGTCGGGACGCTCCAGAAGTTTGGCGTTAAATCCTGGTCTGTAGACCAAGCGATTCCGGGCAAGATTACCAAAGAACATTTGATATTGTGGGCATTCGAGGACTGGCTCAAGGAGTCTTACTTCAAGATCATCCAGTCACTCGAAGTCTGGTGTGATGATGAAGTCGAGTACTCCCGCTCCAAGTCTCTCGACATGGTCTATGCCTTGTTGAAGGACAAGCCCGAGCAAGAGTCGAATCTGCTGAGGCTGCTCGTCAACAAGCTTGGGGATCGTGAAAGGAAGATTGCATCAAGAGCTTCTTACCTGTTGTTACAGCTTCTCAATGTACATCCAGGGATGAAGGCAGTTGTCGTCCGAGCGGTGGAGCAGGAAATCATATTCCGCCCTGGCCAGAACATTCGGCCCAAATACTACGCCGTCAATACCCTGAACCAGACCATCTTGAGCAATAAAGAGCCGCAAGTGGCAGATGCTCTTCTGCGGATCTACTTTGGCATGTTTGTGTCTCTGCTGAAGACTGGGGCTCTCGGCCAGGTCGAGGGACCGTCCACTGACCCAAAGTCTGCGAAATCGGATAAACGTAAGCGTCGCCGCGAAGCCCCTCCGGCAAAGAAGGGCGAAGAATCAAAAAAGGGTGATGACTCGAATCAAAATGATCAGGGCGAGCGCGAGTCGGCCGAGAAGCTTGTCGCAGCTATCCTGACGGGTATCAACCGAGCTGTTCCCTTTTCCCAAGCAGATCAATCGACGTAAGTTTGTTCAGTGTGCAACATGGCTGGTGATAGACTAATATTGACTCTCTTTTCTAGGCTTGAGTCGCACTTGGATACCCTATTCCGCATCACCCATTCATCCAATTTCAACACCAGCATACAGGCCCTGATGTTGATTCAACAATTGTCTTCAACTCGCCACCTTGTCGTAGAACGCTTCTACAGGACTCTATACGAATCTCTTCTAGATCCTCGGCTAGCAACATCGTCCAAGCAAGCTCTGTACCTCAACCTGCTTTACCGGAGTCTCAAGTCTGACGTCGATGTCCGTCGGGTTAAGGCTTTTGTGAAGAGAATGCTGCAAATTCTGAATATCCATCAGCCTTCGTTCATCTGCGGTATCCTTTACCTCATTCTTGAGCTTGGAGTTGCTTTCCCAGACCTGAAGACCCTCTTGAATGACCCCGAGGAGCACGATGAGGAGGTTGGGGATGCGACAGATGCACCGGATGAGGATACGCCAATGATGGACGACTCGACTACGGAGCCCTTCAAGCCGAAAGACGCATATGACGGCCGAAAGCGAGACCCGGAGTATAGCAATGCGCATCTCAGCTGCTTGTGGGAATTGTTGCCATTCTTGCGACATTTTCATCCCTCGGTTGATCTTTACGCTACTAGTGTACTGCAGGGGCAGAAGCCCGCACAAAAGCCGGAGCTGGCCAACCACACCTTGATACACTTCCTTGACAAGTTTGTCTACCGCAATCCGAAGGCTAATGACGGATCAAAAGGTGCCTCAATCATGCAGCCGGTTGCAGCAAGTGGGCAGGGCAGTGTCTTGGTTTCTGGCAAGCCAACTGCTAAGTCGGCTATGTCTGTGAATACGGCATCGTTCTGGAACAAGAAGGCGGCCGAAGTAGCTGTGGACGATGTATTCTTCCACGAATACTTCAGCCAGATCGGCAAGCCAGGGCAGATCGAACGTGCCACCAAAGCCAAGGCTGAGGAAATTGATGATGACGACTCAGAGGCAGGCGAAGATGAGATCTGGGAAGCACTCAAATCCTCACGACCGGAAGTCAACGGAGACTCAGACAGCGATGATCTCGGATCCGAGTTTGGTGAGCTCATGGGCGACGATGGCTCGGATGCAAGCCTTGACGATGATTTGAACATGGGTGGTGACTCCGATGGCAGTGCTCTCGACTTCTCCGACGCGTCTTCACTGGACTTCAGTGATGAGGATGAAGACGAAGAGGGAGGCGCAGCCACAGCAGAGACTACAGACGGAAAGCCCGAATCTGAGCAGAGGAAGAGGAAGAAGATGCTCAAGGGGCTGCCAACATTTGCGTCGGCCGACGATTATGCTGCGATGTTGGAGCAGGAAGAAAATGGGCTCGAGCAGTAACACCATTCCTATGTTGTCATGCCGGCTGGCTAGGCTGCTTTCCGAGGTTCATGTAGTCTCACTCAACCAAACCTAAAACTTAGATACCCACAACCTAAGTGAAAACCAGCTTCATTTATTATTCATTCTGAGAGAAGTCCGCTCTTGTTCGTTCTCCTATCCGTATACCTACTCGCCACCCCATCCATCTACGTATCAAACCACTCCAACTCATCCTCCTTTGTAAAAATAGCCCTAAACACCTTTCCCCCATCCGGCTCATCACGCTCCTCAGTATGAATACTATGCAACGTAGGCGGCTCCTCTCCCCCCGGGATATGCGCGCGGAAATGGACGTACGCAGGCCCCGAGTCCGGTAAAGCTGGAATACGTACTTTACCGAACATGTGAATGCCGTAGGCGCTGACGGCGACGCGGACTAGCTCAAAGTCGGACTCAGTGAAGGAAGAAAGGTCGTCGTCAGAGAGACCGCTGACTGCGGCGAAGTACTCCGGTTCGTGCTTCGCGTAGGTGCGCCGCTGGTGGAGGAGTGTGGATTTCAAGTCCGGGAGGAGGGTGGTGAAAGCTTTGAGAGATTCTTCTTTGGGGGGATGGGGGGAGCCTAGGTCGACGGTTTCGGCGGTGGCCATGATCGGTGATTTTGGTGGTGAAGGAGGGGCTAGCTTTGGTTTGGTGGAGTTGGACGGGTACCGTGTATTGCTTAGAAGTCTCGACAGACGTTGGAAAGTTGCTTCTGGGGGGTTCAATGGGATAAAGACAAGACAAAGCTGGCGAGGCTGTAGATGGGAGCTTGGGCTTTATATATTTAGATAGTGGTAGTGTAGTATGATGTATTCACGGGAAGCTCTCAAGTTTGACGCAACAATATGACACAAGCAGGTTTGGGTTCCACGCCTGGCTGGGGTTAGTTGGTGGGTTGGTGAGGGGTCGAACTAGTGGATCGTCGTGAGATGTTTGCCAGCCAGGAGGGACAAGCTTGTTTGGGACGGCTATGCAAGCATGTTCATGATGTAAGGCAAACCTGGGGAAACCTTGAGTGTGTTGTCAATTCTGACCCCATCCTGAGTGACTGCAAAATCAGTGAGTGAGGCTAGAGGTTCGAGCCGACCGGCAGGAATTTCCAGACTGAGAGTGAATTGATAGCGAGCTGCTCTTCCTCGCCTATGGTGCGACAATCGTTTGATACGTGCAAAAGGGTAGTAGCCTGGCAGCAGAAGCTAGGTGATATTCAATACTCGTAGCTTCAAGAACCAACGGTTAAGCGGAAAGCCAGCTAGCGTGGTGCCTGCTAGGTAAACTAGCTGAAACCAGGAACCTACATCATTTATGACTTCGAAGACAGCTGGAGATGTATGAGCAGGGTAGGTAGATTGATAGGCTAACAGGGCTGGGATTGTGCCTTGCAGACCAAACCCCAAGCTGCATGACGCAACGTGGACGGCCTGTTACTGCCGCGGGGAACACTTGTTCGCAGATTGAATTGTTATGTTGAAGTCTTGAAATATTGAACGACCGGACTACTATGGTATGTAAGAGATGCAAGATTCCGTACCTCGGAGTTGGGGGGCCCATTTGGGAGCAAGTAGTTTGGACGAGGATAAGACATTTAGCCCCGAAGTCAAATGAGCAACTTGGTAGATTTTGACATTTCCAGCTCAGGATCTTTTTCACCGCACTCTCGTCCTATACAATAGGAGCTTCATATTCGACTCGCTAACATATCATCTCAGCTCAACAAATTGGGTTGAAATCTACGTTTTGCAGTCTTGATGCTGGTGAGTCGGAGCTATGATAGACCGACAGACCTCGGCAACTTCTTTGAGCCGAAACCGCCATGGCCGAAGTCCACTTCTCACATCTCAGAAAATCAGAAAAAATCCCTTGGGACAATAGAAGAGGTCTGGGCGTTCCAGAAAAGACCCAACCAGACGGATAGAGTATGTGGACACAATAGGGCGTAACGTGCCCCTAGTTCACCAACAGCCTTCCGACGGGGATCAAGGCCGTGCTGCTGGCTGGCTACTTGTTGAATTGACCCGCTACTCCGGCATTCGCTACAAGATGAGAAGAGTCATGCGAATGCGATCTAGATGCGTGAGCGGTATGTCGCGCGTCCTACTGCGGAAGCCGCCCACAGCCGACATACATAATAATGCGAGGCTCCCGCTGTCTCGCCGATTCGCAAGTTCGGTAACTGCATCTGGTTCCGGTAAGTAACGATATACTCCAATCATGGGTTGGACTCCCTCATATACGCATGTAGAGCTTGCTTACTCGAGCAACACGCAGCATCAACAGCCTCGCCCCCTCCATTGGCACAACCCAAGTCCCTCCTCCGCCGCACCGCCACCGTATTCGCCCTCGGAGTGACCTTCACCTCTCTCGGCTTCGCCATCATGGCCGCTCCCGCGCTGCCCGCCCTCAACGGGCTCCTCGCGCCCCCCACCGATGCCGAGACGCTCAAGCTATTCACGCCCACCGACCCGCAAGAAGAAGAAGTCGAGGCCTTCATTACGAACTCCTGGCTCGCCAAGAAAATGCGCTCCAAGCCTGAGTTCTCCGAGTCCCGCCCGCACCTCAAGATGCCAGCACCCTTCCGCACAAACAGCCTCACGACCGGCACGCTGATGGGGCCGAATCGCGTCGTGGTTCCGCCGTTTGTGTGGGCTGAGGAGGGTGGCAAGTCACTGGTTAGCATAAGCTTTCTGGGGTCCGAGCTGTGTGGATACCCCGGGATTGTACATGGTGGGATATTGGCCACGATGCTGGATGAGGGGCTGGCGAAGTGCTGTTTGGCGGCGCTGCCGCACAATGTGGGCATGACGGCAAACTTGAACATCAACTATAAAGCCCCAGCCATGGCTGAATCATATGTCGTCCTTCGAGCGACAACGACGAAAGTCGACGGGCGCAAGGCGTGGGTAGAGGGCCGTATCGAGACTTTGGTGCCGGAAGGCGAGACGCCTGTGGTACTTGCTGATGCGACGGCGTTGTTTATAAGTCCTAGGCAGGCTGCGGTAAGTTGTACCACTCAAGGAGGTGAAATTGGGTACTAATGTGGTCATAGATGATGGCGAATGTATACCCCACCACCTAGAGCGCAAACTTGATAATACTTCATTCTACACGAAATTTCCCAGCACTGGCAAAAATTAGAGAAGTTAGACTGGCTCTAGAAGCATAGAATTTGGTCATTATTCTACATACGATACAGAGCTGGGTGTTGATGGTGAAGAGAAATACGGCTGGGTGCGCGAAATCCGTTTAACGCCTGGAGTCTGGGTTTCTATGCCCATGCCTTGTACCACTTAGGAGGTCATGATGCTCAGGCTGGGTCACTGATTGTCAAAATACACCATTCAGACGAAACAAGCACGGTGACTGACTGCTGGTATGGTGGGGTTGGCATTTTTCTTACGAGTGCGTTAAGACAAACCAAGCCCGTGGAATTAAACAGCTTGGGCGGTTTCTAATGAAGGTCGAATGAGTTTGTTCGTTTCAACAACGAAGACTCGACCAAAATCCTCACTAGATGCACCATTTACTTAGTTGTCCTCAACTTCAACCTCGAGTCCGTACTCAACTCAGTCTTCTGCGAAGCCATGCTCAACCCCAATTGGCCGCCTCACCCAGACAGCCCCACGAATTGCAGAAATTCATAATATTACGTCATCCCTGCTTAGTCCGCGCAAGCATGTGGAGAAGAAGTATGCGTATATACCAACTCTGCTATGTGGTTCCGCTCGCCTGCGGTGATATCCCCTTCCCGCTACGTAGATCCCTGAGAAGTATATGCCGCGTCGACAGTCGGTGCTATAATTTCCGGAGCAAATAGGAGTTGTCCTCTTTTACGACTACACACGCACACACAAGCAGGTGTATATACTCATTATATTCACTTTAGTTCCAAGTATATATCCTCTTCTACTCTACCAGTTTCTATTTTTCAAGTCAATTGGAAATCTATAGCTTATCAAAATGGCAACGTGAGTCGCAAAACCCGAAAAATCTACCCCTCCATCAAGTTGGACCCACCACCGTGGTCAACCTGCCCGCAGTCGATATCCAGAAGTTCTGACAATGATAAAAACAGCAACATCACCTGGCACCCATCCCTCTCGCGCTCAGAGCGCAACAAGTTCCGCGGCCAACGCGGCCTGACCATCTGGTTTACGGGCCTGTCGGCTTCGGGCAAGTCGACCGTCGCCACGGCGCTCGAGCAGCACCTGCTGCACCTGGGCCTGTCGGCGTACCGGCTGGATGGCGACAATGTGCGGTTCGGGCTGAATAAGGACCTGGGGTTTTCGGAGAAGGACCGAAACGAGAATATTCGTCGCATTGCTGAGGTATGTCATTGTTGACTGTCTGTCGTCACTGCTGGAGTTCCGGTCAGGGATTCCTTTAAAAACAACACATCAAGGGGAGGCGGGGAGGAACACATTGGAGAACAGCGGGAGAAGAAAAGGGAGCAGAAAAAGGATAATGATGACTAACACCGCGAAACAGGTAGCCAAGCTGTTCGCGGACTCCTCCACGATTGCCCTAACCTCCTTCATCTCGCCCTACCGAGCGGACCGGCAAACGGCTCGCGAACTGCATGCCTCTTCGGCCTCTGCAGAGGGCGACGAAGCCATCCCCTTCATCGAAGTCTACGTCGACGTGCCCATTTCCGTGGCGGAGCAGCGCGACCCGAAGGGCCTGTACAAGAAGGCGCGTGCGGGCGAGATCAAGGAGTTCACGGGCATCAGTGCGCCATACGAGGCGCCTGAGAATCCCGAGATCACTATTAAGACGCATGAGAAGAGCGTTGAGGAATGCGTGGCGCAGATTTTGGAGTGGTTGCAGGAGAAGGGGTATGTTACGCTTAAGAAATAGTCGTCGATCAACGACATTGTGAATGTCAAAGGACATGAAAAGAAAGGGAGCATTGGGAATGTAGATAAAAGGTAACGGAGAACTGGTCGGAGACTAGGAGTCAATGGACTGGTCATTTACCCTACGAAACGTTTCATCAACGTGCATGTAACGCTGCGAGGCTACTCACACCTGGATATATGCTACCAACCCTAACATCATTCCACGGTCTGCAACTTGAACCTTGTCTACAATTCAAACTCGTACCACACGAACGCCGTATACTCGTTGCCCTCGCCATGTGCCATACCAGCCGCTGCCATCTCGGACGATAATGCCGCATCGTCCTTGACATTATTTCCCTTCTTGTCCTTCCCGAACGCATTCCCGCCCAGGTGTCCAAACTTCTTGTCGAGATTCGTCTTGACCTTCTCACTGAGCTTTGGTTTCGTCGCCGTCAGCGCGCTGATGAACTCCAGCGGCAGCCCGTATCGGAGCACCGTCTCGACGAATACCCGCAGCGTCAGCACGTGGGCCCAGATCATGGCGCTTTCGCTCCAGCCGGTCCTACTCAACCGCAGAGCCTCGCCCCACACCTTCTTCTCCTCGCGGCCCACGCGGTCCAGCTCCTTCTGCTCTTCCTCCTTGCCCCCTTCGACGTACTTGTATGACCGCGGCGTCCACTTGGCCTCGCGCGCCTTCTGCAGGAACTCGGGGCTATGCTTCTTAAACGTCGTAACGGCGTATAGGGTGAACTCATCGTCCTGGGCGACTTGCATGGCGGAACGCGGCACCACCATGGGCGCCAGGCTCTCGTAGCTTTGCAAGAACTCCTTCTTCACGTTGGTAGGCACGACGATAAGGTGCGTCTCGAGATATTCCGAGTCTTGGACCAGTATTGAGGGGTCGACGATGGGGGTGAGGGACTTGGTGGCCAGGTTTCCGGTTTGCTTGCGCTGAAGAGCGGCATAGCTCGTCTTGATCTGGTTGTACTGGTTCAACTTCGCCTTGATGTCGTTGTCGATCGTGGCGAGTTCCTTTTGTAAGTTGTCCACGAGCTCGCCGATGGGCTTGTCGGCTCGGTAGCGCACCTTGTTCCAGTTAAACGTGCGGAGGTACTGGTCGGTCGGTTCTGTGAGGCTGGTGAGGGTTTGTAGGAATACTTCAGCGGTGAAGCGACATACTATCATTGACCAGCTTATACTGGGCGATCTTCTCCTGGTCGTCGTCGTTTAATGTGCGCAGCGCATCGCCGACCTTGCTCACCAGCCCCTCGCATGCTGAGTTGAGCTTGCCCAGGTTTTCGGCTTGTTGGTAGAGGGCATCCAGGGTGCCTATCTTAAAGTCTGGAATTGAGAAGGGAACGACTTCGCCATTGCTGGATTCGATAGTCTTCTGAAGGGCTTCCAGGGCCTCTTCTTTGTCGCCCGAATCGAAGGCGTTGAGAGGCAGCGACACCAGGCAGTATTTGTTCGGTGTGGGAGCCATCGTAACGCACCAAACCGGCACAGTTGGAGGATATCGTTTAGGAGAACTTGTCGGTAGTAGGAAATGTCGTAGGCTGAAGTTCAGAGCTTTGTTAATAAGGTGGAATCTATCCGGAGTATTTTGAAGCTCGAGCCAAGAACCAGACGTCAGATCAACCTGGGGAGCTGCGATCCTTGGTCGTCGCAAATGCTGGTAGGCTAGGAAGCTTCAAGCTCTAGCCCCACTTTGCTCCAATAGATAGCCTTGCTGCTCGTAGCTTGTGAGTCGACTTACAGCAACTGTCGTATTTGAGTATCAACTCAGATGCTTGAGACAAGATTGGCCTTTGGATTTAAGGGTTGTGTCTAAGCCTTCCATTATAATGAAAAGACTCGCCTCTAGATGCTTGCTTCGGTTTCAAAGGTTGTCTGTTCTTGAGATTGCTCCCCACCAGCGAGTAATGGCAGAGCCAGGAAGAAGTTGAGCTTCCAAATGCCGACTATCTTCGCCAACCAGGTAAGGGTACTGGTACTTCAACTTACACCTGCACATCATCCATGCATCTTGTGCACCCTGTTCTTACTTAATTTGATAGCCTGCCTAACTATTGCTGGTCTTGCTTCCATGAGGAACGAAACTATGGGCCAGGTGGCATATCCAAAGGAATAACTGCTTGGAACTGAAGAACTTGGATACCATATTGTGACTCAATTCCTGAATTTTGGATCACCTGGCAGTAAAACAAGGGCCTAATCTTTAATTAATAAGAAGTTAGTCGAAGGACGAGCGGTACATAGAAGTAAAGGTATCTAACGTACAACCCCACCTTTCTGGCCACCCACCTTTCTGGCCACCCACCTTTCTGGCCACCCACCTTTCTGGCCACATATTGCAATCCAATTGAAGGTATTCGAAACAGTGTATTCAACGTACTATTATAGCTATTCAGGTACAACCAGCTCTAATAGAAAACTGTGCTCTAGGGCTTCCTGAGGTATAGATCTGATAGATTCTGACGCCTTAGCTGGGTCCAGTATTACCTGATTCCGACGTTGTACCTGGTCTCGTTGCCGTTCTACTTCAAGGGCTCGATCCATCGCTTCCTTAATCTGTACAATGTTACCAAATCGTTCATTAGGCCCTAATCGTACCTTCTTACGTGGTTTGGGGCGTAACGAAGTGATCTCGGCTTCTAATGCGTGTACATGTTGGGTCAAAGTAGCGACCTCGACGCTCTGTACATCTAGCCGACGAGTCAGCTTCCGAAACAATAGCCGTTGCGACGATCGCAATGGCGTAACCGCTGCCAGACTCTCCCTAGCTACTAAGCTAGTCACTGGCGTCGCTATTATTGTCGGATCAAGCCAATTACTAGCTGTTGGTGGTGTAGTTGGTCGTTCTGATAAGGGGGGCTATCATCGGCTGAGGTCGCGATGGATCCAATGGGTATATTCCAGTTGCAGAGAAGCCTGATTGTATATTACTGATCGTGAACGACTTCGTATATGCCTCGATGTATAGCGAGAGGAACGTCGACTTTTTAAATGGAATAGAACAGTACTCGATCGAGAGAGGTCGCTAACGAGCGATAGTACCGCTTTAATGGAGCAAATACGGCGACGTCGAGAGGTTGGAGCCCGTGAGAACAGTGTGCTGGCAAAAATAGTAACGAGATCTTGTTACAATAGGCTAACCACATAAACTCGACGTTGTCGTGAGCGATATGACCATCTAATATCAAGAGCTGCTGCTCGAGGTATAAATATATCACGAAGCCATCGAACGGCGATATCTGTACTGATCCAACCGTTAGACGAATAAGTATGTTGCCAATCAGGTATATCGTCGCAATCGTTAAACCATTGGGCTTGGAGGCTCTTGCCAGTATATATTACTGCTGGGGTCAACGAGTTACCCATCGCCGATATAGCATGTAATATAGTGACCTATTCGCGGCTTTCGTCACTCCGAACGAATGTTGTATGTTTCTCTGACGATCCGTACACTATACCCTCGATCCCTTCGCCAATCGCGATGCCTGTTTCGTCCATATTCCAGACGTTATGTGGAAAGTAGTCGTGAGCTGACATCAAGGCTTCGTACGTCTCGAAGAAATGTCGGTATTCTGCGTCGATAGGCCATCAAATCGCTGACGGTCGAGGCGTCGAGATTGGATACTTCCGAGCTCTGGATGGCGTTGAATAAAGCGATGAACCCAATGGCGACCGAGGCCCTCTGATCGACGATCCTGAGGTAACAGAATCAACGCCATCTTAGCGATGAATAGCGCCGACGGGCTACGACCCTCGCGATCCATTTCGAGAATCCATCCAATCGGCGCGTCTTCCTGATCCCTAGATAGCTTCATCGACGCGATTGACGCGTCAGAATGGCTGAGGCCATCGCCGAGTCGTAATTGGAGGGTAGAGCATGGAACGCCCCATCGGAGGGAAGCCTGGCGCTGGATATCCCTTGATTGATATCGTTGAGAGCGCCTTGAATCGAATTTTCTGAATATCGAGGCATTGTATAATAATAGCCAATACCAACGACAATCTGTTGTGCCGAAGGTTATTGTAGTTGGCAGATTAGGTGGCCATAAAGGTGGGTGGCCATAAAGGTGGGGTTGTACGTTATTCTGTACATCCAAATTCATTAGTACCAGCGCAATCAGTATCCCAACTACTACAATGCTTGGAAATTCGGCAGGTCAAAAAGTACAAATTCGTCAGTCGCATCAGACAAAGTTAGAAACACAGCGACAATCAGAGTCACTGGAATACGACAAGAATTAAAGGCAGACATTTATTGTCTCGAAGAATTAGTATCAGAGTGAGTTGCGCCGTGTTACTACATGTATGATGCCTTCGAAACTTCTAATATGGACTTGATGCGCCAGCCACCTCTTCGTGTAGCCAACCTTGCCAGTTGCAACCTCGACCTAACCGAATTTAGACGATGCATTGTGACCCTTCCTTCCCAAAGTCGACGTGGAAATCCAACCGCCGCCGCTTTGGAAGTCGGCGTCTTGGTTGATTGAGGTGCAGACCTTCCACTAATGCAGTTGTACAAATTCCAGTGTTCAATTGCTCTCTCAGTTCAGCACCTTGTTCGCGGGTCGAATCTTCTACCTCCGATCTCCTACAGCACCTTTTTCGGCACCCGCACGAAGCAAGCATCTCCACTGATTGTCGTGATACCAACTAGACCTCTCGTGTTTGTCGCGATACGCCCGCATCGTCGACCTCACTTATCTTTTGCGACCACAACATCCGTTCTTCTTCGCCGTCATTCGGCTTCCGTAAATTTCGCAACGGTCAAGTCCGGCTGCAGCTCGTACACCCGATTCTCGTTGCGCGGCATCTACACTCGTTCGGTCCCTGCTTCGATTACTTCAGAATAAAACAACGACCGCGCGTAGGCACACTCGACTTATGTGATGCCTCCCTAGACTGATTATCATCATCCTTCGTCGCTGGATTATTGGAAATATGTCACATTGAAAGGACGCGCCTACTGGAAAACAAACATCCCATCGCTGGCTGGGAAGTCGCACAAAGTCCAGCCCTTTACGGCTATGACCGTAGCAGCTGGGACCAATGGCTACAGTTTCTGGTGAGAAAGACCCTTTCAGCCATTTTTCAGTACCGCACCTACGTTCAAGTGCAGAAAGGACACACCGTCGCGGGACTTGACAAAATAGTTATGATTGGATATGGAAGCTGACGCGACCATGTCAGGCCCACAGCAAGCCAGCGCGGCGGCCGCATCCAGTAACGGGCCATCTGTATCGGATCCGACAGCACCATCGTCTTCGTCCGCTGTCCCTTCGGGCCACGACGGCATTGCGCAAAATGGAGTCTCCCACTCCATGTCGGGCACACCAGACGCTGTTACCCACCCGGGGCTGCGCATGGCAACGAGCAATGCTGCCCACAGGGACGGCCGAGTACGAAATCCCATCCCTAGCAAGCTGAAGGGAAAGACGGACGAGAACAAAGGCAACTTCAATGTCATGCACATGGATATCTCTCATGTAGCCGAGAGCCAAGCGAGATATGATGCCGCGAAACGCAACAGTGAAAGCGTCGCTCTTCAAGCCAAGATGGCCGAGACTGATCATTATGTATCCCACCATAGAAGAGCCAACTATCAACGCCCCCGTCCTCTGGGAAGATCCCAAGTAGCTGCCGCTGCCGCTGCTGCCGTTGCCGCGGGCCGAGATTCACCAGAGCCTCAGCAAGATCCCCCTCCAATTCCGCGGTCTCGCATACCCCTCACGGCGGAGGAGGCCAAGATGGAGCAAGCGCGTCTGTTGACTCTTCTTCGTGGCCTGAACCCACTTGACGTAGTGAACCAGATTTGCAAGGCATTGGCCTATTTTGGTGGTGTACCCGAGGCTCCTCCGCCACCAGATGGAAATTTCCCCGAAAGCGCTGAGGCGAACGGCTCTGGCTCGTTGTTTGTGGGCTGGATTGCCGAGATATTTCCTGATCTTGACCGACCTCGTCCACGGCCTGCGCCAGTATTGAGGCTGGCTGATCCACCGAAGCGCCCCAGAGGCCGGCCAAAGGGGAGCAAGGCTTCCAAAATACGGAGAGACAAGGGCATCAAGAAGGGCTCCAAGGCCCATGGGCAAGGTGCTGCTGCGGCAGACCGAGGCGAAGACGATCAGCACGGCCCCGAAGAAAGCTGGGTTGATGTGGATGACACCATGATGGAGGTGGACGAAGACGGGGATGCTGCTGATGCCGTCGAGAGACGGGTGCTTATCCTACTAAACAAAACGCCTCCCCGAACGACTGATTCTGGAGCCGCTAACGTGACCCCGGCCACAGGCTCAACAACCGGTTTCACATCTATCAATAATACTATTGCCGAAGCTTCATCAGCTTCAAAACGCCGTGGTCGACCGAAAGGCTCCAAGAACAAACCGAAGGACTCCCGTTCTCGGCAGATCCCTCAGCAGACCCAAGCGCCCCCCATAGCAAATAGCGTTCAGTCTCCAGCTCCAGCGCCGGTTATGGAAACTCCAGCCCCATCAGCAGCAGACGGACAGGCGAAAAAGAAGACCAATGCAGGACGACCCAAGGGCTCCAAGAACCGGTCCAAAGGAGCCGCTGATGGCTTAACTCCACAGACGTCGGTCGCAACGCCCCAGCTGCCAGCTGGAACACAACCTCCTACCAGCACGTCGTACATCCCACCACCAACTTTTCAGTCCAATACAGTGAACCCTTCTCAGAGCTCGGCAGCTAGTGGAACTGCTTCTGCTAAGAATAGGCGCACACAGCTGCCGGCTCAGTCGGCCCCTCCTGTCAACCCCGTTCTCAACCAGTCAACTACTACGCCGCAGGTCAAAGAGTCCTCGGTCGTCGGAGCAAAACGGAAGCGTCAGAGTAATAAGGTTGCGGGGCCTCTTTCCAATGGAGACGGGCTTGCCAGCTCGGCAGCTGCTACGTCGTCGGCACAGCAACTTCCCACGGCATCGCCAATGATCAATCCTAGCCCTGTTGTGACTCAAGCGAATGAGTCTGAGAACTCTTGGGACGCAAATGGTACAGCTGCTCCTGCGGCAAAACGTACGCGTAAGTCGAATTCGACGGTCTCGAAGCGTCAGAGCATCGTAGGCAACGATGGGCCCGCGGCAGGAGGCAGCAGTGAGCCAACAGAGCTCTCAAGCCCCACGTCTGCGACTACCCAGAACCACACCGCTGCGGATGGATTAGACGCCCATCTCGAGCGATTCACTGCCATGGCCCAAAGTAATCGAAATCACATGTACGGGAATCGTCCGCCGGTAACGAACTCGACTAGCCAAATAGCATCTTCGGCACCACCTGCCGAAGGCCTTAGGGCGCATTATGAGCATTTCGCACATCTGCAGAATACACAGCAGAACACGAACCAAAACAATAGCGCTCGCCAACACCAACAACAACAAACAGGCCAGATCGCATCCCCCACACCATTACAACTGTCCAAGTCTTCTACGCTATCGTCGCAGCAGCAACAGAGACCTACGTCGAACTACTACACCCAGAATCAGGCTTCATCATATACCGCACAGCAAGGTTCCGCCTACCATACGAATCAACGCATGAGTTCCGGTTCACCTGCGACTACTCTCGTATCGCACGTGGCACACTCACCACAGTTCGGTGCGCAGAGCAGCAACTCGCCCCTGATGGGTACAGACACATCCTCATTCCGTGGCTCGCCCTTGCAGGGGATTCCTGGGCATACAAATCAATCTTTTGCACCGCGGCGGACTCCCTCCGCTTCTCCAATGGACAACGCGAATTACCGCCAAGCCGGGAACGTTTCGACCCAGTCCCCACATTTCGGCTCAAACAATACTCGACAACCGGCAAACAGCTCACATGCTGGAGTGGCTTCAGGCTTTCCATCATTCTCTGATCCGAGCTTCCTAGATATTGATGGGCTCGGAAATTCGGCTAGTGGCCACGGCGGCATGGGATTGAACAACACGGGCTACAATCTAGGAAGTACGGGCACGACACAACGGTCGGGTAGTAGTAATACGGGTGTCGGTTCTACGTACGGCACTACTGCGATGAACCGAGGGTATCGCGGCCAAAATCAATGGTCTTGAGATGTGAGCCCATTCGTTCAGCCAGGTAGCGTCTTTACTCGGCCTGACGTGATGGTTACGAGCGAAACCTCGGATGATTTCATTTCACGAGCTCAATGACGGCGTTTAGGGATATATGGAAAGCGGTCAATTGGCCGCAGGCGTTGCATGACATTTTCATCTTCAGGGCAAGCGTGGTCTTGTCCCCATATGTATGTGCTGGCATTTGATTTTCTTTTGATAAAGTCGGTTCATCATAATCATCATCATCATTGCGTTGCTACGTGGTTACGAATATGAGACTTCGAGGATGGCGGCGTAGCGAAAAAAGAAGAGGGGCTTGATTTCGTCTTGGCTTTTCCTTACGGACATCTCTTGAAGACTGAGGAGGTTTCTGCTCTAACTGAGGACAGCCTGTATGACTCAGCATTTTTTTTCGCTCACGAAGAGTTCGAGTTGGCTGCGGGCTGGATGTCTGAGATATACCAGAGAGTTTGCATTTTTCTTTTTGCTACTTTGGCTTCATTTCGGGCCGTTTGAGTAAGGGTAGTTACGAAATACATGAACAGATCAGACAGACAGGTACTGGCAGGTTCCTGGCTGAATCAAAAGTTGCTGCCTTGGGCACCTGGTTGTATGCTGGCGCATGTTTGGAGAATGCCCACTGAAACTGAGAAAGTGTTCTTTTCATGAGGATGATACAGATGTCGGAATCGGCGTACATTGGGATTCGGAAGCTGTCAGCAAGGTGCCTTCACAACTGGCGTTCGATCATGAAGCCATTTTCCCAAAGCCCTGAATAAACCATGAACCCGCGTCCATTACAGAACTTAAGGGGCGCGGTTTCGAATGGCAGCATCTTAAATTCCAGGCTGTTAAACCGTAACTCCATTACCTTCCTTCGTTGTCCTCGTCCTCTTCGTTAGGGGCTAATAAATACCGGCAATTATAGGAAAGCCTACTCAAACCTCTAGTCAACTTACAATTGCCACTGAGCTCCGATAAGATAAACCCAAGATCCGCAATGACGACTACTCCATCTCACATGCGACCATCGTCTGACAACGATTTGCGTAGTCAACACTGCCAGCAACTTGGGGGGGCATACGAAATCATCAACTTGTGACTCCTGTACTCTCCTCTACTCATCCAAAATGTACAGCCCAACACCGCCCCCTCCAGTGCCGCCACCCAAACCTAGCAGTCACGATTCAAGCCGTTTGGGGACGCCAGCGGTTTCGCAGTCACCACTGAGGCCCCCATTTCAGGGCGATGGCCTCAACGGACATGAAGGGAAGGGTAAAGGTGTCGCTTTCGATTCATCAGGCTTGATCCCAGCACAGGCAAGACAGAGTCAACAACCGCAGGAGATCCCAGACCCAGGCGAGCAATGGCTCCCCAAATTTCTTGAGGACAAGTCGTGAGCCCGCACCTCTCGTACTCTTTTGCGCGCGTCTATACCTGGCTTTGATGATTTATCGTTTATACTAATACATACACTACTTGATAGGAAACAAGACCTCGCCGATCTCCTAAGCAACCCCTCCCTCCTCAACGCCGTCACCCACTCCCTATCCACCATCCACCCCTCTCTCTCAGCAACCCACGAAGCCCTCCTCGCCTCCCTAAACGAAAATATCAACCTTGCACACCACCTCGTGGAGCTCGAACAGCACTTCGCGCACCAACGCTCCCAGACCCAAGCGCAGCTCCTCTCAACGCACGCGCTCGAGCGGCAGTGGCGCCAGAAACAATCCGAAATGGACCATGCGCTAGCCCCCTTTGCGCCGGCTTCGCTGTACCAGCGGCTGACGCAAGGGTTGCAGGAGCAGGAGATGGTGTGCGCGGCTATGGAGGAGAGCTTTTTGGAGGGGGACGGGAGTGGGGAGCCCGCGACGGAACGGGAGGCTGGGGATTGGGTCAGACGGTATCGGGAGGCGAGGAAGGTGTGTTATTTAAGGCAGGAGAGGAAGGAGAGGTGGAATGAGAGGAGGGTTGGGGGGTGGCGGTGAGGACGAGGCAGTGGTTTCTGTCAGCTTGTCTGGGAAAGGAAAGCAAAAGCCGTTGAATGAATGGACAGGCAGCTGTGGGAAGAGCTGTTTGGTTGAATATGAGGGATATCATGCTGCATTGTCGTCGCTGAAGCCCCAGCTGGATTTGAGGGTTCAATGAGAGCTGTCCAAGGTCCTGCAGGCAAAAGAGCTACGCCACGAATCCGCCTATACAACGCGACTTGTCTAATACCGGGAACAAACATGGAATGCTGCTCGTCTTGCCAAAGCGCAGCAAGACTATCTGTATGCGTAATACACGTTAAATCCGACGAATCAAATCCATACACACGCACAGTTCATCCCAGTGCGTGCTTGATGAGAACGAACGGAATTATTTCCTCGGCTACGCGGCGTACTGATACTGGGTGACAGGATGATGTGCAGGATGTGTGCTTTGTTGGATTCGGACCGATTATTGTCTCCTGGTAGGATTGGATGGGCAGCAGCACGCACTCCCGCCGCGACGACCACACGCATCTCCGCGGTTAGGAATGTTTCAGGCACGACCATACGTCCTGATTGGGTTTGGCGGTGGGCTTGGAACCTTAATACGAAATAGGCGTATAGTACCTACTCTGCATGTACCGACATGAGAATTCTCATATATAGTTTGTTGTTGTGTTGTTCTGTGTCTACGAGCACAACCATCCAATCCGTCCATACGCCAAGTTATGGCTCGCCCCAACAAAACTGGGAGATGCTCCTTGTTTCCAGGATTTGTCTTGTCTCCAGAGTCCTCGTGTACATTTCCGGGCTGGGGATTTCGATACTTCTGCAGGTCTATGATAATGGATGGATCAAGACGCATCTATTAACCAAACGGCTGACCGGCCTTCAGGTTTTGCGCAGGACACAGTATATCCAGTTCGGATGGCACCGCCACACCATCATTATAAGATGAAACCTCGTTCTCAAGTTTCATCCCGCTCATTGGAATCCGATATAGACCCCAGGGCACAATTCCTTCTACTCCTGTTCGCCTCTCACTCCTTCCGGAATAACCTTATCTTACCACTACCCCAACCCCCCACCACATTCCCCGACTTTATCCAGTCTATAAGAAGCTAAAAGGACTTTTCTTCATCTCAGGACTCCTCGGACTCATAGGCAGCGCAAAGAAATCCTCGTCATCATTCTCCTTGTTTCCGCCCCCGGTGTTTCCCGGAATCCCCGCTCCCACGCCCGGTTTACTGTCGACAATGGCGTTCAGCGACGCGACGCCCGGCCCGGCGGCATTGGCGTTGATCTTCGAAGCGATTGTAGCCTGCGAGAAGGCAGAGCACGAGGGGACTGCGATGTCGCTCGCGTCCGGGGATAAAGAGTATAGGTGGTGATGGTTGTGGGAAATCATGGCTGCAGAGAGAAAAAGAGAGAGGCTCAGCGTGAGAAACAACATGCATAGGATATCGAGAAACATATATAGGTTTAGGGAAGTTTCAAACTTACTAGGAGAACGCGCCAAGTCCGTCGGACTTGTTGCCAACTTGAGGCCCCTCAGCTTCTCCCCCAGCCTTCCTCCCACAGGCGACCTAGGACTCTGCGGCGTGGGCGGCACATCAACCAGCGGCGGCGGCCTCGGCCCCGAGGCAGCAGCATCGTCTGGATCAACGAGGCCAAAGTGATCAATGATCCACTGCCGCTCCTGCACCACCATCTCCAGCCCAATGCCCTCGCTGTTCACTTCCATCTCGCGGCGGATCTCCTCCTGCAGCTGCGACAGCCGCTTCTTCGCCCAGATGGTGTGCAGCACGCCCCGCTTGCCGGTATCCGTCTTGGTGTCGAGCCCGAGCGCAGGCGCAAAGATGGCCGGCATTGGTTTCGTGCTTAGCGAGCGGCCTGAGGGAGGAGGCTGCGAGATGCTGATGGAGGCGGGTATCGGCACGTCGGCCGGTATAAGGAAGTAGACGCGCTGCGTCGCGTTTTGGTTGTCTTTCTCACTGAGGGAGAAGGTTGTTTTCTTGCCTTCCCATGATACCTCCCATCCTTGGTCCGAATTTTGTTGTTCATTTTCTGCTGTCGAGGTACTACTGCCATTGCTCTCTGCCGCTGGATTCCACTCCACCATAAGGATCTTGGTACCCTCATTGCCCTTGCCCGTCTCAAACTCGAAGCGTGCCAGGGCATTCTGCGAGGACGGCGTCGCCGGTGAGTCCACGGGCCCTAGGTGCTCCGATATAGGGGACTGCTCCGTCTCCGGGATCTTGAGGGCTGGCGCGCGGGGCGCAGTCTGCGAAGCCATAGTTGCGTCTGTCCGTCCGTCTGTCCGTCCGTCCGTCCGTCTGCGCCCTTACAGGAATATACAGAGGCAAGCGAGAGCAGCAGACCGGAAGCGGGAAAGGGAAGGGAGGTTGCAGCTTAGTTAGCTAACTAGCTACCTTAGCTTAGCTCTTGCGTGCTTTCTACTGCTGCTGAGCCGCACGCCTGGTGAGGGGGACGGACTAGAGACGCACAAACTGCTTCTGCGCCGGGATGCGACCCTGGATAGATGTGGTCTAGATGATGTGATGTAAGGGGCAGTGCAGCGGGCCACACAACAACAAAGAACGCGGGGTTTGTGGGTTTCGTTTGAGAGTCAGTAGTAACCCTGAGGGGAACAAGTGAGCCAGACAGATAGTAGAAGCGGGAAAAGGCGAGGCAAGGCGAGACGTATGAATAGGGCCTCGACGACGATTGGGGGCTTGCCGTTGAATTTGGATGTGTATGTATATGTGTGTGTGTGTGTGTATGTGTGCGGGCGTGCTGGTGCTGTTGAATGTACACCGGGTAATATCGCCCCAGGAAACAAGTTAACTAACCACAACCGTATTCGAATTCGTCCTTCAGCGGGTTGTCCGAAGATAGAAGTGGTGAACTGCGTTGCTGCTGCTACTGTTGCTACTCTGACCGCAGATCGGATGCCCTGCGTACCATATGTGTGCGAATATATACGAGCAAAGCGACGTAAAAGCAGACCGACACGATGTGGGAAAGCGAAGCGGCGCCAGAGTCAGAACCGGGTACAGTCAGCAAGCAACGCGACACAAAAAATAAAAATAAGAAAGCACTGAGGGCCAACAGGGAGGATGGAGGAAGATGGATCCAACAAGGTGGAAAAGCGAAGCGCAATGGACGGGATCGGGATGGGATCGTCAGCCCGCAAGACCACAACGGCCGACAATCCCAGCACACTACAAGGGAGACGGGAGCTTTCACTATCTTAAAATTCGCATTATGTCAATCTAGAGCCCCTCCTACCTGCCCACGTTACCTATCAACTTACTCCTCCTAGTTCTAGTTACAGAGTAGGCCTGGCGCATCCGAAACGGAAAACATACAATGGAATTAGCAACGGCTCTTCTGCATGACTTTCCTAGCTGAAAAGGGGAGCCGCTCGACGGGGTTCCCTTGGCGTTGGTTGGTGCCTCATGATAATGACGAAGCGGTACGCGACATGGACTTTTGGTTACCGAAGAAATGCGACCTTGCGGTGCCGTGGGTGAGCAGAGTCGCGACGTAGCTTGCAGGTACAACGTTTTTCTCTTGAGACGCTCGGCGAGTGCAACCTTTCAACGACGAAGAGCGCATCGCGGGGGCCTATTTTTAGTAAATGTGGCAGACCTTAACATGCACGTCGGTAAGGGAAGAACTCTGCACTGCGGGCAGGCGGCGGGAGCCTTTGCCGCCAAACCCCCGAATTTTCCATTCCTCGCATGATGGGGATGGGTCGTGATCTTGTTTTGTTCTTACAAAACTACTCAAAATGTCCCAACTTGCCGAGGTTTAATTTGCCCAACTGATGAGCCTGGGTTGTGTCGTAAAAGTGTGCAAGTCGCATCTAATCAGGGTATACCTCCAGTGTTCTCTGGTGCGGCCTCTCCGGTATCGAACAACGTGCCTGTCTGTCTATAAAACTAACTGTCGGTCAGCACTATCCAACTTGCCGGTAGACGGGCGCAATTCGTCCGAACATCTTCAGATGGTGGTGCAGCCTTGGCGATGGCATGGGGCACAGATGCTAGGGCTAACGCGGGTTATTGTGTCACCCACTTCTATGTCAGTCAATCGACAACTGAAAATGGCAACATGGGCGACGAGAGGACATTCAAGTGATGTCACGGAGAGAACGGAGTGATCGGAGCGAGGCAACAATAACGTGTCCGTCGTGTCGGTGTTAGGCAGAGTTGTTGGAGAAGACTGGGAAACGGTTTCGAGGATCGACGACAGGTGCCGTGACTTGTTGACCCAAAAATGGCATGGAATTGGGGGCCACATTGCCAATTGATCTACCACCTGATATTTGGGTGGTGCCATACACGATACGCTTTTGCCTGCGTAACATGATGATCTGCCCCTCCGCCGTAAACCGCAGCGGCGGGCGGGCAGGGCTAGCTTGCAAAACCTGGTTACCGAACATGTTTCGGGCCGCCTACGAAGCCTAGTTCTCGAATACTCGCGATCATCGTGGTATGCTCTGCTTTCTAATTGACTGGAGCATGAAATGCAGTCAATCGGTGATACAGTTGCTCGCATCCCAGAGAATACTCATGCGGTCGCCTGCTTCGAGAAGACTTCAAGTAGCTCATCATAGGTACAGCAACAGAAGCGAGATTAGTGGAACGAAATCCAGGTGGAGAGTGAGCGGTAGATGGCCAACTTCTTGTCGGTTCGTCTCTAGGGTTCATGCTCAACGAGAACAGTTCTCGCGTGAGCAAAGATCGATACAAGGGACCACGAGTTCCTCCCACGGGAAGGACCGAATGCTTCGTTGTAGCAAATATGAAAGCATCTTCCTGGTGCAGGTGAACACATCGTGACCATGCGCTGAGTGCGTTGTGTAATAGCATGACTCGCTTGACTCATGAGAAGCCTCAGCTCGGGCTTTCTCCTCCACGGGCCCCATGTCGCTCCACCATTTCCCCAGATTCGAGAAGTTGCTCGCGGGCGGTGAACCCCCACATACCACTAGCGATTCCCATGACTGGATCGTCGCCTCGGGGGAAGGCGAACCGGGACGAAAGACTCTCTGCAGGCGGTGGAGTAGAAGGGCGTACGTAGAAGTCCCGATGCTCCGTGATCGAAGCCGCCCGCCAACATCATGAAAGCATGCAGAAGAAGGGGGAACAAACCTCTTCTACATTTTATGCTGCAACAGTGTGAGCAGCTGCAATGGCGCTTTGATGTGTTTGACCAAGACGACACGTTACAGCTAGGGTAGAGCTTCTAGATGCGCAATGTACGAGAACGCCAAACGCGGATCCCTCCTGAGCCCGGACATTTGGCCGAATATTGACCTTGGCCGGCTCTCTAAAGCGAAAAAACCCGAATGACGACGCGCCAAAGAGATCAGAGAAGCCAAGCGTAAAACTAAGAAGATGGCGGGTGGGTGATCAACCCCTCTTTATCTGATAACATGAGTTGTGGTATAGCTTGGGTCAGTTGTCTCGTGTTAATCTTCGGAGGCACGACGATGCGGCCTGGCAGGGGGACCCACCGGTGTGTCTGCCAAGAACTCTTCTCGAAGTCATGAATACATGAATAAGAATTTTCCGACGAAAGTGGTTTCCACGACAGCTGATAAGAGAGCGAATCAGAGACGCCACATTGGCCGTTCTCGATAAAGAGTCAAGACTCGCCGGAGTAGGGCCGGAGTCGACATGCTGGGTGGACATGGGTCCGCGGCGGCTCGTTTCGCGGGGATGTCATTTCAATTGGGCACCTACTCTATGGACAGTGTAGATTCTTCGGCGTTTGCAGGTTCGCAATGCAGACCATTGTGAGGGGAGAACGAGGCAACATGTGCACTTGCAAGTGTTACAAGCGCTTTCTCCGATGGATCGTGACAATGCGAGAATGGCTCAAATTGCCAGTAATTGCGTGTGAAGGCATGCCATGCACCAATGCGCGCCGGCTAAAGTGGTCTGGGAGGCGGCGCGCCGAGACAATAATACTGCCGAGCCCAGCGGCCATGTCGGCCAGATTGCACCACTGATCAGTGTGGGTCTACGCCGAACGCCTCCGTGAGCGATGGCGGAGGATCCGTAGGTTGTCTGTCACCTTGGACATTGGCGCTGGCCCCAACGTCATGTCTGCTTGCTTGCAGAACGCAGTATAGTGACTGAGGTATCGTGAGTTTTTGAGAACCATAGACCCAAGAGACGGAGATCTGAGTATCGCGGTCACAGATTCGTAGGGCAGACCCAGACAGGCTTAGGGCCTGGCTTGTTATGGTAGCACCGACACCAAATTGAGAAAAGAAACGACAAGTGCCGAAATCCGCGTGCAGATCCTGCCAGGAACAGATCCAGTTGGCATTATTTTAGCCGTATTCGCGGGCACCTGGGCAGACACTTCCGCGCAGGATATCCGGTAAGCACCAGCAGTCGTTAATAGCAGCCGCGAGTTGTCGTGATATCGTGCCGTTGACAACCAAGGTATGATACAATGATACAACGTAATCCCACGTAGCGTGCGGCAGTCTAGTTGACGGACGGATCCAACTCTCCTCACGTCTCACCTACGACCGCCGCGGCAGTGGGTATTCCTGTCAGATGCACTCAGAACCCAAGGAATCGGCCCTCCCGTCAAAACATTCGGTCAAACTTCCACCATGTCTCCAGCGTGACTGGATTTTCAGTGGATGTGGGAAAGATGGGGAGGATGTCTACGGTGCGTAATCCCCAAACCTTGCCGGCCATTTCCTCGGACGTTGCCGTTTGCTTTGACCAACAGTTGTGGAGGAGCATTTCCCAATGGTCAGGGAAGAACGCGGTAGAATCCTCTATGCTCATTCGCATACTCTCGTGTGGTGTCGTAAAGGGACCTTCAGCCGAGTCATGGCTCCGTAGCAGGCTAAATGGACGTCGTGACCTGCGCGTCCACAGATAGCTCATGCCTGCAAGGTGGAGTTGAGCGTGTAAGTGAAGGGTCAAGATAGCAACCGGGTAACGATGGTGTTGCTGCAGAGCACAAGCATGAGCACGAGAGAGATGGTCATCGATATATTCTGTATAGGGCGTGCAGCTCGCAGACCAAGCCTAAGCACATGGGGGTGCAGATGAGGTAACCCGAAAGTCAAACGTGCAGAATCGGCGGCTGCGACCTGTTTCAACATCTAGGTGAAGGCACCGAATGAGCATGGTTAGACATCGCCGTCTGATATTTTGCCGATTCAGTCAAGACCGGTTTTGGTTGCGTGTAAAATGGGGAAAAGCTCACCACAAGACCGTAAAGATTTGGAGGCGGGCCGATTCGAGGGACCAAGACAAGATGTGAATCAAAGTACCTTTTACCTTACCTTGCGGAAAGCCATGGCGGTAGCCCGATCGGACACCTGATGATACGACCACTTGAATGCAATGGAACTCTTAATGGACGGCGATGCAGTGGTAATAGTAATAGACTTGAGACTCGGCTGGGTGCTACTATGCGACAGCAAGCGAGGGGTAGAAGAGCTGCGAGAGGTGTAAATGCGCAGACCAGAAAGGGTAGATTGCAGCTTGGAGACTGGGCTTGATTGGATCGTTGGGTGCGTTGTGCCTGTGAGGCTTGAGCTCCACTATTACGCCGGCCAAACCGCCGCCGCAAGTGCAGTGGCTGCTCCGCAAGCCCAGAACCACCACCTGCAGCCATGATGAATGGTTTCCCACGAGAGTGTCCCCGAGTGGGCATGTTAGTGCATTTGCCGCCCAGGCGTACTTGGTCACCCTCCTTGCACCTTCGGACACCCCCAGACACCCCAGTCCATGTCCCGACGCCCTCTTTCCTGCTCCAGAAAGTTGAGAGATTCCAATGACATTGGGAGCGTCGGCGCGCTCATCAAGCCCGTCGCCGCCCACGCTGCCACAGGTACCCACCCTGGCCACTCCACGCTGTTACACCCCGTCCACACCCAGGCGCCTCTTCTTCATTCTCGGCCTCTTTCCCTTCTCTCCTCCAGACAACCCACCCGGATCTGTCCACCATTTGCGCTTGCACTTAAAAGTTGACGGTCGCCTCGCCCACCCCAAGAGTCAGTCTGGACTTGACTTCGGACCTTTTTTTTTTCCGCTACTGGGAGCGACGACCACTGCCACCAGCCAGATCCTTGGCTCTCTATTTACTCGCTCTCTACTTACTCTGTTCAATGCTCTCATTGCCTCTTCTAGTCGACTACTGCATTCGGTCATTATCTTGCTCAACCCGTGCATGTGCGTGTTGTGTGTGTCTGCTTTGTGTGTGTGTGTGCTGCTGCTGGCTGCGTACTGTTGAGTTGGTACTAACGTTACCATCTGCTCCATTTCGGTGCGTCAATCCAGTAGAGCTAATTCCTTCTCCCCTTTCACCATCCTCGGCCGCTCACCTCACTTTTGGCCCCCATAACCTCATCTTCCCCTTTCCTATTCTCGTGGCTTGCCCGACATTGACCGTCAAAGCTGGCTCAAGTGAGACTGTTTATTCTTGTAATTCCCAGTGGCATAAGGGATAGCAGCCGTCTCGTCAAACACCCCTTCATCGCCTGAGGCCACTCCCCCCCCCCCCCCCCGCCCCCTCCCTCAGTGGAACCACCACCCGAGCCAGAAATCGCAACTTTGCCCCCCGGCCAATTGTCGACGACCTAACCAGCAATCCGTGTACAGAGTGAGCTGCAACGAACAATTAGACAATCAGACAACACAGGCAAGCGACCGACGCCGGCTGTTATTTGAGACGAATAGGCGGGAGGACGAAGGAAACTTGGGGTCCGCCGCTAGGGTTGCCTTTCAACGATCCTATCGCCGAACCCCGACCAGAAATAAAACGAAGGAATTCAAAGGCTTTTCGAGGGTGCTGACGATCGTATTGGTGCAAGAGTCTGGGTACAAGCACGCTCGCTTTCCGTCGCTCTTTTTTCGACACATCGAAACCGACCTCTATCGTCCACAATTTCTCTATTAGCCCTATGTCTCAACATGCGCGATAGGCAGCCGACGACCGTTCCCGATCATTTCGACTTCCTGGGGTGCCCTGCTCTGTAGAGGACACAGCACAATTGCTGCCCGTCCTCCTCTCCGCACCCATGGATCCCCCTCACGTCACAGAGTTCGCCTCTCAGCGATACTTTGAGAAACTAAAGCAGTTATACGATGTGAAAGACCAGCCTCAAGCGGCTCAGTCTCATGATGGTTCACTTGTCGCCCAGCCCTCGACCTTTATTCTTCCCATTGGGAGACATCCAGAACACCAAAGCGATGCCGCCTTGAAAACCATAGAGAAAAAGCGAGGAAATTTCAGCTTTCGGTCCATACTTCCAACTCGGGGCTCTAGCGATCAGGACGCACGAAGGTCATCGACTGACGCTGGCAAGAAGAAGAGGTTGGTGAGATTTCCACGGTAGAGGCGTATACGAACTAACAACGGTGCTAGTCTGCCTTTTGACCAGCTCTTCTTAGCTCTCCCCAATGAATTAAAGATCCAGATCATTGCCTCGTTACCCTTATCTGACGTACTGACCCTGCGTTTGGCTTCGCGGTCGTGGCATGCCATGGTATCTCTGAATGAGCTGCCCATCGCTCGCTATCATCTTCAGCATCACGTTCCCGCTTACGCCGTCCGGCTCTATCCCACACCAGAGCTGTCCTCGATCAACTTCCATTACTTATGTGGAATCTGGCATCGACTGCATGTAGCTGCCAAATTGGCGTATCTGATCTGCGAGTGGATCACCAAGGGGATTTTCCTAAGGGTTACGGAGCAACAACGGCTGGAATTCGCACCTCAACGGGAGCGAATGCGCCGCCGTCTAATACCACTTTTATTTACAGTTTTCCATTTCTTCGAGACATACAGGAACCTCCACATCCAGTACATTGAGGAGCACGGTCACGGTCTGCTCAAAGAGCCATATACTGTTAACCCCATCGAGACGAAGATCATGAACATGTACGACGATCAGACTCTCCTGCAAGTCCATCAGGTCTTTCCCCTGGTGATATCCTCGTTCTGTCGACGATTGCGGCCGCCCTCCTATGTGGGTCGAGTGGAACGGTCGCTTCGAGGTTATTTGAAAGACAAGCCAGCGGATGACGTGTATGCGACGGCTCTCTGCGTGGGTGGACTGCGGCAGGTTGAGAGGTTCTGGGAGATCAAGGGGTACAACACACGAAGAGGTGCCGTTGATAATTGGTACCACTCCGTCACGAAGGAACCTATGGAATCTATGACGAAGCCACGTCGAGGCCTACTCGGGCTTACAAGGAAAAAGTCGAGTTTCAACATGAAAGATACAAAAGATGGCGCACACACCGAACCGTTACCGCCTCTGCCGACCAACCGAAGCAGGCTTGGGTCTGAAGGGGGTCGGCGGACGAGCGATGTGTCCATGTCCGGGACAACATGGGAAAGTCTGGTATTCGGTACCAGTCTTTCTGCCGGCATGCCGATGGGCCCACTTTCTCGAGAGCACCTCCGGCTAATAATACCCGATCTGCCCCCCTTGCAACAAATATGGCTACCCACGGCAGAAGCTCTTATTCTGGACAGGAATATTGTTCAACGGCCACAAGACATCAAGCGCAACGCACAAGTGATGTTGGAGCTGATTCGAGAGGATGGCACGGCCGAGGAGGACGAATGGTGGTACGGTCGGGGCGCACCCGAATCGGTACGGCCGCCACTGGAAGCTATCGAAGAGGACACCATCGAATAGGACACAACGTCCCACTTTCAGACATGGTGCAACGCACCTTCGCACCACAACACACTATACACTACTTCTACTTAAGGATACCACACATTACCACATCTTCAATCTACGGATCTTCGTGAGCAGCATTTACAGGAGTTCAGGGCTGACCGGATAAGGAGCCCCGGGAAAGGCGGGCGGCGAATGCAGGCGTTTCTTCCCCATTTGCTCCGGGTTTTCGGGACCCGGAGACCGAATTGATTTGCTTGATATCACAGGGCGCCCTTGCGTGCATTTTCTGGGGATTGGCGGCTTCAAGCCCTTTGTGTGGAAATGGAGGAAAGGAGTTCCTACCTGGGCTCGGGTATAGATATCAGCAGCAATACGTAGCTGGCCCCTCTTCTTTTGTATGTCATATCTCGCTGAGAGAAAAAAACAGAGACGAACCTTTGATATATTGTCGCAAACTTGTCTTGGATCATTATTTGGGTCCTCATGCGGGATGGCTTCTACGGCTATTTATGCTGATATTTGTTGATTTGGTTGGTGGGGTGAGTCGCTTTTAGTGCGGTCTGCTACGTGATCTCCAGGGCATGGTGTATCGGCGTTCCACGAACGAGTCAAGTTGTTGTGTAAGCATCTTCCACTAATGCCCAAAGCCCTTGAACTTGTATCATCTTCTTACGGATGCCTGATCGTGCAAGTCCGGTGCTTCGGAGAGAAAGGAGGGCAAGGTGAAGATGAACTGAGGGATAACGGCGGCGATCATGTCGCTGCGGGAGAAGAGGTAGAGGGTTCTTGACGTGGGCGAGATGCCACTTTAGAATTGGGAAGTCCTGCTCAGCAATACACGTGACGCCTGCCGACGAGTATAGGACAACTAGCCTCACCACTTTGACCTCGAACCAACGCATATTGCCGGGACTGCTCAATGTGCCAGAGACGTCGTGTGGAGCTGCTGTAGATGGACACGATATGGTTTTCGTGTACTATATGCGGCGTCGAGTCGGCCGTGTGATATGTCAGTATTCTATTACCTTCAACATCCCAAACTGGACCGCCATTCCCGCTGTTAAGATGAGTAATTGGAGTTCTCCAGGTATTCGCTACGTTATTGACGAGCACGACAAGTGGCATCGTAGTGACACTTCAGCTTCAAATATCGGTGGTATCTTGCAGGCCACCTTCGCGAAGTGTGTCATCCTGCCTGCAAAGCAAACCCTCTACCGGCGAGTCCCAATAATTGCCGGATAATAATATGGAAGAAAATAATGAATCGGCTTGATATCAATACCATCCTGGAAAAGGCTGGGGCGGACTTGAGTTTATTCAATGCTTACACGGCGGGCAAGATGGCAAATGCGGGTAATCCTCGTCCGCCGCGAGTGACGTCGGATCTAAGGTTTCGCACAGCAGTGTCAAATGCAGCTCCAGATTCACGCCGTACAAGTGAAGGAGGACCCCACTATCGACAGCAGACCTTACGTGGCCAATTCAGTGTCCGGCCAAGGGCGTGGGAGGCTGCAAAGAGTAGGAACAATTAACGCTTGGTTGCCGCGGCTCCGGAACCCGAGAAGTATAATGCCGGTTTCATAGTACTGGACAGTTCAGGTAAGTGCAGTTGGCCATATATCGAGAAGTTCCGACCCTGGTATGGCTACCCACTATATCTTCCACGAGATAGGGAGATGGAGACCAGGCAGTCGGGTCTAGAAAACGAAGCACTTTAATCTCGAAAATCAACATGTGACACTGCACCAGCAATACTTGAGTCTGGGTTCCACGCACACAAACACGGATACCAAGCAGTTCGTTCTGGGAATTGAGCAGTTGAGTCTCGAAAGGAAAATCAAGTTGCAGAAAGCCGAGGAGCACTTCTAAGTCAGCATCAGCACAACCACTATCGCTGACGACGACGACTTGAAAAGGCGGTTCAATCAGGAACTCGGCATGATGGAACTGGCGCTGCAGGGGATCAGTGCTCAGTTCGATTTGAAGATTCAGGGGCTGTGAGAGATGGCGGTGGCAAGCAGAAAGTCAAAGTCTTAACGCCATGAGGGACAGAGAAAGCGTAGGAAACAATTGGAATTGAGGCTTGGCCGGGCAGGCGAGGCAGTCAGGCCGACGGGGGTGGCATTTTCTGGCTCTGACTTTGTTGCGCGGCTCACAGAGACCAGCGCCAGGAAGCAATTCATCGCTGCCGTCCTCGTCCAGTGCTCGGCGGTTCGTAATCCTCTTTTGTGGACTGTTGGAAGGATCGAGGGAACGACAGCGGGCCGCTATACTCTCGCAGAGACCTCGCAACGACAACAGGAGAACCGATAGTTAGTTGGGCTATTGTAAGGCGGCTGCTAAAGACGGGTCGGACAGCTTCAGGGCCCGGATATCATCGATCTTCTCACATTATTCGTACCTGTTGAGGTACTTTTGTTGTCCAGTTGGTAGGTTGAGAACCAACGTAGTATGGTAGCGAATCGACCAAGCAGCGTATGTATTTAGTCCAGCCATTAGGGCACGGTTTGGTATACGGGAGCACGGGTAGAGGTCTGGGGGCTTCGAGCCTACGGCATATTTGATAATAATAATGTTTATCTCGATGCAACCTTGTTAGCAGAGACGACCCTTTTCCACGCCCAGTACGGAGATGGATAACTTGAATGAGCCATTCAGGATAACACCATCTCTGCTGTGGTGTACTCAGAGAGCTCAGAGGAAACCGAGGCCTAGGGTGACATTAGGCTGGTCATCGATGACAACACCGGATTGTGGCTCGGCCATCTCCATGGAATGGGCATGGAATCGAAAAAGGGAAGACGGAGGTGTAAGTACCTCTCAGTCACATCAACGAATCCGTCTTCTGCCAGCCTAGTTTTACAATGTCAGTCTTGACAATTCCAGCATGTGTACCAGAAATGACAGGTATAAAGGTCCTATCACCACCATTCAGACGTTTCACTCACCAGTCCTTTTACCTATGCGCAATCTTAATCTTCCCTCGCAAACGCCGCTGCCCCCTCGATCGTCATGCACATCCACCTATTCCCGTACTAGCCCACAGCAACTCGTCCGCATCGCCATCCTCTACAGATGTTCATTGCGAACAATCGGCCAAATACGACAACCCAGTCATTTTGATTCTACGATAATATCCGTACATACCACACTCTAATAGCCAAGGATAGGGACTGGCGAAGTGTAGGGGAAGCGTCCGGACTCCGGATGAAGTATAACTTGGAGCTAAGTTTGGGAAACTCCATGGGGTCTGGTATGAATACGTGACGTTGTCGCATTTGGCCTTCCCTACCATCACCATCGAGAAGTCCTGATACTCGACCCAACCCCCGGCTTCATATTTTCCGAGATTTTTCGCGCCATCCTCGCCCCTCGCGGAGACAAGTACACATGTTGCACAGGTGCACAAAATAAAAGCCGGGATCAAATGCCTCCCACCTATCCCCGTGCTCGGCATCCTCACGAACGAATGTGCAATTTTTCGACATGAAGACGAGAGCGGCTAGATCAGACTCAGGTCCATCCCGACGACGCAGGATGAAGGATAGCGCTGCACAAGTTCGATGGCCCAGACTCCCGTGCTGGTGCCGATGTCAAGGAGGTGGGCCGGCAATGCGTCATTTCCGTCTTCGTCTCTTGCGAGAATAGGCGCCATGTCAAATCTCCGTCCATGAGCATGTGACAGATCGAGGCGGTCCGGATCGGCTGCGTCGTTGGAGAGCAGTTACGCGCCCTAGCGGTAGCCATTCCATGTTCATCCTAGCTCCGAGACCGAGGTACGGTCAGGGATGGTGTAGCCGGTAGGTGTGCGGTGGGGACTATTGGGGGACAATGGTTCGGCGTTGTTGGACGAGGAGCCGGGTTTGATGCCTTGTTTTGATTCTGCCTGGCATTATGGGAGTGAATGTGCAAGTACTTGTGTAAGTACGCTGGGTGTTATGGCAGAGGAGAGGCGGGGGACTGTTCATATTCAACGCTAGCTTGGCTCCTCACTAAGTTAGTTACTTTTGCTGCTTTGGAAGTTGGCTAACGGATAGGGCACACGGTAAGGAATGTGAGAGATGAGCTGAGAGCGGGGTATGGGCGCTGGGTTGTGGCACGTTCTAACCACCTTGCATGTGTATGCAACCCCTTCTCAGCGAGGCAAGGTGCTATTGGCTACCAAGGGGTCGGATCCTAGGCCCGGTGAGGAATAGCCTCAAAGCCGCCGTGTGACGGAGTTATGCTTACTTTCGAACGTACGTCAAGTCGGATGTTATACTTGCCATGATTTTAACTCTTGGCTCTGCACTTAACGGTGCCTCTTTGAAGAGCACACGTCCAGATCTTTGGCATTTACGTGAATCTGCTTGTTTCTCGAATTATCTTTGGATAACCCACGGGATATGTTTGATGAAATGGATATGATTCTGCGTATAAGCATTCAAGTCATGCTAGTGGATGAGGATTTGACCGGTGCATAGAAGAATGAGGGAGCTAAGAAACAGAATCTCGTGGCAAGACTTGAAGCTCACTAAACCTAACTCACCAAGGCAATTAATTATTACAAACAATCCTCTGCTCACAACCGTGAACGCTGATCTCACTTCCTTAAACATGCCTCCTCCTGGCCCATTCAATCAAATACTCTCTCCCCTCCAACCGATACGTATCCTCCTCCACATAACTTCCCCCCTGCGCCTCCGTCTGCAAAACCAAATTCACCCCCTGTTCCCCTCGACTACCATAGATGGGCCACTCTGGCAAGTACAACCCATTCGGATTCCCCTCATACACAAAATTCACCCACTGCTCCCCCATCTGCTTACTCAAGGACTCATAATCCGACCACGGCCCAACATATTTCGGATTCCCAAACACAAACGCCACCTCACTAAAATGTGCAACCCCCTTATACGCTGGGGCAATCTCCCCGCTCAAATCGGTATACGTTTCATTCGTGCCATTGACAAATCCCCTCGTGTTAAATCTGTAGACATACGTCTCGTCCCCGTACTTGACGTAATTCCGCACGTCGAACAATCGAGGGGCGTGGTAGAATACATCGCCTAGTATGGCGGCGATGCGCTTGTATTGCCAGCCTTTGTCGGCGAAGCGTTCGGTGCCGGTGTTGAGGGGAATACCGACGGTGGGGTCGTCGGGGTAGAGGGTCATGATGTGGTCTATGACTGAGGGGGGAAAGTCAAAGCCGGTGGCTTGCTGGAGGTAGGTACGGAGGTCAGAGTCGGTGTTGATTATTCCGCCGGAGGGGGCGTTGTCGGTGCCTTCGTCAGAGTTGGTGCCGTACAGGTGCGGGATGTGGGCAAATTTGCCCGTGGAGAGGAGGATGCTGGGATAATTGGGTATGATATCGCCGTCCTGAGTGGGGGTGTGTAAGTTAAGGGGTGTCCGGAAGATTGAAGTAAGGTAGTATCAGATAGTGAGATCAGAAAAAAAGACAAGAAATGCTTACAACTGTGGGATAGAAACCTGGACCCTTTACTTTGGAGGATGCCATAAAGGGGTACAAGACTTCGTAGTCGACAGTACGGAGACAAGCCAGTGTATCTGGTACGTCGGTACAATTGACTTGGTCCACGATCTTGTCGTAGATGGGTTGGTACCAGTCTGAGCCATTGTACCATGCCTACAGTTTTGTTAGCCCGGATCTTTCCGATCCTCAATGCGGGTAAACTCACTGTTGTAGCAGAGCCGCTTTCCTGGATAGACCGGTGAAAGAGCCCATCAGTTCGGCCACCATAAGTCAGCAGCAGTTGACCCTACACACTGTCAACTCACTTCTCCCTGAAACCCTGTTCAATCCGCTTCAGTCCGCTGGAAAAAGGGGACACTCACAACCGCAAAAGATCCTGCAGACTCGCCCCAGATCGTGACCCGCGAGGTGTCGCCCCCAAAGGCCTCAATATTCTCTTGAACCCACGCGAGCCCCTTACGCATATCTCTCAATGCAAGATTCGCGTTTCCAGATCCCTATTTCCGTTCAGTGTCAACAACCCCTCCATCACAACCACCCGCCATATCTTGAGGCTTACCTGAATCTCCCTCGAGTACATCATTCCCCAACCCCCTTTCCGGTAATTAATACTAGCGGCAATAATCGGCTTGCCCACCTCAACCGACCTCTGAACCAAGTACGTCAGGTTATAATAATCTAGCGCACTCGTGCCGGCCTGGTAACTGTCATTTGTATAAACATTAGCCCGATTATCTCTTTATCTCCGTTCAACCCCCCCTTATTTCCATCCTTCCCTGCCACAACAACTCTAGAAGCAAAAATTACTCACCTGCCCCCATGAATCCAAACCACAACCGGCAATCCTGAAACCTCCTCTCCTGTTTCAACTCCATCCGGCCTCACGATATTGATACTCAAACAATCCTCCCCCATCCCATACACCCCATCTACCTCGACATTTTCATCCGGACACGCGGGACCATACTGCTTAGCGTCCCGAGTCCCATTCCACGACCCCGTCAGTGCCTGCGGAATTCGGAACCGGTTCTGCCCTCCTGTGGATTGGGCGTACGGCATGCCTAGGAAGACGTCTTGGTTGAATTCTGGGAGGTGTAGACCAGCGTAGGTACCATTCAGGACCGTGACTTGGGGGTCGATTTGGGCTTGGACCGCTGAGAAGAGGAAGAGAAGGAAGAGAAGAGATGCCAGGTGCGGCACCTTCAGTCTACGTCCCGTACATGCTAGTCTGATCGACATGATGACGAACAGAGGCATGAAAAGAACTGATTGCGGAATCAGCTTTTCTGTTGCTGCTCATGTACCATCACTGAATGGCTATACCACGATATAAACGAAATTACAAGACAAGAGAATTTTGAGTTTACGAATCTTCGGGTTGAAGCCCGGGTTCTGAGGTCCGATGAAGTTCCACAAGGTGTACGATAGCCAAGCGGCTTCGGCTTCCGCATCACCAAGTACACAGCCAAGTGTAATGAACCGTGTAAATGCCTCGCAACTCCGGCTGGCTACCCATGCATACAGGCCTGCTTGTTTACCTCCTTGCTACTACAGAATACGCCGGTATTCAATTCATGGCATAACATAAAAATCACGGCATTCGGTGCACCGATCGGAGCTAGGTAGTATCCAGGATACCTCCCCTCTTGGATTTTCGGTGTGGTACGGTGAGATTAGCATGCAGCTCTAATCCATCGGATCCGATGATCATCTAATCTACTTGTCTTGCCTCGGCCACGGCGGCATATTGACCATATCTGAGGGCAATTCTGAGCAGCAATTAACTATACTCTCTGGTATGCCGATTTGTAGACTATAGTTGCTATGTGTGATCTGGATATAGACCGAGTGAAAATCGTAACGGTGGCTCAATTCGATTGTACACCATCATTCCAAGCAATCTTGGTTCCGTTCTTTCCATGGGCCATAGAGTGAGATGAGAACACGACTTTGCTGACGAATGTCGCTTGACACTGAATGTGAGTACTTAGGTACTTTTCCTCATGGCCGACAAATTCCAAACCACGCAACCACCCGCATCATGGTAGCATGACTCTTGGTGAGGGCTCAGACGATCGGCCAGCTGGCCCAAGGCTGCTTCATCGAAAAAAACAAGTAAATCACAGTAAAGCCACCCATGTTCATTCACAAGTTCAATTTTGCAAATGCAAAAGCCGGCTTAACGCCGGTCGGTCTCTGAGGCCGTAGCTGACTTGATAAGAAGTCTGCTGGACGAGGGTGACTCGTCGAGAGTTCGCGAAGATACACGAATGCATTATCTTGCCAGATTCGCCCATGAATCAATGCCATCCAGCCAACGCCAAGTGAGGAGCCTCAGAAAATCCATGTTTCTCCCTCGACCTTTTCTTCGTTTTCGCATCCATCAGCAGCAGCCCGTTTATCGGACAATACCGTCGAATCGAGTCTTGAACCACTTGACGGTCTCATCGCGGTTGATGCGGTGGCTGGCACCGATGCGGCCCTTGCAGCGGCGGCGGCGGGTGACGCGCTCACCGGGACGGGTCATGCAGCAGTAGAAGTCCATGCCGTAGATACCGATCGCGGGGTCGTACTTGATGCCGAGATCGATGTGCTCGCTGATGCCGAAGCCGAAGTTGCCCGTCTCGCTGAAGTTGCGCTTGCGCAGCTCGTACTCCTTGACCTTGAGGCCACGCTCGAGAATCTCCTCAGCCTTGGGGCCACGGACCGTCACGTGGACGGCGATCTTTTCGTTACGGCGGATACCAAAGGTTCGGACAGTGTAGCGGGCCTTGCCTGTTGGGGAGGGAGTTGGTCAATCGATTGCAGCTTTCCACTAGGGAAAACAGGCCAACTTACTGTAGACGGGAGTCTGACCACTCAGTTGCTCGAGCACCTTAGCGGCACGGGTCAATCTGTCACCAGATTCACCGACGGAGATGTTGAGAACGAGCTTCTGGATGCGAAGATCCTTCATGGGGTTCTGAGCCTTGTCCGCCTGTAGGAAGGAGTGTCAGCATTTATTTCTATCGCAATCAACAATGCCAGAGCATCGCAAGAGAACAGGGCGTACCATTTTGACTGTTGGTATTAGTAGTGACCGTCGTTGTCGTTTGGGCGAAGAGAGTCGGCGAAGGTGAGCTGATCGAATCTCGAAGGGAATAATTTCTGTGATGGTTGGGCGGACTGGTCGGAAAAAGTCCAAAATTCGCAGTGGGCTTCCAAATCTGCCCTAATTTGTCTGCAACTTTACGACAGTGTGGCTGATGCAGAGGCTTGACAACCAATAAATTCAAAGCTGGGTCGAAAACGATGCACTACTCCCAATAAGGTTAGACCAATTGCTGAGCTCCAACTCGACTGCAGTGGAACTAGCTTTCTTCAACAACTCAGCCTTGCTGTACATCGCTGCCTCGCGGATTTTTGTTGACCTCTCATACCCACCCAAAGTCGAGATCTCAAAGTGCCAGCTCCCCCCGCAGCCAGCTTGAGATCCTCGCTGAAGTCATCACGACTTCAAACAAACCAAATTCAATTTTTTGCCAAACCTGAGACGCTCCTCCGGAGCAGTTCTTAGCCCATCATGTCGAACAAGCAGGGCAAGATGGTGAGTGCTTCTCCCCCTACCGCTTCAGCGCATTGGCTTCGAGGTTGACATCACAGGCTGACGAGACATGTTGTTATAGGCGGGCTACGTACGTGATCCCTCTAAATCTTCACAAGAGATGCGACCGACACAAATCCAGCGAACCACCGGTACTAACTTTCGCAGATCAACTACCGGATGAGAGTCACTTTGTTGGACGGCCGCCAAATGACGGGACAAATGCTTGCCTTTGATAAGGTACATACCCTCATTCAACCCAGCGATGCGCCCATGCTGACTGATGGCAGCACATGAACCTTGTTCTTGCCGACACCGAAGAGTTCCGACGCGTCAAGAAGAAGCAGAACAAGCCCTCCGCCCCAGGCGCCGCAGGTCCCTCCACCCAGACAATCGAACAGGAAGAGAAGCGCACACTTGGCCTCACCATTGTGCGCGGTGCCCAGATCGTGTCCCTTTCCGTAGAGTCTGCGCCGCCTGCCGACCCTAGCACGCGTCTAGGGAAGAGCACCACGAGCAGTTTGCCCTCAGCACTGGCGTCCGGTCCGGGTGTTTCCCGCCCTGCTGGAAGAGGGGCTGCTCCCTCTTCTCTCGCCGTAAGTTCTTCCTGCCAGCTACCTATGGCACTGCATACTGATTTTACTCAGGGCCCCGCAGCTGGTGTTGGAGCCGGTGCCCCCCCCGCTTTCCCTCAGTTCCCTGGTGCTCCTGGCTTCCCTGGTAGAGGCGGCCCTCCCCCTGGTTTCCCCGGCGGCCCTGCTGGCTTTCCTCCGGCTGGTTTCCCCGGTGCTCCAGGCTCATTCCAGCCACCTCCGGGCTTCCCCGGTGCACCTCCTCCGGGTTTCAACCCTCCACCGCGAAGGTAGTAACGGGAAGATGTTTGGATCGGTGATGGTGAAATTTGCTCCAGATGACTGGGGCCGAGAAGGATACCATTGGCGTTTGGACCGCGGAAATACTGGAAACAGGCCGAAAGCGACAGTGAAACCAACATTATGTACTCTAGCGAGATAGTCCTAGAGAATACGACATTCAAAGCAGGCTCGACGAGGAATACTTCATCATTGAACAGCGCACTGTTCTCAATAGTTCCAGTCCGGATTCATGTGCTCAGGTCTTTAGGGCGATGTGTCTAGGACCGACTGGAGCATTATCTCGATATTGTGATCCATACTGAACGGTAAAGACGACGGCACCACAAAATCTGCGCTTGGGTATCTGAATCTCATGTAGAAGTTGTGACGACCCAAGCCATTCTATCATAGTTATAGTCACGTAGCTATCACATTGAAATACCAGAAAGGCAGCTCATCTATCCATAAGGTCCTTCCGCACTGTGTTTTACTCCCGATGATTCTCGAAGAACATCACAACCGAACAAGAGAAAAGGTAGGCAGGTAAATTGCCCCCTCCCATCCATCTGACACATCACTGCATTTCCCTTCGCCAAAGGCAACAAAAGTCCTCAACATGTAGAGAGTCAATGGATAGCCAAAACCGGCTCGCAAGCTGTGAGATGGCAAACCTAAGTACGTTAGTCTTTCACGGTTGACTTCTTCCTCTGGGCAACAATAGGAAAAAGCCAACCACCCGCCCCAACAGGCATATTACTCCCTTCATAATCGGGCATTGGTTATGGATGAGTAGATTCATTTATCAGACAGCCCTAGCAGGCTAGACTGGTCTGCGTAACAGCCAAGATAGATCCCTTATAGAAGATATCCCGGATTCGAGTCTAGAGGTTCAAGCAGTTTTGTTCATCCCGTGTTGCTACCTTTAATACATACATAATTGCATCTCGTATAATCAAACCCCGAACAAGATTGATTCCATATACAAAACATAGAATTTCAGCAGCTCTTCAAAGGATCACCCAAACCAGCCCCTGACCTAAGGCACGGTAGTCTTGTGCTTATTACGAGTTTCGAAGAAGACAAAGCCGGGGGAATCCTGAAGTCTAGCGTACGACACTTGAATTACCCTATACTGAGTGACGTAAGGGCACTAGGTGTCTACCTCTTTGGACAACGAGGGCTTCGTAACTACAACAAACGAATAGAAATAAGATTCCGTTATGAGATGTACAACTGTCATTTCCATTTCGTCATAGGAATAAAGGAGAACCTAGGGCGCAATCGTAAACTACCTTAAGCATGCCAACCGTCCGTCAACAAGCACCCAATCCCAACCAAACACGCCATCCCTTGCTGTGCGCCAAAGCCTTTCATTCCCATCACTACCTTCCATCACCCGTGCTCTTTTAAGCCTTGGTAACTCTGCACACCAAGTCCGATCCATCCACCGAATCTCCCTCCTTGACCTGCAGCCCCGAAACCTTTCCGCTATGGGGTGCCGAGATAACCATTTCCATTTTCATGGCGCTGAGCACGGCCAGAGGGTCACCCTTCTTCACTTCGGTGCCCTCGTGGACGCGCAGCTCGACCAGCACACCCGCCATCGGCGCGCCGACCTGGCTCGAGTCACCGGCGTCGGCCTTGGGCCGGCTGACGTTGTCGACGCTTGCTTTCTTGTCATCGACGGTGACTTGGCGGACCTCGCCGTTCATTTCGTAGAACACTTCTCGCTGACCAGTATTCTCCGAAAGGGGACCGACGGCCAACAGCTTCAGGATGAGGACCTTGCCCTTCTCAAGTTCGACGTGGAACTCCTCGCCAATCTCGGGTCGGGAGAGGAAGTACTTGGTGGGCAGAACAGACAGATCGCCAAACTTTTGCACAAACTTCTTGTAGTCTTCGAACACCTTGGGGTACATGAGGTGGCTTGCTAGATCGCACTCCGTGACTTGGCCCCATTTCTGTCCTAGCTCGGTGCGCACCTTCTTCATATCAACTGGTTCGAGGAACAGACCGGGCCGTTTATCGAACTTGCGCCGGTTGCGAAGAGCTCTGGTGCGCAGCGGCTCTGGGAACCCGCCGTACGGCTGGCCCATCATGCCCTGGAGGAACTCGAGCACGGATCCGGGAAGGTCAAGATCGCCAGCACGATCCACGACGTCCTGAGACGAAAGTTTGTTGGACACCATGAATTGAGCAAGATCACCAACAACCTTGGACGTTGGCGTGACCTTGACGATATCACCAAGGAGGTCGTTGGCGTGCTCATAGGCCTTCTTGGTCTCAGCCCACTGCGAACCGAGACCGAGCTGCTGGGCCTGGAACATCATGTTGGTGAGCTGACCACCGGGGATCTCGTGCTCGTACACTTCGGGATCGGGACCAGCCAGGTGGGCTTCGAAAGGCGAGTACAGGAGACGTATCTGGGCCCAGTAGCTGTCAAGAGCTCTGACATGAGCAGGATTCAAGCCGGGGTCAAGATCAGACCCCTCGAAAGAAGCCAGGATAGCGTTGATGCTGGGCTGAGAAGTCATTCCCGACAAGCTGTCTGTGGCCGCATCCACAGCATCGGCACCAGCCCGGGCGCACGCAACCATGGAGGCAACACCAGTTCCAGCCGAGTCGTGAGTGTGAACGTGGATGGGCAGTTCAGGGTACTTCTCTCGGATGGCGCCAATGAGAAGAGTGGCGGCATGAGGCTTCAGAACACCAGCCATGTCTTTGATACCGAGAACGTCGATGTCAAGTGCAACCAGCTTGTCAACCAGCTCCATGTAGTACTTGAGATTGTACTTCTTCTTGGGGTTCAACATGTCACCACTGTAGCAGACAGTACCCTCGGCAACACCACCGGCCTTCTGCACGGCCTTGATCCCAACCTCAAGCTGGTCAATGTCGTTCAGAGCATCGAAGACTCGGAAGATGTCAACACCGTTCTTCTTAGCCTGCTCGACGAAGTGGAATATGGCGTTGTCGGGCAACGAAGCGTAGGCGACACCGTTGGCACCGCGAAGCAACATCTGGAAGGGGATGTTGGGGATGAGCTTGCGCATCCTTCGGAGTCGGTCCCACGGGTCCTCGTAGAGGAAGCGGAAAGCAACATCGAAAGTAGCGCCACCCCAGCACTCCAAACTGTAGGAGTTGGCCAGAGCATGACTGGTCTCCTTGGCGATGTTCAGCAGGTCGACAGTTCGGACACGTGTAGCTAGGAGCGACTGGTGAGCGTCGCGCCAAGTCGTGTCCATGAGCAGACAGCCTTTGTAGCTGCGGACAGCCTTGGCAAATGCCTTGGGGCCTTGCTCAACAATGATCTTCCTCCAGCCTTGTGCAGAGGGCTGAGAGACGTCGAGCTTGGAACCGTCTTGGTTGAGCAGCTCGGGCAGGATGACGTCACCCTTAAACTTAGGGTCGCCAATCTGGCCCTTGATACTACTTCCATTGACGGCAATATCGCCAAGGTATGCTAGCAACTTCTGGGCTCGGTTCTGGCCACCAATCAGGTCGAACAGCTGAGGGGTATCATCGATGAAAGTGGTCCAGCATGTGCCGTCGATGAAGGTCGGATGGGTAATCAAGGAAGCCAAGAAGGGAATGTTCGTCTTGACACCACGGATGCGGAACTCGACGAGAGCACGCAACATCTTTCTACGTGCAATTTCGTAGGTGGAGCCCAGACATGTGCACTTGACCAGCATGGAGTCGTAGTGTGGGGTGATGACCGCACCAGCGAACCCATTGCCACCATCAAGACGCACACCGTTACCACCGGCTGATCGGTAGACCTCGATCTTGCCCGTATCAGGCTGGAATCCCTTGGCAGGATCCTCCGTGGTGATACGGCACTGGATGGCAAAACCGCGGGTGGAGATGCGATCTTGCGTCAAGCCAAGCTGGTTAAGCGTAGCACCCGCTGCGATCTGAATCTGGGCCGCCACAATGTCAATGCCCGTGATTTCCTCAGTGATGGTATGCTCGACCTGGATACGCGGGTTAATCTCAATGAAGTAGTATCGGTTCTGCTGGTCCACCAGGAACTCAGCAGTACCGGCGTTGCGGTAGTTGACCGACTTTGCCAGCTTGACGGCATCCGCCAAGATGGCATCGCGAACCTCGATCGGAAGATCCTTTGCCGGTGCGATCTCCACCACCTTTTGATGTCTGCGTTGGACAGAGCAGTCACGTTCGAACAGATGCACAATGTTGCCGAAATTGTCTCCCAGCAGCTGGACTTCGATGTGTTTTGGCTTGTCGAGAAAGCGCTCTACGAAGACTGTGCCGTTGCCAAAGGCAGACTTGGCCTCCGAGGTGGCTCTCTCGAAGGACTCTTGGAGACTGGCCTGGTCCCGCACCACTCTCATGCCACGACCACCACCGCCGTAAGCGGCCTTGATGATGATAGGAAATCCATATTCGTCCGTGAAGGCCTTGACATCTTCAAACTTGTCGACTGCGCCCTCAGTGCCGGGTACGACGGGCACCTTGGCAGCAATTGCGAGCGTTCGAGCCGAGACCTTGTCGCCAAGGGCATCAATGACTTCGGGCGCAGGCCCAACGAAGACGAGACCGGCCTTCTCGACATTTCTGGCAAACTCGGCGTTTTCAGAGAGGAAGCCGTAGCCAGGGTGGATCATCTGTGCACCATGCTCTAAGGCAATCTTAATGATCTCGTCGCCGGCCAGATATGCACCGACTGGTGTATATTGTCCACGCTTGCCGATAACGTAAGCCTCGTCAGCCTTTTGGCGGTGCATGCTAAGCCGGTCTTCATAACTGAAAACTGCAATGGTATGCAGCGAAAGCTCGTGAGCCTGCAAGACACATGGCACATTAGCAAGCCATAACATATGAAGGAACTGCGGGAACAACCAACCGTTCTGAAGATACGAATGGGAATCTCGCCTCTGTTGGCAACCAGCAGCTTCTTGAGGTGGATGATAGAGCTGTTTGCCCGGATGTGGTGGACTGTTTGAGCTTCCTTGGGTGCCATGCCGTCCTCAAAGGGGTCCTCCTCCACGGGGTGGGCAGCCGCCTGGGCCTTGAGGTCCTCCATGGTGCAAATCCGAGAAGCAATTGACGAACTGAGAGAGAAGGGCAAAAGCGATAGTCGGGAAAGGCGGTCGATGAGGATGCAAGATGAAGTTGGGAGTAAGCAGGACGAAGGGCTCCCTCGATCGCTGCGGTTTTTGTTGGTGGGGGTTTCGAGAGCTCAAATAGTAGATTACCCGGGAAGGAGCTCAAGCTCGTAGCTGACGTAGCTGATGCTACGGGGAAGGAGCGTGGGGTGTGGTACCAGAGGGCACTCGAGTCCTTGACACAACCCCGAAATAGATGAAGGCGCAACACAACTCGAGCTGGTGAAACGATGCAAGTGACTTCTTCGTTACAGCTCAAGGGCAGCGGTACGCGAATACAAACACTTTGCAATATACCTTGTGTAGAATAGAAACAATGGAGGAACTATGACTCGATGGAGGGGGCCGATGAGCGTCTTTAAGCAAGGCCCAGTCGGACTAGCTTGGACTCCCAACAGCCAGTGACAGACAAGGGTGACAGGAACGTCGCTCATCGCCCACTGCCATAATCCCCTCAGCCATCCATGGATTGCCGCTCGCTCGGCGTTCTTCGCGCATAGCTTGCGTTGGACCTAACTCAGCAACCTTGCTGGTTCTTTTAGCTCTTTTGCAGTTGGCAGTTGCTGATAGTGGTTCTTTCAGTTGACAGGCGCCTTCCATATCTTTTGTGCCGATTGCTGTCACTCACCGCAAACTTGCCATGTTTGCGCAGTCAACGACGACCGACAATGCTAGAGCGAGGATACTTGGTTTCACTGCTAGAACATATCATGTGGATCGTAGCTGTCTGCGTTGATCGCTCTGCCATGGCAAATGTGCAAGTGCCCTGGAGTTTTCAGAAATCGGTAATCCAACCGAAAGCTGCGAGATCGCGGGGCTTGTGCTTGCTTGCACAGACATTTGCTTCTGTTGCTCGGGGTGTTTGGCGGGGTTGGAATTGGGGGTTAGATTAGCTATCCCCTGGTCGAATGGAAATCAAATGCTCCCCGCCAGTCGGTGCGTGGTGATGAATACTATTATTACGTTAGCTTCTGCTAAAGCGTGACGCAACCATGAGACAGTGGGCATACTGGGGCCCTGGTCGCTAAAGAAAAGAAGGCAAACAGCAAAATCGATTGACCAACCACAAGAGCTTGATAGACTCCAGACCTCTGGATCCAATGATGAGGGGCGGAATTCCATTTGACTAACGCTTTCGTCCCTGGCCATCCCATCGAACGAGCAAGCATGTAAGTTGCATCCGGTCTCAAGGACCGAGCTGAGTTTTAACCTAGGTTATGGACGTGATCTTATGTTGAAAATGGTCCCTTCCGCCGAGCTGGAAGAATGGCGCTGAAGGCTCTTATTGTTGCGAATCCCGACGATGGCTCCTATTTGTTTGTCCCTCCAAAGCGGAACAGAGGTCCTTGCCGTTGGCGCCAGGGTGGGACAAGGACATGCCGGCCCGCATGCTTCGCTTTGGAAACTTCAGAGTCACAACTCCGTGAGATCTCTCGCAAATCACTTCGGCATTGGCCCGCATGCCCCGTCCCCATTTCGGCCTCTTGGCCACATGGTAGTAGTACCGCGATAACTGTCCATCCTAGACAAAAAACCTGGTTTCTGCCGCTGCGCGTGTCTCACAATAGCTGCCAACTGGCAGTCGCGGTATTATCATGTGGAAAACCAAAACATTTTGGGCGTGACAACACGAGCATCGAAGCCTGCCAGCCGTGAAACGAGGCAATTGAGACTTGCCAAGTGAATCATCTCATGCGTGAAGCCGCGTCCGATCCACTAGAACACCTTTTGCCGTGAGTGTCTTGTATTCTGTTTGACGACATCGTGAGGCTTGAGGATGCAACTTTTTTTTCGCTTTTTTTTTTGGGAGAGGGGGGGGGGGTTTGAGCAGATCCGACCTCGGCAGACAAGGCTGAGTAAATCTTTATTGCGATGACTGTGTAATTGGCGTATCTCTCAATCAGCACGAGTGAGCCGAATGATAATGTCCGGCACTCCACATCTTGCTATGTGTGAGATGTTTTATCCTGTTTCCCTGCTTCGGACCACGCAACTGGATAGTTTTTGCTTCGCCTTGCAGGAAGCTACCCGCCCGACTCAACGGTGTATTCAACCTGGAACCCTTCTGGAATAATTCGACAGGTAGTAATTGGTCCTGGTGGCTCTCGAAAAGATATCAGAAAAACGCCAAGTGCAACTACGCGTTTCTCTCCCGACTTCCAAACGGGTCCGTTCGTCTCGTAGGCCTTCGAGATCGGCGCCTTGATGAAGGTAGCCGTGTCCATACTCCGGGCAGACTTCTTTTCGCCGAAGGACCCACTCGGAGTATATTCCGGCGGTTTCCAAGGTGGTTGTAGTTAAGGTGACCATAGACCCCCTAGTTCAGCCGACCAACTCCCACTTTAAGCAAATATTTATGGGGTGCTCGTGATAAAAGCCGACCACACTTTTCTTTTTAAATCCGTAGAGATTTTTCCTAGTAACTCTAGTACAAATATAACGAAATTATTCTATAATTAGTTCTAAATCGATTCCACTGTGACGATCAACCCTCGCAGACTCACTACAACCAGGTGACTTACAGCTGGAACACCTGCCGTGGCAGTGTCAGATGGGAAGCCAATCATAACCCTTGTAGGAGCCCCGCCAAGCGTGGATGACTTAGTCGCGCTCCCTCAAACCTAAGTTGTCATCTTCTTTCCTTCGCTCCTTGGAGTAGAATCTTCGTCGATAGCACCTAATCGAGGTCTATACCAATGCGATGCAACCCAGGTCGTGACAGACGGCACACACTACTGGCTACTTAGTATACTACTATTCGAGTTTAACGACGTAAGTACTTCTAAATCGGTTTTTAATCGATTCTTAATCGATTCTTAATCGATTCTAAACTAATTCTATATAATATAGGAAGATAAAGTCGTACTAGCTATTATTAAGCTCTATTACCGTATACCTACTACTTCCGGTAGTATATATATAACTATAAGTACGTACCTCTAAATATAGAGCGGGTATTTTAGATAATAGGGAAGATATCTGTAGTAGCAATAGTAAAGATAATATAGTGGATGTCACGACCTGGGTTGCATCGCATTGGTATAGACCTCGATTAGGTGCTATCGACGAAGATTCTACTCTAAGGAGCGAAGGAAAGAAGATGACAACTTAGGTTTGAGGGAGCGCGACTAAGTCATCCACGCTTGGCGGGGCTCCTACAAGGGTTATGATTGGCTTCCCATCTGACACTGCCACGGCAGGTGTTCCAGCTGTAAGTCACCTGGTTGTAGTGAGTCTGCGAGGGTTGACCTTCACACCGTCGACGTAAGTAATACTATCCTTATAGAAGTAATATTAGGGCTAAAAAAGAATTAACTTAAAATTGATTCGAAGTTAATTTAGAAATATACTCACTATATCCTTGTATGACGGTATCGTTACGTAGAACGATTAGCTGAATTACGAGGAAGAAGTAGCGGATAACGGGTTATTACTAGGGAAAGCAGAATCGAATCGAAATCGGAATTCAAATTCAATTCAAATTCGATTCTATGGTCAGCTAGACCCAATTTTCACATATTTTCAACTAATAAGAATAGAGGGATTATCTACCCCACTATGGTCACCTGGACCCAGTGTTTTAACATCACGTGAGGTCATGGTCGGCTCAACTGGGGGGGTCTATGGTCACCTTAACTGTAGTCTCTTTCCAAGTCCACGCAGAGGAAGAGAACAATTCTTAAGCCCTGCTAGAAAATTGCTACATCCACTCTGAAGGTGCGGCTTTATGAAAGCCCTCTGTATGTAATTCGTTCTTGTGTCAATGACAACTTCGTCCTTGAAGGTAGTCTTCTTAGGTTAGGTGCTGTATATGACCAGGAGCTCGGGCACCATCCGAAGTTTCTAGCTGTGATCGACACCAGAGTATAGCAGAGCGGGGTTAGTTTCGAAAAGTCATTGCGACTATAAATGTCAGTACTATACTGTGACGCTGGCAAGGTTGAAACTGGCTCGGATCGCGCCCAGAGATTTCGACGCTGCGGGCTGGTTGCAATTAACACCAGAGCCCTTAACTTACTGTCTCGGTGAGTTTTGGTATATCCACAAGGTCAAAGCCATGCCATAAAGCTTCAAAGCTTCAAAGCTAGAACTCCGGATGACTTCCCCGACGAGTCCACGAAAGACGCGCACATTTCTAGCGTGGATACTCAGATCTAAATGTTCCCCGGGCAGATGGAAGGGCTGCTGCCACCAAGATGAATAGTCATGATATAATTATAGACCATCGCCACGGGCAACTACCAAAGCCTTTCCGATGCAATATAGAAATACAAGACCACTCCTGGCCAATATCGCCTCGTCATGACGCGCAGCCTTCAGCTCACGGGCCATCCGTCTACCGCAGGGTACGAACCCATACCTCTATATGCAGACCGTCGGTCGGTCGCTCGCTCTATCTTCTCACGAAAAAAGGCCTCATGAAGAAGCCACTCTACTTCGACACAGCTTCCTTGACCTTATCCCCAGCTGCAACGATCTTGTCCTTGGCTTGGTCCACCGCCCCGTATGCAGCCGCCTTCTCCTTCCCGCCCCAGTTGTGCCAGTTCAGGTACCGGTATCCTTGCGTGAGCTGGGCGGCCTCGTTGATGAAGTGGCAGCCGAAGAGAAGATAATTGGCGGGCGTGACGGCCATGGAGTAGCGCATGAAGGTGGCCGAGTAGATGCAGAGGGCGAAGGTCATCTGGCCCGAGATCCTGCAGGAACGGCGGGTGTCAGTTCATGTGGAACTAGATCTGGAGGAAAGTGCGCACAGCAGCGAGCAGCAGGGAAGAGACAATGCGCAGGAAGGTAGGCAGACAGAGAGGCAGGAACAAACGTACAGGTCGGGAGACTTTTGCGTGTCCATGACGGCGGCGACGGGAATGCCAAAGTTAGACACCGGGCCCCAGAAGTCTGTTTTGCGTCTGTTAGCATGGTGGTTCAAGGAAGATGATGAATATGGCTCGAGAGTGAGACTGTATATCGTCGAGCATGCCGCCGTAAGCCATAACTTGGGCGAGAGACAGAGAGAAAGGCGACGGCATAATTGCGACAGCTGCACGTATTGTAGTCCTATACACGTGCGTAGACACTACTTGGTGCGCCGCTATATCTATCCCGCCAATGACTCTGGCGATCCGGCATGCTCAGCGACACAGTTGGCACTTATCAACGTATCGTAGGACTGGACCGGATTTAACGGAGAAAGTCCGTCTAACTCAATTGATCGAGGCAAGAAAGTCAAGTCAATCACGTACGTGTCGAGCAGACATAGCTCACAGTCGGGTTGGACCGGATCTTGGCATTGATGGCTTTGAAGAAGGCGGCCATCGTGGGCGGTTAATGGGACGGTCGGCAGGACGTGGATGGGTTGAGGGCAAGGTGGAAATTTTGCACTTATAAGGTGTGGTGTCTAGTAACGTCAGAATGCGACTTTTAGTCGAAGTTCCGACCAGGTAAGTAAAACTTGGGGTGGCCGGCCGGGGCCAGCGAAACCCCGAACCTTGCATCGGGGGAAGGAAATACGTCACGTGCTCCCCTCACTCTCTACAATTGACCGCGATGCTGTCGTTCGCAGGCATCAAAATGGATATCTTATCGTTTATCAAATTTTCATTTCTTTCATAGTAAGTACTTAGTCCTAGATATCAGCTAGTTCGAACCGGCAGCCCGTGATAACTCAACTCAATTATTATTTGGGCCTCATGTGGATCCAAATCAGAGGATCTGATTGGCTACATCGTTGCTCTTAAGCAACATTTCGTAGCTTCGGAAATAGCTGAGCTTTCTAGAAAAAACACCATCAAAAGAGATCTGAACCACACAACTGACTTGGCACGAAATCAATCCTGATATTCGTGACTTGAGTCCTGTGAGGTCAGATCGACCAGGATACACACTCATAAGACCAGTAGCGGTGCTCTTACCACGGCCAGTATAAAAGTAGAAATATAGAAGACACATTCAGTGCCTACTTATAAGATCTTCTCCGAGTGATATCGGAGATGCTAGAGCCTAGAAGGACCTAAACAATATCGCATTAGTGACGAAGAGCAACATAATATCAATGTCCCGCAGCAGTTGAGGGTGTCATCAAGAATATCCACACCGTGTAGCCTGGAGGCCAGCAAACTACGGTCTGTGGAGCTTTACATGGCAAACTGATCAAAACTCGCCTGTTGTCGCAAATAGACGTCAGACGTGGTGAATCGGTGCCTCCTACTGCAATATTATTCAGATATTTGGAGGCATAGATCATTTCCTCTACATCCGTTGTACCTTGGTCTGAGAGAATGGACTCATTAGTGGCCAATCTTATAGTTCATATCCAAGGAATATCACCAACAACAATCAGTAAAAACAACATTCCCATATTGTACTATCATACAGGTTCTGTAAGCGCACATCAAACGCAAAGCGTCCAAGATCCCCGACTATGGCATCGGAAATATGTAAGTGGTCACACTTTAGGCGGCGCAGTCTAAGTAATCGATGGGAATATCAATGCCACCTCTCCAGCGTTTCCCGAGAGCCCCGCCGGGGACAAATATCCACTCTGAAGAACAAAAAAGCAAGAATACTTTTCTACCACAACGCAAAATGCTGAGCGCACACCACATGGCCACGAGCTCCGTTTGGATAATTGTTCCCAACAGTTACGGCTTAACCGAAGTCAGTGTCTGCGTCGCACCCTTGTAGCGTGTTGTGGCCAGAACTTTTCTGCTCTGGAACCTGAACCGGGACAAAACCGGGATGCGGACATGCATGGCCAGTTGGCACTAGCACTAGAGGCGCCAGTCCATTCTAAAAGCCATAGCCGGTAGGCTGAGGCGCGAAGCCGTTGGTCTGCCCGAATGGCGCAGGCGAGGCTCTACCCGCACCACCAGCTGGACCGGCCGTGATCATGAGGCGATTGCCACCCAAGATCGGAGTCTCGTTATCATCCTTCTCCTGGGCATTGTCTTTTGCCTTGCGAGCTTCATTGTCTGCCTTGAGAGTCGCAAGCTCCTTCGTTTGCTGGCAAAGCATGTTGATCATGTAAGGCATTGCGAAGTCGGTAAGGCCGTGTCGCCACGAGAGCTCCAACACAATGTCAGGTCGGATGAGATCGTAGCAAGCATACAGCATGCCGACGTAACACTCCTTGCTGCCAATGTCAACAAACTGGTGCAACGGTCAGTATGTTATCTCTAAAGCTTGGAGATTGAGAACTTACGTATCGGAGGAGCTCCTCGACAACCTCAGACTTGCCCGAGATAGCCGCGGTCTCGATAGCATCTTTGAACAGCTTATCCTGCTTGGACAGGGCAATCGACTTCTCCCAGCGCTTCGCCTTGCGGTAGATGTTAGCAGCAATCTGGCGGAAGAAGACTAGGTCGTGCTTCTCCAGACGGCTGGCGAGGTCTGTCGCATCGTAGTTGTCATAATTCTCGACAGAATCCCTGAGAGTCTTGTAGTCTTCCTCCTCGATCAAAAGGTCGTTGATCGCATCATTGACAGTCCGCTTGTTCTGGGGCTGGACGTTGAGCAGGAAGGGCTTGATCAAAGGCAGGTTGTCAGACTTCTGGAACATCTTGACGACTCTGTTGACATCAATGCGTGGCGTAAGAGCCTGCAACAGATCGGTGAGAAGGGAGGGATGCTGTTCCATGTAGAAGTTGATGGCACGGTAATAGATCTCCAGATTGGCAACCTTGATGACGATATCCTTGAACTGTTGATGCTCCCATGAGTTCTCCGCGCGCTCCATTACGGCAAGGGCAGCATTGTCGAATTCGTCGTAGTGGTAGTAGCAGAACACAAGCTCAGGCCACAAGTTTGCCTCCTCGCAGGCACGGATGAGCTTAGGCAGGTTCATTCTGCTCCAGAAGAGCTTGATGTGTTCCATAAGTCGGTCGGGGTGATACTTGGACAGGGCAATGCCAAGCTCCGTGAACATGCCCATGTGAGCACGTTCGAGACCGAGACCTTGCTCGAGCAGATCGATGAGCTCATCGAAGAAACCCTCCATTTCATATTGTTTGACAAGAGTCTGCAGTTGCTCCGCATCGACAATTAGGTTAAGACCACAAATCTTGGCAAGTCTGAACTCCTTCTTGCTGACGCAGGCTCCATGCACTTCCCTCCATACCTTGATGTTGTTAGCCTTGCGTGCACACTCAACGGCGGCTTGGTAGTCGTCAAGGTGGACGAGAGTGGTGGCCAGCTTTGCCCAGTTCGAGATGCTCGTGTAAAAGATTTTGGAAGCCTGGTAGAAACCTTCGTTCGCTGCCTTGTCACCAGATTCCTCGATGTTGGTAACATTGGTACCACGCAGGAAGTCCTCCAGCTCGCCTAACTGATCAAGCCGGGCGAAGCAAAAAGCGAGAGCGGTATCAATGGCTGGCTCTCTCAGCGACTTTCGGGCCATGCGAAGGAATTTGACAAGATCCTCATCTTTGCCGGCATGAGTCGCAACCTCAATGACTTCCTCGTAATTGCGAGCATCACCAGCCTTAATGTATGACTCAATCGCGTCCGTGACTCGGAGACCATCAAGTTGTGCTTTTGCGACCTTGCTCCAGACCTCGGGCGAATCGACGTCGTCGGCAAAAGCACTGGCGCGGTCGATACTAACAACATGCTCAACGAGAACTGCAACTGCCGCGGTCTGGTTGCCAGCCTTCTTGTAGATCTCGAAAGCCTCTTCGTACAAGCCGACATTAATGCAAAGCTGAGCGCACTCATCCGGATCATAGGCATCCAGGCGTTGAATGTAATCTGCCACCTTGCTCTTGTCGGCTCTAGCCGCGGTCAAGATGAGAAGGTTCTGAAGACTGGGGTTATCGTTGAACGGCGAAGGTTCCAACATGATCTTCTCCAGAAGCTCGATCAATTCGGAAGGCAGATCAGCTTGCAGGAAGGAGGCCACAGCCTCGGAGACCTTAGCCGGATCGGTGCACTCGGGAACAGCCGTGGCAACCACCTGGTCGATGACTGAACGGCGGTGGATGTTGTTCTCGCTGAGGACAAACAGCCATAGCTCCCGCTCAGCACGGTCCAGCAGGTACCGAGCCTGGGCACGATACATGGAATTCTCGTTGGTAATGTTAACCAGCTCCAAGTCATTCTGTCCCTTCTGATAGGCAATGTACGCCAAGTTCGGGTCTCGCTTCTCGCAGTACTTGCCCACACTGATAGTATCGTATTGATCATTCTCTTTCAAAAACTTTTCGGGGTTATTGTTGGAGTCAATGTAGATCTTGGCGAGGGCGTTGTAGACAGCTTGCTGCTGGTTGCCTGCAGCAAGGGTGGCCTCCAAGAAAGGAAGCAGAAGCTTGAGCCTGTTTCGGGTCTCAACCTCGGAAACCAAAGTGTCGATGGGGATGGAACCAGGGTTGACAGTGCTCAAAAGCTTCCTGATAATGTTCTCATCGCAATCAACGTCCAGCAAACCACCGATGACTTGGGGGGTTCTGCTGGGATTGACACGCTGTACGTAGGTTTCGATAGACTGGAATTGCTGGTTCTGGTACAAGTATAGAACCAAATCATGGACAAAGTCAAATCGATCGCAGACGATGATCAGAGGCAGCTGTTCGGCAAGTCGGGCCTCCTTCAAGAAGTTCTTGACCTTTTCTGGGTTGTAGTGGTTGCTGTCTCGGCATATCCTCTCAACCTCGGCAAATTGACCAATTCTGGTGGCAGCCTCAATGTACTTGAAGTGGACATCGGCATCTTCGGACATGTTGACAACGCTGCCAAGATAAAAGTAGAGACCCTCGAAAGTTTTATACTTCTCGAATAGATCGATCAGGCGCGTGGGACCCAGCAGGTCAGAGTACTTCGTGGCAACCTGGACAACAGACTGGAGATTTTGACGGATGTTGACCTTCATCATGGCATCCAAACAGTCAAGGGACTGCTCGACGGACAACTGGCCGAAGAAGTTGACCAGCCAGTCCATGCTAAAGTTTGGTGCCCCAGCAATGCCGACAACCACGCGCTTCACCGCGGCAGGGTCCTCGTAGAGCTCCAAAGCCTTCTGGTACAGCCCAGCTTGCTCGCACATTGTGGCGATTCGAGCCTTGTCGAACTGCGTGAACATCTGGTTGCTCAGAATGGCCTCAGCGACTTGAGGCGCATTCATCAGATTCATCTCTAGGAGGCGAGTTTGCAAATGACCCTGCTCCGGACGGTTATCCTTCAGGGCATCGAGCAAGAAAGCGGTCGCCTGCTGAACCATGCCCTGGGACTGGAACACGTCGACAACGCGTTCAATGTCAACCAGGGAGCCACCCTCATTGTTGGCCAAGGCGCTCGCAAACTCGGCACCTTTCTCGGGGTTGACGCGAACGATGTGTTGGAGCAGACTGATCCAGTCTGGCTGATAACCAGTCTGGTTGACGTAAGGAAGGATTTTCTCGAACTGACCCGTCTCAGCAAGAGCTGCGACAACCTTGTGAGGACAGTTGGCCTTGTAGTAGACCGTGAGAGCCAAGTTGATATCATGTATCCGGATTTGGTCTCCTAGCTTCTCCGAAAAATCGAGTTTGCCTTCCTTCAACCATTTCTCGATTAAGTGTTTACGACCTTGTGACAGCACAGGTACAGCTAGCTCCAGAGTCTCGGTCTCGTTCAGAGGGGTGGTCTTGTCAAGCAACATGCCGAAGTACTGTAGGATATAGGTCATCTTGCCAGGCTCCGTTGGGAGGTTCTTGAACTTGTTGATGGTCTCGGTGGTGCGAAGGAAGCCGCGTGGGGAGTTGGCAGCAACCTTGGCAGCTCCTGCGTAATCACCACGGCTGAACAAAGCCTCAAACTGCTGGCCGTATAATTGATCAGCACCAGGAAGACCAGCCCTTGATGCCATTTTAATGGCGATCTCAGTATTGGCAGGGTTCTGCAGCAGATATTGAACCATAGTAGTGTCGTCAACTGAGACGAACAGCACCTGTCCCTTCCTATTGATGCCGACAATACCCGTGGAATCCGTGTCGGCGCAGGTGGTGAAGATTGTCTCGCTTGAAATGCGGTTCATGAAGATAGTCGAACCTGTCTCGAGATCGTAGAGATGGATAAAACCATACTTGGTTACCATGTAGATGACCCCGTACTTTTGGGAGACCTGCATGGCAACAGGGAAGTCGTTCGTGGCTTCTGGCGGAAAGTAGATATCCACTGCCTTCTTCTGAAAGACGGGATTCGTTTCCGGGTGATCGATTTCGACGATATGGAGCTTGGCACCTGTAGCGGTCCGGACAGCGAAGGAGAAGACCTTGGTATCGGCTGGCGCGCCCTCGAGTCGCAATGTGCCGAAAGTAGCAGCATGACCTTCGATAGCTTGGCTGATGCCCCGATCCTTGGAGTAAAGTTGCAAGCTGCCAACGACACGGTTATTTTGCTGCGAAATGCCAACAACCGCCATCCACTTGCCATCACTGTTAATCCGGTAATTAATGATTTGGCTGCCCTGGTCTAGTGTTAGCCTTCGCGGCGTGCAATAATTGAAACTGCACGTACATTGAGGTTGGCATTGCGCTTGAAAACTTCGACAGGAGCTGCCTGGGATGCATCGTAGATATCCCAGTGGAAGACGGCAGTATCCGTGACAAGGCCTAGAGTTGACTCGCTAATCCACTTCCAGAAAACCACATCTTCATTCATCGTCGCAGACTTGAGCTTCTGCTTCTGCTCGAGGTCGAAAATCTGCAGGGTTCTCGATTGGGCGCGCAGAGCAATAATCTGCTTCGTCCAGTGCATAATAGCGCTGTCGGCCTTAATGGGGCGTCGGGTGACATTGTTGCCATTCTTCAAATCGACGATGACAACCTCGGGTGAAGCAGTCTCGCTTTTCTTTTCTCGTATGCAGATCCAGGAGTCTGATTCTAATGTCTGTAGCCATCGAAGTCAGTAGCTGGCCAAGAGGTACGATTTGAGGCCCAGTTGCGACTGGGCATGGAATTAAACTTACGCAGGAGTTGAATCCGATGGCAGAGGCATCGACACCGACATTGTTGAGCATCAACAGCTCGGTGAACTTGATGGGAAGCGGCGCCATGGTGTCGGTTCACATGGGATGATGTGAAAGGCGAGCTATTAACTGTTGATCGTGGTGATCGTAGCCGAGCTGTTCGAGCTGTTCAGGTCGAGAAAGGCGCCGTCAACAGTAGGTTGGTGTCCGACTGGGGGTTTCCAGTGTCGTCAATGGGACTCGTGAGCAGTTCGTGAGGCTGAAGGTCCAAAGAAAGGGAAACAGGGCTGATGTTATTAAGTAGTCGCGGCAAGAACCTCCAGGGATTTGATTATGTAGAAGCCTACGTTGTCAAAAGGCAGGAAGGACCGTGGGAAACACGCGCGCGTACAGCCCCGAAGATGACGGGCAAAGAAACGGGCGCGGCAATGGCAGACAATACTGTACAATGCCTTGATGAGAGCGTGTGGGACGTGTAAAGGGAGGTGGGAGTGTTGTATGGGGGAGACAGGAGTATTGAGAATATTTGGAGGTCGAAAGTTACAGACCAGGTGTCGCAAAAGGAGTGCCAAGCCTGCAACCTTGCTAGCTGATGATTATGCACGAGCCACTTTTTGGATGGGCGACTGCAGGTCCTGAGGCTAACATCTGAAGCTCAAAGTGCGAGTTCAATTCTATTTCTTGGAAGATTGGACTCTTCCACTTGAAAACCAGGCCTGGTGTCCAGCCCCGGAGCTGTTTGGTGTTTGAGAACATGCAAGACTGCGTTCTATACCCTACGAGCTTGCAGACCCCAATCTACGAAGAACGAAGTCTCCCAATCTTCCAATGCTGCAGATAGCCATATCCAAACAGAACCACACCTACGATCACTTGTCCATCATGGATTACTCTTGTGTAGTACTTGTGTATGTAACTTTGAACTGCTTTTCTAGTCGCTACTTTGGGGGCTTGATGGAGTGCTTCGTCGGGGTCATACTTATACCAATATAGAGATCCGCTTGTGCCCCATCACCTAGGGAGGGAACGGTGATTGTGAGATTCTATCGAATGGCAAGCAAGTTCATCTAGTTATGGGATGTCACAACTCTCGAGGGCCGTAGTGGTACCTCTGCGACATTCTGCAACTTTTTGAAGCACAATCTACCGAGACATCAGCCCTCCGACCAAATGTAGGACGACACTAAGCTCGCAATGGCTAGATGCAGCCCAATGGTTCTTTCCAAGTTCTTTGGACTTTTCCCAGACAAAGCAATTAGCAGCTAGAAACGTTTGACCTGCTAAAATCTACTTGAACCGATCAGATCTAACGTGAGATGTGCGCTCAATCATTGCGATCCTCCCCATTGCCCAAATAAGGACAGGGAAGCACCGCACCCAAGATTGTTCGCTGGGATTTTCGTCTTCATTCTGTTCGAGGAACTTCAGTGGTCTTGGGCGTCCGCAAAAAAATTGAGCTACCTCGCACCAAAATTTGTCCTCGAGAACGTGATAATTTGCGTTGTTCATAAAGAGGAAAAAGAGGAAATTCCCAATGCTCAGTCAGTCTCACACATTTTTATGTCACCTCAGAAGGCCCCACAATTCTGAAGATTTGACCGGCTTTACTCCGGCGGTCCGTCACGACAAGTCTGGAAGGCCGAGCTCGCGACTTAGAGGTGTTTACTTGGCTTGAACTACATTATATCAAGAGTTGCTCGGTTGGAAGTCCTATCAACATTGTATATTCTCCTAATTTTCCAAAATTTGGTTGTCACTAGCATGGCGAACGCAACCATACATACAGCTCAGAAGCTCCCAACTTTTCTGCTTCCTAGGTTGAGCTGGCAAGGTCCGGCTGGATCTTCCCAAGTGCTGCGATCAATAGCTTTTCCTGCAGTCTACGACAGAAAGCCATTCGGATCAACTCAGTCCTCGAAACTCCATACATTCTGCCCCCCGCCACAATGTGCGTCTCGAAAAGCCTCACCGACGCCATCTCCGATTCTACGAAATCCCGCGTTGAGGCGGTCGTTCCACATCACGGCCCCCCGAGCTCGGGACCACCACTTCGATACGCTGAAGTTTGTCCAAAGACTCCAGAGTGAGGGCTTTACGGAAGAGCAATCGGTGGCGATGATGAAGGTCCTCAACGATGTCATTGAGGAAAGGTGGGCACCCAGCTCCACTCCTTGCGACTGGAGCTGTTGGCTAACACCCATCGCAGCATACAAAACTTGACTCGTACCATGGTCTTGCGCGAAGATGCTGCGAAAGCAACCTACACACAGAAAGTCGACTTTGCGAAGCTACGATCCGAGCTGCTCTCCGCAGACAGCACTGAGTCCAACACAACCCGGTCGGCGCACGAGCGGCTGACCAACGACATTACCAAACTCAACAGCAGGTTGCGGGACGAGATAGGGAGGACGCAGGCGTCGGTAAGGCTGGACCTTAATCTGGAGAAAGGCCGGATACGGGAGGAGGCTGTAAACCAGGAGTTGAAGATCAAGGAGACGGAAACCAAGATTGAGCAGGAGGTGGCGGCATTGCGGGAGAAGCTCGAGCAGGTCAAGTTCCAGACGCTGCAATGGCTGATGGGTGTCTGCACTGGTTTTGCGGCGCTATTGCTTGGTGCATGGAGATTACTTATGTAAATGGATCGGGCGAGGTAGGTAATTAGGTTATTGTGGACATCTGAGGCACTACTAGATAATGCTCGTCTGCTCACTTATCCTACTGTGGGACAAGTTTGGTAGCCTCTTATTTTGGTCCCTGACGTCCAGGGGCCTGTGGCTGAAAAGCACCGGCCTGTTCAGTCTGAGGTATATTAGCTTCATCATACTTAACACAGTGATGTGTACATGAGTGCTGGAGCAAGGAAACGATCCACTCTCATAACTTGAGTGAAGAGTATGTGTGCATATTGCTTCAAAGATCGTTTGGGTTGTTTTTCTGACTCGGTGAAGAGTAGCTAACGTGCTTAACTAGCTTAGTCCATACTTACATGCTCCCCGGTAACTTTCGACAATGTTAACAAGTTGGAACATTTGCAAATATAATATGACCCTGCCGTTGTTCTCAGAACTACACCAATTTTCCCATGATGGCCATGTATGTAGGCAATAAAAGACCCTTGACTGGGCGTCAACAAGAGCAAGGGGGCAGTATTAGTTGTTCAAATCAAGCTCAGCATGCAAGGTATCCGGTAGGCCGGTTATCTATATGAAGAATCATCTTGGGCGTTGTGGTTTGAGTGAGGGCATGTGCACGTCTTAGTCACAACTGCGAGATGGCTGTCAAAGTACAGCTTAATATATCTGTCAGGCTGGCTACTGGCATGATTAATTGCCTGGTGTAACTAGTGAGAGAGAGAGAGAGAGACGTGCATCCATATTATTCATTTATTATTGTCTACATTGGCGAGTAAGTTATCTAAAGCACACAACAAGCATGCCACGAACTTCTTCACCTGAAAAAAGTAGCACTCCTTTCATGTCGATTCCCACGCCTTGGGAGGCATTTCTGTGCAAGTGGTGAAGGAGGCAGTTACGACCAAGACTGGTAGTGTCAGTGCCAGGCTGCAACTTCCTCAATTGCCTTGCAGCTCTGCCCATCGTTCCTTCAAGTCTTCACCAGGTCTATCTTCACATCTTATTTGTCATAAGAACCTGCCGCAGTGGACCCTGCTGTGTCACAAAATCTATCGTCCCAAACCCAGACAGTTGTCCAGCCTGAAGCCCATGGTGTGGAAATCTAGGTCCAGCATTTTCCCCCGAAGCTTGAACTTGGGTATCCCGTTCCTACTCAAAGTCCAGCTCAAAACCAAACCCAAGGTGTTTCTATGCATGAGAGCCTGTTCATATTCTCCAACGCCTCGCACTGTCTTTTTTCTTTCATGTGCAACCCCGACATCCTGTGATCCGTCGCTCTAGATTGTAAATCCTTACACCAAATATGCCTCGAGGACGCCCAAGGGTCAAGTCGCGTCCTCAGCTTCCACAGCTCAGCTTGTCACCTGTCGATCGGCCTGATGCCCAACCAAACCTGCCCGTCCCGAATAACCCATCGCCTGTGACACCAAGTGCGCGTCTTGGTTTGAATTTCGGAGGTCTTGCAAGTTCAAGGCAGACCAGCCGTCCCTCTTCAGTCTCAGGGCCGGGCGACGCGTCTGTGGACAGGCCCAGCGATCTCGAACAACCATTGACAAGATCTATTGATCAGGACTTTTCATCCGATGACCACTCTGGAGACACACCTGAGTCGAATCAAGGCGGCGACAGGGAACGCTCCTTGAGCGTGCCTCCATTGGCGCGAGGTCGTCGTTCAATACCTTCGCAAGCATCTGGGCATACTTCCCAGCAAAACTTAGGATATGAGTTACAAGATGAGCTCCATTCTGACCAGCAACAAATTATCGATACTCAAGCGACCCTCCCGTTACCTCCAATGGACAACCTTGGAAGTGCAAATCGCAGACTAACTCGCGCACCGCCGACCTCGAGGTCCCCAATGGCTGATGCATCGCAGGCCACAACATCTAGTGAGGTTGGAGAAGTTTACCCGACACTCCCAATCATGTCTGGAGAGTCCTCCCAAGAAGACCGAAGAATATCAGGAAAGAGTGCCAATTCCACACCCGGAGAGCCTTCTCGAACAATCTCGATCCAAGAAATCGACAAGTTGATGGGCTTGATGTCGGAAGAGCCTCGACAAGACCATGAGTCATGTCAAATTATGGACAAAGACGAACCATCGGGACATGATACCAATACAGTTCCCGTCCCAATAATGTCCGGCGAGTTGTCCTTCGAGGACGAAATTGAACCCGCTCGAACTGTACGCACGTCCAATCCATCTCATGCCGTCTCTGCCACCGCGTCTCACAGTCCCGAGATCAATGAGGCCGAGGTTGAAGATGACATGATTGTGCCGACAGACGAACAACCATTCTCCGGTGACATTGACTCGGCTGCGAGCGATGGTGAAGTTTCATACAATCCGAGCGAATCAGACAGCCCACGCGCATCCAAAAGCCGGGGGAAAGCTCCCGCTCGCAGAACGGGAGGGAGGAAAACTGCCAAGTCAAAAGATCAATTGCATGCTTCTGCGACCAAGGAGACAGGTAGGAAAAAGACCATTCGAGCACAATTGAGGGGTGAAGTTCCTTCGCAAGTATCTCGAAAGGGACCTGCGAAGACTTTCGCCTCGTCGCAACTGAGAACACAAGTTGAAACATCTTTGCCCAAGGTCGCCACCAGAAAACAAACTCAAGACCAGGTTTCCAACTCACAGGTCGAGGTAGGAAGGAAGACAGCAGGTAAACCTCAGCCAAGAAAAGTCCAGAATAAGGCAACGGCATCGAGAACAGTTGGAAAGGCAATTCCCGAGACCCTTGCTCCTCGAGGGACGGATGAGGATACCATCCCAAACTCACAGCCACCTGCAAACACCAAGGCAAAGAAGAATGGCCCAACCCCGAAAAGAGTACCGAAGAAGCCATTTTTTGAGAAGACTGATATTGTACACAGCAGCGAGTTTCATGACTCTGCGATTGACATGGTATCCCAGAAGAAAATGAAGAAACCGGTCTCAAAACGCAGGACAGATGCGGCCCAGATACAGAAGAACCACACGAGCTCAGCGAGCGAGCAGGCGGTTGCTATTGTAGACAGCTCTACACAGCAAGCACTCAGAAAGAGACGCCCGGATGTTGCTGATATGTGGGCGGTAGAAGGATCGCCAGAGCCTTCGGAGCAGGGAATGCACATCAAGAAGAGAAAGACTGCAAGTGATTCTCAGTCGGATTTAAAGCAAAGAGAACAATCTCCAGCCAAGAATGAGACCAAAAGAACGTCTCGGCCTGCCAAGACTGGCCCCAATTCGAAAAAGAAGCGTAGTCCTGCCAAGTATGGTTCTAACCGAAAGAATCCTCGATTGGGAAACCAGCCGTTTCCAAAGGAAGATACAAACCCTGACATTGTGCATTTCGACCGTCATCATGGACCTATCAAACCTGACCCCGAGGCGGCGCCATTGGATGATGCCAACAATGACCTACGCACATCTGGCCAACCGAATATGGACCAGAGCTCTGTTGACGAAAATCGGCTGAACTCTGAAGGTTCTCTCAACAACGGTGTGGAAAGCCCATTTAGATCTGAGCACTCAGGTGCAGATCTCCAATCCGTGTCTGTGCCTCAGATGGTGCCCGAACTACCACTAGATGAGAAGCATGGTACCCCTTCCGAGCCCGACGACGAAATCAGTGATGCAGAGTCCAGTATGGATTTTCAGACAAACAATGAAGTGCCAGTGGCGGATGTTCAAGACAGCCCAACGATATCTGAAGAGTTAACCGATGAACATGGGCATAAGTTAGAGCCTCTGCGGAAGTCTGGCTCATCGATTGAAGCCATTCCAACTATAGATCGAAATAAAAGGCAGCGAATGAACGAGGAACCTCTTCCTATAGCCAAGAGCAAATGGGTTGCCTCAACGAAAACTCCGGCTCACACCATTGAAGAAGATATGCCACCAACTCCCCACAAGCATCAGGTTACAGTTGAAGATTCTGGAAGTCCCATCAAGTTTAATGGGACTACGAAATTTCGACAACGTAAGCCTGGGGATGTCAAATTATCACCTACCAAACCGCTCGCACCCCAGCTCGCTCAATCACAGGTTGAAGTGAAGGACCACACATCGCGCAGAGTTCACGTTGACGGAAGCCCTGTGGACCCCCAAGAACAATCGAGATTTCTCCATTTAGAGTCGAGAAAGGCTGAAGTGTCCCATGATGGCCATTTGAACAAGGTCGTGCAGCCCATGCAGCCTGTGCCCAAGGCTTTATCCCAAACAACAAGCAAAAGGGACCACAAAGAAATCTTGGTGAACATGCGCAAGGCACCAACTGAGAGAGAATTGAGAAAAGAATCGCCAATGCAAGCCACAATCGAGGGTTTGACGGTTAATTCACAGGCAACCACGGAAGTGTCTGGACGCAAGCCGTTGGCAGAGCTGAACCGACTGATCCCAAACGGCGCCTGCCCGAGACCCCTGTTCATCCGAAAGAAAGTCCCATTGGAGATTATGAGGTCAGATGAAAGGCACTCTTTGGGTTCTCATTCACCATCCCGGTTCGCAAGAGTTAGATTCGACGACCCGCCATTTCGGGCGACTCAAACGCCACATAGACAGAGGATTCAGGTTGAAGATCCGTTCATACAAGATGTCAATGATCAAAAACAAAAGAACACAGCTTTCATGCGCAGAGTATTGCAAGACTCCCAGGTACATCAACAACTGGAAGCAGCCCCAAAGCTCCATCCGCGATCACAAACCTTCGCTCGGGACCATCCATTCTTGGTTCCGGTACGTGAAGAAGCCCATGAGCTTGGGACTGGCCCATCGCACAATACCAACCAAATATCGCCACCGCCAGCTCAATATGATCCATGGAGGTCCTCCCAGCCAGTCGCACTTGCGGAATCCTTTGGTAGAAATGACAACTACAAGTTATCATCCAGTCGACGTGAAGGAGATTTATGCCTTCAGGACAAGCGTCAGTCAAGCAGCCAGAATCGATGGGAGAGCGCAGCTGGCTTTGCTTCAAACGGATTGGCGGACCTTCTACACACAATTACAACAGTAAGATTTTTGGTAGAGATGATTCGATCACGAAACTGACCGCATCATTCAGAGCATTTTGCGACATCTAACCTCAGAGGAGGATGCAATTGCCACCATAGTGGAGGATTACAGGCGTAACTGCAAACGGATTACCGAAAAGCTTCTCAGATGCCAAAAATATGAGAGTGAACAGACGCTCGAAGTGTTTCAAAAGAACTGCCACCAACTCGTCACAGTCTACGAAAGTGCCGCTCGGTGTACCAAGACTATTGGTGACGGATTATCTGGTAGACTTATCCACCTAGGTCAGATGAAGGAGGATAAACGAAGACAGGCCAATAAAATCCGAACGGCCATGCTTGCTGCGACGCAGAAGTGTTCAGAGGATTGAGAAGTGGCATCCTGCCAGATTGATATGCGATCTCAAAACTTCGACTAGTGTCAATATCACGCACGACCCTGAAACGGTAAAGGGTTGCATCGCGAGTACCTTTGCAAGTTCTATGGATGCAGTTTGCTCCGACAAGTTTATTGCTTCAGCCAAGTCTGGGATGGGAAACATGGCGAAAAGGAAGATTTACAGGAGATTGTTACGTGTAATTAAACGCTGAAGAGCTCACACCTGGGAGAACAGGTATATAGATTGTATCACATTTACTTAGCTACCAAGAGACATGGCCTTCGCTACACTCTGATTAATGAATATTCTTAAGTGAACCGAATGCCTCAACAGCGCTCGGGTGGGGGTAACTTGTGACACGTTTGATTTTGTTTATTCATATACTAACGTACCCCACAAGCAAGTTGGCCACACAAGCAAGTTGGCCACTTTTTCTTGGCACCGTACGAACAACCTTTTAATTAGCATCTTTACACATACCAAGATGGGATCGAATTGGAAAGAAAGCGACATGATTCTAGCGTGTCAGGCGCTTCAATCGAAACCCGAATTAAGCATCCGACGCCCTGCCCAACTCTACAATGTCCCTCGGTTTCAGGGGGACAGGACTTATTCCGTACGACCCGGAATATGTGATTTCACAGCTGGATATTAAGCTACATACGCCTACACCTCCTGGGAGCTCGTCTGGCGCCCCCTTAATCTGGGAATCGAAGACTCCAAATAACCCAACCGAGGCGCAATCCCAGTCTGAATACGTTAAAAACAGAATCGTACAGCATCAGAATAGCTCCCCGACGACAATACTTACGGCTATTGACCAATTTTCACGTGGTGCCACGGCTGTTATGCATCGGTTAGTTTTACTTGAGGATGAGGTTACTACACTTCGGAAGGCCAATCAAGAGCTAAGCCGTCGTCGAAGGACTCAAAATCCACAGCTACAAGATGGAGGATCTCTTAGTTTACAAGACGCTCAGGACTTACAGTCTCAACGGGATATTGAACAGCAGCTACAGGATGATATACGTGTAAGTCGTCGTCGTACGAGACCGGCCGAACCACGCCGACAGCGCTGTAGGATCTGCGGAGAGCCCGGACATAATGCTCGTACTTGTGAGAATGATAAAGATACGTACGAGGAAGAGGATTCCGATTAGTTTGAATTATTATTTTTTAGTTTAGTTTAGTTATTGAAGTTATTCATACGGTGCCAAGAAAAAGTGGCCAACTTGCTTGTGGGGTACGTTATGTCGTTATATAGGTTTAGGGTTTGCTTCGTTGAGCTCCAATGTCAGATTATGCCTGTCCGACATTTTCATTTTCTGTTTTAGGTCATGTTACTTCTCTGCTACGGAATACAGCACTTATCAGTCAAGCGAATCTTATTCGACTGTCTGGGGAGCTTCATGTTGGTCGGGGTGATAATAATGTAAAGCACGATTACCACAAAGGAGAAAATCAAATATTGCACTATCTACATAGTATCCCGTCAAACTCAAAAGAAACCCTCCGTCATCACTCCTCATGCTCCGAGTCAGAGCTGCAATACGCAGTCGCAAACGAATAAGCAAACGACGACTTCTTGGTCGATGTGCCTAGTCCGCCTTCCCGTCCTTCCTCCTCCCTCATACTCAGAGTGCCTCTCGGCCCTATTATCTCGCAAGGCCCCTCGTGTAAGACAGTGTGCTCGGGCACCACCCCGTCCTCGACGGGGATCGTGATGGCGATCGTGTCCTCCTGTCCCGGGTACTCGGTCCCGTGGCCCCAGGGGCTCACATCTGAAGTGTCCTCGGCGAAGATGAGGCCGTGTTTGCCGCCGCGGATCCAGGCCTCGGTGTGCTGGGGGGAGGATGAAGGGGAGATGAAGGCGGCGGCGAAGGTGGAGGTAGAGGTGACGTTCGGCAGGGTTATGTGTGCTAGGCCGGAGATAAAGTATACGAACCTAGAAGGTACTCGGTTAGTAATGGTGGAAAATATGCATATTTGTGCATCATGCTTGTACAATCAAACAAGCAAAATATAGAAGAAGATAGTCATAGACAAGGGGATAGGGTAGAATGAAAACTCACTGCTTGCGTGGCTCACTATGCAAACCCCCGTCGTATCGCGCAGGGATGATGTCGTAGGTAGCGTTGCCCAGCTGGGCCAGGGACATGGACTGCGTTCCCACTCGGCCTGGCTCGTCAGACGTGACGAAGGGGCTGCTCAGTTGCCAGCACTCGAGGACCGAGACAGAGTTGTGGGCCGACAGGGCGGTGATATTAAGGTAGTTGGTTGTGGGCGCAGTTGCCGCGAGGGCAGAGATGCTCAGGTTGCGCAAGATGTTGACCTTTGAAAAGGTCATATTGAGAACGAACTTGTAAGAGGGCTGGCGTTCTTGATGACGTGTTGCAACAGAGCGGCAGATGAGACGGGTCTTTGGTATTCTATTGTGATTGTATTTCTGCACCTGAATTCATCTCAGGGAAGGACATTTATATCATAACTGGGATTCTATCATCTATGCTGGAAAGGGCTGGTTGTTTTGAATTAATCCCTTTGCCGGCGGCGGCCGAGCAACGACTTTTCAACGTAAGTATCTTCTCAGGCGTTAGCAACACGAGGACGCATCTGAACTATGTACCAGAGTTTGACAAGGGCATCGTGAGTAGTTGATTCTAGTACGAGGGTCTGCCGGGGCGAGAGTTGAGTGCATCAGCCCTTATACGAGCTAGCTGGAGTTTGGGATGCATATGCAACCATATGACTGACAACCTAAAATACAGGCAGAGCAGTTGGGATTTGGGTTCAACGTTGGAAAAGCGCTAGGAGAATTGACCTTGTAGATTGCCTGATGGATTGCGGCATGCAGAGTGCGGCAACTTGACTCTAGCAACCCTGGTTGGACGGGGCAACACTCATAAATCAGATCGGATGCACCGCGTGAACAGTCTGGAACATCTGCGTATAAATCCGTAATAGCCAAAGGGACTCCACCACAGGCTAGTGGTGAAGGATTTGGGTTAGAGCTGGGGTTTAGGGTATTGAACTCTGTCTAGGCTAGGATTAGTTCGTAATAGTTGGGTAGTTTCGAATACACAAAAAGCTCACATTACGGTTCATACCATGTGAAATGCAGAGAACGCAGCGGCAAATATGTCAAGTGTTATTTGTTTGAAGTATTGCTTTGTCTTTGGTCCAGATGGCCTCACGCCGGCTATTCAGGGGAACCTCGTCAATGTGAATAGTGCATGTCTAGCAATCACCATCTATGTTCGCGCATCTTTCGTTGCAGTAAACCAGGGGTGTTAAGCGTTCTCACTTTGCAGTCTCTCAACGAACCCATTGCTGTGGTCAGCCGTTGTTATCTTGGCATAGGGAGTGCGGTTTGAGATCCTGCCAATTGTGATGACACTGGTGGCCTTAGGTAGAGTGGCTCCGGCCCCGGCCCCGTTTTTAGAACTTTGCAATGGGAAATGGTCATGGAGTAGTTGGAAGACGGGCGCCAAGGTGGGTAGGCAGGCACCGATGATGGCGATGGAGACTTTGAAAGTGGTCACTAGCCATGGCCCCACGAACTGTTCTGGCGTAACTAATTAATTTCATTCATATGGAATCCCTGGTTCCCATATCAGTAGCTTACTCGTCATGTTTGTGACACCCTTTTGATATATCTCTAAATACGTTAGAATGAAGCGAATGGTGCTTGCAATGACGACTCTGGGACTAGGTTAGCAGAAATAGTCCCCAGAAGATCCCGGGCGTATTGAGCCACGTGTTTTCTCATTCACGATCCACCGAGAAGAAATAGTCCGGCAAAGCCAGCTTTTTTCCACCTTAAAATCCTCAGGAGCAAGAGTTCGCGGATGGGGAGGATGACAATGGCGAGGTCCATGACGAAGTTGGGTATCGAGTTCCTGAGGAAGAAGAGAGCCTTGTTGATACACGTACCCTCCAGCGTAAAATCCCAGGCCAAAGCGACTGGCTTGCATTGAAATACCGAGACGGTCTCGAAGGCGATAAACCAGCCCACACACATTGATCCCAGCACATACGTCTCAGTTCTCACCATCCAGGTTGGGAAGAGCCGCCAGTAGAAGACCAGGACTGCCAATTTGATCAAGGCGGAGGCAAATCCATAACTGATGCAAAAGGCGAAAAGAATCTGTTCCCGTTAGTTTCTATTTCATAGTATTCGGACTTTTCTGTAGGCGAAATTCACCTTCATCAGATGCCCAAGCTTGTCATTGTGCTCAGTCTTGACAATGCTGATATCCTTCCCAAGACCACTGTAGCGGACAGCTGTTGGATTGTTCGTCAGCGATTAACATATTGACCGGCATTGATGGCGGAAATCCCACCCATAATGGTGATAATGATGAGGCCATAATAAACAATCTGTTTTGTCCGGGGTCAGACCAGCTGACTATGGATTAATAGGGGCCTGTGAACGTGTCCATACTAAGGTGATAGCGGCCAGGTAGTCATCCGCTCCCCAATGAGCACCCTTGAGCTTTCTAGAACAGAATAGCAGGACGACCGCGATGGTGGCAATAACACCGAGTGTGACCGTGGGCACGATAATATCCAGACCACTGTCGGACAGGTCAGGTATTTCGATGTCATGTTCAACCCACGGCAACATGAGGAGGAGGAATGAACCCACACAGCGGGATTGAGTCAGGAAAATAAAACGCTGTGTTGCACTGATTGAGCCGAGGTTTTAAGTATTCTGGAGTTTGGTTCCTGTCCAACTTCTACGTTTATGGCACCGACGGCCGCGAAATCCAGGCGCCACGATCCCGGCTATCCAGACGTGCTAGGTTAGTCTTATCGTCGCCAAGTCTACTGCCTACAGGACTGCAGTTTAACACTTTTCGACGGCGCTCCTTGGTTAAGGCACTAGACGGAGCCACTGGAATGGGGCGTAAACGTAGAGACTTTTCAACATCTTGAGTACCGAGTAATGCCACCCATTCTGAATCACTCGGACATATATTTCTGATCCGAGTCGTTGATGCAAGTCAATCATGCGAGCTATTTCGATGGAGCCAAGCAGAAGCTTGAAACTCTCTCCTGTGAACTCATCTGCCACATTCTTAACTCTGGAGAGCAAGGAAAGGTCTTGGACGCATGATTGAGAGTACCCCCTCCAGATTGATTGGGCCCCAGATAAATTTGGGAAGAGTTCATTGTAATTCAATGGCTCAATCCTGTGGCTCAACCCCGGCGTTGGCCTGAGGGAGAACCAGAGCGTGAGCGAGCAATTGGCTGCAGGCAAGAAGGGAAGCATCCGCAACATCATCCTCATCTGCGCCGGGGCCGTGATCAAGAAAGGCCTGACGATGCTCACGGTATTTACCCTCATGGCCAGTCTTCTTAGCGCCCGGCAAGACCGATCCCGTCAGTCGTCCCAGCAACTCGCGGGGCCAAGTTCTCCACTGAACTCATATACTGCGTACAGGGCGGTCACGTCTACCCCATCGACGATATGAAAACGCCTTTCTGAAACGGTATCAGCGACGAGGAGGGAGCGAAGCTGATGGCTGTGCTGAAACCGCACTTTGAGCCCGCGTTTATAGACCCTGTGACATGTGCCGACGAAAATCTGACGATTCCTCTGTTTTACATTATGGTGAATAAAGATGAGGCAGTGCCGTATCCGTTTTAGGGTATCGTCTGTGATGACATTCCGGGATTTCGAAGGATGATATTCCTTGACGCGGGACACCTGAAGCTTGAGGCCCTGGAATTGGCGTCGTTTTCGAAGGCTGGAAATTTTGCAGTTCAGAGCCAGTCGACATATTAGCTATTTCCCTTACATGTGAGCACACACAGCATTTATATCTCCACCGTGCAGTTGGTTTGCGTCATTTTTCTCACCACGTACGCTTTTCATAGTGACATACCAATGTGGCAGCGGAAATATATGGCACTTATTCCATAAGCGGACAACTTTGGGACGTCCTGAAACGAAAAGAAAACGGTCCTTGATCGAAATACTGGCTTGAATTCAGTATTCCCCGACCGTGCAGAACGCTATCGCAAAGCCAGTGTATCTGTCTGGACCAACATCAGGACTTCTGCCATTGTAGGGAACAGAGTCTCCGCCCACAACCGATACCCTTCCTCGCTGAGGTGAACATGATCGACTAAATGACCTTTCTGAACCGCTGTGGTTGCAGGCAGAAAGATAACTCGTTGAATCCCTAGGTTGTTGTTTATTGCAATAGAGAGGGACTCGAGTGTCGCATTTGCCTCGTTAATTAAGTGATCTGATATATCCTTTCTGAAGAATAGTCCTGTTAGGATGACTCGAGTTGATTGGTCTGATGTTCGCAGCAGCGCCTGAAGCAGCACGTGGAGACAATCCACGTCCGCAGCTCGGAGCCCTCGTTTGCGATGCAGATTATTCGTCCCGCCGTGAACCACCCAGAGCTTTATATTGCGGTGGACCAAGATATCCAAAAGCCCAGTGACTTTTCGCTGCTCATTAGACTCGCCGACAAGTCTGTAGAGCATGTTTTGGTATCTATCGCCGCCAACGCCTGCGTTGAAGACACTATCCAATCGAGACAGCTCTGGCAGCTTTGTTTGTTTGAGATGATCGAGTGCGGATTCGCTTAGCATAGTTTTTGATGGCCAGGGCTGAAAGTCAGGACTGTTGCCAGTGACCTTCATCTGTTCGATGAGCGAATCGCCAAGCAGCACCACTGCAGGCTCTGCTGGATGGGATTGAAGAGTGGGGACATGGACGTCGTTTGAGGTTTGGTGAGATCGTTCCTTGAATAAGGCGCGTGATTTGAGTAGTTGCCTTAAATCATCTACTGGTAAAGATTGGTTCTCATCTGCTGGTCCGGTATCCATTTGATTGCTATGCCGGATTTGGCGTTCTTGTATTTGGGTAAATCGGGTTTTGATTGTGACGTAAAACCAACATTGTGGTTCTGAAAAATTTGTAGAGTTGACGGAATAAGTGCTTACTGCTCAACACACCTGGAAATGCTTCCTTCGTGAGTCGGCACTTTATACTCCTAAGCCTTGGCCACCACTGACTGTGGCACGGGCCAGTTCCAATACTCGCCGTTGACTCACCGGCTGCAAATTCCGAAGCATTCCATGTATTCAACGAAACAGGTGCAATGGACGATATATCTAGTCGCATAGTCTTTTAAGTGTGGAGAAAATGTAATGGAGCCACTGCTAGCAGAAAACGCTGATGGGTCGTGCCCATATCATTCTGCCAACTTAGTGACGACACAATGACCCAGAGCTTGCTGAGACAAGCAGTGACTGTATATCAGTTGACACATCGACCCAGAAGTATGTTGATCCTTTCTCTACTCTTTCAGCAAGCATGCAGGGTCGCCCATGCTCAGGCGATGTCTGCAGCCCTATCAACGCCTCAATAGGGCACAAGAAAAGCGGATTGCAACATGGATTATTCGCTGGTAGTCACCAGGGTACCCCCCTCAGTCGCCAAAAAGTGCGACTGCAGTGAGTAAACTGGTTGATTCCATAGGGGAGATATAACCGCTAGGGGAGAACTAGCTGGAGGGCTTTATACGTGTATCCACGAAGTGCACTGGTACTTCGATATCAGAGGTGGCTATGATAGCTGGATTTAGCCCGAGAATACCATTAACGTCAATAAGGGCGGCTTAATGACGGGCTGCATTATTGTAAAGTGACTGATTTCACTGCAGGGAATAACGTATTAGTACTCGGTAGCGCTAAAACACACCCATCATTTCTCGCAGTTTGGTAGGGTCTCTGTTGAATGATTAGGCTTACATCCGCAATTATACCATACTATTTCAATGGGGCATCCGGGTTTCTCATACTATCCTACTACCGTGCACTATGTATTCTATTGTTGACTTCCCCCGGATCCAGAAGTGGCAAGTTAAGTAGTGAGCCCCGACAAGCAATGGAAGAGGATGGCCGCACATCATAAACTACTTACGTAGTACTACTTTCGCTTCAGGCATTTAACGACTCCAAACGCCCTATATTACGCGACATTATTAGAATAGCCCGAGTGAAAGAATATTGAGAAACGGACCATTATGATAATCCTGTAAATAGAATACTACCGTAATCTTACGAAATCAGCTCTCGATTCAAACAAAATGGTTTATCTACTATTGAAATTTAACGTGCTTACCGAAGCTACTACTAGAGCTTCTATACGCGCTACCGTTGCAGAGGCCCATCTCGCCGAGATCAACAAGGTATAGTTACAGATGTATTCGAAGTCCTTAACGCGACAAACTTCACTACCGGTATTGTCAAAAAAGAACGAGCGAGTGTAGTCGGAGATTTCAGTAACAAGGCTAGCGAAGCTGAAGCAACAAGGGTGAGAAATATAAACTGTATAGTGATTTAATATGGTACAAATTCGCCATAAACGCCTATATAAATTAGAATCCCGAGCTTGTAACAAATATTCCTGCCTTGATCGCATTAACCCCCTTTGGTAACGCACCCCGATTTGCAGCGAAACTGGACCATCAACATAACACGCGTCTCAACGCAATCCCCTCTTTTCTCCACGACTGCGTGCAAAATAATGCGTAAAACTGAGTTTAATCCAGACAACGCTACGCAGCGCGTTACGCGCGCTATCCAGTATGTTCATTAAGGCCATATGCAGAGCGTGACAGGCAGCCGTTACAGCGAACACCCCTGTACCCTCTCCAGACGACTCCAGTCTGCTGAATCGCACAGTGCCGGCGGCACTTATTCTGATGAATTGGTTCCTATGCGAAAACCTCTATAGCCGCACTCCTTCTAAGTGTTATGGGTCGCATTCGCCAACGAAATAATACACGCCTAAAGAGCGGTTACGCTAACCGGTATTTCTTATATTAAAAGGCTTTATATCCCGTTATCCCGATTTCTCAACCGAAGTTATCCGCCATATCGAAGCTTTAGAAGCAGGGAGCAACCGCAACCGATCCCATCGCCTCGTTGTCATCATGCCATCCGAAAACAGGAACTCGCGCAGGCCAAAGTCGGGCTCCAGAACCGTGCATTCTCTCCTTGACCGGTATCTATTTGTTAGTCACATGCGTAAAAATACGTCGAGCCAACCACAGAAACCAAAGCAAGGCTGCAAAAAGTGAATTCATGAAGTCCGTGACTATGTTCATTTGCGCGCTGTGTTTGGCCACCAGTCACCAGTTCCTACATAAGACATACAGTATTATGAATAAGTCGCTAATGCACCACCAATGTCCTCTTCAAGATTTCAGCAGGCCAAACAATTCGTGTAGCTGAACAGTTCATCTACAGCCTCCTCCATTACCTCCAGTCGCTCCTCCATGGTTCGCGTGCTCGCATCTGGCGGCGGACCAAGTAGTTCCTCCATACGTCGAAGACGGGTTTCAACGCCTCTTGTGGCGACATGGTCTTGTTCCAGCTCCGCAATTTTGCGTTGCAGCTCTTTGATCTCTATGTTGCCCCAACGTTCGTAGCGCTCAAGCAGGGCGTGCAATTTGTCAAGTTTTCCCATAAGTTCTTGGTATTCATTCATGTCTGCGTTTTCGTGTTGATGAGCTGCTCTCGGCCGCTGGTCAACTGCCGCGGCCTGCTTGTGAGAGGCGTGCGGTCCCGGTCGATGACCGACGCCTCGGACCTGTGCCTCCACATCACGAGGCTCCCTCCAATTGGGTTGTTGTCGGATTTGGGCGAGTCTGGCCTCGCGTTGTATCTGTTCCTCCCGGTGATCCTTTGGTTCGAGGCGTTGCTGACGAGGAGAATGCCCATCGCCTTCGCCCGGGGCGTTGCGCCAGGGTCTTGCAAAATCTATGGGCGACGGGCCGGCCCCTTCGAATATTTCGGAGTGTTGTAGTTTTTCTTTGGCAGCTACAGCTTCATCCTCCCACTTGAAATTCACCCACCCCCACCCTTGTCCTGAGTATTTGTTAGTCGACAAAATTTCGCCATATTTCCCAAATGTTGCCTTGAGCATGGTTCGTGTGACCCAATCGGGAACGTTCCTGATAAAGAGCGTGTTGAACACTTTTGGATGAGTGTCCGGCTCGGTAGGAGTTCGCGTTGCGTTTGGCGGGGAGTGCACGTTGGAATCCATCCCGCTTGTTTGGCTAGAAGAACTGGGCGTTCTGGATTGCATGAGCGCAGCTGGCGTCCCGACTTTGCCATCTGCCGACTCCGAGTCTGTACTGGTGGAATATCCAGAGACATTACTAAGAGACACGCGTTTCGAGGGTAGTTCGGACTCGTCAGCAAGGGCGACCTCATCTGGCGCGGCGAAGGTTGGACGTTTTCCCACTCGGTGCACTCGGTGGCTGCTGTTCTGAACTAATGATTCAGTCGCTTGTGAAATTGAAGAATGAACAACATCCGGGCTTGTTCCCTGCTTGTCGGAAAAGACGAGGCCCCCATCACCCGAGGAGCTGTGACCCGTGTCTTCGCCATCGGAACGGACTACCGGGGTCTGACGCGAGGGGAGGTTCGAGCTGGAAACGTTGCCGTTCTCTATTTGTGAAGTTTCGTAGTCCATCGCTTCAGTCGGAGTGGCGCCTTCCATTTCCGGCAAGGAATATGGCACGAGCTAACACTTGGAGATGATGCTGGACAGTGGAGAGCTGGACACTGGACAGCTGATTGGAGGACCGATGAAAATACGTCCCGAGGTAACTACTGTATAATCCAAAATGGTCTCGTATTGAGTCTCGCCCAATCAGCCCGAAGAATGCAGAATCCAAAATTGTGATGCATATGGTCGGGTTTGCTGGAACCTGTACACGGTCGACGTCCAAAGTGTGCCATGAGTGGCTCAAGTTTGTACTTTCCGACACTGAGCTTCCTATAGTCGCACAGTAGGAAGGCGCCATGCATGATGCTGGTACAATGCCGGGAATCGTGTCGGCTTGTACCAGAAAGCCGGAAGTTGCAACGCGAGCAACAAAGAAGCCAACCCAATCTTCTGCCCAGTGCTCCTGACGATTGATGGACGAGAACGCACTGATTTCTATGCGGTGTGGCAACGGGAACCCGAGCCACAACTTGGATTATTACGTCCAAATGGCACACCCTTTCATTGCCTCATATGATTATGTCACCGAAGACACTCCAACGAGAACTTCTGCTCCGATTTCAGAAGCAGTGGCTCGACGTGGCCAATCTGCTCGGGGAGCGTTCCGAACGGGTTGCTCAGCTCGGCACACAGTGAAATGGGACATCCACTGAATCGACAAAGCCGGTGTCAGTGAGACAGCCGTTTTACTTAATTGACCCATGGAATTGCGGGTTATGAATATTAGGAAGGGACCAATCCGACTTTTCACTCTCAGAAAAGAAAACCTGATGATCGTGCCCATACGTTTGAACCAATACTGCATCGCACCGAGAAATTACCGGGGCCATGGGCAAATAATGTTACTCTTATAATGCAGTGCGATGCCGCGATACATCAACGCCCTCAGCAGCCATGCATATTGGCCTCTTACGAATAACGTGTTAATCACTTTTTTAAAGTGGACTCTTCTTACTTCAAGCAAGTAGCCACTTCGGAATTGCAGACGTGCGTAATGGAAGGCTCATCAAGTATTGAACGTTAGGGAGTGTTTTGGTTATTGGATTTTTTTTCCTTATTTTTATTCTACATCTGCGGAACGACCCCATGCTCCAAAGTCCCTCCCCATGAAAGATCTCTGCGAAGCATGGGCAGTACGAAAGATATGTTGACCTTCACGGAAACGAGGCTGTCCCCGAGCTCTAGCCACATTTGTCGTGTCTCATTGCATCATTTCAGTTCCACTGGCCTGCAGAGAAACAGATTCACAGAGGTCCAGACTGTGGTCTCTTGCGAGCAAGCATTTGTATGTGCCGTTGTGAAACCCGGCTCCGAGTTTCCGCTCATGACTCCGTTACGCGCAGAAGCAATCGCCACTGATGCAATCAAATCCGGCAGCGCTGCACTGGTGACGATGAATGTTAGCGGGTGTGCCGTTTGCGAATACATTTGAATTCGGCCAAGGCATATCTTACCATTGATATGCATACGCTGACTTCATCATTAGTACACTCTTTGCGAGCGACGAGACTCGGGGCCGCCGTGGCACTGACACCCAGAACAGCGACGACAACGGTGAAGAGCGAAGACAACTGCATGATAGCGAGAGTCAATGTCGTAGGAATTGGTGGCCAGTTGACGAGAAAAGACTGGGCTTTGAGATAGTGATTGTAGGTTGATATGTCGATATGGGTGGTGGCGGTCCAATGAGAGTGAAGAAGATCACGACTAAATAAGTGGGACTTATATCTTGCCGATTACTCTGGGTTTGGAACTCATTAGGGAAAGATCAGCACAAGAAGATCTTGTCTTCTTCGGACGAACCTGATGCGTATCCCCCCAAGTATATAGACACCGACCATGTAGACGTGCCCTTTGCCCCCTTCTGTCGATGTCCTGAGAAGGGCAACAGTAAGGTCCCCACCCACTGTCGGATCATTGTTTCACCCAGCCCTTGTCCTGCCCGAGTCAGCTGCGACGACAGACAGACCCGACAGTCCGAAACCCGTCCCCCCCTGGAGGTTTAACCGGGGGATCGTGCTGACCGGGCTTGCGAGACATCATTCTGTAACCTTTTAATATATTTGAAGCCCCAACGGTGTAACTTGACATAAGTCAACGTCACCTCCACATGTCAGCAGCATTCCCCCTTTTGAAACCAACGACAGGTCCTACCAGTCAAGCCATCCAGACTGCGCGTTTCATAGACTAAGTTCAGCGGTTCCGCTCCCAAAAGGGCATCTCTTGGCGTCCCATGATCCCGAGAGTACGACGAACTGGGCTGTGCTTTCATTCCCCGCTCCAAGGCGGAACACCCGATCAGCTGGAACACACGATACAGGCAACGAGCCTAGCCAGCCACGAGTTGAAGGCCGACTCGTTTCCTTGATTGAACGATGGGCGACGCAACCTGACCTGAGCTGTTGGTTGACTGCGGTGAGCTGCGCTATGACTCGTGGCTTCATGCATTGTCATGACCATGTTGGTGGAGGCGCAAGCAGTGATACGCATTTGAAGACGAAGCCTCGCCAAGCAGCCAAGTTGCCTGCTCCCGTCCCCTCCTCCCTGCCTTTCAATCGACAATTCAAGAAAAGGGTTAGAAAGGGCATTATCAGATACAGTGACAACCCGATAACTCTTCACGTTTTGTCACCTGTCCCCTTGCTGGTCAAGTGTCGGACCGCATCGGCCCTTATTTTCCTTTTCTAGCTCATTTGTGCTCGACGGCTGATAGAATGTCTTAAACTTGCTTTGGTGTAAGAGCTAAAAGGCACACTTTTCTGTACTTCATGACCTTGGGGCTTGAGAAACCAGATAAACAGCAAATTCTATGCTTCGTTATAGCTCGCAATAAGTCCGATATCAAGGCAGCATTCTCAGCTTATTGGTCAAGTATCGCAACCATCACAAATCCCACCTCTCCAACCAGCCAAGGTGAACAAGTAAATATTAAACATTGACTATATAAGTGACCCAACTAAAAGCCTCACAACGACGAGTACTGTCAAGGTATCCGCACAAGGAAAATCACTATCGCCCAGGAACTCCTCCAGGCCATTTTGCCAGATCCTATTTTTGCACCACCTCCATACCTTTGTTTGCTTACTTGCTTGCTCGCGCCCTGCTTGCTCAGACCAACCGGTACATACCTAGGAATCAAACTTAGACCACTCCTCCGCCGCCACTTTTTCTTTGGTTTGTTTCGGGGAAAATATCATGCTCGGAGATCCGCCTTTTCGCAACTAACTCGGCGTGACCTCACGACTGCCTCGCGTCTCCCTCTTGCTGAGGAACGACCGCCTAATCCCTGCACGTGGACTTTCGGCCTGGGTTTCCACGAACGAGCTCTTCATGATCACCGAACCAGACCCGACCTTGATCTCCTTCTCACTGCCCGACGCCGTGTCATCAACGAAGTACAGAGCCTCTCCGAGGTCATCGTCGCTGCCAAACGTGTTGTGGTCCTTGACCTCGATGCGGAATTGCGTGTCGGCATTGCAGGTGTGTTTGAAGGTTTCATCGAAGCGTACCAATCCCTGAGGCGACTTGTGGTGCTTTGTCTTGCCCACTGCGCGTTCCTTAGGCGTTAATTGCCGAATGGTCACATAGACATCCGCAGAGGGCGGGAAGCCTGATGCCGACACCACCAGGAATGTTGCTGTGCCCGAGCCAGCACTGCCAGGTGCAAGACTGTGAACGGAAAGACCACCCATACTTGGCGCACGATGATGCCGGTTGCCGTTGGCCGTGCCGGGTGGGCTTTCCGGCGATTCGGCGCCATCACGTCCAACTCCAGTCGTCGGGCGCTTCAGCATAGGAGCGGGCATTAGAGGCGGTGACTCGCCGTTAGTCACGATAGCCGGAATGTCTGGGGCACTGGGCGTGATGGGAGTCCCGTTTTGATCATCTTCCTTTTTACCGCCCTTGAAGCCACGCTTGATGAAACTAGCACCTTTGCCAACTCCATGACCGATGCCCCCAACAACAGCTGCCCCTCCTTTGATCGGAGCACCTGCCACACCGGTGACAATTCTACCTGGGACACTAAAAGTCCCAGAAAACGTCGACGTGCCCATGCGGGAACGAGTTACGTAATCAGGTCGGAACAACAGCCGCAACCTGATTGAGCCGGACTTCCCATCCAGGAGCAACTTGACTTCCTTGGCCTGAAAGGGGTCAAGCTGCTCAAGATTTATGTCGGCACCACCTAGGAAGTCAGGCTTGTCCGCAAAGTCGTAGTCATAAATGTTGACATGGAATTCGGCAGCGGTTCGAGACGGAACAGCCATCTCAAAGAACTCATTCCAGACTGGGTGGAGCGTTTTCTTCTGAGTCTTGGTCTTGAACACATCCTGGCCGTTGAACACAAACTTCGCGTACGGATCACTCTTGCCATTAGAGTCGGCAGCGGGCAGGTCTGCTGCGTCAAGAATGTCGACGCGCAGGTTGCCCATGTTGTTTATACTTTCACTGGGGTCAAGTCGCATCTTGACAGGTATATACTTCAAGCTGACCTTCACTGTCGCGGTCCTGTTCTCTTCGTCCTTGAGCTTGAGCACGGTTGGGTTGTTCTAACGCGCATTAATTAGTAAGTACTATAACGGCGCGAGGCGCGAAATGCACATGGGCTTACTTACCAGACATTGCTTGAGAGTATCCAGCGTGTTGCCTGCCAAACGAGCCACAGTGTGGTCTTCGTCTCTCTCCTCGCCAGGCTTCTCGCGCTTCTCTCTCACCTTGAGAGTAAGCCGAGAAAAGTCTAGCTCACGGATGAAACAGTCGCCAAGCTCGTCGAACTTGAACACCTTGTTCTTTGCGGTGCCAGATACATACGAGGGATATAGCATATCATCAACGTACACTTCTAAGTGAGTATCACTCTTGGGCATCTCGCTCTCCATAAGCTTGAAAATGAGGAAACCAGACTCGTGCTTAAGAAGCTCTTCTGGCGAAAGGCGGATTTTGGGAGCCTCTCTTGGGATGTCCCGAGATTTTCTGCCAGGCGTAGAGAAAGCTGGGGATGTTGGAGACCTTGGCATCGTAGGCGAGACGGGTGTAGTTGGCTCCTTCTCAAGGCTCCTGTCAAGCGAAGGTATTTTACCAGCGTCTGCGGATCGCGGAACATCAAGTCTCTGTTTTGCCGCTTCGGTCGGCTCCTCTTCCTCTTCTTCCTCTTCATCATCCGGATCGGCAATATTCAAGCAGGGATAGAACGCAACATTGTAGCTGAGAATACCCTTTTCGACGCCCTTTCCATGCAGACGAAGGCCGTCCTGGCGGTTTTCTTTCATGTCGTGGACAAGATACTCGCCATCCTGTTCCTGCTGAATGTAATCGCTGGCGAGAAGCTCGATAAGTCCCAAGCTGCGATCCTTGCCCAGTTTCTCGGCATCCATGACTTCCAAGTGCAACCGATCGCGGGAAGAATGCATCGGAATGTACAGGACCTCGTCCCATTCGGGATCAAGCGTGTTGCGGTGGGTGACGGTTCGGGCCTTCTCAATGCCTGACAGCACAACACGGACATACGGATCCGATTTGCCCATGGTCTCGAGGTTGCGAAGCCCTTTGGCGCTCTTGAAATGCAATCGCATAACGCCAATTGGCGTCTGATAGCCTCCACTTGATGCAAGGACGCCAGACAGCGTAACGGGCTTCCATTGTGCCGTGATCTTGACACGTCCTGTCTTCACTCCTGAGAGGTTGTACCAATCTTTGCCTTGTTCCATCATCTCCAACATATCGTTCAGTTTGATCTGGTGGGTACCGATGACCTGATCTCCGGAGAGTTCACGGTCATCTTTGATGGCCAGACCCAACTTAGCCTTCTTACGGTCGGTGATGAGAATTTCCTTCGAGCCGTTATCCCAGATTGGGTTGTTTGTGCGCTTGAGCTTCTTTGTCGTGTGAATCTCCTTTTCGTTCAATAGCAGACAAGCGTAGGGGTTGAGCAAGCCAACCAAGCTCTTCGTGCCGTCTAGGTCTTTTGCCTGCTCAACAGTGTATCGTAAAATGCCGGTGTTAGACTCTGGCGGAGGTTCGATGGTGCCATCAGGTAGTTTCGTCTCCTCCAGCACCGGAAAGAAGCGGAAGTCGGCAGTAATGACGCCACGGGCTTTTCCATTTGCAGTGACCTCCAGTCGTTCGTTCTCGAACACGTTCAACTCTTCCAGTTGCTCAAGCGCGAATGAAGCGACACCGAGTTCCTTATCTTTGCGGAACTCATTGTAATCATAGACCATGACGTCAAGGGAATCGTTGAAGGACGATATGATGATGTAATGCGTCTCGTTCCAGCGCGGGTTGCCTGTGTCTTTGACGGTCTTCGACTGGGCGAGAGGTGCGCGCTTGTTCAAAGTAAATACAGCATACGGATCGGGGTTCCCAGAGAAGTTGTCCGGGTTCTTGAGACCCTGAGCACCATGCAGCGTCACGGCAACCACGCCGATGGCCTGGTCGACGGGTGTTCCTGCCAACATCTTCGCCACCTCGATAGGGAAGACATTGGGAGCGTACATCATAGGAGCGAGGTTACCGTGGATCTGCTCGAGGATAAAGCTCTCCAGACCAGGGATGAAGTTGATATCAAAGCCGAAAGTATCCCCGCCGAGGGGTTTGCAAACATAGTCGATCGCAGGTCGGTCCAAGAAACTCATCTCCACCTTCTCAATGTGTGGGAAAGGGAACTGAAGCTTGATCTTGAGACGCATGGTCCCCGAGAATGCCATGTCCGCGACAATGACATCGAGTCCTTTGCTAATCATGGCCTTGCCTACTCGAATCTCCAAGACGATCTTTGGGTTAATCTTGTTCTTGACTTGGCGCGCCGTCATGTCGGCAGTGTCGTTTGGGGTAAAGCTGAATTTCCAATCCATGACCACAGTGTCGTCTTCAACTTTGGGGTAGGTCTTGACATGTTCCATACGCGGTGGCTTAGAACCGAGAGTGAACGTCTTCAACTTCAAACTATCAAGGAAAGCCGGGGTGGCGGAGCTTAAGACCTGGTCAACCGAGTTGATGATAGTCTGGGCGAGGACTGGTTGGTAAATGGGCCAGAACTTGACCAAAAACGAGTTGATCCACTCCAAAGATTCCTCGTCAGTGTCTAGCTTCTTCAGCGCCAGCTCTCGAGTGACATCGTCGCGGAAGTTTCGCCGAACTCGTCGAATCGATGTGCGGTAATACGTCGAGCAGATGGCCATGATGATGAATACCCAGGCCAAGCCGCCACCAAGTACGGCAATGAGCCAGGAGGAGATACAGGCGAAGATGATGATGGCTGAATTATGGTACCAATCTAAAGTAGAGTTCTAGTCAGCCCGGGCGCTCCGGCCCCCAAGAACATGTGTTGTACTCACCACCATAGTAACTGTCGGGGACTTGTCCTTCGAGCCATGTCTGATGATCCAGCATGCTCTCGCCGGCGAAAACGCTCTCGGAAGGCCAGCCGTACTGTTGCGTCCAGCCAACTTTGCTCGCCAAGTCTTCTTCTTCGCCTTCGGGACCTGTGCCATCGGCAACTGGTTTGCCATCCTTGTCCGTATGAATATCAAGCGCTCCGGCTTTCGAAGGTGATGGAAGGGCGTATTCGGCTTTGGTTCCATCGTCGATGTCAGTAGCTATAGCTACCCCTATTGGACGGTGATGGCGAAGCTCGTCGGGAATGGCCTAGATTTCAACGACCCCGTCAGCGGTGGAATGTAAGCAAGACAGATCCTCACAACATACCGCTTTGGCCTGTCGCTTCTTCTCTTCAGGGCTCGCGTCGGGGTCGAAGGAAAATGCCGCTACTCCGGCATTCTTGCTCTCCTCGACCATCTTCTTCTGGGCATCGTCGGCGGTAACGTAGGAGTCGGGGTTGCCAGCAGCTTCAATAGCACCTTGCTGCTTCAGCTCCGCAGCCGATTGCTCTGTAGCCATCGCGATGGCGTTCGACGCTGCGGGTGCAGCTCAAGCTCTTTCGGGTCAATTGCGATGGTCAACGTATGGTCGTGATCATTCGCTGGGAGGTGCGTGAGGTCGCGTGAAGCGTCCACGCAAGCTCTCGAGGGTCCACTCGGAGGGCTTCCGGAAAGGAAATAGAGCAGGTCGAGATACAATCAATGAATGTGAATCACGGGTGACAGGCAGGTAGAAATAATGATGTGCCAGCGGTTGTCGTGGAGAGAAATTCGAGAGGCAGCCAAGCCATGTGCTATGGCCGCTAACTAGTACGTGGAAGGCCAATGAAAGGAGGCACGGGTGAAAAGGAAATGAGATCACGAGAAAGCGTGGAGGTTGGCGATAGCTGCAGAAATAGCTTCGGCTAACGCTGGATTAGAATTGAAAGCTTGGAAACCTGAACAGTCTAGCATCAGGAATCTCGGCTACCAAGGCTGCCTCTTTACCTACGGGCTGAGTTCCCAGAATCGTGGACAGAGCTACGTAATGCCGCTTCCCAGCGCAACTTCAAGCTAGCCCGGCTCCGTTTTGATGCAGTTCAACAGCCAGTGAGTGGTGGAGAATGATAGAGCGGGGATAGCACGGGCCTTACGTACAAGGGTCTGGACGAATCGCGCTTTCCGGATTCCGGCACAGCTGTTGATGACACTTCAAGTTTCTGGAGCCCATATTTTGGGGACAGGTGGCTGAAAAAACTTCACAGTTCCTTCTGTTTTAAGATGGTCTTTGCGTCGGTAGCTCCATTAGCAGATGTCTTTCAACCGTTTTCCCCCATTCTACTAGAGCAACGCAAGCTGAAAGTCAAGTCCAGGTGTGACAATTCAGACCACTGGGATCCATGGCGTCTTGGCTGTTCTTCCCAACAGCGAAACACGATGTTACCAACCAGCCAACCAACTAACACCGAGCGAACGTACCATCAATCTGTGCATCGATCTGTCTTCCCAAGATCTATCACCTAGACTCCATTTGAATTTTTCCACTCCAGTTTTAGCAGGGCCCATCACTGCAACTCCACGATGCATGCAATCAAGTTTGCGAACAGACGACCAGGCTCGGTGCTTGCAAGGTTGGGATGAGGTGATGTGCCCGCCGACTCAAGTTCATTCTGGCTATAACAATCCCGAACAAGTCTCGCGGGATCCACTAATTAAGACCTGACATAAAATAATTCATAAATTAAAAAAGGACCTCCTTAGTTAATTCACACCTTATTTTCGTTCTATATTTTGTAAATCGGTTTTTCTTGTACATGTACTACTATTAGCCGCTACAGGAGTCATGTTACAAGTCTATACACACGGATATATATTAAATTAACCTACAATTACGCGTGCCGAATTATTAACAATAAGAAAATAGACTGAATAAACGCTATATCATATGATCAGTTTATAATAGCTGGAAGAAGGATTATATCAGTATTTTAAACTATTAACGTTGTGTTGGAAAACACGATTGTGTGACGGTTGTCACGTGATTGACCCACACTGGTCTGAACAGATTGATAAGTGGTTGCAGATACCAAAGTCAGGGACTTTGGTATTGGCCTCTTTTGGTGAAGACATCTAGTACAGTGGCGTAGTGGCAAGGATTGCAACCCCTGGCGCGGCGTGACAGATTGTGACTTTCGTGGTTAACAGCTCCGGTGAGAGGTTGTTGCTGAGGTTAAGATGGAAGGCACGACGTAGTCAGGACGGGAAGACTCTGACTTCTCTTCAAAAGGAAGTCTGATGTGGGACTCCTTCTTTGCTGGCAAGCGTGAGAAGGTGATAGCTTCTAGTCAATTAGACCTTAGTGCCTTAAACAACATGGTATCACTTCCACACTGCCTATATTGCCTCAGTTTTCAATAATTATTCTTATATTATACCCTCTGTAGGCTTTCTAAATAAAGCCTAGTTTAGTTAGTTTCTTTGCTTTACAAGTAGTTATCTAGTAGTTATAATAATACAAAGTCTACCTCGATTACTTTTAACTAATCTATTAATCACTAGTTTATTTATATTGACCTCGCTTAGGCCTTCTAGGATACGTTAGCCTCAAATTCGGATCGTACTCCGTAAGACGATTCGTTTTGTTATATGCTACTTCGTTAAGTATCGCTGTATTATATAATACTAGTAGTATAAAATAGCTAGATAACTCCTATCTACAACGGTTAACCTTCAGGGGGTACCGGTTTGCTTCTTCGTACATGTGATTTTCGTTGTTTTAGCGTGTCCGGCAATATTAGGAATAGTTTAGGGCCTTCACGTGCTGAACGGGTATACTACCTCCTTCTAGCATACACTAGTTTCCCTGGCGGCCACAACGGCGGTCCTGGCTTCTGAGCTAAGTTCAAAAGTCGCGCCGCGATTACCGCGTATTTCCCTGGGAATTGGGATTGTAATGGCTGGTTGAAGTTAATGGGCTAATGATGTTGTTGTATTGATTGCCAAATTGGGGGTGGGTGTCCGGAGACTTTTCCGTGATTAGTGTAGCAACGATTGCATGTGGAAAGCGGGGCTGTTCCATTACACCACGGCGCGTGTCGCTGGCTGCAATTAACTCCTACTGCGTCATCGATCTTTGCTGAAATGGAAAATCTAGATGCTTCTTTGAACCCCTCCGATTCGGCCGATTCGGAGATTGAATTCTCGTCAAACTTACTGCATCAATTGCCACCACTGCCCAACGCTGGGCTATCTCCAGCCAGCAGGGTCGCGGTCTTCCATGGCAACTCAACTGAGACATTCGTAGGCGTCGCTAAAGATGATCACTTAGGTACACCAACCACGCTTACAGATAAACGATCCGTTGCCACTTGACGTTTCGTCTGACTCCGGAGGCAGTTTCACCTGTGTACCTCTTATCTCCTCAGAGTAAGTCAGGATTGGAGTGACCGTCGTACAAAATACGCGTGGCTGGTGAACAAACAACTCCAAACGCTGCGCTGTGTTGCTGTCTCCTGTCACCAGCCAAGCATTACCACTTTCCAAGTATTCCGCCGAACGATCTTCCACAACGGAACCGATCCGTCGTCCATCACGCAAGCGATCGGTGTATTGACTGAACAATTTGGCGTAATGACACCTATAAGCTCCGCCAGAGGCGCCGGGTTTGTTTAATATGTGCCCAGCTTTTCTGAACGGGAAGATGCCTCAACCTTCTGGACCCATCACAATTGCTTACCATTTCCAAATGAGATCCTCTCGCCGCCTCCTGCGTCACGCACTTTGCAGTAATGGAGTTCGCTATTTGCGACCGGTCATCCAAGCTATGAAAGAACCTTGCTAAAGCAGTGATGTCCAAGCTCCCTTGCACAACCCGGCAGCAGCACATGTCGCAATTGTGACAGTAAGAAAACTAGTGACGAGCAAGACCGTAATCGCCGACAGGACCAACTATGGTCAGTGAAGTGTAGTGTAAGTTTGTACTGCCAACACTTCGCCGCCAAAAAATCCCGATCCGACCCGTGTTTCCTCATCACGGTCGTCACGGTACTCGTCAGGCTCTTCCTGTATGCTTGTGTTGTGGTGATGGCGGTGCCCTTGCGATAAAAGTACTTCATCAAGTTACAACCATCTTGGGCCATGGCCGGATTCTCAATCTATGAATACAGCCAGATTATATCATATATCACAGAGACAATGGTTTAGCACAAGGGCCTCATGGTAGTTGAATACCCAGACGTAATCCGGTTCGCAGTACTTCACCGCACTGGCTTCAACGCGATGGCTGAGATGTTTGTTTTCTTCTGCAACGTCGCGTAATGAAATTGTTGTCGAGTTTGGAGTTGGTAATGGTAGCGGTGTAGGTCTTAATCCACGAGATGCGCGAGTTATGGACCGTCTACGGGTGCAAGACACAAATCTCTGCTTTCTTGAACTCGCATGCCTCGGCGTCATTGACTTTGAGCATTTGGACATTGAAGGTCATCAGGTTGTCAAACTCGGCCTCGCCAGGTTTTTACGCGGGTACAGGAGATCCCATAGACTGTCAACCAAGGAGCCTGTGTATCCGAAATTTGGTTGGTATGTAACATTTATAGTAGGTATCCAGAAGTTATCTTCCGTCTCGTTCCAATGGATATGACTAAATATGTCCATTGACTAGTAACACATACCCAGTGTGGAGGAGACGGCACGGTTTGGTGTGGCTGGGGATGTGCAGTTTCCAGATGAGCAGTTGGATTCGACCACTACCTAAGAACTGGATGCTGTGTCCGTGGCCGCCTGCATAATTGTGGCACTGGAGCTTCTAGGGTAATAAATAATACCTCTCGGAAACGGAAGGAAGCACTTTATTATGAAATAAATATGTTCTTTCTGTCAGGGGATTTGGAAGATAAAGAGTAATGAATTCAGTCTTAATATAGAGCCTGGATTTCTAATGAAGAAATCTACCTGACAAAGTACTTAGCTACCTATTAGTAGTCCACAAATCTCCACTGTACACTTGTAACTTTGTAACAGTGCTGACGCTCAGCATTGCATTCTGAGGTCGGAAGAATCTGCTACCACCCGTGTAGTTGTTTCCCCGTAACAACTTGGCGGTAAAAGCTCGAGCTTCCTGCATGCAGTTGTAACACTGGATGATGTATTGAGAAAACTTGTCAATCGCCAACATGGGAAGATTCATGGAAGCTCCAAAACTGGCGAGGAAGCTGCAAGGACCATCAGTGAGTCCTCAGCGAGTTCTCAGCGAGGCTAGACGAGATCTTGCCGTTTATGCGGCTGCACCGTTCGCAACATAGTAACCCAGGAACTCTGACTAGCATTGTTGAACTCTTCTATCATTGATAGTGGCCGTGTTTCTTGACTACTAAACCATAGCCACTTAAGGTGTTGGATCTGGCGATTTAGGTACTTGCCTTCTGTGGCGGGCTAGCTTTCAAGACTGATTTGAAGACGACAATAAGAGAGTTGAGAGATATATAACTTAGCTAGCGGGGCAGAGGCTTTTTTTGTTTCTGTTTTGGAGTTGTCAAAGTAGCCGTGATGGTGACCAGACAAACGAATGGTAGAAAGCAGCTCATATCCCACGTCCATAAGCCTTCCAAGGAAGAGACTGTGCGGTGGAAGAAATCGACTCTGATCCCCCGATCGTCCTCTGCCCCCGAGCCGTTCGATAACCTAGTATTAAGCTTAGGTTATTTCGACGACCCACGAAAGTTGGTGGAGAAAGGCCTCTGGCTTTTTATCCTGAAGCCTTCCCGGTCCAGTCGAATCACGTCGGGGTGAATGGCGGTCTCCTTTTACTCCATCAAAATGATTTCTGGAATATATTTCCATCTTCGTCATTGGATCTGGGTTGATGAAGGTGTGGCCATCTCCAGGGCGTTGAGGCGCTCTGTATTCAAAACGATCCTAGGCTCCCCACGACTTGAATTTTCGACAACTTGTAGGCCAAATTCATTACCATACACACAAGAACTATTCAGTGAGTCCTCGAGAGCCACGAAGAATTCCTTGCGTGCCACTTAGGACCTTTTGATATCAGACGTCTTCGGCATAGCAGGTGTGATGAAACACTATTTTCAAGGGCAGAAGCAGTGGATTAAAAGGTAAGGTAGAATTACCCATCGCTCTCAAGCAGGCTGAGAATGATGCCCGTCCCGGCCTCCAAGTGGATGGTTCGTGACAGCGCCTTGCACATATACCCAACGTTCCACTTATTCCTATTACCTCCCCATTCAGCCTCATCAGCACTGTTAAGTCTTCGATGGGGTAAATAACACACCTTCGAAGTTATGGGTCAGACTCAATATCGGTCGGCTTAATTACACTTCCTATTTGCGGGGATGGAGAAGCGAGGAAGCAAGACCTTAGCAAGCCATGCCATCTCAACGGGCTTACGTGAAATATCCCAAGTGTAAAGAAAGGTATTTAGTTCTTGTAAGGCTGTGGTAGGCTGCTGGATCTACTCCAGGCAACCCAGGACACGTTGGGGGCTATGTAAGTTCTGGAACCCGACAGCCCGGAGTGGCTGTCACGATTAACACTTGACTGGACGGCCTCGACTTCACCCAAGGTTCATTTTTCGTAAAAACAGCCACAATAACCATGAAGGCCACCTTAAGTAACTTGATCGAGCATGCCTGGTGTGCTCGTTCCAGGTTTAGGACTTTTTACGATTTTCGTCTTAGGTTTCTTGAATTTTAGCTGCATGAGCTCGGACGGTAAAGTTCCCATTCTTTCTTACAGATCTAGTCGCACTCCAGTTGAGGTGTTCTAGAACACCATGAAGTGGCTACTTACAAGCCAATAGTTAATTGGTATGATTGTGTCTTCATATTGGTAGGTCGTGACGGCCACACAGTCATGGTTTGAACTGAACTGGCCAGCCAGACCTCTCTACAAACCACGTTTTCATACATTCATTTCATCTTTTTTTCGTGCTATCCACGCACCAACCTCTAAGCACTCACCCCAGCACGCACCACCCTCAGTCATCAAGTCTTGTGTCATATTGCCAAACCATACTTCCCACTCATCCTGGTTCTTACCACTAACTTCTCTCAGTAACGGCTCTAATGCACTGATTCCGCCCAACACAATCTCGAGAGCTGTCCGCCTGACAGCCGCTTGGTGTCCATCCAAAACTCTTCCTCGCTCCCATTTGATCTCACTGAGTGGTATAGCGAGCCTTCTCGAGGTCAAAACCGTCAAGACGTCTGCTTCTTGCACCAGCCTCGGTCCCACCATCGCGCAAGGCATAGGGGTCAATTCGCGTTTCTCAAGGGCCTTGGCCACCCAACTGTTGTACTCCGCGAAGTACTTATTTAACGGCGGACCCAGGGGCGTGTTGGCATCAGCGTCGATTGAGTACGCTCCCAGCTTCGCTGCGGGGCTCCAAGATTCTGAGCCCCTTTTAACACCACCATGCTTGGGCTCGTGTGGTTGCAGCACGCGAATTGTACTATCAGTCTCCCACATCTCCAAAATACCTCCCGGCTTAAGCACGCGTAGACACTCCTCCATGGCCACCACGTATTGAAGACTCGTGAAAGCGAGCGACATATCCTTAACCATAAGCAAGTCAAACTCACCGCTCTCAAGAGGCCACGGCACGCGCCGCATGTCGTGCTCCACAAACGTCCAATCCATGCCGTTATCTGGGATTGCAGCAACATCGGGCGGCACCACGACATCGATACCGACGAAGGAGACATCTGGGTGGCCTCGCGCCGTTAGGAATTGGTGGCACATCATGCTCCAATACCCCGATCCGCAGCCGAGTTCCAGTACGCGCCGGGGAGGCGATTTCATCTCCGAGGCAGAGATGAGGGGCCCGCCGTAGAGTTGCGTAAGGGTTAGTGTGAGGAGGGATTGCCTGTGCGATTCGGCTAGGTCGACCGGTAGGGGGTACGGGGCTGTAGGGTCGTAGATGAATGTGCGGGTTCCTTTGGTGATGAATTTGGGGGCCATGGTTTGGGAATTTGGATGGAGAGTTGATTATCCGTCAGGCTATGAGGTGGGAGCTGTGAAGCTTATGGTACCAATCGCAATTTGATAGACTGTTTACAGTAGTCTCAATCGATCTGGTCGCCTCCTGACTAGCCCAACAGGACGAATAACTCTCTCTCTCATTCCGTCACACGTCTTTCGCCGAGAGTCTCACACGGACCTTAGTTGATTGGGGGGAGGCGGGGGGAGTGAAAGCGCGTGGGGCTGATCTTCCACCCTACCTTCTCCAACCTGCTTGGATGCTGCACTGCTGCTTCATATTTGACATGTCAGAATACGGCTGTAACGATGTCGGCACAGTGTCACAGGGGGTCGAGCTCCATTGGCTGGCGTCGCGCTTGGCTACGGGGCCCCCGTTCGAGGTCCAATTGGTTATCTTGTTAGTTCTATGCCATATCCGCTCGATCCGCTCTGCCTGCGCGCAAGGATTCGGATAGTGCTATCTAATGTAGTTTCTTTTTCCATTTCCCGGTCTACTTCTTAACTCAGCCGAAAAAAATCTTATTTCCCAGTATTTGGTGGATTCTTCGGCACAGGTGGCCATCCAGTATGAATGAGCGGATTGCCGGCAGCGGAAATATTCCGAACATGGATGCTGGATATGGTGGGAGTGCATATGCAGAGCTCGCAAGAGAGGTCTGTATGTGATGCGGTCGCACTCCCACTTGACGAGAAAGGGAAGTGCAACAGCAACGCCGCATCGATACAACTGTTATATTAAATTTGATGATCTGTACGTCCGTAAAGTGGCTGTGGTTTCGTTGTAATGGTCCGTTGATGTTCCGGTCTATGTTCTCTGCGGTATTTTCTATCCGTTACCTATCACCTTCAATTCCGTTTTATTCGTTGACTCTTGCTCATAGTCTGATTTATAGATTCTAGGCGTTTCTAGCAAACTCACCTTCTCAGTCATACTTTCGCTTTCGTCTGAGGATAGGCCCTTCAGTCATACTAATCCAAAACATAATGTCAGGGGCGGGCCACTTGCCTACACTCTAACTCCATGATAGTCAATCTGGTGAATATCCCCGATAAGCGAGCTTGCTTGGTTCCAGGAGACATGGGCTTCTCTCGAGCCTCTGAGACTGCATGCCAACAATATGGGTTTAACCAAGGCGAAGGATTCTGACAGTTATGTTCAAGGAGATCATGGAGTTTGAATTTCAATTTGCACAATTTGGTTGACACGTCTCGTGTTAGCTTACTCCATACACATACAGCGACTAACTTTCAAAGCGAGTAAGGCCTTTTATTATCCCTGGAGTGCGTAGTTACGCTAATCGCCATCGCAGCCCCTGTAAAATAAATGTCTGGAGGGCGTCCGACTCATATTTTTCCTACTAAAACTCGACCAGTACAAGAAATCTTCACAAATTAACAGAAACCTGTACAAATAGGAAACGGATGAAACTATACCAAGACGAAGCCGCTAAAATATACTAATATGAGTATTAAGTTTTCTATGTAAAATACTTGTGGGTGAGTGTGTCTTTAGGTATAGAGGGATACAAGGCAGGCAGGCACGGATTGGCATATTTAGGGATTCCCCGGGCGCCAATTCGGGGCTAGCCTCCAACGCACCTTCCTAATACCAATACGGCTCCCAATACTCAGGATCTGACAATACTCTTGTATTTAAGAAGGAAGTCAGGCCTCTTAAAAGCTACTTTCCTATAGATTTCAGATCATGTCTTTGAAAGCAAATACGACAAAATAGGTTACTAACTACGTAAATATTAACTAACTAAATCTCCGTCTTGTTATCGTTACAAAGTGTTATAACGAACTTTTGATAATTTATAATAGCTCTTAGAGTAGTCAAGTTTTAATGTAAAACTGGAGGAGAGGGGGGAGGGGCGACGCAGACTTATGAAGGTCACTGTACATGTTGAATTTTGTATCCTGTCTTTGCATGCTGTAGGCGTGGGAAGCTGTGGCCTCAGCTATGGAGAGATACGAGGCAGGCAGGCACTGATTATAGTATTTAGGGACCCTCAGGGCCAACTTGGGATTGGTCACTCACGCACTTTCATAGTACCAATACAGCCCCCACTGGTTGGAATCCGACAGTAGACTTGCATTAGGGCAGTATAACAAACGGGATATAAAGAATGACGTTTGCATCTCAAGTAGTTGCTACTTCTTTGAGAAACTCTTTACTTACCTTAGATACTCGTTACTTTAGTCCAAATATTATGCATAAGCTGATAGATTATATCTTTTCGTCGGCTGGTATAGTTGGTCACTTCGCTGGTAGATAAGTCCCGATTTGAGCCTCGCCCACTTGGGTCGGTGACGAGTCGCGGGTTCGAATCCCGCAGCTGACACACAAGGGGGTTTAGTCAACCCTTACGGCGCGCTGCCCACCTTGTTGACTTCGCCTACCTAGCGATAATAGGGAGATTGGTGCAGTTTAGGATTACGAGCATCCTAGCCAGTCGACCGTCAAGCACTACGTCGGCGGAATATAACTCGACAGCCGGTCCAGAATTCGAATCGTTAATCCGACCCCTTATCGGACCTCGCCTTTCCGATAACGCTCGTCGGCGAACCCGTCCCCTCACGATAGAAGGCGCGCAGCACGCCCTCTCGCCGCGATTCTTGCGAGCGTCTGACCACGTTACGGTCTATCCACTTGAGCGTATGGTTGAGATGTATACGCTCGACGAGAACCCCAATTAGCAGATACTACGACTTGTCGCGACAAAAAAAATAGTCGAGCATCTTCTGCACATCAGCAGCATCCCACCCCTGAGGACGAATTTAAGTGCCACATTACCACACTTATCGGTAGTTCAGGCAGGGGTTGTAGCACAGACTTAGGGAGGGACAGGAGGTTTAGTAGTCATTTGGCTACAAGTTTACCTGTATAACCGCCCGACGCGGCTTAAGGGCCCGCTATATCATCTATAGCCCCTTAAGGGAGTACTTGTAGAGGTACCGAGGGTTAACACCTACGGCGTATTTAATATTATTTTATATCTTTTCCGAATACTCTGATTTCTCAATGGAATGAATCGCTACTAGTGTTGCAAGGTTGATCGTGCTTGCGAGGCACCAACTGGACCAAAGTTATTGCACTGTATGTTTATGCTTTGGCAGGCGCGCAGGCCTGCGTATGTTGCATAATCCTCCGTCTTGTGCCAGCGTGTTATCCGACATAAGCTAGTCAATAGTCCCGTAACCTAAAAATCTAATTGGGAAGTATACTTTGTGTATCCTAATTATGTAGTACACTGCCATGCGGATGCTAGGCTCGCTACTTCGTACGATACGACCAAAATGGGCTTTAAATTTCGGACACACGATACTGATACGCGCTCACATTGGCGTATCCACTCACACCGCCACTAGCTAGCTCTAGTGCACGCACCTCACCTGATGGTTTTCCCATTTTTTCTTATTGCCAATCTTCAAGCACGCACCCTTCGAGGAAAGGAACGAAACTCACCGAGATTGTCAAGCAAAGCGTTCGCTCTGTACAGCCAGATTCGTTCATCCTCATCCTCATACAAACCTACATCATTCGAGCAGCTAATCACCATGCCTATCAGCAAGAAGGACAGAGTAAGTCTCCGAACCGCCGACCGCAGCCCCTGCAAACCCATCAGGCGGCGAATTTTCATCTCATCTCATCTCATCCCATCATTCTCATCTCGATCAATTTACTCACGTCTCATCGTCTAGATCGCTCGCGAGCACAAGGCCGCTGATAAGGCAGGCACTCGCGCACCCGTCAAGGCCAACGGTCTTCCCGTCAAGCCGCCCAAGCCGACCTCCATCGTAAGTCTTGCGTGAACACCGCAATTCACCCTCCCTACCACCCTTGCTTTTGAACCTTGCTGATAAGGGCGCCTGGCGAATGCAGTGCCAGAACTGCCGCAAGGAGATCGTCAACACCAACAAGATCCAGTTGGAGGTTCATGCCGGCACGCATAATGCCAAGCTGTGGCCTAAGGAAAAGTGCTGGCCCAACGACTTCTAAGGAGTCAGTTCTCTTCGGATTCTGCGACATGAGGGACGATGGTAGATGATGACTTGGTGTATTTGTCATTGTCACCCTTGGGAAGGGTAGACACGGGGCGAATGGGAATTTGGGACGACAAAGTAGATAGTGCGGCCACAGCAAATGCTCCTGACTTTTAGATGCTATAAAATGGATGAAGATGCAGTAAAAGAACATAGCTGCTGCTATAAGATGAATGGTGGTGGAGTTGAGCGCGGCTGAGCAGAAGGTTGAGCTACAGTTCTTTCCAAGGCAAAGAAGCAGGCTTCACCACTTCGACGTCTAGACAGCCTGCGCCAGCAGTTCCTAATACTACTGATTCACACCACATAGATTAGACCAAAGTACAGAATTTCTGCATCACGCTACCATTCTATCTTGATCCAGCCTCGGACTTTGTAGCCACAGAGGAGGCCCAGGGGTCAAAATACACAGCAGCTTTGCTACTGAAAAATTAGTATTCTACGTGTTCAAGTTCAAATATCACGGAGAATTAATTATATAGTTACATTAAACTGACAAAGTACGTGTTTCTAGAGGCCCTTTTGGTTTGACTGGTTAGTTTATCTGACTCCTAAAAGCTCACGGAAGTTCTGCAGTACGGCTGGGCATTTGCAAATTGTTAAGGGACCGGATAAACATTATACGGGCCTAAAAATGTTACGGCAAATCTGGCCGCCGCTCTTAGATGTGCAAGACTGCACTGGAATTAAGTCTTCCCAAATGATGACCCCGAAAATAATTTCTGGCTTTGGACAGATGCCATCTGCATCAATCAAGACGACTCTTCGGAAAAGAATATGCAACTCAAGCTCATGAGCTTGACATATACGAAAGCATACCTGGTCATATCGTGGCTCGGGGATGATGACTCTACACTCCGCCTGGTACTACAAACTGTTAGTCTCATTGGCGCAGAAGCGTTAACTATCTCCAAGGAGGAATTATATATACTAGAGTGGATGAGAAAGTATCCGAGCCCGTGAGAAGATGCCTGTGACAACACTTATTGCGAAAAACCGCAATGGGACTCTCTGTTGGATCTTTCTCAACTTCCTTACTTGTCCAGGGTGTGGATGATTCAGGAGACCGTGTTGGCGAGATACCATCTGCTCTGTCTTGGTAGCATCAACATCCGCTACCAGACATTGGAACTTGTGCGTCAGTGGCTGCGCCAAGCCATGAACTTGATTAATCAAGACGCCATCGTGCGTCCCGACTTTCTGTAGACATCTCCTACGTGGCGCACCCTTGGTGGTCTGATCAGTTGGAACGAGCTGGCCACCATCGCCGCCATGCGGGAAGAACACGAAATAGCACCCTCATGGTTTAATTCTGCACTCACAGGAGGGTTAGGATGACATCGATTCGCTCGCGGGGCACACCTCGATGCTACAGACCCGGAGGATCACATATACGCTCTTATGAGCCTCACTAAGATCCCCGTGGACGTGGACTACTCCGATAGAACAACCGTTAGAGACGCGTACATCAACTACATTTCCAATATGTTGATGGCGTTCTCAGAAAATCGAGATACGGTCCAGGAGCCACACGACTTGTTCTTTTTACACTACGCATCGCACGTCAGAGCCAAGACGGATTCTTGGAAATCTCTTATCTTCATTAGAGCTGCGTCCAATAGCAAGTAAGAAATTTAAGGATGTTATTGGCTGCCGACAGCTAGAATAGGCGATATCGAGCGCCGTTAGCCATGTAGAGTGCTCCGTGACGCATAACTACTAGCTCCTAGTGTTGGAACTTAACGGGTATAAGGAGTATTCCACAAATTACTGATAACCGCGTAATCTGGGAATCTACGGGTTGGATCTAAGAATGAAAATCCTCCTAGATAAGTGTACGAATATTACTAGCCCGGCCCGGTATAGAAACTGTCACGGGCCACAGGTCCCACTTTTGGTGTATATAAATGCTAGGTAGTTTGCACATTAGCAACACCTGAAGGTGTTAATAATTAACCCACCTACCCGCTACAATTAGTCCCTCACAGTGTAACACCTTGATAAACCGATAACGGTTGGATATTCACGTATCTTGCAATATGGCCATAACGTGATAGTAATATGACGATTCTGTGTGATGGATTAATTGTTGTGTGTTCTCTGTCTGATCAGTGGTTAATCACGTGACTATAGAAGCATCACGTGATCGTGTGGATCTGACAATAACGTGGCTAGCTTACAACATACTTGCACATATCTACACATTTGTGCCCAGGACACGTAGGCATCCCCGGAAACGAAGAAGCAGATGTCCAGGTCAAAGCGGCCTGTGAGCAACCACCCAAGACACAACACCCGGCCTCATTCGCACATATAAAGAGAATCGCGAGATCCTACACTTGGAAGAGTTTCAACGATCGATGGGCCACTACCTGCCCTCAACAGTATCGAGATCTAGGGATCGCTATCCACCCGCGACCCCCCGAACTTGGCCTGCCCCGGCAACACCTAGGCAGATTACTCGCAGCGAGGTCGCACCACGGGGATTTCGTGACCTACCACGAGAGACTCCAGCATCGCGACGCACTGCTCAACTGCGGGTGTGGAAAGACAAAGACACCAGTCCACTTCTACTTTTGCAAGCGCGGCCGCAAGGCCACGCCCGGTCATCTAAAAGCGCATATGGCCAAGAATAGTATAGATTCCCTCCTAGGCACGGCCAAGGGAGCTCGTTTGTTTTGTCAATGGGCGGAGGAGACCAATTTCTTTACTGAGATCTGCCCATCGCACTGAACAGGAATGTTAGATGAAGACAGTCCCCTGTAACATAGATTCGACTAGCATAGACCATGCTGGCACTGCGCCCGGCACGTCTCACGTGATGAGACGTTAAATTTCAATCAATCAATCAATCATAACATAAAAACAAGCAGCAGAAGCCATCACTCACAGCACGTCTCTTCCATCCATGAACCCCGCGACCTTGGCAGACCTGTTCAACATGATCGAAGTACCAGCGATCATTCCCATTATCACACTTCCAGAGGACTGGGACGAACCTGGTTTCCGGTTCATTTTCCATGATCGCAAGATGTCCTGTGGAACCTGTGGTTGGAATGGGGAGCCCGAGAGTTTTGTGAATAACGCGCACTACGTGCCAACTCCCGTCCAAGAGGCGCTCGCTTGAAGCAATAGTTGCCCTTCCTGCCAAATACTGGCCGCCTGGAGGTCCGGGTTGAGCCCTGACTCTAACTTCTATGATCGGGACATGGTATATCACACGGCCAAAAATCGCTACTGCATTTTCACAGACCATCTCGGCAGTGGTCTAGCTGGCATACCCCGACGCAGTGGGGAACATATTTTCCGAATCACAAGACAGGGTCCCCCTGCTCGTTTTCGTGGGCGAAAGCTCAATTAATATCTTGCTATGATTCGCATAGTGAAAGCCGTCAATTCCAAGACTCTCAGATGTTTCCTCCCACGCGTTTGATTAATATTAATCGTCACGACCTAGACGGAGATGTTGTATTAGAAGACAGCCTTTCCCTGCCGAAAGACGTCCGATATATCGCCCTAAGCTATTGCTAGGGGGGCTACAGACCTGAATATCAAACGACATCCTCCACACTCAAAGAACGGATAAAACGCATCCCGTGGTCAACACTGCCACCAACATTCAGGGATGCAATAACTTTTACCCGAACCGTTGATATCAACTATCTATAGATCGATAGCGTTTGTATTGTCCAAGAAGATCAGGAGGACTAGCAACGGGAAGCTGGGAGAATGTATCACGTCTACAAGAACGCCTGCGTGACACTGGGCGGTCTATGGGGCGAGAGCAGCAGGTCTGGACTGTTTTCGGATACGACTGATTGGGCCCCGAAATTGGTGGCAAACTTAACGTCTGGCTCTTACGGGTGGCCGCTATTCACCCAACGAATTGACCGCCACCCTGAGTTTCTCAACTTTCAGTATACCGACAATTGGTTCCAACCACCTTTATCGAGGCGAGCTTGGACTTACCAAGAAAGAATAGTATCGCTAAGGCTACTGCTCTTCGGGAAGACGGAATTAGTCTTTATATGCTTCCAGCGTGCTTTTTGTCAGTGTGGTGTTACCGACAACTCTGAGGAATTTAACAGCAAGAAATTCTTTGATACGGTAATCACCCGTGATAATTGTCGAATCAATTCAAGAGACGAAGAACGCGAATCGGCTGCCGCGGAGGAGGCTGTCAACCACAGCAAAAATCAGGAGTCAACCTGGAGGGTAATAGTCACCGAATATTCAGAATTACAATTAACGAAACAGAGCGATAGACTAGCCGGAATCGGAGCCCTAGCCGAGCAATTCCAGGCCGCCCGCCCAGATAACAACTATTTGGCCGGCCTGTGGTCCGGTTCGATTTTCCGGGACCTGCTTTAGTATACACAAGTCCCAGCGGAATATATTTCGAACTTCGAGCGAATAGTATCTCAAGCAACCCCAAGTTGGTCATAGGTATTTTTCCATGGGCAAGCCACCTACCCTGATCGATCGCACTAGTCGCAACAATTCGAACACGTTGTAGCGCTATCGCCATGGCCGGGTCCGACCACTTCTTCGGAACCAACAGAGCTTATTAGCGCAAGCTGCAAGTACAAGGAAGGAAAAACCACTCTGGAAAGCAGCTCTATGATCCTAAGAGGTCGGTTGCTACCGTGCTGGGCTGTGCGGTATAGAAAGAACTTCTCTATGACATATATATGTCATTAGCTGTCAGGGGTCTCGATTGACAAGAACTACGTGAGCATAGACATATACGGTTACATCGGACGGTGGAGCCTTTAGAAGAGAGTTTACCTACTAGCATTGCTCAGGACACCACCTGTTACGGGAAACGTGCCAAATCGTTACTACTTGATACTACAAAAGACGAGTAAAAAGAACTACTTTGCAAGAGTCGGTCCTCGATTTAGATCCGTACTTGGGCGCCAAACCAGTAGCACAGCGCCTCGACACAGAATTTAGGTTGTTTGGAAAAGAAAAACTCTGTAACATAATTTAATTACGGTGGCAGAATTTGATTGCTGGAACACTGACGACTCCATCTCCCAGGACCGCCACTCAACAGAGACATCGATGGATGAGAATTTAGTGCTTGTTACAAAGCAAATCGCTGCATCCCCGAGACTAGTTAAATAGACCAAAACACTTTGACCCCGGTATGTCAATGCTCACACGGATAATCGAAAATTTCATGTAGCCGGGCATCACCTACCAGCTAGCTCATGCTGGGATAATGTTGCATCGTTATATCAACGAGGGGATATAGACTGTTATATAGTGACTTATACGGGTATCAAAGTCTCTTGTACCGGATTATCGTCCCGTGGAATCCTGCGAGGAGACGTTATATCGGTGCGATCGAAATCGACATCTGCTTAATAGAGTCAGATCAATCAACCATGCCGTATGACCAAGCAAGCATCTTCGGGAGGCGCCTTTTTACGTAAAGTAAACACAAAATCCCCAATATTCGCACGAAGGTGCCGCGTGGAATTGCAGACAACGTTTTTCCAAAAACTATTGCATCAGCCTCAGTCAAACAGTCAAGTTTGGTGGTATCCGGCGTGGAGATCGACGCCATTGAGAAAATGGGTCTACAACCCTCCCTCGCAGGCTGCCACGACGGGTCTCTGCTGTCGTACCTGGTGGCGAGATATCAGCGATACAGAAACGGAATGCATCCATGGCAAGTCATCGCCCGCACAATTCAAATCAGCCCCGACATCTGTGTCAGCACCCAGAAATCGTATATGCCTGTCTCCTCCTGGCCGTATTGCTCTTCAAAGAGAGCGGAAACGAGGAGAAACAGCTCACCTCTCTGGGCCTCGACCCCGCCATCTCGTCCATATTCGATGGGTCTTTCGTTCGCGCCGTGTTCCCGGAATACGAGCGAAAGTGGTTTGACAACCCGCAGTGGGCGCAATCAGAAATGGAAAATGCGATGGACAGCAGGAAGGCCGGCTTCTTTGCGGATATGCTGTGGCTGAACGTTAGTTGAAGGTTTTTCGACACTTTAAAGGGGCATTTGTGCTCGCTTCTAAGATGGCGCGGCTAGATGACGAGGTTTTTATGCTTCAAAATTCGGAGGTACCGGTCGTTCTGCGGGAAGAAGGCGGCCATCATGTGCACGTTGGCACCTGTTTCGTAGTGGACTTGATGTTTGGAGAAACCAGAGATTTGGTGGAGTCTGGTAAAAGTCATATTGAGCTGATCAATATAGAATGAATATGAATTCTTATAATAAGGCGGCAGACCAATGATATAAAGTAGGGTATCAGACATTGATAATGAAATACGTGGGCGTTAGCAATACTAGAGTTATGAAGAATGTGACGTGGGCGTCAACATATCTTCATGTCCGGACCTTTCGCGGCACTGATCGACAGCATGCACAGCAACTTCCACGGCAGCAACTACGTCAACATGGAAATTCGGCCGGTCAATCCCATACAGCGCAGCAAGTGCATTACCCGGCTGCTGCGTCTCCGGGGCCACCAACCCCTTTTCCGAATCTTCATCACCCCTACCCGTATTCCCAGTAGGTGCCAGCGACGACGCAGCAGACTTACACCCACCCATCTCTGCCAAGCTAAAGACCGGCTCCCACGGCGCCGTCTTTTCGAATTGACATTGTCTTGGATACCCAAAGCCCGCCACAGCTAGCGCTCGTCGAGTCCATCTATTCGTCACGCTGGCGAAATGCCACTCGACTGACTCAGGGGCTGCCCAGTGGTCGAGTTGGGCACGCAAATCGATCAGTCCTTCGACGGCACCGCTGTCCATATTGTTGACGGCGGAGCAGTCAAGAATTACAGCACGGAGGATGGGGAGCTTACACTCCGTGTCCTTGCTATCTGAATCTTTGCTCAAGCACCTGGGTGCTGGCTCGTTCCAAGGACGGTCCTGCGAAGGGTGATTAGAGTGTAATCGTTGTACGGTGACGGATGGCTGGGGAAGGCTTACACCTGGATGAGCGTATTCCGTCGTGGTGGTCCGTCGCGTTTGATTCATGATGGTTTGGGAGAGGCGGTCGATGTACTGCGCTTGGTTGACGTAGTTGAAGCCCTCTGTGAAGCGATAGATGAATATACCCGAGTGCGGCGTGTGAACATGGATATTGGGGTTTGTGGCGTCATGGCGCTTGAGGGGTAGAAAGATGTCTCGGCATGGCATGTCTGCTTTCGTCGGGGTTGCTCTGGGCAGAGTGGTAGCTAAAGCACTTAATTCTTCTTTATGTAGAACTGCTGTTGTGTATCGAGGGTATCGATAGACGGTGGTCCGGCCAAGGAATTGGCCCTTGGCCCTTGCAAGTCTTACAAGAAGGACGGCGGCGGACAACGCGACGGTGCAGTAAATACCGTTTTCCAACGATGTGAAGACGGACACAAATACCCCGACGAAGTATATAAAAACGTCCAGCGGAGATGTCAACCAAGTTTTGTATAGGTGGTCCGGTGTGGTAATGAGATTGTAAACTGCGTGGATGATCAAGGCGGCTAAACTTGCCATAGGGATGTAGTATAGAACAGAAGTGAGAGCATATAAAGCAAGTAACAAAATGACTCCGTTAAATATCCCAGCTAAGGGAGTTCTCACACCGGCTTTGGATAGGATGGCGGTGCCGCCAAAGGAGCCCGTGGAGGAATATGCGCCGATAAAGGGGCCGAGCAAATTGGTGCATCCGATCGAGATGAGTTCTTGGGATGGAACAACCACGTAATTGTTTATTCTGCCAAACGATTTCCCGATGGCAATGTGTTCGATGATCAGGATGATGACCGTCGCTGGGAGTTCTGGTAGGAGAGCTGACATGAGCTTGGTGTCCAACTTGGGAGGGCCGGCGTGGCTGAAACCTGCACATAGTTAGAGTAAAGAAGAGCGAAATGTGGAATAGGGGCAAGAAACTGCGTACCCGTGGGTAGTTGACCTAAAATGCGGAATTTCTGGTTTTCCAAAGAAATGTTCCGATGCACTAGGAAGCTCACCAAAGTGTACAGAAGAATAGTGAAGGTCAGCCGAAGAGAACACAGCATGTTCCAAAGCCTCACCCTGCCGGGCTGCCGTTTAGCCATGAAGTCGCAGTACCACTTGATGAGTGCCAGCAGAAGCAGACCCGTGAGCCCAACAGCAGCATCGAGTTTCGTCCTTCCCAGGCCCTTACACGTGTTTATAAAAACCTCGTAAGCGGGCCCTTTTGAATTGATGCCTTCGATGCCTAACAGGGCTGGAGTCTGGCTCAGGGTGATGGTGATGGCTGCTCCCGTGACGAACGCAGCAATGGCCACGTGGGGGATGAGTTCGATGATCCAGTCCAGTCTGAGCAGGCCGAAGACGAGGAGAATACATCCTGCGAGGAAAGCGTGGGTTTTGGCTATGTCTTCGGGAGTGAACTCGGGATACTGGTCGCGGACACGAGTGCCGGCCTTGCCGACTAATAAAGAGACCACTGCGGTAGCCTGGAAAACGTTCAACATGGAGTTAACTGGAAGTCAGACGGCAATAAAGACGCTTACGCCGATGGCAATGTCCTTCGAAGTTCCAAACAACCAGTATAGAGATGCGCCAGTAAACGATGTGTATAGCCCATATTCGGGACTGAGGTTGGCAAGGAGGGCGTAAGCCATAGCCTGGGGGACAACAACTAGGCCAAGTGTGACGCCTGGGATGAAATTTGTTAGTTGTGAATAGCCAAGAAACCAACAGCCGGTGAAGAACTTACCAGCAATCACATCGCCGACCAGCCAACGAACGTTATACCGGCAAATCCAATTAGTAAACGGGAAAAGGCTCGACAGGTAGGGCAAGACATCGCGTTTAGACGGTATGCACTCTCGAATCCACTCTTGGACAGTAGGCTCTGCCTCAAAGTACGGATCGAATGGTGCTACAGCACATGTGGCCCGTCCAGCAAGGTCCTTGGGCACTTGTTCGTACCGGGCATCGAGGTCGATACCGACGGCTTTGGCAATAAACGATCTAATATTTTTGGACGCCATTGTGCCTCTCTTTGCCAGTAAAGAAGAAAGTAGTGGCGTTGAACAAATTTTACGTGCATTTTATGGAAAGGGCTCGAGAAAATCTTCTCTTTAGATAAGAGTCGGCGACGCTCGGGCTGAAGATAACTGGGCCTAACCGCAAAGCAGGAGGCAATATGAGCGGCAACGGCAACTGGTGAAGGTTGCATAGGCGTGCGTCCAGCCGCTACTGCCTGAGTATCTTACCGGTGCCAAGGGCGGCACACCACCGAGAGGCGGCTGTAGTCCAGACTTGAGCTTGTTTCGAGGTCGCCCGACAATTCTGAAAATCCACAGGGCCTGTGGTCGGTTTAACCATGACGTATCTGATGGAGATAGGCTGAGAAGGTTCTGAGTTCGATAAGAATTTGGCTGATGGCTAAACTATTCCTGAGAACGTTATGTGCAACCGATGCCGATCAGCCCAAGATCGGGTATCTTGTGTCAGAACCTTCCTGGTACCGAGATTAAACGGCGGCTTGTTGACAGGAGACAGCTGCGATGACAAGTGCCAGGGTAATCCTGACACACCGACAGCCGCCAATTCTCGGCCGGTGTCTGGGACAATTAAGGTTCAGGCAGATGCCGGATGCCGTGGGCTCCATTTCTCCGTGTTCGCCGTCCATAAACCAGAGTGGGATCCCGGGGTGAATGCGTGGTTCAGTTACTCCACCCATGTTGACTCAGGGCTTGTGTTTCAAAGAGCGGTGATGGAGAACTTCGTATTGAAGAGTAGTTGCTGTCTTCCCCTACGAGCGAACACGCAAATGCCAATTGGCACATGAGATTACCTTTGCCTTCCCACTAAGAAACTGCGGCAACCTAGGAGGGTGGGCAGCCGGCAGCCGGCACAAAAGCCGCCCCGGGTAGTGGGGCCCTTCGGATTTCGGCTGTCGGTCTGCGGGGACCGTGATTGGTTCGATCTCAGACCTCTACCCCTATCGAATGGTGCGTCTTTTTCTTTTCTTTTTGAATCTCGTTTATTATACTGTCCTATGGAAGCCTACGGCTTATGAAGACAGTAAGTCGGAAGACCCGAGCTACAGCGGGCTAAACTACCCAGTCCTTGTACTGCAATTTGTATCCTCCGTAACCATGGGTTTTGCCTCGCGCTATCTGGTTTCTGAACTTAACATGGAGATTAAGTTCAATATCGGTGTAGGGCTGTGGATTCTTTAGTAGGACGCCCAACTCTACTAAGTTCTTTTCCCCATCACTTTCGCAGTGTGCACGTGTGGTCCTACAAACCGCCGCTGGATTCGAACCGACTGTGGAATGATGCATCTTACAGGCGTCAAAAGACGGCCTCTTTGTGGAGAATTGCTATCGAAAAATGTGAAACGTAGACTCCCGTATTCTGGTATTAGTTCAATGTCTGGTTGGCCAGCCAAGAAAAGAAGAGTTTAATGACGAGCGACATTTCAAGACGGTGCACAGCTCGAAGTACTTTAGTGCCCGAGTAAAAATAAGCCATTGGGGTCGCCTCCGTGAGTTAAGCATTTGTGAATATTTGATTTCAAACATGCAAAGAGATCAGATATCGTGTGATGAGCCGTAATGAAAGGAATATGGATAGCGACCGAATCGCCTCTCCCAACATTGCTGCTCCCGATTTGAACCTGGATAGGGAATTGCGTGCAATACATATGAGTGGCCCTCTCTTTGGGTGTCAATTATTGTTATGCTTCGATAGAGCTGGCAATATTAGTGATAACTGGATGCTGTGGTTGGTCGTAAAAAGTAACGGCCTTTACGATTCCCCGGGGGCGGTGACATAGCAAAGATATGTGGGCTTGCAATGCTGCTGTGCGTAAAAGGCTGCCGATCATCCAGCCTTTGGTTTCCTTTACGATTCAAAATATTTTAGATTTCCGTTGAAAATCGCTGCAGTATTGATAAATGGTGGTTCTCACATGATTGACTGAAGATGTAGAGCACTTGAAATCACTACTTCGCATGCTCGGCTCGGACGGCTGCATAGGCGGAGAAACTATGCCACCATATTGGTGTGACTACGGTAAGCGAGCAGGAAACCAGGTGATATGCAAGGTCCGCAAAGATCTAAGGCATTGTAAAGTTTTCAGATGGCGGCCAATCATTTTGATTAACTGATTAGATGGTGAATTTGGATGCCCTCAATTTTGATGACACGTCCTTGAGCAGTTGCCCACCAAGCTGATTAAATCGAGGTGCGCATCAACAACCACCAACACGCATATTCTGTATCGAGGAAGAATACGCATCTACTGACGACGGGCAATAGATGCCCGCAGGTTTAAGGTGTAGATGATAGCAACGGACAACAAGATCCTCAACAAGACCTCACTATTCGAGAGATGGAAAAAATAACAAAAGCACCTCAACAGGTACAGACAATGGCCTTAATAGGCAGTAGTAACAGGATAAAACCTCAACGGGTTATCAGAACAACTGATGCCTCAACAGACGAAGGGGATGAGATGGTGCGATGACGCAAGCCTGACAACTCATAGTAATTGCTTAGCCGCTTGCTTGATCGCTTGCTTCCTAAGAGAGTGACTACCTACACAGGTCCTTTAATACCCTCGAGAACATGCTTACATAATTCATCTGAAAACCGAAAAGAACACCCCAGAAACCCTATCCCTATGCCACTACTGCCGCAACCTTTCGTCCCTGCTGGCGCAGATTTGATCCATGCCGATCTCGATAAATCCTCAACCACCCATCCATCATTTAGACTTCACCTCCACCAACCACATACCTGATTTTGGTAGATAATGGCCTGAAGGACTTGTTTCTTTTCTTAAATACAAAACCACTCAGGAAATTATGGTATGAAATTGATATCACATAGATCATGGCGAACGCCACCGCAAATAGCCTTCCGGCTGGTGGCCAAGGCGGCCAGTCAAACTCGCCTTTCCGAATCACAGGCTTCATCTTCCCGTCAGGAATCACTGACAAATAGATCTGATATTTCCCCTCTTCGCCGTCTACCTACTGCAACGCCGTGGCCATCAGAATTCAGGTTAACCTCAACATTGTCTGTCGAACGGCATTGATATACAAGTTCCACGTGAACACAGCCGACTGCGGAATAGTTACAGCAGAAGACCAGATTCCTACAGCTAAAATAATCGAGGACGTCTTATGAGAATTCACCGAGGCTGCTGTGGAGAGATTTCGCTCGGTGTGACACCTGACCAAGCCTCATGAACCAGAGCCCCCCACTTCCATCTTGACAGAACTATTCCTGACCTTGAAGATAATTCGCAGAAACTAAAAGGATTACAGCGATCGTATGGAAAGTTTGAGCCCTAGGAGAAGCTTCGTATTGCCTGGAAGGGCATTTTGCGGTCAGCAGGCGCCGTGAGATTCCTCCCCTTAACTGCAGAAGTTGAGAACTCGCGCGTCGTCGATGCCTTCGAGTTTCTTATTCCACTGAACTGTTAGGCAACCTTGATGGGCTTTGCCAAGACCACCAAGGTTACCACGTGACTTAGCCCTTCGGGACTAAGTCCAACCTTCGTGCTCCATAGGACTAGATAGAATGTCATGCTTTTACAACCTCACAAATCTTTGACCACCTTTGCGTGTAACATGAACTGTCAACCTGTAACCTTCAATTCATTAAAGTGACTCACGCCACTGGCATTTATTTACCACAGTTCATGAAAATTACCGAAAGGAACGCCTGTATGACATTATCAAGCTAATATGCTGGGAGTCGACGAGTCGGAAAAATGGGAATGGTCGGGGTCAGAAGAGACAGCGGGGCGATTTCATGATTCCAGAAGCGTTTTTATCGCTGGAGGAGAACAACATCGGCCGGTTCTGCCACGGAGCCTATCCAGGTACCTCCTTGATAGACAATGGAGAAGCAACCCAGCAAGCGGCCCAGCCTTTCAAAGCATGCCTATCGTCAAAGAGCCTCAGTCCTCAGAGCCACAATCGTGGGTGACATTCCTATCCGTTCGACGGCTGCTTCGTCTGCAAATGGAGGCAAGTCTGAGCTTCGACGCCCAATCGATGGCAGCAAGGCTGTGTCCTCGACACCACCCTACAGCTATCGAACTGCCATCGACGCTCTTCAGGGACCTGAGGGTTTCCGTATTCGCGGACTGTCTCTCTCTAGCAACATATTGAGTAGCATTGAGAAACAGTATCAGCAGCACCGAGACCGGCACCAGCTGGAGGATAATCCGACCCACTGTGTCCTCAAACGACGTCTCAAACAGCTTGCCGAGCTGAACGTAGCCCAAGACGAGACCATCAAGCAGCTACGTTGTGTGATTAAAGAGCAAGATAACACCATCAAACGCTACAAGTAAACCGTTTAGGGGTCAAGCAGATACTCGATTTTTAGATTCGACCGAGTGCGTGGGATGGAGCGTGCTGCTTTGGCAATGGTTGGTGGGTTTTCTTGAGTTTCCATATTGCGCAATTTGGTCCACTGGAAATGTTGGGCGTGGGAGACTTTTGATATGGCACTGCCGGCTGCATCTGTGGTCGCAAATTTGCGAGTCTACGGAAAGCAGGATAAAACGATATTGCCAATTCCATGAAGGGCTGGATGGATTTTGGCCCCAATATTTGTTACTCAGATACCCTGTATATGTAGTATGTGATGACTAGCAGCCAGGATTGCCTTCCCCGCAAGTCCCACGCGAGGGAGAGGGGACGGGGTTCAGGCTATTCCTGACCTGAAAGGCCGGATTCTGGTGTCCTGTTAATCAGTGATACTGTCGCACATGTGCAACGTATGTGGCCACTTGCTCTTGTCGCTAGAGGCATGGGGGCATACCATTGTTCTACGACAACACCAGATTCTGCCATGAACAAGCATTAAGTGGTATCCCAGTTGAACCTATAGTAGAACGATGCGGCATAAAACACCAGAAGGTTTCAAGTTACTGTAATTATATCAATTTGTCTCTAAAGCTAACACTACCTAAATCGAACCGTTATTGAGACCTTTCAAAATGAAAAAAAATAAATTGATAGCGTATTGAAGAATTTAAATCTATCTTGCCTGTGTGTGCCTTCCTTTTGCAGACCATAACAAACCATGTGTATAAACAAACCAGATAACCACTGACCCAGTAAACGAAATGACTACTCAAGGAAAAGTCATCTTACAAAGTGTCTTGAAAACCCTTATTCTCAAATAACCTCAACCCAACGCAAACTCGTAGATTTCAACGAGTGGAAGTAGCTTCAAGTCCCATCACCACCCTCTGCTCCTCAGTTCAAGAATCCAATTTCCTTCCAAATGTGCACATACTTCCTGGCGACCTCCTCACTCACCGGCCCAACCTTCCTCAAACTCTCAGAATGTTCAAGAGTCCTCTTCACATCCAACACCAACCCTCCACATGACATTCTCAAGAAGTTGTCATCCAAGAAATCCAACAAGGTGGCCGCGGGATTGCCCCTCTGAGGCGCATGCCTTACTTTCTCCAACCACTCCCCAAACGGCACCACGTTCTTTCTATTGATCCCCAGCGCATCAGCCAAGACCCCTGTCATCTCTCTCCAGGGCTGTCCGACGGGGTTCTCAATATGATAAACCGGGTACGGCTCCTTATCCATCAACACGAGGTCCGACAGAGCGGCCGCGATGTCGTTAACGGACGTCCAGTACAGGCCCCCCTCGAGGTCGGGAAGCGCATTGAGCGTTTGAGAGGATTTGACCAGGAACCCAAAGTGCTCCATCGGGTTCCAATATCCGCTCGTCTTGCTGCCGGCAATCTGGCCCAACCGCACGGCCATGGTGCGGAACCGCGTCGGGTTCTGGTGCAGCGTGGCGTCAAGCATGAGCTCGCAGCCCCATTTGGCATCGCCGTAGCCGTTGGGCAGGACCGAGTCGATGGTTGTGCGGGCTTCGGGAACAAGGGTTTTGGGCTTGGACGGGTTGTATTCATCGTGGACTTTGGAGGTGTCGGTGTTGGAGTAGAGCCCGTAGTGCCCCACTACGCCGATGGAGGATACCATTTGGAAACTGAATTTGAATCCCTGTGGCCGTCGAGTGGAGCCGTCCCGCGATAGGTCGAGAAGGTTCCGCATTACCTGGAATTGGGACTCGAAGCCCGAGAGGGGGCGCTTGGCGCTCATGGGCCAGGCGTTGTGGATTAGGTGCGTGACGGAGTTAACCAAGCCTTCGTACTCGTTGTTGGTGAGACCGAAAAGGGGTTTAGCCGTGTCGGTTTGGTAGACGAGCAACTTGTGCTTAAGGGCTTCGGGGAACCGGATCCCCTTTTCTCGCATGGCCTTTTGCTGGCGGATGTAAGGCTCTGCTTTGTTCTCGCGGTTCAGACAGACAATGGTCTTGATGTCTGGGAGGGCGGCGAGATGGTACACCAGGTTCCCGCCTAGTGATCCGGAGGCGCCGGTGACGAGCACGACCTTCTCGTTGGGGTTTGCGGCGGGGAGAGCGCCGGTAGGGGAGGGAACAGAGAAGCCTGAGGTGTATTTGGCTACTAACTCCTCGACGGCCTTTTTGCGTGATTCCAGGGCAGCTTTCTCAGTATCGCTCAGTTGTGAGGTGCTCTTGAGGACCTCCGACACGGGAGCAAGAGCCGTCATTGGTGGAAGTGACTCGGTCTCGTCAGCCAGCGATCGGGCGTAACCGGCCCCGCTCTTGGTTGCAGTGTCTCCTAGGAGCAACTGCTTCAGATCGGCCACGGTGGGACACTCGAGGAAGAGGGACTCGTGCTGAATGTCAAGGTTCAGCTCATCACGGAATCGACTGACGACTACAAGGGATAGAAGAGAATCCACCCCCGAGTCGGCGAAGTTGGTGTCATCAGTAAGATCTTCCATCGCGACACCACTCTCTTCCGAAACGATTTCAAGAGCGCGCTGGAAGTCGAATCCCTTGGGGGCAAGAGAGTCCTCATCAGTGACAGGAGTGGTCGCCCCCGTCGCCGCGGCGCTCGCAGTGGCACTAGTACCCGGCGTCGTGGTCCCAGTGCTAGGCCCCGACTCTCCCAGCAGTGTCTTGAGGTCGCCAACAGTGGGGTACTCGTAGAAAAGCGAGTTGAAGTCGAGATCCACATCAATCTCCTCCTTGAACCGAGCCGAGATGGTCAGACCGAGGAGAGAGTCAACGCCGACGTCACCAAAGACGGTGCCGTCCGTCAGGTCCTCCACAGCGAGACCGCTTTCCTCGGCGATGATGGCCAAAGCCTGGGTCGTCTTGGGCGCTTGTGGCTCTATAATCACTGGCAAAACAGCTTTAGGCGTACTGTTGTACGAAGCTGTGGATGCCGCGGGAGCCGCTGGAATAGCCTGCTGCCTCTTCTGCGCAGCCTGGCTCTTCTGCCCGCTTTCGAGGGACAGGATGACCTTGAGGACTCGGCGGGGAACTCCTTGGATCTGAATAGAAGAGTCAGTCATGTTGGTATCCCATACCCGTAGGAAACGTAGTACTTGCCGCAATCTGCCCAAGACTAGCCACAACCCTATCCCCATCAAAAATAGCCACGTCGCCATGCCACAACTTATCAGCCCCCTCCTCCATCTTCGTATATGTGGTATATTCCTTATCAAAATCAATCGGCTCAAACATCTGGAACGAGCCCCACCCATGATTCATATAAACCTGATTATCCAAATCGGTCGCATCGTTGCAATTCATCGTGAACCCGCAACTCTGCGTCAACGAGTCAATGATCGCCGGATTGGTGTGGAAATCCCCGCCACGCTTCACGCTCCCGTAGCTGAGGCGGGAAGACGCCTCGAAGGTCCCGCTGTTGAGAACTATCTCGTCGATGGCGCGGTAGTCGTCGTGGAAGCGGGCGAGGGGCCGGATGGCGCGGTAGGCTTGTGGCCGGTTGAAGCGCGCCGTGACGCCTTGGGCGATGCCATCGCGGAGGGTTTGCATCTTTTGTTTGATGGAGGCGGCCTGCTTTTGGAGCGTTTTCTGTAGGCTGCCGTCTTGGAAGCGGACTACGCAGCGGGCGTGTTCTTGAAGTTTTTGTTTACTCTGTTTCCAATTAGCTCAAGTATACTTGACCAACGAGGGGTGATGAAAGTAAATGAAAGGAAAAGGGGTATAAGAAAGCAGACTTACATCAAACGACATGAACTTAACCCTCGCCTCATTCTTAGCCCAATCCACATCTGCATGCGCCTGCAACATCTGCGGTCCCTCCCGGGGCTGCAAAATCAACGCCTTCGAAATCGTCATATCCGCCACATCCACCAGCCTCTCCTTCTTACCTGGGCGATGGCGCTCCAAGAAATACGTACCGAGCGTCAGCGCAATATCCGCATACACGGACGGCGTGCACAGCGGGATCCCATCGACTTCGTGTCCCTGGACCAGAGGACTCAGATCCTTGCGCGCTATGTCCGCTTCGACGACCATGTGGATCTTGTCCGAGTCGGCTGTTTCCTCAACGACGCGGTGGATCGTCGTGCTCTCGAGTTTGGTCGACTTGCTGTTGTTAATGATCAAGGGAGGGTCGCCCTTCCGCAAAGACCAGTCGTTCACGTATTGGATCCAGTATTCCTTGAGATCCCAGTTGTACGCCGGCAGCGCGAGGACCTTGTGCGAGGCCTTGAAGTCGGCGTGGTAGCCCGACCAACGAATGTTGGCGCCGTTGGCATACAGCGTCTTCAGGCTTGTTGCCAGGATCTGCCAGGTTGAGCGGCCGCGCTGCAGCGAGGAAAGGGATGCGACTTGGGACCCTAAGACAGCCTTCACCATGCCTGAGATGGCCGGGTGCGGACCAATCTCGAGCATGGCTGTTTGTTCGGACAGGAGGCCGTGGGTGTGTGCTGTCTCGAGGGCTTGCAGCATGTTGACGGGTTCGCGGCAGTGGCGGGCGAGGTATGAGGGGCCGAAATTGGTCTTGTCATCGCTGTTGACGATGCTGCCGTCCAGGGGGCACATGATGGGGATTTGAGGCTGGGAGTAAGTTATACCCGCTGCGAGTTTCTCGAAATCGGCCAGGATGGGGTCGACTTGCGAAGAGTGGAAGGCATAGGGGACCTTGAGCAGAGTGGACTTCATCCCCGCATTGGTGAGTAGTCCCTGGAATATGGAGATACTGCTGCTGGGGCCAGCCAAGACAGTCTCTACGGGCGAGTTGATGCAAGCAATTTCGTGCTTATGCTCCTTGAGAACCTTGGAAATGGCGTCTACCGCTCCCTTGACCACGAGCATCGAGTGCGTATCCTTTGTGCACTTCTCTTGGAGAAGCTCGGCCCGTTTTCCGACAAGGTAGACAGTATCCGCATCGCAAAGGACTCCAGCGACATTAAGAGCCGCATACTCGCCCAAACTATGTCCGACGACCGCAGTAGGAAGGATATTCCACGATGCCCAGAGTCTGCTCAGCGCAATCTGCAGGCACACACTCGCGAGCTGGACAGCCGTAGGCGAAAAGACGCCGACGTCTTGTTCATCTGAAGTGATGACGGTAAGAATGGACGGGAAGCCCAGACTCTGGCCAATCTGGTCCAGACGGCGCATCTCGTTGCGGAAGAGGGAGAAGCTCTCGAAGAGCTGCTTGCCCATCCCGGGGTACTGTGCGCCTTGGCCCGTGAAGGTGAAGACTACCTTTGGGGCGCTCTTGGGTCTCTTCATGCCCGTCTGGTCTCGCAGTGCAGCCTCGATCTGGGTGCAGATTTCTTCAGGGCGCGAGCCGGTGAGCATAACGCGGTGCTGGTGGTGTTGGCGACGGGCTGTGGTGGTGTAGGAGAGTTGACCCATTGAAACTTCCGGGTTCTGCTTCAGGAACTCGAGCATGGATCTCAGGTTGCCCTGGAGAGAGGCGCCGTTCTTGGCCGATACTGCGACGACGTGGGGGTTTCGTGGGTCTTGTTCTTCGCTGGAGAATTCCCGCTTGATGATGGGCGCATCTTCGATCAACAGCGCCGAGTTTCCGCCAGCGGCACTAAAGTTGTTGACGAAGACCCGCCTGGGCTTCGCAGGGTCGGAGCTCCTGTCCCAAGCCGTCGGCTTCAAAGCGATCTTGACATTGCGTTGGTCGAGGTCAGTCGGGAACCGATGGTTGATCTTGGTCTTGATACCGCAGTGCGGAACAATGGTGTTCTTCTGCATCATAAGCAGTACCTTAATCAAACTCGAGACACCCGACGCCGCCTCTCCATGTCCGATATTAGCCTTGGCCGACCCCAGGTACAGCGCTTCATCACTAGTTCTGCCCTTCTTGACTACCTCAAGCGGCGGCGCAAAAGTGTCAAGAACACTGGACATCTCCCCTCCATCGCCGGCTTGGGTGCCAGTCCCGTGCATCTCGACGTAGCTGACCGTGTAAGGGTCCACAGCACCCTGGTTCAGAATCTTGCTGAAGATGGCACGTTGAGCACCTACATGCGGGCGGGTGATAGACTCGGACTCGGCCGAGTGATTGGTGTACGCGCCCAGGATGACCCCCTGAATCGGGTCGTTGTCGGCAATGGCGTCTTCGAGACGTTTGATGATGACCGTCCCGATGCCTTCGCCACGACAGTAACCATCAGCCGCATCATCAAAGGTCTTGCAGTTTCCAGTCCGCGAGAGGAAGTGACCTCGGTCGAGCCCAGCCGTGAAATCAGGGTTCGTCAGGACGTTGGTGCCACCAGCAATAGCCGTGTCGATGTCCCCTCGCCACAGCGAATTGCAAGCCAGGTGGATACCCGCCAGACTAGAAGAACACGCCGTATCGACTGCATAACTTGGACCACTGAACTTAAAGCAGTAGTTGATGCGCCCGGGTATGAAAGCCCGATTTCCACCGGGTATGAAGTAAGTGTCGATATTCTGGGCGGAGTTGGTCTCCATCCAGTCATTGCTAGTGACACCATAAAAGACGCCCACGCGATCTCGTCTAGTCGAAGGGGTAGCATCGGGGACAATGCCAGCCTGCTCAATAGCTTCGTAGGCCGTCATCAAGGCCAGCCGCTGCGCGGGGTCTATCTGCGGCGCTTCTCGGGGCGATATGTTGAAAAAGCGTGCATCGAACACCGCCGGGTCGTCAAGCCAGCACCCAAAAGGGGTCGTGCTCGAGTTTTTGGTGGCGCCTGTGGGATCCACGTGCGTTTTGGCGTCCCAGTGCAATGCCGGGACAGGCTTGTGCACGTCGAGGCCTTGGTAGAGGAGGTCCCAGAATGCCTCGTTGTCCTTGGCCCCCGGGAACCGCCCGGACATGCCGATGATGGCCAGCTTGGGTTTCTTGGGGTTGGAGCTGGTCAGATCTTCCGGTGCAGCAGAAGGTATGCTCTTTGCCGGTCTGGATGGGAGTAAGGAGCGCAGGGAGGTTTGCTTGAGCGCCGTGTAGATGAGTTGCTCGGCAGTGGTTCCGATGGGAACGACGCTGAATGTCTTGGGGCCCACTTTCCGGATGCATGTCTGCAGTTCGTCCAGAACGGCATTCCAGCGAATCGGTTCCAGCAGTACTTGTGTCACTGCATCCTTTAGCCGCTTCTCAAAATTCCCGCCTTCGACTGTGATCCCAGTGCTCGACAGGACGGGTATTTGGTTGGGACGTATGGCCGCCCTGCTGTCAGGGCTCAGCAGCCCATTAACAATCTCTTCGACATCATTCTGCGAAGAAAGATGCGGAGCATGGTATGGGGCATATATGGGAATGCTCTTGAATCTGAAGTCCTTGAAGATTGCCGAGCTGCTCAGCTGTGCCAGCGCGCTTGGCGGGCCGCTCACGGTAATTCCGTTGGGCGCATAGGCGCTGATGTAGGGCCTGCTGGTCAGGGGTAGTTTCTAATGTTCAATATTTGGTCAGCAACCGAGGAAAAGTTCATGATGAGACACAACGAAAAACAAGGAAAGCGTCGTGACCTTACCGTCTCTTCGCAAAACTTGTGCACCGCCGCGGATGACGCCGTTCCAGGCACGATGATGGACCAGAACTGTTCCGAATCCTGCGAGGGCTCCAATCGCTTCCCAAGATCAGTCACATGCATGCCTATTCTAAAGGCAACAATTACGGCCTGAACAGCCTTTGGGACGAGGTCAAGCGTGCTGCAACTGCAACTAATAGCCGCGGCGGCTAAGGCCCCTGTGCAGAGACCGAGAATGCGGGCATTGTCCGCATGGGGGTACCAAGGGTCCGCTTGGCTGCACAGTGCATATTAGCTTCTGCTGGCCAAGACAAGGGCACATATATTTCGTAATAAAATCCTTACCTGATGAAGAACCCGAGCTGATACATACAGGTAACCGCCATATCTAGGGGCACACATCGCTTCCCGCCTTGCTTCCACAGAACGAGGTCATCCAGGCATGTGAACCGGGGAAGATCATCTCGGACCTGGCCTGGGAGCTTGAAGATCTCTGTCCGGATGGCATCGTAGGACTTGACGAGGAAGTCTTCTAGAACAGGGTTGTGTCTGTGGCGGAGGAGATCTTTGAGATGGGGCTGTATGTCGTAGGTCTGGTCTCCGAAGAGGTACAGCTTCAGTTGGTCTGACATGATGAAGTAAATAAGATATCAGTCAGTATAACAGGGAGCCTCTAAGTGTTTGTGCTGGCCTGTACCTATGACTTGGACCGGGGAATGATTCTGTGTGAAAGTATGATGCCCGAGATATATGGAGTGCGAGAGCTCTGTTATTTACATCTTTGACTGAGACGATGGTACTTCATATGTCTGCCTGCCTGCAAGAAATGGTACCCTTGCCTTGCCACCGTTCCACACATTCAGCCAAGAATACCACACGATAGCAACTATAGCCTCGTCCGTACTTGGGAGCCTAATCTCGGGAGAAGCTGTCGCATCGTTCCACCGAAGTTGGGAGCTATGAACATAGTCGGAGCGAATCCCACGTCAGCCATAAACAACGTAATACTTCAGCTCACGTCATTACTGTTGATTTGGTTCCCCGAAAGCATGAAACGGCGACAACTTCACATGGGAAACAAACCAGCTCTGCTATTCGACGGCCACGCCATTCAGCCTCCAGCTATGCCCGAGGATTATCGCTACAAAGGGAAAGAACCAACAGGGTGTCTTCCTCATTAGCCAGCATGAAATAGAATGATGTACATGGCGTTTCTCATTTTCCGAAAGTTGTTGAGACTAGGACTTGTGGCGCCGTGGAATGGAGAGACTATTGTGACAAAGGCTTCTGGAAGATATGGCTAGAGTACCCGCCGGGGAATTCTCCACAGATCTAACGTAATGCAGGAATAATAACCAGATGCCTCTTTTCTTCCCAATAATCCATACGAGCGAATCACTAGAGCCCAGAAAGGCGCGTACCGCTATACTCAGAATGGACTGCGTTATCCAGATTTGTTTAGTTTAGAGAGCATGACTTTTGATCTGTCCTATCCCTCATGGCGTGCAAATACGTCCTTTTGACAGGTTACATGACATAGCCGTCGTTTTTACTTATTTTTAAGGTTTCATGTCCTCTCGGATGATCACATCATGGAATCTGGAGCCTTCAACAAGGAATATCGATCTAGAAGCCTTCGCAGTTTCACCACTAATGCGTCGAAACGGCCACCTGCGTATCGGCCGGGTTGGAATCTATATGAACAGCTGCACGTAGGTGCCGCACGTATTTTGTGACCTTACGGCGCCAACATGGAAGGGAATGAGCGTGATTCTCGGGTAATTCTGCGGGTTATATTTCCTCACCGTTACACGTTTCCGGACCATCGGGTTTTCCAAAACCACGTAATACACCATTTTTCTTGGGCTGACGAACCGCAGAGCGGCATTAGGCAGTGATATTACCTAGTCTCTCCCGTGGCTTCGGGAGGGATTTTGGACAGCTAAGACAAAGGGGTTTTGCACGATTGGCCCATTGGCGCCAGGTTATAAACACCTATGTCATGCAATGTAGTTCAATTGAGTCGATCACTTCCTCGTCTGAAATTCTAATACTCCGTGGGGGTAATTTTTGTGGGTGGTGATTGCTCAGATGCCTCTGATCCTGCACACACCATGTCTCTTTTTTTAACTGCCTTACTAAAGTCCCTCACTCGGTGTAGATAACGTAAGGACAAACGATACACAGAGAACTCGATAATGGACCGTAAGTTGTACGATACGCCAAGGAAATAAGTTATTTATCACTTCGAGTCCTGCATACTGATCGGAAGCAACTTGCAGAACCCTAATGCCACTATTCTCGTATTGGTTTTTTGTCATCCCCCGCCGTGCGCTGTGAGAAATGTGCTAAATAGGTATGATTGAGTGCCTTGAGATGACCGCTGTATGGGGATTCCGCTCTGCGTTGCGGCTCGCGCATTCAAACTTAGGACGAGAATGTTGGTGACACAAATGGGACTTGCCAAGTCGGTGCTTACTGAATGACATTCTGAGAAGTAAAGTAGGTCTGCGCTCAGCTTGCGTACTGGTGTGTTGACCGAGATAGATGAAGGTGGGGGAAGGAAGTAGCTCAGGAGAGCAGGTTTCTTCGGAGGAGCCGGCAGGTCCCGTTTCGCTGGTGCTTATGCTGCCACCTCGTGGGAACTTGACTCGTTTGGTTGCTTTGCCGCGTTGTGCTAGACTGAAAAAGAGGCGCTACACTGGGGGTACAATGTCGATCTTCGTTCAATATACCTTATCGGCATGGCAGCCAATAGATAGGCGCGACGTTCGGGGCCATCGGTGGCTGATGGATTATCAACGTGTGGTTATCTGCGCCGCTGGATGAGGGTGAGGATGAGGGCTGAAGTTATGCATGAAGTTACTTCAGGTAGGGCTGACGTAAGTGGAACAGCTGCAGAGTCCCCCACCCTTCGTGAGCGACAAGTTGGGGGAAGGAGGGGGGGTGGTGGCTGGGTTGTTAACTAATCCAGTCACAATTGACAACAATGGTCCGGTGAAGTGTCTCGGATCCTGCTTGTGCAACGATCCTGCAACGTTGATTTGGTTTGTTCTTCACCATGTCCTGATTCCTGAGTGTGTCTATCGTTGTGGGAAGACCGTTTTAAGCCCCTTGTTCACATGGATTGAAATTTGTCTGGCCAAGTCCCACTGTTCTAGACTGGACTGTTCAACAGATCATCAGATATCTTCTAAAAGTTTCGCGGCAATAATTCAACCTCTTGCAGCATGCCAGACACTCCACCTCGACGGTTGAAACTACGATCGAGCTGTGACGCATGTGGTGCCGCCAAGCTCAAGTGTAGTCGGACCCAGCCCTCGTGCCAACGCTGCGTGTCTCTCAGCCTGGTCTGCGTCTATGGAGTGTCCCGGAAATCTGGCAAACCGCCACGAGAGTCTCCGAGGCAAATGCAGAGAATCAAAGCTCCAACGTCGAGCGATCATCCCGTGGGTATGGATATTGATCTGCTTGGCGACACTAGCAGCAACGGCGGAGGCATGATGCTGAATTTCGGGTCTTTGCCGACGGTAAATAGCGTCCTCCGGGATGATATGGACGACAGTATCAACAGCAACAATCTTATGGGCGGCGCTGATGGTCCTGACGGGTTTGGCACTCTGTTGGGGCCGCCCATTTCGATGGACTTTGAGGAATGGGTGTTTTCGAATGAATGCAGCGATAACCAACTCGCTACAAATATTGAGACTACACCGATATCCACGTGTTCAGATAACGGGGCACCCAACCATTCAGCGACACATCAACTCGACGGCACCACAGGCCACGACTGCCCTCGAGAAGCCTACGCGATCCTGGGCAGCCTGTCCTTCGTAAACATCAACCATATCGCCGCTCTGGCTCCAGCAAGTTCCGTACCAAATTCAACACCCCCCTCCTCCACCGCTCCAGCCGAGTGCGTCCCCCTAGACGACGTCCTTCGCATCAACCGCGAAGCGAGCGAGCGCCTCAGCCGGCTCCTAACTTGCTCTTGTTCTCGCTCTCCGCACCTAGCCCTCCTCTACGCCTCTATCCTCAGCCGCGTGCTAATATGGTATCAACAAGCGGCTGGCTGCACCCAAAGCGCCTCTTGGAGTCCCGCGGCCGCGGCCGTGGAACCGGTACTCCGCAGTGCGCCCGCCTCGGCATCGGGATCCACTTTCGGATTGGCGTCTTCGCCTTGGTCGAGCACGGCGGTAAGCACCGTCAGCACCGGGTGCGCGAGCACGCCTACGCTGACGCAGGCCACGGGATTGGAGGTCGCGCCGGCGCAGATGGCGATTGGGTCATTTAATATTGATGATGAGCGGGTGCAGACGGCGCTGAAGATCCAGCTGGTGTCAAGCGAGATGCGGAGGGCTGGGCGCGTGATTGATTTGTTTTCTTCGCAGTGCTCGGGAGCCCCTTGTTCTTCCGAGGCGTGTTCGTTTGGTGGAGTTGATAGTCTGTATAGGAGTTTGAGTTCGTGGCTTAGGGGGGAGCATTCGAGGATTACCGGGATTATGAGGACTAAGGTGAGGCAGTTGAGCGAGGGCATTCACTAGACTAGACTTCCCTTGTTATATAGACACACATCCATCAACCAATACTTGCGTGACTGGTTTCTCTGCATTCGCATTTGCATGCCCTTCTATCGATCTATCATCATATCATACCCCCCATATTGCTTGCACCCTTCTACTTGCCCTCTTTCCCTGCTGCAATTTTACCCCCTTGATCACCCCTTTAATACTGTAACATTCCATCCACATCAACTGCCACCCCCCTGAGCTCATACCCCTCCCTCTCCGCCCTCTGCCACTGCTCCTTCACAATTTTCAACCTATCCTCCCCTCGTGGCACAAACCGAGCCGCAAACGGCTTTGGCGTCGTGAACCCCGCATCCGGGTACGCATTTTCACTCAAATCCATGGTCTGCTCCACGCCGTCCACAACCGGCGGCCGTATCTCAAACGCCCACAACATATTCGCCAACGCGATATCGAGTGAGTTCTCCGCCAGTCTTGCACCCGGGCACGTCCGTCGCCCTGTGCTGAAGGTGAAGTGGTCCCGCTTGTACGGGTCGCTCATGGCCGCGTACTCGGAGCTGTACAGGTTGTGCTCCAGGTACCGCTCGGGCATGAATTCGAAGGGGTTTTCGTAGCGGCTCGGGTCGTAGTGCAGGAATGCCGTGTTAGCGAGTAGGATGGTGCCCTTGGGGATCACGTGGTGCTTGTACACGATGTCGTTGTCGGTGTAATGGCGGATCCCGGGGGCTAATACAGGGTTGATGCGCAGCATTTCTTTCACACAGGCTCGAATATAGGGCAGGTTGCGCACGTCGGCGAAGGTGGGCGTGCGGTCTGGACCGACAACGCGCATTAGCTCTTCCTGAGCGACGGATTGGACGCGTGGGTAGGCGGCGAGGTGCAGGACGAGGCTGTTTAGTGTGGCCGCGGAGGTTTCAAAGCCGGCTTCTACCATGCCGCCTGCTACCCACGCTAGGTCGATGTCGTTCAGACCTTGGGCGTACCAGGATTGCTTGGTCTCGAGCATTTCGCGCCCGTAACACGCTGGGGCCCGGCCTGCTTCGTGCAGTTTTTCCAGTCGGCGCCAGAGACCCATCTTAATATCGAGCACCTGCTTGGCACACTCGGCGGCGTATTTTCTTCCGGGCTGCAGCCACTCCGGTAAATGAGCCAGAGGCGGCAACTCATCGACAAGGAAAGCACCCGGCCGCGAAGTAGCCCTGAGTATGGTCTGGCTACGAACGGCATTATGCACATCCGGATGGTCCCAAGTCTTGACCCTTGTGCCGAAAGTATTCGTCATGATGATGCTAAATGCAAACCGCCGCATATGCACATAAAAGTCGCGCTCGTTCTCGTTATCGGTGGCAAGGTCAAACAGCAACTGCTTCGTCTCGAACTCCTGGCTCGGCACAAACGTCGCCGTGATGGGCACCGACGTGATCTGCCTCACCACGGACCTTTGTGCCCGCCAATGGGGGCCATACGGCATGGTCGGCATACGGAGACCGCCCGTTACCAAGTCGTGGCCTAGTGGAGAGGGCGCCTTGGACGAGGTGTTGATGGCTTGTTTCTCGAGGATTTCGCGCACCGCTTCGGGCGTGTTGATGACGACCCAGTTGTACCAACCCACCCGCAGCTTGAAGACGTCGCCATAGTCTCTGGCCCACTTGCGGAAGGTAGCTGGGGCTTTGGGAGGCAGTTTGTAGCCGACGCCGATTAAGGGGTAGCCCTTGGGTCCTGGGATCGTGTCTAGTCTGCGGTCACGGTGGAGCCATGCTGTGAGGAGCGCCGCGATGCCAAGGACTACGGCCAAGACCGGGATTCGGTGGTGTTGATAAAGGGAGAGTATTTGGTCCATTCTGGAAGTAGTGAAGGGAATGGTATTCACAGAAGGAGGAGATATATAGTGTTTGGAGCTTTTTTATATGAAACGTTCTCATTTACTGTTATGCCGCAGAATTGGAGATGTGCAACATTCCTATGCAAGAACCCAGAGTAGATGCTTCGATGGCCTGCAGAGATGTGTTGTGTCAACCAAATACTTATCTCGGTGAAACCAGACTATGAGTGCTATTACTATAGAGGCTTCCTCCCTGCCTGTCTGGAGGGATCACGTACAATCCTTGCCGTCTCGTGCCCCGTAGCGGCACAAAACTACCCTATGGCCACGGAGATTAAGGGCTTTGACGTGAAATATATCTCCGAAATCCCGACGACCCCCGAGACTTTGGACAAGAACAACGCCCGAGGTAGCATGTGTTTCACACCTTGAGCTGCCTAAACCTGAATAAGCCTAGCCAGCCACGCTTTCGGAGGATACGGCACACGGAAGCTAAACGACGATCATGACGGGAGACCAGGGTCCTATCTTTAACCAATGGGATAAAACTTTTAAATCCCGATCTTTCAGCCCCGAAAAGCTTGGCATCCCGCCCGGCTAGATTCCGTATTAGTGAGAATCCCACTCGGCAGTCACGTGGGATGCGGCAGATTAAGATGATACAAATCTCACCCTCGCGTATTGAAGCAGATTTGGGAGGTGAAAAGCGCCTGAGTGGGGGTGTCAGCTTGCCAGGAGGGAAGGAATTGGAATCTTTACCCGCTAAACATTAACAAGTGGGTGTGAGTGAGATGGTGAAGGGAACTCCACACCCCCCCTTTCCCCCACACCACACCCCCTTCGAAGAGCCAGCCAAACGGGTACGCGTACGTTTGACCTAATATGTTTCTGTCAGATACGGGGATCCCGCTCCGTAGTACTCTGAGGCTGTAGAACGTATCTTTGTAGTAGCATGCGAAGAAGGTACATGCGGCTTAGGAACACGAGAATTCCGACACATCCCACAGGTCGGTTTACGAACATGACAATTGCGACCATGAGTGGCTGGCTCGCTGTTTCTGACAAATAGAAAGTCAGTTGCGAATTGCAAAATTCTGCGGTTGAAAGCAGTGTGTTGAAAGCAGTGTGACGTGATGTGACGTAAGGTAGTTTAGCAGAGGGACTGCCTGCGCAAGACAAAAAAAGAACCAAACTTTGGCCTAGGTTGTAACTCCGCCCAAGTTTTCTCCCAGAGGCTTCCTATAATGGCGTCCAACAAGGAATCTCAGGCCACAACAGCATCCCCTGCTCCCCCCTCCAGCCAGCCGCCTATCCGTCCCCCGTCGTCTTTGGCATCAACCTCTTCGCGCTCTGCATCGCCGTCTTCTGCATGGCACTGGATAATACCATCATCTTGAGTGCCATCCCCCGCATTACGGATGAGTTACACGCCCTCGATGATATGGGATGGTATGGTTCTTGTTAGTTTTCTCCTTTTCCTGCTTTTCCTCGTTTCATCCCTTTACTGTGATGCTGATGTTAGTTGCGCTGCGTACTTCCTCACAGCATGCGCCTTTCAACTCCCCTACAGCAAGATCTTCCGCCTTGTCAATTTCAAACGGGCATTCCTCGTTTCGCTCTTCATCTTTGAAGCCGGATCGCTGATATGTGCGCTCGCCTACTTCCGTGGCGTCGATTGTTGGCGCAAGTCTTTTGTAACTTCGAATAGACACTAACGTAGTCCACAAGTGAACGGGTCACCTAACCGAACGGGTCACGCCAACTAGCAAAACATGGAATTCAACACGATTTCGCAACCACAACGCCGTAAATCAATTAAAACTACTCAGAATACTCTTGCCCAAATGATTCTATCTCTACCTGACAGGTTCGCGCATTATGCCCGGTCTTCCCGCATACGCCACAGCGCCGTTGCCGTGGCTGGCCACGATTTGATCCAGCGCTATTTCCACGCATTTCCTGCTGTCCTTGCTGCGCAACGTCCTTTTGATCTTGAAGATCTTGTACGTCTTGTGAATTAAGTAATCCTCCAATCCGTACTCGTGTTTTTTTGGCCCTGCACCGCTTGCTAATTAGAGCATTTGCCTCTCGAAGTTCGGCGACCTCAGCTTGGAGTAAAGCCATCTTATGCATAATACTCCGCGCTCCTTTCGAAAACTGATCGATAGCATCGTAAATTGACGTCGGGGAGCTATTTTTATGCCTGGTAATTCGAGATTTAATAAATTCGGATTGCGAAGTAGCCTCGGTTGGGTTGTTTGGCGTCCGAGAAGCCCAAGGAAGTGTTTCCCGCGTAGGGGGCCGGGAGGACGTTGGAGTCTGTAATTTCACATCCAGCTTCTCAATAACAATATCTGGGCTTAAAGGCACAAGCCCAGCCCCTTGAAAGCCTGCACGAATATTTCTTTCGGTCAGGCTCTTCTTGAACGCGTCGCAAAATGCCGGAAGAAAGTCCTCCTTTGTGATATGCGAGTCGCGTAGCAGTCGGTTTGCCATATCTTCAACAGCACTTAGCTGGGGAGGAAATGCTTGCGAATTTAGCTCAATTATCCTTTGAATAATCTGATTTTCTTCTAGTTTTGTTAAATTCCGACCTTTAGCTTCGATATTGCGACGTGATTGACGTTTTTGAAGACGCGCTTGGAGAGTAGTATTCGAAACTTTGTAGATTTTTGCAGCACGTCGGATACTAAGTGTTGAGTCATTTCTGATAGCCTGAGTTGCAAGGAGTAATTGAGATTCTTTTTGAGCAGAATCCATCGAGAATTAGTTGCGTGGTAAAGTTAGGAAGTTTAGTTCTTTTTTTTGCTATGGGCGTGACCCGTTCGGTTGGGTGACCCGTTCGCTTGTGGACTACGTTATAAGATATTCATATTATTAGCAGATACCGAAAGAGGGCAAGTATTTCGGCCTGAACCGACTGGAGGCGTCTACGCTGTGCCAGATCAGGACGGAAAAAATAGGACTAGCAGCCTTCTTATTCAAGACAGGGGCTTTTGGCGTGTACTCGCCGCTATGCCGCTGTGGCGATGCCCCTGAGACGGCAGAGCACGTAATCCTCTTTTGCGGGCTGTTGGAAGGACCGAGGGAACGATTACGGGCCGCCATCGCACCACGGCCACTATACTCTCGCAGAGACCTCGCAACGGCAACAGGAGAACCAGTAGTTAGTGGGACTATTGTAAGATGGCTGCTAGGGACGGATCGGACAGCTTCAAGGCCCAGATAGCATCGATCTTCTCAGGGGGGACTTTGTTGGTAGGTTGAGAACCAACGTAGTATGGTAGTGAACGCAACGCAGTCGCCAATAGGGCGAACCGACGACGCAGCGTATGTATTTAGTCCAGCCATTAGGGCATGGTTTGACATACGGGAGTACTAGTAGAGGTACCGGGGGCTTCGAGCCTACGGCGTATTTAATAATAATAATAATAATCATATTATTATGTAGCGATATATTGCCGGCATAGGCACGGCAGGCGTGTTTTCAGGGGCTCTCATCATTATCGGGCACATGTCGCCCTGGAGAAGAGGCCAATCTGGCAAAGTCTACTTAGTGGAATGTTTGGAATCTCCTCCGTTGTTGGATCACTTGTAAGAACCCCACAACTCTTGCCCATCCGAGAGCCGAGTACTGATGTCGGATAGGTGAGAGGTTCTTTCACTGACCACGTCACCTGGAGATGGTGCCTCCGGATCAGCCTCCATCTTGGGTCAGTATCCGTCATCCCTATCTATGCGATACGTTATTGAGGGTTAAGACATGCCTGACCGGGTAGCGGCATCACGGCAGTACTCATCGTCTTCTTCCTGCATCTCGCTGTCCATAACCCCCCTTAAGGACAAGACCCCATGCAGGTGTTCTGGGACTTGGACCCTGAGCTTCCAATAACCACCAAATGCAGCACAGTCAGTTCTTTGTCGCAGATATTCCAATAGGTATTTCCATCACGCTCTTCTTCCGCCCTTAGGTGCGGCCCTGTTTGTCGATACCGGTAATAATGTGCTGAATGCTGAGCTGCTCCGGCGCCTGAACGAGTGCGCTCTCCCAGGTGTTGATCCTGAGGCGATATTAGCAGCCGGAGCAACCTCATTTCAGACCACAGTGCCTGTAGACGTCCTGGGTGCTGTCGTACCTGTGTATAACACTGCTCTGCAAAACACGTTCCAAGTCGACCTCATTATCTCGTGCATCGCCGTCGTTAGCGCCATTTTCATAGAGTAGAAGAGCGTCAAGATGGAGAAGGGACCACCAAAGCCAACCGAAGAAAACAAGGCTGAGAAAGCTGAGTCTAGTGCTGGCGAGGCACCTGCATCTTATCATGGCCTGGTTGAATCTAGTGCATATGATTCTGGTCTAGCCAAGAAAGCTCATATTGGCCCTGCAAAGAAGACACACAAAGGATCTTCTTGATAGAATGGACCACAATTCAGGTATGCATGATATAGTTGAGTCAGTGATACAATACCGTATCACCTAAATTCGGAGGATTTCCTGATTTTGTAAATACCTCCAAAATCTACACTATAGAGCGTGGCGATCAGATGAATATCAGTAACAAGCATCATAAAACCTGATTTTATCGATATATATAACGTGAATGTACACCGAGCTGGCCATGACACCGAGCTGGCTACTTTCATGCGCCAACGCGACCGGCCAACTTAATGTTTGATTTTCTCAACAACCAATTATGGAAAAGTCATACAACGAAGCAGACTTAATGCTAGCCCTTCAAGCTCTCAAAAATGACCAAAAACTTAGTCTCGGACAAGCGGCAAAAACGTACCAAGTCCCCCGAAGCACCCTCCAAACGCGTAAAAACGGCGTACCTTTCCGACGCGATATTTTGCCCAATTCACGAACTATGACAGAATTAGAAGAGGAGGTCATTATCAAGCATATACTGGACTTAGATGCACGAGCGTTTCCGCCCCGGATTGCTGATGTGGAAGCAATGGCAAATTCTATCCGCGCGACACGTAACGCAGGGCCCATTGGAACGCGCTAGGCCTCGAGGTTCGTCGCACGCAAATATTTTCTCAGCTGTCGACCAGTTTGCGAAGGGAGCAAAAATGATAATGCACGAGCTCGCCCTCGTACGGGCCGAGTGCGCTGAGCTTCGAGAGGCAAATAAGATGCTAAGCCGGCGCCGGAGGACTAAAAAATGCAATTACGGGAAGGAGAATCACTTATTTTCCAAGAAGGACAGGACCTACGGGACTCTAGGGAGTTGGCGACGCAGATACAGCAAGAAAAGCGCCGAAATGGTGGTCGCGCAAAGCGTGTTGAAACGCGCCCGAGGCGCTGTGGTATTTGCAACGGGACTGGGCATAATGCGCGAACTTGTAATATCGCATTGCCATCTTCTGGAGAGGAAGATCCAGAGTAGTTTCAATTGATTTACGGCGTTGTGGTTTTACTATCGTAAAATTTCTATGCGAGGTTATGTAAGGGTGGCCAGCTCGGTGTACATTCACGTTAGAGACTATGAATTGAGGAAGTATATTAGAGATATCGATGACACAATTTGGTCGTCCTATTGCAGTCTCTCTGAATTACTGTAATGTGTGACCTACTCGAAGACAAGCATTTACATGATTCCCCTGCAACAGTATAATGTGGCATTCCTTAAGAGTGGATGTAGCACTAGTGAAATACCAAGATGACAGCGAAGTTTCAAAGTACCAGCCATTTTGCAGAGATTTTCAAGCAAACAGGTCTAAAAGTCTTATAGGAAGTCCTACAGGGCTGGCAGGGACCTTTAAAACGTTCAAATTACCCCAACATAGGGCTGAAAGGGCTGCCCAGCAAGGTCCAAAGAGTGATTTGAGTCTTGGCGACCATAAACCAACCAGGTTGCCTAACCAGGGCCTCCGGTGAGGTTAGCGTTGGTAACCAAGACTCTCCTCAGGAGAATGGTGGGGGTATTGGTGATAATCAGCGCTAACCCTGGCTCACCTGGATAGCTTGGTGAGGTAAGTCAGACCCTTGGATGTAGTGTTGCTGATCATAGATTTATATCAAGACCAAAAAAGGATGTTGTTTTTCTTTCCTCTGATGGTTACTTCTGGTTTGAGGCGGGGTTTTGTAGCCCTGTGATTTGCCGTACCTTCCTATGTATCATATCCCCTGCCGGATGAGCGCAAGGTTGATCACCCCCTATTCTTTGACAGAAGGATTGCCGTTGCAAGGAAAAGGTCAAATAGCTGGTTTGTAGTATACTTGAAATACAGAAAATACATTGAGTAATCAGATTCAGTCACTAGAAGCCAGTAGGTGGTGGACTTCTCTAATGTAGGAGCAAGTCCCCCTTCCCCCATTAGGGTCCATCCCTAGCTTCGTGTGCGAGATTTTCTGGTATGTTAGGCCATGATAGGTAGTTCTATGCCTGTCTGGTCATCGCAATTATAATGCTACCTTTTTCATCTTATTCATCGCATGCCCAATACACTGCTAAATAATAGATATGTCTCCATATCATTAACAAATTGTAGTATAGGAATGTGACAGTAGTGCGCAGTTAACACTGAATGCAGTGAATTAAGAGACGGTTTCAAGGAATAAATGGCGATTCATCAACCAACTTTGTCTCCATGATACTATTTATCCGTTAATAGATATCCAGCAGGCTTTACTCTGGTCATGGGAAAATACAAAGTTAAACCCCTTTCAAATCTCATGCCGAAGCAATCAAGAAAGACGACAAATACTTGTCCACAGCCCCCGTGTTTTCGGGCCATGTGCTCATGCCCACGATCAAATCTGGTCTCACAACCACTACACCACCCCTAGCATGGTTCACCCCGTAGACATAGTGTGCATCCTCATCTGGCGCCCGATCATCATAGACCACCGTTGAAACTTCGGCCAGACTCTTCATCTCTTCATCACGCAGCAGGTCATCAGCGTCATGCGGGAGAGCCTTGGTGACAAGCACGACATTGAACATTTCCTTCCCACCGAACTTGTTGAAGAATCCCCCCTTTGCGAACCCCTGAGTCGAGAGAAGGCCAAGCCTCTCGCGAACATGGCCCTGCAAATCTGACGTAAAAATCAGGACATGGAACTTCCCAACGCCCATCATAGCATCATACAAGTACGCCGTCTTCGCAGCGTCAAAGCAGACCCTCACATTCGGCGCTCTAGCCCCATTGATTAAACTCACAACCCTCCTCCCCTTCCTCTTCTTCATCTCCTCCTCGCTTATGGCCGGACTCAACACCGTATCCACGGACGGAATGCCCAACCCTTGATTAAACCTTGGAATCTTCCCAAAGAACCGTCTCAGCCACCCTCTCGCATCATCGGGGCTCATAGTCCCCAGGGGAGGCATTTCCTGGTCGTGGACCTCGAGGTCATCTCCCATGCCGCGGAGCGCGGCGAGGGGCAGGTCGAGTTGAGAAAGGAAGCGCAACCAAGCGCCCGAGAAACGGATGACGTGGTTGGCGAAGATGCGGCGCTCGGCGTCGTAGGTGGGGAGGATTTTGGAGGGGGATGCGAAGCCACGAGCTGCGAGACCGAGTTTCCAGGATAGGTTTGCGGCGTCGTAGATAGAGGAGTTGAGGCCGAAGGCGCCGAGGACAGAGTGGACGTGGCTATTGTGGGGAAAGGGGTCAGCGATTAACCACAGATGACAGAGGTGAGGGGGTAAGATACATACGCTGCATCGCCTCCAATGTGGACTCGCTGGTTGGGAGTTGAGAAGGATCGAGCTACTCGTTCATTGACTGTTGCTCAGGGGTTAGTCGTGGAAGCGAATAATGAAACATTGGAACATGAAAACCCACCCCGCCAGACGGCAAACCAACTCATGGGCCCAGCAAAATCAATCTTCCAAGGCGCCATGATCTTGTTCAGCTGCTCTTTGGCCTCTTCAGGTGTGATACCGTGGTCATACACCTGGGTCTCGCCAACCGTCGAATGATTCTCTCGCTTGCGTCTTCGCGCCTCGGCAACCTGGGCCGCCTTTTCGCCGGTAACTTGGACATAAACCCTCGTTACGCCTTGCTCCCGAGGCACGATAATGACACCACCGTGTTCCGTGCTAATTACCATGCTGTGCGAGTCCAACATTAGCTGGCTACAAGTTTGACTGGGAGAGAGCAAAACTTTCTCACCTGAAGTCCAGAATGTACGGGTAGTCCGTCTTAACCTCACAATCCATAATAGTAAAGAAGCAATCCGTCGCCAAGCCATCAAAAGGCATGCCCAAGAACTCACGAACCTTACTAGCCGCCCCATCAGCCCCGACCAGATACTTAGCTTTGACGACCTCCTCCTTGCCCGTCTGAAGGCTCGTCACCTTAGCCGTGACAGGATGAGTTACAGCGTCCGCATCATCTGCAACCTCGAACCCCGACACAGTAGTCTGCCGCTCGACGAGCACCTTGTGTCGCAGCAGGTCGCGCACGTAGATCTTCTCGATCTGCCCCTGTGTCGCCACGTGGTTGCCCCGGTACCGCGAGTCCGACTGCAGGTTGTAAGAGTGCACCAGCTTGACGCCATCGCGGTGCATGATCAGCTCGTTGATGATGGGACCTTCTTCTGAGACCTCATCGCCGAGGCCCCAGGCGTGGAGGTACTCAAGGGCCCGGGGCTGCACCGAGTCGGCGCGGCCCGAGTGGCAGGGGCCTTCGGCTTTGTCTGTAGTTTCCTTGTAAGCACCAATTCGAATTTGGAATAAACCCAGGTGTGGTGTGCAAAAGGGATTAAGACTTACCGACTATGCGAAACGAAACCCCCTGTCTCGCCAAGTTCAACGCCACGGCCAGACCGAAAGGTCCGCCGCCACAAATCAAGACATCAACCTCGCTGGATGGCTTCCACCAAGATGGCAAGGCCTGTCCTCCCTGAGTGCCGTTGTACAAGCCGGGCCAGCTGCGCAGACTGGTGAGGCCAAACTCATTCGCCACCGTCGACGTTGGCTTCTCGCCAGGATCGGAGACTGAATAGTGTGCATGCTGGCCACTCTCAGATTCAAAGTATGTTTCGTCGGCCCAGCCTGGTTCTAATTCCTGCGACGGCTCAGCAAAGCCGCGCTGCCACGTCGACCAAGCAAGTGACCGAGCCATTATATCTTGGGTGTAACAGAATGTGATTGATAACCTTTGGTTTCCTAGTTGTGGTTGTGGTGCATCTGCGTCCTTGGCCTTGTCTGCTTTGAGGCGTCTGGTATTCATATGTGCAATGCCATGGCGAAGGTGGGCGCAGAACTATTTTATTACCCGTTCCAGTAGTGTTGAATCCCGAAAGGCAAGGGTTTTCTGCAGTGGTGTACTACGGCAATTACCCGTCTGACTAAATGGCTATTTGCAACATTTTCGCTGTACGCAGCGCCGCGCCACCAACGAAAAGTGGCGGCTTACACCATAACAGCGTCAGTCTCGGGGCTGCACATTCCCCGACAGCAGGATCCCCGGGTCGAACCCCGGCAAGATCCCGTATCATACGACCAAGAGTATGACTACCGCCAAATCCCGACATATCTCCCGACCAGACCGCTAATAGGGTTAATGGTAGAGGATGTGATTATTTGCATCAATCATGTTACACCAAGAAAAGGCTCTTGATCTCGAAGCAGTCCAGCTTGTTATTTGTGAAGTATTGTATGGTTCATGCCACTGTAACAATCCGATTGTTGAAACTATACTGATATGCGCCCGACATCTGGTGGATGATCGAAATATTATTCAATAGTCAGAACTAACAAGTTTCAGCTACAATGGCCGTTTCTAGGATGCAATTTTCCTGAACTTGAAGGCAGTTGCAAAAGGGGATGAATCATCTCTCAATTAGCGCCCCGTCTTTAGACTAGGTGAACCGGGTCATTCCGAGGCTTGTGTGTGAGAACTTGAAACGGCTTACAACTCTCTGTTTCTGTTTCCATGATATCTCCATGTTCCCCATTTTCTCTTAAAGTGTCCTGTTTGAATACCTCATCTACGAAGTATTCGGCGAGTTTAGAATCACGGGTGTGTAGCTATAGGCATTACACATATACCCTGATGCCCATACATATCTGAAACTGCCGCCGGGGACTTGACATGGATGACCACGGCCCGACCCGCTTGTGCATAGGGTTGTGGGACATGATAGCTTGCCCTTACGTAAAAGACCCCAATGCATGGAGATCTCTAATCCTTGGTATTATATCCGAGTTGGATATGAGCGCCAAGCACCATGATTGTACCCTACACCCCCGTCAAACGGGCAGTTAAAGCCGAGAAGACCTCCATGGAAAAAGGTGTTAGGCTGGAGCAATCTCCAGCTATCGTCCGGAAATCTCTGAGATAGAAATGGAGGCCCCGAACACCAGCCATATACATCAAGCCGTGACTGCATAATAAGTGCACATGCTATCTGCTCGGAGTAGCCGGAGGAACAGCAGAACAGTCAGTCCGGCTGCAATATCCCAGGCACAAGTTGCAGGATAGGTTATACTTTAGCATTACCCCGTACTCTACTAGAGGTCAATTGTGATCTGCAATGTATGAAGGTGTCGGCGTGGATGCTAAAACCAACCGAGCCATAAATATTATTTCTAGAGTCCGGAATTGCTAGCCAGGAAACTCACAGGAGCCTTATGATGGGTAAAGTGAGTTTACCTCGGATTCATCGTCGAATAGTGGGCATTATAGACAGTGAACACGTGGTAGCAATCTTGTGAGGGCTGGTGAAACAATGTCTTGATGCTGGGAAAGGGGCGATATATCAGGCTGGTAGTTTTGTGATCAATTTTGCAGTATGGCCTTGAGGCCGGTAGGCAACGCCCTCCCAGAGGGCCAATTAGATCCTCTTGTTGAAGTGGTGAACCTGTTCTGAGGGGGATCCAGTCATTCCGTAGATTTGTCCCCAAACCTACATGCAACTTTTCCAGCCTTGAAATCCTAAGGATATCCAAAAGTCCGAACTGGTATGTGCTGATTAGAACGTTAAGCTTTGCAATACCCTAGGCGAGATATTAGCCAAGAAGCAGATGATCGACTTTAGAATGCTTGCATGGAAAACACAGATTATAGCTCCGCCAACTCTTGATTTGTGGATAACCTGCATAGCTGTGGGCATCTTGCCACTGGTGGAACTGTGAGTGCCAACCATTCTCAAGAGACGTCCAGTCCAATTACTTGAGAACCAAATACTGACCAGAGTCCAAATGGAAACCCAAACGCCAGCCCTGGCGACTCAGTTCTTTTCTACACCACGCAAACATAGATCGACTCTGGTGGAAGCAGCAGAAGGCCGACCTGACGGCGCGCCTTAACGACATGAGCGGCCAGATCATCCGCCTCGGTCCATCGTGACGCAGAACTGGTGACTCTACCCGTCAAAGGCGTACACGTACTGCGATGCTGATCTGGGCAACCAGTCAATGATGAACCATATGCTCTGGATGGCGGCATAATTCTCAACCAGATTGTAGCGGATGTGATGAACCTGCGGAATGACATGCTCTGCGCCAAGTTGAGTAAAGCTAATCAAATATTTGGGAAAATAGATAGTAATGGAAAGAAGGAATGAATTTTGTGTTCGTGATCTCCCGAAGCTTGCCTCGAATCATGTGACGTTGTGATGTATGTATAGGCCGTAGGCAGAGAAGGTCTATCTATCCTCACATCCATGTTGCTGTGACCGAGATGACACGCAATGCCAGGTCTTTCATTTCCGTCGCAATTCATGCCCCAAGTTGGATATTAACTGATCAGATTGATGAATCGAATCTCGTGCAAGAAGTCGCAGTTCAACTCCGAGCTCATGACCGTTTACCCAAAAGTGATAAAAGGGAATAGCAGCCCCTGAAAAATTCGAAGTTCGAAACGCCATGGCTCAGGCGCTGAAAATTAGACTTTGAAGCAGAGTAAGCCACACTGAAATTGCACCGCCACAGGTACAACCTTGAGCAAAGGACAACAAATAGTGAACACTGCGCACCTGGAACTTTGCATTGTAATTGTTTATCCAGCGGACTTCACAGTTTCATTGATAAAGCCCCTTCTCAATTGTAACGCCATTGTCCCGGGACAGTAATAATACAGGGAAAATCACTCGCTCCCCCAATTCAAATGTGTGACCATCTCGCAGGCCCGAGATAGCAATGACACGCCATCTTCCCTTGTTCGCAACAAGCCAGCATCTCCTCTGCGCCCTAATACTACATCTTCTCATCGTCACGACCGTGGCTTACCAGAAACTCTCCGACGACTTCCTCAAGAACATCACCTTCAACGACGCCGACTTCGACATCCACAATGCTGGGCTCCTAGCGCCCCTCCTTATAACCCGCGTCCCGGGCACCCCGGGCCAAGTCGCAGCACAACAACACTTCGTCAATTTCTTCCAGAAGGAACTCCCCAAATGGACCATCGAATGGCAGAATTCGACATCGACAACCCCCGCAACCGGCGATGAGCAACTCCCCTTCGCAAATCTAATCATCAAGCGCGAACCGCCATGGACGAAACCGGGACAAGCCAACTACCTGACCCTCGTCGCGCACTACGACAGCAAGATTAGTCCAAAGGGCTTCATCGGCGCAACCGACAGCGCTGTCCCCTGCGCCATCATCATGAACACGGCGCGCTTCGTCGATAAATACATGACGCAGATGCACGACGAGATGGTAGCGCTGGGCGAGCTGGGCGGCACGGTGCCTATGGACATGGGCGTGCAGATCCTGTTGCTGGACGGGGAGGAGGCCTTCGTAACGTGGACGGCGACGGACTCGCTATACGGGGCGCGTTCGCTGGCCGAGGAGTGGGAGGGCATGCGGAACCCGGCTATGTCGACGTATCGCGATCCGTTGAGCCAGATTAGCATGTTTGTTCTTCTGGATCTGCTGGGTTCGAAGGATCCCCACGTCCCGTCGTATTTCCAGTCGACGCACTGGGCGTATCAGGGCATGGCCAGCATTGAAGAACGGATGCGCAAGTTGGAGCTGCTGGAATCGAGTCCGAAGAGCCCGTTTTTACCGGATGCGGGAAAGCTGCCGATTCAGTTTAGCAGGGGTTACATGCAGGATGACCATGTGCCGTTTATGCAGCGTGGTGTGCCGACGTTGCATATCATTCCGTCGCCGTTCCCGGGTGTGTGGCATAGGATGGAGGATGATGGGGATCATTTGGATTCGCCGACCGTGAGGGATTGGGCCAGGATCGTTACGGCGTTTGCGCTCGAATGGTTAGACATGATGGAGCTCGTTCCCGGGGCGACTTCGCCACCTGTATCATGATATAGTAATTACGATGTGGAATCGATGTTTTAACACTGTGCGTGGATCGTTCACATGATTATTGGCACTCCAGGAAACTCGAGGTGGGTGTTGAAGTAAGTGCATGGCCGCCGTGAGTCTAAGCCGGGCGGTGTAAAAGCCTGTCTACGAGTTTGGGTGTTTCCATATGCCTGCTCAAGACACACTTGAAGGTCTGTTCAAGTGTTAGATGACTCGGACAATCCCAGCCCTATTGTAGTAGAAAAAGAAAATACGCGTGTCTTCCAGGCACTCGGCGACTATAGCTTGCCTGATTAGACCAAGCAAGCAAATATCCCTGCTCCTATAGCGCCCAGTCATGTTTACGAAGTGACACTTGCGTAGCTATTACAGAACTAGGTGTAAAATCCATCATTACCGTCGATAGACCCGTGGTTCGATTCCCAGTCGTACTAGCTACTAGACTGGACCTAGTGGAGCAACTCTCGAACAGTTCTCCTTACCCTTGTTCATTCTCTATCCGGTGCTGATACCTGAGGCTGCGTTTTAGATTCCGCTACATGTGTCTCTGACTATACCGAGTTCAGGCAACACTGAAATTTATCTTACTTCCCTTGGAATCTTCTCATTATAATCGATAGCTACGGCTAATCGTAATTATTGTCGATAAAACCGTAATATAGCTGTAATTTGATATGCTGTCGAACAATAGATAATATGATCTGAACCACGATGTCTCAATGTGCTAGCCCTAACAACGCCTTTCCCACTCTGTGTTCACCACCCCAATTGTCAAGCTGTTCGTAATATTATCGATTTATGATAAGAATTACATATATTTGTAGCGCTGCAACAGATTGGAATTTTGTTATTGTCAAATAAGGCTTTGGGTGTCGATGAACCTGGCCTGCAGTTCTCAGACAAGATGGGTCTATGTTTAGTGGCCATTGCCTTGGTTTGGCATCTCAAATGGATACTATCAGGCCATGGTAGCCGAGGAGGTCAACATGCATTTTGGTGGTATCCAAATTGTGTACTACAATATTACGGCCGGCCGCATACTATGTCCGTCACCAGGCAATCCCATCTCCGCATCTGACCTCTCTTCCTCCCCCCCTTCCTCCCCCCCTCTCCTCAGATATCTCCAAAATGACGTCGTCGCAGCGAAACTCGCACCACACCAGCGAATCGCTTGATCGGATGAGAATTATGGTTGCAGTCGACACGAATTTTCTGACGTCAAGTTGTACCACGACAAAGGATAATTGTACAGGAGTGGTTATATATGGTGGATGGCATGTCCAGCCCCGCCTGCCAGTATTCTACATTTGCAATCAACATTTGCAATCAAGCTCTACCAGATAAGCAGTATTTGAACATCTGAACAAATTATCAGTCGTCAAAAATGTCGGCAGATGGTCATGGACTCCCAGATAATGCCATCAAAGGCGCTCATGACCTGATCCATCACGCTGAGCAGGAGGAGCACGAGCATGAGGCTGCGGCGAAGCGCGGCTTGACCGACGAAGCCGTTGAGGCGGAACATGAATTCCTCGAGCGTGTGGAGAGTGAGGGGCAGCAGGCGGAACAGGTAAATCTGCTGTTGCTGTTTTTGATGTTCAACGTTGGCAAATGCTGATTAAGCGGCATTGCAGAAATCATCGAATGGCCCTGGGGCCAAGATCAAGAAGACTATAGAGAAGTTGAAGGGGAATAACAATTGAGTAGGATGAGGAGAATACGTCTAACGTTGGGCCTTGTCGCGACATTGATTTGTTGGATTATATGTGTGAATTATGTTCTCATCTAATTACAGACTACCCATATTTCCTCCTGATCGAAATGATGTTTTATGCAAGGGCCCAAAGAAAATGACTGATTGATGCCTACCACCACATCATCAACATGCAAAGGATTTGAATAACATATTCCACAGGTTCATTGGGGGACTGCCGCCGTGCTAAAGATATACAACAACATGGAATACCGAAGCTTCACACGAGGTACATAGACCATCGGACATATTTTTGTACTGCATCTGCTCCTTCATGGCTAAAATATATTTAAATCTTGATGTCTTGTATCAAAAAAGACTATGACTCTCGGAGGATAATATCAATGATGGCTTGGTTAGGTCCCTCCCAATGCTTCCTGCCCCTCACAAACCACACCGTCAAAACCAATACCAGAACCGCGCCTAATGACGGACCACAGTAGTTCATGTTAGATACACCTACGGGGAGAATAGAAGGGACAGGGCAATGGTGATGATAGACGTCAATGCCAAAGCCCGAAGAGGTACGCGATGTTTTCCGTCAACGTGGCCAAACCACTTGGGAAGTCCACCGTCTCTTGCCCACGCCCAGGTAAGACGGGAAGTGGACGAGATGCTCGACATGTTGCATGAGATGGCCATGACCATGAGGCCTGCTACCATAGCTGTAGCCGCCTTAGTAGATCTGGTTGCGTGGAGAAGGACTGTAACAAACGGGCTGGGCCCGTTCAAGACTGTCTCCACGTCCGGCATGCATATCTATCATTGGGAATAAGCCATAGGAAAAGGATTTCTCAACACTGAGTTGGTGAAAGGAAACATACATGTAAGAACAGAACAAGGCTTTGCCTTGGCCAGGTCTAAGAACCAACAGACGCAAACTAGCCGCGAGGTCACGAGAGGGTATAACAAAACAGAATACATACCATCAGAGTAACGAGCATTACAAGTCCTATCCAAAAATTGGTAAACATCGACCAGAACATAGCACAAGGCACGGCACGGTGAGCATTCCGAGTCTCTTCACTCATGTGGATCACGCCCTCGAAAGCTATAGAAAGATTAGTTGAAAGTAAAACAGACACCGTTCCGGATTTTATACCAATAAATAAAAAAATGTGAGATAGAGAGCCGACATTAGCGGCGATGAAGTAGTCCTTGTAGCCCGATGAAACGTTGGTTTGCCAAAAGATGTCGGCGCTGTTGCGTGGAGACATAACCCAGAGGACGACGATGTAGATTACAAATAGGCACACGTTCAGTATCCCGGCGAGCATTTCAAACCAGGGCACAACTCTGAATGCGAACATATTGATGAAGACACAGAAGGCGAGGTTGGCCAGGATTTGCAGAGTTGTGCGCCAGCCTCCTGGTTCGTAGCTGGGATAGTTCATGGCAATCAGGCCTTCGAAGATGACGGCATTCGCGTTCAAAATACTGCCCGTGATGGCAACATATGCAGTCCATGTTGACCCTGTTGTTCTCGATGAGCAGTCAGGAGAGGGTGTACAGCTGTAAGGTAGACATACAGCCTTGGAGCCACGTAAGGAAGCGTTTGATGCTCGGAGGGGCAAAGTGATAACGATAATAAAATCAGCAGTTGTCAAACGGTCAAGGTAAAGACATATATCCTTACATATGTCCAATAGTACTGAGCGCCAGCAACAGGCAGGATGGAGGCCATCTCTGCAAATGAAGCCGCTTGGGCGAGGACACCAGACACTACAATGAAGTAGCCAAAAAACCACGCCGTAGGACCGCCATTGAAAAGGGCAAAATACATGTTGCTGCCCACACTGCCCCAAGTCATCAAGTACATGATTGAAAAGGCGAACAACTGAGCAGTAGAAAACAGCCGTCTCGTTCGTGTCTGCTTTTCCAACTCGGTCGGAAAATTGTCGATGGGTCCATCACGGGGCTGGGAGACCTGGTCCGACACGTTCATCGATTTCAAGTCGTACTGGTCGTCTGCACCCATCGTTCCGGATTCTGTAGGAATATCGCTGCCTCGACGCTGGAGTAAAGGATGAACAGAGAGAGGCGACGATAGTGCAAAGTAAAAGTTCCTTTTTGCAGGAACTCTCGACTTCCGCGTAAGAAGTACGGCAAAGTGAAATAATACAGGGAGCGAGATAACCTCCAGCTTTTTGCACTCTTCTAGATATTGGGGTATGTCGCAGGGAAAAAACCGAACCGCTGCGGGCATGTCTTAGCTTCTCTTCGCTTGATCGCAACCCCATCGAGGATCCTAGAACTTGCATGAGATCCAAAACCCACGTCACTTGACCTAGGATCAAAACCAATACCACACAGTGACCCGGGCTTCTCGTGCTACAATAGTGTTGCGGTATGGGCATGACTGTTAAGTTACTATCCCTAAAGTCCGGTCGCACCCCATTATCTCGCCAATGGAATTTAGGTTATCGTCTCAGCTGTTAGGTCCTTATCAAATGGGCCAGCCAATTTCCTGTAACACTCGAGAATACACCCCTGGATGGGGGAACGCCGAGGTACCTCGAATCGGGGCCACCGTGTTTTCATCGCCTTCCTGGTCAGATTCTCTAAGACGCGGACTGGTTTCCGTCACCCGTACAAGTACAGCACGGCTACTAATGAAGCGACAAGCCACCCATACTATCATAACTTTCAAACTCATTGCTTCCCTCATCGAAATTCAGCCATTGGTTAATGAACCCGGGAGTTACCTGAATTTGCGATCCTGCGGACTAGATTGGCAGACAAGGAGAAAAATGTAGGGGGGAGGGTTAGGCTTCGTCTACGTGTAACCCTGCAGCACATAAATCATGAACCCGTATGACAGTTCAGTCCGATTCTCAGATTGCGATGCATTCGTGGGTGCCAAGCCAAGTGCGAACCCAGCCGCCTCAAAACTAGAGTCTCTGATAATGCAATGTTGATGGTAAATGTGACGGCTCATCAAGCTTGCTGATATATTGTATTTCTAAATATTCAGGCTGTTGGCGTCGGCTTCACTGACCCCCTGGGCTCCAGGAAGAGACTTTCTTCATGGGCTTAAACGGTCTGCTGTTGTGTTATTATCATTCCCCATTTGCCAAGGCCACAAATCGGCTGGCTGTTCGTTCTCTGCAGAGCCCGGGCCGCCTTCTTGACTTCATGACAACTTACTGAAGCATTTGTCGGCGAGCTTTTGACGTGGACCTGGTAGAACGCAGGTCACCGGATTCCACTTCGAATTAATGAATAAGAATGTAATTCACCTCTGATTTTCAAGGTGTGACGACCCTTGCGCGTCCCAAAGGGAATTTGCTGGATTGCATCAATCGCTCGGCGTAGCCAAAACCAAGTCACATAATGCAAGCAATAAACGCTCAATGGGAGTTTCGCAAACAACTTGGAAAAACTCACACTGATGCTTTAACTCTTAAATGATAACCAGCACGACTTTGATTGGGTATATCTTCCTGTGCTTCCTACAATGACCGACAGTTAAGTCTTCGTCACCTCTTGAAATGGACAAATCCGGCATGGGGAATATGACCACATTCGACCCGGACTTCAACTTCGCTGATGACGATCAAACGGCCCTCACAGTGGTACCTTCTCTCACTTGCACAATATCTATGGTCATAAGCATCATTGCCACATTTTTGATTCAGCGCAACTTCGCTATCTCCATCAATTCAACTTTGTCCTTTTTATCTGCGTTTTGCTCATGGTGATGCAGACTGGCTGCATTGTTCATGCTGCGAACTTGGGGTTGGGTAAACATTGAATAACCCGAACCCCCTATCAGCCTTGACGTGGTTTACAATGTATGTACTGCATACAGAGTGCAGGCTTTGAACATTCTGAATCTCTGACACACATGTTCTCTAGTTACTATACACTGCCTCGCTCCTTTCACTAGCCGCCATAGCATGCATGGCATGTTCAGTCTGCCTCCTCATCATTTCGATCAACTCCTATATTTCCTTCGCTACATGATCCATCGCCGGCCTTGTAGTGGCGACTTTCCTATATTTCTCGCCGCAGCATTCCGTTGTCCACCCCCCTCGCCATGGTTTGCTGTCAGCGCTGCCCAATGCCCTAGAACTGGGTGCGTTTTCATGCACAACGGGATCTCGAAAATCACGACTGACTTGCTGATTTTTCCTGGATATTGCACTGGTTTGGAATTTCCAGAAATCACGAAGGAATAAAGCACTCGTGATGGCGTTGTCTGGCAGTCGACTTCTGTAATGCTCATGACCCATTGTCCCAATGCTAGCCCCAGCTGCAGTAGGACTACCCTCTGCTCCAGCTATCCTATAACCATGATTTGTTTAAATATAGTAAGGTTGATCACAATTAAATATAGAAAAATTAATTAAAGTTAAATCAAACTTGAATAATTTAATGGACCCCTTCTCTGACCGACACGCAACATCTATATAACGATCCCGTCTCCGACTCGACCTGGCTCGCCGTCCATCCCACAGTGTGCCTAAAATCTCCTTCGATCTTTCCTTAATTACGGCATGCATCCCCAGCATGAAAGGTATATTCGGCATCCGCCTGAGCACAATATCGGTTGGCCTGGATATACCCTACCAACTCAAGACCTAACTCGGCGAGGGACAAATAAGTGAGAGTATCAAAAACCTCACGGATGCAGTCATCGTTATCAGAGAGGAGGTGGAGGTTCAATACGGTGGCCAGGAGCGCGCGGTCTCTGCTGATGGCTTTCAGGTTACGGTGGAGAGTGGTTATCTTCGCAAGGCTTATGCCTAGCTATACCAAGTCACCCCGTCATCCAAAATGGCATGGCTATTGTTGAAGAAATGGTTTATTGTTTTCAAGTGCCATAATGACGACGGAAATTTCGTTCGTTCTCCGATTATAGTGCTGTGAAGGCTGTGAAGACTCCATGTTGATGACTCGAAACTGAAGAGTGACAGTCGCGCGTGCCAACACCGTTATTGATTACCATGCGTACTTATTTAGGCACATTCAGCGACTGGTGAAGGGAGAGCGACGCTTAGTCCCATGGCATTATTAAAAAAAGTAAGCTGACATTCGCGCCATTTCGTAAGATTATTCGCGCACTAATAAGAGATGGGAAGGTACGGCCAAGTGGTACGGCCAAGTGTATGGCTACAAAACCCCGCCTCAAACCAGAAGTAACTATCATAGAAAAAGAAAACAAAACATCCTTTTTTGGCCTTCGTATAAATCTATAAGTGGCTCCCTTAGATGGGAAGGTACGGCCAAACGTAGGGCTACAAAATCCCGCTTCAAACCAGAAGTAACCATCATAAAAAAAAGAAAACAAAAACATCTTTTTTGGCCTTCATATAAATCTCCCTTTATCGACCCCTTCGTCATAAAGCCGCAACATATACAATCGCGACAAGCTAATCGAGTAGGGCCGAACCTTTCTCCACTGGATTCACATGATGCAATTAAGGAACGAAAATAAGCATGTAACCCACGTACAAATCCTTCATTACCTCGTTGCATGGTTGAAGCTGACATAACTAACCCATTTGGGCGTTTGCATGTCAAGTTGTTGGTTAGTGTAGGCCTTCTTCATTTCCTATTGGCTCAACTTGAGCACTACTATAGTCAAGCCCGTGGTCGTATTGGCCGGAGAACCGGCTGAAAGCCCGCGTATCCGAGGACGGCGTAGCGCTGAGACACTTTTATATGGTACCATATGTCAGCCCTTTCCCCCATGATCGTGCTTGGAAAGTGGAAGTTCTTTGGATAGGAATTTATGAAGACCCAGCGATGATAGTAGGTTGGAACCCATTACACAATACAACCATAGCTTGGCATTCCTCTGTTTTTTGATGTCAATGTTGCAATGTGCTAGTCTCGTTAAGTCTACATTTGAATAACCGCGAATAACTATAAATTAGCTGGGTTTGTACGTCAACTCTGGAGAACTTGAATCGCAATCTCCATCATCTTGTCCTCCCCCCTTTCCAATTAAATAGTTCACATCATTTTAAGTTCCCCGAACCTCAATATCATAATGAAGTCTCTTTTCGCCTTGCAGTTCTTGGCCACTACGGCTCTTGCTAGAACTGAGGTCATGCTTCCGTGAGTATACCAAAACGACTCCGTAGTTCACCACAAACCAGTTGACCCTTCTCTAGTCTCTACAGCTCCCCCATCGACGGAAATCTAAACCTAGCCACATCACTCGACTGGCAAGCCGCAATCGACACCATCAATTTCCACCGCGACCTGCACTTCTACGTCATCATCAACCCGGCGAACGGGCCCAGCAAGACCTCCTACCCAGACGACCCCACCATCGGGGCCAAGTGCAACATCGAGCACGGCTGTAACAAAGACTGGACTTATAACATCGCCAAGATCAACGCGCTGGAAAACGCCCAGACCCTAGGTTACATTTACACCCGGTACGGCGACACGTCCCGCCGCAGCATCGACGACATCGAGACGGACATCGCCGAGTACGCCAACTGGACCACAGCCCCGACGTGGGATAATCTCAATGGGAACATAACAATGCACGGCCTCTTCTTCGACGAGACAGCCACGGAGCCGGAGCACTTGGCTGAATACCGCGACCTGGTCAACTTCGCCAACCAGTCTTTCGCCACGCCCGACCGCGGCCTCTACAGTGTCGTCCTGAATCCCGGGACGAATCTCAGTCCCATGAATAACTACGAAACCGACATGTTTTCCCTCGTTACCGCCGTCGTAACCCGCGAGACATGCTGGGTCCCAGTCGGGAGCGATAGCGTTGACTGCCCCGGTAACTACACGCCTTTTGACTACGCTAGCCTAAGTTCTGGGAATGGTTTGCCCAGCAACCCAGCTTTGAACCCTCAGGCGGTGGTTATTGTGCACCAGTTCCACGATGCGACGGGTGGCAGACCGGCAACGAATGAGACGCTGCTTGAGCAGCTTAGGGGGATTGTGGGGTTGGGGCTGCATAGCACATATTTTACGAGCGGGTCGTGGCAGAACCAGACTGTGCCGCCGGCTGATGTTGGGAACTTTGCGGACTTGTTGAGTAGGGCTAATAACGATACGGCTACTGCCGGGAGACTCTGATTTGGGTCCATGCAAATTATTGACAACCTCAGGTGACCGGGACGAGGATCAAATTTTACTTTTCTTTCCACGGGCCTTCAAGGGTCCCCTAATTTCTATTATGAATGAGTAGTTAACATTGACTGCTTTTTGATGGTTTGCTGGTATTCAAACGGGATGGGGACGGACATGGGAGGTGGGAAGATAATTAGAGCATCGTTACTGTTGATGTGACACTAAAAGTCAATTATCTGCCCATCAGTTCCAGCAGTGTCCTGGACTATATACTACGAAGTCTGGTGCTACAGGCAGTTTCTATTCTTAATTCACCTCGTTGCTCCTCTTTTCTTTTGTTCAATGGCGGTTTGGCTCTGTTTCGTTCCTGTAGGAATTTTAGGTGGGCTGTTTGGGTTGTGTTCTTCTAGGCAACTCCTCTTAACTGTCCTCTATCACCTCGTTCTTAAGACTATTACATGGATAGTGTAGAGCAAAGATCTTCTAGATATCTACCGCGAAGATCGAGTTCAATGTCAGCTGTCCAGCTCGCTGGAGTAGGCGGTGGAGACAGCATTAATAGGAAGTATGACGAGAGTGAGCTCATTACATGTTAGGTTAATATCATTACGGCTGAATCAAGAGAATTGTAAAGAGATCCTGTAGGGGGCATCACAAAGTTATGGGAATGTATAGCCGGATACTTCGTACCACTTGACGAGGTGAAGAATCATACTTAGTACATCACGGGCATAAGGAAGACATTGTTAAACGTCTGCTCGAGTGTTTGCCATTTTTTGTCCTTCTCTTTCATATAGAAGCAAACCCCATTATTGCGTGAACCCCTTCTCTGAGAACAATGCATTGCATTAATAAAGGCTTCAGGCGTCAAAAGGGATCTCTAGTTCTAATGGTACCTAACTGAACAGTGTCGTTGCTAGAGCTAGATTGCGGGATTTGCATAACTTTGGGGACCAAGGTCCACAATCCCGTCACTATTCAAACAGATATTCCCATCAACTGCTATTAGTGAGTCTTGTCACTTGAGAAAGCTAGTGCGGCAGTGTCTATTTGGCATTCGACCATAGAAATTAATGGGCAAATGAGAAGGGCCAGGCCTGGAGCCGAGATAATTACATTATGGAAGAACTAATCAGATTTGCAGCGAGTGATAACTACATTATCACCGCTGTGGGCAACATTTATAGTGCCTGAAAATGTCCTGGGTAGCTCAGTGATGATCAGAATATCCCCATCTTTGGCCGAGGGTAATTTCAGGATACCGGGTTTGCCAGGATAGTAGCTTAGGGCGACATAGGGAGCCTTCTTCCCATCCGATTGGCATCAAACGTAGAGGATCCGCCACATTCGGAGGTATCTTGATATCGTTCTCTCTAGTAAGGGAGTCTCCTGGACTTCAGTTCACTTTCCGTGGTGCGTGCCGTCAGGTCCTGCGCGCCACTTAAATCCTGTGCATCCATGCTCCACTTGTCCTTAGCATCTTCACTGATCTTACATCATCCTCGATATTTATACCATTTTACAGCCATTGCTGGGAAAATGCCATTATTTGCGGACTGCAGGAGGTTATACATGATTGTGGTTCTCACCACATGAGATTCTGCGCCTTTGGCCCGACTGATTTTCCGTCCGACACGCGCGGTAAACCTATCTCGAACCTAATATACTCTTTCCATGTCCCAAAGCCATGCCAAGCGAATATTCCTCTCTATTCATTCCACACGTACCGAAGTATCCGAAGCCAGCCAGCCATGTTCCAGCCCTATAGTGTTTATGAGACATACCCCAACTCCTCACGCCGATCATCCACAATCCTACCCCATTCCAGCAGCAGCCTAAACATATAAACTTGCATATCCTCCTTCCTAAGCGCCTTCTCCGCCCACTCGCGTCCCTCCCGCGCAATCTTCTCAGCTTCCTGATCGCCTTCACCCCCAAAGTACCCAACAACCCGCCAGAGATCGCCTAACCTCACGTCGAGAGGAACAAAATGTCGCCAGGCGTGCACGCGCTCTTCCCACCAGGTGCGAAAGAGGGCGGCTCGATAGGGGAGGGACCCGGAGCGTAGGAACGGGAGAAAGCGGGCACTGAATGCAGCACCATCGAGGTCTACGAGGTGGCGGTGGCGCCAGTGCTCTTGGAAATCGACGGAAGGCGGTGGTTCAGCGGAGGCGGGACCGTAGAATTGCGTCTTTTCGAGGGCACAGTCACGTGTGTCGCAGCGGTGCCATTCTCCAACAAACGTTACATTTACCTCAACAGGCGAGGCTGGGTTCTGCGAGGAGCGCGGCAGCTGAGACCGCGAAGGAGAAATGTAGTGCAGTAGTGATCGGGATTTGGAGCGTAAGACGGCGTCGGCATGGGTCGCCATGTTCACGAAGCGCGCGCGGAGGAATGTTTGCCAGCTTCCGGTGACAGCATAGCCATCTGAAGCCGCACCGCGCCAAAACACGCTCTTGAGCTTCTCATTCCATGCTATGCCTTTCTCTTTCTCAAAGCTAACTTCGTCTCTCCAACTCCAAGGGCTCGGATGTAGAATGTCATTGAAGTTGTGCATGCGGCTCTGGCTAAACACAGGAAACAAAGTGTGTGACACCGCCGCGATGGAAGGCGATGATAAGAATCCATGTAGATACGCCAGGTCCGGTTGGTGGCAAAGATCCCCGGATAGCTTCCAATCTGAGACAACACCATCCGTCATGTGAGGGTCACTGCAAGTTGGACAGTCGGCCTTTCTGTTCCACCAGTGAAACTGGCGGACAGGTGAGTCTGGAGGGCACGTGGAAGAAATCCACTCGTAGAATATGGGAGCTTTAGACCAGTTCTGGAACCACGGTGATGTTTTCTCTGACGCGGTTCCTTGCACCAGGAACTCTTTTGACACAGGCAGGCTTTGTCCCTTGCTGAACCCGAAGAAAGCTGATTTAGACGCCAAGCGCGCCCGAGACTTCAGCGCTTCGTTTTCGTATGCCTGTAGGAGGTCGAAGGGGACAGAAACTCTACATTCGTCATCGAGGTTAAAGGCAAGCTGCATATCCGGCAACCACTTGGCAAAGGGTTCTATCATCTCTTTCATTTCGTCTAGCATCCATTTGTGGGTGCCATGAACATGCGCAGACAATTCCACTTTGCCATCTTCGATCGTAAGACCTCCAAAAGAATTGATAGGATGCTCAAGAAGGTGAGCTGTCCGCTGCCGGATGACAACAGGTAGAGTTCCCCAAAATGGAAGAAAGTCCGAATGGATTTGTCCGAAGTCATCGATGATTGGGGAGTCAACCAAGACCGCAAACCGATACCACTTGTCGAAGTCTGGTGGCGGTGGGACACCGTACCGTGTTCTATACTCCAGGACAGCCTCATCCAAGGTATTGCTCTGCTTCGCCTTGGATATCCAGTTTTCCGACATGGCTCTCGCCTCGTAGAGAACGTACGTCGGGAAGTTTGGACTGGTTCTGCTGTCTCCCCACAGGATTGCTTGGAATGTAAGTAGCAGGGCCGTCAACCCAGCAAGTACGAAGAACTTAGACCTGTAGAATGGCCTGGGCCTGTCGCTCGGTGGCTGTGGCCGGCCTAACGGCTTTGCGTGATGAAGCAGAACACCAGGACCAAAAACGACAACGACACTGGCAATCAGGCCCCAAGCACTGGAGCAAATCCTATTCATGGTTCCGTCGAATATCCTTCCCTCCATATAAACGAAGACGCTAGTCGCTCCAGCTGCAAGGGCGACAGTTGTCGGATGAAGGGCTCCAAGCAGGTAAGTCCCAGCTATCAGACCTGCCGCTGCCGCAATGCTATCCAGTGCTAGGTCTCGCACAGTCACCGAGTCGAGGTACATATTCCATCGAAAGTTCTGGCGGGAGAAAAACGAGGGTAAACTCAATAACAACAATATCCCAGCCGACACAAGCAACAAGGAGGCAACTGACCACCAGCTCCTCTTCTTGTCTTCGCGACCTTGTCGCAGCCTACTCACAAGAGTAATAATCAAAGCATCGCATCCCAGTGTGACCAATTGGGCCAGGGGTATCAAACGTTCCCAAGCACCGGGCGCACATATCGCCCCAGTGAGATGCTCTGTCATAAAAAGGATGTCGGTAGCGGCGATGCCCCAAACAGAGGCAGTCACGACGTAAAGGGCGATCAGGCTCTTATTGTGGCTTGTCGTCTCATAAGTATTGCTTGGCAGCACGAGAGGCCGCATTTCGAGAATCTCGACGACACGTAGGACGAGAGGAAGAAACGTCTATTGATTGGGTGGTCAGCTCCTGTGCGCAAGACAATGCTCGAGTGCCGACGGTGAGAGGAGTTTGCCAGACGAAATCCCTGGTCCAATCCCCATCCCATCCATGAATCTTTTCATTAGGTTCACCGGGATACCTGTCCCTGACTAATGCGTCCCATGGACAGACGAAACACGGAGGGTCGGCAATTCGACCCACTCCTTGTCGCATTTAAACGCACCTGCAGTCCATCCCAGGAGCAATGTATCGTCTGTATCGTCCTCCAGTACAATATCGTCCGACCCACAATGCAGAACAGCAACAGAAACCACGACGGCGATTGGCTTTGCGCAACGGACCTTGCCGCGATCTCTAGATGAGACAGACGACCGCCGAGCCATGGCCTGCTCCATGTAGTGCTATTCGTCGTTGGTAGCGACTCAAAACGGCTAACCTGGCGATAGATAGGGCGCGCCCATGCGGCGATCGCAAGACCTGCAAGGAGGAGGGTCAGGATGGAGAAATGGAACGGCCGCTCGAACGCTGCGCTTTGGTAGTATCGCGATGTCAGGAAAGCAGAAGATACGCCGAGGATGCTACAGAAAGATCGCAATCAGTATTCAACGAGGAGAATGGAAACGGAAGCCATAGCTGTTGCACTAAATCCTGCTTTGCTCAGAAAATCTTTACCAGCTGACTTGGACGGCGGCCGCCGCCCTGCGACGATAACAAGCATAGGTACTTACAAAAAGGAGAGAACAACATTCTGCAACTGCGCCATGGCGGGCAAGAACCGCTGCGGTTATCAGGAGAATGGCTTCTGACGTAGCTCGGATGATCCACAGACAAATCACAAGGAAAAGAAGCCTGGGAAGCTCTTCATATTGGGATGGAAAGACGTGGCGAGGCTGACAGTAGTCTCCTTTCCAGCAACTTTAATTGCACAACACTTAACCCCACGGCACCAGGGTCTCACGCAATCAATTAATTGTTTCATTCGCGCCTGCCCGTGTGGACAGCTTTTGGCCACGGGTTGACGTCATAGGAAAGAATGGAGAACTGCAATTTCGTGCAACTTGGAGGTCCCAGCTGACAGGGGTTAGGAATAAGTGGATCGGTTCATTTCAGACAGGGGTTAGAATTTTCTGCCCCGCACGTGTAACTTGAAAGTTGGCAAAAGCTCCCTGGACCCCCTGTAAACACAGCTTATCTTGGCTGGGCGCAAACTCGTAATGTGGGGAACTGGCCGCTAATAATGGGGAGCACTCCACCAACTTCAAAACAAGCATTTTGATTTCCCATTAGCTTGAACATCAATTCTTGGCTGCTAACTTCAAGGAGTCCCACAATCAATGGTTTAACGTGAAGACATCATTGTCAAATCACAGGTTACTTATCATTTGGCCACAACGAGCATGGTAGTATAAGAATGTTTATTCCATGAGCCCCTCATGGCGGAATCTGTCGACAGTCTGGTACTTCTGCTTCGGCTCAGCAACGGATATAACCACCTGTTGTCTATTTGCTTGGTGTGCGTATATCTATCCTGGCAAATCTCATGTGCTTCTTCATCGAGCTAGCAAGAAGATCCATTGCATTTCTGTCTCCCTTCCGCACTATCGACCCGGATCTTGTGCAGGACTATCTCGATCCAGCGACACCAGTTCTCCCCGTCCCTTCCCCCTGCGGGAACTGATCTCCACCACGACCTTGGCCTCGACGGGGCTGTCCCCGTCCTTGAAAATGTCGACGAGATCTTGCTTCATTTGGGCTACTTCAGTGCCGGGTATCCCTGCAAAAAAAGAGGGAATGTGTCCGTTTCGTCGCTTATAATCCCTGATATAGCTGTCATACTCAGCATAGACGGCCTTCTTGTCCTGGTCACTTGGTCCGGTGAAAGTGGCCAGCGGAATGACCAAATAAATGACTTTTAGAGATGTGTTGCGTGCGACAGTTGTTCGGTCAAAGTGGCCAAGTCCAGGGTGGACGCGTTTGTTCAGAACAAGGCCAAGCTTCTCAACGCTGAAAAACCAGTGCGAGGCATGCAAGGCAGACGGCGTAGTAGTTATGTAAGGACATGCAAGATATTGCAGCCAGTTATGTGCGCGACCACTTTGGTAGTTTCCGAAGAAAAATACACCACGCTTGAAATTTCCATGTAGAAAGAACCGGGCTCTGAGATCAGAGGGGTTGGTGCTGGAAATTCCATTGGCGAATTCGTCAAGATCTCTTGCAGAATTTGCGCTTGCTCATCGTACCTTCCCTGTCAGTCGAATGTTGGTCTTCGAGTCCCCAGCATATGGGTCCATTGTTTCTGTGTAATCTGGATTGTTAACGCCAGTCAGTGTGATTGAGGTGACGTCTAAGTTCGCTTGGTGGTTTACTGCCGAATACGGGCGCTCTCCACGCCCGTAATAGGTAGCTCCGTCATAACGAAGTTGGAAGTAGTGTCGGATGATAGGTAAGTCTTCTTTATAGAATTCCCACACTATGATCTGAAGCTCACGGGGGAGTCTTGTGAAGTAATGAAACCCCTGCTGCGACGCCATAATCTTGAAATGAAAAAGGCAGCTGAGATGTAGGCGTTATTCAGTGGCTGGCGATGTTAGATGAGAAGCCTCTGGAACTTAACAGTTTGGGACGCATTGAACTCCGTAAAGTCTTCCCGGGGGCCATCACAGAGTTGATGGGGAAGGAACTCTCGGAGTCAGCAAGTGCTTGTAGAGTCCAAAGTGATGAGTTGGCTATATGCAAGTCGAAGACCGCACAGTTGGGTACTCTAATATAGCTCTAGGAAGCAGGCTTCAGAGTCGGCGAGTTTTCGTAAGGTTGTGGTGAAGGCTGCTGTGACCCTTAAATCTATGTTGGGGAAAACAATGCAAAGGTGTAGGAAGGTCGGTGAAGGGTACTAGAGAACCCAGTTGATGAATTCACCACACGGGAGCCATGGAATTCAGCGATCTTGTGTGAGGTGAAGGTGAAGGTGAAAGTAGTGGAAGGAGCCTTTCACACTGATGTGTGGTAAGTTGAAGGTGCAGGATCCTGGCATCAGTGAGGTCCTACAAGTTATTTAATGGTGAAAATGGCAGTTTGGAGGCTCGGGAGTTGGCCATATTAGATGAGGTGGAGGTGCAGGATACGAGAATGCAGTTATAATTCAAGAGCTTTCAAAATCAGCAGGTAATAGAATTCTGATAGAGGTGAATTAAATGAGGGCTTTCTAGAATTTGCAGGAGGGAGTCCTTCCTGCATCCATATCTTCTTTAAGGTATGTCTCACACAGGATAAAGGGGGCCTCATGTCCTAGTATTCAGATTCTTCAACAAGGCGTTTCTTGTTTGTTAGTCTTAATATGGAACATATATGTTCAACTGACCAGCGTAGGAGCAAGCCATTATCTGTTATTATATAGGTTCAATGTTCCGATGCTTCACCCAGACATGATCGTCTGAAATCATCAACTCATCCTCACAATGAAACTGAAGCTCCAGATATGCTACTTTGAGTGCGTTCTGGGACAACTACTTGCGATCCGTTGTCGGCAGCCTTGATGTCGCATTTGACGATAGCTTCAACCGATTATTATCTAATCAAGACCTCTGTGAACTGAAATCCTCGTGAATACCACACTTCAGCCTCTTTTGTCTACTGCATTCGGCAAAAACCAGTCTTCCTCTTCTCCTTTAGTATCATTATCACCACAACTTCCTGCTTCCACCCATTGTAATCTCTGAATATTTGCAGAATTCAAGACGCCCAAAACCCCATTACATGCTTCAATCTGACCAACTTGTTTTCATCATCTTCTTCTTTTACTAGACCATCTTCCCATCACGATAATTGCCACCGCGTCAAGATGGCATCCACGCAAGCCTTGGAGCATCTGAGCACTCAGGTTATCCTCACAAAGCCCATCCAGTCAAAGATCTCGCCTCGCACCAAATTCTCCCTTTTCACTAAACTCCCACCGGAGATCCAACTCATGATTTGGGACCAAGCCCACGCCAGCTCCCAACAGCAACCCCCACCTCGCCGCGTCCGTCACCTCTTCCGGCTCGCCAAATGGCGCCCCTTCTATAACTCTCTCGACCCAGCAACCGGTAAGCACATGCCTTTCTACAGCGAGCAAGGCATCCGAACTCTCCATCCTCAACTCGCCAATCTCTTCTTCCCCTCCCTGCGCCACCGTTTTCGCATCCACGCCAACGGCGTCGAGACTGACAAATCCCTGGTATCCGTCTATTCGCCCGGCCAGTACAATGACAAGATGGTACTCGAGAGGCGACCGTTCCTCTGGATGAGCTTCGACAATGACGTCTTTGTCTTTCACGACAACTGGCAGAACGGGTTTCCCGGAAACTTCCTACGATTTGTTTCGGGACGGGTGGGCCTTCAACAAGCATTAACACTCCAGGGCATTGCGCCTTGGTTCTTTAAGATCCAGAAACTTGCTTTGGTCCCATGGGACACTCATAAGCTCGACCCATTCGACACGCTGGCGCTGCTCAGCAACTCTTCTCTCGAGGTGATCTACATCATCGCGCGCCGCAGCCCCATGTGTCCCTACCTGCCGTACCTACGCCAGCTGATCCCAGCTAACGCCGACGGGTTCGCACCGCACGATGATTTCCGGCGCGAGCACATCAACCGTCAGTTCGACGAGCTGGAAGCTGATATGATGATACAAGGGTGGGGAGTCTACATTGAGACTGGGGAGATATATAGACGTGAGCCGCAAAAGAAATGTGTTTGCGACTTGGCTGCCAATACTGCGGGCCTGCTGAGGAGGGAGCTGGATGAGATGTTTGTGAGGGCGGGACGGATGGACATCGAGATTCGGATTGTGGTGGAGTGGAATCCTCGGCAGGGGGAACCGTGAAATGGGAGAAGGGCATCATCATAAGTGTAAAAGGAGCCATGAGGTCTGGAAAGGCCTACAGCAACTACATGTGTTGTTCATTTGTGCCAGGAAAAGTCTCTAGGATTCGCCAGGGGCCTAGAAATATGGCCTTGTGGTACAACATCATCACGTTGGGCGTAGGGTACCAAAAATATCATCTTGTATTTCTATACGCGTATTGCTTTCAGATGTGATGAAGGCGTTGCATGTGGCCAAAATTAGTAACGAGTTGCAATATCCTCCCTGCGAGTCCGCATGAGCGCGTAGGCTGAGTCCAAGCTGCATAGTTTCACAACTGGAAGCAGTGCTTGCTTTGTCTAGCGCAGGACTATGGCTCAGATATGATTCCAATCATTTTCGCTGTATTCGTCATCGACCTCCGAACTCTCTTCTAAAATCTCACCCTCCGTGTCCAGATCCATATCATCCGAATCCATATTTATGCCACAAACATCTGTTCCATCAACTCCTTCGAATCCTGCTCGGGCCCCTCCGCCTCCCACCTCACAATAAAGTCCCGGAATGACCTCCTTGTGCCTTGTATTTCCCCTTCTCCATCTGCTTCTCCCCTTTGCACTTGATTCTCCCATCCAGCGCCAGCTGGTGGTTGCTATTACTGACCAACACATACGCAACCATGACGAGACGGAAATCCACGGTATCCGGGCTTCTTTTGATTGTTAACGCGCTCGAGCTATCTCGGAATGTTGATCTTGTAAGTGACCTCCAGAAGCTGATTTAGCTTACGGCAGACGGTAATGTAGTCAACCATGATGGTATCCATCGTTGTGCAAAGATAATCCTCGAGCTTAGATGACGGTTGCGTCATGGATACATGGAACCGGGCGCTCTGATGTTTCCTCCTCTTCCACTCTGGAATGACCAACTAGAACTTCGTCACAGAATGCTCGGCAGCCTTGCTTCTGATAGCCACAATTATCCAATTGAGCGTCTCATTGCGTCCAAAGAAATGCCTGAACGCCACCGGCGATGAGAATCGGCTTCATTTCGCGAAGGTTAAGTGTCATCTTCATGGATTGACCGTGGTGCTCGAGTCACGGTATTTGTACCGGTTCTTTCTTTTACTTGGTAGGATAGCTTCGGCGAACATGGAGCTGCCGTGCGAGTCAACCATGTGCTCCAGCTCGAGCCACCGGAACTCGCAGCCGTCCTCACGCATGAGTTCGCCAAACTGCTTGCATGCATTACGCAAGCAGGCTACCGCGAGGATCATTTCCTGTTAGTTGGCGAGAGCGAGACTGGTCGCCTTCTTGCGAATGAGTATATGCAGGATGGCGGTGCCACGGTAAGAAGGTTGTGCTTGACAGTCATCTCCTTGCCATCCAGGGAAATCCAGTCAAAGTTAAAGTCAGACGGAGCCACCACCGCAGCCGCCGCAGAAGCTACCTTCGCTAGGTCCTTCTAGCGTAACTCCTTGTCAGAGTGCTGGATGAATAGCACCGGTTGTGCACCGGTGTAGCACCGGTATAGGGACGTGCGAGTCATGGCATAATATGGAAGTCTTGGTATACCGAAGAATCCAAGGAACTAGTGCCCTACGGCTCCGATATACGGGATCTACAGCTCCGACTCCGGGCTTAAGCTATCTATGCAAGGGAAGGTATCTGGGAAGAAGATAGGAAGGTTAGAGATCAATGAACCACTTTGGGCAACCCTACCTGAGACCGCTAGTGACCTCCAGTGACCACCCGGCGCTAAGCAGGAGGGACGCCTCCTACTCCCCATCACTCTGTACTATTGCCTTTGGCCTCGCCGTACGCTGACACTCCTCGGCATCCCGCCTCTCTACTTCTCCAGTTCCTCGACACTACTGAGACCCCGCTCTAACGCCCGAGAAATCTTCTCACGCCATAATTTCTTTTATTTCCGAAGATGCCGAGCTTTCTCTTCAAGTCGATCTTTTTCCTCCTTCACGGCCTCTAATTCTTGCTCTAATATTTAGGGTTAAGTAGTCAGACGCCGTATCTGAACTAAAGACAGACCGTTAAAATCATAGTCCGTTAGTTTACGCTCTATGTAATGCTAACAGCGACCAGAATCCAATTTGTCGCTTATTCGCTTAGTTTTTATATTTTGTCGCATTAGGTAGACTCCTGTAACGAAACCTCTAATAGTCTAGCTGCGTAAACCACTAAAGAGTCTGTAAGGGTTTGTGCTAGTAAGTAAGTCCTGCTGCGGAGTCCTTTAGCAATAATATCGGGGTCTGACGTATGGAGTATAGAGCTCTGGGTAACTGAAGTATTCAAGTAGGGTAACTGGGAATAGAGTTGTCAAGGCAGTTTGCCTCACCAATGGGTTAGATTGATGCTTAGATTGATGACTGAAGTAGAGACACTCTATCTATGAAATGCCTGGGAGTCCTGTCCCTTATATATCCATTCCCTCCTTCACTGATAACTGGGGCCATTAGATCCTTCATGGATACTATTGGTCCTAACTGGTTGATTGATTGATTGAAATTTAACGTCTCATCACGTGAGACGTGCCGGGCGCAGTGCCGGCATGGTCTATGCTAGTCGAATCTATGTTACAGGGGACTGTCTTCATCTAACATTCCTGTTCAGTGCGATGGGCAGATCTCAGTAAAGAAATTGGTCTCCTCCGCCCATTGACAAAACAAACGAGCTCCCTTGGCCGTGCCTAGGAGGGAATCTATACTATTCTTGGCCATATGCGCTTTTAGATGACCGGGCGTGGCCTTGCGGCCGCGCTTGCAAAAGTAGAAGTGGACTGGTGTCTTTGTCTTTCCACACCCGCAGTTGAGCAGTGCGTCGCGATGCTGGAGTCTCTCGTGGTAGGTCACGAAATCCCCGTGGTGCGACCTCGCTGCGAGTAATCTGCCTAGGTGTTGCCGGGGCAGGCCAAGTTCGGGGGGTCGCGGGTGGATAGCGATCCCTAGATCTCGATACTGTTGAGGGCAGGTAGTGGCCCATCGATCGTTGAAACTCTTCCAAGTGTAGGATCTCGCGATTCTCTTTATATGTGCGAATGAGGCCGGGTGTTGTGTCTTGGGTGGTTGCTCACAGGCCGCTTTGGCCTGGACATCTGCTTCTTCGTTTCCGGGGATGCCTACGTGTCCTGGGCACCACCAGATATACACTTGTCCCGGGGATGTCCAGGGTTTTCGCTCTCTCTGTGACCAGGTTTTGGACAGCTCTTGGAAGGCGGTGAATTTTGCTTGACTGCTTCCGGGACTTGGACAGATGAGCCTACCCGCAACCGCGAGATTATCGAGGCAGATGTGGATGTTATCTGCCATGCTGTTGGACGGAAGCTTTACAGCCTCCTGAAGCCCCCGTAGTGCTGCGTGGGCTTCCGCATCGTATACCTCTATCTGAGAGCCCAGTAGTTCGGACCCGCAAAGTAGTCTTTTACCGGCCTGATAACCAGCCCAGCCTGCTCCAGCTAAGGTCCTGTCGTTGGTCCTAACTGGATATGTTGGATCATTTCATATCCAAATGATCCACCCTTGTAATTCACGTGACTTGTGATCCTTGCACTAGCTGGCTCCTCCTGCAGCTAGCCACTCCTGTGTGACTTTACCAAATGGATCGAACGCAGAATACCGCAATGAGAGCCATGCTCCCTGTATACAGGACCACGCCAATACCGATCCTGCAACGGGAAGCGGCACTACCGCCAGCAGAAATCGCACTCGACGCAAAACTCTATGCGGCTTCTGTTAGATTACACAAACTGGATAGCCGCCATCCCTTACGCAGGAGGCTCAGACATCCTACGGGCCCCGATTCGAGGTTAAGGCGTATGGCGAGCCTAACCCCAGATACTGCAGAATATATAGATCCTCTGCAAATACCGCCCTGGGAGCAGGCTGGCGAATGGTCCATCACCCTCGCCAAGATCGGTTATATCCCAGGACAGTCAAAGGAGGAGGCTGCCCGCTCGTTTCTACAAAGGATAAACGAGTTTTCAAAGCGCGATATAATAATCTATACAGACGGCTCGCTGGCTACCCATAGCGACAGGACCTTAGCTGGAGCAGGCTGGGCTGGTTATCAGGCCGGTAAAAGACTACTCTGCGGGTCCGAATTACTGGGCTCTCAGATAGAGGTATACGATGCGGAAGCCCACGCAGCACTACGGGGGCTTCAGGAGGCTGTAAAGCTTCCGTCCAACAGCATGGCAGATAACATCCACATCTGCCTCGATAATCTCGCGGTTGCGGGTAGGCTCATCTGTCCAAGTCCCGGAAGCAGTCAAGCAAAATTCACCGCCTTCCAAGAGCTGTCCAAAACCTGGTCACAGAGAGAGCGAAAACCCTGGACATCCCCGGGACAAGTGTATATCTGGTGGTGCCCAGGACACGTAGGCATCCCCGGAAACGAAGAAGCAGATGTCCAGGCCAAAGCGGCCTGTGAGCAACCACCCAAGACACAACACCCGGCCTCATTCGCACATATAAAGAGAATCGCGAGATCCTACACTTGGAAGAGTTTCAACGATCGATGGGCCACTACCTGCCCTCAACAGTATCGAGATCTAGGGATCGCTATCCACCCGCGACCCCCCGAACTTGGCCTGCCCCGGCAACACCTAGGCAGATTACTCGCAGCGAGGTCGCACCACGGGGATTTCGTGACCTACCACGAGAGACTCCAGCATCGCGACGCACTGCTCAACTGCGGGTGTGGAAAGACAAAGACACCAGTCCACTTCTACTTTTGCAAGCGCGGCCGCAAGGCCACGCCCGGTCATCTAAAAGCGCATATGGCCAAGAATAGTATAGATTCCCTCCTAGGCACGGCCAAGGGAGCTCGTTTGTTTTGTCAATGGGCGGAGGAGACCAATTTCTTTACTGAGATCTGCCCATCGCACTGAACAGGAATGTTAGATGAAGACAGTCCCCTGTAACATAGATTCGACTAGCATAGACCATGCCGGCACTGCGCCCGGCACGTCTCACGCGATGAGACGTTAAATTTCAATCAATCAATCAATCAACCTGTGTGACTTTCCCCTCCTTCTTTGTCCTGTATCCACTGGGCCTGCCATCGGGCCTGTTGCATTGGTTAGAATCGTAGATTCGTAACAGATTTATACAGCTTCTCTATAATAGTGATATAGTTAGACCGCCACCGTAGCTTATTCTACGGTTTTACCGATAATAACAGCTTTCCTCTCCTTGCCTTTACGGCAGTTTCTGGGCGCGGAACCTTCAATCAGCAGCGACATTAGCGACAGTAGAGACATTTTCCTTCTGTTTCAAGCTGTATAACTTTGTAGCAAGTGAAAACTAGAAGAGAAGCATGTCAGTATCCTCTTTGTAGCGGCGGCAAATACCTAGTATTTGCTCTCATGATGCCGTCTACATGAAGAATTCATAACAACGGCACTGTGGTATCTATCCATCCTCATTTCATGTTCATGAACTTCTGTGTTTGAAAATTTCAAGACACATCGAGCTTCAGCGCCGGGCGTGCCCGAGCTGGATCACGACGATCTAAAAATGGTACCTAAGATTGAAGACATGGTGAGGATGCCAACATCCGACCGAACTGCAACAGGTTCAAGCCCCTATACGAATTGCTTGAATAGAATAACTCGGCGTTGAATACAAGATAGCAACCTTTGCAGCCAGAGCAGCCAGTGTCTTCTTATCCGGCCTCGGACTCTTTTTCTCACTAACCGTTTTCTGCCAGTGGGACCCAGGTGGCGAACTCCTTGATAACAGCGGGACGTACCCTGAACCCGCGCAAAAAGAGAAACCTGCACAAAAAGAAAAAAAAACTTGCAAAAGAATTTGTTACGTCTTCCAGTCGTCAGGAAGGCATCGGGAATTGAGCCCAATGCGGGGGTCGAACCCGCAGCCTTGAGATTAAGAGTCTCACGCTCTACCGATTGAGCTAACCGGGCGGGTCTAAGATGTCAAGTCAAGGGTTTACCAGTCCATTATAATGGTCAGACAGTGGTCATGTGGGTAATGGCCCCATCTTAGTTCCAGGGTTTTCCATGGCTTGTTGAGGTATGAATTGAATGGGTGCTGATTGGTCGGAAGAGCGAGGTGTATGTGGCCGCTCCCATTAGTTGAACAATTCAAACTAGTGACACGTATCCACGGACTAAATCAACCACTTCATGCTTCTCATCATCGATATAATGATCGTCTTGGGGTTTGAGGGCAGTTGACTGCTCTGGCCGACCTGCCTACTGGATCACTAACCACGAGCAGCTCCCACTTCAGATCCAGAATCAAACTGACTTGAAATAAGGTGATTAACCACTAACATTAGGAACAAGACGACGACCTCCCAGAGGCAGGTAATGACCAATGGATATCATGAAAAGCAAACCCAGGAAAGAAACACCAAGTATCCTGTGACCCCCAAAGCACATATAACAAAACCGCCCACCCATTAGTTCAGCCCGACCTCCCCATATATACAAGCAGAATTTCGCTCACAAATCCAGCTCGACGACCACCTCAATTTGTCACCCCACTCGCCTCACCCTTACCCTTCGACCCGCTACGCATGAATTCCTTCTGCAGCGCCTTCATGGTACCATCTTGTTCCAGCGCATCCAGCATGCGCTCCTTCTTGCTCTTGCGCCCGGCACCGGCCGATTGCTCCAGCTCCTCCGGGTCGCTGACGTCGTCCGAGCTCATCGAGCTCGAGCTCGGGCTCCGGTTGAGTACCATGTGGATGTTCTCGCCCTCCTGCCTTTTGACCTTGCGCTGTTTCTCTTTCAGCTTCTGGTCCTCCTCGTCATCGCAGCCCAGCGTCACCACGCCCAGACCGGGAAAGTTTCGTTGGAGAAACTTTTGCAACTCGGGCAAGACCGACTTTTCGGGCCGGTAGGTGCCGCTGTCGTTGTCGATGACCAATTGATAGTACTCGGGCTTCGTCGGCGGTGGACCTCTAGGAGGTCCGCCTGACAGTTCCTGAGTCGGGTGTGTGGGCTGGTCCGGCTTGGGATCCTCGGATGCTGTCGGCTTTTTCAAGCGTCGGACGAAGAACTCGCCCGAGCACGCAATGTATGTGGCTACGTCGCTGTGCATGGAGTGTTTGCTAAGTAAGTCGATGCCGAATTCCTTACCGGTTTCGGTGAAGCGGAACAACCCATCCAGCGTGAGGACGTAAGTGAAGAGACGACCGCCCTGGTCAAAGTGCACCAGTTTGAGGAATTGTAAGGTGGCTTCTTCAGAACAGGGCTTAAACTGCCCATATTCTGTGGAGCTATCGAAATTGTATATTCGACCGTGTTGATGAGCCAAAGCTTTATGTCTAGACGACAGGTTAGTATGATGTTCTTAACACATAAACGACTTTCCTAATATAGACGTGTCGCCTGCACGGCGATGCTTGCGATTATGCATTCGTGGAAAGAAACAAGGAGTCTGGGTGCTGCTCACAAAATGCGACCCCGAATGCCACTGCGACTAAACATGAGGCCGATCAATGGGCGGAATTCGACATATCGATGATATAGCTTTTCAGGAACCGGTCCCTGGAGTTGGATCTCGTTCGCTTGGAAGTCGTACTTTTGGGTCTTCTTGTCGCCCTGTTTAATCTGCTTGTCCTGATCACCCTCGGGTGCCTTTGGCTCATAGCTCGTGGCCCCGTTGGCATTGGAATCATGATCTTCGTCCTTGTTGACCTGTACTCCGGCGAGCCGACCTATCATGGGTGAAAAGTGCCTGAAGTACCTCGTCGGACCGAGGGTGTACATTTGGCCGTGGGGAGGATCGGATACACCGAGGACGGTTGCGCTCACGAACAAACTCGGTGTCATTGTCACATCCGCGTTGAAGGCGGCACTGGCCGCCTTCAACAGATAAGCGCGCTTACTTCCCACTCGCTTCTTCACCTCGAACTCCCTTTGCGAAAAGCCATTCCATGTCTCATCGACCCGGGACACAATGATGGTCACGTTACCGAGTCGGTCGTTGTGGTCGGGCCAGTCTTCATCGTACAAGCGGCACTTAAGCTTGAAGCCTGACGCTGGCACGTTCGCCACGATCCAGTCCTCTTCCCATTCTGGGTCGACGGTGCGTCTGATAGTACGGGTCCGGTGGAACAGGTCTGGGTCTTCCTTGTGCCGTTTCGGCAACGAACTCGTGAGTGTAGACTCAATAAATGGGTCCGAAGCGTGCGACCCGATATCCGCGGCGGGCAGGTTGGTGGCGCGATGGAAAGTGAACTTAATGGCATAGCCGGGGGGTGCTTTTGGTATCGGCGTCGTATCGTAGCCACCGGGAGGCTTCGTCTTGGTCTTTATTTTTTCCTTCTGGTGAGTGAGTTGGCGCTTGATATTGAAAGTGCTATGGCGATCCGGAACCCCTTGCTCCTCTTGGTTGCCTCTCAGGTCTGAGTCGCCCGAAATGGTCGGGACCGGAGGGTCGTCGGTGACTTGTCGAACATTTTTCTCGTGGTTGACTCCATTGGTTCCCGTCGAAATGGGTGCCGGGTAAGCCCCGTTGGACTGCTGAACAGTTTCACCGTTGGACATGATATGGTAGTCGTGTATGATGTCAGTGCCGTCTTGGCCACTGGTTGACGGAGGAACTGAGCGCAAGTGGTTGTTAGTAACGCAACGGAACGCGACGCGGACAAAATAGTCCGGTGAGCTTGTCCTGAAGCAGAGCAACAGTCTTCCTGTGGCTGCTTGAGGCCTTGTGCGAAAGAAACCCCTGCGCGCGGCGCACTGCGATCGCCAAGAATTGTATCGGGAGAGGCGCAATGATGAGTGCCAAGACAACGGGTTATCCGGGTGTCCACCGACTTGTGCGTTATACGCGGTTCGGGCCCAGGTCGCAGCGCTGCCAATGCTGTTGCATAAATAGACACAAACAACGGCGAAGCGCCGAATATGACAAACTTGCTCTACCAGCCTGGGAAAACGCTTGGCGATTGATGATTGATGTTGGGGAAAAGAGCTAAACACAAATCAACGGAGGATGGATAGTCTGCTTGAAAGTCCATTGCTACGAAAACTTTTGTTCCAACTCCCGGTCTTCCATTCATCTGACTTCCAACTGTGCTGACGTCACCCCAGGAGCTTCTCAAAGCCGCAGTGCCGCAGTGCCGTGATATCCAGCCGTGTTTTCCGGTTACGAGCGAAGGCAGCGGCACCGGATTAAGTATTATCCTTAGCCCAGTTTCTCTCCAAGCTTGGACTGGTCTAGACCTACCGAATGCATCACGGACTTGCACAATACTACCTCAAGCCAGGCTTGCAGGGATGTATCGGACGACAGAAACGACAAGCTTTTGACGTGCAAGGATTCCCCATCTTCGCCCGACCGAGCCGCCCGAGCTTCTTCGTCATTTGTTGGGTCAGTTCTACTCTGGAAGTCGAGACCTCCTTTGCTGCTTGTACACAACCACCGGTACCAACAGTATCCCAAAATTATCATCCCCTTCATATTCTATCGTCTTCATGGGTGAACAAGTTTTGCAGACGTTGTACGCAATGGGTGGGAAATTGCTTCGGAGTCGAGTAAATCGACTGTGGAGTCGTGGGCTCGGCGTCGGATCCCGGCTTACGCCAATACGAGCATTCACAATGCACGTATGAATACGTAGTTGCATCCCGATCCCTCTATTCTCCTTCATGCGACGTCCTGTATTCAACATTGGTATCGAGGCTCAAGACATTTGAGCAGCCTGAAAATACTCGGGCTATTCAACGTTGCGGTTCAATGTGGTAGGAATGTGGTTTGGCCAGAGACATGGGACTGTGCTAGGGTGCGTATGCTATTGCTGCTCGCCCCTCCAAGTGCTTGCGCCTGACAGCCCGACTTCGCGCCCCCTTAGCTTCGGTTCCAAAGGCTTGTCGACGTAAACAAGGCGTTCTCTACTCGTTCCTACGGTTTCGCCTTGGCTTGGCGGCTTGGCTTGGCGCCGACATGTACACAGACACAAATGTAGGCGTTTCTTCGGTTAGACACGTTCTAGACCTGTTCAACGAAGAGAAGATGCAAAACGATGTGCACAACTTTGCCGAAGGTACAGGAGCAACTTGGAGATTCGATGAGACCCCCAACGCAGCCAGGATACAACGTTCCTGACTGTCCACTTGATTTCCCGGCTTCCTCCATAAGGACACAACATGGCAATGCCGTCATCCAGCAATATATACTTTGCTCAAGTACAAAGCTTGCTCTTCTCCTGAATATATACGTGCCTGCATCTATCGAATCCAGCCGCAAGCCACCCAAACGTCCATAGTGTGTGTCGTGGCTTCAAAGTTCTGATTGTCGGTTTTCTGGTTTGGTCAGGTCATGATTCACATTAACTCTCAAACAGCTATCCGCGAAAATTACAGGCTGCGTTGTGCTTCACGGGAACATAGCACTCTTGTCAGCCGGGATACTACTTACACTTCAATCTCGTATGCAAACAACGTGACAGTGTCGAGGGATCTCGTAAGACATAAGGGGAAGGGTCGGCTATTGGGTCACTCATTCGCCAAAATGACTAATGGCATGGGCTGAGCGATTCCGCTAGTTAATGGGCAAGGAGTCGTTTAGCCACCTATGTCCACCATCGCTCTGTTGAGCAACGCCAGGATGGCTATTCGACTTACGGGGAGAAGCACTAGGGCCATCAACAACCTATCCTATTAGTTAGGTTGAAAATACGCCCCTAGCATGTTCCTCGGGTTCTTATCGCAGTGCGTTCCGACGACGAGCTTGCATGCTTTTGCCAATAATGGATAGGCTAGTGGCTTGCCCCCTGCATCAATAGTCGTCGCCCTCATAGGATGGGAAACCCAAAGACTTGGTAACCGGGTCGCTCTTCTTGCAATAAGGCATCATTCCCTCATCCGTCGTATTATTTATTATGGCAGCGGCTGCCATCCCTTCTGCGTTGTCCGATCACCCCCAGATTTGATCGTGCGCCTGTCAGTCCGCTTTCGGGCAAAGTATTTGCATAATTTTCCCCATAATTCGGTCCAACTTCAGTCATTCGCTTATCTTTGTAAAATTTCCGTCACCATGGTCCGTTTCTTGAATATATATGGTAGCAGCATTCTGGTTGCCGCTGTGGCCGCCACTTACACAACCAGCAAGGAGGAGGACTTCCCTCCGGAGACCGAGTCGTCGTATCTGCCAAGCTTGACTTCAACTTCGTTGGAGTATCCTACGTCGACTTATGTCCCGAGCTCCACTAGCTCTAACGAAGATGATGTGAGCAACTTCTAGTTATTCTTCTTCTCGTCCAGTTTCCCTGAGTGTAACACAAATTCGAAGACATCACAGTTTGAAGTCCCAGAATACCACATATTGACCAACTTGTAGTGCCCACCTGAGACCGAATCATCCAGCTATGCCACCCTAACCGAGAGCTTTTCATACTCGGTGACATCGACCTACGACACGAGCTCTACTAGCTCTGATGATGATGACTGTGAGGTGCCCTGATAGGAACCAAAGTTCTTCATCTCTCTCGTGTTCGTGTCAAGGGAGTAGTGAACTCTGAAAGGAGCAGTCTCTTCTCTTAAGACACAACTAAACCTCACCTGATAGGCTATCGGTATCGATTGCTAACACTGAGAGTTAAACAGACCCCGAAACCGAAACCTCCAATTATCCCATTATTGCGGAGACTTCTTACGAGGCGACTTCTACCTACAGCGCCACATCTTCCAGCTCTGAGGATGACTATGTGAGTACATGAGTACCCCATTGTCAAAGATCACACCTAATGCATTCTATTAGGCAACAAAAGAGACCGAAACGTTCAGCTATCCAACAAGGATCGGATCGTCCGGCTACGCCAACACCACCATATCGTCCTCCGGTTATGAGACATCAAGTCACAGCTCAACCACGAATAACGAGGATTATTGCGTATGTATCCCCAAGCATAGTCGGGTTCACAACGAACTATGTCACTGACTTTGACTGTAAGCCGCCTGATGAAACTGAAACCTCGTCCTATGTTACTGGAACTGCTCCCTCCTACTCGGACACCGTCATTACGAGCAGTTACAAGGCCGCTACATATATGACCACCGCGTATCCAAACACGTCGTACTCTGTATTCGTTCTTTCGGAGTCCACCTCCACTGCTTACTCAACCATCACATACACGATTAGCTCGTGTGCACCGAATGTGACTGACTGTCCTTACGGATCGACGACTACCACAGTCGTGCCGTGCACCACTGGGTCCAGCGTCTACCCCACCACAACTGAAACGTCGATTTTCTACCCAACCACCACTGAGGAGTTCAGCGGCTACCCCACTGCAACTGAAGAAACTACCGTCTACTCGACGACCCCAGGGGAGTCAACGGCAACTGCTTACTCGACCGTCACCTACACGATCAGCTCGTGTGCACCGACTGTGACTGACTGTCCTTATGGATCGACTATCACCACAGTTGTGCCGTGCACCACTGAGTCCAGCGTTTACCGCGACACGACTGAGACGTCGAGTGTCTACCCATACATCACTGAGGAATCCAGCGGTTACCCCACTGCGACTGGAGAAACTAACGTCTACTCGACCACCCTAGGGGAGTCAACGGCAACTGCTTACTCGACCGTCACCTACACGATCAGCTCATGTGCACCGACTGTGACTGACTGTCCCTATGGATCGACGACTACCACAGTCGTGCCGTGCACCGCTGAGTCCAGCGTTTACCTCGACACGACTCAGACGTTGAGTGTCTACCTCACCACAACTGAGACTTCGAGTGTCTACCCACACACCACTGAGGAATCCAGCGGTTACCCCACTGCGACTGGAGAAACTAACGTCTACTCGGCCACCCTAGGGGAGTCAACGGCAACTGCTTACTCGACTGTCACCTACACGATCAGCTCATGTGCACCGACTGTGACTGACTGTCCCTATGGATCGACGACTACCACAGTCATACCGTGCACTACCGAGTCCAACGTTTACGTCGCCACTACTGAGACGTCGAGTGTCTACCCCACTGTGACTGAAGAAACTACCGTCTACTCGACGACCCCAGGGGAGTCAACGGCAACTGCTTACTCAACCGTCACCTACACGATCAGCTCATGTGTACCGACTGTGACTGACTGTCCTTATGGATCGACTACCACCACAGTTGTGCCGTGCACCACTGAGTCCAGCATTTACCTTGCTACGACTGAGACGTCGAGTTTCTACCCAACCATCACTGAGGAGTCCAGCGGCTACCCTACTGCGACTGGAGAAACTAACGTCTACTCGGCCACCCCAGAGGAGTCAACGGCAACTGCTTACTCGACCGTCACCTACACGATCAGCTCGTGTGCGCCGACTGTGACTGATTGCCCTTACGGATCGACGACTATCACAGTCGTGCCGTGCACCACTGAGGAGCCTAGCGGTTACCCTACTGCGACTGAGGAGACTATCGTCTACCCGAATGCTCCAGGAGAGTCGGCGTCGACTGCTTACTCGACCATCACCTACACGATCAGCTCGTGTGCGCCGACTGTAACTGATTGCCCTTACGGATCGACGACTACCACGGTCGTGCCGTGCACCACTGAGGAGCCCAGCGGTTACCCTACTGCGACTGGGGAGACTATCGTTTACGCGAATGCTCCAGGAGAGTCAGTGTCGACTGCTTACTCGACCGTCATCTATACGATCAGCTCCTGCGCACCGACGGTGACCGACTGTCCCTACGGGTCAACAACCACGACGGTCGTGCCCTGCACAACAGAGTCTACCGAGTACCCGACGACCACTGTTAGCACTCCGTTGCACTACGACACGGCCATTACTGTCCCAACTGAAACATACTCTTCGTACACGGATACCGTGATCACTGCTCCAACAGAGACTTTGCCATCGTACTCGGACACAGTAATCACTGTGCCCACTTACACAGCTTCGACTGGGAATTTTCCTTTGTATTCAGAAACCCTCATCACCGACACAGGCGCAAACGAGAATTTCCCATCTTATACCGATGTCCCGACTTTGTCGACTTCCGTCACATATGGAGTCAACAGTACGGCTCCCATCGGCACCACGACTCCGGTTGTTACTCCTATCCAGCCCAGCATATCGGCTACCGGAACCGAAGCCACGACTGCAAGCGCCACCAATTCTGTGGTGACTGCGGGAGCAGCTGTCTTCCGCAGCAATGTTGCTGGAGGTGCTATGGCTGCTGTTGCCCTTGCTCTGGGCCTTCTTTAGTGGCCGGATGTGTTTTCGCACAACTCTCTTACGAGGTGACATGATTTTATGAATGAAGGATACTATTAGATTGCATAATGTATAGATCATATTTTTTGCGCCGGGATATCATCTACGACGGATGAACCGCAACTCAGCGTCTCCTGTGAACGGCTTTCCCGTGTACTTTAACAATAGTGATTATTAATAATCAAACAGTCACACCCCTCTTAGGCTCCGACCTTTTATAGATTTTTGTGTTGCCGTATATATGTTACGGCCTAACCGGATAGGTAAGATAATAGGGTACTTCATGGTATGGTGTTAACACCCCGCTTCGCGGAGTCCTGCTGTTGAGCATAATCCAAGGATCGTTGAACTAAAGTGTTGATTCCCGAGAGTCGATAGTATTGGATGGTAAAGAAATACTGAAAGCACTGTGTTATAGATAAAGAAAAATAACGAATCAGACCTCAATAAAGGAGATAAATTTCTACTACCGAACTTGTATATGTAAATAAATGGCCAATTTCCCTCTAGATAGACTTTGATGAACATATTACTATAGTAGATAAAAAATAATATTAAATACGCCATAGGTGTTAACCCTCGGTACCTCTACAAGTACTCCCTTAAGGGGCTATATATGATATAGCGGGCCCTTAAGCCGCGTCGGGCGGTTATACAGGTAAACTTGTAGCCAAATGACTACTAAACCTCCTGTCCCTCCCTAAGTCTGTGCTACAACCCCTGCCTGAACTACCGATAAGTGTGGTAATGTGGCACTTAAATTCGTCCTCAGGGGTGGGATGCTGCTGATGTGCAGAAGATGCTCGACTATTTTTTTTGTCGCGACAAGTCGTAGTATCTGCTAATTGGGGTTCTCGTCGAGCGTATACATCTCAACCATACGCTCAAGTGGATAGACCGTAACGTAGTCTATACGCTCGCAATAATCGCGGCGAGAGGGGGTCCGATAAGGGGTCGGATTAACGATTCGAATTCTGGACCGGCTGTCGAGTTATATTCCGCCGACGTAGTGCTTGACGGTCGACTGGCTAGGATGCTCGTAATCCTAAACTGCACCAATCTCCCTATTATCGCTAGGTAGGCGAAGTCAACAAGGTGGGCAGCGCGCCTGATGCGAGTGCATATGAGGTGTGAATTGTTGTATTGGGAAACGATGGCCAGGTCAGCTTCTGGCCTGGCAGAGCTCTTTTATAGCTCTTATCTATCTTATCTCTAGCTATAGGGCAACCCCCCATGGGGTCACGTATCAGCGCCGTAAGGGTTGACTAAACCCCCTTGTGTGTCAGCTGCGGGATTCGAACCCGCGACTCGTCACCGATCCAAGTGGGCGAGGCTCAAATCGGGACTTATCTACCAGCGAAGTGACCAACTACACCAGCCGACTATAGTAGATAATAGTATTAACCTATTACACTCTATTACTCTTTCACTTAACGAACCAACCTAATAGTTACCCTGTAGCTACTAGATAGCAATCCACAAATATCCGCTGTATACTTGTCACCATTTAATAGATATCAGCATCAAATCGTTGCCTGAGGCGGCCCAGTAGTGCATGTTCATTTGTTCATCAAGGTTGGCTCGCTCCCAGAGCTACCGTCACTGAGGGTGGCTATCGTAAGGGATACTAGAGAAATAGAAGCCCTTCGGCTGTCAACAACGACAAGGGCAAGCCCTTAAAGAAACCTAGACCGAGAGCAAATCTCAAGAAGGCTGCGAAGAGAACCTGACTATGCTCTCTAGATAAGAAAGAGATCGGCCATGGTCTCAAGATTACACTTGTGCCCTGGCAGTATCACGTTAATCGGACATCCACCAATAAAAGGCTTCACAGCGACTAGCATGCAAACTGCATATCTTTTGATCTTGACTATAAACGACAACAGCTGTAAATAAATGTCAACTTCTGCCGTGCATTTTTTTCAGCAATAACAAACTTATCACATCGCTTCAAATCACACCAATTTAGTTTGATGAGACGACACCATTTGTTGTCGCGGAACTCAACAATGGACAGGCCGGTGAGTTATTAGCAGTCAGTAGGTCAAGGGAGCAAACATGTATTCGACAACTTATTTGGCATGATTATGGCAACTAATATCAGTGCCCTATGCACCTATATGGATCCCTTCAACCCTTGTAGGCCTACCACTTAGTTACCTGCATAGGCACGGTGGTGATGTTAGTTTGTTGTGGTTTTACGCTCCATTTTTTGCACCAATGATGAGGAGCCGTTGCCTAAATAACCGCCCTGGCGGTTAACATCAAACCGCTTCGGCTACCCGCATTTTCTCGCCTGCGCCTTTTGATTTCAGGTCGATTGTAAGGGTGGACAAGTCGAGGTTATATGAGTGATGAAGGGGGGGAAGAGGGTAGGAGGGGGAGAGTGGAGAAAGGGGGCAATATTGAGAGTATTACGCTCATGTCAACTAGGTCAATCCATATTACTGGAAATACGTTTCATCATTTTCACTTTCTAAAATGCTATATAATTCGCATAATCAATTGTAAATCTAGTAATGAAATACTGGTGAGGACTGCTCTAGTAACCACCAGTTAATACCAATACTTGAAAACGCAATGTTAGACTACTTCTGGAGATCCCGAATCCCCCATAACTTCAGTCGCCTTCATAATACTGCGAATTCTTCATAGCGATCTAACTCAGAGTTGCCCTGATGATCTTAATTAGCCATAGCCACAGACCCTCCAAGCCGACGTTGCGGACGCGACAGCAGGGAGCAACAACCAAGGCATGCGATTATTGTGAATGATTATGGTATCAAGCTCATACTACAACATTCGAGCGTATCTAGAGTCCAATATAGGGAGGACACAGAACTCAACCAATCATTAGCGTGATAATAATCGTCTTGATTGCCCAATTACTCCCATATTACAAATGAATAAACTGGTTTATCAGGTTATCCCATATTATTTACCCCAGTTGCAACGTTTATTCTGGCATGCGGTGACATCTGCTCAGACTTCGGTAACTACAGGCAGAGAATTTTGTGCTGCCATGCTGGTCAGCATGGCATGACTTGATCTACCTCCGATCAGATGACGAATCTGATGCCCGATTGTGCAATGATTGCAATACAGCGAAGATTCTCTGGGCCATGGGTAATATGACTTCGTGGCAATGCTAACGCCATTTCTAGGAAATTCGAACACAGTAGCGAAGCCTTCAGAATGCGTAGAAAAATGATGCATGTATCTTAGCCGCGTATCCTCATGACTGACGTTAATCTCTGTTATCGGTATTTGATCAGTGTTTCATGAACAGCTGCCTGTGGCCGTTGATGGTGAATATAAGAAACATGCGGCTATAACTAGAACACCAGAACGATTTTCAAGATTATTCGTAGAACACCACCGCTAACGCCTGAAAAAATAATTTTGTCACTACCTAGGTACCATTTAAATCATTCGGAAGACGTCAAACGTGAACTGCACTAAATATAGTCTTGTCAAGTGCCATGTGGATTATTGGTGGATCTGACCCCTATCCCTGAGTAGGACGGAAAGTCCCGGACTGCGTGTTGTGTTGTGGAACAAACAATATCAACGAAACAAATATACAAATGCCGAGCCCTGGCTAGTCCGTTTCAGTGAGTAGTTGGGTGATGAAACAAATTGAGGAAATTATTTTCCCCAAAACGTATAAATTGAAATAAAACCATTTTTCAAGGAATGGCCGGCAGACTTCCCCAGAACAGCCCAGTGCATATTGTGATCAATCATTCCACTGGGTGAAGCACCCCTGCCCATCAGATATTTTCCACCCCACTCACATGTTCCTTTGGACGAGAAGCACAAATGCTTAATTCTGGATTCATGACCACAAGGGTTGGATCTGGACAATAAAATAATCTGTCTTCCATAGGATTTGTCTTTCTCGAACTTCAAAACAACCCACACTCTTTTCTCGTCGACGGCAGGTTCCTACTTTTAGATCTCACACACCCATTTTGTCAACAGAGTTGCCTCTTTCCACCCACTCAACATGTATTCTCGAACCGTCCTCGGAGGCCTGTTGCTGTTGGCCAGCACAGGCGTCACAGCATCGTCCATGTTCACCAAGCGTGACTCTTGGGGTCCCGCCTTCAGTTTGGGCCCGGCCAAGCAGGAGATTATCAGCACGAAGACGACCGTCTACCCCGGACAGATGCCTGCCGACCAGGCCGGATACCTCTTCGTGTGGCTGGGTATCTCTAACGGAACCGGTGATCTGATCCAGAGCATCATTGGCTCGTACCCTAAGGGACAGAGTGAATGCAGCGGCTCGGCGGCTGATACTGCTTGGTAAGTCTTCTTGGGTGTTCATGAAGATAATCGTGGTGAGAAGTCCGGTCGCTTACAATCACGCAGGTGCATTTCTTCCGAAGTCTATGGGCTCGCTGATAACGGATATCCCAACCAGTGGGTTGGCAGCCTGACGACTGCCGATGTCAACTACGAGAACGGAATCGTCCTCAACTACACGCTCATCGACAAGTCGAGCTACCTTTGGCTCCAGTAAGTCGCCCACTCGATCCTGCGTCAGTTGCCCATACTAACTGCAACCCTAGAACCATGACTGACGCCGTCACCGGTGAACTCCTCTCCACCTTCAACAAGACCTCCGGTCCCATGCTCGGGTAAGTTATCTCACCTCCCCATCTCGTCCTTCCTGTATTGTCGACTAACAAACACATAGCTGGGGCACTGCCATTGAATGCAACGACAGTGACGACGGTGTCGCCTGCACCGGCACTGTCGCCGAGCAGACCTGGCTCAACTCAACCATCATCCTCGAATCTGCCGACTCCACCTTCGTAGAAACACTCGGCGCCTCGGAAGGAACCACCCACACCGACATGGTGTCTTCCGACAACGGCAAGACTTGGACCATCGCCAAGATCACCATTCCCGCCATGGACAGCTCTACTGCGACTGAAGCTACTTCCAATGAGACTGTTGACACTGCTGCCACCACGACTTCTTCCGGTGGTAACGGCCGTGGCGGCAGGGGACGGTGGTCCGGCCGCATTTAGATTGCGTTAGGCATTTGGTGGATGATGGATTATTTTTGTATATACTTGCACTTCGATTGCATATTCGCAAATAAATACTTGTCAGGGTTTATTTCCATATGGGCGCAACTCCTATTTCCTCGCCGTTCCAACGCCATTGAATCAGAATAGGTCTTCGGTATGATGCATACTTGGATGCATGGGCGTTCAACTGCATGCTGCGTTAGCAGGTATACTGGCGAGGCTCTGAAGGGACAACTTCTGTTGAAAGTAATCTAGATAGGCTTCTCTTCGCAGTTCGGCGAAGGTGGAGGACGCATCAGTCCAACATCATATTGCTCTGCTACAGTGGAAAGAGCCCATCCGCTATCCAAGAGTAACGTGGATATGGTGTCTTTACCGATTATCGAGGTTTTTATTCATTACACCTTTTGAAAACGAACTCGCCCAATACTGGTATCAGCAATCAAGCTACCTTCAGCTCTTGTCTATCCAATATGCCGAAGCCCAGATCGCCTAAATCTTCCGCGTAAATGAAAAATTGTGTCCTCTGACCGTTTTGGGCATCTCGGACCCTGTCTCGAGAGACTTCCCCGCATTGACGATGTTGCCATAAATAGGCAGCTAAATAGAGTTTGAGGCGACGACCCAGAACTGTCCCAAGAACCGTCTAACTGGGTAACATTCAAGTCAACTGAAATGTGTCTCGCCAAACAGGTCATATATGCGATCCACTTAGAGTATTATATATATAGTGCCAAGTACGTCAGGAGGGCATGGCCCCGAAAACAGATCATTAGGAGTCTTTTATACTCCCGACACTTGAGTTAGCCACCTGAGTCGGTTTTCTTAATAACACCATGAGTCGCTACTCCTTTCCCTCGTCGCGAGTCGACCATCGCAAAGTTCTTGTTTCCGCTCCAAGATGTTCAACGTGAAGGCTGCTGTGGTCATATGGGCAAGCATCGGCCTGTCGCTCGCTCAGACTCAAGTCACCGTCAACGTAGGTTCGACACTGCAGAAAATCGACGGCTTTGGAGTATCCCAAGCCTTCGGTCGTGCCGCAGAATTCCAAGCTTTAGCAGAAGGCCCTCGGCGAAAGGGGCTAGACTACCTCTTTAACACCACCACCGGTGCCGGCTTCACCATCATCAGAAACCGCATTGGTTCCAAGGGTGCAGACTCTATTCTGCCAAACAGCCCCGGGTCGCCGACTGCAGATCCCAAGTATGTCTGGGATCGCAATGATTCTGGACAAGTCTGGTTCAGTAAGGAGGCGATGGGATATGGAGTGAAGAATATCTACGCCGATGCGTGGAGTGCACCGGGTTTCATGAAGACGAATGGTAATGAAGCAAATGGTGGGTACCTTTGTGGCGTCACGGGCCAGACGTGTAGCTCTGGAGATTGGAGACAGGCGTTTGCGAACATGCTGGCGCAGTATGTCAAGTATTATCAGGAAGAGGGCATCCAAGTCTCACATCTTGGATTCTTGAATGAACCCGATTACACGTGAGTCTATGTCACCCCTCTAATCTAGACGACGTAGTAAATCTGACTCTATCCAAATTAAGCACCTCGTATTCTTCCATGCGCTCGGATGGCGCCCAAGCCGCTTCATTCATCCCAACTCTCTCCAAAACCCTGCAATCCAACAACCTCTCCTCCGTCGCTCTTGCCTGCTGCGACAACATGGGCTGGGGCACTACCCGCACCACGGCCTCAGCCCTCATCTCAGCAGGCATGGAGTCCTACCTGACTCTGCTCACCTCGCACAACTACAACGGCGACCCCAACTCCGTCATCTCCACCCGTCTCAAGACATGGCAGACGGAAGCCTGCGACCTGCAGTCGCGCTGGTGCACGACTTGGTATAGCAACGGCGGCGCCTGCGAGGGCTTGACGTGGGCTGGGAAAATCGCGACGGGCATCCTGAACGCGAATCTGAGCGCGTACATCTACTGGCAGGGTGTGGAAGTCAACCAGCAGCAGGCATCGAGCTATCTCGTGCTGAGTGATGGGACGGAGGTTTTCCCCTCGGGAAGGCTGTGGGCGATGGCGATGTGGTCCAGGTTTATTAGGCCCGGGGCGTACAGGGTTGCGACTTCTGGGTCGGTGAGTGGGGTTTCAGTTGGGGCTTTTAAAAATACGGATGGGAGTGTGGTGGGGGTGTTGACTAACACGGGAGGCTCAAGTCAGAATGTCAAATTGGCGCTGAATGGGTTTACGCCTAATGCAGCGGGGGCATGGTTGACGGACAATAGTCATCAGGTGGCGGGTGTGGAGGTTACATTGGATGGGAGCGCGGTGACGGTGGCGGTACCGGCGAGGTCGGTTGTTACTGTTAAGTTGACGGAGGCTTCGTGAATCAAGCCGAGTTCAGCGGCGATCGACACCAGAGTATACGATGGAAATGTGCAGTAATCTTGATTTTATATATATTCATTGCTTCGCAGTGAAGTAGTTAAGCAATCCTTACCTCGTTAGCAATCTAGAGCGTCAGGGAGACTACAGGTAGAGCCAGGCCTATGACAGGATGGGTCTGCTTCAGTTAAGTTCCAAAATGGGTATACTTGAAAAAGACTCCTATACTAAAGATCCTCCACGGGATACTTTACGAAGCAATAACTCAAGCTAGTTGTTACAAAATTAATATAATAAGTCGGCTGGTGTAGTTGGTCACTTCGCTGGTAGATAAGTCCCGATTTGAGCCTCGCCCACTTGGGTCGGTGACGAGTCGCGGGTTCGAATCCCGCAGCTGACACACAAGGGGGTTTAGTCAACCCTTACGGCGCGCTGCCCACCTTGTTGACTTCGCCTACCTAGCGATAATAGGGAGATTGGTGCAGTTTAGGATTACGAGCATCCTAGCCAGTCGACCGTCAAGCACTACGTCGGCGGAATATAACTCGACAGCCGGTCCAGAATTCGAATCGTTAATCCGACCCCTTATCGGACCTCGCCTTTCCGATAACGCTCGTCGGCGAACCCGTCCCCTCACGATAGAAGGCGCGCAGCACGCCCTCTCGCCGCGATTCTTGCGAGCGTCTGACCACGTTACGGTCTATCCACTTGAGCGTATGGTTGAGATGTATACGCTCGACGAGAACCCCAATTAGCAGATACTACGACTTGTCGCGACAAAAAAAATAGTCGAGCATCTTCTGCACATCAGCAGCATCCCACCCCTGAGGACGAATTTAAGTGCCACATTACCACACTTATCGGTAGTTCAGGCAGGGGTTGTAGCACAGACTTAGGGAGGGACAGGAGGTTTAGTAGTCATTTGGCTACAAGTTTACCTGTATAACCGCCCGACGCGGCTTAAGGGCCCGTATGCCAATCTTCGTTGCCACAGGATAACGTCCCACACCCACATCCGGGACACACCCACATGTGGGACGCCCTAAAAATGATGCTGTATATTATAACCATTGACTTTAACCTTTTTTTACACTTATTCTGATGCGACTACAATACAGCTTTCACCGTCACTAGGGTTTTCAGACTCGCTAGACTCATCTGTACTATCCTCAATTTCACCAGCCTCGATTTGAGCCTTCCGAATAGCCTTGATATTAGTAAACTTCGAATTAGGGCTCATCTTGACCTTCCTCCGCTTCCTAGCCCTACTGGCCTCAAGCTCTGCCTCTATTGCCTCAATATTTCGCTGTGCGACAGCTAACTGGTAGTCCTTCTCATCAAAGCCCTTTTGAACTTTCCGAAAGAGTAGCCGCTGGGTATTTGGATCACTATCAAGCTTGCTGAATAAGCTGAGTTGATCTTACTTGGATTTGATGTTCCCGTTGAAGGAGCAAAAGGAGGGCACATATGCCTAACCTGTCTGTATTGTAGCTAACTCTGGTCCTCTCTTCGAGGGTCTATGTATGGAAACAAAAGAGTTCTTATATAGTCAATGAATGGTAGACTTGCTGATTAATTCAGACAAGTTGTAGAAGCATATAGATAAGTAGGGAATGTTCTATCCTTGCCACATTTCTCGTAATAGAGGTATGTGGGGATGGTCGCCGTTCTAGGTGGCGATAGTGGCAAGTATAGGACCCACATGGCCCACAGGGCCCATATTGTCCAACTATCTTGGAGCTCATCTCTCCTCTTAGGCGTTGACCAGGCTACTGATGATGTCTCTAACGCCCAGTCCTGACTACTAGAGTGCCCTTTGCAAGTCTGACTAGGCTGTTTGATTGGTGCTGACGTATTCTCAAGGAGCAGGGGGCTCATAAGGGGTCTAGCTATGCTCGAAGGCCAGAGACTAGTATATTTCCATCCACTGATAACGTTCTTGACGGTCAATGCTGCTAGACGTGCCTTTCCATAGCAGAGGAGAAAGTTTCTCTTCCCTACGACAGTAGTAGTATCCCATTGGTTAAGGTAACCAAGCTCTTTCTTATAGGCTGCCTTGAGGGGTCCAAAGACTGACTGATCGAGAGACTGGAGAACGTGGGATGTGTGTGGCGGTAAGAAAAGCAAGTGTATCTTGTTTATGAAGCAGAGGTACATAAACTCTGTCGTTTCGTGGCTACTATGCCCATCTAGGATAAGTAACCTAGTCTCTTCAGGGTCCTCTGGTTGAGTCAAAGGAATAAAGATCTTTTGTAGCCACTCAATACCCGTAGAGTCTGACGTCCACCCATTCTCTGTTGCTGTAAACCTCCAGGCTTCGTATGGAGTCAAGTCCAGAGGAAACTACTGCTGCTGGACAGACTTTCCCTTGTATATCACAAGTGGGGCTGGTGCAGTACCAGTCGCAGAGATACACTCTATAAGAGATGTCCAAGCTCGAGATCCAGGCTGTTTCTTCCGCATAGAACGAGTCTCAGATGATCCTAGAACAAGACCATTTGATCCTCTACCTTATAGAATACCTGTCTCATCCATATTGTATCGATTCGAGGCCTTAATAGCTTTGATCTCAGGGATAGCGAGGTATTTGAACCATTGCCTGATCACATTAGCTGAGGCTCCATTAATACGTTGGGAATCGATAGCTCTGCTTCTCTGGACCTTGACTGAAGGGTTCCTCTTGATAAAAGCCTGGACCCAGTTCTTTCCAAGTGGTTCGGTGTCTCCGTGGATCTGTAGGATACGCTCGGCGAAGTCTTTGAGCTGTTGATGGGTTGGTGGGAGGCCTAGGGCAGCCTGGATTCGAACCCATTCAGCCAGATGAGATTACTGGGCTGGAGAGAGCCTCTGGTAGTCAGCGAAGGCTATATCTCTTCACTAGGCTCCCTGAATCCGTCGTGAAAGAGTATACCTTGGGACACCATGCTCATATGCTGCTTTCGGAGGCTTTGACTGGTAGCTATTGCTTGAAGAGCTCGATAAATATAATCTTCGGTATATTGACTTATATTAGTGTAAAGAAGACGTACGTAAAATGTCGTAACGATTGAATCGATATTGGTAACGATGAAAGAGGTTGAAGTTAGAGGCTAGCGGTGTTGATGAGGCATTTTTGGGTGTCCCACATGTGGGGTGTCCCGGATGTGGGTGTGGGACGTTAATTCCACTGACCGTTGACTCTCCTCACACCCTGTTTCAATCGTTGCGTATGTCAACTTTCCCCAAGTATTCATGCAGTTTTGAATAGTGGTGTTTTCATCTAGATATCGCAAACTGAAAGCAACTGAGCTGCCAAATCCCAACAAGTTGGAAGTGGCCCGAAACTAATCTGTAGTGTCAGGAAGGTGGCGGCAGTAGACTGAGCCTGTTTGACTGCGAATGTCTAACGGTAGGCACATGGCAGCGCAGTGTCGACCTCGGTTCCTCAGCACAAGTAGTTGCGACACGTCATTTCATGTCAAACGCAGTGGATCAATCCCACACTATGGATGCAACGCGACAATCTTTGGGATGATTATTCTATGGTATGGATTATGGTCGTACCATCTGGATCTAGATCAAACGCAAATACTGGAATGACGCACCTTCTTTATGGCCAGTGATGAATATATATGGTACTACCATTATTCACCGGCAGATGTATGTAGGAAAGTCTTTTCACTCGACAAGGTCGCATTTTGTTGAAGCTTAGAGGCGATCTATTCTACAAACTAAAAGAAGAGGAACCCACCCCGAATTTATCTACCCCAGATTATTGGACTCCTTTGGAATCGTCGGGTTTCGCCCAACCGTGCCAACCCTAGGAGTCTGGCATCTGTACCCGCAATCCTGACAGGGGCTGGCAGATCTCGACAATATTTCATCAGCTGTCCAAACGCTAGCTGTTTGAAATACAACTGTCCGACATCATCTCTGTCTATATTTCTTCTCCTGCTTTTGGAATAGTATGCATTATTGTTGTTGGCCGCGCGGAATGTGTAAGTATGTCAGTCCGGGTTTGGCATGCCAGCGGCCTAACGGTTAGACCCAGAAAAATGCACCTAACGGCGATCTCCTGGCCGGATCTTAATGACTCCAAGTGTCAGTAGATAGACGCCGGAATCGGACTGTGGAACGGAACAGCAGATGATTCGATGTTGATGTTCTAGCCCAATTCTACGCTACCAATTTTGCGGTACCAATTCTGCGTTGCAGCAGTCGCAATAAATGCAGTCTGACACGTTGCCCCTGCAGTAATCAGCCTCCTCTCCTTGGTCCGATGCGCGCCTGTAGCTTATACCCATTTCAGGCAGGTCAAGATCATGTCGTATGCTCCGCCAAGGGGCGTTCTAGGGCTTTTCCCGCGAACCTTGTAACACCGAAGGTTGAAAACGAAGAAAAACGTTATTTCCAGTCTGTCGCCACTATGGCCATATTACCGTTCATGCACAACACGACCAGGAACCCACGAGGAAATTTCACTTGGGCGCGTCTGCTTGACTGCTTGGTTGCTTTTAGTGCTGATATAACACTGCAGATCCGAATGCATTCAGACATTCCATTACCTGATGGCCCACTCAGTCCCAACCAACCAACCGTCGATGATGGTGGACATCGGCTCATTACTTATGGAGTCGATAATTTTCGCTCGGGTGGGCTCCTTCACTTTTGAGTCCCTCTTGTTTCTGGGATTCCATTTCGTTTGAATCCCATATCAGTGCTCAAGATGAGGTTTCAACATTCGACTACTCTGCTTTTAGTTGCGGTGAAGTCGGTGATAGCTGTCCCGAGCCAGGTGGAACCGCCGAGATGTGGCGTAAGTCGGACGTTCACTTGGCTCTATTATTCTTGTAACCTCGTTAACAAATGTCCAGCTTCTTTGCATCTCCCAATCGACATTCGCATCGACATGCGACCTGATGGATTTGACTTGCATCTGCAGTAACGAGCAGTTGCAGGCGGAGATACAGACATGCGTGGCGTCGAACTGTACGATACGGGAGCAACTAGGTGTGCAACGGGCCTGCGAGTTTTATATCAAGTTAGCCAATACTGACAGGGCTCAGCAACGAAGAAGTACTCGTACGATGCTTGCGATGTAGTCGGCGAGGACAGGAGGGCATTGGTGTGGATCATAGGCGTTGTCTTTGGCGTTCTCGGGCTAGTTGCGTTCCTCCTCCGCTGCTTCGCGAGACTCTACATCGGCCGACAGGCATGGGGCATGGATGATTGGTTCATGTGTCTGGCCGTGGTATGTCAGGTCTGCCATAAAAAGATGAGTGACTTTGCTAACCAAACCGCAATAGGGGTTCATGATGCCAGTATCATTCATGTCCGTCCCCATTGCTCAACATGGGCTGGGATTAGATATGTGGAACGTCCCTTTCGACGACATAACGTCCATCCTTTACGTGAGTCTCTCATTTCTAGTCACTACTTACAGCGCGCGCTTACCGCGTATTTACCTAGCTTTACTTCTGGGATGAGATATTGTATGCCATAGTGCTGTCTCTCACCAAGATTTCGATACTGTTCTTCTACATCAAGATTTTCCCGAAACGCTCATTTCGTTACATGGTCTACGGACTTATGGGATTGAATCTGTGCTACGCCATCGCCTTCGTATTTGCGCTAGTATTTCAATGCACGCCGATCCAAGGTGCTTGGCGAGCATGGGACGGCACTTTCGAAGCCAGGTGCCATAGCATCAACGTCATCGGCTGGTCCGCCGCCGCCATCAACATCGTCCTTGATCTCATTACCATCTGCCTCCCGCTACCGGAGTTATTCCGACTGTCAATGTCGCCTAAAAAGAAGATCCAGATCATGTCCATGTTCACGGTTGGCTTCTTGTGAGTTCAGACTTATAACCCCACCAGACCTCCTACCGAGCATCCAATTCAGCTGGAGAACAAATTAAACGCTGATCTGTTTACTATTATAGTGTTACTATAGTCAGCGGTCTTCGCCTACGTTCACTAATTGCGTTTGGCAAGACTGAAAATCTTACACGTAAGTCATCGAATGTGCCCTCCGATCAAGCCCAACGAGTCTTGCTGAAACTGGCACAGAGGACTATGTCGAAGCCGGCTACTGGACAACGATCGAAGTCCCCGTGGGCATAATCTGCGCCTGCATGCCGGCCATCCGCTCGCTCTTCAGTCTCGTCTTTCCAAGAGCTTTCGGCACAACGCGCGGTAACAACTACGCCAGTGGATATGCGAGCCAAAAGGCTCGATCAAGGGTATCGACGAGGCCGATGACGGGGAATGCCATCAGAGTCAACAAGGAATGGACCGTTATGAGTGGCCCAGCCGATCTGAACGGCAGTGACGTGGAGTTGTTTTCTTTTGAGCAGATGGCGACAGTGGAAGCTCCGCCTAAGAAGACGACGCCAAATCGGCATTCGGATATGTTGAGAATTAATGAGCAACAGGTAGAAGGGAGGTAGATTTCAGGCGCTTGGATTTGGGTTTGGTCATGGAAGAACAGCGCAGGCGCAAGGCTAGGTTTAGTTTCTGTACTTCGGGGGTTAAAACATCAACTAGAATTATTGTATAGACTACCTCGTTATACTGACTAAATCCATTTATACAGTGTACTTCCCATGGATACCATAGTATACTGTATTTGAAAAGAATTTGTCAAAATTGGGAGGTGCGCGTTGTAATTACAGCCACCTTCCTAGGTCCACCAGTCAGACGCCATGCCTTCGGCACCAGTCTCTATATCTGGAGCTGACTGTGGATCAGATCCGGCATTGATTCCGCCACCCATGCAGCCCTCAGGTCCTTTTTCATCGACCGAAATGCCGTCATTAGCCCTGTCTTTACTGTTGTTGGCCGCTTGGGGGCGACCTAGGTATTAGCCGATGCCGCTCTGGTCAGGGACTACAACCTATACAACTCCGGGGCGTATGTAAAAGCCCTTAATGTGTGGGAATAGGCTGGAGGCAATGCCTCGGACAGCTTGACGGAAATGTATACGGTGTCCATGACTGGGTTCGAGACTGAGATCACGCCAGCTTCCGTGTAGTCGTTCCAGGTCACCGTGTTTGATTCCGATGGCAATGCACTAGGCTTAACGGATGTTGTTAAGTTGGCCTAAGCCAGTAGAAACTCATTCTTCAATTTAGTTTGAATGAATGTTGCTAACTCGAGTTCGTAAATAGGCGGTCATTATAGGATGGAGCTATCCTAGTTAACGTGTTGAACCAGCTCTATACCATATCCAGACTACAGGTTCTACCATGATTTTACTAATTGCACGTCCCTCGTAGACCAGGGTCCGCTTCTAATAGTCTATTATGAACCATGGCCCTATAAGCCATTGGCAAAACACTACACTTTGCTTGATATGAGCCCTGCCGATCAAATTGATACCACTATATGTCAGTTCAGAACTTTTGCATCGTACACCACAGGGCACTGTCAGCGCCCGGCAAAACACTACACTTTGCTTGATATGAGCCCTGCCGATCAAATTGATGCCACTATATGTCAGTTCAGAACTTTTGCATCGTACACCACAGGGCACTGTCAGCGCCCGACATAAAGCAATGCCTAGCAAGCAAATCAAAGCAAACATAACTCGCCGATATATTCGCAAATACAAACACAATGGCCAAAAATTGGGATTTCCGGCGTGTAAGAGGTCTATCCGCATCTGCGAAATGAGCGAGATCGAATGCTACTTCGCCCAGAAACAATTTCGCGGAAGAAGGGGGTAATACAAACTATCATCTATACAGTCTTATTCTTGGATCAAACAGTCACAAGTAGGGCATGGATCCTAGTAGAGTCTGCCAGACTTACTAGATACCAAAGGCAATATAGCCTTCAACTACTGTGACTCCACAAAGCATATTTATACGCTTACCGGATCGCACTACTAGATGACCCTCGATTCGGCTAATATAAAAATATCAAAAACATCCGGCTTTAAGAGCTAGTAACCTGATAAAGTTAATGTGATTCGAGTGCTTTGTTGATGAATTTAATGCGAATCGACGGCTGGAAGGTTTGACCGACTGCAGAATTCAATGCTCTTCGCTGGCTTCAATAATTGGATGATTGAAGGGCTGGGGGATTGATTGACCTGTTACGATTCTAAGTGCGGTAGGAATTTTGATAGGTCGCAATTTGATGTTCCGGATAGAGATTTTCTGGCTCCAGAGTAGTCTTGGCAAATACTTCTATGATTTGTATCTGTATTGGCTAACACAAATGCAAATCAAATCTCAGACCAGATTTGCTTTTTTGCTTTACGTCGGACCCTGTAGGACAGGCGTTGAGACGCCAAACGCCTGTCTACTACCTCAGCCGTAAGACCATCAATCTAAATAGATACAAATTACGTACTAAGGAAGAATGGGACCCAGTTGTGTTACTGGCCAGCAAGTGTTGGATATGGTTATGCCCTACGTTCCTTGTTTACTCGCCAATCATATACGTCCAATAGTCGATCGACGAGCGTTAATCTGTTAAAGTTGGGCGTAGGATTGTCCGGTTCATGCAAGTCTTACACGGTGATACACAGGGAACGTACAAACGTCACAGCAACTCAATCCCGGACTGAGAACTGCGAAAGGAAGATATACTTGTCGTCACCGAAACAGACCAGGCCACTGGATGGATAGAGATATTTAATACTTCTTGCTATATCAAATTCAATGCCCGACAATTGTACGGTTACAAACACTTGAAATTTAGAAGATTTCGGTTGCCATGTCACTTGGCGAGCTGGTTACACCTAGCGCTGATTCGATCTTACGGGCGCGGTGCCCCGAACTGCCTCAGCGAGACTCCGACCTCGTGTCAGCAAACGCACGTCAATCTTTCGGGGACTTGACCATATATATGTGTCGCCAGACCCATCCATTTCTACTGGGATAGATGTGCTAACTATACTTGATCAAACACACGTACACAGCCATGAAGCCGTCGCAAGCACTTAGGAGCTCCGAGGGACCGGTTGGTAAATATGGCAAGTAAGTGAATGGATGCTCCATCAAAGGTACTTGTTTGATTATTAGCCATTTGGAGATACCTGAACCAGGTCACATGGGGCAACTTTGGTTAGTTTACCTCGACTTCTACATGAAAATGTGAGACAGATGAAAAAGATGAAAAAACAAATACCTTCTCCCTACCCCTCGAGCAGTGTCCATGGTCGGAATACCGAGCAAAACCTCCAATCTTACCCCCACTATTAATCATCCGACCAGGTTCCCCAACCCAGAAGGGCATTATCACATTCAGCCTGAGCTCCAACCGACAGAACCCCTTCGCCGGCGCCGCTCATGATGCTATGTTCAACACGTGGCGGCGGACTCGCACGCAGATTCTCTACTGGGCCCCGCCGTTAGTTATGGCTTACTATCTGATGAATCGGGCTGTGACGAGGTATGGTAACTATTGCTTCTTCCTATTTTCTTTTCTTTTCGTTGCTTTGCTTTTGTAATCAGGTGGATTCTGAATTGGGGGCGCAGACTAGAGTACCTCAACTCCAAGGCGGGTCGGAAGGAGTTTGGGGAGGAGGAATAATTTCACGGAAGTGAAGTTTAGGTCGTTAGGTATAAATGGATTGGAAGATGCTTGGATATCTCCCTTGGATATTGTGATCTCGGCAATGGAAACCCCTGATGACAACATTATTTTCAGACTGTATGCATCTAGCAGAAGCAACGAGCACTGAAACTAGCAAGCCAACCCGTGATTTACAACACAGAGCCTTTGGAAGACATTTTTACATTACAAGCTAATAAATGATAGGAATTAGCTAATTTAACACACACAGCAGCATTAAGTGATACAGAAAAAGTGAACAACGTTGACAGCAGCCCCAAAGACTCCTCGACAAATTTACAAAAACGCATCACATTACAGTGGCACCGGATTCAGGAAAACCGTCCCAGTGATCAGTTTCCAAGCCCGTTGCTATTTTCTCAATTTTTTGTCGTCCTGGTCGATACTCAATGTTGCGTACACGTAATAAGTGGTGTCACAGGGCTTGGCGCGTGGATGACCGTCCGCTGCCGGATGAAAGCCCTGCACTCCGCACCAACTCTAGACAAAGCCGTACAAAGTCTGGAGTCAAATTGAAGGGGTAGAAGATAAAAAACCAGGGCAAATGATAGCATTATTTCAAATTTTACAGCTTCAGAAGGTGCGGTTTGAAGGTCTACGGGCGGTGGTTGGACCGGACAAGTCATCGCTAGCGTATTCTTCACTATAATTTATTACTTGGGTTTCTCGTGCAATCGAAGAGGTTTTATTTGAATTGTAGGTAAAGTGGCCCAATTCTACAGCGCGTGCATACGCTCTGAAGCACAGGAATGGCGGGATTGGTGCTCCACCAGCTCCCTCCCTATTCCGTGTACTTGGCTACCCCTAACGTAGTCGGAGGACTACCAACTTCCTGGTAACCTCTTTAATAGCGGTTAAGTGCTGCTTTTATCAAGGAAGAAGTAGTCGGTGGCTACTCTCACCCAGCCAAGCGCCTGCAAGCAGAGAAAAAGCGGAAGCGTGAGGCCTATGTCCAAGCAAATAGCCAGGCCCAGGGCAAGGGACGGCCAATATTAAAAAACAACAAACCTCCAACGACGCAGGCTGCATTTATATGGGCGGCCCTAACGCGCTATCACTGGCACTGGCGTTAGGGTCCAAATTCATGTTCAAATATAACGCTATACGCGTGTACTTCTCGGCTGATCATAAGCTACGGTAAGTAGACAACCAGAGGGCTACATCCGACCGGTAGGCTACATGGGTAATTAGACCGAACTGTACTTTATACGTGGGGGAATGAGCGGAATCGATACTATGAAAGACTCCTACTTACCGTAGTGGATTGTTAACCATACTAGCGCTCTAAGGAGCATCCGTAGGTGTCTTAGAAATTCTGTACGTAGACTTCCTCTGTAGTAACTATATACTATTACGGTCGAATAATCGGTGAATTGTGATATTTAGGGCGCTGTCACCTCTTACGGAGGTATCGGATGATGAGCCACGCAAATAGCCCTGTGGTATCCTCTTGTCATTTGGCCCCCTTTTACCATATTCACTACATCAGCCGAAACTGGATTGTCCCGGTTTTTCAATAGAGCCTCCCAGTTGCCGACATTCGTCTGTCAAGATAGTCAATGTATAGGGACAGCCATAGTCGCAGTCCTGCAATTATGTCAAATCTCACATAAAAAACCATCCAATTTTGACATCTCACAAGTCTAGTTAAAATTACACCACTCAAGCGACTAGCAAACTCATCATCTTACAACTTCAAGGTATCCTTCACTAACAGCAACTATGATCCATCCATCCATTTGGACCTGGTTTTGTTCTAATCCCGTTTATACCACTCCCCGGTCCTACATCTACCCAGCATACTCCTTCACTCCCTCCCTCCGTTGCCTTATTATCTTCTGTTTCTGCTCTCCTAATTCCTGCTTCGCGTCAAAGGTATCATTCAAGCATATACGAAGAGGCTTCTCTCTCAAGCCGCCGCTGTAATTACCTCCTTGTGCTTCTCTGCCTCATTCTCTGTCTCCTTCCCCTTACCCGCAGCAGTCCCCGGCGGTGTGGCATCCTCGTCCTCGTCGCCTTCGTAAATCTCCTCGACAATCTCCCCCGGCAGGGCCGCGGCGACGGGGCTGAATTGATCCACTTCCTCAATACTCTCCTTGTCGATGTCTCCTCGCCTCGATCTGCTTTCGCCGCGGCCGTCGTCCTCTTCATCTACCTCCTCTTCTTCCTGGATTGCGTTTTCCCCGCTTCGCCTTCCTAGAACGGAAGCACTTGCCGTCCGGCTGTGGCTGTGGTCTCGACTTTTGCTGCCGCCGCTCGCGACTGGGTTTTGGCTCCCCATCGCTAGCATAGGCCCTTTGAAGAGGTTGCGCTTTCGTTTTGCGAACAGCACGTTACCGCCGCCGAAGGGATTCGGGCTCCCGGGCGGACCATTGCCATATCTTCTATCATTTGCCGGCATGCCTTCGTTGAAGTTCAATGCCAGAGCGGGGCCCCTGACCAAGCGGATGTTGGAGGGAAAACTAGTGGACGTCGGAGTGGCTGGCAGTACTTTCACGGAATGATGAGGCGATCGGCCAGGTGTCTTGGTCATCGTTGTCGAGATGCTCCCATTGGAGGAGGTGGATGATGCCTTAGAATGGCTGTGTTGGTGATGGGGTGGCATTGTCCGTATAGAACTCAGAGAACTCGAGGTCGACTTCCTGCCTCGCAGGCCCTTAGAAGAGCGGCGGACGGCGGTCGTGCGAGGTGTCATGGGTCCTGGTGAGAGTGACTGCCGTTTGTATGAAGTGGATGAAGGCATCCGTGGTGCTATGTGCCCTGACGTAGGAATGGGCACAGCCGACGTAGGTGTGTTGATGGTGATAGGGCTACCAAGCGATGCACCGCCGTCGTGTCCCGACTTCGCCGAAGTGTGGCCATTAACTGCATGCTTTGGGTCCGTGGCAGCAGCCGCACTGGGAGGGGAAGCGGTAATGGAATGCTTGCTAGTGTGGGGCCGAGGGCTCGCGTCCTTGGAGTTCTTCGTGCTGCCATTCTTCCCGACCAGATTGGGCGTAGAATGGCTCCCGCGTTTGGTGGGCCTGTGGCGGCGCGTTGTATCCACGAGCCAATGCGTCCAGTTCTTCATGTGGGCAACAATGACCTGCGATGGCTTCTTGCGCACTTTCTGGGGAGTGGGGTCCGCCCCCTTGGCGTGTGGTTGCGGATGCAGAGCGTCCGTTGTGGTCACCAAGTGCAGCGTCGAGCCTCTAGACCTTGCGCTGCGCAAGATGCCTTCTTTGGGTGGCGGTATAGGCCGCCTCTGGCGCGACGTGCTGACGGATCGAATTGAGTCTTTGTCTACAGGCGGCGGCGGCGGCGCTTCCGAGTCAGGACTGAACGCACCCCCCTCACTGGATTCGGGCAGGTGGGGGAGATCAGTGATGTTGATGTTCAAGTCGAGGTAATGAGCACTGCGCCTCTCGGTCCGACCTCGCGTTCGCGGTAGTGGGGGTTCCATGCCATCTTCATCGAGGATAGGAGCCATGCGTTCGAGCTTGCTGGATGCTGCCGAGAAGCGGCGAGAATTTCGATTTTCAGCCTCCTTCTCTTTCCGCCTCCGTTCCCTCCTTTTCGCCTTCCGCTCCTCCTTCTCCAAGAGCAAGGTCCACCATCCAGCCAGCGCATCGCATTTTTGGGCGAGCACGCTCTCGATGACTTGATCGATGTCTACCCCTGCACTCCTCATGCGTTGTAAGCAGTCCTTCTCGAGTGCCGTGCTGAACGGAGCGGGTCGATGGAGCTTGAGAATGGCATGCTGCTGGGGCGCATGCTCGGCGAGGAAGGGGTGAGTAAGGATATCCGGGAGTGTCGGTCTGATCAACGCCCGTTTCGAGAGGAGGAGCTTTAGCAGCGCGACTGCGTCTGGCGGCAGATGGTCAGGGTATTTTGCTTCTTCGGTCAGGATCTTCTTTCTCGTTACGTTGTCGTCGTCGTCATCGAAGGGCAGCTCGCCACACAGAAGCGCGTAAAGAATGACGCCCAGACTCCAGACGTCGACCTTTTCTCCAGCGTATTTCTCCCCCTTCAGCATTTCCGGCGCCGAGTAACATATGGTTCCACAGAAGGTCTGGAGGTAGTTGGACTTGCCCTCATATTCGCGCGTAAAGCCAAAGTCGACGAGTTTGACGTTTTCGTGCTTGTCGAGCAGGATGTTCTCGAGTTTGAGGTCGCGATGCACGCATGATTGCAGGTGGACGTAGGAGACGGCGCCGACGAGCTGGGTAAAGGTTTTCTGGACTTTTTCGACCGGCAGGGGGCCATGTTTCAGGAGGTAGTTGTAGAGTTCGTCGCCTGTGGAATATTAGTTCTTCTGTGCTGCTGACCGTCATGGCCGTAGGGTGCGTCGTACCGGGACAATATTCCAACACCAGCCATACCATGGACTCGGTCACTATCACCTCGTATAGTCGCGCGATATGCGGGTGTACAAACTGTCGATGGTGGTGGATCTCGCGAGCCAGATTCGAGTCGTCTTTCTTTGCCGACTTGAGCACGACCTGGGCATGTGTTGTTAGTTGGTTGCAGCGGTAGCATGGGGCGACTCAACGCGGGAGGAAAGCGTTCGTGGGACGAACCTTGGAGCCATTGGTGAGCTTGTGGTTGGCGAGGTAGACTTTGCCAAAGGATCCCTTCCCTATGAGTCTCCCGAGTCCGTAGTTGCCGACGTTTTTGAGGTCCTTGTTGTTAAATTCGCTGCAAGTGAAAAAATGGTCTCAGCAACCGAACGGAAACACATCAACCCCTGGACTGGACTGGAAGCTGCGACGTCTCTCGGAGCGACTTACTCAAGCAATTCCTGGTAGGAATTGGCAAGCTTTGCCTTCCGTCCCAAGGCGTCGGCTTTGGCCCTGTTTGGCTGCATGTCCTCCTCGCTCCTCTCGGTGCTGCGGCGACGTCGTTCAGCCTCGCTCGCTGTCGGATGCTCTCATAGTTGGGAGTAGGGAGATTGAAATTTGAGGAAATGCCCCTGGCCCGGGCCCAGCAAAATGCGACCACTTGCAGGGGGGGAGGCACTCTTGGAAATGCAAAGACGGGGAAGGGAGCACGGTGCACATGAGTGCATGCACGAGTAGTCTGGGTCAGCCCTGCTTTCTTGGAGAGGGATCGACCGCTGAACCACCGAACCGCTGGACGGTGAATTCCCACATCGACCGACGTTACGTTGCAGCAAAAGGCCTGGCCAGGTTTCTTTAACGTGGTTTCAGCTCTCATCAATACCGGCAATGGAATTGGGTCAGACCATCCCCAAAGAGCCACCAGGAGCTATTGGTTAGCACCCACCTTGTCTCCTGAGAGCGCAATTAAACCGTGACGCGACGTGCAGCTGGGGGTCTTGCTCAGTCTAGTCTCCATTCAGTCATTGGACCGTTGGAAAGGCTGACTAGGCCTGTGCAACTCTGCAAAACTCCACACTAGCAAACTCAGCTGATTGTCGCCACGACGTTGCTGCATTGCAAGTGGTTAGTATGATGTACTATGGTATCATGGGTAAGTTTTCAATTGTGTGTTTGTACCGTGCTCCACTTAGGCACGAGCCAACTCTTAGCTACGTGGCTTGAAGCGACCTTAACAGCTGTCTTAATCAGATTAAAAGAAAACGTTGTAGTAGTTTGAATTTCGGCTTTCGATTTACCACCGTCGAAATGGAGGGTTCGAATTCGTTAGCGATCTGCTTCTGTAAGGTGTTTAGTCCCTATTGTAGTTGCTACATACGCGATAATTAGGACGCGTTAACAGCAAGTTGGAATCAGAGGTGGAAGTACCTTTTCGTTAGTATGAATAGGCTAGGTAAGAATCGGTAAGAATCAGTATAGCGTTACCTTGGCAGTGGTCCACTGGTACTTGTCAAGGGGGTGAAAACTTTGGCCTGATACCGTAGTAGCTATTGAAAAACTACATCCAAATATTGCTGTCCATCCAAATTTCATCTATCATTGTGGCCTGCATTTTGAAGTCCCGACGGCATCATGTCGTTGGACTTGGAGAATCTGGAGCTTCTTTTGTGCTCAATTGAGTAAACGGCATAATCATGCAAGACCCTGAATGCTAGAGTCTCACGGCTGGCAAAACGCGCCCACAGCTCGACACGGAGAATTACGACATGCCAGGCCTTGCTGTATTCTATGCCTATTTGACAGTGCTTTGGGGCAGAGGTACGGAGGCTTTCCCAGAAAACAGGCGGCTAGCTCTCCTAGAGCCATGCATATAGCCATGGTGCTAGAAACAATCATGGCAGTGACGCTTTGCAATCCCGTATATTTCATCCAGTAGCACAGTCACGCAGGCACGCCTGGTTGGCATTACTGTGATCAACTCGATATCGCCCCAGAGTACGGCTCTGTGCTATCTGTTGAACGTCTAATAGATAACCGGTGAAACATATGATCCCCCGGCTTTATCGCGAAGGCGAACACAGTTTGCACAGATGTTAAACTAACATTAGCTTACTGGCAACCACGTGGATTCCAAATCTATTCGCGCGGCCCGCTGTGGGGCCTTGGACGCCCTTTGCATGCCCTCCATCGCCTCCGCATTGCGGCCGTCCCACCTCGGAAAGGCAACGTCGCCCAGAGCTATCGGCGAGGTCAACAACTTCCTTGAAGTACGTGGGTTCACTAAACCTTCCTCAATGCAATTGCGAAGTGATTCTGGACGTTTAATCCCCATCTTTTTTCTGCTCTTACCCACGTGGTCTCCAATAGGCTAGGATGGAAGACTCGTTGTCCAAAAGAGCTGCTGCTGTTGTCCCGGAGCTCGATCGGCCCTGGCGTTTTGCTTCCAAGGCGACCTATGATCCGGACAACAACCCATCCGGCTTGATTAGTTTTGGACTTGCCGAGAACGTGAGTTGCCCGCCTATGATGGAACTTCATATATTTTAATAACACCCAGCCTTTTCAGACTCTCGTCAGTTGGGAACTAGAACAATTTGCAAACCAAAATGTCAGCACCTCCCGGAAATCGCACTGACACCTTGAATACCCCCTTCTTACGCCTTCAAGGTTACTTTCCCACTCGAAATTTTCAGCTACGGCTACAGCACAGCCGGCGGCCAGCGCTTCCCCAAAGCGCTTGCCCAGCACCTCAATGAGTGCTTCAACCCATACCGGCCACTCGATGGTAGCGAGATCCAGATCACCGATGCTGCGACTTCGCTCCATGATATTCTGGGCTGGGCTGTAGGAGATCCAGGTGACGGTATACTAACGTCGAGACCTGTCTACGGGCGCTTCGAACTCGACTTTGGCAACAAAGCGCAGTTGCAGATGGTGTACGCTGACACAGAGGCCGAGACTTGTTTCGATGTCAGTGTGGTGAGCAAGTTCGAGGAAGCTCTGGTACGATCCAATGCCGCAGGAGTCAATATCAGAGCTCTTCTCATCGTCAACCCACATAATCCCCTCGGGAGGTGCTACCCGAGGGACACGATTTTGGAGCTCATGAAGTTCTGCCATAGGCATCGAATCCATTTCATCAGCGATGAGGTGTACGGATGCACCGTCTTCACTGAGGATGGGCTCGTGGGTTTTACATCAGCTTTATCCGTCGACCCGGCTGGCATCATCAATGAAGAGCTTTGTCACGTCACATACGGGTTGGCCAAGGACTTCGCGGCGCCAGGGCTGCGCATTGGTGCTATCATCACCAGGAGCAAGTCGCTTCATAAGGCGGTTACGAGCGTCATGAGGTTTTCAAACCCCTCCGGTGCCTCTCTAGCCATTGTGTCGGCAATGCTGCAAGATAGGCAGTGGTGCCGCAGCTTTCTGGCGACCTCACGGGAGAGGATAAGCGAGGCGTATAAACATGTTACCAAAGGGCTTCGAGAGATAGGTATTAACTTCCTGCCAGCCAACGCGGGGTTCTTCATTTACATTGATTTATCGCCGTATCTGAAACTGGACGCTGAAGACCCTGAATTTGAAGTCGCCCAGAGACTGCTTGATCAAGGCGTCTTTCTTCATCCGAAGGAAGAACATGGGAAGGCCGGCTGGTTCAGAGTGGTGTATACGCAAGATCCCCGCAACGTTACGGAGGGGTTGAGAAGGTTCGTCCCATGGAAGCCCTGGTTTCGACGTCTTTACTGACAATACGCCTAGAATCAAATCAGCTCTTGGGCTATAACATCCTAAGAGGCGCCAGGGTTTCTGACGGGTTATTTGTCCCGGCACAAATTGCAGAAAGGATCTTGGCCATGGTTTGGGGCAACACACACACTGCGTAGAACTCATCCATATTCACTCTGTTCGATCTCAGCCTGGGCGGACAAATACCGAGTTCGCTTGGCACATAAAACAATCATCTTAAATATAATGGGCCGTACCTGTTCCGAGTAGGTGGACCTGAATCCGGTTTAGTGGATAATTCAGTCTGCCGGATGACATTATGTGCAATGCCACAACGAGCACCGACGAAAATCCGAGAATCCATCATATGACAGAATAAGTGAAATAAGTTTGCCCCACGGGGGGGAATATTACACCGATTTCGTGAAAATGACGAACGAAACTTTACTCGATCAACAGAAGAGGCCGTTGTCTCCCGGTCTTCGGATAGCTGAGTATGGAAATCATGGCTATGATCAAGTTGAGCCTACTCACGTCGGGCTTTTGTCCATTGTGCGTGACTGGACATGTTCGAGTGGACCCAATAGAGCAAAAAGCATGACGATGCCTAGGCTATCATACGCTGAGATGGGAAGATTTCACGCAGTGTATGCACTCAGCATTGTGTTTACATAGACTCCATTGGAGCGGGAAAGGCTTTCTTCTGACGCTACATTATGACCGCATCATTTGATAGCGCGAAGTTACCTGTTAGGTCCTATCCGACGAAAATATGAGGGACCCACCATGCCGGTTTGATGTGAGATGTGGTGGGCGGAAGCGAAAGCCATTAACCTGGTGCACCATTCAAACCAAGCAAGCGGATGACTGCAACTGCGAAGATGAAGCTGCCTGCGCACCGGTAGTCAATGCGAAGATATGATGTAGTTGAATTGTGGAGCAGAAGGATGACCAAGCACGGTGAGGTCTTGGTAGTTCGCGGGTTGCGACAGTTCATCGTTTACCCAGCGTGCCTAGTAATAAAACAAATTAGACTCTGTCAGGAATACTACATGCCATCCCGTCTGGGCGATCGATCCTTCCCTCAACTACGCGCGAGGTTGGAGATCGGACCGTAACCCAAACAGGGGAAGTCTCAAAACTACCGTGCAACCCCTGTCGAAAGGTTTGATCCAAGGACAACGAGTGTGACCCTAGACGGGATATCCTTGGCAGGTTTCTGAATGAACGGTTGGATGAGGTCTGTCTAAGGACCATCATATTGGATCATTCCATCCTGTCTCTATTTGGTGGAGTCATATTTGGATGGTTATTCGGGACCGACTAGTTGAACAATTTTCTCATATAGAAAATACCAGGAGGGAGGTCATATGGACAAACTCTACTCCCTTCAATTGGTTGAACAATTCATAATCGTTTCAAGTTGGCTGGTCTTATCAAATACACACATCGCAGTGGACGCGAGGACATACCAGAGACAGACCTGGGGTGCCAATCAATCTCGGCGCTTCTTACCGACGAGAGGGCCATGCATCCCGGCCGTCTAACACTCACGAAGCCATACATCTCTCCACAATGCGCATATCATTGCCTTCTGCATCTAACCATCATCCAAGCTTCGTCCCGTGAAGCTCTAACAAGTATGATCTACATTGGGACAGGGGCTGGATGCCGACAACCTATGCCAGCCACATGTCTCTGATCTCTAACCGACATTTGTTCGTCAGACGATACGAGCAGCTCTGAGAGCTGGGGGAGATGCCATCTTCGAGACACAGGTATTTAGATGCCTGTCTCGCCGCCCATTAGTTGATGTACCCAAATAATCAAGTCCTTCATTTACGAGTAGATCTCGGTCGTTTCTTATTCAAGCAGTTCTGCGGACTTATTCTATTCTCGTACATACCTTTATTCTTCCAATCAATCACTCCAACCGCTAGCCGGTCTTTTCAATCTTTCCACTAAACGACCAATCTATCTCTTCCCTAAACCAAACCCAGACCAACCGCCAGCATGCAGACCAAGACCCTCCTCCTCGCCCTCTTCACCGCGGCCACCACCTCAGCCGCAACCATCAAATTCTTACCACGCCAGGACAATAGTACCGCCAGCGCCGACACCACAGCTGATGCCGCGGCCGGTGGAGCCGACTTCGGCAACTGCGTTCCCACCATGGACTTTCAGCTCGGCCGTGAAGGGCGCAAGGCCGACGAGGGTACCTTCTTGCCTACCGACCCGCTTGTCGCCGAGGGCCAGCAGGATGCCCTCAACCCCAACATCATCACCAACCGCATCTGCGACCAGTTGACCAACGTGTGCGAGGCGAATGATGCGGCTGTGTCACTGTGCGAGGACGCGCAGGCTCAGATTGAAGCGCTGGGCACGAAGGATGCGAGCACGGCTGATGCTTTCAATTCTGCTTTGGGTTTCTAAGGTGCTGGGGACTGCGCGGCTTTTAATGACGCATTGGTCACTTGAACTGTGATGGGAATCAAGGAAGGTGTTGAATACTGGGGTCACACTACAAGGCGCCGGGTTTGTGAGATGGCATAGGGTTGAAGGACAATACCAGATAATTCATTTACGAGAGTCCCATTTCAAACAATACCTTCATGCAATTCAATATTGGATCATGACAGGGGCAATACCAGTGAATCACTCGCAATGATCCAAAACTCTCGGTTATCTCTACCTCGGTTCGAACGATAGGAAGTATGTTTTTAACGAAACGTAATGAGACAAACATAAACACGTAGTAAGTCTGCGCGCAAACACATAATTACCCACAATATTTATAAGTTGATCTACGTTGTTACATAAGAATCGTGGGCTGTTAGTTGATATATGAAGAGTGGCCGGGGAACATTCACTTATGCAGTTTTCAAATATACATCAAGTTACATATCTGAGACACAAGTAGCACAAACCTCAGGTGCGAGTAGAAGGATTTAGGTAACGACCCAACGCTTCTCACCGTGGTATCTTTCTTTCCTCAACTTTCGCTGTTCGCGTCATTCTGGTAAAATGTCTGGAATACAGACTCCGGAATGAAATTTCCTTGATAAGAGTATCCACGTTCCAGTGCAGTCGAACGACCCAACCGCAAAATAGACAAAGGGTGAGAATACACGAACAGAAGAATACTTGATCTATACCAGCTAAGGGATTTTGGCTTAATAAAACAACTTGTGAATGCACGTTGGTTCCTTGGCAGGCTGAGCTCGTCATATGCCCTGTGAAGGTCAACCCTCGCAGACTCACTACAACCAGGTGACTTACAGCTGGAACACCTGCCATGGCAGTGTCAGATGGGAAGCCAATCATAACCCTTGTAGGAGCCCCGCCAAGCGTGGACGACTCAGTCGCGCTCCCTCAAACCTAAGTTGTCATCTTCTTTCCTTCGCTCCTTAGAGTAGAATCTTCGTCGATAGCACCTAATCGAGGTCTCTACCAATGCGATGCAACCCAGGTCGTGACATGCCCAAGGTGGCAAAAGCTAAGCATTCCAGAAATGATACCATTACGTTAGTCTCACATAATGAGAAGTATTGAGAGGTGGGAGATCCTGCCTCCCTTGAAATTCACTGGGCCTTTTCCTCCCGGCTTTCTTCCATGCCCCTGTTAGCATGCAGAAATTAAATCTGGCTCCAAGCTACACGATTCGACAAATGTAACAGTAAGTGGGCCCATGTGTCTTGTTTTGACCTTAAATAACGTCGCTTGAGACGATACTAGTATCGCTAGTGCCAACAAGAGATGATTATTCATCAGTAGAGCTAGAAGACCCGATGAACAGTGATACCATTGCTAATATATGCGTGAAGTTAAGAGAATTCCTGAAACAGGAAAGAGAAACGCCAACCAATCCTCTTATGGTACTGCAGGCTGGTAGCTTTGTACTTGTTCTATCTTGGCTCACGAGCGCTGTGTAACTTTGCTGTGATTAGTTCACTGGAAGATGTCGAGACTGCTCTGTGTTCCCATAGGGCTTGAGATATAGTTCTATAATTTACAAAATAGGTCTGCCAGTACGCTATGTGTTGTTAGTTTCCTCGACGAATGTGGTGTATCATTAGAGCTACCGTGGCATTGAAAAGCAAGGTCTTCACCCGATTGTTGACGCAGTAGTAGAGCTTCCTTGCGAATCACTTTTAATAGTTTTCTCAGCTGCAATGCACAAGTAGGGTCACTGAATGGGCCCGACCAACCAAACGTCGTCTAACGTTGCAGCGCATACTCGTGTTCTTGCATACTATGCATCATGTCACCAAATCACCGCTTGATTGGATAGGAGCAGCTAACATAAGTACGTATGATTGATACAACCAGCACTAGACGACGGCAGTCTCGATATAGAAGTGCCGCATTGAGTCGGACATAGAAATGCAACTACGGCCCCGCTCCATTTCTTGTTAACTCATTTCCCGTCTGGTTCAGCATCTGCATAAACTTTGGCAATGGCCATTACAATGGAGCATTCTATTCCAGTCGGCCTCTCGTTGTGCCTGGTTTACCTCCTTACCAAGCTCATCCGCTTCTCCCTATTATCCCTGCGTCCGAAACACTACCCTCCTGGTCCACTCGCCCTGCCCTTCATCGGCAACCTTCACCTTTTTGCCAACACCAAGCCCTTCGTGCAATTCACAGCTTTACGGCAAAAATATGGCGACATCGTTGGACTGAAGACTGGCCCAGGTCATCTCGTCATCCTAAACAGTGCCGCTCTCGTCCGGGAACTCTTAGAAAAGCGCGGTACGATTTACTCGGGGAGACCATTCCCGTACTTGCATAGGGAATACACAAATGGTGCACATCACATTCTCTTCATGCCCTATGATGGCTATTTGCGCCAATGGAAAACAGCTGTGCGGTATTTGCTTAGCCAAGCTGGTGCTGAGCGAATACTCCCCATCCAAGATGCCGCCTCAGTGACCTTGATGCAAAATTTGGCATCCAAGCCGGACCATTTTATGAATCATTTTCGCACATGGAGTCTCACTACTCCCTTTATCGCTATATGCGGCAGTTCTGCATTGCGAAAGGAACCAGGTTTGATCAAATCGTTCTTTGAAAACCAGGAAGACTGGCTCAAATTGCTTACCCCTGGCGTTGGTTCGCTCGTGGACATCTTCCCGATTCTGAGTTACGTTCCTGAGTTTCTGGCCGATTGGAAACGCAACACCCGATTGGTACATAACAACCAGCAGGACTTCTACTACATGATGCTTGAATTTGCCAAACAGGAACGAGCGAGGTCGAAGAATAGTAACGAAAATGTCAAACAACATGAGTCTCTGCTGGTCAAAATTCTCCGCGAACAGGAAGAAGGCGAGCAACAATTTGACGATGATCAGCTTGCCTACCTTGGAGGTGGCTTGCTGGAAGCTGCCGTAGATACGACTTTCGCCACTTTTATGACGCTCATAAAAGCCCTTGCTTCTCACCCCGAGGTCCTTAAAAATGTTCAATATGAAGTGGATGCCGTATGTGGCTCCGAAAGGCTACCAAAAGCCGACGACCTGAAGAAACTGCCTTACCTTAGAGCTTGCTTCTTCGAATCCCTGAGATGGAGACCCGCGACACCGACCACACTGCCGCATGTTCTCGACGCCGACGATACCATCGGTGGGTATCACTTAAAACAAGGCACAGTCTTGCTCCAAAACACATGGGCCATCACCCACGATCCCAAAGATTACGACCATCCCGAAGAATTCGACCCCAGTCGGTATCTAGACAACCCGTACGGAACGAAAAGACCTGCGGAGGCGTCACAGGCTGAAGGGCGGAAACAAGTATACGTTTTCGGCACTGGTCGGCGACAGTGTCCCGGAGATCTTTTTGGGGAGAATTCTGTCTTGATTGCAACGGCGAAGCTGGTGTGGGTATTTCACATCGTTTCCAAAGGGGAGCTCGACAATAGTATTGAGAGTGGTTTCCATGGAGGTCTCACGTTCGCGTCTGAGGAGTTCAAGGTGGATTTTGTTCCGAGGAGTGTGAGAAGCGAGAAGGTACTTCTTGAAGATTACCAGAGACTGAATTACTTGCTGGAATGATGTTGATGCCTTGGTGGGCTTTTCAGTCGGACCGCACTAGCCTTCGACTTCAACAACTGTCTTTTCCGATTTACCGCTACTATAGCCAGTCGACGGACGACGGATGGGGTTGGAACTTCAAGGACATTGCCACTTAATTGCCAGTTTGTGATAACATATGGGCACCCACCTTACCACACAACTTTTGCCTGTAGGGTAGACATCATTCGCTTTTCTGTAATTCAAGCCCTTATGGCCGGCCACCTTCACTCATTTGGACTTGGAGAAAATCAGAAACACATTCAATCCTATTCTTCGTTAATAAGCCCGATATTTTGCGACGCGGAGGTAATGAAAGTAGGAAAGTTTGAAACGGAAAAGGGGAACACAAAGATTCTCTATCCTAGCCAAGTGCGTACAATATAGTTGAAAAAAACCCACATCCAGTTATTCTAGCCTCGAGGTCATGTTGATCCAAAGTAGGCCCTGGAAATCCTATAACATTAACTATACCATATTTCGAAGCAATCACACCCTCCATCTGATGTGTTGAAGGTGCTCAAAGTGGGGATCGCTGTATCGTAGCACGGCTTTCCGTCGAGTCGATCATAAGTCTCCTGAATACACTTCTAGTTGGAATACCCTCTCTTAACGTTGCCACTGTCAGAGAACAGAATGCCATAGGCACCGGTGGGACACCGGTGGGGCTCTGGTGTAGGAATGTGCGAGTCATGACACGATATGGAAGTCTTGGTTTGCGGAACAATCGGGGAAACTAGTGCTCCGCGGCTCCGACGTCGGGTTCTAGCTATCTATGTAAGGGGCGGAGGCCCGGGAAGAAGATAGAGGGAGAGTAGAGATCAATGCATCACCGTGGGCACCCCTACCTGAGACCGCCAGTGACCACCCGGTATTACGTAGGAGGGACGCCCGTTACTCCCCATCACTCTGTACTATTGCCTTCGGCCTAGCCGTACCCTGACAGCCACCGTGACTTGATGGGGAAAGCAGAAGTGCTCGCCTCTGCCGACAAACAGTTGAGTCGAGTGTTGAATACCTTGGGACATGCACAACCCATCTAACTTGGCCCTGTGTTATAGATCATGATACAGAAGCGGAAGCAAGCTTCCAGTTCCTGCTGGTCAGGATTAGAAGCATTCTCTAGCTGGAAAGCTTCTTACTCCAGCAATACAATGACGTGATGTGCAAAACTTCCCGTAAAACAGTGCAAGAACAAGCTCGATCAACTTTTACAATCTCATTCGACAGGTACAGCGCTCCTCCTTGGTATCATGGAGCTTACCGCTAAAGTCTTGTATTAGGCTGTCGATACGAATTACATTTGTTATTGAAAGATGTCAAAACGCTTACTTGGGGTACCTCAAGTGTGTACAAAGGCATGCGTGATCTTCTGGCGATTTAAATATAGCATACGGGATTCTACTATACGGGGTATATGTTGGAGCACACAGAGAGGTGTTTAGGCTAGCGCTGGTAGGCTGAAGCCAAGCGGTAGTAACTATGCACGAACCATCTCTGACACTATATGTTCAGGATAACCGACAGTCACTCGGATTGCACATATCCAAATTCGCTACATCTCTCACTCAGTGTCCCTTCAGCAGGTAAGTAACTTACACGAAACAACTATCACAGCTGCCACCTCCGAAACCAAGCAAATCAAACTAAAGCACCTACCTTGGCGATTAATCAGTCTACAGCGCACGAGGTGGAGGGCGCACATGTTTGCACTTCAGGAAGTGGGGGTCCTGCCGCCTGCAGCCTTGTTGGCATTCACACCTTCTCAATCTTCAATGTAGTTCCGGACTGCTAGATCATCATAGTCTCACACTCTTCGGCTACCGACAATTCAGCTGACTCTCTCCGTCGCTAGCTTCTCCATCATGGCACAACCAAGCGCACAAAGCGGGCTGCCCGACGATAAGACAAGCGACGAACATGCTGTCAAACCCAACACATCGGTCCGCGAGGCAGCTGCTAGGATACATAATCGCAAGATCAGTAGAGAGGGTCACAAGCTCGCCCAGTACATCCGGGACCTGTATGCTTCAGGTGCAAGGATGTGGACCAAAGACATGATTCGCGACATTGAAGCAGAGCTGGAGAAGGAACCGAGGGCTCATGCCATCATGGTCCGAAGCAGTATGTCTGCACGTGTGGGGATAGTTAGTCCGATTTACTATCCACTCGGTACTAACGACTCTCATGTTGCAGTGAATGGAGTGTTTAGGCGCAAGCGATTGCCTCAGGATGGAATCGATCCAAGGATGCCTCATCAAGGAGAATTGTAAGTACCAAGTTTTTTTGGGACAAAAACATACGGCGTTTTTCTTTTTTTTCCCATTCATTATACTATACTATGCAAGCCTGCGGCTTATGGAGAGTGTGACCTAATAGGTCTTCATTCTACCAAAGACAGTCCTTAAACCCTAAACTCCTTTCTAGGAAGCTATAAGATATTCACCTTTTAGGAATAGCTCTTTACTCTTATATCGTTATATAATCCTAAATTCTAGGTTTTCTTATCTTTCAAATTCATAAGTTACCTGCGCTGTAGGTGACTACTGTTCCAGATACCACTCTCTATGAGAAAATTCCCGTACTATCTAACATGCGGCCTTTCTACCATACACCCGTTCTGTTTCTGTTGGACCTTCAAAGCAATTAGATCAAAAAGTGCCAGCTTATGAGGATATATGACCTCCACCCATCATACCATTCAATGCAGTCATTGTTCACTTCTAAGTATTTAAGGTCCTTCTGGCCCTTCTGGCCACTGTTAAATCCCCAGAGGAATCTTCAGAGATCATCACAATCCAATGCAAGACCATTGCCCTGCAGTCCAATAATTCTTCCGATTTCTCAAAGTCAAAGATGAAGCTAGAAATACAGCTAAACTAATTCAAATTAAATAGTTTCGTTTTGCCGCGTTTCATAATCTATCAGCAACTGGTCTACGACGCCGAGGAGATGGAATTAGATCTGGGCCCCGACGAAATCACCGAGTCTTGGCCTTCCGAATCCGTAGAACGAGCAATTGCCACTAGCGCTCTCACACTGGTACAACAGCATAAGGAGTCTCCTCGGCCATCGGATCATATCCAGCTGAAAATTGCGTGGGACGAGGCCCAGCGTAACTGGACCCAAAGTACGGCGTGCAACGAATTGATAGCCATCTTACGTGAAAGTGCATATGTCCCTAAAACCACCAAGAACATAGTATGCTTCGGGCTGGGGGACCTGGAAAGGGGGATGTCGGATTTCGGCTTGAACTTTGTGGCAACTTGTGACGGCCTGCCGCTCCGGAGATCCATGACCCAACACGCCGCAGCACTCACAATGGCTTCCGTTCTGGGCGAGCTTCTAGGCACTGGGCCTCTACCTATTCTGGCCCAAGACCCGGCCTACTCACCGGCGTCAAAGCAATTGCTGGCGGATGAGGGCATCAAGGTCGTGGGTGGCCGTGGCTCACTTGCCTTTACACATGTAGACGAGCAAACGGTTGTGTTCAGTTGTCATCCGAACATTGCTGTGAAGCAGGTGGTGGCCGATATTGCGAGGCCAGCGGCCATGATCTGGGATCGGGTGAAGCCAGAGACGGAGGAGAAAACGCAGTGGGAGGTTAAAGTAATGTGGGGAGAAGAGGTCTTATGCTCGTGAGTTGTGATCGGTGCCCTTCTCACTGTGATAACATGTTAATGTGCTGATACTGAGCATACAGACCATGGACGACGGATCAGGATTCGCCTCGCACCCGCAAACTGGTCGAGGATTACGATAAGTATGAGTTTCCTGCAGAGCGTGAGCGTTTTGGAGATTTGAATATCTACCTGCGCAGGGATTAAAGTGGTCGAGCATTGTCCTGGAGCTTGGGCTTGTAACAAGCGATATGATGCGCTATAGTATAAACTGTGGCAACGGATATAGTTGGGCAGAGTACATGTCTAGGTTTCATCCTGTCTTTCTGTTCTAAATCAGCAAACAGCGGCAAGTTTCCGGTGGCGCTTGGACTATGTATATGTGAGATTATTCCTATGTCAGCATCACGGATGTGTAAATGTAGATATCAAGGCGATGACCAGAGTATTGTTATCAGACTTCTAATGATACCAGAGATTCACCGACTCATCAATTCGTGTGATTCAGGGTTCCCTGGCGTCATTGAAGATCATACCACGCAACGTAGAAGTCAGTTGCTGATACACCAGAGGTTTCGTTCCAGAGATTCTAACGGGTGGCCGTTGCCAAGGGGTTGATGCACACGGTTTATTCATCATCATTCAACTGACTGTAAAAGCGGTAAAACGGAAAGAACAGTCGTTGGACGTCGAAGGCTGGTGCGGTCCGACAAAACAGTACTACAGCGTGATGTACCTCACCGGCCTCCTCGGCTCTTTGGGAAACAATGGAAATCGACTGCGACGGCACCCAAGACGGTCCCGCAGACTATGGCCGGTGCTGCTAATTCAAAGAGACCCGACACAGTCCGTCACCTCATTTAAAGATGTCGTAAGGATAAGTTCGTGGCATCAGTGACTTATGCGCGAAGATCCGTCCGTATGCTGTGTTCGGGAACGCCGGTCCAAACCCGGGATGGCGAACTTTCGATCCGCGAGAACGTAAGCTTGAACCTTTGAGTGTAGCAGCTGTGGTCTGCAATAATAAACTGGTAAATACTTGTTCGAATTGGAAAGGATTAAGATCAATAGAGTATCGCTGATCATGGCTAGAAGTTTATGGCATTTCGGACGAAAAGAATGGTGATGATGGCGATAAGGCACTAGCGATGACTTGCTTTAGGGAGTACACGAACGGAGATAAAAGGCATGATAAGAATGATATCCTGTACATCGTGTTTCCAGGACAGGTGTGTTTCCGGGTGCGGATGGAGAGAATTGGGCTGCTGAGAGCTTTGAGGAGTTTCAGGGTAGTATTCAGGGGTCAGGGGATGCATTTCTTCGGCGGGCTCCTTGTTGGCAATGCTAAGAAGAATATGGGGAAGTCTGTCACAAAGAGAGTGAAAAAAACGATATCGATCCATTGGACTTTTCAGTTCGATTTTTATTCATCTTCGAGTCTGCTAGATGAACTTTTTGGTCTGAAAATAAAGAAGAAACAAGAGTATAGGATTTCAGACGACCGAGTCAAGGACTACGTGGTGCTGGCAGAAATCCCATCGCGAGTAATTTGTCCAATATCCTACATCTCGGTCCATAGTAAAGCTTCCAAATCGTTCGTACAATTCCCCAAAAGCGATGTCGGCAAGCTCATCTCGTTCCTGGAAGCTGCCTGGTCAAAACTAGTCCATCATTGTCTCCACAGCCATGTCATCTTCGTCCCTCTTGTGGCACACTTGGGTCAGAAAATGTTTTGAATCCTTGTAAATCTGTAAAATTTCACCCACAAGCAGATTTTTGTTATTAGCCGGCTTTGCCCGCATCCTATTGTTCAGGTCGAACGCAACTCTCGCCAACTCGGCCAAATCATCTGATGATGACTGGAGAAAGAAGGCTGCTGACCCATGATGCTGAGAGTTACGTCAACGATCCTAAAATCTCATTGGCCTTCTTCACTAAATACTTGGATATCAGATGGTTCTGCATGGTCTGTCATCCTCCGTCTTGGAGAGACGAAGAGTGAAAGAATACCCCAGCCTCGGTACTAAATCCCAATTACAAAACAGTTTTATAAGTCTTCTTGACGATTTCTGCCACAAACAGAGACCAAAGAATATGTGGGATATTGACAAGCTGGGATCCTGGGTGTTGCAGCGGGGAAAAGTCTCAGTCTCCCCTTTACTATTTTCTAAAATCAAGACGACGGAATTGAGATGACGAAGGAGCTGTCTATGGGCTGTTACTATATCTCTGGTCGGCTGGTGTAGTTGGTCACTTCGCTGGTAGATAAGTCCCGATTTGAGCCTCGCCCACTTGGGTCGGTGACGAGTCGCGGGTTCGAATCCCGCAGCTGACACACAAGGGGGTTTAGTCAACCCTTACGGCGCGCTGCCCACCTTGTTGACTTCGCCTACCTAGCGATAATAGGGAGATTGGTGCAGTTTAGGATTACGAGCATCCTAGCCAGTCGACCGTCAAGCACTACGTCGGCGGAATATAACTCGACAGCCGGTCCAGAATTCGAATCGTTAATCCGACCCCTTATCGGACCTCGCCTTTCCGATAACGCTCGTCGGCGAACCCGTCCCCTCACGATAGAAGGCGCGCAGCACGCCCTCTCGCCGCGATTCTTGCGAGCGTCTGACCACGTTACGGTCTATCCACTTGAGCGTATGGTTGAGATGTATACGCTCGACGAGAACCCCAATTAGCAGATACTACGACTTGTCGCGACAAAAAAAATAGTCGAGCATCTTCTGCACATCAGCAGCATCCCACCCCTGAGGACGAATTTAAGTGCCACATTACCACACTTATCGGTAGTTCAGGCAGGGGTTGTAGCACAGACTTAGGGAGGGACAGGAGGTTTAGTAGTCATTTGGCTACAAGTTTACCTGTATAACCGCCCGACGCGGCTTAAGGGCCCGCTATATCATCTATAGCCCCTTAAGGGAGTACTTGTAGAGGTACCGAGGGTTAACACCTACGGCGTATTTAATATTTTTTTTTCTATATCTCTAAAGAGTATCAACGCCGTCGTGCAAGTGATTCTGCAACATGCGGAATTGCTGTTATCAGCGATCAACAGCTTCGTAGACGCCAGTCTAGTCATCATACCCATCACCGATTTCTGGAAACTACAAATCAGCTCTACGGAAAAGATACAGCTGAGTATCATACTCAGCATCAAGACTCACTGCCTCATCCATCTCGCACAGCCACATGATTACAGCTGGACCTCTTTCAACATCTTATCATGGCAAACCATGGAGCTACTGCTCATGATAGTCGGCGGTTCCATACCAACATTGAGCCCAATATTGTGCCAAATCCAGATCATCGTTGCAGCCATCGGGAGCACACTTTGGTCTTGGAGTTGCAAAAGAACAGCTCCACCGGGCAGGCCGACGTGCCGGATTCCCAACTATTAATAGTTCGAATGAACTTGTTAGCAAATTTATCAGACTAGAGCAGAATACACCGGCCCACGAGACTTACAGGGGTGGATGTCAAGGGGGATTGTCGAATGAAGTACCACAGGCGTCAAGTAGTACATGTATCACATCTCCCCGTAGCCTAGATTACTATCTAAGATCGAGAGGATGTGCCCAATTAATATAATATTGGTTGCTCCTTTACGTTCTAATGAAGTAGGGAGTAATGCCGGTATTCAGCTTTGCAATGCATGCAAAATAAGCTTCTTGTACCCCTCCACCGCCGCCTCGAGGTCGCTCAGTTTCAGCGCCTCGTCCGGTCCATGGGCCACGAAAATCGTGCCCGGTCCGTATAAGTATCTCGTATGATCACCCTTCAAGTTCGGCACATCAGTGCCGTAGTTAACCGTGATGTTCTTAAACCCGTCAACCTCGCAGTCACATATCACAGCCCCATACCCATTGCCACAGTCCATCTCCAGATCCTCGTCCACACTCTTTAGCACATCGCTGATTCTCTCCTCAATCACATTAGCCCCCTTATCCTGCGGCGCAATAGCAACCCGAATCGTCAACCTTGCTTCCGCCTTCTCAGCAATGACATTCGACGCCACCCCTCCCTCAATGCGGCCCACATTAACCGTCGTATTCCCAAACCTCTCACTACTCCCTAGATCCGTATCAAGGACCTTGATCAGTGCACGCATTAGCACCTCCGTCGCGGATTTTCCCAGCCAGGGATATCCACTGTGTCCCGCCCTCCCGGTGGCCTTGATGGTGCACGCAAGATGGCCCTTGTGCCCACACGCCAGCTTCCCCTCAGTCGGCTCGCCGAAGATACCCGCCTTGAAGGTGGGCGGGGGCTCCAGCAGGCCCCACGTCTCGGAGAAATACCGCATCCCGGCGCCGTTGGTCTCCTCGCCTACTACGTATAGCAGCATGACGTCCTTGACGTCGTCGCTGACGGACTTGTCGAGGAGCAGGTCAAGCAAGGCAGTAACTTGTGCTGCTACGCTTGCCTTGGCATCTACGCTGCCCCGCCCGGCGATCACGGTATCGGCGTTGGGTGGGTCGTCGGACGCGGAATACGGGATGAAGGGCGGGACGGTGTCGATGTGGCTGCTGACTAGGACTTTAGGGCTCGGGTTTCGGGTCTTGCCTGGCCAGGCTAGGACATTGAAGCGAGGCTTCTCGTCCGTGGAGGCATCAGATGTGGTATTTGATGGCGGGATGAACTGCAATTGGGCGTGTAGTCCTCGCTCGGTCAGGTAGTCGACTAGGTAGGTGCCGACTTCGTTCTCGTTGCCAGTTACGGAGGGTATTGACACAAGAGCTTTGTGGAGGGCGACGAGCGAGGCACGGTAGCTTGGAGCAGATCCCGAGTTGTAGACTTCGCCAATGGTTGATTGGAAGCTCAAGTCAGTGTCAAGAGTCAAAGGTCGTTGCGATGAGCTCGCGAAGACGGAGCTACCCGCGATCAGGGCGGCAAGGAGGAGCTTCATCACTAAGTGTTATAGACCGAGACTGGTGCAATAATAGAACAGTGTTCTCAAAAAGAATCAAGACAGCAGCAAAATCTCAATTGGCCCCAGAGACGCTGTTATAATCTCAGTCTAAGGACTCGCCCCGTTATCAATCCATGAGGGAAGATATTGACGACAGCTCCTAGCCCGGAAGGAACATGGAAGGTTGGGGTGGAGCTCCAAATCTGAATGACGACATTTGCGCTCCTACCGATTAAGCGCATGGGCTGACACCGTGAATTACGAACCGGACTTATTAGCGATACACCGAACGTTCACCACTTCTGTTATCGCAGTGCTAGAACAACGACAGACCCGAATCTTTCGTAATATGTGCTGGGCATGGGCCCCATTCACGTGTATGCCCGAATTCGCTGATTGGAAACCGTTTGTAATTCAGCAGTTTACGCGGTCCCGGCAACCTGTGCCCATCTTTCCGGCATCACACCGCTGAAATCGAATCTGCCGTCTGGCCCCTTCTCTACAACGCCCCTTTCCGTAACAACAGCATCAATTAGCTCCGCAGGTGTAACATCAAAGGCCGGATTCCACACGCCGACTCTCTGGTCCGCAATCGCGACCCGCGCCGTCTTACTCACGTCTACACTCCCATTGGCACCCACCACAGCGCCACTGATCTGTGTCAACTCCTCACGCTTCCGCTCCTCGATCTTGATGCCGAAGCCCGTCTCCGTCTTGAGATCTATCGATGTCGTCGGCGCCGCGACAACAAATTTGATTCCATGGTACTTGGCCAGGACCGCAAGAGCATAGGTTCCAACCTTGTTTGCCGTGTCGCCGTTGCGCACCACTCGGTCTGCGCCCACAATGACTGCAGCGATATGATCTTTCTGTTTCCGCGTCGCAAACAGAGCACCGGCCATGGAATCAGTAATCAGCGTCGACGGAATATTCTCGTACACCAGCTCGAAAGCTGTCAGGCGGCTTCCCTGGTTGTAAGGCCTTGTCTCGGTACAGAAAGCGTGCGAGAGTGATCCCGCAGAGTGAAGCGACCGAATGATGCCGAGTGCGGTGCCGTGGCCTGACGTCGCGAGGGATCCCGTGTTGCAGTGCGTCAGAACTGCGACTTTGCCCTCAGCTGACTGAACAGTCGCGTTCTCGACCACCCATTTCGCTCCATGTTCGCCAATTGAGAGGTTTGTCTCCGTGTCCTTCCGGAATATTTCTTCAGCAGCTTCGATGTATGCCTCTATTACCTTCTCTTGCGCCGCCTGGCCGTCCAACCCACTAACAACAACTCTCCGTACTGTGGTCTTCAAATGTGATATGGCATTCCCCAAGTCGACAGCGGTCGGTCGCGATTCGAATAGGTAGTCGAGCCGCGACTCGATATATGCGATCGTCTTTTCGGTCGTTGATGCCTTACAAGCGCCATTGTGGAGTTCCACAGCATGCGCCAGGGCGGCTACGATAGCAATTGCCGGAGCACCGCGCACCCGCATGGACTTGATGCAGTCGAACGCTTCTTCAGATGTTGTGATGTTGTCGTAGTGGTGTTCGTGGGGTAGGCGAAGTTGATCGAGGACTTCGAGGGAACCCCGCGTATATCGGATAGCTTGGAGGCCTGACATTATGCTATGTCGTAGCAAAAAGGTGGATCAAGTTATTGAGATCGGGAACAAAGTAGACGTGGGTATAGAAGCTCACGATCCGTGAATATTCAGGGTACACCAATCGAGGCTCGATCGAAAAGATGCCTCTTTTGCCGCAGGGCGCAAGAACCGAAAAATATATTAATTCTGCCACCCCGCCATCGGGAGTACACTGCAATTGCGTCGAACGCCGTTTGACCAATGAATGCTCTGCAGAATAGCCTGGATACCCGAGTCCACATCTATCCTAGCACGCGAGAAACAGCGTGCGATTCACTCATGATTCGTGGGAATGGCTTGTACACCCCGCTGCTCTCAAGAGATGTACCTAACCGGTGGCATGGAGCTGCTCCCTTACCGCCTTCCGATTTGAGCTAGGTACATCGCATCCTACCCCTGACGCCGAGTTTAAGCTTGAGCTGGCATTACTAGTTCGACAGTTCACTAGAAAGGGCTCTCCTACAACGTCTCGTAACTTGATACCTCGGCACTGCGCAAGCATACACTCCAATTACACCAATCATGAAGCCATGAACCATTGCCCAAGCTGTTCATCATGGAACAGCCGTTTTCCACCTCCAAAGTTACCGGTTAGTTCATAGTTCCAGGCCCGTTCCCGAGACACCGTCGTCGTCAATACTGAGCATGTGGCAGTCGAGTACTTTGACCCTCATGGCGTCTACAAGCTGCTAGCACCCGGGCTTGTTCCTCGCCTACCCCTACGCAACCTGCATTGGCAGTCGCATGCCGGACCTCTTCGATCGATTGATGCCCTCCACGTCGAGCTCCTAACCGCCGGCTCGACGGATCCGCGAACTATTCTCTCCCCTGACCCCTTCCCGGCACTCCAGCGAACCAACAGCTCGAACGCGCGCGATGACGGCTTCCAGACTCAGATAGGGAGCGTTACACTTACCGATGCAGCCGACAAACATGCGGCGGCTGGCCAGAAGAACAGCACCCCAGCGCGACGGCATCAAATCCCTGGCTTGAGAAGGACACCGTATCTTAAGGTGCTTTTTGTAAGATGCGACGACAACGACTCGTACAAAGCATCCGTTAGGCAAGAGATTCGCGATTGGGTCAAGGCCAACACCCGCGCATCGGGCGCGAAAAAGGCCAATACCGCCGAGAACCACGACGCCTTCGAGTGGTTGATTCTCCACGTTGTCATACCCAACACAGTCGCAGCGACCCAGCCGCGGGTGACGGGTAAGACCGATGCCGCTTCCGAGAAGAGCTCTGCTGTCCCAGCCAGATGGCGCACGGGATCCAGCACGCTACTGGAGAAGCTTCGAAGCGATTTCAACAGCAGCAGTAAAGGGGGCGTGGACCGCGTCGCCCAGATCAGGATCGGGATCAACGATGTCCCCTACGATCTCTTGCCTCGAGTTGTGCCAGCCGTGCCGAGTGGATACAAGGAAACTGGCGAAGAAAGCGATAATGCCTGGACCGACCTGATATCCAAGATTAGAAGCCTGATTTTGTCAAGTTTTGACAGCCGGGTAAGCCAGTACGAAGAGGACATCAAAGAGAAGGACGCCCAGAGGAGTTTGCCGGGGTGGAACTTTTGCACTTTCTTCATCTTAAAGGAGGGTCTTGCCAGAGGCTTTGAAAGTGTTGGCTTGGTCGAGGATGCACTCGTGGTCTATGACGAGCTGAGCGTGGGACTCGACATGGTTATCAAAGACCAGGCTCGTGGCGGCTCGAGTGCCGCTGCCAATACAATGTTGAATTATACCCAAGAGTTGCGAGAAGCAGCTGTCAAGGCACGAGCTGAAATGTATGGCGACAAGAGAGACAGCGACGGTGACAACGACGGTGATAACGACGGTGACGGCGACCCCGACGGCGACGAAGTAGTGGACATGCAGGCCTCTGTAACTGCAGATACGGACGCCAAGGAGACGTTTGACGATATTCCCATCAGCGCCACGAAGAAACCGTACCGAGAGTTGATACTCGAAAATAATGTTTCCGTTTTCGACTTCCGGTGCTACATCTTTGCCAGGCAGATCGCACTTCTCCTGCGACTTGGCAATGCTTGGTCCACGCGGGAAGAGCTACTTGCTAAGCTCAAGGAACAACAGGAGTCGACTATGCACGGCGTGGCGCCAAGAGCGCCGCCGCCCAGGCAGACAGAAAACGAGCATGAGGATTTATCCATACTGGCCGAGATCTGCCGGAGAACGATGGAGTTCATTCCAGCCGTGTCTCATGTGATGAGGGGCGACATCCTGTCTGCCCTGACGGCAGAAAAGAAGTCTGATGACAACAGCAGTGCACCGTCCCGGGATTCTGCAGTGGCGGAGATAATGGACAACCTGGTTGCGGCTTTCGCCTTCTCCATCGCCCAGCAAATACTAGCGCAGACTTCCACAAAAGCACTCCCAATTCCGCCTTCGATATTGGCGCCTCCAGATGGTCATGAGCCCAAGTCATCTATCCCTGAGCCAAAAACAATGATGCATCCATCCAGAAACTCGTCGTTGCGCATCACCACCGGCGGTGCTGGCGCAGGTCGACCTCCACAAAGCCCCAACTTCTTTCCCGGCCCGGGACAGAACAGGAATGTGTCAGAACACGAAGTGGCAAAGACGAATGCGTTCCTCAAGGTGGGCTTAGAAGAACTGGCTTCTAGGAGAGCCGAGCTCTACGTTCTTTCGCGCAACATTCTTGAGGAGTGCGGGAAGAAGCGGGGTTGGAGCGACGGTTGGACGGGAGTACCCGTTGTGGGAGAGTCCAGCATGGTGGACATGGTAGAGATTAGCCTGGACGCTGACACGACCCTTACCGCAGAGGGTGAGGATTTAGCTACCAAGGAGACGATCCTGTCGCTTGCTGGGCTCAATAGTCACCTCCTCCGCACTGCCCTCGACAACGACGGCGACTTTTACCGTCTGTACGAAATGTTGACGGATAAGGCGCTGCGACATTACACCGTTGCCAACCACACCCACTCAGTACAAGCAAGTATGGCTGATCTAGCCGTCTTGAAGTACCATCTTCGCGACTACGCTGCTGCAGCTTCTTATTTCTGGAGGACGACGCCGTTTTTCGGGGAGAGTGGGTGGAGCTTGTTGGAGTTGAGCATGTTGATTATGTACTCCCGGTGCCTGAAGCAACTGCAGCGTAAAGACGAGTACGTCAAAGTCACGCTTAAGCTTCTTTCCAAAGCGGCAGCCGCTGAACGCCAGAAGCAACAGTACCGTTCATCATTACGTTTGGGCAAGACGGATGTCGATTATCCAGACAGTGAAGCTATCAAAGGTCTCTTGGCCGACTTGCTAGCAGAGACCAAGACATTGCAGAACACAGTCCGGGTGCCGTTGGCAAATTTCTTTTCCGCGCTGGAGGTCGATGGCTCTCTAGAGTACCATGTCGGCCGAGACAGTTTCTCGGCTCGCTTGAAGCTGTTTAGCGTTTTAGTTGATGAGATGCAGTTGGAGAAAGCAAGAGTGCGTCTAGTCAGTCAAGTTGCCGGTGTGCAGAAAGAGATACTGCTATCACTATCGAGGCCCACAACTATTAAGCCTGGAAGGAATAGACTGGACCTGAGTAGTAATGTGAGTTTCTTCAGAACAACGCCCAATGCAACCACGAGTTATGCTGACACAACCATAGATGGTACTTCCGGGCATCTATGACGTTGACAAGATCGACTTTACCGCCAGCAACCTATGTATGCATTATGACAGAGAGGCCAACAAGACAGGCGAGCTGCTGAAATCGCCGAAAATTACCATATTTCACAGAGCGGAAGCACTAAACGTCAGTCTATCGGCATCTACTCATATTCAGCTGGACCGCAACAATACAGTCGACATCAATCTCGATTCTGGCTGGAACAACATCGTAAGCGCCGAAGTTCGTGTCAAGGCTGCGACTGGTGGCATGAGACTACTTACTGCCGAAGCCAAGTGCATTGAGTCCTCATTTGAGTTTTCCAAGAGCCCCACGGCCGGCCTGTTCAGCTTCGCCGCCATACCGGCGCGCGAAACCACCAAAATTCGTTTCCCATACACGAACGAACAGGAGGTTACGTCCGTGTCCATCCGGATCGATGTCTCATACACGACGGAGCACGGCACGTTCACCTTCTCCAAAACACCGACAGTGCCCATCACACTAGCACTCGGGGTTAATGTCCAGGATGTCTTCAAGCATAGCGCACTGTTCAGCCGCTTTACCGTCTCAACGGCCAGCGAGAGCCCGCTGCGTCTGTACAAAAGTGAGCTTATCGACTCTGAGCTCTTCCAAGCCGACTTCGGCGTACCTCCGGGAGATTCGGTGGTAGTGTTCCCACGTCTGCCGGCAAGCTTGCTTTACAAGATTCGTCGCAAAAAGGCGGTCAAGCTCACCCCCAAAACACAGAAAACTCTATTTCTTAAGCTTGATTACAGTGTGTTGGGAGATGATGTGCTTGAAACGATACGGGAAAACTTGACCATGACGCTCAAAGATACCGCATTGGCGCCTTACGGGAGATTGCTATCAGACACCATCGTACCACACTTCGAAGCATGTCTCGGCCCGCATGAGCTCGAGAGGGCTTGTCTTCTTGGTTATGTGGATACGGGATTTCTGAGCTCTCCTAACATCGACTGGACCTCATCCTTCACTGCCCTTGGCAATGATGCAGACGGCAGAGACCTAGCGATAGTGTTGAGTGAGTTTATCCGCAAGTGGCAGACGGAAAACTCGCGCGTTGCTATTCAGGGGGGTGAATCAAAGTCAATCCTGATTCCGGTCGATGTACCTAGCATCTCTATCGTACACACGGTGGACATTCGAGTCGATAAGTCGACTGTGATGACGAATCAACTTCTCCCTGCAACGCTGCACCTCAAGTGGACACGTGTCTGGGACACCACGCCGGCCAAGGATATGGTCGATTTGGAGTTCAGCTATGAGGTCGTGGCACCAGCGGATACCTGGCTCGTTGGTGGGCGGCGGAAAGGTCACTTCGTCATCCCCGCCCCTGAATCAGACGAAGTCGGCATCAGCAGCACAGAAGAAACCGAGGCTGACATACCGCTTCTGCTCATCCCACTTCGTGAAGGCTGGCTGCCGTATCCCAGTATCGAAATCCGGGAGGTCAGGCCAGGGAGCTCAGCGGATCCAAGCCCCGTGGCTGGACCGGGCGAGGTGCCAGCTCAGCAGCCGAAATCGGCAGTGGAGACGGTGAGTACGGATAGGGAGGCGGTATCGTGCGAGACGGACTTCAAGAACCTGGGCGAGACGATAAGGGTGGTCGCGGATAGGGAACGCGTTACGCTTAGTCTGGATGCGAGTGGGCCTGGAGGAGGACCTTTGGTCATGGAGGTTGTGAAGAGGGTTAGAATGGAGGCTGGGGAGGAGGAGAGGGTGGTTGTTTGATAGGAGCCCATCAGTCTCCTACTTATAGCCTATTTCAGTATAAATTTCGGGGTACTAAGAAATAATATATTTCAGCTATCAACGTGAACGAGGCGACGAGTGTTATGCCGAAGCTATGACTCCTACCGAGTTATGTATTAAAGAAGAGCATGATAACTCGTCTTCAGTTTGATCATAACCTATCAAAGCCGCAGTATCTGGACGACTTAGCTTTTGTGTCGGCTGGATATTCTTCATTTCCACAACAGTAATCAAGTGACTTTTCACACGCGTGCTCTGCGAAGAATCCACATAACCTTTCAAGATTCTTCATTCGTCGCCTTACTTCCATGAGTTCACTGATACTGATCACGATGATCAAGGCGGTGTACCGAAGATTCTACAAGCTCTGTGGGCAATACAGGCAAGAGAGCTGTATTGGTGATGATAATCATGGTTGGAGTAAACTTCCAGAAATCTGCAGCTACAAAAGGACTATCTATGGGCGGTTGACCCAAGCGCTGCCCCCAGCACACAGGCGGTGTGTCTGGGCCAACGCAATAAGTTCCCTTCGCTTGCCGCCGCTATTCCCGTTCAACCGCAATACGTTCTACCTGTTCCTTTAGAGAAAAACCAGACTTACCCCAAGACTGTCGTTCTTCGCGGTACTCCCGTTCACGGACCCTGTAGTTGGAGATTCCTGTCACTGTCCCCGAAGATGAAGGAGACACGATTCACCAACTCGGCGCTAAAAAGGCAGTCGGCCAGCTTTAGGAAAGGCGAGGCTGGATCTTCCAAGAAGGGCTAAACTTCTGAAGGCCAAATGCGATAGTCAATTCTCCGACATGGCCGAGCGTGAAGGAGTTCGCCTGGGCATCCAGTACCAGGTCTGTGGGAAATGGTGTTCATTCGTTGCCGGGAATGAAGGATCCGATGCTGACAAGACAGACTCGTGAACTTAGTGACCGACTCGCCTGGGCCTCAGAGCACTTTATGCATACGCACACGTCTCCCATGGGAGGTGCTCGTAAGATGAAGAGAGGGACGGTTCGATACTCCCAAAGTGTGTTGTCGACTAATGCCGTGCGGGAACCTTATCAGAAGGAGCGCCGCCCCTAATGGATAGAGTCAGAATCCGATTCTAAATTAAAGTTCGATTACTTGGCAACCCGCTGCAAGCTTAACCTTCCAGTGGCGGCTGTCTATTCGGTAGTCCCTCCGGCCAGACTCATCGTGGCGCGTATCTTCCAGCATCCGCATTTTCACTAGTAGCTTCAACTGAGATGTCGGATACCAATTTAAGTGATGCATATGTAATTGATAAAATGGAATCTCAGTCCAAAGAATATCTGACACATATCCTCCAGGCCCGCACTCCCCGTGCTTCATCGCTTCGAGGGCCACTGGGAGCTGGACGGTCAGTTGGAGAAGGTCATAAAGTGTGACGCCAACGCGCTAGTCTCGGCCTTCAAATCTGACAGCACGGCATAAAAGGCACTGGCGTCCGTTGATAAGAAAGCCCGCTTTGTTGGCACAGCTTGTGTGATGGCTTGGCTGCGGAAGTGGTTGGAGGATTAGAAGGATGAGTGGGAGCTTTTGTTTCCTGTGAGCACAACTTTCCTGACGATGAATTATGTTCCCCAACCCGGGAGTCTCATAGCCTTTCATACTAGTTGTGGATTTTGTCTGTAGCTATCATCAAATGACCAACGAGCTGCGCAATGATCAAAAGCTGGTTGGACCCCTTTGCCTCGCCGCTCTCGACACTCATTGTCAATAGGTCGAGTAGGACTTCTACTTCAGTCGATCCCGTTACGCTGCCTCTCATTTTGACATTTCTATGAGACACTTAAGATTTGTATGGTGCTATGAGATTCATTTTTCACCACTATTCTGTTATTGTTCGCCATCAAAAGTGTTTCAAGTGCTTGAATATCATCACTTATTATGCTTAGCTGCCTGGTTGTCCAGGTTCTAGCTGGTGGTCTACAAGTTGGGTACGAAACGATGTATTGGTTCAAGATCTATGACATCGCCTGGGCACTCGAAGGTCCTGATTACAACGTGATTCTGCCTTTCATTCCACGAGACCCAATTACTGTAAACGCCTGGAACAGAGGTTCCCTAGAAAAGGCCGACTCAATTTCGTCAAATCCATGGCACGGATTGACAACGCCGCCGAGGATCGCGTCTCACTCAAGTGATCCGACGACCTTGCCAAACTGGACCGAGACATCCGAGATGGCGGGTACGCCAGATCGCTCAAGATGAAGCCGGCAACGAGGGACAACAAGTTGAAGCAAGGCGCCTACAACTACTACAACTACTACATTACCAAGGCTGTCAATACAGTGACCAAAGCCCGCCAGCAGAAGGGCGAAGACGCAGCCTTTCAGAAACACCTCGAAAATACCCGCACCGTGACGGACCGCGTCCTGAATCTGCGGAAAGTTGATTTCTACAGCTGGATCAAGAAGCAGCTCGTGAGCAAGTAGGGATCGGCAGAGGCCGACGTTATTGCCAGGCATGTGCCGGCAGACAAAAGGATAGCAGCCCATGGTCGGTGGATACTGATAGGTAAAGATCAAAAATAAACTGGGGATGCAGGACGTGGATGACAGAAAGGCGGTTTCCAGAAGTGCATACAGGAGGTGGGTGAAGCAGTATGGCACTGATGAGTAGAAGGAAACCCGGGGGGCAGCCCGCATCGAAAACGCATTACAGAACACCGGCTACGAAGAAGGCCAAGTCTGCGGTTCTGCGTTGGTTTCTGATCAGTTCATGTGCGTGTAGGTATGTGTGTATGTTGGTTTGAAGGACCAGCGGTTCATTGTTCACGTGCTCGTGGGATGATTAGTTGACGTGTGAACGGTTCGATGCCGTGTTTACTTCACATTCTTTGCGTAATCCTGTACCTCACTTACTCACACTTTGAACTCCATGCATGCGTTTCTGGGCTTCAAAAGTACTCGGGGTGATGATGCTCTCATGACTCATCTCAATGACACCCTGCGCTGGTCACCTGAGCTGCTCCATCGTGTTTATTATGATGCGAAGACTTGGTCGACTGCGGGCACTGCATGGGCACCACATTACTTGAATTATTTTCGATCGGCATGACCGGGAAGAGCCACGGCCCGAAGTGCGTATCATTATGTTCTAATGTGGAAAAGGAACGACTTGCAACCCACAGTCATCTTTCTGGGTGGGATAAGCCAGGCTACGGTGGCATCGCAGATTATATCACGCATAGTATAGTTTCTTCATTCAGACTGTCCCAGGAAGGGAACTTGGAAGTCGAAATAAGCTTTAGCTCGACGCAGGTGGACCCGTGCAGTTCTATCGGGGCAATAACTGAACATGGGTTGGTTATAGTCAGGGGTCTTCTTTTTTGCAACTCTTAATCGTACGGCATGTCTTAAAATGCTTAATACACAGTCTTCTTGAACACGTGGGGTATCGCTTCGACTCCTTATTGAAGCTTCCCTGACCCATACCAGATTTATATGAAGGCCAAAAAAAGATGTTCCTTTTTTCTTTCTTTATGATGGTTACTTCTGGTTTGAAGCGGGGTTTTGTAGCCCTATGCTTGGCCGTACCTTCCCATCTCCCATATTCACAAACAGTCGATTTATCCTCGATGTGGGGTAAAAACGATCGGGTGGCATCACAGTGTCCATTTACCCGACGGTAATGCGTTGGCTTGAAACCGCAGGCGCTCTCCTTTACTATTAGTAGACACTCGCGTCCACGCGTGGGGGCCAGTTTGCAGAGACCTCAGTACGCGTCGAACTCATGGACCACGTGACGGTGGCCTTGAGAAATCATCTGAAGCCATTTACCCAAGAGTCTAGCGTTGAGCTCGCGGTCTGAAAATCCTTTGCTCGGGCGCAAAGCTCATCGGAAGAATGCCGAGTAGAAAAGCATATGTCATGAGATAACAGACTGCTTCTTTTCCCTCGGCTTGTCGTTTGGGTCTCAGTAAGCACTCAAGAACGTGCGTTCGGTCTGAGCCTCAAAACCGAGGGGGTGTTTGCATTATCGACTTGTAGTGTGCGTAATTAGCGAGCAAGGGTTGTATCGGTGTCAAAATTTCGGTGGTTTCTCTTCGAAATCAGGAAATACGCAACCGTGTCTATCCAGACTCCATGAACTTGATACCGCCTTATTCGTTCCCTATCTATGCGAACCTCCTTTACTAATACTTTGCCCTTCCTCAGACGTTAGTAAAGCTACCGCTCGAGCGGAGGTTTATCACAGAGCGGTCGTCAATTGAAATCGGGGCTAACTCGACCGCGCATTTGTCTTGAGCTGAGCAGGTCATCAGTCTTGGTTGCTTTTAGCCGAGTAGCCTTTGGTAGTTCATCATTAGGGTCAGCAACGATGCGTAAAAGGAGTGGGATAATGGTGTCAAGTGCGGCAAACTGGAATCCTGTACATCGGAGCGTCGTCATCGTCCTATATTATACGATTTTCAATTAGCATCAGGTAGCTCATGTCTGTAAGACGGAAAGGTTACTTACATGACCATTAACGGCAATAGGTCCCAATTCTGTTTACGTCAATTATATGTTGTATGAAACTCACCAATCATAGCTCGAAGCAGGATATCGAGAGGCGTAGTAGGAATGGAAGCACACCAAATGTTACTTCCCTGGCTGGGATTATGGAACTCCGTGTTTTTGAACTGTGGGAATATGAATAGGGGCTTGCCCCAACAACAAAGACCTGTATGGAAACTAGCTTTTGTCACTACGGGTGTTTTAAGCACCTTGATCGAAAAGAAGCCACTATAAAAGTATGAACGGCATACCATATGTGAAAGTATCATTCGTTATCCTCGCAGCTCACTCTTTTTGACGTTCTCGTAATTCGGCATGGACTAAATTTGATGCATCTCGAACATCGCGGACGGACCGGAGATGGCTATACACATCACTGGCTGCCACCTATCATGGGATCAGGCCCGATTTGTGCTTGACAACACCCACATCAGTCTTGAAAGCTTTCAATTTTCAAGAAACCAATTTGATATTGCCTCACTGAGTGACCGCAGAATCCGCATGTGTACAGTGCGAAGAGAGAAGAGAGGAGGCGCCTGCGTTGCGTTGTGCGTGTAACCACACCGTTGGACATATATGTCAAGTCAAGTGGCTCCGAAATTTTCGCGCGAAAGGAACCCCTTCTACCCGTCCCGTTTTTATATTCGTCTCGGTGTACCCGGACTGCCAGCACCACATGTGGGCGGCATTCGACTTCGAGATGGTTCAGATAGGTGGAAGACACGACTAAGTGCCCTACCAAACCCCGCACTTTGGCGACTTAGCCAAGTCGTGAACAGAACAAAAAACAAAAACATATTTTTTACTGTGTTCCCAATTCTCAAATAATGCAGAGTGCGTACAACCGGCCTACATGCCACGCGTCGTGTGCGACCTCCAGACGGGCAGGCTTGTAATCATGTGTCCCCCTCAGGTAAATGGAATCTGCTACGTGTGTCGCAATAACAGAATGCCCAGACTGAAGAAGTTACCAACAATGTTTTTCTGCCATTCGATACGTTTAACCACAGTGCCAAATGTATGGATAATGCTAAGTGGCAACAGGGCGTGATGAACGATCGGCAGAGCTTTGCTGATATGGTGCAGTGGCAGTATACAGAGGACCACTCCGATAAATGGCGAGTGGTAGGTCAACTTGCAAAAATAGAGATCAATTAAATTCACGAACTGCTCTGATTGAACGCGAGCATGTTGATCTGCCTGTGTCAATAAAGGTGTGCGATTGTGCTGTTCAAATCCCCCTGTACACAATTTGCAACTCATGAATTTGTGCATAGAGTAGCTTATTAAGTTTGCACTTGTTCTGTAGCTTGAACAAAAGTTTGCACACCAACTCTCTATACATGGAGGGGGACCTTCATCCGAAGTCAGAAAGAAAGTCGTCATGAGTATACCGAGTTTCCCGCCTATAATATGAATAGGGGTTCCAGACCGGTCGAAACATAATTCAATTCCAATCGGTTTGTATAATGCTTTGATGCCCGAAAAATTTGGGCATAAGGAAGTCGGAATCTAGATTTTATTCATTCTGTAGTCATGAGTGAGTCGAGACTATGGCTACTTTATCAGGGGTGGTGATGGTCTATGGAGCAATAGAAACAACCCGCCACCTCGGAAGGTTTGCGCGACAACTTTCATCCTAAGAGAGTTCGATCTCCGGCTGATTCCGAAGAGGAACTCAATTAGCCAAGAAGAGTCAGTCAACCATTCAGGTGCTTGAGTCGTAGGCCCATGTTCACAAGAAATATGAAATACCCTTTGCGCTATCCGAGTTAGCACGTTAGACTGCTCTAATCTGATAAAAGCCCGAATGCTTGCCGGCTCGCTCGCACCGCTAAGAATAGCTGTCCAATCCAGTGATTTTGGCCAAGCGTTCTTCCCGCATCATGAAGCAGTCATAATGGGTGGCAGATATCTTCGCAGGCGTTCTAGACCCTCTCTAGAATCTCGTGGAATTTCGATCGAGGCAAAGAAAGGAGCAAGCATGAGCTGGTCATCCTATGCCTGGTGATTGGACTTCAAGCTCCTATGAGAGTTACCACGTGTGCCGAGTCGTGTCAAGATGAGATGCTGGAATTAGATGCTCTGAACCGATCAGAAGCCTCCGAATGGAAGGCTCCGTTGGTGCCATGCTTGTGCATCAAGATTATCCGTTGCTGCTTCTTCCAACACATCCAAGCAACTCCTGCCCGAATCGGAATCCAAATCCAAATTCTGAGCCTTGTTCGCAGGAATCGTTCGACCTTCAAATCGAGATCATCGAGATGTTCCATAACCCCACTTCCGAACCACATGGACTTACATACTAGCTGTCACCAGAAACTTCAGATCGCGATGAATTTTGTCCGAACTTGACCCTTGGCCCATGCACAACTTTGGTACTATTCCTCGGTCGAGCATTAGGCATATGTTCCCACGGTCTGCACAGGTGGATACTGCCTCGTAGAAAGTTTTGTATAGTATATACAAAGCTGGAGCGGCAACAGGGAATTATGTGTATAAAGCTTATTCCCACAGGCCAAACCCAATTGCAGGCTGGTATCTGAAATATTACGTGCGGCGTATATCATTGGCTCGTATATTACACATATGGACATGCATACCAGCTTTCGTAGTCACTGCTAACTCCCGTGTCGAAAGGACCGAAGCGCAGAGGGAAAAGGGACATCCCGCAAAGTTATTCACATCTGCCGGCTCCAAAGCAGACATTGTTGCGAAACGGGAGACTCTTCGAGATCTTTTGCGCATTAGGTACTGTGGGTGTGGTATTTTTGGGCTATATGAAGTCGCGAGTGATTTCGTGAGGATGAAAGTGTATGCATCCTCAAGTATTAAAGGGGGTCTGGTGCCTCACTTACATTAATGACAAACAGTCACAGCAGTACTACACTCAGCTTCCAAGACTTGTTAAAAACAATCTCAACGACTAAATCATATTTCGATTGACCATGCAGCTCCTGATCATCCTCTGGTTGCTCACTTCTATTGTTGGCCAGGCATACGCCGCCCCGGTCACGACTGGAAGGCAAGTTCGTCCCAGGCCACATCGGCAGTAAACAAAGATCCAGAAACCTTTCTAACTATATTTGCTAGTGACCTGTCATCCAGAAACACCCCAGGCACCGCCCCCACGGCTGAGAACCTGGTTGAGCTTCTGCCCAGGTCCAGTACCAGGTCCAGGTTCAGAGGCCAAGCAGCCTTCCGCCCTCCCAGGGATCTCCCCAGGCCCGTTCAATTTAACAGGCCGACTGGAAGACTGCATAAAGACCTGACTAGCATTAACCAAAGATGGGCGGCACACCGCGTGGAGGACACGCGCTTTCTAAAGTCGAGCATCGCTAGGAACCACGCGCTCGCCAGGTACCACCCGCAGAACGCCAAAGCCTATGCGAAGGCCGATGCGGAGTGGGTGAGATTCATCAAACAGGATCGCAGGAATGATAAGAACAGCTATGACAATGCTGTTTACAGGGCGCAGAGATATGCTACGAGGAATCGCAAGGGTTGGTAATGGTGAGGGTTGAAGAGTTACCATGGCAGGTGTACCGGTTTCGTTTGCTTGATCTGCAACATGAATATTCCCTGTTCAAAATGAACGACTTGGTTGACTAAGCCTTGTCTCAAAATATCACAGTTACTCGTCCTTGCTGGGTATTTTCACTGAATCAATACATCTGAGCTTTTTACTCAGCAAGTAGAAGATTACGCAGTGGTAGCATCATAAGCACCGAATATTGCCCCCCACCAGATCTTCAATATGTTTGTGAAAGACATCGACCCATTTGTGAACATTAGGATGGCTTATTCAGCGGCAAAACTTCATAAGGTTAGTCGATGCTACTATTGCCGGCCTTGCTGAACCAACTTGATGTGGTTCGTCGTTCAGTGATTCTATACAAAGATAGTGGCACTCCTGCCAATGTCGCGACAAACACTTCCACAAGCTCTCTGTTATTCATGAACTAGATGTAAGTCGAGAAAAAGGCGCCAGATAATGCAACAAGACTAAGCCGCTTGTCCATGCGTTTAACTAGGTTCAGAACGATGATGGTAAGGACGGGAGTGATGGAGGTGATGACAGTGCCGACTAGGTTAGCGACCCTGATGATACGGGAATTTTTGTAGTTTCGGAAGGAGGCTATATTGTCTTTGGGTCTTGGAATCTAGGTCAAATTTTAGTGTCGGGACCTACAGAGTTCAGTTAAGACTACAATCATTATACGAGGTGGTTAAATATTTGTTCTCACAGCCAAAGCCTATTTCACTCCTAGCTTAATCCTGTGAGATGGACTATGATTATACTACTTAATCTGCAAAACCCGCCATTTTATTGCTTCATCCTCATCTTCTACGAGATAAAAAACAATCTTCCGCAGTGCCCATACAAGCTACCTCAGGTGTGACGATAACTGATGTCGCAGAATACTGCACCAAGATGACTATTACAGATCCCGAAGGAACAATATGGACAATGCCTGCCATTTCCAGACATATCATCAAAGATCCCCTTCTAACAATTAAAACATAAATCTACTAGCCTTAGGACATGTCATTCCCCAATTCAAATCCGCATAGATCATTCATCTCATCTTTCATTCCGGAAAAATCTCTTTTCAATCTCATCAAGAGGCTCCGTGAGTATCAGCAGCCTCTGGTGAGCCATACACTCGCACTTGACGGCATCATCCTCTATATTGAACCTTTGAACGCCGCTTCTTCGTCCTCCCCCAAGTGCCCAGGCAGGATTTCCAAATACGCGATATTGCCACTGAGCCAAAGCCATAACCAGTGTATACCAAATGGAAGTACAATAGGAATGTGGTCAGGTCCGAGTCAATTCCCAGACCACCTCTCTGTACCTTTGCGCAACTTCTCGAGGACGACTAGCTAAGGATACATGGCGTAGTTGCGCCTGCATAGAGCCGTACAGTGGTCGAAGATGGCGTGAAGTACCTTCTCCTCCTCACTTATCCAACAATGGCAGTGGTATTCGACGTGTGAGATTACGGAAGAGGTGGGAGAATCTTGGTCGCCAACGGGAATATGCAAGTGGGAATTGATACCAGGGTCTGCATGGTTGTTGTTTCACTGGCCCAGACACACCGCCTGTGTGCTGAGTGCAGCGCTGGGGCCAACCACACATTACAGCTTCCTGGGAGTTAGTCCCATCACCATCACCCATGCATGCTGCATTGGGTACGGTTGTGATGAATTTGGATGATTCATCTCGAATTTCTTAGTTTCTATGTTTGTTGACCATCAATTATCAGATGTGGCCATAAACATTTTTATACCTTTTATAATGAGATGGTCAAAAAATGCAATGATGCAATTCCATTAACGTAACCCACAAGCAAGTTGGACACTTTTTCTTGGCACCGTACGAACAACCTTTTAATTAACATCTTTACACATACCAAGATGGGATCGAATTGGAAAGAAAGCGACATGATTCTAGCGTGCCAGGCGCTTCAATCGAAACCCGAATTAAGCATCCGACGCCCTGCCCAACTCTACAATGTCCCTCGGTTTCAGGGGGACAGGACTTATTCCGTACGACCCGGAATATGTGATTTCACAGCTGGATATTAAGCTACATACGCCTACACCTCCTGGGAGCTCGTCTGGCGCCCCCTTAATCTGGGAATCAAAGACTCCAAATAACCCAACCGAGGCGCAATCCCAGTCTGAATACGTTAAAAACAGAATCGTACAGCATCAGAATAGCTCCCCGACGACAATACTTACGGCTATTGACCAATTTTCACGTGGTGCCACGGCTGTTATGCATCGGTTAGTTTTACTTGAGCATGAGGTTACTACACTTCGGAAGGCCAATTAAGAGCTAAGCCGTCGTCGAAGGACTAAAAATCGACAGATACAAGATGGAGGATCTCTTAGTTTACGAGACGCTCAGGACTTACAGTCTCAATGGGATATTGAACAGCAGCTACAGGATGATATACGTGTAAGTCGTCGTCGTACGAGACCGGCCGAACCACGCCGACAGCGCTGTAGGATCTGCGGAGAGCCCGGACATAATGCTCGTACTTATGAGAATGATAAAGATACGTACGAGGAGGAGGATTCCGATTAGTTTGAATTATTATTTTTTAGTTTAGTTTAGTTATTGAAGTTATTCATACGGTGCCAAGAAAAAGTGGCCAACTTGCTTGTGGGGTACGTTAACGTTATTGCTTAAAGTAGTTTAGCAAAGACTGTAGACTGCTCTTCTCTGAACCAACTCCCAACAAACCCCTAAATACCAGTTAAACGCTATGCCCTCCCCAGTATACACAAATCTACCGTCCAAATACCACAGCGGGATTATTCTCCCCATATGGAAGTAGGATATACACCCCCCCACACCTATGCAGCGAACAGTCCACCCAGCTATGGAATCGCCCGCTTGCCCTTGAAGACATCTTTGTCCAATTGAAGGCTACACACCATGAAGGCCCCCGTTGCTCAAACGAGCGGCGCTGATACAACCATGGATATGTAAAGCCTGGCTATGAAGTAAAATATTCGTAGCCGACCAGGGCAGTTGCGGAGTTAATAGCGAGCCAGACGCAGGGGAGGCATTCTTCTATGCACGCAAGACGCTTCGTGAAAGGAGGAGGATGCTTGACTATGCTTTCGGCTCCAGTGGGATAATTCCGGTCTAGTCGGGATAGCGCCAAAGAAACAGGTTCTTCGCCGTTTCCCTAGGTCATGTTAGCCATGGCCGGCAGATTTGACATTGATTCGTGGAGTGGATGATATTGATGTCTGACTGGTGGTACGATGGATCCACATGTTACCGGAAACGAGAAAATAGGGGAAGCCTTGTCCCAATTGAATAATTGGACTCTACTCGAGTTGAAAAATAGCCCAAGCAGAAGAAATTCCCGAGAAGCGGATTACGACATGGCGGATGGGGTTATGCTTGTAAAAACGAAAAGGCACTTTGCAACAGGGTTGGGTTTTCTTGTTTTGCTAATAGGCGACGACGGTATTAATTTTCACCTTCGCTACCGAAAGGTATTGCCGCATCCCGCATTTCCATCTCGGCCAGTTGTTGACTGTCGGATAAGGGATTAACATATTCGATTCATTGCTCCTGGCCCGCATCTCCGTCTTGCAGCAATCAGTTCCAAAATCGCCTCGCAACCTCTATTCGCGCCGCGGCATCCGAGCTGATGCACAACCCGGCATCAAACAGTGACACACCCTCCTCGCCATCCTCACCAGCCATGGTCTCCAAAGCGGCCAAGCCCATGTACGAGTGGTACACATCTGGCGGACGTTCTGCGTGTTTGCCAAAGCCGCCTAGGACAGGGTGTTGCGTCTTCTCAAGCAAGAAGCTTCGTGATGGTGCCCTGTTGATGGCCTTCGCTGTGCCAGGTTGTGCTTTATCCAGCAATCGTAAAGCGCCAAACACCCACCACGTGTAGCATGTATCTGCTATCTTATTCAACCGGCCATTGAATCCGGTAACGTAGCCTTCCGACTCACTGATGTTGAGAGCTGAAAGCTCGGGCTCGTCCTTCGCCGATTCAGACTCGGGGTCCTCCGATGCAGTGTATATGAACTGTCTTGCGACCAGCCAGTGCACGAGGGCGGGTATATCTCTGATCCCCTTCTTGAGGTACTTGTTGTCACCGTCTGGTTCGGCGCGGTCCAGCAACGACAGTGCCGCAACTGCGCAATACGCGTAACCAGCATGACTCTCGCCCATGGAGCTTTCGGCGATCCCACCATCAAAAGTCTGACCCCTCCGGATGTGTCCTACGAGGCCGTCGACGTCGAGATCCTGGAACTGGCGCGGCTTATCGGGGCCATCTTGCGGAATTTCGTTGCCACAGAGCATCCACCGTATCATTGCGGCCACATAACAATATCGCATGTCTTTTCCACCGCCAACAGTGCCATCTTTCTTGAGGAACTCGCCGAAACTGCCATCGGGTCTTTGAAGTTTCCTCAACCATCGCAGGGTCTGTACTCTCTTGACGCCACGGAATGCGCTGACGCCCTCTCTGTCCTCGCCAATAATCCCAAGCATCAGTAGCGCAAAGGCCGTGGCGGCAATGTTAGCGTTCTCGGTATCGTCGGCAGCAGGTTTAACGGCGTGGTCGAAGCCCTTCTCGAAGGATTCGGGGAAGACATGGTGGGGACTACCACAGAAGCCGCCGTATCGGTGCTGCAGAGAGAGGATCCAATCTCGAAGGCGTTTGCGGTCTGCTTTGGGGATCAGAGGCTCAGTTGTCACCGACGCCGAGAGTGTTGAGAATAAAAGATCAAGCCCGCCAAGGATGAAGTAGCCAAGCGCGAGTCTGCTGCTGTCCATGGAAGTGTAATGGTGCGGGAGGATTGACTTGAAGCATCGCTGCCAGTACTTCACGTGGCGGGGGGTGTCCAACGACATTATGTTCGAAATGTGACGAAACGATTAAAGTGAAGCTACCGTTAAGTCATTATGCGTCCAACTTGTCTCGCTCGTCGAAGCGGGATGCGACAGCAGCCTGAATCGAAACTTGGAGAAAGTAAAAGTGACGCTGTCTCAGCAGGCCACTTGAAGTCCATTGCGGTCCACGAGCAGGTTGATTCAAGTGCCCCGCCATCGTTCGCACTTGCCTACCCCTGTTAACCAGCTTGAGCTTCAGGCCAATCAGCACCTGACGGTCTGTCCCTAGCTTGCCGCGATAAGCGATAAGACATCTTAGCTCTGTGACAGACTGCCGGGTCCCTGAAAAAGTTGGGCGCAGTTGTAGTGTTTCATGACAGCACACCCTCAGGACACACAACAAGGAAGGGAAGGCAAGGCATCCCATCTTTCCAGCCTTTCTGTCCTGTAATACGACACCTCTCTACAGACTGCAAGCGACCAAAGGCTTGACAAGGCGATCGAACAAGCTGGCTCCAGCAAAGCGAAATACCCCTGAATAAACCGCGTCTATTCCCTTGGGATAGCGCTGGTTGATTCTCGTACGTTTCTTTCCTGCCAACAGCAACTGCGAACTTGGAATCGAGAAAACGACTGCCGCTTCATTACGTCTGCTTCCAAGCAGCAACACCCGCCCATCATGGCGCTCATATCCGCCAAAACGATCCTGACTTCGCTGTCCCTCTTCCACATCACCTTGGCCTTCTTCTTCTTCACGAACCCGGAGTCCATCGCGGATCAGGCACTGGTTTACGTCTTGGGTGAAGCTATGGGCATGGTAAGTCGCTTTGCCTCTCCCCTCCCTTTGCTTGCCACAAGAAAGAATGCACAAACTAACTTCTACGATGACTAGCCCCAAACAACCGCCTTCAACACCCCCACCCCAACAACCTCCTTCCTCTCCATCGCCCTCCTCGTGTTGGGCCTCAGCGATATCCTATCCCTCTCGATGCCCGAAGAAATCTGGCTAGTCCACTACTGGGGCAGCCAGACGCCCCTTCGTGTCATCCTCTTCTCCATCCTGACCATTTTCACCTTCCTGACGTCCGGCTCATCTAAACGAGGCGGGGGCCGCATGTCGCACCCCGTTGCACCCTCAGGCCTAGGTCTTGCGGCTGGAGGAGGCTGGGGCGGATTGAGAAATAGAGTATTCTTCACGTTTGCGTTCTTTGAGATGCTTAGTTGGTTTTGGGTTTGGGTTACGCTGAGGGAAGAGGCCGGACGGTTCACGCAGAGGAAGAGGAGGAGAAGTTCCGCAGCTGCGGAGAGGTATTAGAGGAAGGTAAAGATGGGGGTTGAATTTGAAGTTTTGGTGAAAAGGGATGATCTGAATGCCACCCACCTATGGAACATGGAGATACCGGCGAACGTAGGACCGGCTCTTTGGGCAGCTGTTTTACTGCGAGCACAAAAGAATCGCGATAATTTTGTTGGCAGAACCGATGGGCGAGATATTTGCGGCCACTACAATGGATTTTTCAGTCAGGGCAGGATGGATTCAGACGAGTTCATCACGAGGCATGGCTTCAGAGTATGAAATATACCCCTTTCTTAGTTGCGTTTTCACAACATACGCTGTTGACTCATCGTCAACGGGAAATACACTCAAATATTACCAAGAAAAGCATGCATTTTGTCAACGTCATTGATTCTGACCTAAATCTGCCCTGGGTCTTTACGAGCAAGCAGTTTGCCGGAGTGGCATAACCAATTCCCAGGGCCAGAAAGAAGTGCCTATCTAACTGGCAGCTTTATACACAGAAATCGAGGTCAGTTTTCAGCCATGGCTACCTCTTATAGGTCAGTAATATCATCAGAATCGAGGAGAGTTCAGGTGGGGCCAGGCCCATTCAACCAAGCTTAGTCTTAGCCAAGCCCTTGACAGCATCCTCCCACGAATCCAACACCAAGCTGGGAAAACGCTCCAATCCGCCCAACGGCGTCGTCTCGATGAGCGTGAGCAAGAGCGAATCCACATCTTTGGTACGGTCATCCCCGTCACCCATGAGCAGCCCGCCGAAAGCCCACTCAGGGATGCGGTCCATCCAACCGCCCTCGTTGATACCATCACTCAACAACTTGATGCGCTGCTTGAGCACGGCAAAGACCTCGTTGCTGGCGTCCTTGAGCTTTTCTAGGTCCTCGATGAACCACTTGGGCGCCTTGCTATTGGCTTTGAAAATAGTCTTCTCGGTCACGGCGTCGATGGTCAGGATGGCCATGCGGACAGCCGTGGCGGACTCGCGTAGCATGCCGTTAGCGTGCAGGGAGGAGAAGGCGTAGAAGACCGGCCGCATGCCGATGACCCCTCCGGGTAGAGCATTGAGGGCCGTGGTCTGGTCCTTAAGGATGGCTATGATGTCGTCAATGGTCTCGGATGTGGCCAGGGGCCGTGCGTTGGCATTCTGGGGCAGAGATATAGTGAGGTTTGTCCAGACGAGTTCTTGAAGGGAGCAGACCAGCTTGAAGTACGAATACTCCGGTCCTGTCAGGCTCTCTTCCACGCGAGGGCCCTTTGTGAGCAGTTCATCCATCTCGTAGAAACCATCCATGCACTCTTTCGCGATGTGTAATCTATCCACATCAGCGGCTTTAGCTGACCTGACTTCCTTAAGGGCACTCCAGCCAATGAGGTTCATGAACATCTCCGCAAGTAGAGATAAGCGCATGCGAGTGTGCTAGAAATAGGGTTAGCGGGCTAAGTTTGGTTGGGCATTGGATACTATACCGAAAGACCAGGGCCAATGCTGATGAGATCGTGGATGGGCTTCTGAGATGAGTCTTCATGGTTGGGTAAACAGCCATAGGCAGTGGCATCGAGGAGCTCGGTTTTGTCTTGAATGCGCCCTAGATTATCCATGTAAATAACTGACTGGCAGGGTAAACTCCGTCAGGGAGGCTTACGTATGAGGGGATCTTCGAGAATCTCCAAGCCAGCTTTGCCACCAACAGCTCGGATGCCTCGGCTCTCTTCGACGATAGCCATGACGACGGTGCAGCTTCGTTCCAGACGGTCTTTGAGGCCAAGAAGGCCCAGTATGCTGTCATAGCTACCCTGCTCGAATGCTGCGCGAAGGTTGGCAGGAATATCGTTGCTGAACGCCTTGTCATAATGCTTAATGTATGGTGTTATAGGCGACCACGCGTGCGCTGACACGGCCCAAAGCCCTGGGGCTATACTGGAGAGACGATCGGAGAAGAGAGGGCCGAGCGAGTCTAGTGTCACATTTTTGACATCCAGTTTGTCCCAAAGCAACTTGGCATGAGAGACGCAGCCAATCAGGGTGAACAATTTGACTAAAATGAGACGAAGGGTAGTACTGTGGGGGGCCTCCTGAAAGCGCAAATCCAGCCAGATGATGGCCTGGAGCAACCGCGGTAAGTCGGCCGTCTGGATTCGCGAAACCTTGGCAAGTGAGGTGACGGGGTCTACACCCGCAAGCTTGAGAAGGCATAGTGCGCCTATGATGCTTAAGTCGGTCAGAGGATCTAGCTCTTCCTCCTCGAGCGCCTGTCGCAGCGGCACCTGTTCACGTTTGAAGCTTATGGTGTAAGTATGCATGCAAGCCTGGGCAATGCTGTAAAAGCAGGCTTCACACTTGTCGCCGGGAACGATGGCTTCGCAAAGTCCACATTTCGACTCGAAGATGGCTCTGCCCGACGTAGTGACCGTATACCGGAATCTGAAACGGAGGGTGACCAGCATGATGTTCTTCAGCGCGTTGTTCTCCTTCTGCCAGGTCCATGTTAATTGGGACGGAAGGTTTCAAGTAGTATAAGTGAAAAAGACTTACGCGCTGGCCCTCTATGCCCAAGTTCAACAGGAACGTTTTGAGCAAATTGACCGGAAGCTTCTCGAGGAAGGGCTTGAGGTCGTCAAAACAGGACACCTGCTTATAGTGTGCATTGACAAAGTCTAGGAGACCGGTCAACATTGTTGGCTCATGCAGGGAGAAGTCGTCGTCTTCCGGGTGAGCCTCGGACCACTGCAGCCTGGAGAATGCAACGTGAAGGCCCGCTAAGTCCAGCATCTTCTGTTGGATGCGGTAGTTTGTGCAAGGTGCTAGCTTGGCGAGAATGTTGTCAAGTTGCTCAAAGGATCTATGCCGGTCAGCACAGTCGTTGACAGTAGGTCGAGGGGCAGGTATAACTTACCTCCGGCGATCCCCTTTCTCCGCAGCCGTGATGAACTGAGTCCACAGGGACCAGTCAAACAGGGCCCTAGAGAAAGCGTTCGTCTCAGCCGCAGCTTTTTCGGCATTGGCATCTTTACCCTCGGAAGCTTGAGTGCCCGTCTCGGCTTGCTTCTGAAGGAGCTCAATACCGCGCATGAAGACGGCATGGCAAACATCGAAGATCTCGCCCCACTCCTGGAGGACCTCCAAGTGGTTCACAATCGCTTTGAAGACTGGATAATGGCTTTCGGTGATGGCCTTCCAGGCATCGACACCCTCTTGCTTCAGTCGGTTGGCATCCGCGGATTCCAGCTTCAATTCGATGTGGACCCACAGAAGCATCTCTTCCTCAGTGATAATGGCATGGGGTGGAAGTGTCTTGCCATCAGGGGTCTATATCACAAAGTAAGTCAAGGATATTGATGACGACTGTCTCCTCTTGGCACATACCTCGGAACGTAAGGCATAAGCGCGGTCAATTGTTTTCTTTGCTATTTGCCATAAGAGAGCGCGCATCTTGGGGTCCTGAGTTTTCTTGGGATCATTCTGTATCAAGAAGATCTCAACAGCTGTACCCGCAATGACAAGGTTCAACCTACTGCGCGAATGTACAACAGCACGATGTTGTTGAAGTGATCAAGTCTATCACCGGGTATGTTTGTTCCTTTGCTCTTGACAATCTGCAGGTAAATGTTAAGAAATGGAGCTTAGTTCACCAAAGTTTGCGTTGTCACTCACCTCCTGGGCATGCTCCCAGTCTTCGTTAGCAATGCAAGCGGTAAGAGAAACCTTGTACACCTCTTTGTCACGCTTGCACATCTTCACCACAGCAGAGCGGAGGACGCCAATGGTTTCGGACCAATTGGGCATGCCACGGCAAGCCCAGTCCAGTAGGTCCACAGCCCAGGGATCAAAAGGATGGACCTTGGCCTTGGCCATTCTCTGCACCTCTTCCCGGGCGGCATACTTGTCACCAGGGTGTTCCAGCTCAGATCTGGCAGCCAACGCGACAGCCTGTTGTAGATGTTAGTCTCGAACTTGACTTGCAGATGAATGTGTCAGAGAGAATCTTGGGAAAAGGCCACTCGAGATCCGGAGGTCAATTAATTTGGAAAGAGAGCTGCCCGGACTGGCGAGGACTACTGTGTTGTTGGAGGGAGTTACAACAATGTCGGGGTGGATTTGCATTTTGTAAAAAGGCTAATTCAGCAATTTCCACAGCTGCTACCATGATAGCAGGCCAACCCAACGAAGATGCAGATTGCTCCATCCATTGAAGGGGCGGCTCCGAGACTGACGGGAGGTTGCCACTGCCGAACACGAGTTGCTAGGTGGCATGGAAAGTGTTTTGAAGTGGTTGATGGTGAAGTAGGCACACACGGCAACTCAAGAGTTCCGCTGCACTTAACATACACTTGGGACTGCAAGGGTGACCAAGTTGTCGACAGTGAAAGCAACATTTTCGTGTCGCAAGAAGGGTTGTGATGAAGGAGGAAATCGAGGTAAGGGCACCAGTGTTACCAAGTTGTTTGCCGCACTTAGCCTCAGGTGCACTTGCTCTAGGACGAGCTCACAACTGCACCCAGGACAACGAGGACAGACAATAAGATGACCGCCGTTGAAGCAGGATTTCCTGGGCCAACTAGGAGTTACCTGCGCTGAATACGAGTTTTCGAAGGCCATGGAGGGTTATGGGGGTTAACAGAGAGGAAATAAGTGTCACCTACCTCGTAATAGTCCTTGTCAGCACCTTGAACATTCCTGAGCAGCTGCTTGGTGAGGTTCACGACGGCACTCCACTGCTCATTGTTCCAGGCCTCGATCAGCTTGTTGCTGCATGAATCCTTGAGTCTGGGCTTACGCCCAGGTCCGCCGTACGAAGTGCTCATCTTGATAGGTGATGATGAGAGTTTTGGCTTCAGATGGTGGTGGTGCGAGGTTCGGAAGTGGGAAAATGGAATTCTCCGTGAGGACACATGGCGTGATTGAATAAATTCCAGGCAGGGCTGGATTGGATCTCACTGATAAGATAAGGCAGTCACATGGAGGCAGCAGAACAATGCACCAAAATTCACTTTGCTATTCAGATATTATCGGTTGGTGTTTTCCAAGTAGATCAGCAAGCCATACCAGACGCAATTTGCCGAAGTCGTTAAGATGAACTTGCACTACGATTCTGCCATGACGCACGGGCCAGTACTCGCAACGCACTTGAGCAGTGAATGAGCGGGCGGTCTCGGCTATTCTTCGGGCATCCAGGGAAGGCACGCTGTACTGTGCAGATAGATCTCTGAACTTCGGATGGAATGATCACACTGCAGTCTTGACAGCCAGCTCAATGCCATTGGGTAAACTAGTAGTCGCAACTCTCGAGAAACTCGTCATGATAATATGGTCTACACTGTGATTCCTTACAACAACTAATGCATAGATCACCACTACTGGATCGGCATGCCTCTCGTTACTGAGATGTCGCAACAGTCTATCAAGTTGTCAATATGACTCTGTGCCGATACTGAAACAAGTGACAGACTGCATTACACACATCCTCGCCACAGTTTCCCCGGCAATTATGATGGAAAATAACCTCAGTAACCCTTGCTTTCGCGTCCAGTTCCAAGTAGCATATTCTAGAAGTCCTTGCTACTTCCGGTCTACTGTCTGGCCTCTGCCGCTCATATCTGTACATTTCGAGGATACCATGGGGATCCTAGAACCAAGCGCCGCCTTGCCTTTTTCCCTCCTCTTTGCGTCTATTGATCCAATCCTTCTTGCATGCGCGATATGCTCTGTGACACTATCAGCTCTGTCCCAGTCCCGTATTCTTCGCGGTACCCAGGAGAATGCGCTAGCCCGAGGAACTCCAGCAACTCACTCAAAGTAGTCGGTACACATCTTCCTGTCGCCCTGGTTTCGATTCAAGCATCGAATGCTTCTCGCGGCGGCTTCCTGGCAGGGATCGAAGTACTCGCTCTTAGATTTACTGCAATATCGAGGCCACGGGTTAGCAGTGGTTCTTCCAGGTTTCGCTCTGGAGCGGGCAAATCTCGAGAGGGCAACATACTTGTTGAACTTGCGCTTTGTCTCTTTGTCCCAGGGATCCCCGTTGCTATCATTTTGTGACGACATCTTGATCCATCAACCACTTCCACAGAGTCAGCGACGCGTTGTTTCCAATGGTCTTGAACCTCTGGCGGGTTTGTCGATCTCCCGAGGTCCTGCCGTACTGACGTCACTTCTCAGCTGGAGGCAGCTGCCTGACTGCGTATCTCTTCTGCCACTGCAGGCGTTGCTCAAGCGTCGGGTCAAGTCCGGATATCTCCTGCGACTGCTGAATGTTGTAACTTCAACTTGGCCTTCAACCCATTTTGGGAGATTTAGATATTGATGGAGTGAAGTAGTCATTACTTCTCGCGGTAGATCACCAACCCGGCGGTGTCTGATTTCTTTAGCCTTCGATTTCAAGCATGACTCTAACATCAGCTTTGATACAACCGAAGACATGGGCAGAAGGTCCTTATTACGCAGAGCCACAGACGTCCGATTGGTCTACTCCGTATCTTTCAAGATATGTAGTACCGTTTGTGAAGGTATCCACCCCACAAGTAAGGCCCCTCCAAGGCTTCAACCTTTCCGAGACAACTTAAATGTGGTCATGCAGATTAGTCTTTCTGATCCAGCATCCTTTTCCTGCCATCGCAACTTCCCAGCATTGAATTGGCAGTATAAGATTAACAAGGAGTCCCTTTCGCGCATGGATAACGCCCTCGTTATGGTCCCGTATTCACGGCAGTGAACGATTGTGGCTATCTTGTTCAAGTAGCTGGCCAGCATCGTGTCTGCCGTACAGGGCCTTTAATCGAGATTAGAGCCATGCGCCAGGAAGCCCTCAATCGTTGGTTTCCACTTGGAGTCTCAATGTTCACACTCGAGTTGTCGCATATGCTTTCCAATTCAGAGATGCGACCTGGATCCTCAAGTCGCAGAGTCTCCTCTGGTTATGTTACTAGTTTTGAGGCGAGGGACCATCCTTCTCGACGCGACCTGTTGACTTGGAGCTTGTTGATCCGGTGGATATCGCATCTGCCTGGACTCATGATCGTCGCCTTCCCTAATCAGCACCTGGTTCAGGGTCTGGCGACGGATGTCGCATGAACTCCAGGTCTAGGTACTAGCAGCATACCTTCTTCAATAGACGGCAGTTGCCTCCCCCTCTTTCTAGTTTGCGCCATCATTACTTAGATCTCCCCGCAGTTTCAGATCCGTTTGGTTCTCCGACTTCTGCTCATTGGGAGTCAACGGACTCCGCCTAAGAGTCGTCTGACATTGTTCGGTATTATTATCACCCGACGGCGTCGCAATTGCATTTGCGCTCGTTCCTCCCGTCGTCCTCGCAAACGTTTGTTCCATTGTCACTTCCCACTCTCGCTGCATCTGTCTTGTGATCTGAAAATTCGAGTCCAGCCTCCGGGAGCGCTTGACGAACTCTATTAGGCGGTTCAGTATGCCAACCTCGCATTTCACCTTGACGCTGTACACGAAGATCTTGTATGTCAGCTGGGTCAGGTAGAGCCCCAGGTATTCGAGGACGAGAATGGTGACGTCGAGCGCGACAACGATGATGTTGACAACGATGAGGTAGGTCAAGATCTCGCGGATCTGTGGGTAGCAAATGAGAATTAGTGATCTGTGCCTCCGAACCGTCTCGACAACAAACTGGGAGAAGACGACGCCACTTTCTGCACTAGTTCGAAAGGGAAGCCCCGAAAGTACTGACCGTGCGAGCAGATCTATCCTGGGAGTTGATGAGGTTGCTTGAGTACTTCCCGAGGAACTCCTTTGCTTTCCACAAGTATAATCCCGAGATGATGATCTCCTGGATGAAGAATATCGTGACCTGGACCTTCTCAAATATATTGTACGGGTAAATGTACCGGTCAGGACTGTTTGAATTGGCCCCCATGGTCAAAATGAAACCGGCGCTGTGCACAACGATGGCATTAAAGATGATCATGATAAGAACCAGACGGAGTGTTCGCAACTCGATATATAGCAGATGCAACCGCGAATATAGCACAAGTGACTGCCCCGTGACCATGGGAATCCACCCCACGCAGCTCAAAGCCGCGGGAACCAGATTGGACCGATTCGTAACCCAGATATTGATGATTTGCGCAGCGGAGCAGATGAGGACGCCCGTAACGGTGACGCAGAGGCTCCAGAAGTATAGCGTCCGGTATCGGGTGAAGGTGAGAAACACGAGGGGCACCATCTCAATCGAATTCCATATCGCGATGCCGACGAACGACGCCATGAGGAGGCACTGGCCTGGGGATACGTCGCCGGCGCGAATGCTGCTACCGATACCTGTGTCCGTGAAGACCGATCTGCCTACATTCAGCCCGAAAGGCTCAGTCGCTGGGTCGGCCATGGCTGTGAGCAAGTTGGCGACCAGTGACGGCGCCACTGCTTCTCAACGGCCAACGAGCTATTCCAAAACGCCACGAGGATATCAATTCGTGAATCTTTATATCCCGTGGGAAAAGTTTACATGAAAGAGTTCCATACTAGCAGCCATTTGCTCAACTCTATCAGCACCCGAAGGCCAGGTGAGCTGAAGGTTTGCACGCCGGCAGGGGTCGTCCCTACCCATGTGTTGAAAAAGCAGGACTCAACGGTCGAGATGGAACAGAGTTCGACACTAAAACAATATTCTGATATCCCTTATCCGTGTTCCATGCGTCGAGGCATATTATCATTCCCAGATCTCATTGGACGGTTGATATCATATAGCCCGGCAATACTTGATATGCCGTTGCTAGATTTACGGAGCTGACGGTGTGCACTGGTGCCTGACTCGGTTTCGTCTCTTGGCTGACAGTGATTTTTTCAGTCACTTGGAGGGGGGAGGGTGTGGAGGGTGTGGAGGCGGGGGAGGTGCTGTTCAGACGCTTGGGAGCGATCGACCCACCATTGAACTAACTCCAACAGATGCTCTAGATACTACCAAGGTAGTCCTTTCCTTAGGAGTTCAAGATCTTATACACTGTCCAGACTTTGCACTGTTAAACACGCTCATTAGATCCGTCCCGTCTATTCGTTTCCCCCTCATACTGCTGGGCGCAAGATTGTCGCCAGGATTACGACTGTCGTCTGCTAGTGTCTATTTGTTTACCATGCCGCGCAATGGTAGATATGGCGGCGACGGGACAGATAACGAACGGTGCGCAGTTGGCCGCGAAGATGCCCCTTCCTCTTCTGGGTCTCTCGCCCTGTTGATGTCAAATCCGTCAAAGCCGACCCACCTACCCCAGCCCCCGCGGAACAATCTATGCCCAGCAGGATTCCGCTCATTTTGGACCTTCATGAGCACAGGGCGTGAGGGACTTACTGGATCCCATTCAGAAGCCAATCGATAGGGTCCACGACACCAGTAGTTTGGCGACGGCTCACAAGGACAAGCTTGTACCGTACTCAACGCCGGAGTGGGATTGGTCCGATTGCGGGTGCGCGCTTTGAAAGGCGTCAGGAGCCGGCTCCAAACCGGTGGGACTCTTCCCGCCAGTTCGATCAGGCAACCGGGTGCAGCTGCAACGACCGACCGCTTTGCTCATTGTCCATTGAGAGGGTGAATGCTCAATTGCCAGATGATGAACTTAATTGCGTACATAGTCATGCGAATGAATGAATAGTATATCACCCGGTTTCCCAGCATCCGAGCCCAAACCGATCCCAATCTCGAAGCACCAATAGTCCAGCCCAATGCGCCGCAGGCCTTGTTCCCTCGTTCATCTACTGCTTTACCATGAAATACCAGTTGACGGCGTCCTGCGGCTCCCCCAGTCCAGACTTCATCCAGCATGTGAGCGACCCTTCATAATTTCCCCAGCCAGCACCCACGCAACCAGCATTAGATGCGCAGGTATTTGCGCATTCGACGGCCGTTGCCGTCACCAGATTGGACATATCCGTCGTGCCGCCGCCGCTGTTATAGTCGAGGTTGCAGAGCACGAGGAAATTGTCATCATTGTTCGCCGTGTACACCGTTGCATTGTCCGATGGGCAGGATAGGGATTGCGTTGTCGCCGTTGCGGTCGGGCTGCTGGATGTGGTGGATGTGCTGGACGTGGTGGATAGGGTGGAGCTGCTCTCTTATGTTAACTTCCTCCGAGGCAGAACGGTTTAATACGGTACGCAGCTTACGTTGTGGTTGTCGCACTACTCTCGGTGCTGTGTGACGTCCCTAGCCCTACGCCCAACCCAACGGCAAGGCCGATGACCAAGATGGCGATGAGGGGACCGAATATCAGCCAGAACCTCCGCCTTCTTATCCCCATGATCCTCGGCTCATATGACTTTTCGGGCGTCGAAGGCGCATAGCTTCCAGTGAATTGCGCTGGAGATCCCCCGGAGCCCGGGCTTAGGTATCCAGCCTGGGGGGATAATTGCCCATACTCAGGCGACGTTGGTACATGCTGGTGCTGCTGCTGAGGATATGGCGCACCGACCGGCGTGTCCCATGTTTTCACGACATGGGGACCCTGAATAACGTGCGGTGCCTCCGGCTCTGGCGCAACCTCAAGGCCAGCCTGCTCGTGTAAATCTGGTCTTGCCGCCATGTTGTCTTCTGAATGGATTAAACCGTTGTCGATCTCGAACTTGGTGTCGTCGCTCTGCCTTAATCACCTCCAAGTCGCCATTGTCAAAAAAAACTTGACAGGAGCAAAGCGAGCGGGAGAGGAAGCAGGCAACCACTGCAGTTCTGTCTCATTTTTTGAAATCCTTCGCGCCTGCAATCTCGAGTTGGGGCCCAGGATTAACCGAATCTGGACTCCAATTGTCTGATCCATGCCGTGCTCTGCATATTGAATTCTACAACGGGTTTAGAGGTGCTGCGAAGTGCTTTTGGTTGGCTTCCGTCTTTGCCAAATTTAGCGACATCGTTCGAGTGACTGAAGGTTATTGGATTGTCGACCTCATGATGCGGGTCGACTGGGCCGTGCAACGGTGCAACCCTAGGACAGTGACTGGGCCAATAGTGTTCGGACCCCCTGCAGAAAGATTGTTGGCGCTGGCGACAGCATGCGAAGGTCTATTTTTGGGCAGGATCGCTGAAGATCTTGTTCATGTACGGCACTTTTTCAATATTTTGTGAAGGATCTATGGGTCATGCTTGCCAAGCAATGCTGCCAACTTACGACAGATTGCTTCGTCTCCTTGATCTGAATTATACGAACGAGAACGAACTGGGATCATTTGGAGGACTCCGAGCACTAAAAACTGGTCTCTCGCAAAAGTTATCTGCGGAGTAACTTACTGCGACCACGGTTGCCACAGCCACAGTTTTCAGATCGAGAAGTTCGACCTCACCCGAACAGGTAATTCCAGCATGAATTGAAGGATGTACATGCTTCTTATAAATAGTAGATTATAAGGTTTCCACGGCCAATATTATGCGGGCGGCCTTGCAACTAGCGACAAAAACGCTCAAAGGGGCCAGTATCGTCGGAGGGAGTTTCGACGAATAGTTAGCCCTGGTAAGGGGCTGGTCGAGCCTATTTGGTGGAGAACTAAGGTCCTGATCGGCAGCGTGTCCAGCGGACCTTGTAGGGTCGATTCGGCACATCGTTTTTTTATTTATCGACAGCTAATGTGCCACTTAACCTATTTTGGCACTGATTTGGCCACAACTGCATCCACTGTGTCCAGACGAGAAACTTGGCATGTACCGCGCTAGACAGGGGCTCCTCCGGGGTATGAAATAGGTAAGGCGCCCTAATTCTGCCAAATCTGTGCCCAAACGCAGTGTGCCCAAATAACAGTCCAAGCGGTCGGATTCTGCAGTATTTTGACTGCTGGACACCAACTTGCTGAGTCAGCAAGCGCTAAGATGGCGAGCGAAGTTACTGATATCCGACGGACTGCCTTTATTATAGCAGTCAACCCTGCGTTACAAGTGCTATGCGATAGCTACAGTCTCGATCGGGAAGGGGACCGTAGGTTCCTAGGCGCCGAGGATCGTGAAGTAGTCCACGAGGGGGGGTTCGTGGCGGCGAGGCGGCTAGCGAATCGACTACTTGAAGGCTCGCCAACGCGCTTCTTTCAGCTATTTCGGATGAATAAGGACACTTTCTGGAAGCTATTAGAATGGCTTGAAACGTACACAGCGTTCAAGGGGACCTACTATCAATCGGTGGCGCAGAAGTTGATGATCTTCCTCTGGATTGTCAGGTTACGGCCTGGACCGAAGGCGATAGTACAGAGTGAAGGGGAGAAATAGGCGTGTCCCCCTGGTGGTCACCTGGTGGTCACTGGTGGTCACCTGGTGGTCACTGGTGGTCACTTGGTGATGGCAGGTAGGGGTGTCCACAGTAGTTCATTGATCTCTGCCCTCTCTATCTTCCTCCGTCTCGACTCCTTACTTATAGCCAGCCGAGGTTCTCTCTTGGATTCTGGATGTTTGCTTCCGTATGTCTGTGTTCCTCCGACTTCGGCCATTATCTTGGATAGCGGCTCCTTATCTGCAACCAAGCGATTCCCTATCCGCTGCAAACGGCTTCAACGGCTCTCATTCGCCACAAGCGGCTCTCTAGCCGCCACAAACGGCTTCCTACCTGGTGGAAGCCGGCCCGCCTCGGATGACACTTGTGGCTCTGACATGGATCTTGGCATATAACGAGCCACAGCAGAACGTAGCCCATCGATTCCACTGCGCGCAGAGCACTGTATCAGATGTATTCCATTCGTTATTACCTCGGATGGTTCGCCTCTGTAAAGCGGTGGTGAAGTTGCCAAGCAGCAGTTATCTGAGCCGTGAGATCGAATTCAGCCCGAAGTTGAACGCCTTCAGTGGATGTATTGGAGCAGTCGATGGGACTCTGACCCACGCCTTTATCCCAGTCAATCGACAGAGACGCTGGCGTAGCCGCAAGGGCTGGGTTTCTCAGAATGTATTCGCAGCAGTCCGGCCCGATGGCACCTTCTCGTACGTGGTGGCAGGAGGGGAGGGATCGATCCACGATTCGAGTCTCACTTCTAGGGCCTTCGCGGGCTCCTTTACGATACCAGAGGATCGATTCTACCTAGGCGACGGCGGATTTGGTCACCGACGAGGGCTTCTAATCCCATACTTCGATACACGTTACCATCTTCAAGAGTGGCCCTATGGGGGGCGGAAGCCAGAAACAGCGAAAGAGCTCTACAATCTACGCCATTCGGGGGTCCGCGTAATCGTTGAGCAGGTGTTTGGTGTACTGAAGAGGAAGTGGAAGATAATTCGTGCTTCAGCACCCGAATATGGGCTCAGAACGCAGATTCGAATCGTATACGCCGTTTGCGCGCTCCATAACTTCATCCGACGCGGCGGGAAGGTTGAAGAGGATGATAATGATGGCTTGAGCGATAGACAGTTGCAATTCCTTGAGCAACGGCGAGGTTGGCTACGGCAGAAGAGACGGAGGAAGACGTCCTATAAGGTCCGCCATAGAATCGCAGTAAAGATGTGGAAGGATTACTACGCTTATTTAAGGGCCAGTACAACGGATGATGATGAAGAAATCGAAAATCAATAGAACTATTCAATCAAATCGTTCCTACTAGCCCTAGCCCTACCCCTGTTGACGCCTTCTGCTCCAACGCCGTCGCCTTTAACTTCCTCATCATCAATCTTCGCACCGATTCTCGTCAATAGCCATAGCCTACGTTCGCGGGGATCGCTAAGCTGGCAATAGAGGACGCTATTCGTAGTGTTGCTCCCGATCTCGTCGTACGCCTTCATCCGTAGCCGCCAGTTAAGATCCTTCACGAAGCCGTCACTCTGAAGTAGCCTCATCGCGGCAGCTATATTAGTAGCACCAATAGGGCGACTAATCGCACGCGAGGCTCGTTCAATACTACTACCGAGGTCAGTTAACTGCTTCTTACGATCCCACTTCTTACTAAACTCTCGCTGTAGGTCCTTCACACGCTTATGGCGCTGTCGCGCCTCATTATCGTCATCCGATTCGTCAGATATCGTGGTGTTGATGTCCGGATCCAGCCTCTGCCTCTTCCGCCGCCCCGTTATGATAGAAGTACTTGAAGTACTTAGTGTTGGTGTTAATAGGCTGTCAGCGTCGGATTGGTCGCTTAGGATAGCCTCGGGGACATCCTCTTCATCACCGGGCTCAGCTATGCATTCCCCAGTAGCTGATTCGGCCCAGAAGATCTCCTGCTGAATAGAAATAGGACCAACTGGTTCGGTAACCAACCACCTCGATTTGGCGCCGTGTTTATTGATAAAGCCGTTGATACGATCCGGGGAGTCGGTACACTTCAAAGTGTCTGGGTCGATAGATAGCCCCGACTTGGCGGCGGCTAGGTAAACACCCTGATGCGAGTGCATATGGGGTGTGAATTGTTGTATTGGGAAAGGATGGCCAGGTCAGCTATTCTGGCCTGGCAGAGCTCTTTTATAGCTCTAATCTATCTTATCTATAGCTATAGGGTAACCCCCCATGGGGTCACGTATCACACCCCATCTGATCCTCTCATCCGCGTACTTCTTGCTAACTTTATCAATAGACCAAACGTACTGCGTATCTTGATTCAATAGCTCTACGAGCTTCTGCCAAGCCGGTTTACGCGCGCTAGGCCTGTCTATATTCAGCATCCCAGCCCGGAACACTTCAAGCACCTTCTGTAAGAAGATCACCCTCAACGATGGTGTCATTCGAATAGTAGTCTTTATCGCCTGATGCCGAGCCTCCCGCGTTGTTGGCTTCCTCTTCCTCTTCCTCTGCCCCGCTGGCAGAGGCGTTTGGGGGGTGGAGGACCGCGAAGCGGCTCGATCGGTTGGAGTACGAGGAGAGAGAATATCGTCGATATTAGGGAAGTTGGGAATAGCGTCATCATCGCCCTCTACAACAGTGGACTGCGTAAAGCCACTATCAGGGGGGACGAACTGGGCGTCCTCTCCACTAGGACCAGCTACAGCGGCGCTGTTAGCGAAGGGGCCTTGGAATTCGTCTTCAAGCCACTGTGATGAAGCCATAATAGATGAAGTTATCGTCAAAGGTATTTTTCTACGCAGTTTTCTAAACACTAATGTTAAGTGGCAAGTTTCATTGACACCGCCTGCTTAATTCGGTAGGGTTCCACTGCTAATTTTGATTTAGGTACGTCCTGGGCCCTTTACTAGCTACATCTAACGCTAGTAGGGATTAGGAAGTCACTTTGTGCCGAGCGAAGGTGTGCCCAAACGAGCTGCCGATCAGGACCTAAGTCCGACCGACCCAATCGCTTCTGTAGCCATGAGTTTCACCTCAATGTTACAAAGTCACAGCTTCTCTCAACATTCCCAAATCTCATAAAATCGGCGGTGTTATATCCCAAGAAGAGCGCCAATATCACGCATGTTGTATTACTGATCCAGTCGTCTCTCGCCTCTTCCGCATTCAAGCAACTTAACAAACCAGTCACTTCATCATTTCCTTGAATGGAGACTACCGCTGGGTGCTTAGGCGCGAGCCTTCGTGACTCGCCGGGTGTATTTGATCCTGTTTGGTTGTCTTCCACATGATGAAAATAGCAACCGGTATCATAGGGTGTATTTCACCAAAAGATTTCAAGTTGACTTGCACATGGGTTTGCTAAAAGCCCGTCTATCTTCGACCAACCCGAACTGCTACGTTCAGTCCCGGGACCATAGCTAACAGTATTCCAGACTTTTCACAGATCACGTACCACAAAGCTCTGTTCGTCCTCGGCCGGTCACTTACGCTTGATCGCCTTGTTCTTGATGTCGCCTGCTTTGCCGTCTTCATTCCCAGCGTTGATCGAGGTTCTGATGGTCAAAAGCAGACCTCGGTATATACTCTCACTTCTTGACCAGGACTCCCCTTGTCTATGCAGCCAAATACCCTGTGGGACTACTTGAGGATGCTGTGTCAAAGAGGCCGGCCTACCTTGGTTAGGAACCTTGAAATTCCACGTCGTCCCTCTGACACCCTAAATAGGGTTATACCTGGTTACCACGAACCGTTGGTTCTTACTGTTGAAGCAATACGATATGCCCCGTTAGCAGCGTCTGAAACGCAGCAGAACTGTCTGCGTCCGAGGTGTCCCCATCGACTGGAATATCCCCGCCTTAGTCAGCCATCCAGTTATTAATTTAGTTCTGCCCCATCGGTCTCCGTGAGAGTAGACCCCCCGTCTTCTCTTCCGTTATAGTAGAATGAAGTTCATTGACCTTCTATGTCCGTCTGCGCCATGACAGCCCTATAAATAGAGAATTGAGACATGCTGGTTGTCATGCTCCGTAAGCTGCTTCATATAGATTGGCTTATTACGCGTCATTATAGCTATACTTCTTCATAGTTCAACAAATCATTACAAAAGGGATCGGCAATAACTTTGATAAGTTCAAAGTATGGTTCCTCGAGAAGAAGATGCGAGATATCTGGGTCTAGCTAAAAAGCCAAACTTACCTATCAAGTGAAGTGATAACACTCGATAAGGGGGCTTTTGTGTTGGTCTCCAAAGTATCAAAGAGTACGATATGCCGAAGAATATCAGGAAAGACAGTAAAAAGGCCATGGGGTGCAAACAGGGTAAACGCGGGGAATCAAGCGCCCAGGCTGACAATGCTGCCGGCTGCCAAACTACGATCCCAAGACCACTTGCCACACGACACATGCTCACAAGGCTGGGTCTGACTTGCCTAGCCCAGAGAACGACCAACCTACATGATCGCGAAGAATATGGTGTTGATGTTGCTGCGGCACATAGATTGAATGGGAATGTGATCATAACCGTCAGGATCCTCGGGTGGTTATTTTCATCTGTCATAGTCTAGGGGGTATTGTTTGCAACTAGGTACAAGATATTATAAGCTCTTTATAACCACCTCCCTGTTATCTATGTCTATATTGACACATCAAGGCTCTGATCTTTGCTTTGGAAGACGATGTGGTATACGGTGCACCATTGAGATCTGTCAAAGGTATCGTCTTCCTTGGCACACCTCATCGAAGGAGCACGTCGCAAATATTGGGGAAATTGGAGGAAGAATCATTAACGTATGTTTCGCAATACTGAATGCAGCCGAGGCACTGGAGGCCGTCAGGACGGTCTTTCTGAATCACCTTAGTACCTCGCTATCTGCGAAAGACCTGCACCACCGGAACTGAAACAAGCTGTTAAGAGCATTCTCAACTTAAACCTGGCCAAGTCGTACAACTGGCTGAGATTTTACTGGATTTGCTTCAATTTCAGCGGTTTTCTTGCCGAGTTTGTCGAGGATGTTGAGTGGCCCCAGGCTAGCCAGGACAGAGCATTGTTCTGAGCATCCAGGGCAGGCCATGGAATAAAGGTGGAAATACTGCTTCACATTGGACGCGCCTCCACTGGTCAAACTTGTAAATTATATTCCCGATCAGCGTCCCCTTCCTGCAACTATCTGCGCCAAGTTGTAGGGTCTAGAATAGTTTTGTTTTGCGAAGGATCCAGCCGCACCGAGGGGAGGAGCGAATATATCAATTCAAAATCGCCCACCTTCAATTTCTGAGACCTTAAACCTAACCAGAAATGCACCAGTGAAGATCCGTATGCATCTAGTGCACACGACGAGGAAGTATATATCACCAAGAAAACTTCGACTTGGTCTGTTTTTGAAACAAATCTACAAGCCCACCACATTAAGCTAATAATCACCACACAATATTAAGGGGACTGTGAGACTCCGATCACTTCATGCAGTGCATTTGAGAGGAATGATCAAGAAGCTAGATAATAGCTCTGAGTGAATGTAAATAATCAAGAAACAGATGCAGTACTGCAATGGCCATAGAAATACTGATATGAACAAAGATTATAAGCGCATACTTCTCCAACTCTCTTCCGAACGAAAGAGGTCTATAGGCGGGTAATTAAGTGACGATAACATAGTCTTGGATGGGTACGTGACATGATCAAGTTCATGTGACATCCCTAATCTAGAACATGATACTAACATATTGTTATTAGCATGAAGACCCCGATATTGGAATTAGAATAACAATCCAATCCACAGTAGCTTTTATTTTACTCCTCAAGTCACCATCTGCAACTCAAGCCCCAAGCTGTTCCTCCTCAAGTACGCCCTCCCCTCCCCTATTCCCATGCGCGTCCGCCTCCGGCACTCCCCATCCCCCACCTCCAGGGGTATTTATTTGCATAATCTCGCCCTTTTCCAGATTAACTACCGCCTTCCCCCTAAGTTAATCCTCTCCAGCCCGCCTACCTCGTTGTACTTGAACACATAATTTCTGCCCGCCTCGGCCGCCCCACCCCCATTCATGCCATACGGCCTATACACCCGCCTGTCGCTAAGAATACTAAACTTGAGCGGCATCCTCGCCTGAATTTCCCTCACTGTCCCATCACCGCCGTTAAATTTCCCCTTGCCCCCGCTACCGCGACGGATGGAGTACTCCGTCACGAGGACGGCGGTGCGCTTCTCGATGACTTCCGGGTCCGTATTGCGCGTGTTAGTCGAGTGGACATTGACGGCCGACTCGCCGTGCCAGGTTGGGCCGGCGCCGACACCGCCGCCGAGGGATTCGCCGTAGTTCCATCCAGGTTTCACCTCGCCCGTGAGTGGATCCTTCCCACCCATGCCCCAGCCAAAACTGCTCGCGCAGCCCTGGCTGGCAGCGCAGCGGCCAAAAGCACGGAAAATGGTGTCGACGACGCGCTGGCTAGCGAGGGTTGAGCCGCAGACTGCTACAGCGGGGCTTGGGTTTAAGATCGAGCCTGCGGGTACGAGAATATTGACGGGGGTCAGACAGCCCTCGTTGAGCGGGATATCGATGTCGACTAGGCAGCGGATGGTGTAGATGATGGCCGAGTGGGTGATAGAAATAGGGCAGTTGTAGTTGCCCCATTGTTGTGCCCCGGTGTCGGAGAAGTCGTACGTCGCCGTGCCTGTCTCTCCGTCGATGGAGATTTTTAACTTGATGGGTGTTCCGTCGTCGAAGTAGTCCGTCGCTGTCAGTGGCGCCGGGTGCTCCTTTGCGATGCGCTTGAAAAATTCGCGTACGGCAACTTCTGCGTTTGCTTGTATACCATGCATGTACATGTGGACGACGGGAAGAGTGAACTCGTCGCACAACTTCCCAAGCAGGATTGTACCTCGTTGGTTGGAAGAAATTTGGGCCTTGAGATCTGAAATGTTGTCACCGATGCGGCGAGTCGCACTGCATCCCGGGAAACTCCCAGCTTTGTCGAACGCTGCCCTGACGTCATCCTCCAGAAAGTCGCCGCCGCTTACGATCTTCAGTGACTTGATGTTTATCCCTTCCTCCCACAGCTCTTTGGATTCGGGCATCATGGACGTAATGCCCTTTCCCCCGATATCCGTATGATGTCCCCGAGACGCGACATAAAACGCGATCTTATCTCCGACAAACATGGGACTGACGACCGTGAGGTCTGGTAGATGAGTTCCGCCACACTGGGGGTGGTTCGTGAGTAGCACATCACCAGGCTTAAGCTTTCCTTTCCAGAGACGATGTTGATACTGAATGGCAAACTGCATGCTTCCCAGGTGGATGGGAATGTGTGGCGCATTAGCAACAAGCTTGCCATCTGGCGAAAATATGGCGCACGAGAAGTCCAGCCTTTCTTTGATGCTGGTGGATATTGATGTTCGCTGCAAGGTGTTTCCCATCTGTTCAGCAATCGACATGAATCGATGGGCGAAAACTGAAAGCTGAATCGGACTGATGACATCCGCCGATACCCCGGCCAAGAGTCCTCCTGCCTTCTCCTCCTCGATCTTTTCCAAGACGATATGGTTCTGCAGCACATAGCCTCTGAAGCCCGGGGCGACAAAAATGGTCTGCGTCTTGTCGATTACCAGGGCTGGTCCGTCCAGCCTGCTTCCCTTGGCGATGTGGTCGAGTGGGTAGACTGCTGCATCTGCCCAGCCGTTCTCCACATAAACCTTCTGAGTTGCGAATGACGACGCATTCGGTATTGTCATCGAAGATTCGAGGGAGGCCAGCTCTTGTAGTGGCGAAGTCTCTCTTGAGAGAGACCCTGCGCTGCCTGTTCCTCGCACCTTGATCGAGTCGACGACGATGTTTCGGTTAAGTGTGAACGCGAACTCACGTAAGTGGATAGCCTTGAATGCTGATCCATAATTCTCGTCGGCAGGTTTCGACACCGTAATGCTAGTGTCGGTACCAAAATATCGTAGGACTAGTGACTCGTCATAGGTCAGCGTGTCGCGCTTTGCTCCTTGCGACACCAATTCTTCCGCAACCTTCTCACGTAAGATTGCCAGCCTCTCCCTGATAGGATCGAGGATGTCAACCGTGAAGTTCCCCGCGTATGGCTCATAACTTTCAGTCTGCAACTGGGCTTGGGCGATGCCATATGCCGACAGCAACGACGACCACTTGTGGATGAGAATTCTTCGTATGCCGAGCTTGTCTGCTATGGAACAAGCATGCTGTCCACCAGCTCCACCGAAACTGACGAGATTATGTCTTTCGGGGGCATAACCCCTCGCTTCGGTGGTATTCCTGATTGGCCGGCTCATGGCTTCATTGGCAACGTTCAAGAAGCCCAGAGCGACTTCCTCAGGTGTCAGACTTTGACCAGTCTGGCGGTTAATGTCGTCGGTAATCTCGTGGAATTTCCGAACAACGATATCTTGATCGAGAGATTCATTGGCATTAGGTCCAAATATTGAAGGGAATGAGGATACGACCAGGCGGCCGAGAAAGAGGTTGGCGTCAGTCACAGTCAGCGGCCCTCCTTTTCGATAACAGGCTGGACCAGGATGGGCACCGGCACTCTCTGGACCGACCACGAGAAGCCCACTGCGTGCGAATAAGATAGACCCACCCCCGGCAGCCACCGTCGAGATGTTGAGCATCGGCGTGGATATTGTCCTTCCCGCAATAGTTGTCTCCGTCAAATGATCGTATTTGCCATCATACCTCGACACATCAGTAGATGTGCCACCCATGTCAAATCCGATAATTGGTGTGCCATCCTCTTCGTCGTAACACGATCGTGCAATGCCTACGACGCCACCCGCAGGTCCGCTTAGCAGTGCCTCATTACCCCTGAACTTCTGCGCTTGCTTCAAGCCGCCATCAGAGCACATGAACTCGACTCGTTGAGGCAGGATCTGAAAGCCTGATTCGAAGTTCTCAACATAACTTCTGACAATCGGGTACAAGTATGCCTCTGAACAAGTGGAATTGCTTCGGTTCAGCAGCTTAACAACCGGGCTAGTTTCGGATGACGTGGTGACGTAGTGAAACCCGACTTCCCTAGCCAGTTCGGCAACGATATTTTCATGATCAGGGAATAAGTGCGCATGCATGAGACAAATCGCGATGGATGAGTAGCCCTGATCCCGAAGCGTCTTAAGCTGATCACTCACTTGATCTCGGTCGATTCTCTTCAGGACTCTGATGAGTTCGCCGCTCGGCGTTGCCAAAACCTGGGGATCCGAGAGTGCTGCTGTCTTATCTAAAGGCCATGGGTTGAGGTCATAATCCTCTATCGTCACCCGCTCGTCAATCTCAATAGCAGCATCATGCAGTGCCTTGGGCTTACGAACATTGAGATCGAAGAGCTTGGGGCGAGACTGGTCTCCGATAACACAGATATCCCTGAAACCTAAGCAAGCTTTTAGTACTTTTAACCACGGGGTTGGAAGGTTGGGGCTTGGACGAAACCTTTAGTTGTCACGAATGCGAATCGGTCCCCTTTATGTTCCAGTAAAGCATTTGTGGCTATCGTGGTTCCGATTCGGCAGGAAGCTTCGCCCGGTTAGTGTTGCGGCACCGTTTACAATCGAGTTGACCCCTTACAGATTCTTCCGCCGTCGAGCTTCTCGCCAGCCGGTATTGACCTCCCTTCTACAATTTCGAGAACCCGCCTGATGGCCTCAGTTGGCGCATCACGGTAGTTGGCAGGGTCTTCAGAAAGGAGCTTGAAGATGATGGGTTCCCGGCCGTCGATATGCGCCACGACGTCGCAGAACGTTCCCCCACGGTCGATTGAAACTCGAATGTCCGCCATTCTCAGGAATGATGATTGCGCGTGAGCTCCAGGCCAGTGTTGAAGCTGGAGCTATCCAACGAGTTGGTGTCATCGTCGCTAATTGACTACGAATTCCATAAGACACGCGATGGCTGCCAGAGTGGATGAAGGCAATCCACCTCTTTTCAGCGTGGCGACAGGGATCCGATGGCGATGCCGCACTGACTGACCCGCCCAAGTCTGGCCAATCCATTGGACAGACGTGATAAGGATTGCTCGAGGTCGGCCTAAAGTCGCCATGGAATCAAGATATCGGTCGATGCCGATACCGCCTTCGGATTCACATTGCCGAGTCATCGGCTCCTCATGTTGACATCCAACGTTGGATTGGTCTTTCGATCCACTGCTGAAATCAAACATCACATACCGTGGACACGAACCAGCTGGCGGATCGGCAGATGCAGAAAGGAGCAGAAGCATCTACGACGGCCGCCATCAACTACCTGTTCGTCAGAGCTGGAAGTGCATCGAAGACGTGCTGTACTGTGTGCGGTCGCAAGAGGCCCGACAAAATTTTCTACAGCTGGGTTAGTCTCCCTGCAAACACTAGTACTAAAGACGCTAAAGCTTAGTCCCGGCGTGGTGGGTTAAGCTCCGCGATAAAGGCAAAGAAAACCGCACCCACGAGTCCACACAAGTTCCACCTTTCGGCCGGCAATGCAGTTCGATAAAGAAAACTTCGTTCATGTCGTAATAGCCCTGGTCGGGATCGCCACAGCGGATACGACCTTGGAGCCAGGGGAACGTGAGTTTGAACATGGGTTGCTGCATTCTTAAAGTCATGGACGCGACCACGACTGAATTGGTCGAGATGTGCAGTCGTACGCGTCTGAACTCCCCCCACAATGTCTGCCTCTATCGACGACATCCAGGTCGCAAAGACGGCGCAAGTAGCCCAGTCCGTGGCCGCGGAAAGCCAGAAAACCACGCCGAGCGACAGTGCCCGTCCTTCTGCAGACATACCAGCGCCAGAAAACGGCATATCAGGCTTCTTCCACTGGCACGAGCCCGGCTGCAGCGCCGAAGAAAAACGCCTAATCTTCAAACTCGACTGGTTCCTGCTCTCCTACTCATGCCTCTGCTTCTTCATCAAGTACCTCGACCAAACCAACATCTCCAATGCCTACGTATCAGGCATGCAAGAAGAGCTGGGCTTCGGCGCCGGGAACGAGCTGTCGTGGATGAACACCTTCTTCAACGTGGGCATGATCATTGGTGCGCCCGTGGCCAATTTGATTATCACGGTTATTCGCCCGAGGTTTTGGCTGCCGTTTTGTTTGATCACTTGGTCCTTGTTTGTGCTATTTTTGTATAAGTGTAACACGGCGGAGCAGTTTTATGGGTTGCGGTTTTGTATTGGGTTGTTTGAGTCGGCGGCTTGGCCGGGGATTACGTATACGCTTGGTTGTTGGTATCGCAAGAGCGAGTTGGCGAGACGCTCCGCGCTTTTTGTCATCTCGGGCGTGTTGGGACAGATGTTCTCTGGATACCTACAGGCAGCGTTATATTCAGGCATGGAGGGTAAAGGTGGAATGTCCGCTTGGAGATGGTTGTTCATCTTTGATTTCGTCATCTCCATCCCGGTGGCAATCTACGGCGTGGTACGTGAACCTCTTTTATCCCCGAAGCACTCTTCCGCCCACTAACATGATCCCCTTAGTTGTGCTATCCCGACACCCCCCACACAACTGGCGCCTGGTACCTCAACGAATGGGAACGCAACCGCGCCCGCGAGCGCATCGAGGAAGAAGGCCGCAAGCCCGTCGGCAAGCTTGACTTGTCCGTCTTCAAGCGTATCTTCACCAGTTGGCAGATCTATACCTTCTCTCTAGGCTACGCTCTCTGGTCTCTCACCATCGGGTCCTACGTCATGCAGTACTTCGCCCTCTACCTCAAGGCCGTCGGCTGGTTTTCCGTGCCCCAGATCAACAACATCCCCACGGCCATCGGCGCCGTTAACTTTTGCACCATGCTCACCACGGGTTATGTGGCTGACAAGATTGGCCGTCGGGGGCCTGTTTGTCTGGCTGTTGGCCTGATCCTTGCTTTCTGCTGGGCTGTCTTCACGGCCTGGGACGTACCGCACGGTTTACGCATGTTCTGCTTCATATTGACGGGCGTGTATGGGTGTTTTACCCCGCTGCTTGCGGGTTGGGTCAATGAATCCTGTGGTGGCGATCAACAGAAACGCGCCTTCGTGCTTGGCTTCATGACATCTGTTGGGAGTGCGCTCGTGATTCCCTTCCAACAATTGCAATTCCCAAGCTCGCAGGCGCCGCATTTCGCAGAGACGCATGGTTGGGCGAGCGCCCTGGTGTTTGTGGTTGCGCTCACGCTGTGGACCGGGTTTGGAATCCCGTTTTGTCAGAAGAAGTTCATGAAGCAGGTTAGGACGGATGAGTATGAGTCGGAGGCAGAGATCGGGGCGTGATATTTCGGGACTGCACATAAAATACATCGTGATTTGGCCAAGTTCCTGTTACTCAATAGCGCTGCTTCTGTGATTAGACAAGCAGTATAGCCCTCGTCTGCATTTTCCCCTTGCCTCTGTATAGCAGCCTTTCTCCCATTGTACGTAGGAAGAAATTTGGCAATGCCCTAAAGTAGTGGCATCGTCCGGTTGAGCTGGACGTGACTCGCTGCCATGGACACTTCACAATCCCTTGGTAATAACGAGGTGCATCTTCGAAGGCTGGCCGAATTTCCATGGTGCGAATGGCTGGAGGTGGTTATCAGATCTTATAACTACCAAAAATACCTCATTCTAATACGAGTGAGTCCCTCGTCTTTTGACGGTTATTTGGTCTAACAGTGGTCCGGGATCTTAACTGTGAAAACCCATACCGTTTTAAGGTTCGAGGAATAGGCGTCAACTAATACGTTGAATTTATCCACCTGATTATAAAGGATGGATGCAATAGGGGAAAGTCGTTGAGCATTCCTCAGAGTTTTATTGTAATTCGGGCCCGTTGGTGATGCCAACTCCAATAACTCTTCGACGATGAACCAAGGTCGAGACTATATGCAAGATTACATCAGAGCCAGCCTCAGTCTGTCTCCATTCAATCGCATGGTCCATGGTAGAGGTCTACGAGGACAAAATCACACAGGGTACCAAAGTAAGCCCCCCAGCGTTTTCCCCATCTACACACTTGCCCCTTTTCCCACGATGACCTAAGCAACCATCCACTCAGATCCATGGCAATGGCGATGGCGTAGGCACCGCGTACACCCGATCCCTGCCGATTATGGCACCAGCGTCATTTGCCAAACCATCAGCCATACGCATTCCGGCCAAGGCTTCACCGTGAGCACAGGGTCCGACTTCGACACGTTTAAGCGATGTTGCTAGCCCGTGTCCACCGTGACCAACGTATACATGACCCAGCGAACCTGCATCATGAACGTAAGACGAAGAGCTGGTGAGGGGTTGGGATCAGTGTATACTGGATGCGGCCGGGGAATGGGATTGAGAAGCTAGAGAGGTCGGTTAACATCACTAAGGATATGTGTACGGGACGGTGCGAATGGATTGATTATGACACGTTAAAGGGCTGTAGAAGAGTGGGACGATGACGGAAGGGGGTGGACTTGTGTACTGAGGTTTTGGGTGTGTTTGCGGTTAGTGCCGCGGCTGGTATGTGCTAGGAACTGGCATACGTAAATCGATGGGAAAATATTCCAGCTACACTACAATATGCTAGCAAAGACAGATTCGTATTTTAATACTGCGTCCTGGCTAGGAAAACATGTAGATCATCTCCGTTTATCACGCATGCTGTATCCCACATGCACGAAAACACGATATGCAACGTGTGAGGGTATAGAAGATCCAATAGGATATATACAATACTTTTCACTTTTTAAAATAGCTCCAACCTGCTTATGTTCTAAACTCTATTTACAAGCATATCCATCTCATTTCAAAGGTCCACCACATCCGTGAGACCCGCTGTACGGCTATCGATCCCAATGGCTGGCAAGCCTCCCGTTATATAAACTCTAGAACTTTGAGAACCATTCCAAATATGGTCGTCCTCCCTTATAGTAGAAACATGAGCATGGACTTGGGCTTGAAACACGTTTAGACGAGCTGCCTCTGCTGGAATCCCCGTGGTTGTAGTGCCTCCGGACGACACCCTTTTTGGCGTGATGCTCAAAACTTGAAGCCGCCTGGGGTTGAAATAGCTTACGGGTCGCGGCCCTTCGTTAGGATTTCTTGGGGAGAGGGGAAACAGCTTGCGGTAAGCCTTGGTGATAATTGGACGTAATAGCGGCAGACAAACTGGATGATGTCAATTGAAACCTGCAGGAGAGTTGCGAACCCCAGACTGACTTGCAACAATCGCCATGTTAACTTCGATGGCACCCCATAAGGCTGGCGGCGCGGTGGTGTACAGCACTTCTGCAGAGTTGCTGTCGTTAAGAAAGACACCCAGTTGGGTCACGTTGACTATCGAGACGATGCAGACGCTGTTTGAGTTAGACTCGTTTGATGACTACCGAAATTTGAGAGTGGAAGCTGAGGACTCACAAAGCACCCGATGCGAACATAGAACACACGGCAATCTTCTGAGAAGTCCGCAACATGTGCAACTGCCGTATTTGCACCGCCGGCAGCGCAAATATCGAGACATCGAGGCAGACATGAACCAATACTGTCCAGAACATGAACTTGGCGTCGTCAATGGGGCACTTCGAATTCGGTATCGAGGGCTCCCAAAAAGCCTGGACAGGCCAGCAGTGAAAAACCCCGAGAAAGGTCTGGCACGCAATATTAGATGACATCATGAGGGAAAAGAAGGAGACCCTAGGCAACGCACCCGGCAGAGTAACCACAGCAACGTGCATGCCATCAGAACGAGTATGGGCGTCCTAATACTGAAGAGATTGAACAGCCGCCAGTAAAGTGACAGGATGGAAAGTTTGGAGAAGCCTAGGGAGTAGGCGTAAAATATCTGTAGCATGAAGAGGAACAGCTTAGTATCACGAAAAGTTGTTTCGACTGGTCGGTGTATGTCTCTGAGGAATTCCCCGAGGCCACGTGAGGTCCCTGTGTTTCCAAGATCAGATCAGATCAAGCTGGACGATACTTCATTCAATCGCATGTAATTACTTACAAACGAGCATCGAGACGGAGCATCCAAACGCAAACACCTACACCATAGGTATGTAAGCAAAAGAAAATTTAAACGTTCAAAATGGGGTGACTCACAAAAGCTACAATAGAGAGATAGTCGTCGTACCAAAACGGGACCCTAGTCGTTCTCCGAGCCACCAGCCGGCACGTAAGTGCCACTGCCGCTGCGACGAGCGTCACCGGCATGGCCACGTAGACGTCTTGTTGCCGGGAATGCATTCAACTTGATGATATTCAACTCAATCATCGGCATGCTCTGAAGAACCCGTTAACACATATGTAGCGTGTTCCAACCATTGTTGGCCTTTGGGAGGAAGATTCATGAATCATGGCATGACCAGACTTGGTTTCAGTCGGTTTTGCGGAAATACAAGATGGGACGGTAACCCCAAGGGTTCACCCTGTCGGAATATCCTAATGGGAGGAACGATCTACTAAATACGGCGCGAGTCATCTTTTTCGGCCGCAATGGGAATCGCTAGTGAGCCACGGCAAAGAGGCCTCCATCTGAACAAGCGACTAATGTAAAGGAACTATTGTGGTTGTTTAAAAACTTCGATTCAACCGTAATAAATTCTTGAGAAGAAGTGTTTACATTACCTCTGGCCTTTCATATAACGTACCCCACAAGCAAGTTGGCCAGTTTTTCTTGGCACCATATGAATAACTTCAATAACTTAACTAAACTAAAAAATAATAATTCAAACTAATCGGAACCCTCTTCCTCGTACGTATCTTTATCATTCGCACAAGTACGAGCATTATGTCCGGGCTCTCCGCAGATCCTACAGCGCCGTCGGCGTGGTTCGGCCGGTCTCGTACGACGACGACTTACACGTATATCATCCTGTAGCTGCTGTTCAATATCCCGTTGAGACTGTAAGTCCTGAGCGTCTCGTAAACTAAGAGATCCTCCATCTTGTAGCTGTCGATTTTTAGTCCTTCGACGACGGCTTAGCTCTTGATTGGCCTTCCGAAGTGTAGTAACCTCATCCTCAAGTAAAACTAACCGATGCATAACAGCCGTGGCACCACGTGAAAATTGGTCAATAGCCGTAAGTATTGTCGTCGGGGAGCTATTCTGATGCTGTACGATTCTGTTTTTAACGTATTCAGACTGGGATTGTCGGTTGGGTTATTTGGAGTCTTTGATTCCCAGATTAAGGGGGCGCCAGACGAGCTCCCAGGAGGTGTAGGCGTATGTAGCTTAATATCCAGCTGTGAAATCACATATTCCGGGTCGTACGGAATAAGTCCTGTCCCCCTGAAACCGAGGGACATTGTAGAGTTGGGCAGGGCGTCGGATGCTTAATTCGGGTTTCGATTGAAGCGCCTGACACGCTAGAGTCATGTCGCTTTCTTTCCAATTCGATCCCATCTTGGTATGTGTAAAGATGTTAATTAAAAGGTTGTTCGTACGGTGCCAAGAAAAAGTGGCCAACTTGCTTGTGGGTACGTTATAGAAAAACCTCAGCCTCCCATTGTGAATAACGTGATATGATGATTTCGTGAAAAGCCAAAATAACAAACCACTGAACAGTCACCCCATCGGCATTTCCTGAGCTCAACTCATATGACTTATAATTTCTCCCTCGTTTTTATTTTTGCGTCCTGGTGTCTTCAGAAACTGCCGGGGCAGGGAGAGAGATTGTAGTGCACTGTGCAGGAAAGCTAGGCTAGTGCTACTGGGCTTGAACCAAGTGGTGATGGCTACGCACGAACCATCTTCGGCAATTAGGCGTGGTCTACATAGAAGACGGAAGATCGCACATTTCCGTAAACAGCTCTCGCATACCCGCCGGTACACCTAGGGCTGCCGAAGTGATATACTCCAGAAACACCTCGAAGAAATATAGTGTCAATGATTTCTTGGCAATATCAGCTTAAGAGATAGACACTATACCAAACAATGACTTGTCAGCGAGTCCCATGTGCGCATAACCAGATTGGCCAACACTTTATCATTCAAGAGAGTATTATCGAAAGTGTCGTGCTGATTAGCAGCCAATGTGCCAGATGTGCAACCATTGCCGCAGAGCCACTATCATATTCTACCTCCGGAAATCCCACGGCCTTCACCTCATCAATTCGACACCCAACCTTACACACGTCTTCATCCCTCCTCTCCAAACTCCATTCCTCCGGATTCCCACCGCTCACATTAAACACCACCTCGACCCACTCAACCCCAACCAGGACCTGACCCCCAACACTCATATTCCCACTCCAAAACCCTCCATCCCCCCACAAATTCATAATCAACCCGCTCGGCTCCGTAGGCGTGTTCGTCGTCTTATTCAACACGAGCTCTCCATCCGCCCACCACCTTATCGTCCCCTCGTACCAATCCAGCCGGTGCTCGATCCACTCGGTGTACCTCTTCCCCCCCGGCAACGTAAGCTGCGAGCTCGCACCAGGAACCATACTATCCGTCTTGGCGTTATAATCCGGCTGGTTCGAGTACCGAATCTGATCCGTCGCGTCGCCCGTCAGGATCTCAATATCCGACTCCTGCGTGTCGGAGTGGTACGTGAAGAACCCCACCACGGCGCCTTCGTCGACGGGGTGCGAGGCACTGCTCCCCGTGTCCGGATTGGAGACCGGGCGATCGCCGGCTGAGGGCGCCGAGGACTGGCTCAGCCCGTTGGGGATCACACGCATGCGCGTGCGCAGGCTGGCGTAGAGCAAGTTTTGCTGGTTGGACGTGATTTGCGCCGTGGACATGAAGTCGTCTGCACGTGATGCGCGCAGGGTCAGATACGTCGACCCCTGCGCATCGTCGGTGGTGTTGCGGGAGATGTAGACGTTTTGGGGAGAGTAGGCGTTGGTCACGGACGAGGATGTTTTTGCTGGGCCGCTGAGAAAGGACCAGTCGTTCTGCCAGGCCGTGGTGCCGAAGTAGGCCGACGTGATGTCTTTAGCGTCCTCGCTCTCGTAGTCGGTGACTAGTTCCGGTGCCTCGATGAAAGTGTTTCCTTCTTCGAGGGGGATGGAGCGGAAGTCCCAGAAGCGGTGGTATTGGAAGTAGCCTGGGTCAGGCCCGGAGGCGAGGTAGCATTGGCATTGATCTGAGTTGTCCTTGGACGTCGGTTCGACCAGATCTGTGGCACTTGCACCACGCAAGATCAACGCTATCGCTACCAGGCAGGCATCTCGTGCCTTCATTGTGAGTTATTGGGTTGGGTAATGAGCGCTTGAGAGGGGTGGTGCAATGGCATGTTGTCTTTTTATATTTTTATATGCCAAGCGTTATTGGCGGGCGCTTAAGCAATACGAGGTCTGTGGACCAACCAATGGCCATATTACCGGCTGCTCGGCAGGTTTAGACTGAGCATTTGGTCTGGCGTGTCGCACCACCTAAGCCACATCCATAACTCAGTTGCGTAAATACAAATGAGTTCGTGTTGCGCACGTCTCTGGAATTTGTCAACAGGGGTAAATTCTTCCTTAGGGTGCTTCTTCATAAAAAAGCTTTGAACATTGGGGTAGGTGAAACTGCAGGGATGTTAAATTCCTGACATTGACGGCAAAATCAAACCATCACATTGCAATCCAGATCATAGAAAGTCGATGCCGTATGTTGGATCAGTTGATGGTATCGGCAAGTATTTAAAGAGAGCTAGGGGACGGGATGGGAGTACGACTTGCACGGTATTTGCCCTGAGTCATATAAAGTGGGCTAGTCTGCTTCCTACGGGATGCATCTACTGCATCAAGACAGCTCTAGTGACAATCGTATGTCCTTCTCCAGAAACAGCTGGACCTGTCTTCAAATCTCCCTATATCCTACAACGTAGTAACTTCACTGATCTCAGTGACATGCAACGCAGCATCACCATAAAACCGATTCTTGACCATACAAGACGTGCCACTCTTGATAATAAACAGCCCGTTCATGCCAAGATTGAACTGCTGTCCCGGCATCTTCACCTGGACCTTTCCAGCCGCTACAGAACACGAGCGCAACTTCCCATGGCTGGCCTCGAAGTGGTGAGAATTCCCCGGTCTGACGACTAGCACGTTAAACCGCACATTGGGCGCGACGCCGACGGGCTCGCTGTGGGTCAGATAGGATGTGGAGAAGGCGACATCTATGCATTGTTAGTGATGATTGTGCGAGCTGATGAGGGCAATGGGTGGCGCGAGGAAGTAGGTGGCTTACTTTCAATGCGCCCGCTCGAGTCGTTGCGTATGCGACCTGGCGCTTCCTCCCATTCCTCCAACGGTAGGTCTTGGGTAGCGTCGGGTTGGGCGGTGTTTACACCGGACGGAACATTGTCACTGCAATCAGTAGACCGTCGAAGACCAGCTCGGTTCTTGGTACGGAGCTGACGGCCGTTGGCAAGTCGTAGCGTTTGGGCCTTGGGTTCAACGTCATCCGGGGTAGTGTGCGAAACAGCATTGTCGCTGCTTGTTGACGCGCTCGAAGACTCTTGGTTTGGAATATATCCGAATACGGAAATGTATTCTTCGCCAGATTCCGAATTTCCCATTTTTCTCAAAGATTGACGTTTAGACGGCTCAGGCCCGGCGATAAATTCCGAGCTCGTTTCTTGTGGCGGTCCACCACATTTGGCGGATTCAAGTCCAGACAATGGCGACGACTGCTTGGAGCCAACCCCAAAGAGCTCAGGATAAGTCGTCCGCGTCCATTTGTTGAGGTTGCAGTATGTTTGGTTGCCCTTGTAGAAACAGTTGGCGCATGAAGTGACCATCTGTCGCGCAAGGGTAGGGGCCTCTGTTGACATGACAATGCAGCCTTGAAAGGGGCCTTTGCCATGTTGACACCTGACACAAGGCTCGGGTGGTTCCACGCCTGTCAACTGCATCAACAAGGCGCTGATGTCCTGTGGCAGTCTCTCAGCATAGGGATGGAGGGCCTGAGGATTAAACTTAATGTCTCGGCGGCGAGGAAGTGGCAGTAGCTCGGGGACATAACCTTTCATCGGCATGGGCGAGAAGGGTGTGTTCTTTAGTAAGGGCTGGATGGTTTTCCAGTTGGCAAGACTAGTTATGCGTGAAGCCTCAGCCGAGAGGCCCCGGGATGTCTGACTGTCTTCATCCTCCACGCGGGAAAACGTCTGCGCGGGTTGGGCCATGGCCGAGTGAGGTGGTGGGACCGCTCGGTTTGAAGCTCTGGAGGATTGATGTAGCAGGTCAGGCAGTGACGGTTCTGGCATGGGTTGTTCTTTGGGGCCCAGGGGATTCTTAGATACGATTGCTGCAGGTGAAAACCCGAAGCGGTTTCGCCCGCCGACAACAGAGAAGGTTCCATCGCAATTGTCGTTGAAGTTCTCTCGCCTATGCAATTTCTGATAGGGGTGTCAGTGTTGATAGAACCACAAGTGAGAGGGCCACCGCTGAGAGTTGACATACAATGAAGTGAGCACCCAGACTGGCAATTTTAGGGAAAGTTCGTCGACATGTCCGAATCGGGCAGACCCATGGGTTGTTGGGATGCGTGCTCGTAAGTGGTTGGTAGGCCGTGGGCAGGAGAGCCCCAGATGTCGCTATCTCGTTACCCGCCTCTGCAAATCATCAGTACGTGTGCAAGACTGAAAGATGGAGGACTATTTACGCCGCCAGACCGTGTACGGTCGCCCATTTTCGGCGGTATACAACCCCCGAGACACGGGTGGGGCTTCCTCTTGATCATCATCACCAACACTTTCACCAATGTCACCCACGTGATAATCCTCGTCTTCACTATCATCAGGGATTTCGGTCCCGTGATAAATGTCAGACATTTCCGTGTCCGCTGCTGCCAAGGAAGTGCCAGGCTTAGATGCACGGGGAGCTAACGTATCCTGGACAAGTTGAGTCCACGGTGTTAGCGTTGTCCCAGATCCTTTGGCATCATTAGGCCCTGGTTCCTTTGAGTCTACTGGCAAGGGAGAGGTTTTTGTCGCCGTAGGGGGTGTTGGGATGACGGGGCTCGATGATGCAAATCGAGGAAAAGTGGCATTAAACGCTTTTGAAGCAGTCGAAAAGAGGCTTCCAACCCGCGAACTAGAGCTTTGAGAGAGGACTTGCTGGTTGGCCGGGGTCCTGTTGGTTGAAGTGGCCGTTGGACGGGGAGACTCTGGTGAATGATTAGGAGATTTCCACGGCTCGCTTGATTCCAGGTCGTCGTCCCTCTTGCGCTTCAAGGTCTGACTTTCAACGCTGGTGGCTACGCGTTCGGTCAGTGAAATACTACATGGGCAAGGCGCACGCTGACGTTGCCGTGTCAATGGGACTGCTGCCGCCTCTGCGTCAAGCGCTTACCTCTTAGTATTCCGGTTATATTTCCAACTGGCTCGGGTTCCTGGGTAGCCCTTTGTATCTTGCAACAAGTTAGACCAGGTGTCTGCGTCGATGCGGACAGTACCGTATCGCGAATGAGGTCAACTGGACTCACGGGAATTGAATTGATGGGGCTGATGGCCTTGAACGGGGCCCTGGAGATACGCCCGTTCCAATCGAAGCCTGGAAAATGGGACCGGTCTGTAATAATGGTTCTCTCCATCGCATGCTTGACCGGCTGGGGTTCAACGATTTCCGTGCCACTAGCAGCCGCCCGATTGTCCGATGTATTGAACGGGCTGGATCGAGTCATGCATGTTGATGTGTTATTTGGACTGACAGCTGGAGCCCCCTGGGGCTGAATCTCAGCAGCATGAAGCTCATTCAAGAGAATTGGACGGAGGTCAGGATTCAGGGGGCCACTAACGACGGCTTTCCGAATATCGTCTGGTATCGGACTGCTGAAAAGGCCTTTCCGTAACTCACTCGTCGTCATCAAGGCGTGTTGAGCTTCAGCGGATAGAGAGCCTCTCAACAGGGACTCGCGAAGTGCCAGCCCGGATGTTTTGTCGTTCTGAGGGGTGGTGCTGGCGGCTGCGGGACTCACACTGAGGCTCGGATCCGGCCTAGAGTGACCGGCTGAGGAAATGTCCCTATTCGGGGCCACGTCGACTAATCTTGCCATCTTAAAACGGCTGTGGGTAGCGCCGGAACCGTATGGAGCGACGGTTTCGGTCAAACGCACCGTGGGCCTTTGGCTCAGTAGTCTCCGCGATCAGTCAACCCGTCACCCCACTCCACCCGGTGATGTTGACCTCTCCAGAGTTACGAGACCGAGTCAGTTGGAACACTAGGTTGCCATGTGATTTTTGAATCGCATGGATTTTAATCAGGGCTGGAGGTTGTTTCGTTATGTTCTGCTCCTTTCTTCAGACACAGTGACTGTTTGTGACGTCGCGTCGGTACCGCAGTGCCTGTAGTAACGCGTTAAGTGCACGGACCCCAATGCCCCACTTGATCCACATATTGAGTTTAACCCCTAAATTACCCCTTGCCTCACAACCCGCTTGTGGTTTCGATGCATCCTGCCCTTGCAGTCCCTGAAGGTGGTTAGGAAGTCACGGCTGGAAGGTACAGTCAATCGGCTAGCGCTCTTGGATGACACGATGCCGCCGAATCATGTGATTTTGAGTAAGCCGCATTCTGTCGCGAAGAGCTTGCAGCCACCACATAGGGAGTTATAGTTGGCGATCAACTATATCTAGGTAAGTGCAACTTCGCCGCCATGTCACATTTTTGGGGCACCATGGAGCAGGAACTTGCATTTACACGTTCGCTGCGAGGACGAAATTGATACTTTCAAGCGCGATATGGAATCGAATTGCGATCCTGTCTACTCATACGAACTTCATCTCCTACATGGTTTCTGTCTCAAAGCTTCGCTTCTCCCCGTGATTGACTTCAAACCGAGGCGCCTTCATTCTCACAGCGTAGATATGCATGAGAGTATACCCAAGTCACCATTACTGCTTTATGGGCAAAGACAGCTCATAGCGGAGTACGAGATGCCCGAATAGGCCAAAAGCTGGGCCCTACGTTTGGTAACTTTGGGGCATGGGCGTCTCAGACTACCCGACCGACGGGGAGGTCGTCTGATCCTTCCCTCTAGGCTGGTTAATATTTGAATCACCTCGCTGACTTATATCAGTCACTCATATCCCAAGTCTTCCGTCAATACCATCACATAGCTGAATGACAGCATGTAAGCATCATCTTTCGATATCCCAACGTGATGCGTGTTCATGTATCGATTTCACATTCGCTATTCGTCCTAACACTTCTCCCCAGTGTCCCCATACACAGCTTCTCCCCAGGATTTCTGAGCGTCTCGGTCATTTCGTTCGCCCCAGGACTAGAGAAACCTTAATACACTTTCCCAGCTGCTCATATGCCACGTTAATTTCCGCACCAATTTCCCCCTGGCACTTTTTGTTTGACTTCAACTACAATTCTCGCCGTTCCGTAAGTTTCTCCTGTTGGTGCCGTAACTGACTAACATCCGCTGGTTTCTTCATCACCCCGGCTGCCTCCCCCATCTTTGCAATTGTCTCTTTGATGAACTTCATATGGGCGCTAATTCCCGTGCGTTTCTTCTTATGACCCTTCACCTGCTTCACTATCACTGTACTTATTCCCTTTCTCTTGTCATCCATACATCTCTCCGCCCTCTCCACGGACAGATGTTCGGCCGTCCCCACCGCCATCGACGAAGATACTGTCTGGCGTCAAATCACCGTACGTAAAGGTGAGCAGTTCCGAATCCGGTATCAATCTCACCAGTCCGCGATTCCTATGGACTTCGGGATGTGGAGGATTTGCAAGATCTAGAAAGCCATCGCCTCTGGGATGTTGTTGTATCGAGTGCTCTAGCCTTGTTTCTCCGTGACGATATACTTGTCGCTAATCACTAAGCGGAGCAGTACGTCTCTAGTTTGCTGTAATGCTGCAGGACTTTCTCTCACTTGCAGAGGATCCATAATGACTTCTGCAATAGCGTGTATTTCCTGTTTGGTTTTTTGGGGGGATCCCGTAGACAGCCACAAGCTGTGGCAGTTTTCCGACGTTATTTTTTCCCTCTTCATTATTTCCCTCATTGTTTTTATCATAGTTCTGCTCAATCTCATCCCCCCTTCGAAGATTATGGTTGATCATTCGGGCAACAGTGGGCGAGGTGGCCGGCAACCCTGTTAAAAAGACTATGATCAACGACGAGCAGGCTCGCAACAACTTCGATTTAGAGGTAGACTCAGACTAATACTAAGTTGACTTCGCATTCGAGAGGTTGCTGCAAGTCGCAGTGGAGTCCAAACTAGATATGTTTCGATAGCCTCTCAAGGTTGCAACGTCTATGCTACAGCGCGATAGCTATATGGCTAATTATTCTAGTTCAGTGCCGTGTTCCATGGTGACGTTATTCCGTCTTATGTTCCTCGTTGGCAATTCTCGAGAGCTCAAGTTCGCAAAGGCTGTCAAAGGAGATTGAGGCGGTCACGACATGGGAGCGCATCAGTCTTGCGTTCAAGGTTGGTATATTACTAGGACGTACTTGTCGCACCATGTTATTGAACAAGGATGAGTAGGTCTAGTTCATGATATAATTAGAGTATGGAGATAGCAAATAAGGCGCAGTCACAAACAATGTACGTTGATATCTCGAAGTAGAGAGGGGACTCGAGACTGTAAATATCTACAATACTGGAACTGCATTAACGACGAAATAACAAGTAGTGACTTAAATGGAAGTCACAAGCTTATTAGTACATAGGCCGGAAGCAGGATCCAGAAAAGGATCTCTGTGCGGTTGTTCCTGTTTTTGCCAGTGGCGAGTTTAGCCGAGTGGTCAAAATCGTCTCCATGACTGTGCAGCACCAGTGTCAGAGAACAGAATGCCATAGGCACCGGTGGGACACCGGTGGGGCTCTGGTGTAGGGACGTGTGAGTCACGACACGATATGGAAGTCTTGGTTTGCGGAACAATCGGAGAAACTAGTGCTCCGCGGCTCCGACGCCGGGTTCTAGCTATCTATGTAAGGGGCGGAGGCCCGGGAAGAAGATAGAGAGAGTAGAGATCAATGCATCATCGTGGGCACCCCTACCTGAGACCGCCAGTGACCGCCCGTGACCACCCGGTGCTACGTAGGAGGGACGCCCATTACTCCCCATCACTCTGTACTATTGCCTTCGGCCTAGCCGTACCCTGACAACCAGGCTCACCGTAGTCCAGGTTAAAAAAAGCAGCACCTCAGGTCCACTCACCACTATGGAAGTTGCTGAGGGGTTTCATTCTCTTGGTGGTAAGGAAGTTTTCCCCAATGGTTAACATTACCATATTCACGTGAGTTAGGATTTGGCCAATATGTAGTGTTGTAACGAGTGAATATAGTAATGTGTAAAGTAATCTGCATAAGCCAACCCTGGATTTTTATATCCTGTCTGTACACGCCGAATCCCCAAATCTTACTCCCCTGTCTATGCCTTAACCCCTTTGAATACCCCTTTGAATACCCCCTTGCCTCTAGCTCGCGATATACAACCCCTTTCTCGCTCCGAAACCTAAGACAGGTTACTGATAACAAAATCCGGCTCTCCGCGATAAAACTGCGCAAATGAAGCCCCATACTGCTCAACAGGGAACTCGCTAGCCGGGAACTCCTTCCACCCAGCTACCTTGCGTCCCGTCCCATCAGCGTAGGTGATGACAATCAGGTAGGGACCATTGCCGCCCGGCTGCGAGGGCTCGTGGTGAAACTGCCATTCTACGGACGGGTCGTCGCAGGGCTGGAAGGGGACGTCGGGGAGGTTGGTCACGGAGGTGGTGTCGTGGTAGGAGCATTGTGTGTTCAGGATACCCGGGATGTCGAGGGTGTAGGAGATGCTGGGGCGGTTATGTTAGTTTCAGGGTTCCTATATGGGGAGAGAGGGAGGCTTACTATGCGGCGGTGCCGTGCGGGGTGGTGTTCGCGCTGAAGCCGGTGACGTCGAATTCAGTTGCCTGGCGCTGCTCAACGGGAGCGGCCGAGATGGCAGTGAGGAGGAGGGTGGAAATTGCTGCGAAGGACTTCATCCTGGATGGTGTTGATGGCTTTGGTTGGGGGTTTTAGGTGTTTCTTGTGCTTAGTTGAAGTAGATCTATCTAATGTGTTGACTGAGATGATGCCGAGAATGAACTTTCTATGCTGAAGCGACCTCAGCCATTTATACTCCCCAAACTCGCCTCACTACACATCGCAACATCGCACTATGCTTAGCACATCCTTGATCTATTTCGGTGCTTAGCTTATTTTTGGGGCTAACATTTGGTGCGTCCTAGTCGTCCACATTTTATCGTGCCAAGCCTGTCAGCTTCGTATCCAGACATCTGAGTGGTGGGTTTGGCTAACACGAGAACCTCAGCTCGAGCTAGCTATGGCCAATCGGGCCGTTTTAAGTTAGGTAAGAACGCCTCGTCCCAGACCAAAGGTGCTGCCATGAGCTAAGCCTCGTCTTCATGGGGTCTTTAGGAAACATGCCATCTAATTTGGTTGGTAATGGCGCGGTGGCCTCCGATGCAACAATCCATCCACTCGCCCAGAACTTCGTCATAAAAACAACGAAAAGCCTTACTAAGGCAGGCCATCACAAGACGAAAAAAATGCTGTATTACGACCGGCACCGTCGGGCTTCCTCTGTGAAAAGGTGTTATAAGCAGTGACCAATGCCCGCAGTGATGTTTGAACCCTGAGCAACTTGCCACGCAAGATGAATCAGCGGCATCTGTGATGAGGCACCAGGCGAGGTTTGGAAAAGAAGAAAACATGGAAAACATTGAGAAGTGTTTTGTTGTTGGGAAACCGTCTGCATCTGACGAGTACAAGCATATCTCGAAGTACCCCGAGCGCCGAAAAGCTGCGGCAACTAAAAGGGGCAGACCGGTCACGAATTTCAGAACTTGAGGAAGACAGTACCCTATATCTAGATCAAATCCCAGATGTTCATTTACTATGTCTCGATATTCGGGGCTTCAACTCTTTTGAGCAAGAAATTGTTTTGGATTCTAATACCCTGAGTGAGGAGATTCCTACTTGACAGAAACTCATTATTTACAAATTGGCCTTCGCGGGAAACTGGAGAGTTGGAGGAAACCCTGACCGAACTTATAGTCTCATATTTGAACACATAGACGGGGCTTGGCGTCGCCGACTGCCTAACGCACGCTCAGCCAACCAGCTTAACATGGTATAGTAAGGCCTCCCAAGCAGGGCCCGAAATTTCCTTGCGTAATATTGAAGTTGTACGTAGGGAGTAACATGGAATACGGGCAGAAATTGATGGAAGGCCAGATTTTCAGGGAAGATTGCTTGAAAGTCATGTCGCTCATCTGAGACATCCGATTGATAGGGGCTCTGTTTTCATTTTGGGTTCTATAGCCGGTCTACAACTTGTTTGGATGCAATCAGAGTATTTTTATTTATTTACTATCATGTTTTGCGTCGTAATACAAGATTTCCAAAGTCATATTTGGATGGAAAGAGGCAACACAGCAGTATATGGATCCCGTTGGTGCTGCTGCAGTCGGTTTGTGTACAGTACGATGCGTTGAGGCTCGAGGTTAAATAATCTACTGTGGTGCTGCCGGCAGAAGGGCGAATTACCTCTGAATATGTCTGGATAAAATCTGCTTATGTACTTAGATAATATATTGATATGTACTTTAGGACCTTGTAATTACTGCAATTGCCTCTGTGAACGGTGTCTGAAGTGTTCTAGACCCGTAAATCTCGTCATGTAGTTTCCTTCTCCTGCGCCCCCAGATTCACGCCTTCTGCTGCCCTGCCTATCGATTTCTCCGACTCGGCCATCTTCTCCTTTGGAGTATTCACCTGACTGCCCAGCTTGACGAAGGAGAAGACTAGCAACCCGGGGGCCTTGTCTAAGGGTTCTCGCAGCATTCCCAGCCTGAGCCCAGAGCAGCCAATCCACGTAAATAACAACAACAACACAGAATATAGACTAAGAGTTGACTGCACACGCGTGCGACACAATGAAATGCATATTCCATGGAACTAGGTGGTGCACTTGATATGCTTCTACTTCTGCGGGGGGTTGAGGATAATCGACACAACAAAACGCAACCTCGAGAGTCTGGTGACTGTGGTAGCTGGCATCTGGCATTAAGTGTCGTTGGCAGTATATCTCTCGCGGTCGAGGGAAATGAGCAAACGTACGATTTCACGTCTAAGAACGTGGAACCCCGTGCGCCGATGAGCGTATGGATCGAAAAGGCGATAGGCTGAACGGCAATGGTGGCGGTTCATCAAGAACCGTTAGGTGTGTGGCCACTGCAAATTCTGCCGACCGCTGGAGAAAGTGGTGGAAATATGTGACATGTTTCTCTTCTTTTGTTCTACTCTCCTACGGACAGACAGTCAGTGCTTTACTCGCACGTGGTTGTTTGCTCAGCTGATTGATGCTTACGCCATCAAAGGCAACTGTGTACTTGAGGATAGACATCACATAATTATACGTAAGTAGCGTCCAATGTCACAAGCTGTCGGCCATTTTTCCAGATCGGAGTCATGCAACGTCATACTCAACGAGCGGCCCTCTCATTGCTCAGGTTCGACCATAGCCTTGTGACACATTACTAAGCGATCTGCCGTCCATATGATCTTGGGGGCAAAATATGCGACTTTGAACGGCACTTCAGGGATCCCTCGGCATTCTGGCCCCTAAGACAGTTTTGACGTTGACTAGACTACCAGGCTAGCTGCGTCAAAGCTTATTTCAACGACACAACCAGCAACGCAGTCCCAAAGAAGAAGGAGATCGAGACGGTAGAGGGTATGATTGGATGAAGCTGATAAAATCGTGCCACACGCTTGACGGACAAGCGGGAAGAAACGCATGGGTTGGGACGGCGCCAGATCCGCGTATTTGGAATGAATCGCACCTAGCAGTTGCTGGTCAACAATGCAACTACAGCCCCACCCAGGCATGTTCGAACTTCAATATCAGATACACGGCGCGAAGAGGGTAGCGTGCAACTGTTCCGTACACATGGTTGATTGCTTTCTGCTTGGCCAAGACTATCATCCCGCCAGGTGAATCTGGCTGGAAATATTCGGAAGTGCGGGCAAGAGCTGAACGGGTCTTGGCTTTGTGTGCCTCCTCCCCAGATAACTTGCTACAGTTCACTGCGAAGGCGCCAATGGCCGGTTACGTTATCTGGTTGATACATGTACTCCCCAGCGTCAGGCAGCAACGCGACTGCCGAAAAGAAGTGGGTAAATAATACTCAACTGGGCCAAATAAGCTTTTCTGCAAGATTAAATGCCAAAGCGAGTGATAACGAAAAGAATCCAGATGCCGGGAGCAGACGGTGGGCAAACCATAATTGATTGTGCATTAGCGCAGGGCCCGAAAGTCCACTATTGAACGTTGGGACCCGTTGGGAAGTGTGTATGCTGAACGTCGCCCGTTACCACTGCCGTGGATGATGCCGAAACCTACATGTCTATAGTGAAGCTAGGAGAAGGGAACGGAAATGGAAATGTGGGATGATATGATGACGACTTTGGTCATGAGTCAACTAAGTTACATTGGCGGCTGCTCTTGCTTGTCGGTGACCCAGACGACCAGCCCTTTCTGTTTGTAATCCGGCGTGGCGCTGATTCGCTGTAATCAACGAATTTCCGGTTCATCCGAACGCGGGCATCCCAACCGATCTTCACACCATCGTCTGATCACGCATGCATCCTAATCTTGTGCTGCCAAGCTCGCTGTCCAGTTGTACGCCATGAACCCAGCGCATGCAGAATTCAAGTGGGAGGCGATTTTCGTTGAAACCTGAAATCCAACGTTCCCCCTCCGCGTAACAACTACCACTCTTCCAGCAAACCGCAACGCCTGAGAACCCCGCCCACCCATCTCATCTAGCAGTTCATCGTCGCCTCGTCACACGTCAGTAACATGGCCACCACCGCCACAACGTCGCCATCCCAAGATGTATCGGCATTACCTGCACACCAGCCCGGTATTGATAGTCCTCGTTCTAGCAACACGAGCGGCAGCAGTACGACCAAGGTAGCGCTCTCCCCCAATCTTGAGAAGTCACTCTGCAAAGGCCATCACGACCCCTCGCACGTGGATCGCTCCGTGTCGCCTAAGCGATGGAAGACGTTTCGCGATTCGTTCAAGCACCTTTATGGCCTGAAGCCCGAGGAAATCGACGACTTCATGGCGTCTTATGTGATCTACAACCTAGACTGGGAAAACGAGAAAGAGATGATCGCTGCGTTAGGACCAAACTACGAGAAACGCGTGGGTGAATGCCTGAAAGCCTACTACGGCACGCTCAACCACTTGTGAGTACCGCTGGTGCCCAGGGTTTAGATGTCGTAGGCATCGTCGTCCTGTCTTCGAATGAGCCCCTGAGCATCATCCTCCTTTCAAAATAGGTACCTGGCGTACTGACCATTGGCAGATGCGCGCTGGGAGACGTTGAAAAGATGTACATCCCACCGCTGATGGACAAGAAGGCGTCTGTCCTAGATAACCAGCTACTCAACGAAGAGTCGATAGCCAGGGAGATCGGACTCAAGGCTGGCGACAAGGTACTAGACTTGGGCTGCGGTCGAGGTCGCGTGGCCGCGCACATGTCGAGTTTTACCGGGGCGCAAGTGACCGGTCTCAACATTGACCCAAATCAAATCGCCCAAGCACGCGAGTTCAACCAGAAACTAGGTCTCCAGAACGAATTTGTGGAGGGTGACCAGAACGACCTGCCCCTACCATTCGCAGACTCGTCGTTTGACGCCTTCTACGAAATCCAAGCCCTGAGTCTCTGCAAAGACCCGCACGCCCTCTTCAAGGACATATTCCGAGTTCTGAAGCCGGGCGCCAAGTTCCTGCTGCTGGACTGGGTCAGCCTCCCCGCTTACGATCCCGCGAATCATCCCGAGCATGCGGAGCTTATGCGCCGCGTCAAGCCGCTCATCGGAGCTGTGGGGACGCCGACGCCTGCCAGCTTCGAATCAGCGCTGACCAGTGCTGGGTTTAAAGTCACGCTCTCCGACAACCCCAGCATCGATGGCCTGCAAGCCCCGCTGATCGACAAGGTCGACATTTATTTCCGGTCTATCCGCCAGCTCATCCATCTGGGTGTCAAGCTGCGGGTGCTGCCGCGCCATTTCAAAACCCTCATGGATCGCTTGTGTTTGGATGGGCAGGCTTTCGTCAAGATGGACAATATGCGATTGATAACGACGACGTATCGCATTGTTGCTGAGAAGCCGGTGGGGACGGCTGTCGCGCAGAGTGCGTCATAGGATTGAATCTTGACAGGGCGGTATTGTTTATTTTATTTTATTTTGCATCAGCCACTTGTGGCGCTTAGGAAGAAGGAATTTTGAGCGGCGCCCCCCCCCCCCCCCCCTGTATTTCTTAGATTTTGCTTCTCACGCCTGCTGCGGATTACCCCAGTCATCATTCACAGGGGCGCTTGATACCTCGCTGGAGTCTGATGGCTTCCGCGTGTTTGTTTTCAGTTCAGACACCACCACATAATGGAGAATAATGCGATTTGGAGACGAACCATGTTGGTGGCTGTATGATTTGTGCATGTCAGTTTGGTACACTCTTCTCGGACGAGTGTACGGTCCAGAATTCGCCGGACTCCCCAGGCCAATGGGTCTTCCGCTATGCGAACGAGAGGTACAGAGAGGATCTCGTGAACCCACAGAGCCATGGGCGGCCACGTATTTCGATTATGGTGTGGGGAATGATCTGGTTAAGGGACGATGAAGGGGGGGCATCGAAGTTGGTCTTCTGCGACGGCGGTCCGGACTCTCCGCGCTACGGAGTGTCCTCACAGTCTTATTGCAATACGCAGAGGTGGCTAGAGGATCACGGTATCTGGACGATCAAGTGGCCCGCTCATAGCCCCGATTTGAACCCCACTGAACATGTATGGAAAGCTTTAAAGGCCAAAATACATGAAATAGAGCCCAATTTCTCCGAATTAAAGGCTAATATCCCTCACGAGGCCTGGGCTAGGCTAGTGATCGAGGATGCGTGGTCACAGGTCGATTTAACGTACGTACGCGGTCTTATGAAGTCCCTTCCACGACGGCTTGCAGCGGTAAGAAAAGCAAGGGCCTGGTATTCGCAATATTAAATAAGAGACGATTTGCAAGTTATAGATTAGAATTTAAGCGTAAATTGGCTGAGAAATTCATCTTTGAAGTTGTTAAATATTTCATGTTGTAGGTGCTTAATTGTCGGTGTCCGGAGACTTTTTCGGGTTTATTGTAGCAAGCACATAGATTCTGCAATGAGATAATGGACTTTGACTGCATTGAGTGGTTCTCATATCAGCCTGTCCATGCCACAAATATGACGACCATATTTGCAACACCATGCTAAAGATTACGGGTGTTTGTAGGAGAGCGATCTGCAATGTTGGACGCTTGTGGATGAGGCACACTGCGTTCATCGCACTGTCGAGGAAACGACTGCGAGTCGGGCGCCATGGTCAAGTCGTTACTACCACAATTCGTTCGGCGACTCGGTCTTCCCAGTGGCGTGTCGGTCCTTGTAATGTGATGAACCCTTCCAGGTTACTCAGAAAGGCAGTTGACAAAAGAAAGTCCTGTACATAACTTCATTGCTCCATACCCTATTAGCTGTCTGCTAACTACCTCAACTCCAATGATCAGTCGGAACACTATTCATGACAAATGCGACCAAAGCAGCAACTCAATCGGTATATCCACCCTCAACTCCTCTTCCGAAGCCACATAGCTGCCATCCCTGAATGTCCCTGCCTTACAAAACTCATATGTGTACGGTTCCTGGACACCTTTGTTTGTGTTGTTCATATTGTTGGGAAGAACAAACACATGGCACTATTCCTGAACGCCCTGGCTTTAGTTCTTCATCATGTTATGAAGAACTCGTCTCAAAACTCCTGGACACCTTACTTGCCTTCTTTTCGTGTCGATGGTGTTGTACAGAATGCAAGATCCCATTCCTGAACACCCTTCTTTGTCATTCCCATCACTTCGTCAAGTGACAATCTGACAATCTTCTGGAAATATTGCTTTTCCGCCATCTCCATCACGGCATCCACAGCCCATATTACAGCTCCCTGACACCCTTCTTCGCCTGCTCCATCGCGACCTCAAGGTAATGGACAACATTGTATAAATATTGAGCCTTCGCCAACGACTCGTCCGTATCGCCCTGTGCTTTGATCTTAGCCACAAGCACCGATCGGACCTTTCCAATCTCATCGTCGACACCTCCAAGGAACTGCTTCGCGTCTCGGCACTTGAGGTACTCGAGGTGCTCGCTTCCCACCGGGAGGGCAATCTCGATTGTGTTGGATCGCGGTGCGGCTGCGGGTGCGTACTCCAGCCTGAAGCTGTTCATCTGCTCGCGGATGCTGTTCAGAATCGCGTCGTTTCTAGAGGCCTCTCGTGCCTCTGTGGATGCCTTGACCGTTTCTTGCATTTGTCGGAGTTCCTCCTGGAGGGTCTTGATGGTGGCTTCCTGGTTGGCCAGTCTGATCGCGGTTGAATCTTGGTCGGGGCTGAGAGGAATGGCGGCCGTTTCTCTGTTGTTGTTTCCGCTGCTGCTTCCTGGCTCGCTGGATTCGCGCTTGACCAATGCCATGTTGTTCGAGCCCATCGACGCGTTTTCAGGATCATTGTGGCGCTGCTCCGGGGTACGAACGATTCGTCGTTTGACTCGAGACGGCTGTTCCTTCTGTACTTCGCGGGGAGCCTTCCGTTTGTTGAATACGTGCATTATCTGCAGATCCTCTCCTTTATTGCCGACAAGGGCGTCCATCCCAGTGCTAGAAGAGGCATTGCGACCATTGCCAGAGGAAGAATGGATTTCACTGCTAGAAGGAGCATCCATGCCACCGCGGGAAGGAGCGTTGTTTGCATTACCATGTGGAGCGCTCGTCCCTTGGCCGTGAGCAGCGCCGAACGCATAGAAGCTGGCCATGTTGCCATTGGGATTCGGGGGCATGCTATACGTGCGATGGTAACCACCGTAGGTTCTATTTCCGTGGCGGACATTGCTTGCGTTGCCCCGAAGATGGTTCAGCATATTACCCTGAGTAGTGTTGATCGTGTGGTAATTAGTCGTACCGCCGAATAGATCGCTAGCTGCGTTGTTGGGGCCGCCGTTGGTTCCATCCATACCGGGAGCATTGCTCACATTTTCGTAAGGACCGATGATCCCATTATTCGGAGGAGCGCTGTTTTTCGCATTGACGTAATTGAAATTGCCGTAGAGAGCTTTGTTCGCCATGGCGTAGGGTGTATTGGTCCTGGCGCCGCGAGATGGGTTCTCGAGCTTGACACTATGGTTGTTTCCATCGATTGAAGGTGCATTAGTCGAATTTCCAAAGGAGGTAATGGCTGGATTGCCGGATGAAACGAATATTGCATCGGCAGAAGGAGCAGTGTTTGCATTAGCGGAAGCAGCCTTGTCTGCGCTCACCGTCAACCGTGCCTTCTCGGCGTTGAGTACCTCTGACAGTTTCAATGGCCAACTGTGCATCAGTTCCTGCCAGGTTCGACCCACGGGAACTTCACCAGGAAACAGTTTGCTTCGGATGAACTTGTCGGCTAGAAGCGCATGCGGGGTGGTTGGTAGCGCCTTGTTGGGTCGCTGGTCAAGCAAGGCCAGCCGCGCATGTTCAATGTCGGCAGCCATTTGATTTCCCGGACTGTCGAAACCGTGTTTCTTGCGGAGGTAGTCGCGACGTCCCTCGCTGAATTTCTCGACAACATCCTCAATAGTATAGACGGGATTCTCTACCTTGGGGAAGTCGACAATGCTTTCCAGAAGCGTCCAGAAGTTGGGTCTAAGCCAGAACGCGGCGAAGAAAACGGTGGCCTCCAATAAGACACGCAGGTGAACCTGGTAGCGCTGCTCGCTCGATTGGCTTCGCGAGTAGCGGTTGTGCAACAGAAACTTACGGATCATGTGGTGGTGACCGTCGTCCAAGACGAACCCCGCGAGTTCAGAAGCCATGGTCGTGTGGACTCCGGGGGTGGTGTTGTGATGGCGAAGAAATTCAGCGAAAATTCAGTGACGATGGAATTCACGATACGACGCGTCCTTCGCAAATACCGCTATCGCTATTCAGTCTACGGGTAACTACTTGGGCAACCACGCTAGCTGGTTCCCTTTGGGACACCACGGGGGACCGTGCGCTAGCAGTAAAATGCCATTGTCGTTGAATAGGGCTTTGGCAGCTAGCTACCCTGCATCTCGAAAGCTGCATTCCAAGGAGACATTGTGCGTTTGTGTATGTACCAACATGTCCAAGCTCCACAGCAGTAGTTTAGGAATAGCCATAGGAACGGGAGTGCAAGGCGACCACTATTGTATTAATGACACTCTGAACCCCTATTCCTATCCGTACTTTTAGTATATAGGAATACGTACACCAGTTTACCCCTTCTTGTCTGTCATGAAGTAGTGACAGCACATCAATCACCTTTGGAAGCCTTGGTACGGAAGTCTTGGAACCTCGTTGAAAGTAACTTGGAAAACGGTAAACGGTATGTGATCAGCTGCTTTGTGGAAATGCAGCTCTAGTTACTCACTGTGTCGACATATGTGCAATCTTTGGTTACTTGAATACTGTTTAATGACCAGCCTGTTATCAGGATTCTCAAGCTGAAGACAGCTTAAAGTACTCACATGGTGACACAACATGGAAAATAAAGACAGAGAGAGACACGGGAGGGAGAGGGAAACAAAAGTGGCTTTATGGAAGCTAGAAGCTGTTTCTATCAGAATGTCTACATGCGGGAAGAGGCATGGCGAGATGAATAAGTATAATTCTTCTAACATGACGCTTCTTGCAGCACTCTGGAGTGGTATCGTTGGTAGAAGCTTAGGTTCTTCAACATGCTGTTCTTTCTTACCAATACTCGAATAGTAGTCCTCGGATGCCCGCGGAATGCAATCAGCACTCTGCGTATTATTGTTGTGTGGTAGTTGAATAAGATGCATACGACTCGCAAGAACCCATCAATTATTAATCCAAGGCTCCTCCGTTGAACTACAGTTACATTGTCTCGAGGCCCATCTACGCACTGTCCTGTGGCTAAATATATCGTGGGGGACGGACGATAGCAGGGGGTCCTCCGTGGGACAAGGATTCCCTTTCGGCATATACGAACTCAACTAGACACCTACCTTAAACAGACACTTGCTCCGTGTCGTTGCTGGCTCTAAATTCGTCTCTGGAACGGTCAATGGAAGCCTGTCCGGGTTAAGCTTAAATTGTTGTACAAGCGAATAGTTTTTCCCCTTGCGTATTATCACGTTGCAAGGGTCTATGGCAAAGGACGTGCCGATACGATTCGAGGATCGTCCCAAAACCCCACATTCCCCGGGGCAATCTTCCATAAGCAGACTCCGTGTTCCATCGTGCCAGGGCGAGCCATCGTCAAACGGAAGGTGCCAAGCAGAATTTCTCGTGTTCACATACTTGATAATCACAATCGCATGATCAATCGCATTATTCCCTTTGCCTTTTTTCATGTTGGTCTACTTAAATATGCACATGTTCATGATGATGTTTCCTGCTGCTGTCTCCGGTTGGTACGGGTCACTTTCGAGTCTTCCGCCGCCATGAAGTTCTCTCAAGTAGCCTTTCCCTTGCTCGGGGTCTTCGCCTCCTGTGTAGGCGCACTCTCAGACGCATCCATCGTCTCGGGCGCCTACATCGTTGAACTCAATGGCGAGGACGATGCCAGCTCGTTGTATGACGAGCTCCGTGCCAACGCCATCGAAGTCCAGCACCGCAAGAACCTCAACTACAAACTCTTCAAGGGCGCTTCCTTCCGTGTATCCAATGTGACCGAGTCGGAAGCCGAGGCGATCAAGAACCAGATCTTCGGCAAGTCTCAAGTCAAGAATATCTGGCCCGTCCGGAAGATCCAGTTTCCCCAACCGACGCCCATATCCACCGGCGGCAACAGCACATCCGCAGCAGCAGCGGCGAATGCTTTCTTGAAGCGCCAAACCAACGAAAATGACACCTTCACCCCGCACGTCATGACCCAAGTCAACAAGCTGCGTGCCGAGGGCATCACAGGCAAGGGCATCAAAATCGGTGTTGTCGACACGGGCGTCGACTATACGCACCCGGCCCTGGGTGGTTGTTTCGGCCCCGGCTGCGCCATCTCATACGGCTACGATCTCACAGGCGACGACTACGTCTCGGACACGGACGAGCCCATCCCGGACCCGGACCCCTTGGACACGTGCCAGGGCCACGGAACGCACGTAACGGGCATCATCATGGCCAACTCGAAGGAACTCGACTTCACGGGCGCGGCGCCCGACGTGACGCTGGGCATGTACAAGGTTAGTTCATGCGCCGGATACACGACCAACGATATTTTGATCCAGGCGTTTAACCAGGCGTTTGAGGAGGGGAGTGATGTTATCTCGTGCTCGGTGGGGGATGATTCCGGGTGGGCGACTGATGTTTGGGCCGAGGCGGCGTCGCGTATTGCGGATGCGGGTGTGGCTGTTGTGGTTGCGCTCGGGAACTCGGGGAGCCTGGGTATGTGGGCGGCGGCTTCTCCAGCTTCGGGGAGTAGTGTTGTGGCCGTCGGTTCCGTGGATAACACCGTCTTGCCTAGGATACTGGCGGGTGCGTCTTACTCGGTGGATGGAAACGATCCGGCTGCGTTTGGATGGTACAATGGATATCCCAGCCTCATCGATGCTGAAGTCACGTTTTCCTTGTGGTTGATGCCTAATGGCACAGCGTCGGCCGGTGCCTGCGAGCCGTTGTCTGATGATACACCCGACTTGTCGGACAGCCTTGTGTTGCTCAAGTTGTCTTTGGCCTGCCCTGCCGACCAGCAGGCTGCGAACATTGTTGCCAAAGGCGGACAGTACCTCATGTTCTACCCTGAGTTGCAGCAGTAAGTCAAACTCTTACTGGTGATGTTTTCGATAATCTGACATATCTGACCCCCATCTAGTGACTTCTCCAACATTTACATTTACACCGACGGCATCAAAGGCGCTGGCATACTCAGCCCCGCCCAAGGCCTTGCCTTTGTCGACCTCCTCTCCACCGGCGAGAATATCACCGTCACCCTCAAACCACCCAATGAATCAGACCCGTTCGTGGAAAACTTGAGCAACGGTCAAAACGCGGGCTACACCGCCGCGTCGAGCAGCTGGGGCCCGACGTGGGAAGTCGAAATTAAGCCCCAGTTCACCGCACCCGGCGGCATGATCCTGTCCACATACCCCATGAACATGGGCGGGTACGCCGTGCTGCCGGGTACTTCTATGGCGACGCCCCTCGTGGCGGCCGTGTTTGCCCTCGTCGGACAAGCCCGGGGCACGCTCGATGCCAAGGCCATCCGTGAGGTCATCTCAGCGACTGCCAAGCCCCTCGCGTGGAATGACGGCACGGCAGCGTTCGATCTCCCCGCGCCCGTGGCTCAGCAGGGCGCGGGAATGGTCCAGGCTTATGATGCCGCCCATGTTGTTGGCATCCCTAGCGTGAGCAGCTTTTCGTTCAATGACAGCGACCACTTTATCGCCAGCCGCTCCTTCAGCATCAAGAACACGGGCACCGAGGAAATCAGCTACGAGCTTGGCCACACCAAATCGACAACCGTCTACACCTTCGTCCCAGACGTCGCGCCCCTGACCCAAGCGCGGTTCCCGAGCCCCGTGGCCGACGACTGGGCCGAACTCACCTTCGCCGCAGACACCGTGACCATCCCCGCCGGCTCCACCGCCGAAATTTCATTCACTGTCGCTCCGCCATCCGGTCTGAATAGCACGCTATTGCCCGTCTACAGCGGTTACCTCACCCTAAACGGTACAAATGGCGAGACCCTCTCCCTCCCTTACCTCGGCGTACTAGGCAGCCTGCACGACACACCCGTCCTGCAGGGCGGTGACAACAGCGGGGTATACCTCAGCTCCACCGTGACCCATTTCAATATCCCCGTAGCGGCCAATATCACGTTTTCCATTCCGCGTCTGGGGTCGAACTCCACAGCTACTGACACCGTCTGGCCTAAGCTGCTCATCATACCAACGGTCGGCACGAAGTTTCTGCGTGTTGATGTTGTGCCTTTGAGTAAGACAAGTCTGCCGACCACTAAGTGGTTGGGGTATGAGACGGTGGGGCAATTACCCGGCTCGCCGCGGACATATGTGGCGAGAACGGGGGGCACGTATACGTGGGGAGGATGGCTGGCGGATGGGACGGTTGTTGACGAAGGGGGTTACGTGCTTGTTACAAGTGCGTTGAAGATATTGGGGGATGAAGAGAAGGAGACAGATTGGGATGTGGTGGAGACGGTGCCGTTTTTTTTGAAGTATGTGTAGATAGCGATGGAATGTGAGGTGAGGTGAGTTGTGGTGTGGAGTGGAATGGGGGATACGTAATGAATAATAATGCCTTGCTAGGACGAATAGCGCTTTCCTGTGTGAACATTTTTGTCTACCTTTCTGCGATAACAGATAACACACCCTATTGCAGTAATATCTGGAACACTTACTCATGACTGGTTTGACTGATGCTACCTCCCAACTTTCAATGCCCGGCAATCAGTTGTGCTATTCCTATAGGTATGTTTCCGTTCAATTTCTCTACAACATCATGACATGAACAAGTGCTAAGTTCTCACCCCAGGCCTCAACCGGAGTCTGTGGTGAGGGAACTTGAAACAATATGACCGCGAACAGACCAGTCGGCCCATTCGTGCCCAGTATCACCAGCCTATCCCTGACGGTCTTGGAACAGGGGACGAATGCGAGTCCGAGGTAATTCTTTTGCTTTGCTTTTTCTCTTGCTGAGATAGGGTTTGTCCGGCGTATCTTGTTCTTTGACTGAATCCTCCGTCCGTCTCAATGTTAAACAATCTCAACTATGCTGCGCCACCTGTCAATCCCGAGCTCTACTAATGAGACTCGACCTACCTGTGTGTCATCTGCTCACTCATGCAATGATCTTAACAGATTCAAGTGAAATGAGATGGTCGACCTGATGGTGATCAAAGCATGCATCGTGGTAATTCATTCCATCAACATGACAGATACTGTCAATGCTTGAATCGCGCTTTGACCCAGGGCTGCAGCCCGTTAAGGAAGGATGTATCAAATGCAAGACTACTGCAGGGCTAGGGAACCTTGGTGCTGGGATTGCATTTGTCACTAACTTTTCCCATATATGTTTGGTCAATCTCGGAAACAAATATATATGAAAGGTACCCCTATCCCAGCAACGACACGTGAATTATTTAAGCTTGTTTGTCCTACGACTTTGACATGTCGAAACCGCTTGGAACTGCTTTTGGCCCCCATCCAATGTCGCTACTTCAGTCTCACATCCATCGATCGTGAGCTTCCAGTTATACTCAAGAGCACCCTATACCACGCCAGCTTGTGCTCGCTTGATCGCTCCACGACACGGATGCGGATGACGGATCTATAGCAGTATCCGGAAAAAAACCAAACACAATGACGTCCCAACATCCCTCCTGGCCCCACCCCGTTCCAGTTGACCCCCAAACCCGCGAAGCCCTCGCAGCAATAGCGCACACCCGCGCCGCGCTCTCCCTCTTCCCCTCCTGGCCACGGCACCACAATCAATACTCAGCCCTAAACACACAGCACAATGACCCTACCAGTCAATACCAACAACCCTCAGTCCACCACCCGGCCTTTCCCACACGACAACTCTGCTGCCAGCGTTGCAGGCGCTCAGACGGGCTTACGCAAATGCCTGACCCGACGCAGCAGAAGCGCGTTTATTTTAAATGTGCTATTTGCAGTAACACGGCGGCGGGCAAGAGTAGTTTCGTGTGCTGGGCGGATGGTAATGGGGTTTACAAAGAGAATCCGGTTTGTGACTGTGGGGACTCGGATGGAGATGGGGGGCCGAGGGCTCGGGAGGAGTGGGAGGAGGAGGAGGAAGGGGTAGAAAATGGGGTAGAAGAAGGAAGAGGGGAAGTGGAGGCTTGTGTGGACGGTGTTGGCTGGGAGAGAAGTATAAAGACGACAGGGATAGGACTCGGGAAGAGGAAGAGATTGGTGTACAAGTGTGCGACGGGGTCGTGTGGGTTTAGGGCATCGGTGCCGCCGGAGATGGGGGACGCGACTGGGGCGGAGCGTAGAAAGGACAGTGGGGTTGGGATGTGACTCTGGGATGTGAGGGTACGCCGACTCAGAACGATGAAGACATGTTAGACGACGTGATGATTGGATTTGCTTTAAACATTCAATTGGCTTAGCGGCCAGTGGCAGTCCCAAGGACTTGAACACGACAATGCAACTTGGTTACAGTGTAGCGGATGAAAATATGTTCATAGGGGCGATGTAAATAGGTTAGGGTTTCACAAATACACTGAGCCCACGTACATAGGTGATAACGAGACGATCACAGCTTTTCAGCACCCATCTATTTCGTAGGAACTACATGTTTGCACAATGGTAGACTTACACAGTGGGGTACATTACGTGCGTACAGAAAGGTATTGGGGTTTTATCTTTTGTTATCTGCATGATCTTAGTTGTTTAGCAGGATTATCTCTAAGCATTTGTACCAACGTGTTAGTCAGGATGGAGACTTCACCTTCCAGCGTTCGCCAAACCTCGTGGGTCACACCCCCTTCCGTTCGGGTCTTTTGATACTCACCATGTAAGAGATATCGGCGTAGTATCAGAACTGCAGAAAAAGTCACATCTCGGTTAGATGCCACAGGAGTATGCGATCGTAGGTGCGGGAACGTTTCCGTGTCGGAAAAAGCGACATCCGTGTTGCTGGGTGACTGAACGCTGCCAGCTGTTCCATTCGCTGACAAACAGCCACGTGTGCTTGGATCGCCATTCTTGTGCTGATCTTCAAGCAAGAAGTCCTGTGCCAATCCTAACTTTATTTGAGAATGTTCGCCGGAACCTGAGTCTTCTCGTCTGTGGAACTGCCCCAAATCCTGTCCCTCGTCTCGTTGACGCCCCCAATCTTGCGAGGTTACGCTCCTCAACGTTCAAGAATGGCCTTTTAGCGTTCCTTCCATTCGGTTCAGTATGGCGAATATCATGCATGAGAACGCCCAGACTTTGATGAGTATACTGGCTGATCTTCTGGGACCGCCGAGTAATCTGAAGGAAGGCCGCGTGATGGCGTATTGCCAATGGGATTTGAGACACCAAAGTCAACGATGGAAATCTTGGGTACAAGGAGCTTTGCGATGCCCTCGGGATCGACAGGTTGTATGAGATGTGAAACATGCTTTAGTCTCTGGTCTGGATGTCGCGGGATTGCATTGTAACGGATCGAGTTCTCAAAATCGAGCAAGTCCCTTACCTTCAAGACCGTTGCACTGTAGCAATATGTTGTGTATGTGTAAATCTGGATATATTTCGCGTTATTCGTGGCAGAAACAGAAATTGGAACACACAGACTTACTGCTACGTCATATTCTTCGCTTGTATAAAAATTCTCAAGACCTCTGACAACTTGCAGACACGTGGTTGTGTAGATGTTTGGATGGTCTCTTTCAAACAGAAATATTTGGTCGTTATATTCTCTCTTGCTTTGGTTCTCAAACCGCAGGCCAAGAAACACCTTCATCAGGTACAAATGACGCCCATTAAAAATCTGGATATAGGAATACTCTAACTGGACAACTATGTAGTTCTAGAGGAAACCTTCTAGTATTCCTATACGACAACCAAGGCCATCGTGTCCAGTCCTCAGACGCAAACGGCATCACGAAAGATGTACAAATAGACACCGACTCTTATTTTGCAGCCGACTTCCAAGCTATCGGCGCAAAATAATACTGCACGAACCACTTGTACACCGTCGACAATGAGAATGACATGGGACGTCTTGCTAATTTCAGGGACACGCCCGGAGTCTCAAAAGCTTCCAGGCATAAAAACCCGACATGGAGCGCTCAATAAATCGGACGAACTTCACAGAGTTCATCTATGGCTACAGGCCCTGGAAACTCGCAGTCAAAAAGGATTGATTTCTATTGCCTCATCATCATGTAATTCAGTATTCGGAAAGGACACTCTACCTCTGAAACTTGAGCCTTGTCAAGCAGTTGCGGCCATCTCTCAATGAATTTAACTTGCGTCCGTGGAACATAACTCAACTCAGTCCCCATGGTCTCCCCACCACTCACGCAAGTCATCCGCCCTCCACTTCGTAGCCCATCCCGATTCACGCTCAATCATGTCTAGTAAGTCAAGAATAAATCCATGCTCCGCGGGGCTACTAAAAAGCCTGCCAGCAATCCACAACGGCTGCAGAGCATTGGTCCAGGATCCGTGGTGGTGGTTCGACGCCGATATCCCTACAATCTGCCGCGCATGCCACAGGATCGATCTCGGCTTGGTTGGTAATAGAATGTGTGCCGGTTTATGCTGGAGCATCAACAATGTGGCCGTGTGGTAAAGCTGGTTCCCCGAGATGGCAGATGGGCTGCTGTACAAGATGGTGGGAAACGGGTGGTTGGAGTTCAAGCGGTGGGTTAGGACGGGGTACATTTCGCCGGGTCGTTTCATAAACCACTCATCCAGCAGATGCCAAAGCTGCTGCCAGTCTCGAGAAAACGAGTCGTTGGTCGATTCTGATTGAGCGAAGACGCTGGTGTTCGCGGGAAGAGAAGGGACCGAAGAGAGCAGTGTCACGACATGGGCAGTCAGGAAGACGGCTTGGCACGCATGCGACTCGTATGTACAGGAGCTTACCTGGAAGATGCGGATCGCAGACTCGAGATCGGGTGCAGGAACCCAGGCGGAGACGGGGATTAATGTTTTCGAGGATGATATCAAACCTCCGCAAATATCCATCCGGGCGAAACACCAGAAGAGGGACTGTTCGATCCCTCCGGAAAAGCCGTTGATGGCCACGGTCTGTAAGAGGGTTGCGCATCCGTCGAGATGGCGCTGCCAAGCTTTCGGGGAGCAGCTGAGCATCTCCAGCACACAGAGGACAACGCACGATGCGATGACCGAAATGCTTCGGCTACCAAGACATGGCAGGAGGTAGTGAATGGCTTGCTGATAAAGTGCTAGGCTTCCCGTTGGTGATCCGTTGGGGTCTTTTTTCCTCTCGAGCTGCCGCGCGGAAACTGCTAAGATGGAATACTTGAGATGCAGGTTAGATCTGGATAATATCGGGAGGGTATTCCTAAAGTGCTTCTCGCGATCAAACTTGTCAAGCTAAAGTAAGGTTCAGCCGTATTCTACAAGCAAACAGTCGTGCACAACTACTCACCCATGGTGAAAGTTCCTCAACCCAATTCTTCCACAACAGATATTCCTGTTCGTTGGTGAGACCTGTATCATCTCCATCGACTGCTTGATCTTGATCTGAGCTGCGGCTCGCCCCGGGCGTATGGAACCGCGAATGTTCGGCATCCGGCGTGCATACTCTTGAAGGGCCACAGGACCTGCTTTCCTGGAACAGATGATGCCGCAAGGTAGACTGGAGCTGTAGGTAAATCGACCCGGGAGAAAATATGCCAGACGACATGGACGCTTCCTCGTCTTGGGTCAATATCATGTTGATCGGAATAGACAGGCGTCCGGGCTCGACGCCGCCTGCTTGGGATTCCATTGACCGTGGCTCTGTTTGGCGCAGATATAACAGATTCGCAGCGGCATCGTTTTGCTGCTGGGAATTGGATGTGCCGTAGTACAGCATGCTCTTACCGTCAGATGGTAATAGCCCCTGCTCAGCTTGGGAATAGCTGTGCCGGCTAGCATCTTCATAAGACATCCACGTTACTTCCGACCGAGTCGGGGAAGATTGACCGCTGGGTGAAGCAACAGACTGGATATCCGATGCCGGCAGAGCGGCCCCAGTACTATTCCGCATCAAGGACTGGGGGTGGCTCGTCTGACTCCCGCTTTTGGTCAGACTCTGGGTTGAGTCGTCATTGTCACCATTAGCTCCAGAGTCTGCGGCCCTGCCCTCGTATTCTCGAATAACGGACTCGGTCACATCGAGAATTTCAAAACATCTAGGCGGTTCCTCCAATCTATCTTTTCCCTTGACACTGCCAGGAGATCCACTGCACTGGGAACCTTCTAAGGTTGCAGGAGGTCTGAATGAAATGCCCGATGCCCATGTACAAGCAGTTCTGGCTTTATTGCAGCGCAAACAAGCAGGTTTGGTCTCGTCACCTTCGTCATATAAGCTTGGATTGATATCCGAGAACGAGCAGCGGACTCACACTTTCTCCTCTTCCTCCGACATTCTAAACAGCCACTGCAAGAAGTCAGAAACTGATACGACCATGTCGAAATCAAACACAAGCATTGCTACTTACCTGCGCGTTCTTTTTTGCCGACCTTCACTGTCTGGCATTTGAATTGAGCATAACTTCCAGTGCAGAAGTAATGATGCCGACATATCTCTTCCCAGATTCCTGCGACTCATGTTTTCTGGAGAAGGTGGTGCAGGTCATCATCAGTGGTCGCTCTTTCCATCAGGAATTGTGGGGCGCCAAAGACACAGTGTGGAAATAGAGTTGATACCGTCACTCACATATTGTTTTAGATCGATTTCAGGTCGCAGCTCCCTGTCCATCGTCGGACCGGCCTCTCGCCGAGCGAGCGTAAACTGACCAGGTACAAGAACGCTCTAACTAGGTACAAAACCTAAGGTATTAGCAAAAGTTCACCAGGTACTAAAAATATAACGCGCTCCGAGGTGTAATATATATTATTATTATTATTAAATAATAATATTAAATACGCCGTAGGTGTTAACCCTCGGTACCTCTACAAGTACTCCCTTAAGGGGCTATAGATGATATAGCGGGCCCTTAAGCCGCGTCGGGCGGTTATACAGGTAAACTTGTAGCCAAACGACTACTAAACCTCCTGTCCCTCCCTAAGTCTGTGCTACAACCCCTGCCTGAACTACCGATAAGTGTGGTAACGTGGCACTTAAATTCGTCCTCAGGGGTGGGATGCTGCTGATGTGCAGAAGATGCTCGACTATTTTTTTTGTCGCGACAAGTCGTAGTATCTGCTAATTGGGGTTCTCGTCGAGCGTATACATCTCAACCATACGCTCAAGTGGATAGACCGTAACGTGGTCTAGACGCTCGCAAGAATCGCGGCGAGAGGGCGTGCTGCGCGCCTTCTATCGTGAGGGGACGGGTTCGCCGACGAGCGTTATCGGATAGGCGAGGTCCGATAAGGGGCCGGATTAACGATTCGAATTCTGGACCGGCTGTCGAGTTATATTCCGCCGACGTAGTGCTTGACGGTCGACTGGCTAGGATGCTCGTAATCCTAAACTGCACCAATCTCCCTATTATCGCTAGGTAGGCGAAGTGTCAGGGTACGGCTAGGCCGAAGGCAATAGTACAGAGTGATGGGGAGTAACGGGCGTCCCTCCTACGTAGCACCGGGTGGTCACTGGCGGTCTCAGGTAGGGGTGCCCACGGTGATGCATTGATCTCTGCCCTCTCTATCTTCCTCCGTCTCGACTCCTTACTTATAGCCAGCCGAGGTTCTCTCTTGGATTCTGGATGTTTGCTTCCGTATGTCTGTGTTCCTCCGACTTCGGCCAATATCTTGGACAGCGGCTCCTTATCTGCAACCAAGCGATTCCCTATCCGCTGCAAACGGCTTCAACGGCTCTCATTCGCCACAAGCGGCTCTCTAGCCGCCACAAACGGCTTCCTACCTGGTGGAAGCCGGCCCGCCTCGGATGACACTTGTGGCTCTGACAACTCCTTCCCTATCCTACTTCGAGATGGTCCTTATATAGATAGCTAGGCCGCCGCTTGGACCCGGCATAACAGCAGGGTCGGCGATGCCAAGGATCTTGACTCTCGTCATCCCAAAGCTTCACATAGATTGTAATCATGATTCGGGAGTCTTTTGTCCGAAACACCCCTCCGGCGGCCCGCCGGTGTCCTGCGTTCAGTGTCCTGACACCCACTGGTGCCTATGGCATTCTGTTCTCTGACACGACGACCCCCCCTGACAAGGCCCTGCCCTCAGGGCCTCAACGCTCATCCCGTAGAACACCGGCCCTTCCTATTCCCACATCCTCCGATGCCGCGCCGGTGCCCTCCGGTGTATACCCCGTAACTCTTCACGCGCAACAGCGTATACACTTGTGGCCTAACCACAGTGCTCCGCGCTGTCACCCGCACACACACGTCATGACATCGGTCCAGCCATTGCTCGAAAACCTTTGCCTGACAATCGCTCACGACAACGTATACACTTGTGGCCTAACCACAGTGCTCCGCGCTGTCACCCGCCTTCCGAAGCTATAGGTGCCTACCGGAACAGCACCGGTGGCCCTACGCTCCCAATCGTCGGAACATTGGCCCAGTAAAACGCTCGCAAGCCAATGTTCGACACACACGCGCAACAGCGTATACACTGGTGGCCCAACCACAGTGCTTCGCGCTGTCGCTCGCTCTCACACGTCACAGCATCGGTCCAGCCATTGCTCGAAAACCTTTGCCTGACAATCGCTCACGACAACGTATACACCTGTGGCCTAACCCCAGTGCTTCGCGCTGTCGCCCGCTCTCACACGTCACAGCATCGGTCCAGCCATTGCTCGAAAACCTTTGCCTGACAATCGCTCACGACAACGTATACACCTGTGGCCTAACCACAGTGCTTCGCGCTGTCGCCCGCTCTCACACGTCACAGCATCGGTCCAGCCATTGCTCGAAAACCTTTGCCTGACAATCGCTCACGACAACGTATACACCTGTGGCCTAACCACAGTGCTTCGCGCTGTCGCCCGCTCTCACACGTCACAGCATCGGTCCAGCCATTGCTCGAAAACCTTTGCCTGACAGTCGCGCACGACAACGTATACACTTGTGGCCTAACCACAGTGCTTCCCGCCATCTTCTGCCATAGAGACCCTGCTTGTTACCGGCTTCCCAACGGTGTACCGTTGCCCTCGTAGTTATGTAGATGTGATAATAGGTGACTTACCTGTGATCTTTGTTCCGTTCATGCCCCCTCCCTGAGTGCCGCTCCTGAGGCACTGGTGCTAACCTGTTCTACTCCTAGGTGGCAGGTGGTGTTGTTTCTGTGCTCTCATAGCCCCATAGAGGGCAATAGTTCCTCTTACGGTCAATGAGGACTTGTTTGGCCGGCGTGCCCTTGATACAACTATTGCAGTCCGAGTTGTCACCCGGTGATACGTCGTGCCACCGAGTCTTCGTATTCTTTTCGTAGCTCTCGTGACAAGTGTCGTTGCGGCTCCCACGTATCTTCTGACTCGTCGTAGCCCTTCCACCGGACTAAGTATCGCCTGCTCTTCAGCGGTCCCTTGTGTGCTACAATGTGATCGACCTCGTATTCTAAGGTGTCGTCGCTTTCCACTGGTATCACCTGGTGCTCAACCGGTTTTCCTTTGTAGGGCTCGAGCTGTGACGGGGAGAAGACGTTATGGATGCGGTAACTCTGTGGTAGATCCAGCTCATAGGCTCTCCCACCGTTGATCACCCGGTGCACCTTGAATGGACCTAGGAACTTGTCCGACAGCTTCTTACACGGTCTGCGCTGCCTCACGTTCTTCGTCGATAGCATCACCAGGTCCCCTACGGTGAGGGACATGGTCTCTCGTCGCCTGTTATACCACTTCTCATAGTCCTTGTTCGTCCTCTCAAGGAGTTGTGCAATGGTATCCCTATGGCTCTGGAGCTCTTGGACCCTTTCATCCGCTGCAATAGCTCGGATCGGCCCAGTACCGTCCTTTTCGATATCATGTGGCCCCCTTGGCATATAGCCAAACAGCGCCTCTGCTGGTGCCATGTTGATGGCCGAATGCCACGCCACGTTGTACACGAACTGTGCCATCGGTAGTAGCGATGCCCAGTCATCTTGATCAAAATTACAGAACGCCCTCAGGAAGTTTTCCACGTTCTGATTCTGTCGCTCTGTCTGCCCGTCGGTCTGCGGGTGGTATGCGGTACTCAGCTTCCTCTTGATAGCCAGTAGGTGGCACACCGTTGCCCAGAACTTGCTTGTGAACAGGGAACCCCTATCGGATACCATAGTCACTGGGATCCCGAACACAGTGAAGACGTAGTGCACCAGCAGCATAGCGAGTCCATCAGCGGTAAGGCTCTTCTTCGTCGGTATATATAGTGCGTATTTCGTGAAGCGGTCCACTATTACCAAGAGGCTGTCCTTCATCTTCCCATTGGTGTCCTGCGAAGATGGAAGCCCTGTAATAAAGTCGAGAGAGATCTGCTCCCATGGTCGGTTTGGTACCGGCAGACTAGCTAGCTGCCCGTAGGGCAGATGGTGTCGCGCCTTTATTCGCTGGCAGACTGCACACCCCCTAACAAAGTCCTTCGCATCTCTTGTCAGCGATTTCCAAAAGTACGACCTACTGATTCTCTTGACTGTCTTAGTGACCCCCAGGTGGCCACTAGTCTGCTCGTTATGGAAGGCCATCAGTATCTCCCGCTGGATCGGATGGTTATCTGGTACGAAGACGCGGCCCTTATAGCAAAGCAGCCCGTCCTCCTGGTACCACGCACCCGGTACGCGGCTGAGCGACTTCCACGCTCCGCTACTGACGAATTCGTCTTCTGCCTGGGCTTTCCTGACATCTTCAAGTAATGTCGGAGCCAACTCTTCCGGCATAGGGACGCCAGCTGTAGCACCGCTTGCGCGCTGTGTCTCCATTACTCGCACTCTGATACTCCTAAATCGTTGTAGGAAGTCTGGCAAGAACGCTACTTGCGCCTCCTGTTTCTCACCCGCTGTCGCGCGGTGGTCAGGCCGTCTTGACAACCCATCGGCAGGATTCTTCGTGCCTGGTCGATATATGATCTCGAAGTCATAGTTCGCAAGGTCCTGTAGCCATCTACCTTGTCTAGCGCTGAGCTGCGGCTTACTGGCTAAGTAGCGGTGGTTCAAGTGATCCGTGAGAATCTCAATCGTCTGTTGACTGTACAGCAGATAGTGCCGCCATCGTTGTGTTGCCTCAATAATCGCGAGCAGCTCCGCATCGGGTGTCCCGTAGCGTAGCTCAGCACCTTTCAATTTCTTGGACATAAAAGCCACTGGGTGCCACCTGTCTCCGTGCAGCTGGCTAAGTACTGCGCCAATTGCGAAGTCTGATGCGTCAGTCTCTACACGTATAGGTAGTCCAGGCTCGAAATGCTTCAAGATAGGTGCTCGTGTGAAGGCCAGGCGTAGCTTGTAGAACGCCTCGTGTGCTACATTATCGAGCTGCAGCGCTCCAGATGATCCTCCCTTGAGTAGGTCTGTCAGGGGTGCTACTATCTTCGAGTAGTTCTTGATAAACCGGCGATAGAACCCAGTAAATCCGAGGAAAACCTGTATATCATGGATACTAGC